GTTAGAGTAGTAAAAGAGTAGGAGTCACCTAAGAACGTTAAGGATATATAATCCTAACTAGGATTTACTAATTTTTATTAATAGTTCATCTGAAACTACTCCAAAATCGCTGAACTGCTTACTAATCTAACTAGGAAAGGTATCTCTTTCACCTGGACTAGCTAGTGTGAGGAAGCCTTCTAACGAATTAAGAAGGAATTCACTAAGGAACTAATCCTTTATAGTTTTAACAAGGAAAGGGAAAGTATAATCGAAACCGACGCTTCGGATACCTATACTAGTGTAGCTTACCTACAGCGAGACGAGGAAAGCCGACTATACTTAGTCGCCTACTATTCCGAAAAAATATCCCTAGCTAAATAAAATTATAATATATATAAGAAGGAGCTTATAGCTATTATTAAAGTATATAAACATTAGAAGATCTATCTGTAAGGAGCTAAGTATCTAATTATCATCTATACCGACTATATGAATCTTCAAACCTTTATAACTACTAAGGTCTTAGATAATCGATAGTTAGCCAGGTAAGCTAAGGAACTTACCTCTTTTAATCTTATAATTAAGTACGTGTAAGGAAAAGATAACGCTAGAGCCGACGCCCTAAGTAGGCTACTAGAGTACAAAGGAGATAAGATCTACAATAAAACCGCCTTACTTAAGGAATTAGATAATAGGGACTTAGTCCCCTATATCTGAGAAGTAGCGGCCTTAGAACTTAAGGGACCTTAGGCAGAAACACTAAAGAAAGCTCAGGAGCTCGAAAGGTCTCTCCTAAAGACTAATAACTACACTATAGTTAAGAAAGGATACATGCGAGTAAATAGGAAGCTATAGCTCCCGCTTAGCCTAACTAAGGAATATATTCAGGAATAATATAGACTACCTGCACACGGATATTAAGGGGTACGAAGAACGTACCTAAGGATTTCGCGATACTACTAGGGCGAGGGACTTCGCGTAGTAGTTAAGGAGGTAGTTAGAAATTGTGATACCTGCATCAGGAATAAGCTAACTAAGCACGCACCTTATAAGCAGATAATCACAGTACCTATACTACTATAACCTTAGAAATCGATATCATAGGATTTTATTAGACTATTACCTATGTCTAAAGACCCGGCCATAGGAGTTAGCTATAATATAATACTAGTTATTATAGAGAGACTTACTAAATATATGAACCTAGTACTAGTTAAATCAACGCTCACGGCCGAGGACCTAGCGCAGGTATACCTTAAAGAAGTAGTCTCTAAGCGTAGAGTACTAGAAGAAATAGTATCCGACCGGGATAAGCTATTTATATCTAAATTCTAGAAGGTATTAACGAGTTTCCTCGGAACTAAACGAAAACTCTTAATAGTATTTCACTTTTAGACAAATAGAGGAAATAAATAGATAAACTAAGTTGTTGAAGTATACTTGCGATACTATATTAACTACTAATAAGATAACTAGGTAGGACTACTACTACTTACAGAGTTCGCCTATAACAGCTCGACCACGGAAATAACTAACGTAATACTATTCTTCGCTAACTACAGTTACGAACCTATTATATATAGAGAACCTAACCTAATAGTTAAGGATAATAATATAGCTCATATCCAAGTCTAGAAGATTCAGGACCTATATAAGGAATTATCCTAGGAACTCTAGTTTATAGCAGAAAGAAACGCATACTACTATAATAAAACATGTAGCCAGGAGCTAACACTACAGGAGGGGGATAGGGTTTATCTTTTATAGAAAAACATTAACACGCAGCAGCTAAGCGATAAATTGGACTATAAGAAATTAGGACTGTTTAAGATTAAGTAAGTTAAAGGACCTTTGAATTACGAACTCTAACTGCTAAATATGATAAAGAAGGTATTCTTAGTATTCTATATATCCTTATTAGAAAAAGCACTACTAGGCGCACTACTAGCTCTAAAAATAATCGCAGAACCTATTAATCCGCTTAAAGAATACGAAGTAGAGGAACTGCTAGATTATTAGTACAAGTATAGTATTATTAAATACCTAGTGAAATAGAAGGATTACCTATAATCCGAGAACACTTAGGAACCTAGGTTAAACCTTCGCTGCCTGAAGCTACTTACTAGTTTCTATTAACGAAACCCAGGTCTACCTAGAGTAGGTCCTTAGGGTTAAAGGGAAAGCCGACTGTTAAGTCGTAGGAGGGGTCGATATCGCCGGAACTAGGATGTTCCGCGCTTACTAACTTAGTACTTTTCTATACCTCCTCTGCTTTCCGCTTCTCCTTAGCTTCCTTTTCTAACGCTTTAAGAGCGTCGAGCTCTTCTATTAAGTTCAGCCCGGTAGTAATTATCTTCTGCCGCCTTTCGTAGAGGAAACGTTTCTGTTTCTTTAAATAAAGGATTTTCGCTATCGCCTCCTCTTCCTTAGTATCTAACTTCTCGATCTAAGAGTTAAGGGACTCCTAATCTAACGCTATTAGTATATAGTTCACGGTACGCATATTATATGTCTTATTTAGACAGGTATATCGACCATACTAAGTCAGTTTAGGATCGCGGGGCGATATATAGTCTTTATAATTCGTATTTTTATATCTAGTATAGAGTGCTATGATTTTTCTACTTAATTTAATCTATCGCCTAAGCGTAATATGATCGACTCTTTTAGTTAAGCGTTCAGGTGGTATAATAAAAGAAGAAGATAGCTGTAGGTAGTCGTTGATATTTCCTTAGGTATACTTAAGCGTAAGGACACGCTAGGCTGAAAGGGAGATAGTGTCATAAACTAGGCTCAGTCTTAGTACAAGTCACGGGTTAGTACTATAATACTGATAGTACTACTAAGTAGATAGTACTAGTCGGTGTTTAGTACTAAAGGGTTAATAGTACCATTAAGAGAATAGTACTAACAAGAGAATAGTACGAATTAGCGAGTAATACTATACTCCACGCTTATTATCATAATAATAGTTATATTAATCACAGTAGACATAGGTCACGTGATATACTAGCTTACTAGACGGGCTTACGGGCTTACGCGCCCTACAAGATGTCTTACATAGCTTACATAAGAAGTCGGAAGTTCTATATAATAAGTAAGTAGTTTCCTAGATAGTAGAGCTTCGTGCTTAAATTAAATAGCAAGTTTACACCTAGTTTACCACTGCTTATAACATCTCAATTCCTATTGAGAATCGAGCGTCTTATTACCTTACTTTATAGCTGATACCAACTGACGAGTCTGTACTCACGACACCGACCGAGTTAGAAACGTTACACTAAGTTCAGGTTCTCTCGACAGCCTGTACTACAAGGCACATTCGCTTCGCCGAGTCCCTGTTAATTACAGCTATTCTTTAGTGTGACGTGATTCTTCGGTAAATAACGCCGCACTTTTTAACTTACTATAACTTTATTAAAAGTAAGGTAAACTTTATAAAAAACATATAAAAGGAAAGAGCTAGATTAGGGCTTTAATTTATATAAATTTTCATATATTTTAGTATAATACTTATAAAGTTAATTAATATTTAAGTTTAAGGATCTTTAATTTTTAAAAACCTCTGATTTTTATTATTTTCTTTAGTATACTATATCTTTAAGGCTAATAATCTAAACTTCTTAAAAACTTATATAAATTAATACGCTATTATTAAGCTTTCTTTTAAGCTAACTTTTATAAAATTTAGATTAGTAATAAAAAAGTTATAGTATATTAAATAGGCGCGGCGTTCTAACTAGAGAATCACGCTAAACTGAAGAATAGCTTATATTAAGGTAGACGTCCCGCACAAGTGATTCATGTGGCTTCCCGGAAGCGAGGACCTTGGCGAGCTTGGGAGAGAAGAGGACGCAGCACCCGGGGCGGCCGTCCGTACCACGAGGAAGGAATTGGGTTGGAAACAGATAAAACAGACCGGACTGAAGGAACCCTCCCTTCAACTCCAACCTAGGTGGGGAGTGCGAGCTAGAGGACCGTTTCCTAGTGCAAACGCTAATGCCAGTGCCAATCCAACACAAAGAGAACAAAGGACGTGGCGTTAGGACACTGTAGTAAGTAAGGTCTTCAAGCTTCATCATTTTATCATCGGATTCATTACCAAGCTTCTAGCAGGTCCCCCCCGAGGCTTTTCCCGGCACCTGGAGGTTGCTTCCCCGAGAGGATGAGTTAGGAGAGTGGAGCGTGCTTGGAGTTGCAGGTGGTAAGGCGGTTGCCTCATCTTTCATTCTCATTTCGTGTCTCCTTATTGTGGTCTGAATTCTGGCGTCTCGAAAAGAAACTGACTGACGACAGATAATACATCAGACCGCTCAGCTCGGTGCTGCTTGCGACATCACCACCAAAGGTGGAAAGACCTCGGTCATCCTGTGACAATACTCCGGGCACTGAGTCACTGACAGTGGTGCGACACAGCAGAGAGTCGCGCTTGGGAATTGAAACGCGAATGAGCTGCCATCTCAAAAATAACCAGTATTTCAATGTTCAGTTGATTCGCAACCCTCCATCCTTCTGATGGACTTCAGACGATACCAGGTCCTCCTCGACACGGCGTCATGACAAGCTATCGCACTTGGCAGCTCTTCAGGGCTCTGCGATTCGCAGAACATGAAGAGTTGGCTCCGATAGCCTCATCAATTGCTTCGTCCATGCCGTTTCGAAAATTCAGATGAGACCTTGACTGGGAATATCGTCCTTGCGTCTACTCTGCCAGCCGAGAAGCATCCAATCGCGACAGACTTCACTTGTCGTGAACCAATCGCAATTTCCACTACTGTGTTGTTCTTATACAATCATGATTGTACCACGGTGAGTGCTAGCGTATGGTAGAAACAATAGGGCATTTATTCGCGTTTGGCAGATTTATACTTATTAATGGAATGGCATATAAACTCTACATCTCGGCTTACTCTTTGATATCGAGTCTCACTTTACCATACCAAAACTTCTCGTTCTGAACTCACCTTCCCCTGGATACCTAGGTGACTTTCAGCTGTGTATGTCACCGTCATCCAACTATGCGATCCCAGCCGTCGTTGATATTGCTCGCCGTCCCTATGGCCCTAGCTGCTCCGGCTCCAGCAACTGGAAATTTTGGCTCTGCAACTACGCAAAATGGTCTCACTGCTGGCGGGTGTAAGCCTATGACGGTTATCTTCGCCCGTGGTACAACTGAACAAGGAAATGTTGGGTCACTTTCGGGGCCTCCTTGGTTCGCTGCCATTGGAACAGCAATCGGAACTCAAAATCTCGCTGTTCAGGGTGTGGATTACCCAGCCGAGTATACATGAGTACACCTCAAATTAAGACCAGTATTACTAATTACCTCGCAGTGTTCCAGGCTTTCTGGCAGGTGGCGACAAACAGGGAAGCACGAAGATGGCCCAGCTAGTCATGCAGGCAATGACGGCATGCCCTAATACAGCTGTTGTGATGGGCGGATATAGTCAGGGAGGACAGCTCGTCCACAACGCAGCAGCAATGCTTCCACCCGCGATGGCTGCTAAGGTTTCTTCGGGTATGTTCATACTTTTCGTAGCTGCCGATATTGTACTAACAGTCACGGAAGCGGCCATTTTTGGGGATCCAATGAACGTAAGCCAGTCGCAGGTGTCCCAGGTTGGTCTCTTTGAATTTTACTCTTGTCCCAGACGCAAATTTTAGAATGTGGCTTGGATCTGAGTTATCAAACTCCCTCGGTCTTGATTCGAAACCCAGTATTGACATGTCAATTAGCCGCAAAGACAAAGGTCATCTGTCATAAAGGAGACCTGATCTGTGCCGGAACCTCCACAGTCTTGATACCGCATCTCACATACTCTCAGAATGCGGATGAGGCAGCTGAGTTTGCCGCTTCTGCTGCTGGACTGTAAGGAGTGCGTCAAACCTCAGACAGCTCGCCTGGAAAAATGCTAGAGATCTATTTCCAATCATATGTTATACAAATTGATTCAACCAGCACATTTGCCAAATCATTTTGAAGCGAGTGCGACAAATCACTGATGCATACCCTGCAGATTCTGGTCTCTGTTGAATAAACTTTCGCAGACTATACAAATGTTCTGATAAGGCCGGTAAGGGTTCCCGGCCCAAAGTCTCTCTGACTATAGGGCTGGATGCAGTTGACACAAACCCATGCTTGGAGTCTCGGTAGAAAATTCCTACCTCTGGACTGGATTCAGCCTAATCATCAACGGCCCTTTGTGATACACCAGCACCGAGGCACCGACATCCATCAAGTTCTCGCTCTCTTCACAAAGCTCTATATCAAAACTGGTTCGAGAAATTAGTGCCCGCTCGCCTCAAAATCACACGCTGAGAACCTACTTCCAGATAAGCCTCGCAAGAACAAGCTTCATGTGCGCCAGAGCAAAACTGTGACATTCAAGTCAGCATAAGCACTGTATACTAACTTAGCATACCTGCTCACTTCTGACCTAGACAGTTCCTTGGTCCCGCATTCCATACACTCGAGACTGCCCTTACATCGCCTTCATACATCTTATCTCCAAGCCAGCGCTCAGGAGCAAAAGATTCAGCGTCTTTCCAAGCAGCTTTGTAGTGCCCGGCAGCCCAGGCGTATGTACCAACTAGTGTCTGTTTCAAGTCATTCAGTATCAAACCCTCAAAATACACTCGAAGGAGCAAGCAGCACATACACCTCCCTGGACAAACTCCCCACAAATGACATTCCCTCCCTTATTTGTGATCCTCCTGGTAGTTTCTGGCCCCGCTGGAAAAAGTCGCATGCTTTCGCTTATGACTGCACTTTGATATTTCAAGCCGTTGGTCTTGATCATCGTGATCTCGTCCTCGGATTTGAATGTGGAGCGGATTTCCTTGGTGAGGATATCAAGCTTAGACATGTTCTTCAGTAAGAGGAATACTGCGACCTAGTACTTGATTTAGATTCAATGTCAGGTAATCGGGAAGGAATACTACGGAAAGACTGGTCGCGGTGGTATCGCTACCTGCAATAATCAGATCCCCCGACACGATTCTGATTGTTTTCGGGCCGATTTGCTGAACAGCATTGTCATTTCGAGACAACAGCGAGTAGCTAATTATATCAGTATATACGTTTGCTGTATTGCAAAGCAATGAGGCCAATCTCAAAGACCTACTAATCTTCCACCTCCCCCGCTTGACCAGCGTCAAGCTGCTTCTGTCGCTTCTCGATCTTCGACTCAACCAGTCTCTTGAAAACTCCCTCAAAGGGAGAGAGATTTCTGAGAATGTCACCAATCGGTCTGAGAACACGATATTGCTGAAGAGCCAATCCAATCGTCAATCCCCTGAGCAGCTTGTCCATGATCGGCATGAATTCTGGTACCGTTGAAGTTTCCCTTGGGCATCCTGTCAACATACGCGCCACAAGCAGAGACATCTAGCTTCGACTCACAGCGCATCAAAAGACTCCCCATACCCAAGATGCCCAGCGATATCCGCACCCAAGCAGTCAAACCACCACGTAGCATCTAACCTTACACCTTTCGTGGCCCTCTCCTGCAGCCTCTTAATCAAAAGGGAGATGTACCCTTGAATAATACTTTCTCTATCCCGGACAGCTTTCTCACTGAACCCTGCACTGAGGAGCTTGCGGATTCGAGAATGTTCCGCATCGCTTGGGTTGTGAAAGAGTCCATAGCCGCCGATCACGTTGATAGCGGGCATATGTTTCTGTAACTGCCCTCCTTCCTTGTGATACCCGTAGATATCTTTCCATACTCGTTCATCAACATAAGATAGCTCGTTGGGACCGAGACGGACCACCTATATCATAGAATCAGTTGAAGACTTTGACAGCACGTGCTGGAACTGTCTCACTGGACCGTATCTATTGTGCAGTTCTGCGACTTTGTAAACTCGCGTCGCTCTGAATACATAGTACGTATTGACCAGACTTGTTGCAGCGAACAGTTTGGGACCTGGGTATCTCGAGAGTGGATGGAAGTAGAGACGCCAAAGCAGTTTAGTTGCGAGGGACAAAGCGATCTGATCCAGGTCAGTAGTTACGTCACAAATCAGGGAATGTTCAAAGACAATACCAGGACAAAAGCTGCTCCGCCTAGCTGTGCAAGTTCCGCTGGTAGCAGCATGTTAAAGTCCACTGCGCTCGAATGTTAAAGCAAGGTCAAAAACGCGGAGGGTCTCGTGAGTCTTGAATGTGTTCAGTTAAGCACGGCAGCATGTTTTCATGTTGGACTTTTGAAGTCAGACTTAATTACCTTACCCTTTCTAACCGCCCGAGATCGAGGCACTACGCTTTAGCGCACACTCGCACCTTCGGGCTGTCCTCTTCACCGGAGCTACCGCCAATACCCACCTAGGTACTGTTTGTGATCGCTCTCACGTAAGCGAGGCTCGATTTCTCCTGCTGTGGCGATAGGTCCGTAAGCAAGCCTTTGAACTTCCAAATTCTGGCTCTGTGGGACTGGTTCAAGGGCGTGCAAGGTCTCTAGCATTTTACTTTTCCGAGTGTTTCAAACGGAAGGGAGTCATGCGAGCGAGGCGTGATAAGAAGAAGTGTCTGGCACCCTCAGCGAGATCGGTCCTTGTATCATGCATGTAGTACAGTCTTCATAGCATCCAGAGAACCTACTACCTCGCGTCGCGTTCGCACTCAGATAACATCGCCCAATGACGTAGTGATCTGTTCTAACTCGGTCATTCTTAGGTTTCTATTTCGTTAACTCGAGCAGTCAAGTCTACTGAACGAGCGCGCTTAAACTCGCAATTGGATACCAGTACTGGATAGCAATCCCTGTTTACTCTTGCAAAAATGCAGAGCATACAGGCAAGAAGCTTTTGATGTCTGTCCCAGTCAAGGCTCGAAAAGAATTTACGGCGAATTACCGAGATATCATACTTTCCCCCCATCCTTGCTGTGATACTAATACTTCCGAATTTATTTCTTTCTCAAATACCATAGATTTAGCCATAGCCACTGAACAGCTCGAACCACAGAGACATTAACGCTGTGGCGTGTTAGAAATATCACCTTATAGCACTCTTAGCGTTGAAAAGTCACTGTAATTATCTTCTCGGAGCCCAGTGTGTGTGGAGACTGATGTCTGAACGCGCGAGGGTTGATTACGTATGACAGGTATTACTGCATATCTCATTTCATTTGGGGAACAACGACAACGACTTACAGAGTATAATAGCCTATAAAATAAGACTTACTTACTTTTAATGTCAAATTTAGTCTTTAAGTAATATGTAGAGCCAGAACTACCTCGGTATGACACCTAAGTAAGAATCCGAAGAAGAGAAAGTATGGCATTTGAGTACTTTGCCGAAGAATTCACAACCCCCTTAGATACCGTTCAAATCCCTCGTTTAGCGGGCTCCGAGAATATTGACGTGAGCAAGCCCGCAGAGAACAAAGAGCCAGCTTCAGGCCACCTCCGGTCTAGTCATCTAGTATCACTAAGATTATGACTGGAAGAACGGGTAAGGCATTGTGATAGCTGTATCTCATTTCCATCCCGTTTCTGTAGGCACAAACATGACGTGGCTACACTGATATGAAGACTATCACTTGACAACCTGCAACACTGTAAGAAAAACAAAGTTTCTGCAGAATTTTGCACGTATTTTGCTAACTCTGACATGACGACCCTTTGCAGCGTGGTACTATGGACAGTTGCTCAACCAGCGGTGGTGTGAATAGAGGAAAATTAGCGCGATACGACTTCCAAGAAGTCCTATTTCTGCTATCTACCCATTGAGCTACCTGTAAAGATATGGACAAAAAATTGTGCATGTAGAGAAACGAAGTTACACACAGTCTAAGGAAGACCATAAAAGATTCCTCGCCCGTTTGTGCCGACAAAGACCAGCCCTTCAGTTTCCCAACTTGCTGCCAGTGGGTTTGGATTGGCGCTTCCAAACCCATGTCCAGCATCACTGATGGTTTCCCATGTACCTCCATCATTTGTACTCTTCCTGAGTGCCACGATATTGTCGATGACAGCAAATGCAAAGACACTCGTGCTATTCCCAGCTCCCTTCCCGACAGCGATATGTGTCCCAGATTGGACACCAGGACTCGCAGTGAATGTCTTTCCAAAGTCCGTAGAATGATAGATGCCTGTGGTGGTAGAATACCAAATGTCCCCTTCTTTGGCGGGGTGGACTGCCAGCAAGCCTACGCCGTATGAAGTGATATTGGCTGAGAATGCGAAGGTTTTGCCACCGTCACTGGAGACATAAACACCATTTTCATCACCAGCATAGAAGAACTTTGGGTCAACTTTGTCTGATGCAACTGCAATACCGATAGGAAGGGAAGCAATAGCTGTACTTGAGCCATTGGAAACGACAAGGGACCCCGCAGACGATGTCCATACAATCGACGATGCGTCTGCGGAGAAGGCAATCGAGCCTCCTGATGCCGCAGGAACGGCGGTATTAAGAGTCCATGTAGCACCCGCGTCCGAAGAGATGGCAAGCTTGGAGTCCCCAATTCTCAAAATATTCCTCGGTGCAAGCCCTGCATAGTCAAGAGCTGTTGTGCTGGTCCAGAATGGATCCTCAAACACGTCATTAGGAGAGACCGTTAGATCTTTGTGAACAAACCCTGCAACATCGCTGACGCCACTGATGAGCGGAATACCGATACCAGGAGGAGCTATGAGGTCTAAGACAGCAGTTTCCTCGATGCCATCCGCAAGAGAAGTGACGTGCACCTCTGGCCATGACTGGAGATTGTGACCACCGTAGATTGTTGCACCAGTTCCATAGAGCCACTGTACCGACCGTCAGCGAATTCTATGTAGGTCCGCCAGCAACTGGCACCAGGAAGGCGATGAGATCAAACATAACGCACATGATTGCTGTCAAACGGATCGATCTCGAGTGCCTCGACCATCCAGCCGAGTATCTTTGTATCGCCCGGTTGACGTTGATTGTTGAGCCACGGTGCATTCTCCGTCTACAGGTACTTAATACAATTCTATCATCGCCTCGTAGCAGTTAGCTTACATCGTATGTGTTGTAATTCTTCTGGACGCCTCCAACATAGTCCCAGATGGTGGTCCATGATGTGCCCTTCGATATGTTAGCTCGCTTTGTTTTCACTTTTGGCCTTTCTAACCGAGTTCTCGCTTCTGAATATTTGGACATCAGGCCCCCAAAGATTCATTGCGGTGACCATCAAGGTGCCAGGGTTGTGAGTATCCAGAGCCAGACCACCATAACCAATCGTGATGTTATTTGTCACCACCCAAGCTGGCGTGATGTTCGAGAATGTCCCGTTAGAAGAGACACGATACACCGATCCCGTTCCAGCGCTGTAGGGGCCGGATTCGCTATTGTAAGTAATATACAACGCTTTCTCTGCAGCAGAGAACTTCATCTTGTGCGGGAAAACTCCCGAAGGTTGGCCAGCCATTGCTGTCCAAGACTCTCCAGCATCTTCTGAAATCCATGTCGAAGAGGTCTTGTCTGCAGTTCCAATAAAAATCCTGGAGGTGGCCCCATTAATGACTGCGGACGTAGGATCGAACTGGATGGCAGATAAGCCATTAATGTCATTGTTGTAGCCTGACGTGTCCGTTGCGTCTGCTTGGTATGTGCCTGTTGCGGTGAAGCTGCCAACTCTTTGAAATGTTACTCCCTGGTCAATACTTCTCCAGAGTCCATTCCCGCTGCGAGCTCCGAAATAGATAATCTTGTTATTCTGAGGATCAATAGCTAGGCGCTCACCCATGCCTCGCCCGGGCATGTTGCCGCCCACTTTGAATGGAAGGGGAGTCCGAGCCCAAGTTGTTCCATAATCTTCACTTCGTAGAATAGTTCCATTGCGGGGATCCCAACTGTTGGTGTACATTCCTACAGCTGTTTCAATAACTAGTTAGAAATCACGGGTTTAGCCGAGCCTCATTAAAATCGCGTTCTACCCCCTCCTAGCCCCCTTACTTTAGTTACTTATACTTGAATATCTCTATAATAACTGTTCTAAATAACTTCATATTCTCGGAATATTAAGATTAATATGCCTTAAGATGTTTCTAAGCGTGTTTTATAAAGCTAGAAGGTAAGGGTTAAGGAAAAAGTGAAACAGGCTATTCGCCTTAGTACTAGGATATTAGAATACTTTAACGTAGAGTAGTTACTTATTACGTAGAAAGGGCGAAATAAATAGTGTAAGGCGAATACTACTACTAAAGATATATTAATTACTAAGTCCTTAGTATAAGCTACACGTAAGAAATAAAAGGAAATAATATAAGCTGAAGTAGATAAGCTAGCCCCGGCTTCTAATATATCCTTAATACCTATAGACTTAAATAAAGCCTTTTAGCTAGCGGTAGATATAGTAATTATTATAAGATCCTCTTCTATTAAATATTAGAACTTTAAGCTAAATCCTACTACTTATTTAGATAAGCTACTATACTAGATAAGCTTCCTGTTAACGCCTATTATTAATATAGAAAAACAGCTCTTAATAGGCTAAGCTTAATATGATATTAATAATTCCGAGCGTCTAGATTAAGTAGAGCTAAGTAATTCGATATATATAAAAGCTATCGAGCTATAGGCTAAGGCTAGAAAGCTTAAAGATTACAAACTCCTTATATTATAATTCTAGAGATAGTTAAGATCTTTTAAAGCTAAAGACTCTCTAGTTATTATAATTAAGAGCTAAAAGGATTAAGAGAAAGCTAAGGCTAGTTAAAGGTCTTAAAATATATTATCTTCTAAGGCTCCTTTAACTATAGTTAGAGAGATATATTACTAAGTTAACAAAGGCTAGGGAGACTACGATTCTAGTAATAATTCAGTATCTATAACCTCTAAAGGTAAAGGAAAAGCTAAAGTAAAGCTAGAGACTATTCGATAGGTTAACTTTACCCCTAGGCTAGCTTTAACTCCTATTAATAGCGATCTATTTGAATTAAACAGTTCTCTAGTTAGCGATTTATCAGATATACCTCCTACGCTATATCTCCTTTTAAAAGAGCCTTAAACTATCATAGCTAAAGCTCAAAAAGCTATAGAGCTCTTAATTATAAACTAGCTGAAACTATAGTAAATTAATAACTAATTATATAAGGTATAGCCTTATCTAAAAGATCAGTGCGAGAACTTCACTAAAATAGCTTATTATATCGTTATAAGGCACGATAATACTAAAGAAGACGTCTATTATACTATTTCTGCTGAAATACAGAAGAAATAGAGTAGGGATATATACTATAAAGTTAAAGATATATCTGTTTAATCCTACCTACTATAATAAACTGAGTTATTTAAGAAAGGATAGTAAAAACAAAGCTTCAAACGCACCGGAAAGAAGTATATTAAGCCTACCTAGCCTACTCTATAGTAACTAGTTCAGGCGCCTTAGATATACTTTTATTAGGCCGCCTTACCTATATAACCTCTACCTTCGTATTACTACGTATAGCTATCTTATAGCTCTTACGGATTAAATACCGGTCTATCTAAATACGTGTCTAGCCACGTGCTACATGTAAATTCCTACTAAAATTCAATGGAAAAGTATACCTAGCACGTTAGGATTTAATCCTCTCTACTCTAGCTGACTTCCGATAGAGTTATATATCTTAAGGACTTCCGCGACTAGCTTATAGTGTATAATAACACTAGCTATAGTAATCTAATTATAAAGGTATTTATATATATTCTTAATAAAGATTATACGTTAGATTAGTGCTACTAAGTCATAAGCTTTATCCGTACAGGAATTAAAGGGAGAATTACCTTATAGATTACTAAAAACGTTTCTAATTTTAAGGCCTAAAAGAAGTAAAATACTATTACTAATACAGCTCTTATTCTTTAGAACCTATAGGCTAATCCTCTATTATTCTATAGTAGTAAGATTAATAAAGGTAGAAATAATACAGATCTGTTTAGTAATAAGAGAGACTTTTTTAAGAAGTAAGGAAAGTTAAGTGAGTTATTATATTAGATATTCTAAGAACGTTTCTTTTATTAGTAATTTAATATGATTTCTGATATCTGTAATACTTTATTACTATTTTAAACTTATAATAACTGAACTCCAAAAAATATAATATTATAAGTAAGAAAAGCAACTTCTTATTTTTAAAAGTTATACTCGCGCTACTACTAGATCTCTTAAATATACTACTTTCCACGCTTAATTAAGCTTAACTCCGTGTATCCCTACGTGTTTAAAATATACTCTTACTTTTTAAGTAATATTAGGTCCTGTTCTAATACTTTCCACAGCCTAATTAAGGAAATCTTAATATATAATAAACTTTAGACGCTTGTAATAATAATAGCGACGAATAAAAGACTTAAGAACTGAAAAGCTCTCTTTAATAGGGTTAAAATCAGGAGAATATAGCAGAAGGAACCATAGTAAGACTCTGTAGCGTCTAAAGGCCCCCTAAATCTCCTTGATATTAGAATAATAGATTAAGGTATTATCGAGTATTACTACAGAACAAGGAGCTAGAAAAGCGTTATAAAGAAGTAAAATATTATTAATTAAGAAGCTTTCGAAGATATCGCTAGTGTAGGTTCCTTTAAAAGTCTGGGAGTATATATAGCTATCAACTGTATACGTAGGAAGAATAGAGACTCTAGTTCTACTTATTAACTAACGTTTAACCTTTACTTTTGCGCTAGAGGCCGTATAACTATATTACCTATCTCTAGTTCAATTGTTTAAGCCTAATTTATTAACGCAGATTATCTAGTCTGCTATAAACTCCTCTAGTTAATATTACTATTCTCTTTATAATTTCGTATCTTATTAAGCGGCTGCTACTTTTAGCTTCTTCCTTATTAGCTTGATTCGCTATAGTATATAACAGACCGTTGATATAGAGACTTAAACGTTATATTCCTTAGTAAGGAAGGTCTGAATCTCGTTCAAATAGAGCTATAGTTACTTATTAAGTAAGAGCTTTACTACCTATTTCTCTTTAAAGGTAATAACACGTCGAGGACTACTGGAAAAAGGCTGTAGAGGTATACTAGAAAGCACTCTAGCCTTATAGCGGTATATAGTTACTAGGGAGCAATAGAATCGTTAAGAGAGTTATTATAAGTAAGATAAAGTAAGCTTAATTCTTAGTTCCTTTAACGTATACTCTAGATACACTACTTTAAGTAGTAAAAGCCTCGTAGGTATTATAATATTATAAAAATTTTATTAGTAGATAGCGCTAATATTAAGCTTTAATTTAAGCTACTCACAGTCTTTTTTAAAGGTAGTTTAGTAATTACAGAAGTAGAGGCGTTAAATCGCGTTATACGTGGAGGGGGGGTGGAACGCGATTTTAATAAGGCTCGGCTAAACCCGTGATTTCTAACTAGTTATTGAAACAGCTGTATAGCTGCATAGACTCGCTTGGGCTCGACAGGGTCTGTCGCTACCGCATCAACTCCCCACTCGTTCCTGACCTTGTCAGACCAGATTATTTCGCCTAAGGGCCGATAGCTTACCATAGTGTATCATTTACATAGTTTTGCAGTGCGGTCCATGTGTCGTCTGCGTTGAGTCTGCTAAGGTAACCGGTGACTTAGATTTCGTTTTATACTCGTGGAATGATGTCGGAAGAGTAAAAGGCGATCTTTACTCCTCTCAAAGAGAAAAGAAAGGGCTCCCCCAATACCTACTACAAGCCTCCAATATCTGTCCGAGCATAGGCAAGCCCTTTCTCGGTCGGATTGAAAACAATGCCTGGCACAAAACCGCCGCCTCCGCCGATTTTTACACTTTCCCCTATTCTTGTCAGCTTTTACAAACTTTTAGGATGTTTGTACATCATACAGGTGTACGCAGAAACAGTTGAGCAGATTAAGCTCCCCATGAAAAAGATAGAATGCATGGTGCAAAGGAATGAAGGAAATACTGGTTGAGGACCAACTCAGGTACTTCCCAGCTGGGGAAATCATGACGATTTACATAGTTAAACAAAATATCAAGTGTAACAAATAGAGGGATGAAATATCGGTTGTTCAAGCCGAAACGACTGCCTTGAAGTTTATTCCCCCTGGAATGGCTCATTGCAAGACCGCAAGATCCACATTTATCTTGGCATGCGAATCATGAGATGAACTGGACGACCGGTTAATATGAAACGCCAGGGTATGAAGGATCTTCGCATAGAAATCATTGGCGGAACCACGGAAATGACAGATCGCGAATGCGTCGTGACATGGTCAATCTGGAGAAAAGAACATCCGTTTCTTGGTGAGGCCTGCAACTCTGGGTACTGACTTGCAAGTGGAGAAGAAGTGACTTGAGCGCCAGCAGTCCATTATGCCTAGCACAACAAGATGTTGAAGGCGGTTTTACCAGATCGCGGAAGTGAACTTGGTAGCACATGTGTGATGTGATGAATCTCATCAGAAAGGGGACGATCTTAAAGCCGTCAACAGGAAATCTAAGAGTGAGAGTGATCTCCTGACGATGCTAACCTCTTTGTGAAGCGTCAGGGGACCCTTGGCGGTTAAAAGGGCTGTTCTGACGCGGCTCAAAGGAGAACCACCCGATCTGGATTCATCTAAGTGTCCTGAAAGCTTGCGGTGACGACCTCCTTCGTTTTGGCGTTGGCAGGATCATTAACGCAATGGCACGGCTTTAGCCTACAGAGACGTCCCAGTTACCAAAAATTCGACTTGCGGATATGATAGCGTCGTGCAGCAAAACGACGGAACATATGTACATGGCCACTCATGTAATCTGGGATGACCGCCTTATGGATGCTGAGACCGCACATTTCTTCGAAGTCTGAGCATTTTGAGCACCTGCAAAGGCTGATTTGTACCCGTCTTGGTTTGATGTGTATTGCATGAAGTCATCTTCTAACTTCACAAATTCATGGTGATCAGGTGAGAGATCTGCCTGAACCTCAACGGGCTGCCCATGTTTCGTGACAGGTGTGCTTGGCTCCAAGGCAGTTGGACATGGAGGATGGTTTTATGGCATTGTGCCTGTGGCCTCCATCAGATTTAAATCTACCTCACCCATCCGTAAGCTGCGCTGCCAAAGGAATATTACTGTGAAGACAGAAGTTAGGAAGGTAAGAAAATGACTTATCTGTTATTTAGAGCGAGCATGACCCTGTAGTTCACGCCCCTTGTGTATTTCAGGCTTGCCAGGTCCTAATATCTCGCAACATCATATTACTATTTCACAGACCGGTTGCAGCAGTGATCGTGTCTGAGCCTTTCTTCAACATCTACTGGCAGCACGTAGCCGTAGTGAAGTGGCTCTCCGACCTTTACTTTGGGGTTTACCAGTGTCATCCCTTTGTGCCTATCGTAAACACTTGATCATTTCCAGAGACTGGTGCAAGAGGTCCAAACCAGAATCCGGTAGAACCTATAGTGGCATTGAAGGGGCGGAAATGGTCCCCGACCGGACGCTTGTTTTATACGAGAATACTCGATATACGTCCATTATTTTCTGCTTCCCCTTCGTACCCATTTCTAGCCAACGGGCTCTTGTTAAGCATCAGCATCCATGTCACGAAAGCCACACCTACAGCTTCCATTTCAGTGAAAGAAAGCCTGCCCATCCTATTGTTTTGGGAGGTCTCGATCTCGATCTTTGGATCATTACAGCAAGGTGACCTCAGACGCTGCAAACGTGAAGAATGTCTTCCGCAGTCGCTAGGACTTCAAGTCTTTCATCGAAGCCAATGACATGGCGCTTGGTCAATAAGGTGGTGCAAGAGAATCATGGAGCCGCGCCTCCAGCAAAGCGAACCCTCCATCAGTTTTGGGTCGTCGAAGAACTTTGGCGCCTTCTCGCTTTTGAGACAGTTTTCGTTACGGTGAGTGTTAGCTCACATGCTACGATAAATTGTCTTCAAACCAAAGGCATCGTCTTTCCTATTGGACCCCTCTATAATGACAGCAACCAGTATGGACATTATAGTCATGGCGGATGACATGTTCAAACAGCCATGGTCAAATTTGTAGAATCACAGCGCCGTCCCTTGGATTTGTAGACATTGGACAACCGGATTCACTGCTTATTTCTTTCAGCTGACAGTATACTACCTCATCTGTCTCTTCTTGCCTACGCAAAATCAGATGATCATCAAAAGAGATCTGGGGTTTTGTGTTGGAGCAAGAGAGTGGCAATCCGTTGCATGAGGGATGTGGGCTCCAGCAGAGGAGGAGGAGGAGGAGGAGGAGAAGGAGGAGGAGGAGGAGAAGGAGGAGGAGGAGGAGAAGGAGGAGGAGGAGGAGAAGGAGGAGGAGGAGGAGAGCGGTGATCGATGATTAAGTTACGGTACATGAGAGAGTTATGAACGCGCAAACAGGACGGCTGCCCGCTGCCTAAGGTACTGCCCAGTTGAGGCAGAATTGGCGAATTTTGTGGGGTCATAAGCGACCTAGGTATCCTGGCCTACGAAGTTACGAAGGTTAGGCACCTTAGGTAGTAGGCCCTAGGTACGAGGTACAGTACTGTAGTAAGGTAGTTCTCTCGGTTCTGTCGCGTTCACGTTTGCCTAGCTGGCATGCATTTTCACCAGCATGCATTTTTGTCCAGCTTCTGACTTGCTTGCCGACGAGCTACTGTACAGTATCACCGGCAGGATGGGATGGATGTCTCCGCTCCCCTGCCCTGCCCTATGCCTGCCCTCTGCCTGCCCTGAGGGCCGCCCCTTCGCCTTCGACACAATGGAATGGAGGCCTCATGCAGCACTGCCACTCTGCCTGGTGTGCAGTGTGCAGTGCGCAGTGCGCAGCGTGTGGGGTCGGGTGCAATGTGCAGCGCATACCTAGGGTGCAGCACTACTACGCTCGTTATTCATTTGGAAGGAAGCTGGATAGATAAGGTAAGGTAAGGTAGGTAACGAAGTAAGGTAGGTACTACCTTACCTACCTAGGCTAGGTAAAGGTAACGAAGGAGAGCCCGAGTACTTGGGAGGTACAGTACCTTCGTAAATGGAAGGTAAGTTACCTTAGGCTAGGTACCTACCTACCTTACTTCGTTAAGGTAAAGAGGGGAAGGGGAGGAGTGTCATTGGTCTAGGTAAGTACGTGCAGCAGAGGCTTACACTACCTAAGGTACCTTAGGTAGGTAGGTACCTACCTACAGTACTGTACAGACTTACGAAGTTACAGTGACGGGACGGGACGGGACGGGACGGGACAGGTGACGTCGGCTGGTCGGGTCGTGTAGTCGTGTCGTCGGTGGACCGATTCCATTGCCAGACTGCGCTCGCTACTGTAAGGTTAAGTTACTCGGTGAACCCGTTTTCTCACAGCCAGCTGCGTCTGGCACTGCGACTGCCACTGCTACTGCAAGCCCCAATGCTTCCAGCCGATGCCATGCTTACCTGCCTGTCTGCTTGCCTGCTTGCCCGTGGTTTGGCAGTTTTCGCGTTTGCCTTGTGAGTCAGGCGGGTCAGCATGGTAGGCAGATGGAGAGACCGAGCGGGCGAGCAATTAAGCCAGGCAATATCACAACAGGTACATTCCAAGCCCACTTGCCCCTACTTCCTTCAGGACTACTGCTTTCATTTAAGTCCTTAGTATCTTTTTTATCCTCATACACATTGTTGTTTCCGTTTCTTTCGATCAATACCATCTTAGAATTTTCCTTATCGTTTTGTTCAACTTTTTCCTTCCTCAATCCAGAACCACTGAACCATAACATGAATCAAACTTGCAATAACCAATATCCGCCATTGCTGGGTTCAACCGGGACCGGAGTGCCGACTCCAGTGCATATGAATCCTCAGTTCGCTCTTTTGGATGTCATCATTCCTGGATTCTCTCTTTACACTTCCGCAGCATCAAAGTTCTTGAAAATCGACCTCACACTATACTTTCCCGCCATAATCTTCCTCGGTGCTATAATCTTCTGCTCTCAGTATGTCTCTGCTTGGTGCTGGAGAGTTGCGGATGAAGTAAGACAGATCCATTCCAATCCCTCCAGTATCTTGAAAGATCTTCCGTTATCGTAGCACAAGTTCCTAGACTGATACGTCGAAAAGTATTTCATGTGCACCGCCGATATCAGGATAGACGACGAGATGTACAACTTTGTGATGGCCTGGATTGCGAATCAAAAGTTCGCGAAGAACTCTCGTCGATTTGTCGCCAACACAAACTTAAATAGCAGAATGTGGTTTCTGTGGAGATCGTTCTTCGACGACGAAGACGAAGAAGAGGACGGAGTGGAATTCGATGAAAACTCTACTCCTATTCGGACAGTTGGAAAAGAAAAGAAGAAGAAGATCCAATACACTCCATCGTTTGGAGTGCACCACTTTTTCTATAAAAAGCGACTCTTCATCTTCCGTCGATCAGAGAATGTTAAGAGTGGCCCATGGGGGACCGCCAGCGAGCGAGAGGAGATATCTATCTCGTGCTTTGGAAGGAACCCCGCCACTTTGAAGGATTTGCTCGACGAATGTCGCAAAGAATTTTCGAAGAGCGACGAAAATCGAACCATCATCTACCGCGGTGGCCTTAAGAGTGGAACAGCCGAGCCTGCCTGGACGCGTTGTATTTCTCGAATATCCCGTCCATTTTCAACTGTTGTTCTAGATGAGGATGTCAAGGCTAAGCTGTTGGCGGACATGAGCGAATATCTGCACCCATATACCCGGCGGTGGTAGTGAGTATTTCCTCCCAGCTCAAGATTATTTGTCAAGAACACTGACTATCTTTAAAGCTCAAACCGAGGGATACCATACCGACGAGGTTATCTGCTCTATGGCCCCCCTGGTACAGGGAAGAGTTCTCTGAGCTTCGCCATCGCGGGTTATTTCAAGCTCAAAATCTACATTGTCAGCTTGAACTCCCCGGCCATGAATGAAGAAAACCTGAGTACACTTTTCACCGACCTCCCAAAGCAATGTGTAGTCCTGCTCGAAGACATTGACACTGCTGGCTTGACGCATGCCCGTGCCAGACCGGAGGACTCAGAAGAATCCAAGTCCCTAATCACCACTCTGCCGGGCGCAACTGCTATTATTCCTCCAAATCCAACAATAAACAACAGTGGCGGCCGAATTTCTCTTTCTGCCCTTCTCAATATTCTCGATGGCGTAGCCTCTCAAGAAGGCCGAGTCCTCATCATGACGACTAACCACAAGGACAAACTCGACGAGGCGCTCATCCGCCCTGGCCGAGTGGATATGGCTGTGGAGTTCAAGCTCTCTGATACGCAAATGATATCCACAATATTCCGCTCCATCTTCGCAACCCTCGAAGGCGACGTTCCCGCTTCCGCCTCTCGAAGCAACTTGTCCATCCGATCCCCAACAAGATCGGAATCCAAGCTCACTGCCTCGGCCGTGAAACAACTCGCCGAAGAGAAGGTCACTCAAGCAGCCGCCGCCCTTGCAATCCAAAAAACCGAACAAGCCAGGATAGAGAGACTGGGTGAGGACTTTGCGGCTTTGATCCCAACTATGGAGTTAAGTCCGGCCGAGATACAGGGCTACCTACTCAAGCACAAGCAGGATCCACAAGAAGCGATCACAAGTGCGCCAGCATGGGTCGAGAAGACGAAAGAGGAGAAAAGGAAGAAGGCCACGGACCAGAAGAGGAGAGAGGAGCAGGAGAAGGCTGAAGCCGAAAGGAAGGATTGGTGGGTGAACATGTGGGGTTGAAATTTGGGCGCATAAGATGGATTTACCACCAGGCGACGTTGCAATACACACGTTTTGGGCTATTAAGGGATTTGGGGAGAGTGGGAGGGGGGGAGAGATATACTCACCGCCGAAGTCGATTGATGGTTGCAGGTTCTCACTTGGTTTTGTGTCAGGAGAGACATGGTGTCATACATGGACCACCTTGGAAATTTGCGCAATAGAGAAAGAGCTCTTACACTTGTGGGATAGATAAAGTAACAATACACGATCTTTAATATGTCTCGATGTAGCTCCAAGTGAGCTGTTATTTGAAAAGAATCAATTGATTATAATTTTACAGCCACGGGACTGCGTAGGCCTAATCCATTTCATCACGAGCCAGGAGCAATGGAATGAAATGGAAGTCTTGAGCCATGTTGTGAGAAGATGCGCTCATAGCTAAACACGTGCTTCTATTCAAATCAAGCGAGCAGGCAAGTAGCTGCTCCTATATCCAGCTCCTTATTGTTTGATGTCCGTATCTTTGAGAAGGATGCGGAGCTTCTAAGTAGGGCAGAATATGTGATCCTTGTCAGGAAACGTTGATATCTTACCTCTTTTGGTTAAGTTAGGTCCATGCTAGCCGAGCACACTACTGTACAGTGATCGTCTGTAAATAATGTCCCACGCAAGTCGCAGGCGATCTTAAAAGAGTGATGTTGGATTTGCCATGTAGATTTACACCAAAGACCCCGTTTTGATGCCCCTGGCTTCTTGGCTCCCTGGCTCCCATGCATTTCACCCCAGGATTGGATCTTGTGGTCAGCAACCGGGCCACGACAAAGGACGCAGCTGCTGGGACCTGAAATCCCATTATGCATGGGTCATAGTGGACGGATGGCTTACATTTCAGATCCGAACAGCAGATCTTTGGTCCAAGACTATTAGAAATATGGGGATTGTAAGTATAGACTTAGTACTATAGGCTGTACTACTAAGTACGCTACCCCTTTATATAGGAGATTCTCTCTCTCTATAGTAGCTCCTTATATAACTATAATTCTAATATAATAGTAATTTAAATCGATTATAAAAGACCTTAAAACTTTATTTTTATTAAGATCTTTACTTTATTAACTCTTAATATATCTACTATTACACTATAATATTATCCTAATTAAAAGTATTAATTCCTATTATTACTAGAGTCTTAAAAAGTAAAACTCTACTAGAGTTTAATAACTTCTTTAAATAAAAGCTTAAGACTAAATAAAAGCTAGCTAAAGCTAGAGTTCTTTATTATATTCTTATTATAGTTAATATACTAAATAGTATTAATTAGTAGAATACTTATATTAAGGAAAAGAAAGAAGCTTTTAAAATAGTTATTAACTTAATCTCTAAGCTTCTCTTTCTTAAGTATAGAGATATTATTAAATTAAATAATACTAAGCCTCTCTAAAAAGCTATTTATACTAATAAAAGTAAAGTAGTTTAAAGGAGTCTTACTTTTACTAATATAAGAGACGATTTCTTTAAGATAAAGTTTATTCTAAAGGAGGAAATACTTTAAAACTATATTATAAGGCTCTTACTCTTTAAAGTAAAGCTTAGTAGCAATAGTAAACCTCTTACTAATAAAGATATATATCTTAAGTTATTATAGTTATTATTAATATCTAAAGCTTAGATTACTATAGCACTTACTTTAAAATTATAAGACTTAGATCTCGGAGATATTATATAAAAGCTTAATAAATATTAAATTTAATAGAGGAAATAGCTTTAACTTATAGCTATTAGTAATACTATAAACTACACGAATAGAGGCTATAATAAAAGGAGAGGTAGTAAAGATAGTAAAACCCGGAAGAATAGAGGCTACTTATATAAGAAAGGTAATATATATAAGAATAAGAGAGGATAAAAAAGACGGAATAATAATAGTAAAAGTAATAGCTAATAAAGATATAGAGAGCGCGTAGAAAAGAAAGGAAATCGCTTTAAATTAAGCTGAAATTAGTATACCTAGTATAAAGGCTATAGTTACTAATATATAGACTATATAAAAGCTAAGAATACTTATATAAGAGATAGTACTAATAAAGTAAAGGAAATTAAAGATAATAATACTTATCTTATATTTCTTTTAGAAGAGAGTTACTATATTAAAGATATAAAATATACTTTATTAATAATCTCTATTATAGAATCTATCTAAAAAATTGACTCTAGTACTACTCGCTACTTTAGTAAGGTTTTAGTTAAGTTTAAGTAACTTAAGTGCTAATATAATACTAAATATATTAAAATAGTAACTAATTCATATTTAATAGCTCAAGGTTATAAAGATATTACTATTAATAAGTTAACTCTTAAAGATATATAATATATACCTAACTTTAGAGCTATAAAGCTAGTATTAATATATTAACTCTTAGATAAAGGAATTAATACGAAACTAACTAAGATATTAGTAAATAGATACTAAAATAGTAAACTAGCTTTTATAAGTATAAGAAATAAAAGTTTATATATTCTAGATATAAATCCTTAATATTAAATTATATATAATATAATTCTGTTAGACTTAAAGCTACTAAAAAAACGAATAGAGAGTTAGCTTAGTATAGAGGAAATAAAAGTAGATCTACTTTATAAGTGTTTAGGCTATATAAATTATACCTATTTAAAGAAACTAGTTACTTATAGTAGTTACGAAATAAGACTGATTTCTATTCTAAAGCTAAAGAGAGAGAGGTGTTATAAGGCTTACCTTATAAGTCGTGTAAAAGAGTACTTTAATAAGAAGTCAGATAGTAAAACTAATATACTTATTTATTAACTATATACTAATATCTCTAGTATCTTACTACGCTTAATTTATAGTTATAAATACTTCCTTTTAGTAATAGATAATACTATAAAAATATATTAAGTAGATCTCTTAGTTAATAAGTCTATATTAACTATTTAACTAGTTATTTAGAAATTAAAGCTATAGCTTAAAACTTAAGGGTAAAGTAAATACCGTATAATTATCTACTAAAGGACTAATAATAGTAAGGGAGAGTTCAGTCCTAAGTTTATTAACTAATTATAAGAGAGTGGAATCGTTTCTAAACCCTCCTCTTTATATAAATACTCTTTAAATAAAGTTATAAAGCGATAGATATATAAACTAGCTAAGATTATACGCTTAATCCTCTATAATATAAAAATACCTAAGAATATATAGTACTACGCTATTAAGTAAGTAGCTAAGCTAAAGAATAGACGCCTAACTACTGCTTTATTATATAAAATAGTCACTAGACTTACTCTAATTAAAGTATATAAAAGATAGCCTATAGACCTCTTAAAAATAAGAGTATTTAGCTTTATAGCGTACCCTTTATATCTACTGAAGTTATATTAAGGTAAAATAAAGTAAAAGATAATTCTAAGGTATTTCGTATTAGTAAATATAGCTAATACCTTAACTTATAAGCTCCTAAATATAGAGACTTTTAAGGAACTAGAAATAGCTAACTATAGCTTTAATAAGTATATAATATACTTTATATATACTAGTAGTAAGTAAATTATACTAAAAGATAATAATAAAGTAGTAAAAAGACCTCTGCTACTAGCTACTAGTCTAGTACTTATTAAGAGGCTAGCTAAAAGTACTAAAAGCTTAGAAAAACCTCTAGGAATAAAGCTAGCTATAAAAGCTAAAAGACCTCTAAGAGAGAGGCTAGCTATAGAAGCTAAAAATCCTTTAAGGGGAAAGTTAGCTATAGAAAATATAGTAAAAGATACTAAGGGAGCGTCTAATTAATATCTTCCTAAATAAACTTAACTAGCGAATATATCTAATAATATTCTACTATTAAGATATAATAAGAAATAGCGTAGAAAATAATACTTCAAGTAAGCTACTTAAGTAATAGCTATAAAGCTATACTCTTAGTAAATCCTTAATAAGGCATTAACTTATTAAATAACGCTAATTACACTTAAAGAAGAACCTATATTACCTCTTAAGGTTATAACTATTATAAAGGCTCTAAGAGAGAATCTAGTAGAATAAAAAGTCGCTATTCTTAAGGAATTACAAGCTATATAAAGCGCTAGAACCTATAGAGTATACTTTAGTAAGCCTCCTTCTAGCTTAAAACTAATATCTTTAAGACTAGTTCTATGTAATAAAATTAACTCTAATAGCTCTATAGTATAGCGAAAAGCTAAGCTTATAGTAAGAGGCTTTAAGTAAAAATATAACCTTAACTATTTCGATACCTTTATAAGCGTTATATACTATTCTACTTTATAAGTATTACTTGCTATTATAGCTAAAAGAGACCTAGAGATTAAGTATATTAATATTAATATTACCTTTCTAAATATATACTTAAAAGAAGATATATATATAATAATTCCGAATAATAAGATATCGGAGATATAGAATAAGCTTTACCTAGAGCTAAATAAAAGGAAAGATATATATCTAAAGCTCCTACGCTCTCTTTATAGCTTAAAATAAGTACCTAAGGAATAGTAGCTCCTTATTAAAGATAAGATAAAAAAGCTAAGTCTAGAAGTATTAAAGACTAATCTTAATTTCTTTATCTTTAAGAATAAAGCGTATATATTAGTCTTCGTTGATAATATATTAATTATAAATAACTTTACTAACTATAAATATCTTAAGAAATAGCTTTTAAAAACTTAGAAAAGTAAAGACCTTAAAGCTATTAATACGTTTATAAGCTTATAAGTTAAGAGAGATAAAAAGAATAAGACTCTATAGATTTATTAAATAGCTTATACTTAAAAGCTACTAGAAGAGTTTAGAATAGCTATAGCTAAAGGTAATACCTTACTTATAGCTACTAAAATAGTATTAAAGGAGTTAGCTAAAGATAAAAGTATTATACTAGCCTCCCCTAAAGAGATCTTACTATTTTAGTAGATTATCAGCTCTCTAATATACCTCTTGAACTTTATATAACCTAATATTACTTATATAATAAGCTAGCTAGTATAATATATATTAAATCCCCTTAAATCTTACTTCTAAGATACGAAACCTCTCTTCTAATATTTATAACGTATAGAAAGTAATAGAATAACGTTTAGAATAAGAATAAAATACAGAAGGAAGCTAGATAATAATATATTTGATATTTAGACTAACACTACGTAAGAGATAGAATATAATAGGAAATCGTTCTAAGGATAAATAGTAAGGTTCTATAAGAGTCTAATCTCTTAAGCTACTAATAAGTAAAAGTCTATAGCTCTCTTTAGCTTAGATTCTAAGATAATAGCTACTATTAATAGCTTTAAAGAAATAGCTTAGTTACTTAAGCTATAAAAAGACCTTAATATAAAGCTATCCTGAATTCCTATACTATATCTTAATAATACTAAAGCTAAATCTCTCTTAAAAAAATAGAAATTCTATCTAAAAGTAAAGTATATTAATATCTACTAGTTCTATATTCGAGATAATATAGTTTTATATAATAAGTTAATAGTAAAATACGTTCTAAGTAATAATAATATAGTAAATACTTTTATAAAAGCTTTACCTTTAGAATTATTTAAATAATATAAGATATATATAAGGTTACTTAGTAATAACTGATTCTCTAATAATAACTCTAAGATTAATAATAATTAGCTAATTAATAGTAGACTTATATAAATTAAGGCTATTTCTAGTAGTAGAACTTATAAAAATAAAATATTCTTTATAGAAAATCAGTCCTTTAATAAATACTTTCTTTAATAATAATATATAACTATAAATTAAGTAAAGTAATAATATATAACTACTATACTTAATAGTTAAGATAAATCTTATTCTATAGTTAAAAGAAAAAAGAAAGGAAATAAAACTAAAAGAGAATAACTTTTATATAATTTAAAAGCTAAAGAGAAAGCTAGTAAGAAATAAATCTTAGTAGCTATAAAAGGAAAGTACGAGGTAGCTATAAATAAGGATAAATAAGAGTAGTAAAAGTAAGAGATTATTAATAAGAGAGTAATTTAGGTATACTCTTATACTATTTTATATATCTTAATACTATAAAGTTACTAAACTTCTAAGAAAATAAGAGATATAAGTACTATATATACGCTAGTATATTATAAGAGTTAATAAGGTATAATCGAGGCTCCTTATATAATATAAGTTATTAGTAATACTTTAGTAATACTTTAGCGTCACTTTAGGAATATTTAGTGTTATACTACTTTAAAAGGCTCTATTTACTATAGATATAGAGAATAAGAGAGCTATTAGAAATATAAGGATTATAGGCGTAGACTCAGTACTATAAGCCGTACTACTAAGTACGCTACCCCTTTATATAAGAGATTCTCTCTCTCTGTAGTAGCTCCTTATGCAACTGCAATTCTGACAGAGGGCGAGGGCGACTGGTCTGGACCACCAGGACCTCGAAAAGACCGGTCACGGGGCTGTGATCTAGACCTCCTGGTAAGGTACCTACCTACCTAGGTACCTTAGGTAAGGTATTTATTTGTATTTATTCACCACTCACACATTGTGATCACTTCCTGAAACCTACAAGAGCTCATCTTCCCCAGAGCCGACATGGATTTGCTCGAGCTTGTCGAGCAGAAGCAGTCCTGTCCTATGCGACTATCATCTTACCTGCCTGTAGGCTCCTTGCTTGGGAAGGAAACACACTGACTCTTCGCCAGACGCATCTCAATCCCAATACATACATTGCCCGCGGGCTTTTTATCGACGAGCGAAGATTGCCCCATGGAACACAAGTTCTCTGGAGAAGATGCGTGGAAAACACGTTTCTCTGTCTCTCGCCGGCGGTGGCTTCCATAGGGCCCTACCATCTCTGTTACCTTGACAGGCCCTCCATCGCACCCAAGTCCATTGAGTTCGACGCGATGATTGTCCCTGGCATTCTTCGACCACATCCTGTTTGACACTTAGCCGCTGGTATTTAGTATGTTTTCCACGACTGTGCACATCCCCTCTCCTTGTTGAGATACTCGGACCGTCGTGTTTCCTAACCTTCCGGAGACAAAAGCACCGATCCCGACATCCCCAAACGCTCATCAGATTCATAGGATAGAGCAAGGTCTATGTCGTACTTTAAGACCTGGTATTGCGGCTTAGGAACTGCAAGTCTCCGGGAATGTTGGTCCAGGGTGTTGCTCTCTTCGGCAAGAATCATGTCGCGCGAATCGTAAAGGGTCACAAGCACTGACAAATTCCGAGCAGTATTGTCAAACTGTCTCATCGTTGCCCAAAGTTGGTATTCGGCTTTCCCATCCGTCAGATGGATAATTCCCGTCGACAAGACTGCGATTAAATAAACGACTCTGGTCCCGAAGTTTCCTCCACACCATTGTCATGCTTGGAAATGGTTCCTAACAGTATGCTTGTACCTTGGTATCACGTTCGGCTTTTCCGTCACATACGAAGCAAACTGCAGATAATATGTCTATTCTAGATCAGCACCTGTCCATTACGGTCGCAGTCATGACATAGGAAAATATTGACAAAGATGACTGTATCAACATCAAAACAAGCGACAAAGAGTCCATTCAATCAGTTCTTCCTAAGAACTCGTGGTATTCTACTATCGTTTGAGCTGTGAACGTGTCAAAGAAATAAGGTCAGGCGATAGATCAAGATACGTTCTTACCACAACCCGAAATAAACAGTGGCGAGGGTGGAGGGAGAAGAAAGATGCCACCAATGCTGAGTGGGACTGTCGCAGTTAACAACTCTACACCTAGCAGACTCAAGAAGCCGGCACTTTTCCATTATCGTGTCAAGCGTTGGGCCATGGCGACAAAGCTGGCCATGCTCGACTTGAGGACTTGGCCATCGCACGATCTAACACGTCTTGCAGTCCTGACCAAGGTAGTCAGTCGGCTTTGGTTCCTCATAACTACTGTAATGGCATCTTCCATCCCTAACCAGGTCTCAAAGCTCCGGAGCACACCCACGGAGCGCTTTCAGATCTCGTGTTAAGACCCGCCAACCGGTCATCCGGGACAGCCTCCAGGGATACGGACAGCAACGACTATCAACCACTAGGACCATGCATATTTATCGTTCGAAATCAGGCATCTCCTCGGAGGTCCTCAAGGGTGAGCTACTACCCTGGAGCTCTAGGTCCGTAATGTATGGGGCATGGGGGTTCGAGATCACGAGAAAAAGCAACCACCTACCGTCACCACATTGGTTTTACTTGAGCGCCACATGAAGCAAACCAAACTGTCGGGGTTTGAATTCCAAATACACTCACCCTCGGCATTTGACCATCAAGTCCCTTGACCTGGCACAATCCTTGGGATTTGACATGATGGCTAAAGCCGCATCTAGGCCGAGATATGGGAACGGGTCCCGACATGTCACATCGTCCGATCCGATCGACAAACTCCCGGGGACTGTGTCAAGCATCGCGACTTCAATGGCCTCGCCCTTCTGACTCTTCTCGAAGTCGCGTTTCTCTTCGCTTATTCTACCGCCCGTCGAGGACGTCAGCGGCTTTCTCTCTTGTAACGGCTGGTTCTAGATCGTGCTCCAAAGGGTGTTTTGTGCGACTCGAATCATCATCCTTCGCATGCCTTGTGTTACGCCATCAAACACACACTTTCCGGTAGCGAAGTCCCCAAAATGCCTTGAAAAGCCCTGCGTCTCTTAGTGTACCTGATCGTGAAGCGGAAGACCCTGAAAGGCACGAAACTCGTTCTAGATCCAGCAAAAATGCAGCTTCGGCATGGTATTGACTGGTGTGGATGAGATAGCGACGTCACCATGCGCCTCTGCAACGGCTGCCAATCTGGTCACCGCATTTTTGACATTGCCGAAGAAGCTTACTGGGAAGCGTACAGCATCTTGATGCCAGAAAGACCAATCTAGGCCCCTCTTTGTAACTTCAAGGAGAGTATCGACTGTTCGAGGCCACCTCCAGGGAAGACAAAAAAGCATGCGGTGGCGAGAGAAGACCTGTACGACGTGAGATCGGATCTTGCAACAACACCACGGTGAGATAATGGAAACACAACAGACGAACCCTGGGAATTGTCCAAAATTGCGAAGCCTGCGAACCTTGAATGCAGAGGTGCGATATGCTTGTGGGGTCAAGTCTGGCCCGAACACATGTTTCTGCTTTTTGCTTTTGAATGCTAAGCTGTTGAACATCGCAAAGGGCTAGAAGCGCCGAAGCAACAGCCATGGCTTTGAACACCTCTGTTCGATCAGCCTCCTCTGTGAGGATGTATCCTGCGGGTGGGAAACGAAGTTTCGATCAATAATTCGACATGGCATCAATTTCACATAAGCCAGTTGGCGGTGAGAATGCAAAGTGCAAAGTTTCTACTGCTGCAGTGGCATTTGGGGCTGCTAGTCATCCTATCTTGGCAGGGACTCTTTTCAGCCCTTCAAAAATGACAAGCTCGCGGTATGATCAGAAATGGTCATTTCTCCTCCAACATGATCTAGACTTGCGTCCAGAAACTTCAACTTTGATTCTGATTGTTCATCAGTTTCCTTGCCATAGAATACTTCTTCATATGTTCTCAGATAGCCTGGAGCTGTTTCATTCATCAAGTTTCGCGAATTATCGAGGAATTGCCCGTAAACTTTAGATTCGGGAAGAGATGTGCCGGTCGTGTCATCCAGCGATGAACAGCAGAACTTGCTGGCATGGAATTAGCTGTGATCAGCAGTCCAAATTTTCATTGATGAGGCGGAAAGATCTCTTTCCGCTCCTAGAGCTGCTTCTTGCCACTAGCTAGCCTCAGCAAATACTCCATTGGAATACATAGATGCTCTTTTGTGCTAAAAAGCAATTTGGTAATAAGTGATAACACATGTATTTCTGAGATCGGAAGTATCTCTCAACAGAATCTGATCTCAACACATCCGGCTCTCATTCAACTTCAGATTTCGGCTTTGTTTGGTTCTACAGAGTAGTAGAAACTACGAGGAGTCACGAAGCGACCACTGGTGTGGAGCCCCCACCAAATTCCGTTGTTCTCGGAAATCTCATAAAAATAAGGAAATGCAGGAACTTCTCTGCATGTCATGGTTCAAGAGTTAAAATATTGTTTTGGGAAGATTTTGATTCAGTAATCTTTGGTATCAATATAGTCAGTCTTACTTAAAGGCAGAGAGACGTGACTTCCGCTGAGCAATACACAGGCAGCTCCAAATACGCTCTCGCGTCGGATGTGAAAGATTCCTTTCCTCGCTCTCTGGAGCGTCCATGATGAAGCCACTGCATGCGGCTCTCCTTTCGCCATCATTCTTGAAAAATTCGATCGGCGACCAGCCTGTCATTCCCAAGTCCGTGGAAATCAGGTTTGGAATGCAGCAGGGAAGCAATATCAGCTCTAAAGTGAACCAAAGAAAACACTACGATACAACATATTATCACTAATCAAACTTCTGCAAGTGATTGATTGCCAGAAGTGACTCACGTATCAACCCTCGAGTTGATCACTGTAACACTGATTCCCGCTACTGGTATCTGCCGTACCTTGAGCAGCCCCTATGCTATTTGTACTGTCTCGAGCAATGATCTGCGCCGAAATGAGACAATATTATCTTTGCCAAAGCTCAGTGGATGATGGCAGAGTTGCACTTTGGTATTTCTATTTAATCGGCGTCGCCAGGAACGTCGCCACCGACTCTCGCACTCATCTGAAAAGCACCCCACGGGATCTAGTAGGACGAGCAAGAGTACTGAGTGCGGCCGGGATCGGTCACATCCAGGAGCCATCAACGATCTTCCACCTAGAGCCAGCGATCTTTGAAAATTAAACAAACGGGTACAAATTTCAGACCTCATGCAAGAATCGCAACATTCTCTGCTTTTATTGTTTCTGTAACAGGTGATGATACAAGTCAGTGGAATCACCCCTAATTCTTCCATGAGCCCAGTACTCGGCCTTGTGGCCTCTCACGTATGAAGTGATATTGACTGCCGCGGCAGTAACGTTTTTAGCGAACAGACGAGCCTGTAGATTACACCACTGCCAATTTCCATCTGCTGCTGATTCATAACCGGGTTTTCTCAGGATCAGCGTTGCCCAATCTGTTCAAGATCGTGTCCCAATGCATACGCAATTTATCAGCTCCGCATGTCCGTCTACAGTGACGAATTCAAACTTTGATCTAATGCTGTTCTATCACAAAAAGTCCACTCTGTCCTAAGCACTGACTAGGGCAACGGCTGTTGGATTGGAGGTCTGATCCGACAACTGAACGGGAAGCTTTCGTTGACGACAACAGAAAACTAGTATACCTTCCTCAACACCGGTGTAGGGGACTTAGTCCATTCCTGTCTCATCAAGTTTTCAGATCCGAGTCCGCCATGCATAAGGGTGAGATTCTTGTATTGCTTCGACGGGAAATTTTGAAGCTCGATGTCTTCGGATGTAGAGAAAAGCCATGTAAGCAAGGATGACCAGGAGGCAGAGACCCATTGTTGAGAAAAGTATGATGAAGAGCAGCGGCTGCATGATAGCTGGAGCCATGGATCGTCCTTGCTACGAAGAGAGATTTTCTCTGGAAGACCTGACCTCTATTCGTCAGGGAGTTTCAGTCTCATTCTCCAATACGAAGTGCATACCTGTGAGGCGCAACCCGTGTGATGGCCGCAACCTGCAGTGCCTACACAGAACGTCGTGCCACAGACTGTACGCGCATCCGATAAGCCACGCTGGAATGCCTTGGGGTGAACAGAGTTGATGTCGAGGTTGTTTGCTAGTCTCTGTGTAACAAGAGTACCAGAAATGTTCAGGAGCGGCATGAACGAGTTTAAGAGGAATCGGGATAACCCTAGATGTTGAATCAAGGAAATATGGTTTATCGCATTCTAGAAATGCAGAAGATTTGCGATTTCAGTTTCCGAGAGCAGGAAATATCCTTCGGCCATCCATTCATCTGTGGACGAAGCAGGCAGGTGCGAACGACTTGCAGCTGAAACAAATTATCTCACACTCACATGCAGCATCGCAGTGGCATATTGGGATTTTTGAAGAGTCCCGTACAATTTGAATTTTCGAGATCTTTTTGTTGACATATGGCTTGTTGTAGTAATATTGTCGCTTGTAGACAGGGACTGGGCACGTGACGTCACAGTGAGCGTTGTGAATGAGCCAGGCAAAATGTACCTTAGTCTGCCAAAGGTCTTCTTGGCAATGACGGCCACAGAGAGAGGAGGAGAGTATTGTGTAGCCGCATTGTATATGCTTTTTACAATACTTCCTTGTTTCGAGTTCTTAGTTGGAGCATGTCCTACTCTCGCAAAGCGACCTTAATTTAGTGAGCCTCTCCGTTGCTGTGAACCGCCGGCTAACCCACAGATTCCTGCATACCTAGCTTTAAACGGAGATGTCTCATGCCTCCTGATCTACTACGCGCGTAGGATGGCAAGTGGCGCAGTTGTCTCTCGTCGAGTGTACAGTTGCTATGAGATTTGTCAGTGAAGAATAAATTGGAAGCCTTGTGCAGTACGCCCTCAAGAAGGAACTGCGCTAGCCCTCTTCAGGCAGCTTTCTCAACCCGCACTATATCTTACTTGTTCGGCCAGGACACAGGAAATGGCGCTTCGCCCAAAGATCTCTCGGATACTTTGAGACCGGAGTGAAGGTTAAATCGGCAGGGGTGAAATGTTTTGCATTGTCTCCTAGCCTCCAACACTTGGCAATCCTGGGCGGCGAAAATGACCGCAAACACTGCTCCACCCCCATATCTTGCCCAATTGAAGCAGCCGGGGTTTTGGGGACTTTTGACAGGACGTGCCCTGACGTCTCACCCGCCGAGACCGAGAGACTGGGTTCCTTGTTGACGGATCTGTGGACTGGAATCGTACCATACTCCATACATCCATACCCGAAGCCAGGGCAAGTCGAAGGCTACGACTCAAAGTCTACGAGCCACGCGAGTATTGCACGTACTATCTTCGCAAGCAGCGCTCAAAGTCTGCTTTGGACCATTTGAAGTAAATTTGTATGGAAACGAAGGCTAGTCTTTCAAGAGGAACAGTCTCATTCTCAAGTGCCGTTCCTTGAGTGGGGGCTCCCTTGCAGCCTGTCGTACCAAAGGCGCTACTCTGCATCATTCAGCTGTCATCAGCTAGGTCATTGAAGCTACTGATAGCCCCACGCATCATTGTACAGGAGGCTCCGAAGCCCAGTGCCATATGTTGAGGGGAGCAATAATTCTTCTCAATTGTCATGGACCATCGCAACAGGGATGAGATGTATTCCGCTCCCCTCACGGCTGATACCCTGGAATCTGCTACTTTTTTTCCCCCGGGACTTGTCTGTTCACCAGTCGGATGTCTTTCCTACCTATGACAAACAAGATAATTGCCAAAGAAAAGGAAGTATATGTGCTGCTGAGAGCTCTGCAGCCAGAGAGCTTGATCGACACTGACATTTCTTGGTGAGGCTCAAAATGCACCAGAACTCACATGCTCTGAAGTTGTGGTCCGTCTGACAACAGAAGCAAATTACGAAGAGGCCTTGTCTAACCTGTTCGCTGTGTATGCTTGAGAGTTCCAAGTGCGATCTGTTCCACCCAGGAGCAAGATGATAAATAAGACGGCAGGCGCTGTCACTTAGATGACCGGCCAGCTCCTCGTTACTCAACTTCCAGCTTCCTCCGCCTTCGAGTGTATATCGCAACCTACAGCAACTTCCCTTAGGTTGCTACTGGGTACAACTCATATACAGGCCATTGCCGTTCCAAAGTTCGGTACGCTAGACCTTCTTATTAAAGCTGGACTATCTTATGTTCTTCTGACTCCATCACCCCTAGAGCAAAGTTCTTGATGCTTACTGGCAGCTCAAGCAGATCAGTACTTCGCTGGCTCGATCTGGATATCGTAAGTTGCAATTTACTATGGTTTCGTGACTGTGGGAGGAACTAATGCTCCGCAGAGGTGCTTTTAGGCAACGAAGGATATCCTCGTAGAGACAGAATGCTCGGACTGGCAGTTCAACCCCCACCACAAACACGGCCTGGAGTCACTCTGTATCCACCGGTAGCAGCTCGTATTAGCAGCGAAACCAGTGTATACGAGGAGCTCTCCCACATCTGGGCCGTTGCCACACTCCTCCGGACCTCAGGGGAGGTTCTTGACGATCAACTTGGCGGTAGAGTGGCAGACTCTGCCCACCCCTTGCCTGAAAGTACACATTCCAGCTCGTCAAGCGGAAATGCTCAGGCTGACAGGGCATACTTTTACTTCCCTGACCTTGTCATCAACGAGCCAGGTCGCTATCGCGTCAGAGTGAGCTTGATGCAGATGGACTACTCCTGTGATGAAGCACCAGAAGGCGTCGCCAGGGTCCGCGAATATGTCGACAGTCGATCTATCACTGTTGAAGAGTGGTCGGATACATCCTCCCGCCCAAGTAAGTATATCTGAGATTATCCCTGGAGCTTGCTAACTCGAGTAGACTCACGCGAGCGTGCCTTCTTGCGCGTGTTGAAAAATGATGGCCAAGCAATTCCGTCAGCACCATAAATGGGCATCACTCCTCCGCTTTCGCCTTGCAACACCGAGCTGCAGACCTGTGCTAGTCCGTATGGTCCTTTAGTGTTATTTTCTTCTTCTTCTAACAGTTGACGATTTTGGGTGTTTCGATTTGGTTTCCTGGCAAATGTTCTCTGGAGCCTGGGGTGATTGGAATAGGAGAACTGGGACGGTCATCATCCTGCAAGAGCTTTGGGACTTCGCTAGAGGCGAATAATGGGAACACATTCAAGCAAGCATGTTGAACGGATAGGAAAATTCGAATCGTAACACCTTTACAAATAGCAACAGTTCAAAAGAAGCTCCAGGCGCGGTAATTGATATGCAGTACAGTGTGTCTGTAAAAGCATAGAAGAATATAACTTCATGAAAAACAAACTTATCGTCCCTGAGCGTTTTGTAGGTGCCACCTACTGCATCGTCAAAGATTGGGAGCAGTCTTAGGAGCCGACAAACAGTAATCGAACCTAGACGGGAGAATGGTGAGAGTTGGAGCTGTGGAGAGGATTTACCTAGGTACCCAGGTAAGTCAAAATGTCATAGCCGCGGGCACGTGACACTACAACCACATGCTAAGGTAGGTATTCCTGCGCGAATTGGCGGCAGAATTCCGATGACTCCTCAGTGTCTTCCCCTCCAACCCCGCTACCCACAAAATAGATTTTATGAATACTTCCTTCTCCTGTCTCCCACGAATACAACGCCTGTACCGCACACCAGCTCTATCTCGATATAGAGCCGTCTTCCTGCCAGCCACTTTCCACGGCATTCGCGCGCTACGAACGAAGAAATACGTAATGGCGGCCGCAGCGTCTTCTCTGTCGGACCAGCTCAAGTCTTTAGACCTTGGGACTCCTTTGCCCAAGTATTCGAATTGCTACCCAGAAGTCAATCCAGTCGACATTTATCGAGCACATATCACCTCAATCCTCACGGAAGTAACTGGTGTGGAAGCTTCAATTATCTACCCAGCGCTACAATGGACCCAAACGTTAGATAAAGGTGACTTGGTTCTACCTGTGCCTGCGTTGCGAGTCAAAGGCAAGAAGCCTGCAGAGCTTGCAGCAGAGTGGGTTGAGAAGGTGGGCGTAGCTGTTGAACTAGACTGCTTGACGAATATACTGATGGCGTGCCACAGTTCCCAGAGTCCCCCCTTGTGGAGAAGCCAACTACAAATGGAACCTTTGTCCAATTCTTCTTCAAAGTCGAAAAGCTTGCGAAGATCCTCATACCCACGATCTTAAAGAACCCGAAGACATTTGGTTTGAACCCGTTCAATGGCATGAAAGACCCACAAGATCCTTCGAAGGGAAAGAAAAAGATGATTGTTGAGTTTTCCTCTCCAAACATTGCAAAGCCGTTCCATGCTGGCCATCTTCGAAGCACGATCATTGGCGGATTTTTGGCGAATCTATATCAGGGTGCGGGATGGGATGTCGTTCGCATAAACTACTTGGGAGACTGGGGTAAGCAGTATGGACTTCTGGCTCTTGCATATGAGAGGTACGGCGATGAGAAGGCGCTAGAGGTAGATCCTATCAACCACCTCTTCGAAATCTACGTCAAAATCAATAAGGACAAGGAGGACGAGAAAGCGAAGATCAAGGTGGCAGAGGAAGCTGGAGAAGACGTGACAGAACTCAAGGATAAGGAATTAGACGAACAAGCTCGCCGATACTTCAAGGCTATGACTGAGAACGACGAGAAGGCACTTGCCCTGTGGAAGCGCTTCCGCGATCTGAGCATCAAGCGATACATGCAAACATATGCTCGCTTGAACATTCATTTCGATGACTACTCAGGAGAAAGTCAGGTCAGCCAAGAACGAATGGATGCTGCTGCTAAGAAATTAGAGGAGACGGGTGTTTCAGAGGTATCAGAAGGTGCTGTTATTGTGGACTTCAGCAAGCTCGTTCCAGGAAAGCCAGGAAAGAGTCTCGAGCGCCCGATCATCAAGAAGAAGGATGGAACAGCACTGTATCTCACCCGAGATATATCTGAGATGGTCCGACGAAACGAAACCTACAAATTTGATCACATGATCTACGTGGTTGCCTCACAACAAGATCTGCACCTGAGGCAATTATTCAAGATTATCGAGTTGATGGGGTACAAAGAGCTTGCGGCCAAGGTTCAACACATTAATTTCGGTATGGTGCTGGGAATGAGCACTCGAAAGGGCACAGTAAAGTTTTTGGATGATATCCTCCGCGACGTCGCAGAGAAGATGCACGAGGTGATGCAGAAGAACCAGGCTAAGTACGAGCAAGTCGCGAACCCACTCGAGACGGCCGATATTCTCGGTATCAGCAGTGTCATGGTCCAAGATTTGAGCGGAAAGCGGTAAGTTTGAGGAGACCCTGAGATAAGAAGGTGTATTTGACTGACAGTAATTGGCAGAATCAACAACTACACATTTGACATTAATGTCATGACCTCTTTTGAAGGGGACACTGGCCCATACCTCCAGTACGCACACGCTCGTCTCTGCTCTATCACCCGCAAGGCAGCGCTTAGCACCGAAGAAATTGCCTCCGCCAACCTTGCACTTCTCACAGAGCCCCACGCACTTAATCTCATCCGTGTCATCTCGCAATACCCTGATGTGGTACAGAACACGCTCAAGACGCTGGAGCCTACCACTATCTTGACGTATTTGTTCAAGATGACACACACACTGAGCTCCAGTTATGATCATTTGAGGATCGTGGGCTCCGAGAAGGACTTGATGAAGGCTCGTATGGCGCTGTATGACTCGGCGAGGATCGTGCTGAATAATGGAATGAGAATATTGGGATTGACGCCTGTTGAGCGGTAAGCTATTCCCTTTTACCCCATTTTAGAAATAATTCTGCAAAAGGCGTCATGTCCAGATCAAACGTAAATGCATAAGGCTAACCCACGAACAGAATGTAGGAGGACGGGGCACTTCTTCTTGATAGATACCCAGGATTGAAAGGACAGTTGACGGTTGACTTGTTATTTGTCTGATTGCATCAGCATTGGCGTGACTTTTACGGTCAGGCAGGCGTTTCGCACGGCAAGCATGGTAGACTTTCAGAGAACAAAAGTTACAGGTAGATGTGAAGAACGCATCTATTGACTTCGTAATTGAACGAACTACATTTTCTATAAAAACAACTCTCTACGATGCCTGAGATGGACCATTTACGTAAGAGATTGAGGCATGGGGAACCTAAAGTCATGGCCAGTGACTGATATACCATACTTTCCCCTTGAAAGGACTCAGATGCCATACTCGTATACAAATATTGTCTAAAACATTATACTTTTGCCTGGAACGGTCTCGTCTGCTACTCTACAAGTTATTCTGGTACTCTACAAGCTATTCTACGTTGAAGCAGGGCTAACCTGTGCCAAGATCGTAATCTATCACTGTCGTCGCCCTGCGATCGCCTGAGCTCTCTGCAACATTGCAATAAAACTTCTTACATTTGGTATTTACCCTTGCGCAATCAGACATCAGTCTCCACAATCTTGACGTACCGAGATAAACAGCCGAGTGAAATATTCAGTGGGCTTTGCAGCGCTGTACTTTTAAGTCAGAGTGTTTCCTCAGTTGCTAAGGTAAAAAAGTATGGCTGGTTGAAAGTGGAGTAAATTACAGCATTTGAGTTATTAATCGCTAAACAACTGTTCGGATTCGTTGTGACTTTCACAACAATTTGAGCTAACTCGTAAACTGCATCCCAATCAAATTTCAGATAAGCGGGCATGACAAGCTACACGAGGAGATCACCATCCGACTTTCGTCAGCGCCAAATCCGGGTATCAGGTACCAGCTAACCTTTTAGTCATCGAGCTAATCACAAAATTTCAAACATTAAACCCTCCCAACGCCACCGTCAAGGTCTGCATCAGCCTCCACACCACAATCTTGAATCTCCTGCTTATCGACCCTCAAGCTCCTCCATCCACCATCCATACCTGGGCCTTTCACAAATCCAACACTCTGTTGTTGGAAATGACGTGCAGGTCTATGCGTGCATCCCGTCCTCCCGAGAAGCTGGAATGGTGAGTATTCCTTACTTTGCTCTCTCTCCCTGTCATTCACTACATCTTGTAAATCTTCCTGGCTGAAGCTTTTAAGTGACAAAGGATTGATCCCATCGATCTGTTCTGGTGTCGGTGGGAGTTTGAGTTCTCTGAGCAATTGTGTGATTTCTTCTGAATTGATGTCTGCGTTGATGCTGATGCTATCGTGTTTCCCGTCGTTTTCGGTCTGAATGGGTAAGCCTGGTTCAGCTGATGTGATAAGGGCCGAGACAGGATCACTGGACACCGTCTTTGAATAAAGTTCTGCGCCACCAGGAAGGGAGATGCTTGAGGCGTTCAGAGTCTCGCCGATATCACGTATGAGGACGTCCATGGGGCATATATAAGCGACGTGCTTCTTGGAGCTCCAAGCAAGTACATGACCACATGCTCGACCGTCCTTATTATCGACAACCCAAGCACCAGAATCACCTGGTATGCCGAGCATTTTACCAGCAACCTGGTAGCTAGATGATGGTGTTTGACGGCCGAATATCTTGACGATTACCATACCTGGGAGGATGCGGCCGCTTTGTAGGCCAGACGTGCGAGCCATACAGTGAACTTCTAGGTTACTGAGATCTTTGACTGGAGCGACTGCTCTGGGGTACTCAGTCGGTTTGCAATGACAGAAGCGGTCGCCGTTCTTGATGTGGTTCTCTATAGGGCAGCGCTCCTCGCTAAATTCGAACAGAGCCCAATCTATTTCGTGGACGGTACCATTCTCAATGCGGCGGCGGATACCGGATGAGGCGTAGACTTCGCCAAGCTGGAAGCTGTCGAGGTGATCTTCGTCGCGAGTTTCTTCGTTAGGAAAGAAGTCTTCAGAGACATCGTCGATAGCAGGTTGAGTGATGAGATATTCTTCACCACAACCTTGGGGAATTCCTTTGATGTCGCCGGGTTCCATATAATCGTCGCTGGTGGTGTCGTCGAAGTCTTCTTCTTCCATTTCATCACCGGAGTCCTGCTCGCGTTCTGAGAAATCGGATTCGTAGTCTGACAACGTGTACATGTACTCTTCGTCACCGCTATCGAAGACTGAGGACTCGGAGAGAGTAAGATCTGGTAGTTCACTGGAATAGGCACTGGATCGGTGAATCGGTGCTTGTACCTCCTCCTCGTCTTCTTCACCGTCCGAAGGATCGTCAAGCATGTGATGGACCGTCATTCCGTATGGCTTGTTATCGACCATGATAAGTCCACCAAACGAGACTGGAGGAAGATGGCGTTCTCCTACATAAGCTCCAATAGACGCGCCGTTCATCGGACGATCTTGGTGATCTCCATTTGCAGCCTTCGTATTTCCAAACTCACCAGCCATCGATCGTTTTGGCCCATGCTTACGCGAACGGACAACCTTTCCTCGGCAGACTTTCAGTCCGTATGTTGACTTGTCATATACCAAAGATTTCTTGAGAATGCTTCGCACTTTATTGACACTTGTGCAAATAACCAATATGGTAGGCTTGCTTGTCGTCGGCGACTCCCCAATGCTCTCCAAGCTGATCTCGACAGACTCAGGGTACTTTTTGTAGAAGTTGCGGAGCACATGATTTATATGCGGCATCAGCCCAGTATGCCAGAAGTCTAGCTGTTCTTGACTGATTCTGATAGATGGATATGTGCGCAGTTTCGGCTTGGGCTTTTCGACCACAGATGTAGGAACTAACGTCATTAGCTACAGCATGACTAGCCGAAATATGGAATCTACCCATCTGTAAAGGGTTCTCTGGCCAAGGTGACCTCTCATTGAAGGATGTCGATGCTTTTTCGTATGCTGACTTCTCAGAGCGGCGTGGTGGAGGTGCACTTGGAGGGCTTGAAACGAGGGTAATGGCAGGCGGCTTGCTATCATTGATCATCCTTCTTTGAGGCGTAATAGACCTGGAAGGTTTGATTTGGGCCGACAGCTCGAGCAAAGAGTCATCGCTATCTTCATTGGATTCATCTGAGCTCTCATCTATTGCACAACAAGTGTCAAGGGCTTTGGAAACTTTCCAGAGGACTTTCTGATGCATGACATCGGGTCTTGCCCTTTGAGACAGCTCATCTTGAGGAGCGCCCCAACAAGCTTGAACAGCCTTGACATAGAGGCTACCGCACCTTGCAGCAAGTTTTCGGAACGTCCCGGCTGGGTTGTCAGGGACGGCGGACACGGTGGGGAAAATTTCAGGAAGGGAAGTCCACAGGCCGATTTCCAAGAGAAGAACAGCCAATCCGTAGAGGTCCAAAGACTTACTCTCTGAGGTAAGCCGCGTGTAGCGGGTAGTTCGAGGATCAAGTGGGTGGCGATACAAGGTGGTACGTGGATCTGTCAGGGAATTGGAGCTATCCGTTGCGTTATCGGAGAAGAGGTCGCAGGAGGTGAGATATGATTGTCTCATGTTGACGTTGGTGAAATCGAAACGGCCCTTGGATTGATGCTCAAAAAATAAAACGTTGGAAGAGACAATATTCCCATGCACTACCCCTTTTGCGTGCAAATCGAAGACGGCATTGGAAATATTGTAAGCGAGCCGGTACTTGACCTCAAGGCTCGGCTCGTAGTTTCGACTGAAAAGTAGATCCGACAAGAAGCTTATAGTAGGCATCTTTGGATTCTCAATATCCACCGGTCCAAAGTTGGCTGGCAAGGCGTACAGTAGACAAAATCTGGAGTGATCCGGCTCTTCGAAATATCCAATCAGGGATAGCAGCCCTGACAGGATACGCTCCGATGAAAGATAGGCTTGAGAGAGCGCCGCAAAGAGTTTCTCAAACCGAGTCATGGATGGGGTGATGCCAGTAATGGAATATATGGGATCATAAGGCGCATATTCGAGAAGTACCGGGACAATTGGAGTTGAAGCGCCGTATTTTCGATGCTCGGGAGTGACAGTCGGACGACGCATAAAGACGATTTGTCTACGGGATTTGGCTGGTGGTAACGTACCGGACTGGATTTTTTGGAGATCTCGAGGCCAGATGAGGAACTTTGGATCTATTTGTTGAGGTGTTTGCATTCGAGTAGACTCGAACATCTTCTCCTCGGCTGCTGGGCTTTTCGCTTGGAGGGAACCAGAAGAATCTTCAGTCTTCAACGGTGGTTTGCGAGGCGATTGTCTCGTTCTGGAAAGATCATACAGAGTATCGATTGACATAGTCAAATCTCGGACCAAGTCTTGAAATCTTGACTTATCCCAGACGATCAAGGACGGTTTCCGGTCGATGGATTTCTCGGATGTGGGGCCTTTCTCATCAGACGACCTTTGCTTTGACGATTGCCATAACGGCTCGGCCTCGGCCAGAATCTCCTTGATCGTCGACATAACGCTTCCTACAAGCTCACTGAGGCCAGCCTTGTTGATAGATTCGTCAATATCAGGTGATTGCGTTGGATCCGACCATTCCAAGCCCCAGGAAACCAGGCGGTCCTTCTGTATACGCAACTTGCGGTGCAAGGACATCAGCTCAGGATCCTCTGCGCTCTGCACAGGCTCTTTGACGAAATCATACGAGCTTTTGGTATCGGTATACATCTTCGTCAGCCGCCGCTGAAAGGGCAGCGGTAAGCTAAAAAGCGACTCCATGGCGCTTTACAGTCGTCAAAAGAGGGGTTGGCGCTTGCTTGATTCCAAGATACCTACGTGTTGCGAGATGGAAACGTGGTGAGAGAAGTGGGAAAGGGCCTCATGTCAAACCGGCGAGGGGACTGCAAGCACCAAACTGAGGGGAAACGGGCTTTTGCTGAGGATGATGTGAAGTGAAATGAAGTGAAGTGATGTGATGTGATGTTGAAACGAGATGCGATGAGATGCGATTTGAGGCGATGCTGGGAATGGAGTCAGTCAAATGATGGCTGCCTTGCCCTGTTGCACCGTCCATCTTCCTGTCCTTCGATGGGATGGGATGGGATGGGTGCAAATGTTGTTGCCTTGAGGATGCGCGTTTGTCTAGGGCGATGGCGATGCGGTGCGCGGATTGGCCGAGTCTAATCTAATAGTGGGCGCTCGGCCACACCCAAATCTCGGCCCCTCGATTGTGGGGGAAAGCGAGTTGTCCGCGGCAAGCGAGTTGTCCGCGCTCACACTAAAATTGTATAGAGATTTGGACAAGTCTACTGCCAGGATATATAGAATTACTAAATATATTGAAAAAAAAATTAAGGATATATAATCTAACTACTGATTCTACTGAAATCTAACGTAATCTACGTTACCTACAACTGAATCGAGTAACGCAATTAATATTAGAGGCGACGAAGGTATATCGGTATTAGCTTTATCACTACTACTTTTAAGCTTAAGGCGTTCGAGTGAAGAAGACAGAGTAATATTATCGAATTCGCCAGCTTAATCATCATCTTCACTATCAATTTGTATAGCTATCAATAGATTCCGCTTAATTCTAAATACACGCTCTTGCTCGAGAACCTCGGAGTTAATACTCACGCCAGGAGGGGTAAATACCGTAATATCTCGAGCCTAAGCCTCTACAAAAGCAGCCTCTTCGTAAGCCAGTTTCTCGCGGAGTGGAAGAAGTCGAATCTCAAAGGCTTCGTTCTCTTCATCTGTAAGCTCCTTTTAATAGTCTTGAATAAGAGTAAGATATTAAGAAAGGACTGGTCGACTAAGGCGTTAATTATCCTCTACCAACTTCTTCCGTTCTCTCTCTGCCTTTCGGTCTGCAACACTAATATCTTGAAGCTCGTTCTTAATTCGATTACTCTCAATTCGAAGGTCGCGGCGAGCTTTCTTAACGTGAGCCTCTCTAAGCTATACCTCCTTCAATTTAATCTTCTCAAGTGCGATAGAGGCTAAAAGAGAGCCACCTTTCTATAGGCTCACTCGAGAGGTAAGCTTCTTTTTATAATATACCACTTGTTTCACTCTTACCTATAGAACCTCCATTTCATATAGACTACCACGTACTAGAAACTCTTCTTCAATTAGAGCCACTTTATCGAACCTCGCGCGAGAAGGTAATAAGAGAGCGTCACGAATCTTCAGCTAGAGAGCCTTCAATTCAGCAGAGAGATTACTATACGTTATAAGGAGCTTTTCGTAGAGAGAAGGAAGGTTGTAGCTATTCGCAAGGCGCCTATCAGACTCACCTTAATTAGCTTCGTGTAACGGTCCGGTATTTACTCGCTGTAAATACAGAAGGCTATAGTTGATCTCTAATAATCGAGAGGTAGGTGTATTACGTAGACGGGAAGATAGTTACTAAGTATTAGAATACTATTTGAAGTTGAGCACGAAGCTCTTATCTAATAGTAGATATACTAGTCTTATATAGAACCTTCGTTCTCCTTAGATCCCTTAAGATACTGGATCCTTAGATCCTTAGATCTGTTCCCTTATAAAAGGATCTAGGGATCTAGGGATCTATCACGTGACCTATCGTCTACTATAATCTAGGTAACTATTACTACTGAGCGTGAGTGTATAATAGTGCTACTCGCTATCCTATATCATTCCCTAGTCGGTACTACCCTATTAATAGCACTATTCCTTCGTTAGTACTAATGCCCCTATAGTACTACTGATAGTACTATCAGCATCTGGGTGCTAACTGTAGCGCTAAGGGATTCGTAACACTATCCCCCTCTTAGCCTAGCGTAGTCCCTACGCTTAAGTATAACCTCGAGGAACGTCGATAGTTACTAACGACTATCTTCCTTATCTATTATGTCTAGTGTCGTAAAGAAATCGAGTGTCGCCTAGATAAAGAAAAAATAGAGTATCTAGCTCGCGCTCTGTATTAAGCGTGCTACGTAACTCGTAAAGCCTTATTCCTTCTACTATAGCTTTTCCTGTACTTGCTTCTTAGATTTATCTATTTCGAAACGATACTCTGAGTATATTCGCTTAAAGCGTTGCGATTGTAATACCTTAGGGTATATTAAGAAGTTCACTCCTAAACGACTTATATGCTAGTTTAAGATAGGAAAAACCGTGACTCCGGCTCGCCCTCTAACGCCTCCCTCTAAGCCTGTTAAGGATAATCCTACTTCTTAGTTCCCTGCCTTCGAACCTAACGCCTACCTAGTGTCCTTTTTCGAGAGCCCGGTCCCTAACCTTAGGTCCCCTTCTTTCTAGGTAAACCTGGATTTCTTTAATGGAATTCCCGTAGAAGCCTAGGGCAGTGGAGATTAGATTTAGGTTCCTAAGTGTTTTCTGATTGTAGGTACCCTTTCTATTTAATTAAATATTTTGTTTTACTATAGAAATACTAATAGTCGAGGATAGCCTCTACTTCGTATTCGGCGTTCGGATTAATTAGTTGTATTTCGGTGATAGGAGCTAGCGGTGCTCCTAGCGGTACTAGTTCAAGGAGAGATATATGGAATACCGGGTGGATATTTATTATCTTTAGTAGAGCTAGTTAATAATTAACTAGTCCCTTGACTTTAGTAATCCTAAATAGTCCTAGCTTCTTATGATCTAATTTATAACTTAGTCGTTTAGTTGTGATATTCTTTCTAAGTAAGTAGACTTTATCCCCTTTCTTAAGCGTTAGTCTTATGCTACGCTTTCTATTATAGTAGATCGCAGATCTCTACGCGATAAAGAGAATATCAGCTAATAATTCTTCATAGAGCTATTTAAGCTCACCTGCCTGTAATATAGCTTCTTACGTGGTACCCTGACTAGCTATTAGTGGGTTATATACCGTGGGATTATACTTATAATTCGCGTAGAATAGTGATACTCTAATAGTCTCTTGATCCGCGCTGTTATATATAAACTAGGTAAGTGGGAGTAGTTGTACCTAGTTATCTTGCTTATAGTTTATATAATACCGAAGATAAGTCTCTATTATCTAGTTAATTCGTTCTATCTATGTATTAGTCTAAGGATAGAATACAGTTAATATTTTCTGCTTTATTCCTAAGAGCGCGATAAGAGTTTTCTAGAACTTTAAGGTAAAGAGCTTATCTTTATCTAAGATAATCTTATCTAGTATTCCGTGGCTTATGAAGATTATTCTAAGGAATACCTGCGCTATTATAAGCGTGTCCTGTGTTCTAAGTACTAGTACTATATATATGTACTTTATAAACCTATCTATTATTACATAGATCGAGTCGTATACGATTCTTATGACTAGGTCTTTTAAGGGTAGTAGCTCGACTACGAAATCTAAAGCGATTAATTTCTATAGGCGAGGTAGTGTTATTAGTGACTTTATGAGCTTATATAGAGCATAGTGTGATACCTTATTCTAGATATATGTATTATATGACACTACTATATCTTTAACTACCTTCCTTATTCCTGGGAAGTAGTATTCCCTAGATAGCTTAGATAGCGTCTTAGCTACTCCCTAGTGTTTATAAGCAGGTAGCTTATACTAGTGCGTGACGAATTTAATTCTGTCCCTAGTAGGTATATAGATTTATCCTTAGTATAGAAGCGTGCTATCTGAGGTGAAGGAGAATCCTTCGCCTAGCTGCTTCTTCTGTTCAGCTATAACTAGGTCGTTAGTATAGCCTCTCTAGATTTTCTTAGCGACCTGGCCTATTAAGGCTAGCTATTAGTGATTAACTATTAGCGAATTACTATCCTTCTGTAGTACGGTGTAGGATTCGTGAGTTTTATTTATAAGATATTCTGGTTTCTTACTTAAAGCGTCGGCCCTAGCGTTTTCTGTTCTCTTAATATAAGAAATTCGAAGTTTTATAATAGAGAGTGTTTTGTACTAATAAACCTACTGTCGGTTTAGTTCCTTAGTAGTTGTAAAGTAAATAAGATTCTTGTGGTCTATTAGGATCTGTATTTCGTGGGTGACGCCCTTGAGGTAGATCTTCTATTCGCGTATTATATCTATAATTACTAGTAACTCTTTATCGTATATATTATAGTTAAGTTCTACTAGTAATAGTTTCTGCGAATAGTAAGCGACTAGTTATTATCTTCTGTCCTCGCCTAGCTAGCTAAGTATAGCTCTAATAGCGTAGTCTAAAGAATCTGTCTCTATATGTATTTCTTTGTCAGGGGTGAAGGAAGTAAGTATTAGTTCCGTGATAAAAGCTACTTTAAGTACCTTAAACGCTTTTCGTACGCTATTAGACTAGTGGAATTCCTTGTTCTTATAAGTTAACTCTGTGAGTAGCCCGGCGATTTTCAAGTAGTCCTTAATAAATCACCTGTAGAAGTTAGTAAACCCGAGGAATAATTATACTTCCTTAATATTCATGGGCCTTATCTACTTAATAATTACTTTAATCTTTTTAGGATTTATAGCTAATCCTGCGGTAGTAACTATATAGCTTAGAAAGATAACTTTATCCACATGGAAGTTATACTTCTCTAGTTTAAGTAATAGGTAGGCGTCCTCTAGCCTCTGGAGAATAGCTATAATATCCTTTATATATTACTCCTCTGATTTAGAGTAGACTAGTATATCATCTAAATAGTATATATATGTTACGTCTAAGTAAGGCTGTAAAACATTGTTAATTAGACGCTGAAATATGGCTAGTGCGTTAGTTAAGCTAAAGGGTATAACCGTGTACTCGTAGTGACTAAAACAAGTATGAAATACTATTTTCTCTTCTTTACTCTTAGCTATCTTAATAAGATTGTATGCTTCTCTTAAGTTAAGCTAAGTAAAGATCTTAGCTCTAACGAGTCTATCTTATAGCTCCTTAGCTAATAGTAGTATATAACGATCTTTCTTTATAGTATTATTTAATTAATAGTAGTTAATATATATTTATTATTCTTTATCTTTCTTTTCTATAAATAAGATATTACTTCCTTATAGGGATTTGGACTCTTAGATAAATCCTTTCGCTAGGTTTTTATTGATATATTACTTGATTATTATTAAGTCTGTCGCTGAATATTCCCTAAGTGGTTAGAATATCGGTTTAGTACTTAGTTCTAACTTAATCCGATAATCGTAGTCCTAGTGTTTTAGTAAGGCCTTGATACCTTGTTCTTCTTTAAATAGTGCTATAAACTTCTTATATACTAATAGTATATCCTTTATTAGTAGACTCTTATCTTAGTATCTAAGCTTTTCCTTAGAGGTAGCGCTAACCTCTTAAATACTTACTGCTTCTGTTCCTGGTAGATAATAGTAGTCTTAGTAATAACTAAACTTAAGTTTTCTTATCTACTAATTAATAATAGGATTATACTTTTCTATCTATAGTAACCCTAGGATAATATCGTGTTTTCTAATCCTGATAACGTCGAATTAGATTATTTTAGAGTATCCGGCGATACTTATATAAACTAGAGCGGTCTAGACTTTAATTAGTCTATCGGAGGCGACTTTACTATCCGCTAGTATTAGATAGTATCCCTTATCCTTTACTTCGATTAATAGGTAGTGTTCGAGTATAATAGTAGGAGATATAAAGTTCCCTTATGCCTTAGAGTCTACTATTACCTAAAGCTTAACTCCCTTGATTTTAACCTCTAATGTGAGGTATTTATCTCTAATAGCGGTAAGCTGCTATATATAGAAATATTCCTAATGTATGTTATAGTTAAGGACACTTTCTTATACCCTTCGATTACTATAGCTTAGGCTAACCTTGTATATAAGCCCTATTCCGAGTTCGGTGTATATTACTAGGTTATATATCTTGTAATAGTACCAGCTGTTATTATTAACGTGGACCTATATCTTATTATATTAGTTCTTAGCTATGATTTCCTATTCCTCGCCTACCTTTAGTAGTGTGCTAGTGTTAAGAATAACAGTATTCTAGAGTAGCAAGTGCTATATAAAGGTCGTCGGTCCTTCCTAGCTGCCGGCTATTCTCTATCTAATACGCTTATAGTCCCAGTAGACTACTTCGTACTTTACCCTCTACGGTGGACCCCTTAAGCTAATAAGGCTTAGTTCTTAATAAGTAGCCCCGGTAGCTATATTAGTCTAGTAGCGAGTATTATAGCTAACCTGATATAAGCTCTCTTCTCTTTAGGTAACTTCCCAAGTTTCACTTACTCTTAGTCCTAAGAGTTTAGGTTAAGGTGGCCTTAGTTCTAGAGTCTACTTAGGTTCCTAGGCCTCCTCCTTGCTATTACTTAGTATTAGCTCTGTATTATCATCTGGCTTAGAGCTATTGTTATCTTAATATATATAGTCCTCAGGGGGCGTGCTAATAACAGTTTACTTAAGCTAATCTATAACGCTCGCGGAATCTCGCTTACTATTATTAGAATCGCCTTACTAGGTGTAGATATAATTCTCCTTAAGCTTATCTGTAGTTATATGTTAATATGTCGCGGCGAGTTATTATATTAGTTTATTATAAGAGCTACGTCCTATTACGTTAGTATATTTCTTATCTATCTACGACTTCTTTTATTGATAAGAGCTAGCTATATAACTAGGAAGGCTATACTCGAAGTATAGCTTCTTTTCTTATCGCTCGCTTATAACTTTCTTAGATAGCCTGCTATTACGTGGCTTTCTTTAATAACTTAGCTTCCGGAATGTTATATTAAGTTCTATTTCCTGAGGGTAGAATAGTTTCTTATTATTACTCTCTCTTCCTTAGTGTATATATATTCCGGAGTAGTATTAGCCTTTCTTCTTAAGTGCCCTCTTATAGTTTCAGTTATTAATCTTAATAGCTATTTCGATAAGTTCTTATAAGTCAGTAAGCGCGTCTAATCTTATTATCTTATCTTTTACTTTATCTTTTAATCTTTTATAGTACTATACCTGAAGGGCGTTATTATTCTAGCTAGTCTAATTCGCGAATTACTAGAAGGTAGTAGTATACATGATTACTAACCTAACTTACTTTAGGTTCTAGATATTCTGTTTAGTAGTATAGTTCTAGTTAATATCGCTGAAGATACGGTTAATCTTATACTTAAAACTCTTAAAGGTTATAAAGATCTTCTAGGATTCCTTAGTTATTACTATAGAGACTCTCTTATCCTTAGTCCGGTTCTAAATATAGTCTGAGAGGAAGGTCTTGATCTAGTTAAAGATAGATCCCCGGAGGAAGGACGAAGCTTAAAGGACTTTATTAGTCTTTATAGTGAACTAGTAACTATTAAAGCTTATATAGAGCTTAACTTACGTGAGGTATACTTTAAGCTTAGATTAGTCTCTATTATAGAGATCCGGGGCGGCGATCTTAGGTATATTCTTTAAGTTAAAGACCTTAGCGGGAGCTAAGTAGTCGTTCGATGATCTTTTAATAGAGGATATATTATCTTCGTGAGTTAGTACCTCTAACGAGAAGGTGCTTAAAGTATAATAGTCCGGTATTTACTCGCTATAAATATAGAAGGCTATAGTTGATCTCTGATAATTAAGAGGTAGGTGTATCATATAGACAGGAAGATAGTTACTAAGTATTAGAATACTATTTGAAGTTAAGTACGAAGCTCCTATCTAATAGCAGATATACTAGTCTTATATAGAACCTTCGTTCTCCTTAGATCCCTTAAGATACTGGATCCTTAGATCCTTAGATCTGTTCCCTTATAAAGGGATCTAGGGATCTAGGGATCTATTACGTGACTTATCGTCTACTGTGATCTAGGTAACTATTACTACTAAGTGTGAGTGTATAATAGTGCTACTCGCTATCCTATATTATTCCTTAGTCGGTACTACCCTATTAATAGCACTGTTCCTTCGTTAGTACTAATGCCCCTATAGTACTACTGATAGTACTATTAGTATCTGGGTGCTAACTGTAGTGCTAAGGGATTCGTAACACTTCGTTAGCTTCGTTATCTGAACTCGAGTCGTCAGAGTAGCCAAAGTAGAGGTATTAAAGACCGGTCTGTTTCTTCGATTTCTTTCCGTATTCCTTCAGCTTCTTTTAAACCATCTTAAAGTCAACCAGCCATACTCCAGCGTTCTTAAAAGCGTATCAAACAGACCTCTTAGTAAAGGTCTTTCTGCGAATCTCCGGTAAGTCACGAAAAAAACAGTATAAGTTATACTCCGGCTCAAAAGAACAAATTAAGTCCATTACTCCGACTTATTGAAATCTCTTCTATTATCGAAAGCAACCTACGTCAGCCGGCTAGAGAAGGTAAGTCTAATAAGAGGGGAATTTAACCAACCATATATAGTTCGCCTTTACTTTAATAACAAACGCGCTGTTCTCGTAGTAAAGCTGACTATTAAGCATCAGTAGAACCCACGGTTTATCTAGTCCACATTGCTATTATTCGATGAAATAGTCGAGCTAGTGTACAGCGATTATGTTGTTAATATAACTACTCTCAGAGATAACAATTATCTCTTGACCGGTCATCTCTGAAGCGAACCAATCTGCCATTATAAGCTTTCCTGCTACAATTATAACTAGAGGGAGCGCTATTCCGTTGGCGCAGATACACTCGATTACTGTAACAGACATTCGATTCTCAGGTATACCGGTATATATCTCCTTGATTCCAATAGGTACAACAACCTCCTCTCCAGCTAGTATACAAACTCGAGCTCCCTTTTCGTCCATATTAAAGATTCGGTATCGATCCTTTGCTCCTTCGATTCCGCACGCCTTAATCGCTGGCGTAAGCTCAAGCCGGAACTATTCCTCCAGGTGCTTCTCTATATGCATATCGACTCGATAGGAGGCAATAGGCTTAGTTTTAATAGTATAGATCTGCGAATTCGTCCTCATCTAGTAGCGACACTACCTCTGCGAAGGAGCCGGCTTACCGTCTTAAGCTCGAAGATATATAGCGCAATTGTAGACCATCTGTTTCGTAGCTCCTTTGCCTCTATCGGTAGCTTAATTAATAATATATCGTACTAGAGCTCTCTCTTGCGCCTTCGATAATATTCGATTCTAACCCCTATAGAGAACAGCGTTCTAAGCCTCTCTTTTGGCTCGCTCTCTCCTCCACTTCTTTTAAACAGTATTCGGCTTCAATACTCTATATATTCGGGCAGCAGTAATAGGTGATTCCGTAGGGTTATCGCGAAGGAATTCGAGAGCCTTTTACACCTTATCTTACTCTAGGAGGTCGCGCAAGAGACGATTCGATGGAGCTAAAGAGAGACGCGCTATATTCAGTCAAAAAAACACGGGATTTACAAGTGGACAGGAGGTAAGTTGTTCCTTAATCAAGAATTGTCTCTAAGGTTCATCAAAAGGAGGGGTTTTTTAGTAGGGTTTCTAACAAATCTAGATAGCGGCCGCGGACAACTCGCTTGCTGCGGACAACTCGCTTTCCCCTACAATTCCGGAGTCGGAATTTAGGTATAGCTATAACACCTACTATTAACCATCTTGGGGATCCCGGGCTGGCCGGGGGCCGGGGGCCGGGGCCGGTCGTTTCCAGCACGCAGCACGCAGCACGCTTCAGCCTCCACTTGAAAGCTGAGGTGCATGCAGTATTATATACTGGTGGGTAACGTACCCTAGCATTCGGGTGTCACATGTGTGATTGGGGGAAGGGGTCTTAAAGGTATCTACAGAACAGAACAGAACAAAAAATCGAGGTCCTCTTTGGTGTTTATTTATTTATTCGTGACCTTTCCTTCCCTTTCCCCTCCTCCTCCTCTCTTCCCAACCGAAGCTCCCCTCGCCTTGTCGCTTACCTAGCGAGCGGGCTTGGCGGGACCCCTTGCCCTGCCTGCCTGCCTGCCTGCCTCCCTGCGTACCTAGCAGCCTAGCTCTAGGTACGAGTAAATTACATACGCCTACAGTACCGTATTTCCAGGTTCCCCTCCTTCTCCACCTCTCCTCTTCTCTCTGTATCTAGGAAGAGGTTTCCCTGAGGCGCGACTCACAACTTCCTCGAATAGAGAATGATCAGCAATTGAATCATACCGTGCTATTACCTCCACGCTCCAGACGACATGTATCATTCTGGCTCTGTGCCAACCGACACAATTTCTTTCAATTCTCCGTCTATTCGGAATCGTGAAATGGTATCTCGTGGCGGCAACAAAAAGTTGGAGCCTGCTACGACTTTGACATTAGGCCCGTATCCGAATCCGAAGTATGATATAAACCCCCCTTGTCTAGTCTCTCCTCCATCTGCCTGAAGCCTAATGAGTGTCTTATGGAAGGCTGGCTCTAATCTATTTCCATAGGCTCATTGGGCAGCAGGAACACACAGATATGGAGCAGGCAAGGGGCTGTAGGATGTGACTTACGGCTTTGAACCTTTGGTTACCAGCCCAGACACTTCTGAAGAATTTGAGTTTGGATGGAAGACATGAAGACGGGATGAGACGAGAGAATATGTCAAGGAAGTGTGCCGGAAATTCAAACGCTTTACATTTACAACAAGATCCAAACGAGTCAATCGTTGGGGCTAGTAAGCTCTAAAATCTAAATAGGTATCCATCCCATATTATCCCGACCCAGAACGCCAGGCAATGCTGTTGTATGTAGAGAGAGACCGTGCATAGCCGGCCAAATAAAGTAGTGAACGAGAAGAAATCAGATCAGCCTACAGGAGATTCCCACTACCACTTAGGGTCGTAGACTTGCTTCTTGATCCACGCAGTCAAGGCAACATCTCCCCACTCCTCCCACTCGATCCACGTCTCCTCGGGTAGAGTGCTGACGCCTTCTCGGCGGGCGGTCTTCATCACTTCCCGAGCTACGACTACAGATGCATCACGCACGCGTTCGATCTTGGGGTAGATGAGACCCATGCGGATTTCTTCCGAGTTGAGGCAACCAGCTAGGGCAGCGGCGGAGGTGTAGACCATACTATCGGTTACACGAGATGTCTTTGCCAGGATAGCACCAAGGCCGAGACCGGGAAAGACGTAGACATTGTTGCCTTGATTGGGATAGTACGTGGTAACACTGTCGAGGTTCTTAGTTGTGAAAGGTGAGAATGGAGATCCGGAGGCAAAGATGGCAGTGCCTTCGGTCCAGGTAATCGCTTGTTCGAAGGTACATTCGGCCTTGGTGAGAGGGTTGCTCAAGGGAAAGAGAATGGGTCGGCGTCCGAGTCCGCCAGCATCGACCGACACCTTTAGGGCGCGGACAACTGATTCGGTAAAGACGCCGAAAGTAGCAGTCAAACCGACAAGAGCTGTTGGCTTGACGTATTCGATGACAGCTTCGAGGGTGCTGAATTGGTGGCCATTATTGTCACTCCTCGCGAAGATCTTCTTGTGCTCCGCGAGTCTGTCTCCACGGTCTCTTGTCACAAGACCCTTGGTGTCAACGAGCCAGAACTTTTCGCGTGCTTGCTGTTCCGAGAGACCGCGACGGGTGTAGAATTCCATCACTTGCTTGGCAACACCAACACCAGCTGATCCGGCCCCCATGAAGACAAGTCTTTGATCTTCGATGGGCACGCCCGACAAGTTAACAGCGCCCATGTAGCTTGTAGATTGTTAGAAAGATTAATGATCGATAGTTGGGGGGTGCTTACCCAGCCAACACAACTGCACCAGTTCCCTGGATGTCATCGTTGAAGCACTTCTCTTGCTTGTAACGTTCCAAGTACTGGAAGGCCTTCTCGGTCTCGAAATCCTCGAATTGAACAAGCATGTTGGGATAGACCTCCTTGACGGCTGCCATGAACTCGTCCATGAACTCCAATGCGACCTCAGGTGGCACACGCTTCTGTCTGAGACCAAGATACAATGGGTCACGGAGGTTGCCCTCATTCGCTGTACCACAGTCTAGAACAATTGGAAGTGTCTTCTCTGGGTGGATACCGGCCGCTCCCGTGTAAAGTGCCAGCTTGCCGATCTATGTAGGTCTTAGTGCGAGTTTCCTCACGATAATTTCTGGGCATGCCACTTACAGATATTCCAACACCGTTTACACCAAGATCACCCAGTCCGAGAATACGGGATCCGTCAGTCACAACGGCGATGGATGGGTCCGGGTATGGCCAATTGCGAAGAATGGTGGCAATGGACTTGCGTTGCTTGATTGAAATGTAGAGAGCCTCCGGGTGGGTGTATAACGTGGAATATTGCAGGCAGACATCTCCAATTGTTGGCGTGTAGACGAGAGGCATCAATTGAGCGACGTTGTCAATCAGTAGTCTGTAGAACAGATCTGTGTTGTTTTGCTTAAGGGTAGAGAGGTAGAGGTATTTGTCGATGTTGGTTCCACGGCTGTTGATCATCCGCAGAGCTCGCTGGCATTGTGTTTCGAGACTCTCTAGGACATGAGGAATGAGGCCAGTGAGGTTTTTGGATATTCTTTCATCCGGGTTGAAAGATGTACCTGGGTCAACAGTGTTAGTGAATTTAGGAATGCCTAAGAGATTTGTTACCATACCTTTGTTCCATGCTGGTTCTCGGAGAACCTGATAACCTCCAGCACTGTTTTTAGGGACGTAGTCTGTGGTCCGGTATTGCTGGACAGTTCCGTAGTTATTTTGAGCATATCCCTTGAAGCAATCGAGAGCAGCAGCTTTCATAGCAGCTTCGACATGGTCCATGTTTACAGCAGACATTGGGTCAAATCCCGAAATCCTTCGCTGGGAGATAGACATTCTCTTGCTGATAGTTGTGGCCGTCGATGAGCGGCTAATGACTGAGGAAGGAGAGGAGGATCTGGGAGTTGAAAGCTCGGAACTCGAAGTGCTGTAACTATACGCCGCCATTGAGAGAGGCAGTGAAAAAGCAAGAGAGCGAAAGGGGGAGGGACGGAGTTAAACAATATCAGTAAAGAGAGAGTGTGTGATAGAGAAGCAACGTTTTGGAAAATCGAGTCAAGGGGCCGGGGCAACTGATATGTGATTTTGCATTGATTACTTTTTAGTGGGCACAACATTTTTTTAACGTTCTTCCATGAGGAACAAGGACCGGTCACAGTGACAGGAGGACCCAGGCAAAGCCAGGACCCCCGAAGCTCTTGTCACAGAGCTGTCTTGGCCATGTCTTGTTTCGTTGGGGTTTCGGTGGGTTTGCCAATTGCCTTTTGGGTGGGTGGCATTCCGCATTCCGATGGGCAGAGAGCGAATCAGAGGACGGACATCTCTCCGAACATGCGGACGGCCCGGAGCCGCTGCGACAGGCCGGAGTCTTCCAGACGCATGGGATGGGATGGGATGGGATGGGATGAGTTCAGGGACGGAGAGACGGGATGGGGATGAGATGAGATGGGATGGAATGGGATGGGATACTAAGATCAATCAAGCAAGCAAGCAAGCAATCAACCGATCAATCAACCAGTCTATCAGCAGTGACTTCCGTTATGACAATAGAGCTGGCACATGATGTGAGAAGCCAAATGCCTGGTACCTAGGTAGGTCAGTAAATTACCTTCTTGTACGGAGGGTAAGTAGTACTGTACTGTACTTTACTGTACTGTACTAGTGAATTTACCTACACACTGTAGAAGATAAGGTAGGGATCAATGCACGCAACAAATGCAGGCCTGGCGGAATAATAATAATACGAGTACCTTAATAAGTTACCTACTCGAAGGTCGTGGTGAAGCTCGCGTGTGCATGTCTCAGACACTCGTAAGGGTTACTCTCAGACTCCGATCCCAGACTCTCAGACACTAAGTAAGTTCCTCCCCTTCCCTTCCCTTCCCTTCCCTTCCCTTCCCTTCCTTCCCTTCCCTCCCCGCCCCGCCTGGACCTCCAGGCTTCGGCGCCGCCCCGCAGCACGCACAGCACAGAGCACTAACTTACGAGTACGAGTCTCTGCGCCGCTGGGTTCCAACCCCAACACTGTACTGTACTGTACTGTACTGTCCCGACTTCTCCCGCGCAGGCGAAATGAAGTGAAATGAAGTGAAATGAAGTGAAATGAAGTGAAATGAAGTGAAATGAAGTGAAATGAAGTGAAATGAAGTGAAATGAAGTGAAATGAAGTGAAATGAAGTGAAATGAAGTGAAGAGAAGATTACCCCAGCAGGCAGGTAAAGCGGAAAGATGGAAACCGGAAAGATAACAACAGAACAGAACAGAACAAAACAGAAAAGAAAAGGAAGGAAAAGAAATGAAAAGCCCACGGAAATCATTCAATCAATCAATCAATCAATCAGCTTTGCTCGAGTTGACTCTTGAGTCCCGTCTTGACGGCTCCGAGATCACACAGGCAGGTCAAGACTCAAAAGCAATGGAATGGGAATGGCATAGGCGGACCCCTGAAACGGGACAGCGCCGACGAGTCGGCACGCCCGAACCGCCTGCCTAGTACCTACCCTAAGGTGGCTGGGTGGTAGAACATTACATTCAGAGAAGAAAAATACCACTTTCAGAAACACATACCTTACCTTACCTTACCTTACCTTAGTGATAAAGGTTGACTTCGGTCTTTGGAAACGCTTTTAGTATTATATTAGTATTTGAATCTTCTCGTGATTTTCGAGTAATATTTATTTATCAAGAGTTTCGTTGAGAAAAACACGACATTCAAGTAAGTAAGGTAGGGTAGGCACCTCGCCAAATCGGCCACCTTTTTCTGCAGGGGATAGGGCAACCTACCTAGGTTCGTACCTTATCTTACCAAGAGTTCCTGGAGCGACGGAAGAGAGCGAGGAGTCGAGGTCCGGACAGGTCAAGGCCACATACAGTAATATCACCTGGACCGCCTCCCCACAGCAAGGTAATCTACCTTACTATTCGCCGAGAACATAACATACCTACTGTAAGACGAGGACAAGGTGAGTAACCTTAAGGACTCAGAATCAGACCTCGATCCACCATCTCCACTAGGAGGGTTTAGAGTGTGCCCGTCATCGACGATTACGACGCCTGGACGCTTCCTCAACTTCAAAAGTGCTGATCTCGACCGCTGCGTCTCAATGCATCTTGACCTGCGGGGAGCCAGACTCGCCAGATGCACCAGATAAGCATTCGCAACAGCCCGTCACGTCTCATCTCAACATTTATGGACAACGGCTCTCTTATCAAGAAGCTGACCCCTGGTGGCATCCCCCTTCGCCACTAACTTAGTCGTCGTCAGGCTGTCAGTTGTGCCAATCGACGGGATGGCATCTGGGGTTGAAACCGAACCAAGCAATACCAAGCTACTCAAGCCAGGTTTTCGGAGGATCTTTCGTGTGGAGTCTCTGCTCCTTCACACGCTGTTCCTGAGTTTCAGATTCTGGGTCGACATTTTGCATGGGTTGAAAAGCTTGGAATGCCCAGCCCTGTATTTTGATTCATATTTCGGTTTCGATCTTATTTCAATAATGAGAATAATGACTTTCGTCAGATTCAGGTCCTGGTCGAGTGCCCGTCAGATAAGACTAGTTGGCTGGATTGGAACTCTAAGCCTCCATGTCGGAATCTTTTCAGGACTGGGTTCTCCACGATATCTGTCAGTGTCAGTGTGACTGCCTTCTTTGGCGTCCTCTCAATTTTCTATTTTCTCAAAATAATAACCTTATTGTTCTACCTCTGAAAGCAAGGACCACATCCCCAACACTGAATAAGCCTAGATAAGCAATTCGGAAGTAAACAGGTCTGCATTTTCTAAGTTGCTCCGTGAAGAGTAAATTGCTTTTGTTGTAGATTTTTGCCGCATGGACAATTCACCCTCAGCTGTGTCGCACCAGAATAATGACAGAGTATTTCGAGCTGGTGGTACTGAATGTTCAGCTCATGTGTTGCGGGGGTCGTCTCATTGAAGACCGTTGGTGATCGGTGGTGCTTCGACCGCGAATGCTCCAAAGAATCTCACAGAACCTTGCACCAAGTCACCACCAAATATCTCAGTGCGAATGCTCCCGTATTCTGCATACTGGCTGGCGAAGCCTTAGGTTGACTCTCCAGCTTTGTTTACTTCCACGCGAGGCGAGAACGTTACATTTATCTGACCATCTCCAAGGATATCTCAGCCTGGGCAATGTTAGGATAAGAAAAGAGAAGTTGCATAATCTGTAATTCTCACACGCTCTACGAACGCTCTTTCACTTGACTCCGAGTATCAGGAGAGGAAGTTGACATGTTGGACTCGATTGCTGCCTGCATAGGTGCTTCGAAGTGTCAAGAGTTGGACTTGTATAGGTGTCTATCAAGATGGAGCCAGGGGAATAGCGATGGGCACATTTATGATGCCTTTTAATTTTGCTTGAATAGTGGTGATGGACGGTGACGTTGAACATAGGTACTGTGCTGAGAAAGGAACAGGTGGCAGGCTCTTTGACCATGTGCACAAGGTAGACGCGCTTTCTCGTCTCTTCTGCAGGAAATCACGAATTTCTCGAGCCATAACTGTTTCTCTCTGGCCTAATCTGAAGGCACAACCAAAATGGCACTGAAACAGAGATAGAAGGATTTATTAGCACGGATTTCTAGCAATACCAGGTTCTCGTCCTGAATATCTTTACGCGAAGGAGAAAGACAGCAGCGCCATGGAAATCTCAATGTGCTAGCTAAACCACAACCGATTTGTCCCGAGGCGACCTCCAAAGAATTTCGATTCAAAACCGGTCTAGGAACTGATTAATAGTTACATGTCCGTTTAAAACCGGCAAGAGCTCCCAGAATCTTGTCTGCAGTGGTCACAGCTCCAAAGATACCGCCTTCAGCCTTGACGCTTGCAATAGCAGCATCATGCAACTTCTGCTCACTCGCTGCTGTAGCATCCTCCACAATCAAGCAGTCGAATCCGTTGTCATTGGCTTCTCTCATGGTGCTGCTTACACAGACGTCTGTTGTGTCTCCACAGATTACCAGGTTCTTGATCCCCTTTAGGCTGAGCAATAGGCCGAAATCGGTATGTTGGAAAGCACTACGGCCGGGTTTGTCGATGACATTCTCGTTTTGAAGAGGGTACAGTTCAGGATTGATGTCGTGACCTTTCTCGCCTCTCACAAGGAGTCGACCTAGTGGTCCTGGATCACCGATCCCGAGACCAGATTCGTTGTTTCGGCTTCGGTTCAGCTCTCGCGTTGACAATGTGGAGAGATCGGGACGGTGGCCTTCGCGGGTGTGGTAGATTGGGAAACCATGAACGCGAAATAGGTTGAGAAGGCGTTGGAGCCGAGGAATGATGGCTCGGACTGGGTTTATGTCGTAGCCTTGATGTACGAGATAGCCTTCAGGAGCACAGACTGGGGGATGGTCAGATACAGTATAGATTTACAAGAGACTTAAGCTCCTAAAGGGAACACTTGAAATCTGAACTGGCCCTGCCACCAATATCCGAGGAATGTGATCGAAGATGGCTTGCAAGTAGATTGACATAATAGACTGCAATGAGAAGTAAGAACAACAATGGAAGATCAAGAGTACATACAGTCCATCTGCATATCGATAACCACTAAAGCAGTCGTTGTGGGGTCAAGTGTCCCATCAGACGGCCAGTCGTATGGCTTCGCGGAGATTTTAGGTTCCATCATCGACAGTTTGAGATGGTTGGTGCCACCAAAGTTGCACGACAGCAGAAGCCACTGGCAAAAGTTGGCCGGCGGCGAGACCCGGCAAGATTAGGATGGCATTCAAAGCCGAGATATGGGGATTACAAGCAAGTCCGACCCAACGTCAGCTTCAAGTGGCAGATATGAGTGGGGAGAAGAAGCGATAAGCTAGGGTTTCTGTTACAGTAAGGGAGGATTGGGAGCCTCCCACTTCTGCGGGAACCCCATTCTTAACAATAACAATCACTCTCACAGGTCTAATGTTCATCTGGCAAATTTTGAAGCATCGAGGTGTTTGTGCTTTGCAGCTCCACGTGCCGCAGGCAATAACTAATTGTATGTTCTGTAACATCTGGATGAGTGTCAGGTTCACATTAATCACACTTAGCGCATGGGCAAAGCTCCCACCTTCGTTTTCTGTAGAAAACCTCTAATCTAACGTAGGTAGGTTTTTGATAATATGCTCATCTACTCGCTTTGATAGGCCAGTCTCCGCACAAGCTTTCCTGCATGCAAGCTTCCCAAAGGTGCATGCATACATATCTGCTGCCTTGTGTCGATCCGATAAGCCAGAATTCCTAGATTTGTGACTTGCTACTGATCGTAATCATCAGCTATCTATTCAAATATGCTCGACGTCTCGCTTTGCACCTTTCCCCTACTTTTTTAGTATTCTGCAAGTAGGAGGTTATCAAGCTCATCAATTACTGTCCCGACTCTTACGATGGCAGACCCCGAGACTAAAGCAATTTCTCCAGATGCCGAGGATACGACTCTTGAACACATGGGCTACCAACTCGGTACGTATGGACTTTGGGAGGACATATGGCGTTAATGACGGTCTTTGGCAGAGCTTAAACGTTCCTTTGGATTAATTGGAATGATTGGATTCTCGTTTTCTATAGTTACATGGTATGTTGCGGTTGCGTACAACCGACGATCTACGACAGAGAACGTGGCAAAGTTGGAATGCTAATGGGAATTCACAGCTGGAGCGCCTTGGGAGGGGTACTCGTCACGGGAGTTAACGCCGGTGGACCTCCTGTAATGATTTGGGGTTGGTTGGGGATATGTTGCGTTACACTTTGTGTCGCCTACTCGATGGCAGAGATGTGCTCGGAATATCCTGTTGCTGGAGGTGAGTGATATGCCAAACACCTTCGCCATTCGTGGAGGATAACGAAACTCAAAACTGATACAAATTACCAGGCCAGTACAGCTGGGTGTTTATCTTGGCACCAAATGGTATCCGAAGGCAACTCTCTTATCTGACAGGATGGTTCATGATTATAGGTAATTGATGCGTCCATTTATCCTCTAATTTTTCTGACTAGAAACAGGTTTATTAGCAATTGGAGCTACGAACAGCTTCATCTGCGCCAACTTCATCCTAGGACAGGCGAATTTGATCAACCCAAGCTACGTGATCGAACGATGGCACACCGTCCTAGTGGCCTGGACTGTCACCTTATTTGCAGCTTCCATGAATCTATGGGGGTCGAAAGTCTTGGATAAATTGTCGAAAGGGTTTCTAGTGTTCAACATTGTCGCTTTTATTGTTACCGTTACTACAATTCTCGCTAGCAATAAAAACAAACAATCAGCATCCTTTGTCTTCAAGGATTTTCAGAACTTCACCGGATTCGGTACTTCGATGGCTGGTATTATTGGTATCTTACAACCTGCATTTGGGATGTGTTGCTGTAAGTTGCTGTATCGATGACCACATACTCTTCTCCGTTAACTGACCTGCCTACCAGACGATGCCCCAGCGCATATGACAGAAGAGATCAAGAATGCTAGCAAGCAAGCCCCAAGAGCCATTCTCCTATCCGTGTACCTTGGCGCCGTCACTGGATTTATCTTTCTGATCGCAGTATGCTTCTGCATTGGAGATATTGACGAGGTGGCCTCGACGCCAACTATGTCCCCGCTCATCCAGATCTACTTCGATTCCACTGATAGCAATGTTGGATCCTGCTTCCTGGCCTCTATGATGGTAATCATCGACATCGGTGCCGCCAATGGTCTGCTTGCCGAGGGGGCTCGATCTCTATATGCCTTTGCTCGCGACGAAGGCTTGCCATTCTCCTCCTTCATTAGAAGAATCGAACCTAAGCATCAAATGCCGGTCGTTGCAATCGCCCTTGGAGCCCTCGTTCAAATGGCGCTCTGCAGTATATACTTTGGCACTGTCACTGGTTTCAATACAATCATCGCTATCGGCACAGAGGGCTTTTACCTTTCATATGCCATGCCTCTGCTGGTCCGCCTGATTTCCTACTTCAACGGAACGCATAGACAGCTCTCAGGTCCATGGGCAATGAAACCAGTTGTATCGCTAACGTTGAATGCTGTTGGCCTCACTTACCTGCTCTTCGCATGTATCACATTCAACTTCCCATCTGTATATCCGGTCAACAGCGAGAATATGAACTATACTTCTGCGGCGGTTGGGGTCATCATGTTCATCGCTGCTCTAACGTGGTTCACGACGGCAAAGAAGCAGTTTTCAGGACCTGAGATCCATCTTGAGGGTGTAGCGGATGCTGGGAGCCATGTAGTGGAATGTGAGCAGGGCGAGGGGAGTGAGGAGAAGAAGTCCTCGCTTTAACACAGGACTATGAATTGTCCTATCAGGGAGAGATGGCTGAGCTTCTCGAAGAGAAACCCTGCTGATGTATCTTCCAACCTCTTTAGCAAGCCTGGGATTCAGCAACGACATTGAGTACTACAACGTGCTAAGACACCTACGCCTTTCCGGAAAGTGTCTACTGGTCCATAACAAACGTGATGCTACCGGGAGCCTTTCCTGCGGAGAAAAGGATAGAAGCAAGGATGTACCCCATGTTTGGTTTCGATGACAGCTCACTTGCTCTCCCAGGATCATCCTAACTCATGGATGTCTCTTGTATCTGATTATGCTTCTGAACAACAATTCTGTGAAAAAGCCAGGCGTTTATTTAGAAGGAGTTCGGCAATGCATTTGATTGATTTCAAAGTCGATTGCGTCGCGAGTTACGTTTCGTGCCACATGTGATCGTTTCGAAGAGTGTCGCTTGCCCAAAAAGTTCATTTCCAGTGTGGTCTCGGCGAAGCAGAGTATGAGTTTCCAAAACAATCCTATATCGAAACGTTGACAGTCAATATACGTGATAATGAAAAATTGGTCCCGACCGCCCCCTTAGTTTGGACCCGACCAAGAACCTGCAGGCGTGCAGGAAGATGTCTTTTACCGTAGCGCATGAAACATACAGGCACATGGGTCATGGAACCAATTAGACACGTAATTGACTGGTAGAGTGAGTTGATCCAGGAGGAGGGATGAGAAGGCTGCTGGACTCCTCGTTTTGACGTAGGCGACTGCAAGCGGAAGAGATGAGTTGCACATGCACTCGTTGCTGCACCGACCCAATCTGGCCGACCCCTGCGCTAGAGAGTGAACTTCAACAACGATAGCCTCCCTAAATCAACACCACTCCAAACGACGACGACGACCAGCAACAACACCCTCCGGCATCGAGGGAGATTCAGTTAACAGGACAGTAAAACCAGTGCGAGAACAGACCTATTGTATTGCATCACTTCCGATTGCAGCAGTTTCCTTCATCAAACAACGACCGACCGATCGCTCAACTTACATCACGGGCAACCAAGCACGACAATCAAGCGCGCGGACCTGCAGCATATTCGAAGGAAGCACACCGCTCCACCAGCATAAGATCTTGAAGGGGCATCATCTGAGCGTGTCTACGGGTAGCAGGAGAAGCTTGACGACCTCAGAGGTATATTGGAGGCTGGAAAACCTCACAGATGCCAGCTTGCGCACAGCTAGCAACCACACGGTAAACACCACCGTCGCCGTCCATGGATGAGCCACCTTCGTCCCCGCCGACAGATCTGTCCACCCCAGAGAGCGCGCTCGCATATTACAAATCGCAATACGAACAGCTTGAGCATGAATTAGCGGAATTCCAGGCCTCCAGTCAAGAGCTGGAAGCCGAGCTAGAGAAGGATGTTGAGGCTGCCGAGAAGAGGGAGCGGTTGCTGCAGGAGAAGGCTGAGAGCTTGGGATTTGAGGTTGAGGAATGGAAGGTATGCTTATTACTTGGCTTCAATTGATGCGCCTTCTTCTGTCCTCGATCTAACGGTACTTTGCAGTCCAAATACAAGCAGTCCAAAACCGAGGCGAACATGGTGCAGAATGCCCTCCAGAAGGAAATCACCACTCTTCGAGATACCAACCGAACACTACAACTAAAATTACGCGACATCGAGGTTCAAAATGACGATTTCGAGAGGCAAGCTCGGAACACTTCATCATCGTTAGAGGATCTGGAGTCAAAATACAATGTTGCGATCGAAAGGGCCGTTATGATGGAGGAGGAGATCAAAGTTGGAGAGCAGGAGAGAGAGAATCTGCGAATCGAAACCCAGCGCCTTCGAGATGAGCTAGCGGATCTCAGGATAGAAGCAGAGATAATGCAAGACAAGCTCCGGAAACGACATGTCCCAAATATCGCCACCGATATCACTGCGCCAAACTCTCCTTCTCCGGGAGACTCTCCAACATCTACTGCATCTTCACCCATGATCACGACTCCACCGGACACGAAATCGATTTCAACGGCCGATACTGTATCCGACACACTGACCCCTCCATCCCCACCTATTTCAGATGCTTCTGGTTCAGCGAAACGAATGCTCAAGACTCCTATGAATCCACCGAAGAGCAAAATAAAGCTCCCCTCTGGTGACTCAAGCACTACGCCCAAACCTGCAGCGCGATACCCCTCAGGTAATCTGCGAAGCTCTAGAGGGCCCCCACCCACAGCACCATCCATTTCCACCCGCATGCGAAACGCAACTCCTGCTGTAATTCGAAATGCCAAAACGAAGGCACCAGCCACCCGAGGTCTGCCTAGTTCAACATCGCTCACCCACATTCGGAGTCTCACAGCGCAGATGCAGAGGCTGGAACAACGTGTGCATTCTGCGAGATCTAAGTTGCCCGCACCAGTCAATACCCCACCTCGAGCATCTCCTCGAAATGGTTCGGCTTTGGGGCAGAACTACATGCCCTCTAGTGTTACGATAAGAAGTAGGAAGCGAACTGGCGGAAGCACGATAAGCAACTCGTCTATTGCTCCAGAAGATACGCCCCAGTCGTCGACGAAGCACGTTGCAAGACTATCTACATCAGGAATCAGCAGATTGTCCTTCGGTCCACTCCCGAGTCGTGAAAACACCGACAGTAGGCCCAGTAGCCGAGCGAGTGCTAGCAGCTACGTTCGGCCGGATCGCCCTGTGAGTCGGACCGAAATTGCACGTCCTGTGAGCCGCACGTCAATGTCAGGGGCTCGCACGCCGCTGGGACACTATTCCCAGTCCACGATTGCCGAATCTCGGAGACCAAGATCTAGCATTGGTGGTAATTATGGAGCATCTCACGGCCACGGACATTCGCAGAGCGTATCACACATCGACCTTGATGAGTCTCGAGAGCTGGATTTTGCAACTCCTAGTCGAAGGAATACATACGGCAAAGGAGACCTGGAAAGCAGTGCCATCCCTGGCCCACCTGGTCTAGCCAGACGAAAAAGCGGCCCGCTTGGCATGACAGCCTTACCCAGAAGGACAACAAGTGGAGGACCAGCGTCAAGAGATGGAGACAAAGCCGAAAGTGGAATGAAGCCTCCTGGTCGACCGAGGAAGCTTTCTGGTGTGGGAGAGACATATTAACCAGGGGCTAGGCTAGTTGTTTACTGAATTCTTTTGCTTGCACTACACACGACCTGTATACGATGTTATGATGGGGTGGGAATGTCTATTTGTGGCTTGAGCATTGGTGCAACTGGCGTTTTGTCGTTTCTTCTACGTACCTATGTTATGCAATGCGGGATTATTAGGTGCAGTGCATTTGTAGGATGTAAGGAGGATGAATCGATGGAGTTGGAGGGCTGCCACTGCATTGTTTAAATGATTAGGCTGGCTGGGGTACTACCGCTTGACTGATAGCTAAGACGAAGCTAATTCTGAACGAAGAGAACGTTTGATGCTGAGATTTAGGCCATGTCTCCGACTTATTTTCCGTGATCTGATGCTCAGTGAAGTCCGTAGAAGAGACATGAAGCATGACGACACTTCGTCTCGAATGATCTTATTCCATCATATTTCTCTCTCGAGAAAACCTCTTCGCCTTCCAAGTCTCCACTTCAGCCCTATGCTAGACGTCCATACGGGCAATGTTCAAGAAGTGCGGTGCTGTTTACTTCTAATCAATAACGATCTTAGCGTCTGCAGCCAGCCGAAGCCCGAAGCGAGGCCACTTCCAGAGTTCGCCGTGCTCACGGAAAGAGAAGCCATACCCATAAGCATATATAGTAGTCAAACCCGGCCTACGACACGACTACATTACAACAGATCGACTGGGGAAATTCGTGGCACAGATGGCTGTGCTGTTTTTAGAAGCATACCGTGCAGTAGGTGAGGATTTAGGATGATAATGATGCTTGTATCTGCAGGCCACCAAAACCCGCCGAAGCGAAGGAGGGCCGGGTGAGTGAGCTCAGCCGGACCTCCGTAAACAGTCCTCAACTCAAGGTAGATACCGTACCACATAGAGTATTCTGCCATAGGGATGAAATCGACAGAGTGCCAGTCAGCCATGCCATGGGCTGCTCTCGCAGCCCGATACGTCGTGGTCAGAGACATGATTACACCATGGAATGCAGTTAGGCCCGGAGGGATTTTGCACTGTACTTAATCTTAATGACATCTGTTTACTTCGGTAGGAGGCAAGTAGAGGAGAGGACATGTGGCCGACAAGGTTCAATGCCATGAAATAGTTGCAATTTTGACATAGAGTACCTAGTTGGTATGGATCAAGCATCGTGAGCACGGCGTGAGGGCTGTTGAAGGAGCTGGTAAAAACTAAGTACCGGCTGGAGACAGTGATGGGAAAGCGACTATATTTAAGACTTGGGCCAATCCCTCGATGATCAATACACTCAAACACAGGCAGAGTACGAGTAAGCCGAGGAGAGAGCCAAAAGAAAAGGGCGTCCGGATGAAGGGTATGAATTACGTTACGTTGGAGATCGAAACTCAAGACAAAACTTAGGATGGTTCAATGGAACGTGGACCTTGAAGTGCTGGATCTCAGCATTCGGGCAGAGTGGATCCCACCCTGTCCCATCCCGACATGTTGGGGAAGGGAAGAGCCTCGAGGCGGAATGGAAGCCGCCAGCCACGCTTGGGATGGGAATCATGGGATGCCGGCCGCGACTGGGATTATTATTATACGTAGGTAGGTTGTGCAGACAACTGCGTCATGGAGTCCGGCCATGGACAGGAGTAGTACTCGTGTAGGTACTCGTAGCTCGTAGGTACTTCACTGCACTGTACTGTAGGAAGGGAGTATAAGTAATTTACGATCTGGCGTGCAAGCGCAGGCCAGCAACGAGAAATAGCCCGCTGCCATTCTTCTGTCCTGCCTGTCCCTAGGTAACGAAGTAAGGTCAGACACTACCTACCCTGAGACTCAACAAGTGAGGGGTGCACTCAGGACAACACAATAAAATATGCCGATAGATAAGGCAAGGCAAGGTAAGGTAAGGTAAGGTAAGGTAAAATAAGTAGGCACTGCAAGTATCGAAGTCTTTCCTCGATCCGGCTTCATCCGTCGGCTTGGACGAGATCTTAAGCCAGCCTACAGCTTCACTGCTACCTACACTACAGTAGACACGTCCGATCGATGCATAAGGTACCTACCTACCTACGAGCTACCTTACCTAGGTAGATAAATGTTTGCTGGGGACTGGTGCAGCTCAAGATCGTCTCCGACTGCCTGTGTCTGTGTCTGTGTCTGTGTGCTGTCTTGCCTCGCTGGTCTGGTGTCTCGAAAGCCAATCTGTTGGACCGCAATGAACATCCGGGCTACGCCGAATCGGGCATGGGCGGCTGGAGTTCGTTGGGTCGCCTGGTCGCCCACCGAATTGGCGGCCGGCCAGCAGTGGCTGTTGAGGAAAGCGGAGAGAGCTTGGGAGCTCAAGGTTTGGTTTGGTCTTTTGGTTTGGGGCATTCGGGCTTTTGGTTTGCTTTGCTGTGCTTTCCATTGGGAGACGTGACGAAACGCAGGGGTGAGGGTGAGAGACGAGAAATGGCCTCCCCGGCAGCCCAGAGCCAGAGCAAGGGCCGGCCTGTTGAATTGGAAGGACCTGAAGCACATATGGCCAGCGAGCTGGAAGGAGGGAAACAGATTATTTCATAAACCCACCTCCGCATCTTCCTTCCGTGTGCAACCACAACTGCAACTACTACTACTACATTCCAAGCACCCCCTCCTCCTCCTACTCCTCTTCCCCTTCTCCTCAATCAAGAAATCTTCATTCTCTCCGCCGAGTGTTTTGCTTCCTCCCGTAACTTTCAATTCTGCCTCTTGTCGTTGATACCCCCACAGCCTCCTCTCGTCGAGGTATCTAATTCGGCGCCAATCTCAGATTCGGCGACTTTGAACAACCACCAGCTTCTCAGCCCCGAATCCTATTCTCGAGAGGGATAGATATAACCGCAGGGCCAAGCCAGCAATTCACTTTATACAATTCTGGGATACTGTATCTGCCCGCACTTCCACTGGCGACCTCACTCTCTCCGCTCGTCCTCCACGAGCATTGATTCCTGCGCAATGGCGGCAGTCAATGGCAAAGGGGCTGGTGTCAAGGCTACAAACGGCACCGTCCCCATCATGAACGGCTCAACTTCATATGCGGCCAAACACAAGCTGGCAGACCACTTCATCGGTGGGAACAAGCTGGAAAACGCTGCTCCGGGTCCGGTCAAGGACTTTGTAGCATCTCACGATGGCCACACGGTCATCACCAACGTGCGTATCCCAACCGGACCAAACCATCAATAGCTCGACTAACCAACTGTTCAGGTCTTGATTGCCAATAATGGTATTGCTGCAGTCAAGGAGATCCGATCCGTACGAAAATGGGCCTACGAGACTTTTGGCGACGAAAGAGCTATTCAATTCACGGTCATGGCTACGCCAGAGGATCTGCAAGCAAACGCAGATTATATCCGGATGGCAGACCAGTATGTTGAGGTCCCTGGAGGAACGAATAATAATAACTACGCAAATGTAGAGTTGATTGTAGATGTTGCTGAGCGTATGAACGTTCACGCAGTTTGGGCTGGATGGTATGTTTACTCGTGATCTCTCGTGAGATGTTGACTTACTGATTCATGAATAGGGGCCATGCTTCAGAAAATCCAAAATTGCCAGAATCATTGGCAGCTTCACCAAAAAAGATCGTATTTATTGGCCCTCCTGGCTCGGCCATGCGATCTCTCGGTGACAAGATTTCCTCTACGATTGTGGCACAACACGCCAAGGTTCCTTGCATTCCATGGTCCGGAACTGGAGTTGACCAGGTGGATGTTGCTGAGGACGGCATCGTCACAGTCGAGGATGATGTCTATATGAAGGGTTGTGTTCAGTCATGGCAAGAAGGTCTCGAGAAGGCGAAGCAAATTGGCTTCCCTGTCATGATCAAGGCATCTGAAGGCGGTGGTGGAAAAGGTATCCGGAAGGCCGAAACCGAGCAAGGCTTCGAAGCCCTCTACAAAGCCGCTGCCAGCGAAATTCCGGGATCTCCCATCTTCATCATGAAGCTGGCCGGAAATGCTAGACATCTGGAGGTACAACTGCTTGCCGACGAGTACGGGAACAACATCTCGCTCTTTGGCAGAGATTGCTCTGTCCAACGCAGACATCAAAAGATTATCGAAGAAGCACCAGTCACAATCGCAAAGCCCGAAACTTTCCAGGCAATGGAGAAGGCTGCTGTCCGCCTCGGTCGTCTTGTGGGATACGTTTCGGCTGGTACCGTCGAATACCTCTACTCGCACTCCGACGACAAATTCTACTTTTTGGAACTTAACCCCAGATTGCAAGTCGAGCATCCAACCACTGAAATGGTCAGTGGTGTCAATCTGCCTGCTGCGCAACTGCAAATTGCGATGGGACTTCCTCTGCACAGAATTCGCGACATCAGATTATTGTATGGAGCCGATCCGCAAACCTCGAGCGAGATCGACTTCGACTTTTCAAAGGAGAATAGCTCTCTTACGCAGCGTCGCCCAAAACCAAAGGGTCACACCACTGCGTGCCGTATCACTTCCGAAGACCCAGGAGAGGGGTTCAAGCCTTCCAGCGGTACGATGCACGAGCTAAACTTCAGGAGCAGCTCCAACGTATGGGGTTATTTCTCTGTAGGAACTGCTGGTGGCATTCACAGTTTCTCCGACAGTCAATTCGGTCACATTTTCGCCTATGGCGAGAACAGATCAGCATCGCGGAAGCACATGGTTGTTGCTCTGAAGGAATTGAGTATTCGCGGAGATTTCCGAACAACAGTCGAGTACCTGATCAAGCTTCTGGAGACCCCTGCATTCGAAGGCAACACGATTACTACCGGATGGCTCGATGAGCTCATCTCGAACAAGTTGACTGCGGAGCGACCAGATCCTATGCTGGCCGTTGTTTGCGGTGCTGTCTGCAAAGCTCACATCGCAAGCGAGGCCTGCATTTCTGAGTACAGAAACAGCTTAGAGAAAGGCCAAGTTCCAGCCAAGGACATTCTGAAGACTGTCTTTCCCATCGATTTCATTTACGATGGTCACAGATACAAATTCACCGCCACTCGATCGAGCTTAGACAGCTACCACCTGTTCATTAACGGCTCGAAATGCTCAGTGGGCGTTCGCGCCTTGAGTGATGGAGGCCTCTTGGTTCTCCTTAGCGGCAGAAGCCACAATTTATACTGGAAGGAGGAAGTTGGAGCCACTCGATTGAGTGTTGACAGCAAGACTTGCTTGCTTGAGCAAGAGAACGACCCAACACAACTTCGTACTCCATCTCCAGGAAAGCTTGTCAAGTTCACAGTCGACAATGGAGAGCATATCAAGGCTGGTCAAGCATTCGCTGAAGTGGAGGTCATGAAGATGTACATGCCTCTTATTGCTGGAGAAGATGGTATTGTGCAATTCATCAAACAACCAGGGGCTACTTTGGAGGCTGGTGACATTATTGGTATACTTGCTCTTGATGACCCCTCGAGAGTCCAGTCTGCTCAACCCTTCCTTGGTCACCTCCCAGATCTTGGACCGCCACAAGTCGTTGGTACCAAGCCCGCCCAACGATTCCTCCTCCTCCACAGCGTCCTTGCAAACATCCTCAACGGCTTCGACAACCAAGTCATCATGGCGTCTACCCTCAAAGAGCTCATCGAGGTCCTCCGGGACCCAGATTTGCCATATGGCGAGTGGAACGCTCAATTCTCCGCTCTCCACGCAAGAATGCCTCAACGCCTCGATGCAACCTTCACTCAAATCGTTGATCGCGCGCGTGTTCGCAAAGGCGAGTTTCCAGCAAAGAATTTGTCCAAGGCATTCTCCAAGTTCTTGGAGGAGAGCGTTGCTCCCAGCGATGTCGAAACTCTGAAGACTACTCTTCTGCCTTTGACTGAAGTCCTTGACCGATATGCCGAGGGCCAGAAAGTCCACGAGTTTGACGTATTCTCTGGTCTTTTGGAGCAGTACGTTTCAGTCGAGAAGCTGTTTTCGGGTCGCCAATCCCGTGATGAAGAGGTCATCTTAAAGCTTAGAGACGAGAACAAGGATGATAGCTTCAAAGTTGTTCAAATCGTTCTTTCTCATAGCAGAATTGGAGCTAAGAACAATTTGATTCTTGCCATTCTCGACGAGTACAAGCCCAACAAGCCGAGCGCTGGCAATGTTGCAAAATACTTCCGCCCAGCTCTCCGGAAACTCACCGAGCTTGAGAGCAGACAGACCGCAAAAGTAGCGCTAAAGGCCCGTGAGCTTCTAATCCAATGTGCTATGCCGTCTCTGGAGGAGCGCGCTGCCCAGATGGAGCACATTCTTCGATCATCTGTCGTAGAATCACGATATGGCGAGACTGGATGGGAGCACCGAGAGCCTGATTTGGAGGTTCTCAAGGAGGTCGTTGATTCTAAGTATACCGTCTTTGATGTTTTGCCCATCTTCTTCGGTTACCAGGATCCATGGGTTTCTCTCGCCGCTCTTGAAGTCTACATCAGACGAGCATACCGTGCTTACTCACTGAAGAAGATTGAGTATCACAACGACTCAGCCGAGCCCCCGTTCATTGTGTCATGGGATTTCGTTCTCCGAAAGGTTGGTGCTTCGGAATTCGGCATGCCCATTCAATCGTCAGCCCCTTCAACCCCAGCAACACCATCCTACGAGAGTGGTAACCCATTCAAGCGTGTCAGCTCCATCAGCGACATGTCTTACCTTGTCAACAAGACCGATAACGAGCCGACCAGAAAGGGTGTCATTGTTCCAGTGCAATATCTGGATGAGGCCGAAGAGTACCTGCTGCGTGCCCTGGAGGTATTCCCAAGCGCCGGTAAGAGCAAGAAGTCAGCAGCAAGTGGATTGATGCCAGATCTTAATGGCAAGCGTAAGACTCTGCCACCAATCGCTACAGAGGATGAGCTTACCGCTGTCTGTAATGTTGCTGTCCGGGATTCTGAGAGTCTCGACGACAACGAGACCATTGCCAGAATCAACCTCATTGTAAAGGAGTACAAGGAGGAGCTTCTGGCACGCCGCATCCGTCGACTCACATTCATATGCGGCCATAAGGACGGATCGTATCCAGGCTACTACACTTTCCGTGGCCCCGAGTACGAGGAGGACCAGAGCATTCGCCATATTGAGCCTGCTTTGGCTTTCCAACTGGAACTTGGGAGACTATCTAAATTCAGAATCAAGCCCGTCTTCACTGAGAATCGCAACATTCACATTTATGAGGCGACTGGCAAGGATGTCGAGGGAGACAAGCGTTATTTCACCCGCGCCGTCGTCCGACCTGGTAGACTTCGAGATGAGATCCCCACTGCGGAGTACCTCATCTCGGAATCCGATAGACTGATGAACGACCTTCTCGATGCTTTAGAGATCATTGGTAACAATAATTCTGATCTTAACCATATCTTCATCAACTTCTCTCCGGTCTTCCCTCTACAACCTCCCGAGGTTGAGAAGGCTCTTGGTGGCTTCTTGGAACGCTTCGGCCGCCGTCTCTGGCGTCTCCGCGTTACTGCTGCAGAGATCCGCATCATCTGCACGGAGCCCACTACCGGTATGCCATATCCACTGCGTGTTGTCATCACCAATACCTCTGGATATGTCATTCAGGTTGAGATGTACGCTGAGCGTAAATCTGAGAAGGGCGGTGATTGGGTCTTCCAAAGCATCGGAGGCACCACCAAAGTCGGTTCTATGCACCTGCGACCCGTATCCACTCCATATCCTACCAAGGAGTGGTTGCAACCAAAGAGATACAAGGCTCACATCATGGGTACTCAATACGTCTACGATTTCCCTGAACTCTTCAGACAAGCCATTCAAACTAGTTGGGTTAAGGCTGTCAGCAAGCACGCATCATTGGCAGACAAGCAACCACCAACTGGCGAGTGCATTGACTATAGCGAGCTTGTACTGGATGACAAAGACAACCTCGCCGAAGTCTTCCGTGAGCCTGGTACCAACACTCACGGAATGGTTGGATGGATTGTTACTGCTAGAACTCCAGAGTATCCCCGTGGCCGAAAGTTTGTCATTGTTGCCAACGACATCACTTTCAAGATTGGTAGTTTCGGACCCAAGGAAGATCAATTCTTCAACAAGTGTACAGAGCTTGCGAGGAAACTTGGTATCCCCCGTATCTACCTGTCTGCTAACTCTGGTGCTCGTATCGGCATGGCTGAGGAGTTGATACCTCACTTCAACATTGCATGGAACAACCCCGAGAAGCCAGAGGCCGGCTTCAAGTACCTGTACTTGAAGGCTGATGCTAAGAAGCGATTCGAGGACGGCAAGAGCAAGGACGTCATCACCGAGGAGGTCACCGAGGATGGCGAAGTGAGACACAAGATCATTACCATCGTTGGTGCCGAGGATGGCCTTGGAGTTGAGTGCTTGAAGGGTTCTGGTTTAATTGCTGGTGCAACTAGCAGAGCTTACGAGGACATCTTCACCATTACTTTGGTCACATGTCGATCAGTCGGTATGTAGGTCTCCAGTAGTCACGAATATCTTACTAATTTCTACAGGTATTGGTGCCTATCTGGTGCGTCTTGGACAGAGAGCCATCCAAATCGAAGGCCAGCCAATCATCTTGACCGGTGCCCCAGCCATTAACAAGCTGCTTGGTCGTGAAGTTTATACGTCCAACTTGCAACTTGGTGGCACTCAGATCATGTACAAGAACGGTGTGTCACACATGACTGCCAATGATGATTTCGAGGGTGTCTCCAAGATTGTTGAGTGGATGGCCTACGTCCCTGATAAGAGAAACAGTCCATTGCCAATCGGACCAGCCGTTGACTCTTGGGATCGCGATATCGTCTACACTCCTCCACCCAAGCAACCATACGACGTGAGATGGTTGATTGCTGGTAAGGACGATGACGAGGGATTCCTGCCTGGTCTCTTCGACAAGGACTCATTTGTTGAAACTCTCGGTGGCTGGGCGAAGACCGTGGTTGTTGGCCGTGCACGACTTGGCGGCATCCCCATGGGTGTGATTGCGGTTGAGACCCGCTCGGTTGAGAATGTCACTCCTGCCGATCCCGCAAATCCGGATTCGATGGAACAAATTACGAACGAGGCTGGTGGAGTTTGGTACCCGAACTCTGCATTCAAGACTGCACAAGCCATCAAAGACTTCAATAATGGTGAGCAATTGCCATTGATGATCTTGGCCAACTGGAGGGGTTTCTCGGGTGGACAACGCGATATGTACAACGAGGTCCTAAAATACGGATCTTACATCGTCGATGCTCTTGTCAAGTACGAGCAGCCAATCTTTGTCTACATCCCGCCATTCGGAGAACTGCGTGGTGGTTCATGGGTAAGTCATCTGCACATGTTCATGTTGGGCTTTACTAACTGTTTCAGGTCGTCGTCGATCCTACGATCAACCCAGAGTTTATGGAAATGTATGCTGATGAGGATGCTCGTGGTGGTGTCTTGGAGCCAGAGGGTATCGTGAACATCAAATACCGCAGAGACAAGCAGCTCGAGACCATGGCCCGTTTGGATCCCGAGTACGGCGCGCTTCGCAAGCAATTGGCGGACAAGTCCTTGACACCAGACCAAATCTCCGATGTCAAGGTCAAGGCTACTGCCCGTGAGCAATTGCTCCTTCCAGTTTACATGCAAGTCTCCCTGCAATTCGCCGACCTCCACGATCGTGCTGGCCGAATGAAGGCCAAGGATGTTATTAGACAATCTCTAGTGTGGAGGGAGTCAAGAAGGTTCTTCTACTGGCGTGTTCGCCGTCGTGTGAATGAAGAGTACATCCTGAAGCGCATGGCATCTGCCTCCAAGAACCCACTCGCGTCACGAGCACGCAATCTCGAGACTCTCGCAGCCTGGACTGGTATTCCTAAGTTCTCACACGCGGACCGCGAAGTTGCCATGTGGTATGAGGAGAACAGAAAGACTGTCCACGAGAAGGTTGAATCCTTGAAGACGGAAGGTGTTGCTTTTGATGTTGCCAGCTTGTTGAGAGGAAACAGCAAGGGTGGCTTGAAGGGTGTGCAACAAGTGCTCAGCATGCTACCTGCTAATGAGAGGGAGGAGGCCTTGAGATTTTTGAGCCAGGCATGATCAGATGGGTCTATATTTTTTCTATGCCAGGAAGGAAAGGGTTGCTGGGACTTGCGTTAAGCGTGTACATTGATTGCATTCAAACATTTGTAAATTGCGGGACATTATTATCGGCGTCTAGAAGAAAGCAATGCATATTAGTATCAGTTCGCACTCCTGGTGTGCTTCCTCGGCTGGAACACATTGTGGAATAAGTGAGGTCAGCATGGGAACGAGACCTGGAGGCTGGCACAAGGTAACTCCGAAGAACTTGATACCAGGCTTCCCTCAGTCAGGTAATCTTCAATCTCAACTGGCGCTCCTGGACCATGCGATACCGTCCGATCCAGTCCATCTCATCTACTTTCTCCGGCGCTTGATGTCTCCAAGTGCTGGGATCGCCGGATGGGTGTCTCAGCGGCGGCCCCTGACGACGATCTGAGGGAGCTCGGATGAACGTCACGTGGTGGCACAATACCTACCTGTACGAGCTGTGCCCATCTACGTGTGTTGGAAGTGTTGTCGCTCCAAACCCATGCGTGATGTGGACTTCGAGCGTTGGACGATGACTACTCGACGGCGTGGTGGCCTCTGTGAGCTGCTTTAGATGGTTAGCTGGGAAGGTTTCAGGGACACCACAGCGGTGACACAGGTAGTGTCGTCTGCGGCTGTTTGTCTACTGACGATGAAGACAGGTGAGCGAGGAGCACTTCGCCTGTGGCGCTTAAACCATGGGATGTAGCACGAATGGCTTGGGATTTGAGGGGTTGAAGCAAGGTGGGCTTGTGGGTAGGTGGGGTATGTGTTACAACATGACTGACTGATCGGGAGGGCCAAGGACAGACTAGAGTTACTTGTGCTGCTTTATGGCGACTGGATTCAGGGATTAACTATCCATCCTGGGCTATAAGTAAGTCTAGGGTCTTTGTAATGACGAAGCCCCGCGCCTGTATCCTACCTCCCCTGCTACAGACTGAAGTCAGTCGTCGGCCTTGGACATTGAGTCGTTTGCTTCCTTGGCTGAGCAGCGGCCGTTATGGATATATCAGCTATGATATCAGATGATACCGGCATAATGCAATACTATATTTCTTTCCTTACCCTTGCCTTTCGGATATCCTGCCGAGTTCGTCCCGAGAAGGTTCCCGGGTTCGTTCGTTAGTATGGAAGTTATTGTGCTTTCTCCTTGACATTTACCCTTCATGGGCCCTAATGATTACTGTCTCTCTTCTTATTTCTCACTTCTGGTTTGATGCTTAACGCTTGCATGCCGCTGTATCGTTCATTCGTTCTTTGGGGTTGCCCACTTGTTCAATTTCGCCTGAGCATATTTTGCCGGCTTTTGTATGTCTGGCTTTCTGTACCTATTCCCTCATCGAACAGAACACTTGGTATTGTTCGTTAAGTTCTATTCAGATTCCGGTTCAGTTCGACTTTGTCCGCACCTCACGGAGAGTATACCTACGGACAACTGGAGAGATTTTGGTCTATGAGATCCGCGCCTGTTACCTCGCCGCCTCTGGACATGCTGGGCAACACATTCTTTTGACGAACACTCAATTCCTTATACTGCTACTGGCAAGCTTAATCTCGTGGCGAATTGCAGAGTTCATTGATCGATTGTTACTTTTTCTTTATCACATCATATGCTATCAAGAGGCCGTTTTGCTTGCCACAGGTTGAAAGCTTCAAGTACATCAGCTTGAGAGAAGAACGGAACAGATTAATAACGATACAAATCATTGGATGTCATTTGGCAGTCTCATACCGCCCGGAGGGGGTGGTTGGCCATTTTCAACTGTTACGCCACAACCACTCCCTCCCGCCCCTGGCCTCCCGACTACCATGTCACCACCAATACCAATACCAATCCCAACTTCAGTCTCTTCAGGAGTATCTACATCCACCCTACCACCAAAGCCTACAGATTTTACAGTCATACTTCCATTTCCACCCCCAAGTTCTACAACTGTCACCTCGCTTGTCACAATACAGCCAACAAGCATCACAAGGGTCACAATGACAAATATATCCACAAATGTCATCTCTACTGTGACTGAAATATCAACCACACTCTCCCTCTCCATCACCGCCATCCTAAACCCAGCCGCAACTTCAGAAATAGCTGGCCAATCCTCACTCCTCCGGTCAAATGCCTCACTCTCGCGTACCAACATCACTGTCTCGCTCATCCTCGGCACGCTCTCCCTCCTACTCATCGCTGTAATATTCGCAATCTTGATCCTCTACATACGTCGCCGGAGGAAGCATTCGGACTCAGATGACGAAAGTCCACCTTTTACATCACTTGCTCCTCGACCTGGGCCAAATTTCACTGCTGGGGGGTTGAACTTCACGGGTAGTGCGTCCGCGCCGATTTTGCCGCCGAGTCACATGAGAGAGACTAGTCCGAGCATGGGTCCAAGGGGTGGTACAGCGGATAGTAGTAGGAGGGCATTGGCGGCGGGGTTGACTGTTGGTGCAGCTGCTGGAGCAATACCAGGTCCAACTGTTAGTACACCCCGGAGAATGTTCTTTAGGAGTTTATCGGCGCCCGTCGAGGCTCCTATGCTGTCCCCTAGGAGACCAGCATTTAGATATTTCACTGCACTTGGCTTGCCAAGTATGAATCTTTTTGGGAGACGTCCGAGTGCGACACATAGTCCAACGCCGAAGGGGAAGAAGAAGGGCCCTAGGAGTAGCGTCGAGACTTCCCCTTCGGAAGCAGCTACGGCTGGTGTTGATTATGCCCCTATATTTGAGCCTAGACCGAGTATAGACAGACTTGGGAGCGATAGACCAGCGTTGGCGAGGCACAGTAGTATGCCGCTTTATCATGAGGCTCTGAGAAGTCAGGCTGAGATGGAGAGGGAGGCTAGTCGGAGAGCAGAGGCGGACAGGCTGGGATTACCGGTTATTGCCGTGCAGAGGAGTGGTGCGAGGTCGGATAGTTCGGGGAGTAAGATGTTTGAGGAGAGAGTGGAGAGAGGGTGGAGTGAGGGTAATGCAGAAACTGGTCATGCGGTTGAGGAATTGGCGGAGGAGAGCCGTAGCAGTGGTGATATAGATATAGAGATGGACAGGAAGGCTGGGCTAGATGTTGAGGGTCGGAATGGTGTTGATAACGAACGTAGCGGTGTTCTGCATAGCACCAGAGCTAGTAGTGGGGTATTTCCCGAGACAGAGAGGGCGCTGTCGGAGAGGAGTGAGATTGATGTATATAGTTAGTACTTAGGCTTGGTTTTGTTTGGGAAACTCTCAGTCTTGGTGTTGGCGCATGCGAGGCGAGAGTTACCTATTCCAGCATCGTCGGCACGCCACTTGTTTGCTAACGAACAAAACAAATAACAACGAGAAGAGGCAACACCCAAAGATTTGAATAAATAATGCAACAAAACGACGCTGGAGGAAGAAAAGGATATGCATAATGTCCCGGCGTGTATTCGCGCGTCTCTGATTAGCAGAACGAGATGAATGATTCACTCTGAAGACAGAGGTGCCACGGCTTGATGCTATGAGAAGATACCCAAGAGCATGTTAGATGTGCACTAGGCATTTGCTACAAGCTTGTATGCTGGTGCGACAAAGGCATGACCATTCATTGATGAGCATGGCGAAGAGTCTTTTTATGTTTACAGAATGGGTGGAAACATGGGGCGGAACGAGATGGATGAAACAATTCATTTCTTTGGTAACTGCTCTGAGATAAGAAGATAAATGGACAATTCAGAATGAGAAAATCTATCCCATCTATTGCTTATTCTTGCATTCTTTGACAGGAGCAAATCCGGATCGTACTGATGCTGAATAATCGAATGAACATGTCTTAATCAAGAGAGTGTTCTTCTGGACACCCACATGGAAGTCATATTCACCGAACCGACTTGACCTGTGACAAAATAGTTGTTATACTGCTGACATAGTGGTGACTACTCTACGGCTGGACGAGTTCACACCAACAAAAACAGCCCAAACCCCATTTCAAAGTGGTATGCGCATCAATCGGACACGTATGCTAAAAGAGAGATACGTTGCCCGACGGATCTGCTTCCTTGAAACATCGCACAACGTGTGGGATCAAAAAGTAGGCTATTGCTGTACTGCGCCAAAGAACACAAGGCTCTGTGGAAATTTTGTACAGCATGATGGGGAGTGGTTTTGGCATCGTTGAGTTAGGGCAAGGAGCTCGCGATGCTGCTCAGGACCCGATCGGAGCAGCACGAATTTTCTCATAACAATCGTCTACATATCATCTCGTGTAGGAGAGATATATAACATGAAATGGCAGCAATGGAGCATGTGCCTTGGAATGGCTTGGCAATGAAAATGCTATGCAAAAAATGCACGCGGTAAAATCCATGTTTATTTCACATGTCGGGAAAATGTAAACAATACCAGAAGTAAGTGGAAGTCGTATAATATGCTGTCAGAATTACCCACAATCTATGCAAGACAAAGACAAGAGTGATTTCAAGTGCGAAAGACAGCGGAAACAGATTTCGGAGCGTGGGATGATTCAGCTCGAGGCTGGAGCATGTGCACGAAAATTGATAGATATCCTCTCAAACAATCCATCCCTAGCATTCACTCGATCCGGATTCACGTCATAGTAAGGCAGCTTTCTGAGCTCGACAGATTGTGCCAGTACCTCAGTGGTGATTGATATTGTATTGGCATAGGCACCTTTACGAAGTTAGTGGCCGCGTCTATGTTTGGTTGTACTGTAGTGGAGCAGCGACCAGCCCTGCCCTGCCCTGCCCTGCCTTCCGTACTGTAAGGCCAGGCAAAGCGAGGCCCCCAGGCACCGTATCGTGCCTCTATACCCTACCGAGTCCTCCCTCATCAGGCGTCCCGTCGCTATTCTACTGCCAAGACCCCGGGATTTGCGCTCGACCCGCACTGCACCCTTCCTCTCCCTCTTCCGCTCCCTCTCCCGCTCCCTCTCCCGCTCCCTCTCCCGCTCCCTCTCCCGCTCCCTCTTCGTCTCCCTTCTCTGCCCTGGCCTTGGCCCGCCCGGCTGGCGAAAACAGAACAGAAACTGAGCAGAACCGAACGCTGCAATAATTGATATCCTGCCCTGCCCTGCCTCTTCAACCCAACCCAACCCAACTCCAACTCAACTCAACACCACACCCTCGCCGTCAACTTCGAGTCCAACACCACTTTCGAACCCCCCTCCCCCTCCCCCTCCACGGCCGCACCATCACACCCTCGATTTACTGCTCAGCGGCCTCGATGTTGCAGTCCCCACGGCCCTTGTCCTAATCGCCCGCAGTCTGTTTGTTCCTGCAGCCTCGCCATCGTCAACTCCACCACGATACCCAGGAACCTTCCAGTTCTTTCGTGCTCTTTGCCTCCCCCTCCACCCCCCCAACGCGCGATTCAGAGCTGCAAAGGCAGCTCATCGGCACGACGTCTTCCACAAAGAAAAGAAAGCTCTCGCCGCAGACCGATAACAACCCCGACGTCCCACTGAGTTCCGTTGAAGATTCAGAATCACAGGCCAACGAAGTTCCACGATTCGAAATCCCCTCCCCTCCTGATACAGCCCTGCCACCACACATACCATCGCACCTACAGACCTCCGTTTCACTGGGAGCCGTCGACAACATATCCTCGGCGGCGAGCTCTCCAAGTGCAGCCTACGCCAGTCTCTCGCTGGAAGGCGAGAGAGGTGGGGATCCAGACGTTGCAAGAAATTCTTCCCTCGCACCCAACGACCAGGACGCCAGAGGACAGTCTCCCATTCGTCACTTCTCGCACAGGGCTATCATGGGAGGTGCCGCAGATCTTCCACAACGGTCATCATCGCCTTTGAAACGACGAGCATCGGATTTGGAGGCTGAGGGGTTTTCAAGTCAAAAGGATGATGTTGATATGATCATGGTCCCAGAGTCGGATCCTCCAGAGACTGCGAACGATACCCAGCCTTCTAGGAACAGAGCACGGTCAGTTGATATGCTGAGAAACGAGAATCAGGTGGATCGGGCAGCTAGCTCAAAGGATGGGCAAGGACAGACAAGTGAGGATTCCGCAAAGTCCAGTGAGTGTTTGCTATTGCTGTTCAAGATCTTGGCCTCTTTCGTGTCCACAGACACTGACTAATTACCACAGACGTACCATCCATTGACTGGCAAATTACTACTATCACTTCCATGATCGAAGCTTGGAGACAAGAGAAGCTCACAGAGGGAAAGAATGCGTTCCTGGTATCGACTCGTTGGATGGAGAAGGTTACTTCTCGAGGCACAGAAGCCAGAAAGAAGAGTAAAGTTGAACCTGACGGGGAAGTCGGACCAATTGACAATTCAGACATTGTCCAACAAATTATCAAAGATTACACCGGCCAGGACTTCGTTCAGCTCAAGCCTGGAGTTGGCATGGGCGACTTCATGCTTTTCGGCCCGGATTCTTGGGGACTCATAGTAGAGTGGTACGGTCTGATGCCGGGATCGCTACCCATCGAAAGATTCGCCCACAATACAAGCCAACCGGGAGCTGAACCAAACTTCTTGTTTGAATTCAACCCCCCGGTCTTCACTATCCACCGCTTGCATAAGCAGGGAAGTCCTATCTTACTTTCACAGAAACTCAAAATTGAAAATCCTAGTGCTCCTGTGTTTGTGCTCAGCACTTCCACGAAATATGTCGACTTTCTCAGGCTGGTTAAGAAGTCAGCACAAATCGAATTGAAGACCAAGGTGCGGGTTTGGACTGTTCCAAGACTACAGCCTGCTGCGGAGCCCACTGCTGCAGTAGCAAACACAGCTACGCCTCCTTCATCGAGACCTGGCTCACCAGTCAATGGTGATGTGTCTATTTTGGACCCACGCAATCCTCAAGACTCTTGGACAAAGCTCCTCCTTGATGTACCCACATTCTTCAAACTACAGAAACCTGTTCAGAGAGATCTACTTCCCGAGCCGGATCACTCGGCCAATTTGAACTACAACGGGAGCATGAATCTTGCCTTGTGCGGCCTTGCCGCTGATCAGAACATAGTATTGGAAGAAGAAGTCAAGAAAGGCACATTTTTGACAGGCTTTAATCCTTCACAATCGAAGGCAGTATCTACATCCTTGACTCGCACGACAGGTTTCAATATGAATGGATCCAACAGTCAATCCAACAGCGGCCGCAGTAGTCCAACGCCATCCGGCCCTATAACTCGAGGGCGAGCACAAAAGTCGAGCAGAACGCAAGGAACTGTCGGTCTGAGCAACCTTGGAAATACGTGCTACATGAATTCTGCATTGCAATGTGTCCGCAGTGTGGAGGAGCTTACCAAGTATTTCTTGTCAGGTTGTGCCATGATGGAATTAAATTCAGACAATGCACTGGGCAATAATGGAGAAGTCGCAACCGCATACGAGAGATTGTTGCATGAAATTTATAGAGAGCCAACACCAAATTGCATTGCTCCTCGAAACTTCAAAGCCACCATTGGTAAATGGCGAGCCCAATTCGCTGGGTATGGCCAGCAGGACTCACAGGAGTTTCTGGGATTTCTCCTCGACGGCCTTCAAGAAGATTTGAGTCGAGTAAAGAAGAAGCCATATATCGAGAAGCCAGATTCGACTGACGAAATGGTCAACAACCCCGAGGCCATTCGAGAGATGGCTGCAAAGGTTTGGGATATTACCAAGAAGCGCGACGACTCGGTAATTGCAGATTTATTCACCGGGATGTACAAATCAACACTTGTCTGCCCGACGTGTTCTAAAGTCAGCATCACATTTGACCCATTCAACAATTTGACACTCCAATTACCTATCCATAGCTCCTGGCATCACAACGTCTGCTTCTATCCACTCTACGACAAGCCTGTCGTCATTTCTGTCGATATTGACAAGAATGCAAGCATCTTAGGCTTGAAAGAGTTCATTTCGAAGCGTGTAGGTGTACCTGCAGAACGCTTATTCATGGTTGAAGAGTTCAAGTCCAAGTGGTATAAGCACTACAGTGACTTTAATGTAGCATCGGAGGAGATCACTCAAAATGATACCGTTGCAGTATATGAGTTGGAAAACAAGCCTACCAACTGGCCCCCTCCGCGCAAGGCGAAGAAGAAGAGTGGCAAGTACTCCATAAACAACGACTCTGAAGAAGACGAGGTTCCGGATTGGGATGATGAAATCGCTGAGCACATGCTTGTTCCCGTGTTTCATCGCCGTCCCAAACCAAAAGATGGTCAAAACAGATTCTCACCAAAGAAACCTTGGGAGTTGACTGGGGTTCCGCTTTGTATCATGCTCACACCGGATGAGGTACGTTACCAATCTCCTTTCCCTACCTCAATTCGGCTGACATATTTGCATTAGGCTCGGGACATGGACACAATTCAACGTAAGATTCTCGAGAAGATAGCCAACTTGACAACCCACAAAGATTTTCTCGATGACCACGATGTCGAAGCCAATGCTGCCGATGGGATTGATGCAGATATCGTACTTACAACAGGCTCTGATGCTGATTCCTCAGGAGACAGTAAAGTCGTTGCCAACTCCATTGATGGCGAAGATGAGCTTGTTGACGTGACAATGAAAGAAGCTGCAGCAAATCCTTACCCTCTCGAAACTTTTAACAAGCGCCGGCCTGCATTCATGACTCTCGGGTCTCATCTCGAGCCATCTCTACAGAATCTATTCAAGCTATCCTACTTCTCAAATGGCAAGGAGATGATTCCCACTGGATGGTCAACTGTGGACGACGAGAAAACTTACCCTAGCCTTTCTTCACGAATTCAGCGTCAAGATAGTGATTCAATCGATGATTCCGATGCTGCGGGTAGTCCAACAGGTTCGGAGAGTAGCAATGGTATAAATGTGCCAACACGAATGAATGACGAATCGAGCGAAGAGGATGATGATAACATTCCTGCGGTGGCACCCCAAGTAAGTTTTGCAATGTCCCATTGACATCTCCCAAACAGAATTCATCACTCCATTCGCAAGAAATGCAAAGTTTTTTGACCGAAGACTAGATTCTTCCTGTCCGGCCGGCTGCACCAAAGTCTGGGGTCAGCGTAGGTCACAATAGGCGTCACAATAATCGAATTAAAACTTACTCAAAGAAGGGCAATCGGCCGGAACGCAGATTCCCATCTCACGAGGAAGTCGACCAAGATGCTCCCGACAACGGACCTCTTGTGCGTCTCGGTGACATGATAGTGGTGGATTGGTACACTGAAGCGTGGGAAGCATTATTCGCCGGCGAGAACCTTGATGACCTGCGAGGTATGGCAACCTGGGACAGCCCAAGGATTCTAAAAGATGCAGAATTGGAAGCCCTTCAAGCATCGCGTTCGCTTCGGAGAAAAAATGGTATCACGCTAGACGATTGCCTTGACGAGTTTGGGAAAGAAGAAATCCTTTCTGAAATGGATACCTGGTATTGTCCTCGATGCAAGGAGCACAAACGCGCCAGCAAGAAGTTCGAGTTATGGAAGTCACCCGACATTCTCATTATGCACCTCAAGCGTTTTAGCTCAAGTGGATGGCGCCGAGACAAATTGGATGTCCTGGTCGACTTTCCTATTGATGGCTTGGACCTCAGCTCACGGGTTATCGAGACCGAAGATGGCAAACAGGAGCTCTATGACCTCTTTGCTGTCGACGACCACTGGGGAGGACTTGGAGGTGGCCACTACACTGCCTTCGCAAAGAATTATAGGGACAACGAGTGGTATGAGTACAATGGTAAGGAAACTAGTTTCTCTTTCGACAAATCACTTACTAATAGCGTGTAGACGGTTCTGTTGCGAAGCAAAAGGATTTGTCCAGAATTGTTTCGTCCAGTGCATATCTACTCTTCTACCGACGAAGATCAGATATTCCACTTGGTGGGCCAAGAATTGCGCAGATAGTACGAGATTTTGACAACGACTTGTCTCAGGGCTCTGATGACGATGCTTCTGATTCGGGGGAAGGCAAGGGCCTCGTCGGAAACTCCTCCCTAAATGGGTCGTCGAGCGCTTTGATCGGAGTAGGAGCAGCTCGCCATCAACAAATTCCTGGTTTCCCTGGCGAGCAGATGATGACAATTGATCCCTCAACTCTTTCACAGGTCCCTGAGCCTGGCTATGGCTCTGGTGCCCTTCAGCCAAGTATCGAAGAAGATGAAGGCATCGACATGCGCGACGAACGCCCGCCAGCGTATAACGAATCTGAGTGGGGCAAGAATGGCTTCAGTAACCTAAAGAATCTTGACCGTCAAGGTTATAACCAGAATTCAAGAGCAGGCTCAATAGCTGCAAGCGACGATGTCAATCATGGCTCATCCCCAGATCGTACATCACTTGACGGACGTTTGAATGAATTTGCCAATGCTGATGCAGAGGGAGATGACGGGCCATTCATTGATCCAAGCCCTGTCCCTGATATGGATGACACCGACATTGCAAATACTGTTGCTCTCCAACACGACATCTACGACACTCTTGGTGCTAATTCACTGTATCGTCAAAGACCTGAGTACTCTGTAACTGCAGTTGAGGACGAGCCTCTTGAAATTGAGGAGCCAGTAACGGAAATTCATCTCAAGGATAGTGACGAACTAAAGATGGACTGAGACTTGAGGGGTGTTGACATGTTGGCGGTCTGTCTTTGCAATGTTTTGCCCGCTTGGGCAATTGACGAAGGAGTTTGGGCGGGTGATGTATGATACATGCGATTGCATGCCGGTGTGCTGCAAGTCAGCCTACCTTGCCATGGTTCCGTATATAACAAAAGGCCACACGAATTATGGAGTGCACGCATGGGGCGGGATCACCTGCGTGATGACTCGATGACATCTGTGCATTGCGATGATGTATCCTAGACCAGAGATACTGTATGCAAATAGAAGCATTCCTTTAGACTATTCCACGATCCTTATCACTGGACTTTAGGATACTCGGTTCGTTCCCTGAGCGCTATATAGCGCTTCGAAAATATAGCAAATTGCGAGCCTCCTTTCTTCATTTGCCGACTTCCGGCAAATGACCTGAGCACATCCGAAATGCCTATCTTCATATCCCATTTCAGCTCAGGTCATTTTGTCCCCACCATCGAAAAGAGCTCTTTGGGGTAGCCAAGTCGCATAGCTTGCGACAAGCTTCGCACTTTTACACATGAAATAGTATCTGAACACAGAGTGAAATCAACCACTTGGTATCCCGCTCTTTCCACACTTCCCGCTCTACATCCGCCGTCACCCGCTGGAGCGCCGAGTCGGTGATCGCCATCAAGAAGCAACATAGCATTAAATGGATTCTTCAAGTAGCTGGTACCTTGTCTCCTCCACTTCACTACTCCTCCTCACTCACTTCCTAACTCTTCGTCCTCACGACCAATCATTTGGGGAGCAGTATTAGTATAACCGGCCTCGAGGATTCGGCTTCTCCTTGATCGACCCACGCTGCAATACAGCCGTTTGCACTTATGGTCGATGTTCTATGGATGGAAGAAAATAAAAAATAAAACCGGCCCCGCCCAGTACGTGGAGCAAAACAGAAAACTCTATCTCGATTCTGGTCGCGATGGCTAAATTATCCTGGAAGAGCTGCTACTTGTGGATACGGATTGGTAAGTCCGATCTGACAGCTGGAAAATCTCAGATCGCATGCAGTGGTCCTGGTCCTTGTCCTGGTAATAGCTCGATCTGACGCTTAAGAGGGGAACGCTTGGAATCTTACCGGGTCATCCCCAGCTTTCACCAAGGATCTGGCAGTGCATTGGTGTACTTTTGCTTAGCTGGAGCCTGGAGATGGGGATTGCAGGCGTGGCGTCGCATGGTAGTTCAGGGTCCACTTTAGGCGAGCCGGTCTTTTGAGAGAAAATAGATCTGAAAGGCGATATTGGGGAAACCCCAGTACTTGTATTTCGAGGGTGATGCTTGGACGCAGTACTGTGAAGGAGGACAATCTGCTGACTTCTGTGGCTACGAGAAACACCAAAGTCACAAACAAAAACGAAACAGAATCCTGGCTTGGTAGATATAGATCCCTCACCGTTACCCTATGTCATATGATCTCAAATCAGACCTTGATCCACTGTTTGGGCTGTTTCGTCCGGCTGAACCCCGTTTGTGCAGACGATACCTATACCGCAGATCTTTGCAGTCCCACTGCGGCTGAAGCATCAAAGTATAGCCTGGAATCGTGGTGGAGACATAAGAGATTACACCTAGCATTGTTGCACAGTGACGTGCTGACAGCCAATGGTAGCAGAGTTGAGAGCCAGGAGTTCCACAAATCACAAGATACACAGACTATGCAAGACCCAGAGAGTTCTTAACCCTAGGTGTATTAAAATCAATATTGGATCAAAAGCCAAAGTACCGAGTTGGGTATCAACAATCCCATGTGCCTACACCAAGGAATCTACCAAACCTCGACTCCAGCAATGAATGAGCCTCGCATGCCCATGGCTAAAACACAATAGGGTAGGCAAGGATGACAAGATCGCAAGTCTTCGCTCTCATCTTTTGTCTTCCTTTTCTATTGTGGGTATGTCTCATCACTACCCATCCCAGAAGAGTGCGCAAACATGCATGCAGAATCGTGTCCTTTTTGTTGAGTAAAAAAACCGAACAAAAAGCTGAAACGGGGCAGTCGTACGATTTACAACTTGGAGTCTATCTCCTCGAATTCGGAAATGTGCTTGACTGGTTGGGGTCCGGCGCTGACTTGTAGTTTCGACTTGAACTCTCGGACGTCGGTAATAACATATGGTATTGTGCCATTGCCTTCTGGCTTGACGTCAATAGCTTCACCATCCTCTTGATCCTTGTGGTCCTTGTTCAACCCTAGCACCTTGATACCCTTATCAGCAACATTAGCAACGGCCGTCTGGGCGTTGAGGTGAATCGCAAGCTTCGATCTGAGAGGCGAAGATGGAAGGATGAAGTGATTATAGAATTCGAGCATATCGGGCTTGGTGAGAGTTTTGATGATCGCGGTATCTTCGTAGACTACGATCTTGTTAGTAGAAATTGGACAAGGGAGGAAATAGATAGCTTACCCAGCTCAAAGTCAAGATACTCGCTGTCGATGTACGACCAAAGCCGACCAGATTCTTGATCCAAGTTCTTCAGCTTCTCTAAACGCTTCGTAATCAAGCTTCGCTTGTGGCCTTCGAAATCACTCTCAGACATCTTCTCAAGGGTATCCTTGAAACCATTCAAGAATGAGTCAATCCTGGACTCTAAATATGCAGCATCTTTCTCGCTCTGTATGATAAATCGGTACCCGATGGTCGTTGCGGAGGTACGAGCTCCACTGAATACAACATAGCCGAGTTGCTCCTTGGTCCTTAACTGATCAAAAGCCGGTTCGTGGGTCATCTGGTCAAGAAGAAGTGTCTTCGCCCTCAAAGGACGGACCGACTTGTCCCCTACGAACAAGAGATATTCAATACAATGATTGACATTCGCTGGATCCTTCAAGGTCTTGTGATAGATGAAATTTGCGCCAGGTGGGAAAACCAAGGCACGAGCAACAGGCCATTGTGTTTGGGGAAGAGCTCTTGGCTTCAGCGTTGTCTCGATCAAGTTGCTCAACTTCAGCGCATCCTCTTTATACAAGTTCCCATGTACGAAAGTCTCGATGTGCATCTGTCGCAAGAGATGTGGATAGAACTGTTGAATGTCGGCTGCTGTGAGATGATGTAGCTCTGCGAGGATTTGTTCATTGATGTAGCCTTTCTCGCTGTTAAGCCATCTGGTGTAATCGCCAACCTGGTTGTATGGCTGCTGGAAATCCCAGTTTTTTAAGCCTCGAAGTAATCGCTCTTTGATAATCTCGAACCGGTCCGGCTTGACTTCCAGATCTCTCATAGTCAGGAGCACCTTCTCTAGAAGAACGGGTAGTTTGTCATTATAGCCTGAAACAGCAATCTCAATACCCGTCGAATGGCTAGATACGGAGTAATCGAGACCTGCGAGTTCGGCATCGTATGAATACTCCTCCAGAGCGTCTCGAACAACATCAGTGTAAAGTTTTGACTTCAAAGAATTCTCGGCTGTAGCACTTGGAAGAGTGTTTCGGCAATTGACGAAAAGGTTGGCTTTTGGTACCCAGAACTGATCGTCCTTCTTGTACCACGTCCGGACCAAGTCGTCGTTTCGGATGAGCTTTGGAGCAATCGCTGGCTCCTTGATCTCCTTCTTTTCGACCTCAAGTTTGGTAGGAATAAACTGGTTCTCATGGGGCAAGTGCAATTCAGCAAAGCGGTTTTTGGAGGTGCTGGTTGCGGCAACCCTAATCTCGGCTAAGAAATCTGCGGGTATCTTCTCATAGGTGTACTCGGTCCCATACCACTTTTCCTTGTCATTCCACGATCCGGGGAAGTTCTGGGACACAACACTCATGCGAAAGTTATCCGGTCTCAGACATGCAAGCCCCTCTTGGATCCTTGCAGGATCAAACTTCCGAAGTCTAGCCACGAGTCAGTGCTCTGCATAATCAGGATTCCCGTCCACGTGGTTCCCCAAGTCACCGTTGGGGTAAGATGGGATTGAGACTGACCTGCTGTGTCCGCTGAGGAGCCATTCCCGAGGCAGTGGTGTCTGCATGACTGCGCTTATCTTGCTTGTGAACCGGCTGGCTGGTGTCTTTTGCTTGAACTTAAAATCCACATCGGCTAGCCCTTTCTGCTCCTCGAAGATCCATTTCTGAGGTGGTGTCTCCCGCAAGAGAGACACGTATTGGAAGAAAACTTTAACAATCTCCTTGTAGTTCTTCAATCCATATTCCGTCAGCCTAATCTGGCAGTTGAATACTCCTGGTGTACCAGGACAGACTGGGTATGCCCCTGTGAGGATTGAATTAGCTTATTTCAAGATCCACAGGGTCCAGCTGGAAGGGCTTCATAATGGATGGGTACCCTGTCACGACCCAGCTCACTATGCTCGAGAGCTCGAATAGAGAAAATTTTGGTAAAATCGCATGTAACATCCAACGTACCTGCACTGAGACCATTGGCCCATCCCTTGGACTTGATGAAAGACATGATGCTTCCAGGTCCTTCGTGACCAATTAGATGACTGATATATCGGCTTGGCTGCGATTCAAACAGCAATTCTTCGTCTATGAACGGGAACGAGAGATCCAGTTGCCTGGAGTCCATTACTGGCTTTGCGAAGCATTGGGTCAATAGATCCTTCTCCCCAAAAGGCTGCTCGTCTTCCCAGCGGTTCTGCGGCAAGTCCTTATTCCTCACGCCAGCAAATAGATCTGCAGCCCAGCCTTCCAAAACATCCAAAGATTCCCGGCCCAGCACGACCAGCTTCATTCTGTTCGCTGAGTAGTGCTTGGCATGGAAATCCATGAACTTCTGTCTAACATCGACTCCCCTTGCCTCTGGTTGTGTCTTCAGAACCTCAAAATTCCCTGTAGAAAAGTGGCAGTATGGATGCTTCGGATTCGAGAGAGACTTTTCCAATTGATGTAGCCGCCATTGGTCGCTTTGCAGGTTCTTCTTATTCTCGGAATCTACTGCCCGTAATTCTCGTTCTAGAGTCGATGGAAGGAAGAGAGGGTCTATAAAGAATTGTGCGAATCGATCCAGAGCTCCATACAATGGTGATGACTCGTCCGCCTTTGCATCTTCTGCTTTCTTTGCCGCAACTTCGAAATAGTAGTTTGTAGACGTAGCTCCGGTGTATGCATTCGAGCTTCCAGAGTGGGAAGAGAGGTATTGGGAGTATGCATTTTCAACTGGATACTGTGACGATATTAGCATCTGCTTGCATGAAAGGCCGGTTCTGCTCTGCCCATAGCTGCAGAGGTTTGGCAGGGCTCCAGAACCCATATAAAAGTTCCAGCGAAAGAATCTGTTGTGTTTCACGTACCTTCTTAGTTCCCATGAATAGCAAATGTCTACAGAGGTATTAGCTATCAAGTCCCAGGATACATCGGCTGGGGGCTCATTCTCTACTGCGTGGGCCATGCCCGGGAAATCATCCTCATCGCTGAAGTTGCCAACGTTGACATCCATAGCAGCAGAGGCCTTGTCGGTTTCCGCATCGTGGACCAGGAGCACCTCCAGCTGATTCGGCAGTCTCACAACCCTATAACTGCGGTTGTCGAGAGATGGGGTCTCCAAGCTGTCCGTGAGCCTCTCGACTGGCCGATGTCTGTGCTCCCTCAAGGGACTATCGAGCGCAGCCGGGGTTTGTGGTTGAGATAGAGTTGACATGGCGGCCGATTTGAACAATGAAGAGCCACAGCGTGGCAAAGATGTGAAAGCAGAAGGACGATGAAGATATGCTGTTGAAGAACTAGCTGAAAGTCTAGTGAGCAGTCTTGGTAGGCAGACCCCGCCTAGCCTGAGAGATATCTGCCGCTGAGCTTCCTTGGTGGACGAGGAGTGGGCTAAAGGCTGGGATGGGACAGATGGCGACGAGGTCTGTGCGAAGACGGAGGACGGGAATGAGCTGCAGGAGGGGAATAGCGAGGATGCAGAGGAAGAGGAAGAGGAAGAGGAGGAGGCAGAGGCAGAGGCAGAGGCAGAGGTCGTCGGTCGGACCAATCTATGGCAGGCCCGTGAATGGTGCAGACTTAGACGCGGAGACCGCAGAAGGTGTCCTGTCATGAAGGTGTGCGTGCGCGGGATGGTGAGGTGAGGTGAGGTGAGGCGAGGCGAGGTGAGGTGAGGTGATGTTGTCGTTTGCCGTTGCAGTTGCAGGTGCAGGTGCAGAAAAAGCAGATGCAGGCGGCGGCTACCTGGACAACAAACGATACCTCGATACGTTAGGTCGCAGGCAATTCTAAGCAGGTGATGTCCCCAGAACAAGGGCAAGGGCAAGGGCAAGGGCAAGGGCAAGGGTACCTAGGTACAGCGCAGCGCAGTAATACCTCCGCACAGTACAGTATTTTGCGTGGAATAACGCAAGCCGGGATGGAAGAACGGAAAGGGCCTCGGGAGGCAATGGAATTGGAACAGGGGGAGGAAGTGGAGAGTGGAGAATGGAGAATGGAGCGGAATATTATAGGTAGTGGAGAGGAGAGGGGAGGGGAGGGGAGGGGAGGGGACGGGAGGGGAGGGAAGGGAAGGGGAGGGGAGGGAAGGGAAGGGGAGGGAAGGGCTGGTTTGGATGCGAGCGATTGAAGTCAGAATTGAAGACGTCCTGTCCTGTCCTGGCCTGTCCTGTCCTGTCCTGTCCTATCCGGGCATGTCCCTGTTGCCCCCTCTCGCGTCTCTAGACTCAATTGCTTGGTCCGAAAAGGAGTACGGAAGTACCTAAACTTGGCCTTGATTCGTTTGATTCCACTTGATCTGTCTTGTCTTGACTTGACTTGATACGACCCGACCCGGCTGGACGTGGCTATCGTGCGGACTGGACTCGACTTGCTGCCCCTGCCTGCACTACTCGGACTCAACTTGCTTGAGAACTCCTCTTCTCGTTGAAGACACAGCAGCTGCTCAGCCCTGGAACCTTGCCTTTATAAAGGTATGTTGTGCAGCGATTTGCGATGGATCAGTCAGTCTGTGCTACCGAGTCCTTGTTGAGGAGGTCGCGTTCGCCTGGTTCGTTCGTTCGTTCGTTCGTTCGTCCGTTCGTCCGTTTAACAGCTGGCTCACGAGATGTTCAGTTGCAGCAGTTGTAACATTGGTAGGGGATTGGGCCTCCAAGAGGGTTGGATAGGGCTCTATGGCGGCAAGAGGGAGGGGGAGATGAGCAAACGACGGAGAAGGAGATGAGAGAAAGAATGAGAGGAGCGGTGAAGTGCGTCGGGAGTAAGTCATGTATGAAGAATCTGTGAGTGTCGTCTCTTCCATGGGTGCGAATTACATTTATCCTTGCCGATACGACCCAACCTGGGCTATAACGTTAAAATGCCCGAGTTGAACTTACAAAGATGATGCTTGAATTAGATTGCAAAGTAACGCAAAGAAAGCTCAAAACAAAGGTGTTTCAAGGTACACCCACCAACCGGGGGAGAAATGCAGCGTTTTCATTATCATTCTCATGGTCTAGATACTATTTATACTGTCTATTTTCAGTCCCTGTTTCCAACAACAAAACATGAATCGGAGGCCATTAGTGTAGCAAGCCGTCTGGGCCCCCATTGCCCCATTGCAGGGGGTGGTGGAGAGCACGATGAGATGAGATGTCAGACGGTTCTAAATGAGCGCTCGGCGTATCATCCTTGGGATAGAAGTAGAAGTAGAAGAGACACTCTCTGGGATTTGGCACATGCGTAGGACCTACTCGAACACGACCACGACAGCCTTAAAGTGATACCTTAGGTGCCACCCAAATACAGCACGGTGCGGTGCATTGCAAAGTGTATCGATTGTGATAGACTAGATCGTCAACTATGCCGGAAAGATTATACCCTGGTAAATGGAATAACTTGCGCATGCGAGGTGGGTCATGAGTAAGGTAGTGGCTGTTTGCATAGGTATGCATTATGGTAAGTTAAGGTATGAGTATGTAGGTATCAGGCAAGAACAACATGTTCCGGTTGTCACAAGCATCCTCGCCAAGCAAGAGCTTGCGGCAACATTCGCTTGCTATTTCTGTTCCTAAAGTAGAGTAGAGTAGAGTAGAGTACTGGCAAAAGCAATGGTCTATCTGGCCTGATAAAGAGAGCTTAAGGTATTATAAGTATTCACTACCCACATTCCATTCTCGGGCCCCGAACCGCGCGAGAACGTTGGCTCAAGGGTGTTCTTGAGGTCCAATTTAGCGAAACAACTTGGACTGCATGAACCATCTCTAAGTTCCAGTACCTACTGTAGAGGTAGGCTCAACGCTTTTGTCTTTCTTCCCCCCTCCCCGCGACCATCTGCATTCTGCTTTGCTAATTGTATCTCGATACCCACAGGCGGCATTGTTCTTCAGATCTCATGCTTCTATTGGTCACCAATGGGATGTTAAATGCTTCCTTTGCTCTCGTGTCAGGTCAGCACAGGAGAGTGGCAGACTAACCCACGACTCAGTTGTGACGGCTCACTAGAAACCTTCTAGAACCAGCTTGGAACGCCCCAGCGCCGCGGTTTCTGACCATTCCAACCATCCTCCCTGCCTCCCTGCCTCCCTGCCTCCTCCATCATCCCAACTCTAGGCGAGAGCACGGCTGGTGGCGATCCGGGACTGTTACAGTACTTAGGTGTCTGATCTCCAGCCAGGTCCCACGAGGAAAGTCTGGGATGTGTCTCACGGATTTGGCGAGTCAACACGTCCAGCGAACTTGATAAGGTTTACGACCCCCATTCTTCCTGGTTCCGGGGAGAACGGAATGTAGGTATGGCCTCGTTCCTCTTACCCCTCCCCAGCACAATTCTCATTCTCTCAAATTTTCCTTCATTCAAGATGTACTAGTTTGTCATTCTTTTTTAATAATCCACCACGAGCCCTCGCATAATCTCAATTTTTTTGACTTTCTTCCCTGACGTTAGCGTACCATACTTTGTCTTTTTTTGATTGCGTTTCTGGCGGTACTTTCACATACCAGGTTTGACTCGGCGGTTATTGCAAGGACTGATTGAGTGGTTAATTCAGCTTACTGTAATTTACATGCAATGTAAATCTGTATTACTAGGTCTGGCTCGCTAGGCTTGTTACCGCGGCAGCTAGTCTTCAGCTTCACCTGAGCTGCTAGAGTTGCCGTCCACAACAATCTCAGACTTTCGCTCGAACCCGCTGAGAACCGTGTCTTGCCGTCCTTGGGGATCTTCGGTACTGTCTCCAATCCTTGTATCTCGCAAAATTGCCCAAAACGGTTTTTGAATGCTTTGCTCATCATTGCTATGCTGGATACCGCCTGCTACAGGCATTCGGAACCGAAGTCGTGCGGAGGGGACACAGGTTGGTTACTGGTGCGTTGGGGCTGGAAGGATAGTTCATGGTCATGAAGTCATGACAATGAGCGACCATCAGGCTCAGCCTCTCAGAAACTCAATATTTGCCTTTCAAGATCCAGGAGCTCACAAATTAAATGCTTGTCGGATGTCTCACCGGGATCCGAAATATCCAACCCTGGTAACTTATCTCTTGAATCTACATCTCCGAGCTGCTCCGGTTTTCAGAACGTTAAACCATGGGCATTTTGGCGATACCGTGGACATCCTCCCATGGATCCTAATGTGGATTTTCATAGTTGAGCTTTTCTCTAACCCTTAAATTATTTCAAGTTGCAAGATTCGCCGTTGCAGACCTGCAGTTGGGAATCTTATAGATCCAATGTAGTCAAGACTTCTGATTAAAACCTTTGCACTTGCGTAACTTACCGTTGGCTTCGTGGAGTTTTTGGTAACGATTGCGTGGTGGCATTGGGTTTTGCCCAGTCTCCATTTTTCCGATCAATACAGGGTGCCTTGTTGATGGAAAATGTATTGCTGTACATGCAATTGAAGTTGATTCGAAAAACTGGCACAAAAATGCCCCTGGTGTACTAGCTATAGTCTAAGCCATCCCTGGGATTCGTTTGGAGAGTCCTTTTTTACGCCTCTTCCCTGCGCCATCAAGGTGTTCCTTGTGGGAAAGCATGATATTTGAAGCAAGTGATGACAGGTTATGTTGAGGTAAATGATATCAGGATGAGGCCTAATCAGGATGTACAAAACTTGGGGCACCTGGAATCTGCACTTGTGCGGTTGTCATTTGAGCAAGTACTCTCAAGACCTTACAATTTCCAGAAGTAGTTAGAAGCAACATCCAAGGCTTGTGCATGGGTATCATCATCCCGTCTGCAAAAACCACTGGACATCAACGAATACGGAATCGAGTTTGAAGTACTAATACCAAGAAACGACCAAAGAGTCGATTTCGTAGAGATCCCAAATCTATATACAAGAAATCTATCCGAGGCACCGGGCCACAACTCTTCCAACCGGACCGAACCAGCATGCAATCCTAATCCTGCATTAGAACCGTTCTATATTCCCCAAATTTCGATTCCCAGCAATGATAGCTACAAGACGAGCATCCATGGACTCTCTAAGCAGGAGCAATGAAGGTCGATCCGATCGGTCCAACCTTGATATTGGAGAAGATGACCTGAGAGCTGGCAGCAGAAGCTTCAACCTCAGCGGGGACTGCCGAAGTCGTAGCACAAGCACCACGAGCAACGCCAGGAGTAGAGGCGTCCTTGTCCAGAGGGTAGTTGCTGTCGAGCCAAAGCATGTTGGCGGCGTAGTCGTCCCATATACTCATGACGAGGACCATGCCGCTTGCGAGCGCCTCACCCATCTTAGCCATGCCGCCGTTTGTGCCGAAGTAGTTGGTATCTCCGAAAGTGGACTTTTGAGCGGTGCAGAAATCATCAGTGATGGAATTCCCAGTCACGCCTGCGATGTCTGAGTCTGGTTGAGCATAGACAACGCCGTTTTGGACGTAGAATCGCTTGATCTCGGAGAGGGTGCCACTGGTGGATCCGTCGGAAGTGATGAATTGTGTCACGACGGTGACGGGCTTGTTGGTATCAATCGTCTTTCCAAGACCGTAGAAAGATGTGTTACCCATGCGGTATGGGTTGAAATCACATCCGTCTGCGTCGCATTCGCCAGTGTTACGAGTACACTCATCACCAGTGCACACGGTCAGCGCGTTGGTTTTGCAGGAATGCGGTGTCACGGCGTTGGCCATAGAATTAGCTTCCCACACATCCATCTCAGAACAGCAACTACCCTTGTTTCCTTTTCCGGAGTTGGCACTGTTAGAATCTGGCACCCAGCCCTCGGAGTTGGCCTATATGTGTCAGTTTGTGCCTTGTCCGAAGGTGCGCGGTTACATACAGAGCCATCAATGAACTTCAAGTCTCTTGGGCATTGAGCGTCACAATATCCAGTACCATATTTGGCACCAGCCTTGTTGGTAGCAGACATACCGCCGTCAGCAGCCATAGGCACAAAGTAAAGAGCACCATTCAAGCCACAAGGAAGCTTAGAGACGTCTACGTCGAACGTAAATTCCTGGCCAAGAAGGTCAAACTTCTTGTAAGTGGTCTCTGTGTCCATGAGATACGTGCGAGAGCCAACATTGCTTCCAGTCACGAATTTCAAAGTCAAAGCATTCCCAGAGGTGGTGATACCGTATGTGCCGGAGTAGTCAGCACCGTCAATAGCACAGTTGGCTACGCATGTAGCATCGTCCGGGCAGAGAGTCGCATCCCAGGTGTTGCCTGTATAGCAGTTCGTCGAACCCGACGTCGAGTGAGCCCATCTCCAGTTGGCATCGAGAACCACTTGATCGGCCTCTGTTGTGCATCCACTGGCGGTACAAGTTGAAATGCTCAAGGATGGATGAGTCTCTGCCTTAAGGGTACCGACCTGCTGAGCGCCTGCTCCGGCAAGGAAGGACGAAATAGCGAGCGCTGCTGCTGCGGAGATCATGATGAGGATCGTGTTTGAAAAGAATGTGCTCTGAGAGATGACGATAACGAAGCAAGCTTGATTGTATGAAACTGAAGGAGGATAGAGGAAAAATGGACAAGAGGAAGACTTTCATACCTACTTATATAGTTGATCCATGTCCTGCCACGGCCATTCTGGTCATTCGGTACATCGAAGATTTGTATGTCTTTGACATCAGCCTACTTTAACTGCTACCGATCATTTACCAAAAATCCGCTGATATGAGGGAATCGCCAATCGCCAAGTGGTGGAATAAACAGGCTGTCTCCCATCAGTGGACAAAAGGAGAGGCCTATCCAAACCCAGCGCTTCCTGCTGCTCTTCCCCTTTCATTATACTGAAAACAACAACTACCCGCTTTGTATATTAAAAAGCTATTTGGTAGGCCCGCAAAGCCGAAATGCCTACCTATCCCCTAAGCTGCCGTTCAGAACATACTTTTTCCAGGGTAGAAAGCTAGCGCGCATGCCCTGTACTACAAAGAACCTCGGAGACTCAGCGCCTCGCTTCAGCAAGGCGCCCTACAAAAGTGTGTTAATGGCAGCTCAGAGGATTAGTTCGTGGTTGGTAGAAGCTTGAAAAAAGGCACCAGAAACCGATTAGGCCGGCTCGGCCAGACAGCGGCAGCCCCCAATAACTAAAACGCGCGTCCCCCAAGATGCTTGTTGCTGAAGAGCGTCGATCCTGGGGATGCGGGGAGTGATCGCCCCTGATTTCCTCGCTTAAGGAGGAAACACCTCTTCGCAATCAGTTGACAGTGGTAGATCTCGGATCTAAGTTTTCAGAGACTCAAGAACAGGAAGTTGGGGAGGTATGTACACAAGCACCAAAGGGCATATATCCAGTGTTATTCCTTATTCCAAGACGGCTGAAGTCGTAAGAGCCTGCTCACGAGTTGCCTGTTTATGGGAAATTTCTCTTGGCCAGCTGGCGATAAGATATAAATCTCGGAATAAGGACAAGCATTCCAATATGAGGCGGCATGGACGAATTCGTTGGAGTGTTTCGTTTTGAATAAATGTGAGAAGATTCAAAACACCTGCGAGGATCAAGGCTCCCCTTTCTCATGCACATACCCGAGCTTCGGATCCGTGGAAGCAAGCTCCGTGAGGGTTTTGGAGAAGCTTCAAGATCATTTGCCGAGTTGGAACTGTCCGCCAAAGCGAGCACGGCTAAATCTGTTAAGTTTGCTCTTATGGTATACACTCAAGGCAAAACAAACTGCACCAAAACTTTGAGATGAACTTCTACTCCATGCCAGGCTCCTGGCTTTGCCCGTCGCCTATCCATGCCTGTCAACTTCTCATTGTTATTAGGATGAAATACTGCTCTGGCCTTTCTCCCTACTATGAAGTGGCAAGGACGCAACTGTAGACCGAGAGGATCCCAATCGATGGACGGAGTTATGTGAGATATGCTAGAATAATATGCGAGCTATCATATTTAGAAAGTGGTATAGATGTCATGAACCCTGAGCAGATTGATCAATAGTACAAGTAACATGCGTCAGAAATCGCTCAGTGTGCTGAGTTTATTCGATCAAAAGGCTCCAATAGCATAAACGAAACTAGTACTCAATTTGAAAGGAGAATTCATAGCCATGGGCAACCTCCCTCCCCTACTCGATCTACTTCCCGACTACTTCCCAACTATCCCAAAGTCCGACAGACCCCAATGCGACCAGCTTCGATCATGGAACCTCGACTCCTCGGCTTGAACTAAAAGCGCTGGATTCAAGATGTTAGATTCTTACAGAGGAGTAGCATCACTCGATCGTCCAATAAATGACGAAGATGTGAAGGTTTATGGAGTACATGGTGTCCAGGGTGACATTCTTACAGCTGTTGCATTTGCTACTGCCGAAGAATGGGACTATATCGTCATCCATCCGTACTTTTGCCTCTGTCTCGATTTGAAAATTTATTGATTCATGTAGCTGAAGGTCGAGAGGTTCACAGATCACATCTACGTTGAGGGGAGCATTATTGAGAATACCCTCTTCGAGTAATCACAGAGTATGTAGTCAGCATTACAGGACAAGACGAGGGGCGATATCAATTGTATTCAATTATCCCAGTTCAATATGGCCGACCACGGGAATCATCGGAACCATAGTACACGATGTCTACCCAACTGAAGCAAGCTGATTGGCTTCTACGAGCCAGATTTAGTGAGTACCAGCATTCCAAGTATGCTACATTATGCTATAATTTATAGCACAAGGGTCAAGATCCAAACGATGTAGATAGAGATACACGCAGGGTATGGCATGGTGGGCTTTGAGAAGGGAAAGGGGCCTAGCATTCTTCCGGCAATTGACCTACGTGTCTCGGCTCATCTCGTGCTGCCCAGTGGGAAACATTGTCAGTATCACAGATGCGTATAACTCAGGTATGAGGAAGCAACTAAGAGATCACTGGTGTGTCAAGTTGCTCGATGTGGTTGTCTGTTTCTGATGGAGCGATGTAATGCCAGATACGCATTTAATTCAAGCGAGGCTTTTCCTGTAACGGTAACTTGGCATCATTAGAGAGATTCTGCTGAATCATTCAGCTGAAAAGGATAAAAAGTTCAAATGCGTAAGATGTGAACAGATCAGCGAAGCCCCCAACGAATCGAAGTATCACATCTTGTGCTATCGGCTCAAAGGAGGTACAAACGTATATTCAGTTTCGAGAAAAGGATGGGCACTAGTGGATTAAGGAGATCTTTTCTATCTCAATATGAGTGGGCCTAAGCAGTTGGAGAAGATGAAGAGGATACGAAGGATACACAGAATGAGGAGGATATGGAGCGAGGGGGCAAACAGACAAGACTTTGGCTCTGTCATTGTTTCTCCCAGCATGGAATGAATTAGCTTGGGAAATGAGACGGTATGGATGCTTGGTACATACTGTCCTCCGCACCCTCTTTGAACGCCGCAGAATCGATATTCTTGAACTCTGCTTATATGAGAGGAACTTATTCGGGACCAGGTAACAATTCAAGTTGAACGCCACAAGAATGCACATCTCCCAAACTCCATGCTATGCAACAAATAGATAGAAAGGAAGACAATCACGAGACTGTCAAACTCTCCAGAGTGTGGGTAACTTCTGGCACGAGATGACCGATCTGATTGGGATCACGCATAGCCGTTGTGATATCGCTGGGCAGCTTGCCCAATGCCACCAGTTCCTGGACACACATTAGCCAGTGATATACACCTGTATCTGAGGAGAGTAGATATAAAGCATTGATGCTGACAAGTGCGTATCATCTACAGATCGCCGAAACTAGGTACGAAAATTGATTTTACCTGCTTGACTTTCTCAAACTTCTCCTCTTTCTCAGTGTAGTCTCTGATAACCTTGCCAGTTTTGAAGTCCACATAGATTCTGGTGTCCCGAATTCTGATCAGAACCTGATCTAATCTCATGAATAATCGGCAAAGCAACAGCATGCGGTCTGGCATGACTCGCAATTTACAGGAGACTATGGAGATGCCGTTATCATCCAATTCGCTTTCGTAAAGCACAACTTCTTCAAAGAATAATATCGGGTCAGGCCGCTTTAAAAGCTCAATTGGAATTGGTTCCGCGTCGTCCTTTTGCAGATCGAACTGCTTGCCATTGGTTATTGTGCCTTTGTAGTCTGTTGTGTATGACCAGTCGAATGGCTTCACGACTTCTTTGATACCTTCATGTGTCTTTTCTCTGTAATTTGTCAAATGCTATTACACCACTCTCAAGAGACAGTCATACCTGCTGCTTGACCACTCCTGCGAGTACGCGACCTTCAGCATATTCTTGTCTGTCTTGTCTACCCGGTCTAGAGCATCATATGCATTGAACTCCAACCGCCATCCACTCGCCATATGCTCGATTGATACCATGTTATCGCCGAATATCATCTCCGGTACTGGGATGCCCAGAGTCTTTGACATATCGTCAATGGGTCCAGACTTCGAGATGGGAAGCTTCCTTGCACTGATCTTGAAGCCCTTTTGAGTATGCGACACAGTAGAGCTATCTTTGGCATCGGGCGTTGGGTACGACTCATCGATGGGGCCGTTGAACGACATGACGTGATTTTGTCGAAGCCTCCGCAGATATACAATTGCTTGGTGGACGTTTCCCAAGTACTCGCGATGGCGCTCTTGTTGAGGTCCGGGTCGCGGCTTGAAGGCTGAAGGCTGAAGGCTGAAGGCTGAAGGCTTGAGGTTGGTTTGTGGTTGGTTTGTGGTTGTGGTGGGGTCGGCGCAAGCCTCGAGCTTGAAGTGGCGGGCGCGGGCGCGGGCGCGGGGTGTCAGGGGAATCTGCGATGCCAAGGCTGGGTTTCAGGCGAGGCGAGGCGAGGCGTTGCGTTGCGTTGCGTTGCTCTGCCAGCCAACTAGCGCCTCGTCAACAAATAGGTCAAGGCAAGCATGCAAGCAAGCAAGCACAACTGCAATTGGTATCCCAAAGATCCAGATCCAGCTCCATGTCAACCCCATACTAACCAAACAGCTCTTGCAAGACATACCCATTGACCGATCGATACTTTGTTACATTCGTTTTTCTCTCCTTCGTTGACTTGAAGCTCTGCTCAATGGCTACCCGCGTTCTCGAATCCCGCTTCGAGCGGATGTCAGTGAACGACGAGAATGATCCTGGCGATGGAAGCAAGTTCCAGAAGTCGAAGGTACGTAACGTCAACTCTCACCATGTTTGGTATAGCTAACAGGTCAAGATGACAGCATCTACGACCTCATCCTCCCAATTATCGCAGAATGCGAGTCGCGCCAACCTTCTCAAGATCGCTCTTCAGAATCAAAACACAACAAGCACAATAGTCACGGTCCCCTCCCAGGCTGCGCAATGGCGAGCTTCCAACATGCAGAATGGCTCTCCACCAAGAAAAGGAGGCTCCTCGCGAGGATCGGAAGAAGTCATCAGAATCGAGCGCAAATCCAATCCAATGTACGAGCAACCTGCTCCACCAAAACAGTTTCATCTCGGCATGTTCGAGATTGGTCGGCCCTTAGGCAAGGGAAAATTCGGACGTGTATACCTTGCGAGGGAACGCAGCTCTGGATATGTATGCGCTTTGAAAGTGCTGCACAAGAACGAAATTCAACAAGGGAAGGTCGAGAAGCAGGTCCGGAGAGAAATCGAGATTCAAAGCAATCTCCGACATCCCAATATCCTTCAATTATACGGACATTTCCACGATAGCAAGAGAATCTTCCTGATCCTCGAATTTGCCGGAAAGGGAGAGCTGTACAAACATCTTCGTCGGGAGAACCGGTTCCCAGAATGGAAGGCTGCTCAGTACATTGCTCAAATGGCTGCGGCTCTGAGGTTCCTGCACAAGAAGCATGTAATGCATCGAGATATCAAGCCGGAAAATATTCTTGTTGGTATCCATGGCGAGATCAAGATCTCCGATTTTGGATGGAGTGTTCACGCACCAAACAACAGGAGAAACACCATGTGTGGAACTCTAGACTATTTGCCTCCGGAGATGATTAAGCCAGGGAGCCAGGACAACTACTACACAGAGAAGGTTGATTTATGGAGTTTAGGAGTATTGACGTATGAGTTTTTGGTTGGAGAAGCACCTTTTGAGGATACTCCAGTTATGACCCAGAGGCGGATCGCGAGGGGAGAAATGACAGTCCCAAGTTTTGTGAGTCCAGAAGCAAGAGACTTGATTAAGAGAGTAAGTTTTCACCCAATTAATTCAAAGACCGCTACTAAGTGGTCACAGCTTCTCGTCCTGGACCCTGAGAAGAGAATCCCTCTAGATCAAGTTCAGAAACACCCCTGGATCATCAAGCACTGTGTAAAGGGCGAACGGGCAAGCATGCGAGATTCAAAGTCGACTGGCAGTAAGATGAGCGAGCGTGATGATTAAAATTAACGAGTTAACGAGAGGAGGCTGGCGTTTTGGGGGCATGGAGGCATTTATAACGTTTGATACAAGATGGATGGCATGATTTTTTGGAGTCGGAGTTCATTATATTCCTGTACGCCTACGCTGACCAGTATAATCATGATAAGCATAACTGCCTGTGATGTTCTACATGTTGATACAACCCTATGTCCCAAATCTATCTGTAAATGCCGTCAAATGGGCGGGTATCCGCGAAACAAGAATCCCATACTTCATTGACCACCTTCACTGCCTGTACATCGTCTTTGCAAGATGGCCTGTTCATCACGGATCTTACTGCTCTTGATCTTACACAGTTCTGATGTTGTTGTGTTAAAGTCCAGTTGTTCCTCGTCCAGAATTCTCTCATCCACCTACACTCTCCACTCAAACTTGAAGCCCGAATCTACTTCGTTTTAGTTCGATCCTCTCAATTGACAGCACTGAGACTAAACATACCTCTGTACAAGCCGCATGCCTCAAATCTGCCCAATCAACCTTCCACCTCAAATGATCCCAAGCATGCACCATCTCGTGCGCCAACGTATCCTCCAAATGCTTCTTATCCCTCATCTCATTCGCACAGATCAGAATCCCATGGTCTGGACTGAAACCTCCTCCTTGCCTAACCCAGTTTCCATTCTCATCCTTTCGCGTCGGACACCTCCTACAGATAACATTTCCCGCATGTAGATCACCATTCAAAGCCTCAATGTTCTTCTTCATGAAGATGACCGTAGGCGAGTACTGGAAACACCAATCCCTCCACTCGTCGCATTTCTTGCAGTCCGCAGCCTCGTTACGTATGTATGCTGCCTCACGGAACTCATGCTGCCCTTCTGTGGTCATGCGCCCAGTGAGTATGTTCCAGTAATTGCTCCATTTGGCTGTCGGGTCATAGCCTGTTTTCGCGGGATCGTTCGTGGGCGTATTCGAGCTCGTAATTTGGGCTTTGGGCCTATCATCTGCCATTTTGATGGTTTCCAGGCTCTTCGATATCTAGAGAAGAGTGTACTCGGGCGTAGATAAGGTGTGGTGCTTTGAAAAGGGCATTGGAGGGCATTGGCGTTGACTTTTCTGGGGATGAGGTTGAAGCTTTGGCCAATCAGGCGAGGATGATGACAAGGCTGTGTTTTGCCGATTTCGCATCTAAATAAACTTGACGACTCATACCTTAAATACATACAGCCAAGGGCCGCCCTCTTTTTCTTTCCTGTTTATTCTAACTTCTTCACATCCGGAACGGATATGGATTTGAGATAAGTAATGCAGCTCAAGATGAAGGCTCCTAAACCATTGACAATTGTCATAAAACTCGGTGAGCACTTTCAGAGCCGAAATTCAGAACTTTGTCTCACATACTCATGCTGATGGATACATGCAGGAACGAGCTCTATTGTGGATGAGAAGACCCACGAGCCTCTTCTTTCTATCTTATCTCTCATTGTTGAGACGGCTGTCAAGTTGCACAAAGATGGCCACAAAGTCGTTATTGTCTCTTCTGGGGCTATTGGAGTGGGTCTAAGGCGAATGGATCTTGAAAAGAGACCAAAACATCTTCCTAGAATTCAGGTACGACATGTTTTTTTTTTCGCACAGAAGATACGTATTGAAATCACAACAAGGCATTAGCGGCCATTGGTCAATGTCGACTCATAAGCCTTTGGGACAGCTTATTCGGTCATCTGCGTCAACCAATCGCCCAAATCCTGCTCACAAGAAACGACATTGCAGATGTAAGTTTCACCTAGTAGTGTAAATTTTTCCAAACTGACAGATTTTAGCGTACACAATATCTGAATGCTCAAAATACATTTGCAGAGCTCCTTGAGATGGGCGTTATCCCAATAGTCAACGAAAACGACACCATTGCTGTCTCAGAAATCAAGTTCGGAGACAATGATACCTTGTCAGCTATCACAGCAGCAATGGTGCATGCAGACTATCTATTTCTCATGACAGACGTCGATTGTCTGTATGACAAGAACCCTAGAACCAATCCGGATGCTCAAGCCATTGAAGTGGTAGAGGACATCGCAGCTCTGCAAGCTGATGGTAAGTTATCCAGATTATTTGATTCCAAAAAAAACTCATATCTCACAACCTTTAGTATCAAGTGCAGGGTCAGCCCTAGGCACAGGCGGGATGTCCACCAAAATCGTCGCCGCACGCCTCGCAACTTCAGCAGGAGTGACAACAGTCATAACTCGCTCATCCAACCCAGGCAATATTGTCAACATCGTACGCTACGTGCAGAATCTGAAAGCCGCATCCGGGTCTCTGCCATCTACCCCCCCATCTGGAAAAACCATATACTCGACATCTGCATCTCATGAGGATCCACTTGCTCGATCAACTGCTTCTCTGGAAGCTGCTGTTGTTGCCCCACTACATACCCGCTTCATTCCATCGCCACAACCTATCCGTGATCGGTATTTCTGGCTTCTGCACGGTCTTGCTCCTCACGGTACAGTATATATCGATGCCGGAGCACATCGAGCTCTAGCAGATAAGGCGGGATTACTCCCTGTAGGAGTTGTAGACGTAGAAGGTGCATTCGCGCAGCAAGAAGCTGTGCGTGTTGTCGTGGTTGATCGAATCCCTAAAGAAGCTCTTCAAAGCGGCGGATTGGCACCGAAGCTATGGGAAGGGCCTGGGATGGAGGTTGGAAGAGCACTGGTCAACTACAGTGCAGCGGAGATCATGCGGATCAAGGGAGTCAGGAGCAGCGAGATTCAGGGATTGTTGGGTTATGCGGACAGTGAATATGTTGCACTTCGGGAGAATATTTCGTTCTTTGTTAGGGAGAGTAGACCAGTTACACCAAGTCTGGAGCTTAGATAGACACTGCTGGTGGTGGGTTCTTCTGAAGGTATACTGTAGGCGTTAGGAAGTACCGGAGTAGACGTTCAATTTCTGTGAGCATTTCAAACTTAAGTCGGTCATGTAAGACGATCAAATAGTTTTGACAAGATATTTCTCCTTGCTTCGTACTTGCAGAGGCTAAAAATGGAGCTCTAGGTAAGCCAATCCGCAAAACAATTGTGCAACCCTACTCCATCTATGCAATCAAACCATGATTCTGTCCTTGGAACTCCAGCCTTCCAAGGCGTACCGTAATTCCCTATCCCTCCTCACTTTCAATCGGCTCGTTACAACTCCGGAAAACAGATAACATCGAAACCAGATGAAAGCACAAAAGATTATCGGCCATCTCTTGGCGAAGAACTACTCGCAGTTACTTCTTCAAATTCCAACTCCCATTTGTCAACCTCTTGGAATTTCTTGGCTGCCCTCCTCAGCTCTTTGCCGACCCTCTCTTCCAATTCCTGGCTATTCTCTGGATCGTCGTTGGCCTCGTCGTCTGGGATTGGTGCGAGACTGTCATCAGGATCAACTTCAATAGTGTTTTCTTTGTCTGACATAACATTGGCTCGAGATCCATAGGTCCGCTTAACATTTGAATCTCTCGGCTTCGAGACTGATTTGTTGGATTTTCCTGCTCGCTTGAGAGGCGCTGGAGTCCGCGCTCGAATACTTGTATGCCTCCGGGATCTAGCCTGGACATTCAGGTGCGAAAGCTCATCATCATCCTGTGCAAGGCCAGAGACATCGACTTCGTCACCTGAGCTAGGGACATCGAATGGATCTCTTGCGGTCACACGCTGCCGTCTCCGTGGTAGGAGAGCCTGGAGTTGAGCTGTAGAGAACGAACTTGGTGGTGGAGCTTGTCGCTGCTGTTTCCGTGTTGTGACATGCACCGGCCTATTTGGAGAGTGCGTGAGGGATGGGGGCGAGGAGATAGGCGAGTCTTGTGTTCTGGGTGGAGGGGTTCTGCCTCGTAGGGGGCGTCGGCCTCTGGATGGTGCTCTTCGCGTTCTTGTTGGCAAGTCAGGACTTGAAGGAATTGGACTGCTACTTTGAGGTGGCGCCATGGTCTCGCTCAGAGGTTCGGGAGTGTCCAACCGGGCTTCAATGGAGGGTATCAACTGTGGTGGAGACTCGACTGCGTCCTCTCCCTGCTCGTCCCTGACAGGGTTTGTCGCTGGAATTGCTTCGTCCACTACTTCTACACCAGGGGAAGATAGAATTGGGCTAGATCGCGGCACCTGAACAGCTGAAAGTTTTCGTTTTCTCGAGTTTGAGGAAGACGGACCACCAGAAGAACTAGTCATATTTCTGGTCTTCGACAGGTTGAGAGGAGTTGACTCATCGTCAGGATTGAAATCGTCTTCGTCATCATCATAATCCAAAGGTTCTTCTTGCCGCGCTTTTTGAGCTGTCCGCAAAATGCTAGGTTCCTTTTCTCTGCGCTTGAAAGTGCCTGTTTCCATCACTGAGCCGGTATTCGCCCGCGTGCCCCTTTCTATATCTGATGACATGCTACTATTTGCAATGGGTGCAGCATTCCGTCCCATTATGCTACGTTCCCGAGGCCGCCTCTTGAAAGTCCCAAATCCTACGGCTGATGAGTTCTTTCGTCCCACGCTCGCAAGCCCATTCTCCTCGGCCATATTCGATTCGATGCTACTAGATCTCGCTCGTCCAGGTCCTCGACCGAGGATGCTTGGTTGGCGCGGTCGCCTTCTAAAATTTCCAATCGCAAGCATGGAGCTCTCAATACCTGACGTGCGGTGTTCTTTCCTACCAGTCTCAATTGAAGGGCTGCTCGAGTCTAGGTTGATATCTGGTAATTTAGATTCCTCTGCTGGATCCCCTGAAGATATGCGATCATTTCCTAGCCGGGTTTCCACTGTCCCGTCTTCTCTGGCCATCGAGTCTCGCGACTCCAGACCAAGCGCTCGAGGTGAAGTCACCGTAACAGCTTTCCCTTTGCCATTACTTCCCTTCGCACTCCGCGCATTCGCTGCCGCCGCGTCTTCTGCATCACTCACGTCGTATAAGTCGTCGAAGGGCGCCTTAGATGGTCCTGGAGTTGGTGCGACAGGACGGGAGATCTTCGCAGATTTCTTGAGGCGCGGGGCTGGCACAGACGGCGCAACTTTTGTGCGCTTTGGTCGAGGCATTGTCGTGGCGTATATGTGATATCTTCGAGACACAGACGTTACTTCCACTTGTCGCAACTATCGCATCCTAAAATGTGCTGTACTGAGTTGGTCGCTGATGATGAAAGGTGGTGGTCAGTGGACGCGTTGAGATCCACGCGACTTGGACAAGGATTGTTTTGGCGATCCAAGCGCGTCACAGGTACTTATAGTCAGCCACCGTCAACATCATACCAGAACTTGCTCCCACAACAAATATTTCCAGGTTTTCTCCAAGGTTCAACGCGCGTTCAATGCTGCAAATTTCAGGTTACACTACTTGACAGCTCCAGAATCGCAGTCCTACAATTGCATTAGCGTTGGTCTGCCCCTAAATTGGAGAGAGTTATGTCTTCGCGGTTGCAGGAGTTGCTTGTATAATTCTTCCTCATATTTTCTCTCAAATAATAGGATACGTATATTCCAACTCAAATCCCTCGCGATGATCTTTTTCTCGTTCTTCTTTTGGCTACATTGTACTCGTGGATTGGGAATCGGATAATGAGTAAGTTGCTTGATGGCATTGAAAAATAGCACACTGGACTGCATTCAACTTATCCATATCTTAGGCCGCGTTGGTTTGTGTCTGGTTTACTTCTCAGCCGTAAACTACCGATGCTCTCTTTGAATATCTTCTTGGACTTGATATTTTATCGTCGCGAAGGGGGCCGAGGACATACACACTACTTGGTACTCTTAAATGCAAGCATGCTCGACACTCTCAAGGTGTACTCGGTATCATTGCCAGTATTATAAGAGCTCTCAGTTCTTTTGGGGATGAGAAATCGGCAGACGTCCTCCAAAGACAAGCCACTTTGCGGGCTATCGAACCCGATAATCTCGAATGCGAGTTGCATCGTGTTCAAGAATCTTACGAGTGAATCGACCTTGTCTAGTCCAATTCTCATTCTCAAGCGAATATTCAGTTGTGATCTCATCTTATGGCCTGATAAGATTGTTTTCGATGCAGAGGCTTGATCACTGGTCTGTTTTTTTTTTTTTTTTTTGGCACCGAGCATGCCTGGAAAGGCGCCGCAGATTTTACAGCGGAACTTACCACAGATTCGGGTCCGACGATCAAGCGTTCTTTCGAGCAACGGGATTTCAGCCAATATGTACTGCTTTTGATTCGCTCTTAGCAAAACCTGTTCAACCGGAATGGAAGTCTTCATTGATAGTGACATTGGTCGGAGATGCAGCTCACGTCATGATGCCAGCAGGTGGATCGCGGCAAATACAGCAATTGAAGACGCTGCTTTGCTGCTCCAGCTCATTCTTCAAGGTGGGGTGGTCTCCGAGAGCATGTGGATCGGGTACGTCGAGTGGAAAAGAAAATGCCCTCTATCGAGGGTAGTGTAAATCGGGGCGGCAAAGCTATCAGGTTCCAAGGGTTTTCAAGGAGCATAGGTAATTGAATTCCAAAGAATTGGAGTGGGATGCCTGGAAAGAAGTCATATTCCATGCTGACGGGTTGTTGTTTTGTTTAGTGGTAAGATTTGGATGTCGTCTGTTAGCGGAAACTAGCAGATTTGTGGCCATCATAAAACATTGTTTCTGGCGCCAGAAAATGGTAGGGTTCAACAGTACATTATCATCTTACGGGCCGGCGGCGGCTCACTAAACTCCTGACTCGGAAAGCGATCTGCAATAACTCCCCATATTCCTGTTAGATACACTGCTTCCCCTCCAGCAGGATCCGCAGCAGTAAACAAAGCCTCATGCACCACCCGTTCCGAAACGTACGAACGCGCGAATCAGCAAGGATCCTACCAGACCAGTCAACCTCGGTATTCGTCTCTCGCACACAAGCCTCATGCAGCTGCGAACAGTTCGTGCGAATGGTTACCTGGCGGGCCAGTCATATCATCATTTGCCTCCTCTTCGCTTAAAACCTGCAGCTGCCCGCCCAGAATGCGGCCTGTAAATAGACAATGGGGCGGAGTCATTGACGAATCGAACGACATCATTCACACCTTTAAAAGCCTGGGCACACCCAACGGCTGCCCGCTAGATTCGCCCTTGAGACATGAAACCCACGATTGATTGCCTCTCGAAAGCTCATGCTTCATATCTCTCTCTCTTTCTCTCTTCCGCTTCCGCTTACATTTACACTTCAATCGACAGCTTCGCAGAGGTGTAATGGAAATTGGAATACATCATTAACGACTGCGGGGCGGACCACAATTCGGCAAGGATTGCAGAACTTCCATGCCTAAGCGATGGCGATCTTCAGCAGGTCCAAGAAAGGCAAACCTACGCCGACGACCCCTCCCGGGCCGTATACTCACTCGACAGCTACTTTGACCCATCAACCAACAGAGCAGCCAAATCCATATCAACCGAACTGGACACACTTGGAGCAGAGGACTTATGCATCTCATGGCCCTCCAGCACAAACCCAAGGCTGGCTGATAGGCCCAGTTCCCCCGCAGTACCATCCAGTCTTAGCACACCAGGATCGCCTCCCTCCACTTCCTCAGAGGCCGCAGAAATCAGGTTGCAATATCAGCAAGCTCAACTTGTCTTCGATGTCCAACCTCCTAGCATCCAACGTACCGGATTGTGGAGCAAAAATCATGCAAAATAGGGTTTCCCCGTTGTACATGCAGGGGGCGCAGTATCTTAACCAAAGTACGGCACTATGTGACTTGATCACCTCAAAATTCGATACCATTATCACACTTATAGATGGGGAAAATTTCAGTGGAGATGAAAGGGAGTTGGTAGTCATGGCCCCGCCTCAACCGATGTGGCAGCAACAGCAAGAGGAAACTGGATATAGCGAGCGAGTACTTGTCAAGGGAAAGGGAAAGGGCATGGTTAACAATTCAGTATCTTCGGCACTCACGAGTACCAACTCCTTTGCCAAAGTACATCTCTATGCTAACTCAAGGCTACCACCAAACTTACCCCCCCTAAAACTGTATGAACATTTGTTCCTTGTCCTAGAGAGACGTTTCTAACAGAGCACAGATATATGCCTACATTCCCTTTGCTATGTTTAGCTGCACAATACTCCGAACGTGTGTACACGAAGCCTTCCGGTCAAGAAAAGGAGGTACATCTAGATGCCGATTGGCGGCTTGGCACAAAGGTGGTCATCAAGTCTGTTCCCATGGACGATATGAATACCATCGTCTTTGCTATCAGGGGAACGCAAACATTCATGGACTGGGCGGTGAACCTCAATTCAGCTCCAGCGTCTCCGGAGGGATTTCTTGTGAGCCCAATACGCAATCAAGTGATCAGACCTCGCTAACCGTTCCTAGGATGATCCAGGAAACTTCTGCCACGCGGGATTTCTTACAGTTGCGAGGAAGATGATACAGCCAGTCGCAGCCAGACTTCGTCATCTCCTTCAAGAAGATCCAAGCAGATCTAAATGTTCGCTATTGATAACCGGTCATTCAGCGGGCGGCGCAGTGGCTTCCCTCCTGTATTCTCATATGCTCGCTATTACGCCTCAGGCCGAATCTGAACTCAACATACTTACGGGTTGCTTCAAACGTATCCATTGCGTGAGCTTCGGTGCTCCACCTGTCTCTCTTCTTCCACTCTCGAGACCTCCAAACCCAGCTCTGAGGAAATCCATCTTTCTATCCTTTGTCAATGAAGGCGATCCAGTCCCGAGAGCAGACAAAGCATATGTACGCTCCTTGTTGGATCTGTATTCTTCACCAGCGCCTGGCCAAGTTTGCGCAATCACACCTCAGAAATTGCAGCCATTCGTCTCCAACCTCAAGGCACAATCAAGCTCTCTAACACTCAACAAGATGAGACCAACACCCAAGAAGCCGAAGAGCCGCCCAGTCAACGAGATAGCACCATACTGGCCAGTTCCAGAAGCTACGCTGAGCAACGCAGGAAGGATCGTGCTTCTGAGAAGCGTCGAGAAATATGAAAATCGGTCGAATAAGAAGAAGCCAATCGTGGAAATGATGAACGAGGGTGTCGTGGCGCAGATCGTCACTGATGAGCTCCTGAGAGGAGTCATATGGGGAGACCCAGTCTGCCATATGATGAAGCTGTATGCGAGGCGTATTGAGATTCTGGCAACAAATGCAGTGATGGGACGGTTTTGAGAAACGTGCCAATGGATATGGGAGATAGGCATCGACGACGTACGATAATACCCATTTTCGAATTCAAGCCATACTGCGAGTCTAAGAGCAACAAGACTCTCGAATACATCCAGTGCATGAACCATTCTACCTTAGTGTGCCTCTACAGGGTTGCGCAAAATCTTGCGCCGCCAAAGGGACTAACTAACTAACTATGCGGACTTGTCCATAAATGCACCAAGACATGCAATTTCGTACAAAAACTTGTATATGACTTGATCACATTTGGTAATCACAACATGGCACCGTCCAAGTCGGTACAACATGAAGAGCAGGATCAAAGATGATGTAGTGACGGATGTTTGAATTGTTAACAATCTTGCCCGTAGCTAATAATTTCAACAACATGTCATGAATTTGGCCCAAACACCTGCAATACTTGTACCTTCTAGAACTTTAACACAATAAACATGTGAGGCCGTGGTGTATAGAGTATATTGTGTTGTGTGCTCCCTATTGGTTTCAACGTCTTTGTGCCTGAAACATATCCATATTTTTGATACCAATCTTGCCAGGATGAATTACGGCCTCGCAAAAGCCTCGACAAAGGTTCCAATACATCTCCAATGACGTCGTTGTAATTGGTTGTTCTGTCGTGCCGTAGCAACAGGTCGACACGCGACGGTAATGGTGGAACTATCAAGTTCGAGGAAAGACTGCAGTCATTCTCGATAAGAAGCAAACTCTAGGAGCGTAGATTCACAGTCATCTCCTACGCAACTTTTTGTCAGTTGCGACTTCTCAATTTTGAACGATAACAAAAGCGAATGATAGGGCCCACTGCAGCAGAGAGTAGAATTTTGAGTGCTTAAGCGAACGCCTTCGGGCTATGAAGTATGTTACAAGAGCAATGGCTATGCCTGCGATACCTAAAGCGAGATATATGAGCTCTGCGGATGGATCAGGTCGGTACTTAGCTTTGTTGACATTTTTCGAGCTGAATTAAGCAAAGTCGTGGAAATTCCTATCATTCAGGTATCCTTCCCCATGAATACCGCGAATGGGTGCATCTACCTGAATGCTATTGAGAGTTCGATTTTTGGAAACGAGTGAATACAGGAAGGTGATTATGCAAAGTGATCATGGGAGGCATACAGGTACGCTGCTATTGCTGCCGAATCCGGTAACGAAGCTTTGGAAGGGGTGGCGTTGGTATTGGTCAGTTGTTCTCACGGCAAAACACCAGGATTCTGGATGAGTGCGGTGCAAGACAAAAAAGACCTCTAACGAGAATAATGAAACTCAAGAACTCGTGTAAATACCGCTAACATCTTCAGAAGTGTCCGTTCCTCGACGTATCGTCTTCCCGAATTCTACTGACTTGACTGATTTCAGCACAGGCATAATCATAGGGCAATAGCATGCCATTTGAAGTCTCCACCAGCTTGCAGATGCTGCTGACTGGGTCAAGCGTTCTTGATAGTTACATTGAGTGGGAAGACAAAGTCAATAAATTGGACGTCAAAGACCCACTTCAAGAGGTCACCTTCCAGAACAAATTTATTTCCTTCGGGGAGGACCCCAGAAGATCCCAGCCCCTTTCGTAACATTGAAAACTCGGTCATATTTTCCCCCCGCACACCCACAAACCGAAACCCCACCACGCCCCGCTAACCCCACACAGCGAATACAACATCCAATCTCCATCGAAGTTTCTACCCGTCAATCAGGACCGCAGAGATGCTTTGGAGCGGAAAAGCTTCGGTCTCGAAATCTAGCTCGAATATAAAAGTATCAAGACAGCGTTCGGGCCTTTTCTCAGCTGCCAAGCGTGCCATTGACGTTTGTTTAACGGCTACACATCGGACGGTATCGCCCTGGAATGCTCGAGAGCTACTCGGAACGGATATTTCCCATCAAATGACTCGACACGGACTGTTAATATTTGCTAGGTAGCCGAGCCGAAGCCGGTCCTAACTGCCAGTGCTTCTAAGTCGTGAAGATGCCTGCATGAAGAAGTATGTTGTGGCGAGCGGAGAAATTTTCCAGTAGGAATGGATTTTTGGATATAAATATCTGGAATCGCTTCCACTTTTGATTGTCGTTCCATCTCAACTCTTTGTTGACTTCATCTCGGAAACAGGCTGGCAAGTCGTTGGACCCAGGCTCGTTACAATGTTCAATTTGCCACCTTTCCTCGAGGTGTTGCCACTAGTGCTTGCCATTAGCACAGTATCCTTTGCTCAAGATGTCCCTACAGTAAAGGTGCTCAACGGCACATACTCTGGTATTCGCAGCTCCACTTACAGACAGGATTTCTTCCTCGGTATTCCGTTTGCCCAGCCACCTCTTGGTGATCTACGGTTCCGCCAAGCGCAGCCATTGAATACAACTTTCAGCGAGACCCGAAATGCCACCGAATACTCACCGCAATGTATGGGATATGGAAGTGACCAATGGGTTCTCGGCAACATCATCTCAGAGGACTGTTTGACGCTCAACGTCATTCGCCCAACTGGAGCTCGAAATCTCCCTGTCGGAGTCTGGATCCACGGAGGTGGAAGCATCCAAGGAGGAAGTCGAGATCCTCGATATAACCTGTCTTTCATTGTCGAGCAGTCAGTCTACTCAAAATCGCCCTTCATTGGAGTCAGCATCAACTACCGACTCCAAGGATGGGGATATCTCTTCGGCAAGGAGGTCATGGAGGCAGGCTCCGCTAACATGGGAGTCCGAGATCAACGTTTGGCGCTTCATTGGATTCAGGAGAACATTGCTGCTTTTGGAGGCGACCCAACCAAAGTCACGATTTGGGGTGAGAGTGCAGGTGCGACTGGAGTTGGAATGCAGCTTGTTGCCTATGGAGGACGTGATGATGGACTATTTAGGGGAGCAATCGCACAGAGCGGTGGTCCAATTCCAATGATTCCATATCTAACTCCAGAGCAATGGCAACCTACCTACGATAAAATCGTAAATGCGACGAACTGCAGCACTGCAGCCGACACTCTTGCATGTCTCCGAACGATCGACAGAGATGTGCTCAGCAACGTGCTGAACAGTTCGGTCACAGCTAACGCATCATGGGGCCCTCAAGTCGACGGTGATTTTCTACAAGACACGGGTACCAATCTAGTTTCGAATGGACAATTCGTCAAGGTCCCATTTCTCCTCGGCCGCAATCACGATGAGGGCACTTCATTCGCTCCCAAGGGAATCAACACCACGGAAGAATTCCTCAAGCTCGTGAAATCAGCAGGCCCAGACAACGCGACTGCTCTCACAATTGCAGCACTATATCCGGACATTCCAGAAATTGGAATTCCTGGCACCCTTGTTGGTCGTCCGCCACCATCTCAAGCTGCCCTTGGAGTGCAGTGGAAGCGCGCGTCTTCGTACATTGGAGACCTACGGCAGCACTCTTCCCGCAGGCTGCAGGCTCAGAAGTGGGCCGAGTATAATGCAACCGCTTTCTCCTACCATTTCAATGTCTTCACGGCTGGATTCGACGCCACGACTGGCTCAGGTCACTTTACTGAGGTCAGCTTCATGTTACACAACATTGATGGACTTGGTTACTCCCCTCCCGTCGCGACCAATCCATTTGAAGGCAAGCCCGATTCATATAAACAATTGGCCAAGATTATGTCGAGGATGTGGGCTAGCTTCATCGTTGACCTCGACCCGAATAATGCAGCTGGTGGTTAGTTTTATCTTTGTTTTCTTCTTGCTTAAATCCGTGCTTCGCTTTTGGAAGGTTGACTGACTGATTTTTGATAACTCTAGCCGGTTGCGTCAACTGGCCAAAATACACTCTCGATAACCCAAAAAATATCGTCTTCGATGCAAATGTCACTAACATGGCCTACGTGGAGCCCGATACCTACAGAGCAGAGGGCATTGCGTATATTGTCGATCGCCTTGCAACAGATTATGGACGATAAGGAACTGGCAATGTCAATTTGTCAAAAGATCTGCTGATGACACTAAGGTCAACTCTAGCATTTATTTGATGATTTCAAGTAATGTATAGTACTACTGTTTCCAGCCAAGGACAATGCACCCAAACTTCTGAACTATCACTCTCAGCATTAGTCCCGTGAATCAACAACTTGGTCCTTGACTCTGTAGATCTGGTTTAATAGGCATCACGCGTTTGGTGTGATCTTTGTAGCAACAATCAGATAATGAAGAAATCTTAACTATCGCTGGCGTCCGGTCTGTCCTTAAAACCTATGAATCGTGAAAGAGACTTCACCCTTTTTTCATTGTCTATAGAAAAGAGACATTGACGCAGTCTCCTTGTCTAAAATAAAACTAAGCAGGTATCAACGAAAAAGTGAGAAGATTCAATACATGTGCTGAGATACATGTGAGAAGTACGCATTGTGAAGCGTACGTTGCTACCCATACTGGTTAGCTTCGTGTGCTCGTGAATAGCCCCAGACTCCTCTGCCGACCCACTTTTCTTCACCAGATTACAGCTATATCATTCAAAGTAACGCTGGAACTCGCCATAATGAAGTAACACTCAGCTGCCTAAAGTCTCGTTGCTCGAGCAGGTTTCGACAAAAACGTGAACTGACAAGTTCCAGATCACGAACCAATGTAAGTTAGGATCAGGGCATCCGCCAACATGCCTTCTTTGGCACAATCGAAGAGCAGATGCTTGAATTGCACATGTCAATGCTAGTGACGCCCCACAGATATGCTGGGATAAATGCTTCGTTTGACATTCTCTCTCGTCCAAGCCCGACCTTTGTGTTTGTCGGCGTTGCTGCTGGTACAGCACAGTTGAGACAAATCCGCACCTTTGCCGACTCAGTGAAATAGATCTAGATATATCATCTCCTTGCTCTTTATCTCCTTATACCTGGACAACTGAAATAGAGAGTGTTCAAACCTAACATGCGATCCATAGTCAGAGGACAGATGGAAAGAGCTCATCGCAGCCCCTAGCGAGGCAGGGGCGGCGGAAGCTGGAGACGGGATCGATCATCGCGGTAGAGGGCGAGGCGAAGCAACGACGATAGGAGAGAATAGACAAGATGGATCTGATCGCCGAGAGCAGACGGAGAGTTTCCAGAGCAGCAATAAACCCGTGCTAACTACAACGCTTAGAGGAGAATCATCAAATCTCGACCAGTAACAGGAACCACTGCGATGGTCAAGGATGAAAGTCATTGTGGCACAATGCTCTTGAAGTTTTCAACGATGCCTATCGCGAATATCATCAACGTCTTCCAATAGATCTCGAACCAGTATTACGGCAGAGCCATATTCAGTTCTGTTTCCTCTTTGGCAGTAATTATTGCACTGAGGCTTGTTTCAAAGCTCAAAACTGGTTCCCTACCAATCAGTTCTGTCATGTGTGCATTAGACTGGAACAAAACTTTGCGCTATGTCTAGCCAGTCCTCATACACGCAGTCCCAAGGAAAGTAGACCTAGGAGATCGTGGAAACTTTATATGACTTTTGATTGTGCTCCTTTGCATATCTCGCAGCTAATCAAAACTCGAGATTGTCAGACGTTCAGCTTTCCTACTATCGCGGTGCTTTGGGTGCAGCTCTGTAAGACACAGCTGTGTCTAGAAAAGTAGTCCTATTAACCTCTGACCTCCATAGCTCCGCGTTCAAATGCCTCATGTTCCATTGGACATGCTTCGTCTGGTTTTGGGTTGCTTGGATTGGGCAGACAGTATTCCCGAATCTCAGGTTAGCTACTGCCCTTCTCGTAGGAGTAGTAATCATACAGCTTTGTTCAAATCAGAGAGAATACAATACTGATAGGATTGCCCTGGTCTTTGAAGACATGAATTCTGTTCGCAGTATCTCCACGGACCCTGCGGGAACGGGCCTAACACAAATTCGTCCTTCCCAGCGACCCCCCACAGGCAGACAGCGATAAAGATAAGTTGAGAGGACACGCGCATGATTTTTGGTGCCGGTTCGATCCTTTGTAGGAAGTAGTATGTATTCGACAGCCTCGTTAGAGAAAGTCTCTTCACTTGTAGTTGTTGGCACTCCAATAAGTCTTATGGCCCAAGCTTGATGGCTTCAGCCAACTGCTGGGCAGTACTGTACCAGGCGTTCGGTAGCTCGACCCCCTGGATATTTGTGATAAGGATGCTCCAGAGGCTAACAAATAGATCTGATAGGCTCTACAGCCCTGCAAAAACAGACAAGGAGTAACACGAGCTTACTGGAACGGGCCGTCAGCCGAAAGCCCGCAACTAGACTGCTGCTCCCTGGTGGTATGAGTTTGCTTATGCTGAAGATTTAGTCCCTTCCAGACTGATGGACCCACACCCATAGAATGTATAGCGTTATGAATCTGTCAAATAAGAGGCGGCGAAAAGAATGATTAGATAGGATGTCTCTAGAGAGCGTGGTTATCGTGATTGTCTTGAATGTCATTGTTATGTTATGAACCTCCATGTCCCACCGCCGGCTGCGTCAGCTAACGTGACTACCCTCCGCGGCACCAAATCAAGCGGCCCCACCACAATATCACAGATGCTGAATCCTCCTATTTGAATGATTTCATCCAACGTCAGACCAAATAAGCGGAAATTCCCTACTAAAGCCCGAACTCGGTCAGCTGCGAAGCCTCGCCGATTTTTCTTCTTGTTACAAGTCAAATCTAATAAGGTCACAGGTACACAATTACTATTAACGCGTCGAGACCCGCGGCATCCACTACACTCTGATAAGCAGAAGAAACCCGTACCTACCCGTGGTGAGAGTTGTAGCAACGACTCTGTAAATCCAGGTACTCGGAGCGTGTTAACAGGATCGGTTGCCGATCCTACTTACATGCAAGTTCACTCGTGACAAAATACGAAACAAAAGAAAAACAAAAACAATCAACAACGAGTCCGCGGCTCATGAGCAAGAAAAATCACAAAAATAGAAAATCACCAAAAAAAGTCGTAGTGGTTAGTTGGCGCCTAATTCTTAATCCTGTTAAGGCTTCGCAGCTTGAGTTACTTTTTTGTTTTGAAATCATAAAGTTGTGCCGAAGTAAACAACGTGCTCGCTTAGCAATTTGCGATACTCAAAGTCTCCTGGACAGAGCTACGTATCCACTGAGAAACCGCTTTTTTAAAAACAGGTAGTGACTTGTGAAAGCGTCAATAATATCCGATCACAAATACGAAGATTTCTATGTTCATTTCGCGATTAAATTTCTATTCTCAATTTCTAGAAGACCATAAAAGCAAGTAAAACACAGCTGCCAAGCATGGTATAAAGCCCTCCAACGCCTCATGTCTCTTCCCAACTCCCTCCTATACCGTAAAGTCATGTATTCATCTTCATTGACCAGAATACCATTCGTTCGTGTCCAAAATCAAGTCTCGATCCTCCGCACACTTGGGACGCTGACACCACTGGCGCTCGATTTCCGGTCTCCGAAGTTGTGCAGCCGCTCGCCAATCAAGTAGACCTCGTCCCGGATCTTCATTCTCCAGTCCTTCACCCAGCTGAGGAGGATGTAAAGCGCGTATACTATGCAGCAGAAACAGAAGCACATGGGGTATGCGTATCGGTATGCCACGAGGTGCTTCTCTGGACGATCTCGAAGGACAGTGATTGTTGCAATTGTTACGCATGCCCAAGGAAACGCGAGTGCGAAGCAGAGGCTGAGCCCAACGGGAAGGATGAAGCTTCGAGTTGCAAGACGGGCATCTGGATCCAGGTATCCATTCCGTGTGATGGCACGTAGCGATTGAGCTGGCCGAGAATCCTCATGCCAAAGAATAATTCGCGTAGTGAGCTTGACGTAAAGCAGACCCAGAGTCCAGCTTTGGACGAAGTGCATCACGTGTCGCTCTTCGATCGCAAAATATGTATGCAGCGGTACAATCAGGTAGAATTCGACAAGAAAGGAGAAAAGAGTAGGTAGAATGAAGAGGAATGCCGTGTATGTCCATGCAATGCGTCCGATTCGAGACGCGACTGTGACCGCGCGGCGGCGTACATTCTGAGGTGTCTCCGCATTGATGTTGATCGTGTTCTTGATGTAGAAGTAGAACTGTTTAGCATGTATAATTGCGTACAAGGCTGAACCTAGGATGTAGATGCCAATCGAAAATGCATAGACATCGTTCTTGCGGACATGCGCTGGTATGATCTTAGCGAAGATATGACGCCCAAGAACCAGGGGAACAATCGTGATAGACACTCCAGTGAGAGCTGCGAAAAGCCAAATGGAGACGATGAAGAGGAAGATCCGCGTGCGAAACCAAGGAGGGATGTAGACCTGCTTGAAGTGCGTGGATGATTTGCTATGAACGCCATCACGTTCCTTCTTGCCATCGATTCGCTCATTCGCCTCGTTGACTTCGAGAAACGTTCCTACACCCTTCGGTATTCTCACCTGGTCCGATGCAGGTGCTCTAACATACCGGCCATCGCTGCGGAAATATACATTCAGTTCTGGGTCTTCGAGGAAAGGCTGCTCAATATCATCGGTTTTGATTTTCTTCGGGGGCTCCGCTGTCGCGTGTTTGAAGATGCCTGTCCAAGTGCGGCGAACATTATAGCCCTCTTCGTCCAGCTTCCTCTCATCAAACATGAACCAGGTAAGCCGAAGCATTCTCGCACACCGGCGGAACCACCAACCATACATGGCATGCAACCCATCCGAAGGCTTGAAGAACTTGACTGCCAAAGGCATCAAGAAATTATAAAAGAGGAGATCGATTGGGAATTCCAGTACTGGTTCATTTGATGACCAGTGGATAGGTAGAACGCCATTGAATGCATATGCCAATCCCCAAACAACGCCGCCCAAGCAGATGACGACAAGACCGCCGTATACCAGGGCACTAAAAAGGATCTTTCGAAGTTGTGTTGCTACATTTCGCTCCAAAACATCTCGTACAGGATGGAATGTCGGATCGTCAGGATCGCGGATAAAGTCTGAAAAGGTCAGCAAAAACCTAAATTCGTTGCCAGGACATGACTTACATAATACTCCTTTTCGCATGATCTTCCGACACATCGAAACAAAGAGCGCGAAGTGGAACATGTAACATGTTCCCACAAACCAGTGTACAAAGATGGAAGTGAGGGGGGATTTTATAGTGAAAACAAGTCGAGACATGATCGTTGTATTCTCGAAAAGTGGAAGAAGGGCAGCGTCGAGAAGAAGGCCACAGTAGAGTGGGAACACCAGCATCTCAATACTGATGATCAAAATCACCTTCATGACCCCCCCGGCTTGGTTGAGCAAGTCAATAATTGTGGCTTCCCACTCACGCCCCACTTGACTTGTTGAGAACGGCGATCCTTTCTTGACATAAAGCGTCCCAAGAAGGCACAGAGCCGTGTAACCTGCAAATATTGCCCAGAAACGGTCTGTACCATCCCAAACGCTGAGGTCAGGATCGAGAGGAGCTGCTCGCTTCCCAACTTCAAGGCTGATTACCCAAGAGTCTGGCCTTACAAGAAGCGTGGGCAATCCTGCGATTAGGGCCCAAATGTAGTTTGCTGCCCCAGCTAAGACGCTCCATATGCCTCCCAAACTCACATGGTAATCCCCTGTAAAGATATAAATGACAGTACTACCGATGCTAGCAAGGCTGTCGAGGACGAATGATCTTAGTGAGATCAAGGACTCATGTGAAGCAGCGGAGAAGACAAATATTTCAGAATCGAGAATATGAGTAAGGCTGCTCTGCGTCTCGTTCAACATCCGATTGACAGCATCATGAGAGAGATTCATGGCTGTCGAACTCAGTGCGAGCCCTTTCGCTGCCACTGTAGTCCGAACGGCAGGAGAGTATGGTGATAAGAGCTTTAACGGCACTGAAAGGAGCCAAAGGGTGAGATACGACACCGCACCGAGTATAGATAACGCAAGATCTTGCAGAAATGCCGCACAAGCGAATATCAATCGCAAAGGTAATTTGATGGCCGGGCCAGGATTGGCGGTTAAAAGCAGAGATACCCTGCCGATGTTGTATGGAATCCAAATACCGATTGCAACCGTCAAGGCCAGCAAGAACGCGCTGAAAAGGGCATTCTGAACAAGGCTGAAAAGCGGTCCACGCATCCCTACAAGTTCCATGATGCCCTCAAAGTCCTCGGCATCTTCCATCGCATCGGGATCATTTGGATCTAACCCAGCGGCGATTGCAGCATCGACAACGTCTTGGTCAGGCTCCGGAAACTCATCATCGTCCTCAAAGTGATCGTGGTGTGCGACGGGCACAAAGGGAGCCTCAGCCGCTAGGTCATGTACGATTTGCTCATCATTCGCGCCCAAGTCTTCACGAGGTCGGTCTTCACCGACACCCCCCCAAAGAAAGTCTGCAACGCGTCCGAAGATGCCTTCAGGCTCGACATGGCGTGGGGCTAAAGCTTCGCGGTTCTCAGGATGATGAGGTTGCGCTTCAAAGGGAGCTGGAGCTGCATTTATACCAATCTCGGACTCTGACTCTGAGTCAACAGGGTTTGCGTCGAATACTTCATCCCAGTTTTGGGCAGTTCGTGTGATACCATCTTGGCCGACAATTTGAAGTGGACCTTCATGGTCAGATGCTAGAGGGACCGAAGGCATAGTATCCTCAGCTTGACGTTCTGCTTTCAGCTTCTGTGCTTCTCTAGCTTTTTCTATGGCCTGCTGAACTCGAAGGTCTTGTGCAGCTTTCCAAGCCTGCTTCGCTCCTTCAGATGATCCTGCTCTGGGGATCTCAGAAACTGCGTCGTGAGCTCTAGAATTTAGCTGCACACCGCGTGCGACAATGGGCCTACTGTTCTCGTCGCTCGTGGCAGTTGGAGGGGACCTACCATTAGCTTGCCCTTCAGTGGCGTCCAGATTCGAAAAGCTCCAATTGTTGTGTGCCAGGGGAGATATCGTATCGCGTATCTGAGGCCCATCCGACACAGCACGTGGTCTGGAAGAATTCTGTTGAGAGGAAGTATTGATTCCTGAGTGTAACCAAGGGAGGCTGGAGAACTCTGCCGAGCCAATATTCTGATCCAAGATGTTGTTGCGTCCTCCTCGGCCCTTCAATCTTGGCGAAGTACCCTTTTCGACCCGTTCCTGAAGACTGGTGTTCAAACTCTCTTCTTCTATTGGCTCATCAATCGCTCTGCCCTTTCCTTTGCTTGGAGACTGATCTTCTGTATCTGCATCGTTTTGCGAGTTGTCTAGCGGATGTCTATGTTGCTGGAGGCTAAGTGGCTCAACGTCCTCCCAGCTATCAGAGCTAGCTCTGCTCCGACCACTGCCTACCAGGGATCCTGTTTGTTTCGTGGTCTCATGGACCTGTCGGTCCGGGTCCAGGAAGGGAGAAATAGACCCAACGCTCGCCTCCGCCTGGGTGGCGATGTTTGGAGGAGGAACAGTGGGTGCATGCAGCCCAGCGGCTTGAGAGTCTTGCTTGGTACGCAGCTTCATAGCATTGACCCAATACCGCATCTGGTCACTCTTGTCTTCTCTCTCGATGATACGCAGAACTTCTGAAGGATCGTTGTCCGCCCGCCGCCATATAGCAAGAAACTCTTCCGTCATTCTTGGTTCTTCAGTAATAGCTCGTTGGATTTCGGCAGCTGGTGTGAGAGCATCCCGAACTGGCGCAGGTCGAAGCAGCGAAGCAGAACCTTCTTCCAGATAGCGGATATCATCCCGAAGTTCCTCATTCCCATTGCGCATATCCTCCAGAAGTTCGGTATCGTTAGGAGGAAATTCAATCACATCGTCCAAGTGATTGATCCTTCGACGTGGTCTTGCCATTGGCCGTCTTCCAATATCTCTCAGGTCCTGAGCATTCTCGACAAGATTGTCACCATCAACCCGACGGAGAGCATCTTGGCCTGCTTCTCGATTTGCATGTTGATCCCTTGCCCGGTCAGGCGCTGGAAATTCTGCGTTAAAGCCAGCACCTATATTGATACCCGGCTGTTGTTGAACAACCCATTCCCGAATAAGAAATACGAGAATGAAGCAGACAACAACAAGTATTGTGATAACATATCCTTCGGCTATCGTAATGACAAGCTGATTGATGTATGAGTGTCTCGTCAAATTCCGCAAAAATGAAACATCACTCAGGAGTGATGAATGCCGAGTTTCAGCAGATGCGCTAATGAAGTTATGTGGTACGCTTGCATTTGCACCCTCGGGAGCGACCACATTTTGAATACCTAGACCGTAGTACACAGACTTTAGTAAGCCAGCAAGTAAGGGATCGGATTCACTGATGTTCAGCGTTTGAGATACTGGCAGCAACAAACCCATAAGCTTGTCCACCAAACCTCCCATACTGGCAGATGTGGTCTGGTTGTCCTGCAACGGGGTGACAGGGGATGTGCCGTTTCCAGCTATCTTCGACAGCTTCTGAATCTCTCGTGCCATCTCCAGTGCTTTGACCGACGAAGAGTCATTGGTGGTGTTGGCTGGGAGATAGTTCGAAGGCCACCCTCCATCGCTAAACCAGAACAGCAGTCGCCATACCTGCCGAATGACAAAGGGGAGACATCCTAGCCAAACGGTAATCACCACCAAGAATCTCAACCAGGTTGCAATATTCTTGACGGTGTGAATGACAACGTGTCGTGCAAGTACGGGCAGAGGAAGAGATTTTGGCATGTTCGGGGAGTACAGCTTCGTGAACCTGAAGGGGGTCTTGCAAAGCTCGCAGTGCTTTTTTTGCGAATGTGACAGCCATTCCATCAAGCAGTCCTGGTGTACGAACTTGATACTCCCACTGCATTTGCAAGGATGGAAGAGAGGTTCTGCGTCGCTGCCCTCGGCCCGACATATCCTACAAGTATCTGCGTCCCCGGATCCATCTTCGCCATCATCAAAGTTCGTGGTGTATTGCGGATCGTTCATGACATCCGGTGCTGGCGCCTGGCCGTCTTGAATGTCCGCCATCGTGAAGATCGGTCAAGGGAGAGATGCTCTCGCCGGAGAACACGGCATGCGGAGATGTAAGAGAAAGGCGAATAGGCAGAGCCCGGCGTTCATCGATGCTGTAGGACCATCTGCAAATGTACGCAGTAATCTTCAGCCCTGGGAGCGTATTTCAACGAGCTGAACTGTCAGGCTGTGTGTGTGATTTCTTGCCCGATGTATTGGGCTCTGCTCTGCAAGCTGATATGAATTCGGAGAGCGGCCGACTTAGGCTGAGATGATCAGCCTGATGTTTGTAGTGGATGCGTTTGGTGGGGTGAGAGTTCCTGGCTGGGGAATAGGTAGGTAATGTTCGAATGGCCTTGTAAATCCACGGCGCCTGTCAGGTCCATGTCCAGGTCCAGGTCCAGGCAGGCGAGGCAGGACAATCGGAAGTTGAAGTCGGCCGCCGGGGCGGCAGAACAAATCTTCCGAGGCGGCTTTCACTTCACGGACCAGATGGGATGGCAGAGGGTGCATGCAGGACGGAGTACGGTCGGGTACTTCCAACAACTTACCAAGGAGATCCGATCTCATTATTTTGTTCCTTAGGTATGAGAAAGTTTGTGTAGCCTAATGATTGCAACAAAATCGGGTCGGGGTCGGGGTCGGGGTCGGGTCGCTGCTAGATAGTTCTCGGTGCTGCTTTGCAGGTACAGTAACTTCGTAAAGTACAGTACAGTACAGTACAGTACAGTCACGTTCCTACAGTACTGAGGACAGTCTGAGTCTGGTACCTTCATGGGACCAATGTGAAACAATACGTCTTGCCCCAGTGCAGGGGCTCCAAACATGCTGCTGAAAGGAAGCGAAGGCAATGAGAGAATGAAAGCTGGCCACAGAGCCATCATACCCACCCAGTCTTCAAAGCAGGATAAGGTAGATAGATGCATGCACATTCGATTTCTGGTTAGAAGAATCTCTCTTTGTTGGGGTCATCTGTCATACATATATGTGTAGCTTTCAGGATATTTGCAAGCCATCGGCGCTCACTCGTCAATCGATTCGCAGACGGCTGCAGGTGCGTTGGACATCCCGGGTCGCAATGACGTTTTGCACATGAGCGAGAGCGAGAGCGAGAGCGAGACAGGATCCCGCCCCTGTTGCACTACACGACTGTATCTTGCCTCTTGCCTCTTGCGGAGCAAGAGCAAGCTTGTGATAATTAATGGACTAACGGTTTGTCTTCTCTTCTTAGAATATCTCTCTAGGACTTTGTTTGCTGTTCGTCTCTTGATATCCAATTTCGTCTTTCAGGCCAGGCCAGGCCATATCATATCCGCTCCGAGTTGTCTGACTGCGAAACCAAGCTTGAGCTCCTTACCTTACCTCACATCAAGACCCCGTCCGTGTCCATTAACCTGGTCCAAAATCTCCCAGCTCGGTAAAGCTCACCTCATTGCCTCAAGTTCAGGTCAGCAAACCTCTTGAACCAACTTAACAACACAAACACGCACGACTGTTGTAGCTGGCGCATTTCTTCACAAGCTGTATGTTGTTGTAGAAGATGGCGGTCGACAGCAACGGACGGGCAGTCGAGCCTAGTCAGAAGGGGATGAATGGCCATGCCAAACCAAAATCTTCCAGATCTAACCCAGCTCCCCCGTCAAGGAAGGGCTTCAGTCTCTTCAGTATTCTATCCAGGTGAGACATGACTCTACAACTTCCTCTTGTAAGGACGGATCTAATGCGTTACAGAATTCTGACGTGGTATTCCATCGTCACCATCCTCTTCCGATGCCCTTCAACAGTCGATCTCCTCACGGACGACTCACCCAAGATTTGCAAACCATATTTCCAAGTACGGTCTGTAATAGCTCCCCACCTCGAACCCTATTATAACACCTACGGGGCTCCGTATGTCGATGCCGCCAAACCATACTACGCTACATTTGACAAGAGAGTCATCTCTCCTGCAACCGCATTGGGGAAGAAATATGGTGCGCCGCGTGTGGCACAGGCACAAGCCTATGGTCAAGCTCAGTGGGATAAGAACGTCCAACCACAAGTTCAAAGATACCAAGCTGTCCTGAAGGGTAAATACGATCAGACATTGGGTCCACATGTCGAGAAAGCCGTATCGGCAGCTAGTCCGTACTACGAGATTGCGAAGACCAGTGCCCAACAGACCTACTACGAACAAATTCTTCCAACATACACTGCGGTCCAACCTTACGCGCTACAAGGTTATGGCCTCGCCAATGATTTCGCTATAAACACTGCACTCCCTTACTCAAAATGGGCATGGACCGCCGGTGTTGTTTTCCTGGACCGTACTGTCTGGCCACAGATTCGCATCCTATATGGCGAGAATGTTGAGCCTCAATTGGTGAGGATCGGCGAGCGATTGGGAAGATACCGTGACGGCAAGAAACTCAAGGCAGTCGTTGAGAATATCGACAGCTCGTCTTCAGCTTCTGTGGCTTCGCAGACTTTGTCATCTGTCGCTTCGTCAGTCTCATCTGCTCATGCCACTCCGACTTTGGAAGTAACATCGACGGAAACCACCGCAGAATCGTCAGAAACGCCTGAAGCTACCCCTGAATCTGAGAAGGAGGTCCGTGAAAAGGCTCAAAAGATTGTCAGCCATGATCTTAAGGAATGGCAAGAGAAGTTCGCCAAGGCTGCGGACGAGGGCTCGGATGATCTTGAGGAAAGAATCACTGAGATTACTGATCGAATGGTGCAAAGTCAAGCAGAGGAGGTTGGCAAAGCACATATCATCCAGCTCGAAGAGACCGTCAATTCCAGCTTTAAGAAGCTGAAAAACGCTATCATCTCCATCGTGTCCGACTCCAAGGATACCGAGGATTCTGAAGGTGCTCTTAATACTGCAGTCCGCAAAGCAGGTATTGCTATCAAGGAAAAGGCACAAGCAGTTCGAAGCTGGAGACAAAACTATGATCGTGAGACCAATGAGCTTGTAGGCTTGTCTGCTCAGGATACCTTTGAGATTCTCGATCACATCAGAGATCTTGGGCTGCAAGAAATAGGGATGAGATGGGCATGGACCGATGGTATCACTCATAAGGACTGGGCAAAATATCATCAGTTGAAGACTAAGTTTGACGAGTGGCGGGTCGATGTTGAGAACGTTGTGACTGGTCACCCAGGTCTTGACAAAGCTCGCGCTGCCTCTGAGGAGATTGAAAGCCAAGCAATGGGAATCGCTGAGGATGCCGCAAAGGAACTAGCACGTCTGAAGGAAACCGGACGCTGGAAGATTCAGGCCGCCGACTTGAGCGACGATTTCAGCACCAAGATCATGCCTGCCCCTGCTGCAGTAGTCATTCAAAAAGTCGCTGAGAAGGCCAGCGAATTGAGCGAAGCTGTAGGCCCTTCATCCCAAGGAAGTGTCCAAAGTGTGATATCAGTTGGAAGTGCAAGCGCGAGCAGTCTTGCAGATCAGGCATCAAGCACAATCATCGATACTCAAGGCAGTGTTGAAGGCATTGTATCTGCTGCCAAGGCATCTGCGAGTAGTGTGGTCGATCAAGCTTCAAGCTCTATCATTGGTACACCGCAGGGCAGTGTTGAAAGTGCTACGTCTGTATTGAAAGAATCGGCAAGCAGTATCGTCGAACAAGCATCAAGTTCTGTAATTGGAACACAACATGGGACCGCTGAAAGTGTTACTTCTGTTGCCAAGGCATCTGCTAGCAGCATCGTGGACCGGGCATCGAGCTCCATTATCGGAACCAAACAAGGCAGTGTAGAGAGCGTTGCTTCCGTAGTCAGCCAAAGTGCCAGCAGCCTTTCTGCCAAAGCATCATCGTCTATTGTGGGTAACGAGCCAGGTATTGTTGAACAGGCATCAGAAAGTGTCAAGTCTGCGGTTTCGATTATCTCAGAGTCTGCTTCCAGTCTCTCTAATGCTGCAAGCTCCTCGATTTCCTCCGGTGGAAGTGAAGTTTCAGAGGGCGTATCGAAGGCATCGAGCTCTCTCGGTTCTGTCACATCGTCGATTGCAAGCTCACTGTCAAAGAGCGCTTCGGACACATCTAGCTCAATCAGTTCTGCAGCCTCTTCAGCTTCAAGTACGGCATCTAAGAAGGTTTGGGGTGGAGCCATGGCCCAGCATGTGGAAGCCAGGAAGATAATCTTTGATGACGTTGTTGATGATTCTGATGATGCTAGTTACAGCGAAAAGATACAGAACATGGCAAGCGAAGCTGGTGATCGATATGCGGAAATCACGAATGCTGTCAGCGAAGCATTCGGCCAAAATCCACCAGTTACAAATGCAGAAAAGTATTCAAGTGCTTTGTCTGCTGCCAGCGTTGCGCTTTACGGAACCGAACTAGGTGCCAGGGAGAGTATTTCGAGCGTTGTTGCGAGCAAGTACGACGAAGCTGTTTCTGCGTAAGTCTCTTTAATTTCGACCCAATCGTCCAATAGCTAACTAGGATTCAGTGCCAGCGCTATCATTTATGGCACACCAATGCCGATCACTGATTCCATTGCCGCTCAAGCTACAGATGCATACAATGCAGCAATCTCGAGAGCAAATGAGCACTACTCCCAAGCTCGATCCCTCGTTTCTGCCCAGATCTCTGGAGAGCCAAAACCAGTGCATGAGGAGATGTTCTCTTCGGCTGAGGCAATCTTCTCAGATTCTAGAGCTGCAGCAAGCTCGAGATTACAATTAGCACTTGCAGCTGCATCTACTGCCGTATATGGTACACCAACACCTGCTTACCAATCTGTCCTGTCATCCATCTCCTCTGTGGCACAATCAAAGCTTTCCGAAGGTCTCAACCGCGCCTCTGCTCAGTACCAAGATGGAAAGGATTATGTGGCGGCAATCAATACAGGCGCTCCCGCCAAACAAAAGCTTCTAGTGCAAATGCAGGAACAATATTACGCTGGTATCGGAATGGCCCACGCCCGCTATTCTGACTTCTTAGATTCGGCTTCCTCGGCTGCCATGCCCAGAAAGACTCCCGTTTACGAGAGTATCTACTCTGGGGCCAGTGCCAAAATTGCTGGCACCCCCACTCACAGATTTCAAGCAGCATTAAACACAGCTTCCGCACATTATTCTGAGGCAGTCGAAGCTGCATCATCCAAATTCGACCAGCTTATTGCATCAATCTCCGAAATTGGCAGTGGGAATTCCGAGCATGTTCCTACCATTACCTTGGTCTCTGCGGCTTCTGCACAGTACAATTCGGCAATATCTCAAGCTTCCAAGTCGTTCGCTTCCATAAATTCAGTGATCTCAGAGAAATTGGCGATTGGCTCTTCCTCTATCTCTTCTGCCGCATACGGAACTGAGACTCCTTGGACCGAGTCTGTAGCTTCAGCTGCCAGTGAGAACTGGGAAGCGCTCATCACCAAGGCAAGCGAGCAAGTGTATGGGGCACCAACACCCTATTTTGTGACTAGGCGACTATTGTCCGAGGTCAAGGAGTACGCCGCTCAAGCTACTGATGGCGCTATTTCTCAATACGCTGCTGTGCAGTCCTTGATCGGAGAGCTCGTTTCTGGAAAAGAGCCAGACTTCACTGAGTCAGTTTTCGGACGCCTCAGTTCCGCTTATTATACAGGCGCAGGAGAGGCTGCGTCTTCCGCATCATCTTATGCCAGCGAAGCATACGCTTCTGCCAGCTCTGTCGTTAGCTCTGTCTTCACCCCGCCACCAAGTCTTGAAGCCATTCTCGACGGAGCGGCCCTTCGCGTTAATGAAGCGGTTGAAGCAGCAAGTGTTCAATTCTACGGCAGCCAAAAGGGAAAGTTTGAAGAGGCAACCTCCGCAGCTGCATCAGCATACAGCTCAGCTCAAAGTGTAGCATCTGAAAAGGTCTATGGAACGACCACTGGCTATGTCGAGGCAGCCCAGAGTTCCATCTCAGATGCCGCATTATCTGCCCAAAGAGCCATTTCAGAAGCTTTTTTTGGTACAGAAACAGGCACATACGACCAGGCAACAGCTGCAATGGCAGAAGCCTATGCATCAGCAACAGCAAAAGCCAGCGAGGCGATCTATGGACCCGAAAAGGGTGCCATTGAAAGCGCACAGTCCCGCTTGACAGCCGCCGTGGAGAGTGCCCGCGTAAATCTCGCTGAGTTCGCTAGCTCCGCGGGAGAAGGTGCAGGTGAGGCAATCCGCCAGGCTAGTGAAGGGGTTGAAGATTTCGCAAGCAGTGTAAGCAGTGTCATAAGCTCTGCTACTTCCCACGACGAGCTATGAACAATAATGATAATTTGACGAGATGAGACGAGACGAGATGACGATGTGCAAGATAGGCAAGGGACATCGGAATGTGGGAAGAAACGAGCCATTTCATAGAATATTGAGAGTGGAGTGAAGATCAATGATGGAAGAAGAGAGGACACACTTATTAACACCCTTGTATCATTGTACACATTTTCCTCATTTGCAGCAGGAAGCAGCCCAACATCGTGTCTTCGATATCTAGCGATGGTCCATATTACAGTACACAAATGGTTCTTTTCATTCAAGTTGATCTGTGTTTTATGTTGTGCGACAGCTTCTTATCCCATGTTCTGTTGTGTGTCACATTCATATTGGGTTGGGTGATGGCTGGCTGCTTTCTGTGTCTTAACTTGCCTTGGCGATATCCCCATCTGTATGCATGTATTTACGTGTTATGAAATCATATACTCTTAGCCTGTAACCCTTCTCCCTGGTTCTCTGAGGCAACAAATCGCGCGCTATCAAGAGATGATTACTGAGAAGCGTATCTCAATGCAACAGAGAATAGAATGAGGACTACGGGTGAACAGAATCGTCAGTACTATACTTAAGCTTGAAAAGAAGATATATCATTTGAAAAAGCAGAGATTCTTATCGTCACGTCATCGTCACGCCAATCTCCCTTCATGCCTCTGTGCTTACACATCTAACAGAATCTTCTCGACTTGCACCTCTACTTGTATCTCCACTCGCACCTGTACGTGCACATCCAACAAACGCCTCTCGACATGCGCTTCTTGGGTATCAGGTTTCACCAGATCCAACAGAGATTTTCTCAGTTTCGACAACAAGCAGATTGACAGTCCGATCAACGGTCCTGAAAGACCACCTTAAGCGTACTGCGTAGGATGCTCAACTGGAAGATACAACATCACCAAGTAAGGAGAACACGTTCTAGCGTATGTATGATCTATCAATCCGAGTGATACAAATATATATCTAACATATGCCTAGCCCAAGCCTTACAGCTCCAGACTCCAACTTCAAGCACAGCAGATCTACTCCGCGATGTGCTCACGGCTACAGCTCACCTCCCCTTACCAGCTATACTGAATAACAACGACGATGAGATGATTATCTGGGAAGTAATATTAATGTTCTTTAAAGTGGACCTTGAGAACGTTGAAGTTCAAGATATTCAGTCTCTTGGTATAGCCCTAGGACCAAGTCGAGATGCACTTATACGATTTTGGGTCAGGAGCCTTATTCGTCAGACCAACACTCAGAGTGTAAGTATCTCAGTAACTTATGCAAATAGAACTGAATTTAAAACAGCAAGCAAGCTTGACCTCATATCGTCCTACCTTGCGAGCCTTAGCCCAACTCTCTCCGAATCGAGACCTACAATTAATTCGCGCACTGTCAAAGATTCCAGTTGAAATTCCTACAACTTCGACAAGCAGTCGCACACTTCTTCCTATCTTTCAACAAGGTCAACTACAATAGACACGACTATTGATATCAACCGGGGAAATCCTTCAGATTTTGGCGTGTTCTGGAACTCGTTTATCGATCTGATACAAAAGTCTATTAAAATTAGTTGTAAAGACCAAATGGAAGAAGGGTACGAGGCTAGCCAGGCCAGGCCGACAGAAGACGGTGTCAACCGATAAAAATGCCACACCCTGGATAAGAGAGATTCCTTATCTAACGAAAGAGGCGATGGAGCGTGTCCCACGCTATAGGATATCATAAAGGGAGACTGCTGGAGTTTCACGAGATTTCCTTGCTGAGAACACATCGAGACAGGACTGCCACAAAAGACTAGCAGTAGGTGAGAAAATCATATGTCCGCACCTGCCTATGTGTACCTTGCGGGAGGATAAAGACATGCTGGAAGCGAAGATTCACACCGAGATAACAATCAATCTCTCACATCCTGAACTGCGGCTTAACTCTGTCCCAAGTTTTGCTGAAAGGCACAAAAAGATAGCATCAGCGAGACTGGAAGCAGACTCTGAGATAATCGAAGCTGCAAATTTTCCACTCCGCATCTTTCTTCTGCCACCGAAGCATACGCTTCCGGGACTTCTGGATTTCTGATTGGTAGTTGAAGATGTTACGCTAGATTTCTATGGCAGTTAGCGACGAAGCATTGATCTAGTACGACCCTACATGCCAACCCAAATGGGTTTTAGCCTGGGTTTTTTCTTCTATCTACAGAACACAAACTTCATTTTTTCCTTCTGGTGGCAACTTCCTGGCGTTCAGCGTTCTGGTTTGGATTGCATGAAAGGGAGCAGGAGTTCTTCGCTCGAGCTTGTACATAACCTTCATAACCTTGGAAGTGGCAATTGATAAGTCATTACTAGAGATTCTTGTTCATTCTCTTTGAGCGGAAGTACACTAGGTTGAGCTTACATCACATCTCGAAGCTGAGTCTATGTCAGGCAAATGTAAGATCGAGTTTTTGCAGATAAACACTACTACGACTGAGGGAGTTCAATTTGAAGATTGTAGGGTTTGGACGACCACGTGCTAATCAAGGAGTCGAACTCTCCAGCTGAACGTATTTGTATATTTATGATAGTGAATGCCATCCATTCTTCAAAGATGTTGAAGAAGACAAGAAGAGGTCCGAACTTCGTTACTGAGCTAAGAGTCTGCTCTTGTCATACCCCGATAGCTTGATTCAAGAGCGAAGGCGAGACTGGAGAGCGTAAGAACCAAGATTCTGTGATAAGAGCTCTACAAGAAGCAGTTTTGTATCTTCCGAGCGTGCATATTCATGAGCGTGTACATGAGCTTCACAGAGGTGATGATGTGGCATAATTCCATAACCACTAGCTGCAATGAAATGTTCAAAATTATGGCATTCAGGCCAGAAATAATAGACATGGTAACGTATAGTTCAATAGACCCCTTCTGTATTGCTTCTATTCTACACCTTACACCTTCAGATCCTCTGAATCAAATCACACCCCCTTGTAGCATCCCCCCCCACGACCATTCTTCCTGTCTCCTCTTATACACGTCTTCAAACTAACATACATAACATCCGCACACTCTCTCACTCCTGCTTCCCTCTCGCCAATGTTTCGCTTCCAGCACTTCCAACGTTCTCCTGACACACCAGCCAAAACCAGCCAAGCCGAACTCTTTCATATCAAAGACAAAGACAGAGACAAAAGCTGTCAAATATAAGGACAGACTCCCTAAATCCCACTATCGATCCATTCATTCCTACAAGGAAGGACAAAAGGAATAACAAGAACGCCACGCCACGCCAACCCCAAAAGCCCAAGCAAACATTACCTAACTCGCTCGCTCACTCGCTTGCGCCAGCAGGGAAATTCCATTCCAAATCACTGTCTATCTAAAAGTATCCTCTTTATCAGTCCGTCCGTCCGTCCGTCCTTCCGTCCAGCCAACCATCCGGCTTTCATTCCTTCCTTCCCGACCGTCTCCCTAATCTTTGGTTGTAGAATAAGAATGACAAAGGAAAGCAAAGGCCTCTTGGAAAGAGGTTGTTGACTGGTCGAAACGCCGCATTAACAAGCCCGGCAAAAAGAAAGTAATGCCGATTCAATGATTTCATAACGGAGACTGGATCCCCAAACCATTGTCAGGGACTTCTTCCGGGATGTCCTCTTCCCGAAACTTGATGCCGTTCTCGATCTCAATACCTCCCCTCACCCACTCCTCTTCGGCGACTTTCGCCATAGTCCATCGACTTCTGGCTCGCTTCAGAAGACCTTCGGTGACGGTCATGGCGCCAAGGAGTCCTCGCTCCTTGAACTTCTCGGGATCACCTTCGTGGTCCCCTTCTTCGCCTGCGTACTCTATCCACCTCCACTCCACTCGTGCAATGCGGTGGCTAGTGCGGCTGCGTTGCTTATGACCTTCGGACATCCCTGGATTTGGGTCAAATGGTAATCGGCTTTCGAGAAGAGCGTATAGGAGAACTCCAAGTGACCAGGCATCTGTTGCTCGACCATCGTAGGCTTGTCCCATTATCACTTCTGGAGCCGCATAATCATCAGACCCGCAACGAGTAGTGAGTTTCTCATCATCGGCCACACGACGTGATAACCCGAGATCTGTAAGGGTGATGATAGAATTGGGATATGTGGCCCAGTCCTGAGGTCTACGGAGCTCGTGTTGAGGAAGGTTGACCAGAACATCTAGATGTAATCAGCATCAAACAATATCAAATAGTCAAAAAGACATACTCTCAAGCTTGATATCCCGGTGCACAATATGCCTCTCGTGTAAGTATTGCACTGCAGCTACAAGCTCGGAGAACATCCTTCTCAGCAAGCTGGGCACAAGCAAATCTCGGTGCTCGCTTGCAACCTCGAAGAGATCCCCACCAGGACAATAACTGAGCACTAGAATAGCTCGAGTTTCTTCAATATTCCACGCTTTGAGGTGAACAAGCGAAGGGTGGTGTATTGACTTCATGATCTCAAGCTCTCGCTTAAGAGACATCTCCACCCGTTCTTCGGAAGCGCCTCCTTTAGGGCCATGCTCACAGATCTTGACCGCAACAAGTTTTTTGCGGTCGATTTTTGCCTCTGGCACCGGTGTCATGATCCCGTCCATTTGAGAGCCAAATACATCGTCTTCATCTATACGATTTTCGACTTCTGGTACTTGACTTGTTGCTAGCATGACTTTACTAAAAGTTCCTTGGCCTAGAATCTTCAAGGCTCGCCATCTTCTCCTTTTTGAGTCCTCTCTTGTGTAGGCATCAAAATACTCGTAGCGAGGTTTCTTGCTAGGCCGAGGTAGGTATGCGGTAGTCAGTGAAGAATCACTGTCACTGCTCTCTCCTCCAGTTCTACTTGAAGGTGGGGTTGGAGGGGTAGGCACTGGTGCTAAACCCCTTTGCACAGCCAAATGTGGCTCCCTCCGCATGTGTGAGTCTGCTGTAGGCTCCGTTGGAGTCACGTCGAGAACCACAGCATGTGAACCTGAGACAGTGATATGACGAGTTTTTGGTAGTTGAACAGACTCGGGCACATACTCGCTGATACTCCGATTTCTTGTATGTCCTTCAGAATTTCTCTCTTTATTCTCTGGACTCGACAAAGCGGATGCATTGGAATTCGATAATATATGATAAGCGCGCCTTTTCGTTTGGTTTGCAATAGCTGCAGATATTGATTCTCCGTTTGCTGTAACCAGCGCCGAATCAGCAGTGGAGGGTACCATGAGGTCGCGGGATTGGGGCCGGGCTGTGAGCTTTTTCCAGGGTCCAGGTGAATCTCCAGTCATAAGTGGTGACGGCAGGGGAGTGACATCTGCCATTGCGCTCAACCTGGGCGAAGACAAAGCAGAGTTCGGTGCGGAACCGAAGTTCGAATTGCTGCCTATACTGCTCGCAAAGACGTTCTTAACACTGGGTGTCCTCGCTAATGTTGTGCTCGATGACTTAGACGGGATCCTCGTCGAATCGCTTGAACTCCTCGCCGTATTGCTAGTACTTGCAACTGTAACGGTATAGCCCGGAACGATATCGGTTTGTATGCGCAGGCCCGCGCTTGAAGGACTCGGACTCGGACTCGACTGATGTATATCTACGGGAAGAAAATGAGAGGACGTGTCGAGACGAGGGAGGGGCTTTTCGTTCTCCGAAGGGACAGGTGTACCAGTCGCGCCCGGAGGAGGTGAGGGCGCAATCGTCGTCGATCTAAATAGGGAGCCAGAATCTAGTGGCTGGTCTGCGGGGAATGACACTGAAATCTCAGAGCTCTGTCTCGCGATCTGCTCGTCCATAGTTGTAGCATTCCTCCATTCTACTGGTGATGCGACATCGCTCCTCTCCTGACGGCGCGAATTGGGTGTCTGGGGATCTAAGTTTGACATAGCCGGGGTTTCGGTGACGACAAAAGTTTCGAGTGGAGCTCTATCTATCGTAGATATATATGACGCTGGTGATGCGGCGCAGCCGGTCTCCCTCGTCAATGGAAGACGAGATGAACGGGTTCTGCTGAATGCAACATGGGGGTGGAAACGGGGAGGGAGGGTGTTGTACGCGGCGGGAAGAGAGAGAGGTGAGTGACGTTCGGAGGTTGATGAATCGAAGGTTGGGGGAGGGGATAAGGAGAGTGGAGGTGCGGCGAGGCTTGACGACGTTCGTTACCGTACCTTATAAGTAAGTACCTTACCTGCCTTACAGTACTTAGTCCAGCGGACTGGACGGCGAGCTTAATTTAAGTGCCCAACGGCAGAGCCAGAAATGTAAATTACATGCATTTACTGTATGTGATTGCAAAAATAGCCGCTCCTGCAGAACAATCCCTACCGTCAATTGATCGTTCCAAGCAGGCAGTACAGTATCTATCATGTATGCTTGGAGTTCCCGTCTCAGCCTAGCTGATGTTTCTGTTTGCACCTCCAAGCTCGAGGCCCAGGCTCCACCTCGCACGAGACCACGACTCACCTCCAGCCACGGCACTCGTATTTATCTAGACGCGGCAGAAACCCACCGACTCAGCCCAGCGGCTCCAAAGAACTAAATACGACTCGATCCAAAAGAAGACCATCTCTCCAAGATGCCCAACATGGGATGATGGGAGAAGTCCTTGCCCTCTTCCCGCCATCATAGTATTGGGGTCGTAAATTCTCAAGGTTCAACTGAGATAGAAATACGAGTACTGTTTTGTGCTTGGGACATCCACGCGACTCAAACCGGCACGGGCAGCATACGTGGGTGTTATTGGACTGAGGTTGTATGGCCAATCAACGGACTTGCGAGCCTGCGAGAAAGGCTGAGGCTGAGGATCGCCATGTCTCGGCTCTGACATCGCAGTAGTTCGTGTTTCTGGTTATCTTGGTTCAAATAGCCGGGGACAAGAATGGAGAGAACGCCATGTGTATATATGAAACCTGACACCGATGAGGAATCTATCATAACCAATTCTATCCCAGGTCTAAATCTACGTCTATTGCAAAGTTTATATCATACAAGACTGACTTCCCAGCCTTCACAACCTGGCTCTGAAAGCCTTGTTTTCTTCCATCAATGGCTCGCCCTCACTCGGTCCAACCTTGTCATCTGTTGTCTCGTTTGTTCCAGGGGTAGACTCCTTCTTCGGCGCAGAATGATATCCTCCCTTCACATTGTCTGAATTGGTGATCCTCCCCTCTGCATCTCTCTGGATACCAAGTTCCAGCAACTTGGCAAAAACCTTCGTAAAATCCACAAAAAAGACATCCTTATTGGTTGCATACTGCTCCACGTACTTTAGGAAAACCTTGTCCTGTCTCAAAGCCATATCGGTTGGTAGCATCATAAGTTCGGTCTCCGAGTCGTCGTCGTAGTGTACGAATTGTTCGATTCCGTTCTTCAGAGTTTTCTTCCTCCATTGTAGCGACAGCAACAAAACGAAATATTGGTTTGAAAATCTCGTCGGATTATTGACCCAAGCTCCCTCAAACCCAGAACGATCAGAGTGACAGCGTCCAAGGTTATGTGCTCCCGACAACGCAACAATCTCCTGATCAGTAAAACCCATCCGGTAGAATATCCGTCTTAAATGATCGTATCCTTGTGTAGCATCCGGCAATCGGCCGCGAGGTGGCAGCTTGCTATCATCGACATAATCTGTCCGGCCACCTTGCCACGGTATCAAAGGCCCTCCCATCTCCTGTATAGCCACCACGCCGGCAAGTGTCCAGAGATCTGCGTAAGTAATCCAGGGATGCTTGGCCTTGACCGGTTCGAGGAAGACACGCGCATGTTGAAGGCCTGCGTTCGCAGGGTCGCCACCTTCAGCTTCATATCGCATGCCAGCTCCATTCGACCCGCCGGTATCTGTTTCTGCATCGTAGGTTCCTGCTGAGTGCCTACGACCTATTAAACGGGCCCAGGTAGCAGATTGAGGGTGCGAACATACCAAGCAAGGCGAACCAACACCGGCCCGGCACTTCCATCATCGTATTCAGGTTGGTGCAAGAGCTTTGCAATATCCTTTCGGACAGCTTCGAAATCCCCCAATTGGCTCATCTTGTCTACCTCTAACTCGACCTAAAAAGAAAATCTAGTAACTGTATCTAAGAACACGGAATAGATGGTCTATTAAAAAGATACAAAAGAAATGTATTGTGACAAAGAGGCAACTTATGAGATACAAGGTATCACATCGAGAACGGCACGGAAACAGGATCGAACAGCGAAAAGTACGGACGAGCCGAGGCTTCGCGGCAAGAGTTGTCTCGTGCCTGACCCATTCTCCGTCTCAGCTTACCTTTACCGCGCGGGAAACTGTATTTTCTTTGGGGCTGTTGTGGGTCTTAATGATGATTCATGTGAAGTTCTGGATGTCGAAATTTATTCGGCGCGCTAGGGTAAAGGTGCCTCGGTCGCCGCCGATAAGCTTACTAAATCTTGGCGAGTATCCAAGAGGTGTTATTGGTTGGGTTTGTTTGGGTGGAGTAAGTGTTGCTCCGAGGTCTTCAACCCAGATCCAAGGAGGTCGCGGGTGATCAGTACCTTCTTGCAAGTGTCACAGAAGTATAAAAGAAGATAAACCTGATACTGGAGTAGCCGGATCGTTTGGAGAATGAAGAGCTGACCTACGATCAATGCTGTTTGTCGTTTTCAAGAAGCATTGAAGCTTAATTTAGTTCAAGGTGAATTGACATCGCCCAAGCTCTGCCAGCTCTGTAAATAAGGAAAGCTACGAGATTTTCGCTATTATTCAATGCATGTATGAACTTAAAAAAAAAGAAAGCCACAAAGAATACTGAACTTGATTCTGTGCTACCGGAGCCTATTGTTTGTTGAAATTCGAGGAGTTAGTTATTGCAAACGCCGCTCAATGATAAACTCAACTCGCCACTGGCATGCTTTCCTCAACCACTCAAGTTCTAACCAGATTTCCTCGCGCGCCTTAAGAAGCAATGAGAAAGTAATGCCCTAGAAAGTGGCCACGCTTCCAGGAATATGGAGTTAATCTTTCATTGTATATCCAGAATCCGGCGATTCTGGGCAGGCAATCTTTCTAGGGACTTGCTTGTATCCTCTGCTCCATCCCTTCACCCTTGGCTAGTCAAGCGCTCATATCTTCCCGGTATGTCCAATGTCGCAATACACAATTTGGCATCTGGAGTGCGAACTTTTTTCTACTGATATCTACCCCCTGCCTCCCCCGCCTCCCAGATTTCTGGAAGCTGTCATTCGAAAATTACTAGATGTCTGAAGTAGAGCTGAATACTTCAGCCAATGCGACCTCTGTGTCGTAAGTTTCCACCGATTCAATACCTAGAGGGATACAATAAAGTCTCTGATAGGAAGTGGCCAACCACAAAATTGAGTATCCTTTGACGATCGATATGTTTATTGAACAACGAGACTAATGTAACAAAGACAAGAAGCTGTGTTCATTTTAATCATCCAGTGAATTTCATTGTATGAAGCAAGTAACTCGACGTCCTTGCGCTTTTGGGCCGCCGGAACTCGCCTGATAGCACTCTGGAATCTTTCTGATAGCTTCCTATAAAGGATTGTACAAATCCATCCAAACGAGTCACAAGGCGTCTTCTTTTCCAATGGTACTTCTTCGACACCCTGTGAACTCTGCTTGCAACCATTTCCAATGCCACAATGGGTACTTTGGTATTGGAAACAGTCCGTGGACCTGATTCTGATTCTGTGAAGACCTAAAAAGATTGTCGCAGGTACTAATACAAGTGAAACTCGATAGCCAGGCTATTGTGGCAAGCTTTTACTTTCGCAATGTTGTGGCTAAGTCAACACCTGTTTGTAGATAATGATGCTGAGATGTTGGTCCGCCAACAGGACGCGAGATTCATCTGCTTACTTGTATTGACTTAAACTCTTCATAAACAGGTTATTGTCTGCCCTGAAATGAGGTCGTACCAGAGTAGGGTAATTCTCATGGGAGAAAATCAAAGGTAATCTTCTCTATCGATATATTAATTTGGACATGAAACATACCTAGATAACCTTGAAAAGAGCGTCTTAGCGCTCTGACAAGCTGAGCAGCTCATTATACATCAACAAAACACGCCGATACATTACAATACAACTCGTATAAGGTTAATGTGTTCTGATTCTCTTGATATAAACCTTGTGTGCTGACGTAGACAGTAGAGATAAAGTCAAGTGACAGGTGATGCTGACTTAAGACACTTCTCAGCTGTCAAGGTAAAGCATTGACAACGGCCAAAATTGAACTAAAGGACATATTTATGCGACTTTGCCTCCTTCTTCTGTATTTACAGATAAATATTTATAACAATTAGATCATCACTTTGATTTCACTTGTGGAGCTCGCTTCCTGCCCGATATCGGGTCGCACCAACCGGTAGATTAGAGAATATGCAAGGCACAAAGCCGAGGGCTTCACGATGCCAAAAGAAGAGCGTAACTTTCAAGCTTGGTTTTTCGTAAAATTTATCCAATTTGAAATCGAAAGTATATAAAAAATACCAAAAATTAATTGTTGATTTGCGACACCTGAGTGATTCGAACACTCGCTCCCGAAGGAAACTGATTGAATGTTAGATGTGAAACATGAGGTGTGTGATCAGATGAACTTACTGGCTGTCTTTACTTGCGTAATAGCAGGCCCTGTATAGTTTATTAGATACAGCTCAGGATAGCTGAATAGAGAATTCTCACATCGCGTTAACCACTGCTTGTCATTAGTGGTGGTCACGTGGGTTGTTGGATGAGAGACTAACCTCCGCCAAAGTGCCTTTGTGTGAACGTGTTGCTCAGCTGGTTGGAGGCGAATTGCTTATTTGACTAAATGGATACTTTACAAACTTTCCCCACAAGTGTACTTTAGCGGTGTGGAGTGAGTTGCAGGCTTAGGCGAGTTGCATGCTCTGCAGTTACCTAGATAAAAGGGCATCTGCGCAGAAAGATTACATGAGAACCTTGAAATTTGAAGACACTCAAGAATTATGCTTTAGAACTTATATTGATTAGTTGGGCTGAAGCTCATATCTAGACATTGTGCCCTTTCCTTCTAATAAGTCTACTACTCGCTAACAAGGTAAACAAGTTCCTCGCCTAATCCCACCAGCCTCACGATGGCAAGTTGGCCAGATATCGAACGAGACGCAATTTATTGTGACGAATACCAGACCCTAGAGTGTCTTCTAATATTGAGCTTCGGTTCGAGCCCCAGTTTCTAGGTTCCTATTTGTTAAAGGCCTGGCAATCTGGCCATGTAGGAACAGTATGATATTTGGGATGAGGCTGAATAGAAGAAGCTCTAGAAATTGGCAATGCTGAATAGCAAATTGGTCACCAACATCAATGAGAATTGCGTTTGGAGCATTTTAGATTCTTAAAATATTTCTGCGACGTTGCGAATATTACCTAGTTTTCGATCTCTGGCTTGGATTGAGTCAAGAATCAATTCTGCCAAATGGACGGTACTAGCTGCAACAGAAAGAAATCGTTTACCCTCGCCCAGATACCTCAGCGAAACAATTTCCGAAAATCATATTACGGCGAGAAATTTTGGAATAGTGCACCCTTTAACACCTAAACTCGCTCCAAAACAAAGAAACATGCAAGAACCAAACTTCAACAAAACGAGCCCCACACATAACATCCCTCTCCTCGCCGCTACCTTCAATTTCTTCCCCGACCTGCACTCTGAACTCCAAGATGGCATATGGCACCGCATAGCAGACGTCTGCCCTCAACCTCGACATATTGCCCAAGAAAACCGATGCCACTCTCCCTAGAACTATGGTTGGACCGAGGAGCGAGTATATGTATCTTTATTGTTGCGAGGAGCAATTCGAATCCACTCGAATCATAAGGGTGTGAGGATGCGATTTTGTGATGGGCTAGGTGAGAAGGTGCGGGCGAGTCTCGTAGACGCGAAGAGGTGGGTCATCAGAACTGGAAAGGATTAATGATGAGAAGTTTAAGAGGAGACTTAGAGTGGCCAATGTGGTTAATCCGTCTGTGGAGCGGGGGACTGGGCATGAATGGAAGTGCCGGAACCTGTAGAAAGCAGTTCATATGGTTATTTTTGTCGATGGGATGAGGTATGAAAAGAAGTGTTGGTAGATGTAGTTATAGATTCTTGTTTCCCCCAGGAATCATGTTCTTGTTATAGATGTCAACACGACTTCTCGGATACTTGATTTGGGTTTGTTCACCTCTGCACCTTGTCTCAAGGAGAAGGACCGAGATGTAGAGTGTCGTTCTGTTGACGAAGATTGGCTCCGTCCAAAAGATTCTTACTGGACAAAGTACTAATAGTTGTCTGGCTCAAACGGATCCCGCTGCCAACGTAATATTACTCCTCGGATCAATTGATTGTTTCATGACATTCATTCAGATAGAGTAACTCAATACAAAATAACAAATCCTGCTCCCATCCTTTCCAAGCCATCCATGTTCCATCGTACATCTACTGCCTAGTAGTCATTGTTGTTGTTCCCGCTTCCATAGCTGTTGTCATTGTCATTACCAGCAGCAGCACGCTTGGCAGCCCCTTTCTCCTGCAAGTTCTCATTCTTCAACATACCACCAACCTTCTCCAAGATTTTGCCAGAGGTGGAGTCTTTCGACTTGGAGTCGTGGTCGATATTGGAGCTGCCGTAGTTATCCGTGTTGGATGAGCCGTAGGTGTCAGAGGTCTTGTTACCAGAGCCGTATGAGTCCGAGCCAGTGTTGGTGGAGCCGTATGTGTCAGTGTTCGAGGATCCGTAGTTGTCTGAGCTGGACTTGTTGCCTGAGCCGTAGGTATCGGTGTTGGACGATCCATAGTTGTCAGAGCTCGACGTCTTGTTTCCTGAACCGTAGGAGTCCGATCCAGTGTTTCCACTTCCGTAGGAGTCTGTGTTGCGGCCAGATGAGCCAAGATTATCATCATTGGAGCCTCCGTAACCACTGGTTTTGTTGCCAGATCCATAAGAGTCAGATCCAGTGTTTCCACTTCCATAATTGTCTGTGTTGCGTCCCGATGACCCTAAGGTATCTTCGTTTGAGGACCCTCCATAGCCACCAGATGTGTTATCACGGCCTGACGATCCATATGTGTCAGAAGAATCATTGTTTCCTCGTCCTGAAGATCCATAATTGTCAGATGAGGTGGTGTTGTCGTTGCTTCCAAACCCAGATCCTCCGGTGCGGTCTGTCGAAGACCCGTACTCATTGGAACCGGTGTTTCCGGACTATGATGTTGATATTAGCCCATGTATTGAAAAAATATGGCACTATAGGTTGTGTGATAAGATATTGAGTAGAAATGTGTCATAAACAAGCATAGCTTGTGCATGAGGGTTCTTACTCCATAGCTGTCACCTCCCTGACGATCAGAGGACTGTAAGAAACCACATCAGTATGCAAAGAAAGAAAAGAGGAACTCAGCACAGCCTGGCTGACGAGTATCCGAATGAGGGTAGCTTACGCCGTAACTATCATTTCCTCGACCAGAAGACTGAAAGAAAGTGTAAGTATCCAAGGAAATACGATGCGACACCCCAGCATGGGGTGTGCACTCAGGGATGCTTACCCCATAGGAGTCATCATTATTACGTCCACTGCTGCCATAGGAATCATTGTTCCCGCTTCCGTACGAACCCTGAAAGGAAGTCTGTCAGAGGAAATGGAACCATGAAGAACTGGCTTTGGCGGGTCAACATGTTAGGGACTTACGGAATTGTTGTTGTCATTGTCGTAGCTAGACATGATTGCTGAATTGGTCTTCGTTCGAAGAGAATGTTATTGTTTTGTGAATTTGAGGGAAGATGTGAGAGTGTGATGAGTTGATAATGAACATCAATTTGGGGAGAGGGAGGGGAATGCTATATATCATTCCGGGAAAGCTCCATGATACCATAGGAGCTGCATCTTCCGCAGTCTGCACTACGCAGAGCTATGCCACTTTACCACTTGACCCCTCTATTAGTCGATAGCTAGTGATAGTGGTGGCTGTGATGTCTGTCCTCTTGGTTCTCTCCAACAAGGCTGATCCCAGCCCAGCCGGTCTTGATCAAGACATCCACCTTGACGTCCCCCAGCTCGGGAGACAGTTGCGTCATCTGTGACCATGTACACCTCAACTTTGGGCTCGCATCGTTCAACTTCCATTGCTTCCATTGGCGGAGTACATATCACGCCTTCCTTTTTATTCCTTCCTTCCCGCGATCTGGAATAGCTCATATGGATTAAGCCCGTGAAACAAGGAACGGCGTAACATCCGGAAATGAGAGCCTAGTCCACATGAAGCAAGGCACCGAAACAGCAAAAACGAAACAAGATGTCGATAAAAAGGAAAAGTGGAGCGATGCGTTCAACGGTCCTGGTGGTCCTCGACTGTGGTGCAATTATGACCCCGCACTAACGGTGGCCATTATTGGAGGCTAAATCCCGCAGGTTCAGCTAGGGCAGCTCGTTTGCTGCTTTGACAGATCTGGAGAAAAACTTGGCACGCGCTGCTCATGGATATCTCACAGCTGTGGAGGGGCAATAATAATTGCACGAGGGATGCGAGAAAGGCTCTGGCCAGACTCAAGCCATCCGACAGCCGAGCACACTTCTCTCGCTTGCATTCGCGATGCATGCATGCATTTGACCCCGCTCCCTCGCTTGGGCATTATCATCAAAGTACTCGTATCCATTCGACTTGATCGGGCGCGGTCCAGAAGCTGAGCTGTGCTGTGCTGTGCTGTGCTGTGCTGCGTGTTCGTTAGCTGAGGTTTCATTCGGCCGCTACGAATGCTGTCTGCTGCCCCTCAATCAAGCATGGAGATGCGCGTTGTTTCCTTCGTCATGATCGGCATGTCCGTCAGCTTGACCCTTGTTAGAATTCGTGGCACAGTGTGGCTGCAGCATTGTCCAATCGTTCAAGGCTCAAATCACTTGCCCGCATCGAAGCTTTTAACGCCATTCCCGAACTGGACGAGATTGATTTTTTGCAGCTGAAAACTTGGGCCATGGGGAGTTTGCATTATCAGATGTACCTGAGGATGGTAGGTAGGTGCATCTCTCAGCTATACCAGTATCCCAGATGGCGAGCCTTCATCGTAACGGACACTTAACCGCTGTTCACTCCCTACTTTCCCCGAAATCATACAAAGTCACAATTGCAAGCTGGGAGATATATCCATGCCCAGAAATCCTGCTCAAGCTATCCCGCAACCAACCATAAACGCCGACCAGATGAACGCAAGTCCCTCGTCATCTCACGTATTTGCTAGAAATAGGTTAGCCGCAATTCCCGGCACCAAAAAGCTTGAATTTCCTCACCTCATGAAACGTTTATGGAAATCAGATCGGAGAAGATCCTGGTAACAGGTTAATAACTGAGGTACTTTCAGACCATTTCTGCATGTAATACTTACATTGACGAATTCCTTCTTCTTTCCCTTGTCCTCGGTCCCGCGAGCTTGGTTCTTGAAGATTACATCGTCATCCCATCTGCCGTCTGATCAGCATATGAACCACCAAGTCAGAACGAACTTTGCAAACTTACCGGCGCTTGACGTTGAAATCGGCTTTGGGATTCAAGAGAGGGTTGCCAAGAGCAATATCATGTTCCCGCGCAGCCTCTTCTTCGGCGGCCTTTTCTCGCTCCTGCAGGTCTTGTCAGTACCACGAAACATAAGTTTTTCCCTCTCCCGTTTTTGACTGCTCCAGGGGAAGAGCTTATTCGAACCTACCTCCTGCTCTCTCTTCTCGGCTCGTTCTCGTTTGATTTTCTCCAGTTCCCTTTGTAGCTCTGCAGTCTCGTCCTCATCATCACTGTAACCAATTAGCTCAGCCTGGTCAGAACCAAATTCCAAACCCTTTATCGACAAAAAACACCAACCCACCTATCATCGTCACTACTATCATCATCCTCATCATTCTCTGAATCTGCATCAATATCCCTCGTCTCTTCTAATATCCTCCTCCGCTTAGCATCCACATCCTCCTCCTCGCCATTCTCAAGCTGTCTCTTCGCCGTATTCGTTTGCACCTCCGAATCTGCAATTGAAGGCGTAGGAGCTGGGCCGCCCTTTACTTTGGCAAAGTGGGCTGCTTCGGCTGCGAGTAGTTCTGCGCGCAGGTCGCGAACTTCGTGGTCGGCATCGCCGCCTTGTCCTGGCTGTCTGTGATTCTGTATATCAGCACTTATCCTTCTAATTCCCGTGAACTAATTTCACACACCGGACTTTCAGTTGCGTGTGAGCTGGTAGCAGACGTTGATGGTATGCTGGGCCTCTCTGCGCATCTTTACCCCGGGCCTATTGAGTTGTCAGTCTCCATTGTTCGGGGGAACTCGAGATGTCATACAGGGTCGAACGTGGGTCTGTGTGCTATTACTAGTGAGCTTTTATCTTCAATAACCGAAGAGAAAAACATACCAGTCGTCATCTTCGCGTTAAAATCTGTGGAATTCGATAAAGTCGCGGTTGTCAATTGTCCTTCTTAATCTCGAATCCTGCCTAGGTAATCTGGAGATTTTGAAGGGACGACGGCAATCGCCGCGCCCTATTGTCTCACCGCCTCCGCATTAGGCGAGCGCATTTGAATTTCCCATCCAGCCTTTCCTAGCCTTGACTTTTCAACGAGAGCGGTACGCAAGTAACCATTGCACGAAACTCACAATGCCGCGAGAAGTCGAACCCTCGCTGAACGAGAGGCAGTTCTTTGCCAAAGCGTTGCAAGAAAACATACGGCTGGATGGGAGGAGTCTCGACCAGTATAGAGCTCTGGAGTTGGATTTTGGGGATGAGCTGGGCGTGGTGGATGTTAGGTTAGGGAAGACGAGGTATGTTATACTCTGTTTTATTTGCTATATGTTTTCAATTACTAATGGATATCATTGATATCATGTGTTCTATCTCTTCAAGAAATCGGCTCACCAAGTTCCATCCCCTCACTGACCCCTCTGCAGAATACACACCCACATCTCCGCCCAAGTCGTAACGCCGTTTCCCGACCGCCCGATCGACGGCCTCTTCACCATCACCACGGAACTTTCACCCATGCTCTCCCCTTCTATCGAATCTTCATCTCGCCCAACAGAAACCGAAACGCTCCTCTCCCGCCTCCTCGAAAAGACGATCCGACGCTCTGGCGCACTGGACACCGAATCGCTGTGCCTAATCGCCGGCTCGAAAGTCTGGTCTATACGCGCAGACGTACATGTCATAAGCCACGATGGGAATCTCGTGGATGCAGCGTGTATAGGTGTTATTGCGGCGCTACAGCATTTCAGGAAGCCGGATACCGAGACGAGGGGTGAGGAGGTGGTCGTGTATAGTACCGCGGAGAGGGAACCGGTGAAGTTGAGCTTACTGCATTTTCCGCTATGTGTAACTTTCAGCTTTTATGGGGAGGGTGTTTTGGGGAAGGATGGAGAGGGGGAGAAGGAGAAGGTTTTGTTGGATGCGGGGTTGATGGAGGAGCAGCTGAGGGAGGGGTCCGTGACTATTGGTATGAACAGGCATGGGGAGGTGTGTCAAATTGCGAAGCTGGGTGGTGTGCCCGTTCATGCTTTAACGTTGCTAAACTGTGTGGAGGTTGCGGCTATTAAGGTTAAAGAGATCTCAAACTTTATTACGAGAAGGTTGCAGGAAGATGCAAAGAAACGGGACAAGGGAGGCATGATGGCCGAACTCAGTGCTGAGAACGATAGAGTGTCATGAATAATGAATTTCATAAAAGTAATGCTACATTTTCCCTGTCCAGTAGCCGTGAGTAGTCAACTCTGCTTTCCCAACCCCTTTGCTGACAGTCCCGTATTTGGCTTGCCAAGCGAAGAAGTAAAGCAGTGCTGCAAGTGGTTGTCCGATGAGAGTAAAGGAGACCCAGAAGATGCAATTTCCTATGATCCGACCATTGATGCCTTGCATTTTCTCCAGTGGTGCTGTGATGGCAATAAGTGGTAATTGGGCAATCATGCCTATGAATGCAACACCTATCGATCGTGAGTATAAAAGAGTGGGAGATTGGTAAGATCTCTTACCAATGATGTTATGTGTTGGGATGCCGACAAGAAGCTCGTGTAAGACACCCGAGAAGACAAACACAGCAATACTCGCCGAACCTGAACCCCAGCCTCTACCAATCAGTGGCGAAAAAACATGTCTTTTCATGAACTGGTAGACAGGTTTATTCCAAGTTCGCCAGTAAACACCTACACTTGGACTGTTCCACCAATCGGTATAAAACTCTCTGTCTCCAAACCTCATGACCTCAGCCAGAGCGTTTAGGAATGACTGGAAAAGGGCGAAGAATCCGGCAAGCCAGATAACCAAGCTGATTGTCGACAGCTTCATGAGTCGTTCCAGAATAGAGATAAGATTGAGGTTAGCAATCTCCTCTAGGGAGTTTCTCAGGACCGGTGCAGCATATTGAGCGCTTGCAATCCACATGAAGGCGTTCAATCCAAACACCTCTGCCATTCGTTTTCCAACGAATACCCATCGAATCTTGGTTGTTCTAGGATATACCGGCTGGTATACCAAAGTAGGTGCCCACCAAAAGTACGTGAGGTTGCTGAGTGTGATATTCTGCGGATATGGGCACTGTTGGTATATCTCCGGAAGGGCGTCTTCTTCTCGTTTTGAAGGATGTAAATATGCATGTCGAAGATCCCGATTTGTAAAGGCATACGAATAAGTCTTTAACCAGACGATAATGGCATGAACCTCGCAAAGCGTGCCGATTAAAGGATGATGGATAAAGAAGTATACAATAAACGAGGTGATTAAAAGGCAAAGTGACACGTTGATTCCATGAACCCAGGCGATCAATTTCCAAGTCGATTGGAATTTCAGCACTTCCTCATCAGAGGCGACATAACTTCCTCCTGGTGTAGCAGTTCCCGACCTCTTTTTGCCCGCGCGTAATGACCTTCTTGCTTGTTGGGCTGCAACCAATTCGACGACGTATGCAAGGAAGAGGTGACAGGGTATGATGAAATAGAGGGCGGCTCCCAGGATCAAGTCTTGCCGTCTGTAGTCGTGACATCTTATGCAAATGAGGACCCCATACTATAATTAGTTAGCTGTATTCTCTGGACGTCGGAAAGCTTCACACCTTCTTGAAGTTCTCAATCATCAACCGCAGATTCCCAACAACTAAAAAGGTCAGCACTGTCCGGCATACGAATTGTTCCGTGACTGACTGAGTACAATGACCATCAAGTTCCTAAAACCTAGGAAACTGGGGGTGGACTCGGAATCATGACTGAGGCATGACGTCCGAGGATTCGAGTGTACAGCTGCAACATGTCTGTATTTCTTTTTCAGACGGACAGGCGCGAGTGGTTGTGGCGTGGAAAATCCATTGAGTTTGGGATTGACATGTGAATGGCCCGTTCGTTTGACTGGTGCTGCTTCTGTGGAGAGCTCCGTGCCAGTGGTCGTTGCAGTATTGATAGAAGTTGCCATTGTTTCGCAGCAAAGTATAATATAAATGTAAAATGAAAGTAGAATCCCCTCGAGGATGTACTCGACTCAATAGAGATTCTCGAGCCAGGGGGTTGAAGAAGATAATAACAAGAACAGGAATTGGAACAGGAATCAATGCGGCAGCGAGCCAAAAGCGGGACGACTGTGGCGGGGCAGGGCAGGGCAGGCAGGAGCAGGACCAGCAGCCAAGCTAGGTATGCTCCTCTCTGTGCAAGTCCTCTCTAGCTACTACGCGCGAATGGAGCGACGGTGTTTAAATTGGCCTGGAACTGGCTTGGAATGGGGAGAGATAGGAATGAGACAGGAAAAAGAAATAAAAGAAGGAAAGCTATACAAGTACAGTACTCTGGCAATCCAATATATCCTGTTGGTTCAAGTGATTGGGCGGCATGAGTTTTGCCTTCGGACTGGTTGAATTGGCCTGCGTCAGTGTTGGGGAGAGACCCAAGCAGACGGGCGAGACGGGCGGCGAGCAGCCAAAAACGAAGCAAGGAGCTAGGCGAAATGATCTTCCATTCCGCCCGAGACCTGACGGAACGGGAATGCTTCGGATCGACAACCCTTGATACCATACCCATACCTTACCAAGCCAAGGTACCTACCTCAACAGCCTGCCTAGTAGTGGAATTGGAAAAGGCTGCTTTCGTGTCAGAAACGTGCTCTTTGAGCAGATGACATTCACGTCTGGACCACTCGCAACGACACATCTCGTGTGACTTCTCCTGAGCCTCGCCTATCGCTCTTCCGAACTAGTTTGGTCATTTCAACAACAGAGCCCCATCTGACAGCGCACAAACCTCGAGAATGACCCGATAGCCAACATGGCATACGAACAACGCGGTGAGCGCGATTATGGAGGTCAGGGGGGCGGAGGAGGAGGAGGAGGCGGCGGAGGCTATGAAGGGGTCTTCATTCGTGGAAGAGGTAAAAGTAAGTTAGCCTGTGAGGAGAGCGTTCAGTCTGGGCGTGGCCAGCAAGAATACCTGGATCTTTGACTGCAAGAAAATACAAAGGAAATACATCTGTGCAGTAAAGATGTGGAAAGCAGATCTGAAGCAGTTTTACCACTGGAACATCTACAGTCCTTGCATCCACATCTGGCAGAGCCAGGCAAGGACGGGAGACAATGCCCAGCACGTGATTGTTAAAGCATGTTTCCAATATCTTTTATGCAGCTCTCTAGGACCGAAAAGCATAGCTGATTGATGTTGCAGGGCCGGTGACTGACTATGGGTCAACTATGGTACACTGGATGCGGAATCGGCAGCCGAGATTCAAGGGCGGATATCAAGGAGAGATGGAGAGGCCGAGTGCAAGCTACATAGTGGATGTAAGTCTTCACTGGAAGCTACCTCTTCTTCTATTAATTACAGTAGATGGTTCCGCCTCTAGCACGAATAAGCGAACCTGCTGATACGATTCCGGCTCGCCATCTTCACACATCCCTAAACAAGAACAAGCATCCGGTCAACGTCGTTCGCTGGACACCAGACGGTCGAAGATTACTCACAGGCTCAAGCAGTGGCGAATTCACCTTATGGAATGGAACTGGTTTCAACTTCGAGACCATCATGCAAGCACATGATGTTGCTATCCGAGCTCTGTCTTATTCTCACAATAATGACTGGTTGCTGTCAGCTGATCATGATGGAATGATCAAGTACTGGCAGCCGAACTTCAATAACGTCAAAGTCATCCAAGGACACAGTGACGCGATCAGAGATATTGCATTCAGCCCAAATGACTCGAAGTTCATTACGGCTGCCGACGACTCGAAACTGAAGATTTTCGATTTTGCTTTGGGTACCGAAGAGTCTATTCTCGAGGGGCATGGTTGGGATGTGAAGAGTGTTGACTGGCATCCTACCAAAGGTCTAATTGTATCTGGATCAAAGGATCATTTGGTAAAACTATGGGATCCTCGGACAAGTCGTGTCTTAACAACACTACACGGCCACAAAAATACCCTCACCAAGACACTCTTCGAACGAGTCAGAGGTGACTGCTTAGCGACCTCAGCACGAGACCAGATAGCACGTGTATTCGATCTCCGAATGATGCGTGATATTGTCCTCCTGAAAGGGCACGAGAAAGAAATCTCCAGCTTGACATGGCACCCGATTCATTCGAATATGATCAGCACTGGCGGAGGAGATGGAGCCATATTCCACTATCTCCTCGACGAGCCTAATAATCCATCAGGAGCCGTACCCACGCTTGCACCATGGGATAGCACATCGCCCTCAACCGCCGTAGCCCAAACCATTCACCCAGCTCACAAAATCAAGCACGCCCACGAATTCCCCATCTGGTCTATGGATTGGCATCCGCTCGGCCACATCCTCGCATCAGGATCCAACGACCGCACTACCAAATTCTGGACTCGTGCTCGACCAGGCGATACAGATATCGCCAACGACAGGCATCACATCGGTGAAGCTGCTGCCGAAGCCCAAGGAACATGGGATCGCCGCGGTGGCCGCCGTCAACGCCAGGAAGAAGAAGAGCAGGAATTGGAAGACGAAACTGAAGGTCTCGTCGACCAGAAAATGCCTGCCAAACTCCCCGGCTTTCCAGGTATCCCAGGCCTTCCTCTTCCAGGTGGTGCTCAGCCCATCATTCCAGGCATGGGCAATGCTCCTCCGCCGTCAATCTCGCAATATCAACCACCGCCTCCTCAGATGCCATATGGCACGGGAGTACCACCTCCTCCACCGGGAATGGACCTTAATAATCCACCTGACTTCGCTGCTCTGGCTGAGATGATGCAGAAGGCCGGCTTACCACCACCACTTCCTGGTCAGGTGCCACCTCCCCCTCCTGGGATGATCATTCCGGGGATGCCACCGCCACCTGGATTTGGTTTACCGCCTGGCTTCCCGCCGCCGCCTGGTATGGGACAGCAGCCTCCTTTCCCGATTCCTGGTATGGGTGGCGAAGACAGGCAGGGAAGTGAACAGGCTGGTGCTGCTGGGAGCGTGAGAAGGAGAGGTCCGTTGCCAAGTCAGGAAGAGAGTTTGCAGATGGAGCAGAGAAGGGGGAAATATACTCGCGCGAGATGAAGTGATATAGTAGCTACTGTTAGTGTGCCCGGATGTGGACGGCAGGAAGGAAACCGGCGGATTTGTATAACAGGAACATGACCTGGCGTGAGCAGAGAATATTTCCATGGCCTTCGAAAGAGCTCACTTGACTAGGCTAAAGACAATGAGAAATTTGATGGCTTTTCAACGACTTTGCATTCCCTGATTTCCCAACATACTGTTCCTTGCCAAAAAACGAAGCTGACTACTATCATGTCACTGCCATGATCCGAAAGTTTCTAGCTAAAGTTCATGCATTAGATTGGGTATTGAGTATGCTAGCTATAACGATGTAGACTACAGTCCTTAAATACAAGTTTCCGAAAGTGGATTTAACGCCGTGATGATATGCAATGCAATGCAAATGCCCCCTTCTCTAAGAACAGTTCAGATGAAACCATCATTCATATATGAATGTGTGCTCTCGCGAGCCGCCGCTTTCTCTACTCAGCACATCCAGGCAAACCAAATGAATCACAGACTCTAGTTTCCACCTGGAGTAGTTAAATTCCTCGGGCTCGTCCTCCTCTCCACAGCTGGCCCATCGCCCTTCCCGAACGCTTTCTGCCTCGCAGCATACTCCTTAATGACCAAACTGCACACCGTATCAGCACAAAGCCTCTTCCGTCTCTGTACAGGCAACTTCGTCGCAAACTCCAATCCACTCGCCCTCTCCACTGCCTCAATCGGGACCTCAAAATCCGTGATCGGTTTCTCGTTTGGAATCGGCGCATTGGGAAGCACGAAAGCTCCTACAGCAACTTGTCCAGACGTCGTCCCATCCTCAGCGAAGATAACCTTGTAGAAATGTGTAGGTACAGCGATATTTGGTGGATTGCCAATAACTTCGTATGAGACCCGCCACTTCCCGTCCACAGCATCCCGTTTAGGAAGATATAATGGCCCAGTGACGATCCTAACAGACGGATATCGCTGCGTGAGTCTGCGGCAGAAGTCCTCAAAGTGCGCCCAGTAATCTCGGTTGAAACCCTCGCCGACCTGCGGACACATATTCGTCAGGTAAAAAGTGTCGTTCATGGCATCTTGGCTCCATTTTGCGTCTGCAGCGGGCACTTGATGCCCTCGGTCATAACCACTGCGGAAGTAGTCTTTTAGCTTGCCCCTGAACTTCTCTGGTACGGAGGGATCTTCCAGGAAGACGCTGTGTTTGCGGTCACCATGCGAAGCGGCGAGGGAGGCGGGTGTGATGTGTTCTGCTACCCAAGAAGGATTTCGTAGTCGGCGGTCGAAGGATGACACTAAGGCGTTGCGGGTTGCGAGGTCCGCGACTGGACCAGGAAAGCCATACTGGAAGAGCCCTGCTGGATCGACGGGTGGGATGATAGCTTTCGGTGGAAGTGGAAGAGCTCCTGGCATAGGAGCAGGAGGAGACGTAGTTGTCGAAGTCGTAGAAAGAGCTGTGGAGGACTGAACGGCTTGGATCTTCTTTTCTGAGCGCGTAGAATACATGGCTGCTGTAACTCCTGCACCCGTTGCTGCGCTCACAGCCGCTATGATTGCTATTGTAGTCTTTGACATCTTGGCGGATGGATCCGGGACGTATGGTATTAGTTGCTATCGGGTGTCGTTGACTGTTGGAGCGCGTATGATCAGCATAGAGACAGAGAGAAGACGCGTGGTTGTTCTTTGGTGTTGATGGTCCAGTCACGGGTGGCCTGGAGCGGCGCCAGTGACTTTTTTTCGAGACCCCTGATTTTCGGCAGCGGGCAGGCGCCGGAAGCTGAAATCGCTTGGGATTTGGGACATCAGATGCAGGTGGGGTGGGCTGGCCTTGGCTCCCGAGGATGAGGATGGCTCGGATGTGTTATGGGTGATGGGAGGGAGTCTGTGCAGAGAATCCCAGGATCAATTCCCACCTGGTTGTTCTGCTCGGCGCGGAAAGTCGTGCAATCTTAAAAGTTGCACAACAGGTAGCATTGCATCCTGGAGGAACAGGAGGCACAGACTTGGCTGCAATACGCCTTCGATACCGATACGTAAGGTCGGACAAGGTCTTGACTCTAATTCAACTCCATCTCATCTCATCTTCCGCTTTCTCTCTCATGTCCAAACGACTCCTCAGGTCCAGTCTGGCCGCGTGAGAATGTCTCTCTCCACTCTACTGATCACGAGCTCTGGTACAACGACCACGTACCTACCGCTCAGCACAGTGTATCCCGCTCTAGCAGACTGTTCTTCTCTTTTTGTCAATCCCGCTGTTGACGGCGTTGCCAGCCTATTTGCATTTGACCCCGGTTATGCAGCCCACAATTCTGGGCCAGCATGCATGCCGTCTCAAGCTTCACTTTGGTGGGAGCAAAATACAGCTGCAGACTTGACGACAAGGACTGAGTTGGGTGGATACAAGATGGTCTGTCCTGAGGCTTACAAGACTGTTGCAATGAGTGTATTGGACAAAAGCAGCACGAGAGTTGGTTGTTGTCCCTCGTAAGCACTCTCCAACTTCTCAAAAGTTTGCAGTTCGCTGATCTGCAACAGGGGTTATAATTTTGTGGACTGGGCTTCAGCACCAAATCCAAGGCAATGCAATTCTCCTTTGCCAGCCCAGATAGTCACATATATTCAAACCGTCTCTTCGGGCACTTGGACAACGACCAGCACTTCAATATCGGAGCCAAGTTCTGTCTGGGGGGTACAAATCAACGGCATTCTCTTCGCCAAGCCAGCAGCTACGAGTACGAATGTTGTCACATCGAAAGCAGCGCAGAGCAACACAGAAGTATCAGTCCCAACCAGTCATCATTCTGGACTGGCAAGAGGAGCAAAGGTAGGGATTGGAATCGGTTCGGTCTTGGCTCTTGTGTTCTTGTGTGCGATGCTGGTAATGGGGATACTGTTCTGGAACAGGAAAAGAAAGTTGACGACTTCGCAAAGTCAGGTTGCAATTGAGCCACAATATTCCGAGGAGGACCAAAAGTCGTTTCCTAATGTGAGGAACGAGGAGATACCCGACGATCAGGTCAAGTCGACGCGGCATGTTGGAATGGGATAAGACAGAGCAAGGTTGCTAGATATGGCCATCATAGCGTACAAATGAAAGATGTGGCTAAATAAACATACGTTACCCTGCCACTTTTGTCTATGGTCTTGTCAGTGTGAAGATATGTGGCTATCCCCTTCTCTACATTCCTGCCTAATGTTGTGAGGCATACAAGGGCTATGACAACGATGGGGCCTTGGAGGAATCTGATTTTGTAGCTCAAATCATTTTCACAGGAACATTGGAAGCGGTTCAATAATCCAAGTTTTCAACATCGGAATGAAAGCTGAAGATGACGTTCAGCCTCTTTTTCGACACCCGAAATCTCCTTGTGTAATCAGTCTAAGCGAAAGCATAGCCGCAGCACTACTGAACCTAAAACATCAGCATAGTCTAACAACCTGACAAGCTTGAGATTTCGACCGATGATTCGGCCAGGAACAGCGTCTTGGCGCTACCGGGAGCTTCGGATGGCATCTGAGTCGGTGTCGTCGTATCTTCGTATTTTATCACTTCTCAACTCAACGTACTTTATTCTTAATATAGAGAATTGTAATTCTCGTTTCGCTTGTTGACATTCCTGCACCAACGTCCAATAAGCGGGAGGTATGCCACCTCGTCGATCACATCGGAAATCTCATAATGGATGTTTGCAATGTAAGAGGAGACATGTGAAGGTAAGCTAACTCTTCCTATGAGCTTTCCCTTGTATATCTCGTCCCAAATGCATATCTCATTCTGAATGCACCAGCTATTAGTTTTCAATTACTTACATCCTTGAACTCCTCAATACAAGTATAAATACCATCTAACACCACCACAGTGCGACGAACAACGCCCGACATGCTCGCCCTGCACGAAACGCGAGTTGGCATGCCATTTCCAACCCAACACCCGCTTCGAAAACGGGCAATCACTCTCAGACGGTCCCAATGATCTCCTTCTCCTCCGAGAGCGATCACACGGGCCCCTCCCAGCCCGAACTCTCGAGCTCAAACTTCTCCACCACTTCGTCACCTCCGCCTACACGACCTTCTTTCCCCGAGAATCAGACGTTCACTGCTGGCAAGTTCACGTGCCCGACATGGCAATCGAGCACATTTTCCTGCTCGATGGACTCCTCGCCATCTCGGCCCTTCATCTCGCGCACCTTGAGACAGGCGCGAAGAAATCGTGGTTGCAAACTGCGCTGCGGTATCAAGATCTAACGCACGCTGGGCTGAATAAAGCACTCTGTCGAATCAGCTCTGACAACTGTGAAGCGGTAGCAGTATGCTCCATTTTCGTGCTATTGCTGTCTATCGCTATCCCAGGCGTGTGTAATGATCCCGATGAAGAGGCGGCGAGGAATCCACTGGCTGATTTACTAGGATTGAGGAAGTTGTTGGAGGGGATGGAGGCGGTAATTAGTCAGTCGGAGGTGGTGTTGAGGAATGGGGCGTTGAAAGATTTCTTTCTGCCCATGTTGGACCCTGGGTCTGTGAAGCCGAGGCCGGTTGTGCCTGGTGTCGAAGAGTTAGTATTGAAAACCCCCTGACTTCCTGAAATATATCCGATTGAGAGATAGTTTCAAGCTAACACTTACTTGAACAGAGTTGCTTTACTTAACGGCCAGAAAATCTGCCCGTAAGCTATCTCTGCCATCCCACCCATACAGACCTCTCACCAGACTAACTCCCGACAGACACATCCTCATCTCCCTCACTCGCCTCGAGACTCTCATCACCTCAGGTCCCTCCAAACAACAAACCGAGCTCCTCGAAGCGTGCAACTCCCTTTCAGAAATCATCTCACCTCTCTCCACTCTCTCTCACGGCCCAGCCATCACCTGGCCACACAAAATCAGTCCATCGATCTTTTCGCTTCTAGAACTTAGTGATCCGCTCGCTTGCCTTTTATTCCTGCATTACGGCGTTGTGTTGGATATCTTTTCGTATTGGTGGTTTACAAAGGATGCAGGAAGGAGTTTGGTGAAGGCGTTGTTGGTTTACACGAAGGAGGTGGACGAGGACTGGAGGGAGTGGGTGACTTGGGCGAAGAGGACGGTTGGTGCTGTTGCTTGAGCGGTAGAATGAACTACAATTGGAGTATTAGTCTGTTAATTTTTGAGGGTTGAGATCTGCTAAGATTCTATGGGCTCCAGCGTTGCAGATTTGGACAGAGAGTTTTGTATTTAACATCGCATGGACGGCGTACATGGTTACATTGGATACGATTGGAAGGGTGGGTAGACAAATGAGAAAGAAAGTACTTAAAAGCCGGCGATCGTTTCTGGCATCGTGCAACAACAGACGATCACCAACATAGTAAAATTAGCAATGCGCAACTTTGCCCCGAAAGCCAACAAGAAATTAAATGGACGTGACTCGTGTAGAGTTGGCAACACAAACGTAAAGCATTTATCTGCACATATGTTACAGTCTCAGTGACAAATCTTCTGGTTAAAAGGTTTTTATTTTCCTGAGTAGCCACAAAAATCCTTACTTCCTTTGTTTAAATCGACCCATGAACGCTCACTGCCCTACCCATTCGGCGACATTAGGCGAGACATTCCAGAAGATAGACGCCGTGCAGAACCCCCAGCCCACCGTTTTTCCAATCCCGATCTATCGTATAATTCATAGACGCTCACCAGCGTCAGCCTTGGCTTGGCCGTATTTCTTGAGACGGATAGCTTGGACCTGGGTATCGTTAGTACTGACTAGACTCAAAGAAGTGGACAGATGAAGACTTACAGTGATGAAACCACCAGTCTCAGAAGGAGCGAAATCACCGATCTCATCCATAGAGCTCTCAGATGCATCATAAAGCTTGGAGGTCTCTGAGGAGCGGCCAAGAACAGAGAAGGAGCCCTTGTAAACACGGCATCTGACTTGACCGTTGACATCCTTTTGGGAAGCGACAATGCTCTGCTCAAGGAACTCGCGCTCTGGGGAGAAGTAGAGACCGTCTGGTTTGTAAATCAGCATTGTGATTTATGGAAAATGTGCAACGAGGAGTCTTACTGTAGAGAATCTTGGCGTAATTGAAGGTGAGGAATTGATCACGGAGAGCGCGGACCTCACGGTCGAGTACGAGACCCTCGAGATCGATGTGAGCGCCGCGAAGGCAGGTAAGACCTGGGGTCTCGTAACATCCACGGGACTTAAGTCCGACTGTATTGAAATTAGGATATTTACGAAGCTAGGCTGGAATCAAATGGCTTACTGAATCGGTTCTCGACAATGTCGATACGTCCAACACCGTTGCGGCGGGCAATGGCGTTGACCTACAGAAAGCAAGTCAGCTAAAATACTTGTTGGTAGAGATTGCGCTTGTACTAACCTCCAAGAAAAGCTCAACCGCGTCAGTGATGGTTTTGTTGCCAATCACCAACTTGACTGGAAGTCCCTTGGCGAAGAAGAGTGTGAAGTCCTCTGGCTTATCTGGCGCATCCAAGGGATCAACAGTCTGCGAAAGGTATGTTAGCAATGTCCAAAATGGAACGTCCTCTTTATTAGAGGGCATGATATTCTCGTGTCGAGACTCAAACGTATGTATCATAGAGAACGCAACTTAAATGGGGGTGCTTACGAGCTTCCACATGTCGGTAGGTGGGGTGGTGTCAGGGTCCTCGAGAATACCTAGAAATCGGTTAGTACTTAACGATGCCAATTGACGTCCAAGAGATCTTAAAAATATCCCCAAAACCATAACTCAAGGAATGTTGGAACATACCAGCTTCATAAGAGCAGTGGGCCAAGTTCTCATCCATAGACCAAGGCTTGCTCTTGGTGCTGCTGACAGGGATTCCAGTAGCGGCAGCATAATCCAACAGAGCATCACGACCAGGGAAACGCTCGTAAAACTCTGGCATTCTCCATGGAGCAATAACCTTGATCTTGGGCTGGAGAGCATAGAATGCCAACTCGAATCTGACCTGATCGTTACCCTTTCCAGTACAACCGTGGCTGACAGCAAAGCACTTCTCCTTCTGGGCAACGGCGATTTGAGCACGGGCGATGACTGGACGAGCGAGGGATGTGCCGAGCAGGTAGACGTTCTCGTAGATGGCGTTGCATTGCACGGCCGGGAAGCAAAGCTCCTCGATGAACTCTTTACGCAAATCCTCGATGTAGCATGCGACGGCTCCGATCTTCAATGCCTTTGCCTTAGCAGCCTCGAAGTCCTCTGTATTTCCGTCATGTCAGTGCCGTTTCGAGGTATATCTTCGTAAAGTGGGTAGGTCGGTGTGGGGATACCTTCTTGACCGACATCGGCCATGAAGCAGACAACTGCGAATCAATTAGCTTTAGCAATGAAAGAAATTGGCAGAGAATCAACGTACCATCGTAACCAGCCTCAATCAGCCATCTGAGAATGCAAGAGGTATCAAGACCACCGGAGTATGCGAGGCAGACCTGTCTCTGTCAACAAGAGCGGTGACTCAGTCCCATACCAACCAGCACATACCTTGTCCTTAGCCATATTGTTAGAATTGATTTTTTCTGGTGTCGGTATTTGAAGAAGAATTCGGCAGGAAGATGAAAGTCTCAAACTGTGAATTGGCTTCAATTGGGATGGTTGAGTGATGCTGGAGGGAGGAGAAAGAGAAATATGCAAAGTTAAAGTCGGGATAGAGGGGTGACTTTAAAGCTTTGATTTTTTCTGTGGCTGCATGCCCGATAACGATAGATAAGGCTTAGGCTAGGATGTCAGGATGTCTGACCCCTCATTTCCCCTGTCTCGCTTGTGTCCCCCTGGGAGCAACAATTCAGGTCAAGGTTGGGTTGACCACAAGCTCAACAGGAAGTCCTCTTTCCGTTTGGAAATTTCTTTCATTACATACACCGTGAAGGACCCTCCTTATCTTCTAATCAAGCGTTAAAAATCGATGTAGTCCCTTCTTATTCCTTCTATCACCAAATCTCTACCTACCCACCCAGAGTGAACCTTAACCACATCGTATCCACCCTATCCACAAACACTACTACTGTACCACCCCGCAGCCGCTGCCGCCCTCCAATTCTTCAAAATTTCTTCCACCATCTTTTCCTCCTGCATACCAGTAGCATCCACAAATCAAATCCATGGATTGATTCCTCATGCACAATCATCGTCATATGCCGTCTGATTTGCATGTGGCCTTAAAATGCATTTTTCTGCTCCCTGTATGTGCAGCGGGACCAGGTTCACATTACCCGTGTATGAATGCTGTGTTTATGCGAGCGTGGGAGGGATGTTCGTTCCCATATGATGGCGTTTGCTGTGGATGATGTGGAGTAGTTTGATGGGGCTCACTGCTGGTCGATTGAGTGGTTGCTTCCATTGCTGTGACTTTGGATTCCGTCAAGACTTTGGAAAATGAAAGGGTTCCTGGTCATGGTGAATTCTATTCTTCATATCGACACTGACATGTGTTACCAGACAGTCTGTCCTGTGCCAAGACGGATGAAGTCTGAACCACGCATGCTTTGTAGTTTATTTACCGACGACTTATTTGTGGTGACCATTATCGGGCTTAGATGTCGCTGTATCATCAGTCGTATCTAAAGGTGACAAATTAAGGTACTTACTCAGACATTCTCTCGAACATGGTTGCCCATGGTCGCTTGACCCTGCATTTTGGTTTACTGAGCTCTGTCGCTCCACTACTTCGTACTTGTTGAATGGGTGAAGTGAACCTTGCCCATCTCAAGTTTGAATAGTTTTACTGTATTCTTGACTGCATAGCTAGTCTAATGCGTAAATTACACGTCCCGTAGCCCCATAATCTCAGGCCAGAAAAGCATCTGACAGCAGCCTGCGCCACAGGTACATCTTCAAACGAAAGAAAGATCTAGTTTGTATTTGTATCTGTGTCTGTGTCTGTCCGTCTATTCCGCCGTAGCGGAAGCCTTTGGCTTACTCGGGTTCATCCAAGCAAATGCAGATGCGCCCCCAATGGGGTTTGACGATCGTGGGAAGTTGCCCGTGGCTTTGTGCTCTTCCGAACTGGTTCGCTTAGCCTCCCATCGCAGGGGAACATTCTCAGTTCCGCCGGCTTGACTCTTGCGTCGTAGTTCACCAGATGGGCGAGGTGGTGGTGGGTCATATGTTGTGTTTGTACGTGCCGCGGACGTCGAACGGCTAAGGACTGCCGGTGCTGCCGGTGCTGGCTTGGATGATGACTTGAGGACTTTCATGCTTCTGGCTCCTCTTGTTGCTCGTTGGTAGCCGCTCGTTGATTCTGTTTCGCTGCCATTGATCGATCCTGATTGTCGCCAGGATCCCCAGATACCGCCAGAAGATTCACGACGAGCCGAATCAGAGGTAGTAGTATCTGAAGCCTCGGGATCAGTCGCAGAACTTTCCAGCGCGCGCTGCTTCTCACTGGGATCGGTCACAATGCCATTCACAGTTGCACTTGCTGACTTCACACTCGAAGCTCTTTCTCGAGCATTGCCGTTAGTAACAAAAGTAGCATTGAAAGGTGACTCGGACTCGGTTGGTGTGAGAATCTTGTGGCTGGTTGTACTCGCCACGCTTTCGGTACCAGCGGTCAATGCAGAGCTGACGGCTTCAGGAGTAGGCTCAACTTTGGGCTTAGATTCCGTTGGAGTAAATGTCGGTGCAGTGGCTTTCAACTCGTTCTTCTCCGGCAAGACGTTCGTAGTCATCAGGTTCTTGAACACATTTTCGTCCTCGGGTCTGACGAACGGAACTGAAAGCTTGTTTCGATCATCGCCGTACAAAACCATAACATTCTGAGACAGCAATATATCTGCATTGTGGGCTCGAAGGGTATCACTGCCGAGGAAAACTCGAATTCTTTTTCGGTCTGAGGTGCCCCGTTGGTTCATTCCGACAATCTCAAAATCAGCTGAGAGTGCCGGGAGCTGTGGAGCTGGACTGCTGGACCTTGAAGTAGGCTGGGTTATGATCGCTTCAGGGAGGAAGACTGGAAGCTTGATGATATACCTGCCAGTTGAGCTTTTGTGCACTTGGTCTGCCAAGCCCAGATCCTTCACAAGACTGTAGTCCAGGATCGATCTTTGAGAACCACTGCATACAGCGGCGTAGAGGAGTGAATTATGTGAAAAGTTGTTGGTCAGCCAACATCGGATGATAGAGGGCACAGATCCCAAAATGAACAGTCCTGGAGGGGGATCAGGGGTGTCGAGAGGCGAATCGTCATCTTGACCCCCGATCATGAAATTGGTATCTAGTCCTAGGCTACTTGTCCGTCCAGATGCCGAATGCATCGAGTGTACCGAATGGCCCGCAGAACTATGTCTCCCATCAGACTTGTGAGAAAGAGAGCGCTCTGTCATTGGATGACTTCCAAACCCACTGTTGGGTCGGGTGGGCGCGAACTCCCCCGAATTTCGCGAACCTGCTGCCCAATTCGATCCCTGCAAGGCGCTGACATCGAAGCGTACGCTGTTGGCTCTGGATGCACCACGTCTGACTGGCTCTTCATCGGCTTCTAACTGTAGACTTCCTAGAAGATTTTGTCCTTGCTCATCATCAAAGTCGTCGAAGACATTGGGTGATGGGTTGTGAACTGGACCTGGCCAGATATTAGCTAAGGAGTGTTTTGTATGGGCGGACTGACTTGCCTTGTTGTGGAGTGCCACTCAGGATGCCAGGGAATGGCGGACTGGGGCCCCAAACAGATTTGAGAGCCGCATCATCGGCTTGTCGTCTTTCCAATCTTAAGAGGCGGTCAGCATGGTTGATTTGTACAGCCTGGACATGCTTGACATCCATCTGAACATGGTATAAGTCTTCTCGAGTAGCGGTAAACTGCGAATCCATGCCCAACCGTCGTTTGTACGCAAGACCCAAGGAACGTGGCGATGGTCTGTAGGATCGTATCCAGAGGTTCTGAGATCAATCTTCAACCAGATGATTTGTTGCTGTTGGAATACTGATGAGGTCGTATCTGCCTGCACAGGCAGGGAATGGCCGTTCTTGCGGTACTGTATTCCCGGACGCAGAAGGATGTCCTTGGTTTAGGGTAATCTCCAGCTAATTTCAATGTGATGAACTATGGATTTGTCGCAGCTTATGGGTTCTTGCTTGCCCGGACAAAAGTTTGGAAGGCTCCAAACGCGTGTATCCAGCCCAGTGTAGTCTTTCCTGACTTTACTCCTCGTTTCTGGACGGTTCGCGAGTTTGACCTCCCCCACCGCATCGACCTACGGCCGTCGCTCACTGCGATTGTCTGTGACCGCGGTCTTTGTCGATTTCGAGCAGAAAGACGTGAGTATTCCGTATGCTACGTTTCGAGGTCGCGGTGGGTGGTCGAGGACCTTAGGCAGGTATCGTCTCCAGGGTGGAGCGGGTGGAAGTAGGATCTGCCAAGCTATATATGGGATCGTTACACTAATGGGAAGTCGTCAAGAGGGGTGATAAAGGTTCGCAAGCGGCACCAAAGTGGGAGAACAACGAGTTGTGGTTGATGCTTTACGTCGATGATTGTGGACAGTCGGTGACAGAGGATCTGGACGCGAGCTTGGTGATCACTAGCAGCACGGAGAGGTGGGGTTAATGTTTAGATTCTATATGGGAGGCGCAGGCGTTGGAGGCACGAGGTTTAGAAGATGTGTGAGGGGCGAAGAGATGTTCTTGTTGTTCTTGATACAGGCTTGTGAAGTCATGTCAGAGAGGTGAGGTCTCTGGGACTAGCCTAAAGCCCCGTCGATTCGCTCCCCCGTATTTATGCAGGGATGTCGCAGCAACTGAATGAAGTATTATTGGAGTGTTGACAACTTTGAAGTGACGGAGTTCAAATTAATGAAATGAAGACTGCGATCTCTTGGAGTTTTTATCAAAGCAACGCCAGGAGAAGCTACGTTAGTTACAGTTATATCAACCAAGTCCTTTATGCCTCCACATTCTCGATTCGGCTATGGACAGGGGTTGCTTCCAACTTGATGTTCCCTCTAACCTCTATCAATTCGGGGAGCAACACTCCAGTGGCTGGCATGGTTAGTCAGAACTTTGAAGCTAATCTTGTGGAAGACTCACGGAAAGACCCATTTTGGATCGAACTCTGATTCTTGAGCCCATTCTGGTCCAATGAAAGGAAGGACTTCGTTCAGAAATACTTTGTACCCCGCGGCAGTGAGATGCAGTCCGTCGAGCAAAAGACTTCGCAAGCCTGCATTGTCACCTTTCTCCAGCGTTCCAATCATCTTGCCATCGTCCACATAATCCGGAGTAAGCTCAGCACCTTCCTCCATCAAGGCCGACCAAAGATCAATTAGGACAACATTATTGTCCTTGAACTCTGCAGCTAGCTCACGTACAACATCTACATATTGACGAGTGACTTTCTGGACGCGAGTGAGGGCGGAGTAGCCTTTTGCAAAATCGTTTTCTTGAAGATGTACCTCATTGACAGGAGGAGGAGTGACGAGAAGAATCTTCGGGCCATGAGCCATGATGCAGTGATGGGTGAGGATTGTCCTGAGATTCTCTCGGTACTTGTCTAGGGGCACATGCTGCTTAGAGGGACTGCTTGGGAGACAAGAATCGTTCGAACCGAGCAGTACAAGCTATAAACAGTTAAAATTTCTCACGAGAATGAACAACACATGATAAGGATTCTTCGACCAAAGAAGTCATTGGTGGCATCAACAAGTATCTGATATGCGAGTATATCATTCTGAGCTGTATTTGGATAAGCTGGTGCACTTACCAAGTAATCGACCTTGGCAACTGCTGTAGATGGAATGAGATCTTCAAGGATAACCAGCACATTCGCGGTGTTGTACCCGCTCTGGAAACCGGGTCAGCCTTCTGTGATGGAGGGGCGGCCGTGCTGGTGGAGATGTCCATACTAATCCTCGATTGATAACATCTAGTCTTCGTATGCAATCTGTAAAGCATTGTCAGCTTGGTAGCACATGGGGGAAGGGCAGTGAATGCGGGTGCTGAGCATGCCGCATGGGAAGGTAGGCGGAAAGACATAGACTGACGTTCTGCTAAACCAGCTCCCAAGGAGGCACCGTGTGGGAGATAGCTTGAGAACTGGAGGATCGAATCTCCAAGGAGTATGAACTGTGGAATCTTGTGGTTCGCCATGCTTCCGAGCGTCGTACCGTCAAAAGCAGGTGTTGTGGAACGTGAGACTTGGTGGTGATCGATGGGGAACCGGAAACGGCTGGAGTGATACTAGAAAACAAGATTCATAGCTTCAGGAACTGAGGCCGGCAGCTCAAATTTATCTCAGCCAAAGAAAGATAGTCGTCAACTGTGAGACTTAGACTCATTACAAAATTAATTACACTCCAAATACTGTCTGACTGTATAGCCACTTGCAACAAACATTGTTACCAACCTAGGGACGTGAAGTGTTGTCCAGCTCAACCAGTAAGGTAACAAACACCTGGGCACCCTTGCCTGTCGTTGACCCTCCGCATAGTGGCGGACACGCTCAAGCCGCCTCGCTTCAGGTGGGGGTCACCTTATTTTCGGTACCCAGTCCAGTTCAGTTCAGTGTCCCCCCCCCAGTAATGACTTCGTTAAGACCCTGTCTGCAGGAAAACTTGCAACATCCTCTGCCTGCGGCTACAGCGCTAACATCAAGTATTTATGTTTATATTTATGCTGCCTCTCTTGGCCTTCTAAGGTAACGTGTCTCGGACCGGCGCGGACTTCTCATTCTTTGGCATGAACAAGCCAAGGTGATGGGCCCAGATAAACCACCCTCGTGATGTTCCACCGCATCACAAGGGGTCACCCAGGCCCTCTTGGGCGTAGCACACGACTGCTGTAGCACACTCGGTAGCATTCCAACTGGCCAGCCAGCGCTCTTGTCTGACGAGGATGGCTGGCTCACTTCTGCCTCTTGCAGAATGGAAGCCATTGTTCAAGGAAGTATTTACGCACTCCTCGCCCCCCTCTCCGGTGTCTGATTCACAATACGGATGGGATAATCAGGTAGGTGCTGTCAGGCAGGTAAATCAGCGGAATGACTTTGCTACCTAAGGTAGAGAGAGCACGCCCACTCCCACTCCCACTCCCACTCCCACTCCCACTCCCACAGAGGGGACTCGAGGCTGACTCCACCCGCCGTCCGGCGATGCCTTCCTGAAGTTTAATACCTTATGCTCAGCTTCCCCCGGCCACAGCTCCCGTCAAGATCCCACCTTGGTTTCCCCAGAAGCACGACTCCCTCTATGTGTACGCGACACAGCATGTAGTTCTTGTTGTCCAGCATGTCTCGCCCACAACAGCCCGGGTCAGGTCGTTCAGGCCATGTTCCTGACAACTTGACCATGACCCAAGCTTTCCCAGAGTCTGCGGACTCGTCCTCGCCGCCCTCCCCTACCTTTCGGAGGACTGGCTTAACACACAGCCAGAGCAACTTGTCTGACGAGAGAACTCCTCTCCTACCGAGCGCAGGACGGTCCAGGATTCGACTCCAGTCAGCAGCAGAACAGACGAGGCTACCACGGCTCTCGAGTCGCCAGAGTATAAACGGTATGGCAGCTCCCCTACGTCTCTTGGCTTAAATGCTAAATTATGCTCCGAAGGAAGTCTGCGAGCCAGTCGACATCACAGTCGTGCTGGATCATGGGGCCAACGGTTAGTTACAGCACTGAAAACAGATCGGAAGCACAAGGACTCTATGCGCGAGTCCAAAAGCTCTCTCTACCCGGACGATCGTGTTTGGTACGATCAATTCACTTCGACAGACTGGGTTCACGACAGCATAGCAGATGCCTACCGAGTAAAAGCTCTCCGAAGTCGAACAGACTTACGAGGGCGGATAAAGGCAACGTTTGATGGAGCTCAGGGCTGGATTTTGAGCGCTGTGGTCGGCTTCCTCACGGCGGTCATTGCATATGTGGTGGATGTTTCGGAGGCTCCAGTATTCGACTGGAAGGATGGGTATTGTTCAACTGGGTTCTTCATTAGTGAGAAGGTGAGTTTTTGCAGTTTCTTTGTGGATAGGATGGAATATTAGGAAGTCTGCGGCCTGTCACATTCTCAACTCCTTCCCTGGTCTCCAATATTGACCGAACCATTGAACTTTGAGTATGGCAATTCGCAGAAGCACTTTCATTTCAAACTAACGCTCATTTTGGGGTTCCGCTCACTAACATGATATCTAGCACTGTTGCCCAGAAGGAGACCGTTGCCTGGCTTGGGAATCATGGGCCAACTTTGTTCAAATCCCTGGTCTCAGCGAGCAAGTTATTGAATTCGGGATTTTCGTTTGCCTGGTAGTCTTGTTCTCGACTCTATCATGTCTATTGACACTCACGACAAAAACTATCGTCCCTTCAACATACCACATCTCGACCCTTGACGAGAATCTAGCTGCCTTGTCGATTCGGCCGAATCTTCCCCAGGATGACGGGGTGAGCAGTCCAAACCTGGTTCCTGACGATACATTGGCCCCTCCGATGGTATATTACTCAGCCGCTGGATCCGGGGTAGCTGAAGTCCGTGTCATACTCAGTGGCTTTGTTCTTCATGGGTTTTTGGGCATGAAAACCTTGATCATCAAGACCCTCGCTTTGATATTGAGTGTCGCTTCTGGTCTAAGCTTGGGTAAGGAAGGACCCTTCGTTCACATTGCCACTTGTGTTGGCAATATTGCATGTCGCCTGTTCACGAAATATGACAAAAACGATGGAAAACGAAGAGAGGTCCTTTCGGCTGCCGCAGCAGCAGGTGTTGCTGTTGCGTTTGGAGCTCCCATAGGAGGTGTTCTCTTTTGTCTAGAAGAAGTGGCCTACTTCTTCCCGGCAAAGACATTATTCCGCACCTTTTTCTGCTGCATAACGGCGGCTCTAACTCTAAAATTTCTCAACCCATACGGTACCAACAAGATTGTGATGTTCGAAGTTCGATATTTGACAGATTGGGAGTTCTTCGAGATCGCGGCATTCATCACCGTCGGGATTCTCGGAGGAGCTGCTGGAGCAAGCTTCATTAAGGCATCTCGGTCGTGGGCTAAATCCTTTCGGAAAATACCAATCATCAAAAAAACGCCAGTTGCTGAAGTCATGTTGGTGGCCTTAATCACCGGCATTGTCAGCTACTGGAATCCATATACGAAGGTTCCTGTTGCAAAGCTGTTATTTAATCTAGCTAGTCCATGTGACATCAATAAGCCAGATGACCTGGGGCTGTGCCCTACCGACATGGACGAAATATTCCCAGTTGTTCGCAGTCTAGGTGTCGCATTCATTATCAAAGGCATTCTCACGATCATTACGTTTGGCATTGTAAGTTTCTTGATAGATTCTCAGAAGTCCCTTCACAGGATTACTAACCGCTTATATAGAAAGTGCCCGCTGGAATTTATGTTCCCTCAATGGTTGTGGGTGGTCTCGGTGGCAGGCTCATTGGACACCTGATACAATGGCTTGTACTTCGATTCCCAACATCGCCCATATTTGGAAATTGCGCCGCACACGTTACTGGGCAATCTTGTATCACACCAGGAGTTTATGCGCTCATTGCGGCTGGCTCCACAATGTGTGGCGTTACTAGATTATCGGTCACTTTGGTTGTTATCCTATTCGAACTAACTGGTAGCCTCGACTATGTTTTACCATTCTCCTTGGCTATTCTAGTGTCGAAATGGACCGCCGACTTCATGGAGCCTCTCAGTATTTATGTAAGAAATCTAGGCTTTGACTGAAGAACTTCATACTAACATCTGCAGGACTTACTCACCAATCTCAATTCCTATCCGTTCTTGAATAACAAGCACAAGCCAATCTTTACCTCTGATTTGGCTGATATACTACCTCGTGTACGTCGAGAGAGGATCATCGACATCACCAGCTCGCCACTGGTATCAGCAAGCAGTCTTCGGCGAAAACTGGAGTTGCTTCACCAAGCCGGCGAAGTAGACGGCGGTTTGCCAATTATCAGAGATGAAATCCTCGTGGGATTGATTCCAGCGCCCGATCTGGAGTATGCCTTGGACAATTTAGAAGATGAGACAGAAAGTTTGTGTCTAATGGCCAAGGTAACGAGTTTTGATGACTCGGATGATGAAGCAACGTCTGACCCCACAGACTTCTCATCTTATATTGATCCAGTAAGTGATTCTACCTCCTGAAGGTGACACAAGGTCCTAATAACTCATTAGGCGCCTCTTGCATTGGATATTCAATCACCAATGGACCTGGTATACGAGTGCTTTGTCAAGCTTGGGCTGAGGTACGTCTGTGTCACACGAGACGGAAAATATGCCGGATTGGTGAGTCTACATAGTTCTTACTCTAGCTTCCTCGACTAACAAGGCCCAGACTCACAAGAAAACATTCGTGAAATACATGAGAGAATTGGAAGAACGGGACGGGCATATGTGAGCTTGGAGTTTCGGGACGCATCAGCATAGTAACAGCATCAGCATTTCGCATCAACTACAGCATCGGGCAGGGACGATTTGCATCGCACGAGGAGTGTGTAGGAGTTGGATTTCATTCCCTTCTCTTTTCAGTATATCACTAGGTGCATAGCCTCGGCGTCCTCCATATTTTCTGGCTTCATCATACTGTAGATGGCGTCTCTTAGATTTCAGATTGAATACAATTAGATGCATTGTAATCTTCAAATACTTAATCATCGTGTTGTATGAGGTAGTTTTTGATTGTCGCTTCAGAAAGGAGGATGAGGAACCTGTGGTGTTGGTATAACCAGAACTGACGTTCGCATTATAGATTTGATACCCCTTTATTGCTGATAGCATTTTCTATAACACAGCAAGGCTTTTCCTGGCCCTCACACAAGTACATTAGAGCCCAAAGACAAGTCACAAACTTCCAAGCCAATACCAAACATTACGTCCTTCGCTATGCCAGAAAAATTAACAGATGCAACCACTCAACGCCATAATAGCCAACCAAAGACAAATTTTCACGAAAGTACAAGTAGGTACTAAGTATCACTTGATGAATGGAATCCCCACCGTCGTCTTTTGCCTGTACTCCCTATATTCATCCCCAAAGAACTTCACCAAAAGCTCCTCTTCGCCATCAATCCTACTCGCGAAGAACTTCCACAACACAGCCGCATAACCCAACAAAGAAAGCACATTCCCGCATATCAACTGTGTGCCTATTCCCCACCAGAAGAACCCGAAATAGCTTGGGTGGCGAAACACACTGTAGATTCCTGTAGTGACGAGCTGGTGACTTTGCGCCTTTGTGTGCTTCACTACGTGGCTGAAATTCGTGCCGGCTGTTAACATCGCTACTGCTCGTACGACTTGTCCAATTATCACCATGGAGAGGCCGAGTATGAGGATCGGATAGTGTAAATAGATGGGCAGAACTGAGGCCGGGAGGAAGAAGTGCGATAGCAGCGTTTCGAGGAGGGATGTTGTATGTGCGATTGTATATGCGGAGCCATTACTGGAGAAGAGGAAGGAGGATATCCGTGCAGACGGTGTGTTGGCATGAGCGGTGGTGTAGAACTCGAGGAAGTGGAAGAGCGATAGGATGGTGATGAAGAATGGAGCACGCCAAATCGGACGGCCTGTGTGCAGGAGGTATGCGGAGAGGAAGAGTGTTGACGACAGCACAAGCCCAAGAATGAAAGAGCGAATGGCAATGCCAGAGAGAGATTTTGGTTGTCCTGGCAGGAACTGCTTCTCGTAGACATCGAGGGCGGAGTTGAGCTCAAGAGGTTGAGATGGCGTCGAGGATTGGGAGCTCGTATCGAGTTGCGAGTGGGTTGAGGGTCCTAGTCCGCCGCGGTTTATGAGGTTCGCGGCTTCATTGAAGATGCTGGTACGAGGAGGTGCCCTAGTACTTGAGGTCTCGAGATCTGAAGGGTGGGCTGAACCATTCGCGGACCCGTTCTCCGAAGTCATGTTTGCGTTTGAAAATGATTGTAAAAGTTGTTGTATTAGGAGGAGCTCATGATCGAGTATTATTGCTGAGTTGTTACATTCACGCTTGAGTTGAAAGGAATATAAAGAATGGGCGGGACTGTCAACCGTCTTTGTGTTGGATAAAGCAATCTTGGGCTTACATTCCACGAGGCTGACAATTTAAGAAGCCGGAGGAGGTGAAGGCTCGGGTGAACATCGGCAGGACATCATCCCGCATTCAGCCAACTCGCTGGGTAGTGGGATGTTGGCGCTCGCGTTCAACCCGACGTTACCTTAGCTTGGGGGAAGTCAAGGGACTATTTGACTGAGGATTTTTCGAACTTGGACATCAAAAGTTAGGATCTGCTCCCAAAATCTGCTGTTCATCTCACTTCAGAAATCACACCAAGATGGACAAGATTGATGCGGTGGAGAATGAAGCTCGCATGATACGTGGGGAACTGTACCACGCTTTTGAGCCAACCATCACAGCCAAAAGAAACAGGTGCCATCACGCATGCCACAGGTTCAATCAAGCTGGCGAGGCATCCCGGAGAGAGCTTGTGAGACTATGGAGAGAGTAAGGCCCCCAATTAGATTTCATTTTCTTTGTGCTACGATAGCACAACCTCAAAGCAAGGACCTGCGGAATCAACGCTAATCTGTTACCAGTGTGATCGATGACAAGACACCCATACCCCCACCAGGAGCGACTGATGCCGAGGAGGCTCTTCTGTTCAAGGACGATGCTTATATCGATGGTCCTATCAAGGTCGACTATGGAACCAATCTTCGGTAAGTTCAAGACCCGCCTTTCCTTGCCCCGTACTCAGTCCTCCAGAATCGGCAAGGGTGTATACATCAACTTCAACTGCACATTCCTTGACACCTCCATAATCACAATCGGTGCTCGTACTCTCATTGGCCCAGGTTGCTCCTTCTTCGCCGCAACCCACCCTCTCGACCCATTCCTCCGTAACGGCATCAATGGACCAGAGCTCGGAGGTGCAATCACAGTCGGCGAGGATTGCTGGTTTGGTGGAAACGTTACCGTGTGCCCAAATGTCACAATCGGTCGGGGTGTCACTGTTGGTGCTGGAAGTGTCGTGACCAAAGATGTTCCTGCGTTCCATGTGGTTGCCGGAAACCCAGCTCGTATCATCAAGAAAATCGAGCCTAAAGAGCCTGATCCTACTTTGGATTCCTCTGACGACAAAGGGGCAGTAGTGACGGCGGCTGAGCGGATTTAAGGTGGTTTTGGTTGCGCATTGAGTTGTAGATAGACAGTTTGGCTTTGCATAGAACGCTCAGAGACCTCCCTCTATAGAGAATGAAGACGTGATCAAGACCAATACGTTCACTAATCCCCAGATGAACGGAAACCAGGTTGACATTCTGAAATATCCTGCGTTGTATACGGCGCCAAGACTAGATAATATCAGCATCTTCCCACGGGGCAAAGATATCAGTTGGTCGAAACTCAATACTGCAACGAAAAGGGCAAACTGACATTAGTCCAACAATACTACCGGCCAGCAAAGCTTCCACTCCGGCGATGGCACAATATATGATTGGGAAAGTCCAGACATATTTCCAGGCTTTCTTCCCCTTTCCAAGTTGCATCAAGACCGCGAAGACCACAACCACAATGTGACAAACGGCATATATCATCAACGTCCATAGCAGAGTGAATCGCCATATGTCGTATGTATCGTAGAGGTAGTTAGCGACTCCGGGCTTTGCTTTGTAGGGCCAATACAGCGAAGGGAATGAGGGTGTCGCATAGTCCAAAGGAGCGGCGCTTTGGAGACGGGCACTGTTTAGAATGTAAGTTGTCATGAAATGCCATAGAAATGGAAAGCTTACTTGTCTGCCATCGTCCCGAAGGAGTTCCTCGTGGAATGTGTTGAGGTCTCAGCCTTGTCTGTTTCGAAACGTGATTGATGGTTGGAGAACAGAGCAATTTGGTTTGGCGCGAAAGGCTGAACAAGATGCCTCGGCTCGGGGCCAGCATCATCCCAATCATGGCTGCGTCTTCCATCAACAACTCCATGCGACAGTGAAGATACTTGTAACAATGCCGGCAGATCGCCTTTTAACGACAGTGCTGCGCGCATATCAAGGACCTCCGGATCCAGAACAAAACAATAGGATTCTCTCCAGCACAACGTCGCTCCTCACGACTCTCTCGAACCCACTTAATGTCACCCTCCTCTCATCACATCTCCTCACGGCGCCAGCGATATGGAATAAATTAGACGGACTAGATACGAGTCTACGAATAATCAGCATCTTCAATACTGCGGCGATCACAGTGCGGAAAAACCAGCTTGAGGGACAATCAAAACCATACGACGCATATCAGCCACGGCAAGGAGGAGGGATAGCTTGTGATGATTGGGCGAAGGCAGTAGTTAAAGGATTGGACGATCGTACGCCCAGATGGCAGCATATACTTGTCATTTGTGGAGTGTTAATCGGAATGGAGGGGCAGGAGAGACAAGGTCTGTCGAGCGCATTGAGGATCACACTGGAGCATGCTATGGTCACAGCAGTAAATCTTGCTTTGGACAGCCCCTCGACTGCTGGAATACTCGGGTCGGGATCACTTGTACTGGCTCTGAACCATGCATTCCCTCTATTATCCAATGGAGTCAGAAGCGAATTGAACTATGATGCTTTGCTCATGGTTGCGGTTAGGACAATGACTTCCTCCGAGGGTTACCAGGAGGGTTATTTTATCGAAGCCATTGATTACGATGTCAAGCAAGCATCAGGGTCCAAATTCGACTGGTCAGCAAGATCAGCTTCGTTTCGACAGCTCCAGAAGCTCGCCAAAAAGCCAGTGATCGCTTCAATGGGTCCGTTATCAAGGCTCATTGCTCATGCCATCGAAAATGTGGGGAAGCCGCTTCTAGTAGTAGAAGCTCGAGAGCACCTACTTGCATTTACGACGGGTATTTCGCAGAAGTGGCAGAGGAACAAGCTTTCTGAGGTTGACCCTTCAGAAGAAACTACTTTCCTGGCACCTGACACTCTTCGAGTCACATTCCCGGTTCTTTGGCAGATACTGAAGACAGCCATGTTTGCTACAGTGGTAATTCTCAGGACGGTAGTTGGACGAACCTTGATCGATCCTGTTCTAGCCTCTCCCCAGCTTGCGCCAGTAACTGCGTCGCAGTCACTTCTTGCTCTGAGAAATACACATTTTATCTCGTCTCGATTAGGATCCAATGCCTTCTCAGCCTACACTTTTGTCAATACCACATCTATTGACATTCTCACCCGATTTCCAGCATCCTCTCTGAATTTTCTCCGCACAATATACCCATCTCACGCAGGTCAGATACCTGCATCTCCTCTGCAGCGGAATCATGATCTATTCTACCTAAACACCGCGGAGCATTTCACGCTGTCTCTCAAGCCAGCAGATGTTGAAAGCCTCATCGTAACGCCATGTACGCCATATCTATCTCCAACAGCCAATGTCCATCTTCTAGAAATCTTCGAAGCAGCACATAGTGCCATGTTAGCGGTCTTGGCTGCCCCTCAGAATGAGGAACTCACAGCCAGGATTTTACCATTCTACGTCGAGAGTCTCTTCGCATCATTCCCAAGGAACCTTTCCCCAAGACAATTCAGATTCGCTTTCAAAGCCTTGATCCAAATCTGCACACCCCCGAACCCACTATCCAGCTCACATCCCTTCATGGCAGAAACTCTGCTAGAGATGCTTCACTACCGCGCTCTAAACGCACCAACAGCATCACTTCCTCCATCTGTAGCGATCAAATCTGAAGCAGATGCGAAGACTCAAGGGGTGCCGCTCTCGGAACAAGCTGTGCTTCTCCTCACTCTTCTAGACGCCTTGCCAAATGTCACATTGGCTGTTCTGGAAGTGTGGCTACCACTAGCGGCGGATCTTCTCAACGTCATACCGGACCCGACTATGAAAGAGCATTGCAGAAAGCGCTTCTGGGAGGTCTTGGAGGGTGGAGAGATGGATGTTGAGAGGAGTGCTGTTTGTGTTGCTTGGTGGGGGACCAGGGGTGGAAGGGAGAGGGTTTTATCTGGTGACGGTGAACGAGGGCCGTTTATGAGTGGTGGGCTTGGGGTGCCGGGTAAGGAAAGTAGGCTTTGAGGAATATGGCATTGCATGATAATGACGTTTTCGCGTGTACTTCAACTATGACTGATGAAGGCGTTTTGGGTCGTGGGGTCTTGGATAGATATATCTCACAATCTACGAATGATACCAAGGTTGGGAATATGGTTGATGTGTGGATGTGACCCGGAGAAGGTGAGCGATCTTTTTCTAAGTCTCGCAATGCATCGTTGACATGCTCCAGCTGATCGACCATGATCTAGTGGCAGCAACTATCAAAGCAGCCTGCCGATCTCATACATCATCCTACCTCCTTTCGTCGTAGCCATATCAATAATGTGACTTCTCCATAAATCCCCTTCGTAGTTCTATAGCAACGCCAGATGCTACACGTATACCCGTATACTGACAAAAACAAAGAACCACAAGCCTCCTCGATGCCTTTCTAGAAGGAAGATTGGCCCTGCCGCATATCAGCGAGTCTAGCGTCCAGGTGTGCGTCCCGCTCAGAAAGCGTCTTCAGCTTCTCAACAAGGTCCTTCATATTGACAGCCAGTCTCTTGCGTTCATCCCAGTATGCTTGGTATTTGGCTCGGTGCTTGCCAGGGATGGATTGGAGTTCTTCGAGGGTTGGCGAGGAGGTGTAATCCGACAAGTCGATCTCGGGCTCGGAGCTAAATTCTGGCTTGAAGTTGCCCTCTACCTTTAAGCTTGATTCTGGTTCTGGAGTGGTGTTTTCATTGTTGGCGGCTCGGGCTTCTTGCTTAGCCTTTTTGGACTTCTTTTGCTTGTGGACACCGCCGTTGACGGGCTTGAAGGCGAGGGGATTGGACTGCTTTGGCTGTTGTTGTGGCTTCTATGGGCTGGTCAGGCTGTCTATCTCGAACTCGTGTTAGGATACTGACCTTCTTTCCTTGATCAAGCTGACCTTGTTTCCAATCCTCGGCCTTCTTTTCGAGATCCAGCGCCTTCTTCTGATCGGCCTCCCGCTTCTTTTGCTGCTGCAACTCGTTCTGCTTCTTCTGGTCCGCCTTGCGCTTGTCCTGGAGCTCCTTCTTCTTCTTTTTGTCAGCCTTGTGTTGATTCTTGATCTTCTTCGACTCTGCCTTGTCCTTGGCCTTCTCCTTCTTCTCCTTCTTATTCTTGCCCTTCTAGAAGCGCAAGTGTAGGTCAGCAGATGTTCATATATCGGACGGGCTCGAAATATCTGCCAGCTGAAACCCACCTTTCCCTTTGAAGTCTTTGTGTTTTCCTGGGCCTTCACCTCCTTCGGTTGGACCTTTGAGTTATTGTCTCTGCCCTTGCCCTTGTGTCGTGTCTTTGCGTTGGTGCTGGCGGATGTAGGGAACGAAGCATTTCCAGAGCCTGATTTCCTGGATACAGCCTTTGCCTTGTTGCCCTTGCCCTTGGGCGCATTGTGGCAGGCTACTGTACGTTAGCGTAGTCATTGGAGATAACTATGAGTGACATTCTGTCCAGATTGTACTGCGTCGTAGGATGAAACCCACCGAAAGAAGCTCGACCTGGAGGCTGAAGGATATTGTGCTTACCTTGTGCACGCATGGCTTCAGTGATTTCGTATTGGAGAAGATGCTGTGGCGTTGGGTGATGCTCCTCAAAGAATTAGAGATAGGCCTAAAGCGAGGATTATAGTGGCTGATTGACTTGGTGACGCGTTTGTTTGTTGTGGAAGAGAGAGCTTGGGCCCGATGAAGTTCGGCGGGGTCGAGTGGTGTGTTTACTTGAGCGGGCAAGCGAGATATGGAGGTCTAAAGTCATCAAGCGAACAGACGACTGAGATTGACTGCGAAATGGAACCACCACTCGGCCAACTCCTCATTATGTCACGCAAGCTCCGATGCTCTAATTCTTCTCTCAAAGGTCAATTCTCTCCGCAAATTCTTTCTTCAGTGAATTCAGTTGGTTTTCTGCCACAGTTGGATTGCAAAGCATTTCGACTGCTATCCGCCCGGAAGTGGAACAGTGCTCGTTTCATCTATTTGAATAAAGTTCAAGCTGCTCACTCCCCCACTACGCAGTATCTGCTGCATCAAACCTGGCGTCCTTTCTCCGAACGCTCAATCTGCTGCGACAATATCGCCTTCGACATTTTTGATAGTGAAGGTATGTCCGTCCATTCTATTCTGTTTCCTACTTAAGCAGACTTTAAGAGACTTCTCATATGCTTATTTCATAATTTCAGACTATAAGGCTCCCCAAGATGGTATTGACATCTTCAAAGATGCTCAGGAAAGAGGTGTTATTTTTAAAACCTGCATTTTATGGGGTTGATGCTGGTGCTGAACTACGGACATAGGTCAATTTTTCGACGAGCCGAGAGCCTACACAGAAATACGACGCTGTTCCTGCCTCCAAGAATAATGCTCAGCTTTTCTTCATCGAAAGTTGTCAGAGGAAGTCTTCCATTCAAGTGGATCCATGTGATTTGCATTCAATCTCCCTTCCATTTTCGTCAAGGCGTTGTTCATGGTCCTGGCATTTTATATATGCAGGTTACAAGATACAATTTCTGCACTGCAATCTACCAAGAACGAGGGCCTTGAGTGGACCAAAAGAAAAAGGCACAAGAATGGAATAGTCGGAGAAAATTGGGCCAATCTGCATCAGGAGTGTGTCTACATAACACTGCCAGATTTCAATGCCACCTAAGGAATGACAACGCCAAGATCGTTACTCCATTGGTATGGTTATAATAGCCGATAAAACACCTCGGGAATGTTTTGCGGTGGCCTTGAAGTGCGAATCGCTCACGGCTCCGAGCTAGTCCACTCCAGGCGTTCTGATCGCTAAGGTAAGAACAGGAACGTGGATGTCAGGTAGTAGTTGCAATTAGCTCCACCTTCAACGTACTCGCCAATTAAATTTGCAGCAGATGTGTTTAATAAGTAACTAGTATCGGGGTGAGCTTTCCCAGATATCGTCATTTCAAGAGCAGAGTACTGGTCCACAGGGGCGGGTGAAGGGACATGGGCTTTAGGTTCCCCTCCCCCGCTTTTACGTATCAAGTATAAGCATCGATCCCACTTACTATTCCTTCTCCTCCACTTTCACAAAGCCCTTTTACAAAGTGGAAATCCAAATATTACGAGAAACGCAACAAGAAACAATTGTTCAAAACATCGCCAATATGCCAACCGGATCTTGCATGTGCAATGCAGTTCGCTATGAGTTCCAGGGTTCGTCAACTCTCTCTAGCTTCCGTCTCTGCAGCTCACTAACAGTGGGTCACAGGCGAACCTGACGTGACAGCGCTCTGTCATTGCGTGGATTGGTAAATTTGATGCTATCAAGGTGTTCGAGTGCTTAACTAACAATGTCGATGTAGCCAGAAATGGAGTGGTGCTGCTTACACTTCCAACATTGTCGTCCCAAGAAAAGCCTTCAAGGTTACCCAGGGCACGCCGAAAAGCTTCGCCGTCACTGGTGATTCTGGAAAGAAGAATAACCACTTCTTCTGTGGAGGTAAGGCTTCAATTTCCAGTCTTGGACCCTCAACGAAGTTTCTTGTTTGAGTGGATGTATGCTGACCAAAACTAGACTGCGGCAGTTCTTTGTACACTGAGCTGGAAGTCATGCCTGATCAGACTTGCATCAAGAGTGGAGGTGTAGATGACCGCAACGTTCGAGACTACCCAGTTGGCGTTGAATTCTACACCAAGGACCGCATGAAGTATTCTGCCGCTGTCCCCGATGCGAAGCAAGTCACTCAGTTTGGTTGATTCATCAGTTCATGAGAAGCGAGGTTCATCAAATGACCTCTTAACTCATTTGACCATCTTTGGTTATCAAATCTGTAAATAGTGGCCATGAAAGAAAAATTAATTATATTTATTAAGTAAAACGTGTTGGCCAACCCGTTCCGTACACTTGGACCTTACAAGATCCAACGAGAGTGCCTGATATTAGCTCCCAGACATTCTTTCCGATCTCACCGCCGCTTCATTGCTTGATATTTGCCTGATTTATTTTACATAGAAAGATTCTCATCCAAGTCATAGTCCTTCAACTCGAGTCTTCTGATGTAGATGGAGATTGATCTCGTCGCCGCGACGGTTCCGGGGCGTTGGCGGTAGGTGCTGATGCCCAAATTTGCGCGCACTTCGCACATGGAAGCGTACCTTGAACCTCCCTGCCGAATCTCTTCTTAAAGGATTGGACATACTGTTCAACCATTGAAGTCGGAGGGGGTGGCGGTAAGGCGTGGCATCTGCCTAATAGAAGTGGGAATGTCCGAGTAAGCACAAGGGTGGGCTTCGGTGAGTATTCGCTGTATTCAACCTTGAGCAGTGCCTCGGATATGGTTTCCGGGCCTGCTTTTGCATCGTCGTAATGCTTGAACTCGAATGTTGCTTTCTTCGGCTTCTGCGGAATCCATGGTAGCTTTTTCCGTGCGTAGGCGCTGTGACTTTGACCCTGCAAGTCCTTGAAAACCTTGTTCAGTTCATCGCTCTTGTCGTTCTGTTTGAGGCGACCAAACGCCGAAAGTATTGCTGAGATTGGAATATCTGCATTATACGAGGCATTTTCCAGCATGTTTTCTTGCAAGCGCTCCCCGTACACCGGATTTTCTGGCGTGAAGGTCTCGGCCATATTACGAGCTTGTTGGAGATTGATGTGAGCACAGAGAATATGCTTTGACCATCTTTCAAGAATCTCTGCTTCGAACTTGTTCTCATCATTCTTGGGTATGGCTTCACTGAGGCCTTTATCGTCGAGCCGGGTGACTTTGGTGTACGATGCGATCCCAAGATAGAGTAAAATGTGGACACTGTAGTGGATCTGGTCCTTTTCTGGATCTCTTGAACCGAAGCCACCTATTCGCATGAGCCTTGACGGCAATTCGTCTCTTGACCGTACTAAAAGCAAATTTAGCTTGCTCCAAGCTCTCAGTGGGAAACTACTCACATAGGTCTGAAGAGATAGGAGCTGTAGCAACAACTTTACAGTGTTTCATCAGACCATCGGGGTCTTTCTCATCACTGGCAGCCGACGGCTTCGACCACTCGCGGGTAGTAGAAATAGACCACAACGTCTCATGGCTGAAATGAATTTCGTTCGTGAGTTGTCCTATCATCCAGGCGAGTGTGATATTTGCGAGAGTCATGTCCTTATTTCCTCCCCCAACGTCCGAATGATTTCCCGCAAACCAAACTTGACTGAGTTTCTGATCCTTCGAATCCTCTGCCAGTCTCCACTTCATTGGATCGAATAGCTTTCGTTTCTCGCCCAGTGCGAGGGCTTGGATCGCGAGTCTGACATTCCCAGGAACGATTTCTCCAACAGCTGGAAAGTGTGATTTGCTGACAGCTTTCACAGTATCCCAAACTGCACATGCTTTAATCTCCACGGTTTCCTCCAAGAGTTCTCCCCAAGCCTTGAGTTCATCACACCAAGCATTGAATTGATCCACCATACTTCTATCCTTGATGTTCAAGTGGCTCCAAGCCCTGAAAAGTTTAGGAAGATGCCGCAGTCCGCTCTTGGTCAATAATCCAACATCATTGATGAACTGTGCCACGCATCTTACAGTAAATGCACCCCTCGAGAACCCGATGAGAACTATTTCATCTTTACAACTTGACCAATTGAGGCAGATGAAACTGTAAGCTGCCCGAATCGATCTCGAAAGTCCTAGGATCCTGTGAGAATTTCTTTTGGCTTTTTGATGATGATGGTAAACTTACCTTTACCCAATGCTGCGTCTCGCCCGTTAGTCCAGCGACTAGTCCCCGTACCTACTCCGGGTTGATAGTGTACGACTTGAATGAAAGTCTGCTCTGTCCATCTATCCTCGTCGTCGACACATCGAGCAATTTTGGCCACATTTGTTAAAGGTTGCCCTTTTACATCATCCTGATTCATTGTTCCATCACAGCAGACTATCAAACGTTTGTTTGGATAGAGGACTAGTCCTTCGGATGTGGTTTTGCGGGTAAGAGGCTTGCCGTTCATGGTGGATATTGTCGCTACACCAGCGAATACAATCAGGATAAGCTATACGAGGAGTTGGAGTTCAGGCTCAAGGTCGGAGTAGTTTCTCAAAATGTTTAAAGCACCTTCATAGTTCAAGTATCCTTTCATGTTTGTGCCAAAATGAAAAAAGGGGCAATGAGCCCTGGAAATGAGGTGTATTTTTAGTTGGGTGTCAGCTTGAGGCTGGTTATGAAACAAGTGCTTACCGCGCCACAGCGCCATGCATGAGCTGCATACTGGAACAAGTAAACACGGCGGCTATTAGTTGGGGGCCATAACCTCTCATCTCAGTGATTGAGAATTGAATATGGGAAAAATTTAATCGATAGTCATTATCAACTTACCAGCACCTGCTCAAGACTTTTGAGGCAAAAAGAATAAACACAGGGGGCACGAAATACAGAAACTCTCCAGAACAAAAAAATTGATGAACAGAGTGGGACTCTACCGAGGATGTTAGAAGTTTGTTTTGTGACATGTCGATGTGGATATAAACGTACCGAACCCACGCCACTTTCGTGACCAGGAGATTGTTGTTAAGATAACCTTAACCTGGCGCCATAACCAGCTCGGCCATCTGTCCACGTGTATGAAAGAATCTTTCTTACTTGAAAATAAAGATTCTGTGAAAGTTTCGAGGATTTGCTCACCAGTACGGGTCTTGAAGCGAGGTGGGTTCAGGAGGGGCATGCCCACCAAAATGGGTCACTGAGACCCATTCTTTGACAGGCATAATGGAGTAACCGCTCAAGAAACGAGAAGATGAATCGTGAAGAAATGATGAAGACACATAAGACCATGTGTAGCCAACACTACATCTTAAGGATTGAGATATCGGAGAAGCATTATTCAAATACAAATGGCACGACCAACAGTAGTAATGAGCCGAGTCTTCAGGCGTTTGCACTGACTCGGTTAGCATCTGGCACGGAATTCTCTAAGCCTGGCTCACTGTAATTTCAGGGCTCCAGTGTTCAGTTACACCCTCTGGAAGCACTCGGCTACAGGCACGGTTTTCTCAAGCTGTTCTCGTTGCTGACGATGATGGGCTCGGTCTCGACCTTGGTAGGTAGGGAATCGGGGTTCATCTGCAGAATCAACGATCAAGACCTTGTCGTGGCCGGCGCGAAAATATACGTACTGTAGAGATAGCTACCGTTGACATGGACATCCAAATCCTTACTTATGGTGAGATGTATCTGCCGAAGTTTAGCCGCCCAACATCCAATAAGATCCACCCCAGCTTCGATTTGCTCAGCCTTGCCTTGCCTTGCCTCGCTCTCGTCCCTGGAGACCTCATACTCCAAACGACTTCCTCGTTCGTAAGCCAGGTTCCGTAACATGCTTCACCCTCAAGCATTATGGATACAGGCCTTCGGTCTGCTAGAAACGAGCTCTTTCAGGAGGTAAGGAGGACCCCACTCTCGCTCATGATCCACAGTCTGACAGTAGCAGCTCAAACCCAAATGTGTCGAGCTCAGCCAGCTAGTTCTTCGGGACGATGGTAGTGCGGCGAGTTTGAAAGCTCTGTTACAGTCCGCAACCCGGCTTCTCGCGATATTGGAAGGAAAGTGTCGACGGACGGATGGCGCATTTGACGACAAATTGGCAGACTATGCCTTCTTTCCGCTCTCCCAGATCCTCCAGAGGAAGAAAACGTACATAGACCGGCTGTCCGAGGTTACAATAAAATGTGTGCGGATACTGCTAGAATACGGTTGGAGAAGCTCAATCGCCCTCGACCTTGCGAAGCAGCTACTGATCCTCCTCACATTTGTTGCTGGCGGGGTACCTGGGAAGGAGTCTACCCCTCCGCCGGAGGAGCTGATGGTTGAAGCCTATGGTGCCATCGCAGCATTGTTTGGCGCTTTGACAAGCACTCCTGGAGGATCAACCTCTTTGGTCGAGTCCGGGACAATGCCTGCTTTGGGACATTGCGTGACTGTGATATTGCATGGCATTGTGGATGGGCCATCAGCAGTTGCACAACTTCAAGCTCTCCAAGCTTTAGATGCTGTCTGGCACTGTGTCAAGGACCCCGAAGCTCTTTCGAACTTTTTACCAGGAACGATATCTGCCCTAACCAAGTCTTTGATGCCTGCAACAGGTTCTCGAAGATCACGGAAAGCCCTTGTCAGAGCAATGGAAGTGCTTGGACACGTCCTTGTCTCTACTTTGAGTGACCTTCGTACGCGGAGTATCAGAAATGAGAAGCCATCAGCTGAAGTGGCCACGACTGGTTCAGATCGGACACAGAAGAATCTTACTATGTCTTGGCTGAAAGCAACCACTGGCCAAATAAAACTGGCTCTTTCCAATATTATCAGGCTCCGGAGTCACGAGGCTGTGGAAGTAAAGAAAGCTCTTAATCGGTTGTGTCTCACGCTCTTAGACGAGTGTCATGATACATTATCCGAAGCAGCATCATTACTAGTTGAGACATGTATGACGCTTGCGGGAGCTGATGATGAGGAGGGTTTCATTCAACGAGCAACATCTCTTATCGACCTTGCTTCTATTCATCCAGACCTAGGTGCCTTGATCAAGAATACCGTATACAACTGGGTTACAAGTCTCCCTAGAGTTATGCAGTCAAATGATGAATCTGCAAAACATGCAGCACTGGGTCAGCTTTCCAAAGCACATGCTTTGCTCAAAGGTTTGAACCTCGAGTCCTCAATTCTGGAGGATGCTCTCGGAAACTCTCTACGGGATAGCGTAGCTCTTACAATCGAATCTCTACCCACGACGCAAGGTGTACAGGAAGCAGAATTCGATCTGAACAGCCAAGCTGCAATGACGTTAGTACCGGATAATGCACTGTCAATCCAATTCCAGCCAATTATAATGGCTCAAGAGAGTCAACGGGTGACTCGAAATCAACTCACAACACTGATCAGTAGTCTTGGTAACAGACAATCACAATTGACTATGGCTAGTGAGATGCTCCATTACGCACGAAGCGCATCTGGACCAAGCTTGCTATCAGCATATTGGCTCTCGTCACAACTTCTACGATCAGCAGAGTCGGGTAATAAGGACATGGACGAGTTTTTCGAATCGGCTCTAACATTTTCTGACGAACAAGAAACTATGAATGAAGAGATCTTTTCGTTCTCCCAATCTCTCCTGGTGAACACGGACGAGGGGCCTTCGGACTGGCGTCTAAAAGCCGTTGCTCTAGAGGTTGTTGCCGGAGCAGCTCAACGTATGAAAGAGAGTTTCAGAACGGAGTTGGTGGATACGCTGTATCCCATAGTCCAATTGCTTGGATCACCAAATTCGCGGCTACGTGAGCATGCTATCACTTGTCTAAACATCATATCCAACTCTTGCGGCTACGACAACGCAAGCGGACTGGTTGTAGATAATGTTGATTATATGGTCAATGCGATCTCTCTAAGACTCAACACATTTGACATCTCGCCGCAAGCACCACAGGTCCTCGTTATGATGATCCGTCTTACTGGACCATCTCTCTTACTCTACCTCGACGATGTTGTAGAGTCTATCTTTGCTGCCTTGGACAATTTCCACGGATACCAACTCCTGGTCGATGTCCTGTTTTCAGTACTCGGAGAAATCGTTTCTGTAGGATCACATTCAGACCATCTGCAAATAGAACAAACCCCAGCGATCAACCACAGAAAGACTCGTCCAGAACCTGTATCCACCGACGAGCTCGCCAAATTCCTCAAACCTAAGTCTACTACTGAGGATACATCCCTCCCACATGAAGAAGTTCCTCAAAAGCCTTGGAAGTCGGCCAAAACCCTCCTCGACGAGGCGACTCCAAAAGACCCTCTCTCGGACGAAGAAGACGAAGAACAAGAAGAAAAAGGAGAAGAAGATGACTCTTCCCGCGACATCCAAGAAATCGCAAAAGCACCCCCCACAAAAACCTACACTATGCTCCAATCCATCTCTCGGCACTCCCAACACCACCTTACCTCTTCCTCCTCCCACCTCCGCACAAAACTGCTCTGTTTGATCCGCACTTCCGCATCCTCACTTGCCTTCGACGAAGACGCTTTCCTTCCACTTGTGAACGATATCTGGCCAGTAGTAATCACGCGTCTTTACGATCCAGAGCCGTATGTACAAATCGCTGCGTGCGAAGCTGTGTCTGAAATCTGTCGATGTGCAGGCGATTTCATGAGCTCGAGAATCCGGGACGAGTGGGTATCTATCATCAAACTCGCCAACTCAGCAAAGCAGGCAGCAGATAAGGAGAAGCGAGGGAATGGAGGCAGAGGACGAGGTGTATTTTCGCAGGCTAGTAAGCTGTGGGAGGGTGTAGTGGAGCTATTGTGTGCTATAGTGGAGTATGTGAGGGTTGAGGATGAGATGTTTGATGAGGTTGTGGATGTGTTGGGTGATTTGGTGTGGGAGAGGGAAAGTGTGAGGACAGCGTTGGAGGCTGTTAATGCTGATGCGGTGTGGTTGGTTATGCAGATGAATGGGAGGAATGGGAAGGTGGAAACGCCATATATGGATGGATTTACGTTTCTTGAATTGGACAGTGTAGTTGTCCTTTAGTTATCAAGAAGTAATGCACCACAAGATTCACGTCATGTCACTACGCCGTCAGAATTTACTCAGATGTCTTCACTGAGAGTCACTATTAGGCAAGCAATATCTTAGAGAGGAATGAATTTGCTACTGGCACAAACATGACTTTTCTGTTCAAGCACCGTGAAAGAACGAGGGGAGGTGAGAAGAACACAGTAAAAGAAGCGCCGATCAAAATCAGACAAATCTACCAAACGGTAAACAAACCCAATCTAACCATTCCATCAAGCCGCGATACCAAGAATACCAAACGCAAGCCAAATGGCCATGTCTGTCATCCTATACTATATGTCTAGAAACATCAATCTGCCATGCCAACGCAGGAGAGCGATAAATGCGATCTAGACGAGAGTCATGTTTAGATGTTTACTCGGAATCATCGTCGCTCTCGGCCTCAGCGAGCCAGTTGAGGAAGACCTCAGCAGACTTGCGGACCTTCTTGCTGGTGGGAAGATCGATATACTTCTTGCTGGCCTTAGTACCCCACTTGGTGAGGACATCCTCCGGGAGAATGTCTTCATTGTAGAGGGCCATGAGGACCTTGGGGGTCTCTTCGTAGAACTTGGGATCGTTCTGGCCCTTGAGACCGATGAATCGTTCAACACCACCGAGGAGAGCCTTCTGGTGCTTCTCAGATGTGACCATCTATTGATGTTGTTAGATGGTATATAATATTCTATAGAGAGATTTTGACTTACGTTCTTGAGCATGGAGGCTCGGGCAGGGATCTGCTTGGCGATCTTGTCATCAAAGATGGTCTGAACCAGGACGAGCAGAGTACGGTGCTTTGTCTCGATACCAAACTCCTTCGCCTTCAAGTAAATGGCGACATCTTCAACGTTGCTGACACCACCTTTGGCTTCGGCCTCGCTGGTGATCCAGTTGCCAAGTTGGTCATAGGCAGAGTTACCTCCACCTTCCCCATCCTCATCTTCGTCATCGCCAAGTACAAGCTTCTGCTTGAGATCATCAGGGAGTTGCTGCTGACGAGCTTTGACAGCTTCGGGAGACATGTCAACGGTCCACTCATCATCCTTGACCTCAGCCACTTCATCAAGCTCCAGGGCACCGTCATTGATACGGCGAGTCAGTTCATCATCGCTGCCGGCCTCAACATCAACATCTCCGTTCTCGTTGGATCCATTCTCAGAGTTGTTCTCGCTTCCGCTGTTATGTCCATTCTCGTCGCCATTGGCATTGCCATTTTGCTTAGCTTTACGGGCAGCTTTCTTATCAGCCTTGTTCTTCTTGTTTGGCTTTGGCTGGTTCTTGAGGATAAAACCGCTGAGCTTGAGGCGGAGGTCAACATCAGATCTTTGACCACAGGCCTTACAGTCAAGTACAATATGACCATCCTTGATAACCACATCGGTCTCGGGGTTCTTGCATTTCTTGCAGAGAACGAACTTATTGATGAAGCCATCAAGGTAGTCTTGAAGCTTGGATGCCTCATGGGCACCATTGATAATCCATCGATCGTCGGCCGGGTTGGAGTTGGTTTGGGCTCCGAGTTCGAAACCAAAGTACTTGATTACGTAGGCTCCCGGGCGTGCCAAAGATTGGGCAACGCTACTGAGATTGACAATGACGGTCTTAATACCGTTTCCTTTGCCTTCAATCTTGGACTGGAGCTTCTCCATCTTATAGCGGTAGAAGGGATCCTTCACATCGCTTCGAATGTTGATAGTAGCCATGATTGCGATTTGCTTGATGTTCCTTGAACAATTTTTTCTGTGTGGATCAGGATAGAATTTGGACCGTTAGACGACCAGATGATGCGACATATGACATGCAGAGGATGCGACGGCGGAGGGAGCGAGAGGGCACAGAAGGAGATGTTTGGATGTAGATTTTTAACGCGACATTCGACGAGGAGAGGTTGTATTAGCCGTTGCTACTGAAGTAGGGGCTACAAGGTTTCCGCGGTATGCGAAATGGTTGCAGCTCGAGAGGCGGCTGGTGTCTGAGGTCGTTGGCGTGGGGTGTGAGATACATATAACGCAGATGTATCTGTTGATATGCTGGTCGGTTTATTGTTGTTGGTAGAGGGAGTTGAGTGCGGTGAAAGGAAATGCTTCCTTTGGGGGCAGATGGAGAGTGGGTTTCGGTCTGCTTGGAAGGCAGATACAGACGTGTTCTGGGCGACTCGAGCTGAGCTGAGCGCGGGCGTTTGGTAGCTGAGAGCGGCGGGATTGTTGTGCAGATGCTGTGTTGGGCAGTCCTGTTGTTAGAATGATGGACAGTGGAGGAGTGTTGTTGTTGTTGTCAGAAGGCGAAGAGGGCGATGGTGGATGAGGCGAGGTGGAAGAAAGAAAGAAGTCGTGGAGTGGAACCCGAGAAAAGTCCCAGCAGGGCAGGGCACGGCCGCGCAGCTGCCAGCCAGTCATCTGGCGCATCTGCTGTTTCTGAAGCCCCGCTAAGGGAAGGGAAGGCCAAGCTACCGTAATTTACGAAGGACCGCGACCGCTAGCGGCTGCTCGCTTGACAGAGGCAGAGGTCAAGTCAATGTCAACTCGTTTGACCTCACCACTCCAGTCATCGTCACAACATCCAACATCCAACCTTCTTCCTTCTTCCTTATGCATGCATGTATGCATGTATGCAATTACGTGCAGCCTCTGCATCCGTTTGTCAGCCACTGTTGTTGTAAGCCACAAGTATTCCTTTCGAATTGTTGAATTAGCCCGTCTTCCATTGGCTTCCCCCAGCACAAAGCTCTCACATGTACCCCGATGTACCCCTCTGACAGTCCAAGGAGACTGACGTGATTCAGAGGTTAGGGCATTCGTGATTGGACCATCTTTACTACAGGGGAAGTCACAATAGCTCTGTGTCCTGAAAGGCCTGCAAGGGCTCGTATTCTTGCATATTTGACTCTCCGGAGTCAGCTGTGGAGTGCGGCTCCAAGTTCTATACCTAGGTACCTTGCTTCTCAGAAAGACCTGCTGCTCACGGGAAAGCTGCCAAGTACCAAGAGTTAGAAGACCGGAAAACTTTCCACTGTGATAATCTGCCCCGTAGCCATCCACAATGGCGAAAGTTGACTGTTCACTCTATCTGGTGACCGATTCCACGCCTGCCATTCTCGGCGATCGAGATCTCGTGGACGTAGTAGAAGCAGCACTCGAAGGCGGAGTGACTTTAGTCCAATACAGAGATAAAGTCAGCGATACAGGGCTCTTGGTCTCTACAGCCCGGAGACTGCATACAGTAACGCAAAAGCACAATGTGCCTCTCCTGATCAATGATCGCGTTGATGTTGCCCTTGCCGTTGGCTGTGAAGGTGTCCATATCGGTCAAGATGACCTCGGTATGTGGCGTGTATCTGTAGTCAAACTCGTATACTATATCTGACTATTGTCAGAACTCTCTGCTGCACGCAAGCTACTTGGCAAGGATGCAATCATTGGCGTGACAGTGTCCAGCATCGAGGAAGCCGTAGCAGCGTGCAAAGCTGGCGCGGATTATCTGGGCGTCGGCACAATGTTTGCAACTGGAACGTGAGTGTCATTCACAAGTACCGCGATACTGAATCGTAGTTTACTAAAACAATGCCAGCAAAACAAACACCAAGGATATTATTGGGACAGCAGGCACTAAGTCAATACTAAGCGCCATCGCCGATGTTGGGAATGAAGTTCGTACGGTCTCCATCGGCGGTATCAATAAATCAACTCTTCAACGCGTGCTCTACCAGTCGTCCTCCCCAACAAAGTCGCTCGACGGTGTGGCAGTAGTAAGCGCCATCATTGCCGCAAAGGAGCCAAAGAAAGCAGCCGCCGAACTCCTGGAGCTCTTCAAAACACCACCGCCCTTTGCAGCAGCGTCACTAGTCAGCACAGCAAAATGCACGTCCGCCTCGGAACTAATCAGCCAAGTCCCCCGCGTCATCAGAGACGTGGGCGAGAAGACACCTTTGTCGCACAATATGACCAATCTCGTCGTCCAGAACTTCGCTGCCAACGTTGCTCTCGCTGTCGGCGGCTCTCCAATCATGGCAAACTACGGAGAAGAAGCTTCGGACCTCAGTAAGCTCGGAGGAGCACTTGTTATCAACATGGGTACAGTGACTCCTGACGGTCTGCTGAATTACAGCAAAGCACTAAAAGCGTATAATCTGGAAGGCGGTCCTGTGGTCTTCGACCCAGTAGGAGGAGGCGCTACAGCTGTTCGCAGAAACGCTGTCAAGACCCTTTTGGCTGCTGGCTATGTTGACGTGATCAAAGGTAATGAAGGCGAGATCGCAACGGTTTTCGGTACAGTCATTCAGCAGCGTGGTGTAGACAGCGGTACAAGCACATCTACTGCTTTGGAGAAGGCAACATTGGTCCGCGACCTCGCAGCTCGGGAGCGCAATGTTGTGGTCATGACTGGCGAGGTGGATTATGTCAGTGATGGGGAACGAATTTTCGCCGTGTCAAATGGACATGAATTATTGGGGAGAATCACAGGTAGTGGATGTGTTTTGGGCACAATCATTTCTGTTATGGCTGCTGTTTGTAGGGATGACAAGCTGCTGGCTGCTCTGGCTGGTTTGCTACATTATGAGATTGCTGCCGAGATTGCTGATGAGAGGGAGGATGTCAAGGGACCGGGAACTTTCGTACCGGCGCTGATTGACGAGTTGTATAATTTACAGAAGGCGACGAGTCGGGGTGAGGTCAAATGGCTAGGGAGAGCAAAAGTGGAGGCTGTTGAACTCAACCAAGGGTGATTTTGATTTCGCTGCTGAAAACAGAGATCAGTTATTAGAATTAATAAGACAAACATGAAAGTAGTAAAAGTTTTCCGCTTGAGAAAGATTCTTGTCATATACGACATGTTCTCTCAATAACGATCTTTATTGAGCTTGACGGATGGAAAGTTCTGCCGCTTTAGGAATAGTACCTCACCAATGTAAATTTTTAACTGACCTCTGGGCCTCGTGCTCGTGGTGTTATCCCTGTTCCACTTTTTAGTGTCGTATTCCAGACTCGAGCTAACCCCCTCTTTCTACTTTTGTTGCTAATGAGCATACCTAGGTACCCTTACTGCGTAGGCACCAGATTGAAGCTAAACCTTATTCTTATCGCTCCTCCTTGTCAGTCAGATGTCAGATCTCAAGGGACTTCGAAGCCTTCTCATTCCTGCTGCGAGCCTGCAATCTACCAACCCCAGGGCCTTGCAACGCTTACTCATACCGTACCGCGTTACCGAGCCTCTTCAGCCAGAATAGCACCATGGCCGACACCTCTCATTCAAATCACACCTTTGCCTTGGCAGGTTCAGTAATGCCGACCCCTTCCCCTCCAACGTCAAGCTCTCAAGCAGTAGCATAAGGACCGATACCAGCACCAGCACCAGCACCGCCGAGCTCGACTTCTACCACTAGCGGGGCGAGAGCGAAGCAGAAGAAAGTGCGCTTTGCTTGCGAGAGATGTCGATACAGAAGAGTCAAATGCGATGGTCAGATTCCGGCGTGCGGGAATTGCTCGAAAGTAGGCGCGCCGTGCATCGATGTGGATCATCGCGATACGGACAGGAGGTTGATGCGTGGGACTCAAGAACAAGCCATTGCTCGCATTGCCTGGCTGGAGGACATAATTCGAACACAATTACCCCATGTCAATCTCAACGATGGCCCTCTTCCTTCTGGCCATCCGGGTCAATTTGGTACTGCTTCAGACGGCTTAGGCAGGGCTTCAGAAATACCATCGGAAGCTGTACCATTTAGTATGGGCGACTTCCAGCAAAGTATGGGTTCTCTGAGTGGACAAACAATGGAAGAGATCTCACCTGCTCCTCCCAAGGGAACCAAACGTACACTGGAGGCTACAACGTTTGACTCGTCCTTGCAGGACAAGTCAGTCCATGAAGACGCTCGCTCGGTGGCTCTGGAGCTAGGTCTCCTTTCTTTGATCTCTGATTCACGCCAGATGCATTATTTGGGATCTTCTTCGGGAACTCTATTTGCTTCGCTGTTTCTCTCGAATCAACCAGGAACAGGTCCTACTTCTGAGAGCTTCCCACATTCACCAAATGGTTCGAATGGTGAAGTGCAGCATGGCATCGACAAGGCCACGCCTCCTGCCTTGATCTCACCGGCAAATCAAAAGAACATAGAAGAGTTATTTGAACAGCTTCGGAAGGTGTGCGAGTTCGACTTTACTTGAAGATTCGTACTAATTTCCGTCCGACAGATTCTACCAAATCGTGAGGAGTGTAATATGCTCCTAGAACAGTTTTTCAATCACATGCATCCTAACCACCCTTTTCTACACTATCCTTCGTTCAATTCTGCGGTCCACGCGTTGTATCAATGTGTAGAAGGTCCTACACCGACTTCGTTCCAAGCCAATGGTTGGCCCGCGAGCGCACAGCCGTTCCCATACAATGGCGAAGAAGATATGTCTGGAGGTTCCAGGCAGTTCTCAATTTCAGTATATATTGGGGCTTTTCAACTGCTCATGGCACTCAGTATCGGAGCAACCTTGCAGATACGGCGCCAACGATACAGCCACAATCCAAAGACATTTTTCAATACAGCCACCAACCTATCTAATCACGTATTTGGCAATATTTCCTTACCGGTTTTGCAGTGCGTTTTGCTGGTGGTGGTGCATGGTCTAATCGATCCTGATGGATGTGACGTCTGGACTCTGACGCATGTGGCTATGGCGCACTCCATTGACCTTGGACTTCAGCGAGAAGCCAGTAACTCAGGTCTCTTCAATACCACCGCCACCGATATTCGACGTCGGGTGTTCTTTTGTGTCTACTCGCTTGATCGGTAAGTATCCAATTTTCGCAACGTACGTGGAGAACCTTTCTGGCCAGTTCCAGCTCTTTGTCCACCATAATGGGGCGACCTCTGGGCCTTGGAGATGATACTTTCGACCTGCGCCTGCCACAAATGACAGATGCTCAACTCCAACTTGTCAGCAGCAATACTATTTCTGACGAATTTAACGATATTGCAACAATGTCATATTCAATCCAGACGTTCAAAATGGTCAGACTAATATCAAGAATAAAGGCTGAACTATACCGACTGCCTGGTAAGGTAGGGTTGAGCACGCAGCCTGCTGATGTACAGAATGGATTACGGTTGGAACTGGATCGATGGCTCGCCGAGTCGACGTCAGTTATATCCACAACAGTCCCAGAAAGCCAGCGCCTCCGCCTCTCAACAAAGCTACAAATCCACTATCAAGGTGCGATGGCTCTTCTTTACCAACCATCCCAGGCCATCACACATCCAAGCGAGGATAGCTTAAAAATCTGCTTCGCATGTGCCACTAAGCGACTTCAGTTGTATGAAACTCTCTACGATTCCGGAGCCTTGTGCCACAGCTGGCGCACAGTTCAAGACATGTTCCTAGCTGGGGCAACAATAATGTACTGCGTTTCGATATCTCCTGCAGTTCGCAACTCGGTTTCCATCCTGAGTCTCTCTAAGGACTTTCGCGCGTGCTCCAGTATGCTCAGCGTCGGTGGAGAATGGTGGCCTGCTATTCGGAAAGCTAAGAATAGCCTTGAGCGCTTGTCCAATCATATTTTGGAAATGTTGACGGTTGCTTCGAAGTCTGACGAAGAACGCAGATCAGGACGGCAACCATTCCCAGACGACTACATGCCCGGCCTGGAGACTTGGGGCGCGCCAGAAGCCACAGGGCCCAATGATGTCCAGCAGATGTTGTTGAATGTGGTCAATCATGATGGAATATTGATAGACTTCTTCGATGATTCTCTTACGAAAGTGCTCATGGATGGTCTGCATGATCGATCGGGACTCCCAGACGATCTTGATCCTGCATTCTGGGGTCAATATGATCACAATGCGAACCTTGATTATCAATACGGAGGTTGGGAGTGAGAATATTTAATGGAAGGTTGCACTATGATGAAGACAGTCAAGATACAGGTTCGCAGCATTGCCACATTTCAAGCTCTGCACGCAACCTCTGTCGGACCATGTAGCTGTCAGCGGGTATCTCTAACGGTACGCTCCTGGTTTGGAGTTAAGCTCATGAGCCATACAGCTCTTCCGGGTTCTTATTCATGAGTCGATCCCATTGGTCGTCTGAGAGCCACGTACGAAGGCTAGTCAGCCAAGCCCTGTCATCAATATCCTGGAAAGGAGTCTCGTTCAACGCCTCTTCCTTCGACCTCACTTTCATATTAGGTGTGTGTGGCCTGCAAGAACACTTAATACACATGGTTAAGCATTAAGACAAGAAATATGTTGAACTTACCAGTCGCTTCCCCACAGTACTCGCGTAGGATTCGCCTCTACTAGTGCCATGACCAACGGCTTCATATCCTCGTAGTAAGGCGCTTGCGTTGAACTTCTGTACGGCGCAGAGAGCTTCAACCAAAAGTTTCCTGTTTTCAATAAAGCAACAATATCCACCAATCCAGGCTGTGCGAGTACATCCGTGCCAGCTGGAAGCATACTTTCGGCTTTCAATAATGCATGGTGATCGGTCACGACTTGCAAGCCTAGCTTCGGAATAACCTTACTCAGAGGTGCCCAATTTGCCATGTTGATCTGGAGAAACTCGAGGAACCAACCTGTGCCAGATTGGCGCACACGTTGGGCGTAAAGCTGCAGCACCTGAACTTGTAATTCAATGTCGGTCATGGCGTTGTAACCGTACAAGTTGAGCCTGATTCCTCTGACGCCGGATTTTACAAGACTTGCAAGCTCACTCGCAGGCGTTTCCTCGTCGATGACAGCACAACCGTATGTTTTATCCGGTCCCAGGGTATGGATAAATGATTTCAGTGATGAACAATCATTACCGTACGACAAGCCATGTGTGAGGACGGACTTGGTGATGCCGAGGGATTGCTTGAAACTCTCGTATTCTTGAATAGTTGCTTGTGGAGGGGTAAGATGCCGGTCCGGCGAGTAAGGGAATGTGCTGGCTGTGGAGCAAAATTAGCAAAGTTGCTGTATGGAAATAGCTGCACGGATGCTCACTGTCGAAGATGTGGTGGTGAGTGTCCCACCCTCCATTGGTGAATAATTCGATATCAATGGAGCCCATTGTGAAAGATAGGAGTTGCGGGAGCTGCTGAGCTTGGAGTTTCGTGCTCTGTACGATTGATGACAGATGAACGGTTGAGAATCAGTCACGGCAGCTGTTTATGTTGGAGAGGTAGGGAGGGTAGTGGACGACTGCGGAGAAGTATGGGATTTGGAGCGAGGGCGAACTGGATAACCCTCCTACGTACGGAAGGCCCCATACGTTCAGAGAACTCAATAAATACGACCTTGAAAACGAACAAATAGAGGTAATAATAGGTTCTAAGGTCGGCAGAAGCTGTTAATTCTTCGGGCCACGGGGGAGGCGAGGCATACTCGCCTCGCTCCGTAAGTGGATTTCGGAGTGGTCCTCTTGCCCCACAGCCAAGAAGAACGGAAGCAAAGCGCACTACAGTGCCACATGCCTGCTGGACTCTAAGTCTAAGCGAGGAGTGATGCCAACGGAGTCTATCTGAACCGGGAAGTAAAAGCGCATGGGGAAGCAGATCATCTGTATATCTCAACTAGATATTGTGCTATTTCTTCTGGGTAGGCTCATTTCATCCAGTGTCCAGTTTCTTACTCAATGCTTTTTCTTGCATATATATCAGATTTACTTTCACATAACATTTCCGTCGTACTGTTTTGAATCACATACACTGCCAAGCCAGCAGCATATCGTGCTCGAGGATTTCAACAATCGTAAAACACATTTCCTAATTATGTCTGCCTCTCGCAAAACGTCAAACCCGCCAAGAGCTGTCCAAACAATCATCGCAGGTGGCGCGGCGGGCGGCGTTGAGTCTCTCCTCACATATCCTACAGAATACATCAAAACCCAACAGCAGCTCCTTCGCAAGCCCGCTGGCATCGCAATCTCACCCCTCCGACTATTCCTCAATACCGTTCGGACACAAGGCTTTGCACCCCTCTACAACGGTGCCGGAGTCGTCTGCGTCTCCAATGCCTCCAAGTCCGCCGTTCGCTTCTTCGCCTTCGAGTTGACCCGGCGCCAACTAATCGTGAATCCCAAAACAGGACTTACGACTCCATCGGGAAATTTGATCGCTGGTCTGGTGGCGGGGATTACAGAGAGTGTCACGGTCGTCACGCCTGGCGAAACGATCAAGACGAAGCTTATCGATGATCGCAATCGCCCTGGCGGACCGCAGTACAGATCCACGCTCTCCGCAATCTTCCATCTCATCCGTACCGAGGGGATTGGTGGGTTTTACAGAGGAGTGGTGCCCGTGACGTTGAAACAGAGCTCGAACGCCGTGGTGCGGTTCACAAGCTACAATCTTCTCCTCGGTCAAGCGAAAGCGGCCTTTGGAGAGAAGCGGAAAGGTTGGGCGACTGTGGTTGCGGGTGCGGGTGCTGGTCTAGTCACAGTCTACGCGACGATGCCGATGGATAATGTAAAGACGAGACTGCAGGCTATTGGAGCGAGCGAGAAGTATAGCGGCAGTTTTGACTGCGTAAGAACGGTGGTGCGAGAGGAGGGGGTGCAAGCTTTGTGGAAAGGCACGAGTCCAAGGTTGGTCAGGCTCACGGTACGTTCTTCCACTCCCTGTCAGATCGATCGAGTTGAATCTAATAGTGTCTGTGACAGATCTCTGGTGCGATAAGCTTTGCAATCTATGAGCAAGTGCTTGAGTGGACGAGGTTAGAGTTGGCGACGAAGACTCCTGCGCTTGCTTGAAAAGAAAGCCAGGCTTCGTTGGCAAAGTGGGTGCCATTCAAAAAATACCATTTCAAGTAAAGATATAGAAGGCGTTAAGATTAAAGGCGATATTTTCCGAGGATTATGAGCACGATGGCATGATAGAGCTGGCAGTTTCAGCAAGCACGTGGGAATCTTCTGTATACCATATGTTGTTTCCCCAATTATAGACCATCGAGAATTATTCACTGGCTACTGTTATATGATAAGTCGTTGCATTAAATTGCCTCAATTTGAACTGGCCTAGTAATTCAACTCATTTCTCTACTTGGGTTCCTGACGCTCATGTGTGTATCATCAATGTATGTCTCTTGTGGTACAGCACGGCACGCTTGATCCAGACACTGGTCATTGTATTAAAGTTCAATATTTTTACATTTTACAGCCACTACTTTATTTTCTCAACTTGGCGATTGTCGGTCCCATCTCCTCCCCATCCTCCAAGCATTTCCTCGTCTTCTCATCAGTCTCCCACCTCTCCTCGCACAATTTCAAACACTGTTCAACCAATGTTGGAGGAATGGCTACCACGCCATCAGCGTCAGCTAGAATTAAATCCCCCGGATTGATTGTCAATGGCTCTTTCTGCGTCTCGGATGTGAACTGAACAGGCTCATTTAGAGTTGAGGATCTCGTAAACGAAGCCGAGCCAAGAATTGAGACTCCTTTCGCGAACAACTAAGTACTCGTGAGCTTGCAATTCAAGACCGCCATGTTCTTCAGCAGAAGGGAGCTTACGGGGAACCCCAAATCTCGATGTTCACCAATATCCCGGAAATTCCCATCGATGATCACACCCTTCGCACCGATTTTCTGAGCCCTCGTACTCATCAACCCGTCCCAGCACGCGGAGTACAGACCCTTCGGCTGGCTGATAAACACCACCGAGTCCTTTGGTATGCCATCTGCGAAATGAATGGGCGGCTTGCGAGCAGTGTTGTCGTTTGCGTGAACCATCTGTACTGTATATGCTGGCCCGAGGATCTTGGAGGCTCCTGACTGTCGAGTAGGAGACCACATGGTCAGGCCAGAAAGGAAGCCGCCATATTTCACGCCCAGTTTTACAAGGGCATCTCCGACCTGTTCATGGACTGTCAGTGGATTCAGAAGAATTGTAATGAGATGTGGTACTTCGCGATTTTGGATTTGCTAGCATATACATACATCACAGGAGGTGAACTTGGAAAGCGATTTCAACGAGGCCGAGGCAGCTGTCGAAGGTGACATGATTGTAGATGCAGAGGTGTGATTTTCAATGCAAGATTGTTGTCCTGCCTTCAAAAGATGCTGATAGAAATGCGCCAGAAAAGTGTGTGAGATTCGTGGCAAGAATCTCTCGATAATCACGCACCCTCGGGCAATAAGTGATGCCAAAAAGATCCAGCGTCACAGGTAGGGGTAGCTATGCGGGCTTCGGGTGTTTGCCGATGAAGAACAGGGGGTGATCCCGGCACGCCCACACCGCTGGGTCCGCCAACCACGCTAAAGGAGCGTTCCCTTACAGTAGTGCCCGACTCCCGGCATGTCCGCCATTTGCATTTGCATTTGCATTGCATGGCTCGCCGTTGGATGCATCCATGCAACTCTCAAGTCAACCGAGGAACCTAGAACGGCGACGGATTGAAGCTGCCTTCCTTGAGCCTTGCGCCTCGTGGGTAAAGTAGAATTCGATGGTAAGTAGTTTCTGCTGGCCGAGCTCTTAACTTCGATTCTCAAACTTCATTGACTTCTCTGTCTGTGCAATTTTCATCTTGTGGCTCTCGCGATTGTCGTTACTCTGCACATTTTCGTTCAGGACATAGAGTAAGAAGACAATATTCCATGCTTCTTCTACCCCACGATAGCTAGCAACTTAGCTGTCCGCTATGGCTTCCGTTCTCAGATCCAGCGCGATATCTCCAGCGCAAAGACAAGTTTGGGCACCACGATCTCGAGGCGCGCTGAGGACAGCACGAAGATGCCTTGCAACCGTCTCAGACGTAAAACCCCAAGAGTCTGGCAAAGTCCCAATGAGTAGATATGATACGGTATGTAGATGCAAGAAAATTGATTCTCTGCAGAAATCTAACCCTCGCTTTTCAGCAGAAACACCTTCCATACGCACATCTTCAGAAGTCCCTGGAACGGGTTCGACGAAGGATAAACAGGCCTCTGACACTTTCTGAAAAGATCTTATATTCACATCTCTGCGAGCCCGACACTCAAGAGATTGTGCCGGGGAAGTCTTTCTTGAAATTGCACCCCGGACAGAGTTGCGATCCACGATGCAAATGCCACTATGGCACTTCTGCAGTTTGTGAGTGCTGGTATCGGAAAAGTCGCAATTCCCACGACCATTCACACCGACCATCTTACAATGGCCGAGAAGGGTGCTGAGATAGATCTGGCAGCCGCAAAGATTAAGCACAAGGAGGTCTTTGAGTTTTTGGCTTCAGCGTCTGCGAAGTATGGTATTGGGTTTTGGAAACCTGGGTCGGGAATTATACACACGATTTTGTTCGAGAACTACACTTTGTGAGTAGCCGAGCTCGATTTTTCTGTGAGTTTAAGCTGATTTTAGGTTCAGTCCTGGAGGTTTGCTGGTTGGTACGGATTCTCATACGCCAAACGCCGCTGGAATGGCCATGTTGGGTATTGGAGGTGAGAACACTTCTTCGCACATTGTGATTATATTCTAACAAATGACAGTGGGAGGCTCGGACGGTGTGGATGCAATGGCTGGAATGCCATGGGAGCTTCCATGCCCGAAAACACTAGGTGTGCGTCTCACGGGAAATCTGACAGGCTGGGCAAGCTCTAAAGGTAGGATCTATTACACCCGTGGACAGTCTTTGTTTGTGAGCTATGCTAAATGCTCCAGATATTATCTGCAAGCTCGCTGGAATGGTTTCTGTGACTGGCGGGAAGGGAAAGATCGTAGAGTTCTTTGGCCCGGGATGTGCGAACCTAAGCGCGACTGCAATGGCTACGATTGGAAACATGAGCGCGGAGATTGGAGCAACTTCTTGCTTATTCCCATATTCGGAGGCTATGAAGCAGTATCTCGATGTAACAAATCGGGGCAACATCGCAAGAGCAGCATCGCAGTCTCTTAATCTCATTACGCCCGACGAAGGCAGCGAACGGTTTTACGATGACATCGTGGAGATTGATCTCGATACGCTGGAACCTCATATAAATGGTATGTCTACGATACTTTGTTGTTGGAGCAAAATCTCAGAGGTTTACTTTGACAGTCCTTCGTACACTTCAATGGGGTGCTGAATCAAAGCTAATTTGTTCACAGGACCATATACCCCAGATCTCTCCCACCCAATGTCCAAATTTGGTAAAACTGTCATTGAGAACAAGTGGCCTACCGAGTTATCCGCGAGTCTTGTAGGAAGCTGTACCAACTCCTCCTACGAAGATTTGATGAAAGTCTCCAGCCTTCTCAAACAAGCCGCCGATGCAGGCCTAAAACCGAAAACACACTTCTTCGTCTCTACAGGAAGTGAACAAATCAGAGCCACTTCCGAAGACGCAGGCATTCTTGATGTTATGAGAGACTCTGGGGTCATTGTCCTAAGTAGTTCCTGTGGTCCATGTGTGGGCCAGTGGAATCGACCACAGATTCCAAAAGGAACCCCGAATTCCGTCATCTCATCATTTAACCGCAACTTTACAGGGTAAGTGGTCAACCCTCTCAGCTAATCAGACAAGCGCTGACCATGTCCTTACACAGTCGCCATGATGGTAACCCAGGCACACATTCCTTTGTCACATCTCCAGAAGTAGCGACTGCATTCGCATTTTCTGGTTCGCTAGACTTTAACCCTGCAACCGATTCCATAACCACTCCCTCAGGAACTCCATTCAAATTCTCCCTCCCAGATAGTGACGCTCTTCCGTCCATATTTAACCCTGGCGAGGACCTCTACCAAACGCCTCCACCACCATCCGAAGCCCAAAATGTCTCCGTGGCAATATCTCCTTCATCCGACCGCCTCCAAGTTCTCGAGCCTTTTGCTCCCTGGACGAAAGATCAAGCTCTAAACCTACCCATCCTCTTGAAAGTCAAGGGGAAATGTACTACAGACCACATATCCCACGCAGGTCCTTGGTACGATTATCGTGGCCATCCTGACAACGTATCCAACAACATGCTCACGGGCGCCACGAATGCATTCTTACCCTCTCACCCACCCGGTATCGCAGAGCACGTCGTAACTGGGGAAATTGATGCAGTACCTGTCATCGCACGCCAATACAAGGCAGCCAACATCCGGTACTGCATAATTGGCCACAACAATTACGGAGAGGGCTCGAGTCGCGAGCATGCGGCCCTGGAACCTCGCTACCTCGGTGCGGTAGCAATCATAGCAAATGGATTTGCGCGAATCCACGAGACGAATCTGAAGAAACAGGGCATGTTGCCGCTCACTTTTGATGATCCGGGGGCGTGGGAGAGGATCAGAAAAGATGATTCGGTTAGCATTTTGGGTGTTGAAGAGATCAAGCCGGGTCAGAAGTTGGTGGTGGAGGTCAAGAACAAGGATGGATCTGTGTGGCAGACATTGGTCAGCCATACGCTCCATGCAGGGCAAATTGGGTGGTTGATGGACGGAAGTGCGTTGAATTATGTTAAGAATAATAGGCGAAGTAGCTGAGCGGGGTCCCAGGCAATTCTGCATAAACATCATCTTAGATACCTAGTCACTGTAAATTTACCATTATGTATATACAAACACATATTGAAATCTAGAGTTCAAGCATCATGAAAATTAAACACAACAGCCAAAGACCAACACAAGATTGGAAGCCCGCGAACCACCTAGCAGCTACATGAGTATAGGAATGCCCTTGAGAGATGTCTAAATATTGCCCACTAGCTATACTTACCAACATTGACCAGGAACGTCAACCTTGGATCTCAGGATGACTTTCGAGGCTCTCGAACTCCAACTTCAAGCATTGAGCCCCATGAGTATGAGCTCCTTGACGCAGAATGAATGAGTGACACAATTTGCTCTTAGTCAGTCACAGGAACTATCCCCCACAATTGGTCATGACTAGTGTCAGAACGTCGGCCTCATGGTTCCCCTCCCCTCGTGTCCATGAGACTTAACCCAAAGGAGCGTTCCGGCCAGCCAGAACGCCACCACAGCGACCCAGCACCAAGGTACTGTTCGCATGTTCGCATGTTCGCATGTTCGCATGTTCGCATGACTTGGGTGCATGGAAGCCTCCGTGAAGTACGGAGTTGTAACACCCATCGGCTGATAGGTGAGAATTTTGTGCTTGACTGTCGTGTCTACAGGGCCACTCCGCACCGCCTTTGTACAGTACCCCGCAAGCCCTTTCTACACAGCACAGTAGGTACTATACTGCCCTCGTTCCGCTCCGCATTCTGGTTCTTGTGGGGTACAGCGTAGTACCTAGGTAAGCGTTGGCCGCCCTCGTGGAGACATTATGGGGTAGAGTCTGGCCTCCGCGATTGACAAGCGGAAGGATCAGTTTCGAGGTCTATATCTAGCCCTGTCTCTCCTCGTCTTCAATTCTCAAGTCGCATATCTTTATTATCTTTCCTGGCTTGAAGTCGAGGCAACATATCATTCTCGGAGAAAGATCATCCCAATCAAACCTCGCAGCCATGGCCGCCAAGATGGATCAAGAAATTGTCGAGCTCAAAGAGCACGCAAAAGCCAAGGGGCTGGATGCAGATGCTTCAGACTCTTCGGTGGTTATCGACGACGAGTTCTTCAAGCGCACTTCCAAGAGCCTGTGCGGAAGTTGGACTTGACCATGATGCCCATGATCTGGACTCTCTACATGTTCAACTACCTGGATCGCAACAATATCTCGTATGTCTTTGCCCACACCTCCTCAAAAAGTTGAGTGCTAATGTCAGAACCAGTCAAGCGAAGCTCAATAAGTTCGAGAAAGATCTTGGTCTCACAGGCAATCAGTTCAACACAGCTGTTTCGATTCTCAACGTGGGATATATGCTCATGCAGCTGCCCTCCAACATGATCCTCACTCGCGTCCGACCTTCTCTATACATGCCATTCTGGGTGTGTACATGGTCCTGTATCTCTGCTGCAACTGCTGCAGCAAAGAACTACCCTCAACTGATCGTCATCCGCTTCTTACTCGGAATCGCCGAAGCGCCTTCTTCCCAGGTGCCTTTTATCTCCTTTCCTGCTGGTACACTCGCAAAGAACTCGCACTACGAACAGCCGTCCTCTACTCTGGACTCATTCTCGCTACTGCTTTCTCAGGTCTGATTGCTGCCGGAGTCTTTGCAGGGCTTGATGGTGCTCATGGTCTCGCGGGCTGGAGATGGTTATTCCTCATTGAGGGAGCCGCCAGTTTTGGCTTTGGAGTCCTGGCCATATTCATCCTTCCCGACTTCCCAGAATCCTCAGGAGGCAAGGTCGGAAGTGCGAGATGGCTCTTCACTGCAGATGAGCGACTTGTTGCAGTGGAACGTATGAGACGTGATCGTGTATCCGTCGACGAAGGCAAACGGTCAGTGTGGTATGGTTTACGTCTGGCTGTCACCGATTACCGCACCTGGATCTTCGTAAGTTTTCCCATACTTTGAAAGTATCTCTTGATGAGAAATGATCACACTTATACTGACCCTTTCCCCAGGTTCTCATGTTGATTGCCAACCACACCGCATACGGCTTCAATTACTTCTACCCATCCATCGTGAAAGGACTGAACCTTGGCTCAACAACAATCACCCTCGTCCTCACCTCTCCACCTTACCTCCTCGCCACACTCTTCTGCTTCGCATTCGGCTACTCATCCGACCGTAGTGGTGAGCGTGGTTTCCACATCGCCGTCTCCATGTCCGCCGCAGCAATTGGATTCGTTGTCTCCGCATCAACGCTCAGCGTCCCCGTCCGCTATTTTGCCTCCTTCCTCTACATCTGCGGCTGCTTCAGCGCCAATGCCATGGTATTCTCGTGGGCTTCAGCGACATTGAGTCAGACGCCCGAGAAGCGAGCTGCTGCCACCGCCATTATCAATCTGTTGTCGCAGCTCGGAAACATCTGGAGCCCTTACTTTTTCCGTCCGGGGGATGCACCAAGATACGTGATGGCTATGATTCTGATGATGGCATTTGCTTTGTTGAGTGTGTTGACTTGTTTGGCTATGAAGTGGAGTCTGAGGAGGGCGAACAAGAAGATTCTGGAGGAGTATGAGGGGAGAGATGAAACTCCCAGGCTGTTCATGCTGTAGTAGATGAGGCATGCCTTCCCGCGATTATGTAGTCGTTACGAAATGAAACAAGGAATTGAATATATGAAACTTATGCGCTGATACTTGAGCATTTTGCAATCATGTCAGCAAATACCCCTAATCGTGAAAACATACCTACCATGTACCACGTAGATGCTGTATGGCCTGCTTCGCGGAGTGATTCGGCACAGAGCTTTGACGATACTGCAAAGTCTTCCATTGGACACTTGACATGTTTGGAGCAGAAGGCTATAGGATAGTTGATCCACAGTTCGCTTGCCTTACTTTCCCCAGCATCGACGATACCACTTGACCAAAGACTAACAGATCTGGTAGAGAGTTACCAAGTTACCAACGATTGAAGGTCTTTGAAACCAAGATTTCAAACAGATATTGCTCAGGACTTTCCTCAAGACAAATTGAGAGTCGGTAAATAGGTACGTTATCCAGTAAAGCGTTCGAAAGTTTTACAGGTAAAAGCAATATCTTTTATCATGAAAGCTCCATATACGATTATCGAGTATCTAATGCATGCGTCTATTAATGATTGTATATTCGTGAAAACATGGCCTTCAACTTGTCAGAAGAAGCAAGTCTGGAGCTGATGACCTACTTCGCATGTAGAGGTTTGCTTGAGATAGTGATTGACCATATTGACAATGTTAGTGAGATTCCTACAACTTGAATAATACTCATATCGGTGTATGAGATCTCTCAGAAGTGTCAAATACAGAATAAGAAGCTTGGTTATAAGCAAATAATATTCACATATTCTAGACTTTGATATATCACAGTAAACATATCTTGTACAAGCGCACAGAGGCGTCCAACCATTTAAACCAAGCCCTCCCAACCTAGCCTCCCAATTTATACCCGTTCGACTCATACATCTCCCCCAATCCTCTCAAATCTTACTCTTCCCTGCCAAGACTCCCAACACCTCCTTCGTGTCCTTACTACTCCTCTTCACCAAGCCTGCCACATCCCTAAACTCCGCAATGGCCGCATCCCCCATACACTCATAAATCCAACTCTCACTCGTCGTGACCACCGCTCCCTCCCTCCTGAGCCTCTCCAGCGCAATACCAATCTCCTCCTTATTGCAACTACTGACGCCATCCGCCAAAATATACACCTTGTGTCCCGCTGCTAGCAGATCGAGCGTCGTCTGCGTGATGCAGATATGTGTCTCGATGCCGACGAGCACGATTTCCGAGGGTGTAGACGACGAGAAATGCTTGGAGATGGAGGGAATCCACATGCTGAAGGCGGTTTTGTCGACGTGTTCGATGGCCGTCGAGAGGTCGAGTTCGTTGCAGGTTTCGCCGAGGCGGGCGCGGTTCTGAGTGGTTGCGTAGATGGGGATGGAGAGTATGGAGGCAGCGGAGAGCATTTTTTGGGTGGTGAGGATTCTGGTTAAGGGGATTGAGTGTTAGTATATCTTCTACGACGTCGCGGTGATGGTAGTGATAATGGTGGAGTTCCGTCGGGGAGACGAGGCGCAGGGAGGAATTGGAGGACATACAGCTTCTCATATTCCCATATCGGCCCTCTGAATTTTTCTTGGATATCGCAGATACTGGCTTCAATCAGTACATCCCCTACTCATGACTAATGGCGGGGTGGACGGACAAAAGGGCTGGCCTATCTACAACCTGTCAGCTCTGTCACATCAATTAAAGAAAGAGATTTTACATACTGAGGCGTCTTCTTGGCTTGTCTGTCATCTTTGCAGCTGAATTGTGTATGTGGTGTCTTGCAGGTGTGCGCAACAAAGAGGCGCGAGGGAAATGTATATTTTTTGGGATCATGACATGGATGGATGGAGTTTCATTCGGATGGGAATTTCTGTGGTGGGGTGAAAGCCGAGAGTCCCCCGCTGCGGGGTTTTGCCGGTCTCGTTCCGATGTTCGGGTTGGTTGTGTTTAGTGATGCGAGATCGAGAAATGGAGGTGGAGAGTAGCATCGTTGTTTCATGGGGTACTGAAAAGGATTTAACCTGGACGATCTGATATCTGTATCGAGTTGGACAAAATGGAGTCCGCGAAAGTCTTGTTTAACATATCGAGTATAAAGATATGCCGGACTTCAGGCTGATTGCCCCTGTAGAGTTAGCGAGGTCAGTGTAAACATACAATTTTCTAGGCTTTCCCAAGGCTGCCTTAAACGAGCGTCAACTCATATATACTCACATTACCACCATTTACTTGAACGTCGAAGATGAATCGAGGACGCTACATGAAGGAACGGAATATTATACCGCGTCCTTGACAGCTGATAGGTGAAGCGAAAACTTCAAATCCAAATGCATTTTGGAGAATTGGTTATTCCAGGTTATAAAGAGCGCTGCTTGGTCAAACGGAGTTAGGCTGCAAGGTCAGCACTGGGAGTACCGTTTATTATTCCGCATATGAGGAAGGAGTCGACAAATTGTTCAGTATCTGCTCAACTCTTTTCGTTCTAACTAAGACTACAGATATATTTCGTGAAATACTTTTATCTCAACGGCATTTGCAATTGAATTTAGTGGTTCAAACCGCCCTATGATCGAACAACAAACGCTACAGTGACACATCTATGAATACATGATCGCCAATACTCAAGACAAAGCCGTACTACTAGCGACCACACTCGACACCGTCTGCGGGAAGATCTTGTCCTCCACCCCAGGCTCCACCTCATCACCATACAGATTCACCCCTTCCGCAACCCTATTAGCCTCCACACTCCCCCTCACAACCGCCACCTCCCTCCTAACCCTGATCGCCTCTCTCACCGTCCTCAACTCCTTCTCCAACCACTTCTTCATCGTCTCCTTGGATTTTATCTCCGCATCCGTCAAGACCTTCTCGTTCTGCTTGTCCTCCACAATCTTCCCATCCTTGTCTTTCCTCAGAGGCTGCTCTGCCACTTTGACAAGTTTTTCGAGTTCCTTCTCGAGCTGTGACCGGCCTTGGTTAAGCTCAATCCATTCTTCGTACTCCTCGCGTCCGCCGAAACAGATGTGGTAGAGGCGACAATACGCCTTATGTTCGAGTGGACAGTCGATAGATTTCTCGAGGAAGAGGTACTGCCACATATGCTCCCAAGTCCTGCCGCTTATACTATCACTCAGATTGGAATCCAGCAACCACTTGATATGATGTTGATACTGCTCTCTCGGTACACTCCGAATGCGCTCTTTCGTGACTGCGATCTGGGAACAGCAGGGCGTGGCTAGGATCTCAGGGACGTTGTAGACGTTGAAATTTGCTCGGAACGCTTCTTGCATTTCTTTCTGCTCGGGCGATGTACTTGATTCTTCGTTGACTCTGGTGGTGTTCATAGAGCCTGAGCTGCAGCCTATCCCCCAAGTTACGCGGAGGTTGAGGAAGCCGCGGCGTTGGACTTCGCGGAGGTCGAGGTGGTTGAGTGAGAAGCTCATGCTGTTTGAAATATGAGCATTTAACTGAAGGAGAAGTAGAGGGCGGAGTATCGTACCTCTGATCAAGCAATTGCTCAATATGCCAGGACCTCTGTTGCGAATGTATCAGGATTGATATATCCGGTAAATTATCATAAAAATCATAGAAATACTGATGATACATCATCGCTTCATGACCCTTGTTCTTCTGTGCGTGATGCGTCGCATTTAGATCGTCCGCAATATATGGCACCACCTTCATTCCCGGGACTTTCAACTCTTTGACCCATGAGTAGTCTTCCTTGCTCGTTGCCGCCACGACGAGATTCACGCTCGGCATGGGACCTTTCAGGATTCGGTAGAAGCCACCATCGTCTTTGATGACGTGCTGATCGACTAATTCTTGGGGGAATTCGACGATGCGAATTTCGCGGGTACTGTACATAAAGACGATGGTGAAAATTATACATCCAGAGATGAAGATGATGCGAGAGGCCCGAGGTAGGTTGGAGAAACATTTGCGAAGCCAGAGGAGTAGGGGGTTCATGTTTAGAACGTCGTAAGGGGATATGTTTTGATGCATCTTCACGACTTGTGGACACAGCATATCGTGCGCGCAGTCTCAAGAGGAGGAGTTGTGAAGAGTTTCGACATGATGATGAGAAGGCAATCTTGGAATGCTGAGATCTGGCAGCAAACCAAGACCAGGCAAGGAGCTTTCTGTGAGTGAAACATCTCGAAAGAAATAAGAGCTACAGGATAGACATCTACAAGAGGAGCTATGATGGCTTTCTCAAGCGATAAGTGATGAGCTACCCCTTGCTTCGACACCGATAAGAGCAGATTAATCAAATCTACACGTGAAAAGACTAAAAACAATGATCAAAAACAAGGAATATGGAAATGATAGCTATTTGAAGAGGTAGAGAACAGAAGTTACCTGGAATATGCAGCCCAGCACTCCGAGAGAATCATTAAACGAGGTTTCCAAGGAGGTTGAGGAGGGAACTTCAAAACAGTGCCAACGTTCACAAGGCTTATGAGATTTCAAGTTTTCCAACGAACGTTCCAACGAGACTTCCCATGCTGTAACAACATGGTACATGTAAGCATAATTGCTTCAGAATCCCTCAGAAGTATCAACATTACTAACACGTGATCTATGCCGGCAATAGGTTGGAAAGGAAAGGCTCTTTCCACCCATGGCAAAACAGTATATACTCGAGATTTGAATCTACCCTGATCCTCTGTCAACAGGTGGATCGCCAAAGCGTCCTTCGTGTCGTTGCACGAAACTCGATGTCAAAGAATCCTGCACGTGACAAGTACCTGAGTTTCTCCCCTTCTGGAGGAAATCACGCGACGACTTCAGGAGGCTGACCAAGTCATGTCCACTCAAGCAGCGCCATCAGTTTTGACGTCAAGATGTCCTTCGGAGACTTCTGTGGAAGGTCTATCGTTCTCCTGTTGCCTTGAATGTTGGCTTGATTTATCATCCCAGAAGTACAAGAAGTCAAGGAGAAAGAAGGCAACAACCTCTGGTCGGTTTTTCATCCAGTGAAAAGTAAGGACGGGTCAGGGTTTAGTAAACTCAGCTCCAGTTCCTCTTGGCGTGGGATGAAAGGCCAGAAGCATGATTTTCAGTCAGATCCCCAGTGTGCCTTGTGAGGCTGACTGCAGTCAGCAAGCAGTTCCAGCTGGACCAGGTTTTTCACGTACCCCGGATGACTGGTTTGGGAATTCATGTGTCGTCCGATCTTCGGCCCATGCGTGATTCCTGAAAGTCCTGGAGATTCATCAGGTGGTTAGCCATGAATGAAACATCCGTCGAGTCATCCTTAATGTATTTCTGTATCTCAGTCCCAACCTAATAGGCTTAAGGCAGATTTTGGCTCCCGAGTCCATTTCGAGGACCGGGCAGTCTAATATGCGCCGTTGGTAATTAGAAACAAGTCGGACATACACGCGACCGCGTTTCCGTCCATGATCGTGTCGAGGTGATCATTAAACGCCGTTTGATCTTTCTGGAGGCGCGTCAGCACTCTGGGGATGGGTACCTGCGTGTGAGGTGTCTTGTCTGGAGGGTGGCCGGCTGCTGGCCATCACCAGATCCAATGGACTGGCATGTGGACCTTTGCAGAATCATTACGATGCATCACGATCGCGGGAACTACTGCACATAGACGTTGGCATGAACTGCACAATGGCGGAGGCAATGTTCTCTGAATGGCCCAAAAAACGACCATGGTGATGCTATCGTGAGATTGTGTTGAGCACAGCCTGGATCTTCAGGGGGATGATGTCCCATAGGGTTGGGTGCACAGCCTACCCGCAGATCCAAGCCACTCCACCATGTCCACCCGAGCCCACTGGCCCGCTGTCAGCCTGTCTGTGATGCTCCTCCCGCATAGCTTCTGCAAAGCTCCGTCATTCAGATGAACCGTGCAGTTTGTGTTTACGCACGCAGTACTGCATCTTGACGGAGATTGCTGCATTTCTGGACTAATCAACGCCTCGGAGGGCTGAGGGAACGGGATCACAGAGTGCGACTCTGCGGGAGAGCCGTGATGGAGAATTATCAAGCAAAGGCCCGGGTTGGTGGGCTCGTAAAGTGGCTTCAACTGTCTAGTACTGCAGACCCAGAACAAAGTCATGCAAGTGTTCTCAGACAGAATTGACATTGGGGAAAATTACAGTATGTGGCGGCAAGCCCAAAAACAGCCCGTCGCAAGTATTCGTAACCAGAAGGATCGATTGGTGACGACTGCTCTTGACCGTCTCCAGTCACCGAGAAATCTAAAATTTACTTTCCAACCCTCCACTACGCGAAACATGCACAATCATGCCCAGCTTGTTGGTGTATGAGGGTTGGCTCGCTGGCTTCGTTGATGCGGCCACAGGAGAATAGTCCGCGTACTTTGTTTGGCTCGCAGACGAGGAGAGGAATCACTTCGCGCCGACCCGAGCGAGGGAGGCAAAGAAGGAGGGAGGCCAGGCCAGGTTGCAGTGCAGTGCAGTGCAGTGTGAGAGAATCACGAGTCTCTAGGTACTGTTCTGTAATGATGTTTCCCACTGTTTCTATTCTGGTGTCCCACAGAACCTGCCAAGCGGCGATCAAATTCCCACAATGCCCTCGCTTGCAGTCTTATCCTCCTCGTTCCAGCCTCCATTCCCATCCACGTCTCCACATTCTGTACCCTGGGCCGTCGCATGATGACCATACGGGGTAGAAGAGCACAGAATAGCATACCAAAGAAACATCATTGTTTCAATGTCTGTCTGCACAATCGCGCGTCTATCATGCTGCAGGTTCAACCGACGGCCGCCAGACCCTCTCTATGCTGGATTACTGTGCCTCTCCTGACCTGACAGGCATCTCTGTGAGTCTGTACAGTTAAGTCTAGCACCACTCGAAGTGGGCCTCCGTGAGGATGCAAGCTTGCAAGTGCACCCACCATAAGCCAAAGTCGAGTAAATCTACGTCCTGGCCAGGGTGCTTGCTGTGGCTGATCGCTCAGCCTCGCAGCAGCTCGAGGGGCTGTCCGGGCTGTCCGGGCTGTGAGTGGTGAAGCCATCCACATCTCCCCTACCAAACCGCTTTCGGTGCATGCGACCTCCACCATTCCAACCCCTGCCTGCAGCGGCTGGTTCGCATCTCGAAAAGCCCCCAAACTCCACTCACATAAATGTGACTGTCTGCCTAGTTATGGCCGAATGACTGACTGCAAGACACAGACAGACACACGGAACACATAAAGAGTCTGCATATCCCACCACTCAGGCACTCTCCTCTCTTGCCTCCTATCATCCTTTCCAATTCAAGTTGCATCCCGAACGCAAATCATATCCCACTCAGCTGTGCAAGCCTACACTGTTTGTTTACAGCCTTGCTTGCATTACTCAGACTGCCAGATCCAGAGACCGACTTCCCGCTTCAGGACTCCTCTCTGACATCGCCTTCCACCATCCCGATTAGTACTTCACCCTCTTCCAACATACAAAGACACGACATCTTCTATACATGTCGTCTCCATGTCTTTAGTTCATCGGATCGAACCAGAAGTGCGACTATTATTTGTGCCTGATTTCGGAGACTGACATTTCGATCTTTGAGTCCTCTGTATAAAGAGCTCCTCGAACCCCAACAGACTTCAACCTTCCAAGCATATCTTGGACCATCCAGATAAGAAACACCACTCGCAAAGAGAAAGCTTTCTTGAGACCACCGTTTCCAAAACTCAAACCATTCCACTGGTACTAAGACCGACATCAACTCGGCATACCACCACCACACAAAAGCCATCAGGCAATACCTACGTTTCAACCGTCACAATGTGCGTCACCAACGTCTACGTTGACCGTTACCCAGACGGCAAGGAAATTGAGTTCCGTCAAACATCATTCTGTCAATATGGTCAACCTGGCCGACCTTGCCAGAAGCTTTCCACTGTCGAGAACCCAGTCCGAAAGATCCAATTCGGAGAACCAACAACAGAGTACATGATGACCGCTCACCACCGGACATTCCCTCAAACACCACCCCGTTCCGCAGGCAGCTCCCGCCACCGTCATTCTGGAGACTACTCATCCGAAGACGGACGTCTCCACCGCCGCAAATCCAAACGACGCAGCGACGTCCCAGCGTTAAAACCAACACGTACCCACCGCAAAGAGCGCATCATCATCGTCGACTCTCCCCCAACACCAAGAACACCACCCCAAACATTCCGCACCTTTACGGCGCCATCATCCCCAGCCTCACCACCCTTCGGAAATGGCAGTCCTCTCCCACTTCCCCGTGAACAGCGTGAGCGAGGCCGCCCCGTCATCGTCGACGAGCGTCCTCTCCTCCGTCACCCTCGCGTCCCCTCCATCGGCGCCGTCGTAGGCGAGCGTCCCATCCCCCGCCGCGCACGCTCTCAATCCAGAAACATAGCGTGGGACTCTCCATCCTCATCGCATACTTCCTTCGACTCGCGGGCTCGTCGCGAAGCCGAAGAGCAAGAGCGTCGCATCGCAGCCGAGCGAGACCAGCGCATCGCGGCTTTAGAGGCCGAGCGTCGTCGCGAACAGCGCATTCGTGAGCAGGATGAGGAGATTAGACGACGACCAGCAGTGCCTATCCCGCCTCAGCCGTTGCGAGAGAGGCAGTTCTTGAGACCCGTGATCGACCAGAGTGAGGCTTTGCATAGCATGTTGGAGAATCTGGCGATTAGAGATGAGAGGGGATTAGCGCAAGAGAGGGCGCTAATTAGTGAGAGTGAGATGAGGAGGAGGATGGAGGAGAGAGAAAGGGCTGCGAGAGCGAGATTGTTTGAGCGCGAGGAAGAACTGATGAAGGCGAGGTTGCGGGAGAGGCAGATGCCGAGACGGAGGTTCTCGGTTGGGCCGGGGAATAGGAGACATCGTGTGCTCTATGATGATGGAGTTTACCGTTACGAGTGAACTTTCTGTTTCTAGAGTTCTTTGTTTGTTTTAGCGAGACAAGGGGAAAGTGGTGCGCTTAGATCGCATTGATTTTTTCCTTCCAAGTTTTTTTTTCTTTTCGGGAAAAGATTGGATCTCATTGCACGTTCAGCTTTTAGATAGATCGCAATTGAATTCTTCATCTCGAACATCTTCTCCCTTTCTTATCGGAACGTGATGACATGAAATGATATCGAATATACATCGTGACTAAATGATGAGGTGAAGGACCAACCAACCATCACACTCCACAAGGTTACCCATGTCAGATAGATGCTCAGATCTGCACGAGCACTTTGACATGCTTCTCCTTATTCTTGATCAACTCATTGATCCCGTCTTCAACTACGCGTTCTAGCGGGACTTTACTGGTGATCATATCGGCGGGTTTGATGTGTCCTGTTTTGCTAGGTGTCAGAGCTGTTTCTGCTAAGTGTAAACGTAGTTTTGAGATCAGATGAGAGTCAAAGTCTCATATTAACCCGGCTTGAAAGAACGTCGTCCGATATCCCTGGTGCTCAGGTCCAATCGATTTAGGAATGAGAGTCCAGAAGCAGAAAGACTCACCATCCCCAAGCGCTTTGATGACATCCTTAAAGTCCTGCTTCACGTATCCTAAACATGCGACATACTTCCCTTCTCTGAATACCAAATCATTCGGCTGGAACGGAACCGCCTTCTCCCAGATAGCAACGTTAACCACTGTCCCCTTCACCTTGATCGCCTTACAGGCCGCCGTAAGGCCCACTGCCACGCCAGCACAGTCAAACACAATATCGACTCCCTCCCCTCCCGTTAACTCCTGGGCTGTCTTCACGATATCATCTTTCCTCGGATCAAGAATAACATCCGCGCCAAAATGCGTATCAAACTTCTGGCGTTGGGACGATGGCTCGGAAACGATAATCTTACCGCACCCTCGAGCGCGAAGTGCGAGAATTACAGCAATTCCGATTGGGCCACCTCCAAGGATCAAAATATTGCTGTCTGGTTTCAATGGGCTCTGCGAAACAGCATGCCAGCCTACAGATAGAGGCTCAACCAGTGCCGCTACGTCCAAAGGAATATTATCCGGGATTGGCACTGCATAATCGGCAGGTATAACACAGGCGTCACTGAGCCCGCCTCCCCAGCCGGACAAGCCTACGAAGCCGCCGTTGTAGCATACATTTGGTAAATCCCGTTTGCAGGCTCCACAGGTACCGTCGAAGATGGTGGGTTGTACGGCCACGCGCTGTCCGACTTTGATGCTGCTTGATACGCCGGGGCCGACTTCGACGATTGTGCCACTGAATTCGTGACCAAAAGTTATGGGGATTGTTTCTTTCGTTACCGGATGAGGGGTGTGGGGAGCGAATGTTGGCCCGCCGAGGAACTCGTGGAGATCTGGTAGGAGGGAGTGTGTTAGTGATCAGAAGGGTATCTGGCTTGGATGTGGATATGATAGTAGGACAGTAAGGAGGTATGTACCAGTCCCGCAGATTCCAACAAAGGCTGGCTTCACTTTGATTTGGCCGTTTCCACATGTTGGCTCTTCGATCTCCTCAACTCTCATATCCTCAATCCCATAATACCTGGCTGCTCGCATATTGTCTCTGCGCCTCTCTGTTGTTACTGCTGTGTTGTCAATTATTCAATCGAAATGGATCGAAAGTACAGTAATATGTAAGGAGATCTGTATATACTTATATCACTTAATACCAGTACGAGAAACCATTGAATCTTGGATATGATGTGCAACCCCTCACGCCACTTCGAGGTTGGCTCGGCCAAAAGGCGAATAGAGTCCGATGGCTTCAGGAACAAACATCATGAATATGACCTGACCCGACGAACCAGCGTCTGCCGTTCATAGACCCCCTCATGGCAAGAAATCGTCGGCATTAAGTGATGAGGGGTTGTCCGACGCTATTTCCTGTCTGGTGCTGTAGAAGGTTTGTTGGCAGACAGGAGGCCATCGAGAGAAGCGGAACACTGGAGCTGTCAAGCGATTCCATTCCGCTGTGGCTGAAGCTCAAATTCAGCCACATCTGATATCAACACCAAACATATGCCACCAAATAGACCATTGGATGATGATTGTTCTTTTGGAGAGTACAGCTGCAGCATGGTAATGCATTGAAGTATTTGGAACCGCTTGAGTTAATGATATGCTGCACAATTACTGACGTGCCCTTCAATGTCCGGAATGTTCAGGGGTCTTTTACCCCGCCATTGTTGCCCCACTTGGTGGCATGAAATACCTGGGGAAAGGTGGGAGGGAGTCTGCTTGTATTTTTAATACTTTGTCTTTTACTTTCAGACGATTCTACTGGAATTCACGTTGAGATACGAGCACCGTCAAAATGTACACAGCTTCATTTGCCTTCTTCGAGGCGCTATGGGAGGTACGTAGCTTTGCTGGAGCTGGCTATCACACAGAGAGATGGAACTGATGCAATGTCTAGGCGGGGGTAAAATACTGCTTTGTGAATTTAGGATCTGATCACCCGTCTATTATGGAAGCCATTGTCAAAGGCCAGAACGAGAAAGAAGGCCAATTCCCAAAGATCATAACGTGTCCCAATGAAGTTCGTCGTCCTCACCAATATCTGAACACATCACTTACGTATTTTCACAGATGGTAGCGCTATCAATGGCAGATGGCTACGCTCGCCTCACCGGGAAACCCCAATGTGTACTCGTCCACGTCGACGTAGGAACCCAAGGTCTAGGAGCAGCAGTCCACAACGCCTCATGCGGCCGAGCTCCAGTATTGATTTTCGCCGGTCTCTCGCCATTCACAATTGAAGGCGAGATGCGTGGTTCTCGCACTCAATACATCCATTGGATCCAGGATGTACCAGACCAGAAACTCATTGTGGGACAGTATTGCAGATATACTGCTGATATCAAGACAGGCAAAAATATCAAGCAGATAGTTAATAGAGCGTTGCAGTTTGCATGTAGTGCCCCGGCGGGTCCGGTGTACTTGACTGGCGCGAGAGAAGTTATGGAGGAAGATCTAACGCCGTATAAGCTTGATCGTGCGTTTTGGAATCCGGTTGAGCCAGCAGCATTGTCAGAGAATGCGGTCAAGACTATTTCAGAAGTTCTTGTCGAGGCGAAGGAACCATTGGTCGTTGTTGGTTACACAGGTCGAAACCATGCCGCTGTTGGAGCTTTGGTCAAACTTGCGGACTCTGTGAAGGGCTTGAGGGTTCTGGACACAGGTGGTAGTGACATGTGCTTCCCTGCAGATCATCGGGCATGGTTGGGTTTGAGATATGGCAATGATGAATCCATCAGGACTGCGGATGTAATTCTTGTGATCGATTGCGGTAAGTTATTCAAGATTGGGAAGCAGTTCATGCTAAAGTAATGTATAGATGTACCCTGGATTAACACACAATGCCATCCAAAAGAAGGTGCGAAGATCTACCATATCGATGTCGATCCCCTCAAGAAGTGAGTAGTCACCGGAATGTCTTCCAAGCTTATTTAACGAAGTGCAGTCAAATGCCCGTGTTCTATCTTGATGCTCTCAAAAGATACCGAGCCGACAGTTTCACGTCCATAACTCAACTCACCAACTACATCACCTCATCCCTCTCAGATAAAATCAACTCAGAAGTCTACACTCAGCGTTGGGATGCTCTCGCAGAGGCGCACAACAAGAAACTTGGCGATATCGAAAAAGCGACCCAGCCAAAACCAGACGGAACCTTTGGAACAGGACATCTCTGTCGAGTAGTCCGCAAACTCGTCCCCCAAGACAGTATCTTCGCTATCGAAGCAGTAACCAATACACTGTTTGTCGCTGACAACATCCAGGCTACTCTTCCAGGATCGTGGATTAATTGCGGTGGTGGTGGACTTGGTTGGTCTGGTGGTGGAGCTTTGGGTATCAAATTGGCGTCTGGATTTGAAAATGGTGCTGGGAAGGGGAAGTTCGTTGTGTGCATTGTTGGCGATGGGACGTTCTTATTCTCTGTCCCTGGTTCTGTATACTGGATTTCACATCGTTACAAGATCCCTATCTTGACGATTGTTCTCAATAATAAAGGTAAGCTAAGATTCACTTCATGTCCTAGTCGCAAATAAGTGGTCAAACTGACTCTGATATAAGGATGGAACGCACCCAAACGATCCATGCTACTCGTCCATCCCGATGGTCTCGGCTCTAAAGCCACCAATGCAGAGCTCAACATTGACTTCAGTCCTTCGCCAGACTATGCAGGTATCGCGAAGGCTGCCACAGGCGGCAATTTGTTTGCAGAAAAGGTAGAGAACGTGTCTAATCTGGAGGATGTTTTGACGAGGGCTGTGGAGTCGGTCAAGAATGGGACGAGTGCTGTGATTGATGCGAAGGTTGTGTCTGGCTGTTAGAGGTACTGGGTTCAAGATGGCTCTGAACATAACTTTGTTTCAGAGTAATCAGACATATATTTATATCCTTCTCAAGCTTGCTCAATACTTCCCCGCTTGTTGACATCCAGACCTGCTGCATTGTTGAAATGAGCCGTGAAACATTGATCTAAAGTTAGATCAAATTGATAGAACATATCACTATGGTAAGCATCGAGTGTACCATTATCGTAGAATATAAATCTGATGTTGAGTTCCATTCCAATGAGCAGGTGAACCGTCTTTCAAAAATCGCAATAAACAGCAGGACTCTCGCTAAAATTACTGTACTGTACAGTAAAGCGAACAAGAAGCCCCACCTCCAATCCAGCAGCAACCTTTCCAAGTCCATCTCGCTCCCTCTTCGGTTCTCACACATCCCTTCAACTCAACCATCGAGTCACCCCCATACCCCGCCTCATCCTTCTCTTGGCTGTATGCGCACAGCAAGGGATAGGGGTTCATATACGATGTGCAACAAATCCAAGTGACTCAGTTGCCTAACCATTCGGCCACTCAGATACACCATTCCACCTTCCGATGACGGAGAACTACAGATCCAGCTAGTTCTAGCCTGCACCCTTCTGCAGCCAGTTGGCCGAATGACTACAAGCGTCAACTGCACGTCTGCATGAATAACTGACAGCCAGTCAACACCATGCATCATCAATGCATGTAGATGTGCAACAAAAACATTTACAATCCAGGCCTTTCTAGGCTTCCAACCCCAAAGCAGATCCTCATGCATGATCACGAGGAAAGCAAGCTAGACCAAATCAGAAGACTCGGGATAAAGCGTCAGCGTTATCGTTAATACTGAGTCGACCGATAACATCGCTTTGTGCCTGAACTGGCCGAATGATACTACCATTACACGGTTACACCAGATAGCACACCCTCTTTGTTGATCTTTGACCTTGGCGAGCTTCAAAAGTCGGTGTAACGAGTCGTGGTGAGAGAGCAGTCCACGTGACGCTCCCATGACCAACAAGCCGCAGCTCCAGCCTCCCTTCGTGGATATTCCTGGCCTCGCAAACTTTCGAGATATAGGCGGGTGGCCAATCGAGGATGGGAAGGGGGTGGTGACCGGTACTGTTCGGAAGGGTGTCTTCTACAGGGGTCCGGACACCACTACCGTGACTAATGAAGGGGTGGTCAAGCTCAGAAGTTTGGGGGTTACTACAGATTTTGATCTGCGGTCAAAGGGGCAAATAGAAAAAGCAAGTGGCTTCAAAGAACTTGAAGGTATTGAGAGGGTGTGGTGTCCTGCTTTTCCGGATGGTGAATACTCGCCCGAGAAAGCGGCTGCGAGATATGTGCTCTATGCAAGTGATGGCACGGAGGTAGGATGTTACCTTTCCTCATCTTCTCTTTACATCAGTGCTGCCCTTGAAAGTCTATTAGTCCTCTCTGGCTGGTTCTTCCCACTACTATACACTAGCCATTCTCACAACTTCAATAGGGCATCGTTGAAGCCTTCACTGAGATTCTCACTCATGGCGCACCCGCCTGTCGAACCATGCTTCTACACATATCATCCATGTCTTCTGATTCCCCAACAGCATGTTATATCCACTGCACAACGGGCAACAACCGATCCGGTGTCTTTGTCGGAATCATCCTCTCTCTCCTCGGCGTCAAAGCGGAACTTATTGCCGAAGAATACAAACTCTCAGACATCGGCCTCCAACCCATTCGAGAAGGCGTTGTTGATCGCCTTATGAAGAGCCCAGTATTTGCTCGATCTGGAGGTGGTGGACGAGAAAGAGCGGAGAGAATGGTGGGTGCTAGACCAGAGAGCATGTTGGCTATGCTGGAGATGGTCGAGAAGAAATGGGGTGGGCCAGAGAGATATGTGAAGACCATGTGTGGGCTGACGGATGAGGATTTGGCGAAGGTTAGAAGGGTTTTGGTGAAGCCGAATGTGGTGGTAACGGAGAGGAGAAAGTCGAGGGCTTGGGAGACATCAAAGGAGATTTTGAGCCGGTTGAGGAATGCTTTCAGTGGTTGATATATCTATCACGGTGGCAACTCTAAAACCAACATCAAATCAACTGCTAAAGCTGTTCCTTCGCTTGAGAACCAGACTAGAATGGAAGGCAATGTGTGTGCCAGAAAATTACTGCGATTTTCCGCATTTTGGTCGAGGCTGTCAAGCTTCAACTCAGTAGTGACTGATTATCCACCGCGGATGCTTCACAAGTCCTGGAAAGACCAGAGAGATGTATTGCCTTCGTAGGCGCTCTGGCTCGTTGGCGTTTTGGGGAATGCCAGTGTGGATTTCGGAATGGGTTATCGGCTAGTAATTCGGTACAAATGGATGTTCAATACTCTTGAGCTGGGTACTTTTTTCATTGGAAGCAGTCTCGGTTACTTTCTCACTTATACGTGCGCATAGGATACATGTAGGTAAACATTTTCGTAGGAAACTTTGTCCAAGTAAAGCACTTCGCTAATCTCAGGCAGTCCCCAGAGGATCTTTAGCGAGCCAGTGCCCCACCATATTCTCCGACGGCCACATTTGCAGCGGTCTGGCGCTGAAAGCACAGGGACGTCTCTCCCAGAAACCCCCTCCCCCAAATGCCTGAATGTTCAGCACCTGGGGCTGAGACTATGGTGTAAATATTCCCGATAAGTTAGCGAGTTATGTTTCATTGAACATTCTACAGTGTTGACTGACAGTCACATCGCTCTTTCGGTCTTTCCACTTGTCTTGGTCACCGTGTACACGGGTCTAAATGGAACCACCTGCACCTCGCATTCGTTCCCCAATCTCCAATCAGCCCAAGCAAATGCGTCGGCCCACCAATTACGCCGCACTGTGCCTTACAACACCAGTTATTATTGGCTATCATGTCGGAACCATATCTCATTCGCCATTCTTCACAATGGTGGATATTGCGGCCAAAGGATGCTCCGGAGTGAAGATATTCAGATATGGGGCAATTGATGCATCATTGATGGAAATAATGACGTTGAGGCGTATTGAGAAACGTTAGGCAATTTCTATACATAAGGATTATGTGGTGAGATATATAAATCGTTTTTCATCGAGTTCCTCTGGACTTGCGAAAACCATTTAGGAAGTATCTCAACGATCAAATCACTCTTAGCATCACGTTGAAGTATCGAGGTATCTTTTACAATTACATATCCAAGAAATCGTACCGACTGCTCAGGAGATTCGAGTCAGTCTCCTCAACTTCAAGTGGTCGCTCCTCAAACACCATGACAATCGTCTCCTCATCAACCCTCATCGCTGCCCCACCCTCCCTCGTCAGCGCCACGGTAAGTTCCCTTTCAGATCCCTTTAGGCCTTCCTAACATCTCCAGTTTCTCGACTGGCCACACCTCACACAATGGGATAAGCGATACATGAAAACACTTACGCCGCTCCTCCCCGACGGCAAACCTGACCCCTCCAAAACAAGTGGCCTCTCCGTCGTAGCCGGCGACAAAGTCCACGGCACGTTCTGGGGCGGAGAAGCTCACCTCGAGATTCTTGAGAATGAAGAAGCAAGAATGAGGTGGAAAGGTGTGTGGCATGGATTGAGCGCTGTCAGGTGCTTTGAGTGGGTGGAGGTTGACATGGATTCTGATGAGGGGAGGAAGACGATGGGAACGAGGTTTACGCAGAGTGACGAGGCGAAGGGGTTCATGGGTGGCGTGCTGGTTGTTGATGGATGGATGGGAGGCAATCTGAAGAAGAAATTTGGTGAGTTTGGGGAGGATTTGAAGGTATGGTGTGAGGAGCTGGAGAGGAGCAGGAAAGGAAAAATATAGAGCGGGATTATGTACCAAAGGCTTCTTCCAAGGATCTTCAATTTTTTTTCTCCAGTATCAAATTTCCGCTTTAGATTCAGCGATCAATGATGTCGACTTCGGCAGACATCATAAAGCTCTACCTTGTTCACTTCCAATACTTCCATTAGTGATGATTATGACTTCTCTCGAATACAGTGTAATAAAGAGTCACAAGGTTGTTGATATTTCAGCCATATCTGGTCAAATGATGGTCGCTTCGCTTGGTGCTGCTCCGAGAATCAACAGAGAATGGCGTGGTAATATGGTCTTGGCTGAAAACACCACCGGCCAATTTCTGGTCATGATCTGTACGCCTGAAGCTCTGATACGCACATCTACATTCGTATTCCTCGCCGTCGGTTCAAGAAGAATATTTTCCCAACTTCAAGATGTCCTCACGAGAACCAAAGGTAAAGCCTAAAAAGTGTTGTGAACCTGAAGACGATGAAAGATCGGTCAATCGCACGCCACTTTCTAGGATGAATGTCAACGCTCATGTGAGTGTAGACAAATTTAGATGTATTTAAGGGGTGGGAAGATGGGTATTTGTGTCGTGGTTGATGAGGAATACATACACGTGATTTACAGAACAACCCCGCGATCACGACATCTACACTTCCTCAGCCTGATCAGTGGGATTGGATTGGAAGATGACTCCCGAGCAAGTCCCGTAGCCTCGCTTGGGATCGCGTGTAGTTTCTGGATAGCCAGTTGAGGTCATTCAACCCCGCTTGCTAGTGAGGGCCGTGAATGACAACCTCCAGAGCAAGATATCATCCTCAGATTATTTACTTTTGGAATCTCAAGAGCTCGTATTGAGCTTAGTAGTTCCAACAATTCAGATCAGCTTTCGGTCTGTTTACCATAATGTCTCAACTACAGGTCGAGACGTCAGCACTAAACGGCATACCCTCGTACACCCAAGTGCCAGAAACAAGTTATGATTTGGACTGGGCCGACCTTGCCACCCTCGACCTGTCGATCTTCAATGATCCCGGGGGCAAGCAAGCTCTGGCAGCACAACTGAAGAATGCCATCGAGCAAATCGGTAGGCATTGGATGAGCCCATACGACGAGCTTACGGGACTAACGTGAAGGAGGATTTTTCTACATCATAAACTTTGGTGTAGATCAAGCCGAAGTTGATCGGCAATTTGCTATTGGGAGGGAGTTCTTCAATCTGGATATCGAAGAAAAGCTGAAGTATCGTGCGGACTTAGAGAATGGGGGATACAACGGGTACAAACCACTTGGCATTCGAGAAATTGCACCAGGTGAGCAGTTGAATCCTTGTGTGAGACGGCGTCCTGGGCTCTTCGCTGATTCCGTAAAGGCTACTTCGACAATACAGAAATATACAACATCCCTAAGTTCATACCTCAGTACGACCGCTCACATCCATCCCTAATCAAGGACAACTGGCCGGCAATATCGAAGTTTGGAAAGTATATTCACGAGGAGGTAGTATGTAAGCTCTTGGTGCTCTTCGCCATTATCCTAGAGTTGCCTGAAGACTCCTTCCTGAAGACTCATCGCTACTCCGAAAAAAGCGACTGCCATCTTCGCTACATGAAGTATCACGCCAGGACCCCGGAAGTCAATAAAGCCATCAAAAATGTCTGGGTGAAAGGCCATACCGACTTCGGCAGCTTGACTCTACTCTTCCGTCAGCCAGTTGCAGCGCTCCAGGTACGGACTCCACAAGAGACTTGGAAATACGTCAAGCCGTACCCGGGGAGTATCACCGTCAACATTGCAGATTCATTGTCCTTCCTCACCAATGGGTATCTTAAAAGTAGTATCCACCGAGTGGTAGCACCACCACCAGATCAAGCACATTTGGACAGACTAGGCATACTGTATTTTGTCCGGCCAGAGGACGATCTGGAGCTGAAGACGGTTCCAAGTCCACTCCTTAAGCGTCTGGGACTAGACAAACAGGCGGATGGTCCTGTGCTGACAGCCGGAGAGTGGGTGAAGGCACGAGTCGCGAAGAATGTGACTAGAGCTGGTGACTCGACTCAAGAAAATGGCGAGCAAGAGATCATCAAGGGAGTTTCTGCCAAGTACTATGATTGAAGAGGGCCGTTTTCTGATGGGAAGGGGAGCATCGTTTATCAAAATTCTCCCAATAGTGGAGGGATCAAGATTGCTATCATTTGGTAAGCAAGTGCAGAAAGATATTGAATTGATGGTTTAAAGCGCCTGACAGCCGTCACTGCCTGCCAGGAAGTTGTTCGGTTGAGTATTTCGGACTCGGATAGCTCTTTCCTCAGTTAGCCATATCGACGTGAATCCGCCCAAATCACAACAAAATAATTGCTCGAACAACTATCGAAAGGTTATTCACGATCTGTCACTTGATTTAATGTTTAGAAGAGTAGTCAGATTCTCGCGTCTTGTCGATCAACTAGATTAGCACATAGTCAGTGAAGTAGTCCAGAGCTTTAACCTTACCTGACGTAAAAATAGGAGGGCCTAGAAGATGATTGTTCAATTGTCATGAGAGTGACACATTTTGCGCCTGGACCAAACAAAAGCTCCGGCTACATGCCACGGGGAAGGAAGGACCAGTCCGAGAATTGCGGCCCAACTGATCCGGCCTCCTCCTCCCCGAATCTCGTTTCCTCTCTGATTTGCGATGGACGTTGAGCTTTGTTCTGGTCTGATTATATTCCAGCTCACTTGACAAGGCAGACTTGAGGACGGACAGTCGATCCTGGGGCTGTCGACTTTTAGCCAAGAACCGCTCCCCTTTGGCACGACACTAAAACCCCCAGCTGAAGAATGGTGGCTTGCCGATGCCAATCTCCTCCGTTTCAGGTACAAACTAAAACCTGTAAGACCTGGGGAAAGGCACCTCAACTTTAACCCGACAACACCAGCCATGGTTGACCTTGTGAATTCTCCCGTCTTGTGGGCGGGAGCAGCCCATATGCATACTGATTCCGATGACCTGCACCCGACATGAGGAGGCTCAAGGACCAAAAGCACCTCTATGAATAGCTCAGGGGCTCAACCTTATTGGTGGGAACATTTCCTACCGGGTACCTTGGAGCTTTGGCGTTTATGGCTGCATATCAAATTTCACTCTCTACGTAATAATTATTGGAGCTGGCGCTCGCAAGGAGAAACACTTCCTAGCTCCATGCAATCCTTCAGGAACAGAAAGTGAAAGAATGGGGCTAATAATTTGGTGTCGCTGGTCTTGAAAGTAAGTGTTTCTTCTCCTTCTGCAAAGCATATAAAAGGAGGAATATCTGCCCTCAACAAGTGTCTTGCCCGTCCCTAGATTTCGCTCAACACTTCAGTATCATCGTTATTCGCTAAGTCACTCAACCAATCACCATATTCGAATAAATTCTCAAGATGCATTTCTCGTCAAGCATTCTACTTCTCAGCGCTGCATCTGCAGCCATTGCTGAAACTGCTGGCCAGCGTCTCTCACTCATGGCAATCAGAGGTGTTTTCGAGCGTCAGGTAAACACCTGCGTCCCAGTTACAGCCCCCGCGACATGCGAGAGATCCTGTGGTCCAGGAAACATTGAATGTATCAGCTTCCCAACATGCTACAACCCCAGTGCTGGAGAGAGCTGCTGTTCCAACGGAAGTAAGTCCACTCCCTCCCAAAGCAGCCCATGTCAATTTGGTCCCAAGTTTGATAGCTGACCTGACCAGAATACTGCCCTGCTGGATACTACTGCACCGATGCTGGATGCTGCCCTAATGGAACCCCTCTCGCAGAATGTGGCGCCACAATCTCTTTGAGCGTTATTCCACCTCCTGCTGCGACCACGGCGGCTCCCGTCCCAACCCCAACACCAACAACCGCTCAGCAGGTCACCACAACTCCAGAGCCAGCAACACCTACTCCTTCCACCGCGTCGACCACCCCTAGCTCTTCTGAGTCATCTACATCCACAACGTCTTCATCCACGTCTGTCGAAACACCAGATGCCTCATCGACCACCACCGCTGGACCAATTCAGGTCACTGGTGCTGCACAAAAGCTGGGCTCTGATATGATCCCTCTTGCACTTGGAGGACTTGGTGCTCTCCTCATGGCACTTTAAGTGAGGGGTAACGAGATTGTTGGCAAGAAGTTTTAGAGGATTTAATGAGATGCTTGAGGGTCATACAGCTGTAGTTAACACTGCGAAAAATTGTATTAATTCTTGTACAACATGTAGTTCAGTCTACTTGATCGTATATCGCATATGAGTTGTGACATAGGTAAAATTTCTCCGATAATGTACTCAGGCAACTAGCGTTAGCATGGTTGTCCTTTCGATGTCTCAATTTCTCAAATAAGTTGAGGCCGCAACCGTTTCTAACAAAGCTGTAAATTCCATAGGACTGAGAAAGTTGCTGCTCACTTCCCCAGTCGTTGAGACCTTACACAGATGTGGGCTGTATGTGAAATGATGCTCATGTTTTCCACTAATGAATGATGAGATTTCAAGATAAAAAAAAGTCGCTCCACTGCCATGGTGTTTCTATCTCTGCGGTGCTATAGGAAAGTGGCTTTACTCCTTAAAATTAATAATGAATACCTTACCATCAGACATGATTCCTCTGATATAATCTTGCCTCGAAACGAATCTTGTGGTGATGTGGAAACTGCACTTATCGCTTGATTGCAAGTGGCTGTCGCTCATACCAAAGTATTGTTGACGTGCGGAAGCTGACCAGTGTGGGCGACCCAGGTGTTTCTCGTACTAGTTGTGATCTCTGAAATTTGAGACAGTAATTAGGACCTCTATGATCAAAGAGGTAGATGAGTGGGATGTATTTGTTTACATGGCGTCTAGATAAATCTAAGCGAGATCTCACCTTCTAGATTTTGACAGGGACCTAATATCTCAAAATACTCTACATTTCTACTAGGTTTTGAACGACTTATTCTGAGATAGTTAGAATAGACTTCAAAATTTGAAAGGCGGTATAAAGCTGAGCGTTAAAAGAAGACGCCCAAAAAATAATACTTAAGCTGCCAGGCCTCTACTTTGGAACATGGGAACTCACTTTTTGGTTTTTGAATTTTCTCACTTCGGCGCCGAAGTTTTTTTTTGGTTTTAATTCTTTTTTGTTGAAATGCTTGCAGGTGCCAGACCACAGTACCGAATTCTAGTGTAAGTACTGCTGGGCTGAACCTGAGTGACTGCTGGTTTGTTGACTGATGGTTTGTTGACTGATGGGGTGAATTGAACACCGTTACTTAGACAACTGCTGGTATGGTGATTAAACACCTGGTCTTGGATTTCCTGGATGGAAGATTTTGACTCACGCACAGTGGAATTTTTCTGCAGACATGTTAGTTACGTATGTTGACAGCAAACCAACCGAGGCCTGGCAGCTGGTCGAATTTGTTGACTTTGGGTCAAAATTTCTCCTATTCATTTATTTCATACCACTGGAGGGCCTTCCGGTGGAGATCCACTTTTCACATCTCTCTCAATGTACCTCTCTTTGTCTCCAAAGTACGCTAAGATGACTCTATGTATTGTACTAACCCCAGGTGGAAAGAAAAAAAGTTATGCTGGAACTCAAGCTGGGAGATCCACCATCATCTTTCAGCAAGGGTCTAATATTACTTACTTTCCTTTTCGTTTTTGTGTTCTCTCAGACTGAACTCATCGACCTTTTTTGTTGTTTTGATTCGAATTTGTTAAGCTTGCTTACGATTTGATCGCAAATTGAAACGTAACAGCTAGAACACTTGTCCTCGATATTTCAAGCTGTCCTAGCATTTCGAGCACAATGATTGCCCTCTCATTTCTCCTTTGAGCGCAGTATCCTGGATGGGAGTCCCCATGTCATGTTTTTGCCGTTTTCTGGATTTTATTATTTTTTTGGTCCTGGGGAATTTTTAGCCGGATTTTGGAAGGCAAGGATCATCTTGGGTTTGATGATGGGTCTCCAGAGCTGAGTTTGAGGTATCAGTGGAATAATTCTGCTTATTCCAAAGTCTAGGTTTGTTTGCGATGCCTTTGTTTGCAAATGTCCAGAATTGACGCTGCTTGCATGATCAGGTTCCATACATGGTACATTTGTTTGCCAGAGGCGGTAATGATAATGCCCGTCAGAGACGGTGTTGCGCAAACCTCTGGCTTACATAAACACTTTCTTGTAATTATTTGCCAGCTCAAGTATTCATGCCTTCCCCGTCGATCCCATAACATCCATCTGGTACTCAATCAATTCTTGAATCAGGTCCGTCCCCTTGCCAATCAATTCTGTCAGCGGTACTTTGCCTGTATTCTCTGCAACGTACTTGTTGTACTTCGACAGGACTAGTTCGTTCACATTACATCTGGTCATCCCACCCTTGATACACCCTCGCATCGTGTCGTCTGGGAAGGTATTCGTTCCGTGGAGTACTAGTGTTGCTTTTCCTTTGATTGCCTCACGAATCTTGTCGAGTCTAGAACTGGATGTCAGCAGATCGCCTGTGTCAGAGCTCAAAATACATTCCGTGTGGAGGAACCGCTTGATGTAGCTCCATCTATCCGGCAGCTCCTAGCACTCCAGACGAGGCATTTGATAATTCCCATACCAAAACATCCTTGACTGGCATGGCTTTTCCAGATCAAAATTAAATCTGACTTACCTCTCAAAGTCCAGCTTGATATTCTCTACACCCCCATAATTACCATGAACATTCCCAAAAGCCGGCGCCAAGAAATCAATACCTGTATCCACAAACCTCTTCGCCTCAACCTCATCCGTCAACAAACCCTCCAAATCCCCGGTATCCGCCACCCCATCCTCCCCACCATTAATTCTTCCGGGTTCAGCTTCGGTAGCGATACCCTTCGCATGCAGCATCTTAGTGATACGCTCCGTCTTCTCGAGATTGTCCTCCTTTTCGTAATGCGACATGTCCACCATGATGCTGTCGAAGGGGTATTCCGAAGCGGCGATGATCTCCTCTTCTGATTGGGCGTGATCCATGTGCAGTACTATGGGAACTTTGGCAGTCGCGCAAGCAGCAGCGGCGAGGTGGATGAGGAGAGGTGAGTAGTGGAGAGCCCAGGGGAAGAGGAGTATTTGTGCTGGTGAGCGTTTCTTCTCGGCGGCGCGGACGACGGCTGTGATGGTTTCAAGATTATACTTTTGGGATCATCAGTATATAGAGAAGAACAATTGGCTAAGGAGGAAAAGTTACTGATACTACACCAATAACTCCATAACCACCCTCCTCCGCAGCCTTCAGCATCTTCACAGCTTTGTTGTCCTTCATTGACGCCATTTTCTTTGCTTAAGAGTAACAGTCTAGAATATGGGTTCACGAAGAGAATTCAACAAGATTAAAAGCTAGAATTGATGTAATGGAAAGTCTGAGGCTTTCACATTCAGGCTGTTTGTCGTTGAGGCGTTCACTGGAGAGTGGGGTGCTTTACCCTACCATTCGATTTACCCCGCTAAGCTCGGGGAAGGTTAGCCGAAGCTCTCCCCTTTTTCTAGCGATCTTTTCTTGCTGTCTACCTAAACAATGAAAGGATTAAGGAATTCTAAAGGGGAAGTGGAAGAGATTTAATACAAATTATTCAGTGAGCCTTCTACTTCCACACTGACTCTGATTTTCTCACCACGAGCTAGAAATATTTAATGATATCTTGTCTTTAACAAGCGTCCGATCGGCGAAGTAAACAACATCTTTATTCTGACTGTACCGCATCTATCTTTCACAACACGTCATCTGTATATGGTCCTCCATACGTGCGTTTGAATTGAATTTGAGTTCAGTGCAATACTACGATTTCAAGAATAAGTATAAAAGAGCTTAGATAGCCATAGACATGACGTTGATGTGCGCTACTCAGGTCTATGCCATTGAGCTAAAGTTAGCAAATTTTCCAGTACCACCAAGCAAGATCCACTTGAAACAAACAATCTTGTCCAGAAGTGCGGGGGAAGGTTATATTAAGCAACCCCCGCGCGATCGTTGTCAAAATCATGGGGGCTTCTCTTCCTCAGCTCCAAAACTCGGCATGCCGAGTTTGGAGCTGGGCTCAATACCAAATATGTAAGAGAAACACAACTTCCGACAGCGTGGGAGAAAGACACCTCTTCCTCAGTTTCCAAAAACGCAGCTGCAAGATTTGGCGAAAATTAAGCTTATTTGGACGACGAAATGTTCGTTGAGTAGATTCTTGGGAGGCGGATGTGGCGGGAGCTTGTTTTGATGACTATGGTATGGGCGAGCGTGACTGGTTGTTATGTAAAGGTACAAGTCGTATTATAATGTCTGGTTTTCCTTGCACTCGTTTCTTTGCCCTAACGTACATCCATCCAAATATACATATTCATTCCAATCACATCCAACATACATTCTCCTCCCCAAGAAGGCCACCATGGATTACCTCAATATCCTCTTCCAATCTATTCCTCCTCCTATACATCTGGCGCCCTAGTCTTCAACTGTACCCCATGCCAGCCCTTAATCTCCTCACCCAAGACCTGATTGACCAACCTCTGCTGCTTCAACATCCCCAACCCTCTAAACTTCTCACTGACAATGTCAATCCCATACATACTCCCACAACCACCACTGATGTCCTGCACCTCTAAACTCGTACACTGCAATTCCCGCATCAGCATCTCCCAGATCTGGCGTTCTTTATCGTTCAAATGTTGGGGAGCTTGCAGGATCTCTTGCTCGCGGGCAGCTTCCTCGACTACGCCGGCGGAGCCAGAGCCGATTGTGCCTTGTGGTGTTGAAGCGGATGAGGGTGTAGTGTATCCTCTGCGGAGGGGGCTCTGTTGATTCTGTGATTGGGAAAGGAGTGAGGTAGGCTGGCGGCGAGTCTTGGGAAAGGGATTTGAACCCAAGGCAGAAGTGGTAGCTACAGAACGTGCAGGGCAGATTGCTGTTGCAACGCAGCGTGATCTAATTGCTGAGGTGGCACATCGTAAGGCTTTGCCACTCCTTAAACACCTCCTCATGCTTGCTGTTGCTGCTCTGTCCATTGTGTACTGTCTCCTTGCAATTCTATCCTCGTACGATGCCTGCTTCAGGACTCGATTTGCTGGTTGAGATCAAGTGGTGCTTGAGGCCGGAGGTCTACATATAGTGGTGGGAAAGCCAATCGAGTTCGTCTCGTCGTCGATGTGAGAATTGCTTTCAATCGTTGTTGTCGCTCGATGTTGTGGTGGAGCTCCTCCAAGTCCAAGCTCCAACCAAGCTCGCAGCTCGAGAATAAATCATGCCGTTTATCACCAATCCTCGGCTAGGAATTTCAAAGCCAACGAGCTTACCTAAGCTCATGTCACATGATTAGCCTTTGTTGACTTTGGATTTCGTTTCCATCTTTGATTCTCCCCTTTCCCTGTCAACCTATTAATCTGACCAGAAGAAAGAGGGGATCGATCGATACTCAACATTTAAGCTTTCAGGACATCGGAAAGGGATCCCTACCTTATAACCCCTTTTGAGTCTCGAACAACAAACACATGAACAACACATCCCATCTCCACTTCTTCACCACACCAGCCACACCTGCACTAGCTCCACTCTGCGTTCTTCAACTTTCAAAAAAGCAAATCCTATCAAAAGAAATTTCTCCACTTCTTTCCATCCCCATGCGGAAACTCAAATTTCCAAAAGTCCGATCCCGATTTCTCATGAGTCAAAAAGGGAAAGTCGGAGACCCGTAAGATCGTCATAGCATGAAACGCATATCCACAGAGCCGCATATGTATGTAAGTAGTACATAGCGTTACTCCATGCGATAGATGCAAAGGTAACCTCCGTACCAGAGACATGATTCACGTCCACCGCCTACCAGAATCCACACCCAATCCACTACTGGAGTGCGTCGATTCATATGCCTATCATAGCAGACATATCCACTTCTTGAATAAGTAGGTATTGCTGACTCCGGACCCATCGAGAGATAAAGAGATAAAGCACGCAAGAGACGCTCCACAGTGGGAACTTCACATGTCCGGGCAGGTGAAAACGATGATATGCGCTGGACCCACCTCACGATACCCTCACCGCTCCACCGCCAGTTATCAACCAGCAGGCACCGCGGCGTAAGCGTACCAGAAAATTCCATCCAAGGCTTATACAGTGGAGCACCTCACATCATCTCGTAGCGATTGGATTGCATCATCGTATGTGTGTGGCAGTTTCTTCTTTCCACCATCGCCTTATCAACTAGCCTGATTTCAACTTAAGGTTCTTCAACGCAACAGCTGCAACTGCAAACTACATGCAATGGTCGCCAAGACTATAATGCAAATCTCCACTTAGCATTCTACTTACTCATTCACTAATGCCTTTCAAACAAGCAAATACCCAGAGCGAAGCAAAAGAAATCAAACAGTCAGCTAGAGTCGGCGTGTATGACATCACATCATATTGTAACGCCGCCCATCAACGAGAAAGCAGCTCAATGCGAAAAAGCAAGTACGCATACTCAAATTCTTAGGAACTAAGTACCAAGTTCTCGCCTCCCAAGTATCCAAGTAAATAAAATCTCCTTCCACTGCCACGCCACAACTTGTAGCGAATCAGCCACACTCTTCACAGCACACCCCCCTACCCTACCCTATCAACACCAAGCACCAAGCACCCATCACTATCTCACCCTATCGCCATCACCACACCCACAGCTACAGCCTACAGCCTACAGCCATCAATCACTTTTCAGCCAAGTAAAAAAAAACCCCTTCTCTCTCCAAACCACTCACTTGGAACAAAATCAAGGCAGTGGCGGTGTACATACTTTAACTTACACGTACCTGTACCATCTACCTCTCACAGTCACTGACCATCCGGGCCATCAATCCAATACCACGATTCATGTGGTGCCTGGAACTTGGTTTTCCTGCTCACTGTGCCTGACAGCTTGTGCAGTGAAACGTAGAGAATCGAGATAAAGGGCAGGGGGAAAGATCGTCGTGGTGTCTGTCATCTGAACATTCGCAATTGCAAGTGCAATTCCGCAATTCCCCATGCCCATTTCCAAAAAGCCGCGCGCCGCCAAACTAAGGCACAGCACGTCTACTTTTCTAGCTCTTACAGCAGCAAGTCAGGAACAGGGACAGACAAGACAGTACGACTCATTGAATCAGTGGCGCAAGCTCTGAAGCTCGTCATAATTGCAAATCATAATAGCAGTCTCACAGAAGTCCCCAAAATGCAAGAGGAAGATGTAAAGTGATGATCAACCAATCAATCAATTAACCGTTCTCATTCAAAGTAGTTAGCTGTCCCGGATCGATCAACCTTCCACAAAACTACCTCTCCCGTCCAGCGCAAGCAGGCAAGGGCAAGACAAGCAAGCAGAATGGTCAAGAGTTCAGATAAAGGTAAAAGAACACCTTAAACTTGAATGAATCCATTCCCTTCCCCCGATTCATCTCTCCCAGCTAGCTAGCTCTTCCGCATCCTTATCGTATCAAGTATTGTTTGTTTGGTTGGTTGTCCGACCATAAAAATCCAGTCCCATCCGGTATCCTTTCTATCCCACCCCGAATTGCCCACCGCCCCGTCCAGTTAACCCATTTTCTCGTATGTACCCATGGGATTGTTCCATCTCTCTGCAGCCCTTCCTTTCCCTGTTCCAAAACCCAGCGCAAAAGACAACTTTTTCCCCAAATCCAAAAAAAAAACTCGACGTCGCAATCTCAATTTCGCAAAGTCGAAAGGCAGCATGGAAAGCCTCGTGGCTAACAATTCCTCCCCAAACTTGGAAGGGTTGGACCCGTAAAATATTAAAACCCCAGTCTATGTACGAATGGAGGTGAGAAATCGTCGGCCGGAAATTCCGGCCGGATAAAGGAACATGCAGGTCGCTCAAAAGTACAAGAATGAATAGAAACTCCGTGCAAAGCAATCATGATTGATGTCCCCGCGCAGAAATGCATTAAGACGCTCCCTTAGAAGACACCCAAGAACCAATGGTTATGATGGGAATCTTCTTGTGGCAGAGTCGCGAACAATCCGTCTCAAAATTTGATGACCACACTCAGCAAAGAGGTAATCGAAACAATTCCTGTGATCTAGGACCCCAGATCACCACTTTGATCAGGCTTTGCCTTCTCAACGTGTCGAAAAAGAATTATTCGTATCGTCGTTTCGTAAAATATACCGTGGTGTCAACCGAAAATCGCTCAGAATGCTGAAGACGTCAAATTCAACCCCGAATAGCTGTTGCAGTATGAGTGTCGCGGAACGGAAAACCAGCATGCAAGTTGTGGTACATCGGAGACGTACCCGAAACGAAGCCCGTCATCGGGGCTGGCGAAGCAGAGCGAGACGCCTGCGTACTTGCTTTCTGAGATTGCGGTGCTGATATCCTCTCCATCATCAAAGGTGAGCTATCCGCGGTAGAATCAGCCGAACCAAGAACGTAACCATCGTCGATGGTGCCATCGTATTGGCCAGATCTCATGGTTCCATCTTTCAGCTGTGGAGAAGTTTTGGATGATCCAAACTATACTAAGATTAGCTTCTGTCCTGTCCGGTCCAGTGATGGTCGTTGGTACGTACAAAGCAATATTTGTCCAACAGTTCGTTGTAGGACTGAGAAGCCAGAGCGGGCTTTTCAGCCCCAACTGGGCGAGGCGAATCCGCTCCAGAAGTAGGGGCCTGGACGCTAACAGGTTTAACTGCCGGGGCTGGCTTCTGCACTGGTCGCCTGCTTGCCATTGTGAGGGGCGAAGAAGTATCATTAGAGTCAGCAGTGTACTTTTTAGGTGGCTGCTTCTTTGCTGTCGATTTCATGGTCAAGCCAGACTTATCCCCAAGGACAGTATTGGCAGCTTGGATCGCAGCGGACAGCGAGGCACCAAAGTCATATCGATTGCCGAATGCCTGTCCATTTGGTTGTGGTGCACGACGAGTAAGGTTGTCGGAGCCCAAGCTAACAGCAGACTTCACACCCTTTAGGCGAACAGAGGTGCCAGACTCGCCCAAGTAGTCCTTGACGGGTTGCTTGAAGTCATCGAATTGATACTTGCCGTCGAAGCCATCAGCAAAGTCATCGAAAGCGACAGGCATAGACTTTGGTCTTCCGTTTGCAGGGGGTGACTTCTTATTGCTTCTGGGTAACGAGTTTGCTGGTCGTGATGAAGCGCCAGCCATTCCCTTCTTCCCATTTTGTGCCTTGGCCTTCTTGCGGAAGTCAACTTGGTAGTTAGTTGCCCCATTGTTATCCCAGTATTCAGCGCCGTTGACGCAATATTTAATACAAAAGAACATCGTCTTGGCCTCAAGGTTTGCTTGGTCGGCGAGCTTGATGTTGAAGTTGAATCGATCATACCCATCGTGCCTAGTTTGACGAATGTCGTGATTGTATTCGGCAACAACCTCTGACGTGGTTTTCCAGTAGTCAAGTGTGAAGCGTGCCACGACAGTCTTTTGAAAACCCAAATTAGCGACCACGACACTACCCACCAGCGTCTTGTTGTCCGATGATAAGAACACCCTTTCAACTTTCACGGGTTGTCCGAATTGAAGCGGTATAGTGGTCGGAACGAAGTTAGCAACTATGATCTCCCACTCAAATGGTGGACTTCTTGCTCCGTCGTCGTTGAACGGAAACTCGGTATCACTATCATACTGTTCGACTGGTGACGAGCCTGCACTGACTGCTAAAGGTCGATCAACTTGGAGGAAGTGTCGGACGTGCTCGAGGTGCGAGTCGAAATGGACGGCCTTAGAGAATGTCGGGGTGCCCGGCATGCTTGAAGGACGTCTCCTCGCTGATGAAGGTCTCAAGGCGGGTCTAACAAGCTCACCAGACTTCTTTCTGAGCATGGGAGGCTTTCGTCGGGATCGGTTTGGCTCGTCGTCATCGGAGATGGAGTCTTCATCAGAACCGGTGAGAGGCGTTTCTGGCTGGCTTTGTCTCATGTCCATGAAGACAGAAGAGTCTGTGTTCGATCTATTGTGGCCAAGCTTTCGGAGAGTGTTGATGGCTGTCTCTTCGATGTGAGTAGCGGTTGGCTTGTCGTCTGACTCTGAAGCTGGCATGATGAGTGTCAGAGCTTGGTTGGCCTTTCCAATCTCTTCCGCTTTTCTGTTCGGCGAACTCTCCCTGTGCTGCTCGATAATCCTGATGGCCGCTTGCAGCTCAGCCAAGTTCTCCAGTTCCCGACCTCTCGACACTTTCGTATCCTCGTCATCGCTCGAATTTTGTGCAGAGTCGGGCGGCGAGATGACTGCACCAGCAGGTATCTGTGTGTCGTCGGTCACAGGAGGTGGTGATTGCCTGACGCTGTCAGAGGCAGTCAAACTGTTTGTATCATTCTTCTCCTTGTCGGCCGTTCCAGGTGGTGATGGCTCGAGTGATGGTGCGAATGATGCAGTCTTGACTGAAGTGGTCCGTCGATGTCTGGTGAGGTATGAGGTTGACCGCGGTAACTCGGGTCGGTTCGACGCTGTGGCACTTGTGTGACCAGACTGGTGTGATGAGGAAGATCGACGGCTCAGGACCGGAGAGTGAGGAGCTGATACAGCTGGAGAACGCTGGGCGGGAGGAGTGTAAGGCATCCGTACGGTCGATGCCTAGATATGGGGGTGTGTTGAGGTATAGGAGTAAGTATAGCAGCTCGACAAGTCGGAGTTGTCGAAGAAGTAGCTCAATTCCTACTTAGCATTGAATACCTTGACCCGCTGGTAGAAACGTAAAAGATGCTGCGCTAGTCTTCGACGAAGGGATCAGGTCAGCCTCGTCCTTTGGTCTGTTTTGTAGGTTTGCTGCAATGCATGCAAGAGAGGAGAAAAAGAAAGTGAGAAGAAATGCGTAGGTATGTGTAGGTGGCGCTCGGAAGGTCGAGGGAGAGGCTACATTGGAGCGCATGCAATTACTCAGACTTACGAGAGGGGTGTAGCGAGTCTTCTGCGAAGAACGGATGAGGGCTGGGTGAGGCTCGAGGAAGTTCAATACACGGCGTATTCCAGCAATCGTGTATGGTACTCTTCGGCGTCAGAAAGAACGATCGAGTCGGTCGTTGATCGAGTCGAGGGGGATAGTCGACGGGAGGAAGGCTCGGATCTCGTGGGAAGAGAGGGAAAAGAGGGAAAAGATGGTGCCAGGACAAAGCCAATCTATTGTTGGCCTTTCTACCTGTTCCTTCTGTTTCCGGGCGCTGGGTGAGTCGTTGTGTGGTGTGCGGCCTGCCTGGGTTTGACACGGGAGGGCGAAGGCGAGGAAGAGTCTTTATTGCCTACCAGAGCAAATAAATGACGTCTTGCTGGATTATGCGAGCGAGCGAGCGAGGAACCAATGACTGGTTCAAGTGTCGGGCTCGTCAATTGTAACTTCGAAAGGAATCCAACAGCACAACAGTGGAATGGAATGAGGAGATATTAATGGTGATAAAAGGCTGGCTCAGGCCTAGAGGTGTGGTGGTGAGAGAGAGGAGAGGAGGTGTGGTGGTGGTGGTGGGAAGCAGGAGAATAAGGATGGACGCAGGCTCTGGCCTCTGGCTTGGGCTCCTTGGAAGCTGCTGGGGTTAGGCGACTGGGGGCGACTAGCGAGGTGAAGTGAGGTGAGGATAGGTAAGATGGGAGGATGGGGTTAGACCCAAAACAGAGTGGGGACGTGAATTTAGTTGAAGATGGTGCAGGCAATTGAAATCGAGCCAGGCCGGGATGGGAACTAGTTGACGCGCGAAATGGACGGGGTGAGTTGGTAGTTGGTAGCGCGGCAGGGCAGCAAAAGGCAGCGAGCGAGCGAGCGCAGAGAGGCAAAGGGCAGAAAGAGAGCCAGAGCAAGAGCCAGAGCAAGAGCAAGAGCCAAACAGAAACAGAGCCAAAGCGAAAAGGCAAAGCAGCATCAAAAGGCCATGGCATGAACCGGGGGGTTGCACATAAACTGAGCTACGTCGACATGGGCCGGCATGGGTACCAGTACAGTACAGTAGTACGAGGCCGCCTTGATCTGCCAAACACGGTGGGTCGTGGTGGTCGTCGTCTTCCATATCCTGTCCTGGTCGTGGCCCGGTCTCAACAATGGATTACAGTTGGCAGGGGAGGGGGGCTTTCTCATCCACCTCCATCCATCATCCACTGCTGCTGCAACCTCCAACATCCTCCTCCTCCTCCTCCTCACCCTCTACCGCGCGCCCAACTTCAGGCTCTTCTGTACAGTAGTGAATATTCTCCTCTTTCCCCACCATTCCTCATCTCCAAATTTTGCACTTCCTCGCCAAAATCAATCAAACCTCAAACTAAATACAATCTAAAACCAAAATTCCAAACTTTCTTTGTCTTGACTCTTAGTAATCTGGAGATCACTCTGTCTGCGAATTCCATGCCCAGTGTCATGTCACCGTGCTCTCGCTAGGTCTGTCTATCTCGATTGTATTACACTTCGACATCCTGGCTCTTGACTACTTTTTCCAAGCTCTTCACTTCAGAATGAAATTGTTCATATCCAGCTGCCTCCGGCTTGAACGGGTCAGAAAACAGCAGACACGGCCCCGGCCCCGTGCCGCAAGCGAAGCATAAGGTACCGAGTCCGAAGTGCGTAAGAATGAGTACAGTACAGGACTCTCGGAATGCGTCAATTGGGGCATCTCATTAAATCATGCCGTGCATACTGTACTCGAAGCGAGCGCAAGATGAACTGCCTGCCCTCTGATCACTCCAAAATTGTGTTATCGCAACAATAACAACAGTCGCCCGCATCAACCACACATTTTTCGAGTTGGCGGGGGCAATGGGCGATATGTGGCTAAGCTAGCTGCTACTGTAGAGGCTCTGGATCCCAGCAGATTTCTTGAGACACAACGAGCAGGACAGCAGGAGGTCTGCAGCCTGTGATTCGCTGGGAGCCATAGTGGGGAGAGGAACTGGGAAAAAGTTGGCGTTGCCGGTTTGATGCCAAGTCCAGCCACAGCGCGCTAACGCCCATCGGCCATCGGCCATGCAACCAGCAGGAGGCATCAGGGAACAGGGAGCAGGGAACAGGAGCCTGGTGATGCCTGCCCCAGTCTGTGCTAGGGTGGGGAGTGGGTCGAGGCTTGGCCTTCTGTTTGAGCGAACGGGCCAGCCATGGCAGAAGCGGACAAGGGCAAGGGCGAGCGCGAGCGAAAGAAACCAAGGCGAGGAGGACCAGCATGGAAAAGTCGGCATCCCATCGAATTGACACCATTCTCACCAACAACCACACTAATGCTGCTTGCGGTTTTGCTTGCACTTCACAGGCTCACTTACACCTTGCACCCAAGACTGACTGCAGCCAGCCAAGCACTGGAGAGCTTCACAATTCTGGTTGAGACCACTGACTGGTTGCCGCCAGATACATACAGACGGCACGCTGCTCAATATCCACCGATGCAGAGCAGATGCAGGCAAAGTCATGGATAATGAGCGTGATTATAATTCAAGAGCACTCGCTCAAGTCATGCAATGCAGCAGAATGGCTGCTCGAATGCATACCACTCACTACCTACTTCGCCAAATCAACAGTACTTCTCCACGAAGTCCTATCGTTCTCTAGCTAGCTACCGACATTTCTGAGGATAGCCACCCCCAGATAAAACCGAGAGCTATGATGAGGGGTACAGACCATTCAACGAGACCATTCGTCATCCAAGGAATATTTTCTAGAATTCTATCTTCAGCCTTGGAATCGAACACCAGTTGACGCCGCTGACCAGAAGTCAAGAGTTGAGGCTTACTCCAAGAATCACCTGCGTCTCGTTGTACCTAAACGGCTCTTGAGAACGACACACAATGTGTTCACCGATAGTATGATACCATTGACAAGCCAGTCCCTTTTCTCCTATCTCGGAGATGCAGCTATAATTAAAGACATTTATCAACCTCAACAACCCACCCCTCTCTGGACGCGTAGATTGATAACCAACGGCCTGGTGGCTGTGGCTGTTTTCGTCTGTATCACGCAGAGTAATACAGCATCGGGCATAATTCGCCGCCGGATAAGTTGAGGATTCGAACAAGCTGGTGTCACCCACGAAAGATTACGATCCCTATCATAAATGATATGATTATTCTAGCTTTGTTGATAGCCCGGCACTTGAACCTGTAGCCCCATGTTTAAAACTTCCGTCTCACGACCTCTCTGCCGCTCTGCCATGGACATGTCCACGCGGCAAGACCCCTAATCGAATCAACAGACCACATACGGTGGGCAGATAATACCGTACGATGGACAGAATGGTCTCGGTATATTCGGAACCACATCTGTGGGCTGACTTCCAGATAACAGCCCAAATTCCACTTACCTGGGCTTATCCTCCACCTATCAATCATTGGCCCGGAAATCGAAGAATGAGGGAAATGACCAGAAAGTGGCATGTCTTCCCCTCCATAAACGAATCCAAACACGAAACGCAAGCACGAAGCAAAGCGGGTAAGTTAGGTAGGGTAAGCACCCTTCCTTCCTTATCAACTATCTCTCCTCTAACCCAGTTCCTCTCCCCTATGCATGCAGACCCCGACCGACCAGATGCAGATGCTCTGCAGCTTCAGGTCAGGGTCTGGAGGCAAATGCAGCGTTTGATACCAATGAGAAGCATGAGGACACGCCATCCTCAGCCCGGATGTCTGCGAGGCAACCAATCGTGCCTCTTCTCACTGCCTGCGCCGCCTTCTCTGCCAATAATCACAGCCAATTCTCCCTAACTGTTGGAGCAGCAAAATCCAAAAACCGGATATCGGTTACCTTGGAGGACAGGCATTGAGATTGGATACCAAACCTCCTTCCATATACAAACACCCAATTTAATGAAATAACTGTGTGGGAGGACAACACCAACTCCGGCTATCGAAGGGCAAAGGCAAAAAGCGAAAGCGAAAACAAAATGAATTGAATTTCGAACACGGCGGCTATGGAAGAGGAATGTACAGTTACCGTCCCAACTCTCCCCCACTCTCACCCCGAAAAACAAAACAGACCCCGTCTCGAAGCTTCGTTTATTGCCTGCATTCCAGCCTTCATTCTCTTGGTGTTCCATGCCACGTTGATGAAATTAATATCACGCCCACCTGACTGTTTACAAGCAAGGCAGGACAGCATTGTCATCAATAACTCCAGCGCAGTATCGTGGTCGTCGTCGTTTCTCAAACATGCCATAGAGTATGATGTATCCTTGAACCAGGTCGAGTACCGAGCCCTCCGGGCGGTTCCAGTCTCACCTCATCATGAGCCTCCACAATCAACATGGAACACCCAACCAAAGCAAAACAACTATCGTGGGCCCTCCACAGGCGCCCACCGCCCACCAAGTCCTCTTAACACCAAAGCTCAAGGAAAAGCTTGGACGCCAATGTGGACAGCTCCAGGAGTGGGGGCCGGATCTTCCGTCGTAATCCTGGAGCTCCCCTCCCCCACTCTGTCGCAAACATCGTGATCACGATCTGACGTTGCCAACTTCCGCATGCCGCACTTGCACTTCACGATGTTTAAAAATGGCACGCTTCTCGCTCACTCTCGGTACTTTCGCACCCGGCAAAATACAATGATCGACCATGTACCTGATCAACACCGCAACCCTGCCCTGACCTGCAAAATAATGAGCGGACCTGACCCGCGAGTGCGGATGCCGCCATCTACACCAACCTTGACCGCATTTTCGTCTCAGCCTCCAAGCAATTATCATGTCATGAGATAAGATTACGCTGCGTAGCCGTTTATTTCATTTTCTTTTTCTCGCTCAAGCCACGCACGGTGAGAGACACGATGACCTCATGGCTTTTTGCAGCATCCAATCCCCCAATCTCCGGTTCCAAGGTTGCGCAGGGCCGTGACTGAGACTACTGAGCTGATGCTTGCTGGTGCTGTGCCCCCCGTGATGCCATGGATTATGCGGGCTGGGCAGAGGCATGGGTGGCTAGAGATGCGAATGTGACACCTCACCAATCGCAAACACATCGCTGACACGACCCAAGAAAAGCAACAGAGACAGACAGGAACAGAATCGGATTCAGCCTCGATCGGATTTGATCTGAAGAAAGTTGCATTGCATCTCATCTGGCTGGGTATGATACGGCACGGCAAAAGCAATTAAACAGATATCCCGACTTATTCGATGAGATTTGGACTCGGGACTCGGGAGAGAAACAACCTTTGATAACTTCGCAGGCAGAATTCAAAATCTCCTTGGACAGCGGCAGACGGCAGACGGCAGACGGCACACACACGGCACTCGTTAAGATCAGCAAAGCATTAAAGTCTAAATCTGAAAGCCAGTGAAAAACTCGAAGCCATCTCACCTCTATCGCATGCGAGGTCGCTCCCAAAGTCACATCAGCAAGATAGCGGTGAAGACATATATATGTCACAGAAGAGAATCCGATCCGATGAGGTTTTCTCTCACGTACCGGCGACGCCTCCGCCTCCTTCACGTCATCCAACCAGCAAGTCCGGTTTCGAATCGTATTTATGGAGATTGGAATAATGATCGAGAGTGAAACACAAAACTTCATCCAGGCTACATCCATGCCCTGTCTTTCATCTTATCTTTATTCTCCATCCTGCTGCCACTGCACTCCACTGCACTCCACTCCACTCCGCTCCGCTCCGCCCCTCTCCGTCCACATCTGAGAAACTTACCAGAGCTCAGCTCACCATACAATCCGTGCTTCCTCCCGTCCCCTGTACCCAATCCCTACCCACCTCGCTACACAAAATATGCACTTCTAACTTTCCCAGGCAGGCATGCTAATCACCATCGTCGAAGGATCCTAGCTCGGAATCTCTACGCGAGCCAGCACTTTTCTGCGCTCACCAATCAGAACTCCTCAATGCGAGAGAAAAGAGTTGTTTCTGTGCGCTACGCCACACTTTGAATTGCGGGCCTGGCAATTCTGATGGACTGAAAACCCTTTCGTTCCTATCGCAAAGGAAACGAAACCTCTGATGATCGACACAACAAGTTGTCATATCGCTGAGCTGTCAAGCAATTGAATCCGAGCTGCTGAGCTGATACGAACTCATAATTTAATACTGATATGCTTTGATAAGTTGATAAGAACCCCTTGAGGTAGGTTGCGGTTGCGTTTGCCTTTCTTACGCAAGCGAGTCAATGATCGACGATGCATCACAACAATTCGAGACATGAAAAAAACGGTTGCGGTTACAATTACATGCGGCCGCCGCGCGTTATCCGCCACAGTTGCTCTCGAAAGTTACCAAGTCATGCCAAAGCAGCCACCCAATCATTCCCTCTCACTACCTGTTTTAGGTTCCGTCCTCAGAACCATGGATACACAGCAAGAGGAAGCAAGCCGGGCTTACGCCACTCCGGCTCCGGCTCTTTCTTGGTCTCTTGAGCTGAGCTTCTTGGGGAAATTTATGGAGTAGGCAAATTTACTGTAGGTGCTGCCCTGCCAGCGGAACAGGAAAGGGAAGGAAAGTTTGTTGAAAACTCTAAATTGAATAGCAACTGTTCTACCTAGTCTAGACTTGACATCTTCAGTATCTCCATCTCCATATTTGAACGGTCAACAGAGAGTGGAGATGATAAGCTGCACTGCCTCCAGATTTTTCAATTCAACGGTTCCGTGGAAGATGAATTGCCGAGATGCTTGAGGATTCTAATCTACAGCAGGAATGGCAAGACCTTTGAACGCAGGCCAAGTGAGGTTCTATACACACTTACCCCGCCGCAGGTGATAGAGTGCGAATGAACTGTAATGACGACATTATATTTTGCTTCTCACCTAGCCGACCGTTGCAGAACAAGCGAAGTTGCCTGTCTCACTTTCCACTGTCTCATATCCTCAAAACAACATCAAAAAAATATCAATATCATCATGTGAAGCATCGCGAAAATAATATAACCAAACAACCCTCTCCCCACAACCCCCTGCCTGTCCCCCGACAGATACAGTACAGTAAACTGATAATCAGGGTCCAACCCAACCCAACCCCAACCATGACAAGCCAACTAACCCCGACATGTCAAACAACCCTATCATCCCATCCCACCCCATCCCTTCCCTTCCCAATCCAGTAACTCCTCCCCGTCCCACTCCCCCTCCCACATCATGTCGCACGGATACAACCACAGACATGACGATCGGATCTCAAAAATGGCAGTCCGGCTCGATGATCGCGATGCGATGCGATGCAGCTGGCTGCTGTTTCACGGACGGAGATAGAATCGGAGACGGCATGAAAACTTGACAGGAAATTTACTGTTCTAGTCTGGAAGTTTAGCAGAAGGCACAGTAGTATACAGTAGCATAGTGAATTTAGTATACAGCAGTAGTTTGCAGTAGCATAATGTACCTAGGTACGGGATGGGAGAGGTGGGGTGGGGTGGGGTGGGGTGGGATGGGATGGTGTGTATGGAGGCTAGACCTGGCGATATTGGACCCTATTTGTTGAGTTGAGTTGAGTTGAGTTGAGCTTGAGGGAGCGGCTCGGTTGGTTGGTTGGCTGGCTGGCCTGCTAAGTTACTTGCCCTAAATACAGTTCCAAGCAAGTGCGAAGGAACTCCGATTGATTGATTGATTGATTTCATGAATCGCTTGAAGCGAGAACGGGATATGATAGAGAAACATCCGGCTTTTGAGCTTGGGGAATGGGGAATGGGGTAGTGATGGTGGTGGGGGATAGGATGTAATGGGATGGGATGGGAGGGATGGAGACCGGCTATTGAAATTTGAACCTTGGATTTGTTTACCTTTGCTGGAAGAGAAGGGAAGTGTGGAAACACGGTGAATCTCGCTTCGCCACCATCAACGTTTCTCCAAAACAACAACGCCCTGTAATTTACAATTTTCATCATGCAGGCAAAATAAAGGTAATCTCTAATCTCCACTTCGTACTCATCAGAATCGTCTTCACAACCACTTCAAGCCTCACTCAACAGCTCAAGGCTCAATCGTTAAAGTCAAGCCCAGCCTAGCCCAGGCCCGTCCCAAACCAATCCAAGAGGGCCCCCTGATCTAAGGTTTCTGCTCAGTTGCCGACCCGCGCGGCTCAAACATGTCACTTTCTTTCTCTCTCTAAGAGCCCTAACGTCTTTGCAGATGCCTGTGCCATTTTTCATTCTCCGCGTCAAAGCACGTTCTCGACTTCAGCCTCTTTGTTTTCTGTTATGTAAGGAGAAGAGCTTCGATTTTGTGGAGGAAAACTTGTGGTGTTCGGCCGGCTCCGATGTTGTTGACATCTGCTAGCTAGGTCGCGTGCTTTGTTCCATTTTAGGACTTGGCTTTTTGATTGGTGGAATACGGAAGTTTGGAAAGAGAAGGGGGTTGGTGGTCAATTGTGTCCTAGCAATGGAGAGGAGGAAAGCTCTAAGCTGCAAAGTGATTGTTTTGTTCTCAAGCAAGGATGAAGTCGCCTATTTCAAGACTTCGTGACACTCATATTAGACTGAGAACAGTACAGACAATTCTTTGTGATGATTTAGTCTAATAGAAAAAGTATTGATAGGGCTAGCATATGTGACGCAGAGTATCAGTCCTTCTCCAACCCCGAGATCCCTTCCCACGCAACACAAATTGTTCGTGCAGAAATTGCGATAAGAGTATGCTTGCAACTCTGAATGACAGAAGTTTCTCTGGTACAGAAGAAAGAGGCGAGAGAGTATGATTATTATACCACAGATTGAAAGTTTCCTTGGAGACTTCCTTCTCCGCCTACCAACCTCAACTGAACTGGACCCTGCATATGCCGGAAGCTTGAGCTTGAACTCAGAAAATACCTTGAAAAGGCACATCAACGATGATGAATATCACCAGATCATGCCGTACTCAAGGAGCAGGTACGAATCAAGCACGGCACGGACATTACTCCTCTCCATCCTTGTCCGTCCCCACTCTACCTCATCCATTCGGTCCCACAGCGAAGTCGAAAGGCATGATTCCGCAATCTTTCGCCATCCATCAATCACGTTGCGAGACCTGCAGCAGTGCCCAGCTCAGCATGTGAAATGGACAAGGGCTCAGAACTCAACGCTGAGCACTGCAGTAGGCAGCAAGCAGGTAAAGCGGGTCGTCGTAGACCGAAAAGAGAAGATTGTCGGCATCTTACGACACGTCAACAGCTGAGGATGCCGAGTCTCAAGGCATGCATGCATGTCAGCCTTTTTGGTATATGGTGAGTGATGAGAGCGGGGAAAGAGAGGTAACTGAAGATCGGATCAGGAGACGAGGAGATGATTTTGCCATAGAATGGACAGGATGTATTCTTAATCCTTCCAGTATACCGTAGGCAAAGCGAAAAAACAATACGTGTGCGGAGATGGCAGGCAAAACGATCTTCAATTTGCGAAGGGGGTGCCATGGATCCCAGCCTTGTGAGTCTGCCCAGTCTGGGCAAAAATGAAGATAGGTAACGATCATCCGAGTGAGGCGACAACGAGAACTTTCCATTGTCACATCACAGTATTTCTTATCAATTGAAGACAATATGAAACAGTCAAAAATTCATTGTAAAATGTACAAGGAAATCATGGCTTCATGAATTCATTGATATCAAAAGGGAAGGGAAATCTAAGCCTCGCGATACCTTGTGGTACAAATAAAGTTTCTCGACTCGTCTCGGAAGCCCAGGTGACGATCGATTTTCTTTTTAGGGTGCGAAGGTCACGATACTTCCGGCACGTCAGAGACCAGGGTTGCGTGGATTTAAATGATTCAAATTTAATTTACTAACCCTATCTCGACCCCGCCTCGCTTGATTCCTTACCTGCCTGAAAGTCAAAGGCTGAACCAACCCCTCTTTCATTCAGGGCCTCTTGAGACATGCTGAATTTGGCGTTAGCCACTGTATGCAGTGATGTTTCTTGTGTTACCATCTCTTGACTCAGACTGGCTGCGTCGGCTAGATTGATGGATGGCAGTGCATAACGCTCTGTATATATGATCTGAAGATTAACTGATTGATAGATAGATCCCCAAGAAAATATGAGAGGATATAATCTGTCATGAATGATTAATCCCCAAGCTTCCCCGCCTCAAAGCGGCCGTTTCACCATGAGGGGTACTAGGAGCTGTCAGTTTGGAGATGAGGGGTGCATATGCTTCTGCTCTGACCACCGATTCCACTTCTCTGCCTCGTCAAACAGGAAGGATATTGCTGAAGGCATACGGAGTTGTCCCCTTCATCATGTGTCGAATCGGGGATTAAATGACCGAGGATATGCATAAGATATATTTCTGGGCGAGGCTGCAGGTAGGGTTCACGACACCTCAATTCCGCCTCAATCCCGACGACCCTCGTCGTCACCAAATCTCGCTTCTGTCCTTCCCTCACCACCCAGCTACTAAATTTCCTATTTCAGGACATCCGTTATCAAATTCCTTTCCTTTCCTCTTTCGATATCAAACCCCGATGAGACGGGAAGGTACTTAGTCAGTGGAAACCCAAAAAAAGAGTTTCTTATCTCACTCACCGCTCCAACCCGAACTTCGGGACGGGCAGGGGGCGTCGCTAAATTTCTCGCCTTTTAACCAATAATATCCCAAACAGGGCCGTCCAAACACGAAGCTCAAGCAGTCAGAGAAAAAAATCTCTTCGCCCATCTCCGATCTGACCTGAGACTCGAATTGGCTGGCTAGACCTTTCCTTTCCATGTCTGCGCATACAGTAGTGATTTGCGCTGCTGGGGTGCAAGACGAGACTGGCTCAGGGTTTGAGGGTTGGGTGAGGAAGGGATCTCCGTTGAAATTAATCCTCGCTCCCGCAACGGGCACTACTTTAGACATTTTTTTTTTTTTACTTCGTAGTAAATGAAGGGTTTAGGCCTCTCGATTTGCCTTTGGGTGCTGTGTGGTGTGGAGGGGCTGTTTAGACGCCCTGGACATTCCCTGAACCCAGCCTGAACCCTTCCATTCTCTCTCACTGACAACAGTGGAGGGGCCGGGGGTCTGGGGAAGAAACGGACACCAGCCACCACCACATCGTTCGTAAATAAAAAAGGTTCGCTTTCTGCAGCTTACCACACCACCACACCACCACACCACCAACGAAAAACTGTTGAGCATCTCGCCACACGACGACGAAACGAACCACCCCATTATTGCTAAGACGTTCGAAACTTTGCTACTTCGTACCCACAACTGTGCAGCGCCAATTCTCCGACTCTATCGAAAATGGAGATCATGGATCGCCACGGGCATGGGCATGGCCTGGCATGGCTGATGAAAGTGGAGCAAGCACACTGATACCTACTGTATTTGACCTTCAACAGATACGGCAGACGATGGATTGGTAGGAAGGGTCTTTCCAAGCGCCTGCATATCGATGCAGGATTGCATCTTCAATCTCTGCTAATGCGTGCTTGCATATGAGGCGTCAGGGTTCGCATATGTAGGAAAATATCATGAGCCTGGACTTGTACGTAAAGGACAAGATGAAGAAGGTAAGGTAGGTACTTTCATCAGAAGTACCTCCCTTCCCTCCAGTTCAACAACACCCTCATCCCTCATCCCTATCCTCATCCTCATCATCCAGTTCCCTGCCCTATCTGTTCCCCTGCCGCCCCCAACCCAGCACCCTCGCCTAACCTTACCACCCCCCCTGAACGCGAAGCGAGACGCTACGAAATGGTTGCAACCACCACCCTATTTCCTCAGGGCTGGCCAACCTGCCAGCGTAGCCCACAACAGCTACAGCCTTCTGTTTATATATCACCAACATGCAATTAATATGTGATCGGGATGCTGACCCACTCAGCAGACAGCGAACAATCAGGCTGTATGGGCATCGCAGATACGAAGATATGGTATTCGTGAGGAACAGGATGCGATTATCGTTGCTTGAATCATATTCAGATAAGAGACAGCTGGCCAGGCCCTGGCGATAGCCATCCATCATCACCGGCTTCATGATCGTAACTCTGATAAATGAAGTGAAGAGAACAAGAGCAAGAACAAGACCACACCCCACCCCACCAGGTCACTACACCCTCACATCCTCGTCCGCAACACTCGGGTCATGAAAATCCACCGTACCGACCCGTTGCGGACCGAAGATTGTCTACTTGGCGCGCTGCACGAAATGATGAAAGGGGAGATCTCGCTGAACTCAAGTATATTGCCTCTTCGTATCCCTATTCTCTCATCGCCGCGTCCAGCGACCATGCCGTTGCTGCCGTCCGTCTTCTGTTGAGGCTTTTGATGCATCGCTGCTTTGCTGCTACCGGGGTTGCGACGTGCGTAGGGTATCAGTGGGTGGTGTGGAGACAGCTTGGCGGGGAGGGGGGATAGCGAAGCGAGTTTTGACATGTGAAAGTCGACCCCTCCCTCCCCTCGTTTGTGATGCTGCATGTCTCACTACTCGCTGTGGCTAAGTTCGATATCATCAAGACATAGATAGGTGGGATAATCGTATGTAGGAATTGCACTTTGCAGATCGACGATTGCAGATCAATATAGATAGTAGGATTCATGACATCGCGTAGATACTCTCGCTACAAAAGTGGGTACGGTAAACAAGAACAAGAGCCAAACGAGTAATGTAGAAGCGGTGAGGATGAAGCTAGATTAGGTTATTAACAGGTTTGAGCTTTTGTGGGGGAGCTATTGATGCACATCATCAGAGCTCTGCTCTCATAGCTCTTTGTGGGGAAGCAAGAAGCGAGGGGATCTCTGCTTTCGTACTCATCTTGTTGAAGGGAAGGTCCAGGCTTCTCCCAACCTCTCTTTCAGGACATACCCACATGAAGTAGCTGTGTGTGGATCTAGATTATCAGTGAAGAAGCCACTTTCATTTCGCCATCTCGGTGCTCTCCCAAACCCCGAAGCCAAAATTCTATTTCCAATCTAGAACCCGCCATCATCCTTCCTGAGTAATGGGTGCAGTGCGCCATCTGCGTGCTGACGGAGTGATTTCCCCGCAACTGCAAGGTCGAAGTAGAGCCAAAGAAATCTGAATCTGAATCTGAAGCTCACCGCATATTGCATGTCGTCTTGTCATGTCTCATCTCGCGTGGTCTGGAGCGAGGGCTCCGTTTCGTCTCACCTCCACATATCTGGCTTTGCTTTTTTAGAAAATGCGGGGTTCCAGGTTTCGCATCTGTATGCTCTATCTGTCGTGCGAGTGCGAGAATCTGGGGTAAAAAGAGGGGCCTCACGAATATGTGTCAGGCGTTTCTCACGTGGAACGTCACACACAGTGAGGTGTGCCTGGACACAGCGTCTTGATGGCTTGTCAAAAAATGATTACTCCGAGATAGGGCGGATGTGGTTGTGGCTGGCAACCTTGATTGACACTTCAATGTTGTGAGACGGGATGTGGTGAAACATATATTTTCCGGGTGTTAACCTTATGCTGGCTGGGGCTCGTTGCCCTGATTGGGGCGCTATTGTGAAATGAATGGTTGTTATCGTCGACTTCGTCGTTGTGTTGCTCGTCTTCGGGACTTCGATGTCGGCTGAAGAGGGCTGGGGAAGGAGACACGTTGTAGTGCTACTTCGACTTGCCATTGTGTTGCGAATTTCCAAGACCACGGCTGTAGTTGTGTTTCACAACACTGAAGAGTCGTGCATAGGTCGTGTAATTTGCGATCTGATAATATCAGACACGAATGACAGGTGAAAACTGAGGGCGATCCGAAGGGGATGGCTCAAGTCGGACGACAACTCTACTTCGCATTACCAGACTCTGGAAAGGTAAAGAAGCCACGAAAACTACCTCCCCTTCAGCCACTGACCTCAATCGTTGCTCATCTCCTCCATCAAGAACTGCTATCTGTTGTCAAAAACAAACGAGCCCGTTCTCCTTGTCGTCATTCCAAATCATCGCTTAGCATGGCATCACACCTAAGCGACAACGAAGACTTCGTGGTATCCTCTCCAAGAAATAAGGGTCCTCGATAGAGACTACGTTTCATGTACCTCCTCATCGCATTTTGTCGATCAAGAAGCCGTTCTTGAAGGGTCCAGATAGTGTGAAGCGATGGACGTCTCGGAAATAACTAGCTAAGAAGCTGCCCAGGTAACAGTCCAACGCCAGAGGCTGGCACTAACACTCCCCGCGCCGCAGATCGTTGAGCGCCATCACTACCCTACTTCGGAGTGGACTCTCAACACCGTTCTGATCTTCAAGGCGTGGCGTCTGCCAAAGACAGTTTGTCAAAACAGGGTTTTGACAGGAAATGAGCATCTCCGTGGATGTCGCGCTTGTGGAGAAACTTCCTCATTACATATGATTATGTGTAGGCACTCCCACCAGGAATGTGTTTCCGTACCCGATATCAATATGATAGATCCGGTTTTGCCTCAATGCCGTATTCTCGGCCCAAACACAAACGGATCGGGTCGTGCTGTGCCGAGTTTGAGTCTCGGCCCTGTGGTGACGGGAAGGGTATGTTGTGGTTGGTGGCAATTGGTGTGTTTGAGAAGGAGGAAACTCCGGAGTGAGCGGGGGTAAGTGCCAACTGATGAAATCTGGAGAAAGAGGGGTGATACGAAGTGGGGGTTGATGCCCAATTTAGAGAGGGTTGCATTAAGCGAGTTGTTGAATAGGGAGGCGGATTTGGTGTCGGCTAATTGTTTTGAGCCCATGACGGTGTCCTCAACATTACTGTGAGTATGCTGTTGCAATGTTCAGTATCATTCTGGGGTTGTAGCTGTTTCAACCAGAGCTGCCAATGAAGAATGCATTAACTGCTCAGGAGTTGATGTTATCATGGCTTCACTTGAAGATTGGTGTCGTGGAGTACCCGCTAGACCCAGTCTTTTCAACTGTCTTGCTGAGCCGATGACTAGTTGGAATTGGTAGCATCAGTAATAGAAACCAAAAAGTCAGAGTCTCGTCTTCATTAGCAATGAACATCAAGTCTCCAAGTGAGGGGCAAGGTCCACAACCGCTTACTTTACCTCAGTACGCGACTATCCGCTCCATTCCCATAGTTTTTGTGGAGATTTATCAAATTCGTACCATTCATGAGATTACTAGTAACAAATGGTTTCTTGAACAAACTCGTGTCTAGCTTCTGGTGGTATCGTCACAGGTACAGCTTATAGAAGAACTTCACACGCTACATCAAGTAAGCGACAGTGCTTCATTTTTAATGATTATTTGAGATATGCATTGTAATATTATTCAAATCTTACCACCAGCTCCATAGCTAAGCAAGTCTTTCTTGAACTCCTCGTAGATGTGTTCGAAACGAAATCCATCATGTTCTCTTCGTCTAGCTGAACAGACCACAGACTGCACCAGATGCTCGGTTACCATCTAATCCACTCTTCAATCAACCCCGTTTTCCCCTTCTGAAACCTCACAAAACATTTCCGCTCCCCAGACATGAACGAATTGTCCAAGATGTGGATCCGTGCTTCCATCGGCACACTCTGCGCACTTGAGATGGGTCCCAGCCCATCCTCTTCAATATCCATGATGCGCTGTGCAATCGCAGCCGAGACATCGGAGTTCCATATTCCTTCCCGCCTCGCCGAACTCGAGAGAAGAGCGATTGCCTTCCGTCGAACGACTGGATCTCTACAGCGACAAGCAGCGTTGTAAAGTGACGGGATGACTGTCATGTCAAAGCTGCAATATGGGCTCTGCACAGCTTTCGAGGATGCTGGAGCTTTGAGGAGACTCGCAGCGAGTACAGTAACTCTTTCAAAATCTGTCTTAAGGTCATCGTACTCTGTCTGATCATTAAAGATCGTCGAAGCGAGCATGATGTTGATCGTAATCTGCTGCATTTTCAGCAACACTATGCACCGAAGATCTTGTGGCGTCAACGATATCTTCGGTTCTTTCAAGAAGGCGTTCATGGTCGTGAGCCAGCGACCGAGTTGCTTCGTTTGTTCTATCTGAGCAATCAGAAGCTTCTTCGGCAGTTGACTTGTAACGCTCTTATCTGGGTCGAGTCGTGTTGATTCGCGATATTGGCGGACTAGTTGGGTATATCGTACTACCGCGTAGATTCGAGACTGCAGGCTGTTGTTTGCTTCAGTTATTGACGAGAATTCCTTCGGAACTGGTGGTTCAGCTGGCAAGTCTTGGTCTTCGAAAGGTGAATCGTAATACAATTGACGTCGGGGGAAGTATGTTGATGCTTGCATATCTAAGCGACAAAACAGTGGTATCAACATGTGGTGATCCAAACTCCTTCCTCTTGAAGAAATTAGACCTGTGTCGACGGCTGGTTTATTAAAGCCCATGGATCCAAGAATTTTGAGCCCACTCTCAAGATGCGCCAGCGCACCATTGTGGTTTCCCTGGAAAGTTTCCAGACAGACGAAAAGCAGACAAGACATGAGCACTGCCTCTCCTGAGCGAGGAGTAGCAGATGTTGAAGGCTTCGTCAGATATCCGATGGCTTTGTTAGTCTGCTGTAATGCGAATGCCCGCTTTGATGATATCTCCGCATCTCTTGGAAGCACAGACTCGCCTTCCCAGTACAGCTCATGCAAAGAGCCCAGTGCAATGACTGCATGAAGGATTGCCGGCTCCGATTGACTGGCTTGGGGGAGTAGCCCATCCCAGAATTCTGAATGGAAGAATCCAGACATTTCAATAGCGGTTCTGTGACGAAAGAACTCGAAAGCCCTTCTCTCCTGGCCATTTTCAAGGATATTGCTCGACAGTGCTCTTGCTATGTTTCGCGTCGAGAGCAAACAATCGCTTCTAGTGCATGTCTCTAATCCAACGGGCTCAGGGTCCTTGTTTGCGTAGCCGTCGCATTTCCGACCTGTGGTAGTGCATTTCACGCAAGATGGTTTGCCCTCATCGCACTTTACCCTTCTGATCCTGTCCAGATATTAGAATCAGGAGATACCCAATTTCTCTTAGACAACTTTTAGGTGTCTATGTGGCTGTGTGGAGATTCTTACTTGCACGTTATACACCCCGTCCTCGTCTTCGGCTTTCGTGCTCTTTTCTTTGATATTTCGGACATTTTGAAAGCTTATGACGACCAAAGTCCACAACAGCTGTCAATGAATGGAGGTGTTCTTGATATTAGTGAGTCAAGGAGGTCAAACTCAGCCCTGGATATTCCATACAAGGCTGAGGCTGACATGCAAAGATACGAGCTGCGCCGTACCATTGGTTCACGTGATCTTAAACGAACCAGCGAATCACTTCAATGTTTACAAAGTCCAGAATCACCCGGCTGAAGTATTTTCTGAAAATTATCAGTCCCGGAAAGAATAATAGTATACGTATGCTGCATTGTTTAAAGTCAAGCCTGGAAACGTCTCCAGCAAAATGGGGAATTGGGGAAGTAGCCTCCATGTCATGGCAGTAAGTGGAATCATGGCTTTCGTAGGAACAAAGCTCAGTTATGAATTCCAGGCGAGTTCAAAGCAGTCCACGGGTACCTAGGTAGACTCGAATTAGAGTAATACAATCATGGGTGCCTCTGCGAAGCAACTTGACTCGGGAAGGTGAGGTTGGAGGGTCTCGCTTAGCAAGGCCCCCTTTTCGGCAAGACCCACTTGAGTAAATAAGGCAGCAGCAGACCAGTTCGATTGCCATTGCAAAGAGATTACCTACCGTGCACAGTACCTAGGCATTTAGCTGTGAGTTTCTTTAACCAATGATTACAGCTCGTGTACGCTGACGACCCAGTGCCAGATCATTCTTCAGATTCGACGGAACAAAGTGTAATGATCACTAGCACTCTGAGGTGACTTCAACACACGAAGGGATCACTGACTGATAGCTGAAGGTTCCCTGGTGATACTGGTTTGAATAGAAGCTAGTTTCTAAGAAGGGAAGAGCCTATGGCTTTCGAGTCAGCCCTTTTATAGGGCTGCTTATCCCCTCAACTGCCGTATCAAACACACCTGTAGCGAGACCCTGTAATTAAGCGAAGAACGCTGGAGTTCGTTGTCGTCTAGGCAGCCTTAGCGCCTCGCTTCAGCACCGTGCCCTGGAAAAATGTGTTTTCGGCAGTTGAGGGGATTGATGCCGAGCTAGGCACGTGCATTACACAAAGTGCCACTTCGTGTGTTGATGAACACATCCGCACTTGAGGTACAACAACGAGCAGACTCCAGAGATCTGATTTTAAGTATTCGCCTGAATGAAACAAAATTAGAAGTGGGTTGTATTCGAGTTCTCACGTGCATTTAAGGCTGTCTCCCCCAACTTTGGGACAACGATGGAGAGTATTCGGGTAGCTTTTGTTGTTTACAAGAGTCAAGCTCATGGTATTGACGATTCACAGCATATGTGGTGTTTAGAAACGATGTATTGAGCTTTTCAGAGCTTCTCTAACGATGTCACAAACAGTCCCCTAGTAGTTCCCAAACTTTAACAAGGACTGTCTTCGCACGGAAGAAGAGAGGGACCGAGATTTATAGGTTCTTTTCGGAGCCCAATATAATTTAAGTTACAGCCATAGAAAGGTTTCCGCCAGATCTGGTATACTAAGGCAGAAAACGGCGCTCCAGCTTGATCTCGGGTAAAGGCGGAAGTCATTCGACAGAGCCAAGAAAGGAAGCAGCAATGCTAGAATCTGGCTACATGGTGAGCTCGAGATGAGAAGTATGTTTTAGAACCACTTAGATTTCTTGTTGTAGATTATATAAACCATTCTCTGAAGTTTGATTTAAAACCCAGCATACTGGTATTCCTTCCCCAGAAATCAACAGTTTCAATTATCTGATTGTTCCACTTTTCCAAGGAATATTGCTGCTATCTAACAATCGCGGGAAAACAAAAGAGCTAAAAGCAATCGTTCTATATTTATCAATTCGTGTTTCACTACTATTTTGATCTGCTTTGTGGAGGGTGGTTCAGACAAAGCGACGGCTCGTCGTGTCATGTGATGAGCATATTTGGTCCATGGTCCTGATCGGTCCTTTGAGAAAGCGCCTATTTGCGCTATCAATACCATAAAGTGATCCGAATAGAATGTTGAGCCTTTTATTTAAGGCGTAATATTTCTTTGTTTTCATGCTGTTCCCAGTCACCGAACGGAAGCCTTGCACAGCCTCAGCCTTGTCAGACACACATGGCAAGCGCCGCGAACACGGTTCACATTCACGGGACGATCGACTCTTTATAGATATCAACCGCCATCTACGGTACTGCAGCTTTCACAATCACGCATCGGGTACCAGCGTGGGTAAAAATAAGTTCGCTCCTTTCACCGTTATTGGTGAAAGAACAGAGGCTCAGACCAACACCGGACTATTCTTTCAACGGTAGCCTCTATTTAAACTCAGATGTCCCGAAGAAGCTCGCGCCTTGCCAACTCCATCTTACCTCTTGCAAAGAAAGCACGGACGAGCAAAATGAACGAATTTCATATTCCAGGTAATCTTCCAGATACTACTGTACCTGTGAAGCTGATCGATGATCTCTCCAAAGATGAGGTGTTGGAATTTCCAGCTTTCAAAGTAAGCCCGAGCCTCACAACCCTTCCTGTCCATACTGATCAGCTCAGAACTGGATCGAAACTTTAAAGTCGAACTTGGCGCTCCAAGAAATTCCCGGACATGTCTATCACACGTCTCCTTATTACCTGCGAGACATCAAGATTCAAGCCCTTGATCGGTTCGGCAAGCGCATCGGATTCATGAAGATTGTGGCCCACATCACCAACTCCGAGGGCGAGTTTCTACCGGGTGCGATATTCTTAAGGGGTGCCAGTGTGGGCATGCTAGTCCTTCTTCAACCTGACGACTTGCCAGCTAGCAGCCAGGATGAAAAGCACGTGATTATGACTGTGCAAAGCCGTGTTGCAGCTGGAGGCTTGCAATTTGTCGAGTTGCCAGCTGGTATGGTCGACAACGGAACATTCGCAGGAACTGCCGCAAAGGAGATTGAAGAAGAGCTCGGTCTGAAGATTCGCGAGGATGAGCTGATCAATTTGAGCGAATTGGCAATCCCGCCTACCAAGGAGGGAGAAGAGCAATGCCCTAGAGCCATGTTTCCCAGCTCTGGCGGGTGTGACGAGTACATTCCGATTTTTCTTTACGAGAAAAGAGTTCCCAGAGGCCAACTAAAAGGATGGACGGGGAGGTTGACTGGTTTGAGAGAGGAAGGCGAAAAGGTTCGTGATTGCACGCTTTCATATACCTCTCACACCACTACTGCCATTGAATTACTTGTGCGAAGTTTGCTAAGTGTGACTAATCTAGATCACTTTGAAGTTGGTCAAGCTGGAGGATTTGTGGCTTGAAGGCGCAAGGGATGCAAAAGCATTGGCAGCCTGTGCACTCTATGAGGGCCTAAAGAGAAGCAGAAAGTTATGATTGGTGGTCATTGAGCGTCGTACTTCAGTCAAATCACTGGTTTTCGTTACATAGATGGTCAACGGGAGCTGTGACCGTACAGTACCACATTCGTTACTTGGGAAACTTTAGCTGGTTCGTCTCTTATTGAGGAGAAGCTGACTGTTATTAAATGGCAAGTTTCTCAAATGTGGCAGAAAGTGGAAGGTGCAGGCATTCGGGAAAGATTACATTGATATTTCATCTACCACGACTTTGTCTCAGGAAGAGTCCTTGATCGTTTCAATGCTTCGTAGAGGGACCAGGCCGCCAAGGTCTTCGCATCCCTTGCCCCGATCTTCCAAAGATCTTCGTATGGTAATATTCTGACTGTTATCATCTCTGATTCTCCCGTTCTCTTCCCACTCAGTCTCCCCTTAAGAGACTCGATCTCTTGTCTATCAAGCACCTTCTCCCACAGAAAGAGTGCGATGAACTCGTCACAACCCCCAGGGCTAGGATACATTCCAATTTGCAGCTCCTCTTTGGATGACTGCCCCTTGATCTGGTCTAAAGCGAGTTTTGTCAAGTCCTGCAACTCATTGGTATGTACAGTGAGCCCAGTTTCTTCGCGAATCTCGTTCAACGCAGCGCTGTGAAAGTTTTTGTTGTCATCAATCATTCCGGCTGGGATCTCCAGGAATCGCAGACTTCCTGCTGGTATTCGTGGCTGCTCGGTCATGATCACCCATCTCTCCGTATTCGAGTCGGATGGCCGAAGTATCATCAACATTGCGATGCTTCCCCCTCGCAGGAATACAACCCCTGGCAGCTTGGAGGCCTCTTTATTCGGACGCTCCTCATTCTCGACGAGTGCTTTGAGTTTGACGAAACCTATGTTCGCTCGAAATCGGTCCACAGATTGAATCGTGATGGATTTGAGCTTGTATGGGTTCTCGTGGAAGGGATGTGTGGGCAGGCTCTGGCCTTCGAGTGACTCTTTGAGCGTTTTGCGCCAGGGGATGAAAGCAGGAAACCTGAGCAGCTCATTTACGGTGATATCTGTACGGCTGCAAAAGTTACTGGAACAGGTGTTTCGAAGTCTTTAAGTACAAACGACATGTTTGCGACGTAGATATGGGCCGTTAGGAAAATTGAGAATATTGGAGCATGAATATTGATGGCTGTGGAATCCTGTTAACTTGGTGAAGGGTACCTCTTAGCAAGAGGTGATGGCAAGAAACTGAAGGGCTTGTGTGACTCCGGAACATTAGGGTAGCACTGGGCCTACCATTCGAGGAGCCAGGTAATCTCGCCATTCCACTCATCAAACAAGATCTAGTACGTGTACGGGCCATGCAATACTGCGGCGCAAATTTTGGCCACAATCTCGATAATGACATGCCAGCATCAGCGTAGGCACAGGGACATGATTGGAGACAACAGCAGGCCGGAGAAGCTTTCTACGATATTTGCATTCATCTGGGGAAGCACAAAGCCTTCACTCGGTAATGATGTTCCTAAAATCGTACCATGAGGCTCTTCGGCTCTGTGATGGTGGTGAGTGTTTGGCTGTGGTTGGTCAATTGTACCGAGTCAAATCAGGAAGCTGAAAGTTGCCAGCTACACAAAGGAAGCGGAAAAGCAAAAGTGTGCCGCCTTTGCGCATAATGGGCCGAAGTGTACAAGCCAGGGGTGTACGGGGCTTCCAATCGCGACGATACAGTAACTTAAGGGTACCACTGGGCTTCCGCTTAAAATCGGTTGCACCAGAGGATGACAGCTTCACTCTCCATTAGGTGTGGACAGTTCGTAGGCAATCTTCACCATTTTCCTGTTCTCTGAGTCTTCGTCAGCAAACGACAGCAAACACGACACGCCCACCAACACTTTGCCTCAGAAATGTTATGTGCTGTTTGCTACGGAGTTTTGAGAGGACACCAGGGAAGTCAATGGCGAGGGACCTTCGACCTACATTTTGATCACCAAACCGACGAACTTGGCTTGGAAAATTCAGCCGCAGCCCCAGTAAAATGTTGCATATGCAGAAGTCTTTCGAGTGAACTAGCATTTGTCGGAAGGAAACATTTGAAAAGAAAAAACACTCGTATCAAAACCTTGAGCGGAGTCTACAAGTTCTTCGGCAGGTGGCTTTGGAGAGAAAATTCTCAGCCGAATACCGATAATGAGAAAGATCGAGCTCCTTTCATCAGCGCATATCTATCTGAACTCCCGGAACTTGAGGGAAGAATGCGAGAAGCAGGCACACTGAGAAATAAGATCTATCGTCTCGACTTCAAGTTGCGGGACTCGCAGAGACTTGGAACATTTGTTCTAGACCAGATAGGTAAGACATCAAAACATCATGTACGGACATTACTAACATAAGTTTCAAGGAGATTCATCAGGAGGCACGCTTCACACACCCTTTTCCACGAACACATCGTCAGATGAGGTGCTTGAAGTGGCAAAAAGTGTAAGTGTATTCCCTGAGACACCAATGTGGTGCAAAACGAGCCACAACGCCTTATTCTCTTGAAACATCTCAGCAGAATTCAGTTCAGTACTGATGAGGTCGATAAATTGCCTTTGATAAACGCTAAACTTCTCGCAGTGGATCAACCAATGTACCAGCCCAGCACACCCCGACTGCTCGTCAGTGCCTTCTGCGAACGAAATATGGTACCCGAGCAGGTTGATTGACCTCGGGAGTATGATTGAAATACCTGGTCACAAAGTGGTTCGTGACGACCCACCGCAAATCACGGAGAATCCGGACAAGAGAAGATCGGAGGACAGTCCAGAAGATTCAGCGTATATTCGATTGGTTTCGAAAGACGAAGAGCACAACATGCAAGGGCTCTACGTGACTTTAAGTCATCGCTGGGGTGGAGCTACCTTCGCGAAACTCACAGAAGATAAAATTGGCGAGTTCAAGCAAGGAATTCTCCTGAAGAACTTGCCAAAGACCTTCGAAGACGCCATACGCTTTGCACGGCGCTTAGGTAATTACCCTGGTCAGGTGAGATACATCTGGATTGATTCTCTGTGCATCATCCAAGGTTAGTATTATGCTCTCCTAGACATGAGAAAGCAACAAGCGCTTATACTACGAGTTAGCTGCACAGCCAGACAAGCCATCCGATATTCAGAAAGCGGACTGGCTAAGGGAGTCGGCACAGATGCACTTGATCTATAACAATTCGTACTGCAATATATCAGCTACTGCTGCAACAGATAGCACCACAGGGCTGTTTTCCCCGAGAGAACCTCACTTGTTGTGGGAGGATGAGATCAACCTCAACACTGAAGGGATTCCGGGGTACACCCCTGATGAGCTCATACAAAGATGCAAAATAATTGACCTATCATTCTGGGAACGAAACATCGACAATGCTCCAGTAAACAGGCGTGCATGGGTGCTGCAGGAGAGGTGGATGGCACCTAGAGTTCTCCACTTTTGCCAGGACCAAATCGCATGGGAGTGCCGACATATGAATGCCTCGGAATCGTTCCGTGATGGCCTCGCCAGCTATGGGTTGAGAGCAGGAGAAGTTGAACGTACAGAGAGGCTCAAGACTTGTGTTCCTCACGATACTAAAAGCGGTCGTGCCGGCCATTCTGCACCCATCGAACGCAACCCTTTGTATAGATATGACTCGTAAGTAATTTTTCGGTATTAGATACTCTTCAAAACTCTGAAATGGGCAGCTTCAGCTTTCGATGGGTGTTTGGTTATGCTGAAATGTTAACGTGAGGTTGTCTTACAGCTGGAAAAGCGTGGTAGAGAGGTACTCGAAGACAGGACTTACCAATTCTGGCGACAAATTGATAGCACTATCGGGAATCGCGAAGTTGATGTTTGGGAACGTCGAATATGTTGCAGGGTTGTGGCGTGAGTACCTTGAAAGTCAACTCCTCTGGAGCGTGGACCCTGTGTTCGAGCACGGCAAATTCTCCTTCCCGTCGTCACGACCGCAAAATTACCGATCCCCATCTTTCTCATGGGCTGCCGTCGATGCCAAGAGGGGTATTACTTATGGTGACTTTACGAAGGACAATCTTCTTATTACTATTGAGAAGTTCGAAATACTTCAGGACAAAGGTGCGGATAAGTTTGGTCTGGTCAAGAAAGGATGCTTCATTGAGCTTTCTGGTGTCTTGAAGAAAATCATTCTGGAGAAAAGAGTCGAAGAGAGCGGAACTCGGTTCTGTTGGGATTTGGCCGAAACTCAATCGGAAATGGCGCGAGGTTCTCGCAAGTCGGAAGACTTCTACAGTAATGTTTACTTGGATAGTCCCAACGACGACTGCGGTAGCGCACTTCCCCAAACCAGTACAAATATTCTCGGTCCAAGAGGGAGGATGTACTGTTTACCGGCCAGAAAAGATGAGAAAAGTTATTTGATCTGCCTCTTGCTGCAGAAAGATCTGAATATAGAGGGACAATACCGGAGAGTTGGGCTGACCAAGATCCCCAGTTATGATGGGTTTGGTCAGAAGCGAGTGTATGACTCGGAGGGGGCTCAAGATACGCCTACGTCAATTCGGCTTATATGAACATCTCGGCGGTGTAAAGTGAAGTCGAAGTCGAAGTTGCCAAGAGAAGCCAGGTTCGGGCATGATTACACCCCTGTGCTATAGACCGTCGTCCACCAAAGAGGTTCCGCTTTCTGGCGATACGAAGTCAAGCACCACCTAGGTTGACTTTTAATGGATGCAAATTATGTGGAGAAAGGTCGCCAAGTCAGTATTGAGACGCGAGAAACTATATAACTATCAACCGAGACTATTTGGGTACAGTATGTGAGCCTCTTCATGCATGAGCTGTCGTTGTGCTGATAAATCGATGTGGGGCGTGGGTAGCACGTACGAGTAACAGCAGAAGAAGCTAAACTGACTCCCGAACTTTAAAAAAAAGAGAAGGGTGTCACCAAAATTGATTTGGGCGCGGTAACTGCTACACAAGATCCCGAGCATTCTAAGAGGTGTTTTCATCGATGTCGTGGGAGGCTTCTACAAAGCCAGACCAAACTGGCATGGGACGCTAAGGCTCGCGTAATGGTCAAAACACATTTGTTCCAGGTAGGCGAATCATTGAAGTGTTTGAAGCGAAACCTTTGTTAGAATGAGCTTTGGGCATGAGATCTCTATTGGCTGCACTTGTTTCGATTCTAGTACTTGAAGAACAGCATTGTTCCACATGACGTGGCTCGCTTTGCGCCCCATGTCCGGCCAACGACGTTGTGTTATTTCCATAAATTCTGTATCTTCAAGTAAAACGGCTGCAATGCATGATTCCGACTCAGCGTAAAGTATGGACTTGATTTGTTAAGCAATGAGGCCTAATAGCAAATTTGGAAGGCCTGGACGGTTGAGTGGGCATCTGCTCACCAGAGCGGTGTAAACAACATGGGTGGTTCCGATGCCGGCTTCAAGGTACCACCAAAGTAAGTTTACAACGTGTCCGGAACTCTGAACTTTTGGAAATGGACTTGTGACGTTTTCGTATCGAGGCCGGATGAGACGGGCATGCATGTACAGTAAAGACAAACCTAATCAAGTCAATTTAAGGTTTTGACATGACAGATGCGCCAAGACGTCTCCCTGTAAACTTTATCGAGCATCATTACTCGGCAAGGCTGAAAGGCTGCCATGAATATCAATTCCAGCCTTGAATTGTGAGGAGTAGAACTTGCGAGAGGCAGTATACTGAAGATCAAAGTTCAAAAGAGGCAGGTCTTTCAGCAACTTTGTATTTCAGGGCTGGAGTCATGAGATTTCACGACACAGTCTCGTTTGCTATCTTATTTAGTTTGCCCAAAGTAACAGGCATGGCATCGTCAAAATTTGCCAGGAATCGGGTTTCGCCTTGCTCCTGGTTCCTGATTCGATGTTGGAGTTTGGAATATTCCATTACAAGGAAGGAAGTGCTTAGCAGAACTTATTTTCCAAACACCTGGTTCCGGGTATCTTCTGCTTCGGTTGCTCTCAGACTCACCATGACTTGTCACATTTCTGCCATAAGTCTACCCGTATGATTTGCATGTTGGCTTTTGAATATTATAGTGACTTCTCGGTAATCTTGCTCTAAATCAACAAGGAGACCGAGCTACTCTGACGATTCTTGAGCAGGATTCTTTACCTTGCAGTAGACACCATGATGAACGAGGACCACTGTTACTCAAAGCATTGTAAACTTAAACCGCAACGAAGAGCCATGTGATCCACGACTTGAACACTTACTGTTCTGTTCTTACAATATGATGTACACCAGAGTAGGATTTCGATTCATGCCCGAAACATAAACAACTCCTGGATTGTCAGCGAAGCTCCACCCAAGCTGCGCCAAACCATCTCAGAGCAAAGCCTTAATCACGTAGCGAAAGTTAATGTCTACCGCGATAGTAAGGAAATTGCAAGATTAGCTTTCCTTGATGCTAAATAAGCGCTTGCAGCGCGATGAGATGAAAGTCTCTTCACTCGGTAACCACTGACGACTCAGAATGGTTGAACGGAGGTTATGCACGAAAACAGGGGTGCAATGGCGCAGTAAGAATAAACCAACCACGATTATGTGTCAATTGGTGTCGATGATGGTCTAATATTCAAGGGGAAACTAGGTCTATATATCTACATCCAGATCCCTATATCACATGCGATTTCCTTATATTCTAGGTATCCGGATTCCTCGGATTATTCCTCGGTATATTCCTCGGTATATTCCCTTAGTATATGTCTTATTATCCGGATTCCTTTGAATACGAGTTTTATATCCCCCCTTAGGAAATATTAAATGTGTAGAAAACTAGGGCTAGTATAAGTAGCTTTCTAGGGTGTCTATCTAATAAAAATCGCTGCTTACAGCTTTTGTAGTCCTCTTAAACCTTCTATAGCTACTCTTACCTTTATAATAGACTAGATTTTAACTTGTGCTTTTATATTAATAAGGCTATTAACTACTTAGGTATAGACTTCTAAGCCTCTGCCCTATAAATCTAGCAGTTTAATATTCATTTAGGGGGGGAATAGTATATGGTTCACTCAGATTTGTCTTATCCGGATCTTTCGGCTTATTCCTGGATTCCTCGGTATATGCCCTTAGTATATATTTTATGTGGATTCCTCAGAATACGAGTTTTAGTAGTATATATTTTACTTGGATTTATCTTGTCCGGATCTTTCGGCTTATTCCTGGATTCCTCGGTATATGCGGCCCTTAGTATATATTTTATGTGGATTCCTTAGAATACGAGTTTTAGTCTATATTTTACTTGGATTTATTTTATTTAGATCCTTTAGCTTATTCTTAGATTCCTTAGTATATACCTTTAGTATACATCTTATTTAAATTTCTTGGAATATAAGTTTTAGTATATGTTTTACTTAGATTTATCTTATTCAAATCCTTCAGCTTATTCCTGGATTCCTCGGTAGTATATTCCCTTATTCTTATATTATGTTAGTTTACTCAGGTATAAGAATATTGCCTATTAGGAAAGGTCCAGTGTGGGAGGCGGAGTGAATATCCGTCTCCTATGAGCAAATCACACATGTCAGTGTACCACTACCACAACAAATCCCAAGAGAAATCCATAGTAAATGCCCACAGCGGGCCTCACGATGTGTTTTAGATTAGTTTCCACCCAGTACTTTCACCCCTTTAGTCAGCGGTCTTGACATGGGTCTTCTCGGGTTCTGACGAGCCAGATGATACTCTTTCCCGGGCGGTGGGTGACCCAACATACAGACCACTGGAGAAAGGGAGGAGCTTCATTCTACGCCCGTGTAACCAACGAGTCGTTTAACTCGCTCCGCAGTTTGAATAAGCTCAGTTCAACGACGACCGTTAAGAGAATTCTCAATCTGCTCTACATGTGCCGGTTAGGACAGCTTTAAAGTCTCCTGCCCTATCGAGGTATATTGCGACTCATTTCTTGGTTTAAAAGATCGAGGAATGATATGGCGGATCGGATACCGATTCTCAATCTGCTCTATATGTGCCGGTCAAGACGGCTTCAAAGTCTCCTGCCCTGTCGAGGTATATTACGACTCATTTCTTGGTTTGAAAGATCGAGGAATGATATGGCGGATCGGATACCGATTCTCAATCTGCTCTATATGTGCCGGTCAAGACGGCTTCAAAGTCTCCTGCCCTATCGAGGTATATTACGACTCATTTCTTGGTTTGAAAGATCGAGGAATGATATAGCGGATCGGATACCGATTCTCAATCTGCTCTACATGTACCAGTCAAGACGGCTTCAAAGTCTCCTGCCCTGTCGAGGTATATTGCGACTCATTTCTTGGTTTGAAAGATCGAGGAATGATATGGCGGATCGGATACCGATCATGTATCAATGTTGCGAGGGCAAAAGTAAATAATACGGCTGGAGGGTCTGACGGTATTTCGGATACGATGTCCGGATTCTCTGAAGGTCGAAGGAGTCGACTTCCGCCTATATATGTCTACCCGGCGAGCCCTCTAGTCTACCTGCAAACGGTTAACTCACATTCTTCAACATGTCTCTCTCCAATATGATTCTGAAATCTGCGCGAACTGGCCCTCGATTGCCACGTTCTTTCGTAGCAAGCAATACCTCTAAATCAGCACATTCATTCTCATTACCCTCCTTACTTCCTTTAAATGCCTCTTTCCAAAGACATTCCATGGCGACCGTATCCGATCCACCCCACCCAAGAATGCCACCCTACCACAAGGCAACCACCGGAAACCTGCGCACATTCGTCCTTCCAGACAAAGTCAAAGCCAACGACGAAAATACTAGCATGGCAAAAGACATGATCAAAGAGTGGCGCGAAACCGGCATCTTCCAAATACAGATGACGACCGCTCAGCAAGCCATGCTATCAGATTGTTTCGAGACATCTAAGCAATTCTTCCGTCGTTCGCACGAAGAGAAGGCAAAGCATGTCGACGACCAAAGCTTTGCTGGTTACATCGCTTCGGGCGAAGAGATTACTGACGGCATTGCTGATTACTCTGAAATCTTCACCGTTACCAAAGATCTGCCAGAAACAGATGTTCGGGTCAAGGAGAAGTGGCCTTGTCACGGTCCAACGCCTTGGCCCAACGAGCAGTACAAAAGTCAGATGGATCAGCTGATGAAGCTTCTCGGAGACTCGGGCGAGAAGCTTTTGAAACTCGTGGGCTTGGGACTCGGTCTCAAGGATCCAGATGCGTTGCTCAACTTGACTGAAGATGGATGGCATCACATGCGAGTCCTACGATTCCCACATGTGGAGAAGACGAACGGAAAGGGTAAGCGAGGTCGTGGTATCGGCTCGCATACTGATTACGGGCTCCTGGTCATCGCTGGCCAGGATGAAGTTGGCGGCTTGTTCGTCCGACCAAAGATTCAGGGAGAAAGCATCAAGAACTGGGAGACATCTGCTGCTGGCTTGAACGAAAACGATGATAAGTGGCTGTTTGTGCCTCCTGTGCCCAATACCCTCACAGTATTCCCAGGTATGTAAACGTTGACCCCACTATGTGTCCACACTCCTGCTGACAGGAAGTCCTATCTCAGGCGACATGATGCAGCTCATAACGAATGACTATCTGCCGTCAACGCCACACAAAGTTGGTCTTAACTACGATGAGCGGTACGCATTCGCGTATTTCCACGAACCGAACTTTTCGTCGGTCATCAAGACCTTGCCAGAATTTCAAGACAAGAAAGAGACAGTTGATAAATCAGAAATGATCCACTATGGAACTCATTTCACTGATATGTTCATGCGGAATTATCCTGAGCGAATCACAGCAGACAGGATCCGCGAGGAGGGCAGGCTGGATATTTTGGCGGGGCTGAAGGAGAAGGCTTTGAACAGCCCCAGCTTGTAAAAAGTTATATATTGGCGTTGGCTTGAGTATGGGTATCTTCAATTACATTGTCAAACTTAACGACGCTTTCTTTCTGGCAACCTTGGTGCTACGTAATGGAGTAAGTTGCAGCTGAGTGTGGAATGTGATTGATGCATGACTAAAATGTCTCGTAAATATCGTGACTGAGCGAGTTGCAGCAGTAGAGGAGATTGTACGAGCTTTGTGCCAAAAGACGTGTACAGGAAGAGCCCAGCAAGACCCAGTGGATACTTCCAACGCAAAATTTGGTCGCTCTTTGGGACTTAGTGCGCACGAAAAACTTCACGATAGCATATCTCTCAAAATTGAGATCATTAAAAAGCCTTTGATGGCGTCAAGAATCATGGTATTGTACATCTCAGCGCCTCTAATGTAGCATCTAATCTTCATCCCAGTTCTATGTTTATTAGTTTCATGTACTGCCAATAGCACGAGAAGACTCACAGGGTTAGGTCCAGGTGGTTTTGGCCCACCAGCTTGTCGAGCAACGATAATCTGATCTACAGAAAGAACGGTTCGAGCAGCCTCAGTCGCAAGCTTGATAGCCCAGCTCTTACAGATCATAAGATCCAAGATTCCTTCATCCTTGGCGTCCAGAATGCCGGTGTTATCCTCATTCTGGTAGCCGTTAGCGATTGTCGCAGAATCTGAGTGTATGTACTTACCTCAATATCAACTCCGGTATCCCAGCTATCTTTCTTGTGGTGTGCTGTGTACAATCTGCTCAGAACTTCCGTAGCATCAAGACCAGCGCTCTCAGCCAGAGTTCGGGGGATAACCTCAAAGGCCTCGCCGAACTTTCGGATGGAATACTGCGCAAGACCAGGTGTCTTTTCACCGAAAGCCTGTATCCGCTCAACCAGTTGCATCTCTGTGGCACCAGCACCTGGAACCAGTCTAGGGTCTCTTGTAATCGCCTTAACAACATTGACTCCGTCATCGACTGCACGCTCAATATCATCGAGGTGGTTTTGGGTCGCGCCTCGAATCACGAGTGTTGCTGTTCTCGTAGTCTCGTTCTCTTGTCTGAACACTGTGACTCGATCCCCTCCAATCTCCAAGGTCTCCACAATATCAACACTTCCCATTTCGTCTGGCATTGGTGCACCAAGTCGGGCTAGAGGTGTCGCTCCAACGACTCTGCATAACCGACGAAGCTCAAATTTGCTGAGAATACGGATGACCAAAATACCAAAGCGGTTGAGGTAGTGCATAGCAAGCTCTCCAACTGTAGAACCAGCAACAACCACACGCAGTCCAGAGTCAAACAACTCCTTGATGTGTGCCTCAAGCTGTGTCTCCTCGCCCTTGGTGAAATCCATCATTTCTTTGGCGTTATGTAACAGAACAGTACCCTTCGTCTCGGTTTGGCTGGTATCGATCGGACACGAGAACACACCAACTTTAGCTCTGACAGCCTTCTTGACGGATCCGTCAGGTTCCCGACCGAAAACCATACCCTTGACTACTCTACTCTGTTCAAGGCTTCCACCCATGATCTTTACCACACGAATGTTATCGACATTGAAGTTGACCGGGTTTTTGGGAAGGACTGCGAGGACAGCCTCGGCGACCATGTCTGCCAGGAATTGCTCGCTGCCGTTCTGCTTGCTAGCAACAACCGTTCTGATAGCTTTGCTAAGCTCTGCCTGTGACCGCAGATCCTCAACCTTGTCTACAACCAAGTTCTCGAGCTCATTCAGAGCAAATGTCTGTGCTAGCTCGTATCCTCGAAAAACGTCGCTAGTTTTCAGGCCCATCCGCAACAAATCCTCGGCTTTCTTGAGAAGCTCCCCCGCAAGTACGATAACAAGATTTGTAGCATCTCCCATCTCAGCTTCTTGTTGCTGACTTGCCATAACGACAAGCTTTGCTGCTGGATGTACGACATCGAGTTCGCGGAGGATAGTGGCGGCATCGGAAGTGAGTATCATCTTCTGCAGATGGTTGATAACAATCTTATTTCGTCCGTAAGGTCCCAGGGAAGTCTGCACTGTTGAAGCGATCGTACGGCAGGCATCAATATTACGGAGAACAGCTCCATCTTCGGAATCATAGCTGTGGAAGGTAAGAAGCTGCTCCAAAAGAAAGAAGAGTATTGTAGAACTTACGTATTGTATCCCTGCTTGAACAAGCCTGCATTTGGCGCATTCGGGATATTGAGAGACATTTTGACAGAGTGGCTGGAAGTGTGAGATCGTCAAGTGTTTTGCTGATATAGAGTCGAGAGCTCTATTACCGTCGCGTCCACACTCAAAATTCAATACCTCACGCGAATTTTTGGTTGCCTCGCGGAAGCGGACAATGTTTCTTCCGGGGCAGCGCGGCTGAATTGGAATCGCGCTTCTAGCTTTAGTCCACTCGCTATTTGATGACGGAGAGTGCGACAACCTTCAAAATATAATATTTCATACAGATATCTTACTCCAATTTAAAAAGCCGATCTACCTACCTACTCGAACTGCACACCGAAACGTCTGCGAACATTATCGCCTTCGAAGCGACATCGCAAGATGGCACCTCCCTCTGGTAAGTCTATGCTTCATAGCTCTTTCTCTCAATGCTGGAAGCTCCTTCTGCTTGGCCTCAACGGCATGGCGGATCTCCTGTTGGAATCATGAAAAGTTCTACATATTCAAACTATGGAGCATCCGTATGCAATTGACACTGTTACCATGCCTCAGCCGCTGGTCCCCGGTCCGCTTCTTCCTCATCCGAAGCAGTGGGGACCAAATCCACCTCCTCGACCATCTCTGCCACCTTTGTCAGTAATGTTCGGAAATCCTGGACCATATGAATCTCCATACTCTTCATCGGCCCACAAGGACAGCTCACTGGGACGAGTAGACGAGGAAGAAGTGGATGCTGGTTTCGCTACAAGCAATGGTACTGCGATTGGCATAGTTACGACAACTATTCCTGCATATTGAGCTGTCTCAGTACCAATGATGTCCTCAAACGCAGTGCTTCCCAGTGGATGCGAGATTCTCAAATAATCACAGCTGGATAACGCAAGACTATGTCACATTCACTGCCCTTTCGGGAGAGGTCACGCAATGACAAGGCAATCCCCCTCGAGATAGTAATCCAGCAAGGTTCTAGAGCAGACGACGATATCCACCGACCGACTTCCGTCCATAAGAGCCTCTTGGACATCATCGTCGTTCTATGTTTATATCAAATAATTGTGACCAAGAAGCTAACTCCAACCTTAGGATCTATCCCACCTGAACTTCCCCCAACCGTCGAAGAGGCCTACAGAAGAAAATGCATCGAGTTAAAGCAAAGATTGAATGAAGTAGAGGCAGCCAATGATGCACAGCGCCTGCGAATTGAACGCGCTCGTCGCTCAGTTCAGAAGATGCGTCTTGAGCGTGCATTCCTATTGGAACAACTAGCCAAGCGGACAAGCACAAACGTTGAAGATTCCGAAGGAAGTCCAAGTCCTCCTCCGACTGTACGTATTATCCTCGATGATAGTTGCAAATGTTGATCTTAGGAAGGAGAACTGACAGTCCACCTCAGCCAAAGGAGAAGCCACTGAGAACTAAGCGTGGTCACCGAAAGCCTGAAATCTTTACGTCTGATCTGGGTGAAGGCCGACCAGGAAGCCATTTTATCCAACAAGGACCTGCGACGCTATCACCAGCTTCCGAAGCATTCTCCCACAGCCATACACTCATGACGCACACCCACCCTGATCCCTTACGAAACTCCACACCACAAGCACAGAGCATCGCGCCAAAGCGCTCTTTCCCAACCAATGGCACCTATCCAGCTGGCTCTTCAGGTTTGGTCCCCCCTCAAATCCGTCGCCCAAAGAATGCTTTCGAACTCTACTGCAATGAAACAAGACCTATTTTGGAGAGTGAGCATCAAAAGGAAATAGCGGATGGCAGCTACGATATGGAAGGAGATCTAGCAAAAGATTGGCATTCCCTCGAAGCCGAGAAGAAAGAGCAGTTCACCCAGCGCTTCGAGCAGATGAAGAAAACTGCCGATCTTGAGAAGGAAGCTGGTACCCCTGCGGGAGCAACTGTACCCTCTGTTGTGGAGGGTGAAATCCGACCTTCTGAAGCTGCCGATGAGGATACCGAAATGGCTGATGACGTTGGTACACCAGGAGCAGTTGCAGAAGCTGGAGGCTTCACTGCCGTTAACCGATCCTAAATTTTCTTGGAATGTGCTTTGGCGTTGGGGAGCTCGGTGGGGAGACCCGGATATCGAGTATGAATGCTCAAAGTGGTCTGCATTATGTACGGGTTATGGGCGTAATGGGAATCTTTCGCTGGTGTTCAATAGCGTTGCTGCTCGGTTTTAGGTTCAACCGAGCAAAACACAGGTTTGCCATGGATAATCGCTTAGACAGGGACGGTGGAAAAGCTCGGTCAAAATCGAAGAATCATTCTCGCGTGTGATTCTCATCCTACATGTGTGATCTCGCCGCTTTTCTAATTATCTAGGGAGCGCGCCCCAAATTCCTAACTTGTTTATTTACAGGCCAGATCTTGCTATCCAAGACTCGATGCAAGTCGCTAAAAGGAAACCTGAACGCCATGCGTACAAAGTACGATTACAGTGCCTCACCACAGATCAAGAAGGATTAAAACGAAGTCGGAATTGGTTAGTCCACGCCAGCATACACATCAACTAGAATGTTGACAAACGCCACCGCTATTTCGGCTGCGATGAGAACGATTACTGTTACTGAATTAGCAACTGACTAAATGCTTCAGAGTTTGGGCTTCATAGGGGCATCTCACCAATCCACTCCAGCATCTCGCCGTGACCATGACTTAACTGATCCTTCAGCACAGCCAACAAATCCGCGATAACATCCAGCCTCTCCGTCAACAAACTAACTCTTTGATCCATCTCCAGATAGCTCCTCACAGCTTGGTACACTGGCTCTAGTTGAGGTTCCACCCAGAAGAGTTCCGGCGTGTCGAGTACGGAACCGTTGAGATGGATGTTGATGCGGAGGATGAAGAGCTCGCCGATTTGCATGTTGATTTGCTTGCGGTTAAGAGCGATCTTGCCTGTTGTGGCGATTTGCGTGGGGATGTCTTTACAAGTTTCGATTGTGTTGTCGACTAGCTCTTCGAAGAGAGATGTCTGGATATCAGTTAGTAGTTGTATCGAGGACGAAGTTGCTTAGGAGCAAGCTTACCTTCACACTCTGAGCTAAAGCATGCGAAATCGCAAGCTTGGTCATATAATTCCCCTTCTCTCTCAACGTAATGAAATCATTGTATATCCGCGCCTGGTACTCCCGGGTATAGTAGAAATTAAAGCACTCCGTCTCCACGTCGTCCGCAGCTAGTTTCTCGCTCTCAAACTTGGCTATCTCTTTCAGAAATCGCTGCTCATGCTGTAATGACATGCCCCAGATAACCACAACTCCGTAATCAAACAGGAAAACCTCGGGCGTGTGGACTTGTGTGTCGAAGTCTAGATTGCTCGCACTAGCGATATTTTCGTCCCTCATTTGCCTTTCCACAGATGGGGAATGCATATTTGGAATATCGTTCTCGCCATTACTCAATGTCGTATCGCCGCCTTCGGTGTGTAAATCGATCAGGTCTTCTCGGCGCTGCTTGTTGTTATCTTCCACCTCAATAGCACTGTCTGAGTGTCTCCTCTCTCGCATCTGCGCCGGCATGGATTGCACCTCCATCATTCTATTTGTTGTCCGTTCTGACATCCTGCCATAATGATATGGTGTGTATATGCACTCATCGAACTGCTTCGGATTTGCGCCTTTCGCTTTCCCTCTGCCCTTCAAGAACCGCATCAAGTTATCTAATTGGTACTTGTTCGCTGTACAGTACGCTGTGACTCGTGGCAATCTGTCTCGGTCCGCTTTCCCCAATCGAGCTGCATCTCTTCGTGCCGTAGGGTCCTTGATTCTAGTATATTGAGAATAGACATCCCGTCCGCTCTCCTCGTCTGGGCCATCGTCCCCAAAGTCTGGATTGGGAAGCAGTTTGAGTTTCTGTGTGTTCTTCGTCGTTCTTTGGGGCCCAATCTTGGAGACTGGAGCGGTGGACATGGGCATAAGTGGTGAGCCAGAGCTGTTTCTGCGGCGGAGTCTGCTGTTTAAAGCAGAGAGCATTGGCTGCTGTGAAGTATGAAGAGAGACATGGCCGGGTAGAATAGATGACGGAGTAGCTGCTGCAGATCGTGGGACAGAAGTCGTGTTGTTGTCGATCGAAATAACGGATGGGTTCGGATTGAATGTTACATTTCGACCTTTTCGTTGTGCATCCGGAGAGCTGGGAGCTGCTGCAGCAGATGGGAGGAGAGGGGTGCTCTCTGTCGTACTTGGGGAGGCCATTGCGAATCAATCGGAAGAGCAAGTTCCTGGTAGACTATAGGTCTGAGAGATCTGAATCCATGAGGCTATACCGATGCTTCCTGATGGTCGAGAGAGACGAGATGAATTTCTTCAATTGTCGAGCGGCCCTGGTCCTCTTTCTATGACGTCCGGCGGACTTTGCTCGACAAGGCTTGGTTTCTACGCTAGCGCCCGTTTTAAAGCCAACGACTAGTTGCTGTGGGCTCTGTGCGGGAACACTCTTCACCAACTTCGACTTTTAGATCAGTTTCCACTACAAGCCTGGATTATTGGGTGACCTGGGTTTAGTCGAAGAATTTTTGGTATTCTGAATGTACAGGCTTCTTGGTCACGGGCGGGAGATAAAGTGTTCGGTGTCCTTCGAGAATTCTCATGTGGCTGAGAGGAGCACTTTGCTGCGTAGCATAAAACCACACTTTGCAGTCGTATTCCTCCATTTCGGAGCATGAGATATGTTTACTACAATTCCAATCGCAGCAACCTAGGAAGAAAGACTCTCTGTTCGTACATGTACGTTAGCCTTCAAGAGGCAACCCTTCGTACCAGGCGTCTTATGAGTGCATCAGCAGGGACAACTTCAGTCGCATCAATCAATATCCTTCGTCTTCATCTTCGCCATAACCTCCCAAGCTAGCTTCTCCGTCGTCATCACTTTCAAAACCTCCCCAGATAGCGGTACGGTTCTTGCTGCCACATTGCTGATATATCCCATCATGACTACACTTTCCATCCTTCAGTTTTGTGGTACACAAATCGCCAGATGATATGGTGACTAGTTGGGTCGTATTCTTCGTCCTCATGTCCGGTGGCATCTTCTCCCTACATTTTTTTGGAGAGCTAGCAAGCTCTTTTATGGTCATATTAGATTCAAAATGCACTTCTGTCTTTGTTTTCTACAAGACGAGGGCGATGATGGTCTGTTATGTTTAAATTCCATTACCAAATAACGGGACAGGTCTTGGTTAGGGTCACTTCGATTTGCCTTATGTACTGTGTTGGTTCCCTTCAAATACAATCCGTGGCTCTCAGCGGGTCTCTCTCTCGTTCATCTATCCACCCATCCGTCCGTCCATGCATTCATAATACGCGCCACAAGCTCGAATGCAACCAAGCACCCAGCCAGCAAGCCAGAGTAGAAGCTTCAAAAGCAAACGAGTCAGATTAGGATTCAAATAACCTCCCCTTCTCTCCCAATTCCAAAATTTGGACTTGAGAAACATGCAAAGGTACCACCCCGTGACAGGGAATCTCAGTGTCACATTCCTGCCTCTCCAAACGCCGTAGCTATGCAATACAAAAAGTACAAGCGCACAAATGCCAATTATATTTGACCTTTGAGTCTATTCCATGTGCTGGGTTATCAATCGAGATGGACTTCGCGAGATGTGTCGAGCAAGATATATCAAGCCATATTTTTCCCTCAGAATCAACTCAATCTCGTCCAGAATTATCACTCTTCCCCTTAGCCGCCTTCATCAAATCATCCATCATCATCCGCTCGCTCATGCTCTTCGGCGTGCCTGAGAAACTACCAACACTAGCGCGGAAACTCTGAACGTTGCTCTCATCCAAACCACTCCGACCATTCACACTGCCAACGAACGAGCTGAGCGGTCCCATAGATGCGGCCTGAGCGTGAATATCTGGGCTGACGACTGGCATGCTGAAGGGGTGGCCTTTGTAGGATCCTACTGCTCCAGTGATAGGGCCGGAATTGGTGTTGACTGCTGTAGGTCTCATAATGGGTCGTGCGGGAGAGGTGGCATAGCCATATTTGTTAGACGAGGACATTTCTAGAGGGCGGATGGGAGAATCAGTGTCGAAGGAGTCACGCTCTTCATCTTCGTGATCTTCAGGGGGACTTTGAGCAATAGCTCGGGGAGTGCCGGACTCGAGATTCTCGTCGAAGTGGAAGAGTTCATCGTCGTCCGCCTTGGTGAACTGAAGATCATCGACATCAAATCTATTTTCTAGTCCAAAGTCCTCCAATCCGTGCCAGGTATTGGTTGGTCGAGTTGCCGAGGTTGGTGATTTGTTTTCGTCGATGTTGGGGGGATTGGACGGTGAGAGCATGCTGGCGGCTTGCTGTGATGCACTGTGACGCCTGAGGGGAGGCATATCCAGCATGTCTTCGTCGTCATCGTCGTCGTCGGACAATGTCTCGACTTTGTCCTGGTTACCAACTCTATTATCGCTTATGACATTCTCCGAGCTTGTTCCGGCAAGGGCACCATTCTTGTCGATACTATCTCGGCTACTTGATTGTGGTACTTCATTGTTCGCGTAGAGATCCTCACTTGACGAGTCAGCAGAGAAGCCGTTCGTTGTAGCTACAGAAGCGGAGCCATCTGGAGGTGCAACCACTGTTGTCCATTTGGTACCGTCATCCACCAGCGGAGACCGCGATAAATTTCTCAGGGCTTGTGTCGAAGATATTCTCTTAGGTGGCGGCCTTTCAACATCCTCAATCATTTCGGATCCTCCTTCCTCGTCATCATCGTCGTCGTCGCTAAGCAGGCTTGTTGGTCCATCACCACTCAAGGCCGACCCCGGTTGTGGAGATGACGTTGGGAGAACTTCCATACCCTCAACCTCGAAACGAACTCTACGGGGACTGCCTTTCTCTTTGTTTGTAGGTGTTGAAGATCTTCGAAGCGCACTGCGTCGTCGGAATCCTTCACTGTGATCCGAACTAATAGACCACTCATCTGTGTTTCTCCGCTGTGGAGTCGGCGGACGGTTGGCCTCGGGGGTATTCATCAATGATCTGGTATCCGTACTGGCGTCAACTTGTAATGGCTCATCCTCTCTCTCCTTTCCTTTGAAGCCTGGCGGTGGGGACGTGATATTATGGTCGTAGCTTGATCTGCGCCCGCTGCGACTGGTGCTGTCGAGAAGTGGGAGGTAGCTAGGCGTGAACACACCCTGGAACTCCTTCTCGCGTTCGTGTGGACTGCGCGGACTGCCCTCCATATCCTCTAGAGGTCTTCGAAGAGGGGTGGGAATCGGGAGGTTTTGAGTTTGTGAGAACGCACCATGGCGGACGCCATTTTCGAGAATGTTGGTGCCTGTCGCGCTTGACTGGACCGAGGTCGTGTCGATAGGATACAATGACGTGCAGCCCTTCATTGCTTCTGCCATTGTCTTTGAGACAGTCTCAGAGATTTCCTTGGGCACATTGCGCAAAAGGTCCTCAGCGTACTTCTCGAACTCGGCCGCCATGTCTTGCCGGTACTTCCAGACCTTCAGATCTAGCTGAGACAGCTTTTCCTGTAGCTCCCCAACTAACTTGCTTGCTTCGTCCATGGTTTGTAGATCGAGGGTTGACTTGCGGGTGCAAATCTGCGCTTGTCAATGTTGAAGCATGTCCGTGGGGGAGGGGAGGAATTCGACGAGCGGTGGACGTGACGTTACGTTACTCGAAGGTGATATGATATCGCGAATATGCGTTTTCACCTCACCTTTGAATTCTATTCAATGCCGGAGATACTGCGGCTACTAGCGGTCAAAGACTGCACCAAGAACCACTTTGACCCATATATTCTATTCTGGCGGACGCGACAGACGATCAATAGATCTAGATTGCTTCACGCGCGGTTATTGCGCGTCGTTGCTTCTTTCTATTCTAGTTGGTCATTAGAGGTCTCGTATTCCAATAAAGGAGCCGTCAATTGAGCGGCGACACAGCAAGACACAGTGAGTTGTCATCATCGGTGAAGTCACCGTCTCTCTTCTGGCGCATGTGAGCACCCGACACCGGATTCCCTCCCTTCCCTGTCAAACAACAACAGGGTTGCGATTAACCGGACGTTCTAGAACGGCTTCCACCGAGATGCAAATGCTTGATTTATATCACGTGTGTGTGTCAGTTTGTTTTGCTGATATGTGACTTGATGCGTTTTAATGCGTTGTCTTATTTGTTTCTACTATTCCAAACCCTTGGGTGTTGGATGAAGTGCCTTTTCTGGGGGAGCAGCGCTGTAAGATAGCCATGTTTAGTCTTGGCAACTTCCACGAATGATATAACAAGTAAAGCAGCACATTAATGACTATCTACTTCTCCTCACTCTGGCATTTCCACTCTCCATTACTTGTTGCGCTTGATAGCTTGCCCCTTCTCCTTCATCCAAGTACCAGAGGCATAACACAGCAACTTCTCTGAGTCTTCATCGCTTGTTCTATCCTCGCGTTCTCCCCCGCACCACATATATTCGACGCATAACCAAGCGTCAGCTTTTACTTATCCGATGGAGACGATTGCTAGACATATGGCTTGGCGAGACGTCCGGAGAAGGACGAGATCATCATCATCCACTGCGTCCACTACCTGAGAGGCTCAAAATGCCCACCTCTGCAGGAATTCAATACCATAATAGCGAAAGGGATCATGGTCCTCCTCGATTTGCAAGATAAACAACGTCGAATTTGTTATCGGGGACTAGTCTTGAAATGAAGGTAAGGGAATGTTATTGGAAAATTAAAGTCTGAGATCAATAGGTAGTATTGAAATTTCGCTAAGCTCAACAGGGAGATTCCACACGTGGCGTTCTCAGGCGGTGAGCCTCTGCAGAATGATGGCCTCAACGCGCTCGACGCGTCCACTGGCTTACATGATTGCCAACGTTGAAAATCTCAACGAATGCGATTGAATTCCTCGGACCAACCCGTTTGTCTCTCAGTGTCATGTGAGCCGGAGTTGATAGTCTAGTTTTAACCTAGGAGAAGGCCAATTTGTATTGTGCACTACTCCCTACCTAAGTCAGTGATGGCTCCGGCAGCTGACGTCTGGATTTTGGAAGACTCGGAAGATGATTCAGATGTGGAGAGTCAGGAGGAAAACACCATGGCTGAGAAGGTAGAGGAGAATGCTCTAGACCTTATCCCTTAAAAACTCAAGGCAGATGGAGTCGAATACCATGGAGGAGATGACACTAGCACTGCTACAAAGAGGCAAGGAGCCTGCGACCCAGAAGAAGAAAGTGACCAGAAACTAGATGATGTTGTTGATTGTGTCGGTTCTCAAGCTTCTAGGGAAGAGACCTCTGATAGCAGGGATAGCCAGACGGCAGCGAGACGAAAGGATGAGAACGATGATGAGGCGAGTACTGGTACCATCATGCGTGATGGGGACGTCGCTAAACCAATCGCTCTTGATATTCCTAAGGACACTTTTGAAGATTTGAATATGCCACAAACAGCACGACCAGTCGACAAATCGACGCCAGAGTTGCAAGCACCATTATGCTCTACATCCAAGATTTTGCCTGCAAGCGAGCCTCTCACCAGCCCTTGGGAGATTGTTCGTCAGCTTCAAAAACACTCCTGTGATTCGTGGGAAGAGACAGATTTTGCCTGGCAAGAGCGGAATTTGAAGAGGTCGCCAAACCCAGGACTTCATCTAGTTGGATTGGGGATGGTCGGATTTCCGTTATCTGAGGCAGATATTGATAAAATCAAGATGGCCAGCGCGCTGCATAACCCTAATGATACAAGTCTTTCCGTTGGAGTGGACATGCTGCAGCACAACTCTGTTTGGGAGGTTCCAGCTGGTGCTTGGGAGACTCAAAATGCAGACTGGAAGCTATTCTCTGACCCGATATTGGCAAGATTCGTGACCGCAATGGGTACGAAAGGAGCTTTCAGGATCGTCAAGTCCAGCTTGATTCTATATGGATGTGGAGCCACTGGTGGACTTACCAAGATGTGAGCGAGCCCCTTCCATTTGAAGTTTTTGGGGCGGAGACTGATTCACGCGCAGGGCCGAGCCACCTCTATCCATTGGGACTCTCGAGATCGCATTGCCATCTAAGCATAGTCCCTTGACAACTACGTTCTCTTGTGGCGGAAGGCTCTACCCCCTTTCAAACTACAGAGATTCTGAATACTACTGCTCCGGCCTCGCATGGGTCAGTCAATGATTCCCTATTGAGTCTCCTGTACTGATTCCGACACTCACAGCTGTCTGGAGTTAGTTTGACCAGTACTGCACTCACATCAGGCCACCGACTTGTTCTCCGCTATTCACTCCAACGGTCGGCTCCTGCACCTGGACCTCAACCTAAAGTCCTCTCTATGCCATCACTGGAGCAACAAACTGTGGCATTGACGAAACTTCTACGTCACTGGGGTCAGCAAATCGATACATTTCCATTCGAATATTTGGCGCATGTATTTGAGACTCGGCTCGACAATCATCGTCGAACCACTTCTGTGTTTGACTTCCAGGGCACGGGTTCCGACATGTTTATGCTGGAATGCCTTCAGATCGTCTGTCGCAATACAGGTTTCTACATCTGCCTTGCAAAGATGACAATGACTACTATGGAGAACGTCGAAGTCAGTGAAGATGAAGACATACCATGGTATCATCGGTACGGCTGTGAAGACGTGGACGAAAGCACTGTCGAGATAAATGCAACATTGTTCGCGGACCCGGATGGCATCGCGTTTTACGAAAACATAACCGAAGACTTGGTCGACGAACAAATTTTGAATATAGGCTGCATTGACGATGTCGAGCCTGATGAGACTGAGGACTACGGAGACATGATCAAGAAAACATATCAAAGAAAAGTACGTTGGTAGATGAATACAGCCTCGTTCTACACTTTATTCAGCTATTGACCCTCCTAGATTGCCATCTTCATGCCTCGAACATTCAAGACACAGTTCTACTTCGACAATCAGACTCCTGAAATTATTAAGAGCTTCTTGGACGAATTCATCGCTGGCTCTGGGACCAACCAATCATCGCCTGTATCGCAGGACGACATTCGACGACTTTGTGCTGACTTTGCGATAAAGGCATCTTGGGATATAGTTTTGTATAGTGGCGATCATGCACTGTATGCTCGCATATTCGAGGCCCTCACTGTTCTACAAGATAGCCAACTCATAGAAATGGCCTTGCCCTTAGCCTTCTTGTCCCAGCAGACTTATGACGCACTGGTAGCTGTGGTGGATGCTAAGGGACGCGACTGGTTGCTTGACTGGTAGATCCCCCATCCTCAATCCCTTATTGCAGAGAACCCTGAAGCTAAATCCTGTCAACATAGCTTAGAAAGTAATTTCCAATCTATCAAGAGCTTCAAAACGCGTTTGAAAGCCATTGAAAGGGTGGCAAGCTATTTGAGTAACCTTGAATGGTTCCATAGACAGCTTCTTTTTGCGCTGTCGCTCTTCAAATTCAGCTCTTATGCAGACGGAGAGCAAGTTGCTAAACTGGCAAGCTCGTAAATTGATGACCCGAAAGTGGAAGATTTGTGAGTGTCCAATCACGAGAAAATAAGAAGCTAATAAAAACAGAGTGCAACAAACGGTTCAAAAACATGCAAGCGAACGTGACTTCATAATGAGCTTCCTGGCCAACCTACCCCACGAATCAGGAAGGCTCAAGACGATATTCCATCAACTTGTTCTTCTATCTGTGGACTACCTTACTCCTCCACATCCCGGCTCAACATCCGCAGCAATACTTAAGCAACATCGTACCCATGTATCTCGCATCCTCCTGCACTGCTACAAACTGGATCTCAGGTCTGAGGTGTCCAGACTTGTCGGGAAAATACTACATGAAGCACTAGATACGTCAGAAATACGTCTTGAGCAATTTTATATGCCCCTCCTCACTGACCTGGCGAAGTCCATCGAGATCCCGGATGGCTTGAAATTTTCCCCATTTCAGCACCTATACCGAGGTTTGCTCAAGATTGCTATCCAGAAGCTGCCCGATCCACCAATATTGAGTCCAACCCAGAATTGGTCACGGCAAACGTACCGCTGTCCCCAAAAATGCGTTCATTGTGCATATCTGAATGCTTTCTTGTCCAGTCCGATCAGGGTCACAGACGAGTTCGCCTACAAAGCCGACACTAGATCTCATATGAAGAAGCAGATCCGATTTGAAGTCGCACAAGGAAGTCTTACAACTTCCACCAACCGTAATCATCCTGCTCCTCATGGCCTGATTGTTACCAAAGTCGACGTGAAATACAAAGATAGGCTCAAGGTTCGGAACGAACAGTGTTGGAAATTAAAGTCCGTCATGAATGATATTGGCGAAGGTCCTTTGAGGACCTTGTTGGGCGAAGACTATTACAACAGTCCTGAGTTAAGATCTTTGAGAGATTGGTTGCCAGGTCGTCTTTCGAGGACAGTCCCTGCGTCGAGCACCCAGACCATCGACCTAACTTCCACCCCACCACAACCGGCATGCATGACTGTGCCTTCAGGACTGTCTCGCCACAAGAGACCATTATCTCTTGAAGACATTTCTTTCCAGGGAGCAATGTCTCAGGAACTACATAAGCATCAGCGGCTTTAGCCTACAGCAGCCTTCTTGGTAACAAAGCTCGGTATCTCTAGCTCGGGCCATGCCATAATTTGGCTCAGTTTCGACTGCTCCTGGACTCGGAAAACCGCCGGAGCTTTATGCTATAAGTCCAAACAGTCATGTACTCGTGTCATCGCTCATTGTTGTATCTGACGTACTCCCAGCCTCCTCCCGCTTGGCGTTAAGCTATCTGGGCAGTCTTCAGAACCAGTTTTTGATGACCCGGTCTGTGTAATGATGCATGAAGAGGACATTATGTGCAAGGTTTCCTCAATCATCTCCTGTATCTTCGTGCTGGCAGCTGTGGAGTGGGTTCCCGATTTGGGCTCGGAATCAAGTGCATTGGTTCTCAAGCTCACCTGTTCCATTCAGATGAAAGTCTCATTCGCCATTTCAAACGCAATCTCTCTACTGTCAAAGACTGCATAACCTCCTCGGTCGTTTATGCTACCTGACTGACTGTGGTTAACTTTGACGCTGCCAAGAGCTTCCCGATGACAAGGGGTCCTACATCCTGATTGGCTTCGAATACGGCTCATCCATTTGAGACTAGCTTCAACTTGGAGTCTGTATATCCACAGCCAGATTCGGCATCGGACGTCGTGGTTCAGCGTCCTGATTTGTATCTCTGGATTTTGCACCGTAAGACAATTTCCAGCCATCATAATGTGCCGCCCGCTCGCCTTGATACCGCCATATATAAGTTGAGCACCTCATTCATTGATGCGGGCTGCTCCAATGTCTCGACATTCATATCTCCAACACATATTATATCCATCCACATCTCAGGACTTCGTCAAAATGGCCGCCCAAGGAACCCCTTTAGAATACAATTTTGGGCCTGACGAAGAGGAGATCTACCGTCTGACTATCCAGCACGAACTCTTCAAGTCAGCTTACTCAGCGCTCATTTTGGCTCCCATCAACCTCTCCCAGCCAGGTTTGAAAATTCTAGATTCCGCAACAGCAGATGGTTTGAATCCTCCACGTCTTCCGTATTGTGCTTATCAGAATAGGCCTCTGGCTTCGTGAGCTGCAGCCCAGCCTTGCCACCCCTCACTCTCTTGTCGGCACCGACATAAACCCTAATTTCTTTCCTCATACACCAACAGATGATATCACGCTCAAGGTGCAGGACATCACAAAGCCCTGGCCAGCCGATTGGGCCGGCCAATATGATCTCGTTCATTCTCGGAATGGGCTCGCAGGTTGTGGTTCTTTCCCGGTCTCAGAAGCCTTGAAGAACCTTATCGGCTTGGTGAAGCCAGGAGGGTGGATTCAGCTCGTTGAGATGAGCTTTGAAGGCGTAAAAGATACCTCAGGACCCCTGTTCGAGTTCAAAGTCTTGCTCGATGCGTTCTTCTCTGCGGCGAAAGCGCAGTGGAATTTTGCCAATCGTTTGGAAGGGTGGCTTGTTGAGGCGGGTATGGTAGATGTGGAGGTCAAGATTTCTCAGATGCCGTATGGCAAGGCCTGTGATGATGAGGAGACTGCGAAGAAGAGTCTAGAAAGCTTCAGACATGGGGCGATAGCCGTTTGCGGTGCTGCCAGGGGTAAGTCCGGTCATGATGCCGAAACTTTATGCTAACGTTTAATAGCGATGGGTGTCGACGGATTCGCCAGTGAGCAATTGGATGCTTTTCCAGGAAGGCTCGACAAGTACTTGATGGAGCATCGAGCCGAAGTCCCTGTGGTCTGTGTATGGGGACGCAAGCCATTGTAGTCTCAAAAATACATGAGACTTTTTCTACCTTATTCAACAAATGCCTGTTTCCACTAGAAAGTTGTCATGGCATCAATCGAACACATTCGCGTGCTACCGATCCCATGAACAACGTTGATCAGCTACATGGATAATGTGTAGATGATAGATTAAAATTCATCAATGACCATGGCCCTTTCTCTTGACTCTGCTTGATATTCGGAAATGAGTTGGTGACAGCCACAAACGGTGCCATCGGTGAGTTTTCCATCATCACAACACCAGGTATACAGCAGAATTCTGATCGTTGCCACGATTCACATCAGGCACCCAGATATATTTGATGCCTTTATATCTAGGAGCTTCTTGGATACGTTCTGAAGAGCGCTGTCCCTTGCTCCAGCATCTGACTCAAATCAATCTCCCAAACCCAATCTTGATTCTTCGCCATGCTGATTCTCAATTCTTCTCCGTCTACTAAACCACCATCAGGTTTTTGTAGATCCAATATCATTCCCTGCCGCCGTGATCTCCTGACTAGCTCCTGAGATCTTGGTCTCCTCACTTCATCATATGCTCTGAAAGCATATTTGATATCTTCAACTGATTTGATGTTCTCTGATGCTAAGAGTCCTGACAGGAGATGCGCATCTTCGATTGCAAATCCTGCTCCTGCTCCCGAATGGGGTGTAGTTGCATGAGCGGCATCTCCCAGAAGGCAGAAATTACCTTTTGAATATGTCGGTGCAGGAAGATGGTCAAACAATGCCCATTTGTCGGGACTGTCCATCAACTAGGGAGTGATCAGTATGGATTAACGACTCGTGGAAGAATGATATACAGGGGGTTCTTACTTCTAGGATTTTCATAGGCTTCTCTCCCCACCCCTCGAAATCTTTGAGCAGCTCTTCACGAGTGCTAGGAATAACCCATTGATGCTGTGTCCAGGGCCGTCCATCTGAATCTCTGAATACTACTATGTTCAGAGCTTTTCCGGCTCTGATTGGAAACATCAACAGATGCCCACCTCGACCTGAATAGATCGTTCGATTCTCAACTTCAGTTCCAACAGCTGCCACGGCATCTTTCATATCGACTACTTTCCTATATGCGTACTTCCCACTGTAGACTGCCTTTGCACTCTCATCATCTGGCCCGAGCAAGATTTTACGGCAAGCAGATCGAATGCCGTCACAGCCAACAACTGCATCCGCGGTAAACACTTCCCCGTCATCGAACACAACTCGCAGTTTCCCATCCTGGTCATTAGCCGTGACGTCTATGACTTTCTTCCCAAATTGAACTTTCACGGTCTCTGGAATCAGCCCCACCAAGCCATCCAGGAAATGTGCCCTCGAGGCCCCACAATGCCTGAATCCGCCTTTGGCTTCGATTTCACCTATCATTTCTCCATCTTGAGGACCAGTTCCATAGCGAAGATCGTACCAGATATGGTCTTTCTCAGGCCATAAATTTGGTGTTTTGACTTTGTCGTGGACGGCTTCGACTTCTGGGGATATAAGCCGCATGGCTTGAGTTGCGTTGGGTCCGAACCCTGTGCGGTGTAAGTTTTGGATCTTTGAGCTCTAAGGAATCAAAGAGACTTACCGACGCCAGCGCCGATCTCAGAGAATTCTGATCGTGATTCAAACAACGTGAGCTGCAGATCGGGATTGTGTTTTGAGATGGCAATGGCGAGTGTTATGCCACCGATGCCTGCACCGACAATTGCAATTGTCATTGGCTGTGAGGGAGACATGACCAAGCTGGATGAAGATGACTTTGTTTCTTTGAGATTTGAGAGAAAAATGGGAGCTGCTGAGAGACAGGTCATGATGTCGCGAAGTGTGCTGATCCCCCGCTACCTTCAATCCTGATGATCAATCATATCAGCCGGCAGATGTCACCCAGGCAAGCATGTACCACCCGATTCCCGGGAAACCCCCCAACATACTAAAAAAGCCGTCAATGAAAAGGTTGTAGCTGAAATTATTGCACACATATTCGTACCGCTTGTCATTACAAAGACATACATTGTCTGACTCGTGGCTGTTCAATCCTTGGAGTCAGAGTTAAGCGAGGCACATCCATTCAATGTATACTTCGGCCACCTGTGCGTTGCTCTCAAGGATCAGCGCATTCTAGATTTAGCTCAAAACATAGCTCCAACTATAGAAAATAGGATTCTATTATCTGAGTCAACGAAAGCTCACCTCATGCTTGTTCAACTTTCGACATTCCTTACCCCTGAACCTACTTCGTTCCTCAGGATTGAGCTTCACGCCTCCATGATCTTTGACTCCAAGATTTCAGTCAAGGTCATGGCAAACTCAATCCATTACCTGCTACTGACTTTTTGGACTCTCAGCTAAGATGAAAACATATTTCCTCACCCTAACATCGTCCCAAAACAGACAGCTCGCTCCTCGGCTCTTTCTGTGCCGGCAGCTGTCTGATACATTTTATATTGAGGCCATCAGCTTACCAGCACAATGAATCCTTCTAGATTTTACTAATATCTTCTGCTCGAATTTCTGTAGGAAGCACTAGTTTCAATTACAAATAAAAAATTCCATGGTTCGATCCTTCAAAGGTTCCCACATTGTTTGCAGAGAAAGAATCTAATAGATCGCCGATTCGTCATTCCGAGACAACAGAAGATAAAGATATCATGACGATAGTAGCGGAAAATCAAGCCAGGCCAAGTCGCAATTCGGGACCTCGAACATCTGTCCACATACAATGAGATATCTGCATCCTTTACTTTTGAAGAGTTTTCAATATGACATCTAAAACTCATCAGATAAGCTTGTATAAGCTTCTTACGAGTAGAATGGGATTTAGATGCAATGTCCACACGGTAGTAAAGAAACCTTGCACCTTTGCAGGAAATTTGGGCGAAGATACAATAATTACGAAGAGTTGAAGTCACCTTGTGTAAGGGGAAAATATGCGGGGTGAGTTTGAGATAGCGCCTCCGGGCGGGCGCCTTCGGCCAAATTCTCGAGTGGGCCGACGCTCGCCTTCGCCCATATTTCAGGACAAGACAACAATCAGCTGCAGGTCGACAATTCAACATCCACAACCTCGACGCTGGGGCTAGACGTCAGCTTCTCTATTTGTTTTAGTATCTCGTCTATATTTTTCAGCTCATTTGATTCGTCGGGACCGGTGGATCGATTGTTAAATTTTCTGTGTCGAAACGACAACTGAGACCAGACAATCCACCTCCAAGAAGTTGGGAGAATGGCTGATATCTGGCGCCGACGGCTTGCAATCTGCATGACAAGAATCTCGCATTCCATATCTCCTTTCTTATCTCAGTTTGCTGTATATCCATAATTTCTTGAACTTGCGCAAAGTGGAGTCAAAATCGCCAGAATAGGATCGTGACTTGGTCTTCCAAACGTGAGCTCACAACTTCGCAGTCTCCGTGAGTTGGTTCCGAGGTTAGAAGTTCTATATGAAAGCCATCAGAACGCCACAAATTTTTGGCTTGAAGTTGTATAGATTGCACGTGATGGAAAGATGTCGTGTGAGAATCACATCTAATCGTTCTTGGATAGTTTGCTAATTTTGACCTACAGACCTATCTTGTCACAGAACTCGACCGCTCACTATCACCGATTGGATCGTGCATCAAGCGAGAGGCGATGGACTGGACCGTTTGCTTCAACTGCAGCATTCTCTCAACGCATCGGATGTAGCTTGGATTTCTATCGCAAGTCCAGATCAGCTGCGCGTTCAATGGAAGCAACTGCTAGACCTAGAGGCCCAAGGGGAGCTGCTACCACTGTACGGCGTACCGTTTGCAGCCAAAGACAACATCGATGTTGAGGGCTTTATAACGACAGCCGCTTGTCCAGATTTTGCATACAATGCTGTTGAAGATGCAGGAGTCATTGCCGTGTTGAGAAAAGCTGGCGCTATTGTCATTGGAAAGACCAATTTGGATCAGTTTGCTACAGGACTCGTTGGAACTCGCTCTCCGTACGGGATAGTGCCGAATACTTTCGACAAGAGCTACATATCTGGAGGATCAAGCTCGGGCTCTGCTTCTGTTGTCGCTCGTGGCATTGTTCCATTTGCTCTGGGTACTGATACGGCTGGTTCAGGTCGTGTTCCGGCGGGGTTGAACAATGTAGTTGGATTAAAACCTACCAGAGGACTTCTGAGTGCCAGGGGTGTGGTTCCGGCCTGCAGAAGCCTTGACTGTGTCTCGATACTTGCTCTGACAACTGAAGATGCACAACTCGTCTTGCAGATTGCGAGTGTCTATGATGAGAAGGACGCTTTCTCACGACCAGTCCCCGCAACCCATCCAGCCTACACCAGGATTAGAAATCCTCGAATAGCTGTCTGCGATAATCCACCGTGGTTTGGAAAGACTGAGCAGCAAGTGGCCTACGATACCGCACTTGAGAAATGCTCAACGCTGGGTTGGGAACTTATCCCTACAGACTTTACTTCGTTGTTCAGGCTCGCGAGTCTTCTATATGAAGGACCCTGGGTCGCAGAGCGTTTCGCAGCCATCAAGGATTTCATCAAAAAGCCCAACATTCAGATGGATCCTGTAGTCAGATCTATCATCCGAAAAGCAGAAGGCTTCTCTTCAGTCGATGTCTTTGAGGCAGAATATCTCCGCCGAGACTTGACGAGAGGGATTGAGACTGCATTTAAAGATTACGATGCTATCTTGGTGCCTACTACGCCTACGTTTCCCACCATAAAGGACCTTGCCAACGAGCCAGTTGAGGAAAATTCCCGACTGGGGACTTACACAAACTTCGTCAATTTCATGGACTGGTCTGCGCTGTCATTCCCCGCTGGGTTCCGTTCGGACGGACTTCCATTCGGCTTGACCTTGATATCGACACCGTGGGAAGAAGATAAACTTCTCGATTTGAGTCGTAGCTTTCTTTCAGAACGATCTCGTCCTCTGGGCAATACTAGATTCAAATTCTCGACAGCAGCGAAGAATTCTAAGCAGAAACTCCTTACGCCACTGGCTGTGGTTGGAGCTCATCTGTCTGGGCTGCCATTGAACCATCAATTGACAATCATTGAGGGGAAGTTACTGTCCAAGACAACGAGCTCAAGATCGTATCGTCTATTCGAACTGGCGTCTCCACCTGGTGCAGCCATACGAAAGCCCGGCCTTGCCAGAGTGTCCTCCGGGAGCAACCAAGGGTCCTCGATCGAGCTGGAAGTCTGGAACATACCTACGATGGAGGTATCGAAATTTTCTCGATCGATCCCAGCACCGCTTTTCATCGGCGAGGTTGAGTTGGCAGATGCCAGTTGGGTTCACGGTTTCGCATTCATTAACGACAACCCTGCTGCTGTGAGCCAAGATATTTCGCATTTCGGAGGCTGGAGGAACTTCCTCAACAATCAAACCCTTAAAATGGAGCAACAGACTCCTTCGTCCAGCACATCAACCCTAGCCCAGCGAACAATTAACAAGGTCCTAGTTGCCAATCGCGGAGAAATTGCTGTGCGAATAGTCGCTACCCTGAAGAAGCTCGGGATATATGCTGTTGCGGTCTACTCCAAAGAAGACAGAAACAGCCAACATGTACTCGACGCGGATACTTCCATTTTACTCAAGGGCGATACCGTTGCCGAGACATATCTTTCTCCAACTCAGATCACCAGTGCCGCCAGATCTGTAGATGCAGATGCCATCATACCTGGCTACGGTTTTCTGTCCGAGCATGCGGACTTCGCGGAAGCGTGCGAAGAGTCAGGCATGATCTGGATCGGTCCAACACCGCATCAGATGCGAACTCTTGGACTCAAGCACCTTGCTAGAGCACTTGCTGAGGAGTCGAATGTCCCTTTGCTTCCAGGAAGTAAGATCCTCAAAAGTGTCGAAGAGGCAATCTCTGAGGGCGAAAGAATTGGATACCCACTTATGATGAAAAGCACCGCAGGTGGTGGTGGCATCGGACTCGAAAAATGCAACTCGGTAGAGGGTGTGAAGTCACTCTTCGCATCTATCCAGCAGCAAGGCCAGAAATACTTCAACGATGATGGGATCTTCCTCGAATACTTTGTTGAGAATGCTAGACATATCGAAGTGCAGGTCATAGGCGATGGAGAAGGAAACGTGCGACATATCGGCGCGAGAGATTGCTCGCTTCAGAGAAGACACCAAAAAGTCATTGAGGAGTCCCCGCCTCTGAACATTCCTGGTGAGGTCTATCAGCAGATGTGTGAGGCTGCTGTCAATTTGGCGAAAAACCTGAAATACCGGAATGTCGGAACGGTCGAGTTTATCTATGATTCGAAAACAGAAGGTTACTTCTTTTTGGAGGTGAATACAAGATTACAAGTCGAGCACCCCGTTACGGAAGCAGTCTCTGGTTATGATCTGGTAGAAGAGATGATCAATGTGGCGTCGAAGAGCCCTTCTCGACTGTTTTCGGCAGTACCTGAGGACGCACTTGCGTTGACCGGTCATGCTCTTGAAGTACGTATCTACGCCGAGAATCCCTTGAGTGATTTCAAGCCATCGACAGGCCAGATCTTAGACGTGTTTTTCCCAGCAGAGGCGAGGATTGATACCTGGATCAAGACAGGCACTAGAATCTCCCCATCTTTTGACCCGCTCCTGGCTAAAATCATCGTTACTGGAACGGATCGCGCAGACGCTGTAAAGAAGTTGGCGGCCGCGCTTGAAGCTGCTCATATCTGGGGAGTGGACACGAATCTCGAGTATCTTCGACACATCGTGAAGAGTGATATGTTTGTCGGAGCGAAGTACTCTACCACGACTCTAAATAATTTCGAATTTTATCCAGCTGCAATTCAAGTCCTTGATCCTGGATCACTGACCACGATCCAGGACTTTCCTGGTCGAACTGGCTATTGGAAGATTGGCGTCCCACCTTCAGGACCGATGGACAACTACTCATTCCGGATTGCGAACAAGATTCTGGGGAATGATACCAAGAACGCAGGGTTGGAATGTACTTCTACTGGACCAACGCTTCGATTCTTGTGCAGTACTACTATTGCTGTTGTTGGACCGCCTGCTGAGCACAAGCTCGATGGAGCAGTGATTCCTCTCTCAACAGCGGTCAGTGTGGCTCAGGGTCAGACCCTTTCTCTCGCCGCTCCTAAGTCGGGTTTGAGAACATATCTGGCAGTGTACGGGGGCATTCAAGCACCAAAGGTCTTTGGCAGTCGTGCTACTTTCGCACTTGGGCACTTGGGCGGTCTCAGTGGACGTGAGCTGCGTAAAGACGACATTCTACCCATTCGCCAGTTCCAACAGCAGGTGGAAGCTCCTCTTAGCAAACCGCTACTGCTGCCAGTGCAAAGTCAACCATGGACTCTAAGAGTCATGGCTGGGCCACACGCGGACCCCGATTTCTTCGCCAAAGAGGATTTCCAATCGTTCTTCACCAAGCCATGGAAGGTCCACTACAACAGCAACAGGATTGGTGTGAAACTCGTAGGACCAAAGCCAAACTGGGCTCGAAAGGATGGAGGAGAAGCTGGATTGCATCCTTCTAATATCCACGATAGTCCTTACTCCATTGGCTCAATCAGTTTCACTGGCGATGAGGCTGTAATTCTCACATGCGACGGGCCAAGTCTCGGTGGCTTCATCGTCTTCGCTACTGTCATCACATCCGAGATGTGGAAGATTGGACAGATGACGCCGGGCGATGAAGTGATGCTCTGCCCCATCACATCCTCGCAAGCAATCACCTTAGGTGAAGAACTTCAACACTCAATCTCCACCCTTACCAATCTTCCAGCCTCCATTCTTCCCTCAACAATCGTTGACCCAGTCGTAGGTCGCATTGAGCACTTCGGCCGCAAGATCATCTGCCGCCAAGCAGGCGACTCAGCTCTCCTCCTCGAATTCGGATCCGAAACTTTCGACCTCCGAACAAGTTTCCACATCCACTCTCTCATCAAACAGCTCGCCCTCACACCATATCCCGAAATCCTGGGACTCACCCCAGGCGTCCGCTCCCTTCACGTCTCATACACGCCCTCCGCCCCTCAGGACAAAATTATCACTCTCCTCACAACCCTCGACCTCTCTCTCGGCCCTAGCCTGCCCCAAAGTGTACCAAGTCGCACACTGCACCTTCCCATTGTATTCGAACACACATCCACCCTCGCCGCCGTAACGCGATACTCGCGCACCATTAGGTCGACCGCGCCCTACCTCCCCAATAACATCGACTTCCTCCAGAACATCAACGGGCTGTCATCTCGCTCCGATATCCCAGACACGATCCTCTCCGCTACGTTCCTTGTGCTGGGACTAGGCGACGTGTTTTTCGGAGCGCCGTGCGCGGTCCCGCTGGATCCGAGACATAGGCTTTTTGGGACGAAGTATTCGCCGCCGAGGAGCTTTACACCCGAGGGGACGGTGGGGATTGGGGGCCAGTATCTGTGTGTTTATGGGATGGATTCGCCGGGAGGGTATCAGTTGGTGGGAAGGACGGTGCCGATTTGGAATAGGTTTCGGGATAGAGCGGCAGGGAGGGAGGAGGCGTGGATGTTTGAGGTTTTTGATCGAATTAAGTTCTTTGAGGTTGAGGAGAAGGTGTTGGATGATGCGAGGGAGGCGGGGATAGGTGATAATTTGGTAAGGGTTGAGGAGGGGGTGTTGGATTTGGAGGCTTGTGAGCAGTTGGTAGAGAGTGTAAAAAATGATAGAGAGGAGATGGTGGAGAGAAGGATGAAAGCTGCGAAGGAGATGGGGGTATTAGAGGAGTTGAGTAGGAGTTATGAACCGGATCTATTGCTTGAAAGAGGTAATGACTTTGAAGAGGAGGTGACTGGTGGTGTGCCGGTGAAATCTGAGGTTGCGGGCAGGTGTTGGAGGTGTGAGGTGAAGGAGGGGGATGTTGTGGAGAAAGGGAAAGAGTTGGTAGGTTTGCCCAGCACACTTCCTGACTTCCTTGAATCGTCTCGGTTGTGGATGATCGTGTGCTGACTATGATACAGATATGCATCGAAGCCATGAAAATGGAAATCCGAATCTGCGCGCCTATTACTGGCAAGATCGCCAAACTCTTCGTAAAGGTTGGAGATATTTTGGATGTTGGGAGTCGACTTGTCGTTATGACTTCGGCTTAGGTCTGAGCCTTTTGATGTGATGGAGCAAGAACAAATCAAGATTTCTGAATGGTGTATCTTGCAATGAAGTTTAGCGGAAAAGACGCTTCTGAACATTGTGAGATTCCGGGTCAAAGAGTATGCGCAAAGCTGAGACCTGTTACGATGTAGTAGATGATCGATGGCACGGACAAAGTAGCAGAGTGTGGCTTGGATAGTAAAAAGGAGTTTTACACGGTATCCGTATTCCAATTGGAGGTGTAGTAGAAAGCCAGGAGGCTCTTAAGGGGTTTGTCCAAGGAAGCTAGAAATTGGATTCTTACCTGCTGGTCCACCGATGGGATTCAGAGCCAAGTAGAGTGTGCTTAACAAACAGACAGAGGTTTACACAAGCGAGAGAAGCAACACAGCTTGCAGTCTCCCTTCTGGGCGACGCATCTCGAGAGAAATAACAACCAGAATCATCTTCATCGGCGAACAGTGTCACATGATATTACCTTAAAGCACAGCCGCCGGGCTTCAGGCTGCCTTGTGTAACTGCCAGGCGTTCGAAAGCATGTGCGCATCTTCTAAAGGCTTAAGAATTGTCGGAAATACCTTGAATAGCATAGTACTGCCATCGAGAGACGTCCAAGTGGACGCTGTAGCACACTAGCAACAGACAACGTGTTGCAGAATAGAAAATGCACCAGGATGAACGCCGAAGGATACGGGCGTACCAGTCCTTGAAGCAGAATGGAAGGTATTTTCGGTTGGGATCTGACGATTAAAGCAAATGAAGATATGCTTGCAGTACTGCAGCGCCCCAAATATTACGCGCTAGCGTGTACATGTAGAGACACGTAGCTTGGGGAGGTATGGGCCAGCTTTAAATACCGCGTCCGCATTCCAACTTTGTATGCCGTGACCGCTATTCCTGGGAGATGTGAACTCGAAATAGGATTAAGGAGTGCTTGAGTCGATGGCGAATGGCGACTGTGGAAGGACATCACTTTCGACACTTGCTGAGGATGTCGTCGCGTCTCAAAGAGGCTGGATTGCAACAGACTTCTGTTCCCCAGAACACTCAATCCCAAAGTACGAATGCTTGCACGATGCAGTGGACATTGCTCCAGCTTCGAATGATCAGAATATATCCAGTTACCCCAAGTGTAGCGGTCAACTGAGGAAGCAAAGGTTTCATAGCGTCCTGTCGAGCGTAGACGTGTCGAAGCTCGGCGCAGGAGCCTTGAGACCAAATTGATATTGGACGTGGCAGAAGTATGCTGCGGCCATTGCTCCAAAGCTTCAATCCCTCATTTGCTATCCATCATTGTAATTCGTGGTCGCCGATTCAAAGCAGGAAGAATCCATGTCCAGTCGAGAGGGGACATGTCGGAATTGGGCAGCGTAGAAAATCAAGAACCAAAACGATTGAGACATGCAGCGCCTGATATTCCAAGCTCGGAATACGCAATGTGAGTCTCTCATGTTCATCTGTGCCCGTGGACTGGTATTCGGAAGGGGAGTTGGTCGCGTCCTGGCTGGAAGCGCTTTACGGTCGCGTCATGGAGCTATCGAAGTCAGTATTTGCCATTCCTAGGCAGATGTACGTCGAGCATCGATCAAGGAACATCTTGAACAATCACCAGCCATAACATCTCGAAAATATAAAAGGTCGTGAGAGTTTCCAAATTTTTCCAAATTTTTCCAAAAGAGAGCAATGATGGAGGTCGCGATTATGTTGTTTTGATGTTCCAGCCGCGAGGACTCGCTTACAGCCCACCATTGGTGATCGGCCAATCAGAGCCGCTGCATCCATACTATCACGCTAGGCTCGCCAGGTCTGCACCAGAAATACGACGCAACTTTCAACGTCCTTTCGCACCCCTGTTTCAAGACGTTCGTTCTTCTTCTTTCCAAACAGGACTAGCGCTTCTTTTGCAAATCAATCACTGCACCTTCCCGCAATCACCGCCGCCTAAACCGCCATCACCGCCCCGCAGATAAAACCAGCTCTTCCCCCCGAATTCCCATTTTCTCCCCTTTCATACCACTTCCAAATATCGCCTCCACCACATTTTCATCAACAAAACACGCAACACCGTCGACAGACGCGTTATTTCATCATCAAATCACTCCTACATCCTTCTAAAACAACTTCATCATGACTGGACGTAAGTATTTTTGCTCCTGCACGCTATTTTCGCGTTCTGAGGTCGTCGTCGCTGTTATTCGGTCGCAATTTTGGTGATGGTGTTGTTTGTAACCCTCATCGCGTTGCCTTCCAACCAATTAACTTCGACTTCAACATCAACAACACCCTATCACGACCACTTCCTCTACCTTTCGTCCTCATTGTCATCAACGCGTCGAACTAAATATATGATGGATATTTACTTACATTCATGCAGGCGGAAAGGGCGGAAAGGGTCTCGGCAAGGGTGGAGCCAAGCGTCACCGCAAGATTCTTCGTGACAACATCCAGGGTATCACAAAGCCTGCTATCAGACGTCTCGCTCGTCGTGGTGGTGTCAAGCGTATTTCAGCCAGTATGTTGTCGCACTATCACCTTGCCTCATCTCATTCTAACGCGTTACAGTGATCTACGAAGAGACCCGTGGTGTTCTCAAGACTTTCCTCGAGGGTGTCATCCGTGATGCAGTGTAAGTTCCTCAACTTGGAATACTTGGTTCAATGTTCTAACTTCTACCCAGCACATATACGGAGCACGCAAAGAGAAAGACAGTTACGTCCCTCGACGTTGTCTACGCACTCAAGAGACAAGGCCGCACCCTTTACGGTTTCGGAGGTTAAACGACCCAAAACTACTTCTCTCCCTCTTCGCGCCCTCACTCTTCGATCAACATTTTCGATTTCGATTTCCAAATTTGGGCATATGTTACTTTTGATAGTCTCTCGAGACGGTCTAGCATGCTGTTTACGGCAGGGTTTCGCTCATCTTTTCGGTCTTCTTAATCGACCTCGGCGGGTTTCAATCTGATCCCTTCTTACCAATGCATACCTTCTGATAGTCTTACGAGACAGTCTAGCAGCTTGTTTACGAGCGGGGTTACTTTGGTGTTCATGGTTGGGAGGTTGAACTTCGGGCGCACGGATGGATTTGCTTTGGGACACTTGTAATTGTTTACGGAGTTTATGGGAAATGGCTCCTGGTCTGGACGGGCGTCCGGAGGAGATTGCGCGAGGAACGTCGCATCGATGACTTTGTCAATATGAATGAATGGGCCTAAGGCCTGAATACCCGTAGCTATTCTTCCACTGTGCCTATGTAATGCCGTGAGATTGTGTCCCAACCCATCTATACCATCAAGCTGTGCCTGGCAACTGCCACCTGCGCTAGCAATCAATGGTATGAATCTCACAACAAACAATAATAGAAGCTTTTATCCTGTCTGGATTCAGGAACCTGATGCTCCTCGAGTTCAGGCGTTGACTATGCGAATCGTGTTGAAATCCGTGGAAGTCTTCATGCGCTGGGGCAATGTCAAAAGGCTCGGCTACGGAATTCTCTGGAACCGCAAGTAATTTTTGTGATTGAGAACACTCTTGGATATGCTGACGGAATGTTTTCTCTCTAATAGTTTTCAGGAGCGAAATTCAGGTTGGCTGCCTGTATGCTTCACCGTCCTAATGTCCCAACGGCGTAGGTACTGAGGCTGGGGAGTGGGGGACTGGGAGAGGGATCAATAGAGTGTCCTGAGTTCTCTGCTATGTTTGAATTTGAGTTGACTTTGGTTGTGGAGCTGTGGAGTGTGACATGTTGATATCTGATATGTGTTTGCTCGTTTGTGTACTGCTGGCGATGTTCGCAGTCGGATTGTTGAGAGGGGGAGGATGGATGGAATTGACTTGTTTTCATTCATATCGTGTGGGTGGCTTGAGAAGTCCTGAATACTGCGATCATTCTGCTCCACTACTCTCACGATCTGAATTCGCCATCGAACCTGAGAGCCTCTCTCACTATGTTGCAGCCCTTCGTCATCTCCTAAGACCTCACAGGTCGTCTCTTCAATCTGTCAACGCCGTCGTTTAAACCCACACATCCAGTCTCCAACTTTCCAGTCTCGGAATACACAGCCTCCTAACCCAAAGACAAAATCCTCACGCCAGCGCAGCAATAACACCAACCACCCCTCCAAAAAGCGGCAACAAACTCCTCACCCCGTTCAACCTGCCCCATCCTTCCAATAACCCTCTAACCTCCTTCCCTTCCACATCCACACCATCCTTCTCACTCGGCCCTTTCCCTTTCCCATCACTCAACCCAATCAACTTCTCATTGGTCCCACTCATAACCAGCGCCGTAAACGGCGCAATACCCATCGTCAATACAGCTGCAATGCCATACAGCACGACTACATTTCTCGGTGAAGCTGAAGCTAGGGAGCGGGATTTATAGGCGAGGAAGACGAAGAATGAGGCAATGATGAGGGAGATGGGCCGGTTTTGCGATTTGCCGAGTTCGTATGTTTGCCGCCACTGCTGGGCAAGGGTATGTGGTGTGAGGGGTCTGTTGGTTGGGGAGGGGGAGGACTGTGATTGAGATTGGGATTGGGCGTGGGAGTTTAGGAGGGTGGGAATTGTGATTAAGGAGAGGGAGGCGATGTTGCCTGTGAATCATTAGGTACAATGTTTTATTGAGAAGTATTTCAACTTACCTGATAGCCAAGCTGCTCCTCCGAGCCCAATGACTTGGGCGATGCGGATTGAGGTCCAGGGTGTTGCCATTTTGATAGAATGAATTTGCAACTTCGAGTGTTGGATATGAGGGTACTTGTAAATGAAGCTGGAAGTTTGTATGTTAAATTAGGTCTTCTGGAGAAATCAATCTTGAATGAAGAGTTGACGTTTAAATATAAATGTCCTTGAGAACCCCTCCTCGGCACAGCTACCAAGCTTTCGAAACCCGGACTTCTGGAACCCCGCCGATCACCCCACATGGAGCTTTGGAGTAAGCATAGCTGGAAAGGGAAATGTACTCGATTTCCGCCTCGGACAGCACTACAGCTTCATGCAAAACCTCCCAATTGCGTCGAACTTAGCTGTGGCGCGATGGTGGCATTCCGTACGTGAAGATGCGGAAGCGGACTCTCGCCTGATGTCCACCACCTGAAGTCTAGCTTCGGACCTTGACCATGTCCGCGTCTTAGGGGCTGGCTTCCTCAAGGAACTGCCCAATGGAAACCGGGTTTTGGACTGGGTGAAAGATTCCGATGGAAGCTCTTTGTGGCCATTTGTTCGCTCGTAACTTTTCCTTGGGGTATTGGCGTAAGAGCGGACAAAATTGATTTGGTGCTTGGTAGGGCAGGCTGCTTCCCTGCCGCACACTATGTACACATTTGGAATGAATAGAGTTCAGAGCCGTGTTGTGGGATCGGTTTGTAAATATATAATAGTCTCTCGACGTCTTCTATTCTTTGGCATGTTCATAGAAACAAAATTTGACCTGTCCTATCCATACTTCTCGTTTCAGTCAACCTCCCATCTCTATATCGTGTTCCAATGGCTGCAAGAGCGATACTCCGTACTCAAAGACCAGCAGCTATTACAGCTGGTCTTCTAGGAGCGACAGGCGTCGGACTTTGGGTTGCGAGATCATACTATACCAATAATGCATTTGCGGAATCGCCTGAACCTCCAACAGTATTTTCGAGCTGGTTTGGTCAGTCGTTACGCTTGGGGGGTTCAGAAGTCGTCAATCATAACACGAAGCGATTGAGATTTGAATTCCCGAATGAAAATGCGAAGAGTGGTTTGTTGCTGACTTGTAGGTCAATCTATGCGTGTACGAAAAGAGCTTTTGCTGACATGAAATAGCTTCTGTTCTCGTAATCACCTGGCCCGAAGGGAAAATATTCCCAACAATCAGACCATATACTCCCGTGAGTCCATTAGGTATGTCCAGAACCCTCACCAGAAGTGCAAGAAATTAAACAAACCCCAGATCAACGCGGAGCCCTCGAACTTCTCGTCAAGAAATACCCGGAGGGAAAAGGCAGTGGATATTTGCACTCCCTCAATCCAGGCGACAGTCTCTACTTCGCAGGGGTCCTTAAAGGCTACAAATGGACGGCCAACAAATTCCCTCACGTTACTCTCATTGCCGGCGGTGCCGGCATAACGCCCATGTACCAACTCATCCAAGGCATCTTGAACAACCCAGCCGACCAAACAAAAATCACGCTCGTATTTGGCGTCAACAGTGATGCGGATGTGCTTTTCCGTAAAGAGTTTGAAGACCTAGAGAAGAGGTTTGGAGAGAGGTTTAAAGCTGTGTATACGGTTAGTAAGCCTGGGGATGGGAGTCCGTTCCGTAAGGGCTATGTGACAAGGGAGTTGTTGGAGCAGGTTACGGGAAGGGCGGAGGAAAGCAGTAGGGTTTTTGTATGTGGTCCGCCGGCCATGGAGAAAGCTTTACTGGGAGGGAGCTCCTTTACTAAAGGCAAGGGAGGTGTACTGGAGGAGTTGGGGTACCAAAAGGACCAGGTGCATCAGTTTTAATGGTTGGAATGGATATGGGATATTGGAAGGGGTTTTGGGAATTGGTGTTTGGAGCTTGGGCAATGGATGTGATGAGCATAGATGGGAATTTTCGGAATGTAGAAACTTCTCTTGAACCTACGTGTACATATAAGTAAATACAGCAGCCGATTGATAGGCAGAAACTTTACGATAACTTTACACAGGTGGGGTAACTTTGCTGGTGTGATAGACGTCAGCCATGTGGAATTACTGGAGAATAGACGACAAATAAGATAGTACAGTAAGTGAATGCATTTGATTCATGCCATTCTATTACAGATGAGCGAGGAAGGAATATTTGAAGACAAATGAGAGAACCAAACAGTAACAGTCGAAGAGCAACAGTCGAAAAGCACCATATCGTCACGGCAGCTCGCTGTTGGTGGCGAGAGTCCCCCGCGCGGGCCAAGCTCAAAGGAGCAGGTCCCCCCATTGTAGGCACCCCTGTCAGGCTTTAGCCCTGAACTGTACCCTGGATCAGCATCACCTCGCATCAACACCTTCTGTATCTGGGCTGAAAGCGGGGAGAAAACACCCGGATTACGATACCAACAAAACGATAATAAATCACCACAAAGGTGGGATATAATGAGTGAGCTGGCAATGGATGATCATGGACTGCCGGTGGTGGCATATATAAGCTTCTTGTTCGCCGGCTGGGCGTGAAGGCGTAGGTGAGGCACAAGAATCTCTTGGTACCATAAGGTCAGTGGAGTTCCATGCTGTGTTGCGACATAAACACTTGCACCTGGAGCTTTCCAGTGCGACCATGACTGCTGCTAACTTACTTTAAAGCTCTAGGAACTCTTGTGTATACCACCAAGCACCTCTTTAAAAGCTTCAAGATGGTCAGAAAGCTCAATGCGCTCTGCGCGGTGCTGGGGCTCGTCGGCGCGTCCTTTGCTGCTGCTCCAATGAAGGCAATTGAGCAGAGGGTCCGGGTAATACACCTTTCTCTGATTATATGAGGAGGCTAGTGCTGAATTAGAAGTCTAGAAAACGACAATATCGAATCGGGCATTGCACAAGCGCGAAGATACCGACCCATCTCTCCTCTATCCAGCCTACAACCTCTCCGTCCCAGTCGACCACTTCCACAATGACTCTCTCTATGAGCCGCATTCCGACGAAAAATTCGACTTGCGGTATTGGTTCGACGCTACGTACTACAAAGAAGGTGGACCAGTGATTGTTCTGCAGTCAGGTGAAACTGACGGCGTTGGTCGACTGCGCTTTCTACAGAAGGGGTTGCTCCATGATCTGGCGGTGGCTACACATGGAATTGGTGTTGTGCTCGAACACCGTTACTATGGGGCAAGTTGGCCGACAGCAAACCTATCCACGGAGAGTCTGCGATTCTTGACTACAGACCAAGCTCTTGCGGACCAGGCGTACTTTGCAAAGAACGTTGTATATGCTGGGCTGGAGGACAAGAACCTCACAGCTCCTAATACTGCGTACCTTGCATATGGTGGAAGCTATGCTGGAGCATTTGTGGCATTTTTGAGGAAGCTGTATCCAGATGTGTACTGGGGTGAGTTTTAATTCCAGTCCATGCCATGAAATACGAGTTGCTAAGCAAAAGCAGGCGCTATTTCTTCCAGTGGAGTTACAGAAGCCATTTGGGACTACTGGGCGTATTGGGAGCCTATCCGTTGGTACGCCGATCAGCAGTGTATCGAATACCAGCAGAAAGTTATCGACTTGGTGGACAATATCATCCTTCGTGGGAATGATTCAGATACTAAGGCGGAGTTGAAGAGCGCCTTCGGCTTGCCAAATGTCACTTATGATAATGACTTTGCGACAGTTCTTTCACGCGGAATCGGTGCATGGCAAGGGAAGAATTGGGATCCAGAGCTTAACGATCCATCGTTTGATCTCTATTGCGGAAATCTTACGTCAACTGAGCTCATTTACCCTAGTTCGAAAGGATTGATTGGCACAGTGCAAGATCTCATAAAGAAGGGAGGATATGAATCCGAAATTGAGAAGCTCACCACACCGATCCTGAATTGGATTGGATGGCTTGCGCAATACGCAGTCGATGACTGTGAAGAATCTCAGGACACCTGTTTCAGCACTCACAATGTCACCTTTTACGAACAAGACGACATCACTCAAGATTGGAGATCTTGGCCATACCAGTACTGTACTCAGTGGGGATATCTACAAACCGGATCCGGTTTCCCTGACGATATCCTCCCCCTTATATCTCGCACCAGTGATCTCGAGTATCAATCTCTCATCTGCAAGTATGCATTCAATATCACCACTCCACCAAATCTTGAAGCGATCAACAAATATGGCGGCTTCAATATCTCCTACCCGCGCCTCGCTGTCATCGACGGAGAGCAAGACCCATGGAGACCCGCTACTCCCCATGCTTCCCCTTTCAACACCACTGCCGTCAACAGAACAGATACTGTCAGCGAGCCTTTCTTGTTGATTGCAGGAGCTGTGCATCACTGGGACGAGAACGGACTATTCCCAAACCAGACGGTAGATTACCCACCGGACTTCTTGCCACCTGTTCCTGTGCGAGATGTGCAGGCTCAAGAGATCATGTTTGTGCAGGCTTGGATGCAAGAGTGGGAGTTGGAGCAGATCATTAGGAAATGTGAGGAGTTGAAAGCGTAGATTTCGTTGTGGAGGGGATTGTGGCGCGGACGAAGATCAACCGACATGGATTTTTAGGATACAATGTTGCTCAATCAAAAGATGATCTAGAATTCCGGCTTTCCATATTTATGGTGATAGGCGTAGTTGTGAAATCGGAATTAGGATGCATGTAGATACTCATTGAAGCTGTTGCTCATTGGTGATCTTTGAGCCTAAATGTTTACATCGTCAAAAGCAGTCAGCTGCTCGAATGACAGTGAGAAGTCATATTGAGACCAGAAATCTCGGCAGGGTGTATGATTGGAAGCCAGAAGCAATGCAAATGAATTAGCGCATAACCTGAAGCACTGCTGATGTGTTGCATAATTCGTGAATGTTGTCACCAAAATGCCGAACTGCTCGCTTGTTGATTTGCTCCATGGTGGGGACTGCCAACTCGAGAATCTCGAAGGTGAATGTACGACGTGCAACAAAATTTCCTCAACTCTCTAACACACGTGATATCACTCATCCTTAATTTTCTTCTTCTCTTTCTTTGTTATTTACGAGGTTCGCAGTGGCAGGATAATCAGTATTGATACAAGATTGACGTCATCATGTCATACCTACCTACCAAGGTAGGTATGAGATTCTTGGCCAAGTCACGTTCTGATATCTCAGCCCCCATCGTGCGTCTGAGAAGCCTCACCGAGCATCAACTTCAACCAGACAACTATTGACCTCTTCGGGACTCCAGCTCCGGCGTTAGTATGCACAACTCCGTGGTTGCACGTGTTGATCTGTCATACAAGGTAATGCGTCCATCATAGGTATGTATCGCTGTCATCCTTTTGATCTCTTTCATTCCTTCCACGCTCATTTCTCTTTTCCATCATGCAACTTGGATATCCTATTTCATAAATCAGCCAAGTCACGTCCGATATTTCTCAGTCAGCAGATGCACCTCCAGGGAGCAATCTCTGCGTCTGGTGCGCTAGATTCGACTTTGCTGGCTGGTTCCAAATTGGACGAGCAAAACGTGATCCTGAACGATCAGAGATCAAGATTCGACATCTAGGTCATCTCTATAAGCTTCGACAAAAGAAGAACTGTGCATTCTGTCGTATGGTAGTTCATATCGCCGATATTCACTTCACACAAGAGTTGGGGCCGCACGTCGCCATTTCCTCGCCAGAAGATCATAGAGTCATGGTCACGCCTATTATTGCGGGAGAGGTCCGAACGGGAAGAAAGGTGCAGCAGATTCGTCGTTTGGAAGTTCGTTTCTATGAAGGCGTTGAGTCTGTATCGCCTTACCAGATACAAATGCTGGATGAGAGCGTCACGGTGGATCGACTGGACCAATGGAAAGATTACCAGATTAAGCGTGGGTTGAGGTTGATATTGAGGAGCTGAAGGTATGGGATGAATTCCAAGGTGCTCTTAGTATGAATGGCGGTCTACTTGCATCAGAGAACTTGGACATATCGCTCGTTGCGAGGTGGCTGGATCATTGCGTCAACAATCATCAGGAAACATGCTCAATACTTCGTCCTGACCGTGGCGACCGCGAAATTCGAACCATGATCAAAGGGGGCTTTCGACTGGGTGACGATCTTCGCGTTATTGATGTCCATGCAATGAAAATCTGTTCGGCTCCACAGGGCTTGTCGTACTGTGCTCTCAGCTATCTCTGGGGAGGAATCTCCATGTTGAAGACCTTGAAAGAGAACTTCGGAAGACTAAGCCAGGATAGCGGCATTGTCGAAGAAGAGCTACCGCTCACCATACGAGACGCAATACACTTTTGTCGAAAGATCGGCTGGCAGTACCTTTGGGTCGATGCTCTCTGCATCATTCAAGATGATGAAGTCAACGTTGCGAGCCAGATATCACAAATGCAATCCATCTATCGCTTTGCAGACTTCACAATCGTCGCAGCCAGCGGTGTTGACTCCAATGCTGGTCTGCCAGGTATTCAGACTGCTCGAAAGGTCTCACAGCACATGGAAAAGATCCAAGGACTAAGACTGGTGACCACCTTGCCGCCGTTCGAGCACATCCAGGAGACATCACGATGGAGCACCCGAGCTTGGACATTCCAGGAATCAAAGTTATCAAGGAGACTGATCATTTTCTCCGATGGTCAGATGCACTTCCGTTGTGAAGGAGGAGAGTTTTGCGAAGACACAAGAATCGAAACGCAGTCTCGGACGGGTGAACCTGGTCGTGCATATAGCCCATTCTTATCCACCTCCCTTCTGCTTGGAGCACCACACGGCAGGGGCTTCGACATATTCCAGGACCTGGTCGCGCAGTATTCCCAGAAAGTCCTTTCATATCCAGAGGACATATTGAACGGATTTTCAGGAATCATCAACGCCTTGAAGCCGTTTGGGACCATCGGCCAATACTGGATAAGTGGTCTCCCAGTCGAGGGAAGCCGACTAGTTGACTCGTTACTGTGGATACCAACATACCAACATGCCAGCGAGCTGAGACGATTCAACATTTTCCAAACCGACTTTGTTCAGAGACCTGGGAAGTACGTCGCTATTGACTCTCGCAACAAAAGGGTCGAAGACGGCGCGTACCACAAGTTCCCTTCCTGGTCTTGGATCGGTTGGATGGGAGATATTGACTACCTCGAGACGCCACCAGCGACTATCACACATGACTGTGTAGCATCTGCGGACTACTATATACTCACCATCAACGCCAGAATTCTCAATTTCAACGTTCGCAACACCAACCGTGGTATTCCATCAACCTCCTTCGATGTCTACAACATCGAAGATTCAAATGGAGACATCATCTCTGATTTTATTTACCGCTTTGACCTCGTTGAAAGAGATGAGGTCAAAAGGTTTGAAGTTCTCCTGCTGGTCACGGTAGAGGGCGATCGGGCAGATACGCCTGTTCGTCCTCGGCAGTGGAAACCGCTTTCCAGGTATGTGGGCACGGCGGAAGCTATGAATGATCCGAAGCGAGAAGTACATCATGGGCCGTACCTTAATGCTATGGTGATAAGCAAACCGGCGAATTATCCTAAGGAGCCTGCTGAGAGGGTGGCTTTGGTTAATGTGCCGATGAAGTATTGGGATGCTGAGGGTGTCATGAGACAAGAAGTGTTGATTGGCTGAACGATTTTTGCTTGATATCATTGAGATTGCTCCTGTCAAGTTATACATTCCTTGATTCTGCGTCGGCTAGCAGCGAATTATTGGCCAATCCCATTAAGCCTACGATGTAGGTTGATAGTACGAAGTTCGGTAGTTCCCCTACACGCTTGATGGGACTTCTCAGTTCATCTACACATATAGGATACATCACAGTATCTCAGAGCACCACTCTTACGTTCTGATCTAGCTATTATTTTTTCTTCCCTCGTTTTTAACTTGAATGTCTGAGAATCACCTTTTAGCTTTTGCCGCTCCCATCTCAAATCACTCCTTCAACAACCTCACTCCCGCCCTCGTCAAGCCTCCGAATCTTTACAATCTCAATACCAGGTCCCCCAAACAGATCCTTCACTGCCTTTCCGTTCTCTCCACAGCATGGCAATACATTATCATCGCCATGTCTAGCGTGGCGCGATGGTGTTCCGCCCCATATTCGGCACAATCTGATAATTGATCAGAGGACGCGAATATCCTGGCTTCATCGCGTTGACAGTGCTGGCACGTATCGTGTATGCGAACTTATGGCTTGTTCCATAGATACATTTGCAGGGATAGTGGGGTTTGTTGACGGACTCCGGGTTTTCGACCCTCCCCGAATAGGAATCACTCTACAACCACTGTGTAGCATCGCAAATATTGTACCTTGTCCATTGGAAAGACTGACGTTATCGTGAAATGAGATTTGGATTTCAAGACTCCTCTATGGGATTTTCTAATCATGCCAAGCGCCGAGATAAACAGTCACAACTCGTCCAGAACCTCGTAACCAACATGACATGCCATCAAACCCGAACCTAACCATGACGCCAGAATTCCCTCAACTCCTTCGCCGACACCACTACTCCACTAGACATTCTTCGTCGACAGCTGACTCCTCTTCCACACTTCGACTTCAAGGCCGCCCCTCAAAACACCTATCCTCATCGTCGAGAGCAGATTATGCGCCGCATTCAGATGATTATAAACACCGCCATTAAACATCGCCGTAGCATCCTTCCCAATGGCCGAAGAAATCAGCGCCATCCCTCCAGGATGATCCTTCACAAACCCTCCAACATCATGAACCACACCCGCAACCGCAACAAGAGCCTCACCCTCTTTCGCCCTGACCACAAACTCATCCCACTCAATCAACGGCAGCTCCTCCAACGGCACACCCCAATCCAATTCCGCACGGCCCCTATCAATCTTCTTCTGCAGCTGCTGCACGCGGCCCTTCTCGATCTCGTTATCCGGGAATGTCTTCAGGTTGCTGGCGAGCCCGAGCTGTTTCCAGAGGAAGATGCTCCATTTTGTAGGGTCATATTGGTGCCATTGGATGGCGTTGCGGTAGTCGGAGGGGAACTCGTGGTGGAAGTTGTGGTAACCTTCGCCGAGGGTGACGAGGGCTGTGATAACGTGGTCACGGGGTGAGTTGCGGTCGTCGAAAGGCTGGTCTCCGATCCCTGTGTGAGATGTATCAGTGTATCGGTCTTCCAAATTTGATGAGGTCTTGACAGGTGAGAAATATAGGAGCTTACAATGAGCGAGCGACTTCACACAGAACGTAGCTTGCTGCACGACAAGCAATCTCAAAATACCAGCATAGATCAACCCACCTTTCCAATCACCCCATCCCAATCCAGCAACCACACACGGCAAGAGGAAGGACATCGACAGGGCGATAGTGACGAAGTTCCTGTGCTGCCACATGACCACCGGATCATTGTTGAGATCCGTTATATCCACACGGCCGATTCTGTGAGGATCCTGCTTCAACACCATCCAGCCCATATGGGAGTACAAGAGACCTTTCTGGACAGAATATGGATCCTGGACTGTATCAGTGTACCTGTGGTGTGCACGATGGTTGCGAGACCACCATCGGATTGAGCCTTGAATGGCGCCTCCCCCGACTAGAGCGAGGAATATCTGGATTGGTAATGTGGCCGTGTATGAAGTGTGAGACCAGAGTCTGTGGTAGCCTGGTATCTGTCAATATTCCGATCTCCATGTCTACACAGCCCAGGAAGTACTGAATTGCCAACAGACAGGTTGAGGACTCACCAGCTGTGATACCCAGCCCCGTCATGAAGTAATAAACAAAAGCCCAAATAGCGGTCTTCAGCAGCAACGGCGTCGAAAAAGCCGAGAAGATGCCAAATAGCGGGATTCCTGCCACGAAGATGACATTGATCCAAGCGATATGTTCATGCCAATTTGACCAAGTCACGGCCTGATTTGCGATATGTGGTTTCTTGAGGCTAGAACTCGGTCTGAACCGCGATACTGAAGGTGCTGATGAAGACATCTTCAAGCAAGGCAATTGATGTAATAATAACCACGACACCACCAAAAGAGAGAGGAAGAAATGACGGAAAATGTGTCGTGCAAGTGATAGAGAGTGGTAAACGATATAACATCAAGACAAAACTTACATTCCCGCACTTACTCATCCATTACATTAATCTCTACCATGATGCCTCATCCAAGTGACGAGTCGTCAATTTCTGTTGGGATTTCAACCACGAGTCTATTTTCAAGGATCACGCTTTAAATCATGATAAACGTGGGTCGACTTCCCCACGCGCAATCGACTCATGTCAGGGGACCGAGAATCACAAAAAAAACGCGTGTAAAAGCATGCCACGCCAAACATGTGATGCCTCGGTCCATTTGGGGATCGTGAAGATATCATGCCTGCGTGTACGTGGCACCTTGATATGTTGAGAGGATGAGGATGTTGAGTTGGGTAGGGTAGGGGGAGAGCGGGAGGTGATGGAATTGTGGAAACGTGGATGGGCTGCCGAGGCCGAGGACTGGGAAAGAGTGGAGCTGTGAAGGGCTCCACTGTGAGTGGCTGGACAATTGGAAGTGCGAATAGACCGAATATGGAAAATACTGAGTCTTTGGACAAAATCTTAGATTTGAATTTCGCGCAGACATAGTGACAAGGAGGGCTGGCATGTGAATGTGGGATGAGGGAGGTACCTTACAGGCGAGCAGCAGTCCAGCCTGGGTCCGTCGAAAGTCAACAAACTCCATCGTAGAGAGGGAGCGCGAACAAATAGTTTCTATACTTAGCATCGAATGTGTCTTAAAGAATATAATAATAAAGATATTATAAACATATGGTAGGTAGAAGCAGTTGTCAAATCACAGATCGAAGGATGCCAAAGCGAGAAACCATCTCTCTTCAAAGCATTTTAGTGATCGAGGCAAAACCAAGTGGGTGATTTTGTGTTCTCGCTTCTTTCTTCCAAGCATTATTATCGAAACGGGACGTAGGTGGAGATGTTAATTGGTCTAGAAATACGGTGGTGCTATGGTTTTTTACTTCTGACTTCGATCTGCATCATGTTGGCAGTCGATCTCCTTATCATTTAATAATCTATCCTGTATTACATCTCAGTTACGTCACACCACTCGTTTCGTCCCAGATGAAGTGTTCCTAGTTTGCACTCAATAAAACCGGGATATGAAAGACGCTGGTTCGACTAAAGCCTGTAAGCTGAGTCGTGAACTGTATGAGGAAAAGCAGGCGAGCCCCTGAAAGCTTCTCTCCGGCCGGTGTGACGATGACTATTTACTGCTAAGCGAGTCGATTGTCTAAAGCTTAAGTCACCCCTACCTAGTGTCTCCTCATCGATACCGGAATACACGTTGCTGAATAAGGTGAGTGATCTGGAGGACTCCCCAATTTTGGGAATTAGTACGTAGTGTCTTATTCTTGAATTATAGAGCTTGGCATTCAAGAAATTGTATGTATGCACGTAACATTCGCTGGATGCTAGATTGTATATGTATATTCACATCTATATTCTACAAAGATACATCCCCCTTCATTCCAGACCTCCCGTCCCCAGGTGCAGACCCAGGTCCGGGTCCAGGTCCACCTTCAGGCATATACCTCCCCATTGTATCTCCCACTCCAGATCTCAAAGGTTGTAAATCCCTCGCAATACCAACACCACTGTCTCCAAGTTTCGATGGACCTCGAATTTCGTCATACGAATGCGTGTATGGTGGATACTGGGATGCAGACTCAGGAGCAGCGGCTGCTGATACTGGTGGAGGGGCAGAGGATGATGGCTGGGATTGCGACTGAGACTGGGATGACGCAGCGGCACCGGCTCGATCCTCGAGGTCTTCGAGGCGTCGCTTCATGCGTTTTCCTATGTGGGTGGTTAGCTTTTCCTTTATAGTAACTTCTCCTTCGTATCCCCATCTACTGATGCATGTTTTATGGAAAGGAAAATAGAAGAATAGATGAACGTACGGTAATTCCTCTGCGCAATACGATTCTGGATCCGTCGCCGCTCGGCTATATCCGTGATGTACGTCCAGTCTTGATCTGGTGGTGCGGCTCGCGATGGGCCTGCTGAAGGACTTGGGTGGTCCGGCTGGGAATGAGGTTGGGGTTGTGACTGGGTGTGAGGCTTTGTAGGCGGTGGACTTTGGCGGAGTGTCTGCTCGGGCGTCCGGCGGAAGCTGTAGGTGGTGATAACCTGTGCGGGCGGGGCATTGGTTGTTCTGTCTGAACTGTGCTGTGTGCTTGTCGTAGGATCAAATTTTGACGAAGTTCCTTTCATTTTCTCCTTCTCTCTTTCATCCTCTGCCTGGCTATTACCCATGTATGCTATAAGTACTTCATCACCGGTCATAGGTCGAGGTTTTGGTTCGTAGCTGTGTCTGTCGCGATTGAAGAATTTCGTACCAGTCGTGTGAGGCTTCTTCCTCCCTAGTATCTCTACCTTTCCCGCTACCTTGCCAATGTCCGTTGCACTGCTTGTCGAACCTATGTGGCGTGGCTCAATCATGGAAGACATTTTCATCTTTTTCTCTGGCGGACCGTACCATTCTTTGGAATCATGTGAAGTTGGCTCTGTTTTGACAATGGTCTTGTGATCTGGTAGCGAAGGACTTCTTGATGCCTCTCCGTACTCGGACTTGGGAGCTATCCAGGCAAGTTTCTTATCAATCCATGATTTTTCATCGTCTGTCAATGGAATACGAGGAGGTGGTAATGTCAGAGGTACAGATGTTGTTTCCTGAGACATTGCATCTCGCTTCAACATCTGCTGTCTCATGAACTCGTTCATTTGCTCTTGAGCAGCGGAACCCTTCTCCGAAGTTTCACTGAAAGGCTGCTCATGGTTGTTTGGAACAGGCGAAAGAGTGCTCCGCAAGCTCGGATCGGGATAGGGCAGATATCGTAAGCTTGTCTCGCGAAGAGGTAAGTTCGGCTCAGCGTAGGGATTTGACCGACTCCGTTGATGACCATCAAACCTGTGTAACAAGGACTTATCGTAGGCAACAGCACCCGCTCTGTCAGTCTGATCCAAGCTTTGGAAACTGGGTAAGGTGATAGGACTACTCGAAGAATGTTTGGATCGTGACTTTTCTTCCTTGAGGACACGTTGCGCTTCATCTAAGAACCAGGGTGTTAGCTTTCCGTTAAATGTTTTTCAACTGTGTATGTCAGTGGATAATGAAAGGTTACAGAGCTTACATAGTTGTCTGCGCAAACTATCGACATAAGCTTCTGCTGGGCCATCTCTTCGCCATGTGGTCCTGTAAACACACTCCGACCCAGTATTTTCACACATCCTGCAGCGATTGAAATCTCCGTCACAATGAATATTATTCTCATAACACCGATCGCAAGCCCTTGGAGGCTCCTTTGGCGTATCTGCTTGCGTCGAAGCTGTTCTCTGCTGAGAAGATGCCGCGACCTCCTTTGCAGGTGAACCAGACCCACGACCCAGTCCCAGGAAATTCGTTGAAGTAACGTAGCCAACGAATGAACAAGCTGCATTCTCGGGAAGGAGATTCCATATAAACACAGGAATCGATAGTAGTACCAGAGCTGAAAAGCTATTGTATACAGCTTCAACTTTGGCGTATTTGACCAGTGTCGGGCAAGAGGCTAGCCACTTCTGACAAGATTCTGAGCTGAGATTTTGGTGTTTCTCTAGTGCTAGCGAGATGATGACTCGTGGGACTTCGTACTCGTCGCCTTGGATATGGTTCACCAGTTCTTGTTGGTATCCTTGCTCTCTCGATGGAGGAGTGTGAGATGTACATGACGAGCCAGACTGTCCAGCCGGACATTGGGCACTTGATGAGGGCGTCGATGAACTGGCCCCAGACATCCCAACTCTCCTTGTCATCCTCCTTCCGAGCTCGATACTGGGTAACGTCGGATCAGAGGTAGCAACAATATGAATTGGTGTTCTTCTACACTCCAATTTCCTCCTTTTCCCGTTCTGCATCCGCTCTGGTCTTTCGTGCTTCAAAATCGAGAGAACTTTATTGTGGAGCATAGCAGCCGAAAAGGGTGGACTGTCAATCCAATCTTCTAATACTTCTATCAATGCATTCGTGAAAGAGTAACGACCAGGCAAAGGAGCGATACTTTCGAATCCACAAGCAGCAATGGTTTCAGTGACGGCCGAACCTACAGCGGGTGCTGCACTCGCTGCTGCACAGCAGTCTAAAAGCAGAAGAACGTCGAAATCGGCTTTCTCGAACAGGGTCTGAATAGCTGACCATTCAAGTGAAGCGTATGCGGGATCTTGTTTACTGTTCTTCATTAGCGTCTTCTTAAAATCAGATAGGATGTCTTTCATACCATGTCCACGTTGCCCCTCGGCTGGAATTGATGCCAGCATGACCGGCGTAATACACGATAACCAAGTTTCCACTTCCATCATTTTCCTCGACGACGTCGACGACTTTGCTCATGAGCTTGAGATGAGAGTTCTTGGATGGAATCAACCATCTGTCTGTATTGAATCCGTAATCCCGGAATACTTTCTGGAGATCGTCCAGTTCCCATTCAACCTGAGCATTGATCAGTGCTGATTCAATGACTTTCGCCCCACTCAAGAATCTGACGATTTATTGTTAGGTGGAATCACTCACATTCATCTTATCATCCTCCCATCTCAGCAAGAGTACAGAGACATTGTTATATCTCGCCTTGGCCCTCCCCTCATTCGGGAACGCCCGGTCAGCAGCCTGTAAATTCTCAGCCACCCGACTTCACTTTACCAATCTCTCGAGTCAAATCCTCCCAATCCCTTGAAAACTCACATTCTGCAAATCTCTCGCAAAAGCCTCCAGATCTTTCATATGATAATCCGCTCGCCTTGTGTCGTGCGTCATAGACAATGGGCCAGAAAGCGGGGTTGCTTCATCCTGCATTTATTAGACACGTGCTTTCGACCGTATATGTAAATATTGAGATACTCACTAATGAATCCGAAGGATTTGTATTTGGAGACTCTGTCGTGTTGCCATCTCCTTCTGCAGATGATGATGATGATGCTGATGATGCAGATGAGAGGGTGATGAAAGGCTCGGCCACCGCCTCGGCATCCCCACGAGCAACCAACATTGCTTGCTCTGCTCTGCTCTGTCACGAGTCCTCACCCTCGGTTGACGTCGTGAAAAGGTCTCCCTCCGTCCGAGTACCGTGTGTTTCAGTTCCAGGTCAGATATCCAATACTCTCATCGTGAGTACAAGTCGAATCGATTCGCTATCCAAGTCGTCGTAATGAGAAAAAAAAAGAGAGCAGAAAACAGATGACGAACGTACGTTGAAGAAGGGAGAAAAGAGACAGACGCGCGCGCACAAGACAGGACTTGAATCTCGCAGCGCATCGCATCCCTGCCTGACCTGCCGGGTCATCCATCGGTGAGCAATTATTGTACCTTAACAACGCCAGAACGCCCCCCGGCGCTGACCGTGCAGCTCGCTTGAGGCCCCCGGAGAACCTCCTGGCCAGTGAGAGGCCGCTGGAGAGGAGAGGAGAGCGTTACGAGGATTACTTCGTTACCCTCTACTAGTAGGAGTCTAGGGCCTGCGAGACAGAAGGGGCAAGCGGGTTCGGACTGACTGGGTAAGGTATGTCAGCTGAGGTTCGCTCAGGTTGGCGACCTCAGGCGTTGGAGAAGTACGAAAGTACAGTAGTACTGTAGCGCTCGAGTAAGGGCAAGGGCAAGGGCGGCCTATTTCAGGGGCAGGTGGCCCGTGGCGGGTCATGCGTCAGCTTAGGAAGCGTCACTGCCCCGGCCCAGAGGACCGTTCGAGGGGCATCATCCGCTTTTGCCTGAAGGAAAGGAAAGGAGAGGGGACGAGATAGGTAGGTAAGGTAGGAGGTACTGTAGGATACGGAGCGGATGGGGAATAGAGTTCGTGGTGAGTACAGTACTTACAGTAGTACTGCATTGCATTGCATTGTCATCCGGTTGAGCTGATCAAAATTCAAGGGGCTTTGAATGATTCAGGATCCAACACTACTACTGGACGAAGCGGAGCGGATGTTACTGTACAGTACAGTACTGTACTGTACTGCCCTTATGCATAAGTGAAAATGCATGTAAATAGCCCGACTCGCTCCCTGCATACTTTGTAAATGACACCAAAATAATTAATGAACTCCGAACCGCTCATCACCCATGTAAGCAAGCCATCACATCACGCTCCCCATTTATCTGCCGCGATTTAGAGTTCTGACATTCCAATTAGGTAAGGTAAGTCTCGCTTTCGCGCCTTCGAGCCCCCACTCCGGCTTGGGCTCTCACAGTGCTCCTGCGAACGACTTACAGTCCAGCACGAAACAGATATACGAGATATGTACCTAGGTCAGCCTGCATCCCAACTCTCAGGCTAAATTGCCAATTGTCAAGTAGAGTGCGAGCTCGTGAACATCATGCCTATGATAAGCATCAGTGCACCCTAATCCTCTTGTGTAACAAGATATCCTTATTAGGTAGGCAAATCCTCGCTTTCGCTCCATCTTGCCTCGTCACACAAGAATAGGTCTCCCAGTTCATTCGACCAACGACTCGGCTACGTAAACGAGATATAAGTGTAAATTTCCAGATCCCCAATACTACACATACTTATTTTGGGCGTCTTTACTCCCATTCCCCTTTTTACAGAGGTATCTTTTTAAGGCAAGTCCTCGTTCTCGCTCCATCTCACTTTCATAAACCCAAACAATCCCCCAGCTCTCTCAGTCAAGTCTACCAAAGACTTGACAGCATAAACGAGATATAAGTATCTCCTTCTCAGTTTCCCAGTCAGATATCCAGCGGCAGAATCTGGACATTACAATCCTTATTCTAGGCATCATCGCTCCCGTTTTCTCTACTACGAGAAGGGGTTCTCATCCTATGAAATTCTCCCTTACTCTCCCTCTAGCTTTCATCACCCCACTACTGTAGCTCTTCAACCTTCTCCCATTTCATTCCAGCTAGCAACTTGCGGTATTGGGCAGAAAATATACGAGATATCGCAAGCCACTTTTCAAACCTTTTCGGCTAGATTACCAGTAGTAGAGTCTGAACTCATCAACACTGTGGTTACGAGCATCAGTGGCCCTGCTGTGTTCTGGTGTAGCAATACCCGCGCTTCAGCTCCCTCTCACTTCCATCTCGCTCCAAATAACCTCTCACAGTTCAGTCCTACAAGTAGCTCTGATCATAGACGAGATGAATACGAGATATCGCAAGCCACTATGCAAATTTCTTCCGCTAGGCTTCCAGAAGAGGAGTTCGAACTCCTCAGAAATAAATACGAGCCTCTTTGGCCATCTCTCTCCTACCATGCTTGGCAACGCATGCGAATTGGACGAAGTCATCACTTTCGCTTTCCTCTCCCCATCGCTCGAAACATAGCCTCCCTCTCACCTCTGCTGTCATCCCCCCAAACAAACGCCTCCATTTCGACTCACTCCTCTCCTCTCCTTCCTCACCTCACCTCACCTCCCTCTCCTTACTCATCTCCTTCCTCCTACTCACAAACTTCGCCACCCTCGCCGCCCACCTCACACTCCTCTCATCCACAACCCTCGCGAACCAATCCGCCGCTACAAAAATACTCACCGTGTTAACCACCACCGCAAGCGCAAACCATTGCATATACCTCCCCAGATCTTTATTCGCATCATATCCTGCCCATGCCTTCACGAGGATCTTCGTCCCGATGCAGAATAATACCGGCCCGTGCATGAGATAGAAACCGAAACTGATTCTCCCCAAGTACTGCGCGAACTTATTCGTGAAGAGGGACTGTAGATTCATCCTCCTTACGGCAGCAAACAATCTTCCTCGTAGGGGGAGGCGAGGTTGGCGATCTGGCTGTGTCTTTGCTGGAGGAGCCGACAGTGAAAGTGAGAAAGCGAGGAGCAACGAGCCGAGGATTCGCACGCCTTGGTCTTTGTCGCCGAAGAAAGGGCCTAACGAGTTGTAACTGGAGGGGATGAGTGCGTATACCCAGGTTGAGATTGGTCCTAGGACGCCGAGTGAAGGGGGGATGTGTGGGAAGGAGAGGAGGAGGAGGGAGATGATGAAGAGGATGTAGGGGATTAGGATGCGTAGGATGCGGAGAATAGGGTTGGTGAGTTTGTGGATGTGAGTAGTGTAGGGTTTCGTCTGGCGGGTGAGTTTGCTCCATGTTGAGGATGATACGCGGGAGGACGTGTCGACATCGAAGTTCATCATCTCCATGGCCTCGCTTGTTGTCGGTAACAGGCCCTCTGCTTCATCCCCATCAGGTTGCTCTCCTTTCCTCGCCTCCACTATCGCCTTCGCCTTTGCATGCCTCGGAATATCCAGATTCGCCAACAACGCACCCCCAACAAACAGAAACAAATCCCACTTCCCCATATAAAACAAATACGTATCCCAAGCCACCAGAAACGCCATCCTCCACCCAGGACTCAACTTCGCAACCGCCAAAACCGTCCCATACACCACGAACGAACCACGGATCTCTAACGGAATAGTCCACAAATGTCCGTTATAAGGCGGCGAGTAGGTCGGTCCCTCGACGTTCATTAACGGATACATGAAGATCTTCTGATTCGCCCACCAGTCCCAGAACTGCGCGGAAAAGGTACTGAATTGTTGGGGCAGGGTATTCCATCGCGGCGGGTCCGGGGTGAAGAAGTCCCAGTAGCGGAGAAGCATGCAGATGAATGTGTTTACCGCGCAAGGCAGATACAGACGCATACAGCGGCGGAACGTCGAGCTGGAAAGCGTCTCGAGAACACCGGCTGTGTCACCAGTATGGATCTTGGAGAGAGCGCGGTAGGAGATGGCGTACCCGGATATCACGAAGAAAGTTGCGACGGCGGGATGCCCGCCGAAGAGGAGGCGGATGATGGGGAGTTGGAAGAAGTAGTTGTCCGTGGGGGAGGCGCCGTAGGTGTTTTTGAGGGCGGGGAACCAGTTTACGACGAAGTGGGTCAGGTAGACGATGAAGCATGCGATGCCGCTGTTGGATATATTAGCACTTATTCATGCAGTTTTCGGGATTTACGAGGGAGGTCAAAAAATTCGGACTCCGAAACATATATTCCAGCAGCTTGAGTTCTAGGATCAAGAAAACAAAGGGAAAGAAGTCAATTACTGACCGTAGCCCATCCAGGTAAGCCGTAGGCGAGAGTCTCCGATCCTCTACTCCATTTTGGCCCTTCGAATTCTTCTGTGCTCCCCATTTCGGCACAAAACTCGGAATCAACGATACAAACATAGCTAAAACCACTGCCCAGACTTTCCCTAGCGCTCCTTTCAAGTTCAACCGTGTAATTCGTGCCAAGTCCTTTCTTCGAGGTCTTTCATCCTGGGGTTTGAGTTCTGGAGGAGTTCTTGAGGATGTTGAGCATTCTTCTTCCTTGTAGAACTCTGAGAGGAGCGAGACATGGTTCTGGGGATCGTTCTTCTCCATGATTGAGTGACTGGTGTCAGGGAAGCTCAGGTCCTGCTTGACTTCCCTGGCCTAAGATGCTCGATGACACGTAGTGTTGTGCTCTCACGAAGTCGTGAGAAACACCCCGAGTTGTTTGCTTTCCAGCTACAATCCATATATGGGGACACGGCCAGAAATCGCGAACTGTAATCTTGCGAAATTTGCGGTATTTTGCAAGATATGAATGATGATATGTTGTAGGATATTATGAAAATAAGCGTCACTGCCGATTCTGCAAACTAGATCACGACCAAGTCGTGTTTGAAAGGATGAAGAAAACGAAGGGTAAGATCAACTGTAAGAAAAGATTTCAAACAACCTCAAGTCAGCAGAAGAGAAAGCATAAAATGAGAGTTCAAACAATGACAAGTGTCACATCGTAAAGAATAGCCTACTCGTATCTGCAGATCACTGAATAAAGGGAGTAACTGGACCAGCCAATGGAAATCAGCACAGGCAAGCATCTCAAGCGCATATTGCCATCAAGCCTCAACACCGAAGACACACATCCCTGATGTCTTTGAGTAAATTAAATTCCCGTTGCTTCTCGCAAGAATGAGGCGTCGAGGGTTGAGCGCCTGTTCTACGCAACGTAGCCTCGGACGAATTAGAGTTCGGAAAATGACAGATTTGTGACAGACCACTGAGACAAAGAGGCGTTCAATATGCCAGTCTTACTTTCGGGATGAGACTTTCGGATTTTTGCATCGCTAGGGCTGACTTTACTCTACACTGCAACCTACGTGCATGAGGGTAAGGTGTAGAAACTTTTGGTAAATTACTCGTGTCATCGAAACGGTCTCTTTTCAAGTTCAAACCCTATGAGTGAGCCAAATTTAGACATAGGCTGTCAAAGCCAAATACTTCCGTCGGCGAGAGAACATTAGCAAAGCAGAGAATATCGTCAGGTACTCACAAAGGCTGGACCCAGTAAAAGTGAATTCAATCTCTTGGCGAAATGATTCTGTTAGATCTGGGTAGATTTTACGCGATGAAGCAGATCATATGGTTCCTCTAACAACATTTCGTAATTGGACTGAATCCGTCCGAACAAAATGCCAGGAGAAACAAGGGATGTGAGATCGAAAGTCTAAAATGTAAAAGAACACATTACTTAGACATGCGGCAATATGGATTCGGCGACGATCGAAGGTACCATGCCGCATGAAGGTAAGTGGCCCTGGATGCGACGCGAAGTGTGCCACGATAATACCATGCCACTTGGGCTGCAACAAAAACCATGCTGATTGATATTCTTGCTACAAATTCAGTCCTTTCCGCCCAATGGAGTATCGTGACTCGTTCTATCAGACCAAACTCAGTCGCTCCAGTCTGATCTTTGCATCTTCTACCAATGCAGATTCTCGATCCAAGGCCTCCATGATCTCAACCATCTTACCTTTCCTAATATCAGACGAAACCTTGATGTTCGGTGTTGAGGGAACGTCGTCGGACATCTTGCTCTCGATCTGGTCAAGTAGGTCTTCATGCAACTGCTTAATCTCTTCGTAACGAGCCCATGGTTCCTTTGCCTTCCTTCTGCCAAAATCATCAGACTCGCCTCCAACAATCTTACTTTCCACCATCTTGACCTCTCCAAACCAAGCCTTCTCCTTGTCGCTCAGCTCTCTAGTGGTGCCTTTCATTCCATTTCGTCGTAGCTTCTCAATCCTGTCAGAAAGCTCCTTCTGCCGTGATTTGGCTGCCTCGATGCGTTTGGTGACGCTCTCGTCAACAGAAACGGTTGGTCCGTCATCAATATCATTACCAGTAATAGCATCGACACGAGACGCAACATCATTTGCTTTCTTGATCTGAGATTTCAGCTCCACTTGAAGGTGTTGGCAACGTCGGAAGAGTTCTGCAGCAGCTATGCCGATGCGATGTGTCTCTTCGCTCAACACTTTATGGGCTTCCGCCATGATTTGCAGGGTTGCTGGAGATAGCCGAACCTCTTCCTTGAGTAATCGTTTGTATTTACTGTGCCCTAGCTTCTCGATGAAAGCTGGTAGCGCTGAGCTTTCATCCAGTGTATGTGATGGTTCATATACAGGTCGTGGCTCACACAGAATGAGAGGCCTATCAGGCTCGGAATCGTAAGTTGGGGACCGTGATCGAGAGCGACGGACCTCCGCTACTGCGTCTTTGGCTGTCTCAAAGGTCAGAGCGAGAGGTCCATAAGGTGTAGCTGACAATAACATGTGTCCCAGATCAGGGTCAAGCAGTAGAGTGCTAGCGGCCAGTGAAGAGGAAGGCTCGACGGGATTTTGGGTATAAATTCGTTGGCGCATAGAATTGTCGGCTCTGGCCATAATATCAATGCGAAACTCAGCGCCATGTGTAGCTTCTTTTAGGTCTCCATCTAGGCGGAAAACCCAAGGATGAAGCGAGACGAAAGTGATGCTAGAGGTATTGGTAATGTAGAATGAATAGCGCGAGGTCACATCATGACTGAAAACTGGCCAATCTTTCTCGTTGACTTCGCTTCCCTTGGAAGTATCAAGAACCTCGAACGTGAGCAGAGTTGGAGAGTCCAAGGATTCGTCCAGAAGTCGTGCAGATTTTGATTTCGACTTTGGCAGCCACTGCGCTTCAACGCCATCCAAATCCAAGCAGATAGAAAGTCTGCCACTACTCGTTAGAAGACAGATGATTCCGAACGAAGCACCCTCCTTATCAACGTCGTCGCTTAAGATATCTACTTCCTCGCCTGACATTAGTTGTTCATCATCAATCTTGGCCCCAATGATATAGATGTCGCTGAGTAAACTGTCAAGTTCCCTGTCCGACTCATCTGGTGCCAGCTCTACATCGAATGGTCCTTGCAACTTGGGGATTTTTCCAGGCTTTGAGGGCCTTGAAAATACTTCTGCTGAACGTTCCCCAGGAGGTGCTTCGACATGTACTGGGTCCTGGTCGTCGATCTCTTTCATCCATGCCAACTGTTGTTGTCCGAGCGCCTTCATGTTCGCAGGAATGGATGGGTCATCTTCTATGGTGGCGAGTTTCGCAACAATGGAGACGGACAACGATGGTATGAGAGCTGATGGCGGGGACCATTTCTCTGGCAGCAAAGGGCATAGAGCATAGACGTCGCCTTCTCTCATAGCAATCCAGAGAGTCATGGGTGACCATCCACCACTGCCTCGTCCTGCAAAACAAGCCGATGCGACATCCATCTCAACTGAATCTGGCGAGAAGCTCTTGTTGCCACCAACAGAAGCTCCAAAGTCTTCATCAACGGAAATGCCATCTGCTAATTTCTTGAGGTCGATTGCCAGTGTTGGTCTGTCGAAAGACCATCGATCCGCACTAGAAAGCTCCCATATCCGTACAATGGCGTCTACTGTTACAGTCACCAGACAAGTACCATTGACGCCCAGAGGATGCCATAGCGCTGAAGCTATCCCGGCTTGAGATGTGACATGTGTCGTCGGTCCTAAGGTGTAGGATTTCAGCTTCATCGGGCTGGTATCAGCAGCAGTAAGGAGGGCAGGCTCCGGCAAGATCGCAATATGGACGGTATGTGTAGTCAAGATGGCGATGAAGTTTCCATTGGGGGAGATGACCAGTTGTCTGATGTCGTCCGCAACTTGTGTCTTTATGGTCTGTAATGGAGGTTCAGTACTTCGACATATGAATGAGCTTGGTAGATAACGTACCCGATATCCTTGAGCATGGTCCGCCTCATACTGACTGCTTTCTCTAAAGCCTCTGTCATCACCTCCTTTCCGTGAAGCAGCTTTCTTAGCCTCCTTGTATTCCCAGCCCTGCTTCAAGTAAACAAGGTCCGCCCATCGGATTTCCTTCCCAACAGCTATGAAGACCTCTGTTCCACGTCGCGCAATTGTTCTCCGCGGCCCGGGCTTCGCAGATCTCTTGCTCGCAGAGTCTGTTCCATTGGATTGAGATAGGAAGTTGCTAGTAGCTTTGGCGGGAGTTGGAGTGAAGACGCCATGCCCAGGGTAGGGTTTTTGAAGCCATGCAGGCGTGTATTCGGCGATTGTCTGCTTTTGCATCTCGGCGTGTTCAGCTCAGCGAAAAGCTTCGGAAGTTGAACAGACCCTCAAATATATTTAAGAGTCATGGGCTATTACCGTGACATGGGCGAATGATCGCGAGTTTGTTACTTCTGGACAAAGGGCGAGATATTTGAGGCTGGATGGGAACCTTGTCAAGCTAGCGCGTCGCGAAACTGAAGCTCTCTAATTCAATTCCCAACTCTCCAGAACTGCTTGTTGCTTGCTTGCCTTGTTCTGCGAGACATCACACAACATAAAATGCCTGGAACGATACGGAATACCGTTGACAGACTTGATAAGCCAAGTGCTTATTACCAGGGAAGAGTAAGTAGTCTTTCTTTCTTTGCACCCTGTTCAAAGCTGCGCAGTGTTGACGAGACCTTCGCTTTCAGAATAAGAAACGCAGGTACAACGACCGGGAGGGAGACGAGGGAAGAGAGCGTACACCAGAAGAGGCAGCTGAGGACCCTCTGAAAGATGCAGCCACCCTCTACGTTGGAAATCTGTAGGTTTAATGAAATTGGCGCATGGGACAAGCAGTTCTAATGAGGTACTCGCAGGTCCTTCTACACAACAGAAGAACAGATTCACGAGCTCTTTTCAAAGTGCGGAGAGATCAAACGGTTGATTATGGGGTTGGATAGATTCAATAAGACGCCGTGTGGTTTCTGCTTCGTGGAATACTACACCCATCAAGATGCGTTGGATTGTATGAAATATATTGGAGGGACCAAGCTGGACGAGCGGATCATTCGAACAGATCTTGATCCTGGATTTCAAGAGGGAAGACAATATGGGCGGGGAAAATCTGGCGGCCAAGTGCGCGATGAGTACCGGGAGGAATATGATGAGGGTAGAGGAGGGCTGGGTCGTGCTATTCAGGCAGAGAGAGTGAAGGAGGAAGAAGAGTACGGTAAGGGTAGATAGTGTGGCAGCATTGTGTGTTTCTGAAGGCGTTTGGAGGCGTCCAGGAAAATGGGTTGGTAGACATGTCTTCCAGAGGAAATACCATGGATTTATGAATTGTTCATAGGCACGACGAAAGCCTTCAGACATCAACCGACTTGATATGCACCTCTTACATTCAAGCCACCTCTATGATATACAACACAATCCGAACGCCACCCATGTCTTCTTGTACACTGGTATATCATACACTCATCATCCATTCCGCATCTCCTCAGTAACCAGGAGGATTGACTCGTTGGGACACTCTCGTCCATTTCGGCAGTTCTGTACGAGTATCAGTATACTACCGAATATCTTTCCTGACTTTAAAGCCTACTTCGAATGCTCTTCCTGTACTTCTTCTCCTTTCTGTCAAAAATGGTGTATTTGTCCTTCGGCACCATCTCCTGCTCAATTGGCATCTCTTCCTTCCATCTCTCCACAGCCTTCATCGTGGCACCCTGCTTTGCTAATGCATTATCAAGCACTGCTACAACCGTATCGACAGCCCTTAGACGCTTCCGTTGTCGCGCTTTCTGGAATTTTGAGAGCCGCCATGGGATCTTCCTATATTTCGATTGCCGTCAGCAGACATTCTGGAAGGGCACAATAACCTGCTCAGGCGAAGCAACTTACCAGAGAAGTCCCGAGCATAATGAATTCGTGGGTCTGAAAGCTCCGAACATTGTGGTGGTGTTGGATTCGGATCGAACGTCTGCAAAGATGTGAAGTTCAAGCTTGCCCCAAGAATTATTGATGCCAAGACATTCAAGGTCCACTCAGTCAGCCGCTTCACTCCACCTTTGAACTTCAACACAAGCTTAAAAGCCAACATTCGAGCTCACCAATCGCAAAGATGTCGTATTACTTCGCGATTATTGGGACGCAGGATAATCCACTGTTCGAGTACGAGTTCGGAACATCAAAGCAGGGTGGAGATGGTATCGCGCGGTTTGCAGAGCAGGCACGGCATGTAAATCAGTTCATCGTCCACAGCAGCTTGGATATTGTGGAGGAGGTACAATGGGGGAGTGGACAGATGTGAGAAAGCCCTACCGGCCACTGTGTGATTGATATCTGATCAGTTTAGGTATCTCAAGTGCATTGATCGCTTCTACAACAACTACGTTTCCTGCTTCATCACAGGTGGAAGTATGACTCCACTTCCATTTTCAAGGACCGTCTCACTAATAGGAACATAGACGTCAAATTTCTTCTGCTTCATGCCCCATCACAGCCTGCTACTACGACTACCAGCCGAGCAAGTACTTCTATCGCCGCAAACCCGACCTCGCCACAAACAGAGGAAGCAATTAAACAGTTTTTTGGGGAAGTGTACGAGAATTGGGTTAAGACCATCATGAACCCTTTCTACCAGGTCAACATGGAAGTGAAGAGTCCGATTTTCAGGAGTCGGGTGGCTGCAGCAGGAAAGAAGTATTTGTGAGCTGGTACATGTGTGATAGCATGTTTTCGATCAGCGAGCAGCCACTCCAGTCTGCCTACCGCCACTGGGATGAGGAGCTTAAGCTCAGATTCCCCGATCATTTCATAAAAGGGACAAATTGTCTTGGCGACAAGACTGACTGTTTGCCACGAAGATCAGCGGCTAGCAATCTTCGTGAAACAGGGGACGAGAATGAGAACATCCGCGGTGCGTCAACAAATTCTCAGATAATGGCAGGCGTCAGAGTAGACTACCATGACAGGAAGACGTTGGACTTCGGCGATGCATTGCAGAACCCAAAATTGAGCATGGAAGACGGAGCCAATCTCAGCAGCTCAGAGTCAATTTTGAGAATCGACAACCTCATCAATATCCTTTGACAGGATTGCCTGGGACTATAAGACGCTGCATATCGATTACTGCAAAAGTCATATTCAGACTGTGATCGTCAGCGAAGTCAATAGGGTTTCAACACGATGTACGCCTGTCGCGACCTTTGAACGACTCCATTCAGAAGACCGATCACAGGCAAATCTGTGCCAAGCTATGACGGGCTTGTTTACTTTCACCCGCAGCTCGCGTCACCTACACCTCAATCTGACATCACCCACAACATCCGAGGGTTTGCAGATCTTAGAATGCTGTCACCAGCTGTCAATAAAGTTCATCAAACAAGCATGATTCAATCAGTCTCACAGAACATTTCAGTTTTCTTCCTGTTCCAGAAATGCCTTTATTACAGAAAGGTCACCTTGCCCACACCAACAGCTTCCCCTACAACACCCAAACGTAACGCATCTTGCAGTACCGGTGGCTCAATAAGTCCAATCCCACATACAGTTTCTCATACTCCTTTTTAGCATAAGTCTGCTGCTGTCTAGAAAAGCACCACAAATCTTATCCTGGGATTGATCAAACCAATTAGCACCATGACCCATCATCTCTCCCAACTGGTGTACCTGTTCACGGTGTTTGACCCATGGTTCATTATGATTAGTATCGCAGCCGCCACTTATGTTACGTACAGCCCCTACGTCATACAAAGGAAGGACTACATGTTCCCAGTCCAGTTGCAAAGCCCAACAGCAAGAATCGACAGGTGCTCCAAGCTCAAAAAATCAACAGAGCGATCGAAAATCGTGGTGATGAACGAGAACAGAGGTACTTAACATCTGGTCGTTGAGCTTGCCTAGGATTGAGACGACACCAAAACCCGGCTGTCTCAAAATCAAGTTGCATTTTAGAAGATGTACTATTGAGACTGATCGATTATTGCTTTCAATTTTCTCGATGCAGAACAGTCGCGCTAGCCTATTCAAAGTCAGCTTATCCGTTTTGTTCAGCATCAAAATGACCAAGCAGGGAATTCGTGGTATTCGTACCTGATGACTAGGAAACAACAGCACATCAGCCACAACGACATTCTCCCTCCTACTCGCCTGAAAAACAATAACTTCGGCAACATCCTCTGCCGTCAATGGTTCACAGCCCTCATACACCTTCGCTGCAGCTTTCTTATCACCCCCAAAACTCACAATCGAGAACTCCGTCTCGACCTGCCCAGGCGCAACTTCCATAACGCGAATTTTGGTCCCGATCAGCTCTCGTCTGAGTGCATCAGAATAGCTATTCACTGCGGATTTAGTGGCGCAGTAGATGCTACACCACCAGGGTAGGCTTCATGACCAGCGATGCTGTTGAGATTAATTATGTCGCCTTTGTTTCGACGAAGCATGGTGGGTAGCATCGCTTGGGTCATGTTGATGAGACCTGTTACATTGGTGGCGAACATGATGTCTATATCTGCTGGTGAAATACTAGGGCTTTTGGCCATGCCTCCCAAAGCTAGCCCACTGGAGATTATATCCCCATCAGCTCTGATTTCTCATATTACGCAGACAACTAAAAATCGCATCGAGTTGCTTACGCATTGTTAACAAGCACATCGATATCCCTCCACTCCTCTGGTAGCTTCTCCAAGAATCCATGTATATCTTCAGGTCTACTGACATCCAGCTGCACACTCAAGATCTTGACCTCATTTCCAACTTCGGCGTTTATCTCAGCAGCTACTTTCTTGAGGACTTCTATCCGGCGGGCAGTGAGTATGAGACGGAGTGACTGCGGACTGCAGCGCGCAAATTCAAAAGCGGTGCTGCGACCAATACCGGACGAGGCACCGGTTATGAGTATAGTTTTACCAACGAGGTTATGAAACATACTCAGAGTTTCGCTTTATAGCAGTCAGAATATATAACATAGATTTATGCTGCTCTGGAATGCAGAATGATGCTTCCCGTTGTCCATTCTGCCGTTGACTTGAGTGCGGGGTGATTGGCGGAGTCAGTTCCCCACCTTGAAGTAATGGAAAGACCGGCCGCCTGAGTCTCTGTTGAATGCAATTTTGTATTTTCTTCGTTTTCACTTGATCGATTATCTGGGAAAGGGACTCCTCAAAAAGGCTTCAATAGAAAACATTAATGCTGTCCACAACTCCCCTGGCCAACATCGCTTAATCTCTCTAGTGAAGGCATGGGAGTATCTTTTCGGGATACAATTATGGTAATTGTACATTCTATTTACTTATCTTCTCTTATATATTACTCTCTGAACGATACCACAGCTTTTCCTACAGCGGATACTCTAATGCAAGCGATGAATAGTCAAAAAAGATGAATATTCGCCATCAAATTGTCCAATGGTGCGTGGCCGCCACGACCGTCAGGACTTGATAGCACCAAGAGGTACCTAAACAGATCCCTGCACCACTGATAGGATTCCCATGGATAGGATCAAGATCGTACTCAATACTGGCGCCCCACAAGCTATCATCGAGGGAATGTGTCTATGCTGACTGACTACCATGTTGGAAGTCCATACACAATAATCGAAGGCAGACCTTACGAGGGGAAACATCTGATACACCAGCATCGTAATCACTGTGGTTTCTGAGCGATGATGTCACAAGTGGATGTGAAAGTCATATCTTACAGTGAATCTGCACGGGTACTGGTTTCATTCCACGCATTTACTTCATGCAAGCGGAGTCTCGAGGAATTCGGAAATCGTGTTCGTCTTCGGCTTCGTAGTCCAGAAATCCTGTACTCATGCACACTCACCCCATTCCGATTATCTCCACATGCCCAGGACGCACAAGAATGAATGGGCTAGTGACGAGTCGTGCATTCGTGGTCGTCGTGTTAAAGTTCTCACCCAGGAAGCTAGACACTGCAGGTCTTGAAGCCTGTGTTCGGCATAAAACGTCCCGAGAAAGTTATGGAGTGCAAGACCAGCTGTAACTTCTTATCACATTAGTTCACAGGGTTCTGTTCGATGCTAATCAGAGCCTGGATGTATGCTGAAAGGGCTCGAAGGGGTCTTTGTCATATTTGATTTTGGTCGGGTGTCGAAAACGGTTGTGGCTGAGGAAATTCCCCGGAGGTCGAGCTTAAGCGGGTGTCGATCAGGGGGTTCGCTAATGGCCATCGTTGAAAACAAGAACGGGAGAAAAGACCACACTGAGTACTGCGGGATTTTTCTGGCAATTTAGCAGAAAATAGCTTGTTTGATAACTCCCCTCTTCGATTCAAATATTTATAAAGCATATGTGGGGTGGAAGGAGATCCGCTGCATAATACAACATCCTCGGCTTCGTGGATGCAGATCGAGGCATGAACATCCTTAGCGTATCCGTATTCGTATGCACAATATTCACTACTCCACCCCAAAAAGCAGTACTACCACTTCAGATGCTCACAAGTGCCGGCTTGTCCTAAGATCGTCAGAGCAAAGTAAAAGCCATGCCGGGTAATGATCATATACCGGGCGGCCAAGAAAATATCCCGCCAATGATCCCACAAAGAAAATGAATGACTCCAGGTGCAGGTTCAATCCGTGGTTTCGAAACAAGAAACATTTCAGACGGCTAAAACTCCCCACGCGGCGATCGATCTCTTTCTAGATGAGACAGCAAACTCAAAGACTGCTGATCGCATCTGTCCTACGACACATCGTTTACGAATACGCTCCATAGTTTCACTTGCATATTGCACAGAAGCACTGCTGTAACATCCATTCTTGGAATGGCTTCGTCTGATTTTCGAACAATTATATTTCGGCCAGTTCCCAAAACCTCTGTAGCATCTTTTCCAAATGTCATTCGCTTAAGCAAATAAGAAATTCACAGCTTTGCAAGATGACTTCCGAACCTAGTGTGAATCCGAAAGGGCTCATGAATTCTGCCTTCAGCTCTCCAATCTTATTGAGCGCTGCTGGATTGCTCGTCGTCGTTTCCTTCATTAGAATTCTATTGAATCGCCCAAAGAAGCTCGACCTACCAGTTGTAGAAATTCCCGATAGCAGTGATCAACGCGAGGCTTTGCTTCAAGGAACTGCACGAGTGAGTCAACTATGGATCCTCATACCTGGATAAACAAGCTGACGGTCAACATAGTACCCAGATAGCCCATTCATCATACAATCACGCCCACCACTTGTGATCCTCCCCATTTCAGTCATAAATGAGGTCAGGAATCTTCCTGAGAACAAGGCTTCATTCATGAAAGATGTCCGCAGACAGATGGCGTACAAGCAAACTGATATTGGTGGAGAGCAGCCTGCGGTTATTCAGGCCGTGAAGATTGACCTCACAAGGCATATCGCGAGCACACTGGACGACTTACAAGAAGAGATTCAGTATGGCTTCGATAAGGAATTCGGACCATGCGAGGACTGGACCCCGATCAGTCTGTACGGCAAGCTGACGCGAGTTGTGGCTCTACTCAGTGGAAGAGTCTTCGTTGGTCGGCCTCTGAGCCGCGATGAGGAGTGGATCCAGGCTACTGTCATGTACACATTCTATTCCATGCAAGCAAAAAACGCCGTCAACGCTTATCATCCATACCTCCGATCAATTGTTGCTCCCTTTATTCCTGAGCTCCAAAATCTGAAGGAGTTCAGAAAACGAGGAGCCGAGCTTCTGATGCCCATCCTTCAGCAACAGTTGGCGAAAGAGAATAACGAGAAAATTCACCGAGATGATAATGACGATGAACAGGGAACAATGATTTCTTGGATTTTGAACCATACTCCGAAGAACCAGAGATCTGATCCGATGGTCTTGGGGAATAATCAGATGGGCTGTAAGTTAATTTACACTTTAGCCATTGGCACTCAACTCACATCCTGCTGTTAGTATCAATGGCAGCAATTCATACGACCTCAATGGCTACTACGGCAGCAATATACGACTTGGCAACTTATCCTGAATACATCCAGCCGTTACGGGATGAGATCCAGCAGGTCATAGGTGAAGACGGCCAAGATGTTGACGGGGATGGGATGATGCGACTCAAAAAGTCAAGCATGCCGAAGCTTTGGAAACTCGATAGTTTCCTCAAGGAAAGCCAGCGATTTACGCCTCCCCAGTTGCGTAAGTTCGTCGATCACAGTCGTAGTGGTTCATTCTGACAGTAGAACGCAGCAAGTGGTAATCGAGTCACGACATCCGACTTGACACTTTCAACGGGGCACACCCTCCCCAAAGGCACTCGCTTCGGTTTTGCAGGATGGGCAATCCACCAGTCCGCAACCACACCGTCATTCAACCCAGCGAACAACCCTTCTTCTAAGCCCGTGAGCGAGTTTGATGGTCTCCGCTACTACAATCTTCGCAAGATCCCTGGCAACGAAAACAAGCACCAATACGTGACCACTTCACCAGACTCATTGAATTTCGGTCACGGAAACCATGCATGTCCTGGGAGATTCTTTGCCAGCAATGAGATCAAGGTTGTACTGATTGAACTACTGAAGAGCTGGGAATTTAGATTCAAGGGGGACTTGGAGGCTCAGGGAGGGGCGGAGAGGCGGCCAAAGAACATGTATTTTGATGTCACATGTGTGCCAAATACACAGGCAGAGCTGGAGCTTAGGAGACGTAAGTAGAGTAGCAACTATCAAAGTCCCGAACCGTAGATTCCCGCTGGGGCATGTCAGTGATCAGTCATGACGCAAAAGAATGTTACGCAATATCTCTCGGAGCAAGTTTTGAATTGGAATAGAACTTTCTTGAGATTGATTTGAGGTTGAAATTTGTTGAGCGCAATTCGGTACAGCTGGAGCCTAATCTAAGACTTGTCACCATCTTGCAACTCTCGAGAATACCGGGTGCAAGCCTAGTGGAAGAGCGATGAGTACCATTTCAGTCCTACTGGAAGAGAGTTGAGTACCATTTCAGTTAAAGCTGGTCCATGCCGCCTATAGACTGCTCACAATCCTCGAGAGGCCGATCTCATCCTTATACAAGACAGCAGTCAGGACGCCATAAGTAAATTATAAGTCGAAAGACTGGAAATCAAAGACTGACCCGGATCTCAACCTGTTCTCCCAGTAGAGTTTCTTCTCGGGTCTGCTACGCAATGTCCTAGAGTTTCTCAGACGGACCATGATGTTGCCTTTATGTGTCGCTAGCTGAGCATTCTGCTCTATCCAGGTTTCTATCTTGAAGTTATTCAGATCGTGGACACATAGTGGGGCTGTGTTGTTCCAATGAACAATTCCGTAGCTGAAGTGATCAAGATCTCCAGCAGTGTCCAAATAGATTTCCTCCTTCTATTGGCTTGTGCTGGGGAAGATTACTGCTAACTTCGGTCCAGAGTAGGGCTTTGTGGGATCGCACTGTCGGACTAAAGATCCGCGGATGTTTTCGAATGTATCTTCCATGAGATCCTGCATGTATTCCCAATCCTCTCTTTCATTTCTATTCCAAGTCCTGACTTCAAGCGGAGGGTGACGAGTTCAAGACTGGTCATGCCTTTCAAACTAATCTTTGGCCCGCCCCTGCCCAGCCCCATGTGATCAGCAACTGGTTTGGGTGTAATCTCAAGTTTCTTGATACGTGCCATGTCGTCCTCGTCGAGAGATATCGCTTCAACAAATAACAACATCGACGAAAAGCAGATACTGTCCAGATTGAAGTTCAGGTAATACCCCCTCTTCCCGTCGTATTCAATGAAGTGACGAGCGTAGTTCTCGAGGAAATCCTGACGAGCCTCGCGGTTGACTAGTATATATTGCTCCTGGTCATCGGAAGGCTGGCGACCTCTATACCAGAGTATCACACGACGGGGCCTAAATAAGACTTTCCATATTTTGAAGCGCAATTCGGTAGGAAGACGCGGAAATGGAGTGAAGGTCGGGCCCTCCGTCGTGCCACGACGTGGGTGAGTGGTTTGCAACAGGCTGTTGTGTGGGGCCATGCTGGAGGTTTGAGAGTAGAGATTGTGATCCTTACTGAGCTGAAATTCTTTCCACAGTTTATCTGGTCAGGTGACTGAGAGACGATTCTCGTGGTCATCAATGGTGGGTGTTGGGTTGAATTGAGGTGAGTCCGGCAGTGCTCTACATCATGGATGGTATTTATATTAATAGTTTTAAGAATAACAGATCATTGCAAAATGCTGTCTTTGTTCAGTGGCTTGGAGCTGATACAAAGAAGATTGGGAACTAGCCACTTAGAGTCTGTGTTTTGAACGAAGATCATATAGACATTGTTTGTCAAAGAGCTCTACAACTGTTCAACAAAACAAAGGAATGAGGGCAAAAATCAACAATGAGAATTTTCTGTGGAGTGAAGGCTGCTCATTCATCCAGTGGAAGTGACATGTTAAAACCAATATCATTAAGCGATTATGCCTACCTGTACTGAAATAACTATGCACAATCAGAGTGACAAATGGGCAACATTTGACTTGATTTGCGTATGGTTTTACTCGAGATATAGGTAATGCTTAATCAGAATAAGAAACACCTCAAGAGGAGAAAAAGAAGAGGTTAGAAAATACTAATAGGATAGAGTGCTGGAAGATGCAAAGAAGGGCGGAGGAGTAGCAGTAGAAAATTTGATAGTTGGGCTTAATTCGATAGTGAATGACATTCCAGCTGTAGAGACTAGGTAAAAGATCGCCCCTAGAGATCTTCACCGTTAAGAGTTAAGTTTTGTGAACCGTGTCATTACTGAATCTGAAGTGCTGTGTTGATCAGTAGTTTGACTCAATGAGGTATGAGCTAAAGACTCGCTTAAGCATGTTTACAGTCACTAAAACTTGCACACATCGTTCATCGTCTTGTTCACCCATGAGCCATCGCAGGATTCTGGGACTATATAGTAGTAGACAATGAAAACCAGGCGAAATGACTATGTACATAGGCAGGATCTGAAGGCGCGCCACAGAGGAGCGGGCTGTCCGGACTCCGGCTGCCGTGTGATTCTCAAAGTTGAAGGTACCGGCTTCGAATGGTTGTCACCTGGCATGTGGATGGTGAGAATAATAGAGTGGGGAGATTATCAGATGACAACTTGATTTCAATTCAGGGCAACCTAGTACGGGCAAAAGTTTAATGTTCTGGTACAGACAGGCTTTGTCAGAAATCACAATCACCCAGCTCAATCGAACGCATGAATATGTGTGCCATCGTCGTCTCAGAAATATGATCCTGTACTACTGTTGAACTCAATCCGTTGAAAGATATTTTTAATTGCATTACCGCTCGCACAAGTGAGGATCGTGGGGCAGGGCAGGAGCGTGTTTAGCATTTGTCCCCAACAACCATTATGTTGTAATGGTCTGGGTCCCACTCCTCTATGACAATATTAGAAACCAATCTCATAGATTTCAACATAAGAGAATCAAAAATGTATAATTATCACAGGAATGATAGGACTTATGACCACAAACCCAGCTGTAGCCAGAAGTCAGGACGCTTGCAGCAGCCGTCGTCGAGAATATCTTGAGCGTAAGAAGCCATGTAGGCACAGCTTAAGTCTAGGCGATGATCGTTCTTGGAAGTCAGGTTAGTTCTTGATGTTCTTAGAGAGCATCGAAGCAGGTCAATTTGGTGTGCTCACATCGTTGCACATAAATATGGCGCTGTTGTAAGAGCATGAGATTCGGACACATGCCTTGGGGCCAGTGTTGCAGATTCCGTTGAAGTTCCGTAGATACGTGATGCCCTCTTTGATGCGTGCGGCACTGGCGTCTTTCCAATTGCTTGGGAACTTGTCGCATTTGCAGCATTTGCGGGTGCTCTGCGACAAACGTAAGCTTTCGTGTAGACTGGAGTCCTGGCAAGTGACAAACCTTCGTCCGATCAGTCAGTAGAATGTGGTCGTCGCGAGTAGTAAGCCCATCATCTGAGGAGTTAGACGGAGCAGAAAGGCTTTCAAGCGATGATCGAGATCGGTATTTCCAGGTTGGTGGGGTCCAGCTGGGGTGGTCGTGCTTCGCTTTGTCCATGATTTGCTGTTTCAAGTCAATTAACTGCTTCGAGACATTGGAATTAGGCAAAGAATACCTCAACTGTGCCACTGAGGGTGACTGGAATGCCATCAATGGTGCCACTGAAGCCAAGAGTCTCCAGGGTATAGCCCGATGGCAAGCTGAAAGAACCGACGGAAGCATTCTCGTAAAATGAGGTCTCTGGTAGGGTGGCAGTAAGGACCTGACCACTTATAAGCTCATACCTGTGAGAAACGGAGGTGAGTAGATGCATACCAAAGGAACCGAGCAGAGGAAGAGCATCGAGCTCCAGAGTCTTGACATGATTCTCAGCATTATTGCGATCAGGGTTCTTGCGGGATAGCGGGAATGGTACTACGTTGCACCTGACGAAGAGTAGATGGTACCTTCCGCGAAAGTAAAACAATGGTTGGGGGTCATGTCAAGATAGAAAGAAGAAAGAGCCATCTGCGCCCGAAGAGTATTTATAAGCAGAAAAGTGAATGGGGCAGACGAAATTGTGCGGAATTGAGTTTGAATACACTAATTGGTAATTAATGAATTACGCAATTCACTTTCATGAGAGCAGACTACCACACAATATGTTGACAGCTTCAAGTAAAAGCTGAGTTGGAAATGGGGGTGATTTAACGGACCTTCATGCAGTCGTCCCTTCTGTTTTTGAAAAATCAAGTCCATTATCACTTAAATGTACCTCAGGAACAGAGCTCCAATTTTGTTGATATACATCGAGCCGATTAATTGACCTGGTAATTTACTTCACGTGTCTCAAGATCAGAATAATTTGTATGGGGGAAAAAGAACTGAGAGTACTACTTACAGCAGACCTAAAGGCGATAACCCCACAGCGTGCGCAGCAATTGAGAAGGAGGAGTTTAAATCATCTAGAACTATTGAGATTCAACTGTCGAAAGTCTGGCTGTGAAACACCGTATTGGAAGAACGATGAAGTCTAGCGTTCTCCGTCCACCAACCGAGTCGATCTCCAGCTGGGCTGTGCCATACTGGAATCTCACTTGAGTTCCCACTGCCGGAGTCGGAGACATTTCCGAGGCTGGAAGTGGCGCTAAGCGCTTCTCGATGTCTGCCATCCCATCTGATATCTGTTGATATGTTTATGGCAAAGTTCAACACTTCGTATCAACAGAGAAACTGCCATACTTACGTCGAGAAGGAGTTTGTCTGATAAGGCACATCAAAAATAGAGGTGTGAAGCAAAAGACAGCTTGATAAATTCAATTTGGCCATGGCAGGGAAAGCTTGAGATGATTGACAGAGTGAACCAGATTGCTGGATTGCTACATGTTTTGAAAGCATAATCTGAACAAACGATTGGCCAATCAAAACCGACTGCGTGTCGACTGTCAGCATACCTTACGGAGGTATTGACGTTGGTCGAGGTAAATCATCACCATGCTGGGTACCCAATTTGGAATTCGCCAATGAGATGCATTTGCGGACGAAATATTGGTACGTCCTGCATATGCTCGGATGCAAGATAAAGCTCGGGCTCGGATGCGATGACCAAATATGATCAGCAGACTCAGCCATGGGAAGTTCTCTGAAGGAAGAATAGGTCCATGCCTGGCCCCTGATGGCAAGAACCCGCGGGCCGAAGTGGAGCGGTATAATGACATGTACGAAAGTACAGCTTGTAACACAACCAAAGCTATCTCGCGGCGACTATATAGTTGATTTTGCTGCGACTATGATCGGGATGAACCAAAGACCGGGGAAGGATGTTGATGTTGCGTCGCTCCAGCGAGCAGGTTGGTCATATCTATGCTATCGGCTGGCGAGCCTTGGCAACCAAGCCTCTTTCTGTGCGGTCCCGAGACGCTTGCTTGCGTGAGATCTTCATCCCGATCTCCATCGATATCTAAGTTTTCACTCCGTCAGCTTTCGGTCAAATCGGGCATGCGGCTTTGCCATCACTCTCAGCGGCTCCACTGCGGGATGCCGTACAAGTGCGCCTGTAAAACGTGGTGAACGGGCACAGCACGGCAGAATGTGGAGTAAAAACAGCCCTGTGGCCCAGGTGGGTGCATGCTATCTGCCCGCATTCGTTGCATGAGAGCTACAAGACTTGGGCTTTCCTGCAACAAAGAGACTTGTGATAGCTTCGCTACACATTTTTCGCGCTGACCGACCGGTCGCGTAAAGCCAATCCATGTTCAAAGTGGTTTGTGGAGTGGGCAAGTTCCCGGGGAGGGTGAAGAAATGCATCCCAGCATCGGCTCTTTTTGAAGCTCTTTCCTTCCAGGTTTACATTTTCTGCCAATTTCTGAGCTCCATTCTCTCTATACTAATAAGAGTATATCATTGATTTCTTCCATCAGATCGGTTCAATATGTTGACAGAATCAGTTGCTTTTGCTTCGCCCAGATCATGGCAGGACATCAGAGATGCAAAGAAAGCGGAGCAAGCTGCACGGATTCCGGTCGAATGGAGGCTGACAGAGTTTCCTCTTGCTGGAACAATCGACGTACGGCCTGTTGCTAGTACATGCGGGATTCTGTCTGGACGAGAATTGAAGATTACAGGGAATTCATACGACGCGACATCCTTGGCTTCAGCCATCGCGAATGGCATTTATTCTGCGGAGGAGGTTGCCGTGGCTTTCTGCAAACGAGCTGCTGTTGGACACCAACTATGTAATAATCTTACTGAAATCATGTTCCTGGATGCGATTGATGAAGCCAAAAGGTTAGATCAGTATTTCCAAGAGACTGGCAAGACTGTGGGACCTCTGCATGGCTTGCCGATGACTTTCAAGGCAGGCACCCCCAATATGCACCAAGTTTCAACTTCCTTGGTAACTGTTCTGTAGGAATGCTTTCATATCAAAGGCTACGATTACTCTAATGGGTACATTTCGAAAGCTTTCAACCCGTCCTCATCCACCACATATGTCATCGAACTCGTGAAGGCAGCTGGAGCAGTTGTAATTGCAAAGACAAACGTTCCACAGACAATGTTGGTCGCGGAAGCTGATAACAATGTATTTGGTCAAACAAAGAATCCAGTAGTATACCATCTCACCTGCGGTGGAAGTAGTGGGGGAGAAGGCTCGAATATGGCTTTCCGAGGGTCTGCAATTGGAGTCGGTACCGATGTTGGGGGATCAGTCCGGTAGGCGTCCTGACAGGCAGCTCAAACATTCTCTCTAACGTCAAGCAGTATTCCTGCTGCGGCAAACGGTGTTTATGGATTCAAACCGACTTGTGGACTATTGCCGTTTCATGGCTATGCAGCATCAGGTTATACTGGAGTGAATACTGGCATCTCTGCCACGCTTGGGCCACTCGCTCAATCCGTTCGTGACCTTGCACTCTTCACACGCGTCGTACGAGATGCAAAGCCCTGGTGTGTTGATCCCGCGGTTGTGCCACAAGTTTTCGAGCAGGGGATGATATCTCGCAAACCCGTCGTGGGTGTGATTTCTAGTAGCGGACTCACTCCTCATCCACCTCTGAGACGAGCCCTTCAAGATGCTGCGATGAAGTTGAAAGCTGCTGGTTTCAATGTGAAAGAATTTGTTCCACCAAATTTGACCAGTATTCGTGAGGTGACTGCGGAACTCTTCACTCTGGACGGTCTTTCGTACCAAAAGGACACTTTAGCAGAATCAGGCGAACCTCCGGTTCAGGCAGTGCTAGATATTGGTTTCTGGAACATGCCGCGGAAATCTCAAGAGGAGACTTGGGCATTGAATACCAGAAGATTCGGCTTTTGCAAACAGATGTTGGATCGTTGGCAAGAGGCAGAGATCGATGTTGTGCTGTGTCCGGCTGGACCTCATACGCCTGTGCTCCCTGGCCAATGGAACAATGATACTTATACCGTTGCTTGGAATGCTGTTGATGTAAGTTGGTCGATCGCTTTATAATCTAACTCACGATTTTTAGTACCCTTCCGTTATAATCCCTTTCACTACCGCAGATCCGATACTTGACCCGAAGGATACCAACTTCGTCGCACTCAGTGAAATAGACACCATCAACGAAACAAAATGTGCGGTCTTCTCCTCGTTCTTTTCGTTCCTAAATTGACAATTCCAGATGACCCTGAACTTCTCGCCGGAGCTCCTGCTAGCCTTCAAATCGTGGCACAAAAATGGGGAGATGAACAGTTGTTGGCAGATGTTGAGGTCATTGACCAAATATTGAATGGCAAGCCTTCTGGTGAAACTGCGTCGTCTTCAGGAGTTCCCAAATTGTGATGGGACTTGTGTTTTTGTACATACCCCATGCTTGTTCCAGCGCCTACCCGGATACTAAAACAATGTCATGATCTACTCAAATAGCTTCTTTTTTGGTTCGAACGAGTTGTAATGATGGTAATTATGATCTACCTGGGACCGGAAAGTCTTCCTTCCCTCCATGGTCGAGACTTCGTGCAACTTTCATGTTGTTGTTCCTTGACCACAATCCAGCTGCTTTCCGAAAAGGAGTGCATATTATGAATGCTTGAAGATTGGAACAGTAGAATAGCAACATGCTGACTTCAACGCAAGGAACAAGCTATCAGACAAACCAAAAGCAAAGGGAGAATCAAAACTCAAGAGGGGCAGTAAGCGAAGTCCTCGCCAAGATAGATGGTGGGGTAAATAAGACCCTGGTCAGTGATAAGATAGCAACCAGAGTGGGGTGAAAACAACACACTGCATCTGGACTATCCTCCTTCCGTCCCAACAACAATCGGATGTTTTACCTACTGGGCATGACTTCCTAAGGTGAAAGTGAGAGCTACACTGAAAATAAATTTTCGATTGCTTATGCGACAAAAGAAAAGTCCAGACTTTGCTGCTGACGTGTCAATCACACCGCCTCATCACACGAGAGTTTTACTTCACGAAACCTGAGAGAATCTGGAGCAAACGCATTGACGAGAATCCATGAGAAGGTGAACTGAGACCCACAGATACTACCGAACCAATATTCAACACTCAAAGGGGTGTTGAGCCTCGAGTGACTTTATATCAGCCAACCACCCGGTCTCTCTCCAGCACCTACGTACCACACTCCTCACCTCCAAACCATGGCCACATTTCTCAGCCCCGGTCCCACCCGGCCTTCAACTGCAGTCCAAGAACCAGAAAAGGAATTCAATATCTGTTTAGTTGGCAGTGGAGGAGTAGGCACTATTGCTGCTGTGGTGCTAGAGAAGTCGGGAAGAGCAAGGGTCACGGTCGTGCTGAGAGGGAGTTATGATGTTGTGAGTGAGAAGGGGTTTGATATTGAGAGTGTGGATCATGGAGATCTGAAAGGTTGGATGCCGTCAAGAGGTGAGTTGAATTTATTTTTTGTTTTTTGGAACTCGGGATGGATGAAGTCGGGAGTGGTTTTAGAGTTTCATATTTTGGAAATATGAGAATGAGAGGTACAACATGACATGAGATGAGGGAGCTCGAAGATGGCTAGAATCAGAGCAGAGCTAACACACAGTACAGTCGTCCCCAGCATCGAAGAAGCAACCTTCGCTCCCCGCCCAGCACACCCAACACCACTCCCCACTGGCGCCGCAACACCCATGGAATCTCCTCGCGAGCGCTACGACTATCTCGTCCTCAGTACCAAACAACTCCCCGACAAATACTCCCTCGCCACCCTCGTCACACCCCTCATCACCCCCGGCCTAACATCCATCGTCCTCATACAAAACGGCATCTTCATCCACGTCCCCTTCACCACCCTCTTCCCCAATAATGTCACCATGTCCGCCGTCTCCATGATCGGCTCCTTTACCGAACCACCCAACAAAGTCAAGCAAATCGGCCCTGATATCCTCCAGATAGGCGCACATTATCACCCTGGCGTAGCCGACTCCATCTCAGCTGAGCGAACCCAGACGTTCATAGACATGTACGTTTCCGGCGGAGCGAAAAGCTGCATCCTAGCACCAGACATGATGCTTGCGCGGTGGGCGAAACTCCTCTGGAACGCGCCATACAACTGTCTCTGTGCACTGATGGAGATGACGGTTGGCGAGATTCAGTCTTCTGGAGCAAGGGGGAAATTAGTGGAGCCGATGATGCGCGAGATTGTGGCGATTGCGAAAGCAGATGGGACTGAGTTGACGGAGGAGTTGGTAGAAGAGATGTTGTGTAGGAGTCCGGAGTCGAGTCGGTACAGGCCGAGTATGTTGCTGGATAGGGAGCAGGGCAGGCCGATGGAGATTGAGGTTATCTTAGGTGACGCGATCCGCAAGGGAAAAGAGTTGGGGGTTGAGGCGAAGGTTATGGAGAGTGTTTATGAGTTGTTGTGTTTGGTTAGGTGGAAGGCTGAGAATGGGGTAGGGAAAGGGTAGATGCATAGTGAAGTGGTGGGAAGTGCAAGGAAATCTCGGTGCTTTGGAAACGTGGCGTTGATTTGCAGCTTTGCATCAGTAGACATAGACTACTAGAATTTCTCAAGTGACGATTTCTGATATATTTTTTTCGTCCTCCCGTGGGTATCATATCCGAACCATCCATATACGCCCTCAAACCAGCCAATCAAACACACCAACGTCACAGCTCTAAATAGGCAAACACTCCCCCGGATATAGCTCAACCAAGTCCATCCAACTCCAAGCCAACCCCGCATCCCTCGCTGCCCACACCCTTTGCACACAGAAATCCCTCGTCCTCCTCGACGTAACCGTCTTCCTCTGCCTCACAATCTCATCAAACATCCCCAACACAATACTCCTATCCTGCTCCTCCGTCAGCTCCGTCCCAGCAATCAAAACCGGCCAAAGCGAAGTCTTCAGCTGATCTGTCATAGCACTCAGATGCATGAGCACCTCGTGCGCCATCCCGAGCGCTACCTGATCAGCTGCTTCTGAACTTCCTGGTGGTTCAAGCAGTCTGTGGAGATAGAGGAGGGCCGCTGCTCTGTGAGAATGTGCGTGGAAGAGTAAATTACGGGACGCTTGGAAGGAGAAATTTTGAGACGCTATGGGTCGCCATTGGTTGAGGCGCTGGCGGATGTCAAGGACTTTCTGGGAAATGGCGAGGGTCGGGTTGGTGGTTATGAAGATAGCTTCTTCACTCCACACTTCATCACCAAAATGGCTGGCATTACTATCTGTACCATCTCCACCAGAAGGTGTTGGTGTACCACATCGCATCTCCCCAGCTAAGGCTCCAAGCTCGGCTAGGATGGGCATCAGGGTACCCGTATAGCCCATGAAGCGATCAGCAGAACGGTACGAGTCGTCGGTCAGCCAGACAGAGTGTGGAATCATTGGATGCCGAGCATAAGTGAGACTTATCATCATGTCTTGACGAGCGAGGGCCCGAATAAAGTATTTGGCAACCGAGGAGAATGCAAGCCCACTGTCTTGCTGGTGCTTGATTATTATGGCGGCGTTGGAGATTATGGCTGGGAGAGAAGTATCGACTGGTTCGGACCGGCTGTCTATTAACTGTTTCCTCTAATTTAGCGACTGTAGCCAAGATCATATGCGTTGTAATTGGGGGAAGGGAAGAGGACGAGGGGATCGTACTTCTAGTGCGCAGAGTCCAAGCAGCATGATCATCATTTGCTCCAAATCTCTCCTATCACGCAACCGTGCTAAGATTCTCTGTTTCCTATCCAAAACAGGCACGATACTTGATCCTGCTTCACCGAGGTAGATATGACCAATAGCACTTAATGTCTCGGCAACAGCAGCTGGGTCCTGGTTGAAAACTTGCAAGACATTGGCATTCATCTCATTGACGAATTCCTTGCTAATGACCAGGTCTGACGGATGTCTGTTGAAGTATACTTCAACTCCTGGCTTGTCGGTTCGTCCGATAGCGTCTGGTGGGAGGTCGGGGACAGTGGGATAAATTGGTGGACATGAGGGTAGCTGCATCGAGCTGGCTCGGGCTCGAGCTATAACTGTGATTTGCTGTTCCGTATACTCCACATTCGAGAAGAACACCTCTACATCCTTCATTTCCACCTCATTCGACTCCATAGCTTGATTCTGAGGCGTGAAGAGCACTCCATCATCTTGCCTGGAAGTCTCGTGATGGTCACGTGTATTTGGTGTTTTTGGAGACTGCCTGTTCTCATACCATTGCTGATGTGGAATCAGAGCGGGAGTCTGGGGCTCTATTTTTGATCTCGGAGATCTCGATACAGCTTTTGGACTTGGACTCGTTGCTGCCGGCTTTGGTGTATGTTTGACGGCGCTTGGCACTGGTGCTGCATATCCTTGACACGCATATCCCCTCCTCTTACATGTCCCACATGTTGGTTGCTCCTCATCGCATTTCACTTTGGCCTTCTTGCAGTCGATACAGCCTTTTCTTGACCGGCGTTGCATGATGTTATTTGCTGTGACAGATGGATGAAGAATCCAGGGTTTGCCGTGTAGTGTGCTCTGGATTCTAAGAAGTGTATGAGGCGCGGTTCCTGGACGTGATGAGATTTGCGCCGTGCCGACGCCAGAATACTTGACCCCACCATTGTTGCGGGCCAGGGGTATTCCCCATCGAGTCACGCCCGGTTCATGGGAATCTTGGCTGAAGTGGCTGCATCTGATTAGATATGATCATCTGATTACCTTTTTTGCGATCTTGACGTTCGTGGGTTGAGGTACAGCCGTATCACTACCCTGCATATCTCGGAGCTGTGCGACTAGTTCATGACAGGAGGCTTTGCCTGTTGGAATCGATGTCACATTTCAGCATATCCGGTGCTAGATTCAGCGAAGTCCTTACTTCGTTAACGAGAGGGCCCTGAAGCTCATGAAATTGGGCCATTGGGTGCTTTATATCCCGATGAACTGGTCTCCAATTTCGCTACTTTCATACCAAATTTCTGATGCTTCTCATTCTGTTCTCTGAATCTATATGAACTGCCAAATATCCTCGCGCATCTCATCCACTCTCCAGGGTTCTGTGAAATACACCGTTTCCGTTTCCAGGCATCACACTTATCCAAGCAGGCTCACCTCTTTCTGGGCCATCTTTCTTTTATCAATCGTAGATGTGGGACGTATTCTTGGCTGAGCCTTCAATTATATTTTGGTAATGCTTGACCAAGTCGCAGGAGAGTCCCGTTTAAGCGAGGGCCCCGACCTCGCGATGAACACATCCAAACTTTACGTAAGCTCGTGCTAAGATAGCATATAAATGCCCTAATGCAGTGTCAAATCGGAGTGCATAGAAATATTGTCTTTAGCCAGCATTCTTTTGTGTGCCTTAGCAGAGCTGGCCGGTCTGGGCCTCCCTTGTTCGAGCCACAGGGACAAGTTCCTGGGGGAAAATGAAAGGCTTGCGATCAGGTGATGTTTTCCTATCACGTGGAGTTTCTCCATTGAGAGAACAATCCTGGCAGGTCCATATACAGTATGCTGGTAGTCAGATACTTACATGATATTTCAGCTGTATTTCAGAATTCAAAATCGGCTCCTCCCGCCATATTATGACCCGGCACATTCTTCTCATTTTCCACAAGGCCATGGTGATGAAGATGGTCTCGATGATGCTTCTGACTGGAGCTTGTGATGGACAATTGGGAAGCGGAAAATGCCAGCATTGACAAGATCATAGAAACAAGCCCTTCCCCGGTTCTCAGGAAAAAAAACTTCATGAAGTAACAATTCAAATTAGACGTTTAGACAAGAGCTAAAGACTTTGAGTTGCTGTAGCTTTCCTCCTAGCGACCTGTTGGCTACAAAAATCCAACGCCAACTTGTGTTATGTACCATGCCTAATCAATCTCCCCTCGTAGACATAAGTATTCTTCATCCATTGTTTCACTCGATCCTTGTCATCCCTGCTATTGAAGCTATCATTGACTTCTTTGACTGCAAGATCAACTGCGGTTTCGAATCCATTTCGCCCCGCAGCCATCCCAAGAGCACCATCCAGTCCCGAAAACAATTGTAGCCACCTTGGGGGATCGTCATGGTATGCACTATAAAACTCCATAAGTGATCTTGGTGTTGTATATCTGTGGTAATTCGACTTACGGATGCACGAAATCGAAATGTCCCGAAGGTGTCTTCCACAAGTGCTGATTCAAATCGACTCTCATATCATCGTCACTATCCAAGAAGTTTGATGCCGTCCGCTCGTAGCGAAAGACTGCGGTGCCATCAATGATGGAGTACCGACCTTCAGCGTTGGAAAGTGTTTTGCTCAGATTTATCTCAGTGATATGATCAAGATTGGGGGACTTCAAGTCCTCAGGCGACTCTTGCGCGTGCAAACCTAATCCATGTGTAGATGCTTGGATCACGAGACAGTTGTTCAAATCGAGATGGGATTCACGCAGCTCGCCCGAGGTTTCGTCATACACCATGGCAGCCACAGTGGTATTGTCACTTCCAATGAGCCAAATTCCCTTCCTTTGCGCGATTATCTGTTTGTCCAGATACTTGTTCGCCAGGCCGGGGCGTAGTACGAACTTCCCATCGTCATTTGCCACGAACAAATGGAGTGGGAATATGATTTTAGGTAGTTCGTGGATGTTAGGGCGATTTATATGGAGGTATAATTTTCCATCGCTTAGCTTAGGAGATGCTCGCGTCAAGACAAGACAAACTTGGGGCTGACAAGCTTCGAACAAGAAAAGTAAGCTTCGTAATGTCAGAGCCAGTAGCAGCCACCATCTCCTACACAGGTGTCCAGAAATTTATTATTAAAAGGGTTTGCGACAGACAAGTTTGGTTTTTAGAGGCGTCGATAACGCACTAGTATTGAGCTGAATGCTCTAAGAAGATTGGGTTCAAGATAAGGTTGGTTCAGCTCGCCACTCGACACCATTCTAGAACCTGCAGATCGCTGATACTGCATATCTTTGCATCGTCTGACCTTCTGGACATGCTCAGCGCCATTGCGAGGGACTGGTACAAATTTCTTTCCGGAAGCACTTTGAGATCTAAATGCATTATCCTGGTAAATTCGTGAGAATGGATATAGTTTTGTCTCATTTCCTTAGCGAGTTCGTGTTGGTGCTTAAGTGGCTTACAATACGTTCCTGTGACTCAGAAATCTCTTCCTCTTACTTGAATGCGCTCTGGTGCGCTCTTTTCGCGAAGACGTATGATTCTGACGATAATATATGCGGCACTCGGAACCACTACCACCTCCAAAAACGGCAAGTATGTGTCGGTGGCCATTCACAGTACCGTATTCTCTAGAACACATACATGATTTTGAAGACACCAAGCCGGCAACTACCATAGGCACACTGTCAATACAACCTGTTACCAGATCTTTCTTGCCAAACTCTTAAAGCTCCGGGGATGACTGCATTACCCCAGTTACCTAGAGTAGTCATGAGATCGACAAGCCAAGCTGGGACGAGTACTTTGTTATCATCGGGATTCAAAGGCAACATGTTTAAAGTTCGAACTCTTAAACCAGCACACCGAAACAGAAAATTTGGGACGAATAAGTTTCAGCATCTGTAATCCACTGTGTAACCAAATTTGGCCTTCGTATATATATACCTGCAGCACCTGCCTCACCCAAACTAAATACAAGAACATCCTCAGCCACCCCACTTCTCCCTTGCCCGTCCACCTAAGATGAGACTGTGATGGTGGAAGATCCAGAGCTGAAGTAACCTTCGGTCGCCACAATCTGGTAGTCAAAAGCACCGAGCTTCATGCCTAGAGAATTCCAGGCCTTGAAGTGAGTAGCCACCGTGACTGATCCACTTGAGCGCTTGTTGCGGCGAACAGACCAGTATTGCTGGAAGGTCGCGGTGCCGATGATGGATGGTTGGTTGGTGCGGGTGCTCTGTGAGAGTGTGTCAGTATATATGTTTATTTTGTCCAACACAATAACTCAAAATCTTCGAGGATTGTCAGAAAGGGTGCTTGGAATATGAAATGCTTACCTGGTAGATATCATAAGTATCTCCGTCGGCGACAACCGTTCCCTTCTTCGTAGCTCCGCTGCTGGGATTGTACGTTCCGAAGCTCTCAACAATGTAGTACTCGATCAACGGATTCTTGGTCCATCCGTAGACAGCGAGGTAGCTGTTTCCATTTGGTTTGTAACTGCCAGTGTACTTGATAACCCTGTCTTACCATTAGTTTGCTCTCTTCCACCATATAGCGAGTCTTGATAGATGTTCTCACGCACCTGTTTGAAGCTCCAGGCATCCATCCTTTACCTCCAACGAGATTTCCATTACCCGACCAGGTGATGCTGTATTGCCCAGCAGGTCCGTTGGTATAGGTCGCTTGGGCACCGTTGTCCGTCCACCACGAAAAGTAGAATCCGTTGTTTGTACCAGTAGCACTTGGAGTTCCGCCACGTTCGGAGAGAGTTCCAGGGGACCGTTGTGCTACAGCAACATTTGGTGCAGCGAAGACACCAGTAATAGCCGAGACAGCGACGAGGAGAGAGGTGAATGAAACCATTTTGACTTGACTTGACTTGGTGAGCAAAGTTGAAGTGGTGGAACAAAACTCTTGACAAGAGGGAACTGTCCCCCTTTTGTATTTGCCCATTTGCCCATTTGCCCATGAAGCTTTACAAAAGACTCCACAGCGGATACCCATCTACCTTCAGTAACGCCCAGAACAAGGACCGAAGCTCGTCATACCGGAGAAGCATCCTGTAAACGAAGCTGCCGCCCCGAGACACGCGCCCCGGCGCATCGGACGGAGTCCTTACTACCGGGGCTGCCATCTTGGTTCCAGTACACATTCGGTGGCGCAGTTGCATTCCCCCGCAATTCATATGTCTAAGTGAAACTTTGGCAATTTTGTTCCAGGGGAATTTATGGGTTTGCAAGACTCGCTTAGTGAGTTTTGATCTTAGCGATGCCCCTTTCCAAGTTCTCGACTTCCTACGATGTCACAGAACGACAAGGAAAAGATTTCTCATTGGAGGCTTTGATATGTAAATACGCAGGAACGGCTTTGCATGGCTATTACCCCACATTTGCGATGCATAGCCGGAATATGTGCCCAAGATTTGGTGGTGATCATGAACTTGGTTGAAAATAGATCTAGTGGTCGGGTAAATATGCTGGCTGCCGATCCGATCGTGCTGCCGGAACTTAAAATTCCACCAAGTCAATATCATCAGCATAGAAAACCGGATAAATCCAGCAGCTGTTCTGAAAGAATGTATCCAGTACTTTTGGTAACCACTGTCATCCAACCCTCACTTTAGACTTCCATGGCAATAGATCTTGTGACTTGTGGATAAACAGCAACGAGTAGTTTGATGCTAGGTCAGCGGGCTGAGGTATTATCCAGAACTTAGGTTAAAGATGAAGGCTGAGCAGCTTGAATTGAGATGTATGTAGTGGACATCCTCAAATCCGATAATGTCCAACTTGGCATGTAGAACGCGATATGCGCGGGCCAAAACTGTTTCCAATTGTTGGGGCGAGCAGATTGCTCAGTCTAAACCCCATAGGTTCTGATAGAAAGTTTGGATTTATCCTTCTTGGAACTGTCTACCGTTCTCCTTTTCATCATTTACTTTCTAGTTCTTTTGATCCCAAATCCACGTTATTCAGGATCCCCTTCATTCACGCACGTCACTGCCCTCCAACCCCACCAAGCCAATCTCCTGGACGCCCCGTCCGACTCACCCCTGTTTTCCTCGCTTAAGCACAAAAACCCTAACCATCAGAACTTTCAATATATCCACTTCTCACCATTTCACACATGTATATTATGAGATAGGGCGTTGATCCATATCAAATAACGAGATCCGGAATGGTGTAGTGGCTAGCATTTCTGCCTCTCATTGACTGTTGAATCAGACAGTTGAAGTGGTCGCAGGAGACCGGGGTTCAATTCCCCGTTCCGGAAAACATTCTTTTGATTTTTTGCTATCTGCAGGTTGAGAGACTGCTTCGAGCGTTTCTTGTCAGTAAATGAATTGGAATTCATGGGTTGGCTTGGAATATTGTTGCATTTGTACAATTCTGCCTACTTTTCTTTTGCGTGTGCGGGTTCTCCTGCCTGGATCTCATTCGTCTGCAAACGAATCTGGCCGAGCGAAGCCCCCTCGTGTTACATGACTCGAATAACTCCACTTACAAATCCACCCTCCTGCCAAACTCTCCCCTTTTCCACAAGCGAACCTTGATTCAGGTACCAGAACTAACATCAGCAGTAATCGTACTCCCCGTCAACGCAGATAAGTCCAGATCCCCTTCCCCATCTGCATTCCCTTCACCAATCAAGTCCCTCCAAAACACCTCCCCCACAGCATCCTTCCTCATCTCAAAGACCTTCTGCGTCGCCACCGTAACTTGACTAAACGCCGTCTGCGCCGACGGCCAAACTGCTCTCATGGCCCTCAGTGCCCCCACATTCATCCTGATTTCCTCCTTGAGTGTGTCGTCTTCTGCCATCAATGGGAGCTGAGACCAGAGCGAGAGATGGGAGATAGATGAGTGCGTTAGAGCACAGATGAAGAAATGAGTATGGTGGATTAGAGTCGTGGGTAGGCCTACGAGCTTGCTGATATTGGATGCGGCTTGGGTGGCTTTGCTGGCATGGATATCGTTGATGCCGGAGCAGTGTGCTGTGACTGTGCCTTGCGCAGTACAGGACATGATTGTTTGTTGGGCGGATACGTCGAGGGGTGTGAAGCGTCGGTGGAGGAGGAGAGAGCTTCTGTTTGATGGGTTAGTTCTGTGCCTCCACGTCATTTGATACTTGAGCAATTACAAGTTCGTAATCATGTGAGCCTGGAACATCATTTCATCAAATGTCCCATCGTGATCAAAGTTCGACACTTTCGATGGTGGCAAATGGAAGTTCCAGTTTACCAGGAGAGCATCTAGGTTGTACGTCCTAGGGTCTTCAGGAAACATGACATGGTCCGTCATTAATATCCGTTCTAAGTTCCTGGCAGCAGCTATTCGGTAAGCATACGACGACCATTCAATCTCTTCATCGAGGAACGAGTCATCGTCAAAGTCCTCAATTGTATGAAATTCTGGTATGATCTGAGAGCATTAGCTGATATATCACAAAGTGGGATTCTTGTACTTACTCCGTCTATGAAGTCCCTCTCTTCACATGGTAGAGGTGTCGATGAGACGACACCAGATAATTGGCACGCTCTTTTGCCATGGAAAGCTGCTACCATCACGCTCACGACGTAGATTTCCCACCATGTCCGACGGATACTCTCTTCATAGATAGCAGACCCTCGTCCGTTCAAGACAGCGAACTCGCGTTGGTTCATGCCGAGCTCTAAGGCGAATTTTTGAGCTTTGATGAGGACCTCAACGGCTTTCTTGCGCTCATTGTTTCCGTCGAGTCCAAGAGCAAAGAGGAGCATAGCCTGAACTGTCGAAACATCTCTTGGGAGATCTTGCTGGAGTATGAAGCAATCCAAGTCCAATAAATGCGCAGAAGGGGAAGCACCTCTCACGTAACGAGACCCAAGGTAGATGATTGCGGTCTCGAGGTGGTCTCTAGCCGGACCTACTTTGAGAGATTCAAAGAACTGTTGCTGCGGCGGTAAGAATGGGTGAGCGGCGTAGAAGTACTGGAAGAAAGCTTCCATACATCTCCGTCGGATGTTCATGCTGGGACTCTGAACTCTGGGTGGTATCGAAGCCCAATTTTGGCTGACGAGTGCGTAGTCAAACGATACACTCAGGTCATTGGGTACTGACTCAGGAACTAAATCGTCAATTGCCATGGCAGTATTGGCAATGCATTGACGGGTGCGTTCATTATTATCTTTCTCTTTTTCAGAGTCAGCATACTCTCAGTTCTGTGCCTCGAATCTGGCTTACTGCTACTCTCCATCGCTGATGACTGATTTCGGGTCACTGCAGGCCCCTTGTATCCTCTTCTAGACTTCAGATATATGCAACCGTATCCCTGAGTTGCACATCTCGAACAAGGCTGATGTCCGTCGCACTTCAGATGTTTGCTCCGGCATGGTATACAAGCAGAAGAAACAGTGCTTCGCTCCGAACGATGTCCACTTTCTGGGCTTGGAGAGCCATATGGGGAATATCTGGGGTGGGAAGATTGGACTGCGGTCATCCTGGGTAATGGTGGATAGTGAGTAGAGTCAGGTGCAACGAATATAAGTATGTTTCTGCTTTACAAAATCCTGCAGAAACGTAGCAGTAAGGGTCTGGCTTGAAGTGTTTGTTGTATCTAAGCAGTTCCCCGTGATAGTTTCGTGTCCCTGAAATATTTCCAGAAAAAGAAAGTCTTACGTCGCATGTCACATTTTAATCTGGAATATGCCATTTCCAATTAATTCCCGGCCACATACCAACATTAGAGCTGTACGGCAGAACGTGATAGTAAGATGGGAGTTTGGCGCTAGCGCTCAAAGGGGACGATCTCAAGCGTGGAGGTCGCCGAACAACATGCAGCCAACAGACCCCACGTCCAGCTCCTCGCCGCATTTCCACATATCTCACCCAGCAGCCAGGAGCAAACACGTCAAAGGCCGGCTTTGGAACAAAGTTGGAACAAAGAAGCTCTTTCGGTACCTACTCGACTTAATTTTACATTTCTTTGTCACACTCGGACCGCCAGCTTATGTTACTCCATCTTCGGGGAGGAGAAGTCATAGCTCGGGACTCGGGCTGCACAGGACGAGATGTGACTTGAGTACAGTGTTGTACCCGTACGGCCCGCGCCAGGACAGCTATTAATGCGATACAGTGCATTATCTTGATGACTTGCCAGGATGAAAATGTTCCGAGATGCAGAGGATGGTATTGCTTCGCCGCATGGCATTGTTGTCAGGCGCGGATCCTATTGATGATGATGATGATGTGTCCGGCGACTTCGCTTAACGGGAGTAAGACTAGCTGAAACTGTGGTCGCCGACCACAATATTCAACCTCGGAACCGGTTTGCTGGGAGGAATCTAGACTTCAGATCTTCGTCTCATTTTGTTTTGATGATTCAACGATGAGCTGAGTTAAGTCTTATTTCATGTCCTAACGTATCGGCCGAACTTGGGTTCAAGCGGATCGCAGGCCAACTACCAATTGGGGGGTTAGGGAATTACTTGCTTGGAATTTTTTGGGTTTTGTTGAACTTTGTTAAGTTGATGGAAGGTCTGGGAAGAAATGGCGGCCGGGATCAGATTTTTCTCTCCTGTTATGGTTGCTTGCTGAAGCTGCCCTGACAGCATTAAGAATATAGATAGGGGTGCAGTCCCTTTTTGTACAAGCCAGTTCATCGCATCTGCACACTGCTTGATCCTATTACAAACGAAGCTAAATGAATTGAGTGTGGTACACGAGGCAAATGTTTTCCCATAATGGAAGAATCAAATCTGAAGTACCATTCAACCATCTCCACTCCACCACCACTTCATCCATCCTCCTAGAATAAACATCACCAAGCACACTTCGCCAGTATCCCACCCGGCCATCTCCTAACACACCACTTCCTCGCCTCATCCAAAAACAAAATCCCCACACCAAAAGCAGCCGGCAAGAAGAAATGCTCAACTGGGACCTCCGTCGTCCCAAGCACACTCTGGAACTTGGGAACATACAGCCAAAAGAACGCCATAACGAGCGCAAATGCCATCGCAGGAAACAAATACCAATTCTGTGTCATTTTGTTGAACAGTGGTGGATGCTGGAAAATGCTAAGATGACGAGTACGGAGTGCGAGGAGGGCGAACCATTGCATGACGACGAGATTGATGAAGTAGATGCTGGACGCAACATTATATTGTTGCGCGGCATAGTCGGGATCAATGGTATCCGGCAGACTCCCATACTTGAACCAAAGGTTTGAAAAAGGGATGCCTTTGCGCTCGAGGAACCAGTAGGACATGGCAAACGAGCAGGTGGTTTCGATGATACCGATGAAGCCGTAAGCTTGGACGATCAACTGCCAGTCTACTAGACGATCCGTCCTCGGCTTGCGAGGTTTACGAAGGAGGACGTCAGCTTCTGGTTTCTCATAGGCGAGGACAGTTGCTGCGGCGCAGTCGGTGAAACAGCAGATGATGATCATGAGGAAGGAGGATAGGATCTGGGGGATGCCGAAGAGGACGTTGGTCATGACGGGCCAGAATTCGGAGAAGGAGCCGGCGGGTAGGAGGTAGGCGATTGTTTTCTTGAGGTTGTCAAACACTACTCGCCCGTATTGCACAGCTTCGACGATAGCGGAGAATGATTCTAGGAGGACCATGTCTGCGGCTTCGATGGCGATGTCGGATCCACTGCCAAGAGCTATGCCTATGTCTGCTGCTTTGAGGGATGGGGCATCGTTGACGCCGTCACCAGTCATGGCAACGATTTCGTCTCTAGATTCTGTGAAGGAGTCAGTCATCTGCTTGTCGATGGGAACCCGAGACAACTTACGAAATTCTCGGACAATGCGAAGTTTCTGTTCAGGCGTTGTACGAGCAAATACAATCTCATCATACTTGCACAACTGATCCCATTGATGTTCATTCAGAGTGATCAATTCGGGACCACTGATGACGATTGTTGACTTTGCTTCAGAGTTTGACGGCACGTGCATGATGACCTTGTCTTCGGGAATCGATTCTCCAGAAACGGAGTAGCTATCATCTCTAGCAAGTGCAGATACATTCTTGACTTGGTGAGGAGGATTCGTGACAATGCCACATTCTGCAGCGATTGCTTGGGCTGTGAGTGCGAAATCTCCGGTGACCTGATTTACATGAATTAGTATTGAGACCTAAAGTGAGACAGTTGCACGTACCATGAAGATTCGAATACCGGCTCTCCTCAATGTCTTGATGACGGAAGGGATTTCGTCGCGAGGAGGGTCGACAATGCCAACAATACCGACCAAGGCAAGTCCCGTCCTGGCGTGTTCTGCTACCTCGTCTTCGAAGTGGCTCGAAGAAGGAAGAGATTGGAATTGTTCTTTGGAGACTGTCTTGCGTGCCAGGAGAATAACACGCTTGCCCTCGGCCGACCACGTGTTCTTTATCTCTTCAATTGTGTTCCGTGTTGTGTCATCGAGAACTTTAGTTTCTCCTTCCATGGTGATATACTTGGTGCAGCGGCCGATTAGGACGTCTGGGGCACCCTTGATCAAGAGAAGACTGAAGAATCATTAGCATCCTCCACGGTATACAGACGCGACACTTACGTATCATCATCTCGAAAACTGGCAGCTTCCGAACCAGATAAAGCAAGAGAAAGTCCTTCTTTCTGCTCGAGCTGAAATGTTCTGACCATATACTTGTTCTTGCTGTTAAATGCTAACTCGAATGTCTTCTTCCACATCTGGCGGAGCTCAGAGACTGATCCAAGGGTTTCCGAGAGTCTCAAGACGGCTTGGTCAGTGGCATCACCGTTGATCTTGCGCTCAAGAATAGGCAGATTGAACGTGGCGGCATCGAATTCTCCAGAGTTACAGAGTCCTGCAACGGAACGAAGTTGTGCAACGGCATTTGTCTGTGATCCTTCCGTGTTCTGATCGCGAGCAGATTCTGGCGTCATATGGTGCATGCCAACACTGCACTCTGTGACGAACATTTTGTTCTTGGTCAGAGTACCGGTCTTGTCGGAACAAATAACACTGACAGAGCCAAGGGTTTCAACAGTCTTCAGGGACTTGCATAGAATGCCGTTTGCTTTCATAACGTTCGCGGTGATTGTGAGCGAGGCTGTCAATGCAATTGGCAAGCCTTCAGGAATAAATGCAATCGCGACTGAGACGCAGTCAACGATTAAGAGCGGTACCGAGATCCAACCAGGATGGGATTTGCGCAGGTACGCGGCCCTGAGCAACTCAGTCCCGAAGAATTGAAAAAGCCATTGGGGAACATACCAGACTATGATAACTACGAGTATCATGACGAACATGATACAGCAGATGATGATGACGAAGTTCAGGACTTCGCGTTCCAGAGGAGTCAACCCTGTCTTTGGTGCATTCGTGAGTTTAGCAATCTTGCCAAAAACTGTCGAATCTCCTGTTGAGACCACAACACCGATACCGCTTCCTGATATACAATGGGTTCCTTGAAGGCCAATACACCTTGTCTCTAGATAGTTGAGATCTGTGGTCATGACAGTACCAGGCAATGGTGCAGATTCACCTGCAACAAATTAGCAGCGCTTGTGGACCACAATAAAAACTACTCACCGGTGAGAATGGATCGATCAAATTTCGCATCGGAAGATATTTCAACAAAGCGGACGTCGGCAGGGAGCTTGTTGCCGGCCTTAATGCATATGATATCTCCAGGCACGATGTCATTTGCCACAACAGTGACCCTTGCGCCATCTCGTAAAATCAAGCAACTATCTGGTAGCATGGTGGTGATAGATGCCATAACACGAGAGGAAGACCAATCCTGCCACGCGTTGAATGCCGCCTGAATGAAGAACACAGCCAGGAGGACAATTGCCAGTGCCAGATTAGCTTGGGCTGGAGGATCACCGAGCGGTTTCCATGAGACGAAGACAAGTATAGAGCCAACAAGAAGGATTGAGCCAAAGCCTTTGAAGAAATATCCAAATATTGCTTGAAAATAGTGTGTTGGAGGAGGAGAGGGGACATTCTTTCCATATTCTGTCAGACGTCGTTTCGCCTGTTCTGAGGAGAGCCCCTGGGTTGGAGATACCGAAAGTCGCGAATAAACGTCCTCTGGTGTTATCGTGTGCCAGTCAAGATCACCAAGTTCTAAGTCTTCATCAGTGCATGAAGCACAACCACAGAAGTCATTGGTTCATACCCTTGGCAGCAGAGTCTTTCGCTTTCCTGATGTCTGTGGTATCTTTCTGGTTTGATTCGGAGATTTGGAAAGACACAGTTCGATACTGGATGGGGAGTATGGCGGCAGGTTCAATAGAGCCTCTTCTACTACGAGCACTGCTGATAGACATGTTGGAGTTGGATCGTTGTAGTCTAGGATACGATCTTCCTTCGCCAGCTTCAACATCGCCTCCACTCCACTGAATACGCGCGGGCTTTTGCTGGTCATCGCTGAACTCGACCATGTTGCCGGTTTTGGGGTCTTTTTCTGGCCAAGTGGGAGGAATGGGACAGTGCGATTGTAGAGCTGGGCCAACAGTTATATCGATGTCAAGTTCGGATGCGGCAGGAAAAATTGCTGGAAGGCCGCAACAGCAAGCTCACAGCGTTCTTTTAGATCGACTTAAGCTGGAGCGAAATTGAGAATCAGGACACGAGGACTTATACCTGTTTGACAGCCACCATAAATAATTCTCCTTGTTCTCAATCACCGCAATTAGCGTACCCAAATCGAGGCCTACCTCGTTCCCAATCCCATCATCTGGCCTGACAACTTGACAAGGCCTGGATGTGGATCGTGAAATTGGAACAAAGAAAATCCCTCATGGCCGGGAAAGAAGACTCAGCATCCTACATGAGGTTGGCACGGTTCAAGATGGACCGACGAGCTTGCAACGAGGCAGATCGTCAACGGGCAGTCAGCTTGTCCGTAAGCTCATTGGCGAGCAAGGAGGGCTTTGACTGCCTACAATACTGGGGATATTCAAAAGTACTGCTGCGCCCCTGTCATTCTTGGGACGAAGTGCTGGAATTTGACAATGAAAAGGGTTGGCTGGGGGGCGGCTATCGAGGCTTGTTGGCTCACCATGCCAGAGAGAAAATCCCGCAAATCCCTCACCCAAACTGACAGACTCCACAGCCACTCTAACGCACCACACGAGGGATGTACATCCTGTAATAAGCGACTGGATTGTGGAATATGCTGCAATAGCATCGGAGAGTCCCCAGAACGATGCAGGGAGCGAAGAATACCATCTGTTTGACCTGGGGTCCTATCTTGGCAGAGAGAGGAGAGATAGATGACAGTATCCAGGCTTGCGGTGGTTTAGAACAGGGTAAATTGAAGGGACAATAACTGTTTGGTATTTGAATCGGGCCTTGTCAAATACATTCCTGATTTAGGCATGTTCTAATATCGTCGCAAGAGATTGTTTGTCTGGGTTGTGATGGTTATGATGTCGACGTCAAAGCAAGCTCAGGGCAGCTTCGGCGCCATCCTCCTTCCGGCATGTCCATCCCCTGGCTTGTGTAGGGGTGCCGGAAACTCGTGGCAGTAACTGGTCCATGCACATCAGCCTGCAGAAATTCGACACGAAGAAACTGCGTGACTGTCAGTCATCAAAGAAAGCTGTATCTATTTTGCACACTGATCCCAGACATTACGCACCACTATTCTTGTTTATTCTGAACCGGATAGTCAAGCTTTCCGATTGTTGAAGCCTTCATCTTTTGTTGTCATTTTCTGGGAAAGAAATCATGACGGGAAATCTCCACTTGGCAGCATTATTGGGACGCAACGTAACTGATCACAAGAGGCGGGAAAACAGCAAACTGGTGCAGCATACTCTTGGAGCCAATGAGAGATACCTTTCTGTTCCAGTAACAAGTTGCGGAGCTCGAGCCGGCACGATAGCTAGAGTGGCAGCTGACAACCTCCACACTCTCTGTAACGGACTCCTGGGTTAACTCTCCACTACGATATACTTCGTCCAGGCCGGCTTCTGGCCTCGGCATCTTCATTTGAGTTGGACGTGATACTACTCGGACCGCAAACGGTAGATCAGTCAACACATCCATCCGCCAGCGTGTCAGGACTGGCATCAGAAGTCTCTTTCTCCCCCACCAGACATGCACTGTCACGCCTTGAGATACACATGAAGAAGAGTTTCCTTTCTAGATTCATTCGCGCTATCAAACAACTAACTCCTATCACTGGTCCATACGGTATCGTCGCTTCTCCTCTTATCCTACCCCTGACACTGCCGCCAATCATCCCGGTTGCTAAACTGCTTCGGGGCTCGTTCCTGTAGATGTCCTCTACAAATGACCACTTAGCTCGACTGTATCATTTCATAACTTCATACGAGTTGCCGCAGTGGATCTTCTCCTGCTGGCTATAATCACTGGTGTCTGTAGGGGACCTAGCAATACATCGTCAATCAGCCCAGTCTCAATCGCTTAGGTGAGCTTTGAAAATTATGTACTCACTACTTGTACCACCCACAGCTTTAGGCTCAGTAACCAAGATGACATATTGCCCATCCAGCTCCGTCATTCCGGGAATCTGTATCCTATCTTCAGGAAGCTCTCGGACAAATTGCGCATCTTTGTAGACAGGTGTGAACTGGCTGTTGGTTGCGTTTAGAGCTCGCTTGGCAACAGTCAACATAGTTGACGGCGACGACCCTGCTGGTCGCAATGCAACGAGCATGTTGCGATTGACTTCAAATCATCAGCTAAGACTTGCCAACTGCCTACCATGGAGAGGACTTACATGGTACGAACATCTGTGCCTCCACTCTTACATTTGGGTTGCTGGTATTTACAACCCAAGCGAAGGAGTTCAAAGACTGCGTACCCGCGGGTAAACTCCTGGAATCGACTCCTTCTTTGAGGTCGACATTTATCATCAAGGCTTGGCTAGACTGCACGGAAAATCGCAAGCCATCAACGAATTCTGCTTCCTGGATGCCAGGCCCCCCCGTCAAATTCACCGTTCGAGTAACGCCTTGACCGTACTGGACGAATATATTGGACGTGTCAACAGTCTTTCTCCCTAAAAGTAAGTACTCTCCATCGAGAGACGTCATTTTGATAATCCTCGTGTTGTTCTCGCTCCGGTGGACATTACGTTTTGCGTCGTCGATTGCCCAGCTCTTTCTGTCCGGTGCAAGCGTCCCGACATAGGTGTCTGCTTCTTGGATTCCCATAGCATTGAGTCGTTGTGGGTCATATGGGATCTCGATCTTTGCGATAAGGTCGGTGGCTGTCTCGTTCATTTGGATTATGTACGAGTAGCCCGACAGGGCGACGAAAGGTTCTCCAGTGGTGCCGGTTACGAATTGTGCACCGAGTGGAGCAGTATTTTGCCTCACAACGAGGGTCCGATTCTTAGGAGAGAATAGATCAAGTGCCAAGCCATCTTGGAAGTCTTGGTCTGTTCTCTCCATCTGTTGTTAATTAGAAAGTGTGGAGATGTATGCTTGTTCAAAGGGCTGTCTCACAGAACCTAAAATCTGAATAGTATCCCCAAAGGTTGGCAATTTCTCTTGAGCTATGACGTTCTTACTCAGAGAGAGAAGAATAGTAATCAGGGTAACGGCTCGGGGCCATCGTGTAAAGTGAGGCATGTCTGCGAGACGAAAATACCGAGATGGTGAGCACCTTGATCAAGATAGGAACATAACAATTAGACAAGACTGACAACTCAGCGGAGGCAACTTTTCTGCAACTTGATAAGGAGATCCTGGGGCATCTGTCACAAAAGACCAAGCTTTTGGACGTGAGGAGCATCATGGCCCGAGGGCCAATGGAAACCACGGGAATCCATCAGAATGTCACTGCCAAGAGCCGCAGGTCATCTATATATCCTCGGAATATCTGAGGAAGTCTCAGAAACAGCCACAAGACCATGTTAGCACTAATCGAAGTTGCGCCGGGGACGTCCCTGTCTGTCAATTCAACCAAATCGGCAAGGCCGTGCGCTGCTGCGAGCACATCTGTGGTAATCGGCGCATGCAGAACCGCATCCATCATGAAAAGAGTTACTCGAATGTCACTTGCATCTCAGAATAGAACAAAACTCTCTCAATCCGTACTAGCTCATAGTCGGAAACAAAGTTTATTTCGACTCCTGGAGCTAGCGTAAATCCTCCGTTTCCGGGCGTCGTCCTAGCCAAGTCCTGCGACGGTCGGGTGTCAATATTCCAGTTTAAGCGAACCAAGCTTTGTTTCAAGCGAGTGTCGATACAAGCTTTCCGCAATCATGGCGTCCACATCGACTCGTCTATTTCTCAAGACCTGGGGAGGCTCTTCTCGGCTCCTGGCGTCTCCGCGTCAATGTAACGTGCGTCCGCTCCCCGATGGCTCGAGCAGTCCATAGAACGATAGCCGCGATGTCACTACTAGGGGATGCGGCTTTTCTTGTTTTGCATCGTTTCTAAACCTCAACATCCTCATCTCAAAAGCTTCTTAGCCACTTGTCGCACAACACCAGAGTCAATACAGTTTACTTACGGAGAGCCTACGCGGCAACCGAACATCCAGACCACTCAAACCGCTACGTCAAGTGACTGGTGTCTCCATGAATATGTTTTCCGGAACGGAAACATACGCGTACGTGCCGGATTAAGCTGTCAGCCGTTCTTTTTGACTGGAGGCACAGCACCCTATCAGACCTGATTTGAAAATTCGTTAGGATATCAGATCGTTTGCGCATTAGTCGTGAGCCTCAAACATGAGGGTCCATTGTCTCCAGAGCAAGAGTTAGTGCGGCTGGAATGTCATTCTGTTGTCACTTTATACGATTTCCCTAACTACTAATTATATCTCATCGTACTGTTCTGCGATCAGACAAACTTAATACAAAGTAGACTTCAAATTCAGAAGTACGAAGTCTTCAAGTAATGTTTGTGGCGCTCAACACTGGCCCATGATTCCTATCTATCCATCATCACAATCTTTCAGAATCTGCCAAGTCTGCAGGGCATGCTGAGTGCCTCAAAAAGTTCAGCCAAGGCTTTCTATACCTGATAGACCAAGTCCTGACCTATCTTTCCCTCCTATCGCCTTCTCGTGGCCCTGCAACAGCATCATCAACAATGGATTCTGTTGCTCGACCACCTCCAGCATCTCACGCAAGAACCTTATCGGCGTTAACCAACCAGTCTCTTGATGAGCCCACGTCAGTTATCCAGAAACAGTCAAGGCCTCAAGCCATCAGGAGTAGAGTCTACAGTGGGTGGGTGATAGCAAGAAAGTCCCGCATCCCATCAACAGCATGGAATAGACAAAGTATTCTAGTCTTCGCAGACTTCAACACGTTCGAAAGTCCTCGAGGCAGTCGTTCACAACCTTCATATTCAATAGAGCACGATATCGATGACCTGGAAGAAGCCAGTTCTCCGCAAGACGATGTCAAATCGTTGGCGAGTAGTTCCTACAGCCTCGACAAAGAACTGCCGGAGCCTCCCTATCACGTCTTCACTCTGGGAAAGAAAAAGCAGCTCGTGTACATCGTGTCTCTTGCTGGGTTGTTCTCCCCGCTCTCAAGCAACATATATTTCCCCGCTCTCGGACAGATTGCTACGGTATGTCCATGGACGGAATATCCTCTGACGAACTAATACCATGCTAACGATCGGACAGGATCTCAAAACCAGCATATCACTCATCAGTCTTACCATCACGGTGTATATGGTCGTCCAGGGGCTCGCTCCGTCATTTTGGGGTCCTTTATCAGATACTCAAGGGAGGCGAATCACTTTCATCGGTCAGTAATCGAATCTTGTTCCAAATTTTGAGAGTAGTATTGATTAGATTACAGGCACTTTCGTCGTGTACCTCCTAGCCAATGTTGGGTTGGCATTCAGCAACAGCTTTGCATCATTGATGGTCTTCCGAGGCATTCAAGCAGCCGGAAGTGCTGCAACAATCTCAATTGGTAGGATAGTTCTGCCTTGTCTTGCAGACCAGACTTTAACAATGTCCAGGTGCCGGTGTGATTGGAGATATCACAACTCCTCGTGAACGCGGTGGGCTTATCGGCATATTTGGCGGCAGTGAGTGTTTACTCTCCACATCAAAACGGGAAGCAATGTCTCACTGATTCTTCATAGTCCGGATGATGGGCCAATCGATCGGTCCTGTCGTTGGCGGGATTCTAACACAATTCCTTGGTTTCCGCTCAATATTCTGGTTCCTCTTCGCCCTCGGCTCAATCGCTCTCTCGTTGATTCTTCTCCTCCTCCCTGAAACCCTGCGCTCTATCGCCGGGAACGGTGCTTTACGTCTGTCCGGAATCCATCGGCCACTTATCTACATGTTCTCTCCACCATCCGATATTCTGATCGACCGTGACCGAACTCCTGCAAAGAAGGTCACTCTCTCCAGCATCATCGCACCGCTGAAATTCCTTTTTGAGAAGGACGTCTTTATCACGCTGTTCTTCGGTAGCATCGTATACACGGTCTGGAGCATGGTAACATCTAGCACAACCTCCCTCTTCCAATCTCGCTTTCACCTCAACAACCTCCAAGTCGGATTGGCGTTCTTACCCAACGGCGCCGGCTGCGTTATTGGCTCCTATGTGACCGGCTATCTCATGGACCATGATTACCGAGTCATTGAGTCCCAGTACCGCATCGCCCAATGCATACCAGATGACACGATCTTGAATAAGAAAGATCTAGTTGACTTCCCAATCGAGAGATCCAGACTTAGGAATATCTGGTGGATCGTCTCGATTTTTATCGCAGCAACTGCGGCATACGGCTTCTCTTTCAACCTTAACCTCCTCGCAATACCTCTTATCCTCCAATTTTTCATTGCGTATACGGCAACAGCTGTATTCTCGCTTAATAGTGCATTGGTTATTGACTTGTACCCTGGAGCGTCGGCTTCCGCAACTGCGGTCAACAACCTGATGCGTTGTTCTATAGGTGCGATTGGTGTAGCGGTTGTTCAGATTATTATCGATAGAATCGGAGTGCAGAATACGTTTTTTGCCTTTGCGGCAGTGACGGCAGGGACGAGTCCGTTGCTGGTTCTAGAGTGGCTTTATGGAGAGGGATGGAGAAAGGAGAGGAGAGAGAGATTAGAAGCCGAGGTTTAGAAGTCGATTGAAAGGTAGAGAATTGTGCCTGCAATACTTGTAGGTTAGGGTGATGGACTTCCTCCAGCTGCTTTCATGCACCGCTTAAGCGAAAGCAAAGGGGACCTAAATCAACAACAATTGTCTGTGTCCAACAAAAATTCGAAGTTGTTGAATAAAGTAATTATAAATTACCAATCAACAGATGAATGAGATATTTGTTGAGCGGGGTGTCTGCAAGATGGCTGCTCGTAACTGGACTGGGGCGTTCCAGATTGCCTTGTTACCTTGTGCGGATTTGGCCAGATAATAATGTTCTCATGGATGAAACCCCCAGGCCATGAAGTAGAATATTATCTAAATTCTACTATCAGGTATACGAGTGGAGTATAGTACAGATCCCATAGCAGTGGACCGAGATCGTCCAGTTCCATCAGAGGGAATTGGCCTAGAGCCATATCCCGCCTCCCAATGCATGCATGTGTATCAAAACGCCCAACTAAGACGGAAAGAAAACGCTCTCCGGCATGGGTGGTGCCCCAATTATTCACAATCCAATGTTAACACCCGTTACTTCGCTTGCTTCCCTGCCTTCTCTAGAACGGCTTCAGTTTTGGTCTGGTCTGCTTTTCGTACCTCTACCCCCTCGTCGATTTCGTCTGCGCTATCATCTTCCAGATGAGCTAGGTCGTCTGCGATCTGCTCGCTTTCTGTGAGATGTCCTTCTGGGTCTGTGGTTCGTTTGTCAGCGGCATCGCCACCACTCATCTGCCACTCCATCAATTTGGAGAACGCCGAGTCAGGGTTGTTTGACAGAGCGTTGTATGTGCCAGTCTCGGCCACCTTTCCATCATTCCCGAGCACAATGATATGGTCGGATCTTTTGATCGTTGACAGGCGATGAGCAATCGAGATGGTAGTGTTGTGGCCTCTCAGCAATGCAGCTAAGGCAGAATTGACCAGTGTCTCAGATTCGGCATCCAATGCTGAAGTAGCCTCATCCAGAATCAGAATATCAGGATTCTTGAGGAGCGCTCGGGCAATAGCAATTCTTTGCTTCTGACCTCCAGATAATTGAGCTCCACGAGCACCAACTGAAGTGTCCAGTCCATCAGGGAAGTCGCTGATGAATTGACAATTTGCTTTTCTTGCCGCGGCGGTAATTTCTGCTCGAGATGCATGTGGTTTGCCGTAAGCAATGTTCTCCGCAATGGAGCCAGACATAAGGACTGGCTCCTGTCCGACCATTCCAATACGGCGACGCAGAGATTTCCCATTCATAGTGGAGATATCCACTCCGTTGATGGAGATAGCTCCCTCGGTGGGATTATAGAATCTCAAGAGCAATGACCCAATCGTGGATTTTCCTCCACCACTGGGTCCGACAATAGCAACATTTGTTCCTGATGGGATTTCGAAGTCGAGACCATCAAAGATGTTTACTGCAGGACGAGTCGGATAGGCGAAAGAGACATTCGAGAACTTGATAACTCCTTGTGCGGACTTGACCTTCACTCCGACAGTAGCAGGAATTGTTGGCTTTCTGTCTTGGAGCTCGAACAAACGACTGGCAGCACCAACACCCTTCATGAGTTCGGAATAGAAGCTGGAAACACCAAACAAACTGGACCCAGCATAGGCCGTGTACATCAGAAATGATGTCAAATCGCCAATACTGATGACTCCACTCTTGACCATGGATCCTCCTGAATAAAGCAAAGCTAAGATGGTCATATTGCCAAGAAATCCTGAGGAACTGAAGAAAGTCGCACTTATGAGTGCCTCCCTCTTACCCAACGCGAATATCTTCTTGATTTGATGATTGTAACGTCCGACCTCTTGGATCTCGCCTGCAAATGCTTGACTTGTTCGTACATTTCCGAGTCTCTCTTCCGCGATCTTCGTCAAAGTTCCGAGATTTCGTTGAATCTTTCGGCTCAGGTTTCGAATTGCTCGCCCATAGAAGAATGCGCCGATTGCCACGGGTGGGAACATCAAGCAAAGAATGCTTGTCAGCTTCAAGCTGACCCAAGCCATTGCAGTAAAACCAGCCGCTCCACTGACGATCGCTCTTAGTCCATCTGAGAGGTTCTGAGTGATACTCTTGCCAACGATAACAGTATCGGAGCTAAGGCGTGAAATAAGATCTCCGACCCGATTCGCGTCAAAGAATTCCGCATTTTGTACGTAAGTCCGTCTATAGAGTTGCGATCGAAGTCTCGAGACAATGCGTTCTCCCACAATCCGAAGAATGATGATTCGCCCGTAATTCGCTGCTGCTCCTACAGTGAGAACGGCTCCAAGAGCAAGGTAGAACTGTCCAATTTGCAATCCGAACAGAGTGCTGCCCTCTGAAGGATCCTTCGTCGCCAAATCCAGAATCTTTCCGATGGAGAAAGGTATCGACATAGTAATACTTGAAGAAATCAGCAAGAATGCAAAGGCCAGCCCTAGCCATTTGGCTTCAGGCCTTGCAATCTTGATCAACCTCCATATTTCTCCCAGCCCAGCGGAATTTCCCGGTGCCTTGTTGCTAGACAGCCTGGCACTCAAGTTGACCTGAGCTGCTTTGGATGCCTTCTCACTTCTTGCAAATCCTGCTTGCTCGTCAATTAGGTCCTCCTCCTCTTGTCTCTTCGCTTTCTCCTTCTCTATTAGATCTTGCCGATCTGCGGGTTTCGGTGCTTCTTGTAGATGTGACGTGCTGTTGAAAGGCCGCAACTGTGCAACTGCTGGTCTCCATTGCGGCGAAAGGCCTAGTTTTGGCTGCGCAATAAGCTTACTTGCGAGAGGTCGGTTCCGTTGGGTAGGTGTCGGTGGTATCCTTGGTGGTGTATGGAGGCTAGATTTAAATCGTTTCGTGATTTGAGGAGTTGCTGAGGTGGTCAGTCGAGTAGCCACGACTTTCGCAATTGGACTCGGCGTTGAGAAGTATGTTGAAGCTCTCTCGAACACAGCGCCGCATCCATGACCTCGGAGTACCGTCGTTCGTCGCATTGCGGACTCTGTACTGTGCCCAAAAGTGTATCAGAGCCACTGATATCACCGATAAAGATCAGATCCGCCTGGTCGTCGCAGGCCCATTGTCGCGTCAACTGAGCCTCTTGAGTGTGTTGCGAATGCTGAATGGTGATGCGGGTAAGAGAATGTTGAAGTTCGGACTTTGAAATCAACAATTGTCTCTTAGAGCATTTTAGCTTCCGTCATCGCTGTGATTGGCACAACGCGAAGCCTCAGCATAACTTTATGCACGTGGGCTGGGCAACCGTGGGGTATTTTGCAGTGGACGCCTCGCTATCGAATATTCCACTCGATTGGAGAACATGTTTCGAAAGTTCCCTTGCACCGCACCTCTCTCCACATAAACACCACAGATTCTTCCTACTTGGAAATAGAAAATTCATCACAATGCCCGTCGACTACAGCAAATGGGTAAGTAAATACAGGAAGAACATGACGTTCTGATTCTCCAAAGTTTCCCGAGCCCGCCAGGCTGAACCTCAAGGCTGACAATATCAGGATGCTCTGGAGCTGAGCGACGATTCTGATATCGAAGTCCACCCCAATGTGGACAAACGTTCCTTTATTCGAGCCAAACAAAATCAGATCCATCAACAACGATTCGAGCGCAAGAACCAAATCGAGACATACAAATACGAGCGTATTATCAACGATGGCCTTCTCAAACGGATTAACGCCCTCCTCACTGCATTAGAATCGCATGGGAAGGAGGCGGATACCCGCAGTCCGGATGAGCTGGTGTTCCAAGCTATCATGGAATCAGTGGGAGCATCGGAAGATGGTGACAAACCTCCTCCACCACCAGTTGGTGTTCACACCCAGGAGAAGGAGCTTCCAAGCTACTCCAAGATGATGGCGGCACTGGTTGATCAAGTCAAAGCAAAGGTTGATGAAGATAAGCCGGCAGACTCAGACCGATATGAAGCATACGTCACAGAGATTAAGGCACATAGAACTAAGGTGGAGGGCCTGCAGACGCAGTTGCTGGCGGAGCTAAATAAGCTGGAGGTGGAGGAAGGAAGGAAAATCACAAGTGAAGGCTTGCACGACGGCTTCAATAGTTCGCACGTTACTAAAGCCAGTGCCGTCCCTGCGCCGGAACCTAAGAAGACTACAACCAAGAAAGTCCAGGCAGTCGAGGTCCTGAACCCAAATTCCCTAGCTGCTAGAGACACAGATCCACAATCTTCTGGCGCTGATGGCGATGTTGACGAGCCACGTCTGGATGATGATGACGACGAAGAGGAGATGGAGCCAACAGAGCTCGGTAAGGCATTTGCGAAGATCAAGATGGGAGACTACCGAACCTGCCTACAATATATTTTCGAGCATCCTGCAGTACTAGCTGAGAGAGAAACAGACGGATTACTCGTCATGGCCTTCAACAGCGCTCTTCAAGGAAAGGAGGACTTTGCAAGACAATGTGTTCATCAAGGTCTTCTGCTACAGTACTGCCGAGCTCTAGGACGAGATGGTGTTGGCCTGTTCTTCAAGCGCATCACAACTCAAGGTCACCAGGCACAGAAAGTATTTTTCGACGACGTGCAATCTACTTTTGCTCGTATCAAAGTCAGAGCAAAGGAGCTTGAGAAGCAGAGAGCGCAAGAGGAAGCCGATGGAAGCGGTGGGGTTGAGCAGATCCAGCTACATGCTGTGGATCCGGGAACGACCATCAACATCAAGATTCCACCTCCAACAAGCGAGAACCCAGAAGAGGTCGAAGCAAGGAAACTGTTCGAAGCTTTCCCACCTGGCCTCCAGAGAGCTTTGGAGAGTGGAAGTTTGGACGAGGTTAACAAAGTATTGGGTAAGATGAGTGTGGAGGAGGCCGAAGAAGTTGTTGGCCAACTGGGCGAGGTAAGTCACATAGTATCGCAGGCAAAGCCTTCTCGCTGATGCAATTAGGGCGGAATGCTGTCTCTTGAAGAGCAGATTATTGACGCTACCACCGAAGAAGGTCAACAGGCACTCAAGGAATTCGAAGAACAAGAGCGAGCTGCCGCCAAGGCGAGCGCTGCTTCTTCAGGCAAGTATTCTGAAGACCCAGAATAGTAACTTGCAGGGTTGAAGAAACAGCGGACCAAAAGTATGAATTTGAGCGAGAGCGACGCATACCATTGAACATAAAATTTACTCAGCACGTTAGACTTCAATAAGATATCACAGGCAAATGTAGCACAGGCAAAATGTCACGAAGTTGTCTTGATATGTGCCGTGTATTTTCAACGCCCCATAGTCCAATATCCATGACCCAGGCTGCGCAAAAGATACAACCAGCAATGCACGCACTCATATCTTACAATACCACCATAGAGAAGCAGCCACCAAGATCAATCCTCAAAGTCATCAACGTCGTTAATTGAAGTTGACCATCAGCAATAACCACCCTCTCAATAGCCCGTAGCACCCGGCGCCTTCTCATCCTTCTTCAAACTCATCAAAAGTTCCCTGAATCTCGCCTTCTCACTCCCACTCGCACCGCCGCTCGCACCCTTCCCACTCAAATCAACCAGCTTCGCAATCCGTTCCCAGCTCGTTCCACCTGCAGACGTATCCTCGCGACTCTCCAAGAACTGCTCTGCCTCGCGGCGGGTCGCAGCAATGCTCTTCTCCTTCTTGGAGTTGTAGTTCTCATAGAAGTCGTCGATGTTCTGCTGGGCGGCCTTGACGGTCTCCTGTTTGCGCTCGGCGGATCGGGCCTCGCGGTCTTGCAGGGCGAGATCCCGGCGCTCGCGCCATTGCTTGATCACCTCGGGCTCTTCTTCGTCTGCGGCGTGAGGTGCGTAGTAGGATGGTTGTTGGGATTGGAAGGGGCCGGTGTTGGTGATGCTGCCGCCTGGTGCGACGCCCTGGCCAAGAGTTAGTCCTCGTGCTTCTCTCCAGACCTATCCTGCCCGACCACTTCCAAGGACAGATGAATCCGAATATGGCATACCTCGTTTTGTGTATCGATTGATGGGAATGAGCTCTCGAACTCGGTGACCTCCTCATTACCACCGCTGGCACCACCACCTCCGAGCAAGTCATCTTCTCCATCCTCAACGAACGCTGAGTTGTCATTGCCGGTAGCGAACTGGTCTGCGTCGTCACCCAAGAGCGCCTTCTCGCGACTCAGGAAATCATCTCCCTCAAAGCCGGAAGAGCCTTGAGCTTCTGTTTGTGCTGTTCGGACATTGTGTTAGTAAAGCTGGGCCCCATACAAGACAGATTGGTCGCAACATCTGGGGATTGAGAATCGAGAGGGGGGGAAGCGTACCACCGGAGTCAAACTCCTCGAGTGATGGGAATCGGTCTGCCATCTTGTGTTGTGATTAAGCGGTCTCCAACGGTGATGTTGAAGGTTATCGCAAGTAGGTCTGTCTGCAATCAATGGCTTGTCTCATTGTCAATACCATGAGGCTGCTTGAAGCGCGGCCGCTTGGCTTAGTCATCGGCTGAGCTACCCCTTTTCATCCACCTGCATCTTTGCTTGTGATAACTTCAGATTGTTTTCGCAAGAGCGATAAAGTTAAGGCAAGTGCCAACAGTTGCTAGTGGCAGCAAAACTCCGTAATCAGGGGGGCAATCCATCTACCCTGTTTCTTGCCTCAAAGCTTTGCCGGATACAAGCATGTCAAACATTGCTCAGCACGTGACTATCTCCTTGTCTTACCAAGGTCTCTTGGACTTTCATGTTGCTGAAGGGTTTGCTGCTATTACCTGCATCCTCATTGATCTTAGATATTGCTCTTTTCGATGTTCAGGGTACTGCTGATCGCTAGTTGAACTCTCCAAGGACTTCGTTCAAGCGAGCAGGCTCCCTATTACAACTTCTGCTTCCCCACGCGTCCTGTCAAGATGCAAGATAGCAGCCTTATGAACCCATGCTACCTCTGAAAGGTTGTGGCAGATGGCTCCATACTTTCAGAATTCGATTTATTTGAAGTCTAGATGATTGTTGTGCCGAAGCAGATTCCAACGAGGATTGGCGAGAGGATCCATGGCACTTTGGTAGGTCCCAGACAATGTCATTGTACTCGATTATCAAATGGAAATATGCTATCAACTCAAATAACGTAAGCAACGGAGATTATAGTGCTGATTTCAAGTGGAGCGGATTTCGAGTCATATATTATCGACCTCCTGGGCACTCCTTGTTAGTACTCCTGGATAAAATTTTGATCTGCCAAACGTTAGGTTGACTCTCAGCATGTCATCCATCTCTTTTTCCCTCCAGACACTGACAACCATACTCTCTCTATCTACCGTCTCAGCATTTCCAAATGTCAAAAGAGCACCGACTCCTCCATTCAAAGATGATTTCTACAGCCTCCCGAAAGGCTACGAGAAGGCACCTCTAGGAGAATTCCTCCGTCACCGAGAGCCACCAGGACCTCTCGCAGCATTCGGAAACATTCCATTGAATCTTCACTCCGCGTACCAGATCTAATTCAGGACGATCAATACTCAAGGCAAACCTGACACCGCAGTCACTACCCTGCTCATCCCCAAAGCAGCAAACAATTATCGCTTGATTTCCTATCAAGACCTCGAGGATTCGTCATCCGTTGACTGCGCTACTTCTTATGCTCTCCACCAAGGGAAAAAGTTCAACACTGGACTTTCGAAATCGGATGTTTTCGAAGCTGGTCTTCTTAGTGAGGGATATTACGTCAACCTCCCCAACAACGAAGGCCGCAAAGCAGCTTTCGGTTCTGGTCCTCAAGCTGGATATGCAACACTAGATTCCATCCGAGCGATACTCAGATCGTCAAATTTCACACAGAATGGGCAGCAGAGATGCAGCTAGGCTACGCACCAGAGCTCAAAATCCTCGGCGCAGCAGTAGGAGGCATTATTAGCAACATCAACTCAACCATCCACATCATCAACAAAACACCTCACGCGGGTTTCGGCCCAGCAGGTCTCCTCGGTCTGCACAAGGCTTACGAGACCAAGGAATTCAACAAACTCCTGCACCAAGAGACATTCCCCGAGAAGCGAACCTAGTTCATGTCTCCTTTCCTCCTATGCGCTTCTGAAGTCATGGAAAGGTTTAAGCAACAAGAACATATTCCCATACTTCCGCTTTGGCGAAGGGGTTCTGGATAAGCCACTCGTCAAAGATATCATTGAGAAAGCAGGCATCATGGGTAAACACGCGTCCCGCAAATTCCCATGTATTTCTATCAAGCTGTCCAAGGCGAAGTCATGCCCATCTCCAGTAACGACGAACTCATCAACGCCTACTGCTCCAAAAACATCAAGTCTCTCCAACACATCCGTCACGAAGCTGAGAACCACGCTGCCACCTCTTTCGCTGGTGCTGGCGGCGCGGTTGGGTTTCTGAAGGATCGGTATAATGGTGTGACTGCGCCGAAGTGGTGTCAATAGGGGTGACGTGTTGCTGTCTACGATGGATCAGAAGAGCTTGGCGGGATTTGGGGGTACCATTTTGGGATTGCTGGGGTCGTTGATGGCGGCGCCGTTGGGGGGTGATTTGCATGAATGGTGCAAAAGAGGTGGAGGGTGATGTTAAGGATAAGATTACTGGTTTGGTTGGTGGAGGGGATGAGGAGGACAAGAGTGATGATGCTGAGAAAGATGGCGGTTGGGGACCGAAAGTCAAAGATCTGACAAAGAGATGGTGGTAAACTGCTTGGAAAGTCCGGGACAGGCAGAAACCCGCCTCAGAAATTTGTTATCGCAACTTGTCGATTGTTCTCCCCGAGGTTTTGGGATTCATGGTCTCTCGCTCTGCTAGCATGACCTTCGCACTTCTCATACTTGATCTGTAATCCAGTGCATCAGCAGTTATTAGCAATCACCTTTATCGATATACACGGTCAGCTCCTTACTAGCGAGTCTGAATGCCAGCTATGTTGTCAACCTGTAATCCTCTATGCAGCATAAACGAAGTATCCTGACTTTCACAATGAAGGAATGTCAACGCAGGAGCCGGGCTTAGCACAACGTATAGTAGCAAATCTGCCCGTCATTTATCAACAGGAAAAGTAAAAGGCTTTGCCATATATACACCGCAAGTGTCTACCTCAGCCTCGGCAGCTATGGCTGAGAGCTCTTGAACAATCACGTGTTAGTGTAAATCATGGGATGGGTTCGCCAAATCAATCATAACAGCTGGGAGGAGTCTCTCCCTTCCATATGATGGTCAGTCATAAGAAAGTCCTCTGATGCACTTCGGATGGCGCTTAAATTTGAAGGTTGAATATTATTTGGTGCCGAAAGGCTCAAAAGCACAGAATGATTGCACAGCGAGACTATCATTTTGCAACACTTGACCACTCATCATGGAGATAATGGTGTTGCTTGAGCGATGCATGCAGTTCTTAAGTAGCTGTGCACCCAAGGGGGTCAGTTCACCGTGGGCTAGGGATGACCAAAGCAAGAGGAGCCTCCTGAGCTGGTGGTTCGCCCAAAGCGAAGCGAACCATAAGAAGCGACCTGCTCACTCGCCAGCTCGCACGCAAGACACTACCTACAACACGATTCGATTCGCCCTCTCGACAGGGGCCGACAGGGATGTGATAGACATGTATTCATATGGCTGGTTTCAAGCCAACTTCTCTTCCCGTGAACTTGAGTTCTTTCAGAACTAGACGCCATCCTCAGCCGTTTTTCGATAATAGTCATACGTAAGTATTCGCTCTTGTCATTCTCATCTCTTGCTAAACAAGCCTTTAGTTACAACAAGCGACAAAATTAGCCTGGCTTTCGGCCTTGCCGCGACAGTACTCGCGATCTTAGCTATGTTCGCAACACTGTATTTTAGACACGACCGAAGCGTTCCGACAGGCAATTTACTTTTCCAAGCATATACCAGTTCAAATCACTAAAGTTGAAACAGCAGCCCAGGACGTCGAAATGCAAGCCATGGTGTCGGGAACGAACGCAAGTCGCGGGAATGTGAACGAGCATGAAGTGGCATTGAAAGCATTGGAGATGGTATTGGGGCTTTTCCAAAGAGGCACTTGATTCTGTGTGCAAATATACTTGCGACAAATGTATCATGAAAGCATGGGCAAACTTTTCAATAAGAAGCCGAGAGAAAGGTCAACCGGACGTGAACAAATGGCAAGAGCAAATACAAACCAGAAAAGAAACACAAGAATTTCGAGTCAAGATCCAAAAAGTGAAAAGCGCAAAAAGGTATCTCTTGACTAACCAACAAAACAAACTAAACATATGTAACCTCTCCAAAAAGACCCGCCCGGACCTGCACCAAAGCCGCCAGCTCCAGCAAGAACTCCTGCAGTATGATAACATTCGTAAGAACATGGTTGACGCTAACCATCTTCTCCTCAGCACTATGGGTATCTGCAGGCAATGTAAAGTCGTCCGCTACAGCTACACTACTCTCTGCACTCCCGTCTTCGCCTGAAGATTTCAGATTGGGGAATGGGATTGGAGACACTTCGTTCTTGGGAATCGGCTGTGAGACTTTTCTGGCAAGGATGCTCTGGTCAACAGCTGCAAATGCGGCGGCTTGACTGGCTGGTACCCCTTTCGCACTCTTCTCCGCATCTCGCAGTGGACTGGATGAGAATGCGCGTGAGCTGCCCCGCGAAGAGTGATCTAATCCCATTGGAAATTGTGGTGGCGGTATAGGATTGCGCGAAGATGTGGGTGTGGCATATCCATATCCTCCACTCATGCCACTGCTACGTTCCTGGCTTCTACGACCCCGTGGAGAGTTTGACCGAGAAGGCGTGCCAAGTTCAGGGAAGATACGCTGGGCAAGAGCATCAAGGGCGGAAGGTCGTGGTGGCGATACTGATCGGGAGGGAGAATCGAAGCTAGAGCGAGGAGCTTGCTGGCGGATTGGGATAGGAGTGGCATGTGCTGATGATGCAGCTTGAAACGCCTCACGACGCTGTTGGAGCAGCTCATCGAAGCGTGGTATCTCAGCTCGATACATTGAAATTTGATCGACGAGCTTCTTTAGCTCCTTCAACATAGTTGGAGCTTCTGATTCGGACCATTTAGGTGTCCTTCGTGCTTTCTTCAGGAGGCGAACTTGCACTTTCTCTTCTGCTTCCATAGGATCTCCGAGACCCAGAAGCAGAGGGTCGTCAACAGCATCCTCCTCTTCGTCTTCATCATAGACATATCTGGATGGGTCTGGTAGTAGCCAGCCGTCAATTCTCATGAAGCCGCATGTGGCCAGGTCAATAATAGAGCCAGTAAGAGACAAATTCGTTTCCACAGAATTGACGAAGAAATTGGCTAGTATACTGATCAGTGTCTTCAACATGGGGTCTTCTGGTCGTAGAGTATGCGATCGAATGTCTCTCGGTGCTCCAGGAATAGTTGCTTGTGACCCAGTAAATTTTGTAGTGCCGCCCGCTGACTTCGGAGCGATCAAAGTAATTGAGCACGCATGGCTTTCTAGCATACTCGTGCAATCCTTGATATGGTTTTCGTAGACGTCGTCGAAGTTATCATCACCTCCTACAGTCCCGGCAAGGCCGAGTAAGAAATCCATTTCCATTGCGTGAGCACCGATAGTCCGCTGTGGTCCGTCGGCCAAGGTCTGGCTTGTCCAAAGTAAAGTTGTTACAGCATAGCGGTGATGCCTCCTTAAGATGACAGAAACTAATTGCAGTGTCACAGATATTGTTTGCTCGTTCATTGATCGGAGACTGGCTTGAATCAGATCAACCAAGTTGAACAGTGCCGGAGTTGATGCTGCTTCAACTTGGGTAGACATCATGGTCGCAAGATCCATAGACTTTCGCTTTCTTGCGGCACTGACTGACGCTCTTGATCCTGACGGGGCTGGAGCTGTGTCTGGTAGAGCAAGGAGATAGTGCAGAATCAGATGAATCATATCTGGATGATCCAGTGCTTCAAGGATTCTACGTAGGTAAGTGAGAACAGCAACAGATGAACCCCCGTCCACATCTGATGATTCAAGTAGTGACGGGTAACTGCAACATGGTCAGGGCGAAACACATAGAACCAGCAGAGGAGACTTACAGCAACTGCTGGAGGAATATAACTTGGAAATGTTCCAGTAACGTCTGCTTAACCTCACCCGACTTGCAGTGGTTGAGGACGTCTTGCCAAAACACTAAATGTGACAGAAATGTTTCCATGTGCATTTGAAAGTCGGGAGAAGACGAACTGACGATTTCCGAAGTCGTGTGCGGCTGCTGGTAATCTGATAGTGCAAGAATTGGCGGTAAGTCTTCAAGCGGATGGTCAATGACCAGCTTCCGGCTTAGCTGACTATACAGAGCCCCAAGACCAGTTGCCATTAAAGTTGCGAGATCACTCTCCACAATCCATTGCTCCAAAGCAACCGAACTTGATGCTGCTTCGATAATGTAGAGAAGTCCCGTCCTCGCAAAGTCCCCAATTCTGCCTTCGTGATGGATATAATCTATCAGCAGATAGAACAGTGGGAAATCTTCCTTGTGTGTTTTCCCAGTAAACTTCTCATGGGCATCCTGCCCATCCTCTGAAGTATCACTTCTCTCCTGTGCCGTGAACCAAGCTGGTAGAATCTCCGGATCAAGTCTGATCTTTGTCGTGATATTGAATGATAGTTCGACTACTTCGACCTCCGTGTCCGATCCTAGACGTATACTATTTGCCCCAGTAATACGAACCAGAAGACTCATCAAACTATGAGAAAATGTATCGTTCTCCACGAAGTCCTCCTCTTCACTGTCGATCAGAGTTGCAAAGAATGCCACCCCCTCTCTGATAATCCACTCATTGTATGAAGTTGTAGCAATCTTTCCTATGGGTACATAGATCTGCTTCGCGGATGCGAAAGTGATGCACGGATGCGGGAGAGGCCGTCGGGATTCATCGCTGATGATTGCTGTAAGCTGTTGGAGACTGTCCCGGATGTTCTCGGCAGCTTCATGGTCTCTTGATAGATTCGAAGCCCCACGCCATATTTGCTAAAAAGTTGTCAGCCTTGATCCTTTCACCAAGTCGACTCTTACGAACCAGAAGCTGGCTGTACTCCTTCTTGAAGCGTGCCAGACGCTTCTCTGGGTTGTTCGTCGAGGCTTTGTTGCCAGCTGGGGCAAGAGAAGTGCCCGCTATCAAGCGTGACCACTTTATTGATTATTAGCAATGCTCACAACTCCAGTAAGGGGTATCTTACAAAGTCCATGGCTGCATGGGGATCATCATTTTTCTGGTCGCATTAATATAATACTCGACTCAAACGCGCGGTTCGCGCTTGACATCTCTCCGCGTCAGGGGCTGAGGCACGGGCCATTGCATCCACGCTTCCGCCACAGCCAAGCCACAGGGAGATATCTTTCGTTTCCCCTCTTCATAATCCCTTGAAGCCTTTAAATACTCATCAACCAACGACAGCATCTCAGGAGCCTACCTTTCCTCTTGAACAAATCTAACTGCAATAAGCCACCTCTCCAGTGTATTCAGGTCTCAACAGTAGATCTCTCACGATGTCAACCCCGCTCAAGATCAAAGTTCCCCATGGAACAACCTCAATGTACCTCACAGCACTCTCACTGTACGAGGAACGCTGTCAAATTGCAGTCAATTGGACTGATGGAAGCGCTACGTTTGGAGCGACGTTTGTTGGCCCGAATCCCCAATATGTTCTCGCCGACAAAGTATTCGGATTGCCAATCATCTCGCTCAATGATTCGATTCCAGAGGAGATCTCAGTATGCTTCAAGTTCCACGATACAACACCTATAGTCTCGAGCCCAGCAACAACAAATGTTGGCCCTCAAGGAAATGGAACTCAGATTCAGATCACTGGATTTGCAGCATACGACAAGAAGCAAGCAAAGCCAACGACCATCACCATTCTCTTTCAGAGCAGTTTACATGGCCTCAAGAAGTAAAAGCCAGTTGTAAGTGTCAAGATAGCAGGGGCAGATGCAAAGTATTGCTTACACTGACGCTTTCAAAGCTTTTTTAAAGACGAGATTCTGATGAGCTGTATTACTGAACGACTTAACCGGTTCATCACACCTTCGCCCATGAGGTCCTGGGGTCTTGATAGCCACGCCTTTCTTGCTCAAGGGTCTGTAGACGAGACCCTGGAAGGCTCAAATAGCCAAGCATATTCTATGGCATTCAACGCATCCAAATGTACTCACATTCCAGTCATTTGAGTTACTCTGGGGATGAATCCACGAGATCGTTGAGCTGCAAGTACACATCTCCTCAGTTGGAAACATCAATTTACATGTTGAACCTCTTCAGTTTGCTTGAATATGGTTAAGCGAGAACGACCCTTCTGCTGAATGACTGCTAACCCAATCAATCAAAGTGACTTTTGCGCCATCCGCCGAGACACTTACCTGCGGTGAAGCAATGGCTTACCAAGAGCGGGACTGGCCATGACAGATCCAAAGATCCAGAAGTCTAACTTAGCTTAAAATCTATGCTACAGTGGAGGAAGCCGAGTCTCTCCTTCAAGACTAGCATGCTAAATACACCAGCGCCAACACTGGGAAATGATCATCTTGCTGTTTTCTCAGCACTGCCTTGAAAGTCCGAAAGAGTTCTTAGAGGCATCAGGCAGGAGATATGGATGGTATGTTCAAGTGAGCAAAGCAAGAAATCCTGGCAGGGTGTCAAATTAAATACATTATTCCTCGTTTGCATTGTCGCTCATTACCTCTTCAAAGCCATTTGTTAGCAGTCATTGAATCGTCCGTGGGGGTGATGCAAGCGTCGTATATTTGTTGCCATGCAGTGGTTGGCCTCGCTTGTTTTGCTGCGCCTTCATGCATGCCCTGGTGTGGGGTGGAGGGTGGGCCACCCAGATAGGGCTGAAGGGCATGTCTCCTGCAGTCGTCGTATTACATAAGAAAGTCAGAGCATGGCCCTGATGTTGGTCTCCGCATGTCTGGTTGCCGCTTTCATCCAGCACCCAATTTTATGTCATTCGTGATGGTGTCTGTGAAGTAAAGAGCGCTCTTTGTGTATGCTAGGTATGTCTATCTTTATCTTGGTGTATGTAACCATCAGTCTACGACTGCGCAGGTAGATCCATCTTGTTCTGTAATTTCTGAAGCATTTAGGTGTCCTGTGAATGAAATTCCTTGTCCTGTCTCGTCCAATAGATGTTGTTGAGTTCTCATCCCAGCCTGGGCCTCAGCACCCCCAATCTCGTACGTCTATCTCAGCTGTCCCTTTGAGAACCCCCTTTTCACATCACCAATAAGCTCGTGTTAATCCAAGCAAGCTCCCCAATCCCGCACCCCCCATATCATCACCAACCACACCCTGCGCGTCCTGTATCTTTTCCACACAGATCTGATGCAACACCTCCAGGTATCGAGCAGGCAAAACAGGTAACACAGCAAGAACAAGCCCGTAAAAGTGGGCTGTAAGTAAGACCTGCTCCATGGAATCATCCGTCCTCCTCATATCGATCCAGAACAGCCAAGATCGGAACCCCGATAGTTTGTGATATTGCTCTGTATCGTCGGTCTCACACAGAGTAGCAGAGACTGACTCTACGAGTTTTTCGAGATCTTCGAATCCGACCAATCGCCAATTTGGAAGGCCGATCAGATCTGCGATGTCAAAGATTGAGTTGTTAACTTCAGAGATGTTTTGTTTCATCCTGGGGATGTCTTTGTGAAACGTGGGGGTATTTGGATTGCAGTTTAGGGAACATCTTCGAAGTTGAAGTTGGTCGGTGGCGAAGTCTGGATAGACTGTGGGGAAGTTGTGGCTGGTCATGTGTGTTATAGCCTGGAAAGTTCAGTAATTGGCATGTGGTCAACCAAAATTGAACTCGCCTTGGAGTATCCGTCAACATATACAGCCCATTCTTCCCTAGATTAAAGATCAGAGAGGGTTACAAGCATGAGTAAGTATCTGAACGTACCAGCTGTCCGCAGTCGCGGACAGAAAGACTGAGGCTGTCACAATAGCATTGCCATTAGATGGCCCAAAGTTGTCGATTTCACTCTGCAGGGCACTCAAAGCCAACCCTCGGTGTCGAATGCATACGTCTTCCGCAATGGGACTTCGAGTTACGCGAAAGTGAGTGAAAGCACACAAGCCAACGACAGCATGTTTCACACAAGCAAATCCGGCTGCTAAGAGATTGTACCTATTTCAATTTAGATCTCAGAAAAGAGTAGTCCAAGTGAGCTGATCTCAGGGGAGTTTACTTCGGCTCGTAGTGCTGAGCAATGGTCATCATCATATCACGGGTCATCGACCGTTGCTGCATCATCTCTCGAGATTCCCGTACGATGGCGACATCTGTGGGAGAAAGTCCTTGCTGCTGGAGAAGCGAATAGAATGCTTCAAAATCACTTGGATAGTTTCTGGCAAGCCATGCTTGATGAGAAGCTGCGAGGTAGGCGGTTGAAGTTATTTCGGACTCTCCGATGTCAGTTGCCGGACCAGATGAACTACCCAGATCGTCGACACTGCTGTCTGGACTTGAACTGTGAGGTGTGTAACTACATTCACGGCCTAGCCGAACACAGTTCCGGCTAGATCAAGAAAAGAAATCAGTGACTGTTGATGTCAAATTCCTGCAGCCCTCGGGTCGAGTCCTGTCGACGAGTTCGCTGGCAGCGATGTAAGGATAGGATGACGGGAGATGTGTTTGTACTTACCAATATGGAAGTCGTTCATCACATCTAACATGTCGTTCCTTGCATGTTACACACCCCTTTCTTGATCTTGCATGAGTTCGGCGTCGTAAAGTTGACATTGTTGATTTGCGAGCGGCGGAACTGGCGGAGATATCAAAGCAAGTCCAAGTGAAATACAGGCAAGCCCTTACTCTTCACATTCAGTCTCGACATTGCTTAGACATCTACAAACTTATAATGAATCCAAGATTTTCAGTATCAAAGTACAATGGGGCTCAAGATACCTTGCAGCTGAAGACTTGCCACACACAATTTGAGATGTTCTAAAGGTTGGCTCGCAGGGCTGAGAGCCAGCAGTTAATGGATACATTGCAGTGAGAGTTGATATTGTTCTGGTCCGAGCCGTTAGCGAGCCCTGGTCAACAACGGTGCTGGCCGAGCCAGGAGCCACGATGAAGACCTCGGCCGTATGAGTGTGTTGCAGGGTTGTAGCCCCAGCCTTGGGCTTTCCATCCCAAGATGGGAAAGTGAGATTCCAAAGTGACTCCACATGGTCCACAATGAACAATCTATCCTTGAACTTCAATGGCTATGCAGATACCGAGCTGGGTGCCATTACAGTTACGGGAGATGCATGAGATGGTTGGAGGCAGCAGTTGAGGTAGACAGTCAGCAACGTCATGGTCCAATGGAGGTGGATATCGAGCAGTCAAACCAATCAGCTAAGCGAGCAATCTCAATAATGACTACGCCGCAACCTGGCAGGCACACGACCAATGACAGTCTCAGCGCATAGCCTCGAGACAAGCCACGATTTGGATTCGAGGGGTCCAAAAGAAGTTCTTTCCCCTGGAAACAGATTCGATTCATCTTCGGAGCTTTACAACAAGTGGGAATAACTTCACAGCCATACTTCGCAGTCGCGGGAATAAAGGGTCTTCCTGTTGTTTTTCTTGCGACGTGACATTATATCGGAACGGTATCATCCGGAAAAATACAAATACCAAAAAGTTCAAGCCGATCTACTACGACCGTTGTTGAGTTTTCAGGTGTGTGGGACGGCATCAATTATTCGCATCCAACAAAGTCGTTATCTTGTTCCTCGGCAGAACCTTGAAATGACTATTTGTAAAACAGGAATCGGCGACATACATCTGCCAATTCAATATTCCAGCCATTATTGGATTGTTCCCCCAATTTCTAGCATGTTCCTGCCTCAAATCCTGCTCCCTTCATCGCGACTCAACTTATCCAGCAACCCTCGAATCTCACCCGCGACCAATCTAGGATCTTCCTTATGTATAAGATGCCCGCATCCCTTCGCAACGATCAAGCCTGTCCTGATATGCGATTTCGTGAGTCGCGTTAGTCCTTCATGGTACTCACTCCAGAACGGTTCGGCATACAGCTCCGACACATGCCTGGGAATTCCAACAAGCTAGCATGTTAGCAAGCGTTCGCCACTGTAAAAGGATCTCTCACCTTGGTCCACTGCCTGAGATTTACGACCGGATCATGCTGGACGACAGTCACGTACGGCGTTCTTGGTCCAGGCCCAATGAGTGGTGGCGCATCTGAGTATGGCAGCAATTCAGGGAGGTTCCCTCTCCACAGACCTTCTCTATTCGGAGCTTCTGGATGGTATGCCCTTCCCAACCTATTCCTTGCGAGTTCCAGGTCCTCTACTGTGACACCATTTGGAAGGTCCTCCTCCCTGAACCCTGGCGCGTGGGGATCTGGATATATCGAAACTGTATCCGAACACGCGAGCGTTGAGTCCAAAAACAGATATGCGGTGGCAGTCCTAGGGTACTCTGCTGCATAAAGCCTTGCAATAGCGACACCTATCGATGAAGCGACGAAGACTATGCCCAGAGAATCGATATCCTCTCTATCGACACCAAGCCGTGTTTTTCCCACATACTCGATCAACTCTCTCAAATCATGGGCGGCGTCCAAACAATCCCTCGCATGACCTTGTGGTTTCCCTGGGATGTCTTGATTACTGCCAGTCGTGGTACCTTGACCAGGCCTGTCGTACGTGAGAAAGGGTGTTGAGTATGGTCGCCTTCGTGGCTTCAGAAGTGCATCGATTGTGGGACCCCAAGTCGACTTCGGGTGGTCAATGCCGTTGAGAAAGACTATGAGGGTATCTCGGGGAGAAGGTCGCTCAGGTGGTGGAAAGAAAGAGCAGCTGACGCGTATCTGGGGATCCCGTAATAGTGGGACATAGAACTTCTGCATGTCGTCCAACTTCTTGAATATGCAACAGAGTCTATCCAAAGGGACAAAGTGGACATGAGAATGTTGTCTTCAATCAGGCCTTGATATGGTTACACCAAGCAGAAATAGCTGGGCAGACTCTGAGAAATGTTGTGATGTACTAGTGGCAGCAGCAGACATATGTACCGTACCTGACTTACCTATGTACGCCGCCGAACCCCCGGCTTATGAATGAGGGGTACAGTAAAGAGGACAGCCTGTTCCGGACAGTCGCAGCGGTGAGTATTCCTGTCTCGAAAACCAACGAAAAACTTAAAAATCGCTCAGGATTGAGGTTTTCCGCCTTTTGTAGCACGCTCGCAAAGGGCGAAACCCCACTCAATCCACCATTTTGACAGCTAAACTTGTCGATACGGCCGCCAGAACCCCATTTCAAAATCTATTAAAGAAGATATGACCAATTAGGACTCATTATCAAAGGCTGGCTTGATGGTGAGATGAAGAAACTAATGAAATGGCTTGTTCAATGTCACCGTCTTCCATCCTTATTGAGCGGTCAACACGGCTGATGCCAAGATCAGCTTACCCATGAAAACGGACCCCAAGACCCGCTTAGTCAAGCTTCCGAGTTCACCAACCGCTCCACATGGTTGGTTTGCCACGCGGTTGATTACACGAGAGGTGGTTCGTGGGGTGGATGTTGTCCAGTCAAACTGCTGGGACGGTGGTGTAAAGGGAATCGGGCGTCGCTTGTTTCCCTTGGCGGCGTTGGTAAGACTTCGCGCCCGGTTTTTGCGCCACTAACATTAGACGTCGTGATAGCAGCTGAACATCGTGTGTCTTGCTGACTGATATGTCTTAATTTCCGATATTCGAAAATGAACTGGCGTTAAGGTGTGTTTTTGCCGACTTATCTACTCGGTATTGGAGAATAGCACGTGACAGCGACTTTCCCCTGAACGAATTCCTCGCTTAAGGCTGAATGTACACAACAGCATTTGGTCGGGGAGAAATTTTTTGGTAGTATCAATTGATATATACCACTCTGCTATCTATTGTGATGAAGGTTTCTTTATCTTCAGATCGATTACAGTTAAAGTACAACTTGAACAGAAACATAGGATAGAGCCTAAGTAGAAAAAATTCTGATTGACAGAAAGTGAACATGCTATAGAGAATAATATTATATATTATGAACTTTAGATTAATTTTATCAAAATAAGAGAAATCTTTCGCTTACAAAACATACACTTAGCTTATAGGAAGAAAAGAAGAAGGACAAAAAATTATTTGAGTCTTGAGCCAGCCTCGTTTATAGTCGGCCATTTCTTGGGGGAGAGATACTTACGATTACGCGCGGAGCGAGCTTATCATTCATACTTCTCATAACATCTACCGATCAATTTAGTTCCAATCCCCGACTACAATGTGGGATGTGACCACGGTGAATGCTAAGATGGAGTCCAACCAACTTAAGCTAAGAGACGTGTGGCGGATGTTAATCGGTGAACCTACCCCAACTTTCGCAGGTGCCCCTGGTTCGGTGGATGGATAGGCTTGTATAAGCTGTCCCAAGATATTACTTTGAGCGGCCAATACCCAGTCTAAGTGGGACCGTAAACCACATAACTTTCGCACCCCGGGACAGACTGCAAACAGGTTAGCTACCCCGAAATTGGTCACTTACACAGAACGAGTCCCTGGCTGTGGGGCCAATGAATCCCTTGCAGGGATCAGCCACCTAGAACTTGCGGGGAATAGATGGGGGATGAGTCTCGCGATTGGGTTTGGATATTCTGTGTGTTCAGAACTGCAGAGTCATGTTAGAAGGTGTATGTTACAACAAGAACGTTGAACGAGACTGGCTTGACTTGCGCTACCGGAGCATAATGGTGGCGAAAAATGCTTTATTTCGTTACCTACTTAAAGTCGCTCCAATGGTCCGGAACAACGTGGGTTTTAGTGGGGCTAAGCGAGGCGGAAAAGTGAAGTCAACACCCATCAGCAGCCAGCCCAACACAACCTATGATGCTCTTGTACACTCTGTTACGCCTGTGGGTAGAAACAAGTCTCCTAAGCAGCTGAGTAGAACCGTATGATATCTTCTTGTCGTTACTTGAGCTGTTTCCAAACGGCAAGCTGGCGCACTAATTTGGATTTGTTTACATACACCTCACTTGTCAACACTGCCCAGATCCAGAGATTTGCGCCAATGACAACAACTGCAACAGTTCAGAAGGATTATTTGGATAAATAGTTGAAGATCTGAATGCTGGGAACATCGCTTATTGATGTGCTAGCCCTCGCCCTGGGTCGCCTTGTTTACATCGACATCATTTTGCTGCCATCACGATGGCATCGCAACTAGCACCATAACGGGTCACCTGAAAATTCCAGTCAATTGAAGTTTAAGTAGTGGCTGTTAAATATATGTCCCGTAAGTGATTAGTCTTCATTGGTCTATCGTGGGGTTTTATTCGATAGAGCATAGCCCACCAGCGGACGGAACTGTGGCTTCCGCGATCCGCATCCAGACTCTCACCAACAAGAAATGGGAATCACTGTTCTATGTCATCCGCCACTAGAATTGACGAAAGAATACAAGTCAGTGGCAAGAACTGTCTGACAGCGCAAGCGGTACAAGCAAGCAAAAGCAACCAATAAGGAAGAATGATTCTGGGAACCAAACCAAGAGATATGAACCAGTGCCGGGGTGAAGGGCTCTAGCGAGAGCACATGAGCTCATGAGGTGATTGACCCATCGTCATTCCCTGAATTTACTTGGCTTGGGCTGCAGTGGACAATGATATTCTCCTCGGCAAGAAAGTGAGAATGTTCTGCCACTATCCTTGATACATTCGAATACTGAGTGGCGGGAGGCGCCACATTCAGGTCAGTAGAAGTCCTTATACAATTGGGAATAGATAGCACATTGCACTGTCTTTTGAGACAGCCCATAGATCGCCATGAAACAGTTTCAAGAATAATGAGTGGCAGTGAGGCTCTAGCGCCGGTCACGACAGCAACTGTACCAATTGGTAATTACTATTACTAATCGAAGAACTTTGCGCGTGTCAAGTTCATCTCTTTTATTCACTCTGTGGTTTACTCACGATTCGAGAACAATAATCCCAAGACAAACCCACCACCATGAGTTTTCAGCAGCATACTTCACTCGTGGTAACGGTTTGTGTTGATCAGGGCCATCTGCCGGCACGAACTCGATCCCTCGAGGACGAAGAAAGAGGTTGGCAAGCGCAAAGGGACCTGTCGGACCTGTCCAGAGCAAACTGAAAGTGTCTACGGTGATCACTACACTTGGTCGCAAACGGGAAATGTGATTTCGCGAGAGGAGGAAAGCTTCTTTCGTGTCAATGAAGATACACCAAATTGACTACATCGCAATGATATGTTAGATCTCCTGCTATTATACGCGAATAGGAGCTGAGTCTTGCCTTGCCCGCAAGGCAAGGATTTCAGCCTTGTTAGTGCAACTAACATAAGCTTGCAATGCAGCATATAAATGATGACCAGCCATGCCTGATTTCCTCGAGTCGCATCAGCCAAGATACAGGTTGGCTGGGAGATAGTTTCCGACTATGTCGCATGCTGACATCCAGGTTGATCGCCCTAGGCCCAATTCCGAGCCCCGGCAAGGGACCTGAAGCATTCATGGCCGGAATTGCAGCAAGGAAGGCTGAACTAGAAAACTCATGTGTAGATGTCTTTCCTTAAGACTTCCGTACCTTCTCAGTTGAGAGGGACGGAGCCACACGCAACATGATATGACGTCACAAATTGCAATGTTTGAGTCAAGACAAGGAGCATGTATATGTTTCCTCAACGTGGAAAGAATTGCATTAGGATGGGTATAATCATGACTTTCATCACGCTGTCTGTCTGCGTCTGAGTCTCGAGCAGGATCCAAAACCGTACTCACATGTTATAAGCACACATCCAGACCAACGCGACGTCTCTTGTGACTCCAGAAAGTCCAGGCGCTCATGAACAAACTTCAGACCTCCCTCGCCCGCAATCGCAGGGTCAGCTTGAATTGCTGCAGATGACGCCACGAATAAATCCACGGTGTCCGTCAGCGCAACCTTCGACCTTTCACAAATCAATCATCCCGCCAAGTATCATCCATATCCCGATCCATTGCCATGCACCTAATAACGCCGATTTGTATGCAGGTGCTTCGTTCTCTCGTTTACCGTTCGTTCTTCCGCCGTGAAGAGAGACGGCGGTATCGTATCGTATCATCATGCTGAAGTCGAATGACGATACAGCTGTATAAGTATACTCGGGCCATGAGGTACGTGAAGAGAATGTGGTGTTTTATGGACCCGGTCCGTTCAATTTATCTCCGGATTGGCGTTTGATTATGCTTTTTCGCCCACGTGGTCCGTATGTGCTGTCCTTTCCCACCCGTTGAAGCGTAGCAGATTCCATTATCTCATCCCATCATACTTATTTCTTCCTCATCATCCTCTTCCAAAAGCTCGATGGCTTCTTTGATCCGCTGACTTGCCTGTTGTATCTGTTAGCTTGATGACCAGGCGAAATAAGGGTGTCAAATAATACTTTTGGATCCAAGTTGAGGGCGACAGTGAAGTGATGTACAGCATCCTGTCGTTGCTTGAGCCTCTTGTACAGTTGTCCAAGGAGGAAATGAACCATAGCCTCATCTGGCGCCAGATTCTTCAGGATTGTGAGCTCCTCGAGAGCATATTGCAACTCATTAATCGCCATCAGTGTTCGGGCCTTTTTGAACCTTGTCAATGCCGAACGAGGTGCCAAATCTGAAGCCTTTGTGAAGTATGAAAGGGCCAGTCGATGCTGCTTCTGCTTCTCGTGGACGGTTCCGATGCAACAGATCAGGACGGCGTTGGTAGGATTAATGTTCGACGCAGTCTTGAAATGACTGATTGCCTTGTCGTAGCTCCCAAGCTTCTCATAGACACGACCAACACCATACCATGCGTTGTAATGTCGCTTGTCGGCTGCCATTCCGGCACGATATGACACCAGCGCCTTGTCATATTCCTCATTGGCGACGTGTTCATGACCTTGAAGAGTGAAAGCGTACGCGAACTTGGGATTCAATTGGGTGGCACGCTTGAAACAACGAAGTGCTGACTCATGATCTCTGGCGAGAGACCACGAATTGCCAAGTGCACACCAAGCTTGCGGAGACTGCCACGTAGCGTCGATCAACTCATGCGCTAGGAATGCAAGATCTGTCTCACGCTTCAGATGCCAAAGAATTGTAGAAAAGATCTCCATATCCTCGAATCTCGTTGGTGCAACTTGACGAATTCGCTTGTAGTATTTCTCGGCTTCCCCATATGCGGCTTGCTCATAAAATGCACGTCCCATCTGAGCCATAACCCATGGGGTTTCTTGTTGACTTCGAGGCAAAGAGCCGTATACTTGCAGCGCTTCTGTGCACTGGAACCTTGAGAGGGCAAAATATCCACTGCCGAACTTCTTAAAGAGTTCTAGCAGAAATCGTAGAGCCTCTTCCTGTCGGGACGGCTCTGGTTCTGAGGATTTTTGAGATGGTATATTGGCAACGGTCCCAATCCACGATCGCGAATGTGTCTCCTTGTGATCAACATCCATTGAATCTTCAACAGGTTTTCTATTCCCGCTAACTTGACGGCCAACCGTCGATGTACTGGAGCTTGGTCGCATGATTTTGGATATCGGTGGCCGCGCCTTTTTCAGTTCTCTCCCTGGAGCCGGACCAACATTGGGGACATTGCTTGATGATTTCGTACTAGTTGGCCGTATCTGATTGAACAACCTGACACTCCTCCTCTGTGGCGCACCAGGATCCTCTGAGGTCTGCCGGGGAACTACCTGCCCTGATACTGTTCGCTTACGCTCACCAGCTGGAGGTGCCAAATTATTATTCCGTAACGCTTGAGTAGCTGCCGACTCTTCTGTTGGTTCCGGCTGCCTCTGCACTCGTTTCGTGGAAACCGCCCGACTCATCTTAGGTGCATCCATACTGAAGTCCATCCCAAGCCCCGGTATCGTTCGAGTTTTCCGTACTGGCGCTGGTGGAGCCTCTCCTGCATATGAAGAGAAGCCCGGATCTCGTCGATTCTGTACTGCCGATACATCGATCGAAGCACTTGGTCCCGTCGGTGTCTCCATCGCTTCGGGGCCGATACCTCCACCTCCTGCAGCTGGAAGATTAGTTAGACTTGGATTGCTCTCATTCAACTTCTGCGAGATACCAAGTGTACCAAAAAGTCCCCCACCATAACTTCTCGAAGGGACATTATTGAAGGGATCTGCCACATCGTTGACAACAGATGTCGGCCGTGGCGCTGCTCGACTGCGTTCATGGTCATTCTTGTGAGGGATATGATCCTTCGGCTGTGAGTCTGATTGCTCTTGTGCACCAATTTTGAGAGCTGCTTCAATCTCTGGGTTCATCTTGAAAATATTGGGCACATTGATCCTTGTACCAGTTTCGCAGAGATTCGTGAAAGCATCCCACATGAATGGATTCAGCTTCAAAGACTCCTCGAAGCAGCTAATGGCTTTGTGCATATTGTCGTAACCATGGTATAACTTCCCAAGCAAACAGAAGACTGCAGCGGCATCTGGTAAAGGTTGTCTCGAGGAAGCTGTATGCTTTCCAAAACTGTTCTTTCCTCCCCATAATGCCTTACTCTTTTCCAAGGCCGTTATGCCGTCCTTGAATCTTTCCAAAGCCAGGCATGCCTGAGCGAAAATATATGCACAACCTAGATTCGCCCCTCTTGACCCCGCGGATTTTGAGAACTCGTAGGCTGAGGCAGAATCTCCAAGGCGGAAATGGCAGAGAGCTACCAAGTATTGTGACTCCGCGGCTCGATGATCGTAAGCTACCAGTCGTTCGGCGTAGAAAAGGGCGTTCGTGAGGAGGTTATTATCGATGTTGTAGTAGATGAGCTGCCGCAGTTGGCTCGCGACGCAGGTTGTTGATGGTGCCATGATAGCAATCTGCGAAGGGGAGAGATGTGTAGAACGACTATGAAGCTGATTATAATGGTCTAGCCATGTAGTCTGCAGCCTTGTTGAGTCGGCGGTTGTAGGGTCTTCGATCTCGAAATCGAGGTCGGTCCTCCGTCCAAGCGCTGCAGCTGTAGCAGCCTCCTCGCTCCTTCTTCAATGTCGCAGGCTGGATTATGGTTTCGACCGGGGTAGATCGGCGAGCAGTCGCTATTGCTCTGCAGCGGACATTACAATTAGTTGTACTTTCGTTTGTATTGAGGACGACGCGGTTGGTGAGAACGGCAGCTCTGATCGTGGCGTGTCGTGCTTCCGAGAATAACAAAAGGTCGGCGGCAAGGATTGGCGCCGGACAACGAGAGCAAGAAGTGAAGAAAGAATTGACTCCGCGCAAGTATAAATTCAATAGAATGGGACAAGCGCGTGGCAGATGCAGAGATCGCCAACGAGGGTGGGGATGGGAAGGAAGGTTCGTGATATTGAAGAGGTTGGCTATATCAACAACAGGCCCGTTCACAATTGGATGCGGCTGGCTATGGATGTTATGGTTCACCTGCAAGCGGCGGGTAGAGTTTGATTGGTTCAGCCGGAGTTTTGGCGTAGCAACAATCACCCGCAGGGATGACTCAGCAAGGGCGACCAGCCTCGTCCATATTCTCCATGTCAAGTTCAGGTCTCTTAGCTATCGTCTTCATTCAAATACTGCAATGAGAAAAAAGAGTCATATTATTAATATTTTAATGCTCTGCTACGCGGATTCAGTTGTTCTTAGCGTCGAAAGACCCGAATTTGCAAAGAAGGTCGCCTTTTCATCAGGTGGATTCACTTTAACACTTAGTACTGAAGATTAACGTACTTGATTCATTGTCGCGTTTAATCATAATCTTTCACCTCTTTCTACGATCCTGGATCAATTGGTTGTCTGCTGTACAAGGAATAAAACAAATGCAGCAGTAGTATGAAGAGCGATTTAGTCTAGATGCATCTTTCTCAGTTGAGCCCCAAAATACGTTCTCCGACTGACACTCCACTCACTATAAAGAAGAAGCAAGATCAACACCCCTTTCTTCCATCTAAGTAAACTCGACAATCTTCCTCTCCCCTTCTCCAGTCCAAAAGTCTAAATCCTCTATCGACGCCCCCCTCACAAGAACATGCACATGTTCCAAAGCTCTCACACTTTGCAAGCTGACCCAGTTCTTGAACCACACCACGCTCTCCCGTCCCTTCTCCCCACCACCAAGCCTCTCCCTAAAGGTTCTCCCCACAAATTCCTCAATAATCCTCCTGCTGTCCTCCGTGACATCCCCGTTCGTCTCATCAACAGCAATAGGTGTTTTGCTCCAAACGACGATGTGCGTGATATCTGGGGTGAGACCGTATGGCCAATCATTCAACAGAATCTTGTAGTCGTTGGGTGAGGCAAAGGGAATTAGTGAGGTAGGTGCGAAGGGTGGTGTACCCCACGACGTCGGGAGGCGATGTTGTAGGATGTAGTTGGTCATGGAGCCGTACTGGGCTTTGGTCGCGGCCGTCCAGGACATGTATCGCCGCAAGTCTGAAGGCTTGCGCTTTAGGGTTTCAAGTTTGTTGTTTCCTGGCAACTGTTAGATCGATAGATTAAGTATTCAATTTTATATGTGTAGAGCTGAGCAACACGTAGAGAAGAGGAGAGGAGTGTTTCGCAACTCGTTCGTTGCTTGCCCGAAGAATATTAGCCGAAGTGATAGCATTCTCAGATGGCAAGAAGCAGAAGTTGTGTTTCGACCCAAGTTAAGAGACCAAGGGTTTAGGAACATAGCCAAAGTAAGAAGAATACTGGAATTGATACCCACCGATAATGTCCTTCAACTCCTCCCAATCATGCAAGTGAAACTCCTCGTCCGTCTGTGACAACACCCACTTATCAACCTCAGTCAGAGGAAAGGGATGAACTTCCCCCACAACTCCTCCATTCTCATTGTCAGGGTTTTCACTGTGGTCTCCCATCTTGATTGTGTGAAATTGTGTTGTGGGCTGTAACACAACAAAGATTTCCACGTTGTCAGCTTTCTCGCCAATCGAAGCGTGTTTATGTCAAAAGAGTTGGGGATCTAATCTAATCAGATGGACATCCTTGTCAGGGAATGAATTGCCGAATATGGAGATCTGGGAATGTGAGCTTCCAAGTAGGAAATGGGTGATTAGGGGAATTCTTCCGGGGTTTAGCTATTCACTCCAAGATATATAAATACAAATTCTGAGTCCATTACATTGATGCACATGAATTCCACTCTGCGAACCGTGCTAGATCTACGACATTCCCTCGCCCAGGACTTACGTTAACTCCCATTGATCGAGAGCCGTTGTTATTTTGCTTCAAATACAACAATCTAGATACACCATTCTACTGAATCTCCTGCTCGAACCTCGCATCGTAACTCTTCAACAAGTGTGCCTCGGTGTGTCTAGCTAGACATTGAGACTTGGGGTTGATACGATACCGAAACAACCCCGGTCAGGATAACCGAGCGTTTTTAGGGAACTTTCCAATTCTGCCAGCCGCTTCCTTTGCCGCAGCGACCTCGTCGTTCGTCCCCGAATTATACTCTTCTCAACTCCCACCAGCCATTGACTGCCGGAATCCTTCCACGACGAAGAAGAAGACCGATTAGTATAATTTCAGTCTATGCCCTTCCCCTCTTTCTTCCAGCGACCTCACCGACTGACGACAACCGCGCCTCAACAAAATCTTGGCCGCCTCTTGAAAGACCTGGACAGTCAACATGGCCGAATTTTTCTCGAAGCAGAACGTCAATGGGATCATTATTCCCTCTGGTCTATTGGTTGTTGGAACCCTGTTCGTAAAACAGGAATGGGTGCCTTGGGCGTGTCTCCTTGCTGCTCTTCTGTCAGGCTGGAAGTTGTACAGCACAAGTACGTTGCATTCCCCCGCAGACTTCTGCAATATATCCGCCGCGACGACTCTAACAATAATTGCAGGAGCCAAGCCCGTCTTAAAGCCAACTGAGTTCCAAGATTTCGAATTGTCAGAGAAGACCATCATCTCGCACAATGTTGCCATGTACGTCCAGCTAGCTACCCCTCCTCCCCGACAACGCAAACCAGACAGCTAACAATAATATACAGCTACCGATTCAAGCTGCCCACAGAAACCTCCATCCTAGGCCTCCCCATCGGCCAACACATCTCCATATCCGCGAACATCAAGCAAGCTGATGGCGCCTCGAAGGAGATCGTACGATCCTACACGCCCATCTCAGGAGATCATCAACCCGGTTTCTTCGATCTCCTCATCAAGTCCTACCCTACTGGTAACATCTCCAAATATATGGCCTCGCTCGTCGTCGGGCAGACAATCAAGGTTCGCGGTCCCAAAGGGGCTATGGTGTACACACCAAACATGGTTCGTGCTTTCGCCATGATCGCAGGAGGAACGGGCATCACCCCCATGCTGCAGATCATCCGGGCTGTCATCCGTGGACGTCCCACTGGTGATGTCACGAAGATCGATTTGATCTTTGCAAATGTGAACCAGGAGGATATTCTGCTTAAGGAGGACCTGGATCATTTGGCTTCCAAGGATGAGAATTTTAATGTTTACTACGTGTTGAACAACCCACCCGAGAAGTGGGATGGTGGTGTTGGATTTGTCACACCTGAGATGATGACTGTAAGCTTCCCCTCGCCTTTCCTCTAGTGAATTTATGCTGCACAAGATTTGGGATGTCTAAGCTAATTGTTTGATAGAAATGGCTTCCTAAGCCCGCTTCAGATGTCAAGCTCCTTCTCTGTGGACCTCCACCAATGATCAGCGCCATGAAGAAAAATGCTGAGGGTCTAGGATTCGCAAAGGCTCGACCAGTCGCGAAGTTGGAGGATCAGGTGTTCGCCTTTTAGATATATAAATATGGACAGGGCTGGAGGGCATATTTGAGAGGAGTTCTGCTGGACAAATAGTTTTCATGTTAAGGACACAGCAATGTTGGCTCGACTGTTAGGGCTTATAAGTAGTATGGATTCGAAGGTGGAATAAAATGGGCGTTGATACATACTAAATATAATGAATGCAGCATTGAGACTTGGTGTACAAGAGCCCCCAAGTCGACACAGGCTGATTCTCCAAAAATACGAAATCTACAATGCACTAGCCCATTTTCGACTCACAAACCCCCATCAATGACATTCGTTCAGGACTATGGTGTCAGGATAATCTGGTACAGTGATCGGTATAGGAACCCCTCGCGTTTTGATCGCTCTCCTTCATTTCTCTCTCCTCAAGTCTCGGGAAATCCACTGCTCACTTCAGTCTCTAGGTATGACCAAAGGTAGTCACCTGCTCCTATCTTTCAGTTGCTGTCCATGCCGCCTCTTCACATACCTTCTCGCCAGTCTTCGCTTCCTCATCCATTCTCCCTTCACGATACACGTCCTACATGAATTGCGAATATGAGGCTTTCATCCGCCCGTTGTGACACCCCAACGGCGTTCTTCCAAGAGGGCTATGCTCGACTGCAAGTATCCGTACCATGCAGCAACCCAATACACCAGGTAAGCCTCGAACACACCACATTTGTATGCAGTGTTCCGCTACAGCGTTGTGTTCCCTGCCAGGCAGACTCGCACGGCTGTACCCATTTTTGCGGCATGTTGCTCATTACTGGGTCACAATTTTTTGGCTCAATTTTCGAATTACTGGCACACATATGAGAAAGAATTTTCATACATTCTATTGAGACGTTGAGTTCAGTCCTCCGACCATGAGCTGCAAAAAAGTACAAGTCCGGAGAGGGGAAAGTCCGGCTTAAGAGCAGCTAGTCCACTCGCGGCAAGGAGCAGAACTCTCCATGAAAACATGAGCGATGACACTATTCTCTAAATTGGTCTTGAACATTGCGGATGTTCTCTCCAACATCGAAGGTTTCGCGACCCGTCTTCACTTGCGTTGGCCAACCCGCACTATTCAAAGCTTCTTCCGCCAGATTGATGAGCAGCAGATCACTACCCTTGGCACCCATGAAGCTGCTAACGATGGGCATGTATTCTTTCTGTCCGCTGATTCGCGAATCATAGGGTTTCTGCCCAACTGTAAAGATGTATCAGTGATTTTCCCTGGCTGTAGACCCCTTGAGTCAGAACCTACCAGGTACTATAAGTAGAGGCAATTGCAAGACGGCAGGCAGGTAGAAAACGGAGAAAGATCCAACGACGCTGGGGAGCCTGTACTCGTCAGCACGGGATCCGAGCATGCAAAAGGTACCCACTTGTTGGGATCGTCCCGGTACTTTGGTGCCGCAGCGCCGAATGGCATGATCATGATGGCATCAGTTACCGTGTCGTCGTCCTGACCCATGATGTTTTTCTCAAACCAAGTTCTGAACACTTTCATCTCTGCTACACCTTTTGTACGGTCCTCTTTCGTGAATGGGACTGCAATGCTCCTGTTCAGAGTTAGTCACACTGCAAAATCTGCGCTGTGCTGGTAAAGTAACCATCGTTTCCGCATGTATGGCCCAACAAATGCCTCTTTACCAGACTTGGCCGCATAGTCTTGCCGGAAATTGTCAAAGGTGTGGTACGTATCGTAGTACATCGGCCATACCGCGCTCTGTATCTGTCAGTTCATGGGGTTCTCTGCTGGAAGTTGAAATCTACCATTTCAAGATACTCCAGCAGAGACTTGTTTCCAGCTTCCTCGGGGGGATTTGATATCCAGGTGTCAGCGATACTAATTGGGGTTCGCATGACGCCCAAGAAACTCTCAACTACTTTGACAAACGCGTCACTCATCTTCTGCTGTTCGGTATCTGCTTGGGGAAAGAAGTCAAGGGGGTACAGCAAACGGCGTGGAAACTACCAAAGTCAGCATTTGAAAGTGCACGACATGTCAAAGAGAACCGGGATTACCTTGAATGAATCAGGGACATCCAATGATGCTTTAATAAGAGTCTTAGCATCTTTCAAGCTTCTGTGGAGCGTGCCAACGGTATCGAACTCGCTGTCCGCCCAAGTCAATGAACTTGCTCCTTTTTGCGCACACAGGGTACCACATACTTGCAGCTGGGGATGATGCCACGTCGAGAAGTAATCCCATACGAAGTTCTGAGACCGAAGAGACCATTGAAGGCGGCAGGGAGTCGAATGCTGCCCGAAGCTGTTCAAGTTAGCATTATCCAGCGGCAGGATCACAGGAGCTTACTATCACTTCCGATCGAGTGATCAAGCCATGAGTAGCCTGCGAGTGAGGCACCAGCACCAGTGGAGCTCACAGATGGAGTCTGGTAATTGTCACCACGGGGGTTGAAAGGGCAATGGTAGTCGATCCACTGATCGGTCGGCTCCTCTGCAGAGGCGAAAGCAGCCATTTTGGTCTTACCAACAATAACCGCGCCTAGTTCAAGAAGCTTGACTACGTAGTCGGCAGAAGTGGTGCGTGGCGGGTACAATTCATTATAGGCTCGGTTCATCATCGTAGTTTTGATTCCGTTCAGATCGTAATTGTCCTTAATGCTGACTCGAGCCCCGGCAAGTGGCTGTTCCTTGCTTGGGAAGAAGGAAAGTCGACTTGGCACCGCAATACTTCTGAAGGATCCATGCTGGGACACGGCTTGGAGCACAGAGAAACTAATTATTGATATCTCAATCAGCACCAATGACAACTAACAGAACAGATAAGTAGGTACGGCTCACCTTTGGGGGTTGAAAACGTCATCGATAATCGTAGGAATGACAAACGCATCCAGATTATCTTCATAGAGCTTCCACGCCTGGTGTATAGATGTGCCCTGAATAAAGTACGGACCTGGAGGGAGACTGGCGCTTCCATCGCTTGATTGCTTGGTGTAGATCTTATTGAAGGGCCCATCTCCTGGGAGACGCGATGCAATGGGAGCAATATCTATGCCTTGGCTAGGTTGCAAGATCAAGGTTGAGCTGAAGTCTTCGGAGTATACATCATCACAATGGCTGAAATCGTCGAGAGCTGCCCTGACGTGTTCTTTTCCGAATTCAGCATCGTGTACGAGAAGGAGTACGGCTGGTGTCCATAGCTCATGACTGGCAACGGTATCGACTAGACGACCCTATGCATTTAAATATATGTAATTAGCTAAGACGTCTCATTCCTGTTCCAATGTATGGCATCTGAAAGCAACAGAGCGTACCACTTCTTGAGGATGCACAAAGTACGATCCTCTAGCCAGATTCTGAACTGTGGAGAGAGCCATCGAAGAATTTTCTGTAGTTCAGGTTCAAATTGAGCGGAGGGCGAAATTGTTGGCTGAGGTTGAGATCGATCTCTGAAGATCTTCTGGGATGGTAGATGTTGAGGCTGATATGGAGGCTGCTAAGTTGAAATTGGGAGACTTGTTTTCGTCGACAAGATAGCTCGCAAAACTGGTGCTTTGTCTGCCAGACCCTACTCGTCATCTTATAAAAAAGAAGTGAGAACAAAGGAAGAGACAAGCTTGAGTCACGGGAAAGCGAGGCGCGACACGAGGCGAGGTGAAGGGAGAGCGAAGTCGCAGCCTCGTTGGGCGATTCAATTTTCCCTTGTCAATCTGCAATCCCTGCCGACTAATCTATTCATTGATGGCATTCCTTCCATATCTAGGTAGATCTAGATTCTCCTAAACTTTTCTGTTTTCGATATCGAACTACATATAAAAGGTATACGATCAGATCCTGCATATGCACACAGTTTGGACTGTCTCACTCACACATCCGAACATTTAACAATAGCTGAACTCTCCTTGGTAACGAATTTCCTGAAGGCTACCCTTGCCTGGCTGCTTTCTTTATATAGCAACCAAAATTTCCTGCTTTACTGTATAGCTTTTTGCAAACTAAAGTTCTGTTGTACACGCAAGGCGAGTTGGGAGAATTGGGAGGAAGACTGAATCAGATGGCTTGGCCAGTGTGAAGATGTAATGAGGTGCTCTGGTAAACTAACAACGTCCCAGTCTCCCAAAAGAGACATCTGCTAATAATGCCTACAATAGAAACAAAACCGACCAGTTGCGAGACCTTAAGCTCATTTGATGATGATGAACAATTTTACGTCTGAAACCATAATCTGCTACCCGTACTTTTTGAACCTCTCACACTGTTTTGGTGCTTTGTCAGTCCTATTCAGCTCTTTCCGCCCCCTGTGCTTTGCCCCGCGTTGCCAATGAATACGACCAAAACCGCACAGTAACTGTATGTTTTCAATAAAAAATATCGATGATGAGCAAGGATAGGCTTACGCAGCTGCAGACGACAGTAACTCATGTCTCTTGGCTGTTGTGAACTGAGATAGCACCGCGGTCAAGGTACATGTAAACACCAGCAGGACTGCAACGCTAACAGCTGTTGATGAGTTGGTTTGCTTCTTCCGCGCCATGTACCATAGTGAGTATACTGGAGCGACGAAGTGTATGAGTATCATTGTCAAGATGACACATAAATTGAACTTGTTCATACGTGTCCGGCTCCAGATCACGACGCCACTTGCTGGATCTGATTTCTTGGCTTGGGCCTCGAACACGACTAAGTCAGCATGTGAATATACGTCTACGGATATTAACCGACCGATGTTGAGAAAAGGTACTATACTACGTGTTATTTAAGTGATCGATTACCAATTCTTGGCATTCTAGATACTGACCCGTAGGAAAGCGCTCTGATTGTTGTTCCGCAGAACATTCCAAAGTCGAGTTTCAAGCCAGGACTCCTTCTCCTTTGTTTTCAAAGACATTAAATCTTCTACATGACGTATGTATACCTCGGTGGGGATGACTGGTTTATCCGACTTGAAAAATGCATACAGTTCTTCGAAGTCCTCACGACTAGGACAGCCGAAGCTTGTAAGCTCGCGTGACTTGGTCAACAAGGTCACTTTGTCTATATCAGCGTATACCGCAGACTTTCTCCTAGAGAACTCACCGTATTCATTGAAAACCACCTCTAATTGAGCCAGAATCTCTTTTTGCGCCTGGCTCGCGGCATCGTCGCTGCTCGTCGATGTCAGAATATTTGGGTTGTTCATGCTGTGTTCTTCATCCAAAATATCAAGTTTGAGCTCCAGCCGACGCATCTCATCTTGTTTGTTCAGTATCAGGCGTGATTGAACATAGGTGAACCGACGATATATCATCAGATTTTCGTCGCTCGCCAGGAATGCCGCGAGATGTGGATACCCTTTTGGGGAGGTGTGCACTTTTTTGCCCGTGGATAATCAGTTGCTCCAATTTCAGAACTCATTTCAAAATGATGTTTCTGGGATTCTCACAGTTTCTGACAATGAATCCTCCTATATAAGTCGGGCTTTCGAGCTCGTCTTGCATCTGGTCTTCAGCCTGACCCTCATTCGACACTGATTTTCCACTTTTCCAAAATCTCCATAATGATGAAGACTGTGGCTTCACTGCTGGGTTACTGATAGCGTAGTTTGTACCATGATAGCAATCTTTCTCTGCTGACTTTGGTGAGAGATCCTCTGTTACAATTACCTTGATTTCATCGGTATCCAGATGTGCCCCAATCACCCCTCTCTCCATCATATCTTGTTGGTCAGTCATTATGTTCGTTGTCGATGTATACCAATTTGACTGCACATTTGGTTTATTTACGAGGAAGGAAAACTTTGGATGAGAGACGGAAGCATGTGAAGTGATAACTAAGAGCGATACAATGTATCTGTGGTCGGGATGTGCTGTTCCTCAACAAGGCAACCTTCAATCAAGGTTGCAACATATAGCTAGGCTAATGCTCAACAGCTTCGCCAACCCCCAACATCCCTGAACCTAAGTTCCACAACATCAAAGGCAGCATTTCTCATGAAGATTTCTGTACCACGCGCCACTGAAGCGGCTATCCACTTTCGCTAGCGACACGAACACCATTCGAGGCTCAGACTCAATTCTCCATTTATGCATATATCCGCAGGTTCTAGTGCATGATCTGCCTGTACAACCTAGGCAATGTCTAAAATTCGAGGATATGTTAGCATCGCTTGTTGTACATGTTTGTTGGCAACAGATCACTTGATTAGAAAGCATTTGGCATGTCTCTATTGTCCGTAGCTTAGAATTCCTCGCTTGGCGCACAACCCTCTAGAGGCAACAGGCTGATTCCATATAACTGTCCCTCCAGGGTAATCGTCCTGATGATAGATCAGCTTACCTAAAATCACGTGATTACAGATATAAGTTACTGCCGTGCTGAGGATGCTCTTCTATCAACATTGGGTGTGGCATAAACAAAGAATGGAGAGTTTGCAAGTGTTAGAGCACAAGTTTAGATGCGAAATTTCCACGGCAAACTTTAAAGAGACATAATAAGTTATCACAAAGTTTTTGAATAATCTGTGGTTTCGTATGGCAGCTTGAGGCTCCATAGCTTTCAGGTCTAGGGCTTGCATCTATGCGTGTATACTACCAATTCTTGTATGTTCTAATAATACACACAAAGTTGGTGACCTGGACATCCAATTTTCTCGGCATTTGGAAAAACAATTAAGAATGTTAAACATCGCAATGGGCATTCCTCTTCAACTTCTCACAATGAAGAGCAGTTTTCAGTAGCTAATTCTCGCACAGCTCGCATGTCATCCACAACCCCGAACACCTTCAACTATTGCTAGCTCTCGGTGAATCAAGACTTATTATGACCGGGAGACTTTCCAATAATCAGCAAGAGAGTTTCACTGCACTTAATCTCATCTTACATTTCCACCTTCACTCTTAATCACCGAAACTGCCGAGTTCACGGGATTTGCTGGTCGACGTCAGTGACGATAGATTAGATCCTGATGGCTGACTTACTGTTAGAATCGTACAAGCTTGTGGAATCGGGCTTTGGTTGGACTGAGATTCTGTCAATGTTGTAATCTACTGAAGCATTCAGAGATACATTGGGGATTGAAAGGAGCATGACAACTACCTGACCAGGGCCAGAGCCACCAAGGACTGTTTCCCTGAGTATGCGAGCCTCCGGAGGTGTGGTTTTGTTGGAGAGAAGCAACAGTGGATTTTAACACTCTCCTTTACCTAGGGAGGTGTTCTGAAACTCACCTTGCTGGTTAAACCCTGTGGGAGCATTTGGCTTCATGTTTACTGAAGCCTTGCCATCATTTCCGTTGCCTAAAACAGCAATGAGTGGTAATCATGATAGTTTCTACTCATCTTACTTACCAGCTTGCGGCCTCTCTCGATCCTTTTTGTCTCCAAAAAATTCTGTTAGAGACCAACCACCCATCTTCATCTTGATTTTTCTTGGCTTCGACTTCCAAGGGATGATATTTGAAGTGAAAGCAGCCAAACTTTGGACTTCGCACGAGAGTTTTCTGGTTCACTATTCAGAATATATCTGAGTTTTCCGGACAACCTTCGGTATTGTCACAGTTTCTGATGGATTTATCCAAGCTCAAGGGTTGCGAGAAACTTTTGCTGAAGTCGAATTTCTCGTAGATGGTCGGAAGTTCTTCTGAACGGTGATTCAATAGTGACGATGCTTTCAGGACTGATGGGAATACCGAACCCGAACCCGAACCCCTGAGATAGGAGTGATTCCTGATTGAAATGTGGTTGGAAGTCTGAGAGAATTCTAATCTTCTGATATATCAAGATCATAGCAACAAGAGTGAGTCTGAGCCATTAAAAACCTAGTCATTGAGGTTCCCTCAAGGGAACATATATTCATGGTTCGTATAATTCAATGGTACGAATGTCAATGACATCGTTGCAGCAAAAGTACTTTGTCATTATTGACGAACGATGAATCAGTGCAGATATTCATAGAAGGTTGTTGAGTTTCCAAGTATCTCGGTGTTGTTGCCAAGAGTGAATAACCTGAGCACAAACAAGGCCGAGGTAAGTTCTCGTCATATTCCGCCTGACACTGACTGGCAAATTCTAAGCGGCAAGCACACTTGGGAATTTTAGTAGAGAAGCCGAACATATGCTGGAATATGCTATCGCTCATAATATTTAGCAGATGATGAATTAGACCAGCTGGTAACGTTATCTGGTGCCAAGAGAATAGCGGGGTAAACAAAAGGGCTCGCTAAACGCCTGCCAAGAACATAACACCGAAATCATCCCTTCAATCGCGAGGCAATTGAGAATCCAGCTTGGGATCAAACCGTGTAAGCTTTTAATTGAAATTTATATTTTTTGGTGGTGGTTGTCGCATTTGAACTTCGTCAAACTATTTTAATGAGCCGGAACAGCTAGGACCCCAATTCTCTGGCTCCGGCTTCAACTTATCGCATTCCTCCACCATGCGGCTCTTTACCGCTTTTGGTGGATAAATATCTGGAGAAATGAACTCATAGTACGCAGAACTCCAAATGAATAAAACATTAACCACTGACCAACCGACGAAGCTGTTCCCGCGGCCCTGCCATGATAGCAGTGCCATCATGCATCAGTGTACGTAATCCACGGCACATTCTAGGCTGTTAATCGGTTTATTCGCTATTAAACAGTCCGAAAAGTCTATATTTCGTGCTGCTTCCCCAAAATCATTTCAAAGAATCTGAGCAACTATGAGCGATCAATTGACATGATCACGCTACCATCACCTCGGGATACAAATCGCGCTGGCTTGCGAAGGACCAGAAAATTGTTATATGTTATGAGTGATCATGACCCTGAGATATGACATGATGACAACTTGGGTACAATTTCTGAGTGGGTGACAACGAAGTCGTTGTGGTGTTTGTCTCCTCAAACCCGTCATTACCAGCGAAAGCAACATGTACCACGTCCGAGTTCTACCAAACAAGGGCAGCTAGTCAGGTCCATATCGACTATTGAACCCAAAAAGACAGAGTATGTGAGTTTTGGTGGATAGCAAGAAAGAGTGAGAAGGGCTTGTTGGAGTCCGACCACGCAAGAGAGGAAAAGAAGCTTAATGATTATCACGAATTTAACCGAGGAGGCATGTTTTGGCAAGTTCCTTCATGAGTTTTTGGGGTCTCTGGTACAACTAGTGTTCCCAAAAAAAAGCTTCAAGAAAGTCTGCAAAAGTGTATTGACCGATTGATTCCCAGTTCCACTCCTTTCTATGCTCTATGCAAGGGTACTCCAAAAAGAACAAGTACCTCCCAGTCCTTGCACTGTAGATATGCGAATTCGGTCCACTTTCTGTCAAGGGTAGTTGAGAAATGATACGAATACTATGGCATTGTTGGCTACGTATTGCGATGCGCTGGTGCTCCGAGACATAGTCACTGGTTCATGTAACACCCATAAAGATGTGTCCTCCCATGTGTGTCTCTCCACGGGAAGACAAGCTGTCATCAGGTTGGGAAACCCGCGCCCGATGCTCGAAAGATAAACGAGTCCTGTATCGCAAGCTCCTCGGTTCAGAAGAGGTAGACGTAAGATCGGTTCATATCCTCCTTACATCCTCTGTCTATCTTTTCCTGCTTCGTCACTCTCTTGGACTTGCCAGAAAAGGATGATCTCCGACGCACGGTTCCGGTACCCTTCTGCCATTTTGGGCTGCCCTTCTTGGAAGAACCTCCTTTCATGTTTCCCACTAGCTTGAAGTCGTCGTCGTAGTCGCCTGTGAAGTCTCCGTTGTTGTTGGCGTCATCGACCTCAACGTGTCCAAACTGTGCCTGATACTCTGAGTCTTCCTCAAGTTGAGCTGGATGTGGCTGTGTGGTATTGGCATTGGCACATTGCTGTTGTGGGACGCTTCGCTCAGTATCATAAAACTCATACTGACGCTTCTCTATATCACTAGCCTCATCCATTCGCCCTGATGTTCAACGCATCCCGACATGTACATCTCCTGCTTGCGCCAGTCATCGGTCGGAGAAGCGCCCCGGAACATATCAGGTCGGTCGTTGCTAAACTCGGCGAGTTTGTCCTTAAAATCCGGGTCCTGTGCTTCGGCATTACGGACGAAGTGTTCGATTACCTCGTTATCGTCACCAGGAGAGAACTTGAGGCGCTCGAAGGCTGGCCCGTGGTTGACATTGGGATCTTCTCCACCAGCGGGAACGATGAAGTTGACGATGGCGCGAAGGTCGGTTAACTGCTCTTCTATGGACTTGGGGTCATCGAACCCAGGAGGGGGGCAAATGTCTTCTTCAAAGAATTCCAGGCTTGTATGAGAGCTACTGTCGTAGCTGGCACTGTTCGAGCCATCAGATTGGGTGTATCGAGAGCCAAAGGGTCCGAGTGGCGATCTAATGCCGTACTGGTCGCGAAGAGAGAACGAATGACTGCCTGGTGCGCGTCGCAGACGGCCACTGAAAACTCTCGAAAATTGATTGTTGTGGACTGGATGCGGGCTGGTGGCCGTGTTCGAAGCGAATTGCGGTAAGAACGACATCGTGGGAACGAAGGACTGCTCCAACCGCGATATGCGAGGATCTGGGATCGCTAGACCAGTAGGCCATGCATAAGTACCGTTATAGTAGTGAATCCAGTTTTCTGGAGGGATGCTCCAGGCCGCAAGCGCCGATGAAATGTGGGTTGGAACTCCATGAGTGGTGACAGGAGCAAAAGGTACTGTGCGGAGACGATGACCGAAGATATCACATCCCTGCAGGTTAGAAGCTTGCTGATAGCGCGTAGATAGTTGTGGATATATGGTGCGGTAGCGAGATCTGGGTGAGACCTGAGCAGCAAGCTCACGAAGCTGATACTGATGGGCACTGTAAGACATGGTGCTAAGATGTCCAAGGCGGAGGACTAAAAGGGCTTTTGAAGATAGAGATTAGAGGGCGACGTGGACATCGATCAGTGCTACCGAATCGCGGCACGAATGATAAGGAGGTCGAGGCGTGAGAGCGAGGAATATGGCCAGTTCGGAGAGAGAGGATTAACAGCGAGACGTGGTACGCTTGGTATTGTCGCCGAAAAATAAGCGAGAGCTCGGTGCCCGGGCATGGCTGCATAGGAGAATGAATGGAATGGTGAATCTGGGGTTGTCGTACCATTAGGAAGAATGAAGCTATTGCTGTATACGGTATGGTGACCACGGCTGGCAGACGTAACTTCGTCTATTGCTGCAAAAATAGAGAAGTACTCCCTGCCGGATCCATGACTGCTTCTGCTTCCGATCGGCAATTGAGACTGCACTGTTTTCAATGTCAAAAGCGATCAATACATGACGATGAGGTTTGACGTTGTGAGAGAGGCACTACCATCCGAGAGATGGATATAAATTAGAAAAGGTATTGCATGCTGCTCTCCGTGTGGGACCAGCTGCGAAGTGATCCTTCCAAGATCAATATGGGAACACGTTTGCTAATGGATACGAGACTATCGTAGTACCGGGTGAAAAGAGATAGCAACAAGACGATGAAGTACTCAAGCATAAGTGTTTAGTGAAAAGCAGCTCGCAACTAGAGGGCCACTTGGGGCTACAGTAAACAGGAGTTTCATTTCGTACATGGTATCATAATATAGGCGTATCATGCTCCCTTGGACTCAGGGGCATGTTATCTACACTGTCGCCATCTCTCCCCAGTAGTCCCCGCTCTTCTCCTTCTCGGCCTTCTCTTGTAAGGCCAGTGTTCACGGATACTCCGTCGGCACCCATCGTCCTTCTCGTCTCTTCCGCTCCATTCAGCACGTACCAGACATCCTTCTTTGTCAACAGACCCTGTAAGACCCCGCGGTCGCTGAACAGCACGTATCGCAACCCAAGCTTCTGGAAATAGTTGGCAGTGAGGAGCAGATTGGATCTAGCGGGGAGGGTGAGAGGTGTTTGGTCCATCCATGGTCTCAAGTCCAGCGTCGTTCGAGGATCTGCCAGTGGTTGATGCGAGAAGAATGCTTCAGTCTCAGGCGGAAGAGACCTTGGGAGCTTGGTCGAGGACCGTAAATTGTATTCCAGTTCGGCGCGGGAAATATACCCGAGTAGAATCGCGTCCCTTGGATCTGATATAACAGGAAAACCACGATAAGGATGTGTCGCAAGAACCTCTGATAAGGATTGGATGGTGTGTCCAGTTGCCGTCAAAACCACGAGATCCTCAATGCGTGTCATGATCTGACTGACAGGAATATCCGGAATGACGTTTTCTTCGCTGTTATCAAGATACGGATATTCGTTGAAGTGAATCCAGCTTTCGTAGATACCCTTTTTACCAAAGGCATCCCCAACCCACTTGCTTGCCATTACAGCAATCATGATAGGTAGAACATATGTCAGAGCACCTGTGAGCTCAAACATTATGACTACGATAGAGACTGTCATGCGAGTAACTCCTCCGAGGGCAGCTGCCGCTCCAATGATTGCATAAGTCCCGGGTGTCACACATGCCATATCGGGTTCACAAGAACTGAATGGAAAGAAATTTGGGTGATTGTGCACCCATATTTCCATGATGATCCCAACTGCTCTTCCGAACAGAGCGCCAACAGCCATAGATGGCAAGATAATTCCGGCAGGTATCTGAAGTCCAAAGGTAATCGAGGCAAGGAAGAATCCAAGAATGGCTGCAAATATGAGAAGAAAGATGGTGCCCACTGTCGCAGAGCCGGTCTTACAAAGACCAAACTGGTCATCCACTACCTTTGAGCACTCTGCGAAGAGTGAGTATACCAGCTCAGACGACTGGGCCCGCATGTAGAAATTAGGGTAGTTAATCAGCGCCGTTAGAAGGGCCACAATCACAACTTGAGTAATTGGCCCGGGTAGCCAAGTTGCTCGCTTCTTCCACTGAGCGACTTTCATGTTCATTTTGATGAACAAACCGCCGTAGAGACCCTGTCGTGAGATCAGCAAATTCCTTTCATCACATCAGTACGGAACCTACTCCGAAAATACCAAGTAAGGCAAAAGGAATCATCTCAAATCCATGCCAACCTGTACTGTACGTTACTTGATACAATACAAGCTTGCCGCTTCGAAATGGGTCGAATGCTTGCAGGGTCACAGCCGCGGTCATGGCACAGACGAAACTCTGCCACATCGTCTTGTCAGGGAAGTAGTAAGATAGTTGCTGAATTTTGTCAGGCCATATTGGACATAGGCTGCTTGAGAACTCACTTCGAGACTGAATAGCACACCGCCAATTGGAGATCCAAACGCAACGGATATTCCAGCAGCCGCTGCGGCTGACAGGACCTCTCGTTTCCGAGCTACATCCAATTAGCATTATTGAGATTAGCCGGGCCAGATGGAACATGCCTTCATTGCCATCAATGTTTCCAAATAATTTCATGAATAGATTGGCGCAACAGCATGCAACATGTACCAGTGGACCTTCCTTGCCCAGCCACATACCAGATGCTACTGCCAAGCACTGATCTGATTAGAAGATGGGTAAAACATTTCGCTTTTGTGGTACTCACAAGTCCAAGTGATTTAATAACCAATGTCCAAGTACCCATAAATCTACGTATGACAAATCCTCCAAGAACAGTCTTGATCTCGGGGATACCACTATGTTTCGCGTACAGAGCGTACTCTTTTACCAATAGACTTGCCGTTATGGCAAAACAAACCTGTACAAAAGTCAGTAGGTCGCATTGGAAGGAGATCGCGCAACCCACCGAAAATGCTATGAAAAAGAAGTATTCTATGAACCATTTACCACCCGTCGAAGTTGTATGAAGTGCGAGGCTCCATGGAACCCAGTCCCTACACTGCGCAAAGCCATCGTAGCCATAACAACAGAAATGTTTGTTCAAGTAGAAATGTCCTCCATCCTCCCCAGCAGAACAATATCCGGTCTTCAAATCAGCCAGCCAGTCAGTGATGATATCGATTGCAGCAGCGAATGTTCCGGTTGCCAAACCCGCCAGAATCAGAATAACCCAGACCTGACTGGCATCCAAGAACTGCCGCGCATATCCAACCAAGCCAGTAGCATTTGAATAGAGTATCCGTAGGCGTTGCCGCTCCTTCGTGTACTCGAAGATCCAGTCAATTGCCGTCATATCTTCGTAGCCGACTCTGCGTCCGGGACCCTCAGCGTACCAGTCCATTGGCCCTCCATCTTTTGTGCCTGCATTTCCCGATCCGCCTCTATTCTCCCCAAATGTATGCAGTCCTAGCGGAGTTCCTGCTCTGGGTGAAGGCGTAGGCTGTCGAGAATTGGAAACGCTGCCAGAGAACGCCGAGAACAGCCTAGTCGCTGCAGTTTGTTTCGGTCTGCGCTTGAAGGATACTACGTCTTCGCCATCCTGATCAAGAGGATCTTCAGAAAGTACTGTTCGGTCTTTGGAATAGCTTGCGACTGGATCGTCAATGTCGCTATCATCTTCGACTATGGCGGGATTGGGAGGGCTTCGACTGGAGGACGACGAGCTTCCTTGCTCTGCTGACGGGAAATAGCCCGCGGATGAGCTCGCCATATTCATACATTTGAAGATCAATAATTGTTGAGCTGTTTCGTGTGCTGCATGAGGTGACGAGAAACAAGCAAACCGACCCCGAGGCTGAGGCTGGGCCGGGCTGATCCATGACGCTTGCGGCCGCTTCTGGTCCTCGGATTTGAGGCATCACATCGTCTTACAGTATTCCAGATCAGCTTCGCTTAGAACTTGCAACTTTCAACAATACAATTGACTTTGGACTTAACAAATAACTGGCTGAGTATTTTCTTTTAAGGACCAACATTAGAATAACAGAATTTCAGAAATTTGGATGTTGCCTTCGACCTGAAAATTCTGCAACAAGCGACTAATATATATGTTAAGTAGATAGTAATACACACAATACAAAACAAAGAGAATCCCGAAACTGATCGCCCAAAACGCCAAAATCCTCGAGCTTACGCAACCTTCTCCGTCAGCTCAAACATCTTTGGCTGGGTATCTTTGAAACTCTGGCGCTCTTCCAGCCACTCCCAATATCTCTTCAGATCAGGATACTTCTCCAGAAACTGAACAATCCCAAACTTCTTCTCGATCATGCTCATCATTCCAAGCATTGAACCAAGCGCAATATCCGCCACAGAGAACTCGTTACAGACTAAAAACTTCCGTTCGCCGCTCTTTTTGACAAGCTCATCTGCCGCGACTAAAACACCATTCACCTTCCTCATTTGCCTGTCCAGCCACTCCGTACTCTTCAAGTCTCCTCTCGCCAGCTCAAAGAAAACCAGCGAGAGCGCGTCGCATGCTCCATCCGCAAGAACTTGGATCTGCCTTACGAACAGTTGGTCATCCAGGTCATCTGGCATCAACGTCGGTCCCTGACCTCTGTACTTCTGCACGATGTACTCCTGGATATACCAAGATTCGTAGATCGGCGGTCGCCCATCGTCGAAGATGAGGATAGGAAGCTTCTCAAGTGGATTGTACTTTGGCGTCTCGGTCGTACTGTGCCATGGAATTTCAGTCTTGAGTTCGAAAGGGATGCCTTTCTCGAGAAGAGCGATTCGGTTCTTGCGCGCGTAGGGGGATGGCGTGGCGCTTATAAGCGTCAGCATGATGGAACTTGTGTCTCCAGAGACCAGTTCTTTGGTTACAGTCTCCTCTTAGGAAATTCATTCAAAAAAGTTGTTCAGCAACCAAGAGTGTCATAACGAAGAGCTAGAATTTAGGCTATGGGACAAGCCGATGAGATAAGAGTACGTAATTGTGCAGGCGGATTCGTCCCATCCTGGTCCCTTAGATTATGTACACGTCTTTTCCAGGGTCCCTCCAGATCCGACGCTGGTGTTCTCGTTGGCTGCTTGGGCGCTGAACCCCTCTTTCTTCGCGTGGACAGTAGCCAGGGTGGTTGCTGGAAGCGAGAGGGAGGGCTGCTCCAGGGCTGCATCTGATGGTTACACCTGTTTTGTTGTTGCGGCCCGCCCCGAAAGAGAAGTTGAATGGCTCGCTTGCAGCCTGGCTGGGAGACGGGGAAGTGCAGGATATGTTGCATCTTTTGTGACAATACAGTGTCTGCACCGTAACTACGATTGTTTTGTTTTGTTTCTGGTGATCTAAAAGATCTTCTTCTCTCGATTCGGCAATCAAGACGAAGCCCACGATACATGCTGGGCCGGTCAACTTTACTGATTGATAATTCGGAGACCAAACAGTAGGACTTGGAAAAGTAGACGAGAGAACTTTTTAATCGATACCTAGGGATCTTTCCGTCTTTTCGAGGAACGATTCAAAAAGTACAGATTCTCCGGGGGACTCACAACTCACCACAGTCAAATTTCCAAACGAGATGTTCCACATTCCGCTTGCAACTTTTCAGTAGGCTTTTCAAGGCCACCTTAGGGAACAACCGAGACGACCCAATTATTTAATTGTCTAACATCTTACCAATCCGCACACCTGATAGTGACATTCAGACGACCTTCGATCAGATTTATTGACGAAGCAGTGGAGTGCGCCTTTGAAACAAAATAGGTAATGAACTGCACATGAAGGATTGAACTCATGGTCACGTGAACATTTGCGGAAACCACCTTCCAGGTTTTTCTTGCAGACTTTACACACCTCGTACGAGTGGGAATTGCATGAAGAACTCATCCCGACTGTTGATGGCAAGTCCGCTTTGTTTACTCCGTATTGCGGATAAACAAATCAGTACTGGTGTCCTAGGTACGGCGAGGGCTGTGCAAGAACTGTGCCGCAATGACACTCGAAAATGATCATCTGATCGTATCAACCCAAATTCGTTAGCTCATGCGCCAATTTGAACTTCATGTCAACACTCAATTTCCCTCAGGTATATCCCTCTCACGAACTCACTGCAGCACCAAAGTCGGACGTTCGATTAAGCTTCTCCGAGCCTCTTCGAACTCTTAAACGGGTGCCTGAAAGTCCACGCGTTGACAAAATGTTGTCAAGCCAACAAGACCCCCTTTTCTCTACTGCCAAGCGACCCATCTTCACATATCTGGGCCAGGTGCATGCCACTTTAGGCAATATACGACCAAATCAACCCATTTAGTCTTAGCTCGATGCTTTAAAGTGTATCGTCACATATGATGCACCTTAAGCCCGTATCAAATATGCCAGCGGAGACCAGTTTTCGATGTTCGAATGCAGTCTCTTCGACCAATGGAACGGCGCAGTCACCAACTCCTCCGCTCACCCCCCTTTTATTGGCTGGCCTGTAGACACCGTGCTACCCAACATGAACCCACAGCAATCTGGCCGTGAGGCGGGCACCTTCTTTCTGAGAATCATCCGCAGGGTACAATTGTATCTGCCTATTCGCTCGCTTGGCACTAAATCTTATCTGGAACCGCTGCGCCGCCCGTATTCTACATTCGTTTTACTTTAGTTCGTCCTTCACCTCCAGCTTGCATCGTATGTTATAATCCGCTGTCCTTCTTCAACTGTCACCACGCCGGCTGCTCAATGCCTATTGAACCTTGAGTAACCTCGAGGATTCTGGCAATACCTTTCCGACTTGGTTGACTTTCGAGGCAAAATGTCTGCTTCCACTCAGCAGCCAAAATGGCGTCGCATTTATCTTCAAACCATCACCCTCATGCAAAAGAATCTGCTGATCTTCTACAAAGCACCAATAGTAACATTCATTCGAGCGTTCTTGTTTCCTCTTGTAGTCACACTCATCTTCAGCTTCTTGGTCCATCTTAATACTAGCTCGAGGTCGGACTCAAACTTGTATGGCATTTCTAAGGTTTCGCATCCAGTTCGAAGCTTGGCCGATGCAATCCATGCTACTCCTTTGCGCAAACTTGTCTTTATCAAGAATGGCCTCGCCAATGATACTCTAGACCCAATCATCGACGGCATCCTCCGTGAGCCTGGGATGGAGCATATCGATTCTCTTGTCTTCAACGACCCGAATACACTTTTCGATGTCTGCAAGCAGAGTACCTTTGGCAGCAGTAACTGTTTTGCAGCGGTTATTTTCACCGCCCTCAACGAGACAAACGTGGATTACAGTATCGTGGTGGATAGCCACCTTGCTGAAGCATTCGAATATGGCGATTATCGAAAGGATGATACACTCCTGCCGACTCGGATCTTCCCTCTACAATGGGCAGTGGATGCCCAAATCGGCAACTTCTCAACCCTCCCAAGGCCATCAACACAACCATTCAGTGGCTATTTCGGAGCCGAAAATAACGAAGCTCCCACAAAGCCCGCGACGAATGGACCGTACTGGCTATCCATTGTCAGCATCTTTGTCGCTCCCGTATTTATCTTGATCCTCATTGGAGTTGTATATCGTAAGTCCTCTCACCCAAATCTGACATGCCTCACTCTCGAGGCAACTTTGGTCTGGATCTGCTCCATGAACGATACTAATCATCTTGCTCTAGATCTAAGCACCTTTGTTGCTACGGAAAGAGAATCATCAATGTCAGAGCTGATGGCTGCCCAAAATGTTACCGTTATGCCCAGACTACTGTCCACGATGCTCTCTTTCTTCGCCGTATACTTCCCGGGGTTCTTGGCATGTTCGATTGTCCTTACGCAGATCCTGTTCAAAAAGACCTCCGACATCCTTTTCCTCCTCATTACTCTGCTTGCCGGAGCTTCCATGATCGCCTCATCGCATTTCCTCGCTTCGTTCTTCAGCAAAGCTCAACTCGCTGGATTGTACACTTCAACACTCGTATTTGCGCTTGCACTTATCACCCTAGCAGCCACTCTCACTTCAGATGTCGAGTTCCCACAAGTGCTGGCTTTGTCATTGGTGTTTCCTCCGTGTGCCTGGTCAACCTTTATTTCAGACATCGCACTGCGCGAATATCAGCTCCGCTCGTTCTCCCTCAACCCAGGTGTGTACAGAAACGATGATATAGGCAAGCTTCAGCGTCTCGACGGCTACTTATATGTCGTTTTCTTCATTTTGCAGATCATTCTTTACTCTGCAGGTACCTATGGAGTCGAGCGCAAATTATGGGGTGTCAAGAGAAAGTACGATCTTATCGATGCCAGTGAAAATGTCGCGCTCCGAGTCACTAGCCTTTCAAAGACTTACAACGGGAAAAGGCCATGGTATTGGCCATTTATGCGGAAGGGTGCTCCGTTACTGGCGGTTGACAGCTTGAACCTGGAGGTGAAAACCGGCTCTGTGACGTTCCTCCTAGGGCCTAATGGTGGCGGTAAGTCCACAACGCTGAAATGTATTTCTGGAATGACTAGTATGGATTTTGGGTCCAGATTGGAGCTCAATCAATCAGGATTGGTCTTTGGAATCTGCCCTCAGTCTAATGTATGCCCCTCATTCCTGAAGGCGCGTGTATTTACTAATACTTCCAGGTTATTTGGGAGAATCTCACCGTTGATGAGCATATCAAGATCTGGAGAAAGCTCAAGAATGCTGCACACAATAATCCAAACGAGGATGACAGTGATGTTCTTGCAGAGTGTGACCTCTTGCAGAAGGGACCTGCCAAAGCCAAAACACTCAGTGGGGGTCAAATGAGGAAATTGCAGCTGGCCATTGCCTTCGTCGGCGGCTCGAAAGTCTGCTGTATTGATGAAGCATCTAGTGGTCTTGTACGCCCCCGTCCTCCTTCGTTTATTGAACGCATGTGCTGATGCGCTGTAGGATCCTCTGTCGCGAAGAAATATCTGGAACATCATTCAAAACGGTCATTCACGTCGCACCGTTCTCGTGACTACTCATTTCTTAGATGAGGTATGAGCCTTTCTCAATATACCATGGAGAAAATCTGACAATTTGGCAGGCAGATATTCTTGCAGATCATATCGCCATTGTCTATAAAGGCAAGCTTGTTTGCGAAGGTCCTGGGACATCATTAAAGGCAGAATACGGCGATGACTACATCATTCGCAGTGATTCTGACATCAACGGTGACTCCATGGTTTGGCGCAGCTCGAATTCGGCCGAAGCAACACGAAAGGTTCTGGAGCTCGAATCTCTCACCGAGGATGATGCTACATACAATGTTACTTTCCCAACCCTTGAACAGGTGTTCTTAAAAGTTACCTCTGACACAGCGATCCATGACCAAGGAGGTGATGGGATTGTTGGGGAAGAAGACCCTAACAACGTAATCGACGAGAAGATATTTGCTCTGGAGAATGACAACGCTGAAGATATTGACCTTGATGTAGGCCAGACGATTGGTCTGACGCGATAAGTCCTTGCCCTTTACAAGAAAAGATACACGCTTCTGCTGCAAAAGGCTGGTTGGATCAGTTACGGAATCAACATCATTATCCCTGTTATCATCGCGGCGGCCCTTGTTAAATTCTTGTACAAATTCGACTCGCTCCAAAGTTGCCAGACCAATCAGATACTCCTCAGGAATGCAACCGAAGGCCAAAATTCCGAAGAGACCGGTTACCCGGTGCTGGCTCCATTGGATTTTTATAACCCACCATATATTTACAGCACTTCGGGGAGTCCGTCAACCTTCCTTGGCCCAGCCTCTGCCTTCACTGGAGAATCTCAAGACCAATTCTTCATTGAAACTGTGAGCCGAATATTCAACGACTATCCTACCTATACCTATGAAGCAGATGGCACCTACACAATCTCTCCACCTCTCAATGCAAGTGAGATTCTTGCTAAGTCCTTGGCCACTCGGGCTTTCGTGAACAACACCGATGAGATGATTGCTGGCATTACAAACAGTTCACAGAATGGGTTCTTCAATTTCGGCCTCTACGCACCGACTCCCCAAGACGCCACGATATTTTATAACAGTTTCCAAGGAGCTAATCAAATGGGAATCCAAATGGTAGGGTTCAGCTTGCTCACGAATCGAATCAGCAACGCTACACTCGCCAACGGAGCAGCGAGAATATCGACCGCGAGCATCCGCGTCATGAAACATGCTAGAAACAAAGTGAACTCCTATTCGATGCCCATCGCGATCTTGCTCTCGCTGGCATTCATCGCTGCCGCAAGCGTCGCTGTGATCTACCCTTCGTTCGAACGGAATAATCGAGTTCGTGCTCTGCACTATTCGAATGGAGTTTCTCCTTTCGCACTATGGGCTGGATATCTACTCTTCGACATGCAATTCATCCTATTTCAGTCACTGTTTGTGTGGGGACTACTATTCGCCCAACAGAGTCTTCAGCGACTAGGGTATGCTCCGGAGTACCTCCTAGGCACGTTCATTCTTTTCGGACTGGCAACATACCTTGGCACATATGTTATTTCGCTCTTCACCAAGAAGGCTGCCTTTGCAATCGCGGCTGGAATACATGTTCTTTTGACCATACTCTACTTCGTCGCCTATGTCATGAATTCCTCCTTCGGTAATGAAAGTCTTCTGTTCGACACATACAACTCGCTCCAATTTGGCCTAGGGCTGTCATCGCCAGGCGCAAATTTGGTGCGAGCTTTGTTTCTGTCAAGCAACAGCTTCGAGATTCTTTGTGGCAAGTATGCAGACAATGATGTCTCATCTCCCTTCAGCTACGACAGATACGGGTCGGTGTACGCCAACTTGATCATCCAGATCTTGTTTCTCATTGCCTTTCTGGTTATCTACGAATATGGTAGTGCCGATTGGGTTCGTCGCAACATCACCCATCGAGGAGTGCCTTCCCGTCTGCACTACATTGTAGAGTCAGGAGAAACTGCACCGTCCAATGTCCCAGCGCAAACTGAGAAGAATGCAACAGCTGTCGTCAATTCGCCTCAAATCCTGACAGTTTCTCGCGTAAGCAAATATTTCGGCAAAACATTCGCAGTCGAGAACGTCTCATTCGACATATCTGCCAACCAAACACTTGCTCTACTAGGTGGTAACGGTGCAGGCAAAACCACCGTGATCAACATGATCCGTGGAGAGTTGAAGCCAAATTTCGGAGACATCTATTTGGATGGCGTATCGGTTGCTCGTCAGCCACAGAAAGCTAGACTCCACATCGGTGTCTGTCCTCAAGACGACGCTATTGACAACTTGACTGTCCGACAGACTCTCCGTTTCTACGCAACTGTCAAGGGACTGAAGAACATCGAAGGCAACGTTGACAGAATCCTTGCGGCACTCAATATCACCATGTATGAGGATCTCAGAGTTGTAGCTCTTAGTGGCGGTACTCGCCGCAAACTGTCTGTTGCTATTGCTCTTCTAGGTACGTCTCCCTCACCCCCAGAACCTCGTCGGTAGCTGCACACTAACAATCCCATAGGCAACCCTCGTGTTCTCCTCCTCGACGAACCCTCCACCGGCCAAGACGCCGGCGCAAAACGAATCCTCTGGAAAGCACTCCAATCGATCTCCGCGAATCGCGCCATCCTCCTCACAACCCACAGCATGGAAGAAGCCGAAGCACTTGCTACAAACGTCGCTATTATGGGCACCAAGATGCTCGCAACAGGCATCCTGGCTTCACTCCAAGAAAGCCACGGCGGTGCGTATAGCGTGCGAGCCGTTCGGGTGCCCGAATTGAGTGCTGCTGAGGTGGAAAGGATCGTGAAGGAGAGGTTTGAGGGTATGGTGAAGAGGTATACGGATGCGCATGGACAGATAGGCTGGCAGCTGCCGCATGATAAGAGGGCTTTGGGGAGTATTATGAGGGTGATGGAAGAGCTGATGGGAGACGCTGTCGTGGAGGATGAGGAGGAGGAGCAGCAGGGTGGAAGTTCAGGTGCTGGGGGTGCTACTGGTGCTGCTGCAGGAGGCAGTTCTGTGGCAAGAGTGACGAGCAGGAAGGTGATCCAGGCGTATACTATTGCTGGTCCTACTCTGGAGGAGGTTTTCATGAGTGTTGCAAGAGAAGCTGGACAGGCTGGTGGGGTGTAATGATAATCGTAATGCTTGGACGTCAGGATGTCCCAGAAATTCAAGTTTAATACTCCGAGACGGTTTCGCTGAATTGACCAAATTCTTATTGACATCCACATGTCTGGACGTTGCATCAGTATCTAGGCATGTACATGGTCAGAATTGATTGAAGTCACTTAGTTTGTGCTTGGTACTTTGGCAGGTTTGACTAGAATGGAATGGAGTAATTATTATCGACTACTGTGATATTTGGGTACGTAGAGCAGCGGTTCGACAAATATTTTCCTATTGTGTCCGAGATACGTTCATATGTCTACATGACATGAAAATTGATTTGATGTTTATTTCGGCTGATAGCAAAACCCACCCCCTGAATTAGCCGAGCACTGCCATCCTCTTGGTAATCAGCGGTTCATTGCATCGTCTTGACTACAACAATGAGGTTCCAACAAGCACAATTTATGAAGAGATTTCAAGATTTTATGCTGTTAATATCCCGACGTCAACTCAGCTGCGAGGTTCTGCATGTTCTCGGATCATGAAGGATGTCGAAGTTTGGCCCCCTCCTCAATGAGGGAATGAGGCACCACTTTCTCAAGTTATGAATTTAACTTAATACGTGGAATGTATTAAATATTTATATCCATAGAGTAGCTGGACTGTGCTTCATGACAAAGTCAACAAAGTAAATATCAAACAGTCGGATCCAGTAACGTGAATATTACAACCACATTTCCTCACCACCACCATGACCACATCCATACACGAACCCATCTCAACTCATCCCACAAACTCTCATCTTCTCTGGAACCTACCTACCTAGCATCCATATCAGACCGCCCGACTCTAAAACCTCCATCAATGACTCATACCCGCCGTCGCAACTCTGTCTATGCACCCAGAAGCGAGAAAAACACACAGACGGGATCTGCAAACAAGCTTTCCTTCCGGCGTGTTTTATTTTTAAGCATAACCCACCAACCAACCGACCATCACCACAGACCGGTATAAATGCAATCAGCGGAGGGAGAAGCTCCGAGAGATGGTGGCTTGTTGCACGTCGTCTTGTTTAGTTGAAACGGAACATTCGGATTTTGTTTTCCCGTCAGTGCTGAGTGTGAGGCGAGATGGTTTGGGCAGGCGATGTGGACGATGTGGATGAGGTGAGATGGTATGGTAGTGAAACTGAACGAAGCGAAGCGAGCCGAGACGAGACGAGACGAGCATGGTGTGGTGTGGTATGGTTCTTGGGAATACAGTAAGCAAGCAGTGGGTTTACAGTATGCATCCGAGCCGTCTGAATACCCTTCCGATGCCATTTGTCTTCTTACATGAACTATTTGCCGTTCATTGTAGGGCTCCGATCTGGACTTGAATTGAGCTGATCGATAGATCGAAGGGTCGAAAGTCCGAGGGCTTGCTTGAGAGTTTGAGTTGAAGCATGCCAGCGTGACTTGTTACGCCATCGACGGCGTGGCATGCCGTGAAGAGACGGGCTGAACTTACTTATTTACTTTCCTGCGCTGCTTCAAAAGTATGAAGATGTATGAAGTGAGAATGTAAAGTCACTACTTGCTTTCACTGGGTGCTATACATTCCATTTTGCAGTACACGAGCCGGTTCCAGATCACAAAACTCACAGCATGTCTTAGCTAGAACGAGGGTGGCTTTCTAGGGAAGTTGGCTTTTTGCAGGTCAGAGGCTACGTTCTTGCTTCGCCTGCTGGGTACGAGTATGCCGTCTCGTATGTAGGTGTATGGCTCAGCTGTTGTGTAACTTTGAGTCTGACATAAGTTCCAAAGCCTGGTTGTGATACCTCAAATCGTACCCCTTGAGGCTTGGAACTTAGAGCAAAGGATGGATCCAGGCTCCAAGCCTCACACTTACAGTCCTTTCGAAAGGCTGAATTCAGGATTTTGAAACGGTATCTTGTGTCTTATGTGAGATCTTGTATGACCACAATGAGACTTTTGGAGTGGAGAGTGGAGAGTTACAGCCGAGAGAGCACAGTACGTAGCCATCGAAGTCAAAGGGCTGATAGCTGACATCTTGTGCTACACACCTTCGTTCCTACATATTGATCAGGCCGGGTAGTGTAGATAGATGGTAAAGCAGTCTTCAATACCCGCTCAACTCAGCTCAGCTCAGATCAGATCAGAACAATGACTCAAAGGTATGTTCGTAAAACGGCCAATGCGGTACAGTGCTTTGGGGTCTAGATTCTGAAGTCATGGATAGGTCTATATGTATCTGTCCAAATGCGGCGACTCAGACCAAACGACTATCCGTTTCGGGAGGCGGAAGTGGGTGTACGCATGCAAGTCAGTAACCAAAGCATGTTAGATGGATTGACGGATCTAGATGCATGGGCACGGACATATGTGTGGGTTTGTGGGTGAGTAAGTGAACTATGGGGCGAGCGAGTAATACAGCGTCCTAGATTTTCGGATTTCGGCAACAGTGGATAAGAATGATAGAAGGATAGCTGGGTGGAGTTAGTAGGGTCGAGCTGTGGTGTGCTGGAGAAATTTGAGTTTGTAGATCTGAATACGAGCTGCCTGATCGTTTGAAACAGGAACACGAATGGCTTGCGAGTTGGGAACTTGGACGGAGCTTCAACTTGAGCTTGAGCTTCGGGAGAATGAGACGGTGGTTCTACGATGATGCTTGAACCACTGTGGAGACACGGATCGTAAGCATCTGATTAGGCCACGGGAGCTGAGAATGCTGGTGGGTTTGAGAGTTGAGGTAGCGAGACATGACGATCGAGAACGCGATAGTGAGAAAGAGGGATGCCCATAGAGGAGGGTAAATCCCACCCCAAACAAATCAAGTATTATTACCTTTTGACTTTGAACAGTACGACATATTCTTGAGTTCGAAGATAGAAATGAGATGTTCATGCGGTGCAACTGCTGAGTTAAGAGATAATGCACCATCCAGGATCTGGCTGTCTGCCGTACAAGGAGGACCCTTCCCGTACCAGTGCCTTGGGAATCACCACTTAGTTCTAGACTCTGGTACAATTCGTAATATACACAACCATATCATATCATATCACGCACTACGTGATATACATTCAGTACTTATGCTCGTATAACGTCTTAGTACGCAGACAAGAGTCTTGGAATAGAAAACAAATAATTAGAAGACCTGCTATGACTCTAAGAAAGAGGTTGCTGATGCCCTAAGAGACGGAAAGTATTGACGACATGGAGCAAAGGATGGAAATGGATTGGGATATCGATCGGGATATCGATTGTGGAGAACCTTGCGACGATCATGATGTAGGGATGAACCAGCAGGAGAGATTCCTTCCGATTTATTAGTAAGCTGGTGAGTTGGAACTGCTGACTTGTAAGGATACCCTTCTTTGAGGGTTCCCGGGGAGACTGCATAGGAATGAGACAAGAGAAGCGATTTCTGTCTACCCGTTACAGGTTTCCCCTTTCCCCGACAACCCGGAAGTGTAATTCTGAGCCAGGAACTACTCACGTTATCCAGCTTCGGAACTCATGTGGTTTCCGGGAATCAGAAACCGGATCATCCCGTACCGTTCCTTTAACGGTAAAAGGGGTATGTTCCTAATATCATGACCATTACCACTACCATTGCCAGACCTGACCGTCCTCCCCGTACCGTGCTCAATCTGCACGCTCGGTGTCACGCAGATCAAGGTGATAGCATTACCGTACGCACATCACAGTACGGCACAGCACAACACATCGGTGATGTAAGGATACCTACAGAAGAGGTAAAATTATCTTGACATGTCTGTGTTGCTGCACAAGCGGGATAGGCCGATTACCAATAGATTGGGGGAAGAGTGTGTTGGCACCGCTCGGAGCGTTCAATGCGCTGTGCGTTTCGTCTGTGCGAGTGCGGATGATGTGTGTTTGGTTGGTTGGGAGGCTTTTGGATGGGATGGGCGTTGACGATGAGTATTGAGTCTCTTTGATGCCGAGTACGAAGTACATTAAGTTGGATGGGATGTCCTTGCTTTGTCATGCTCTGGGTGATATTAGTTGGTTGGTTGTAGGGGGAGGGGTGGAGGAGTTGGTCCAGGTTGGACCTGGATGTTCCGGTGTTGTTCTTGGTGGGGCAAGTTGGCGAGGGGCTTGGCTTGGTGGGCAGGTGGGGCAGTGAAGTCCAGCCCCCGAACTTCAGGAGAGAGGAGAGGATAATGGGAACTTAGACAACTTAGGGAAATGTCTGCGAATATGCCTGACTATCCAAGGTCCCATCGATCTTACCCCGTACTACCATATACAGTGTCAAAAATAACTAAATGCCCGACATCTAACCTTGAATGCAGATTCGGGGACTAAGTTACGAAGCTGTAACATCGAAGAAAGGGAGCGATGGAAGCAAGCGAGGGGATGAACATCGGTCTTGGAAGGAAGGAAACAAGGAAGAAAAAAGGTAAATGGAAGCGGTAAGTTATTCCGTAGTGGAGAAGAAGGGAGGGTATGGTTCAATGGATTTGATTTGTGGCTTGCACTGTAAATGTGACGTTTGGTGTTGCGTGCAGTAAGTAGATTGGCGGGGAGTGCTGGATGGTAGGGATGGGGGTTGTGCATGCTGTATGCCGGGATGGGGTGTGCTCGGCCTTTTGAAACGGACATGCGACTGAGTGTTGAAGGTTCTAGATGACGTATGACTGATGGAGAGAGGAGGGAGGCATGGAATATGAAGAGATTGAATATTTTAAATGCCCTCTTATGCTAAAAGTGTACATATCTTGTGTTGTTGATTTTCGATCGCTGGTACTGAGGGAGCAGGCGCTGCTGTGATGCCATGTCCTGGCATTGGGTGAAAGGAGGGGTGCTACGAGCTTGCATGCTGGATGCGGGATGTGATAGACTATGAAAACTGCGAAGACTTGCAATTATTAATACGTGGGATTATGTGCAAGTGTGAGATGTCTTACAAGCTTGATCTACCTTCCGATGCGAGGCCATAGTACAATTCTCGGATTCTACTAACCATTTGAGTCCAGGGCGATTTCATTGATATTGACCCATGAAACAATACCGAGCAGGAACCGAGTATGGCACGGCTTGGCTCATCCAATATATATGTGTAGAAGCATTCCACGGAACCTTCTAGTTATGATATACGGTCCTATAAAATAACATCGGATGCTCTGCGTATGATATGTCCCCGTATAAAATATATTCCAGATATGATAAAGCTCGCGATATGCTTTGCAGCTCAGTGTGACATTGCTGATCTGACACAGTGTCGCATCGAGGATCTTAATGATCAGCATATGGTGCCATGCGATGGGATCGGCTGGAATGTTACCTCGGTGTAGATCTGGCGACGACGTAGTAGTGTAAGCTGCTGAAAGTGTATTCATGGCATCGCAACTCCATAGACTATTGCTTTTCATTTCCCAGTGAATATGATACTCCTAGACGAGGACATTGAATGGACCATATCTGTTAATGGAGGGGTATTGGAGATGTCCATATTGAATTGGAGTCTAGACGCCGACGAACTCTGCTGTCATGGAATATGCTGGGAAGCAGCAACAAGCATTCAGAAGGACCCCTCCAGGCTCTCTTCCCAGCTCCCAGCCTTGAACTCTCCTAGCTCAGCCTCATGTCCAGGTTTTAACATCTCCAAACCTTGAGCAGGGACTATTGATACAGACCTCCCGGATCTTCCTATCTTAAATTACAACAAAAGTCCCTCTTCGCCGATATGTTCGATACGTAAATTACAATTGCGAGAGAAGAACCGTCGGTCACAGCGAAGAACACGCAGTCGAAAAAGAACAAGCGTAGAAGCTACGCTTTGACATCTCGGTTTACCTCTGTCAGAAAGTATGTCGTCGCAACTAACCAGATCACTACTGGACAGTCTAGTCCATTCGCCAACGTGCCTGGTCATTTGAAAGCGCAAGGATGCTTCCGTTAGTGCCGGATGGTTGCGATAGGATGTGAGACTCTGTCACTTCTCACTTCCATTTCTCTTTGTCATCTAAAGATTTGCACTAGAACAGTTACTCAACAATTGATCACTGGGAGAATCGAGTTCCAGGATGGAGGTTTCCGGGAGTGGTCAGAAAAGGGTAAGGAGGCCGAGAGAAGGGCTCTGGGGTGCAGTAATGTGAATTTGAATTTGGAAGGAGAATCAAAGACTCAAGACAAGGAAGTGCTCGCTGGAACTTGGAGGTGCAGATCCGGATGGAAAAGCCGTTCGTGCATTGCATTGCATTACAATACACTAATCCCGGCATGTGAACAATGAAGGGGGCTTGAGTAGGTAAAACCTAATGTTCTGACTGTCCTGTACTGTGAAGCTGGGCTCGAGACTGGATGGAAATGGATTGATGCATGTAGGGACCTGCCTAGCTGAGAAAAGGTTCTTACGTGTCCAGGAAGAGCTTTGTCGGGGGCAAAGTTGAGTTTGGGTTTGTTGTGGGTATTGAACTTTGGAGCTCGATGCTTGCTTATTTGCTTGCTGCTCTTCCGAGCCCAGATCCAAATTCCGGAAGCCACATTACTCAGCTTTGCTGTGCTGTGCTGTCCTCGCCTTTCACTTGCTCGCTTGTATGTAAATTTGCCACCGGACACTACAGAGAGGAAGACTATTACTGACTGGCTCGGGCGTTGGATACCCCGGAAAACGCCTCCTAGATCCGGGCCATGTTCCTGTCTGGGGAAAGACATTACTCGAAACCTGGGTGCCGAGCTGGGAAATCTCCGGTCGCCGGAGAAGACCAGTAGACTGCAGACTACGGACTATGAACTGAGTAGTGATACTGGCCGGACCTGCAGATCAAAAGTGCAAATCAAAGGAGATCGTGTTCATCTCCGTTGTGAAATGAGAGGAATGAAAGTGAGGTTAATGCAGGAGGATGGAAATGGGAATAGAATGCGAATGCGCGTGCGTGTGCGTGTGCGGTTGAGGAGAGAGCCAGAGCCGTTGATACCTAAGTCATCGGCGGCCACTACGGTAAAGAAACTTCCCTAGTGTTGGTGAGGTGACGATGTGAAATGAAGAGAGGCTTGAAGGGATCTCCGACTGTTAGACGGAAGAGAGTAGACAGCAGACTTAAGCTGTACAGTAACTAGTAGATCGGAAAACCACTGTGTTGACGATGTTTGATATCAAACCTTCCCGCCCTTTCGAACTCCTGATGTCAAGATTAAGTTGCGGGGAAATTTCCCTGGAATGAGATTTGCGATCTCGATGTCTCGGGTCCTCGTGTGTGTGTCTCGGGGAGCAAAGAACCACTCGGAATCCAGGACTCACTCATCTCATCTCAGGGGCGTCCGTTACGGAAGAGAAAGTAATTGAAGAGAGTAAAGATCGTCGAGAAATCGGATCTGGATGGTCGTTGAGATCCTAAAGTAGACGGGAGAAGATCTTGCTCTTCTTGTACCAAGATTTTACGAGTCACGGCATTCAGGCTGAAATGCATGAACATGTACCGTCTCGCATCGCGCCGTCGATGGGCTGGCGACTTTAGCTTGTTCGTAGGTAAGCTATCTGCAGACGGGCTGGGCTAGGTTAATGATGCTAAGTATGAGCTGGTCCTGGCTGCCATGTGCTGCTAGAACGTGGTTCTGGAAAAGGGTGTGACAGCCTGGGTTTCTTGCAGTAGAAGGTAGGACTTCCTAGCAAGTACCGTGCTGTGCAGTAGGCATGCCCCGATGTAACTGCATCAAAACTTGCGAGTTTGTTCTTTGGCTTATTTGTGATCAGATGGATTTTGCACATTTGTTGAAGGAGGGTAACGAAGACAAATGGTGCAGCTGAATGTGGAGGGATTGGTACCTGTGCCACCGGTGGTGTAGTCTTGTGTTCGTGATACAGAAGAAAGGAAGGAATTTGGAATAATAGAAGCTTCGATTCCTTCTAGAAGGTTGGAAGGAGTCAGGTAGGTGCATCCATCCATGGTCCTTCCGTCCCGCGTGGGACAACGATCGTCCACTCAGGCTCGTCAATTGACGGCGATGACACCACATCGATTCAATCCTTCTTGCCACCACGCAGTTCAGTTGTTAGCAAATACGGGAAATCAAATTGAGGACATAATGAAAATTTGCCTTGCCATTGCTACTTCTCCTTTGAGTTCTGGTACAGAATACAGCACTACTTATGCACGGGAAGAGAAGACCAGATGACGGTTTCCTGCAGGAGGCATGGATGAAGGATTGGCTGTCACACGCTGTGGCGTGCGGTATTTGGTCTTCGGTGCAGTACACTATCCTGTCTCTGAGCATTCGGCGCTGCCACTGCTAGGTCAGGGGATGTCTCCATGAACGCGCCGAGTACCAAGTTCCAGCACGGGTGATGGGCGCGGGATGGTTGACAGTGGCAGGTAGGCTGGGTGGCTAGGTGGCAGTTTGATTGCCCTTTTTGTATCGCCAACAGTACAGCAATTCCCGCTTTGTGGACGTCCCATGTATTCTTGATGCAAGACAACTTCTTTTTGGGATACGGCATGATACAGTACTGTTGATGTATGAGACAGAAGGGATAAATATGGAAGGTATTTTGACAACAACAATTGATAAGAGATGCAGGAGACTGAAGAGTGGGACGAGGCTGTAAGCTGTGATGTGACCAACTGACGGCGTGACGCAGATAATTGACTATCCAACGGGAACGGGAACTCTGGATAGACGTTATTTTAGTTCTTGAGCCGGTTGGAGTGGAGGAGTTGTGAGACTGAGTCACGGCATGGCTGCATAACACTTGTTTTTCTTTTCAGCTTGCTTTGCTTGATTCACAGTTAGTGAGGAGGTACTGAAAATGCTTTGGTGCTTGCTGGTTGACCATGGGCAATATTTTGAGTTGTGGGATTTGAGATTTCTAGGTTTTTCTCCTTGTTTTTTTGACGGCGGGTTCGGGACGAGGAGCAAAGGACGAATGGGAAGGAAGGTGAGGCAGAGAAGGATCGATAAAGTCAGTAAGCGAGTTCGAGAGATAATGCAGGTCTGCACAAGAGAAAATAGATCAGCGTCATAGAAGACCGGAGGAAGCGGTTGAAGTGTTTGAGATATTAGTTGAGAGTTGGCCTTTACGGGATGGCTTGTTTGTTTGGAGAAATGAGATGGATAGCTTTCAGTGAACTGGTGGCGCAACTGGCGCCAGAAACAACAGCCACGTGTGCAAATACGGATGCGGGAGCGTCGTTCACCACCAGCGTACGGAGCTTTTCATCTCTGACTTCAGAAAGTCACATCGTGGGGGAATAATACAGCAGGTGTGATGTTTCGGAGCGGTGTGGGCACTGTGCAGGAACTGAGAGAGGGGTGCAGCCACCACGTTGAAACATCGGATTTTTATGTCGCTAGTGCGAGGAAAAAAGGGATTTGGGTTCGGCACTTTTGGATCTGTCACTTTTGACGATGTTTTGTTGCTGTAGTGATAGCAGAGTTGCATTATCGTGTATCTTGTGACAGGATGTCCCACTGCTGTTGTCTATTTGTCTTGTCCATGCATGAGATGAAAAAAATGCTCCGATGTCTGGGATATCGCGACTTGAAGAGAGTAGTATTGACTCGGTAAACGCTCCATTCAGCCCAGTGCATAGAGTTTTAGGGTCTCGACTCTGAAGAACTTTGACAGCCGCGTGAGGGAGGATCGTGCTGGACATCCCATTCTCACGTTTTGGCGTCGACTTGTTGTCTTCACAGCCGTGCGAGGGAACATCGTGCTGGAGATCCCCTTTGACGTGTTGAGGGGCCACTTCTTCTCTTGTACTGGCCACTTTGTAATCGGCCTGAATTTCATGCAGAGTAATCATTCGATGTCTCCGTGAATCTGATCATTCTGTTGGATTCGCAACTGCTTGGCTTGCTGCACGCCTTCTGGTGATGTGGAGATATTATTGAAGTAGGGTAGGGTACCAAACTATGTGGTGGGGGTCATAGCGTCCTTGACCTTGACCAACCCCATGACGCAAGGGTAAACAAGATCTCAACCCGTACAAGCAACTCATCCTCGTCTAGCATTGCCCATATTTTGATTGACACAGATGAAATGGGAAGTTGTCTCAGATGCGACGACTAGATTCGCTATCTAGCCATGTGCAAACCTAAAGAACAACAGACTGGCTGCTCATCAAGTCTTAATTTGACCAATTCCCAACCCCAGATCTTCCCATAGTCGCGGTACCTACCGAAATGATACTCGTCCGGTTCGATAAAGTATGAACTTAAAGCAGACGTCCTGAAATTTCCAGTCAACTCTTTCCGGAAACCTGGCCTCCACCCATTGCTACCCAGCTATGCTGTTCGGAGATTCAAATCGATATAAAGGCCCGCAGCCGGGTCGCGATGGCTGGACAGCCGGTAAGCTAGAGGGAAAACGTGGGCGGGGTTTCGTTTCTGAAAGCAGAGCTGCGTGGCGTGAGATGTCTCTCTGCTTTCGGAATAATAATGGGTAGTGTCCATGCCTGGTTTTTGGGGACTTTTTTGACTTTTGGTGAACAGAGGATGGATTGATCCAGGAAACGGCAAGCCTAACACAGGATAGATGTGAACCCTAGTAATTTAGCTGTCACTTGTTTCTGACAGGCTCGTATGTTTCAATGACTGAATCAATCTCGTATCTGGTCTGGATCAAAGAGATAGGCGCCGTCTATTGCTTTCTGGTATGCGAAATATGGAGGGACTTGTGATACTGTGCTCCCTCCTGCTCGTCTCATGTTTATCTGCACGCCACTCTGGTACCGAACGAGTAGAAACGAGACCTGCTCACTGGCACCGAGCCGGATCCGCTCTTCAACGCCTTTTACCAGGATTCGACATTATCCAGGGTCCCTTGCATTTCTTTTCTTCAAGGGCGGCCAAGTCGACCCTAGAAGCGTCAGGGGTGGCTCCAGAAAGCGGGAAACGGGGATGTCAGTCAGGGGTTCAGTCTCGGGAGGAACCAATGAATCTTCTGAGCCGTCAAGTGCCCTGGCAGTTGCAGCCCGTTGCAGAAATGCTGCTGCAGGAGAGAATCTCAGTGGTGCTCCAATTCAGTGTAGATGTGAAATTGAGTTTGAGACTGTGAGGAGGCATGGAGGGGTAGAAGTTGGTGGTTCGTAAGCTGTACTGCATCGTGGGGTTCCAACATCTTTTGTCAAGATAGAACAACAAGGAGGCAAGGAGAAGGAGGTACTAATAATACTCTGTATGATTCGATATCATGCTCTTGAGACGAATATAATTAGTGCAGCAACTAATATACTGACCAAAGGATGAGCTTCCGTCACCCCAGCTACAGACAGCACATACGGACAAGTTCTAACTGTTCTGATAACGGGCTGCATACTCACACTTACTGTATCAGGCCTCGACAGTAAACTAATGCAGGCATGAGAGACACGACTAATCGATGGGTTATTGGTGGATACAGGACAGGAGTTGCCCCCGCTGATGGAAAGACTTGCAGGTGCCAGATGTGCTTTGTTTGCAGTAGCTTGTAAGCCTAAAGATTAGGTGGCTTGGAGGCGAGATTTAGGCTCTCACTCATTCTCCTTGAAGATACAGACCATTTTAGTGACCATCTTGGGGTGTTCTGGGGTTCCGACAAAGCGTTTCCAGGCGCTATATCCCGCTATTGAAAGCTAAAGGAGGACAGCAACAGCATAACATAGGTAACATGTGAGTACGGCTGACCTTGTGGCGTCTCAAGTAACCTTATGACTTGTCCGGAATGCCCCAAGGACCTCTGTCTCACAGCACTCGTATCGTCGTATCGAGACTCTTCAGATCCGTATGATTTCCTTCCAGCGTTGTCTAGCTCCATATCTCACGAGTGCCGTCCATTCCTGCTGCTCGAGTAAAAGCATAGTAGGGAAGCGAGACTTCGCTTGGAATACCTCTGCACCTCTCCTATCAAACGAAACCAAACCCTCCTTCTTCATCATCATCATCATCATCATCACCATCATCAACCAGCCATCTTACAGTCTGTTCGCCCACGCGCTGTCAGCATCAGCATCATCAATCGGTGCAGCAACATGAGCCGACATGCCTTCCGTCCACGGCGAGGAACAAGGCCCCCGATCCAGCACCAGAATGTTATGTGCCAATGTGGCCAAATTTAAATGACCAGAGTCCGAGCGAGGACCAAAACTTGGGAATAGGGGCATTCTAGAAGCAACCTTCCCCCTCCAGTGCAACGCCATCCAATACCACCACCCACCACAATAAATGATCCTGCCGGGACTGAAAGAACTGGAACCTCGAGCTGCGGCACATCCTTACCGACAGCTTGCCCTGGTCGTGGTCGTGCTTCTCATCCCTCCTTCCCTTCCCTCCTCTCCCTGTCCCAGCATCCATGGCTCATTATCTGCTCCCTGCTCGTGGCTCCTTCTTCCACGGACCCGAGCAAAACCCATGCCAATTCTATTCCAGCCTGTCCAGTGTCCAGTGTCCAGTGTCCAGTCTCCAGTCTCCAATGCCGCCATCCGCCATCGCTCAGCCATCCGCGTCAGGTCCAGTTCAGAGTTCCGAGTTCAGAGTGCAGTACAGTTTAGGTGCCGGGGCAGGCTGTGTGTGTTGCTTCCCACTATTGCCCAGGCAGGAGTATGGCTGTTTCCCCCTTCTCGCCCCGGCCATCTGAATTATCCAGGACTCGATTCTCACCCTCCCTTCCTTTCTTTTCCTTTTAATACCATCGACTACTCGGCTGCATCGCTGTTTGACGTCTGGACTACTCTGGATCTTGATTCTCGACATCGTCCACCTCCTGTCCGCGGCCCCCTGAATTCTTCCTTGTCTACCACGCTGCTCAGTGCTCACTCCCCGACTGCCCCTGCTGAGGACTAGGATAGGATATTCCACCGCCCGGCCCAGTTCCACCACCAAGAGCTCGAACCACCACTGCCAACTCCATCCCCGAAGGCCACGAGCCAGTCGACGTGGGATCACTAGGTAATAATTTACCTAGCTGACCTAGGGAAAGTGCGCCATTGCCCGCCATCCATCGAGGATCTATCTCGTCGGCTCTGCAAGTGTGCAAGTGAGTGCTTCTGCATCGTGTACTACTCGCTCGTTCAGTACCTGATCGCCCACGCCGGCTCGCCCTAAGCTGATATTATTCGCCCGGTACGTGCACTACTTGCACTGAACTTGCGCGCCGGTCCTGGTGGGATACATAAGGCTACTGTCGACTCCTACCTACGATACTAACTACTGCTCCACTTCAACAAAGCACGACAGTCAACACCACCTTCCAGAATCGAAGACCCCCCCGTTCTTTCGCCTCGCCTCGCGGGCTCAACCGCTACTGCCCTATCCTACGGTGATATCCCGTTCTATCCTACAGTGGTGCTTTCCAGCGTGAAACAGGAGTCGACGGAACCTAAAGGGGCTTAAAGGCTTCACTGCCACGGCTAGCCCATTATCCCAGACACCCCTACTAGGGCCGAGGACAATTGGCAGATATCCTACACATCCTGCCCCTCCCCCAAAAGCCGTCTCTTGTAGACGCACCAAGCACTCTTTGAATGTCGAAAAACTTCTTCAGTCTCAAGCTGTCCCATCCCCCAGCCGACTCCCAGAACGAGCCGCAATCGTACAGGAAAAAGGACCAGGTTTCGGCCCTGTATGAGCTTGGACTGCTAGACGATTCGGATAAAAGAGCCATCAGGCGAGAGAACAAGGGCAGGGAGCCGCCTGGTGCTGGTGGATCCCGTGTTGCAGGATCCCATCTAAAAAAGAGTACGATTGCCTATTCCATTTTCATCCTCAACTCCGCCCCTCACCTATCTGAACAATTAATGATCTGATCTCGCTCCGCATCAAACTGACCCAGAATTTCTCTGCAGATTCACCTCATATGACCAACGACTATACTCGAGGGACTGCTCGTGTCTTGCCGACCTCGACCAACAACTCTCTCTACACAAAGGACAGTCAGGGTTCGAGTGACTTACGAAAGCGAGCCGGCGGTGGAATGGCAGGTATGCTGGACACAGACCGGAGCCGTACAAGGCGGGAGAGGACGTTTGTTGGGAGTGAGTGCGCTGTGTGTGAGGAGCCATTGGAACATACCCTTCGTGGAGAGAGGATACTCCAGTTCTCTTGTGGCCATGTCTCCCACGAAGCTTGTTTTTACGAATACATCAAAGAATTTGAGTCACAGTACTGCCCGACATGCAACGCTCCGTTAGGATTGGATACAAGTCGAGGAGGCAATGTTCTTGACATTGGTAAGAAATTCAACACCGGTTCGTCGGTCTTCTCCATATCAGTTAGCTGATGAGTCTGTTATGTAGAAAAGCTAAGTAGTATCGTGCGATCAGTGTCAGCCAGCGACCAGTCTGTTAGATCACAACAAACTCCCACACCTACGGCTTGGGACAGCCAAACTGTACGCCCCCCAAGCCGAGAATCAAGCTCCAGACAGCTTCCTCGGGACAATCGAGACAGCAGCAGAGACTCCAGGGAAAGCAACAATAGGGACAGCAATAATGGGAGCAGCAGAGACAGTAGGGACAGCCGGGAACGAGCGAGCAGATATGCTGCGCCGTCAAGAATCTCACATAACCGAAACGACTCAGAAGCAACAGGTGCAGCATCGTCAGTGGGATATCCAGAAACTGCTGTTAGCGGACCGCCTCGACGCCATGATTATGATGTTCAGTCCATGGAGACCAGTCTGATGAGTCCAAGGTCTAGTGTTACCAGGAATCCAATACCACCACCGTCTGTCAGTGTTCGATCAGAGTTTCCAACTCTGAGCCGGTCTCGCCAACAGCAAACACTGACGTGTTTGATCACAATTGAGGTCCCCGACAACAAGTGGCGACCCGATCCTGATGATTTGCGCTCGGCGCCGCCAGTACCTCCCATTCGACCCGAGGACACTTACGCAAGGCCTCCATCGCCAGCACAGAGCGCGCCGCGATTCTATCCCTATGAGCAGCCCGAGGTATTGGAGGAGATTACTGAAAATCTCAGGAGTCGAGTTGACAATTGGCATGGTTTGGACTTTGAAAGGTTTGTATGCTGAAATATTTGGAGATTTGAAACTAATGTCAGAACAGATTCGGCAAGTTACGTTTATATGGTACTATTCGAGTCGGCAAAGACAAGCAATCTTGGCAGGAATTGGAGTGCTTCTTGTTCGCCGAGATGCTCATATGTGTCAAGGAAAAGAAGGTCGCAATGCCACAGCAATGGGACGACCAGAACTCCCCGAGGAAGAACACCAGATGCACGCTCAAAGGGTCCATACTGATCAAGAAACACTTGAACGAAGTCATCGAGTCAGGAAGTGGTAAAAGCAACCTAGGCCAAACCGAGAAGATTACCATGTCTAATCTTCGAACAGCAGACGAGAACATTTTGACCTTGAGTCTTTCAGTTGCAGAATTACCATCCTTCCATCTCCGTTTCGACAATAGAAATCAATTGAAGCTTTGGCAACAAGCCCTCCTGGATTTGAATGCTGTTGAAGGCTCTCCAATTCGGAGTCCGGAATACGATCTCTCGGAGACAGACGAAGAAGACTGGCAACGAATCTCGAACCCGAAGCGTGTGTCTTCGCTCAACTCATCATCCTACGGTGGACCTCGGTCTGTGACCACCGCTCCAACTGAGTATACCAATGCCAGAGGTGTGCGATTACCTGCAGCAGTCCACGTTCCAGTCGACATTGTTGTTGTCATACCTGTATCTTCATCCATGCAAGGTGTAAAGATCAGTCTGGTCAGAGACGCGTTGAAGTTTATGGTACAAAATCTAGGAGAACGCGATCGCATGGGCTTGGTCACCTTTGGTTCAAGCGGAGGAGCCGCACCGTTGGTAGGCATGACTTCGAAAGCCTGGAATGGGTGGACAAATATCTTGGCATCCATCAGACCTGTTGGCCAAAAGAGCCACAGGGCAGATGTCGTTGATGGAGCTAACATCGCCATGGATCTACTCATGTCCCGGAAATCAAGCAATCCTATCGCCACAATTCTCTTGATCAGCGACTCATCAACCTCAGATGCAGAGAGTGTCGATTTCGTTGTATCAAGAGCAGAGGCAGCAAAGTACGTTATCCCTAACACTTAAGAATACATGCATTCTAACAAAAGCAGAATTGCTATCCATTCGTTCGGACTTGGCATGACCCATAAACCCGATACTATGATTGAGTTGTCTACCCGAACCAAGGCTTCATATACATATGTTAAGGATTGGATGATGCTTCGCGAATGCCTTGCTGGTTGCATGGGTGCCCTGCAAACGATGTCGCACCAGAATGTGAAGCTGAAGTTACGCTTGCCTGAAGGATCGCCAGCCAAATTCGTCAAGATAAGCGGCGCATTGCAAATTACGAAACGTGCGACCGGCAAAGACGCGGACGCTTCCTTGGGAGATCTCCGATTTGGCGACAAGAGAGATATCTTAGTTCAGCTTGTCATCGCCCCTGACAATGCATCCCAAGAACAACTACCCCAGGATCCTTGGGAATCGATAGTATCCGGGCTTGAAGCTCTTGGTGGCCCACTCGACAAGGAAGATGAGCGATCAGTCTCTATCGAAGAAGTACCACTCATCCAAGCCGACCTCACCTGGGGAGATATTCTTCGCGATGGTACATTGACTCAACTTCCACGCCCTTCGCTTCTAGCAATCACCATGCTTCCAGCACCGACAAATCAACAGCAGAAGAAGTCCGCATGGCCAAACACTCCTCCAATTCCTCCACATCCAAGCGTCGTACAACGACGGATGGAACTTCTTACCTCTGATATGCTCACACGGGCACTTACTCTTGTCTCTCGTGGTCAACATGACCGCGCTCAACATCTCCTTCACGAAACTCGTTCAATTTTGAAGGGCCTTGGAAAAGGTGGCCTCCCGCCCATTCCTCCACCTCCACATGCGAAGTCACCAGGTGCTAATTTGGATACTCCATCTCCAACCTCCGCGACGCCGGATCGCCGGCGCACCCCATCGCCCCCTACGTCCGCTCACACCACTAATGGATCCATACAACGCCATCATTCAAACGATGCTCTGTCAATGAACTCATCTCCCGGTATTGACCCCGCCACCGTTGCAGCTCTTGATGCCGAGCTCGAAGCCAGCTTGGAATGGATCAACCACCCTGCAGTATTTGGAAGGGATAGCAGGAAAGCTGTTCTTCAGGCCATTGGTGTCATCAGCAGTCAAAGAGGCTATACCTTCCGCACTCCGGTCGAAAGTCTTTGGGCTCGGCGTGTTGGTGGTGTCAAAAAACTGACCGAGCGAAGCCGCGAATGGCGTGAAGAGAGTGGCAATGATGTTGGCATCATGGAAGAGAGCTAATTAGCTCATTATTTACTTCGGTCTTCACTATTCCCCCAAAATCCACACCAACCCGAAATCCCCTATGTATCTTTCACCCTACCGGTACCTCCGACATTATCAAACCGCGACACACTAGGAACAGAATTACCTTACGATGTTATGGATAATTTTGCCCCTTTGTTTTCTTCATTCTGTATTATACTTTGACGCTGTTTAGCGGACAGGCTTGGACATACCCTTCTAGTTCAGTTTTTTGGCTTTTGTTTATTGTTTATCTCATAGGGCTGCTGTTTACTCTCATTATGGATTGGGATATGGGTTAGCATTGCGGCATGCAATGCGCATTTGTTTTTCTTATGGAACGCGAGCGCTGGAAGTGGATGAAGGCTGTCTGATATGTTTTGATAACGCCCGATGCTAGAACGAAAGAGTTACATGGGAGTCACATGTTTCTGGCAATTTTGTGATGGGATGGACGGAAAATGTATGTATGGATGACAGAAGCAAGCTGTATGTCGTTGATGGCTACAACGAGCAAGTCTAGACAAGTCGAGATGAGACCAGACAAGTCTATGCGACGAGACGTTATATAGATGATGATCAAGCTCTGGGAATATATGATTTTCCAAACCTTGTACCATATTTTCCCGCCTTCCTATATCAGAACTGCATTTCGCAATGCCAAGTGACACTTCGCCTCTCTCTCTCTCTCTCGTCAGACTTCTTGACCGACGAAGTCCTGTTTGGCAGCCCCATAATCCACAACTGCTTCGTAATATATCACTGTTATAACGCATTCGCTGAATATTTAGGCAGCCGCACATTTTCTCGATACAGTGTGTATTGATTGATCCGATTTGGTATCGTTCCCCCTTCTGCGTCAGCACTACCTACCTACCTGCTTACATACATCGTATACGGGCACGAGTAGGCAAGCAGCCGCACTCATGCATCGAATGATGTTCTGTTCAAAACAGAAGGGTGTATACGATGCCGCCAATTACAGAGTCGTAGCCGGGAACTGAGACTTGGGGTATCAAGTTCTAGGTATGATGTTTTATGCTGTCGCGGAATGGGGACGATTGGGGATGCGGTTAACTCTGGATGGTGAATATTTTGGATTGTATTGTCGATTGCTGGATGGGTGTGTTTTGAGGTGTTTTGGGGTGAGGTGAAGTTGGAAGGAGAGAGAGAGGGGTAGATAGATAGTTGGGAAAGAGGTTTCCTCACTTCATTTAGCACATCATGATTCAAGTATTTATGCCTCCAATTTCTTCATTTGCGGTTTCTTCCCTGAACTTCTCAGATCATACCAGCTGAGTTGTGCCCCCGCCCCCCCCCCCCCCCCCCCCCCCCCCCCCCCGAAAAAAAAAACAAGTCTCGTGCTCCTATCTATCCTTTGAATAAATAACCTACTCCCAGTATCTCGCACTCAGCGACCTATCGTATTGTTTGCAGGGGTTCCAATAGGTATTTCCAATTTCGTAAGGTGGCCACTGCTGGTTTCGGGCTCTCGGTTACGGGGTCTGGTTCTTGCGTTGTGAAGGGTACGAGGAGGGAAACTGTATGGGTTAGTTGATGGCTGGTCATGAGGATCTCACGTAATTCTGATTCTGATTCTCATTTCGAGGCTGCGTTTGAGGTTGGTTCGGTTCGGTTTGGTTTGGTTTATGAGTGAGTGAGGGAAGGAGGGAGACGAAGAACACGGAGTGCAATGGGGATTGGGTGCTTTTGAGAAGCTTGCATATATATTTATTTCTTCGTGAATGAGGGCAAAGAGCCTCCTGAGAGTGTTAAATTCCGGTATTTTGGGGCGCGAAGGATAAGTGTTGATTGGTAGGGCATAGTCGGACATAACTGCCCTCGCTTATGCTGCGCCGGATTGTAGTTCTGTGCCGAGGATGACGGCGGGGTCAGTCTTACAATATGGGTCTCGTTGCACACTCATACATAGTTACTGGGAACTTAGGCGGCCGAGGTAATTTATGTCTCAGTGCTGCTTCTCTCACGAGCTCGGTCTACACGCTTCTCCAGAACCCCAACAATTATTCAGAAGATCGGAACGGCAGCGTCAAGAGGAAGAACGTCGCGAATAGCAAAACAGATTTCACGGCAGTGGAGGCGGCACTGAAATAATACCACGACAGCGGAAAACAGTGTTCAAAGGAACAAGTGCAGGGTGCGAACGACTACACCAGAATTGAAAACTTACGTGCCCTCAGAGACAGGATATTTGCCAATCATATCGGCGCAAGATATTACGAACCACTCGTAGATTTATTCTCTGTATAGTCGGAGCGCCAGGCTTGATTTTCTTGCTTCCCCCAGAGGCTATTATCGAGATCAGTATGCCGTCCAATACAAAGTATGGTATGAAGAAGGACGAGGCGGTATGGAAGAGAGCATTCTTCGCGATGCCACTCTTAGGCTTGTTCATTCTTGCTAGGCAGGTGATGACGGTGGAGTTGGGAGGTAAGTTGGGGCCACTTTTTGAGGAAGCTCTTGCTGCTGGGGCTGTGAAGGATGGAGCGTCAATTGTGTCATTGAGAAAGGTGTACACGGGATGGGAGCCGCTGGATACGTTTATATTGCCGCTTATTGTAGCGTTTACTCCGTCGATGGCTGGTTTTGGTGGAGGTGAGTCTTGTCATGTTACTTCCCTCCCGCTCCAACAGGTTAAGCAAGAAGCTTTACTGACTTTCAAAGCCGGATTGAAAAAGAAGAATGTTGGAGGAGGTGTGGTGGACCTCTATGCGCCCCAGAGAATGCAGGCCATTACCTTCTTAACTGACTTCTTTGCGCTCAACGCTATTTGGATGATCGAGAGCTGCCGGCAAGGGAATGTCTTCACTTTCGCTAGGATGTAAGTTATAACGCTCGAAGAAGACGTGATGGACACAACATGCTTACACATGCAACAGTTCCAATGTATTCCTATTCATGGCTCAGCTATTCGGGATCGGAGTCGTAGCTCCGCTCTACTGCTTCCTACACTTCGTGCTCATCCCCAGCACCAAGTTCCACGCAGCAGACAGTAGACATGTCCCTCTCCACTTCGCCAAAACTATCCTCCCAACCCTGATTCTCGGCTACGCAGTGGCAGGCATCGGCATGTACTGGCCCACGTCCCCAATTTCAACTCTCCAAGGATGGAACTTCGCATGGCAACCTTTCCCCATCTACCTCGCCATCTTCCACCGCATACTCAGAAGTTTCTTCTCTAACACAGAGAAAGAAGATCGCGTCAATAATCACAAAGCCGATCTGTTCCATCTCCGCCTCATCTATGTCACGGTCGCCTTTCTCTCCTCAACAGCATGGATCTATACGGTTTTCACGTCACCAACACCCTTGTATCAGGTCTTCTTGAGTGGAATCACAAACCGTGCTGTTCAGTTTAATACTGTAGAGGAGGGGATGAGGATGTTCCTGAAGTACGATGAGGCTTTCTGTTTTGGTAGTGCCCCTATTTGGGTCTTGTTGTGTTTTCGGGACTTGAAGAGGGAAGGGAGACTTACTGCTGGGTGGGCCAAGATCCTGGGCTTTTATTCCGCGGTGACGCTTACGTTGGGTCCTGGTACGGGACTGGTGTTCATGTGGGGGTGGAGAGAGGATGTTTTGGCGAAGCCAAGATTGAAGGAGTACTGAGTTGGTGGGATCCAAATGTTGTTTTGTGGATTGTTAACTCTAATGATATGAGGTGGTGATGACCATGGTCTAAAAGGATTGGATTAGCTTCATCACCGGGTACACATCTTTACCTTTTCAGCTTCTTGGTAAGATTTTTTTGGAGTAAGCATTGCTTGAGACATTTGATCATATCCACAGAGCTGTTCTGAGCTTTAAATAGATGCCAATGATGTCAGCATAGACGAAGGCTAAAGCCGTGGACATGGAAGGGAATCCTCAAAATTCGCTTCACGTATCTTGGAAGTTCCCGTGTGTTTGGCATATAGACTTTGCGGTGGACTAGGAAGTAGGCGTGGGTGGCAGGGTTTTATTATAGTTTGTTTCGTGATATTATTATTGTTGAGGCTGACAATGAATAATTCTCCGACAAGGGGCAGGCCCATGCTTCCACGTGACCAGACGAGTTACTCTCCCTGAAAGCTCCCAAACTTTGGTCGGGCTTCAACTCTTCATACACGTTGTCGCCGACCAGTTTCTTCCGTTGCCGTCTCCGTCTCTCGCGCTGCATCTATGGACCCACCTATACTCGATACGGGCTTGGAACCAGTCACTGAATCTGCAGGCCTGCGGGGTTGCATTAGGGGATATGCGCCGACGGGCTCACTCTCCAGACTTGCTCACCGTCCTCGAATCCAGTGATTCGGTGAGCCGCAGCAATCGTCATCGGCCACTCAATCAATCGCAATAGAAAGCGGCTTATATGCATCTTCTCGTCCATCCTCCGCATGCAATGCAATGCATTCCAGTGGAGTACACAGCTCAGCAGCTTACAGCTTACAGCATGGGGACCCTACAAAGTGAGATCATACGAGTGTATGAAGGGGCGCGCTTACGGGATCTTATATGGAGGCGACTACCGTCCCAGCAAAAAGATTGGCGCGATGCGACCAATTGAAGTTGGCTACGTTACAAGCTGTTCAGCCTTGTATTGAATCCTGCATCTTGGGTCCTGGGAATCTGAAGCTTGGGCCAGTTGTTTGGGCCTATCGCAACTGCAGGCGGCTTGTTGGTGACAACACAGAGCTCCAAGCTCGGCGCCGGACATTAGTGATGGGACGGTGAGATGGCCATCAGATAGGATGGCTATGTCCGCCTGCATAATGGACACGCATGGTATGCGTTTCAGCTGACTTCATTATCTATAACTGCGGTTCATGGCCCTCTTCTCATTTAGGTTTTGATTCCTACTGTACTGTCGAGAGATTGAGTTTTGGTGTTCTGGAGAAATGACGAAAACGGCAAAAGTAGCCAAGGGCCAAAAGCCCGAGAAACAATCTTTCGTTGACAAGACCATCATTAAGCTTTTCAAAGGCGTCAACAAAGTGGTTGCATGGCATAAGCTGCCGAAATATCTCGGCGTATTCAATTTACTAGCCTTTCGTCTCGAACTCGATCACGAGAATTTGTACGATGTCTATCCCGATGCTGCCGCTCAAGGGACGCCAGCTAGCTGTCCAATGAAGGATGAGCGGTATTTGTACGCCAGGAACTCGGATGGAAAGTTCAATTCGTTGGAGCAGCCGCTGATGGGATGTTCTGGGATGAGGTTTGGTAGGAATGTCCCCAGACATAAGACGAAGAAGCCGAGTGAAGAGGAACTGCTCAATCCAAGTCCGAGGTTGGTGAGCGAGCAATTGCTGGCAAGGACGAAATTTAAGCCAGCAACTATTGTCAATTTGCTTGCTGCCGCTGTAAGTACTTGTTCGAGGCGTTCAAAGGCTGCAATCTGTTGAGAATATGTGACACTGATGACCTGTAGTGGATTCAATTTCAGGTTCATGACTGGTTTAACCACGACACGGTACGTGTAAACAGTGATTCTGGCTTGCTCGAAAGCTAACGAGTTTAGAACGCGCCAGGAACCGACGAGGTTGAGATACCTCTTCCTTTCCATGACACTTGGCCATCTGGACACATGAAGATACCCCGCTCAAAGCCCGATACGCCTCTCTCTGAACTTGACAAGGAAGCCCCAGGATACAAGAACATGAATACGTAAGTCACGTCTGTCTTTCAAGCGATTCAGAGACGACATTCTGACAACCGAAAAGGGCTTGGTGGGATGCCTCTCAAATATATGGATCATCCGAAGCAATTACTACCTCTCTTCGTGATACGGCACCAAACGGCAAGCTTACGATGAGAAGAGAAGGTTTCGTGGATTTCTTGCCGAGAGATGAGAATGACTTGCCGAAGACGGGGTTCAACACCAACTGGTGGCTAGGCTTAGAGCTGATGCATACTCTCTTCGCTCTAGAGCACAACAGTATCTGTGATATGTTGCTCGCGAAGTATCCAGACTGGAGCAGGTCAGTCAATTCGACACCCCATTAACAGAAGGATTCTCTAACGTATGTTTGACAGTGATCAAATATTCGACACTGCTCGTACAATAAACTGTGCATTGATGGCCAAGATCCACACGGTCGAATGGACTCCAGCTATCCTCAATCATCCGACGATTGAGGTTGCCTTGAACGCAAACTGGTGGGGTATCATTGGAGAGAAACTACATAAACTCGTCGGTCGCGTTGCGAAAAGTGACATTATTGGCGGCATTCCTGGCTCTGGGCTAGATTTCCATAATGTCCCGTTTTCTCTGACAGAAGAATTCGCCTCTGTATACAGACTCCATCCTCTGATTCCCGGTATGGACACACCTTACACTTCTGGGATAAGGTACTGACGAAATCACAGACAACGTAGCGTTCTTCTCGACCGAAACTGGTGCTCACACCAAAACAACCCCTATCGCAGAGCTCGCATTCCAAAAGGCTCAGAATGCAATCAATCCCAAGACTTCATTCGCCGATGCTTTCTACTCTTTCGGGATCAATTACCCAGGCGCCATCACCCATCACAACACTCCCAACTTCCTCCGCCACCTGGTATCTCCTGACGGCTTGACCCGAGACATGGGTACGCTCGACATCCTCCGCGACAGAGAGCGAGGCGTGCCCCGCTACATGGAGTTCCGCCGTCTCGTACACATGAAAGTTCCTAAGACCTTCCTTGAACTAACCGGTAACAACGGCGAACTCGCCAATCAACTCTCTTCAGTATACGACAACGACCTCGAGAAGGTCGACCTCATGGCCGGCATGTTCTGCGAGCCGTTACCCAAGGGATTCGGATTCAGCGACACTGCGTTTAGGATATTCATTCTGATGGCGAGTCGCAGGTTGAAGACTGACAGGTTTCTTGCGGGGGATGCGTGGAATGAGAAGGTGTATACGAAGGAGGGAATGAAGTGGGTGCAGAATGAGACAATGGTTAGTGTTTTGAAGAGACATTTTCCAGAATTGGCGGCGCCGTTGAAGGGGAAGGATAATGCTTTTAGGCCGTGGAGGAAGGTGGGGACGACCAGTGAGTATAGGGGCGAGGAGACGAATGCTTAGAGATACCTTGTCTGATTTGGGTAATGGGTGGTCTGGAGAATTTGACTGCTATAAATTGTACTTTTGGTTGGTAAGATAGTGGTAAAATAGGTCGAGACATGAAAGTGTTTCGCTAATTGGTAATGGAAGCCTTCTCTGAACAAACGTTCGCTTCCACTGAATGAACTCGGACAGCGATCTCGCAATTACTGGCGCCGGGTGACGACTTCAACTCCAGATCTGAGATCTAATGCCATATACATTTAGTCAAGCGCTACATGTGCCTCAGTATCATGATCAATCAATTGAAAGCTACGGCAGCAAATCAAAATCATGATCGTGCTGTCCTTGTAAATAATCATACCCATCCGGAACCCACTCCACACACGGCACCAGATTTCCCCACTCAATCTTCCCCTTCAAGCTCTCCGGCAACAAGACCTTCTGCTCCGTCCGATACCAAGCCGGGAAATGTATCGTCACAAGCATGACCCTCACATCCTCCGTCCGGTTCGGCATGCCTGCATGCCACAACCTCAAATCCCTCAATATCAACGCCCCCTTCGGTATGACCGGCTGTATGGGCGGACAAGTCTTCCTCCTCCTCTCCAGAATATCTTCCGGTATCACACTCCCGCTTTTCTCCACATACGCCTTCCAGCTTGTATCTAGATGACTACCCAGCCATATCTCTGTACTGCCATGTTCGGGATCGACATCTATTAAGTTGATATTCACGCATATCCCAAAGGGCATGTTTGGGAAATCGAAATGCACGTCTACATGCACGGGCTGTCTCTTCTCGGCTTTGAACGCTGTATTCGCGCTCTGGAAACGCAAACGCGGATTCGGTCCTAACATGCACTCTGAAATCGCAATAGCGAACGGATTGGCGATTACATCGTCGAAGATGAAGGATGGGTCGACAATGGCGTCTTGCTGGATGTTGCCAGTCCCTTTTCCGAAGTTATGGTGAGTAGTTGTGCGGTTGTACAGGGTTTGGGCTTCGGGGACCATGCGGGAGTTGAGGGTGTCGAGGTGGGTGGTTGAGATTGCGTTGGTGAGGACGAGGATTCCGTCGCGGTGGAGGGCTTCGAGCGCGGCTTGGAGGTGGTGCGATGTGAGAGTTTTGGAGGAGAGTTCGGAGGGGGAGAGGGTTATGGTTGTGAGGGATGGAGGAGGTGCCATTGCTGTGGAATATGTTATGGATGGCTCTTTCGTCGGCTGGAGTGTGAGGAATCCATCTCTATATGAACATGAAAAGGAGATGTCACTTACAGCGGGCGGTACTTACCTTATCTTAAAACCTTTTTCGTCATGCCTCTAGTATCGAGTATCGTTACCTAGATAGGACATTGAGGAGTTTAATGGGGAAGTGGATGTTGGAGCAAAAGTGGAGGGAGGAGGAGAAAGCTTATCAATTCGCCGAGGCGCTAAACTGTTTGAGGAGGGCAACAATCCCAAGCGACAGCTTCCTTTCTCCAAACTTCCTCATGTTGCGTAAATCAATGTTCTTTCATATTGAGTAAAATGACTATGCCCAGTGCGTTGGTTTGTATTCTCATGTTCCGAGACTTTATTCATCTTTATCCCTAAGGCCGAGCTGGTAAGCAAAGCACAAGAATATGCTACGGGACTTTCCAGTAATTCCCAGCGTTGTGACCAGCATGTTGAGTAGGTCTCCAAATTGAAGAGTCGATGCAATTTGACTTATCCTTCGGATGTTGCGTGAAAAGGAGTGTATATGGTAAGAAATATGGCAATATTCCTTGAAATGTCTCCGAGACCGCCTTCATTAATGGCGACGTCCATTGCATCTTTCTTAATAGATCGAGTAGTCGCAATCCAGAATATAACGCCTATTCGGTCTTGTGACTTTTTACTTTATTACTGCCTCGAGTAGCTAAGTTGCGTCCACAGGCCAATATTATTCAACGTCTATCAGCACCTCTCCTTTCTCCTCATCTGCATTCTCCCTCCCAATCCTCGCCATCTTCCACTGCTCGATGCTCTTCTTTATGGAAGGATATCTCCGGGTACAAGCCACAAAGATACTGGGCGCCCTCCCAAGAATATCCCAGAACTCCTTGACAAGAAAATTCTTCCTCAAGCGAGCGCTCTTCCTCCCGCCCTCGAGCAGGTCAGCTATCAGAATATCGTCCTCCAAAAATCCCCAATTCAATTCATACAGAATATTACCATCCGGTCCAATCATACCTGCATCCTCCATGACTTGAAATTTTGAATTGACGTGCGCGAATAATTCATCGGTGCAGAAGTCTTTCGAGCCAGCCCAGTGAGAGCACATGTCCAGGAGTTTTTCATTGCGTTTATCCGGTACTGTATTCACGAGTTCCTGACAGACTCGCATCCTCTCGCACTCTGGAAGTAGCCACATATATCTTCTTGGAAACAGAGCAATGGTATACACTGTCAAAGCGAACCAAAGGATCACTATGAGGTTCATCGATCCTGCGGCCAAGAAAAGCCAGAATCCTGTCGAACCGTCGTCGTTGTACATTTGACGAGGAAATTTGGAAATGCATTCTGTGTAGAATACACTGAATGGATTCATCTCGTATGGAGACATGATTCCCAGTGTCTGACATTCCCATCCTGATCAGCAAGCTGGTAAAATCTAATGGAACCAAAAGAACCAAATCTGTGAAAGAGGACAAACTCACTGTACGGCTTGAAGGGGTTTCTCTCCTAGAAACAACCTATTCGGCAACAAATTTTCGCGGGTCGAGACTCCAGATTTGATGCAGCGAATGCAAAAATAATTATGTTCGTGGGTTTGAGTAGAACTGGTGGGCAGAGAGCGAACTTAAAGAGTGCGCTAGGCTTAGTTCGAGCCGAAGGAAGCTGAAAATTGGTACCGACATTCTCCACGAAGCATTCCTTAATGACGTCGCGTCGAACTAGGCGATCCGTTTTAAGCGAGTGTCAATATTCGCAAGCTGTGAGCTATCCCTGAAGTCCAAGGGACAGCCAAGTGAAGCGATACCGCTTTCTATGAATGGCGTCGCCTGCTCCCTTCATGTATATCCCCAACGAGTACTTGGTTGGCAATGTCATGATTTTGCTTGTTCAGTCACCAATCCATATGAAGATTGGGTTGCTGTTTTGGCTAATAAATATAAAGTGACTGTTGAATTTTGGTATCTTATGATGTGGCTTATCGTGCGAGGAGGTACCAGGGCAAATGTGTTCCTTCTAATTGCTCTCCGTTCGATGTGAAAGATTTCGCTTCTTGTTCAAGTTCGAAGTTTGACTGTCTGTTCGGAGGGGGCGAGTTCTGGTCAAGAAGTTGCTTCTGAAGTTGCTTCTGAGGTTGCTCATGGCTGAGCGAAATCATGGCTAGTACCCGACTTTCGACATTTCGTGTCTTTCTATTTCTGTGTGCATCGAGTGCAAACAAGGCCATCGGAACACTTCAATCATTGTCTCATTGAGGTGGAGCCTTGCTTTCTATATCGCATTGTGCATGTGGGTCCCAGATAACATCAGGCTGACTTGGTCTGTCCATCGGTGGTCGCCAATTGCTGATGCCGCATTGAAAGAACTTATGGTAGTTGTATGCCGTCTATTGGTTTTGGTTCTTGCCAAAAACAAGAAAGCGTTTGTCGGTGATGGTCCTGATGGTGATGCCTTGGATCTTCATCGACTTCCAACGTGTCTCGTGTTATATTTCAATTTATTCATGCAACAAGAGGGCCTACGAAGCATTGCGACCGATTTATTCCCATCCCAATCCATCAGCTGACCGCATTTCTCTATCGGACGCCCAATCAATTCTCAGCTATGTCGACGTAGTTTCTCGCCTGCCGCAAGTAACAGAGTCGTTTCCGGAAACATATTTAATTTCACATTTGGTACTTGATTCATCCAATCGTGAGTCCTTGTGTATCGCTTATGAGATCGATCGTAAAGTCGTTATGCTTTGAGGATCGCATCGTGTTGTTGTGGTTGTTGAATTCGTTGGCTTCTTCGAGATTCGGAGGCGAACATGGTATATGTTGTTCGCGATTGTATCTCCGTTTCTCAAATACTAACACCCAAGGCCACGTGAAGGCCGAATTCGTCTTGGGCATGGGACCGAGAAGTCAGGTCAGGAATCCCAGTACAGCGCCTGCCGCCGCCCATTTAAGGATGAGTCCTCTTCAGGTTTATGGCACCCGGGCGGCCGTTACGACTCTTCTAAGTCGCCTTCCTCCACCCGTTCCACTCCCCGTACACAAAAACTGCAGTTGCCACAAGGGCGAACAAGTGCACCAGAAAAGATATGATATTGCCCTTGTTGGGCGTGCTCCAGGCATATGAAAATGAGCCGCCGCAGCAAGCAACACCAAAAGTGAGGCCGAGAATTGTCCCAATCGCCTTCCAGAACTTCCAGATCCCCTGAGGGTCGCGATGTGGCTCTCTGGGATCGAACCACGATACGAGCAAGGACGCCAGATGCGTCACTGTGCTCAGTATCAAACACTACGCATTGTCAGCAGTACAATCACAATATCAGACCATGACCCATAGGGTACTAATGGATTTACTCACAACAAGAGGGGCAATGGCAACCCCGAACCCGAACTGAACTCCCCAGCTCACCAGCAGAAAGGCCACAGGCACCAAGCCCGCCCAACCAAACACATCCCAAAGCAGCAAAACGAGACCCACGAGGGAGTCCCGAACGGGACCAGAGAATCGTATCTGGGCGGTAAAGCCAGGCATTGTGGAGGTTTATGGCGGGGGCGGAAACATGAAGAAGTAAGCCCTTTTGGCACCACTCAAGAATATACCAGTCTGTCGACCCCATGGTCGTTACTTCCATTTCCATTGTCGCAGCACTGAGTGGGAACTTCCAATCCAGTATCCCCTCCCTCCAGCCCCGAATTCTAGCGCAAAGAGGAAATTTATGATATCTGTGCAATTCAAATTTGAAGATGTGACATTCCATGACGGCTGACTTGTGTTTGTTTATCCCTGACTCGCTTAGCCAGTCTTGGCTCAATCTCAGAATTAAGCCATTTGGGTCGCTTTTTAATCTTTTGGCAACTGCTTCCAATCATTCATGATAACTGAATCGGTGTAATATGTTAAATTGACCTATTCTGAAAGGGAAGCCTCATGTAGGCCAGATACCCCTATTGGCACTGAAGACACATTTTGAAGCTCGCTAACCTCTTCCCGCCTCGTCGGCTAACGTATTTCATAACAGGCCTACCTTTCCGAGCTAATCACAAGCTCCACTACAAATTCTTTTGATCGTATTCTTCTTCTCAGAACCTGAGGATTTATAGATGGACCTAGAGATGTGGAATGGTGACTTGGTCTTATGTATGGGGCACTGGGTAACGGGGTTGATGCGTTGGAAGAAGTTCTGGGGGTATGCAAAGCATAATGGACTTTGTTGGATTTCAACACGACCTCTAACATATCACGGACCTTGCCGATGCTTTGGCTTAAAAAGTTCCAAACTTTTAGAGTGATGCTTTTGATGTAAATGGAACACGAACTTGCCAGGATCGTTGTCATTGTTTGGCAACTTTGAAATAATTACTGCTCCAAATTTTCAAGCGCTTGTGTGATCTCATGTTGCCGATGCTGAATTTGATCTTTGAGTCCTATCCTTGTGATTAGTGTGATGCATCAAGATTCTTGAGGATATTGAAAGCAGCAAAAGCATCGTGAACCATCAGAACCGGGGATGCACCACATGTTCCAAGTGATTTCGTAACATTGAAATGGCAGACAAAACTTCAAAGAGTCTCTGATTAAAATCTAAGCATACTGTCAATTCATAAATCTGCTTCGATTGTTGATCGACACTTTCACTGACGTGTCCGCTGGCGTGGCTGAACAGATGTAATCAGTGTGATACGGTACACCTGCCTCAATGCCCAAAACCAGTGCTTGTATCTTATTTGGAAGCATCTCACCTGTGTGTCCAGCAAGCAAGTTTGTGTCAAAAGACGTATTCGTGTAACTAAAAGCGTCACACTCCAGATTCAGGGGGCAACTGATTGAGAAGACAAGTAACAGCTAGAAACATTTCTCCTTCATTAATCAAAACCTACCGCTTTAGCTATTGCGACTTTTTCTTCGTAACGATGGCCCTGTATTTGGGCTTTAGCCACATGGTTTTGGATAGCTCAGCGTTGGGAACAGCTGACACACGTGAGAGCCACTTACTATCGCCTGCAGTCGCCATGGGGATCTGGAGCCGAATTATGTCTCTGTCAGATGTCTTCATTACCTTTCAAGCTTCTTATCGGCCTCAACACTTAGCAATCAGCTCTTCACAGCTCCTCTCTGACCCCAGTACGTTTTATCTTATTGCCAGCTGCAAACAGCCAATGCTGATTAACAACGCGGGCGAGGACCAAAATTAGGGAAAGTGGATGAATTTTCGGAGACTCGACGATGCAAGGGATCAAATCTACATGGAAACTAGGCTCAACTGAACCTTGGAGGGAGTTTGATTATCGATGCAGCTTGGCAGCAATGCTGACAAAACCAAGACACGAGCGTTTTCTGTTTTCGGAAGGAGTGTGGCGGAGTTAAGCGAGACTGGCAACAACAGCACCTGTACACAGCAGCGCCTCTCTAATTACAATATCCTAGTTATCTACAACAAGAAGTCAATCAAAGCCAGAGCAATAGCAAGCACAGTCATAACGAATCCACCACCGAACATATTGATCCTTACTCCGCCGTTCGTTTTCGCCTTCGTGTTCGCGATTAATGAGGGAGTGCCAAAGCTTCAAGCGTACCGTCAGCGAACGTACATGGATGATGTGTAACTGGGCACTTAGGTACTTACCTTAATGTAGTCGTGGTCGGCGCATCAAAAAGCGGTGTTGGGAAGAAGGTTCCAACAGTGGCAGTTGAAGGTACCACTGACTTAACGGTGTTCGGGTAGAGAGCGAAGGCAGATCCAGACGCTGGTACCGTTGTGGTGGAAGAAGTGCCTTGGACGATGAGTGCGATCAAAGGGAGAAAGAACAGTGGCGAGTAGAAACGCATATTGTTTTGGAGGATGAAAATGAGAAGAGTGATATCGTGGATGCAATAGAGAGACCTGGAAATCGAAGACTCTAACGATGGGCATCTTCACTTAGGAGCAAGACAGCTAAATGTAAAAGGGGAATGGGGGACACTTGATATGCACCTCATTTCCACAAGACCACAATGATCTAGCGGAAGTATTTGTAGTCATCAACTTGACTGTAATGCTGGAGAGAATTGAGATTTATCATTGTAGACTGTGGCGTAGCCGCCTTGGGCATACCCGAACACGTTGCCATCAGCTTATCCCAGAGTGTGGTAATGCATTTGTCGCTAGCGACCAAAATGTCCCTCTTTAATACAGCAAGAGAGTACTAAACTCTTCCATGACTTTGTATGCTCAAGATTGCTTTCAACGATATTTTATCCACTTTCTCAACTCTTTCATCAGCAACATGGTGCTTACCTCTTCAAACCTCCTCTTCCTAACTTATATCGCGACAGCGCTCGCTATACCAGCAAGAATTGCTCCAAGATGTGAGAGAAACCAACAGCGCCTCCGTAACGTTGGACTGACAGTGGCAAGTTACCGATCTAAAGCTCACTACACAGCTGGAAGCAGTCTCCCAATTCGCAGCAGCCGCATACTGTGAAGGAAATACACATTCTGCAGGTCAATACATCTCCTGTCTGCCAGAAAACTGCCTCTTCGTCGAAAAGTCAAATGCATGGGTTACTGAAGCATTCTGGAAGTGAGTGTTGTCTAGTTGCTCGCGACATTCACTTCTCAGCCTTGGAACGAACTGACAGTTATTTCAGTATTGGAGAATCCAACACAATTGGTTTTGTAGCCGTCGATGATACCAATCATCTCATTGTTCTTGCTTTCCAAGGCACGGCAAATACACTCCACAAGCTGACAGATGCGGCATTCCTACCTACATCTACCAATCTATGTGGCACGGGCGAGAATGAATGTAAGATACATCGAGGGTTTTGGCATGCGTGGCAGGATGTTGAGAGCATTGTCACCAATTCAGTGCTTAGAGCTGTTATTGAGCATCCAGGATACAGAGTAATTGCTACAGGACATAGCTTGGGAGGGGCTCTGGCTGCTCTAGCAGCGACATCATTGAGAAACGGGGGAATGTCAGTAGACTTGGTTAGCTCATCTCCTGCCCATATCCCTTTGAGCAAGCTGACAGTGTAACAGTACACGTACGGTCAACCACGCCTGGGTTTTGATTCCATTTCGAATTACATCACGAACCAAGCTCCAGCCAAAGGTAACAATTACAGAGTTACGAATACCAACGACATCGTTCCTCAGCTCCCTCAACACAAGGCAGGAGGCTGGGATCATTTCTCTCCGGAATATCATGTCAAGAGCAGCAATATACCTGTTACTGGTCAATATATCACAGAATACACTGGACTCTTCAACGAGAGTGGGAATGCGGGAGCTGATTGGCCGGAAAATATTGAGGGTTTGAAGAATGCCCACACGAAGTATTTTGGGAATATCACGGATTGCTTCTCAGGAGAGATAAATTCAACAGCGGATCTCATGGCAGTGTTAGACTTTGTTGGAGTTCCTAGTTCTCTTCTGGAGTAGGGACAATCGTGGAAATGTCATCTATTGGGTATTTGCAATGCAATGATTACGGATATTTATGATATGCGATGTTGTTCATATCCACTGGAAGTACTACTGAGCTTCTTTCGATCTTAGTTTAGGCCTGGGAGTCGCACCTCCACAAGGCATCTCACCTCTCGCAAAATGGGTCGAGCAGGGGGCATTTCCTAAACTTCGAAGGACGGATGCCAAATCGTTTTGCTAGCGTCCGGTTGATTATTATTACTAAGAATCAGTCATTCCATTCAAAATTTGCGTTAGCTGGAGAATTGGATTTAACAGGGAGTCGGGTCGTGTTACCCAAAGGAGAGCGATTTCCCGAAAGGGAAACTCTGCGCCAACACCACGCAGCTGGACTCAACCATGTATACGAGTCAAATATCAACTGTGAAATCAATTCATTTAGCTATAGTATCCACCCGAATGCTTGGTAATCATTTTGTTCAACCAGATATAGACTGGAATGGGCGATTTGGCAGTTGGGCACATCTCAGGAGAACGTTGTCGCCTCAAATAATCAGATTGCTTTTCATATAAACATCAGCAAGCTTCAGCATTCGCTATGATAAAGTCACAGCCATCCTACTCTGTGCTACCGCACACTCCAAATATGGGTTTTCCTCCCGATTCTCCTCAGCGGGAAGAAACATCGGAAAAGATGTATCAAGGAGAACGAGAAACGCTCGAGCGTTCAAAACAAAACCTGGCACAGTCCAACCAAGTACGTACATCCTAGACTACGTTCTTCCATACCTCCTCAACTGATCAACACGAGTATCTCAAAACCAAAATCCGCATCCTACGTCTCATATCCCGTCTCCTGGGCACCGTCCTAGCAGGCGCAACACTTTACCTCGAGAGCCGTACCATCTACAGCTATGCGACAACCCACACAATAATGCGCAACAACCGCGGACCATGGGCACGACAAACATCACTTTGGCCTTCGATAATGCTACTCGCTTCTTCTGGAATCAGTATCATTATCGGTCTTCTGACCATGGCCGCATACACACGCTCTATCCGTGCTGCTAACAACATCAACTTTTACGAAACAATCATCTCATATACTATCGAAGTGACACATATCCTTAGTTGGATTGTGGTAGCTGTTCTATATCGGACTGGTAAGACTGGTCATGATCTCTGGGGATGGGCTTGCTCTCCTTTGGCGAGGAAAATTGAGCCGAGTTTTGAGGGGGTGGTCGACTTTGCAACAGTTTGCAGAAGAGGAGTAAGTAATTTTGTCTTGAATATTTGGGTACTCCGTGCTGATGGAGAAAGTAGACCACGAACTGGGCACTGGGTGTTGCTAACCCCGCTGTAACAATCTTCAATCTCTGCATTTGGCTTGTGGTGTTCCAGAGAATCAAGTATATGAGAGCTCAGGAGAAGTTGGAGAAGGATTTTGCATTGGGACCAGAGGAAATAGGAGATTACTGAGTGCGCAGAAATTTAAAATTGTGTGGTGGTATATTTTATAGAATGTCATATAATTTTCTATTTCGAGTTTGAACGTAGTCAATAAAAACAGAGAGCCTCGCGCGCGCCTTTCTTTCATCCTGCTGTCCAGTTTCCCTCAAATCCACGTAACTGAAAAACTAGCCTAGAGCAAGAACGAAGTTCAATCCCGATATTATTATCAGCTTGAAACAGTCATCTATCTTATTTTATGAGCACACCCCACTTAGATTATCTCTTCTACCCCGCATGAAGTCGCGCGCAAGATTCTCAGTCTTGAAGCGACATGCCCTTCACGATTAGCCTCATCAGATTACCCAAGAAAGAAATCCCTCGATTCCCCTTCCGACGCGAAATCATCCATATTCCCATTCAGCTGTTGCCAACAAAAGTTTTCCGTATATCTCATACCATGGCAGGTCAAACTCCTGCTTACAAGAGCGTTTTCCCAATCCGTCGAAGCCACGCTACTGACCTGCACAGTCCTATTACTCAGCATCAAATAAACAATCTTAAGCGAGATCACCCTGCTTACGAGATACGGCTTCGTGCTACCAGTGGCGTCCAATGCGCATTATAATTTTTAAATAAGCATTTACAAGCATCGCGTTTTTGGTAAACGCTTTCAGATGGGAAAGTGAGGCTAGGGAAGGGCTGAGCACCTGCAGATCAATCCGAATTTGGAATGCAGCGGTCAACAGCTCTGCTCGCAAAGTAGCCAGCTGTACGCGAAGGCAATTGGCTTCTCGCCTCATATGGACCTTTGGTACATAGTTATTTGAGATTGGTCTCGATTTCGAGGAGATATAATTCTATGCTGGGTTGACCGTGGTTCGCTTCATTGAGGCTGGTCAATGCCTGCCTGGTGTCTTCCCTGCTTACAAACGAGATCAGGAGTTACCACCGACTTTTCTGTTTTTATCTATCTATATCAATAATGGATAACGGACTATAGAGAACATTGAAGTTTCTTTCATACACATCAAACATTCGTTTATCTAACTCTCGGATAGAACGCAGTTACGACGGCACTGGCCGCTTTCGCTCTTCGTTTCTTACAAGACTTGCTTGATGATTCAAGATCAACAATCCACGCAAGTCAGGGAGATGCCTACACTCAGAAAGATTCCGTGGAGGAAGATATGGTCGTAAGTTCCGAATCAAGTGCATTTCAATTGACCAAGTCTAATGAGCGTCCCCAACTAGATATGTCCTCGACTGGCTGCTAATGCTGTAAGTCTTGCGATACCCCATCTCAACTTACATCAATATGTTCTAACCACAGCACAGAATATTGGGCATCCTAATCGCCTCACTCCGCTTCCTCACTGGCAACAAAACGCAATTCTCCCTTCTCGAACCCAGCATAAACTTCTCATACCACCCCAAGCAAATCGTCCCAATCTGGCTCGCCGTCCTGTTCGCTCCCATCCTTCCTACAATCACTGTCTTCATTTTTTGTATCTTACGTCTCGGTCACATACCCAGATCCTTCAATCAAACAATTCAAAAGACAGCATCTTGGGATATGAGATCTCGCTTGAAGGACTTACATCACTCATGGCTCGGTATCGGATATGCGATTCTCTTCGCGTTCGGGATCTCGAATGCGTTAGAGAAGTTCGCTGGGCAGCCACGACCGGATCTTATCGCGAGATGTCAGGTTGACCCAGCCGTTTACTTGAATGAAACTGTCATGTTTTTTGGTACGGGAATGGTAGACAGTTCGGTGTGTAGGCAGACAGATTCGTTCATCTTGGACGAGGGCTTTGCGAGTTTTCCAAGTGGACATTCCTCTGGTAAGCCGTTCTCGCATTCATGACTGATTCTCTGCAATTATTCTATGTAACAATCAGCCGTACTGACTTTGGATCATTTTGCGTAGTTGATTTTGCTGGTTTGGCCTACCTTTCCCTCTTCCTCGCCCTTCGCCTCTCGATTCTCAAACCTCGCCACCATACCTACTCAAAAACTCATCATGAATCCGCTTTCTCAGATGTACGAGCAAGCAAGCCATTGTTTAGACTCCTGATAGTTTTCTTACCACTGGCGATCGCAATATCGGTATCGGTAACTCGCGTATTAGATAATCGACATCATCCATCTGATGTCCTTGCTGGCTCGGTTCTGGGTATTGGTTCTGCGTGGATAGCATATTGGAGCGTATTGCTGCCGCATTCAAGGGAGTTGGAGGTGAGACAGCCCGCCCGAGTGGCTGGGTTTGGACGCGGGCGGGAATGGGAATGGGGTGAGGGCGAACGAAGGGGGGGGAGTTTCAGTTAGCGAGAATTGGAGGTGCTTGAGGGGATTTCAAAGATGAGGAATGAAGCTTGATTTTACGCGTTCTCATACGCGCCATACGCGTTAATCTTTATGTTTCATCAGCTCAGGCTGGCTTCGATGGGGGAATGTAACGATGGAATGCGAAAGTTGATAGTTGCTTCTTGAGAATTAAATGGCTTGATTCACCGAACATTGCAAACTGTATCTTCTAGATATCTATTTCCTTCACTCAACCCAACTTTGCAAGTAACAGATACCACGCCAACTCACAATTTATGACATGGGAGTTTTCCGTCGTTTCTTTTTGTTACTACCAACGGAATTAATGCATCGTTACGAGCCTCTTCATCCTGGTGATGCAGGTTCCACCGATGGCCTGGAGCTTGAGCTGGAGGAGGAGAGAAAGGAACAAACAATGATAAAGTCACAGCAGTCAAGGATTGTTCGGTACGCGAAGATGACAGGTGTATTCCTTACGCCTTCATTTCTGCAGCGAAACGGCGAGAAATCCGAGAGGAAGATTACAGAAACCTCCTACTTGAACGGAGTACGCGGGCTGGCAGCATCTCTGGTCTACGTCCAACACTCCTTGTTCGCACGTTGGATACATAACGGATACCGAGGTCTCCCAGAAGATTTCTTCTGGCAGCTTCCATTTGTTCGATTACTCTACTCTGGGCGTTTCATGGTTGCCATATTCTTCATCCTCTCGGGCTTTGTCCTCTCGTACAGACCTCTTCAACTAGCGAGAAAAGGCGACAGTCGAGCACTTTACGACAATCTCTCTTCTGCTACTTTCCGACGAACCCCACGACTGTTCCTCCCAATTGTGCCGGCTATGCTCGGAACAGCAACAATTGTCTATTATACTTGCTATGGTGCCGAAGACTTCACGCTGAACGTCTGCCTGCCGAAGGCTAACTCATTATGGCGCCAATGGTGGGGTTATGTGCCAGTGATTGTCCATATGCTGGATCCAAGTTCCTGGAACGAATATTACCCACCTGGTCTACCGCATCTTTGGACTCTGTCCATGGAGTTCCGCGGATCCATGGTGGTTTTCCTGCTTGTGCTTGGACTTGGAAACACAAGGCCGCTCTACAGACTGATTTTGCTGGGTTGCTTCGCGATATTTTTCCTTCATTTGGGTAAATGGGATACCTTTCTCTTCACATGTGGACCGATTCTAGCCGAACTTCGAATTTCCCGGGCGGAGGCTCAGACACAGCTGGAAGCAGGTCACATTGGTCCAAAGCGGATGCAGAGTTCCATTCAGTGGAGTGTTGTGACCAAAGTTTTCTGGACCATCAATTTCATCGCTGGTCTCTTCCTCGGCAGCTGGCCAGCATTTCAAGCATGCTCGTCATACGGATTCCGCAATCTATGCCACCTTACTCCAAAATCCTTTGGAGGCAGCGAAACAGTCGAGCAGTACTTCTGGGTCTCGATCGGCGCATTCTTGCTTCTCCTCTCCTTCGAGCATATGGAGGTGCTGCAAAAGCCATTCACAACCAGACTGGCGAGCTACATGGGAGACATCTCGTTCGGATTCTATATCGTCCATTGGACTATGTTGTTTAGTGTTGGGACGGTGATTGTTGGAGCTTGCAAGAGCTGGTTGCCTTATGGGTATCCAAATTACAGTCTTGGATTCTGGGTCGGTGCAATCCTGACTACACCGTTCGTTGTCTGGGTTGGAGACATACATTGGAGGGCTTTTGACAATGGTGCTGTGAAGTGTGCGCGTTGGCTCAACACTGTTTGTACCAGGAAGTAAAATGGCGTGTATGTAAAGATTGACCACAGTTGTGCTCAGACGAGAACGACAGAGAATTTTGATTGTTAGAGGTTTTGACGAATATTACGTGTTAGCATTGCAAAGAAATATGAAATAGATAGGAGCTTGTTAAAGGATTAAAATAAAATGAAAAGAAATGAAACTGGATTTGGCAAACTCATCAATGGCTGTGTCGATTTTTCATTGGCGAACGTGGGGTCCTTGAATGGAGTATGACACGGGATATCTAGAACCTAAGACGTGACAGACTCATTGGGTGGGAGTGACGTTTACTCAGTGGCGGTTTATTGACGTGAAGTGAGATGTCTCTCCACTACGCGAAACCTTGCTTTTCCAATGTGGAATGTGATATCGGCCATCCTGTATCAGAATGCAAGGGGGTTTATCGATGGCTGAAGAAGCGCGAAAGCAAATCAGAGAACATATCAACTTCACTTTTAAAATACTGTCGTATTTCTTTTGATCTCGGACTTCGCAATCCAGATATATAACACGCTATGAAACGATTTCGGGATTTGCTGCCCAGCTCGTTCGGCAGGCGAGAAGGAAGTCAACACAGCGATGCAGATGCGTCAAGCGAGACACTTCTCGCGAATCAGCTACCGAACGAAGCCCAGGATGGCGAAAAGGAGGAAATTATATATACGCACCAAGACCTTCAGAATGGAAAGATACTGAGAATACAAATCGCTCTTGGGGCCTGGATGGTTTTCAGCTTTTGTTGTATTCTGTATATCGTCCTGTCGTTGACAGACAGAAAGAACAACCGAGCCTCGCCTTCCGACGCTCATGATACACCAAATGTATCCTCGGACATGAACATCCAGCTCATAATTCCAACATTTGTAAGTCTTCATAACCATCCTCATCCCACCTCACTCCATCTCATCCACTGACCAAACCCAGCCCCCACACTTCCCCCAAGTCCTCACCATGCTCCACTCAATGGCCTGCCTCATAACCGACATCTCCTCCATCCAAATCTCCCTAATCCTCAGCTCCACATCCGACATCGTCGCCCTCCAAACCCTCCTCTCCTCCCCCACCCCACCAACATGCACCTCCTCCTACCTCTCCTACAACACCACCTCCTCAGCCCAACTCACCTACCCCCCAAATCTCACCCTTTATAACCTCTACGACCTGCTCCCACCGCAAATTCAAACCCTTACTTCGCCAAACGATACCAGCTCCCTGGTCCGCACGTACGGGAAGTACAAATACCAATCTATCAAGAAACTCGCTGCGGCGGCATACCTGCAGTATGATTACGGGATCTGGATTGATTCGGAGGGGTTGGTGGTAAGGCCAGTGGAGTTTAGGGAGATGGTTAGGGAGTGGCTTGGAGGATCGGGAATGGGGTCAGGGCCGGTGGTGTGGACTGAGTTGGAGGCGGTGGGGAGTCCGAGGAGGAATGAGTGGATAGTGGGGATTAATGAGGGGTGCGCGGGGGTGTTGGGGAGGACGATGGAGAGTTTGGGGAAGAGTGTTAGTTTTTGGCAGGGGTGGGTGATTACTTTCTCGGATTTTGCTGTTAATTTACCCTCTTCCGGTTTTCCGTCTTTGGAAGAAGTTCAAGATACAAGCGATATCAACAGCTGACAACCACGAAACAGATTCACATGGATCATCGAAAAACCCATAATCATGGACATGATCAACCGCCCCTCACGGCTGGATCCCAACATAGACTTCTTCACTCGCCTCCTCAACGCCAAAACCGACATCTTTGAGATCGTCATGTATAAGATCCATATAGCAGGCAGGAAAAAGGAGCAATCATCGAGTAACTCGACGCTATATACGAAATACCGGGTGTTGGATATGCAAAATACATTGATTGATTTTGGACTTGGTTCGTTCTCTTCCTTCTCTTGTTAACCTTCTCTTTCTATTTGAAATCGTCTCCATGATATCCTATTCTTAACAAAGTCACCCACCCCACAGAAGCAGCCTACTCCCTCATCCCCCCCCAACTCGACACCCTCGCCGAGCGCTTCCCGCACCTCATCCTCGCCACGTCCCTCCAAGACCGACTCGTGCAGTTCGTCAAAGAATACAAGTTCTTCTTCATCTGTTTCCACGTTGGGTACCTGTCGCTGATTCCCAGGGAGGTGCTGCAGAGTTTTATGAGGAAGGCGCCCGTGGCGATGACGGTGAGTAATTTGAGTGGGCTGGATAAGGAGGTTATTCCTGAGGGAGGGGGGAGTTGGAATATGACTTATGTTTGATGAGGTGAGGGGAGGGGAGGGGAGGGGTGGGGAAGTTTGTTGTGGATTTAGAATGTACGCTGGAGGGGTTAACAAATGAGGGTTTGGGGGGAGGAGTTGAGTTGATTGCATGTCCTGGAAATGAATAATAGAATTTAGACTGTGACACCGTATCCAGTTCCAAATCAGACCAAACACAAATCAATTTCCGCAAGCCAAGCCAAGCCAAGCCAAGCCCTAGAATTCACATTAATATATTAAATAGAAAAACCTTTTATGTGTCCCAAAACATACATCTACCGACGAAACGAACAGAAAAAATAATTCTACAGACCAAAAACTCAAATCCAAACGCATCTTCACAGAAAGCCAATCTATTTACCTTTTCGTGGGTAGAACCAGTCCCCGACCAAAAAAAAAAAAAAAAAAAAAAAAATGGTGGGAAGTCTTCATTCTCCAACTTCGAGAAGGTACTGCACCAAACACATTGGCAGGAATAATCATCTCGCTCCGAGTAGACGGATGGAATGGGCGGATTGAGATCTTGAGATTAAGCGAGATGGATTTGTTTTGTTTACCTAATGTTTTGGGCTTCGCGTGGGAGAGGAAGAAGGAAGAAATTGTGATTGGCACTTTGAGACCATTGAGATGACGATGTACTACCTGAACGGAGACGACATGTATAATGAAATAGAATTAGCTGGATGAATTATGACTTCCATATCCTATCCTATGTAAATAGAGAAGCGCAGTGCGCCCTTCCGTCTTGCCGATGCCCAGGCTTATTCATGCCTCAGAATGGAAAATCCATCCATCGTCCCAGAAACGCCGTACTCTGATCCCAGATTCAGATCCCGATTCCCATATCTTTAATCTCTTCCTTCCCATATCATTATCGCCAGTGAAGCAGAGCAGACCCATGCGATGCAGTCAAGGTATCGAAACTGAAACCCAAACTCAAACCAAATCAAAAGAAGTGAAAACAAAACGCTTGTTCATCGCTGTACTGTTAATGCCTTGAGGCGAGTCCGCCTCTTTCCATTTTATGCGCCGGTCCTGATATATTTATCCATTCAGCAATAAATAGAACGCAAACGCAAACGCACACACGAATGCATGCTCCCAGAACCGCATCAAAAATCAAAGAGGTAGAGTGAGGAGTGCACCACGGCATCTCATCCCTCTACTGCGAAGGCGTATGTGTATGCGCAACAACCACATCCGGATCCGGCATCTCACTCTCATCCATCTTAAAGCTATACAGCCTAACCTCGCAGTCCTCACTCCCCGTCACCATCTTACTATCGCTAAGCCCAATACACGTTACGGGCCCAGCATGGCCCGAGAAAGTCTTCTCGCATTTCCCTGTCCTCGCGTCCCAGACTTTGACCATGCGGTCTTCGGCGCCAGAGACGACGCGGAGGGTATCGGCTGCGACGGCCCAGACACCTTCAACGTGGCCGAACATGGTTTTGAGGCAGCGGCCTGTGGACACGTCCCAGAGGCGGACGGTGGAGTCCAATGCACCAGTGACCATGTAACGGGGTGGGTGAGGACGACCGCTAGGCCAGTCGTCGCCATATGGTTGTTCGGTTTGTGAGAGAAGGGAGTGGAGATCGGTTGAGCTTGCTGTACTGCTTGTTCCGTCGTCGTCTTCGCCGTCGAGGTCTTCGGGTTCGTATTCAGGAGGTAGGAGGGTGATTTGTTGTACTTGTCCTACATGTGCCTCGAAGATCCGAATTGTTTTCCGGGTATCGAGATCCCATAATCGGATTGTACAGTCGTCGGAAGCGGAGAAGACGGTTCGAGATGCGGAGTCTACTCTGACAGCGTTGACCCAATCCTTGTGTCCTCGAAGACAGAAAGTAGATTTGTCCTCGAAATTCCAGATTTTGACACTTTTGTCCACGGAACCCGAAGCCAGGATGTTACCTTCAAAGTTGACTGCTATCGCTCCTTCTGTATGGCCTCGGTAGGTAGACATGCATTCTCCTGTTCGCCAATTCCACACCTTCAAAGTCTTATCCAGACTCCCACTGATCAGCTTCATATCGTCGAACTGTAAGGCCCGAATTCCAGAAGTATGGCCTCGAAGTGTGCGTAAACATTCTCCGGTCTCGATATCCCAAATCTTGATAGTTGAGTCGTAGGATCCAGTGGCGAGAATATTATCGTCGAATTGTAGACACATGACACCGTTCGTATGGCCTCTGAAGATCTTGGTCGAACACCTGCCGTACTTCCAATTCGTCCCGACCTTGAATCGGTCCTTGTACACATCCTTCCATGGCCGGAATTTCCGCTTGCCGAAGTATGAATCTTCCGGGTTCATTCTTTGCCGTTTGCTCGCTTCAGGTGATGTAGCTAACAAGTCGGATTGGAAGGCAGTGCAATCTCTCTTTGTCGATCCACTTAGCGATGGAGCCTTTACCAGCTCCAGACTTCCACTTTCATCAGGTATTGGTGTGAGGTTAGGTGACCATTCATTCAGCCCTCTACCGGTCGCACGTAATTGTTGTTGGCGCTTCCAATCTCTCAATCTCTTCCTCTCCAGTAATGGCAATCCCCAACCACATTTGATACACTTCCGATCGATATGTTGCTCGCACATCTTGTGCCAGACAACATCGTCGTCTGCTAGTATCCTCCACTTCTGGCTGACCTGCGCCGCCTTACACAACGATGTCGTATCCAGATAGCACAGAATCTTGAACGATATCTCGGAGGGAAGAGCGGCGACGAAGTCGATTCGAATAAGGTCTCGTACAGCGGTGGAGAGGTATGATAGTTGAGGGAAGCAGCATTGCGTCAGGATACCCTGAAGCATGAGGTTTCTGTGTTTCGCGGGTGCAGCAGAGAACAATGACCAGACGTGCGAAATGCCCTGTTGATCTCCTTGAGATAAGGTCTCCAGTTCCTATTAACAGTCAGCTATGTCCTCATCCATTCCATAATCCATCTCTCAACATACCCTCTGCAAGTTCTCCATCGTAGGTTCGTCTGCCGTCCTCCTACATTTCGAGTCTGGCCGATGGCGATAACAGTACTTTGTATTTGGATCCTTCTGCGTTGTCGTCGAAGTAGAGGCCAACCCCATCGGCGCATACTGCTCAGGTATATGCCTGGCTAGAAACGGGGCGACCGTCATGCCTGCGACCTTGCTGGATGAGGATAAAGCGATAGTAGGATCTGTTCCGTCGCCCTCGTGCTGGCGATTGCAGTTATCATGAGAGGGAGGCTCTCCAGACTCTGAGACAAGCACCGCAGCATCCATGTCCATTGTGTGATCTTGCATATCTGCCTGCGAATCTGACGGCATTTCGATAGTCATGGCATGACTGTTGGCCAGAGCGCCGTTGCGTTTCGAAAAGATATGGTGGTTATGGGAGGAATTCTTTGTTCGGCGGTCGCACGATACTTCTATGGATTGGCGCAGGGCCATAGGGTCGGTGTGAGGGATTGACGCCATGTTGGACAGAGATTAGAGGGCAGGACTGGTCGGCGGTCGCTTCAGCCGCGCAGAGGAGGAGAGTTGTACGAGGGCCAGGAGCGCCAGTCTGACTCAGATAGGGAAGCGCATCAATGCTGTGCTGGGACGAAGTCGTGATCGGCCAGGGGAAGAGAGCAATGCTATGTAGGACCAGGTATGTGAGCTGGCGAAGGACAGTGCAGGCAGGTTGAAAGGGAGCGGCGACGAGGTCGTCACTTTTTGCTGGATGGCGTGCTTGTACGAGGCCCGGCGGGATGAGGCGCAAACGAATTGCGATTGCGGTCAGGCAAGGTAGGGCAGGCAAAGGCAAGGTAGGTCTGATGGCAGGGTCAAGTTGGTGCCGGCTCCGGGGTCCAATGTTCCAAGCGAAGGTATGATGGCAGGCCAAGGATTGGCTGTGTCTCTGTCTTCTTTTTTGTCTTACGAGCTTTGTTAAGAATATTTCTGATGGCAAATACCATCAAAGTCAAAATGAGGCAATTATGGATTGCGAATTTTTCGCAGTGAAAAATCAAATATATGGGTTGAGACTCTCCGATCCGTCTCTTCGCTCTTTATTATTACCCTACTATTACGTTCTGGCAGTCATGGGATGGACCTGCCCTGCACCCTCGAAAAGCGGAGGCGCAAAGTGGCGGATCGCGTCTAAGATCCAGGCATCAATAACGTGATTGAGCACGACATTTCAACCCAAGAACTTAATTCGGATTTTTGTTGAAAACGGATTTCCAATTTCCCTAAGTCTAGACAAAGCATAAAGGGTCTGGAGGCGAAACATAAATCCATGCATTGGTAATGCAAAGGGTCGAGGTCTGGCTTATCGAGGCAAGTTTTCTTTCGTGGCATGCATCTCTTCTCTTCATTTTCTCCTTCCAGCCCAACCGTTCTTTTCGAAATTATGTCAGCTTCACATCCAGTTAGCTCTCCCTTACCGCCACATCGAAAGCCGGACTGGGACCCCTGGACCCGAAGATAAGTTCAGCGGGGAGATCATGCCCGACCAGCCTGCAATGCGGGGAAAGGCTGAGTGAGATGGGATGATTCGTTCATGGCCTGTGTTGATGTGTCCTGGATGCAGCTGATGTGCATCGAATCGGGCATTTGTGAGGAGCGAGGAGGAGGGGCAGATGGAGATGGTTGTTATTTCATTGGTGCCACGAGTCAGATATTGCCGAGTTTGTACAGCATAATGAACTCTATCTTCCCCAGAAGAAGGTTTCTTCCCTTTTGAGTATTCTACGGGGAATACCAGGTTTGCTTAAGCCGTTCCAATTAGTACTCATCTGGTACAGGAAGGTATTTACACGTCAACTACTTTCAAGCTGCTCTCTTAAGTACCTATCTCCTGGTGTTTCTTCACCTTGATTTGATGTTCAATCATAAGTACAAGCCGACATCCTCATGTGCAGATCTGATATCATATTTCTCGACACAGGACCAATGGTAGCAACGACGGAACGTAGATTGAGCATCATTGGATATCCACTGGAAAGTGAACCATATGGAACGAGACTGCTGGACACGCAAAACAACATTGAAGCCAATGAGATGAGATGCGGCGGAACAATTCTCTCATGCCGTACGAGTAGCTGCTATAGGGTAATTAGGACACTCCAGAATCATTCTGCAGCCATATACACAGACTTGAACACTGGAATTCCCAATTCGCTTCTCGAAATTATCAGCAACTCGCCTGGCTGCAGCTATTAATCCTTCATTCCATGCACAGAACGTGGGTATGAAGATGAAAGCTAGGCTCGAGCTAGTGTTCAACAGAGGAGTTTCGCTTAGGCATGTGTACAAACACCTCTCCAAAGTCAACAACAAGGAGAAGTTCCTTGCCGAACTGATGACATTACCCTCACACCATAGTTTACTTAGTCTACAGTGCTGAGTGGGGAGCAGTGTATTCTTTCCTGTACAGCATGATTTAACTTGTCACTAAATATAGGAATGAAACACAGGAAAGGTGGAGTGTTTGCATGGATGTATTTGTTCTACGCTGTGCCTTTTATGTTCATGAATTCCCTAGCAGATCTACATAAAGTACAATCAACCCAACTCCAAGCATTCATCCATGTATCATTCATTCGCATACGCAGGCCATGCAATTTGTCCAGTTCCGCTCAAAAGATGCCATCACTCATAATCATCCGTCAATCCGCCCAACTAATCATCATTGTATCGGTCCATCTCCCGATCCCCAATAGACTCAATCGCTCAAACTGTCCCTTCGTCCCCTTCTATACCCACCGCCACCCCCACCATTCCTCTTCCTCCGTCTCTCCTCCGCATAATCGCTCCCCACCGCACTCCCCGCACTCGACAACCCCGGAATAACATGATGATAACTCTTCGTCCCAACCTCACTCCCCTCCTGACTGCCCACGAGGCTCCCCACCTCCTCCTCAATATAGCTCCCGGGAACCCTCTCCCTCTTGGTGGGACTCCTACTCTTCCTCCTCCTCTCCCTCTCCTCCCTCCTCTCCTCCCTCCGCCTCTCCCTCTCCCTATCATGCTCGCTCATGCCCGAGTTGCCGCTCACAACGGTACTATTATCATCTCCGACGTTGAACGAGAAATCTCTGCGTTGCGCAGCCCGGCCTTTCTCTTGGAGCTTGCGGGCTTCGGCTTTGATGCGCTCGTCGTTTGTGACGACTGAGCCGGACCCGGATGATTTACCCCAGAAGGATGATGCGCCGCCTTCGCTGGTGCTGACGACTTTGCGGATTCCTGCGGAGCCGCCGGTGTAGGTATCTTTGCGGTCCTTCTTGACTTTGGTGGGTGTGTTGGTAGGTGTCTTTTCGCGGTGAGATAGGAGTTTAGAAGCAGCCGTCGAGCCATCGTTGGTGTTTGAGCCATCCCAGGAGCTGCCATCAGGCTGTTTATTCAAGCCTCCAACTCTCGCGGGTTTCTCATGGCGGTAAGCTCGCATCGCGTCAGCGACATCAGCGTCAACATCGAGTTCCGTATCCAGTGTTCCCGCATCGCTAGGCGCGCCTTTAGCTTTCTTGACTTTCTTCGGCTTGGTAGTTTTATCCTTTGACTTCTTGACTTTGTGCTGACCAGCGGTAACGTGGGCGGCATATCCCATCTCGCTGCCACCAACTGTACTTCCACCATAACTCTCCGTGCCGAGCGCGCTGCTCTCCTCATCAAAGTCCTTGTACCGATCTACACCATTCATAGCCTTGTTTGCCTTTTTGTTCTTCTTGCGTCCGCCCCAGAGACTGCGTCCGCCTTTCTCGCCATGCACGATACTGCCGCCGCCGAGGTCGGTGCTCTCTGTTGCGCCGCTGAGGGTGGTGCCGTTGGGACCTTTGCGGCGGAGGACGGTGGACTTGTAGTCGTCCCAGTCGTTCTCTTTGAAATAGAAACCGCCGTTTTTGGCCCAGAAGAAGAACCAGATGCCGGTTACGACGAACCCGGCGCCGATGAGACCGATGAGGATGAAGACGGTTTTGTTGGGGACTTTGTCGGGTTCGGTGACGCCAGCGCCGGGGTTAGGGAGGCCGTGGGACGAGCGTTTGAAGAGGGTGGTGGTGATGTCGTTGAGGCGCGTGGTGAGAGTTGAGGGTGAGGCGGATGGTGAGGGAGATGGTGTGCGTGTGAGGAGGGAAGTGAGGTAGCTTTTGAAGGTCGATGCTTGCTCTGGAAGAGGTGCCATTGTTGGTGATTATTCTGGCAAGACTTCAGTAGAAGCTGGATTTGAGGTAGAGATGTTGTGACGATGTGCGTCACTGAGGATCGTGTTGTGCCAATCCTAAGTAAACAGGTGCTTATCGCGGAGTGTATTCGTGGGTCGTGACGCGTAGTTGCTGAAGATTGCGGAGATGTCTTGTGTATGAAGAAGGAGGAATGCAAGTGACGAGTGAACTCAACTTGTGAACCTGTCTCGTGGTATTCCCTTAATCCGAGAGGTTGGGTGGAGTTGGAAATGCGGAAGGCTGGCGATCGGCACTGTTTACTTTTAGCGGCGGGACGGGTGCCACAGCAACACCAAAATTCGCTTAAGTTTAGCACTGCGACCCCTGAACCCGACCGTTACGTCACAGCAGCGCGAAGGACAGGTTCTATTTGTTTACAAGGAGACGAAGGTGAAGTGGATGCAGGCGCAGTGTTTGGAATTATGGTATTTTGATCATTAGCTATTTGCTTGTCTCGGGGGCCCTCTTATCTCACCACGACCAGAAGCTATGCTAGTCATGGAATTCCCCGAGGACATATTCCTCTCCTTGTTCCTGATTGCTCATATCAATCTTGATGATAAATTGCCAGCAAAAGACACACTTCCATTCAAAAGAACTCATACAAATCTGCACAAACTCAAGATACAGAATCTGTACAGATCTATCAATTTCCAATTGCAACTTCCATGTCAACGCCAATTTCCCATGCGAACTATTATATAACCCGCACAAGGAAGCTGGCTATCAGCTCGCCCAAGTCGTTCAATCCATGTCCATAATCCCAAAGATAAAAGATACATGCCATTGCTAGCAATCGATGCATGTCTTTCAATCAAATCCATCCAAAATACTGTCCAATCTGTCGCCAAGAAATAGCCAAAACCAAATGCGAAGGGTATGCAGAATAGAAAAAAGTAGTCGAAAGTAGGTATCCATCATAAATCATACAGTCATACAAATCATATCGAAACAACAGTTCTTCGAAAGTTGCAAATAAAAGGAAACAAAAATAGCAAATCAAGTAAAGCTCTCAAGTGCTCTCTTGGGGGTATAAAACTTTTTCTCCGACTCTTTTTGTTGGACAGAACCAAAAAAGGAGAAAGTGAAAGCCACGAGCCACCCATGATGAAGTCTTTTTGCACAGAGAAGATCCAAGAATCGAATTATCGAAAGAGAACTGAAGATCCTTCTCCGAAAGATCATGCGCTAAATCCAGTGAAACTTGAAATAAATATCATCGCTTGCAAATGAAATGGCTATCAAATGAAGTTGCCGTCCCGGTAATCCTTGGGATACTGTGGTGTGCGAGTCCATGACTCGCCTGATTGCGAAGACATCCTCGATCGTCCTGATGGGCGACTAACGCGGCTCTGACGATCTTCAATTCGTCCACCGCCATATTCCGAGTTGGAGCGCTCGCTGCCGTTTCGGAGGCTTTTCTGCCGTTGGATGGAGATCTCTCCTCCATCGGAGCAATCGATTTGCATTCCGCCGACCATTACTCGTGTTTGTCCTGTGACTTTCAGGGTCACGTTCTCATCATTGTCTCCGCTGCCACTTCTCGTGGTACGTGTTGTTGCCGACTTCTTGTAGTCGCTTTCGTCTCGACTTGCGCTGCTCTTGGTGCTTCGGCTACTGCCACCTTGTTTTCTTTGTTGTCGTCGGAGAACTTCGGCTGTAAGCGGTACTGTAGGACCTCCCCCAACATCATCTTGGTAAGAAGCGGCTGAGTTGAGCTTTGCTTCATATGAGGATCCTGGTGGTGCTCCTTGATATTGAGCGGCTTCCTGCAACTTGCTTTCGTACCCGCGCTTGGAATCGTAAGCATCCGAAGCACCAGCAGAAGATGGGTGCTCATAAGAGCTCTGTCTCCGTCGACCGCTATTTGCTGATTCAATCCTGACATTGCCTAAATCATAAGACACCGAGTGGCGATTGACACTTGGCCGTCGAGGTCGTACCTCCTCGCGATATTCTGGTCGTGTTTCTCGCTCATAGTAATCGCCTGGCCCAGGATCTGATATAGGATCAGAATTGTATACCGAAGTGCGACGAAGAATGCTGGGACGACGTGGGGGAGGCATGGCTCTGGAATCTGCCTCTGCCTTGCTCATGGTTGACGTGGAGACAGGAACTCGTATGCTATTCCTCTTCTCAGATTTCCGTATGGTAGCTCCATCCGCAGCTGAGGTGTACCCATCATCATAGTATCCAGTATCGTAATCGCTATAGACACGAGGGGATCTTGTATCTCGGCTTCCAAATGCAGACGACGTTCTTACGACTGGCTCGAATGCAGTTTGCGACCGAGGGATGTCACCGCCGCCGAACCTTGCTGAAAGGGGGCGCACGGTTGCCTTTGGCGCAAAGTAATCAGCTTGCCCTTGGGATTGTGGCATAAGGTACTGTGGTTGGGCGGACATAGTGTATTGATGTAAATACTGCTGCGGTGCAGGGTATTGGTATGTTGACGTATACTGAGGTTGAGGAGGGGCTGTAATTTGACGTGGAGTGTTGTATTGGGGATCGGCATATTGCATGTATGAGGATACGGGCGAGGGAGGTGGATATGATGGTGTGATTACTGGTTGTTGATAATATGCCGACGATGACAGCGGAGGGCCTCGGTTTCCAGACGGAGTCTGCGCAGCATGAAAGCTCTGTGGTCGTGGGTATGTCTGCGACGTGTGTGCTCGAGGACGTAAAGGAATGGGTTGCGACACAGCAGCGATTCCGAAATGGCTCGGGTCAACTTTGGAACTGCTGGGAATAGCACTCTTTGCGAACCCTCGATTCTCGTGTGCAGACGGTGGTCTGTTGGACTTACGAGGTGATTTCGTACTGCTGCTGGAGGACTTCCGACGTTCAAGTTTCAAATCCTTCGTCATGATCTCGACATGTTGCGCAGCGCTGGTGCTCTGTTCGGCGGGATATTGCGCATCGCTATGCGACTTCGAACTCCTATGCTTGTTGCTGCTCCTCCGCTTCTCTCGTTCCTTTTCCCTCTCTCGGTCACGGTCTTTATCCTCTTGATAGGATACCTTGGGTTTGACAGCAGCAGTTCGCCGCGTATCTCGTACGGCCCTCCCACTGGAATCGTCCACATCCTCGCAGTAAGCCGGTTTCGCTTTGTCAGAGCCCATCTCTCAGCCTAGCGTCGACGATTTGCGTCGACAGCAATGCGCGATCCTGTCGCGATGGCAGGCGGAGGAGATGGTAGCGAGGCAGCGTGCCTGCGGTGCGTGGTTCGTCTTTCTTGTGTTGTTCTGTTGGTGGTGGGATGTGATGTGATGTTCTCCGCCGAGGGACGAGAATAAAATTATATGGGGTGGGTATCGTAATCGAACGGAGAGGGTCGGTACCGGGGGGGAAAGCTCAGACCTTTTGGGCCGCCAGGCGGGCAGGCGGGCAGGCGGGAGGCGGGAGGAGATAGGGTGGATCGCCTTGCGATCAGGCGAGAAATGTGGTGCACAGGCAGTGGATGGTGACGGGAAGCAGCCTGTAGGGCAGAAAAGGTAGAGGACGACGAGGGACGAGGGGGATGTTGACAGGGAATCCTCGTTATCGATAGGCACTTGAAAGTGAGAGTGCCCGACGGCGACAACAACAGTGGCTCGAGTGATCCTCTAACTTAGTGACAGCTGCTTGCCACCCGCTAGGTTGCGCTTCGGACCGTGAAACCAGAGACAAGACAAGATCGGATTGTCAAACCAGGTAAAACAGACAGACAGACAGCTGGCACTTGAGTATCCTGGCCTGGATAGGTACCTGGCGAGTCTGGGTAGAAAAGCACCACGACTCCACAGTCAAAGGAATGAATGTGTCTATTCCGGGCGGATTAGGATTCCCTGTACTCAGTCTTAGACACAGCAGAGCTAGAGGATCCACCAGGGCGAAAAGCGCAACGACACGCCCGTAAGCCGATCAAGCGAGGGGAACCAGAGGAGAGAGACAGTTCTCAGTCCTTTTTTTGCTGAGTGAAATTTTTTCTTCGTGCTTTGTTGTGCTGTGTTGGCGGCAGCGGCTGGTTCAGCCTAATTGTCGTACACGGTGTTGGGTAGCAATGCCCTTATGCAGAGTGGGGATGGGAGTGGGAGAGGAGCTCGCATGGCTATGACTCCCAGGAGAGAGTCGACCGATGCGATGAGGATGGGGTGAGATAGTAGATGTTTGAGTTAGGATAGAGAAGAAGGAGAAAGAAGAAGGAAGGTGTGGATGGATGTGGATGGAATTTAGGTTACGAGGGGATGAAGATGTGGTGGGGGCAGAGAAGGATGGATTGGAGAGATCATGGGGAAGTGCGTCAGTCATTGCACTCGTCAGTCCACGAAGGCTGAATCCCCCCCTCCTCCATCTCTTCCCGCGGTGCATGCGAGAGGGCGACTCTGGTCTGGAAGTCAAGAAGAGTCAGTCACACTGACGAAACGGCTCCATCATCCTCCTCCTCCTTTCTCTCGCCTCTCCTCCTCGTCTCAAATCAGCCGCTCTTACTGCAATCCAGCACGTTGGATTGGTATATTACCTGCTGCAAAGCCAACACCACCTCACACATCCACCAGCCAAGTCTCAACTTGTCCACAATCCAGAAACGGTACATATCTAGATACATAAATAAGCGACATGTTGGGGCAAGTCCATAATACTCTTACACCTCACCGTACAGACAAAATCCACGAAATATTTGCCTCGTGCTTGTACCCATGAATGACTCTCTCCCAAAGTAAATTTACCCCTCCGACCATCCTTCCCAAATTCATGCACTACCCAACCTAACCGTCGCCCAGCCTCCATCCATTTCCAATCCCCATCCTGTGGCTTCAATTCGCACCCCGCCATTCGTCAGTCCGCACCTGTCGTGCTCAATGCTGACGCACCCGGAATATACCCTCCTGACCATCTGATATACCTTTTCTCGAAGCTTACCGAGCAACCATGGACAGCTAAAAGTATTTCTGTCTGCAACGACAGCATCCGTTCTGTTGTCTGTTTCATCTAACGAATAAACAAATAAACAAACAAATCGGTAGACGAAGAAACATTGAGATGAAGATAGAAGTCATTGCTATGCCGGGCAGCAAGAAAAGTTAGAGAGAAAGGTTAAAGGAACCCGACGATTAATAATTGGTGATCGCCAGGCCACGGATCTGAAAAGCATCTGTGAGGTTGGTTGATGCGCGTCCGAGGTGCGTTGCGCACGCAAGCTGCAAGACATCAACATCGCCATCTGCTATCCACTACATCTGCATCAACTCGCCAGACATGAAGCTGCGTCATGTCTGCTTTCCTGCCCCTAAAAACAAATAATTCCCGAAAACTCAGAACTCACCAAACCGTCCCATTCATCACAGGCAAATATCGTCCGATACAGAGTTGCTCACACTCGAGTCACACTCCCGCAACTCCAGCAACGAACTCATGTTCGAAGGATTCATGTCCCCTCCTCCTCCCAACCAGTAAGCATCCAGCTTTGATGTGCAGAATTATGCATTCGATGCAGGCTTTCGCTCGATGTGGAGGCTAAGCTGTACGAAAATGTGCAAATATGGCGGGGTGGAGCGACCGGCTCTCTCGGTCATAAAAACTGCTCTGCAAAACCCGAGAGGTACCTCAATAAATCCAACTGTTTGGCCTTGACTACTGGTAGGCTAGTATAACTGATATCGATATGTGGCGGTATAATAAGCAGCAAAAGAACTATATTATTTACTGCGTATAGGGCGTTCATCCGAGCTGAATACTGTAGGGCGAGTGTCACGTCCGATGTTGTAACCCCTCACACTGTACTTTTCTGTACAACAATACCTCGCTGGACAATAATCCGAAAGCGACTCCCATATTTCTTGAAGGTAGAGACTCAGACTTCAATCTTCGAGTTCTGTCTGTCATGTCCTACCAAATCTCTAATCTTGGATCTTGGATCCCGCTCCAACCCCACCAGAGTCGCACTTTCCCTTCGCCACCCCACCTTGCCAAACCCCAAGTGGAGACCTAGATATCCATCTCGACTCTCGATTCTCGATTTTCTACCTAATAATGACCGACTTCATTTGCAAGCTTCGAGCTTCACTCGCTCGGCATTAGCTTCCTGCACGGTACTGGATTTCTCGCCCTCTCTTTGGACGATCCGTATCGCTGGGAGTGAGCGAGGACGCTACGCGAGGCAACTAGGCTTTGGTATCCGCCAAAGAAAAAGAAAAATACAGAGACCGAAAGCCAGCCAGCCCTACCCAAGAGAGATTTGTTATTGCATGAAGCTGAAGAAAAGTAAGATTCAAAAGTCAAAAATAGGGACGCGCGGTAGATAACCTCGGCAAGGCTGTTTGTTTTCGTGCTTGGAAAGGGAGCTGGGAAAGATAGGTAGGTTGATTGATATGTACTAGTAAGTGATAGATATGCTTGTGATCAAATGAACTTGCAGAGCCGGACACCATCATTTTTCAGCGTGCATCACACCGCCTTTTCGACTCCAGGACTCATCCTCGCAAGTTTCCCAACAAACAGACAATCGCTTGATGTCGACGCAATGCGAACGGACTTTATATCCAGTGATTGTTTGGTTATTTGCGTACTTTGCTCTCCTCGCTACTCTACTCGCTGGATCGAAGAGATGTGACGCTGCATTTATGGGCCGAATTCGGAAAGTTCGAGGCCGGAGCCTGACGCCCCGAGGAGGAGATTTTGTCTAGAGTTTGAGAGGTGGAAGATGATAAGTCGTTTTGGTTGTTGTTGAGCCGAGTACAGTCGAGCCAAGAAAATGGGTTACGCAGTGTTCCCCCTCCTCCCACAGCTCTCTGGCGCGCCAGATCCGCACTGGTCTTTTCATTTCCAACCAAAGTAAGATTACTTTTCAAGGAGTACTTCTCGCCCGTTTTGTACTTCTCAATCGATGACGGCAATGACGATTATTCCTGCTTGGTTGTAGGAATTTGATCCAGACCAACAGGATAACCCCATGGCTAGTCGCCTGGGACTACTCGCTGAGTCTCCCGGTCCAGCCCCAAAGCTGCAGCCACTGCATCGAGTTTTCCGAGAACGGCCTCGTACATGCTGAACCGTTGAGGCGAGAGACTGCAATTGGGGCGGCGCTGCTTGTGATTCGAGGAAGCTGATCACGTGCCGACGACTTCGTGACTGACGCGAGGTGGCTGTTGCGATTCGGTTCGTGCTGCAGCGTACGGCGCCTGAGAGGATGAGAGAGAAGACAATGTGTTGTTATGTACGTGACATGAGATGAGATGCTTTCGTCATTCAGTCAGATTGCCCTCGAAGCTGGGCTCCTCTCCACTCTTCGGGTTGCTGGCGTGAGAATGTATGTCAAACCAAGTGTTGAGCATGGTACTGTACACGGCAGTGAGGCCCTTTTCGCCGCATAAGAACGAGCCACGACAATACCGAACCCGAATTGCAAGTAAAAAGTAACATCAAATCTCCTCAGCCCAAGATCCAGTCATTGTTGCCCAGAGATCATGATAGAGAGGAACAGTTGCAGCTGTTGATTCGACGCTCGGCGTTGCACTACTGCTCAAATCGAATGAGCTGGCATCCATCGAGACCAGCGGGTCGAAATAGGCATTGAGCGAGTAATCCATCATGGGGCAGATTCCCGTCGTGGCAAGAGGATGGCCAATAGGTGGTTCAGGGGCCAGCTTCGCGATGCGCTTTTCATAGGATTTCTTGACACTTCCAAGAATCATCTGGAAGACATGATACACATCGGCATGCTTGAGAGACTCTGCTGTCCTGACGGGAACGGAGGATAGAAGCTGAAATCTGTAGCAGAGACAGTCGAGGTACATCACCAACGGTACTTGTGACCGGGCTGTATCTGCGTTCCAGCCGAGTTTTGCGGCCATGGCAAATGCGAGGCGCGACATCGCTACTACGGCATGAACCATGTAGCCCCAGTGAACAGTGGTAAACTTCAAATAAGTCGCTTCTGGCAGTGAGAGGAGGTAATCGAAGAAGCTCTTGCAAGCCGTCAAACAGCTTGTCAGATTGGTGACATTCATCATTTTATAGCCCGACTCCTTCAGAAAGTCCTTGTACGGCATACGAAAGAAGCCCAAGGGCTGTCCGTAAACCAAAATCTCCGTAAATTTTTCGGCAAGCATAAGAGGGACTGGAGTGTCAGCTTCTGGGTTGTTCTATATGTTATGAATGAAACATACCTTCATATCTAACCGTATCAGGTGTAGACTTTTGACACTCTTGGAGATTGCCTAGAAACATCTGTATGTTCACCTCATCGTTGAGAGCTTCCATTCGCGGATCAATTGATGGCCGCGGGAGGGCATTTACATCACCAATCTGCTCACATAGTCGTTGTAACTTGAGAGTGTATCCGATGTCTGTCGAAAATTCCTCTTGCATTACTCCTTCGCTATCTCTGTCCAGCATATCTCGGTAGTCACGATTTTTAGGCTTGCGGAAACCCCTTTTGATGCTCGGGAAAAGTGCGTAAGCGCTAGAAAATAGTTAGTGTATGGCCTTTTTACCTTGGTCGGAGGGTGATTTACGCAGATGACATGTAATAACAGCCCATATAGGTTCTCCTGGCAGCTGCGGAAAAGTGATCTCCATCGGTCAGATCGCTAGTTGTGACAGCAACATCAGTCTTGTTCATACTGGGCGTAGCTTGATCGAGCCCAAGATCAACAAGTAGACTTATGGCTAGATTCATATACATGAATGAAGTCGTGTCACGAGGATTAACATGTGCCGGATACCTGATTCTGTCAGCACAATTCCCTGATGTGGTGGCAAGCTCCAAACTCACCAAGTAATGTAAACCAACAACCCTTGAAGAAAATCCAGACTTCGCTGTCCTTGGAGAAGTACTTTGGAACTCAGAACACGTCTGAACTCATGATCGATTTGATGATGCAACAGTCTGTCTTGGATCGAAGCAGAAGTAAGAATAGCAAGAAGAAGGAAAGGCGACGTCCTCGACAGAGAAGGCACTGTGGCATCTGGAGCGATCTTTACGAAGGGGAAGAAGGATGCTTTCTCTCGGTACTTCGCTAAGAGCTCTTCGGCTTGCTTCAAGGTTACCTTTCGTTTTTCAACGATTGTGGGTTCCTCAATTCCATGCTTGATAGGGTCATAAACCGGGTCCGCTTCGTCATCCTCCCCGTCTCCGAAAACATTCATATGATGCTGTTGGAGTGCAGCTATGTCTTTGCTGATGTCTGGAGAGTGGATGGTAGAGAGTGATAATGAAAAGTCAGAATTGCTAACTGCAGGGTTTATACCGGATGATGCTGATGGACGGCTGCAAAACTGTAATTAGCACAATACAGTAACCCAGAAGTTTGGAGGCAAGTCGGTCAAAAATTCAATTCAAGAGGCATTGGGGAAAGAGTCACTTCGTCCTCTGGTCACGAGACTCAATCCCGACGACCTTTCAATTTCAGCATTGAACCCTGAGCTTCTCAATCGCAAGTGGTTGGAAGACAATACGAATAGAACTTACGAAGCACGAGTTCTCATGGGACGCGCTTTGGATCGAACGATGCATTGATTCCCATTTTGTTCACACTTCTGGCAAATGCCAGCCTGGCTTTTATACACGCATCGACTCTTGCTTGCCCGGCAAGCTTCACAAGCCTTCGCATTTCGTAGTTTCGAAGAATTGGCAGGATTCTCAGACATTCTGTATGTGGCCTTTTGATCAGGAGGATGTATTTTTCGATCCTCTTTCTCCTCCGCATCGATTAAAGTCAGCAACGAAGCAGGTGGAGTCGCCAATGCTGACATAAAACCATAATACTTGCTCATTCGGTGAGTTGTAAATCCGTATATCCGCAGCCAATCAACGGACGTTTTGAATAGAGAGTCATGTGACAGTCACGAGACATTGTACATGTTGAGAGCTTCCCGAGGTCCTTAATGCCTCCTGTTGGCAGTGATTGAACTGTAAGTTGATGAGAAGCAGTATTGGACCTTATTTCCTTGTTTCGTTTCATTTTCAAATGTGCTGAACAGCCAAAGTAGGTACCTTGTAACCAGATTGCACCTACGACTCTGCCACCAAGACATCGGCAACACAAGCTCGATGATCAGAAAGACAAATACCATCATCGAATTTGTTTGCCATAACCCCATACGTGAGATACTTGATCTTGTCACCTTTTCTGGAAAAGATGAAGTCTATCCGCGACTGTGTGTTGTCGACATAGCCAAAAGAAGTAAAAGTATATACGTTTCCGGATCGTTCTTCCCTTGGTATTTGTAGACATATATCCTCCATGACCGACTCAGGAGAAGTCATAATCTTGTATGCATCATCATCAGGAGGGCTGTTGAAGTCTCCCGCCAGCAGAACCGCTGATGGTTTTTCCGTGTCCGTCAAGGATTTGACCACTGCGAGGATGATCTTGACGCTCTCTCTTCGTGACTTCACTCCCTCGTGATCGAAATGTGTGCAGAGAACCGAGATCTTTTGTCCAGTCTCTAGATGAGTGAAGGTACCGATAGTAACAATTCGAATACAGGCTGCATCCCATCCTATTGATGGCACATCTGGTGTGGGGCTCATCCATTTTGTTTCCCAGCCGTTCAACTTCCATACAGATTTTCGATAGAAGATTGGAGAGTATTCTCCTGCTTCTTTTCCATCATCTCGACCGACGCCAATGTAGTCCCATTTTCCACCTGCTGATGTAGACTCGTTCAGTGCTGCATGGACGTCTACAAGCTGAGAGTGGAGGACTTCTTGAAGGCAGATGAATGTTGAGGGTGCTATAGAGTTGATGACCAGCTCGGTGCACAGGCGAGGGCATCGAACCTTCCAGGGTTCTTCGCCTTTGAGAGGCTTCTCAGTGGCATACCGTATGTTGTGAGAGATGATTCGGATATCTATGGCGCGTGCTCTGGACGAATCTTTCTCCATGGTTGAGCTCAGTTTGTTTCGGGTCATAATGTCTCGAACTGCTGAGGATCGACGATACAATCAATGAATGCTTGAAGTTGTGCTCTTCTGTGGACGTGTCGTGATCTTCTAATCTTCTGATGTTGACAAGGAATGAAACGCGGGGTTGCTTGAGATCCACAGCTGTCAGCCACACCCATCCACCTGCAGCCGCCCTTATTCCACAATTCTCGTCCACTTCAACACCACGAGGTACCTTATAATAAGGAAGAAGTGGCTACTCCTTCTCACCACCTTCTTTACTTGGTAGTACCTCGTTGATGGCACTTTCCTATCTCGATGATCTACAATGCATACCCCATGTCTCATACCACGTTGCCCTGCTTGGCAAGAGTGGGCAGTCATAATCTCCCATAGCGAAAGCTTGCGGGAAAGCTTGTTCAAGTCTTATATTACTTACAGACAGCACCTGTATCCCGCTCTTTGGTAGATCGGGTAGTCCAAAATTCATGTCGGAATTCTTGCTCCCTCGTCCAAATGCGTGTCTCTTCCACCTCGTTCATCGTTTGCACCCTTGCTAGCTTGTTCTTGGGCATTGTTCAGGCAGCTTCGGAGGTAGTCCAAGCTCAAGTGCCCCCTAGAACGAGCTATGAGGGAGCAAGCTGCAAACAAAACATTTTCCAGCATATTTTTACTAGCAGCTATGGGGTGCCATATGTTGGTATGATAATTCCGCCCACTTGCATGAACGGGACTAACCTCGGAACCCAGGAACTTACTTTCCGCCCAAAGACTGCTATTTCACAACTACGATATTCAACATGTCTGTAACATCTCGTGGGCGACAATATGATAGACTAGCGCTCCTGTTTCTAGGCGATATTGAGGTCTGGAGAACATCAACAGCCATGCCCAGCCAGGAGGGGATATATTGTACGTCATTGAAACACCCAGTGCTTTCCAGAAATCAATGTACCAAACTCTAAACAACATGAAATTTAATATCTTTCGGAACTGTCCATGAAGCAACAAATGCTTATTCCCAGCTACCCAGGGTCCTATCAAAAAGACATGACGGTCTTCGACACACTTCTCAGAACGGAACAAAAAATCATTTTCGATCTCAGTAATGTATTCACAGACTTGTATACTGGAGCTTTCAATGTCACTCTAGAGGTGCTATACTACAATGATGAGTACATATCGAAGAGCAGTCCTCCCGACAAGATCTTCCCAATCTCAGCACTCGCCTCAAGCAGAAACATCTCTTCTGTCCTGTCTCTACCCGATGATAACGCAACTATCTCGATTCAGCTCCCGCGAAATGTTAAGAATGCAGTTGTCGCCCTGCAAGCATCTGGCAATGGCGCAGAAGAATTCTGGTACACCAATGTCCCAACGGAGTATGTGGACACATTCCTAGAGAACCCAGGATGGTTGTTCGGATACAGCCCATTTAGAGAGGTGCAACTCTTGATCGACGGGAAGCTGGCGGGTGTGTCATGGCCATTTCTGCTCCTCTTCACTGGTGGCGTTGATCCGGGACTCTGGCGACCAATTGTCGGAATCGATGCATATGATTTGCCAACGTTTGACATCGATGTGACCCCCTGGCTACCATTGCTATGTGACGGAAAGCCGCACGACTTCGGAATCAAGGTAGTGGCATTTGACAGCACAGTTGAGGGGTATGTTGGAACAATTAGTCAGAACTGGTGGGTGACAGGTACAGTCTTTGTTTGGCTAGACGCTCACGGAGAGCAGACTACTGGCAGTGTAAGTTACTTTCTATTTAGTGCTTTGAGTGGATACTTACCCAAAATTAGAGCATCTCAAGCCATGTTTCCGCTCCAGTTTTCGAGTTCCACCCTCAACTCACAACCACAACCACCAATAATACCACCAGCAACTCATCCTTCTACTTTGAATTGACAGCCAGACGCACTCTCTCCATATCCTCCACGATCAACTGCTCTTTCGGTTCCAGAACAGTTGCCTGGTCACAATCACTCTCCTTCAATAATATTCAAAACATGACTGGCTCAGCCTTCAACCAATCCCTCAGCATGCTCACAACTGGCTCACATACCGATTCTTTCTCCGGCACAAGGACAAGCTACTCATATCCCCTGAATCTCTACAGCTCGTATATCATCGCACCAGCATCCAAAATCACCCTCTCCTCAGTCCTAGCGCTCATCGATCGAAGTCGTATCACACAGGGCATCAATTTTCTCTCCTACCTGAGCGGGTTGAGGCTCGGCGGTGAGAGCTTGAGCACAAGACAAACTGCGCGGAGCAAGTATTTCTGGAATGAGACTATTGTGGAGGGGACAGCTGATGACACGGGAATATTAGAGCAGTGGTTCTCGTATGCAGGGAAGTTGGGGCTGAAGTCGAATGGTGTGGAGGCGTTCTCGAGGCATTTGAAAGAGGTTGATGATGAGATTGTATTTGATGAAGGCGCTTGGAAGACTATGAATGTGCCAGCTACGCAACCATTGCCGTACGTAGATGGGGAGCCTATGGTGTAATGTAACGAAGTTGATTTATGTTGGGAAGGTGGAGAGTGAGTAAGTTTTATTCAAATATGAGGTATTAAACATTAGTTATTAGTATATATAGCCTTCTATGGTATCTCAATTCCTTTCAGTAGACAACCTGTGTCTTGACCAAGCACCTAAACAGTCCCAAAGATGCAGAATATTGAACAATTCCCGACATGCATTCTCTTGGCAACTTCTGTATCCATACGCAAGCATACATTCCAACATGGCACAACTGGCTTTCCAGCTCTCCTTCCAACAATTCTCCTGGCTTCATGCCACATATATATCAACAAGAGAACTCGTTCCGTCTTGTGACGAGGAATTGTCGAGTTGTTTTCCAACAACGGTCCAAAAGTATCTTCCTCATTTCGCTCTGCTTGGCCGTTCGTCTCTCATTGCCGAAGTTGACTTCGCTGATGATCTTGCCCAACCGTCTCCGTGCTCGACCTCGGACTCGAACCAACCATCATCCCCTCAACTACCCTCGTTGTCCCCACAGTAGCCTTAAGCCGCTGTTCCCTTTCCAACATCTCCTCTTTAGCTCTCGCCATCTTCGCACTCAACTCGGCGTCGACGGGCCAATATATTTCATATCTCCTCTCAAAATCCAGTCCATGTATTCACTTCTTATCATCGCTCTCAACGATACGCTCCAGGCTTGGCGTGATCACAATCTCGGGGATCGATGCGCTTGAGCTTGAGCTTGTTGGCCGGCTCTGCTGCTCCATGGCGAGCATCGCGGCTTTGGCGCGTGCCATCTTGTCAATGAAGTCGAAGTTGATTTCGGGTTGAGGATGAGATTTGGGGCGTGAAATGTAGAGGGCACGGCTAGGAGGGGAGTTTGCGTAGGAGGATGAGATGGAGGCTTGGTGGAATTGTCTGAGGGGTTTGTTAGCTATGGTTGGAGACTTTGGCCTGAAGGGACGATTTACCTGCTATCCATTGCTGAGGTATGAGAAGTTTGTGTAAGTGAAGTGTAGATATTTGTGTTTTGTTGAAAAGAATATTCACCAGGAAGATTCAGTGTCTGCTCGAAGTTTAAAGAAGAAGATGCTCTGAACAAGAAACAAGATTTGAAAACCAGGGAATGACGATGAAGATATATAGAAAGTATTATATGGCTTTTCGTTCAATGCATCGGAGCATCTCCTCCCCGAAACAGATAACAGGCCCGACACCATGCCCCACACGAACGCAAAGTCGTTAAGGTTACCTCACCCTAAACACCTAAAACAAACCTCCCATTGGATCCAACACGATTGATCCCTTGCTAGTATCCCTGGCTCCTGCATCTGCCACTCGGGAATTCAGTTGCATCATAGGACTCTTAGCTGCAACAAGGATTTTTTCACTGCCTTGGCGTCCCCCACAGGAAAGAATGGGAATGTAAGGACCCGTCATGTGGACGCGAACTCCACCGTTCTGGGAAGTACGAGTTTGTCTGATCCAATCACCAGTCGTACTCGGAAAAGAAGCAGCTATGATGCATTGTCCCGCCGCTAAGGCATGGAAACGATATTCGTATTTTTAGGCTTCGTATTGCGGGAGATCCGCGATGTGTGCTTTTTGGTTGGTTAGATGGTGATCTGAACAGCGGACACGAGGGTGAGAATGTTTGAAGCACAGCTCTTGGTGAAGAGAATCTGTAGATCTGGTACGATTTTCTGCTTGGGCGGTTGGGTTTCTCGTGTTCTTGTGTTCCTCGTGAGCACGGTTACATCCAACGAGAAAAGGGGCTCGCTTGTTAAAGGCTTTGACAAGCGAGATCGTGAATTTGGTCAAATCGCAGCCAATCAAATACACCTCGGCAGGAGTATTTTCTAGGAACAAGGGACTTTCTGTGGGATCATTGACCACGTCTTTGGGCCCTCTTGAGGAAGGTGGAGTGTTGGATGTGGCGTCGGTAGTTCTCTCTTTGTCTTGGCTTATGTCAAGTCCCGGAGTCTCGGGTGGGATGGGGTTTAGTGGGGATCGAAGCGCACGAATGACGATCAATTCTCTCGGTCCTTTCCTCGAATCTGCAGTTGCAAGATCTGGAAGTAGAATATTGTCAAATTTCCAACCTGATACAACGAGTTACGAACATTATTCTCACAACAAATATTATTCTCACAACAAATATTATTCTCACAACAAATAACTAGAAAAGAAAGAGCAGCATTTTTGTCATTCGTATGTTGTTTGTGACAAGGAAGTTGAATATGTATTTGGGAAAACGTGCGTACCAAACCGTACAAGTTGGAGAGTCCCTTCGATAATCCCAATCCTCGCTTGCCCTCACCGGTCACGAATCTGATTTGCCTCGGATATCGACATGCAGATTGTTACATCTACACTTTTCTTCATAGGCTTCTGTCAAAGTCGCAGTTTCAGAATCGGGACAGACTAAGATGAATATCGAAACATCAGATGACCGAATCTCACAGAAACACAGCCACAACCTTTCCGGCCCCCCCCCCACACGTCGGCCATTTCCAGTATCGTGTTTTTGCTCCGCCTTCAAAAGCTTGAAGATCGATGCCTTTCCTCCTCTTAGCACAGTGCAGCTCAAACAAAAAAGTGAACGTTACCTGCAATCGCCACTGGACGAGACGTCGGGTTAAAGGTAAGCGACGAGGCTACGAGTTGATGAAAGGTACTGTTTCATTGAATGGCCCACCCGATTCCCGTTAACACCATGGATCTTCAGCCTCAAGACCCTTACTGATATAGCCGAATGTTTGTTCGGCATGACGTTCGGTGCAGTGCCATGTGCAGCCTATCTACGAAGGGATATTTGTGACTTGGTGGCTTGTTGGTGCAAGAACGGTTCTGTTTGCTAGGACTTGAGGTCGGCATTGGCAGGCGCTACAGTCTAGTAGGACAGGCTCATGTCGTATTTTAAGTTTGTGGTGCCACCAACTCTGTACCCACGACATCGAATTTTTGGGGGAGATTATAAGTTACACTGATGTCCTCTGTTAGTTCACTGATCATCAGAGCTTTATTATCCCGTCCCATCTGATCGAAGGCTCTGAGTCCGTGACCCAGAAACCATCTCAAACGCGTATCCATCAAGTCCATCAAGAGCCATTATGCTCTATTCCATTCTTCTCACTGTAGCTGGTTTATCCTCCGTTCTTGCCGTGGTGAGTCTTCTTTTGTCTCTCGCTTCGTTTCGCAATGCTAACATAATGTCATAGCCAGCACCACAAGTATCGCCTGGAACTCTAGGTCTGGGAGAACAATGCTCAGGCTCCTCCGAATGTGCCAACGGCGCTAGTTGCTATGCAACCAACTCCGGTCTGATCACTCGTTGTGGCAACTTCCAAGCATCGTGCAGCTCTAACTCACAATGTGCCTACAATACATGTGTGGACGGTCTCTGCAATGGGTTCCTCGCTTCCACAACAACCACCTCAAGCTCCCAATCAACAGGAACTTCAACCACCGTCTACCTCCCGCTCGGCGCAGACTGCAATCCCAACTCCACACCATGTGCAAATGGAGCCAGTTGTTATGCTACGAACTCCATGCTACAACCCAGATGTGGAAACTTCCAAGCAACCTGCTCCAACGACTCACAATGCGCTTTCAATACTTGCCGGAACGGATTCTGTAATGGTTTCATCGCGTCGACCACTGCAACAGATAGTCAATATACTAGTACGGCATCAAGAACTCAACCTACAAGTACATCGACAACCGTCTACCTGCCACTAGGAGCAAATTGTAGCCCGAACTCAACACCTTGTGCGAATGGCGCTCAATGCTACGCTACGAACTCAATGCTGCAACCACGATGTGGCAACTTCCAGTCAGCTTGTACGAGCAACGCGCAATGTGCATTCAACACATGCAATCAAGGGCTCTGCAATGGATTTCTCGCTAACAGCAGCTCGTCACCTGTAAGCACTGCACCAACTACTTCGACTTCGGAAGCCTCGTCTTCAAAAGCTTCTTCTACAGAAGCTTCATCGACTATTCAAAGCACTGCTGTTGTGACCATGACACCCGTGGTTACGGAGAGCTCCCTTGTGATTGTTACGCCTTCGGCCACTGCAGGTTCATCTTCGGCTTCGACTACGACGTCTTCGGCGCCAGCGCAGCTGAATACCAATGCTGCAGCGGAATCGAAGAGTAGACATTTGGGACTTGTGATTGCGGGTGCTGCAGCAGTTTTTGCCTTTGCATAAGTGATACCATGCAACGAGGAGGGCAGAATGTGGCAGGTTCTGAGCTATTGGCAATGGGACAGGTTGGCTTGTTTGCTATGTGGTGGGTGGTAAGAGAAGAGCCAATATATAATGTATAATAGACGAAGAGAGAAGAAAAAAACGTTAGAATCGATAAATTCCACAAATGGACAATACGCCATCGTTCTTGTGACATCTTTGGCGCTTACAACCTTGGAAACCCGATGTGATCTCGAGTGATTCAAAACAAGGCCTGAACGCAAGCGAGCCAGCACTGTGAATGAGATTCAGGGGCTCGCTTCCTGTAAATTCAGGTGTCGGACGCTAGAACAACTTGCCCCGCTTGATTCAGATCTCCCAAAGACCTCCACGAACTGGCTGCCATCCTTTCAATTCTTCCGACCAGTACAGTATTGGCTCGAATCCGCAGAGCCCTCAAAATTCTCGACCTCGACCTCGACCTCGAATTCGGAATCGAATTCGAATGACTTCTCAGTCTCGGTATCTGACTCAATTGCTATACAGCAACGATCAATGCTCCATTCCCAATGGAAGCGCAATTGGACTAACCCTCTCGAGGGCGACTCCAGCCCATTAAACAAGAATGGGATATTCAGCAGCGAAGTCATGGCGTCGGCGCTCGTCGCGCAGAGAAGCCATCGTCTGCTACTGCACAAGCAATGCCGTGGGCCTGTTAGGCATACATGATGTCCACGGAAACGTGTCCGACCGAATCGTCCGTTGATGATGCCTATCCCTAGGCTCCCCAGAACCAATGCCGCAAAGGCGACCTACCTACCTTCCGAAGACCGTCTCCTGAAGCATATCCATATATTCAAGAGTCTGCGGAGCTTGGATTACTGGTTTGCTTTGGCAATTGGACATTGGCGGGACAATTGGGGCTGTCGAGGACCACAGACAGAAGAAGAATGGCGGACTTTGGAGTGCTTGACAATGCTCGTGGACACCCCGACAATTTTCGTGGTCGGTTCGCCATGCGACGCGGCGAAATCAGATGGAAGTCCAAGGTGCCAATCTGCCACTATGGCTCCTCTTCAGTTGGCCACTTCGTTGCCCTTCGAGGCATGCTGCTTGGGCACGTCATCCTGCGAATGGCAATGGCTAAAGTCTATTGAACCACGTTTCCTCGTTTGATGATTTCAGATGCCTATTCCTTGGAGCTGGAGGGACACGTTGGGTCTACGCGTTCGAGCCGCGCAGCCAGAGAGAGCTTCATCATGTTTGCGGCAAGTGTCGAGTCTAAATGAAGCTGCGGCCACGGATACCGTTCCCCGGATGTAGTCGTTTGCCTGTTTCTGCGAGGCTTTATAGTGGAAGCAGATTGAAGGTCCACACTATATCATTTCTGGCAGTTTCCACCTACAGTACAAGGGAGGGCGCCTTATAAACTCTCCTGTCTCAGCTGAAGAAGGCAGAGATCTTGGGACCTAAAGTGGATGGAAGTAGCCAGTGCCATACTTTCATCTGAGGCTCAGCACCTTGCGATTGCAACAAGCGCCTTTGGTGTCAAGGTCAGAGCAATGGTGGCAGTGCGGGGTTGACTGGGCCCAGGAAGAGGAATGACTCTTTCGATAAACCCGTTTTTGGGATTTTTGGCTGGAGGCTGCATTGAATGCTGTCGGTGAATCATTGAAGTTCTCCCAATCTTTCACATGAATGAACTTCCTAGCATAAGATCTAACCAGCCAGGTTTGTGCTTTCTGTTTGTCCCAGCTATCTCTTTCGTTGTCAAGTGCCTGTATCATTCTTTGCGAGTCTATATACGAATCATTAGCAAGACTGCGACGAACTACGCCATGATTTCCAGCTTCCTCATTGGCTCCTATGGAGATATTACGAGTTCTTCGTGAGCATCGGGGCTGTCCGACCTTGGCTGACCACCCTTTGTCTCCCACACACATTTAGATGGGTAAAGAAGCACCCGAGATTGCCGAAAGGTCCCTGCATGATCAACTCCCTGAGCTAAAACAGGTTTATATGTGATTATGTGATAGAATACTTACACCCATTTCCATAGGAGATTACGAGGTGTGGTGGCTTCGCCAAGCCGTAGCTCCACGTGAGCCACTGTAGACCTCGTCTGACCCAAATATTCCTCATTCTTGTCTCAGAGAAAGCATCACCACTTCTTCATCACGGTTCTCGACCGACGGTGACTATGTTCGGTAACTGACTTCCCGCAGTGTCCACAGTGCGGGGAAGGATCCGATCCGCAACTATCATTGGGTGTATTGACCAGTCACACCTAGAATGCGGCTGATGTGGCTTCAGAGTCGTTCTCGTCACCGGACAGGCTGCCACCAAAATGCCCCTGCAGGATCATCTCACGCCCTGCCTTTTACTCAGAAAGAAACACAGTCACCTACACCCACTCCCACGATCTCATTTCGTATTGCTTTTCTGTTCTTTCCCTTTCTGTTTCCCTTTCGTTCCTGCCTTGGCTTCCAGCTTCCTTGGATTTAATATTGTTTATTAAAGAGTTAGCGAGGCAAAATGATTGTGTGTCTTACATGTACCGGGGGTATGATTCATAATCTTCCACACGCGCTCGCCGAGTGAGGCGCATGCGATTCATGGTGGCAGCCTTCACACAAGACTTCTGTGTGACTACTATTTATTCTCTCGCGTTCCCCGTGAATTGTCCACTCTTTTCCCTCCATATTTCACGAGACACACATCACCTGCATATCACACTCACTTCTCGGTTCCTTTCTCTGTCAACTTCCCTCACATAGAACACATCCAGACCGGCCGTGAGCCGGGCCCTCAGCATAATACTGAAGAAAACGACGGCAATACCCGCCAAGGAGGAAGGCGATCTTAGCTACACGATGCCTATCCACGAGCTCCAGCGACGAGACTCCTGGCCTCCAACAGTCGTACGCATCCGCGACGACGACACCGAGGCAGATCCAATCGATGAAGACCCATTCTCATTCTTCCTCACCTCCCCGGAAGACCTCGATGACTTCCTCGACGAAGACCTGTCCGCCGGTATCGAAACACCTGACTCATCATCGCCAGTCAGGGAAGTCTCCCCATCGTCACTTCAACGCTCGCCCCTCCCGGACGAAGATTCCGATGATGAAGACGTCACTTTCGGTCTCGCAATGCCACTCTCCCTCAGAGACTTCACACGGAAACACAGCTCTTCAAACGGTCGCAAGTCTCGGGCAGGACAGCGGACTGATGATCTCAAAGGTCTCGGCATCGCATTGCCGCCAAATGCAGAATTCTCGGCTTCAAGAGGCAGGGCGAAGGTTCGTTTGACGCCACCACCACGCAATGGTCGGGGTAGAGGTCAGACTAGAAGTCTCTCTGCAAGAAGACCGCAGAGTTGGAGGTTGCCAAGTCCCGATATATATTCGATTAAGGAAGAGAGGGAGAGTGATGAGGAGGTAAACAAGGGTCGAGTGGGAGAGGCGGGTGACCAGGCAAAGTTTGTCGAAACACCCATCTCTGCGAGTGCGCCGGCTAGCACGAGGATTGATCAGGTGATGATGGGTGTGGATATGGCAAAGAAGAAGCCTAAGAAGAGGGTTCATTGGGCTCTGTGAATGATGATTTTGAACTTAGGGCATATATGAGGGATACCAATTTGCATTTGCATTGCTAGGCGTTAATGGGGGTGGAGGAGCTGTCATTATTTCCTTCAAGCATCTGAATGGATGAATAGAGGATGAACGGGCAGGGCTGTTGATTTGGAACTTGTGGTTTCTTTACTTCTAGTATAAATTTCCAGTGGTTTAAGTTTGGACGGAATGGTGGATATGGTGGATAAGGATGGGACATTGGCAGGGTTGGGGAACAAGGCAACATCATACATCATGGCTTTTCCCCTGACTGCTGGCATTTACTTATTCGAAATTGGCATCACAACAATTTGCGCAGCCTGCATAGTATACAACACATATGCAACTTTGATATACATCCATTGCTCGCAACAGTCCTATTATTTCCTCTGCTTAACTTTGTCATTTTCCGAATATGCTCAACGACATAAGGATTTTGAGCTCCTCCATTATCCATATCGATAAAACTAAAATGAATTAAGTTCAACTGCACCGAATTTGAAGAAAGTCTAGATTCTTGATAACTTGAAAGTGGAGGATTGTTGGTAGTGTAGAGTTTGATGAGTCCGACGGGCTGATTGGTTAAGACAGGTTACCTGGCCACCCCGAAATGACCTCGAGAAAGCTAACAGGTATGAGACTTCTAAAGAACTTCATTTCTGACCTTGGAATTCTAGTTTGGCACAAATGAGAGGTGCTTCTTCAGTCTTGGGACTTGCAATTCGGGGAATATCCACCTGCCTGATGCAGCTTACCAAGCCAATCAGAAGTGGGGGACTTTTGGCCCCTCAATGATTTTTTGCCTGCCATTGACTCCACCTCCAGTCTGACATACGTAAGAGCCGCGCATAGAATATGTAGGCAGCACAATTCTTGATCAATAAATTGATGGGTTAAAAAAAAAGTGACATCAAGTCAAACCCCTTGCATTCATCCAATCCTTCCTAGCACCTTCGCCCAACAATCACTTCCACGACAGACCTCAGTACCAACACATTTGTTCACGATGGTGTTCAAAGTCTCACCCGCAACACCATCCGACATACCAGGCATCATCCCCATCTTCTTCTCATCTTTCACCGGCCCCCGAGCAGAAGAGCTCTTCCCACCCACAGGAAGCGGCAAGGAATGGCTCGCTGATTCCATCGAGGCCACGATCGCGAATCCGGGTTTAGGATGTCAATGGCTCGTGGTCACGGATGAGCCTGAGTCCTCTGGTGAAGCAGTTGCAGGAGGAGAGAAGGGGGAGAAGAAGAAGAAGAAGGGGAAAGTTGTAGCGAATGCAATGTGGGTGAAGCATCCGGGAGGTGAGGTTCCGTCTTGGAATGTGAGGATGAGAGCGGAGCCGCCAGAGGGTGTTACGAGTGAGGCGTTGGATGGATTTTTTGGACCGATGGCGAGGCAGCATCATGAAGCAATGGGGGAGAGGCCGCATTTCTGTGAGTACAATGTCAAAGCGTTTACTTCTCTTATTTGGCTACCTCATTTATAAGTCCTGAACCGTCTTCTGATACACGACAGTCCTCGAATCAGTCTCTACAGACCCGGCGTTCAGGGGTAGAGGTCTTGCTTCGCTATTGCTGGACTGGGGAGTCAAAGCTGCTGATGAAGTGGGCTGGGAGTGTTATCTTGATGGGACGGCTAAGGCTGTGCCGTTGTATCAGAGGTATGGGTTTGTGGGGAGGCAGGAGCAGGATCCGGATTGTATTAGTTTGCCGATGGTGAGGCCTGCGAAATCACTGGTTTGAGATAAGTTTGATTTGGATTGGTGGGTCAATTTGGGTGGGATATTACCGCTAAGAGAGGCTTGTTGATGAGGAGTTATTCCATCTTGTTTGGCTGATGCTCTTCTGGTATGCAGATGCCAAATTGGCTTTGTCGAGTGATGATCACATAGAAGGGGCGGTAGAGTGGAAGATTTTTGTGCCCATAATAGACTTAATAGCAATCGCCCTCTGCACAAGCCAGAGATAGAAAATGATATTTAATCTGCAAGAGTTCACACTATATAAATGTCTAAATTTTCGTAGGCAAGGGATGCCTGTCCGGGTCATAGCAACGAAACTACCCCCCTTTTCGTCTCGTTTGTTTAGCGAGTGGACTTAATTTGAAACATAGAATGTAAACAAAAAGCCATCTTATGTTCGCTGTCTGAAGAAGCTACAGAGCATATTTTACCACTGTCTTTGCTGTTGGCTATCCATGGTAATTGACGCCTACTTGCACTAATTACATCATAATCATATGCCAAAGTTTTGGCTTACCACGACCAAAAAGCGGGGCAAGAACCTGCCAATATCAACCCCGCCATGTCCGAGCTGTACCTGCATTCAGCGTTACAACCAACATCGAAATGGCGAAGTTTTTAGACAAGCTGAGTAAGAAGACTCATGCACATTCAATCCTAGTTATCAATTGCTCACGGAAATCAGATCACAAGATTCAGGAATACTCCTCCGGATCCAGCTCCAATGCCCCTCAAATCCCCTTCTCAACCAAACCCACCACACCACTCAACCCTCACGAAACCGCCGACTTGCCCGACCCTAAAACATTCACAGCGGACGAAAATAAGAAATGGAAGATCACGAAGCTAGGTCCCATCTACTCGAGTTCTATCAAGCGTCTAGGCTGGGACAAAGGCCGCACCTCAACCTTGGCCGGAACGACGTTTTGGAATTTCGGCGATGTGGTTTCTCTGGATGGGCCGATGAAGAATGGCTTTTCTATGGGCGCTGCATGGTATGCGAGTCCAAATAACATACTGGAAGTGGACACGAAAGATTGCTCGAATGTGGCACATTGGAATTTCGCAAAGCCGCATGAGAGCGACCCGGAGCCGTGCGGTGAGACGAAGCATTGGGGGATGGATACGTCGAATATTGCTGAAGTGGAACATGGGGTGGGAATTGGATTTGTGTGGGAGATTTGGAGGAACACGACTGGAAAAGAGGTCAACAGGGGATTGGGTATAATCAGGGTCACGCTTGGGGAGAAAGCTCCTATCGCCGAGAGAGTTGGACCGTTGGTAACGGGACCGGATGAGTTGCAGGTGGGCTTGATGACGATTATCAATGCTGAGGGATACATCTACACATACTCCAACGCTGGCCTAACAGGTATTGTCGTCGGGCGCGCCAAAGTCGCCGAAGCATTCGACGCAACAAAATACGAGTTTCTCCGCTGCGACGGACGCTGGGTTCGCGGTATTCCTAAACGCAACGACATCGGCTACGGTATCCAAACAATTGGGAAGAACCAAGATAAGATTCACAGTAACAATCAGGGAAGCATCATGTATAATAAGTACCTGCGGAAGTATATGCTGTTTACGTGTATGTATGGCCATGCGACGAATTTCTATATGAGCGAAACGCCGTATGGACCATGGACGACGGAGTATAGGTTGTTGGATAACACGCCGGGGTATGGGATCAATGTGCATCCGGAGATGAGTGAGGATCATAGGGTGTTGTATATTTCGAGTGGGACGATGCAGAATGTTATTTCTATGTGGAAAGTGGAGTTTGGGTATTGAATGGGGGCGGATTATGAAAGGAAGGGTGTACAATTTTGAGGAAGTAAGTCGAAGGATCGAAATAATACAATGCCCTTTCCAGCAATGTTTAATTGCTCTCAATCGTAACATTCTCTCTCACTAGTGAAGTTCGACGTCATGAAACTTGTTTCTGGCACTGCAAGGTCATTTACCGCTGAGAATTTAGGAACCGAAACTTTTTTCATTTGGCAGAAGTAACTTGCTAACTTTGAACAACCTAAAATGTGCCAATGCAGAAACCTTTTCACAAGAATGAAAATCCGCTGATAGAACGAAATAGCAATCAAAATGTCAAATACTCCCAATCATCGTAAAGTCGTAATATAAAAGAGTACCAAAGAAGATGCTGCATATCCAAGTAGGCATTCGAGTTTCCAAGCACAATACTGGGAAAGAGATGAGATACGCATTGAAGTCCCTGAAGCAGCAAAGGCGGTCCCGAAACAAACAAAAACGAACGAGCCAATAAACAAGACGAGACATACCCATATCCATATCAGCGAATGACTTCAATACATGAGAAGGCCAGACGGCAGATCCGACCATTTGGTTCCCGCCATACGAAGTGCTCTGATAGGCATTCGGCTTTCCAAATCGAGGGAAATTGTTTCTGTTACTAAGCTCTAACGGAAATGATTAGTCCTGTGCGAGATTGAGCACGTCTCAGGAGGACAAACCGAAGGCATCACTCGAACGATGGTGATTTTCAGGAATCGGAGGGCTGGTAAAGTCTGATATGTCAAGGTTCTCGGACTGCACTCCTAGATTGGGACCGGCGAGGTCCATCATATTCGCATGCGGCTTGCCGAGAGAGAGATATCGCAAGCTAGGATGCACGTCCTCAAGCGAATCACTATGGGAGAGGTGTTGTTCAGGTTGTCCAGGCAGGGTCATGTGATTAAACTGCAGTTCCTTTGGGTCGATACCCATATCGCCAACCCACGCCATTTGATCCATAGTCTGAGACGATCAGTTTCTGTTCGATGTGAGTCTTACGGCGAGAGGTCAATTGTGTCTGTGAGTTGGTGAGGATGCCGCCGGCCGCGACCTTAGAAAAGAGGATCGAGGACAGTCTCGGATTTCAGTAAAATCGGGAGCACTGCCCCAGGCTGACCTGGGCACTCGCCAAATGGGCAGTGGGCAGTGGGCATGCATGCAAAGTGCACGAAGTACGAGGGCATGAGGCTGAGGGCGGCCAATTGGAAAAAATCCAGCTGCATGAAGGCGCTTTTGACCTGAGGCAGCAGGCTTTCCAGATCAGGACACGTGATTCTGGAGTGTCTGTCTCGTACCTTAGGTTCAGTTCAAGCCATCACAGAGCTGTCGTGTGTGGAGAGATATGGAAAATGCAGAAACGGAAATAGTGTATTGTCCTGGCCAACGCCGGGAACAAAGTACGCGCGACTCACTCGAGTTCGAGGGAGTCACTGCTCATGCTACGGCTGCCAATCTTGCAGCAATCGCTTTCAAGACATTCTTGACCATCTCCTCCTTCAGAACTCCATGTTCCCAGGTTGCTGCAATTACACAATCTCCATCTTTCGCACTTGCAACCGAGAACACAGGGCCATAGTCGCCTACAGCAGCTCTGATGGCGGCAGCACCAAATCCGACGTCCTTGACGCTCCAACCTCCATCCTTCATATTTTCGTTGGGATTGAACACACCGATATTGGATATGAGAAAGGAGTTGTTCAGATATAGCCCCAGACCGTAGAACGACCCCACCTCTTCATTGTCTTCGCCGAGGAGCCTGCAAGTAAGATAGCCTTGAAGAACGGCATCGGACTTGTAGATCGAGTTCTCCATGTGCTTTTTGTAGTCAGCTGCCAGTTTCCACACGGCAGCTTTATCAAAAGCTCCATTCTGGGAAGCAGCTCGAAACTTTCCAAGAAGATGTGTCCGATAGTATGTCGCGGAGGCATTTGTGAACACGTCTAGGCCCGGATCGTGCCTCAAGAGAGGCCGTATATTGACAGCCATTCTTGTGAATCCAACTTTCGCGTTTGGATAGACATCTGCAGCGAAGGTCACGGAAATTATGGTGTGCAGCAGTGCTGTAAAAGTCGTCTGATGATCATGACAGCTGGCCAGGCATTTGCTCATCATCTCTTTATCAATTCGTAAGAGCTCGACTCTCGAGCGAGTTCGCTCCTCCACAGGGAATGGCTTGCTGAAGGTTGGATACGTGTCATTGACCTTTGCATCTGAAAACAGCAGGTATTTCGGTCTGACAAAGAAGCGCATAATGTTCCAGAATAGAAAGGTGCGAATGACTTGGAACCAGGAAAGCTTGTTATCGAGCTCATCGACGGCGATAGGCTCTTCCTTCTGAGATCCGTCCACAACCGTGAAGACTTCGTCCCCGACAGCATGGTCCGCAGAGTCTTGACGGACGCTGTCGGCGTTCAGAGCGCCAAGGAGCTTTTTGTGGAACGCATATCCGGATAGTCCATCGCCAATGGAATGATGGAACACGAAAATGGCGGTCTTACCGTTCAAGATCAATAACTTCCACCAGGGCTTAGTGGTGTCGCCTGTGTCGAACCATCGATTGTGGATGCCCTCGCAGATTCTAGCAAGTGCTGTATCGTTGCCAACACTTTGGTCGTTCACAAACTCTACGCAGTCGCGAAATCTGATGAACGGAAGTTTCGCTTCCCATGTGCGGTGATTTCCTTCTTTCTTCTCGGATAGTTGGCTTACTCCGATGATGCTGAGGGCAGGGATATCTCGAATGACTTGTTTCAGCGCCCGAAATACTCTTCTCGGTGACAGGTTTTTGGTCTCATGAAAGTACTCGCAAGAAACGCGGACATTAGACTGAATTCCAAGATCATGGAAGAGATCAGTCAAGACTTCGAGTGGACCTTCGCAACGTCAGATTCGATGAAGTTTAGCAGACCGCATCCCTCACCTGCTTTCCGTACGAGTCTGTAGCCATAGGTTGTCACGGCGTCCATCTTCTCAAAGAGTATCTAGAAGGGAGGCTTTTGAGTTGGCTGTTGATGCGAGGTAAAGAAAAGATCAAATTGCTGACTGAAAACTGGGATAAAAACTGGCCGTGCTGACAACGTCAAAATGTGCGACGCAGCTGCAATTGCAGAAGAAACAAGAACTTTGAAGTGTGGGGATAAAAATGAAGCGAGTGAAAATTCGTGTTGGTATATACTGTTCAAGAACAATACTAAGATTCCAACAAAGAGGCATGCAGTGAATCAAGGGGTAAGGGGCTATCATTGGGCAGCCATTCCAGCATCAACGATTGGGCAGGACAGGCATCGATAACACCTGAGAAGATCCGTAGGCATGAACATGACAATTTTCCGGCGACTGCTTCATCATGAGAGATGTTGGTGAGAGACGGATCGGAATCATGATGTAGAAAGGAAATCATCTCGTCAAGACGCTTAACGCTAGCTGGTCCCGTGACTAGATCGTGACATTTATTTCCGTTTCTGCCGAGATGCAGGAATACCTACCTTATCAAGCTAGACATCACCGCTCTGATGAACCTACCTACTCGCTTTACATTGACTGCACTTCTATTTTCGTTTTTAGCTCACAATTTTTCCATTCGTAGTATTCCAGCTCATTGTTCACCAGGGAGGCTCACAAAGACAGGAGTAATATTCAGTTCTCATGCTTCTCTGAACTGCCCATTGATCTGCGTGCACAAATATGAGCACATGCTTCGTTTCTTCCGCGAAAAATTGTCGTAAGTGCCCATCCGCTGCAGTCCATGTATACGTTCTCGAGCAGTGTTCCGTTCATAGAGTCTAAACGTTTCCCAGACATTTCCCACAGTATTCAGTCAGTTGCTCTCAATATATTGTTGATGATGTGAGATGTCAGATATTACCCGCCATGCATCTTGTATGTGTAACAACCCAAGCTCTAAGCTCATTATGATACGCTATTAGCGTCCTTCCTCAAGATTAATTTCTTTTCAACATTTCGATCATGCAGAATTTCCGCTTTGCAAAACTTTCCGCACTGACGAGGAGCTATTCGAGGCCTGTTGAGCAACCACCATTCATGATAAGATACTGGGCTTCACGGACGGTTACAATTCCAAAGCCGGAGAACAAGGACCCAAGCTGTCATCCCGGGTAGTTAGGAGACCCGTTCCACCGAGCAGCAGCAATGTTCTCAGAGTTTCAACTTCCAAGCAACATCGAGTAAGATCAAGACGGCTGTATTCCTTCGTGTTCTTTGTGACGGTCTCTTCCCCAACATAGGCTATGCAAGTAAGCCTTCCTCATGCTCGTCATCACGGAACGGCACGATAACACGCCATATGGCTGCAGCTCGGGTATGTAGATCCTTTTGCGATCAGCACTAAACCTGACTTCTAACCATGTAAGTCAAGCATGGATTTTCACTTAAACGTTTCCACTGAACCGGAAGAATGAAGTATTTAGAGATCAAGCGAAAGTAGTGAGAGAAGTAGACAGCCTGGACATGATTTGTAATAAGAGCTTCTGCTAAAGCATTTATTGGATTTTGACTGATAGCGATTGATTGATACTCGCCGGCCGAGCTGAAACCCCGAAGAGGGGAACTCCATACAACGACGAGAATCTGCCTTGAGTCTTCGACCTTCCAACGTCAATTTGTCCTCCCCTGCTCCTTTCTAGCATCTACTCCTCTCAGTGTCTGGAAATATAATGCAAAGAAGCCTTTGCATTTACTTCGGGTAGGGGAAGATCAGTAAAGGGTAACTTCAGATATATATCCTTTGGGATGTAGCAGTACTCACTTGGCAGCAATCGAACTTCATCACACGCGTCAGCAATTTTTTTTTTATCTTACCGACGCTGAGATTTGCTTACCGTGCAAGATTCCTTAGACGAACATCCGCATTTGCTGCAATCGATGCCTGCGGCATCGAGCTTTGCAGCTGGGTTCGAGCTTGCCAGGGCGACGGCGGCGAGGAAGGCAAAAATGGTGAGTGAGAGCTTCATGGTGATGAAAGTTTTGTTAAGAGTGTTTGATAAAATGCTGGATTGGCTTGAATTGTGGGTGAAACTGTGTTCTGCTTGTTGATGATGGAATTTTCTGTCGATATGGCGGGATTTTGCGCTCTTATATAAACTTCCTGATGGAACGATGGGGCATATGATGATGCTCAGTTCAAGGATACTGGAACGGTACATCCTTCCATCATTCCAGGAGGGCTTGACTGGCCAGCATCCATACTGGTAAGTCACTTTGCATGCTGATGACTGAAGGATTTCGGCGAAGTTAAGGAGTACCCGAAGCAATTCAGGTCTGACCGTACCATATTGGAAATAAATCAGAAGATCATAAAATCTCCTCACTCGAAGATATTTCGAGATATTGGAAAGCGTTCTAGTGCTGAGTCGATACAGTGATCTGCACTGCAGTGACTCGGGGGGATGAATGATGCGTGTCTTGTAGCAATTAGCCAGTGTACTAACTCAAGAGCAATTGTCTCCATTCTCAACAATACATTGCCGAAGAGCTGCTTATACGTATGAAGGGTATGACGCAGAATCACAGCCGGTTGAAGCTGGGAATACTGGTTGGTTGAAAAATGGACTTTCAGAAGGAATACAAACTGAATAAAACCAATTGTACTTACAATTGAGCAACCAATATCCCGACATAATCAGTATTGCGCACGAGTCAATTTCTCCGCAGTCATGAGTCCTTTGAAGCCAACAATTTCCTGCGATGTACCGTCGAACGTGGCGGAAGCTTGGTTTTGCTGATGTCGGCCGACAGTGTAACGCTACTTAATGTATTTATATTAATATAGACACGTCATGAGAGTAATGAAGAGCTGATACGATTACTGTACTGTGCTGCAAGTCATGCTCACCGTTCCACACTCATCAGTTGCGGGGAAGCGAGCCCCAGAACCTTGTTGACATTAAGCGAGGAATATTGACTGCCTTCCGAGGCTTGTGCGCTACTAGTGAAATTTACCAGCCGACATGCACTACTTCCTCTTAGTACATGAGACTGATTGGAGCTCCCCAAGGCTTTTGAGCTGATATTTTATAGTCAGGTGCTGAACAAGAGGAGAGATAAACGATGTGCTTCTCTTGTGTAGCATGTACCCCACTAACATTGGACCAGCGTGGAGGCATGACTCCAGGGATCCAAGATTTAACAGGGCACCAAAAAGGATTAAAGGATCTGTCACATGGATAGAAGCACGACAGTGAGAGGGGGGATGAACGGTCCAGGGCTGCACACTTAAGTTGTGGGTGCCATGGATGCAGAATAATAGAAGGCTGGCGTCTTGGGAGTGATGGTGCAATGGCCCCAATATTACTGAGTTTGGCCTCCAATAGCGAGAAGAGAACAGTCGTGAAGGCAGGCTCTTGTTTTTCAAGAGAGGAAGACTTCGCGGTACGAGAATGGGCTCGACGTGCGTATGGCCCAATTCTACCTAGAAGATTGCCAGGTAGGTATCTCGTGACATGCTTGGCAATCCCGAGATTGGTGGAAAGTCTGGGCACCAGGTTATATTTCAAGTCCGATTTCGTATTTCATACCTGCTTTTCCGCATGATTTCTCTGGCCTTTCTGCATGAGGCCGGCAAGATGAGTGATTTGGAAGTTTGGATTGTGGGAGGTTTGGTGAATCTGGGTAGTGGTGAATTCTGAAACGAGAGATTGAAACTAACGAGTAATTAATGTCATATCTACCTATATTTGGCGACATCAAAATTTTAGTAGACTACGAAAAGGGTCAGTTTCAACGTACTCAGAATGGAAACGACCTCCTCAGAGCTCCTTCCTCACGTGTCTACACATAAGCGAGCAAAACACCTGCCTTCACCTTTCACGTATTGTTTACAACCGACCTCAATCTTTCCATAACGTCAACCTGCACCTTGGACTACATCACGAACACCACCAATACGGTCGATGCAGGCCGCTCCCTGGCTACTTCCTACCTCATCGACCACTCTGCAAGCCAGCTCGATGGGCTTGACGCGTGGCAACCATGGATCTTAACTACCTCATCAACCACATATTCCTGCCTCCTAAGCTCCCTCAGGCAGACGACTACCATATCCGCAATGATCAGCATCTGACAGAGCTCGTACGCGAGACTCTACATGCTGCTGCTGCTTTCTCCCCCAATGATTCCTCCTGGGCGAGCCTGTCTACCATGACAGATATGCTTTCAACAGAAGATAGCCCTGATATGCTCTCCAGCAGCCAACTGATTGGTGCTTTGGGTTCGATGCGAACAGGCAGTAAGTTTCTCCTCTTTCCTACTGGCCAGTCTGACATCGTGTAGGTGTGCTTGTGCTTCACATCCATGCGCAAAACGCTGGTCTTATTGTGCGAAGGGAAGATTCAGCATACATATTCGAGTCATTTGAGCTATCTCCAACAACAAACTCTGTCATCGGTACAGGCGGCCGCCTCCTGCGTTCATTTCCAGGCCCAGCAATCGCCGTTGATATCAGGCGAGTTAAGGATATAACTTTCAAAGAAGCTTTTGTTCAATGTGTTGGTCAGTTAGAGTCTCAAGTTTTGGAAGACGCGTGTCCCAAGTCACGTAAAGCTGGGTAAGTTTCCGTTGTCGTTGATGCTCTAAGCAGCTCCGAGAAGACTTCACAGGTGCCAAGTTAGAACTGTCTAGCTCATCATCTCAGCTAACTCCGATCTAGTTCCGACCATGTCGAGATCCGTCAAACAGCAGACCCAAAATATGTCACCGAGATGCTCATGGGAATTCTTCGTGCAATTGGAAAACCCCATGATGTTCAACGAGTTCTGAAATATACTCGAGATGAAGTTCTTTGGTGCGACACTTTGGCTCCATGGCGTCGCTCCGCTCGCTGGCTTCTACTTCGAGTCGCACTCCAGACAAGTCTAAAGCAGAAGGATGGCGACCGTACTATTCATATTCGATACAAGATGTTTATGATTCTGTTGTTGACTAGAGTCCTAGACCTAGCAGTCAAAGATGACTTTCCTGGGGAGACTCTCTTCATCATGACAGCAAAAATTGGTCGACGAATGCTAAAGCTTGGGCAGTTAGTAGATCAAATGCCTTGGCTACACGCTGTTCGGAATTCTGTGACCAATGCACAGCAAGTATTGGAGAATCGCTGGAACTCTATCCAAGAGAACCCGGATCCTACGGGTTTCAATGAGAATTCTGGACTAGACAAGATGCTTCGGGTTTCTGACACACATCTTCGCTTGCGTTCAGTTCGAGGATATCTCAAGGAAATCCAGGAAAGACAACCATCACAAGTTGATCCTCGTCCTGATATCCCTGCGTGTGATCGGCGTGTAGTGCAAGATGCTTCTTCTCTACCATCTGTCGATATTCTGCAGCAAAGCAATTCTTCAAACAATCTCATTTGGCTACTCGATATAGAAGCATGGGCCCGAAATCAACTGCAGGATTGGCTGGCGATAAATATATTGGGCTCCCCATCCGCCCAATCGTGCCGAAATCTCTCCGTTCTGCTATCTTTATACCGCACAACCGCATTTGCGGCCTACCCGGACCCCGAAAATTTTTCAATCATGGTTTTGACGTTGATGGACTTCTGGGTTGCACTCGATAAGTGTGTGGTTATTAACGAGCCTCTACTTAAGCTATACAAACCCGGATTTCCGGCCTCCCTTTTCAATAGACTTCTGATATCCAAGAAGGATGATCTGGATCGACTGTTCCGGATTGAACAATACCTTGACTCGAGACGCAGTGAAGCTCAAGATAGCTATCCACTGCTATTTTTGGAAGGAAATACGCAGAACAGCTTCGCAGTTCAATATTTCGAGCGTTCTCTGCATCATCAGAAGTTGAAGCGTGACATTGAGGCCATTGCCACAACCGAGAGAGACCAGAAAATGGCGGAGCTTACGAGACTGAAAGCCCAGGTACGCCATCGCTCAATGAGAAACGAACCCCAATCAAGCCATATCTCCAAGGCGCAAGAATGAAGCCTGGTTTGCTATGTATATGCTAACGTGGAATCAGCAACAATCTTCTCTGGATCAAGCTCAATCAATGGTCTGTACTAATGTAACTGTCATGAGAGGCAAAAAGAACAACAAGGTTCAAGTGACTGAACACAACCCTGCGTGCGCAAAGTGCAAGCTACGTACTACAGCTCAGAATATGGTCATCAACATACACGAATGGCCACTGCCGTTCAAAGACGCCGAAGCTAAAGCTGCCGTGTTTGAACTTGATGTACCAGAAATGATATGGATATGTAAGCTTCCTATCTTCTAGCGATTCACCGTTATTACTTGCTATCTTTCAACCTTGGCCACAACTCAATCTGAATCCAAAATAGGGAGAGAGTCAACATACGAGATGCTTGTGGAGGTTTTCACCCCACCATTTCAAGCTCCGCCCCAGCCCGAAGACAAGTACACGTTCTTCGATTTCAAAGGCATCTCTCGCTGGCTCAAAACACGCAAAAATGGTCGCGTACAGCTTGCATCTCATTGTGTAAGTACCACATTCTTCTTCCAGCTCTCTAATTTATGCGTCTGAGACTCTCAAGTCTAACAATTACCTAGAAAGAAGTGTCTAGGTCACACTACAACTCTCAGAAGGTCAGCGTTGCTACGCATCATATGATATGTGTCCGATTAGGTCTACAGTGCACCATGTACGACAAAAAGTCTTTCCTCTGGACTCGTGAAATACTTGGGAATTATTGTCTTGGCAGACAGTGCATTTTCGACCTTCCAGCCGGGCCATACAAGCAATTACAGCCATTCCTAGACGGCTGTGGCCACACCTCCAATGAAGTTCTTGCTGCCCAAGATCGCTGTCCTGAATCATTAACCCTCCATGAGTTCTATTCCTTTTCAACATTACGGTCGGGACACCGGCTTCAGTGGCGTAACATTGCCCGTGAACTCGCCTCGCAGGTGTTGAACTTCAATCACCGTGAAACGCATCTCCTAATGATGCAAGCTGCTTGGGAAGCGGGACCGGCAAGCCTGGGTCCAGCAAGAGATTCACATATTGACTTGGAAGAGTTTGATTTTGGAATGTCACTTATATCGACACTGAATGAGGGACTTTCAGGTGTAGAAAGTAATTGGCAGGTTAGTATCACCCTTTACTTAATGTTTTTTTTTGGAACAAGCACATCTTTGTGTGTTGGGTTCAACGGAAGTGTCTGAAAATAGCTTTATCTCCCTTTTGGATCCTGTGCTAACATTCGGGCAGGGTGCATCTGCCGTCCGTACCTTTACGACTCTGGCCTTACGACTTTTGTCACTGTCCCCTTGTGAAAATATCCATTTTCTATGTTTCGAATTCCTCGATCGCGCTAGAAATGTTGTGATGGGATGGATGTATGAGGTCCTAGATCTGCTACACTCTACAGAGGAAGAAAGCGAGCTGAAAAAGCTGGCCTTGCGAATACTCGACCTGGCTTTAACATGCCATGCAACATTCGACGCTGATGCTCGGCACTTGCCCAAGACACTGGAATCTGCGCTGAATGTTTCCATACTCATAGAGTGTGCTATTAACATACACGACAGACGTCCGGCTAACAACGACGATCTTGATGAGTCCCTAGTTTCACAGCTTGGGAGATTGAATCGACGAGCTCAATTACTCGAGCCAGCTATACGACACCGAATTCTCTCTGACTGCCAGGGAATTGATGATGCGATCAGTCGTTTGTGGTCGGCGTATAGCCGTTCTGGTGGATGGAGTGCACTGTAAGATTTCCTCAACTCAGACATACAGTAGCATATACTAAGTCCAAGTAACAGGCCCTCGCCGAACGAGCGGTGGATTATGACCCAAATATATCCCTGGGGCAGCTTGAAACTCATGACAGTTCACTACAATATCTTAAACGGGACCTTTTTTGTTGATGGCAGCCCACTCTCACGACTTCCGCTTGAGTACGAACGTCACGAAACTTACCGCCGGATCTTCGGTGGGAGAGTCTTGGAAGTCGTTCCATCGCAAATGCCGGGCATGCTTTTCGAATCACGGCGCGAAATCCAGGGATATTCAATTCACTTCAGACTTCACAACGATGACCTTGTTATCAGGGCTCGTGCTTGTAAAGATGGATGTGAATATGAGCTCTTGCCACTTCGCGCTGTCATGGGCGACTTTCCACAGTCTCTGGTCACGGATTACGTCCATGTAAGTGCAAATTACTCACTTAGACTTACTTCAGTGAAGTATGATATGAACTATAGTACTAATGAACCCATCTCTAGTGGTTAGACTTTCGGTATGGATCCATCGAGCTACGCCCAATCAGCAACCTTTGGGAGGCATCTCCAAACCACTGGCGAACTTGTTCGCATGGAGCTGACAACTTTTCACTTTTACAGAATGCTCGAAAACTGGTAGAAAGTGAAAGTCCGACAGCTCAAACAATCTATCGAATACTGAGCCAACTCGAAGAATCCTGCCATATCCATGTCATGTTCAACTTCGAAAAATCCATAGTGGAGGTTCACCTCCCACGAATGGGCTTGGACTTTTACATCGAGCAAGGAAGCAAATTGATTGTATCAAAGCAATATCGTGGCATGTGTATCGACTCTGATCAGTCTATTGGTTCTCTCAATGGCCTAAGATCCAAGTTGGTCCTGCGAGAGGTTGAAGGATCCTCGCGTATTGTTATTATTCCGGATGGACCTGTCAACCCTCAAAAGCATCAGGACCATGTCCGTATAACCATTGACATAGATAGAGAGAGTATTCACTGTCACCAGTTCCAAATTGATGGTCAATTGGGTCGGCTGATAGATAATGGAAGTCTGCGAAGCAGGCTTTTCAAGATTTATCTCCATGCAGTCACCTCGTACTGTCTCCCTGACAATTTGACAGGACGAACTGGTACAGAAGAAGCGCTCGAGTCTCTTTCCCAAGCTTCAACACAATCATTCTTCACCTTTGACAAAGATGAGGTGGAATTGCTGGACAATATCGCGCACCTTTCTCCTGTCAGAAAGTACTACCCAAAGCACCTGAGGACGATGGAGACGATTAAGTGGAGAAAGTTTTCGATTCTGCAACAGCACGATCGGTTCTTCGAAATTGTCAAATCCATCAAAAGTAAAGCTGCCTCAATGCAAGTGTTCCAAGAAACTCGGGATTCGACTCTACAGCTTGATGTGTCGACAAAGTGTCCAGAATTGTATATGAGAGCAAGAAATCGATTGAGCAACGTCAGAGTAGATGGGTATGGAGCAGAAGACTTTACAACCAAATCAGATCTTCGCTACTTGGGTAGGGATCAGTCTGACCGAGGACCGAGCCGCGAGTTGCAGGTGTACTCGATTTCTAAGCAGGTAGACAGCTGGTCCAAGAATAATTTGAAGCATTGCCCGGGATTGTTGTCTAAATTCGAATCTTGGGGAGCTCCAGTCTCAGGGACGACCGCATCGTATAGCATTGGCTTCAGCAATACTCTGCTTAGCAAGCCCGAGGAGCTGTATCCTTCAATGTGGTATACATTCCAGGATGCTTTAACCAGCTGCGATCGTGACAAAGACAAGTACAAGGTCATGTTCTTCCTCGCGACGCTTGCTCAGTCCCCCCACGCTGATTTCGAAATTCTCCAGGTGCTGCTAGCGTTTGCGACTGTGAAACAACTTTCGAGATCCAGTCGTCTGGCACCTACATGCCAATCGATCAATCTTGACCTTGGCTATACACCAGATCGTAATCAGCTGCTGGCTCTCTTCAGACGACACCAGCGCCCCTTCGATCTCTCAATTGAACGCCATTCCCCTGCACTGCCTGGAGAATCAAAAAAAGCGGCGAACACACGTCGAGCCAACGCCTATAACTTCTCTTTGACGTCCAAATTTGACAGTGCCATGCAGAGTTTGCTATGCCAACTGCCAGGATCTGATATTGCTTGGCCAACTATTCAGAGTTTAGATAGATATGTGGCTGTGGACGATGTCAAGCCAGCAGTTATCAAAATGTTTGATGACTGGGATCTCAACGAACGCTTCAAGATTTATGTCAACAGACTTACTGGGACAATTAAGGACAATTGTATCGTTGAAGCGGAAAGTCCAGAGTTGTATAGCTTTACCTACCCCAAGCCCCTCCGGCCTACGGTTCACAGACACATTGCCGTTGAAGATATGTTCGGTGGAAAAATGCCTCAAACACACGCACCTGATGCCTACCAAGATCTAGCGCATCTGCAAGCGATGGTTCAACAAGTCCGAACCTCCGAAGATGGTGATGTATCTGGTATCACTGATATGTCGACAAGATCAGGGCCTTTACCAGATCTCTTGTCGCGACTGGCCTCCCGAGCAGACGGCTTGTACGAAAAGAGTTACGTTCTGGATCTCGAGAACAGCTACGTTGCATTTACTCGGCAGAATTCCATGTCTCGCCTCCTGGAAGATAATATCGATTCTGCAGTACAGCAGCATCTCGATGAAACGCGGGACGTTGCAAACAGTTTGTACCAAGCGATACTTGTCGAGCTTCGAAAACCCCCCAACACGGCGCACCAAGTATATCATGATGTGCAAATGTCGCCTCGGCTTTCACCGAGCATCATTCTATCATTTCTGTCCCACGAGAAGGTCGGAAAGATACCTGGAGCTTGGAGAACTGCCATCGTGCAGTATGGCCTTGCGGTTACCGCATTTCAACGTGCACAAAGATTGAAAGCCTGCCTGAAGAGTAAGAGCGACTTGCTTGGTGAGCTCGAGAACCCTGGCCATACGGGATGGGATCCTATGGCCCAGCCTGACTGGCTACTCTTGGAGATTGAAAATAATATTCTGATTCGGCAAGAGCAAGCTGAGATTGCTAATGAGATGATCTCCCCGGCATCCAGTACAAATTCCCTCATGCAGCTGAACATGGGACAGGGGAAGTCTTCGGTCATCGTTCCCATCGTTGCAGCGACCCTCGCCGATGGTTCTAGATTAGCACGTGTTGTTGTGCTCAAATCTCTGTCCAAACAGATGTTCCACCTCTTGCAGACTAAGCTTGGCGGCTTGATTAACAGACAGATATTTTACATCCCAATATCTCGTTCTCTAAAGCTGACCTCTGAGCTTGCTGACCAGATTAGGAATCTATACCACACTTGCAAGAAAATTGGAGGTGTCCTTCTCGTCCAACCTGAACATGTGTTGTCATTTGAACTTCTAGGACTCGACTTCAGACTAACGACTCGAAATAATGTCGGGATGGACAGTGTAGCCGAGGAAAGTGCCTCTACTGGAGAAGCTATGATTGATACGCAAAGTAAGTAACCCCATATTCTTGATTGGTAGACCTTGATACTTTGTCCCATTCCAACGTTCAGAAAAACTGACCGTCTTTCAGAATGGCTTCTCAAGCATTCTCGCGATATTCTTGACGAGAGTGATGAGATCCTTAGTGTCAAATTTGAATTGGTTAGCCCCAAATATGCTTATCGTATGTTTCGAGTAAAGTGCTAATAGGAGCAATGTAGATCTACACGATGGGCACCCAACGTGCAACAGAGTTCTCTCCTGACCGCTGGCAGATCATTCAACGAGTTCTTGGCATTCTAGCAGATACTGCCAGTTCAATCGTGACGATATGTCCAACTGGTATCGAGTTCCTGCCTGCTAGATTCAGCAACGGCTTCCCGCGAATCAGAATTCTTCAGCAAGAGGCTGGGGTTGAACTGCTTTCAAGAGTCGCTCGAGAATTCTGTGAGAGTGGAATTACTGGTCTACCAGTCTGGAACTTACCCCAGCAAGCTCGTAACTGCCTCTTCATATTTCTGACCTGCCCATCCATCACATTAGGAGACATGGCGCCACTTCAAAACTCTGCTCTCAATGTCGCTGCCATGGCATCAGGACTTTTTTTATTGCGCGGTCTCTTCGCTGGTGGAATTCTTACATTCGTTCTATCTCAAAAGAGATGGAGAGTTAACTACGGTCTGCATCTGTGCCGCACACGGTTGGCAGTCCCGTACCAGGCAAAAGATAGCCCATCCGCTAGAGCCGAGTTCTCGCACCCAGATACAGCGATAGTACTGACTTGTTTATCTTACTACTATGGAGGTCTAGATGATAAGCAAATTTACGAATCGTTCGAGGAGGTCAGTACTGAGTTACCCCACGTTGATTTAGACTGCAGTATTGACTCTTCCAGCTATTTCGATCGGATCATCCTCAGGAGCAGTACCAAGAATGGACCAAATGCATATCCAACATGCCCGTTGCGTTCAAGAACCTTAGTGGGGTCAACCTGAGCAACTCTACTCAATGTTCTCAAATGCTGTTTCCCCTCCTGAAGTTTTCGAAAGGCCTCATTGACTTTCATATGTCTCATTTAGTGTTCCCAAAAGAGATGAAGGAATTTACCCATAAATTATCTTCATCTGGCTGGGAAATCGGGCGAGACAAGAGCCATACGACCACAGGTTTTAGTGGCACAAACGACAGCAGATACATCTTGCCTGTTCCCGTGAAACAATGCGATATGCCACAGCAGCTCCATACTAACGCGGCAGTCCTCGAATGCTTATTAAGGCCCGAAAACACAATCGATTCGAGGTTTACACACAATGCCGATGTTATCGATGCAAATGTGCTCCTTCACATGGCAGTCCACTCCGATCCAGCTGTAAGAGTGATTCTCGACGTTGGTGCTCAAGTTCTGGAGCTCACAAATGAGGGTAAGTAGCTGTCCTAATCCGCTCGCCCTCAATCCGGGAGGCCTTCAACACGGCAAGACTACTAATTGTTGCGACAGAATTCGCCCGCAAGTGGCTGTTCATGTTGCCAGGCTCAGAGGCACAAGCTGCGATCTATGTTGATGACCATAACGAGATCTGCGTGGTCACTCGAACAGGGCTGAAAGAACCGCTCCAAGTCTCGCCATACTCAAAGCTCATCGACCAATGCATTGTTTACTTGTAAGTATTGAAAACTGATGATCGACAAGGATTCTCGATAATAGTGGGCTCTCGCTTTCTTAAGAATTTACTGATCATGGTGCTTCGTAGGGATGAAGCTCATACTCGAGGAACAGACCTGAAGATGCCTTCAAATTACAGAGCTATTGTGACGCTGGGTCCTGATCTCACGAAGGACCGACTTACCCAAGGTATGTACAGACAAAAGCGCGCACCGGAAAGAAACGAATTAATCAAGTCGACAGCATGCATGCGTTTGCGAAAGTTGGGGAAAGGACAATCAGTTGTGTTTTGTGCATCTCTCGAGATCCAGCTCAAGATCCTCTATTGTAATGGGAAGAAGGCTGGAGAGATTATCGAAGTGTCTGATGTACTTGCGTGGTGCATCAGGAATACCTGGCAAAGTACTAAGAAATCAGTTCCTCTGTGGGCAACACAAGGAGTGCGTCACTATCGTCGACGAGCAGCCTGTTCGACTGCTTCTGGGCTTCCAGCTGCCCCCTCCTCGATTCTCGAGGCTGAGGCTCAAAGCTTGGAGCAGCGTTACGCACCATGCGAAAATCACTATTCAGAGGTTCGGGCTGTCTTATTCAATAACGCTGAGCAAGAACTATTTTCTCCCTTCAAGACAGAGCTGGATGCCATCCGGGAGAAGTGTCAAGAGTTTGGACTAGTTTCTTTGCAAGACTCAAGTCTTCATGAGGAGCAAGAGCGAGAATTGCAGCCCGAAAATGAACGAGAGCAGCAAATCGAACGACCGCCAGCGTTGACTCCAAGAGCCCACTTCGTTCACCAAAACGTCATCAACTTCGCTGCCACTGGTGTTCTCGATCGGTTTTCTACTGCATTCACGCCTGCTTTCTCTACACTGTTGGATACTAGCGCAGGAGCGCACTTTGAACCTGGGGCTTGTGAGTTATGCCGGTCCCAGAATATGAGGCTTACTGACGTTCATTAGGGCCACAAGATCTCCTCGTTACAGCCGATTTTGCCCAAACCGTTACTCAGGTTCAGCATATGGACCAATATCTTCGTCCAGTTCATTGGCTTCTGACCTTGCGACGTGCACACAACGGCATCACCTGCGTGATCATTAGTCCTCAGGAAGCGAATGAGCTACTACCTATCATCCGAAAGAAACAGCGCGTAAATTTACATGTGTATACCCCACGACTCAGCTTAGCCAACCATACTCTCGAGGATCTCGCTTTCTGCGCCATTCCGGCTCTGCCAGCAGGCTGGGTCATTCCTCCTATTGGTATTCAGATCACTCTGTTTGCCGGACAGCTCTACCTGCGATGCATCGAGGAGTACCTTGCTCTCTGCCAATTTTTGGGACTGTGCTACAAAGCCCCTGATGATCTGGTTAGAGCTGCTTGTGATGGGTAAGTCCGCATTTCTTTCCAGACATTGTTCTGTGACCCCGCTGAAATGATTCCAGATTTGTCAATCCAGAAGATAGGAAAGAGCTTGATTCGACCATGGCTCGTCATTGTCGCTTCAGACAGACGCCTATTCCTTTCTTGAGAGCACTTTTTGCAATGCGTAGGAAGGGCCAAGGTTTCGCGAATAGCCACCTTGGTCGGATTTTGAATGGGGAGTTGTTGAGGTATGAGCATTTCGTGATGCCGGGACAGGTTACGGAGGTCACGGAGTCGAGATAGGGAGAGTATTTCGAGAAGGGTGGAGTTGTATGAGATGGCGTTTTGACTTTCGGCCAAGGGTGGCTTTTGATGCGATGCGGATGGGAAGCTGACGTTTGTTCTGGATGAACGGAGGGGTTGACTGATGACTGTTCCCTGCCGCGCTTTACAATGCTCGTTTGGTTGATTGTTCGGTAAAGGTCATAGTTTTATTAGGTATAATGTATGAATAGATTATGCAAAACTCGGTGCATTTACGATTTTGAGTGATGATCATGTAGAGGAACGTAGAACCGAGAAGAAAACGGGGAATAGAGAGACGAGGAGGAATGCTGGGATAGCATGAGACGCCGTCTTGCATAGTCCGTACCTCCCAATCTCTATCGTTGAGAAGGAGCCTGGATTCCGAGCTGTTTTCCAGACTCGGTAATTCAGCTAGCTGGTTGGAAGAGTGAAGTCGCTGTCGGAAGTTAGGTAGTATTCGAAGCATAAGTAACGATTTGACGTCTGAAACAAAACAGTGGAAGAGAGAGAGAGAGAGAGAGAGAGAGAGAGAGAGAGAGAGAGAGAGAGAAAGAACTTGCGAAGTGTGTGTTGAGTGAGTGAGTCATGAAGGATAGTAGATAGGTAAGTAGCCAGCGAAGAAGGGCCGGGAGGAGGGGACTACGTATACATCATATCTGCGAGGCTACTACTGTATTTCATTTCATTTCCTGCCCCTCTCTCATCCAGCATTCTTACCAATCATGGTGAAGGAATGGTCTGGTCTGTCTCGAGGTCTGGGGTCAGTCAGTCAATCCACGCCCTCCGCTTCCGCTTCCCCCTTTTCAACCACTCATAACGGGGGGGGGGGGGGGGGGAAAGTCTCAGCCTTCTCTGAAGAATGATGTCCTCATAGGCTCGACCCAATGATCCCCTTGCCCCTCCCTTCTTTTATTCTCTTTCTCTCCTGGGTTACGCCAATCGTCGGCGAGCCGAATTTGGACTTAGTGATCTATAAGCAAGCGAGCGAGCGAAAAGCACGAAATCCCGCGGTGATGTTGTGCATTAACGTACCACTTTTGCTGGGGGAGGTTGCGGTAGTTGGACGAATTAGAGGGGGTAGGGGACTCGCTTAGGTGGGGGAGAAGTGGTGGAGAGTGGTAATGCCAATGCTGGGGGGAAAGGCTTGGCTTGGCCTGGTGTAGGGTATTGGGGGGGTTCGGTGAGTGACTCAGCGAAGTGGATGGATGATGGAGAGGTGGGTTTGTTTACTAATGCTTGATTGTTGTTGTTCTTTGTTTCTAATTCTTTTTGTCGTTGTCTCCTTTTATTGTAGAATGCTTTTTGTTTGAAGGGGTTTTGATGCAGAGATGCAGAGAGGCAGAGGTGAACCTTTCGATGCCGGGCGGATTTCGAGCCGATGCTTACGACGAGGGAAGGGGGAAACTCGACAGAGACGACTGGGAATGTTTGGGAGCTTGGGATTTGGGCAGGGAAACGAATAGGGGCGAGTTGACTCTAGGAGGACGTAGGAGGAGATACGATGGCTGAAATGATGGTTTGGGATGCAGGCACGAAAAGAACTAGGTTGAAGGGACAACAGTTCTGAGGACGATATGATCCGATGCGAGACCGACAAGTATGATCGAATCAAGAAAGAAGGGCTGCACATTCAGGAGTACATATCCACGACGGCAACGAATCGAATGGAGAAATGAAAGCGGATTACCGATTTGGTAGGCATAAAGTGCCCTGTGAGATGCGCTTAGTATCGATCCGAGGCTTACGCTCTCGTTCAGGAGACTGGACCGGACTTCGATGGGAAGTCTCACGTCAACACCCAAGTCAAATCTCATTCTCCATTGTAGACGAGAATGTAAGCAGAGAGAGCTAGATCTGGACCGGACCGAACCAACGAAACCGACTATCCGAGGAAGGGTTTCGGGTTTATTGTTGAGAGCATCACGGCGATACCAAATGAATGAATGGAATGCGAAGATGGCGCGAGAAAAGTGATGGAAAGCGATGCGAGTAACAGGAAATTTGGGTGAGATATCCACGATCTAGCAGATGACACACCATTTGAGCGGATACCTGCAGATATCTGTCGCTCACGCATGTACGACAGACTCGGAACCTGGAAGCATGCGAATCCGTCTGCCTGCCAATCATGGGATGTACGGACGGGTACTTGCAGCAAGCGACATGATGCGATACTGGAGGCTACCACGAGAGGACTTTGTACGACAGCAAAACTGGAAGCGAGAAATTGGCGGTGCGCACAATCAAATCGACGAATTCAAGACCAGAAAAATCGACAAGAGAAACGATGGAATAAGTCGGGAAAGGCTTATCTTGAAAGACAGACACACAAGAGAGGAATATCCGAGCAGATCAGTGCAACTTACGAAGTCTCCCCATCCGTCAAACTCAAATCAAAATTAACCTTTCGCTTCCTTTCGGAGGTAAGATCACAATCGGAATCGCCAAGCCCTAGATTTCACGATAGGGAATCTCACCCTCGTACCTCCGTACGTACAAGCAGCCTGTCATCCCTGCATACGCCAGAGCTCCAGGCCAGAGGCAATAGATAACGAAGTTTCAAGTAATCGTGAGATAGGAGGATGGGATGGATTTGGGATGGATTATTCGTTCATGCCGAAGTAGCGAATTATGTATGAGCTGAGGATATCGGTCCAGGAGAGATGTCAGATTTGAGATGTGAGAGAAAAAAGAAAGGTCAGGTCAGGTAGTATCAAGTGTTGATTGGTGGGACATGCCGTGGTGATCGCTCTCGTTACCAACCGGTCACGCCGGTGGCGTGGCAATCCCACACACACTCACCTACTGTAACTGCACCACCCTTGCTGTCAGATGGATGGATGTTGGATTGTTCTGGAAGGGAAGTCTGACTGGACCATCTCTCGACCATCAAGACTACTCAGGTGAGATTCTGCAAAGCACCTGCTCAGCTTGGCCTGGCTCGCCGCCAAGGGACTTGTAGCTTGGCGGCACGGCTCATTGTCCTCGAATGGGGTGGGTTTGGCTCCCAGATATCGGGGTTGATTGGGGAATTTTTGTTTCATGGGTTTGGGGAGCTGAGGTGGGGACGCACTGATAAGGTTGAGTGGATTTGGATTTGGATTTGGGATTGATTTGAATTTTGAATTTCTTGCTTTGATGTCTTGATAAGGAGGGCACGGGAAGTAAGATTCAGGTTTGATGAAGGGTGTTGTTGGTTGGAAGGCGAAGGTAAAACTCCGTTACCTCCCTCTCCCCCCTCTCTCTCATGTGAAACTCATCCCATCCCGTCTTGTCCAACGGCCCCGTGCCCTGCACTCTGCTTGCTGCTCTGCCTTTCTGGCCAGCTACAGAGCTACCTTGTGTGGCACAAGGGACATTTCCGCATGTAGAAGGTTGTCAAGAGTCGCGGGCGGGAGGGCGGCTGCTGCTGCTGCTTTCACGCAGATGCCATGGCGGAGGTGGCCATGACTAGACAAGGTCCGGTATTATGAGGACGAGGGGAGGGAGATCCAGTGCACTACACCGGCATGCAGATTGATAGATTGATGGATGCGATGGCGGTACTGCTGCACCACACCGATCTCCATGAGTTTCTTGGGGTATTGCAGAAATCTGGGGTTTTCGGGGTCGCCTTGCCAGGACGATGATTTTGTATAACGTAAATGTACAAAAAAAGTCTTGACCGAGGTCACGGCGGCGGCAAATCCATGTGTGGAGATGGGCTGGAGCTATGGGAGGGGCGTTCGACTACGGCAGCCAGCGAGGGAAGCCCACTCGTCAAACCAGACCAGCCAGTGAGATCTTCACCACTGACAGGCTGGATCCTCAACTGGAGTCGACGAACTCGAGGACCCCTTCGTTCAGCCAATCCATCAGTGGCGGACCCTCCCTCGTCTCCTCCACTATAAAAGACGCCCACTCAAAATTCCTGCTCGCTGTCTCCACCTTCCTAATCACGACGTCGAACCACGAACTGTAATCGAATCTCCCTTCATACCTATCGTCTCTCTAAAGCGATAACCAAACTCCCCTTCCAGTGAAATCAAACAGTGAAATGATACTCGCCTCAGCCGCACCCACACTCGACTCGACGGTGAGCACCGAAACGCACATCTCGGAATTGGCCACCAGCCCAGCTTTATATCAGGCCTTAGGAAGCTGGGGATGCGTGCACACCTCCCAACCTGGAGTAGCAGGCCGGGCCCAGGAATGTTGACCTTCCTCTTCCGTCCATAGAGCCGGCAGCGGTAGTGCCGTGCAGTGCAGCGCTGTGCAGTGCAGTGCAGTGCAGCCAGTGCCAGCCGAGCCAGCCCCAGAGCCCTCAAGGCCGATGGGCGTTGTGCCAAGCGTGCAAGCCGAACACCTTATCGCGACCCTAGCTCGCCTAGGACCCGAGGCCCCTACTTGTACTGTAGAGAGGATTGTGGATGTCAGGGCGGGGCAGCGAACGAGCGAACTCAGGAAAATATGTCACATCCCTGTCCCAGACAAGGAGACGCATGGGGGATGAGGGGCGACTGAGTGAGACAGAGATTTGGATATTCATCGTGATTCGAGGACTCCAAGGACAGATGGGGGGCGGATCATCGATAAGTGCAGGTGCTGTGCATGGCCCGAGGATCCAACGACAGGACAGGCCCAGCCAAGACTGGATACTACAGCAGAACATGTCAAGATGAGCGGAGACGGCTTCTATTAGACAACGAGCTAGAATCCTCGACGAATAGATATGCGGCTTATGGTTGGCTGCGGCCGGATTTACTTTGGGGTGCGAAAGCAGGGGACGCACGCGAGGGATCCATGGAGGGGATGGGATGGGATGGGATAGGATAGGAAAGGATAGGTTGGAGGGGCCGAGGGAAAGATTTCTGGTTCTGGTTCTGGTTCGTGGTGGTGGTGGTGATACATATAAACTCACCGGCCCACGTCAATTCTGACTTCTCACCTCCAGCTCTGCTCCAGCGTCAAGAGTCAAGCGTCAAGCGACAAGCGTCGAGTCGAGAGTCAAGACTCACTCCGTCAGGGTCAGCTCGTGAAGGTCTTCAACATCGATCTTCCGATCTTGTAACACCTCACCAGCACTTACCTTGCCACGACAGACCTCATCGTCCGTCGCGCAAATTCTTTCCTCCCCGCGTTTCTTTATACAATACCAACACAATGGCAAGCAACGTCAATGATGTCGTCGAGCGCGACAACAACACCCATTTCCAGAACAGGGAAACCAATGCCTTCGGAACCCACGAGGCAAAGGAGCCATACCATGATCCTCACAAGGTCGACGAGTTCAGCAATGAGAAGATTAGCTCCGCGTCGCGCACACCTACAAGCGAGCCAGCTGTGCTCGAGGTCGACAGCGAGAAGGGAGTAAAGGATTACCGCGAGAAGGAAGTTGGAGGCACACCAGGTAGCTTTTCAGAGGGCGAAGGCGAGCGAGAGCAACCCTCGATCATTCGGAAAATCTGGAATATGATGAAGCCGTTCTTCTTCCCTGTCTTCTGGCTTCTGATGACTGGGTACGTACGAGCAGATTCGACTCAATTTCCTTTTCCCCGTGTGCGTGTGACGAGCAGCAGACTGACAGGTAACACAGATGGTGGATTGCTGGACTGAATCTCCATCGCCACGATATCGGTGGTCCTACCGAATCGTGGTTGATCCCCTTCCTTGTTTGGTTGGCCATCACCATTCGCCTGGTCACACTGTACGTCTCGACCAAGTATGTCACTAAGCCAATCGCCTGGGTATGGATGAAGGCCATCTACAACCCTGTCCAGATGATCCCCGAGAAGTTGAGATTGCCATTGGGAGCCGCTGGAACTATTGCCGTCTTCATTGTCGGAACATTCGCCAGCGCAGAGACCGCCGACAACACACGTGCCAACCGCGCGGTCAGTCTTTTCGGTCTCGCCTTCTTCATCTTCTGTTTCTACGTCACCTCCAATAACCGAAAGGCCATCCAATGGCAAACCGTCATTGTCGGCATGCTCGCACAGTACATCCTCGCGCTGTTCGTGCTCCGCACTCAAGCCGGTTATGATATCTTCAATTTCATCGCCTTCCTCGCGACCTCTCTTCTTGGATTCGCAGCTCAGGGAACTTCTTTCCTGCTTAGTGCTGATCTCCTCAAGTTCAACTACTTCCTCCTCGGTGTTATCCCACCCATTATCTTTTTCGTCGCCTTTGTCCAGCTGCTTTACTACTGGGGCTGGCTTCAATGGGCGATCGGAAAGTTCGCCACGATCTTCTTCTACGGTATGAAAGTGTCTGGAGCTGAGGCCGTCGTGGCTGCTGCGTCGCCGTTCGTCGGACAGGGTGAATCTGCCATGCTGATCCGTCCGTATATCCCTCACTTGACATCCGCCGAGTTGCATCAGGTCATGACATCTGGATTCGCCACCATCGCTGGTTCCGTGCTGGCTGCTTATATCGGAATGGGTATCTCGCCTCTGGCGCTCATTTCCTCCTGTGTCATGTCCATCCCTGCATCGCTCGCCATCTCCAAGCTCCGCTACCCAGAAACCGAGGAGACTCTCACAGCTGGCAAAGTCGTCATTCCAAAGGACAACGAGGAGAAGCCCGCCAACGGTCTCCACGCTTTCGCTAATGGTTCGTGGCTCGGTCTCAGAGTCGGCGGTATGATCATCGCTGCTCTCCTCTGCATTCTGTCTCTGCTCGGCCTCGTCAATGGATTGCTTGGATGGTGGGGCAAGTACCTGAATATCAACAACCCATTGAGCGTCGAGTTGATCTGCGGTTACATCTTCTACCCCGTCGCCTTCCTGCTCGGTGTCCCCAGAAACGGGGATATTTTCCGCGTCTCGAAACTCATCGGCTTGAAGGTTGTGGCTAATGAGTTTGTTGCTGTAAGTTTTTTTTTTCCCTCCTCCTGAGATCAAAATTTCTCTCAAAAGTTTGAAAACAAGATACTGACGGATATGAATATATAGTTCGCAGCAATGGTCAAGGACGACCCCAAGAACGACTACCTCAAACTCTCGGAACGCTCCCGCCTCATCGCCACCTACGCCGTCTGCGGCTTCGGAAACATCTCCTCGGTCGGTATCCAGATCGGTGTGCTCTCCTCCCTGGCACCAGGCCAGGCTGGACGTGTGGCCAAGGTGGCGCTGTCGGCGCTGATCTCGGGTGTCATCTCGACGTTGACGAGTGCGAGTATTGCGGGTATGCTGATTGTGGATTCGGCGGCTTATACGAAGGTTGGTGGAACTTAGGGGGTGGGGGAGGGGGGTGGATGAGGGGATTTTGTTTTGTTTTTGCTAGTTTTTGAGGGATGGGGGATGGGATGGGAAGCGATGGGATGATACCATGTTAAAAAAAAAATTTCCTTGAGATCAGCAATCAAGTCAGATGAGATGAAATGAGATCAGATGAGATGATATGATATGGAAGTGGTTAAAAAAGTTCCTAGTGAGCTGTAACTAATAAGACTGGTATGTTATAATGAGAAAGAAACAAACAAACAAACAAACAACTCTTCACATCTCCATCCTTGTTTCATACTGTTTTCATTTTTCACCCGCTTCTGAGTCCCCAAGTCTGCTCCTACTTTGATTACCCCCCCCCTGCCCTCGCCTAAACTGTATGCTACTCAACATTTATTATTATGTATCATATATTCAACGATGCTGTCGGCGTAAGGGGGCTAGGGAGGTGGGCTGTGAGGTATAAAAGTAGAAGGCAGAGCTGGAAGTACAGGACTCGAAATCAGGACTAGAAATTAGACCCAAATTTTGAAACTCGACAATCAATGATAGAATTGAGGTCTTGGTAAGTTTTCCTTTAATACACATCGAAAGGCGTGCCGAGGTGGTTCGTCAGACCGAATACAAGATAGATATATACGGTAACGGCACTGCTCATCATTGAACTATCTGCTTTTGATGACAGAAGCTGTCAGAAACGGAGTCTTTGAGAACGGGACTATCGACTAGAATCGCGGAGAGAAGGACAGTTTTGGCGTGTAAATTTCATATATATATGGCGGGAATTGAGAAATTGGGAGACTTTTCGTTTCGATCATCGCGTTATTCATGCAATGGCTTTATGCTGAAGCACGAGGATGGGCCGGGGGCATTTCACTCGACCATGAAAGATGCAGGCTTCGAGTACACGCTGTGGTAACCGGGACACTGGTCGTCAACGATGGCAAAGACTTCAGCAGAATGCACGTTTCCAGTAGTGGATTGACGTGAAAGGCAGCGATTTAACTGGAACCCCTTCCTTTCCCATCTTCTGGCCATTGATACCCAAGGCCTCTATATGCCGGTGTCCTGCTAGACTTTCGCGGCTCGATATGTATTGTACCACTTTCACTCGACATCTAAATGGTACGTTTGAGACACCAACTGATGACTTGCGACTCTGTGGGTGATCTTGCGGAGACTTGGTCATGAATGGAGAGGATCGCAATGACTGAAGTCTGGTTTGTGGTATGTTGTTGAGGATCACGTTATTCGAGAAACGTCCGCTGCTCAGTTGATGTTGAACCACCTACTCTAGAGATTCGATGAGACCCTCAACATGATCCAGCAGCCACCTATTTGTTGGATGTTGACAATCAGTATTGTGATGTTCCTGTCCTGTCGGAGGCGAGGAACGAAGTCCTGACGTTGAGGATTTGGCGCGTCAAAAATTAGCCCTGGCACGTGCAAGCACCCCTCGTTCCACCTTCCTTCCGTCAAGCGAATCTACAACATCGATGCTGGCGGAACTTGTTTGGAGACATTATTTCGTTATGAACCTATAAATTATATACACTGATTGAAGGTCATATATACATTGGTCTCCACAGATCTCATTACAGTCATGCGTCATCTTCGATCATATCGTCCCAAGGTCTTCGCCTGCTTCGCGACCCACCTCTCAACCACCTTGAAGTAGTCATAGCTGTTCGATTCCAGGTATCCAAAATGTCCGTTTCCACGAACACCCTCATCCGCCATCTTGATCCAATCGGTCTTCACACCAACTTGGTTGAGGAAATCGATCACGCAGTGATCATAAGTTGCGTGTGGGCTGGCTTCTCCAGTGAAGGCAACGTATGGGACCTTGGCGACGTTGGGAAGGGTGTGAACGGTGTGATTTCCGCCAGTTGCTTGCAAGATACAAGATCTCTTGGAAGGTGTATCTTCACCTACGGTCACGGTCACCAGGTCGGTGTAGTTTGAGATCGGTGGTGAGAAGTTGAGATTGGTGACCGTCAGACCGAATGGACGGGCAGCAGTTCGACCGACCGAAGAGGTGGCATTGCCGACATATGACTGGAATGGGATGTTTCCTGGCTCCAAGTTCACACTTCCTGCAACGAGAGTTGGACACTCATCAGCCAGGAGGATCGGGTGGATAGAGCCGATCGAATGAGCGACGAGAAATGAGGGGCCGATGAGAGAAAGGAGTTCGCATCCAGATGCTCGCATCGACAATTCTTGCCGGGTGTTGTTTGATGTCAAGGGGATAAAGGACGACTCGAAAGCATCAAAGACAGGATCGCCACGAATTCCTGTCCCAGGCCATTCGGTGTGCAATTGGCTCTGAGGGTATGCATTCTTCGCTTCTGGGTTTGTGAAGCCAACTTCCGTGATATTGGCAGTACTACCAATGCGCAGAGGATATCCAGTCAGGTCATTCTGTGTCCCGCGACCAACCGATGTCTGATCAACGATATAGACGAGATATCCTTTGTCGAGAAACCTAGAGGCCATGCCTTTTCGGTTGTCTGGTGTGTTCAGCCATGTCTATCTTTACATCAGCTGAGAGCCATCAGATCCCCTAGGTCACTCACTCCTCCCGAGACGCCGCCTCCATGGAAAAATACCAAGGGATATGGCTGCCTGACACCCTTCTGTGGCGTGAGTTTCTCGACGTACATCTGATCATACGTCAAGAGCCCGACGGCTGCATTGACGTACTTGCCCCCAACCCAGAATACATCTCGCTGGTATGCAGACTCTTTAGAGTTGCATTCTGGCTTGATAGCATTGATACCGGTACAATCCTTCGCGAGGACAGTTACCGTCACACACGAAAGTATAGCAGCCCAGAGAAATAACATCTTGTAGCAGGCTAAAAGAACCGCCGTTGAGATGTTAAGTGGACAGGATAATTAGCTTCTGGCGAGACGGAAAAGAAGGTTTCCGGTGACAGCGGCTGATGAAGGTTTTGTGTTGATTACCTGACGGCTCTTGGTATCCACTCATATCAGCCTTTGAAATATTGGAACGTTCAAGTGGGGAGAACAATTTCCTTCATCCCATCTTTGGCAGTTCCTGCTGGATGGGAAGTGGAAGCGACCATCTTAGGCTCCAAATTACTTACATCTGAAGAATTGTTCGGCCAATCGCAAACACCCCGGAATCCCAGGTTCAGGGGATGTCGTGGGAAAATTCCCTTGAATCTCGAAGATTGTTTCAAAGGCTTGCGGGGAATTCAAATACCCCCAGTGCTCAAGCCCTGCCGCCAACTTTTTGGCTTGCAGATGCTCCGGCTCCACCACTGTCGATGGGGGTCATTTCCGGTGGCTCGATGAACCTTATTTTTCGTGATCCTTCAGAAGCCAATTGAGGCGCCATCCAACAACGACTCCCGAATATTGCTCTCGGCTTATAAAGTTGACAATGTTGATGCGACTCCTAAAGACAAGAAACAGTTGATTGCAACTTACAGGACAGCTTGGTTTCAATGCTTCAGAAGTCTGAGCTCTATGTTCATCCGGCAATCCGATGAAGATCACCAGCCCATCCTTGCACCAAATCACAACTTCCAAACAGTCGCCCCCACATCCCCTGATTCCTGCATCTATAAAATTGGAGAAAATCTTCCAATCCGATGCATCGAGGAGAACTCGATTAAACTTCAACCAAATATTTTGACTTTAAAAGCAAGATTTTGACATCCGTTCTCTTGGAGACCCTGGATCGAGAAATGTTCAAAGCTTGGTAACGGTTTCAGGATAACGATATTACTCCGTGCGGGAAGCATGTTTTCTATAATGGAGTTGGATGAGGAAAGCAACTTCTTGGAAATTTTACGCAATGCCCGGCCATTCGGCAAACTTCGGAAGGCGAGTCAGAGACGACTCTGGCGTTTCTGGATAACATTCCGTCCAAGGATACCTTGTGGATAACATCTTATTACTGTCTCATCCGATCTCAGCTGCAGGATTATGACGATGCTCTGTAGGGCTACCGACGACTAGTGAGGCGGGTGGAACCGCACTCGCGACGGGAATTTTATTTCCCGAACAGCTTGTGACATGCCAGCCCAGTATTGATCCTGGAATATGACAGTCTTGTAGCCATATATCGTTCGATTTATATTGTACTCCAAACAGCTATCAGCTCTAGCCGAACCTTTTGAGCAGTTTGTGGTGGCATGTTCAAAGCTTCTTCAAGGTTCCCAGTTGGATCTGAACGATAGCACCACTGTCCAATAGGACGTTTGAGCATTTCTCGGCGAACTTGCTTCGGACAGACGAGGGGAAGGATGAAGCTTGCGGGGATTGTTTGGCCAAGCCTGCTTATCAAGTGACGATGCTTGGGAAATCGCGAAAAGAATGGATTGCAATCCGACCTTCGGAATGCAAAACTCGTCTCTTTTTGTGATTGGCGAATCTGATGGATATTTCCCACTCTTTGATGCTATCACAACAGGGTCTCGCGACATTCAATGTAATGGATGCTCCCCGAAACTTTAATTCTCAGTTCTTACCATGGTAACAAAGTGGGTAGGACGCGTTGAAGTCTGACGTTCGGTATTTCACTGGTCGAATGCTCGCCAAATTGAACTGGAATTACTCATTTTAAACCGGATACTCGTGCTCACAAAGATTGAGCAAAAAGAGCCCCGCTACACTTCATTTGTTTGTGTTAATACCGGCTGTGGCCCCAGACTGCCGCCCCCGCAGTCTAAAGGTATTGAAGCATTGTTCTCCAGATCGCCTTGATCGGTTGAGACATTCCTCTCCTGAAGAAAAAGTCATCAAATCCTCAAAGCCATCAAAATGTCGTCGATACTGGCCTCAGCATCGTCGATTATTGCCACGGCCTTACCTACGGGGACAATCTCAGCACATATTGGGTCTCCCCCAAACACAACGGAAGATTATTATGTGGCAAAGTACCTGCTCATGGCCTTCGGCAAGACGACAGATCCTATGCTTGGTGCTTTTGTACCTCCAGCACGACCAACAGAGGGATATGTTTTCGAGACACGGGGCCCGAGGATTTTGGCTTCGATGAGCATTGCTCTGGGTACTATGGTCATCATCACCGGACTGAGGCTAGGATTGAGGATTTTCAGGAGAGGGTTGATGGTTGGGATGGATGATTTCTTCATCATACCTGGTGTATTACTTGCCATATGTTGGCCGACACTGCAGATGTGTGCTGTGATATATGGAGGAGCGGGGAAGCATGTAGGTATTCGTCTCCTTGTGGCTGGGCTTGTAGTGCCTTTGACCTTCAAACTACTGCTGGTTGAAAGCCATTATCTTCACGCCCCGCCTCAATTGCCAATGACTGACTAGTTACCCGCAGATGTACGATGTCACATAGTACGTAGTCCCGGACAACACTTTCGGTTGCTGTTAGTTTTGACGGATGGGAGCTAGCCATCGATATGCCGGAATTCGTCTCGCATTCAAGTGGAGAAATTGTCTGGAGAACGCTCACTAACTCCCATTACAGTGAGGAGTATGCACGCTTCAAACGATTCTCCAACCTTTCGAAACCAATCTTCTTCGTTGCTGTTGGGATGATTAAAGTGTCGATATGCTTTTTCAAGTCAGTATTTCCAATCCGTTCTGGTCAGAATTTTGGAAGCAGTCGATAGTGGTACCAATTCCCAGAGCAGCCTACCTTGACAAGATAAATCAAGTCCAGGACTTAGAACCTCGTCTCAAGTCGTACTAACCTCTTAATCTTCCAGTCGACGGCTGACATCGCTCACTTCCAATGCCTGGTTAATGTTCAACAACATCTTTCTCGTTCTACTCGTCACCTATATAATGCTATCGCTCTTCTGGACCATCTTCCAATGCGACCCCCCTTGGGCAGGTTGGGATCCAATCAGAATCGCGAAGGAAAGCAGACAGTTCAAATGCACCAGCGACAACATTGTCGGCAGCACCTTGAGCGTCATCCATGTCATCATGGACTTCGCGCTGCTCTCAGTACCACTGATCGTGCTATGGAAAGTTCGGATGGGGTGGGGAACCAAAGCTCGGCTGTATTTCGTCTTTAGTATTGGGGCGATGAGTTGCATTGGCTCCGTCATGCGCCAAATTGAGCAGAAGAAGCTCTCAAGTGATGTTCTGTGTGGGTTTATTTTTCCACACCTCAGTCTCCTCGCTAAGAGTCTCTAGGGAACTTCATCCACCTTCAAGATTGGACTTTGATCGATCTGACCTTCGGCGTGGTCGCCGCATCACTTCCTATCCTTTCGGCATTCATACCAGCATCATGGAAGAGTGTGAGAGGGACAAATGACCCGACGAGTGCCAAGAATGCCATGTCAGGTTCCAACAGCTCGAATGGGACTGGGGGATACATCCGATCGAGAAGAAGAACAAGCATTAGCGGAAAACAAGAAAGGTCAGACAGTATGGAGAACATTGTAAGAACCGACGTTATCGAGTTGAAATTCCAGAACAGGAGCGACTACTTCGATGCAGAAAGCAAGGAGAGAAAGGAGGCAAGGAAGTCGAGGGCTGCGAGTGGAGGTGACTCTCATATGGACTGGACTTCAGAGGAGATATTCCCGAACAGCCTTCATAACGAGACATGGATCGGGAGGGGTTCTGGGAGGAAGGAAGTCAACTGAGGGCTCAATTTATGCTCTTCTTACGATATGACGACACATTTCTCTTTCCAGTTGTTTCCGTCTCATTTTTCATGTCAAGTCATCCTTGGAAAGTCACAGGGGTTCATTACACCAAGTCTTTGACAGTGTCATCGAGGTTCTCCTCTGGCAATCGCAAGACGGAGTTGCTCAAACCCTCCTGCTCTCATTGTCTCCACCAATTCCATCCTTCACCAAAGGGCCATCAGCAGTTTGAGAACTGTAGGCATGTCTCCTTGAGCCAATAGCACGACCTATCATTGTTCAGGGTGAGTCGCTTGATTCGACATGCCATTTGGCTGTGAGCCTCAACCCCACACACACATCTAGTGGCTATTACTGTGATGTGAACCGCTGATCTTGCGGCAGTGTCCCTCAATCAGCTTCTCGCGTTCACTGACCAACTCCACTTTCCGAAAGGGTCCATTTGAAGCGCTTTCATTGCAGTCACTGTCAACCGGCTTCTCCACCGACCTGGATGACAGCGGGATAGCAACTGTATCGCTTACAAATTCGTTGTGACAGTTCACTGGGTGGGTATGATGGTCCGCCGGCTGGGGAGATGACGGGCCGATGGAATTGGGGATTGACATTGTGGATGTTCTGAGACGAAGTTTTGAGAGATGCCCCACCGTTGAGGAGATGAGTTGTATGAGATGACTTTGACACTCGTGCAGGGGTAGAAAATGTCGCTCATATCCAGCTTCAGCAGTCGAAGAAAAGCTGGGTGATATGTCGTTCGGTCGGGATATTCTTGGACGATGCATATGACTGGATTTAACTTCGTTCGGACCAGCTGGCCACGAAGCCGCCCTCGAGGCACTGAAGTGGCAGGTAGGAATTGGTGCGTTCCAAGGCATGATTAGAGGTCATCGTCTCAACACAGCCTGAAAGCTACTTGCTGAACTTCGAAATCCCAAAGTTGAACACAAAGATTGGATTCCATTCCCAAATGTTGATCTTATATTACCACTTACTCCCTCAGAATGAGAACGGAACGGGTTCTGGCTGCTATCCTGACTATGCCACCAAGTCACAGAATTCTGTCTTGGGTATGTCGATGAGGATTTGGAGTTGACTTCAGAAGATCTTGACAGTCGCAGCGCCCACAAACTTTTGGCTTGAGGTTCGAATGCAGGCAGCTTCGGACGATGTACTCATGGTTACTGGCCACATATACATCTTCAAAAGCTTGGTCAACACCAACTGAAGCAGTCTCGGCTCTTCGACACACTCTGAGGCAAACCAAAACCTCGTAGCCCGACCTTTTGGCGGTCCTCACATGGGCAGCGAGACACCTGGCCCTAGCATCAACATGAAAGTCCAGACGAGTGACGCAGAAAAATCGACCTTATTAGAAGCAGGTATGAGAATTATCCATTGACGTAGGATCCTCCGCTAGCATTAGGATATGTGCATCGTGTGCTTGAGGTTTGCATTGGTGGTCTGAGGGTTTGTGAAAATGTCATTCAACTCACCATGTATTTCTGTGGTGGGTGTTGTGGGTTGGGGGAGTCGTCTCCAGCACCTACAAAATCGAAGATTGGAGTTTTACCAGGTATGCGACACTAATGCAAGCCCGAGATCCCAGAAAAGATCCATACGAAATAATCAAGCATTTCATCATCGACGATCTGCAGACTGCCGTAAATTGAAATTGGTGGCTCAGCTTCATGCGCCTCGAGATCAACAGTTGATTGGCCAGAGCTTACCCCTTTTCAGATGGCAGAGCGTGGCGCATCAAGCCTGGGACTGGGCTTCAGCTCGAAACCATGGATCCCCAGGGCCAAGAAACAAGCTTAAAGCTTAGGCTAGCCCTACACTGTTCTGACAGATCGCTCGGATGAGCAGCAGCATATTCTCACTATATGCAAGTACCTGCTTAAGTTCCGAATATCCATTCCCCGCAGTGTATCTGTGTAACGGCATCATCTTAAGTACAGATTGCAGTTATTTCTCCCAATTTCGAGCCCCAAACACGGAAATAAAGGGGTTCCGCTGTCAAAGGATGTCCCTGCTCAGCTCCGGGATCGTGCATCCTACTGAACAGACTGGCGCCTTGCCATCACCACGCTAGAGCGCATTGGGGAAACCGATCTTCCCCTAACCCACAGCCACTTTCCAGCTATGGCTTGGTTCAGACGACTATGATTTCACACGGCTGGATCTCAGCTTTCATGACTGGGCAAAACGTCAGATCAGGGCAGACTTTCAGCCGTGGGCCAATTTCTTTCATTTGAGGGGGTGCAACTATTTAAAGCTTGCCAATTCCACAAGATCTCCTTTGTTCCCGTCCGATATCCTGTCCTCGTTAATTTCTCCGTACCTACTTTCTTCGACATTCAAGCAACTATTTGATTCATCACTCACTACCATTCAACTTTTCAAGCAAACACAAACCTCCACTCCAGACAAGATGTTCGCCAAATCCATCCTCGTTGCAAGCCTGGCTGCCATGGCCCTCGCAGATCCAATCCCAGCACCTGCTCCTCAAGCAACAACTGATCTCGGTTCCCTGCCCACAGATGCTGGCGATCTCAGCTCTCTCCTCGACGCTGCCACATCCCTCGCCGGCACCGACTTGAACTCTCTCCTCAACGACGCAACATCTGCTCTCGGCGTACTCTCCGATATCCCTACCCTCCCAGCCTCAGTTCAATCCGTCCTTGCGACCGCAGTCCCCGAATCAGAGCTCACCAGAACCGACATCCAATGTATCGCTACCGCCACGCCCGACTGGTTCAAGAGCCTCCCCAACGACGCCAAGAGCGCGATCTCTAGCTACGAGACCGCTCTCGCAAGCTGGTACGTAGATTATTGGACAAGCCCGTTTTCTTCAGGTTTCATTTATCGCGGGGAACTCGGGATTTTCTGAGACATGCCTTTACCTGTTCCGTAAACCATTGCCGAGGTAACTGCTGACTCCCGATCGCGTACAGGTACTCTGAGCACAGCTCTGAATTGGGTTCTCTTACAACTGGTGTCCCCCAGCCATGTGCTGCTGCTACTGGTAGCGGCGCGTCGCCAACCACCACTGGAGGCTCAAATGCCACCCCGGCTTCGTCGAGTGGATCTGGAAGTGCTGCTCAGACCGGAACTTCGACTGCTGCTGCTCCTCGTGCTACCGCTATGGCTGCGAGCATCGCTGGTCTTGCTGGTATGTTGGGAGTCATGGTCGCCTTGTAAGACTTGGGTTTGGTTAAGGGATGGCGTGAATGGTGGGTGTTCGATAAGAATGTAGAAAAGCTGGGACATGCTCGGGAAGGGGGGTGTTTTGTTGAAAATGTAATCATGTTGAATTATTAGATCAATAATCTTCTATTCACGGCTCTTTCAAGAGTCCTAGTTTCTGAATGTAAATCATTTCAAATACCGAGATCCAGGCTGAGTTGAGTAATCAGAACTTACTTTCCTTCCCTCCTTCTGCGATTTGATTGTATTGTGGCACTTCACCGTCTGCACATCCCTTCTGAAACTCTCACAGCTAAATCAATGCTCCTCCCAAATATGATTCAGAATATCCATGCCCGAACACATGGCAAAGTAACAGCATCAGCGTTTGTCCCTCCAAGCCGGGCGAACCTCGGGTAGTCCTGAAGCGAAACTCTAAGAAGACCTCATTCGTGCAGCACGCCACCTTTCTCAAAAATGGCATCAAATCATATCCCGCCTCCAATTCCACGACTTTCTCTATTCTGACAAAGAACTGTTCACAAATCCATATCTCACTCACCCCATATAACCCCTCCATCAAACACCATCCTTCTCACCATCAACCACAACACGAAACGACCAAAAAATGCCTCTCAAAGTCTCTTCCGAATCACCCTCTGAGCTCGAAGCTTCTCTGAAAGCTACTGCCACAACATCCAAGCCGGCGTTCTTCATCGTCTATGCGTCTCTTGTGAATGGAAAGTCGTGGTGTGGGGATTGTCGCGATGCAGAGTCGTTTGTGAATAGCAAATTTGCGAGTGGTGAGGACGTGGTGAAGGTTGTGTATGCGGGACAGCGTGATGAGTAAGTCAGGTTTTTCCTTCGATTTGGGGCTTGAATGGTTGTCTTTGTTGTCTTCAACTGGTTATTCATTGATATTGGAGCTGAACGAAAACTATAGGTGGCGAAAGCAGGATAATCCATGGAGAGCTGACCCCTTCAAGATCACGAACTTGCCGACCTTGGTGAAGGTTACTGCTGATGGCGTGAGTTGCACCTCACATAAATTGTTTTTCCGAACCAGCTGACAGGAGGAATTAGAACGTGGAGAAGCTTGTAGAGGCTGATGTCTATAATCAGCGGAAGCTTGATGCGTTTGTGGGCTTCTGAGAAGATGGTTTTATAGAGTTTCGCCGCATCACGTGGTTCACCTGAAATGCCTCAGAGGGCATCTCAGCACAGTATTACTGGTGGTGCGAATGATACCTTGATTATACACTCTTTTTCCGAATGAGAGTGAATGCAGCTGATGCCTGTTTATTCTGGGCATTCCAGTCAGCAGCGAAGACAATACCAGAGGCCGGCCTGCGTTGCTTGCTCATGTGTGTTATTCAGATATCCCCCAACAGGAGACCTTGGCCTTCGAATACAAAAGTTAAAAAGCAAATACATCGTTTCCAATATGCTCACAAAATTCCTTTTGTTTGTTAACCACAAGCTTCAACGCCAACAGATCAGACACAGAGCTCAACAATAACTTAAGTTCACCGAAACCATGACCCGCTTCTTCAGTTACTTCAACAACCTATCCAGCGGCTACCCCGCAAACTACGGCACAACAGCCAATGATCCCCGCCGCTATCATCATTCTCCTGGATTAAGAGGCCTCTACGGCCATCAGATGCAGCACAACTACCCCTACCCAAGAGCAAACAACTGGACAAGTAACAGTAACGGCAGCAGCCGACTAACCAGTATCCCTCGATCCTCTCCACGAAGCTCCTTCACAAGCGGACTCTTCAACGTCTCGGATAGCACACTTACTAGCATAAGAGGCTTGACTCCGCAAGTAGCTCCACAAGCGGGATGTTTAATGGATCCTGGTATGGTGGGAGTCGGACGAGTAGCTCGAGTGGTTATAGTGGCTTAGCTACTGGGTTTCCGGTGATGTATGGCGGGAGGTCGAGGGGTGGGAGTAGTACGAGTAGTAGTATGTCGTCTTTTGGGAGGGTGCTATTTACTATGCGGTTTTGAGGTGGGTCGAGAGCCCGAGGCTGCGCCCATGGCGTTGTCAGTTTGGAAAGATATTTGACAACTAGCATTACTGACCGTATGATGTGGAATCTATGAGATCCAAGTATGACATGGGCATAGTATGTTGTTTATTCCAGACACGGAGAAGGACGAGTTGCATTGCGAATATCATGGTATGAGCCGTGCTGAGGTCCATGATTATTTTACATGAGCAAATCATGATGGTCTGAGGTGACGAAGTCCCATTTTTCACCCATGTGACTGCAACACTGCAACACCCCGCGATTGAAAAGTACAAAAGGAAAGAGTCGACTGAAAAGAGACGCTAGCATAACACTAGTCTAAGATTCCACTGGAGATGCTACCTCCTCTATTCAATCTTCAAGATTTGTCGGTCAAGCTTCGAACTCCAATTCCAACCTCCAACCTCCAACCTCCAATCTCCAACCTCCAATCTCCAACGTCCAATCTCCAACCTCGGTGCTCTCAAATTCTTTCAGCCAATCTCCAAGTTCAGCGTCATCTGCAGCTTCCCAAATTTTCAGCAAATATTCCCTGCTTCGATTTTCATTGCTCCAGACATGGACAGCCAACCTTCAGGAGAGTCACAAATGCCTTCTTCCAGCAACAAGAATGGTCTCGAATCTGACGGTTCCCCAAGTAATGTCCAAGATCCTAACAATAAGAGCTCACCTTCACCATCTCAAGCGGGAGTCTCCACCAACGAACATCAACAAATTGTCACTGAGTTCCAACTATCACTTATTCAACTGACTCAAGAGATCCGCAACCTTCCACTGGACAGGCAGCAAGCCATCATTCAGAGCGACGGATTCAAACAGCTCCAGCAAGAAGCCAAGTGCGAGCAGTTTCACACGTACCTCACCGATATTCACAACGAACCTGTCTCAGGCGTTGACTCTCGTACTGCCTTCAATCTCTGCGTTATGCTCGATATATCAGACATCTCACGGAACTTGCAGAAAGTAGTCCGTTCCTCGAATCGTCACACTTACAAAACCCCTCAGTCGGCCAGCGGAACTATCGATCATATCTTGAGGTCGATTAGCTCACTCATTACGTTCTCAGATTCACATAAATTTATCGGCAAGTTCCAAGATGCTTATTTTCAAGCAGGTCTAGTAGACCTCAAACCAGAGAGCCATGAAATGATGCGTGGTCGCATGCTTGGTTTTGATTATCGCCTCCAACTTGGCCACTACTGGCACGAGTGGTGCAATCTGTTCGTCGATGTCAACGTCGGAAATGACAAATTTGGTGCCCTCCTTGCGCTTCTTGCTGTTAAACGAGTTTACAACGGGCAGCCGGTAGATCCAAATTCCGAAGAATACCAGGAGGTGATGGGCACGCAACCAGAGTGGAGTGCAGACATTCCACCAAGAGAATATGGGACAGACAAGGCCTGGGAAATGGTATCGGAGGGGATGTCGAACACCCAACTCATGTATGTCAGAGACTACATCAACAAGTATATCCCCCGATTCGTGAGCCTGACAAGTTTTCTCAACCCATGGGCGACAAGGCTAGCAGATGACAAGACTCTGAGTGAGGATGAGATCGCTAGGTTTGAGACTGGAATTCAGGCCGTATTAGAGGAGAGTGGAGGAGTCTGAGCGAGAAAAATCTGAGACAACGGGAGATGGGGAGAGGATGACAGTCTCAGAAAGGCAACATTGTTGGAGGCTTGTCACCTTCTAGGACAATTTGCGGCTTCGATGGAGGCTTGATAGCACCCGGCTTGTCATTTCAGGACTCGCTTTCCATTAACATAGCAATCGACTTTACTTTGAGAAATATTCCAGAGCAGCACAGGACTTTCGTCACGGGTCGTCACCCTGTTGGACCAGGCCGAAAGCTTTTGCAGCAGGGGAGCAGCAGACCATTTAGCAATGATGTCGCTTGATGCTTGGAGACTTCTACCTGGGGATCAAAATAAGCTTCGCACATCATTTCAAGTCAAACGCTTTCCGAGCGTGAGGCTGACTATCTCTTGCTTTCGGGGCAAATGGATCCAAGTGCCGGTCAGCACGCTAATCTCGCCCGCCCCGTTCTCACGTAAACATTGCTAAGCGAGATGAATTGACGCTAGGTATCAATATGGATGGGTTTGGGACAGTATGCAGCATACTTCAAACTCAAGCATCCTCTATAAATATCAATGTACCGTAAATAATACTCTCCACTTCATAGTCTGCATCATAGCCCCAAGTGCGCGTCCGTCACCCAGTGGCCACCTGCAGAACATCGATATCCTCCACTCTGCTTAATCCATCGGAAACCAGCCGGACATATACCCATCTCGCGCAGCCTAGCTTGAGCTTGCTGTTCTAATTTACGCCTTTCCTGCTCCTCCTTCTGTCGTCTTTCCAACTCTTTCTGAATTCTTTCCCTCTCATCCTTAGCCTCCATCGCTCGAATCCTCGCTTCTTCGCGTTTTCGCAACAGCTCGTTGGCTTCCGCTTCGTTCTTAGTTTCGATGGCTCGAAGAACAGCCGCTTCTTCTTCTGCCTTCTTCTCTGCTTCTTCAGCACGACGGATGGCTTCTTGTTGATCTTGGACCATTCGCTCGTGGTTTTCAATTATCAGTTTTGCAGTCCCTTTATCATTCTCCAGTTGGGCCCATATTGCGTCAGAGACTCCGGAGTCGCGAGAGTCGGGGTCTGGTGAAGTCGCAGCTGCCGGAGATGGCGATTCTTCGAAAAATTCTGAGGCGACAGCATTAGCGGTAACCATCGAAGTGGTGGGTTGTGGAGGAGCGCGTTGGGGATTGTCCCGAAACTGAATTGGGCCCATGTCTGCCTTCGATACAGATGGAACGGCATTGCTCCTGGAACGGCGATCAGTCAACATGCTGTGAATACATCGCAGCGCAGTATCGTGTGGCAGCACTAGTTGATCCATCTTTATCGTGGAAGATGCACATTCCAGGTACACAGCTCTGACCATACTCTTAGCGAGTGTCTGTACATCTCTCGCATTTCCCCAAGCCGGAAGTTTGGAAAGCTCTGTGATGGGTTTGAGAAGCTCCTTGTACTTCATAGCGTCGCGAATAGATGGGATCAGAATTTGACTTTTGCTGAGACGAGACTCTAGGAGCTTCAAGGAGTTTTCGGGCCGCAGAGGTGGGAATATGATCTCGTCTGCGAATCGGCTGCTCAGGCCTTCGTTGACTCGAAGGAGGTTATTCATGTCTGCGTCATAGCCCGCAAGTATGACGACGACCTTTCCTATAAACTTTTGCTTTGTGAGGTTGTCCACAAGCTCGTTTACAGCTTCTTGAGCAAACAGTCCTTCTCCGAGCCGATACGCCTCGTCAATCTGATAGCATTAGCAACCAGATTTCGTTGAATAATTGAGGCTGGAGCTCAGACACGTTATGTCTGACTTGAATTGAGAAGATATCTAGAGCTTGTAACTTACGAAGAGAACTTTGCCGAGGCCTAACTCCATCTGAGCGATTACTTTGGGCCCAGTCTGACCAACATATTGCCCGATGAGATTCGAAGCAGAGCATTCAATGACTTCTACCTGTGAAAGGAACCCCAAGTCATAATAGACTTGGCCAATCTTTCTTGCGGTTGTTGTTTTCCCAGTACCTGAATGGGTATTAGAGATAATGCAAAGAGTGACATCTGGACAAGAAGGGACTAACCAGGCGGACCCTTAAATATGAATGCAAACGGTATCTGCTCTCGGGGATCTAGACCCTGAGCTCGCATACCTTTTGCAACCTGAAGATATCCACCGAGCTTTTGCACGATGTCCTCACATCCAATCACATCTTTGAAAAGCTCATGGAGATTAGTTTCCGCTCCCGTGGCTCGGTTGAAGTCCGGATCGAAGTCTTGTGGTTCAAAGACAAAGTCTATGGATCTATCCTCAAGTGGCAGTAATGACTGTCGAGATTGGTAATTGCTCTTCGCTTTTGAAATGATATTTTCCACATCGCCACCGTTCCCGAAGTTAAGTCCGTTTCGTTGTCGACCAAGTGCGTCGATGGCTACGGTTATGGCCTCTTTGGTGGCACCCAAACCCTGGCTCTTAAGCTTGAATTCAAGGATCTCTTGTAGCTCCGGATCGGTAAAATCCTCGAATTGGAAGGCATCTGCAATGGGAAATCTTCGAGTAAGGCCCGGGTTGACGTTTTGGAACATTTCGACCATTTGTGGCTCGTACCCAAGGAGTAAAACGCACCGATCTTCGCCGGGCACACTTTGGATCTCAGCGACAAGAGTATCGATCACCTGGTTCTGTCAGAGATTGAACTCGAGAGAATACGAGTACAGCTCAAGCCATTTGATTAGCTTACAGCAGTTTTGTATATGTCGTTTGTACCACCAGCTGTGCCAGTGCTAGAGTATAACATATACGCCTCGTCGATGATTAGAACTTTGCCTACAGTAGTCGTAAGTATTGCCTATTGACAGATGTTAATGTTCGGCAAATTCGCCAATCAGTAAAGGAGGTTCACCTTGGTGTTGGCTTCTGATTGACCCATGACGCTCCCAATGAAGTCCGCAGGGTTCTTGACAACGACTATTCACGAGTTAGTCAGCTAGGGGAGAATAGGATGACTCCATCTACCTTCGCCGTTGCTCAACATCCCAATGGCCGCCAGTATCTGGCCATACAATTTTGCCACGGTAGTCTTGCCTGTACCAGGGGAGCCCAGGAAGCAGCGGTTAAGAGAAACCTCGACAAGAGGCTTTTCGAGAAGTTCCCTGTTGTAGTTGGTTTTAATGAGATCGATCAAGAAGCTGACTGATTTCTTGACGGATTTCAAGCCGGTCAGATTCTGTAGACGAACCAAGGCGTCACAAGTCAAGATTGCTTGTGAGGGATCGGGTCCGATAAGGTCTTCCTTTGTCAGTAGATAGTCGTCCGAGATCAGGCCTTCTCGACGCTCGTTTGAAAGCCGATTTGACTGTCGTTCTCGTATTCGAGCAAATAAGTTCTCAAGAGCTCGAGCATTACCAAATCCATCACTGCCCCTACCTTTTCCAAGTCGACGTACAGCAATGCGCATATATAGCCCGCCAGGCCCATCCTCAATGTCCATTGTCCCGTTGTAGAACTTGTTGATCTGGTATTGAAGCATCTGTAAAAGCTCACCGTCCTCGTAGTCTTCGAAGTGGAGGGTATAGGGAATTCTCGAAGGAAATCCCGGATTGGTTTCAAAAAACTTCTCCATCTGCTTTCGATAGCCTGCGAAGATGAAGACGACTTTTCCAGTAAGATTCTCAATTTCGGCAAGAAGGTAGTCGAGAACAGTTTTACCTCCAAAGTTGTGCCCCTCTGCAAGTTGATATGCCTAATCATTTCGTCAGTACATATTGTGATGATCATCACCATTATTTGTTTGGTTCCCAGATGAACTGCAGGTTCCAATTTGACAAGCTCACCTCATCCACGAAATAGACACCGCCATTGGCATTTTCCAGCTGCTTGAAATGGTCCTGTACCTCCTTGATGCCACCGTGGGCAAGACGTGATCCTGTGGTCTCAACAAATCCATCTCCCGTAAGTACTTGGAGGGATGTGAGAACTTTGGCGTAATGCCTGGCGACAGTTGTTTTGCCTACAGGATGTCAGATTCATCCCCAAGTCAAAGATCATAGACATACCGGTACCGGGGTTTCCTAGAAGAACGAGACCAAGACGTTCTTTCTTCAGATCGGTATTCTGACGAATCGATGTCTCGACTTTCGACTTGATTTTCAAAACCTGTGACTTGACGTCTTCTAGTCCGATCATGGACATGATATCGTCAATAGCTGGGTTGTTCGCGTTTTCCTGGTCTTTTTGGCGCTGCCATTCGGTCTTGGAGGCCGACTTGCTGTGATCAATGGCTATTCTGATGTGCTTTTGAATCTGACTTCGCGTCGTGGGAGTAATTTTGGACGGACCAGAAGTCTTAGGAGGTTGAGAAAGCTTTATTATCGGTGACTGTTGCTTCGCAACCTCTTCGGAGTCAGAGTCATGGTCCGGCTTTGGAGCATTTACAGCCGCTCTTGCTCTTGCCTGCGCAGCATCTAGATCTTTTCGCTTCTGCGCTAGAATACCAGCTTGCTCGGCCTGAAGCCTCGTATCTTGCATACCTTGTATGAGTTTCTCTAGCTCTTCATCTAACTTTGACATCTCTTTCAGATGATTCTGCTTCATCTCCTCTCGTCTTATCTGATCTTCCAGAGCCTTTTTAGCTTTCTTCTCTGCAATCTTCCTGTCGCGCTCGCACGGGTTGCAAGATTTTGGACTGCCTTGAAAACATTGCCAGGATTGGCTATGGCCATTTGGGCATTTCTGCTTCGTAACTGCATGACACTTCATCTGGGAATGGTCAAAAAGTTGATGACAACTGCTTGGGCCTATATCACAAAGAATTGTCAGAATTGTGTCAGAACCACTGCGTTGAGACACGAACACGCAGAACTAGGTCAGATATGCCAGGAAGTTAGATCATGTTTTTGACACTTACACTTGTGTATTTTGCACTTTAATAAAGTACCACTTGTTAATTCTCGTCAGCATCCTTTGGGAGAAGTGAGAGTTGTGAGAGCATACCATGGCTCATTGCAGCCTCCATCCGTACACACTTCTTCAAATTTATTTGGTGTACAGAGCAGCGCGGTCCGATCCGGGTGCTTCTCACACTTCACTGGGAAGCCTTCATACACGTGACCGTTTTGTTTCAGGTGATCGAAGAGTTTCCGCCAGACTTCCTTACCTTTGCGGGCATTCATGAACGTGTCGGAGTTGCCAATCATGATCAATGCATCGCGTGCTCGAGATAAGAGTACGTTCAGTCGTTCTGGAGCTGCCATGAAGCCAATGTCGTGAGATTTATTGCTCCGGGTAAGGGAGACCAACACGATGTCGCTCTCTTCTCCCTGGTAATTGTCTGGGACACCGGTCAGTACTTCACATGTGGAACACTCCTCCACCGCATCATGGTCCAAATAATGAGAGAATCCATACCGATGGTTGAGATCCTCAGAGACGGCTTGGATGTCTTGGAACCAAGGTCCGAAAGAAGACCTGCCCTGATGAGATCAAATTTGTCAAGGTCATTCAAGATCGGATCATTCTCTTTAGCGAGCTGATCTCGGAGGAGCTTTAGTTGACCAAGGTAGGGTGTTATTACAACAAGTTTATCAGATCCGTAACCTTGCTGAGCTAGGTATCGCACACATTTCAGGATCATTTGCCCCTCAAAGGCATTCTCTTTTGACGATGTCTTGCCATCTCTCATTTCTTTGGAATTCTTCAACTCAACCTCTGGCTCGCGGTGATCAATGAACATGACGTTGTCTCGGAAACCACGAAGGTTAGGGCGCTTGAGTGTTGAGTCGGCATCCGTCAAATCTGGGTAGGTCAGGTGCCGGACCATTGATGAGATCTCTGGTCGCATGCGATGCTGCTTTGTAAGTGTCACATGTGGATAGCCTTTGAGGACGAGTCTTTCAAAAAGAGAGCGATTCAGATCAAACCCATCACCCTGTTCGACACTCAATTCATACGAGCACTTTGGCCGGAGTTGTTGATGGTCTCCGATAAGAATCAATTGCTGCGTGTGCGGGCCAAGAGACGTCAGGATGTGAGCTTCCAAGATCTCACCGGCTTCTTCAACGAGCACTAAGTTTAGAGTAAGCATATACTGGATTCTCGAGTGATCACTGACGAAAAGAACATGAAAATACAGTGCCATTCCGTGACGTACTCAGAGCGCTGAAGATATTGACTCAGACCATGATTGCTTGACGCATCGCAAATAGCGTGAATGAAATATAAAGAACATATCGCAGAATCTAAAACTGGATTCTACGAGAGGGAAGATAGTAATACTGACCAATTCCAGGAGAAGCCGCATGTATCGCAGAAGCATAAGTTGCCGCCCCATTTGTTGTGCAAGCAATGACTCTCTTGCCCTTTATGATGCTGGCATCCTTCTCTCCAAATATCCGGGCTAATTCAGATTGATCAGCATTGAAAGCCCTGCCGGTTGTTCGCATTTCAGTGACAAGGTCGCCGAAAATAGCATTTCTCCAGCGATTCATGCAACTGTCTCTCATCATAGGGGTCATCTGCCAGATCGTCGCTGCGCCTTCTGGCTGGACATGTTGATACACGCCTGCATTCATTTGCCCACGAGCCCATCGGTCAAGAAGGTGGAATGGATCTACTGCTTTGTTTTTCTTTCCAACCCGGGTCATGCCATCATTTTCTGTCGGAACGGTGAAGGCATCAAAGAACGCCGGCTCTTCGAATTCGATATACTCCAGAAGATGTCGTTTCTGTACATTGGTAGAATGATATCGCTTGAAAGTATCCCGAAGACGTCTTTCATGTTCTTGAAGTTTCTGCTTAAGCTTATCGATTTCAGCCCAATGCTTCGCGGTGAGTTTGACAGAATTTTGCTCGCGAAGCATAAGAGGTTTCGTACGATCCGTGGACTTGCCTCCAAGACGAACCATGTCAGCTGATGGGATACCAATTTTCATCAGGTCCTCAAGGAACTGGTCGAGGGCATGATTGGTAAAGCAGACAACAAGTACGACTTGGTCAGTTGAGTCGTGAAGTACCTTCGCAACCAATGCTCCGAGAAACGATTTACCAGTACCAGGAGGGCCTTGTACCATGCTTAAGGACTGTGAAAAGCATGCACAAAGAGATCGCATTTGGGACTCATCTAGTACAACACTTGTTTTTGTTCCTAGGACTCGTTTGAGGTCCCGTCCTTGCATTGACTCGAGTTTTCTCAGAATATCAGATGGTCTGCAGGTTGGTTCAGCAAGAGATTTTCCCTCCTCCCATTGCAGCAGCTCTGACGCAAGAGGAAGATCACTCATGGCTTGAAGTCGTCGCAAGAAAGGCTCGTATGCAAAAGTTGCCGAGTCCAGCTGAACCAGTCGAATGCTCTTGGCTGTTTTCATCCGGAGAAGCGCTTCAGACAAGGTATCGTCTTCTTGGAACTGGACAGTAACTATTGCCGGGACCTGGGCTAACTCGTCCTCGTTCCGTAGAATGGTAGGAAACGCAACAGGTTCATCATCGATAAAAAGGCAAGCCATATTTCCATGGCGAAGAACGTGTCGGTTATCACTGAGGTACGATTTGCGCTTGCTGCCGGTAATGTTTTTCATATTCGGTAACCCGTTCTCCACGTGAAACTTCAATCCCCACGGAGCACGCTTTTTTTCGGTCCCCATTTCAATCCCGCGCAGCTTCAAGTTGTCAACAGTCAAGCCTTTATGCCGGCCAGTCTTGGAGCCCGTCATGATTTTCATCTCTTCTCTGATTTCTCCAAGCATATCTTCTCGAAGGAGTCGAAACTGGTTGTCTACATGTAACTGCCGACGAGTAGCAGCGAACTCGGGGTCGTCAATGAAATTGGCTGGGCGAAAAAAAGGGCGATCTTGAGAAAGAAGCTGTAATGTTCAGAATATCAGCAATGTTCATCTAGTCATGTATCTGGAACACTCTGGGTAACAAATCTCTCCCTGGGACAACTTGGAAGAACTGGACTATGCTCGACTACGTACCTCGTCCGCTGTGGGCATGATCGTGATACGTCGATAGTCTGCGTGATCGTTACCATGCCTTCCCCCAGGCTTCACATCGGCATCAATATGTAGATCCTCGTCTGATAATGGAAGTGAGTGCTTGATTTTCTGTCCTAGATTCCGTGTGTCTCCATCTGATGAGTTCAAGATCAGGTCCAAGATTGAGGAGCTGGCAAGTTGAATATAAACAGATGAGGCTGTTCCAGGAAGACGGACTAGCTGTAGAAGCAGCCATGAATATGCCGAAACAGCTTCTGGACAAAGTAGAGAATCCACAAATGCTTTAGTGAAAGCGTCCCAGAAGAATGCTGGTTCGACGATACTGATCAAAATTTTGGACAGAACGGCTCCAGATTCTATGGCTTTCAATTGTGGAGACTGCAGGTATTTGAGAAGCTGTAGTGCATTATCGTTAAGGAATGGACAAGATGTGTCAAATCTCATGGATGCTTGGAGCGCCACCCGACCCGAGGGGCTCGTAAGGATTTTGTGTGCGCATGTTGCATGATCTGGTTGAACACAGACGGATTCCAGAAACAGTTTCCCATCTCTTGAAGAATTAAGAATTCTTCTGCCATACAACACATCGTTGAAGAATTTGGAGAGCCGTAGGAATCGGGGGTCATCAAGACTTGGTGACGCCATTGGAGATCTGGTTACTTGAATGACTGCCTCTGGATAAGAAAGTTGTATTGACTGATTGGGTTGGCGTTTCTACCCCAGTAATATGTGCTTGAAATCGCCTGAACATTCAAAAAGAGGTCAAGACAAGCCGGATATATGAACTGGCTGGACAAGGCCAAGATCACTTCTCTCTCCTTCACAGAGATTCTGTACCAGGATACCGACATACACGGTGAGACCAAAACGGTTTGCTTTGTGATAAGTGAGCCACTGGAATACAGGGTCTAGCTTTGAGAAGGGCGCCTCGCGGAGAGGACTGGCTGGAGCGAGCCCATCACAGCCGTTTGCTGGTCCCATTTGGAGGGCTTTGCAGATGCTTCTGCAAGAGCTGCCTATTGAAGATCATGTTTCTTCCGATCGTTGGCTGGCTGCAGCCTATGAGACGGTCTGTTTGTTGGACAACGGAGCCTTGCAGCACTGCTGTTGGGTGGCTGAGAGGAGAAATATGACGACCATGATAATGTGAAAGGCAGACGGTCCTCTTGAGGTCGAGTCTCCGCCACGATTGCGAGAAATAAAGCCGAGTGCGCAAGAACTACTTGACTGTTCTTGTTCGTCATAAATCCAAGATCCTATACAAGGATGATGAATTCTCAAGATACTTGTCGTGGAGGTTGGAGTCGGGGAAGTCGTGGGTGGAGGGGCACAGCACGCGGCAGAGGGGTGGGGCAAACGCGTGGTTGGCGAGGACTGGGAAACTCAATTCCCATTTCAGCAGAACAATCAACACCACCACCTGCTCCTCAGCCTCTGGGGCCAGCAGTGGATAGCATCGATGTGAATGCACTTTTGGTCGAGCTGGAAGCTCCAATAATACGAGATGTTCGCTACATCGCCTCCTACAACTGGGTCAACGGCAAAAGCCCAGAGATTCTCGTTCCCGGTATGCCCTTACATCTCAGTGTACTCAACAATACAGCCTGCTTTGTGACGGGTCGCTGGGCGAATAGTGATCTTCGTTAAGTCTTGTTTACTTTACCATAACGTTCGCTAACATCTCGATACTTCAGGATGTCCTCCAGCTTGGAACCCACCTGCCGAAGACACACGACTGAAGCCAGACAGCGAGGATGTATTTCGAGATATCAACGCCGCTAGATATCCCGCATACCCCCTGGAGCCTGCTGTTCGATCAGTGCTTGCTATGCGGCCGAACTTCGAGTTTAATTCTTTGGACATAGTGGGATGTGGTAGTACACTCGGAAATCTTATGAGGTGCGCTGGAGGCCAATACAAGCCCTTTCGATTCGGCGTCAATGTGGTAGGCGACACAGTCCTCTTCATTCGACGAGAGAACTCCCCTACGGACATCATTACGGACCTGCAGGGCTGGGGTCATACGTTCCCAGAAGCATATACAACTTGGGATGCAGACGTTCGAAACTCTTGCTCACACCAACGAATCATTCAATATGACTTTGGCGGGTTGGATATACTCATCCGAACAGAAACGGACGGCTATGTCAAGCCAAGCAATTCGAAGCGGGCGTTTGATACCGCAGGTACTAGTGGAGGTCTCACACTTGAGGACACGCTTGACAGAATTGCCGTTGGTATCGAAAGACCATCTCAGAGTGGAAAGTTGAAGATGAGAATGGCTGGCAATGTAGTTGCACAAGGTCAAATTTTCGACATCAAGACACGGGCCTACTACAAGTCCTACAATATGGAAGAGATACTTCCCAGGCTCTGGGCGAATCAAACCCCCAATTTTGTCATCGCGTACCACAATTCAGGCCTGTTCGATCATCCCACGGTTACCCCCATCAGGCAAAAGATTCTCGACTGGGAAACAGCCCACTCGTCCCTCTTGGCTCGGTTCCACGCTCTCATCAAGCGAATTATGGATGCGGTTAGAGACTCAGACCACAGCTGCTTCGAGATCAGCTGGGATGGCAATGGCCCTCTGTGTATCTCGGAGCAGATTGAGGAGGGCAGGACTGCACTTCCGTCTGACCTTTTGAGCCTCTGGGGCGACAAAGAATAGAGACTGGCCTTTCGGATTGTCTCGGCCGTTCCAATTGAAATCTTTGAGGTTGTATCGGGCTTGTTCCTAAAAATATATTGTCCCAACAGTGAGATGTGGTAGCATAAGATGCGTCGCAACTCATGCAACGGCTGGTAAATCTACCTCGCTTCCGTATTTTCCCCAATTATTCGTTGTGCGGGCGGCCCCGAGACTGGATCACTTGGAATTCCCCAGAATTGTGGTGGTTTTATCAGGTGCTGCTGTGAGCTCGGTTCTTTCTACCGTTGATTTCAGCCTCAATCTTTTAATTTGAATAAACGAGATTTGGCTATTTTTACGACCACATATATTAATCGCGATGCAGGTGCAGATGGCTTCTATTAATCATATATATGACCAAGTGCTCATGGGTACTCCTGGGTCCGAGACTTAGCGAATGGTACTCTGCAAGGCATTGTAAAAACCTTTGCTTCTCATCGGCATTCGGAAAAAATATCTCTTGGCGTATGGTTGCTATTTTCAGATCTTCAAGATAACCTTATTTTATAATGGGTTTTACAAGAGAGATCGACAGAATCGTCAGCAAGTGTTGAGCCTCCTTTCTTCGCGGAAATGATAAGCTTTATCAGATTGTAGAATGTGTGGACCTCCTAATTGCAACTTCTCAAGTGTGAGGTTTCAAATATGTGCACTGAAATGATCTTTGGCGCACATCATGAGAGACGTCTATTAATATCTCACGGGCGGAGGTTGTCGAGCCATGATATCGACCCAAGTCGAACGCCACGTTTTCTCGCTCCGTGGTTTACAATAAGCTTTCCCGGGCTGGAAGGCCGGATCTGGTGACCCTTAATGTTGTCCTCCTCGGAATCAGGAACAGATTCGATAACGCAACATGAGCTTCCCTGCCAAACCACAGCTTCTACCCTCGTATCATGCTTTAGGCTGGGATTTAAATGATACTGGGCCAAGTTGTGTATATTGCTGCGGGGCAAGGCTTCCAGCTCACTTCCACACCATCAACAGCTATCGCCCTACTTACTTGTCACCAGATGTCTAACACGGACTCAGTATATAGGTTACGACAAGGACCCCTCTAATACCGTCTTATTTCTTTTCTCCATCATCTACAATATCCAAAACATCAGACTAAGGACTTACTTTCAATACTTGATCCCTTCATCTGAAAACATGCTCAGCACACTTTTCACCCTCGTACTTGCTGCTACAGCAGTAGCTTCGCCTGTCTTATTGGGCAATGTCGACACTGGTAGTGCAGCGCCTCCACCAAATCAGGTCACCATCAAGAACTTGGTATACGGAGGAAGTGGATGCCCACAAGGCAGTGTTGGGTCTTTTATCTCGCCTGACAGACAGACGTAAGTGAGAATGATTCACAAGTAACTAGCCCAGCTGCTGACAATCACCAGCTTCACCCTCATCTTTGACAGATTTGTGGCCTCCATCGGTCCTGGCGTTGCAGTCGCTGAGAACCGCAAGAACTGCCAAATCAACCTTGAGCTCCAGTACCCAGGTGGTTTCCAATATAGCATTCTCAGCACCATGTACCGCGGCTACGTCGATGTCGACAAGGGAGTGACTGGTCGTCAACAAAATACCTACTACTTCTCTGGCCGTAAGTTTGCCCCACTCCACGGTACCTCCAACACAAACAGTCTACTAACTTCCCCACAGAATCCAACCAGATCTCTTCCGGCACAGACTTCAAGGGCCCAAGAGCAGGCGACTATGCTATTACTGATGCTATGCCCCTCACATCCACCATTTGGTCGCCTTGCGGCAGTACTGCGGCTCTCAACATCAACTCTCAAGTCCGCCTGACATCCACCGTACCCGCCGCAAATGGTGTCATCACCGATGATTCTATTGATGGCAAGATTGCGTTCCAGGTTGGTGTTCAGTGGCAGGCGTGTTAGTCAGTGAGTCTCAATTTGAGCACGAGGATGTGGAGAGGGGGAAAGTGGTTCATTTCTCTGCTGGTCTTTGCAGATCAAATCGCGAGGGCGGTCTGGTCCTGTGATTCAAGCTCTTCTTTGGGGATGGTTTGCGGTGCGCATGAATAGCAAATCCTGAGTTCCTATGAAGCCAATAAAAAAATACTTTGAATACTTCGAATCTCGGGCCGTGACCTTACCAAGACAGCAGTACCTAGGTAAATTATGCCACCACACACCCTTCACGTGGTCTGATCATTTCGAATTTGTCCAGGTACGGTGCATGGCCTTGATCGGACTCTTTTCGTACTATAGGACGTCCTCCTGAGGCTGATATTGTGCTGAGGGAGGTGGAAGAATTTCAGATACCGAGCCTGAGAATATACTGGAAGTGAGAATTGGCAGAAGGGTTGTCTCAAGAAGCTCTATAGCAGCGTATGTCCTTAGCTATTCCGGCAGTCCACAGGTATAAATGGTACTTGGATCGGTTTGAATGTTCAATGTTCATTGTTCAACTGAGATTGAGGACAACAACACCAATCTCAAGTGATTTGAGACCCGTCTTGGACAGCATCCTGCCACTCACAGTCCATCCAGAATCTCCGTACAGCACTGCATCTATGGAAGTCGCACTTTCTGGCAACATGATTGTCACAGTCGAAGAAAAATCGACATACTCTCCAGAAGCGACACCAACCATCATCTTCCCGTCAACAATCCAAGCACTCGCATCGACCAATGGTTCGCCTGCAACTGGCAACCCCTTAATTGCATTCGTGCCAAACAAGAACTTCAAGCCCGTTTGACTCTGAAATACCTTTCCAAGTTCTCCACTCCTAATATTGACATCCGATGTGCTCGGGTAAATCCAATATGTGAGCCCCTTGGCGTTGTGATTGATAGCTAGCATCATCATGTTTTCAACCTCTGCAGCACTTGGAATACCCGGCCAATAGCTCTGGTTCCCGAATGCTTGGATCACTGCCCACGTCGGCTTGCTTGACTCTCCTTGGATATTTTCTTGATAACTTTGAATATCGTCTAGTCGAGTCGAAACATCTGTGAGCTCGCCCACGCAGTTGTCACATCCGCAGTCTCCGTAGGTCAGGTTGCAAGGTGTGTTCCAAGGAATTGACCAGGTAGCATTGATCGAGACCGGGTATGCATCCTCGAAGACTATGTCGGCGCCGGAGCTGTATTCTGCATAATAGAAATTTTGGCAGTTCAATACTAGAGACACAGGATGATAGGGGTCGAGTTCACGGAGTTGGTCGTAAGCGAGTTTGGTTGAGTTCAGATTGTATGCCCAACCATCGGGCTCGTCGGCTATGTTCAAGTCAGCGATGGGAACATCAAAATCCTTGGAGGTGATATTACCGGTGTACCACATCAGAAGAGTTGTGCGATTCTTCCATAGCGCTACCTGGTCATTGATACGAGTCGAGTTCTGAAATGCAAATCGCATTTCGTAAATATTGAATAGATTCAGCTCGTCCATTCGGTCCCAGTACTGTCTAAGCTCATCCACAGGATACGCTTGATCGGGACGCCCACCATCCGGGACAATACTGATAGTATTGAACCCCTGCGAGGCGTATGTATTCAGGTTGTTGAAGGTGATATTGGATGGTGTCACATATCCTCCGTCAGCATATCCGCCATTCGGGAAAATCCCGTACCAGCCCTTCCAGTCATTCGCTGCATTCTGAACGTAGAGTCCTCCGAAGAGATTGTCAATCTTCACAGCACTTCCGTATGTACGTGATGGTAAGACGTATATTTCCGTGGAGGCAGAATATTTTTGCAGGCCATCAGGGGAACTGGCATGAATCGAAATTGGCCAGGGCTGTAACCGAGGTTTGAGGGATGAGAAGGAGAACTCAACGATGTTGCCAGTCGTGTTGATAGGAACTGAATTGGCAACAAGCAGCGAGCCAGATTCTTCATTGAAAATCTCGTAGTCTAGCTTTATGAAGGGACCTGAAGGAGTATTGGGTGGGTCGTATGTGACATTGTTGTATGCTTGTCCAAAGGTGTGGGATATGGAGGCGTCCACGATGAACGAGCCTGATTCATCACTTTCCAAGAATATCGAATATCGAGGCTGGACTTTGAGATACAACAGCGATACATTCTGCGCGGTAGGAAACTGGAATTGCCCCCCAGGATCCAGAGCATTGTTGCTACCGGAGGTCAACATTTGTCATGTGACTTAATAAGACATCAGCTCACCTGCTCATGTATGGCTTTCCGCACCATGTTGGAACATCCGATGGAGCATTGAAAGCCAGTACTGTGTTAGCTGAGAAGGCCGCCAACAATATCATAGCCAGGCGCTTCACATCCATCTTGATTTCCGAGTCACCTGGCGTGGAGTGAGAGAACGAGAGGGAGTCCGACGCCACAAAACGAGTGATTGAGGGAATAGCAACCAGTGAAGCACTTTTATACCCCTATCCTTGGATAGAGGCCCAGCCTTCCCCTCACCTGCTTTCTTGGAACTGGCGTCTTGATCTGCAGTCACGTGCACGTATCTTCAATGCAACGTTCCACGACGAGAGTATGGGGAAGAGCCGTGACTTTATCCGTTCTTGTACCATAATTTAGACAAACTTCTTGTTTGGCGAGATATGAAGTTCTGGGCATAGTATGGTCAATTTCGGGAACCTACATATCCTTGGTCATTTGTTGACGTGTCCGAAGAGAAACTCCCGAGAATTCCGTATCTCCACCGGCTGGCCAAACAGACACAGCGTGTCTGTCAAGCCAATTCCACCAGTCTACTCTTGCTTCAAGTCCTATACCTGACTTTTAATGTTAAGAATCGAGGTAGAGCCTTGTCTTTGGTATTGGATTGCATGGTAGTGCTGCTGAGGTCGTGTAAATAAGCTTCGCCGAAACACCGCCATCCCACTTTCACGTTCAGATTTCCATCACGACACCTACTCAGTGCAACACTTATGACTTGCCAGTCGTAGACTTTGAGCTGTCGCTCGAAAATTTGTTGGCGTGAGAGATTAAGATGCCGACATGGCATTCTCCAATATATCGTTCATTGGGGACTGGGTTCCGTCGACATTCCAGACCAGCAGGCTCAGAAAATCAAATAGTCGAGGATCAACACCAAGCCGAAACCCCTCTCTTAAGCGGCCATGTAGATGGGAAGGATTCTCGAGGATTCCTTAATTGTATCCGAGACCTTTTGATCAATCTTAGTCAACCCAAAGTGTCCGGGTCTTCGACCGTGGTTGCGATTCTCCTTGTTCTCTGCTCCTGCATTACATCTACTACTCTCGGTTACGATGCTAGCATGATGAACGGACTGAATATGCTTCCAAGCTACACCGAGTACTTTCATCTCAACACAGTGACCATGTCTATGACGACATCTGCGCTCTGGATCAGAGGGGCATTGGCAGGATTAAGTTACGGGCAGGGCAAGTCACAGATGCAATTGGGCGTCGAAACTCTCTCTTCTGGGCAGCTGTCATGACCCTCGTTGCGGTAAGCATTCAAAGTAAGGCTCAGAACACAGTCATGTTTGTCATTGGCCGCATACTCGTCGGATATGGAACATCTGCTTCAACCCTGACAGGTCCAACATATCTCGCTGAGACTCTACCGTAACAGTGGCGTGCATGGGGTGTTGGTCTGTTGAACGACTGCTATTATCTTGGTGGGTTTATTGCAGCTGGCATCACATATAAAACGGCAACAATCGATTCGACATGGATGAGCGGTGTCGTCTCCGAGTTGGAGAATAGAACTGACCTGTATCAGGCTTGGCGAATACCTAGTGTGGTTCAAGGCATTTTCAGCGTACCGTGTATCCTTATCTTGCCGTTCATTCCTGAGTCACCTCGGTGGCTGGCAAACGTAGGGAGGAAAGAAGAGGCTCTCACAGTGCTTGCTCAGACATACGCCGACAGGAACGAAACCGATGCCGTTGTGCTGGCACAATATCAGCAAATCATTGAAACGATCCACTACGAACGCGAAATTGGAGAAAACCTAAGCTTGGAACAGTTGGTGAAGAGCAGTGTGGCCAGAAAAAGAATCGCGCTTGCCCTAAGCGTTGCGATATTCAGCACTATTTCAGGCGAGAAATCTCTGAGCAGGTTTCACTATACCTTGCTAACCCTTTTGTCTAGGCAATGTCATTGTGAGCTACTGTCTTGGAACTATGCTGAGCAATGCCGGGATTGTGAATGTGACAGACCAGCTTCCGATTGTAAGATCAGCCTTGGCGAAATGTTCTAAATTCTAATCTCTTAGAACATCGCCTTAAATGCGTTCTGTCTCTGCTGTGCTCTTCCCGGGACTTACTATTCAGATTAGTTGGGTCGCAGACTGACTGGAATCATCAGCACGAGTTTACTGACAGTCTTCATCTTCGTCGTCGGAGCTCTGACGAGGGGCATGTTAATCCTGATACTCCCATTCAAGCTAACGTCTTCGGTCTGCGGAACGTCCACAAATCAGGCCAGGATTCTTGCCACGGTAGCAGCAATATTTCTTTTTCAGGGCGCTTACTCCTGTGGATGGACGCCACTTCTTTACCTTTACCCACCAGAAGTTCCGAACTATCCCATTCGTGCTACAGGGATGGGGATATTCATCTTCGTTCTCAATGTCTCCTTCTTACTCTGCGTCTTTTTCTTTCCATTGCACTGGAGAGTATTGGATACCAATTCTACTTTGTAAATGGCGTGTGGGACGTGTTGGAGACTGTATTTATTTGGTTCTGTTGGATTGAGACAAGTGGAAAGACTTTGGAGGAAATAGATGCCGCGATGGATAGGGCCAAGCTCAGCGAGGCGCCGAACTTTGAAGATATAGAGAGGTAGGTTTGAGGCTTTCGAAAGTTTTACTAAAAGATTTCGAGACGACTGCATCGTTCTTCTGCTGTTCTATGATTCTCGACTCAAGTTGAGATGGGCCCGACCCCAAGCTGGCCTCACGTGCAAACCACAACAGACATGCTTCATATTACCCCTCATTGATTACACCGACTCACTAATATTCGATTTTGATGGGTCGTTTCATCGAAACACATGTGTTCAGATAGCAAGGCGATGTATAGAAGGGCAAACTTCTGCTGGTCGCTTCTAAGGTCCGTGGCGGAACATTACCACTAAGCTCATTCAAGCTGATATCGGTACTGACATGATCGTTGACAGATTACGTCAATCTTGACGATTTCGATACGTCTCCCCACGACTCTTGATCATCATGTCAGCCGATGGCAGTTTAATTCCGTAAGTTTGATTGGACTTCCAATGCTTCAAATCCCTTGGCAGCAATTTTGCCTATCAACAATCTGGCAAAACCACAGACCATGCCCCTCATATCTACCTTCAAGAAATTCCCGGCATATCTATCAACCAATCCCAGTCAAACAGGAATTGATAATTTCCGCAGCTCATCTTGCGTCCCTGTGAGCTTTAATTCAAACATCCTCCAGATGTAAGACATCTTCAACATGGCGAAACCGCCTTGGGGTCGATATCGACCGCTCCAGAGTCCAAAACATCTTCTAGCACTTGGTATCATTGCATTCATATCTACACTATCACTCTGGCTAGCTATCAGAGACAAGCTCGATTTGGTGGATAATTATCTTGGTGCTGATGGAGATGAAGGCAGACTTGCGTTCGCGACGATTTTGCTTCCGCCACCAAACAATTACAGCGACCACCAGGATGTTGACCAGTATCTGACCAGCACACGGATGCTCAACTACCAGCTGAGATATGACAAGAACACCCGTTCGAGAAAAGAGATTCCTTTTCTGGTTGTCGTGACTCCAGAGATCCTTCCCTGGAAACGAAAGCTGCTTGAGCGAGAAGGTGCAACAGTTATTTTCGCGGAACGCCTTTCTCTAGGAGATGATTGGATTCAGCCGATGGCAGAGCGATGGAAAGATGTCATGTTGAAATTACGTCTCTTCGAATTGACCGACTACAACAAGATTCTCTTCCTCGACGCAGACACGTACCTTCTGAAGCGATTGGACAGGATATTCAGAGATCCGGCTGCCCGTCCGACCAAAATAAGGGCTTCTGAGAAAGAAACTCGACCTGACGAAGCGCCTTTTCCAGAGAAGTACCTCTTTGCTACAGGCCCGGAAATCATGCACACCACCCATCCATGGCCACCACGTCCTTGGCCTCGCTTCAATGCCGGGTTCTTCCTCTTCCAGCCTTCCCAAGCGCTCTTCCAGTACTACATTTCCCTCCTGACTCTCAAGGACCGGTTTGACAGCACGTATCCCGAGCAGAACCTTTTGAATTATGCCCACCGCGAGTGGGGCAACATGCCCTGGGCACACTTGAAGACGGGATGGAATGTGAATCTGTCGAACCTTAATGATGTCAAGAAGGGCGTAAAGAGCGTGCATGCGAAGCTTTGGATGGAAAGTCATGACTTACAGCCTGTTCCGGCAGAGTTGAGGAGGATGTGGGAGAATACGAGGGTGGAGATGGAGAGGTTTTATGGCGAGATGGGACACAGGTTAGGGTAGTTTGGAGTTGGGCCCTGTCAGCTGATCGTGGCTATGGCCGAGGAGAAGCTCAATGTTGAGAGTTGTGATTTCTCGGTGATCCTCTTGTATCACCTGTTCATCCTATTATGATAGCTCGAACCTCGATGCTCCTCCGAGCTGGCGTACCTGTCGGAACGGAGGGGTCCATAAACGCTGAATGTGGACACACTAAACTTGTTAGCAGCACTCTCGCAAGACTTATCCTGAACTTCGAAGCATCAATATTTACATGAAGCCTCCCCAGGATCACTATCCCCAAGCTTAAACAGAATCACGTCATCCCATTTCATCCCCTTTTTGTAGAACCAGCGCTGATTTGGGTTATGCAATACCTCGTACGCCTCATCTCGATAGTGTGGAAAGATGATATCAGCAGCTACGAGGTCTGTCTCTGGGTTGAGACTGCGGTAGTCGCAAAGGGCCAATGGGCTGTCTTGTTGTGGTGTTGTGATTGGTCTCCAGATACTGTGAAGTGAATATTAATTGACTTGAAATCCAAAATGTTATTGGTATGGATTGGCAGTCTCTCCAAACTTACTTCAGATATCGCACTCGCTGATTCGATGATTGGGAGAACTCTGGAAGGAAGAGCTGTATTCTTCGCAAACATGATGTTGGAGTCGCATCTGGAATATTGTGGATGATCAGCCAGAAGATTTTTTATTCTGAGTTCCAACTTACCGCAATGTGCACGGAAAAAAGGTGTCTTCGTGGATTTCCCACTAGTTTCTGAAGAAAAGCCTCGGAACTGAACAGAGTTAGTTGCATCAAGCACCATAAACGAAAACTACGACTAACATTATAGGCATAAATGAACACTCTGGCACAGTCCAGATACCTACTAATCCAAGACTCCATTTGAGGAATGTACTCTGAGCAGACAGACGAGTCGTTCCATTGCCGAACCCGTATGGGGGATTTAGCGTATTCAAACCCTGAAGTGGCTAACGTGAAGGACCTTTCATGGCCTGAAATTTCAAAAATATCGAGCTGATGAGTTGAAGCGACTAAATTAGTTCTTGGAAGACTGGTTCCGCTAGGTAGCCTACTCAGATACGGTTTTTCGGTTTGGTACTTTTCATGAGGGGTCAAAAAGGATATCCCGCTAGACAATATTGATTTGAGATGCAAGGTTTTGATCAAGTCGTCTACGAAACTACGGCTTGGCTTCCTTTCTTCTGGGTTGAGATACTGGACCTGTGCGCACGAGTGTTGAGTCGATGAGACTGCCAAAGTCAACAAAACAAAGGACATGAGTATCCAGGAACACGTACCGTTTCCCGCTTTTTCCTTCATTGCAATGCCAGACCTAGCCCATTCCCTCCACGGCCGGTCAAATGGCTTGGTTCTATCAAACATCCAAACAAGAACTTCGGGAAATTCCGAGTGCATCCAAGCCAGTTTCGCCTTGTCGCTTTTCGGTGGCCAGTGAGCTCGCCAAGGCTGACGAGCAAAAGCACTCTTCTCCGATTCGCTACTGGGATGGTATTCATCAGGTTCTGAATCAAAGTACCAGGCGATTCCTGGAGCTTGAGTATCGGAATTGCCAGAACTCATAGTCACAAAGCTTATATTCTGGTTTCTTGGGACGAATTTGTGGAGTGATGACGGCGGAGAAATCGGGTGCATGCTGACCGGTCTAGGGGAATCGGCTCTCGGTGGAGGAATCTCGAGACATAGCTCCCATGCGGCTCTGTCCTCACATTTGCCTCTTATGGCCGCCCGATCAATAGCATGTGCTTGACTTCTTGGATGCTGCCATGGTGGTGATATACTCATGGTCCAATTAGAATTGCGATTGAACGCTGCATATTTTTATCTGCCAATCAACCACATCTGCCCCACACCTGCATTTAAGAGTAGCCAATGACTGCCTACCGATTCAATGCGTGTAAATATTTGTTCGACGTAATTTGAGGAGTTTGGAGGGGCGGGGCTGTCGTGGCTTGCTTAACGTGGGGATTGAGCTTCCAGAAGATGAGAGCTCGGCGAGATTGAGCCCCTTCCGCAAAATTTGCCTCTCGTTTACCTCTCGTTTGCCTTTCGTGAGCATCATATATAATTCAGAATGGCATTTTACCTTTCAAAAGCAGCCGAACAAACAAAACGGATGGTTCGATGTGAGATGCCATAAGTTACGTAGGCCATATACGGGTCTTGCGTCACGTGGCACGTATGGGTGCAGGTGGTTTTATTGACATTGAAGACCCAATGGATGTTTCGCAAACCGCCGTTTGTGTTGGAGAAAAATACTGGGAACTTGAAATTGAAACGAAAGACCTCACACGACATACCGCATGATTTTTTGGATCTTAACTGGCAGATTTACAGGGCTGAGCGGAGCAGGGCGTTCTTTGCTGCTCGATGACTGCGCTAAGCCATTCGCAGAACCGGTGAGGAAAAGAGGCAGTGCAGCAGCATCAGAGATGCCGAAGCCAAAACCACCACATAAAGCATTTTGTAGCCTCGAAAAGCTCTTGAACGTGAATTCATCTCCAATCCTTGCTCACCGCTGTTCTGAGGTGCAGAATTTCGATCAAGAAGTTTCAGCCATCTCGTCGTTGTCGTGTGACGTTTGCCGTTGAGTAACCATGATGGTGAATTGCACTTTCCCTGAAGCTTCTTTCTTATATCAAGTTGTTTCTCAGACTTTCGTTATTGCTAGATCAGCCCTCGGAAAGTTTCTGACTTCAAGAATCTAGCAAACCATCCAAAAACGTCCACGTCCCACTAAAGAAGATTGCTATGCAACCATGAGAGACAGACAGCCGCCAAAGAAACAACGGTCTAGCATCGACAGAAGTTTGTTATCTGCAGCGGATCAGCTCGCTTTTGCGAGAGTTGCATCTCTTTTGCAACAGCCTGTATCGGAGCTGTACGGCGACATTTCAGACAGCAGTAGCTCGGCGAAGATTCCAGGCGATTCGAATGTTGCAAGAGATCAGTCGCAAGAATGGAGCGCACTCCAGTGGGACACTATGGATAGCTGGCTTCCAGGAAGTAGTGAAGTGGACAATGATACTTTCGATCCCAACAAACCATGGAACCCTGTACAGGGTATCACAGAAACAGGAGTCACCCCTGGCGTCGACTTTAGTCAGTGGAGGGGTGACGAAAATTTTGTCAGTCCAAAAGTTGACCTAGAAGCTGGAAATACACATTCTGGTCTTTGACGTTCTTCTAGTTGGTCTCATGAACCTACAGCGGGTGAGCCTTGGATCAGCTTGCCAACAAGTTTCCTAGACGAAGCTAGCTTTCCACATATGAGCACAAACATCTCGGAGGAGTTCCATAATCAAGTAAGTAATGCTATCTACCATGCGCCAATGACCTCAACGGAACTTGGCACGGAACCCCAGGCGTTTTCACACCTACTAGACTTGTATACGACAACACGATGCCAAGCTGCCGTAGTTGAGCGATCAGCCAATGAACCCTCGCTACCTGCTGGTCTTGATCAACTCACTGCTGATGAGAAAGACTTAATTCCCGGATTTGAATGGGAACATGTGGAGAAGCCACAATTCTCAGAGACACAATCTTCTCTATCATCTAAAGAACTTGGCTGGTCTTTACTCACATCAACAAAAACGTATCAAAAGTCAAAAAGAGTTTCTTCCAACGCCATGGAAATCAAATCTATCCAGTGGGTGCCAGTGGACTCGAAAGGGGACAGAACCTTGCAAAGAGCTGTGCGACGTGGACCTTTCTTGAATCAGAAGCTCCGTGAAGAAACCAGCAACACTCGAAAGCTAAACGCGTGTGTCAGGTGTAGAATGCAAAAGATTCGAGTGAGTAATTGTTTGGAAGTCGAAATCCCTTTTTCAACGCTAATTCCTTCAGTGTCAAATTGATCCGAATAATCCAACCGGGATTTGCCAAACATGCCAAGATGTATCGAGGCAAAGAATCCACACGCTACCGTGCGTTCGCCATAAGCTCACAGATTGTGTTATTTATCGCACAGGGAAAGCAAAGGGATTGGAGTTCACTTTCAGGTGGCCAGAGATGAAGTTGAGGGATATCACTCAGTGGTCCAGCAGCAAAAATAGGACCATCAAAGTGCAGTCTGATCTCTGCGACACTCCACTGGAGTTGACGGTTAGAAGGTTCGTCCCAATTCCTCAGGATGTATTGCGCAAATCTTGGATGGATGGCAAAAAGAAGAAATTCAAAGAGACAACGCCATACGCTATTGTAAACATGATGGACGCGGTGAAGGTGATGGGAGACTACATCAATAAGCACATCTTCGAATGCGTCGCATACTGGCTAAAAGATAAGGACGACTGGGTCCAAGAGACATACAAATTCGCTGCAAGATACATGGCCAATGCTGTGAGTTCTGAATTCCCACCAGAGCATATGTACTTACTTTCATAGCCGCCGGATGAGCAAGCACTTCTTAGTGATACGTTTCGACTGTGGTTCGCAATCCGACGGACTGCCACGACTGAACACCTCGTTGGGAATGATACTCTAGACATGGATCCAGAAGATAAAGACCATTCCTATCCTCTATTTGGAAAAGTTCCACTACCTCCTGTCATGATACAACAGCTGGATATGATCCTCACTATCGGCTTCTTGAAACCTCTTCGAAAAAAGTTTCTGGAAGACTTTCAAAAACTGACAAGGGCCAATAATCCGAAGAGCTGGATGGCGATTTACCTGATCACATTCATCGCCTGTCACAGCTGTGCTGCAGTCACTGCCGAACATTACAAGAACGCTAGAAAACATGGCTTGAAGGTAGATGCTCTTATCATTTTGAAGAAGTTCCTCTCTAACCATTGCATGCACAGAGAAAATATGCAATGCCGCACTTCATTGCCGAGCGGCATCATAGTGCCAATGTATACTTGTCTCATTATCACTATTGTACAAGCTCTCATAATCCTTTCTTGCTCATAGATAATTGGGACAAGCGTGAGACTACGCAGTTTGCCGACATGTCACCGACCGAGTTTCACTTCTTACGCAAGACCGCGAAGATGGTGAAGGAGAGAGGTCAGTCCCGAGGATGCAAGCTGCATTTCATGCTAACAAAACTTGACAGAGGATCAAATCAGAGATATCAATAAGTTTCACTATTACGAGGATGATCTGTACTTCGTAGCACAGATGCACGAGAGAAATTGGACGCCGAGGGATACCAAGATCGATTACACTGAAGGGACGGTTGCAGATGTGCCACTGAAAAAATGAAATCGATCTGATAGACAGTGCAAAAGAATAGTAATTTATGGTTTTGTACTGTTATGTATGTTAGAGACATTTAAGGGGGGCGAGTGTCGGATGGCCGAGGAAAAGTAAATATCGATGGCTTTCTTGCAGAACAGGCTGAATACGCAGTTTCGCAGTACAACGGTCGAGAATGAAATTATGAAACCACAATCTCCCCATCAATTTAAAGCTTGAGCAGACCACAGAATAACTTGTTTGCATGTTCCGGTATTTCTGATCCGGTATGAAAATAGGCCTGTTTTCACATGGCAGATTAGAATTCCCCTCCTCGGTTACCTATTAGCGAGCCAGACCCTTTTTCCTTTTGGCGAGGCAAGCACGGTTCTTCGGTCAACACCCAATACTGATCCAGGATCAACAACGGCGGGCAGTCAGACCTTGCCTATTACCGGATGCCGGAAAAATTATTGAGAGCTATATTGCAGCATATCGATATTCTAAGAGCAAGACCCTAAATCTTGTGAATGGTACTGCTGCCCAGTGCTTCTGGATCACATGATTTTGAGTTTCGCATAGGTACTTGGCCACTGTTTCCAATTGCGGCCGATGCGAGATTGTTGGTCTTTTGATTCGCTCTTTGCCATCAAGCTTTTCCCTAATTCGAGTATAGCGTGGCGATACGTCCTTTGTATGGTATTGATTCCGTCATGCTTGCGAAGGCTAACAATGCGCTATCACCACGTACCGACCTCAATGATCCCACTTGAGGGTCAAACCCTGAACAGTTACGAATACGAGGAATATGATCTGACACAACGCAGGACAAGAACCCATTGTGAAGCTGAGAGATGGCAGTGACCTCGGCCAAGAATAGAGTAGAGTTTCTCTATAGCTGCGGCTGCCACCCTTCCTGTCGACTTTTAAGTTTTTCCACACACAAAAGCCGATCCCAACTCGCAAGAATGTCATCACAACATATGATACTCTGTCAAGATCTTGATGACTAGGGTCTGTATGTGTAAATCTCATGGGATCGAGAGAGTTTGATTGGAACTTGAATGTCAGCCTCAAGTTGTCAAACCTCGGCATCCCTGCTCCTAAGGCTTTGCCATAACATTCATCAGACGATAGATGCAACATTACTGGATCACAACTAGGGGGAATAACTGGAAAATTGTACACGAATACGCTAGATTGCCGCTGGATACTGCGGCTTTGCAAGGATATTGCCGTTGGTGGTTGATGATATCAATTCTCGATCTTCCAGATATGATGTCAAAGATATACTGTATGCATTCCGAATAGCATAAATAAAGCCAGAAGCCCGGGAGAGATATCTAATAACCTCCTACAAGCACCTTAGTATTAGTTTATAACTTGCAATCTCAACACTCAAAATGTATTCCATCAGAATCCATGTCATTCTGTTCGTAGTTTTCCTTGGAACAGCCCTTACATCACCCATTGCGAGCCCACAAATCCCGAATATCACTCCACAGTCAACAGATACAACAGCCATGGCTCAAGCTGCCGCTCTTCAAGCTTCACAAGAAGCGGCCGTCAGCCCTGGCTCAAGTAGTCTGATCAATGGACTCCTTGCCTCCGTTTTCATGGCCCCAGCAGTCAACATGAAAGTCTCCGCTCTCACCAACATTCTCACACTTTTCGAGCAAGGCATAGCCAAAACACTTGGAGTTGACACCACCGCTTCATCTACAACATGCGCTCAAATGATGGTGATTTTTGCCAGAGGAACAACAGAGCCAGGAAATGTTGGCCTGTTCTCTGGACCGCCATTCTTCGATGCGTTGGAGGCTACAATGGGTGCGGGTGCTGTGAGTGTACAAGGTGTGGAGTATAGTGCTAACATTGAGGGGTTCTTGCAAGGTGGTGATCCAGCCGGTAGTGCTACTATGTGAGTTTTACTATCAGTTCTCTGGAGTAGTATCTAATTCAGGCAGGGCAAGGATGATCGAGACTACTACACAGAACTGTCCAAATGCAAAGATTGTAATGTCAGGCTATTCCCAGGGTGGACAACTTGTACACAACGCTGCTGCGATGCTACCTGTGACAACTATGGCAAAAGTCAGTTCCGTGGTCATCTTCGGCGACCCAAGTGAGTGTTGTACTGTTCTCTTTGAGCTTCTGCTGACAATTCTCAGATAATGGTAAACCCATTGCCAATGTCGATCCTGCGAATGCCATAGTTATCTGCCATGGAGTGGACAATATCTGTGATGGTGGAGACTTGATTTTGGTCGAGCATTTGACATATTCCAGGGATGCTGGTCAGGCTGCAGAATTTGCTGCTGATCGGGCGAGGGCATGATGGAATTTTTGTTAGCAGATGAATATTGGAGGGACAGGATTTCCAGGAAGGAAACAGGAGGCGGATGTACCAGTAGCTTGCAGTGTCAATAGCGCTGGAGTTGGGCAAGCAATGTGGCGATTTAGCGTGCTTTATTATTTTATATGCAATCATGAATCACGAGTTAAACGGTTTGGCCGTGGTTTAAAAATTTCTGTGCTGAGACATTGAATCTGTGCCCTCTCTGAGACGTCTGCAGGCACCGAATTCTTGGATTCGACGCATGTTGTTTGTTTACATTGGCGTTCTTGCTTCAGGGTGTTTCGGTTGAGTGCGGGGTATTATTTACCCCTCTATTGCCCTGTAAGCGAAATTTGACTTACTGTAATCATGCCCCGCTGCTCTGTGCCATTTTGTCAATATGATTCGAGAAGTGCTAGAATATTTGAAGCTTGACTCGTTTTCTTCCCAACCATCTCCTGAAGGATGTAGCGCAGAATATTCTAGCAAATTGATATTCTCATTAATGAACGCTGGGCAATGGACCAGAAGCGATATGTCCTAAATGAGTTTTTGACTAGGACATAACTCAGTCCACACGGAATCTAAAAAGCCCATATCTCTTCGTAAGATGTTCAAGAGACAAAGATGTGCAGTTTTGAACTTTTGATGTTATACAGGCCACTTCGGTAAACAGTCACAGTGAATCACGAGAAACTTAGGGCAGTCTCGTTGAACTGCTTGGAGTTTCAACACCTAATACAATTCCAAGCCCGAAATTGCTATACTTCATCCAGCACGCCTAGACCAGAATTAAGGCTATAAAATTTGTGAAAATACTAAATAAAGCCTTGAAATTTAGCACAATCAGTCTTTAAGGTGGCTTTGGCATTTTCAAGTCCATAGCAAGACTCCGCAGGAACAGATTGAACCCATCAGATCCCTTCAAAAGACCTGGCTCCAAAGTCATCCATTTATTTCGTGCGCGAGTAATGCCCTCCCTGACCTTATTAGCAATAGCAGATTCTCGTTCGATATCCCCACCACTCGATGACAAAGCCGTAAGCCCTTTTTTCATTGCCCAGTAAATTTTTGGGCCATACGTTGTATTAGGTTTGGTCCATCGTTTTTCACCTGGCACAGGGATCAACTTCTCCAACTTTTCGGCGTAGATTGTCAATTTTTCCTCGAGGTTGGTAAGGTCTATTTCTTCAAGGCCTGCTGTGTCTATTGGGGGCTCGGGTGATTCTGAGCTGTCGTGGGAATTCTCCCCCAAGTCAAAATCGTTCTGATAATCCTCGTTTAGTTCATCATTCTGACCATCATCGTCTTCATAATGATGGCGAACGTCTCGGTAATCGGAGTCAGAATGATCAGCATCATCATGGCCCGCTTCGTCACGACCAGGGTGATTGGCCTGATCATCGTCAAAGTCATTATTTGAATCCGACCCTACACGCATACCGTCAGGATCAATAAAGGCAAACAGTGACGCAAGCCACGCTATTGAATTATTGACAGCATCAAAGATATCATCGGTATCACGGTTGAAGCGATGCTTGTTGAATGCTGGTCGAAGCATTCTTACTGCTTTGAGCCTCGCAAACTCCAGATTCTTCCATTCCTCGTCTGTGTGTTTCGAGTTGAAATGCATCTCCTCATGGAAAGGGGTGATGATGTTTGCCACATGTTCGAAAAAGTTATTGTAGTCTCCATCGTTTGTCGATGCCGCAACAGCTGCACGATGAATGTGCAGCTCGTCCATATGGTCAGCAAAGATAGCAACATCGGGATGGTGAAAATCGTCTTCCACATTGCGGCCATCGTTGAGGTCGTTATTATTCCGTGATGACGGCGCTGGTGGCGTCGAGGCAATCATTGTACCGGCGGGTAAGCTAGGAGGAGTTGGTGCAGCATTTTTAGGATCTTCCGGTGCAGTGGGTTTAAAAAGTGCTCTCAGGAATTCTCTTGCTTCTCGAACATAGTCAGGCTCCCCAGCCAATTCCGGTAGCTTGGCAGCAAACCCTACGCGAGCTTGGTACATGATAAGATGTAGATTCCTGAAAGTATACTCCAGTCGAGATTTATCATTTTTATACTTCTTGGCCTCGCCGATGAAGAATTTGATCACAGCTTCGAGGGCCTCCATTGCTCTTGCGAATTCGGGGTCCACTGCGTCCTCGTCCTCGGATACCTGTTCTTCGGTGGCCTTCGCCTTACCTTTCCCCTTCCCCTTTTGTTTTTTAGCGACTTCCGATTCAGCTAGCTGACTAGTATATTGCTCAATGGTCTCTTCAAGCTTGTGAAAATCCTTCCGCCATTTGATGGATATACAAAAAGTATTTGGGCGTAGCGGGGGCGGCGGCGGTGGTTTATTATCACGAGAGAGCTTTTCCATATCCCACTGACTGAATGTTAGGTTCAAGCTTCATTAACAATTTTGGCTATACTTTAAAAATGTGGATATTGTGTCGAAGGACGTCCTTCCAAATGGATTTCAAGATACCCTCGAAATGAAAAGAGGAGATTTCTACATACCGGAAAGAATGGATGGCCCCCACGAGGTGGTGGATTATCACCACTCGCAACAAATTCCTTTACGTTGTTGGGACGTACTTGTTCGCGAGTATAAAATCTTTCCGCCCCAGGAAGAGCAGCAAACAGAGCTCTACTTTCCGCATCAGCACGAGCTATTGCCTCCCAAGCTTCTCTAGGAATAACTCTTCCCTGGGTTATCAGGCTTTGATGAGGTACTCGGGGTAGACCGTGTCGATTGCTACGGGGAGCGCGGGGGTGGTAAAGTCGCATATGCTCAGTATACTGGCCGTCAGCTCCACCTTGGTGGAACCAAACTCCACAAACAGCACATGTTCGATGGATGACGATTGCGTCCCATGTCTTTCCACGATTTGCTGGCATGGAGGATGCCAAGGGATAATGACCGCCTCTGCGATTTTCTGTTCTGGCAACTTGTGTAGAGATGGTTGAGAAAAACCTTTTCGTCTGTTCGGTATCTGTCTCCTTGCCGTACTTTGGAAACGGCTGAGCTTTATCCCCTTCACCATTTTGTCCTTTTCTTGAAGACCTTAAAGCTTGAGCTTTGCTATCAAGTCTGACAGGTGCAGAGCCGGCAAGCGTCGAGCGGACTCGAATACCAGGCCCAGTATGTTCCTCCTCTTTCTGCGTGTCCTTAGACCCTGGGGTCTCATCTTCACCGTCGTCATCCTTTTGTTCTGCTTCCTCCGCTGCCGAGCTTTTCTTAGGAACCTTTCCTGTCCTTGTAGGCTTTCTCTTCTCAGTAGCCTTCCCCTTCCCTTTCTCCTTGGACTTTTCCGTTCCGTCTTTTTTGCGTCTCTTCGTAGACCTGTCTTCATCACTGTCCCCGGGTTCATCTTCTAGGTGCTCTACAGGTTCCTTCCTTTTTCTATTTCTGGCGCTTCTCTTTGGAGCTGGCGTTTCATCGTCCGTTTGCATCGGCTCATCCGATGACCTTCGCCCACTCCCCTTCCCCTTGCGCGTCTTAACAGTTTTCTTAGCACCTTTTGGAGGCATTATATGGGAGTGTCTGGCTAACTTTTCGGAAAGCCTGACAGGACCGATAGCCTGAAAGTCAATGAAGACAACGAATATTCCCTGTATAAGAAAGGGGAGGAACAAAGAAACCATACAGGCAATGGTTTTTGTCAAGGTGACATTCCGGATGCGGAACATTGAAGACCCAACGACAGTGAACAAAATTTGGGGGTTCTTAGGATGATAACAAAGGAATAGCTAGTGTAACGATGCTGCTGGCAGTGCCTAAGTACAATCATGAAATAGGGGACTCGTGCTATGCGAGAAATCGGAGCTTGAGCAGAAAATGGAACAGAATGCACGGAGCAAATGAAATCGGTGCTGCTACATCAGCTTGTATGACAATGGGCTAAAGGCCGACATAGTCTCAAGAGATTGGTGAAAATAATGCATAAATCATTCCCTCTAATCAGACATCTATGGGTATATACTCCTTGATGCAAAGGGCCCTTGACGCCGAACATGCCATGATGCATGCTTCCTAATTCCGATACTTCTTTCCACGCAGCGGAAGTCAGTGCTTTCGGCTGACGACATACCGCTTCCATGCGGGCTGGCGAGTTTGTCTCCCACTATGATATTGTTGCTTCTGTACCGCTCGCTTTCACAACTCCATCTCCCGAGTTCTGGGCCGGCATTGCAACAGGGCGACCTCTCGCCTTCGATGTTATGGCAACTATCTCCCGGAGCATCAGTTCTCTGGTATCTCGGGCCAAGTCTTCGACATCTGATGGCTGGAGTCCTTTCGTCTCGATTGGTTTCAAGACTACAAGAATTAGTACAGACCTGTTCCATACCAGCCGAGAAACATACCTTTGATGGGGATATCACCAGCCTTGAATTTCCACCCTGGGAGGAACAAAACATTCGAGTAATTTGCAACTACTACTGGCACAATTGGTACGCCTGCCTGGACCGCCAAATGGAAAGCGCCCTTCTTGAAAGGTAGCAACATTGGTTCCTTCGCATAACTTCTTGTTCCCTCGGGAAACATATATACACTCTGCCTCTCCCTTGTAATTTCCTCCGATGCTCCCGCCATGGCATGTCTCGCATTCGTAGAATTTGCCCTGTCAATAAAGACCGTTCCGGACAAAGACATGAACCAACCCAAGAAGGGCATACTCTTCAGCGACTTCTTCGCAGTTACCGAGCAATGGTGGGGAAATATGCAGCCTAGCATCAGTACATCCAACTCGGTCTGGTGATTCCCAATAAATATCGCAGGGCGTGTCTTGTTCAGGTAGTCGTTAGGATCGTCGATCGAGAAGGTAATGCCAGTTGTAAATCGCATCAAGTACTTGAAGAACCGTCCGGTGGCCCATTGTGAGCTCCTGCCATGTCCGACCAAGCGCATCAGAATAGATACCAGGACTCCAAAAGTGGCAGCAACTAGGAGAGAGGCGTAGGATGCCAGTAGGAGGCCGAAGAAGCCTGCCGCAGGGACGCGAGAGGACAACATGATGAGGAACACTGTGAGGCCGAGGTACGCAGTTGCAGAGGCCCCTAGGTAGAAGAGGAAGCTGGACATGTTAAAACTGAGGCTCCTTGGAGTCCTTGGAGGACTAGAGAATATGTAGATAGTGGTAGGACCCTCTCACGGAGGGGAGAGAGCGAGGGTCATAAACGGGGCTCGTGGTGGAAACCGTTGGGGAGGTTTCATCCGGAGACCGACTGAATAATTTTTGGTGGTGAGAAGCGCCAAGCCGCTAATTTAAGGTTGTTCTGATGACCAGCTCAGACCAGCTAACCAGCGGCCTAGCCTACAGTAGCCGAGCGAGACGCCTTCCCGTGCCTTTCAAGCGTCACCGGATGAAGATTTCTCATCCTCACATGTGTTGATCGTCACAATCCGGGTTTCTGTTTATAACATCGATCTAGTCAAGATGGGATCGACGGAGCGTGATATGAATATCACAGTGGGCGTGTTGGCTTTACAGGGTGCTTTTAACGAGCATGTGCAACTCTTGAGACAGGCCGCTCGGATCCTAGCCACTAAAGACGTCGTCGAGAGAGACTGGACTTTCAAAGAAGTGCGGACTGAGGCGGAATTATTATCATGTGATGGTCTCATAATACCTGGAGGAGAAAGCACAGCAATATCGCTGGTGGCACAGAGATCAAATATGTTGGAACCTCTACGGGATTTTGTTAAGTGAGTCATCCTGGGGCTCTGATACTCCCAGTCTATTTTGTGTACTTATATCAAGCCAGGGTCACAAGAAAGCCAACATGGGGAACCTGTGCTGGTCTCATTCTATTAGCAGAATCTGCAAACAGAACAAAGAAAGGCGGCCAGGAGTTGATTGGTGGCTTGGATGTCCGAGTCAACCGTAATCACTTCGGTCGTCAGATCGAGAGTTTCGAGGCCGACCTGAATCTCCCGTTTCTCAAAGATAATGATGTTGAATCAAAGCCGAGTCCTTTCAGAGCCATCTTTATCAGGGCGCCGATCGTTCAGAAGCTATTACCAACTGTCTCGGGCATCCAGGAAGGCGAGGCAAAAGTGGATGATACAGTCATTGCGCCGTCTCGACCCATTGATGAAAGTGTTGCAAAACTTATCAATCTTGGAAACGTTGAAATCATGGGTACTCTGCCTGGACGAACTGCCGCTATCAAAGACGATGGCACGAAGGGCATGTTGGATGCTGAGACTGGGGACATTATTGCTGTCCGTCAAGCAAATGTTTTCGGAACGAGTTTCCATCCAGAGCTTACTGGCGATCCACGGATACACGTATGGTGGCTGGAGCAAGTAATAGATGCTGTTAGCCGAAGAATTGACCCTTGATATTACTCACACCGACGATAATCCCGTATGTTTACTTAGCTTGCGTGCATTTCCTGCCACGCTCGAGGGCTTTTAGAAAGGTCCATAGACCACCGAAGACGGATGCTGGAATTGCCAAGTGCAATAAAGAAAAATTGGTCAGGGTCCTTGTGCCAATATGATAGGATTGATTTCCGTTGTTGTCGTTGCCCATGTACCAAGAAATCATGAAATCGGAATTGATCGATCAGCAGGCCACTAGACTTGAGTGGCTGTATATACCCAGAGCCTATTTGCCAAAGCATTCTAGATGTCTTGCATGCAACTACTTTCGAACATTTTGAAAGAATCACTTAACATTTCTATCATAACAGTGCAATAACATAGTATACTCAGGTCGTGTCTATTGGCAATCTAAAAATGTCCAAAAATCGCTTTCGGCACATATGGCTCCTCAAGAAACTTCACCTCTTCAGCATCCAAAGTCTTGGTCCTCACCTCACAAGCCTCGTCAAGCCTTTCATCAGAATTAAAACCAGTGATCGGCACTGCACCTTTACTCCTCAACCACGCCAGAGAAACCTGGCTCATCTTCCAGCCCTTCTTCTCCGCAACCTCCTCGACCCTCTTAATGATCTCCAGATCCGCCTCCGTGGAGTCCGGCTGCCTCATCTGCGATCTCACAGATTCATCATGTCCTGCCGGCCTCGCCAGTTTACCTCCAGCAAGAGGCGAGTACGGGATCAGGCCAACTCCAGTCTCGTTGCAGAAGCGAATCATCTCTCGCTCTTCCTCGCGGTAGAGCAGGTTGTAATAGTTCTGCATACTGATGAACTTCGTCCAGCCGTTCTTCTCGGCGATGAACTGCATGTTGGCGAATTGAGTAGCCCACATAGAGCTTGCGCCGATGTAGCGGACTTTTCCTGACTCGACGAGATCATGGAGAGCTTTCATGGTTTCTTTTGGTGGGGTGGCGGGATCGTAGCGATGGATTTGATAGAGGTCGATGTAGTCAGTTCCGAGACGCTTGAGAGATGCGTCGACAGCTTTGAAGATAGCACTGCGCGAAAGACCTGTAGATGGATTAGTATGGTTTGAAATGTTATTTGTGGGTCGACTTACCACCACGATTAACATGATCCTTAGTCTTCGCCATTGTCTCTCCCAATACAGCGCTAAAAGTATCAATGTCGTCCGCTACATAGATGTAGCATTTTGTCATCAAGACAAGTTTCTCCCTCGGAATCTCAAACTTCTTGATCGCCTTCCCGATAATCTCTTCAGAGAGTCCATTCGAGTACATGTCGGCCGTGTCCCATGTGTTGACGCCACGATCGTAGGCAGCTTTCAGAATCTTGAGAGAGTCTTCTTCCTCGAGATTCCAAGGCATCCATTTCTTGGATCCAAAGGACATCCCGCCAAGAATGGGAGATGAGACGCGCAGACCAGAACGTCCGAGTTGGACGTATTCGACTTTGGTTGCATCGATACTCTTTTGAAGGCCTGACGAAATGACAGCAGAGAACGCCATTTTGATGTTTGATTTGGTCACAAAAGCTCTCCTGACTTCAGTGAAATGTCTGAGATTTGATGGGGTTCTCGCGATGCTTGCTGATGTTGGCTTGCCAATTGAACTCGGGAATCGATGAACAGAAGGATATGGGAGGCATAATATTGACGGGAAATAGACCGACTTTTATATGGAATATCTCAGGCACCCCATTTGGTTGTCACGAAGCCAATTGCTCGTCCATTATGCTTTTGCACACCTACAAACATTATCTCCGTTGCGGTCGACAATTTCTTGTCAATCTTAAAGGAGTCAAGAAGCTTAATCCCGTCATCTTTCCGTCAATGGGCTGGTCATCACAAGAAAAAAGTCTTCGACGATCCGTGAATTTGTAGCTAAACCATGTTGGGGGCACAGCTCGGCATCACTGTGTTGTCAGCAAGTGGGGGCAATCATCATCATTGCCATCATTGGCGGCTCATAAGCGAGTTCTTCTTCAACATCGCGAGTTTCTCCGCATTGGGTAAGGCGCTCAGATAGCATTCGACACCAACTTGTTGACTTCTGGGGTTGATTATACAAGCATCGTGGCTATAGGACCTGACGCGGATCGATGACGAGATAATTGATTTGGTCGAGTCCAACTCTGCTGGTATGCTAAATCCGTTAATTCCAGGCTTTGACACCGTAAGTTTCTTTGCAAATGTAACGAAAGAAGCGATTTGAAAGAAATCAGTCTAAGGTTCGAAGATGCCAAGCAGTGTTGGCCAATGATCTGATTGGAAAGCAAGGGACACAACATAGAAGTCGGACTTTAATAAGTGTTCGGAGTAATCAAGGAAGAAATCATCAAAGGCATTCTTAAATTCAAGTCATGGATCTATGGGGCATGCTTCAGATGGTAACAGTTCCAAATTCTCAGACGCATATTTTTCCACTCAGTCCTATTGCGAGCGAATCTCAAGCTGTCCTCGTCACCAATTTGTAGAGGTGTTTACGCACTGCCAATAGAAATCTAAACATTGACGTATTAGCACTCCATGCAAACCCTGCCATTCCTAGAAGTAGACTCACCATTCTGGCTAACACATTGGGCACCAGCAACACATTTTGTGCATCCATTGTATGATCGACTGCCTCCACCTGTGGTAATCGGAAATCAGCAACAACTCATCACAAATGTTTTGGGAGCACTCTGAAGAATAAGATACTCCTAAAACACCTGACCAGGGCATTATGCCCACCACGGGAATAACATACACTGATAGTACAATGGCACCGGACACTTGGTCAAATTTGGATCCGGCGGGACAGTGAGCGTCGGTTTCGCTGTCGTTGTAGCCTTCGTAGTTACGATCGAGGTGACAGTAACGGTGGTATAGAACGTCTGCGTGACTTGAACGTTAGACGTGGTTGGCTTTGTGGAGGTCTTGATCGTTATGGGCGGCGGCTTGACGGAACTGCTCGTGGTGGTTTTCTTGGTTGTCAGGGTTGAACCACCGCTGGTTGGTGGCTCGACGACAACGACGGTGCCAACTGTGCGGGTTATGGTGATTGTAGTCTGTGCAGCCTGTTTAAGGCGTTAGAGGTGCTTCGGGGATGGTTGAGGGAGCCATACGACAAAGCCTGACAATGCCAGCAGTGAGCTGATGAGAATACTTGGAAAATGCATTGTGATTGAATCTTGGATTAACAAGGTGAGAAACCAGATGAATTCGAATGGTTTTCTGAGGAAGTACGTTCAACAAGAAGTAAGTGAAGAGAGAAGAAAGGAATTCCCTTCCAAGCAATACTTGATGGACATGGTATCCCACACTGCAGAATGCAATATAGGGACACCGGTGTATCCTACTTTGCAAAGGAACCGTGCAGATATCAAAGCAATCATGTCGACCCACCATCCAAACCTGATCAACCATGGTATTCAAAGTCTGGTGTAGATATTGAGGTAGCATTTTAGCATTCAGGCACTCGGTTAGACACATTTAACCACTCGGTACCAAATTCACAGCAGCAGATGAGGGGTACACAGACGAATATGGCTCACACCCGATGTGAATGTGATACTAGTCAAAAGCAGAGAGATTGTTTCGGTTCCGGGAACCGAATATGGTGATGCGATCGAGATAGAAATCTAGAGAGAGTTCCGAGGCGGCCCGAGATGAGCAGGCTAAAGTCGCTGCAGCTTCAAGGACCCTAAAATAACTTTCATCTACGACTGTTCGTGAGAACTTGCTGAATGCGATATTTGTAGGCATATTCCTGAATGTGGTCCTGAGATAGTGGAACAGAGGGTATCGAAAGCCTGGCCGGAACTCTCCCATTTTCCGCGGCATGGTCGTGATTCTGTAGAGTATGACTTTTCTCTATTGGCTCTATCCCTCTTTGGTAGTACGTACATGATATTTGTACAGCTCAACTCATGTATCACCCACCCAACTACCATCTTTCATACGGCCAGTGTCTTTATCCCCTTCCTCGATCCACGTGTCAACAAGCCCTTGCTTGGGGTCCTCATCCGGGTATCCAAGACTTCGTCTGACTTTCAATACTTCCATGCGTATCCTCATCGTTACCTCTTTCCTCAGGGCGACAGCTTCGGTACCGTATTTCAATCCTTCGGTCAACTCGCCCATCTCCCAGTTCGTCTCTAATCCTTTTCGTGCAAGTGCCTCTTTCTGTAGACAGACCAACTTCTTCCACCGTTCCCTCAGCTCCCCAAATATCTTCTCTCCGTCTATACTTTCGCCAAATGCAATTCTAATATTCTTTCCAGCCCTTGGTATGAATCTTGGGAATTCTCGCGACTCGTGCATTACGTCTTGGTTTCCGTCGATGAAGATGGGTATTATCTCTGGAAGTGGTTCCGACTCTAGAATTAAGCGTGAAACACCCCACTTGAAGTAACGAAGGGTCTTCTTGGGATGTTGGTGTACCCTTCCCTCCGGGAATATATGGATCCACGAGTGTTTGCGAGATGGGTATATAGAAGGAGCACGAAACGAGTCCACCCCATTCGTGCTGTACGTGAGAGCACCAGTACTGAAAGGATCGGATGTTTCGAGGGTCGGCGTGTAAGAGGGAGGAGGTTTGACAAATGGCTGGCAGGACAGCAGTCGGATCGCTTGGGTCATGACGGGTTGGAAGAGTCCGCCGTGAGGAGACCCTGTATGGCCTCGATGCGTAGGAAGTACCTGACCAAGGTTGAAGAATGTGGAAAGGGTTCTAAAGAAAAGGTCAGCCAAATGATAGTATACTGGTAGTTGCCTCAAAATACCTAGTCTGAAAGCATATATCATAACTCCCCAAGCTCCATCTGTGATTCCCAGGATTGAAGGCATAGCTAAAAGGTAGCACACCCCAAATCAACGGATCGTCCATTCTGCAGATGATATCAGAATAGATTCTCGGGATACTTTCAACCTACGGCCTATGACTTACACACTCACATGGTTGGATACTGTTTGCAGATTGTCAGCATAGCTTGCGAACCAAATACATGGACAAGAGGTACCAGTAATCAACCCTCTATCTCTATCCTCTGGATTCTTCCTTCTATTCAGAGTCTCTAAAAATGTATCCAAGCCAATGACATCCATATAATTCAATCCGTGAAGAAACCCTCGCGACAGGGAGCCCGTCAGTCCCATGATGATGGAGCTGCTGAATCGCCATGGTAGGCTAGGACTCGTGGGTGTTGAGAGAGTAGGAGTCGACATGGCGCCGTCGCGCAACTATCAAGGATCAAACATAGAACAGAAATAACAGATGCCGGCCATGGAATGAAAGAGAGTGCAGGCGGCGCAATAGCTGCTCGATGGAGAAGTTCGGCTGGGCCAGTGACGTACGGGAAAATGCAAGGGCAAACAATTCTTGGAGGGTCTCGGGATGGGTTTTACCGATCCGGCTTGGCCTTTTCCCCCATGGACATTTTTCAACGACATGCCATACACGAGACTAAATTTCATTCTTTCCTTCACGAGCAAATCAAAACTGGCCTTCGGCTTAATCAACAATTCTTGATCGAGTTACTGACCTAGCTTAGTGCTATCAACGAGGCTTGCGAACAATCACGCATTACAACATAGGATTTTCAAACCTCAACGACCAAAACATACATCTCAAGTCTCTCGAGCTGCGCGAGTACCTTGAAATACTATCACGTACCACGATCACGTAACTATCAGACAAACTCAAAAATCAAAGCAAACTTCATCCACCAAACATACAGGAGCAGACTATTCACTTGTTCTAGTGACAGGACTTTTGGCCCCTGAACAAGCAGCAACTCACCAAGCGAGGTCGAGGCTTCCATAAAGAGGGTGCCTCTCCTGGTCTCCCCACAACCAAAAACTTCTACCTCCACCACTTGGAACCCGAAACAACTCTTCTTTGCCTTCGAGGTTAGTCATACATTGCTTGTACTCTGTTTCAATCCATGCTACCTTGGGACTGTATGATTAGGCGCCTTGAGGTTCACGCCTCAGACGAGTCCCAGAACCCCAGTAACGTATATAATTACCATATCTGCGACTGACTGCGAATGTTCTGCTCTGAGCATTTGAACCCACGAGCGCTGAAACTATACACGAAAACTGCTTTGGATATCTTCTATTTGCATGCATTGCACGAAGAGCAATAAGCTAACGGCCATCAGCTAGTTCATCTGACAGCAGGTTCTTCTCGCCACCACTAGGCCCAGAAAGGGTGCTTTCATCTTCGCCATGTCTCATAGTAAGTTTTGGTGAAGCGCTGACACACATCTCTGACTTGTCCACAGGCAAGAGAAATACGTCTCGGGCTGTGTTTACGTCCCACGAGAGAGAACAAGCAAAGGCAGCATGGAATTCGACATCTGCTCGCCTCTCGAGAGATTCATTCCTTCCCTTCGCTTCATGCAGGCTATGTCTCCAGCCAGCAGTGTCCCCCGTATCTTGCTTGCATGGAGATATCTTCTGCAGGGAATGTGCATTGAACAACATTCTTTCTCAGAAGAAAGAGATCAAGCGTTTGGAGAAGGCGCGAGAGAAAGAAGAGAAAGATGCCGAAGAGGATAGAGCAAGAGAAGATGCTGAAGCAAAGGAAAGAGCTGTTCAAGATTTTGAAAAAATTCAAGCTGGGCTGGAGGCCAAGATGAAAGATGGTTTGAGGGATCAAAAGATCGTTGGCAGAGAGGGTGGCAAGATCATTGTCGAAGAAGATGTTGCTGGAGGAAAGAGGGGTGAGAAGAGGAAGTTTGAGCTTGATGAGGAGGAACTTCTTCGCATTGCTCGTGATGAAAGAACAAAGGCAAGAAAAGCCATTGATGACGAAAAGGTATGTGCCTACACTTCAGTTTATCTGTGTATGCTGACATGATTACAAAGGCTTACAAAACAACTCTGCCTTCGTTCTGGGTACCATCAATCACACCTTCCTCCAATACCCAGATTGCTCTGCACACCATTGTTAAGAAAGCCAAGCTATTCCCCGTATGCCCCGCGTCCCAAACCGACAAACCGCACAACTATTCGCTGCACACCTTGGTCGAGGTAAAATTCACCGAGGATAAGGATGCAGCTAAGAAGACAAGTCAGCGAATTTGTCCATCATGCAAGAAGGCATTGAGCAACACTTCCAAGGCAATGCTAGCGAAGCCCTGTGGCCATGTTCTGTGCAAGAACTGCGTGTCTAAATTCATGACTCCGACCGGTGTTCATGATCCTCACGCGCCTGACGTGGATCAGAACGCCGTTGCATGCTATGTGTGTGAGGCTGATTTGACCGAGAGGAAGGGTAAGGCTTCAAAGTCGGCCAATGAGGATGGAACGACCGAGAAGGAGAAGATCAGGCCCGGATTAATTGAAATCAGGGCAGAAGGAACAGGATTCGCTTCAGGTGGTGCCAGTGTTGTTGATCGGATGGGGATTAGCTTCCAATGCTAGCGCAATCACTTCCATTTTCACAACCAACCCGCCCTATGGATATTTGTATATAAAGTGCGCGTTTCGAAGAATAACGCGCCTCGATTTCACTCCAATTCCCACCCCGAGCAAACATATTCTCTCTTCAAGCTAGACACTACATTCACCAATATGTCTCTGCCAGAGATCCAAAAGTCGGCTTTGGCACGCTCTCTGTCTCCAAGAATATGACATTTTGACGAACATATTCCACATCACGGTTCGCCCAATGAAACCCGTCGACGTTTCATCCTTCCGTGCGAGGACCCGGGCAGTCCTTACACCAGTCCTTGATATCAATATCGTGCATGTCTCCCAGGACTCTACTGCAGCAATTAATGAGGTATGTAGATCGTTCATAATGGACTGCAGGCGACTCACAGTCGATAGGCCATGAAGAATGCTATTGCCACTGGCGGTGACATTTTACGCCTGACTATCTCTTGCGCTGTCACCAATGTCAAGTTATTCGATGCGAACATTACACTCGCATAGTCAGGTTTTTCCAAAAACACACAGTCGCGATTTATTGGCATCGACCCAGTGTAAACTCCATCGACTGGACCAACTTTGCGAAGATTAGCTTCGAGTACACACGTACCCAGTCTCTCCTCTTTCCAAAGGAATTCTGCGTCAACTCCAACAGCCGTGAAATTTCACTTTGCAAAGGCCTTGACGCACGCCATCACTCCGCTACCCCACCATGCCGATCCTCGAGATTGTTAGGGATAACTTCTATCTCATAATCAATACCATGACAGCCGCTGAATATTTAAGCAGTATAAAGATCTGCGACCAAAGGTTAAGAACCCAGTTGCTTGTGGACACATAAATTTGGGATGTAAATGCTCCGTCATCAAGTTTCAGACTGTTCGGGGTCAAACCGGCATATCTGGTCCAATCAACAATTTCGTAGCTCCGCAAAGTGAAAAGCCACCATCGCTGGATTTCTTGACGGTTCTTGCCCTGCCAGCCTGGGAGTCTGGTTGTATTGGCTACGAGGTTCATGGACTTGGCCCTGTTCCCATCATAATTTGATTTCAGTGTGGATACTGGATGCTTATGATTTTCACATCTGGGATTGAAATTTGGGCTTTGGGCTTCGTTTCGGTGCAGGACTTTATGATACCCAGTGCTTTGTACTGATAGAGCCGAATCAACGCGCTGACAAGGATGCTTTGTATGACTCTAGCGTCTTGGAATAGTCGTCTTAAATTCATGTGTATTTCTTCAATTGTGACATTTGAAAGCCAGGATGTGAACTTTCGAAATATGAAAAAGTTATGCATCCCTCCCACCATGGATCTGAGCATTCATTCACGGATAAGCAGCAAAGTCGACTATGGTATATTCTCAAGGGAACATCAACACCCCTTTGAATGTCGAATGACATTTTTATTCTAGATGAAATAGAAGACATTGATTGCGAGTTCATAATGTTCATTCAGACTGCTTTTCTTTTCATTCACCACATCTACACGACAACCGGCGTGTCGCAGGATCCTGAGGGTTCTAGGCTGATGAGTTGCCAAGCGCCTCGCTTAATCCTTTGTTGTTGTGAGACAGCTACGCCTAAGCTGTTTTCTTTGTTCAGTCACTCGTGCACTGTTTCAAAACTCTGTCAGGGGACTGAGATATTTAAGGCTCACAATATTCCTCGTTTTCCTTTCCAACTCTAGGTCTCTTCTGTCCTAACCAGAATCTCGAAAACAGTTTCAGCTCCTTCAGCACTTCCAACATCTTCAGCGTCTGAATAATCATGGGATCCTCAGCTTCGAAGCGTCTCAAAGATGTCGAGGACAATTTGGAGGACAACTTCACGGACAACTTCAAGGACAACGTCAAGGACAACGTCAAGGACAACGTCAAGGACAACGTCAAGGACAATGTCAAGGACGACGTCAAGGAGAACTTTGAAGGCATTTACGAAGTAGACACACCGCCCACCGAGCGAAGAGAGCCACGCATTCAACAAACGAATCCACCACATTGTTCTGATGGCAGTTGAACCAATTTACAACAAAAAGGTCAAAGAACCAGCATCGACAAGGGAATTCCACTTCTTTTCGCTTCTGCCACTTGATATCCAATGGACGATCTGGGATATGACGTTTCTGCCGCAAAAGAATCGAACCATCTTTCTTTGGGTTTGGCCACATAGGTGATATACCTACAACTTCAACCGAAAGCCATTTCCTAGGCAATTTGACAGAGCATATGACAAAAGACGCGAGGCAGTGATGAAAGACCCTAGAGTCTCATTTCAACGTGCGAATCGCGAGACTCCAGTCCCTCTTCATGCCTGTCATTCCTCCCGACAATGGGCTCTTGAATATCACTACATCTCCATTCCATGTCATTTCGATGGATCGATACAAGGAGCGATTTACGTCAACTGGAAATTGGATGACGTGATTGTACGAGACACAGAGACACTTCTCCACCTCTCAGGAATTACTGATCTCAACCTCACGTCCAACTTGGCTCAATCGGTGAGCTACATGTGGCGGCGTCCCAATATCAGCCCATCGCGCTTCAGAGAGAGAACGAACGATACTGGCGTGCGAGACGTGCCGTTTCCCGCTCATCTCAACGACGCGGAAGAAAAATTGCAAAATTTAAGTGTTGCTGAAATTCTCAATCCGATCAACAGGGCTGCGTTGGCCAGGTTCAAGAACTTAAAAACCCTGCATATGCACTTCGGAGGGGTCTGCAACGTCCCTGGATTCAAGTCCCACGCAACCTTGGAAAGAGCTCTCGTGCAACTGTGGAATGAGCGTGGCATTGAAGCTCCTGAGAGGATATTCCTGCGGCCTCGGCAGTTCGAAGAAGTCATCGTACGACCAACTTTACGCAAGTTCATACACTTGAATCAACTTCAGGTCTGGACTACCCTCTAGAACTCCACTTATGATTCATGTATCACGTCCGCAGGTGATTGTTCTATGGGAGCGCACTTCTTTCAAATTCTCTGCTCAACGTTCCGTTCGGCGCTGTTGGTCGCGCAGCTGCAGTTTAGGGGTTCCCTCATCATTCAACGCTCGTCTAGATAGCTCAATGCATTGTTTTCCTTGCCACAGTGAGCACATTCTAATACATCGTGATTTTACAGATATTAAATTATCGTGAAAGTTACCATCCACTACCTTACTCTACCAGGTTTCTTTGAAGAGCCGCCGGCTCGCTCCTCCTCCATGTCGGCTCCACAATAAATACCTCGGCTAACCCCTGGCGCCAAGCGGCATCAGTAAATAGTCCCTACGTCATATATCAATAAGTCTTTTCATTACCTACAATCAAATCAAAGATAATGAAACGTGATAGTCTCCCTTTCCGTCCTACCTGCAGCCTCAAAAATGTCACCCCAAGAAACCCCACCAATAGTATCCATAATCTCCGGCGGCATCGCAGGCGGCGTAGAAGGCTTCCTAACCTACCCCTTCGAATTCGCCAAAACCCTCGCCCAACTCGGCAAAGTCCCCAACCCTCCAAATCAGACCTCCCAAACACAGAAAGAAATCCCCAAATCCAAACTGTCCCGAGATCCCTACCGGATAATATCCCAAATCTACAGAAATGAAGGCCTCCGCGCTTTATACAAAGGCTGTGGCGTCCTGGTGATAGGAAGCATCGGCAAAGACGCCGTGCGCTTCCTCTCCTTCGACACCATAAAGAACTCATTCCGTTCGCCTACAGACGGAACACTCACACCAACCAGGAACATGCTCGCTGGTATGTCAGCAGGAATCATAGCATCCATCTTCGCCGTGACGCCCACAGAGCGTGTGAAAACCGCTCTGATAGACGATGCACGTGCGGGGTCGACGAGAGCGTATCAGGGGGCGAGACATGCTGTGAGGTGTATTGTGCAGGAGGATGGGGTGAAGGGGTTGTATAGAGGGTTTGTGGGGACGACGTTGAAGCAGGCGAGTAGTACGGGGTTGAGGATGGGGAGTTATAATATTGTGAAGGATTGGGAGGTTAGGAGGGGGATTGGGCAGGGGACGGTGGTTAATTTTGGGAATGGGGCGTTTGCGGGTGTGGTTACTACGGTATTGAGTATGCCGTTTGATACTATCAAGACGAGGTAAGAAGGCTTGCATTTTAGAATTCAAATTTCCTCAGGTACGACAGGGACGACTTCATTGAAAGAATGGTTGAATAGACAAAGGAGGAGGCGATTCTTTCCCTCCCCTCCCTAAATCAAATACTGACCTACCAAACAGGAGTCAAAGTGCCAAAGTGACAACAACAATGCAAGCTATCACCGGAGTTTGGCACGAAAGCGGGATCCGCGGGTATTGGAAGGGTACTGTGATGAGGTTGAGTAGGACTGTATTTAGCGGAGGTAAGTTTGTTTTCAATGCTTGTCCAGTTTCGCCTCAAGGTTTGTTTTTACTTGGAGACACTGCTTGGGAATGATTCTGCAAGGATGTATGTGGCTGATGAGAGTGTGTCTCAAATTAGGTATTCTATTTACGACTGCAGAGGCTGTTGCTAAGGTTTTGAACCCTCTGGTTGGGAGGTAAGCGATAGAGCGGTATTAGTGTTTACTAGGTATGAGGGCTCAGTGGATTGCTATATATCTGATGTTTGTATGATGGTACTTTAGACATCTGTATTACTATAGACACATCATCGTGTTTATTTACCTAGAAGACTCGAAATGAATTCCGATGGTGCTAAGTATAATCCAGTACAGAAGGACATACATATAAAGACAATTGAAGTACATGATCTTCGGGAAGTTGGATTCTCCAACCACAAAATGAGGAATTACAATTTAAGACTAACCGCCAATCTCATTTTCAGTTACCAGCAACTGCAATTACCATTCCAAAAACGCTTTGCAAGAGTAAAGAACAGCCTCCCCAACCCATCCCAGCCGAGCAGATTACATTTGGTATCCTATGCCACACTCATCGCTCGTCCTCGCATTACTCGTCCTTCTTAACCTGCTTGACCTCCGAATTCTTCAACGCATGACCCACCTCCTCAATCTTCCCACCCAACATCTCCTGCGCATTCCCCAGCAGATTCCCCGCCTCCTTTGCCGAAAAATCATTTGCCGTCTTCGCCGCCTCCGTCGCATTATTCGCCACGACCCCCGCCCTCTCAGTAGTGATGCCTACGCGCTCAGCAACATTTTCGTATCCCTCCTTGAGCAACTCACCTCCCTTGTCCCTCACATTCACAACATACTGGCCGGCTTTCTCGCCGGCACCTTGCACAGCATCGCCTGCTTGCTTGGCAAGCTCGCTGGGGCTGGGATACTTGTTGAGTGCTTTGAGGATGATGTAGTAAGCCTGGATGATGAGTTTGTGGATCTGCTCTTTGATGATCATGGTCGTGCCGTGGGTAAGGAAACCCTTGAAGATTTCGCCCCAGACACCTTCGTAGAGACCAGCTGCGCCTTCGGTGCGGTAGATACGTAGGATGGTGTTGAAGACTGTGCTATCTTTTGCGAGCTTCTTGACGTCTTTACCAGCTTTCTTGGCATCGCTTCTGTTGCGGCTTTTCTCAACTTCTTCCATTACAATCTCAGCGTTCTCTTTGTCAACTGGTGGCTTGCTGGAAGTTTGAGCACGGGCTTTGGCGAGTGCGAAGGGGTAGGTGATGGCTGAGGCGATGGCTTTGCTGAATGCTGCCATGAGGAAGGTGATCCTGGCTCCCGGGTCATCGCGTTGTGCGCGGGGAAGGAGAGTCCGTTTGAAGGTCTCATAGAGGAAGAATGTGATGCTTGGGTTGAGAGTGAGGACGAGCGATGCAGAATATCCGGACCAGAATCCCTGTAGGCCTTTCTCGGAGCGGATCTGGGAAGCTATGTCGGCTACTGTTGGTTCTGCTCTGCTTGACGAGGATCGAGCTGCTACCATTGACGCAATCTGTTTGCGAGTAACGATGTTGGAGATGGGTGTAGTGAACAACTTTGACAATGCTCCAGCAAAAGCACCAACTCCAAGCTCATCAATTGCAGGAAGTGTCGTAGCATTGAGGCCCTTCTTTTGCAGGCGATTCGTCCTCAGATAGTTGTAGAACAAGAAGAAAAGGAAAGAATCCGCAATAGATTTGCCCGTATCCTGTAGCACTCCACCGTAGAACGCACCAAGCCCTCCTTCCTTATTGTAGATCTGTTCGAAAGCATCGAGAACACCCTTGTACTCTCCCTCATCAGCAGTAGTAGACGATTTCCGCAGAGAACGCTGGACTTGGAGACGAGTGATGACCAGATCAAGAGGGTAGATGGCTAGATTGGCAATAGCCGTGCCTGTCGATCCTGCCAGAGCATGGCCGAGTGCCGGGAGAGCTGGTCCTTCGAGAGCAGACGGGGAATGTTCTTGGACTTTGTGGTAATAGGAAAAGGCATCCTGGAATCGTTAGCAAGAACCTTTATAACAAGGGAAATGGCTCTGGAATGTTACCAATTGGCTGTTGTACTGTGAGAAAGACATATTTGCGGTTGTTCAATAATATGCAATATTCAAGGACGATCGAAGCTCCACTTCGAAAACGGGGATAGTAAAGGTTAATATGCACAAGAAGAGGGGGTGTTGAAGCTTACTCCATATGAGGAGTGGTAGTGGTGGTGGTAGCTAGCTCCCTGCTGGGAATCTGGGACAAGTTCGGTATGTGACATCATCCCCCGCGGGCTTCGCTCGGTGTGGCTCGTGCATTGTTTGTTTTCCCCGCCCCCGCGTTTTCGCTACAGCATCCACCCCTCTCTGGCCGTGACCATTGCATGAAATATACAAGGATCCTGTCCACTGAAATTTTATAAAAGCTGAAGAATTACGTGGTCCAACAACCTGGGCACGTTGCATCACAAAGCATATCTGAACATTGCATTCGGACGACAGGATATGGTCAAGATGATGGTCGACATGTGCCTGAAACTAGCAAATACTCTAGCGATCTTGGTCGTTACTTAGTATCAAATTCTTTGTAGCTAGAGCGAAGAGCAATGAACGACGCTGAATGGCTGAAGGACAGGACTTTTTAATAGCCTTGAAGCTCGCCACAAACTCAGGTGATGAGTGCTAGGGTGGATTAAACTGCCTGAGCAGGCCTCGACCTTTCACAAGTTCTGAATTGACGCATGAAACATTTGGGGATCTATATCTGCTGCCGCTGGCAGTCGAAGGTAATTACACCAACCGTCGTAAACTCCTAATCGCTCGCTCTCCGCGATCCAACCAAAATTGATATTACCGCCCTATCCACTGTCCTCGACGCATGCACGGTCCTCATCTGATATGTTCATGGGCCTCTCAACTCTCATCGATCTTGTTGATCTCAGCCTTCGCTTCCTCCCACGTCTCCTTATTCTTCTTTGCCCATTCGATTTGACTCTTCGCATATGCAAGCTGTAGGTGTCAGCATTTATTATTATCTTGGAGGGAACGAAGGCTTACCATATACCGTCTCAAATCATCTTCCTTCTCAGCCTGGAACCGCTTCAAATCCTTGAGCACACCGGCACTAGCATTACGAACATCCTGCTCCGAAGCTTGTTGTGCTTGCTCCAACTGCTCAATGGACTCTCTCGTCTTGCCAATCTGATCTCGTCTCGTTCTTTCGGGGTCAACATCAACAACTCCATGGACCGCGTGACTGATACGACCAAAGATCTTGTTGGTGATGAAGTTTCCACTTGAGCTTTTCCGGTGAGCTGGACTGGGCTGTTCTTCAGGTGCTCCTTGGGTTGCTGAAGGAGGGCTAGATCCATCGCCGTGAGTTGGGGGAAAGTCGGAGTCGATAGATGCCGTATCTTCTTGATTATTCTCTCGTCTAGTGCTGAGAGGATCCCTATTAGATGACGAATTTGACCGCCGTGGCAGATTGCCTGTACCGCTACTGTTCAAATATTGCTCAATTCTCTTAGCTTCCGTCTCGCTTCGCTCGAGTGACTCAAGTAGTGCTCTCTTCTTTGCCAGCTCATCATTGGTCATCTCTTGCTGAACACGCTTTAAAACACGGTATCGAAGAACACTTCTGACAACACCAGCAAACTGTGCACTTTCTCTCATTGGCTCAGCGAAGCTTGCGCCTAGAGACCCAGATAGCTCCTCCGTCGCCAGGTAAGAAGAGTCAACAGCTTGCCCGACCCTTTCAATCGCAGCTGCAAGAGATGGTGATGGTTCTGACAGCGAAAAGCCATTGAATCTTGCGCCAAGCTCTGCTAAATCCGACGATAGGGATGACAGGTGTTGAAGTGTCCTCCTATTGACCTTCTCAATAGGTCCCGTAAGAAGTAATTCAAGCTCCTTTGTACCAGCTTCGAAGTTTATAAAGTATGGGTCAAGCTCCTGTTCGCTCAAGTGTTGAGAGTCTGGCGGAAATCGGCCAAACACTTGGATGCCAGGTATGGTATGTGCAGCTGTGGACGGACTGGCAGCATATTCGGAAGGTTGATTTGGCATTCCCTGGGCATTGGTCGACGAGGAAGAAGCAGCCTTCAACTTCGCAGATGTAGCTGGAACAGGAAGAAATGCGTGAGCAGGTGAGGGGTTGGCGGGGTCGAGCGGCGGGGCTTTCATGTTGGATTTTGGGATGGATGCAATTGGGTGAGAATGTAAGACCTCGTTCTAGTAACCGTCAGCATATATTCTAGAGTTTCCAAAGTAAAGAACATACCCAGCTTGAATTCGGATCAAGGAACCTCCACCAAACCCCATCGTTCCGGACCTCATCCATGCGCCTACATCTGTTCAAGAAGACCGCCAACATGCGCTTTCGCAGATCGATGATTTGCTGGTCTTGCTTCGCCTTAGTTGGGTTCGCAGCATAGTCTGCCATAGTATGTTTCTCTGGGATTGGCGGCATGATCAGGGTCGGATGTAAACGAGACAAGGCATCTCTGAGAGATGCGAATTCTGAGTATCTTCTTCTGACTTCCAGATCCTAACCAGCATTAGCAAAGTTCCCATGTGCGCTTCGATCTCCCTACCCCAGTCCGAATAGTATACACAATATATTTTCCACCACTTTCCAAGCTCTTGCCAGCATCCACAATGAGAATTGGAAGATCCGGGTTCTCATAGAGTATCTGCTCAATTCGACTGTCATAGCCCCCCTTTTTGCGCTTTGGAGCCTCTTGCGTGGATCCTCCATAGTCATCATCGCTGCCCGCGTCGCTGGTATCGTACTGCTGAGCTCGAGTGTCCGTCTCAGTGTCGTGAGCGTCGCTGGTAGTGGAAGGAGTGCGCGGCCCTCCGTAGCCATGTTCTAGGATTTGCCAGTCCTGATCAGCTGCTGGCTCATCGTCCAAGAAAACCGAATGCATCATATTTGCGACCTGACGACAAGGAGAGGACAGGAGAACTCACGAGAGCCTGGCGAGCTGGGGTTTGCTGCCGACGAGCTTGAATCACGTCGCTCAAAGCTCGTCCCATAAGGGTTGTTGTCCTCGTCGTTCCACATCATGCACGATATCGCTCCTGCTGGAGCTTACCGGGCAAGCAATCACTGCGCTGAGTTGTTGTCGTGAATGTTGTTTCGAGTGATGTGGAGGATTCGAGTATGCAGCTGGCAGCAACTCGAAGTGAAGGCATTCCCAGCCGCCTGATGACGATGCTGGGGCGCACGGACTCCTTGCTGGACCCCAAAACTCTACTTTGCCATCCCACCCAGTCTTCTCAGCCTACATTCCCTATTGTACGCCTCAACGAGACTCAAACATTATTGCTAAGAAATACCCCAAATATTTGCTTAATTCGAGCGTGTTAGAACCCAATCTCCAAGCTTAAAAACAACTTTCCCTGCTCTAGTTGATGCGTTCGTCTCCTGTGTTGTCTGACACTGTCTGACGTGTTCGCTGGGCAGCAAATGCTGACCTACAGAACGCCATTGTCCTGTCTTGCATAAATCTTTTCATACTTTGCCTGAATGAAAATGTTTAGTTCTTGCAAGCTTACCTAGTCATTTATGATTATATGCTATTGAAGTTTACTCAATGTCTCGCAGTCTTCTTTGTATTTTCCAGTGCTCCTATTGATATCGCAAATTACGACTGAACCAACACAGTAGTTCACTGAGACAAACACTTTCTGGATACTTCTCACATAGCCTTCCGAAAGGACATTAGGCGAAAGATATATGTTGAAGTGAAGTGATGCAGGCAATTCTTTTGTTGATACTCGTTTAATCTATTCTGCACACACCACACGTGCCGAAACACTGTACATGTCAATGCTGAGGAAGCTAGGCCCCTCCTAAGTTGCCTATGCATTGCACAGTTCATGCTTGAGGAGTCTTTGGTGCAGCCTGAAAGCTTCCAAATGGGCCTCACCATGAATTGTGCGCGGTAGGTAGAGGACCCTCAAGTTGCAGATTGGTGTCGTCCAGGAAGTTGAACTTTGGGATCTTGTTTGGCGTGTACTGAAGTCCTTGATTCTCCCGCTTCTTGTGATCCTTTGCCCAAAGCCACTTCGACTTGGCTTCCAATCTCTTCGTGTCCTCGAATGCCCAGCTGTCGCCCAAAGGAACTTCATGACGGTATGGTAGTGCCATTGACCCAGCAGCCCGAATTAGTCGTGGCACTTCCTTCAGCGTGAGAACCTCAAGATTGCTGAATCGGGCAATCAAGGGACTCAAAGGAATTCGCCGTATGAGATGACATCGGCAAAGCTCAAGAAACGCAATTTGCTATCGGCGCCGTTTCGCTCCTCGCTCAACTCCAACGTAGAAGAACGCTGGCTTTTCTGAAAATTGAAGTGGTTCCTCAGCAAACCGATCTTTCGACCGCAGAGTATTTTCAGAGTTCTAAGATCTTGAAGCCGAAATTCATCCTTGGAGAAGTCGATGTAGATGGGCTTTCCGTCGCGTTGTTTATCTAGTAAAAGTGCGAAGCGCTTGAGACCGAGCTCTCGCGACTCTTGTTAACCTGTTATTTTCGCCACAATCAATGACTCTACCCAGCGCCCGTGCTGGCTGTCAGAAGTCCACGTCAAGTTTGTATGATTCGGTAGCTAAGACTTTTAGCCCTGGAGCACTGGAAGCGGCTACACTAGGAAGGGAATACTTGAAGCTTACCATTGTGATGTTCCTTGAGCAGCAGATACGTTGATATCCGAGAAGAAATAACACTGGTAAGCTGCGTGAGTAAATGATAGAGGTATTTGAGTCTTGAGAAAGACAGCTCGGAGATTTTTGTGTTCACAAAAGTTCGAGATGCGAGGTACGCGTTGATCTCCAAATCCGCAAGGTCTTATCCGGGACATCAACACTACTCCAGCAACACAGCTTTGTGAGTCACGCCATATGGGAAGTAGATCATTTGTTTGATATCTATTGACAAAGATGATTTACTAGTTTCATTGTGATTTCACAGAATTTTGCTTTTGGGCCGCCTTGGTGGCTCATTGATCTCCTTTGTGCAGCGGTCATCTCTTTTCACTTTCTCATGCCCTCATAGTCTCACAAGAGTATCAAGACAAGCTATACAACTAAAGGCAGGCTATTCACTTATTAATGAAGTTACTGTTTGCTTGGCCATGTTGGTTGCTTCAATTGAAAAATGGCAGGCTTGAAAAAGTAAGTGTATACAGCGCGTCAATAAAGTCAGAACCTCCATTAATCACCAATGCTGCTTGCAACGAAGACGCGACGACATTATTACAGAACTGAACTCCATTTTACCTCAAGAACTCCCAAATATCTCCCAGATCTGGTGATACCTGTGCATATCTGAAAGCTCAGAATTGGTCAATTCAGCCTTGGTGAGATACTTAGCTAATAGCTAGTTGAAAGTAAGCAAGTAGACCTCCTTAAAATTGTAAGAACTCACCATTTTCATCCCTGAGCATGGAATTTCTAGTAATCTTGAAATACAAGAACTGTGGAACAGAATTGGGCTTGGCATCCTCACCCCAATCCTCATCATCCAATCTCCAGGCTTCCTTCAACGCATGCTCGGCCGGGCGAGAGTCATAGCCAAGAAATATCTGAGTGAAGAGATTGCGGGTAGAGTGTTCTTTCTTTGGTTTGACCAGGAGTCTCTCAAGGCTGCGAAACCGAGCAAGTCCTGCAATGGTGGTAGGCTCCAAGCTGTCGTCGATGACCAAGAAGCGGAGGTTCTGTTCGATCTCGTTTCTTTGACTGGGAAACATGTTGGGCAAGATGGACGTGCAGAGATTATTGGTACTTTCTGGAAAATCGATGCCGCAAAGGACAAGGAGATCCCAGTCATCTTGCACGTAGAGCGCGTCCACAGCGAAGTTGAAGAAGATTGGCTTGCCGTCGCGTTGTGGTCCTAGGATGAGACTGTAGTGTTGCAATGCGATATTTCGGCTTGCTTTGTTGACGCTCAGAACGGATGGAATCTTTCTTGGGTTGACCTTGCGATCTTTAGCAGTATTGGACTTGATTGTGTTGACTTTCTCCTGGAGCACTTGAAAAGCTTCATCCCAGTGTCTTGTAGTCTCCAAGCTGCGCAATTCTTTTCGAGTCAACTGCAAAAACTATCCGTCATCGGACTAGTACGCACCAGTTTCAGCCAGCTCTTCTGGAACATCCCTATCCTTTTGGGTCGGGATACCTGCTCTGGCCCATCTCATTTTCAGATTTGACTCGTAAGGATTGAGGCCGTGACCGTGGTTTTCGTCAGACAAGACCTTCTTTCCGAAAAGTTTAATGATTCGTCCTTCGAGTGTCGCATATGCCCAAATCTTGTCGCGTAACTCCGATGGCAGGTCCATAAAGGTGAACTCAAGAGGTGTTTGGCAGTGAGCGGTCCAGAGAATAGGTGAGGTCAGGTGGAATCGAGGCGTGATGCTCTTGACTACAAGGATTCTGGCATTTCCAACCTGGTTTCTCTCTTTCTCGTGGCGAAGGAAGAGCCTTTGATCGCGAGTTTCGCCATGCTAAATAGTTGTGAGCGTCAAGATCAGACCGATCTAGAATGGAAACATACACTGACTTGCCTATCAGCAAGATCGAAGATGATAGCATCAAGTGCCTGGTCAGTCTGCATCATGGATACAGTAATACCTGATAAGAAGCGCTGTGCACTTTCTTGAAATTCAGCGCGGTCTACAGTTCGAGAAGAATATTTGTGAGGTTGCACTTGAATCTTTGTATCAACAACCTCGCTTAAACTAGCGCGACAGGGATATTTGCTTGGGCTAGATTCAAAACAAATGAAGACCTCAATGTCCTCCTGTTACGATGGAACTGATTGCGTTTGGTTTAGCTTTACATCAAAGGGCTGGACTGATGTTCTTGTATTATCTACTCGTTATCATCATCAGAGTCACTCTTTGTGATCTGCTCGTGAACAGATTTTTCTTCACGACTTGGGTTGCTAAAAGAAGACGCTTCGTCTTGGATCCGGTTCTCTATCATATGTTCCACTGATGCTGATACGTATTGATTCGTCCTCTACGTGATTTCATTTCATAACCATCTTGTGGTAGCTATGAACAGAAATTTGTCTCAAGGACGAAACAATGCCAAAATTTACTACGACGCAGGCTAAATTATCATCTACCAACTTGCTAAAGCTCTCGAAATAACTCTCTTTCTACTTGAACTGCCCTCAAAACTCCTCCAGCGGTGGATCCGTTCAGACCTAGTCAGTAGAAGTCTGAGATGGAGTCAAAGCAACTTTTCTTAGCCAAAATGGACGTACATGCTGATTATCAGGAGCCATTGTTGTTGTATGGTCAGATCCTGGCTTCCCCTCACACCAGAGCCTCTTCAGCTTCTGCCGCTTTAGTGGCTTTAGACTCACAAATCCCCTATCTGTGCGAATGTGAGACATTATTTCATTGACTTAGTTTGGTTTCTCTCAAATTCGGAATCCAGCCTGCAGATGGACTGTGGTAGGATCGAGGGGATCATACACTCTCAGATATCTTACTTTCTCCTCTATTGCGGCAAATCGCGCTCAGAATATCAGAAATCATCAATGCTGATCTGGACCTGGAGTATGTCTTTGCTGAAATTGAAGTACATTCGCGGTGATTTTGAGGCCATGAAACTTCACGTCAACTTCCCAAAAACTACCCCACTACTTGATAACTGCCACCTGTCTATAATTGATAGCTCGCTCTCTGACGGAAAGTGGTCTGCTTTTAGATCATCTCAACATTGAATACCACCTATCGAACAAAAAAGAACACTTTAGCCCTGAAGTTTTAACGATTTCTTTCAAAAGGGATTTCACATTGGGCCAGGTGGCCCACCGTCAGACTGTCCGCCTCTCCTCCCCCTTGATCCCTCAGTTTCACTCCTGGAAGCCCGTCTACTTCCCAATGCTTCGCCCCTCATTCTCCCAAAAATGCCATCACGAACAGCAGTACCAGCATTCGAAGGATCTCTCGACCTCCCAACATTTCCTTCCTCCTGTCTCCTGCTTTCTCTTCGCCGTTCTTGCTCTTGAGCTGCTCTCATGTCCGCCATAGGCGCTGGTGGGTGATGATGATGATGATGGTCCGGATGCATCATGCCAGCTTGTTCGGGGTATTGATGTACGTGCTGCTGATACATTGGTGGTTGTTGTGGATGCATTTGTCCAGCATGCGGCATCTGTGGCATTTGCATATCTCCAAGTCCTGCCTGTCCTTGAGAGAATGCCATCGGATTTACATTCGGATTTCGCAGGAAAGGATATCCAGCAGCCAGTGGCGATCGACCAAACATGCCCCTTCTCAGAGGCGATCTAGGGAATACACCTGCATTTTGAGCTTGTCGCATATTCTCAGGAGCTCGTTCCATGTATCTAGGAGGTGGTGCGAGAGGACTTCTCGCCTGCGGATCTCTCGCTTGTGGACTTTCATATATCGAGTGACGACGAGGGAGTCTGCCGTCCCGACTTCCTCCAATACCTAAGCCGTCATATACTCTACGTCTTCTTGAACGTGTATCGAAATCTCGAAAGTGATCTTGGTACCAAGGGCCGATTGGTGAACTGGGATGGGAGTGTGATGGTGTGGTGTCTCTGTTTCGGCTCGTGCTGCGGTTTCGTGATGAGTTGGATTGGCGGATGAAGAGGATTATAAGAATGATGCAGCCGATGATTGACAAGCCGCAGAGGACTCCGAGTCCGATGACAGCATCTGAGAGTTTGGTTACTGTACAGTTTGGAGTAGCGACGACACCTGCAACACCAGCGATTGAAGATGTTGTACTCGTTGGAGGAGCTGTACTTGATGTGGTGCAATCCACATCAGCGTATGCTTTATCTGATCTGGGGATGAGTGAACTAGATATCGTAGATAATGTCGTAATTTGTGGGATGCTTGATGAAGAATGCAAAATCTCCCAGCTGTTAACTGACATTGAAGTCGGCACTGATGCTAAATAAATTCTTCAGCAGCGATGCTGTGAGACCAAGGAGTAGCTTTCAAATCTCACCTCAAAGCTTCGAAATGAGCTTTAAAGAAGCGAGGTAGAACTCAGTGTAACGAAATGGCAAACTAATCGAGATCAGGTTGCTGGCAGTTGTTCAGTGTAACTCTTGCAGTTTACAAACTGCATTGTATCGTCAATCTAAGGCATGTTACGGGAAAGTACTTCAATCTTCCGGTGAGGCAGCAGCTTAAGAGGCACGGAAGATTGCAGCTAGGCATACTTTCACCGTTGTCTTGGAAGTAAGCTATATAGCGAAGCCTTGAATTATTCCCGGTTGAGGCTGTACTTGTCAAGTGACGGACGGCTACTGTGCCAACAACATGAAAATAATCTGCCAAGTATCAACCAAATGCATCATCCCGCGCCAAGTCACCCAAGTCAGCTCGATGGAAACAAAGTGGAACTATTGTACTCTGTCTGACATTACCATCCTATAAACGTGCTTCATCGAGGCTACAACACAACTTTAGTTCAACAAATAGGTGCTCTGAGAATCCCATGATTCGTAAGCTGCAGGTGGAACGCAAACCGTTCAACAGACTGTGGAAGGTGGCGTAGGTGGCGTTGGTGGCTTGAAAGCTCTTGGACCAACATTTGCTCTTTTATCACCTTCATTATGAGCGGCGAAAGTTCTCGCAGGTCTTGAAACCGGAGATTCTGGTTCGGAGATCTCATAAGGAAGCACGCTCTCCCCTGCAATCCCATCCGCCATCTCAGCAGAATGCACAACAAAATCATCATCGTCATCACAACCATCATACCCTCCAACTCCCCTATATCTAGCCGATCTTCTACGTGTGGGTGGTGGAGAAGGTGTTAGTGTATTATGAGCACTTCCTGCTTCCGGAGTAATGCTGTTGAATGCTTCCCGCATACTTCCAACTGGACCAGAGGAACTTCCGCGATACCTGTCTGCGTGTCGATTTCTTCTTGTGTATCGGTCCTTTCTATGGGATGGTGGTGGAGATCTTCGAGGTCTTGTGGAACGGGAAGCACGATATGCAGATTTGGATCGTGGTGAGTGTTGATGCAGGTGTCGAGGGAAGTCCTCAGGTATTTTGTGGTGATGTTTTTCAAATGCATCTTCTGCCATCCTGCGAAAAAGACTGAAATTAGCTTTAAACCTCTCGAACCCCGCTTCAGTAGACTTTTTAGCCCTGAATAATGAAGTTAATACGTACTTTTTCACTTTGCTCTTTTTCCGCTTGTCCTCTGGTATGTATTGATCCCATCCTCCTTTTGGCTCCCCAACTGTTGCCATGAGTCCAAGGACCAGAGGTAAGAAGGGAAATAACTTCTTCAAACCATTTCCAATACCGCCTTCCGAGTTTTGTCTCTTCTGTTGCTTATGTTTGTCATTTGATCCATCACGGCGTGGGGGTGAGACACTAACATTTGTCAGTTGATAGTCCTTTGATTCAATATGAGATATCTGTTATGGAGGAGCGGTATTCTACCTTCTGGGTCTACGTCTGTGCTCATCCTGTCCAGAGCTTCGCCGCCTCGGACTACGATGCCTCCTAGCTTCAAATTCTTCTTCATCTCTAGGTGCATAGCTTCGCCTTCGACTCCTCCTATCACTATGTCGCTCATCGGGACGCTCTTCTCTTCCACGATGACTTCTGGTTCGGTTCCCATCGTAATCATTTATCTCCTTCCTATCCCATTCTTTCCATCTCTCGCCCATCTCTCTCATTTCGATCTCAGCTTCAGAACTTCGGCGAACTCTTCTCGATCCTTTGGTTTGCCTCATGGACTCTCCCCGTGAGACTCTTACCCCTCCTTCACCCCTGTCCCTCCGACTGCGGTTCGCACTCCCAACCCCAACTCCAATCGCAGCACCAGTAACAGGCACCGCAGAATCCCTGGCTTTAATCTCATCTGCTCCATCCAAATCTCCTCTCGCAGGACCCTCCGGCATGGCAACAGGCCTAACAAAGTTTCTTGGACTAGGCTGTCTCACCACCTTGTAAGCAGGCGGTTCTCTGGCGTTTCCAATGCCGTTTCCATACCCAACCATAACTTTCATTTTCTCACGCCCTCTCGGCGGCGGACTGGGGGTCAAACTGTCGTCCCTAGCACCGTGACTCCTGCTCCTCGTCTGCGACATACTTGTCCTAACCGCAATCTTTAGCGGGGTTCTTCCTTGTCCTCCCTCCTCGTCACCAGGTCTGCCTCTTCTGATTCGAATCTTCTTGATTCGTGGACGCCAGAAAAAGAGCCAGAAGAGTAAGAGTAAGAACAGGAGGGTACCAAGACCAATACCGATGCCGATTCCAACTTGCTTGCTGAGGGGCCAGCAAGTCCACTTCCAAGATGGGCAATTCGTTGCTTCTGTAGTGGAGATGGTTATGTTTGCGTTTGATGCTTGAGGTGGAAGAATTTGGGTGAGTGTTCGTGTCGCGATTGGTGAGCCAGACGGGTTGACAGCTATGCCCACAACATCTGTGAGGACTAGGATTGGAAGAGGTGACGGTGTATATGTACTGCTTGGATTCTGAACTGCAGGAAATGTGGTGTATTGGATTCCTTCTGAAGCAGGTGGTGGGTATAGAATCTCAAATGAAGCTTGATTTGACGACAGCGAGATGGTGGTCGTTAGGAAGGTTGTGGCTGTTGCGCCGTAGGTTACCAGGGGAGGAGAAGCTGAAGTGGCCATCTTTTAGATTTTCTTGCCTCAATCTGCCAAGATATAGAAATTCCGCATATGAGAGAACGGGTGAGACGATTGGATAGTGCGCAAAGACGTCATCCACGATATTGAGTGGTATGCTCCGGGCACAAGCAGTACGTGCGTGCGTGGTTGTACAAGATCCGGTTGTGATCGAGGGTGTAGTATGACAGTGGTGGAGATCGTGAGTGAGATTGCTTCAAGGCCTCGTTTGCGTGATGCCAGTTTTAGCATTGGTATGCGTGAATTTGTTCCGAGGCGCTTGGGGTTGAGTGAATATTCCTAAACAGATCAGCCGACAAGGTGAAGTTTGAGTACGACTCCTGACGAGAAACACCAAGTTTTGCTTGTGTTGAGCACATGCAAGGCAAAGCAGCTTAGATGTGGAGACTTGCGCACAGTGTGTTGGCAGCGTGGTGTTATGGGTGTGGGAGAAGACGGAAGGGATCTTGCAGCGTAGGACTGGCGGATGCGCGGATTTGGCGAGTCGAAGCATGGGGCTGTCGAGTTGAATCACGCCGTAGGCAGATCGAACTTACGAAGAGAAGGATTCTTATTTCTAATACAGTGGTATCGGATTGTCACAGAGAATTTTATATTAACAGTGAGATGATGGAGCTCACATCAAGGGATAGTCTAATTTTCCATCTTTGCCATGACAAGATGTCATGGCAATCCTCCATTTATGCGAACCTCATGTGTGCGAGAAAACGAAAACAGAAAGCGTGTAAAAAGGAAAAGAGACGTAGTCATATGAGACGTAGTGGTACTAACGAAGTACCCAACATCAATCCCCAAGAAAAACCCAGCAGTAGCGCTTCATACGGTAGACTCGGTACTCGCCACGCTGAAAACGGTCTTGTGAGGTTTGGCCTGCTTATGACGCTCGCAGCAGTCCATGTAATCGGTGACGTCGGAAACGGCAGACGGGGAACCATGGTTTACTTTGCAGTTGGGGCAGATAGCAGCAGCTTCCTGCAGAGCCTTTTCCTCCTCAGCTTTGCGGGCGGCTTCTTCTTTGGCGGCTAAAGTTTCGGCACGCTTTTGAGCGCGTTCAACGGCAGCGGCAGCTTGGGCTTCGTACGCATCTTGACTATTGGCCCTAGAGATGAGGGAGATGTTAGACGGCGCTGGATGAGGAAGGGCCGCTGTGAGAGGGACCAATCCATAAGGAAAGGCAGTTGTTGGGACCGCACATGTACTCAGCCTGAAAATATTGTTAGATTTGTAGATACCAGAGACGAAGATTGGAGCGCCGCGGGGGCTACTTACGAATTTCAGGACGACGACCTTCCCGAAGAAAACCCAAGAGATGATGAAGACGAATAGGATGAGGAGAACGACTAGGATCGTTGTGTAGGACTCCATCGCTGCAGCACAGATCTGTTGTTATGTCAGGATTCTTGCAAGCACTCGAGGAGATGGAGACGGTGTACAATACTTCAAGATGGGCAAAGCAGCAAAGATGAGATTTTTCGCGTGGGAAAGCGTGAATGAATCGAATGATGCGTCTTGTTGACTTGGTCGCAAATTCAGTGCCACTAGTGAATATCTCGCGTAAACAAAAATGACAAGGGTAGGCAGGACACCAGGCCTCCAGGCCACCAAAGTGCAAGCTGGGTTTACTTTTATATCATCCATCAATCAGGAAATAAGGCCCCGTCCCTATTATCTTGTGCCATTGGGTGTAGGGAACATTAGGCTCTTCACATCCTCTTGCCCTGACTGCTTGACCTGCTGCTGCAGAAGTTTGAATCTTTGACGGACCTCCGGGACTCGAGACACTCTCGTCATAAGTGCTTGGATCAAAATGGGATGTACGTTGATTAAAATGCACTGACGCACAAAATCCGTAGTTCCCAAGACAATCGCGTGGAATTGATCCAGTAAATCAGGACCTGTCGAGCTCCAAACCGCAGGTTCTCTATCGATAGCGGGTAGGAAATGCACCTCCAAGTAGTCCATTAGGGTGTTGATAGCATTGATGGCTCGCATTGATACAGCGAAGACTTCCGGCTTCGTGGTCCAGCCATTGGCAGCGTTATTCGAGGAGGCTGATTCATTCAGGGTAGTGGCAGTGTTCTTGGCCCAGACGACTAATTCTGCAATGATGGGAGGTAGAGGATGGCCAGGAGTATAAGTTCCAAAGCTGTGAAGACGCAGCTTACCGAAAATAACAGCCCAAATCTTTGCATCGTCAATGTCGTCCCGCCACAGATTTTGCTTCTCTTCCGCAAAAAGTTTATTTTCGTCACGCTGATCGTCAACGTATTGATCCGCAAAGGGTTCCAAGACAACCGAATTCTGGCACCCTAAGTCAAGGAGATCGGTCGGTGTTCCAGTCATCTTGGCAGTGACATAATTTATGAATATCGGCGAATTCAAGAACAAGTCGAAAAGATGGTGGGCGAAAGCCGAAGTAGCAGCTTGAGAGACTAAGTGTCTGTTCAAGATGATTGATATCGCTGCCGAAGCGAGCTTTCGAATATCAACATCGTCATCGTTCAAGGTACTATGGAGGGCGAATAAAGATGGAATAAGATACTCGGACTTCGGAATACCGCGCAGGGCTTTGACGATTCGAACGTAGAACTTAGATAACGCTTGCGCGGCTGCAAATCGAGTATCAAACTCCTAGACACTGTTAGTGATACTCACTGAAAATATGGTGAAGACTTACCACATCGTCCTTTCCATTCAGAATGCATTCTATAGACCAAGACTGAAATTCTGACGTGGGCATAATTGCATCTTCGAAAGTTGCGGGGCAGCTGTCTATCTTCTGAAGAATTTGGAAAAGACAGACCCATCCATTCATGTCGAGCAGCGCGATTGTAGAAGTAGGACCTCTTGCGGTCAATTTCTTGCCAGCTGACTTGAGCACTATATCCATGACTTTCTTGTGATTGCCAAAGCTATAACGCGAGAAGTCAAAGTGGCGATCTAAAATAGTGCAAAGGCTCTGCAGAGCAGCAATTTGGACTTCGGAAGCCGTGGACCCTAATGCTTCCTCATAGACCAGACATAGCTGAACCAGGATAGCTCCGTCATCGGTCAATGGAAAGCCATTGGGAATAGCCTCAAGAATGGCCACCGCAGCAATAGAGGACAGGGCTTTGGCCTTCGTAAAAGCAGGAAGAAGTCCATTGAAGTCATTTTGTATGACTAAAGAAGAGAATTCATTCTGCGTAATGAGCCTGCACAGATCGGGATGTTTAGCAATCTTGGTATTGCTATGGGACCGTTGAAAATCGCTTCGCAAATCGATGGCTTGCAATGTTGACAGTGCAGAGTTATTGAGAAGCTTGGCGCGAATCTGCGGAAAGGAGATGGCCAGGGAGCAAAACTTTTGATTGATATGTTGTCGAATTTCTCCAAGTGCTATCAGGTTCCAAGGATTAGGATATTGTTGAACATCCCGGCTCCAAGATGTGATAAAGGATGGTAATGCCTCCAAAAGTTTGCCTTAGGATGTGTTAGCTTTGTTTGCCTCTGACTGGCCGGAATCCATGGGATAAGGAACGAGTGTCAAACTAAAATGGGAGATAAGAGACTCACCAATCTCGCTGTGAGTTGCACCGCGCAGTCTTTGGCTTAATATTGCGCGGACAACCAATAGCTGGCCATGGCGTTGGTTCGAGCCTTCTGCGTCGAGCTCTAAGAACATGAGTGCCGATTTAAGCCAATTTCCCCCCATCAGAAAAGAGCACAGGCAATCCGCAGCAATGCGGCGAATCTGCCACTCGCTGTTTCCCAGTTGCTTAGAAATAAGCGACTCAATGCGTTGAAGGTGGCCTGGCGGAGGTCCAGCACGTCTAAGAACATCCATTGCGGGAAAGAGCGCCTCATCTGTGCCAGTTTCCAAGAGATGAGTTATAAGATCAACCAAAGCTGGGTACTGATTATAGTTGATTGTGGTTGACTTCCCATCCCAACCCTTCTCCACGATGTCCTTCCCTGTGTTCGTGCCGAAAATAAAGTCGAACAAGCTTCTGATCAGAAGTAAACCACAATTCCGAATTGGGTATCTGGAGAAAATGATCAGCATAGCATAAGGAGTAATACGAGTAAACGCTTACATTCTACTTTGGAAGCTGTCTCCGCCAATAGTGAATAGCTTTTCGACGAATGGCTCTACTTGATTTCCAATACCAGCGCTTTTCACGATTTCTTTTAAGGAATTGAGAGCATGGACCTGCGGGTATCTTGTCTCATCTTTTACACTTGGAGCCACTTGTATTTTTGCAATGGCTACGAGACCTTCAACAACATCGTTCAGTGATGGGCTTAGGGCCCTTGCAGAGAGGATACTGGTGATAGCTGCAGGAATCCCTGCGGAGCGGCGAGTAGTCGAGTCTTGGTCCATGATGCATTCAAAAATGGCCTTGAGTTATTAGCCACTTTTCAAAGAGGGGCCGAAAGTTAGAGTTGACATACTTGATGCCATGTGGTCAAAAATTGCTTGGATGTTGGATCCATACTTGATTCCACGCAGGCTTGGCAGCAAGCTGCGAAAGTTGAGGTAACTGTAGAAAATGCTCCACGATGGCGCAGAGTTGTCAACTGTTCGAAAGAAAGATTTGCAATCTGAACAAAAGTGGTGGTTGGCAGAATGGGCTTGCTCTCTGGTGTTTGAAGCTTAAGCTTAATTGTGTTGACAAGTGACCTCATCATGTTGCTGTGGAAAGGTTAGCATGCCAACACCGTTGTGGCAAAGAGCACGATAAAAGTGGAGCAGCCGACTGAGCACTTACCTGGACTCATGGATAGCCCTAAAGCTATAGCTCAGTACGTCTTTTGTGTCTACTTCTTCAACTTCATCGAGGTCCTCAGGAAGGTAACCCTCCGGCGAGTCGTTGCAAAGGATGTCCTTTACAGCATGCCAGACACGAGAACAACAGTTTGCCATGCGCTCTTGCAGAACTTCTAGTTCGCTATGGCAGCTCAAGTCCGGGGTGGCGTCAACTTCGAAGTCCTTGGTATGATTAATGGCATCCCAAACAAAGCTAGATGAAGCTGGTCAGCTTTGTCACATCTTTTTTTAACGAGTATTGATGACTCACGTTAGAGCAGCAAAGTTACCATGGACTGGAGCTTCAAACACAGCCTGTCCGAGGCTGTGCTCAGCAACTTCAATTTTGCTTTCAAGATCTTTCACAAGCTGTGTGATGAGAGCCAAACGGCTCTGAGGGGATATTTGTAGACCATACAAGAGCTCATATGATCTTGCTACACCATCTGCGTGGTCCGCCCGACCTGTTTGTTTTGAAAGATCTTCAATACGAGTAATGAAGTTGACTAGCAGCGCAAGAATAACATTTTTGCACTCAGATGTCCTGTTGACGGCATTGTTAAGACCGGAGCTTGCAATGTCTAGTGAGCTTCTATCTCCCTCTATTGAAGTGGAGGGGTTTGTTTTAAATCCGAAATCACATGGAGCCGCAAGCTTCAGTATTGATGTTGCCGCACTTCTTACATCCTCGAAAGGATCCATGAGAAGATCCATGAGAAGTCTCATAGAGCACCGTGTGAAGAAGGCTATGTGATATGGCCAGACAGTATTATTTCCAGACGTTTTTAATAGCCTAGACTGGAGACCTTGTTTGAGTATTCCACTCCTCAGGAATAAAGAGATTGCTTTTAACGAAGTGATGTGGCGTTGGTACGATGCTGTTGGGATCAATTCAAGGAGAAGAAACTCCACATACCACGCGACGAAATCATTATGGCTGTGAAAAATGAGCTTGATGGCATCTAGTCGTTTGTGTCCTTCTTGTTGTTGGGCAGTTGGAAGGTCTTGATTTCCACTGAGCTGGAAGCTAAGCGACTCAATTTCCTTGGCGAGAAGCGAAGTGGCGCCTCTCAGCCTCTCAATCATGTGCTTGGTGCTGCTCAAAATCTCGTTTCTGAACTTGGCATCGGTATCTGAATACAGGATGTACATGTTTGCTCTGAGAATCTCCAGTGCCATCTTACTGAAAGGTCGAATAGTGGACGAAGAAGAAACTAATACCGAGAAAGCCAGAGAACGGACAGTTTCAGATTCGTGCGTAAGAAGAAGACCTATTGCATCTTCTTGAAGAACGACAGCACCCGAAGGCTTCTTACTGACTTTCGAAAACTCGATAGTGTCTACATGATGGTTAAGACTGGTTCAAATAGGAGCTGAATAGAAGTCTTACCAGGCTCTTCGACCAACCCCGCTTTCTTTCCTGTCTCCATTGCCGAGAGTTGGAGCAATGACTGCGCATCCATGTTCTGGCTTTGAAATTCCTCGAGAGAATTCTGAATACTCAAGTCTGCCAAAAAAGACAGAGAGCCGATCCTATCCAATTTGAAAAGAGGAGGGAATAAGTAGTTCTTGACATTCTCCAAAGCCTCGGGATTGCTGCCGAGACCTCGCCGGATCCAACGCTGCCATGAAGCAGTACTGTTGTCCGAGAAACCCGACTTATCAGATGTGGTCCTCAGGTCTCGGAAAACAGTGACAAGAAATTTGCCCGCAGCTGGTGAGATATCGGCATATGTCATCCACTCAAACATTTCACAGAAGAAGGCATCCCAAGAAGATGCTTCTGGGTCATTGTTATCATGTCCCTTCTCTATGGACATCTCTTGCTTCAGCGTAGCTGAGAATCCTGTTTCAGGATCAATGTCGTTCGATGACGCTGTTTCATGGGCCAGAGATACATGTCTCTCCTGATATGCATCCAGGAGGTCTTGGGCTGAAATCGTGCCCTTACCCATAAGACTTTCCAAAGACTTGAATGCTGGTTTGACCAAGGGCTGGGCAGCTTGATGAGTGACGATAGACATATCCCTCTCAACTATTGCTTTCCTAATAGCGAGTTTCGCGTCTCGCGACGGGTTCTTGGCGATCATCGTTGAGATCAGCTCCATCACTTGCCTCATGGAGCGCGCCTGATTCTTCTCATTCCACTCAATGTAAAAGTTGAAGAGGTCTAGACAAGGTTTCTCGGCGAAGATGATGTCTCTGACGAGAGATGATTCGGATCTCATGCACTGCTCGATATAATAGCAGAGTTTGATGCATCCATTTCCTGAGACGTGACGAGGTTGTGCAGCTTTGGCGAGGTAATCATCTAATATGTTTTGTGTAAGCCTAAGCCTGATGTTAGAGTACTCCAAGAATCATTTCCGAGTCGGGTACCTTGACTGAGCCTCATTTGGTTGGCTTTCGAGCCATTTCGGGATAAGTCTGTCATCACTTGGCGGTGACATCTCCAGCGACGAGGAGTTGCCCTCTCCAACCACTTGTACGGACATCTTCAGAAGGCTACTCCTCACGGATCTTGTCCGTATTCAAAAATATCTAGTTTTACTCTGCTTGTTTCCATGGGTGTTGCGGCGGATGGTAAAATAGGGTCCGGGTATCGAGAGTTTCGAAATTCAAGTGTGCATGCGAAAATTTGCTAGGAGTGTCGAGATTGGATGCTAGTAACCAAGTGCTGAATGGCAGGTCCAACTCTGAGAGTCTTCCTAATATGATTCCTTCATGAAGCGGCCCTGCAAATAGTTAAGGAACTTTTGATGACTTGCACAGTTCCTACCTACCTAGGTAGCTAAGGATGATGTTGAATGTCCTAATCAGGTGACGAGGAAGTGAAGGGGCTTTCGCTTGAGGGGCCACATGTTTGCATGCACACCCCTGCTTTCAGCTAGGACTCACGCTTCTTGAGAAAGTCAGTTGAAGGACTGTAGAAGGAGCTTCAAAATAATCACTGCGGAAATATTGTTACAATTCCAGGCAAATCAGATTTGGATGAAAATATCTCTCTCAATACTCTAAGTTTCTTCTTGCATGGGAAGAGGATTTGAGGCTGAAAGCCCGGCAATACGTATTTCCGAATTCCGGCCCTAAATATTTTTCAAAGGGCTCTTGATTAGCATCACCACTTCATCCAACTCCAGACTCCTCAATCTACCGCCTCCACATTCTCTTGCGCGCTTGTCAACATGTCAATTTGGGATAAACTCACAGGACGAAAGTCGACGCCAACAGCGACCCACGATTCCCCTTCAACCACCCCTACCGATACCTTCTCTCCCACCCCTTTCAACCCTCAAGAAGCCCAAGATGTCTCTTCTTTCCTCAGTGGACCTTCCTTCGCAGATCCTTCACAACTACACCCTCTCGCAGGCTTAAATCAACAAACCCTAGATTATCTGTCGCTCGAGGATTCCGCTTTATCCGATCTGCCAGGTTCTCAGTCCGCGTTGCCTTCAAGAGGCTGGTCGGATGATTTGTGTTACGGTACCGGAGTTACTTATCTCACCGCGTTGACCATGGGAGGAGCTTGGGGACTACAGGAAGGACTGAGAAGATCAAATGGACAGCCGCCGAAGTTGCGATTGAATTCAGTGTTGAATGCCGTGACCAGGAGAGGACCGTTTTTGGGCAACTCGGCGGGTGTTATTGCAATGGTGTATAATGGCTTCAATTCATTCATTGGACACATGCGGGGGAAACAAGATTCGGCGAACAGTATAGTGGCAGGAGCATTGAGCGGAATGATTTTCAAGAGTACAAGGGGTGTTCGACCGATGATGATCTCAGGAGGAATTGTCGCATCAGTTGCTGGCGCGTGGGCAGTAAGTGATTCCATATGCCAGCGACATTGGTTGGATACTGACGGCCCTTCTAGGTCACAAGAAAGGCTCTCTTTTAAGTGCTTCTCAATTCAAACATCCGAATATCCGAATACCCAATCTTCCGACACCTCGATCAACACCATTGCTCTCGAGCATACCTTTCCTGTACCAGCACCTTGTTCGCCTGTTTGATTATTATAGATTCATAATTCGGCGTGAAATGCATTAGCGATGGACGATCTCTCCTCTGGTTGGGGTACCTTGTATATTTAGATGGGTGGGGTGGTATGCGCAACAGCGCCGAATCGGCTGGTGGCGTCTCTTGGGCTACAAACCAGTGTAATGGAGTATCAAGATGAACTCAAAAATATGTCGATTGTGCAGAGCAGGTGATAGATGTGGTACATACTTGGGTGAATGAATTAAATCCAGCAGAACGATCAGGAGATATTCACATGGCTCAGTCCCCTTGTTGTAGGTACCCCAGGACCTCGCCCTTGAATCACGTATTTTACTCAGCTACCAATTGGATACAGATCAGGAATATCGAACTTTCACTTTCCATGTTCTGAAAGATCCCTAACTCAGAAAATCGATTTCATTCGCCATGTCCTATCGCTCTTTCTTCCAGAGTCTCCTACGGCCATCCTAATCTCTTGTCTCCTTCCACCCTTCCTTCCTAGCTACTCCTACACCATCTACAGCCTACCTCCGTAACGAAATACAGGCAACATCAACAGCTACCAAGCAAGATGTCGGAGTCAAGTCGAGCACACGATGCTTCACCGAAGAAGTACACGCCGTTCGAAGTGAAGGAGCTCCTCATAGAGTTTGCTATGCGAAACTATCATGAGAGTGGAACGACCACTGAATTGAAAGTCGAGGATCTAACTCATGCGATATTCTTTGACCCAGAGAGGCTCGAAATGGTTGATTTTGGAGCCCCTTCCTACACAGGTACCGATCTGCATACGGCACTTGAAAACCTGCGTTATGAAGCCGCAAGGAGTAACTTCCTACTCACAATCGGGAGTCTCGCAAGTAGCAACAAAGAGCTGCAACGCCACATTCGCGAGTTATTGAGTGAAGAGTTAGTGGGACAGATAGGCTACTCTGCAAAGGATGTAGAACACCTGACTGCGTATCAACAAGTACGACAATTCATATCGCTCAGCTGTGCTGCAAAGAGATTAACTTTTGTAGGTCTTGATCACTGCCGGCGCTCGCGTCAAAGCTGCTATGCTTGCCCCGGAACCGCGTAACTCTACGGTTTCACGAGACCATGTTGACTTTGAGGTTCGCCTTACAACCCTGCGGGGTGGATACGCTGGAACCACACAAACACAGCGTCTGTTTTTCAAGTTTCCCGCGAAGAATCATGACCTCTTATCCTACACTAGCTTTCTCGCCCAGCTTCAAGATGCAACTCAACTCTCCGTCATTCCACCTCTCGAGCCTGGTGAACCCTACCGTACCTCCAGCACCACAACTGATCCTCCGTCACGTAACGGTGACAATGTAGATGCTAATAATCCTGTCAATGCCCTTGGGATCATGCTGCCGACTCGTCCAGCTTCGTTCACCACTTTCCCTTTTTCCCAGTCGAGACGCGATGAACAAGGTTACACAATTCGCGACGGGCCTTGGATTTATACATCAAAGAAGAATTCAATCATATTGAAAGGAAAGCTAGGAGAAGAGAAAGGCAAAAAGCTCGAGGACAAAATTTCTTACGATAACATGATACAGATACTTAGAGGAGAGAGGGTATCTGTAACACAGATGTCTGTGAACGCATCTCCATCATCACTTTGCGCGCTGGTGGTGGAAATTATCCATGTAAGGTAGCTTCATAATTTACTAGATGGGCCATGCTAAATTCGGCAGTCAATGGACCGCGACGCCATCAAGTGGCATAAAGAGGAACAGCAAGCAATAGATGAGGAAGAGAAACAATTTTGTGAGGACCTGACAGCACAAGGATTGACGGAGGACGACTTTGGAGAGCCTTTTGGAGCATATCTGAAGAAAGAAATCCAAATGGAGAAATTGAATGCATGGAAATCGCGACGGGGCTCTAAGTACAGAGGTACGTACATCACCTTCAGATGGACGGAGGCAATGTTGAGACTAAGGCTCTTGCACAGCGAGCCATGGGAGCTTACACAATCATAGTTTAATGCTCAAATAGAGACGATAAGAAGGAGACATGAATTACCGCCGGATAAGCTTCAGTACGACATCACCGAGGACGCCACGAGTTTTTAGATGGTAAGCTGATTGAGAAACTCAAACAAATAAGAGTGTTGAGCGAAAAATTAATACGACGTGGAAGTCGGTTATGACAGGAATGAAGCATTCTTAATTCAAGAGACGAGCAGCGTTTCGGGTAGTAAATTCAGTGGTTGTGGTACGCTTTCGTGTGCAAGTAGAGCAATAATTTCTTCGGGTGAACAGTCGTCAACAACATTAAATTCAGCTGTTAAGACAAGGGGACATTACGGCTTGCGGTCACTGATTGCTTTTGTTGAAGCACCTTCAGGTGAGCATTTGATGATCGTATACCTACCATGGAAGTTCTGGCTTGCCAAGATCCCAGTTCGAATCGCTACTACTGTCAAGATTCGCTCCAATGAAATCGACTTGGCTTCAGAGGTTCGTGGCGGCTAAGTCAATCATCAAATTAGAGGAGCAGGCATGACATCTTGTGCATCTTTTTCGGCGCTTCCCTTCTGTCACTCGCCTCTTCGACCTTGGACAGAGTCTGTTCTTCGCAGAATTCGATTTTGCGAAACACCTACACTTCACCCTTGCGCTAAGATATCACTTTGAAAATACGCAGACTTGGAGCAACTCTGTCACAATGTGCCTTCCATGCTTTACAGAGGTCTTTGTGGAGGAGGAGCTGCCGAAGAAGAAAGAAGAGGTCCTATACACGGTTTGGGACGCAAAAGCGAGAACATATGTCAAGGTTCCGAAATCAATGGTAGGCTAAGTTCGTGCTTGCTTCTTTTCATTGTCTTATAATTTTCTCCTTGCTGCCTGGAAGCTATATCGGAGGAGGCTGTGACTACGCGGCCGAATTAGTGGTCCCGTATTCACCTCGAAACGTGCAAAATAAACAACAAACAATTTCGTCAACTTCAAGTCATACACGAATAAGGTTTTCTTCTTCACAACCCATACTACGAAGTCGTCTCAACAACATCACCAAACAGTTCGATCTCTATCACAACACAGAACGACCCATTGAAAAAATGGCTGCCGCCGAACAGAATTTCCAACCTCAAGTCGGTGATACGACCGCTGGTCCTCATATGCACACCTACATCCCCCGGGCAGATGGCAGCATCCTCGTCGGCGGTGTCGCATATGTTAGACAGAGCGCTGCTACTATCCCCATTGTTGGCAGTGCCTCAGCGCCTGCGGTCGTAATCGAGAATCCGGCTCCTGCAGTTGTACAGACTCCGACTCCATACCCCTACTACATGCTCTACCCTCAACTATACCCTCAATTCGCAAGTCTTTCTTAGTCTGCTCCCATGCAAGAATGCACTTTGTACAAATTGTCGACATCACAGATCTCATAGTCCACTCACTTTCAATTGCTGACTTGTGTTCTTCTTGAAACAGATTCCACCTCAGCCAGTCGTCTACCAACAACCCTACATCACGCAGCCGCAACCCATCTACGCCGCACCCTCACCCGCCATCTCACCACCCTACTACAACATCCAACCTCAACCCTACCCATCGACAGGCTATCCCACCTTCGACATCAACCAGCCAGCCCACGGCACGTATGGCTACACCGGTACCGAAATGCTCATGCAGAACATGGGCCAGGCAGCGCACCCCGACTTCACCAAGAAGCAGGAGATGAAGCCCAGCGATCCCGACCCATATCGTATGTACTGGTGTCGCGAGCCTGACAATACGTGGACCCAGAGAAACCGCATGACAATTGAAAGTGGTGATATTGGTGACTGTAGATGGTATGCTACGGATGGACAGTTTTATGCTGTCAGGTTGGGCTAGGTATGTAGTTTGCCCTTTGATTTTGTCCAGCGTAAGAGTCCTACAGAATTAGTACTGACTACCCGTTGTAGAAGGATGAATATTTGACTTGACCTGATCACCTGGTGAAGGATCAAAATCGTTTCTTCTCAGCCATCTTTTCAGTTGCTTTGTGCGCGGTAGATCCTCTCGAATTTGCAAGGACAGGCTCCCGGATATATCGAAATGAGAATATCGATCACCTTTCGGTCTGATCTCGCAATTCTTCGCCCTCTTTCATTCGCAGACATTGAAGCATAAGCCTTCATCCATCTGGGATATGGTTTCTCTACAGTTGGTAACTAGCACCCAAATAACGGCCGGCGGGCTCGGAGGAGAGTATTGCTTCTGGTCTGATTTGGATGCTTCTGCAGGCGTTGGTCTTTTTCCTCTGTGTAATTATTTGCTAGGCTCACACGGCGAAGGAGATGAGATGTGATGCTTGGCTTCCCCTAGCTTGGGAACTTGAATGCATGACTTTGCTTCGGACCTTTTATATCTTCCATTGAAACGTGATTAGAGATTGATCACGATTCTGAATCTAATTGCAATCATCTCAGACTGCTGCAGGTAATGCCAGAAACCCAATTGCCTGGTCTCTCAATACCATGTTGTCTGAATTGCTTGGAATTATCTCTCAGTAAACCCAAAATTATTTATTGCTCGAGTCAATTGATAGATCGGAATTTGATCATTCCCCTACGCACAAATAATTGTTAAGGGACTGAATTGCCCATATGCATAGATTTTCAGATATTTGAGCGCAGGGTGGTTGAAAAGTACTCAGATATTTCTGTTACATTGAAGGGATCTAGTGTCAAATAGCCCTTCCTCCATCCAGAAGACCTGTCAGATCAAGGGCGGAAACCTAAAATCGCTTCCAAATGGCTCTAGCTCTTGGAATGTGGGCCCGCGAGATAGGCATGTAGGTCACATTTACAGGGAGGAAAAGCCTGTAAAAATGAATAATAAGGGAATGTGGGCCTGCAACACAAGAATGCCATACAGGGACTCAGGACCTGGCAGTGCCTATGTTGGTACATATACAAAGCGGGCAGCACCGCAGCAGGGCAATTAATTGAAGTGAAATCTATTTTTCTTTAATTCACTGCACCCGCATACATATGATTTTTATTCAGCAATTCAATTCCGATACTTGAAGACTACTCGCTGGACTCAGCGTATTCCTTTGTCTGCTAAAAGACCTTGATTTGGGAATAGCCTCGTCTCGCTTAAGCCTAGCACTGCTCGAAAGCAAACATGGACATACATTAGGTGAAGCGATTTCGGCAACCTGTATTCGTACATGATCCTTGCAATACAGCTCACAAATCACTTCCTACAATTAATGGGCCACCGCTAGGGTGGTACTTCGAAAGTCTGTCTGCCAGTCGACTGACTCAACGGCGCGTCTTCTGGGAGCCTTTCGGCGAAAACTTGACACCAGCAAAGTCATCACGCGATCTAAACCCACTGAAACGTCCTCCAACAACAGTTCAAACCATCAAACAGGCTTCAGGGAGTCTCTTGAGCCAGCGCTGAGAGCAAAATCGACTTTGGCACCCCAGGCCTTCCTGAAGACACTACCATTCAAACAATTGCAGCTCACTTCACTTCTCGGCACTTGATCACAACATGGCTCCCTGGTCGGCCACCATGGTCAAGAACCTCGCCGAAGACATCAAACACGTCATCAAACAGCTCAAAATGCGACGCAGTCGTCCCTTGACAGAATTCCACCTCTTCCCCAAACTACCCATCGAACTCCGCCGCGAGATCTTCAAACACGCCGTCCCTGTCAACAAACACGAAATCCTCTACCTCGATCTCCAACTCCGTGCCGCCGACGAGGAATTCGGTCTCTACTTCACGTTTGGCTTCATGGTCGAATGGCAACACCAGGTTGCGAAGAAGCTTGGCAGTCTGGCTTTACTGTCAACTTGTGTTGAATCGCGGGAGGTTTATATTGAGATGCACCGTGGTACCTTGCCACTTGGATTTGGAAGGGTCATTCGGTATAACCCTGACAACACTACGATATTCATCCCTCTTTTCGAAAAATTCCGGGATTCATGTCACGAGGGCATTCGATACGGATGGCGATTACAGAAGTGGTTCACGGAGATCAAACATCTTGCTACGTCGCCGAAAAACTTGGTAGCGGAGAAGCATCCTCATGGGGCGTTTATGGCGGCGTTTAAGAACTTGGAGACTTGGACTGCGGTTGTTGATCCGCGGTCGGGGCAGACTTTGGCGAGCTGGGAACGGCTGATGAGGGTTACGCAGAGGGACTTGGAAGCTTATAAGAAGCTGGAAGATCCGGCATATAAAGTTCCTCGATTGCTCTTGAATGTTGATTAATAATTTTTGTACAGTGGAGAGAACCTCTCATGGATTTCAGCCTATGGTGCAGATCTGGAATCGTGTCCAAAAGTGGCGAGTGTACCTGGTTGGGAAAAGAATATGTATCGTCAAAATAATCGTAATTAACCTACCCGTTCTTCTCCAATTTGTATGGCCGTGATTTTCTTCTGAATTGCGCATACGTGTTTCTCTAAAACGGATCATGCAAGTGCAAGCTTGTAAGAATACCGTTCCGTGAGCCTCGATATGAAGATATACATGGCGTTCATGTTTTTTATACATTTCCCTCAAAAGGACATGATGTAAGAGCCTTTACTGAACTAGAGCAATTGGAAGCGAGCGGTGACAAAAGCAGTTGATTTTGTTAAGACATTTGGAAGGACTTGTACTTGGGATTATCTTTTTGTTTACACCGAGGGGCGCAACTTACCCCGCCCCTATTTCTGTACCTCCATGCTTGACTCCATGCGGGCACTCAAGCGAGTCCCCACCCCGCAAAAACACAGGATCTGCATCCACTGAGCCACTGCAGCTGCCTAGAATTAATACGAGACGTCATCCGTCTTACACTTCATTCCTGCATTTCTTTTAGAATACTTTAATCTTCACAACGTCGATTACAAGTCAATCAGTGTCCATAATAGCCTCCAGGACACATCTTCAAACATGAAAGTCCTCCTAGGCGAGGTCCATCTCTCATCCTCTCAATCCGCTCCAGATCTCAACACAAGCAAAGACACAGACATCCCAGAACCTAAACTCGACTCCGACTTCACCAAAGACGGCAAACCAGCTACATATGCCAAAGGCTATCCCCTACAATGGGGCGAAGAAGTTTGGAAGTTTACGACTCATGGCGATGTCGTAGCTGGCGGCGTAGAATCCGGGTCTGCGACATCAGATGAGAAATTCCTAGCGCTTGCCACAGAACGAAGCATCTGTATTTTTAACCTGGACGACTTTTCTCTAGCTTGTGCGTTGAAGAGCGACTTTGGCATTGTGCAGACTGTTGAGTTTGCGCCATTTCCTCAGGGAGGAGACGAGGGGTATGTCTTGGTTACGGATGCGCATGACAACTTGCCCGAGAGGAATGAACAGATCCAGTTGTGGTATTTGGATGGAGATTGTAAGGACAAAGCCACAGGACCAGAGGCTGATGGAAAGAAGGGGGAGAGGGAAAAGTTTGATGGAGCGCTCGCAACGTTCTCACCCACGGCGTTTAGCCATGATGGGAAGACTTTGCTGTATCTCAGCGATGTCCATGACGAGTACGGGGTGCATGCTCGAGTCACAGCTGTCAAGATCGCAACAGGGAGAGAGGCCTTTTACATGGAAGGCCACAAGGACCCGATCATGTGGATTGGGTTCAGTCCAGACGATAGCCTAATTGTGTCCACTGCTTGGGACGGGTACGCGAAAGTCTATTCTGGAACAGATGGAAAGCAAATCAGGGACCTAGGACCCACTGGAGGTCAGAACTGGGCTTGCGACTTCTCGCCAGATGGAGAGAACCTTGCTGTTAGTCGAGGAAATCGTGGGCCAAGTACTTTTGTATGGAGGCTGAAGGATCCGCAAAGTTTTCCTATTGCTCTTGAAGGTACGAAGGGCATGCAGAGACATATTGCTTGGTCACCTGATGGAATAAGACTTGCAATAGGTGCTATGAATGGACGACTGATTGTCTATGACGCGAGATCCATGACTGTGGAACAGGTATGGCAATTGGGTGATCAGTCGACCTGGGTTCACGATGTGTGTGAAGCTGTATGGCTGGATAATGGACAGCGGCTCTTATTTTCACCTATGGACGGAAGTGTGCTGATGTATGATTTTAAGACGAACGAAAAGTGGAAATGGGTAGCTGGGGAGAAAGATGAGTGGAGGCCAGGAAGCTGGCTCAATACTTTGGATGTGATGGAGAAGAGGAGGCTTTTTGGCTCGAAGGATCAGGATGGATCGTATCGGATTTGGAAATTACCAGAACTCTAAGTTAGCTCTGCTTTCCTTAGTCTAATGCAGATCGGAATGCGGCGTTTGGCCAGGTAAGTGAACATCAAAATTGCATGGCATGGAATTGCTTGGGATTGCGCTTCCGCAAATAGAGGCTATAGCAGTGTCTACATATTATCTTGAGCTGTGATGAAGTGCCAATGTCTCACATTATTATTTCTCAGCTTCCAAAAGTTGTATCATTTATAGGGTGTATTCTTCAACGACTGTTATACAAATCCCCTTGCCTTCATAAATCGAACACCTGAACTAACTCGCGCGCGTCAACTAACCCAGTCATATCTACCCAACCATCCTCAACCATTCTCTTCAAAGTAGTAGGCTGAGCAATCGAAGTTTAGCCGGTCGCTATGCGTCAAAGACAGCTGCTGCTGTGGGTCGGCGGACCACGATTGGTGAAGGATTATCTTTATCAGCTCTTGCGTCAACAACAGGTGTCGCTCGTTTTCCAAGAGATACGACCGGCGAGGGATCGTCTTTATCAGCTCTTGCTTCAACTATAGCTGCTGCTGTGGGTCGGCGGACCACGATTGGGAAAGGATCATCTTTGTTAGCTCTTGCGTCAACAACAGGTGTTGCTCGTTTTCCGAGAGAGACGACCGGCGAAGGATCGTCTTTATCGGCTCTTGCTTCAACGACAGCTGCTGCTGTGGCTTGGCGGACCACGATTGGTGAAGGGTCGTCTTTATCGGCTCTTGCATTGATGTATGGTACTGTTACAGTTTGAGGCTCTTGAGGTGCTCCCGTGGCTCGTTTTTCAAGGGATACAACTGGCGACGGGTCGTCTTTGTTGTCTCTCTCCACCATAAGACCACCAGGGTTCGCTTCCTGTGCTCGTGGCAAGAACGAGTTGGCAGGTAGGCTTGGTGGGTTTGAGATCTTTGGTAGTGCCTCTGGAGGAAGAGTGCTGAGTGCTGGGGAGAGATCTTCAGCGGTTGTAGATGGTCGAAGCCGGGAGCGAGTCCTTTGCTGTGCCGCCGAGTGGGAGACGAGAGCGAGGAGAAGAAGAGGCTGTGTGAGCTTCATCGTGGCGATTTTGACTTTCTGTACTTCTTGCCCAGAATTATGAAAAAAAAAAAAAAAAAAGGATTTCGAAGCGTATACTTCTACAATAGTTGTTGGAAACTATGGGCCGAGATAAAGATTCTGATAAAAGCTATGTGTGCAAGTGACAATCGTCTTGAGAAAGGAATTCTGATGAGGGTGCATCGTCTCTACTTATCTCAAAGTTAGGTTTGCAAAGCATTTCAGATTCAGAAAGGCACCCACGTCGACTCTAGAGACATATTTTGAAAGATCCACTGATCATCTTCTGATACCCATAGATGTTTGACCAAATTGTGGGGACTCGATTCGTGATCTTGACAATTTTCAGTTTTCGGACTTCGTTGAGGGAACTTGGGACGTTTGAGATGGCCATGGCGATGGCTCGTAGTATCTTGTATGCGATGAACGAAGGTGTATTGCTTTTGCATTAGAGTACATGAGTCCAGATAAGAAAATTATCATCTGATGAAACGTAAAAGGTAAATGCGTGGCGTATGGGAACAGACGACCGTCTTGTTGCCCTCAACACGATCGCACCTTCTCAGGACAGTATTTTTCCAGCAATCTCAGGCGAACGCTAAATCTTCCAGATTTTTTAAGACTGTTGTAATAATGCTGGATGAGATTAAAGAGAGGAATTGTCGCTGCTGGAAAGAAGTGTTTTGAAGATCGGCTGGCGCTCTCGCTTATCTTTAAATCAGTACAGTACCAAGCCCCCGTTCCGCGAACATCCCTGCTTGTGGTGCAGCATCTTGACTCTTGAGAGGCAGGCAGATGGACAACATAACTTTCGGAGGTATCCGGCATCGTACATGAATCTCGTCAGCTGTTTTGAACTAAGAAGTTGGAGACTGCAGTACTAAAACATGGCATATGTACCAAGTATTAGGCCATTCTGGATGGGATGACTCGCGCCAAAATGTTTAGACCAAGGGAATCAAGAGCACATCGTTGGTGTCCATTCAGATGGGCGTCGAGACATGCAAGAGGATAGAAGCCAAGATTTGGAGAATAGCATCAATTGATCTGTTCTCGTCTGCAATACCCAAATGCCACGTCCCGATCAAGCTGACAGGTTCTGGTTTTTCTCAACTTTCGGACGTCAAAGGCAAAAAACAATCCAACCAAAGAAACAAGCTATATACAGAAAATGCTGACAAGCATGTGGTACAATCAGTCTCCGCCCCATATATCTCCAACAACTTCTCCTATGGACGCTTGCGAATTCTGCGACTTCTAAGCAGAGGGAGTTGGACGAACTCGGGTTCGGAAAGTGGATGGAAATCCGCCTGTTGGAAATCCATCTGTTGGAAATCCATCTGTTGGAAATCCGCCTGATGGGAACCCGCCTGATGGGAACCCGCCTGATGGGAACCCGCCTGATGGCAACCCGCCTGATGGAAAAGCTCCATCAGTTGGGAGGCCCGCAGGTGGAAAGCCAGCAGTTGGAAAGCCCGCAGTTGGCTTGGTGCCTTCAAATCCAGATTCAAAACCGGTTGGGGCTTGACGGGCGATAATGTCTGTAGGTATGCCAGGCAATGCAGGTGGGACATGTGAGCCTGAGGGACGCACTGCTGAAGGTCTACCTGAAGGTCGTCCTTCAAAGCCACTCTCGAAGGGAGCATTCACGCCAGAAGGGTGAGGCCGGTTAGAAGCGGTTGCGAAAGCTCCACCAAAGCCATCTGACGGAAATCCGCTGTGGAAAGCGCCTGTGGGTCTCTCTCCAGATACTTGGGGACCCCCAAAGCCCCCAGTTCCTTGAGGGAATGGAGCAGATCCGGTTCTGATGCCTGAAGGACGCCCCGAGGGCAGATCGGTTGGTGGTACAGGAGCTGCTAGAGATTGAGCTGAGGCAGAAGTGGCCAAAGCAACGAGTACGAGAGGGGCGAAAGATCTCATGATTCAATTGGTGAATGGAGTGTCGCTGCTGAAGTGATAATATGCTGGAATGGTGATAGAAGGAGGTAGAAGACGATGATGTCGAAGAAGAAGATGAGGATGGAATTGAAATGAAGGAAAATCAGCGTATATTTATACACTGACAGGAGACTCCATCTTCACTGTTGTGGACATCCATACAATGTCACCATTCTGAAGGCCCAACGGGATGGCATCCGCTTGCTGAATGTCCGGACGAACTCCACAACTTTGGTGTTTTGTTTCGACTTCCTCCGTGACTACGCAGGCAGCTACGCCGCAACAAGGCCGTTACCTATTCAGCCCATGTCGACGTCGATGATTGCCAGTCGTAAGTGCTCCATATTTGGCATTCTATCCTCACTTCGTCATCAAAACATTTCGCGGCTGAATTGGTATTTATCAGCATTGTGTGGAATGTTTGGATGAAACGATGTACACGCGTACCATTTTATTCGTGCCAAGATATCAAGACCCTCAATTTCAGCCACGCTTCGTGTGGCCGGGTACTGTCATAATTGCCCCAGGATCAAGTACCGTTGCGGAAGCCGAGAAGCGGGGACAATTTCCCCTCCATATAATTGCGCCTTACGTCTGGTGTCGCCTGGTGTGGAAAGTACAGCTTCCCTTCCGATCGTTGATAAATGTTCAAGCAGAGTATAGAACGTGGTCTAAACCATAGAAATATTGTGGCATCTCTCGGGTGGACGTGATGTCTATTTTGGTCCGATGAGTGGTTGCAGATCACAAGTCATTCTGATATTGTACAACCTGGTGTATGAAACGAGACCCATTATTGTCCACGGAGCACATGCATATATTCTTGAAGATAAAGTTCAGGACTTAACACAGCTTGTTCAATGTGGAATGGGACTACCTGAAATAGATGTGGTTGTAGCTGAAGACGGAGCTTGGGCGCCGGTTTAAGTTTGTTCAGTTGCAGCTTTGCGTGGCTGCAATTTTTGCGTGGCCGATGGGGTCGATCGTCTGTTAGTGAGAACTTGTACGAAGAGCATTGATGGTAGGATCCTTACAAGAGAAATTGATGTTGCCCAAATTTGTATGAGGATGTGTTCGAGCTCATTGAGAGCTAGACGTACAAGGTAAGGCTAGCGCTTGACTAATGGCACACGGGACAATAACAGTCACGGACCTGCGTGTTTTCGACCTCCTCATCACAGCGTTCTAGCACAAAGCCAAGTTCATAAAGGCAATTTCCGCAATACTAAAATCTGCAGCTTTAATATATTTCATCTTAGATAGAGATGATGGGCATGTTGTCACTGCCTGCGACGCGGTCCCGGCCCGACGACACGCAGGCAAGAAATTCTCTGGTATTCTCACTTGAAATCCTCAGTCCCGAGATCATGTTGATCATACTCGAAATGGTGGGAATCCATTGCCTATTTACAGAAAATCTCTCACAAGTGCATAGCTGGCGGACGATCACCAATATCGGTCTAGTCCAGAGTCCTTTCTCTCCTGCAGCTGGTGTCATGGAAATTCAATACCTTCGTTACTCCCTTTCGATATCGTAATCTGACGTTGGGTAAATGTACTTTGAGCCACATAGGCAATCCGTTTTCTCAAGTGACGAAACATAACATCTGTCTACACACTCGTCACGTAACTTTCCGCGCACAAGAAGTGTACTGGTATCCAATTTGTGATCTACTGGATGAATGCAAGCGATTGGAGACCATTCGGTAACTTCGGCCCTATAGTGTGTGGGAAATAGTTGACAATGTCTGCAGCTGGAGTGTTGAGAAGCCAATGCCCTTGGGTCTTAGCAACCTCATCCTCAAGAAGCAACGTCATATCTCGCTCAATCTCGATCACTACCTTTGCCCGTTGCAAGCAGAAGACGAGTCACAACTCGCTTTGTCATTTCCTGCAGGTAATGTAGAGTCCATATTGTTGGTCGCAGCATTCGCTCCCAATGTCAATGGACTACACAACCTCCTTCGTGCCGCCTCAGGGATCCACTCTATTACTATGACATCGAAGCGTGAAAAATCTAACCCCGAGTCGGGATCTCTACCCGCCATCAGATATCTCTCAGTGCCTGTGGATAAATGGCGGATCGAAAAACAAGATGTGATGAGGCTATGTGAGTCTCATTATATTCTTCAAGACGACGTCATCATACAAACGCAAATCAGAGCACGACCCGTCGGGCCGTCATTGCTGATCACCAGCTACAATGTCCTGCCACTGTGGGGGGCTTTGCTGATTCGTAGGTCACTCTAGGGAGCTTCTCTCAGTTGGGACATATGGAGATGCGAGACCTTGACTCCTTCCTTCGGACAGTACAGTCAGATGATTTCCTTCGATTACGGACGTTTAATGGATATCTGTTTGACCACTGATTTAGACCGTCGACTTACGATCGCGACCAAAAGCAGACTGCCCTTTACTGAATCAACTCCTCACCTCACTGCCTCTTCTAGAGTCTATCGACGTGTCGACCATGCTCAGTAATTTTGATATTGCGTCGTTTAACGGGAAGCGCTCGCTTCGAGCTCTGCGTGTTTGCGATATCAACGAAACCTATCAGAATAGGCTCATGATCGAGTTTTGCAGGCTTCGTGGACCCTCAAAGCTGAAGGGACGCTTTCGAAATTCTCGTGTATTATCGGCATCCCGTGAATTCTTCGCAACTTTCGCTCCGACTGTATTTCCCGCGTTGTCATCGAGTGATATAACCATAATCTGTGGATATTGTCCTTTGATTGAGAATCTGGACCTTGAAATTGATAGGACCAACCATGATGTAAGTTAGACTTTCGACATACAATTTATCTTTCCTGACATTGTCAAGCTGATATTCTCTTTCATAGCATCTCCAACTTTTGCAAGCCATCATCGTCTTTCCTCCACTGCGTTCATTGACACTGAGGACCCAAACACTGGGTTCCGAGCTGGACGAACATAATAAAGATCGAGATCTCGATAGTGAGTTTGTCGAAACTACTTGGCGAATTCTCCGCACACCCAAGAAGCATTTACCACTTGCCAAGTTGAAGGTTGAGATATCTCAAATTGTGTATGTGATCAAGGCTGAAAGAAAGCCCGAGAGTCTGGACTGGGATGCTCTTGAGGCTTCGCGACACCCTCCGCGCGCCACAAGAATATTTAACATATCTTGGGAGCTTGAGAGCCCTGAAGAATGGGTTTCAGGGTGGGAATAGGGTGTCGTGCTACATGTTGAGCCAAATTCTGTTTCTACTTGTAAGCAACTTGCCGCTTGACATAAGAGGTGGAAATGGTGGGTGGCATTTAGCCATGGATTTCAATGGCGTATAATTCTGACACACTACTGTTGGATTTTTCAGGGTCCATGCTTCAGCTTCGCGTCCTCCTCGAAGAGGTAGGTAAGGGGCGGTTGATGACTCGGGTGTCACTTATGCATCCGAATCTAGGTCACACATCTTTTGGGCACTGCCACTGGCATCCTCGCCTGCCATATTTTCTCTCCCCGACTTCCAATTGCTTCATTGTCGAAACATGAATTTCTCTCATCCCAGGCGGTTGGATCCCAAAGATATCCCGCTCGTCAATGCAAGAATATTTGGATCCTATGAGGACGCACTTTATTGAACTGGATTCATGGACGTCCGAGTTATTCCAAGGGCTATGGTCGACTGTTTATCATACAATCTAACTTTTATCACCTATAAATGTTTGGAGAGACCTGAAAGGATCAAGAAAGGCAAAGTTCCCAGAGGGCCAGAGCCAATTCCACCATTTTGGAGTCCAATGAGGTGTGTTACCTGACCTCGCTGCAACACAGATAAGTTCACTGGGTACTTTGTAGCGTACAAGCTACAGACAGCATGAGCATGGTCACGAAAGTCTTTCACGTCGACCTTTCTATAGCTTGGTGGAAGTGTTCGACTTTTCAATGTTTAGAATTAGATGTTTGGCGGGGCGCAGTTCAGAGGGGGGGGGGGGGGGGGGGTGTCGATTGCATGACCACATCAATTGACATTGAAGTTGCTCCATTGAGCATGATCTAGGTGACGGGATATCTTTACTCGAATTCGAGGATCCGTTTTCAAGTTCATTCAGGTGTGGTAATAGCGCAATGAGGGGGCTGGGGAGAGAAGGCAGATTAAAAATCTGTTTACTAATTCCCGTCCTTGGGATACAGAACAGTGGGTATACTTTGAGCGGTGGATATTCTTACTTTTGAGACGGGAAAATAGCAGGCAGCGCCACAATAATGCTTTCACATACGTCTCTGAGATAAGGCTGGCGACGAAGGGGACGGGGTTTATTGAGGTGAGAATAAGGACGCAACTAAACGACATAGACGCGGTTGGTTTGATCATGCAGTTGTCTCGACATGGAGCGTGAAAGTGAAAAGTTATGGCAGATTAGCTGGAGCCTAGTCCTCAACACTATGGTTGCTTTTGCATTCTCTGTTTGGAGGGAAGTTTGCGAAGAACTAGCCTCTCAAGTTCCAAGCCTTCGGCCTCAGCTGCCATGGACGGTAAGGCAACATTGGTGCATTGAGGACTTCAAAAGCATGAGCAGATCATTAGAGGCACTGACGGATTATTTATGATACCAGTAGGAACAAACAAAGAAGTGTTCCGAATCGATAGTCGAAGATCTACGAGGAGACTTCAAGCCGGGTCGCTGGAGCCCAGACTGCGGGGGAGGGTCTGAGGACACCAGGAACGTGTCGACGATCTTCTGATAGGATCTGAAGATCTTTTGACGGGCAAGCTAACGGGCTCGTCTTTCTGACCAGACGGGGACCTCGTTGTAAGAGTGTGGCTGTACTCGACGTCAAGAAACAGGGAGCATTCGAGCCACACGGCTGATCAAGCAGAGCTACTTGACACCTTACCTTTCTTTGTCAAAAGTTTTGGGGCAGTAACGGCAAGCATGTCAGTACTATTGCAGCCTTTGAGCAAAACTAGTTGACGATGCCCGCCAACAAATCAACACAGCTGGAGAACTGGCATGTCAGAAGATGTGTCAAAGGTAGCTAGATGTCTTATCATTTCTGGAGATCTACTACTCTACGATTACAATATCCGATTAAGCCTAGTCTTGAGTAAATGCACGCACGGCAGTCGTTGCAGTACCGGAGTATTTACCTCCCTGGAGTTTTTCCAGCTACCTTGGATGATCCTTCAAAGTTCACTGGGCTGGAAAACACTAGACTGCATATGCACGATGCAAGTTTGACATAAGGTCGACCTGCATGCAAACTCCTGAAGGTCTGGCTTGGTCAGTCCCGGCTAGCTTCTGTATTTCTCCATTCAGTTTGGTCCTTCATCTTCATCTTGGTCGACTTGACCAATTGCAGACATGATTGTTTCAGTCACGGTATATGAAGATGGCTCCCGTCTGGAGTCTCCAGACGGGAGATGAAAGAAGCCGAGGCCGCGACGATGCGGGGGTGCGAGGCATTACATTTTGACGACGAACAGTATCCAAAAGATAGTGGCCAGATCAATGCTGCGAGGTAAATCGTTCCTGGATCTCTCGACGCCACAAGCCTCATGCTATTCCAAACATGTCGCCATCACAGTATATACAGCATGGCACAACAGGCGGCCCCGGCTCGTCGATCATGACTTCGATTCTCCTCCCAAGAGGGGGTTGCCTCGGTCAAATATCCTCCAGGGGAAGTAACGCCGTTGTCAAAAGACCTAGCTGTGCTAGACATTCCGCCGGTGGGATTTTTAGTACAGTTTTTGAAGATAGCACATGGCTTTGTCGGATGTACCCCGGGAGTACGCGCCATTTTCTCTTAGCGGAGGAGCCGTCGTGACTGCTATGGGATTGTCACATTGACATTAGCTGCACCGCCAACGCCGTCACGGCTTGGTGTTTGCCTGATCTGGTCTCCTTCAAGTCCTCTAATTCCGCAGTCCCGTCTCTACGTGGAACTCGTGAGGCGGCGCTAATGGCTGATTTCAGGACCCTGTGATCGCTTCGTCGAAGTGACAATTTGTCATCATCGGCTCGACACGACATCTGGGTGAAGGAGTGCTAGAGGAGGTAGTATGAAGGAACAATCTGGTTGGAGCCAGAGCCTGTCGCTGGCGTCTAGAATTCTCGCGGAGAGAAAGTTGACAGGTTTTACGTATTGTGACGCAAGGGGTATGTCGGAAGGCATGATGTACGAGCAGTCCTGGCTAGCTATTAGCAACGTGATGACGAGGTGTTTAACAGTAGCAGACATTATGTTTATCCAGTTCGGTCATCTTCCGGCAGGGGCAGATTCTACTGCAGACAAATGATGCAACGCGAGGGCGGTTGGTAGGGCATCTCTCGGGTTACACGAAGAACGATGTGGTGAACTCCTTTTTAGCGAGGCAACAGAATCTGCCTGTGGCATTGGTCTCTAAAAATGGTTGAGAAAGGAGAAGTGCTTGTGTCGGACAGATGGCAAAATCTGACTTGAAAGCCTCATTCTAGATGTTGAGTCGTGGACGGAAAAATGTCTGGGAAGATCAGGAGAAATGTCGGGAAAAACATCGGGCTTGTAGCTCAACGACCCATGAAAACGATCACCCTTACCAAAACGAACTGGGTATGGTATAAGGGGAAACCTGTTTCTGACGTGGATGCCGATTGATGGTGGCATCGTGAGTGAGCAGTGCGGCTACGCTTGCCCAAGGCCTTGAGGATACCTACCATCCTGCCTGGCCTCGACCTCGAAACTAAGATCTTGCGCTCGCGTAGCGCAACAACAATGGCTCCTGCCTAACACCAGGACGTTCGGAATGAAGGAACTTTCCGTTGGAAAATCGCCCACCTGCAAATACGAAGGGAAACTGACTCTAACTTGTTACCTACGTATTCGGACAACATCATCGCGATGACAAACAGAGAGCACGATTGGTTGCCTACAGGTAGGGTGGTGGCCCGCTGAAATCAAAGATGCGAGCTGCAAGACACCCAACCTACAATGGCGATGCACTCGTGTTCGCAACCTCGTTTCCTCTCTTGATCTCGACTTGTCACTTCAACGGCACCCACTTAGCATTAGCCAGTCGCTGCCATGCCTGGATCTGGAAGCAGCAATATAGCAGAACGTCCGTGGAGTCCTTCATGTCCTTTGATATAGACCAAGGGGGTGCGACGAAGCTGGTTGGCCGCTCCAGTGACACAAAGGTCGAAACCTCGCTCTCCTCAGGTGACAACCAGGGGGTTGATGTGACAGCTGTCGTTTATCTGTTGTACAGAGGATGGCCTGTGCAAACCCATGGCTAGGATCTTGGTAACTTAGCCTGTCGAATCCCGTAAACAATATCGGGTCATCGCATATGAATGGCATCTTCCTGATTCTCAGATGTTTCAGTGACACGACAATATATTTTATGTGCCTGCACGTTGTGCTATTGTTGTTTCTGGGACTCTGAATTCATGGCGGGGTGGTCCGTCTGTCCTTCCGGGGGCTTGTGGGGGCTCAGCCGCCCTGGAAACTTGGCTTCCCAGCGTTTGCAACCTAGGGCGGCTCAGGGCTGGCTGGCCTGTAATTTATATTGGATATGGGCAGTGCATGCCGCTGCACGTTTCCACGGGTCTCTCAGCACATGTTGTATGTTGATCATATAGCTGTACGTCTACCCAGATCTAGTCCTCTACGTGCTGTACTACCAACGATTCCTGGGATGGCGACTTCATGCAATTTCTCATGGGTTGAGATTTCGGTACTATTGTGTTCTGAAAGCCTCAGGGTCCACCATGCCGGGCCTGTGGCGCAGGCACTGTCCTTCAGGGAACGAACGCCCGCTGATCTCTGGTCTAGCTTAGCTGTCTCAACTCTCAACAATGTTCTCCAGAAACTGACATGGCTTGCTTCGACATGACTTGACGTTAACATCGGTTCGCGGATTTTGTTTGTGGGTTCGGGGTCCTGACTTCTGATACATGGGGCGACACACGCTGGGCTCAGTCGAGATTTTTCTCGCATCGACCAGGATGCTGGCGTCCGTTTGAATCGAAGATCGTCCCGTTCCCTGTCGACACCCGTTTGTCTGTGCCGCTGTCTGACGCTCTTGGCTCGAGTCATGAAACTTGACACTTCGTGAGAAGAGCCCGATATGGGTGCGGAAAAAGTCACGAAGCCCGAGTAGCTGGTTCTAAAGTGCTGTAGACGGCGGGATGCATGGATGGTGCAGCAGCCCTCGCTTTCCGACGTCTCCAGGTGTCACTGTTGCAAGTTGCTTATTCCCAAGGCTCGGAATGCATCTAGCCGTTGCGATGTCATGGAAGAAGGCAGTCCTCGACAATGGCGAGGCCCAAGTGCAAGATACGCGTGGTACGGACTCGCAGCTTAGCTCTCAAGAGCTGCAGCTTCCCGCCTGCGAGATAGATGATGAGTACCAGTAGAGATGGTTATCATAGATGTTGAAGCGGGTTATGCTGTGACTCCAGATACTGCATCATCGCTGGGACAGCCTTCTGTCCTGCTTACCTTCTTTTTCAATGATAACGATCTGCAGGTAAAAGCGTTCAAAGCTACTCATGCCACTGCGAGCTTCGCGAATGATTTTGCAGCCTGTCTGCTTCGCATGAACCATCTTAATATCTACGATATTACTTTGCAGTGGAGCCGAGTGATCTATGAACTGGAAAATGACAACTGACTGTTCATCCGCAGGTCAGGCAGCGGGCAGACCCGTTCATGGCTGAACATCAAACCAGGGAAGAAGAAGAAAGCATCGATTTCCAGATTAAGAACAGCTTGCGAGTCAAAGCGATGTTTGACAGGACAGGCAATAACACATCCTGGTTCCGGTCCTGTCGTGATCCGCGCATCGTCGTGGGGGAAAATAAAACAAGCGAGGAGTCAGATCAGGGGAATCAGGGATCGGATCTCGATTGACAGCTGCAGCTTCGACCGTGACTGGCATTGGTGTCCACTTGGGGATCTTCGCGGTCCAACGAGCTTCTCTACAATCACCAGGGTCTCTCTCGTCAATCTCGTTACCAGATTTCGACCTTCTCGTGCCGCGTACAGAACCAACAACCTGCCGTGCCAGTAGCAGTGCAACGAGAACAGCATGCATGCCACCACATCATGTTTCTCGTTTTGGAAACTTGAAAAATTCGTATAACGGCTGCTAAAGGGCCTTCAATTTCACATGTCCCAGCCAGCCATCTTCTAAGCTGGGAACCCGTGTCCATGTATTAGATCATCATCCCAGATTCTGCAGTTCAGCGTGACGGTACAACGAACAATCAACTTGCGATCGGCCGCTGAAACATCTGGCTTCATGCGTACTCGTGCCAAGTCGTCCTGTCAGACGAATCGTCCGCCCCATCCCTGTTGGCGATCCTGTTCTGACGTTCACACCATCCTCCTAGCAGACCAGCTTCTCACCTCAAAGTCAGACGCCGAAGCTTCAATCAGTGCTGTCGTTTCAGAGACTCGTATCCGCCCAGATATGTAATCGCGGTTGCTCTGGTGGATGGCAAACCCTCTCACGGTTCGAAGTCTTGCCTCATGCACGGAAGGAAGCTGGGTATTCCCCACGAAGCTTGCGAAACACAAACTGTATGTCCACGCAGGTCAAGATCCGAGTCAATTTCCTCTTACCGTCTCTCCGGTCATGGCCTGTGCTCGTCGGCACAGTGGACACTTCGTCCGATTGTTATTTTTCAGCCTTTTCTCGAGGCGCAGAAGCACGGATACTAACATTTCGCAAGTGCTGCAAGATACTGCAATACAATTCGAGCACAACATCCAGAACCCCAACGCCTGGAGGACCACAGAACCAAATGAGATGGCTGGCTGCAGATGGCTTTGCACACATGTCTCAAATGCTCGTCTTAGTCTTGTCCTTGAGAGGAAGAGACCCCGCAGAGAGATTAGCAAATTACAGTGGTGGTAGTTTACGGGTCATGGCACTCCACTTGCGTATTTACAGAACTGATCTACTCCTGATGCTTCTAGATTTCTGCTTGACCCTCTCTACTTTGATGATCAGCAACAAGGGCATGCTACAGACTTTCGAGTAGGTCGTTGCGTGAATTATCGCAAGTGAAAACGGGACCAAAGAGTGTTTCTGTCGTCTGCAGAAGAGCAACCAGTTCATGAATTCATCGGCCACCTCCGTTCTCACCTAAAATCACATTAGCTATTCGCTCTCCTCTAGTGCTTCTCAGAATAGCATACCAATTTCCCCCAGCCGTCCATAAGCTGTCAACGATTCAGCAGGGGCTAGCAGGTGGACTGTGAAACACTTGGGAGGAACTTCTGATGTTTTGACTTTTGACACATCGACCTTTATCGGCATGAACCTTGTAGAGGCGGAAGCTTCACACAGTCAACAGCTAGCCAACCGTGAGTGAAACTAGTCAGCATGTGTTGCGGCTCGCTGACACTTTGCTGGTTGTCCCAAAACTTCTATCAGAGGCACGATATCGTCTTACATTGAGATTCTCGATAATCTCGTTTCTTAACAGCAGAGGATATCAATGGATCCTGAATCAAGGTGCTTCTGGAGATCACAGGGGAACTGATGATCGTGCTCTCCGTACTGGACTTGCTTCGGGATAATAGTTGTGGCGTGCATTGCACTAACGTCAAGTTCCCAACTAGCCAGGTCCCCCTGGCAGATCTTCAATGCATGCGGGATGAAGACACTTCAACGGCCGTGATACTAATTGACTCAAGTTTAGTTAGGGGCTGACCCAGGGGACTCACGATGGTCCTTCCAACTGCTCTGGAAACAACATGCAGCCCTGTCCAGTAGGCGCCTGTTGAGCACGTCCTATGTCGCGAGAATCACTCATCGCCTCCAAGAGAACTCGGCTTCCATATCTTCCCTCGCCAGAAATGTGCTGGAAACCAGGCACGCGGAACGAAGCCAGCGGAGATTTATGATGGTACGCACAGTCCACCGTCCAAGCTTACCCGGCCGTCTTTGCGAACATCCACAAGTCTGCCTCCACCGGGCCAGCCGAGCCATGCTCCTTATTCCCTTTTCTCCCCGCCGTGGATGTCCTTGACAACGGCAGGACGATGCCAACTCCCAGCGTCGATCAAGGCAACTGTGGCTACTGAGGAAGCAGAGTCGACCTGGCCTTCCGTTCTGTTTCTCGTATGCCAAAGACAAGGGTGGGTGGCTTGCGAAGGGCCGAGAGCGAAACAGAAGATGAACGATGGTGACCCAATCGAAGAGCAGGACTGCTGTCGCTCTCCTCGAGAAGCCAAACACCAATCTCAACAGGTTGGGCTACTAGAATACCACCCAATTTGAGTCTTTGACGTTTCTTACATCCTTGACATCCTCATCCGTAACCCACGTCAAACTCGGCATGAAGTGTCAAATTCTGCTCAACTGACGCATGGAACACACTCGCAAGAATGTTTACTTCGCGAAGCATTATCAAGCCAATCCTCCGATATTTCAATCTACGAAGAGCAGAGAAACAATGCGCGAACGTGCGAACCTTAATTCTACCCATGTGCTCCAGTGAGCATGAAAGTCAATCGCCTGTCAGCTGTCCGAGCGATGTGCTGCAACTCAGCAACTGCGATAGGTCCAAGAGAATCTGCACCCTGAAGTTTTGTCAATCCCAAGACCACGAGAACTGAGTGCCTGCATGTTGAGCTCACTGAGCTGCAGTCTTGCCAAATAGACCGTCACCCTAGATCCCAAGGCTATCCCGTTAGCAACAAGAATGTTTCAGATATTTGACTTTAGCTCCAACTGTGAGAAAACGTGTTCGAGAGCACATCAAGATCGGCTGCTCTGCTTCCATACATGCAAAATAACCTTATTGGTTTGAAAGGAGCAGCCGCAGAGTGCATCTCCAGTCGGCTCCGGGTAGCAAGTCCTCGTTGACATCGCAAGAATGAGATCTGAGGCACCCCAGACCTCTCGTCTGCCACTTTCAGATGCTTTTTACAGGATAGTATGTATCCTAGTGACGACTTCGGGATATCGTCTCCCTCCATAAGAGCAAAGGAATTATGCCTGGCACTCAATATGGAAAGAAGGAAATCTTCGCCGAACAAGCAATTGTGTTACTGCCCAACCTAACATGTTGACAGGGAAAGCATCGGAGATATATCTTCTTTTGCAACTCGCAAGCTTTTCATCATGGACAATCAGTGCGATGAACCGATGCGGCGTCCCAAAGGAGAGAAGTCACCGCTTTCATCTGTTTCCTTCCAAAGTATATCATGTCCCTGGGCAGCCAAGACCGGCGGATGAACCACATACGATGCTGTGACTGGCATCATCTGCTTCTCACCCCCCTTACCATGCACTGTCGTGATACTCTCTGTAGCGTCTTCCAGGCTGGTGATCAAATCGCAACGCTTCCACAGCACAGGGGGTGGAGTGGGGTGTAGATTCTGCACTGTCCTTGACCCCTCGGTAAGTTGCATTTCCAAACCTCCCCCTGTTCGGCATCGAATGTTTCCTGCTTCTTCTCGGGGAATTTGGCTGCAGCTCCCACCACTCTGCAGTGCCACTGGCACCAATCTTCCTGACCACCCTGGACAGAACAACAAGGCTACTGCTAGCTAGCTCCCTGGGCTGGTCACCGTCACTATCTTGACGCTGCGGCATCTGTGTTGGCGGGCTTCTTAGCCCGATATCTTTCTTGCTAGTGAGCCCAGCCATCAAGCCTATCCGGGCATGGTAACAAGACAACAGGCACCACTGGGAACACACCTGTGCTCCCTAAGACTCCCCACAGCTGCCCGCTACTGTCCGCTACTGGTCGGGCCATGGCCCATAGGACAGCGCGGAGCAAATAGGTATCTGTGCCCTGCCCTGGACCTGGCCTCCTACGTAGCTCAGCGGATGCTGAAGGGACATTGCCGTACTTTGCTCACATCATGGATAATTTAGTGCATCCAGACATCCGTTTTTCCCCTGGTCGGGCACTGCTTAGACAGAAAAGTGGTAGCTGTGGTCTTGAAGACCTATTCGAGCGGTGCGCCGTGGGCAGTGTGCAGTGTGCAGTGGGCAGTGTGCAGTGTTCAGTGTTCGCAACAACCCCAGATGAGTATGAGTATGAGTATGAGTATGCCTCCGTATGTCTCTGGGCTCTCCCAGCCTTCCTATCTAGTAGTAGTCCCTACCTAAACAACGATGTTTCATTCGGTCCCAGCCAGCACGAACCTTTCTGCAGAAACCTAGTGCAGTGCAGTGCAGTGCAGTGCAGCTCGTGCAGTCCAGTACACAGCTACTAAGGAGCACCAGCTCCACCTTCCGGCGCCACTTCACCTCAACTACGCCTCATCTTCATCTGTTTCTTGACCCCTGTTTCCATCTTACTTCTTCGGGACTCTCTGGCAAACACCCACCATTACCCCGGCATGTACAGCGGGCCGTCGATCAACACGGCCATGGTCCAAGCACTCGAGTATACCCGTGTGTACTTATATGATCTCCCACCCCATGTCGAGGCAGGAGAGTCCACTTCCAGACGACATAACAACAATCCCTTTCCCCACCGGATCACATCTTTTTTGAAAGTTATTCTCATCAGCCATCTTCTACAGCACCTTTGACCCAGCCGTCACCTATTTTTTCTGCGACAAGAAGAATCAACCGTTCATTGATCGACGCATCCTTAAACTCTAAGCAACCGTAACCTGTTTTTGAGCTAGTGTCAAGATTCGTTCCATTCATTCGACTCGACTGGATTTCTTTGCCCGACAATCCCATTTTCAGTCATCCGTGACTTCATTCTTCTAAACGAAAAAATTCCGCTCTTCCCAGAGATTACCCCTTAAGTCGCAACGCTGGCCACCGCCATCCTCACCCAGGTGTCTGCGGGGCACGACGACGTGTGGACTTCAAGCAGGTTCGCTTTTGGAAACAAGAGGTTCCAAACTGGTATGTTTGTTCACTTGGTCTATTCTGCATGTTCGTTGCATCGCTTTTTTCCCGTCACTACATGGAGTCTAGTCTCGAAGTCTGTCTTTGTGGGCTACTAGCATTCTATGACAGATGACAGCCGTCATATCACCTCTAGTTCCATGAATCGCCTGTCGCTTGCAGCAAGTGATCCATGGATTCATTCACTCAAAATTCTGTTCACATCACAGCCCTGTACTGTCTCGTCACCGGTTTACTTCATTCCGCATGACTATTCATCAAGATGCATTCTGACTTGTGCCAAACTATAGACCGCTGGGAATTCGCACACCCGCAGCCCAAGGCACCTTCTCTGAGCATCGCTGCTTCAATAGAGAGCAGGAGAGGAATGGAACTTCACCAATCCCAAAATCGATATTCAAGCAAGCCGTGGGAAAGTCCGAGATCAGAAAGAGAAGGCGCGAGCATGCCGGCTCTGACCATCAGGCAATCGCCCGGGCGCCACCTGCCTGGCCCGACATCTCTGCTCGATACCAAACTTGATACGTCTTCTATGCCACGATCCGAATCTGGATCACGGTCCCAGTCTGCACAGTTACAAATGTCTCCGGTACAATTACCGCCTATTCGCGAGGTAAGTTACCTAATCACTTGTCTTGTCCTACAGTTACTGACACTTGGCCAGCTCGTGGATCTTTCAGGTCGAGGCGAACGACGAGAGGCAGAGTACAGAGCGGATGTGTCACCTATATCGAACGGCAAGCGTCGGCGGATTCTAGACGAGGACGAAGATGCAGAGGATTCGAGAGACTCGGCATTTCCAAGATTTCATAGAAGCCCCAGATTAATGGACCGTCCTCACAGTGCGGCAACTGTTGGTCCTATTCGACGTGCAAGCACCGCATACACCTCCGACACTCGTTCTGCCCGCACAAGTCCTTACCAGTCAACCCGTGGCCTGCCTGCAATGAGGACTACTCCAAGTTACGAATTGCCACCCCGACCGGACGACAGACCAACGCTACCAAGCTTACCGTCCTTGATACAAAACCACAGCTCTACGATACCTCGCAGTGTGCAGCCCTTTTCCGAGTACTCCTTTGGCTCCCCAAGAGCCAGCGCACAAACGTACCCTCCCTTCACATCCTCGTTTGAGCCTTCCACGTCGTACCAGAAACCACCAACTTACGCTTATGGATACGAACCTCGTGGACATTCATTCTCTGGTCCATCATCATCTTATCCAATTGGAAATGACCGGAGTCCCTTTTCTTCAGCGCACCATGCCATGTACCCCAACAGCATGAACCCGTACAGCACAGATGGAAATGACAGAGAGGGCGACACACGACAAAGAAAGAGACGTGGAAATCTTCCCAAAGAGACCACCGACAAGTTGAGGGCCTGGTTCGTTTCTCATTTGACACATCCATACCCAACCGAGGACGAGAAGCAAGAGTTGATGAGGCAGACTGGTTTACAAATGAGTGAGTTTCGCGACCAGGCATATGACTGAAGACAATGCTAATTTAGAATAGATCAGATTTCAAACTGGTTCATCAATGCCAGGAGGCGCCAGCTTCCAGCTATGATTAACAACGCTCGTGCCGAATCGACTGCTCGATCTGCCCGCTCTGCAGATGGAGGCATGCAATCTCAAAACAATGTTTACGCAGACAACCGAGACCGCAGGGGCTCCAGTGATGGTGATGGAAGTGTGTACGATGATTGAGGCGAAGAAATGGGAAACAGAGAAGGGCCTATACGAATACTCAAAAGCACCACTGCCGCGAGAACGACCTGGCACTGGAGGTTCCCAAGACTTTTTACTTCCACCCTCTGGATTGGATACCTGGTGAGCGATCATTTCAAGGGATTCCTTGACAAGATGATTGCAAGTCTCATCCTAACTTCCGGAACTCGCGGAGGATCACTGCAAGAACCATTGCACATAAGGCATAGAATTGAAGATTCCGGACCAGGTTCTATTGGGAAGTCTCAAAATCGCCACCATTACGCAAGCTACCACGGATGCAAGGTTGCCGGCCATGAGAAGGAGGCGGTTGTACTTTAGGGCGTGTAATAGTAAGATAGAGCAGAGAACAAAAATCATACACAGTATACCAAGCTAGAATCTGAGACATGTGCATGTCAACATCTTATTTCTTACGTCGATAATGCGATGAACCTGGGCAAGTTATCTAGTAAAGTTCATATCAAACTGTCAATGTCATATAACCGCATGCCCTAACAAACTCTTTTGCTTAGAAGCTTTTCCATACTTTCCCCATCCCAGTCCTGATTAATGCCATACCACTTCTCCAAAGGCTATTAGCGAAAAGACAAAAAGCATGCTGAAGAACTCGAATTCAGGCCTGACTGACATGGCCCAACCCAAAACCAACCAGAACCATTTAAAGGAGGCCCAGAACAAGTTCAGATGACTCGCCACCAGAAACCTTAAACGCATTCATGAATCTTTACCCTTGGGCTTCGTGGCCGCTCGTCTTCAGCGCTTACATCATGTTCTCTCATGCCGTTCCGCTCCCTCAGCAGATAGCACGCACGCACGCAGGGCGGAATAATAGATAGGTAGATGACAGTACAGTGGCCGGGGGGAACCAATTGTTAGGGGCACTTGGTGCCAAGGGGCGCGGCAGTAATTAGGGGGATTATCTTTGAGGATTGTCACCTAAACTTGCATTTCCGTCTGGAAAATCTCCAGGCTTTGCAGGTTGCAGAATGCAGACAGGCAGCCAGGCTCCAGCCACGATGAGCAGGCCTCGCAGGCGCGGCTGCGCCTGTCATGTCACGTCAAAGTCATGGTCATGGTCATGGTCATGGCAAGAGGCAGGGCCAAGATCAAGATTTCAGGGTTAAGGGGGAAGCGGGCTCGGGCTTGTGAAAAGAAGGTTTAGTGAGGCAGGTAGTCTTGCGAGGTGGGCAGGGATCCGGGGGGTCACAGCCGTTGGATGGGGTGGGTGAGTCGCTCAGTCGCTGTCGCTGAAAGTCTGCCGCCGCTGCTGAAGAAACCACTAACTTGGCCGTTGGGGGCACCGCGACCACACTCAAGCATGCACGCACGGCTCAGGGGGGTGGATGCTCAGGGAGGGACGGGTATTATTTCCGTGAGGGTGTTGTGTGTGATGACGGTACGTAATTTTGGTGGAGGGAGAGAAGCCACAGACAGGGCAGACAGGGCACCGTCGAGACTCACGAGAAGATTACTTTACAGTAGAGAATCAGAGAAGGTGTTTGGGGCGAGATGTGCTATGGCAGAAGGAAACAAAACGGGGATGAAACGAAACAAGCTGGAAACGACGCTGAGGTCGTATCCGGAATATTTTGATCCTAGTGACAGGTGCATTGAGCGGCTTGACGTGACTGAAAGTAGGGTTAGGTTGCGAGATGGGATGGTTCGGTTCCGAGGACTTCGTTTTTTCTGGAACATGTTTGGACTTCTTCGAAATAGAGTTGTATTGGAAGCGTGCTGAGCGATGAGAGGGTGGTCGATCTGAATAGGTTGACTGATTAAGGCATGGAAAAAGCATCTCATTACTACATTGTTCATGCCAACTCCTTCCTCCATGTTATGTATGGCATGGATCGTGGTTCAGGACAAAAAACGTCAAACCATCAGCAACGCAACCCCCATCGGAATAGTTCTCCCCCATCCGACTCATTCTCGCCCCCATTATTTCCTCAAACTCACAAAACAGTGACAAACCCCTAACTCCTAGCCTGGACCCACCAATGACATTCTTATCCAAATGTGCCAAGGACAATGACATTATTGACAGCTGGCCTAGGCTAGGGTTCAGACACACCAATAGCGCCGGCCCAGACCAAAGACCAGCGACCAGTGGGCGGCATTGAAACTCTCGCACTAGGAGTTCCGATTAGCCGTACGATTGACAGCGCCAGCGAACGGCATTTACACTTAGGGCTTCGTTTGACAGACGCCAGAGGTGCTCGATGTGGCGGGCCGAGGGACGATCACTTGGGCATTAAGGGCACAGAGTTCGCAAGTTTGGCTGCCCAGGGCTTAGAAGGAAATCTAGAAGAGAAGGTTACAGCGAAGTCAAAGCCTGAAGAGATGGACGACAGGACGACAGGACGATTACTGTACAGTACAGAAGCGACATATCTTGGCAAAGAAGAGGAGATCACCGAATGGGAAGGAGAGAAGAAGAGCCAAGGAAGGATGAAGTTATGCGATGTTTGAAGAGGCTGTATTGATTCGTGGATTGTCCAAGGCGAGAAAGAAACACAGTTCTTGGTTGAAGCCTGTGATGTCTACCCTCGAACCTGAGTACTTAGCCTAGACAGAAAAACAGATGAACGTCGTCCTCCGGTCTCCCCACGACACTTCTGCAACCACATAGGCGCCCGTCGCATGTCAGAAACATGAGTAAGACATAACTTAGAAAAACCCGGGAAACTTTCTCAGCAAAGCTTGAGCTAAGCTTGGTGTCGGAAGCGTCTCATTTCTGACCCACAACCAGAACCTAGACGGCCGTATATTATTCGTATTTGTAGAGGCTGAGAACAGAACTGTCTTGAAAATCCGAAAAGATGATTTGTGCCCCGGCCTGCCTGCATCGCTCAATGCAGCAGCAAAGTAGACCAAGAAACGGCGTAGTAGTATCCCAGCTGTGCTAGGCACACATGCCACTGACAGCTCACTAGCAAGGAGGTCAACCTCGGAGGGATAAAGTATGCACGATGGCGAACTATCTATCGTATGTCCTTTTCATTGAACTGACCAGTCGCCGGTGCCATTCACCAGCGCGCGGATCTAGGATGCTACCTTCCCCCACGCCTAGCTCCCTGTCTGTCATCTCGGCACTTGCGACGCTGGCGTTTGCTTCTTTGGCTCGCCTCTAACCCTTGCACCGTCGCATCCTCTCGATGTTGTTTCCCAAAAAGAACAAGCTTGCGAAGAGAGAAAAGCATGGACTGGGATCGCCGGTGTCAGATACCAAAAAAGCAATTGCCTCGGTTTACACTTTGAGACTAACGACGCGGTTGACGTTGGGGAGAACTAGCGAAAGCCAAGTCGCGTACTCGTACACTTGTGGCGCCTCGAGTCGAATGTTTGGCTTGCTTTGGCTTGCTTTCTCGTTCTGTTCCTGAGCACTTTATGAACAGTGCTTTGTTAACCCTGTGTGTGTATTTTACCTGTCAACTCCGCGGAGCTATCTATATCTTGTGTGCATGCTGCTTCAGCCTTACAGACCTGCCAATTGAAGCTCAAGCAATCGGGAGACTTCCCAGAATCGACTTCACCCATGGTCTCGCTTCCACGGCTAAGTAAAATATATTGCACTCGAACATTTTCCACAAATGAAATGTGGCGGAGGGCCTTCCATCGATCACTGCTGTACAGGCAGAACGGCTCTTCAGTGCAACATGAAAATAAGCTTTGAAACAAAATTGATTAACCTACCAATCCCTGTTGCAAATCATAGAAACAAAAAATCCACTCTACGACGTCAAATAATCTACGAAGATCCCACCAAGATCATCAGGGTTCTGTCTCACTCGCTTGCTTGCCTCGGCTTCTTCAACACATCGCCAACCCCAACAACGCACTCGCAACAACCACCCCAAAAGCCTTCAGATCTTCCCATCTTGCGCAAAACTCTTGACAGTAGTAGTCATCAGGCTGGCTCATCACGGAACTGACAAACACACGTCAATCCAGACCGATCAACATGCTCAGCCCCCAAGATCCACACACCTGGTCCATGCACCGGGTCAAGCAATGGCAAACGCGAGTTATATCTCCGAACCCGTTTTTCCTGCAAACTACAGTACTGTACTGTACAGCCAACCTGCTATTGTACTGTACAAACAAACTTTCCTTCCCGCGTCCAAGCCGTGCCGAATTCCCGGCTTCGCAGTTGATCCCGATCGACATCAACAATACAGTAATAATAGCACCGAGGATGCCGTACCCGTCTCGCCCGTATCATGCTGTGGCGGCGGCGGCGGCGGCGGCGTCGTAAGTCCTGATCCTGATCATCCATCCCGCTCGGCGGTCGAAACTCTAAAATGGGGGCGTGCGAGCGGGTTGAGACTTGAGAGGCGGGCCAATGCTTGGCGGGTGGCGGGGCGGAGGGGTCAGAGGACCTCCGCTCGGCTTGGCTGGGATGGGGGATGGATACTTCCTCGCGGATAGGTAGGTTGTGCCCTGAATGGAGACGTTGATGTCAGTGGTTGATGAGGAGACTTTGATACGAGTACGATGGATGAGGAATTTTGATTTTCTTGTCTTCTTGTCTGCCAAGTTTTTGATTGTGAGTGGCGAGTGAGTAAGTGAGTGAGTGAGTGAGTGAGTGAGTGGCAAATACTCGCAGAGGAGATAGAGCCAAAACGACATACGTGGGAAAATCTCGAATGCCTGGCTGGTCTTGGGACTTGAGACGAGAACTTGCTCACTGGGTTAGTAATGGAAAGAGGGTTTAAATTCGACAGGGGGCTTGAGATAAAGAGCGATCTGGAAGTTTTGAGGCTTGAAAGTCAAGACTTTGATTTGCTATGATTGCACGGATGATCATCAGAGCCTGGAACTCTGGCAGAAATTTGTAAGTTGTCCTATCTGTAATTTTCGGGCCCTTAATGCTGCGGAATCGACATATATCATCAGATAGTCTTGAAGTCAAGACCAATTCCTGCTACTTGCAGGTCGAGAGGGTTTGTATTCAATGCCTCAAAAGCAGTGGCCTCGTGTGGCCTGTACCACATAGGGCATCAGATACACTCAAATTGAACAGAATATGATTTATCATTACCCCTCAACTTCCAACATCTGAAGCTCATTCTTAGCTGTGCGAAGTTCAAAAACTACACTGCTATGCACTAAATACAAAGTTTTGCTACAGTGAAGAACTGTTCCCGTCTAAACCCTCTCTACAAGTTTCAAAAACTACATCAGAAAGGACTACCATGCAGTTCTTGCTGACTCTGAACCCTCCCTGTCGTCCTCCCCGGTATCAAAATCGGCGGTAAATGCCTCTGACGCCAGCCTCGACGTCCTTCGTACACGCTATCATACGTCACCGGACTTCCAAGCGAGAAATATATATCCTCGAGGTTAATACCTGTCTCTCTATTGGCTGGCTGGTCACGCTGTTGCTCAGATTGTGCTTTCTTTTTGGCCTGCCGTTTCTTGCGGATGAAAAATGCTGCGAAAAATATGATTATGATTGATGCAAGGACTCCAACTGTTATTCCTACTTTTGTGCCGGGAGTGAGCCCGCTGTGGGGGGTGGATGAGGGAGAGGAGCTTGGGGATGCTGGTGTTGATGTTGGCGCTGATGTTGAGGGAGTAGATGGTGAAGCTACAGTTGATCTTGAAGTTGTGGAGCTTGAGCTTGGGATTATGGTTCGGCTTGTGCTGGGAGGACTGGATAGAGACCGAGATACGGAGAGTGTAGTGAGCCGGCTGTTCGGTGATTGAGTGGAAGAGCTTGTTGGTGATGAGGTCGGACTAATTGATTTCCCAGAGCTTGTCGGAACAGGCAACGGGTTGATCATTCGAAAGACCTCTGACTCTGACGAGTGTTGAGAGGAATCGCTTTGCAGTTCATAGTTGATCACTATGTGGTATAGTCTGCCTGCCTTGAGAGTTGCAGCATAATCGCCCCCAAAAGTCGCAGTTCCATTATTTCCCCATGCTAAACAATTCTTAATGCTATCTGTATATCGTCGGCATGACTGGGGATCCACTTGATACATGTTAGAAACGACAGTTGCTACTTTCTGGGTGGGATGCTGGGGATAGAACAAACATGGAAGCTGTAATTTCTCAAACTGGTCTGTATCTCCTATAACAAACAAGGAAAGAAGATTCGAATCTTTGAAATCCAACCAAACGAATGATGTGGTTTCACTGAAAGAGAAGGTTGTAGGGAAGTTAGAATCAAAGTCATTCGTTCCTGCCACGATCGTGATAGTGATCAATCCCAGAAGGATGGAGTTGATACGTCGGCAGTTCATCCTGTTGGGGACAGTGCCGGCGGAGAAGATAGTGATACACCATGCCTTATCTTTGATGGGATAAAGAAGACTAGGGATTGGCATACGTGGTTCCGAGCGTGTGTGGACAAAGAACTGCCTTGGTAAAATATGCAACCGGATCCGGATGTAAGAGAATGTTGACATCATACTGACCTACTTAGAAAGAAACAATGCTCGCAGCCTGTTTTGGAGAAGATATGAGCCTCGAATGAACAATTTTAATGTTTGAATCTTTTCTGTTGACATTCTCGCAGTGCTCGCTTAAGAAATCCGCGGGGAACCCAACTGTGTGGGCACTTTTGGGAAAGATCAATTTAGCAGCGTTGAGTTGCGACAAGAATACCAATAATAACAAGTCATCAGCATGGAATTCAGCACAAAGTACGTAGAAGATTTCTTACTTCAATCAAGCAGCAAATGTTGTATCGTCAGATTCCCATGCGAAAACAGCTACTAAAGTTATGCCAGCGACCGTGACCCTTTACCTAATGAACACTATCCTATGTGTTGCTATCATTGCACTCAATAATTTCTAAGACTTCAACAACCGGCACCTTGTAGTCAGGGTTGCTCAGTCGCCGATAGCTCAAAAGCTCATGCTGAACAACATCCGCCATAATCTCCAAATGCCCTCTCTGAATATCCTCTCTTCCTCCGCACAGATCACCAGGAAAGACGACACCAGTCCAGACTTCCACGTTCTCAAAAGCACTCATCATGTCACCATGACCATCATCTCCCCAAATCAGCTCCACAGCTTCAAGATCTACCAGGAATGCCCAGATCGGGACAGCCAGTTGCTTGATCTCGCTGAACCACCTCTGCTTGTGACAGCCCTTCTCAATTCCTTCAGCGAACTGCCAAGTGCGCTGGAGGTCTTGGAAGTTCTGGATGAGAACCATCGTATTCTTGGGGTTATATCTGATGACGCTCTTGAAACCTGCTGGTAGGATGTGCTTGTTGTTCTCGAGATATACCTCACGTGACTCCCTGCAGGCAGACAGTAGAGCAATGTCCAATGGATCAGCTGCGGCGTTAGCTCGAAGTGGTTGCTGTATTGGGCTTAGTGCAAAGGTGAAGCACAAGCCGAACTCTTCGTCAGCTTCTCTGAGGGTGAGCTCAACTGGGAGGATTCGTGTCTCTGAAGGTAGACTATACAGGAAGACTAGGCGACGAAGTTCCAGAGGAAGTTCTGAGAACTTGGCGAACTTGGCAATTGTCCTTTTGGAGAGTGACCTGGCCAAACCGTCAACTAAATGCTCAATTCCGGCGACAGAGGCTTCAGTAAGAGTCTGCGGCTCCATGATCACCGGAGCGCTCGGGTTGGCTCGACTAGTCGAAACTGAAATATACTTGGAAGCTCTGCCCTTACGCGTAGGTCTCTTGAAGACATTGAATGTATCTTCTAAATTCTGGCTATGACGATGACGTCGTTTTGAAAACGATTTGACCAGTGAAGATTGAATGGTTATTCAACTTCGACAATTGAGCATATGAGATGTTGGTAGTTTTCTCGAGCTCTAGAAAATATCAGGACGCATTGGTCGAGAAGCTAACGCGTCCAGGCGAGGTCGGAAATTTAGCGTTAAAATTCACTTTGTTGACATCGTCGCCGTCAACATCACCTGAAAATGACCCCCTGAACGGGGCCTTTCTTTCTTCCCATCTAAGAACTTGGCTGCCTGAGAATACAATTGGGCTTCCTAATCGACACACACAAGAACCGCCGCCAATCACCAATCACCCAAGATGAGGAACTCATACGAAGATGCAGTCGAGGACCTCACCGAGCGACTGGAGCGACTTCACCTTTGGAGCCCCGAGCCACTGGAGACATTCGAACTATTTCCTCGCCTTCCAAAGGAGCTAAGACGCCTCATACTCAAGTTTGCACTCCCTGCTGCGGACCGCCTAATCACTGTTACAGCCCACTGCCGGCAGCTGATGCCGAAGAAGAATATTTACGTTTTCTTCACGATTCCATCACCAGTAAGGGGTATGCCACCACAGTCAAAGAACGTCAGGGATGTTCGATTACTCAAACTGTGCTGGGAGTCTCGGGAGGTTTATTTTGAGAATGATAGAGTGAGTGATCCCATCGGGCGGTTCCGACAAAGGTGGATAGTGGTCTCCAGAGTGTGACAGGGCACAATGTCTTCCCCTCGCTTTGAACACCACACGATCGAGGAGACTAATCCATGACTCTAGGGATGCCTACCTGGTTCTAGCAAGAATATTATCTACTTCGATCAGAAGCATACCTCTATATTCATCTAAAACTATGCTGTTCTCGGCACAAACGCCGCACTTAAACAAGCCTACCTCTGTGCATCGTGGAGACCTGAATGGTTGGAACACATACAGCGATTGGCGTTAGGACAATGCAGAGGAGGAAATTGGTTACTTTCCAAAGGAAATTCTGCCAAAACCCATCACCCTCTGTCATCGCTCCAAGCTTTCAGTAGTTTGAGAGAGTTATGGCTCGGGGTCAAAGACAACCATTCGGCGCCAATGAACCGCCCTGAGCACGCAGACCATTACAAGTGGTTCGTGGACCTTTCTCGACATTTTTTTCAACCGTATTTGAATTCTTGGGCATATTAATTTGCTCCTGAGTATGTTATGCCAAAGCCTCGCTTGATGTCGTATGGCATTGGTTCAGTAGCCTTCGCATTGTATCCTTGAATGCTCAGAATTTGACATGATACGGTGAAGGTGTATGCAAAGGCATCTCAAGGCAGGAACGACCTTTAAGACAACACAGTGGGAGCTGTGTATTCTTTTGCGTGGAAGGGTGACTGGGATGTGTTGCGATTTTGGTGTTTCACGAAGTAGAGGAATGCAAAAACTGTACCTTTAATACCTTGTTCTGAATATCTCAGAATAACACAGCGCGACAGCTATGTAATTCTTCGCACTACTACGCAACACACCATTTACTGAAAGCTAGTACTGGCTGCCTCACTGGAATTAGGTTACCACCCCATTCAGTACTCATGGATTCATGGATTCATGGATATGTGCACACGCACAAGATATAGCCTGGATGTAAACAATCCAACCGAGGCGGCCGCAAGTGGGCTGGGCTTGACGCCAAAACTTCCAGCGCACCTGCAGTGAAATGGACCTTCAACCCCGCAGCGCGCCAGCTTCTCCAACCACCAACAATGGTCTCACAAATACCCACCACCAACACCTTCCCCAAATTCTCTCTCCTGCCTACCGAGCTACGCCGTAGAATATGGGAAGAATCGCTACCCCGCCGAGTCGTGGAATTCCCACACGTTTCCATAGATTTCAGGATGGCTATGTGGGAGCGAGAAGTCTGCTTCAATCCTTTACGACCTCCTCCAAAACCCGACATGATATCCCTGACTGCCCTCGGCGCAAACTACGAATCATATAATACGTTGAACAGGTTATATAAAGAACACTTTGGTTTCGTTGAGGTAGAGGAGGAGGATTTCGAAGGATCACTCGCAGGTTATCAAAGTTCATGGCCGGATTCTGATCTTCGATGGGCGAGGCCGTATAAAGGCGTGCGATTCAATCCAAAGCTGGATACGCTATTGATCAGTACGGATACGTGCAGGGCGATAATTGAATTTGGGAAGGATGGTTTGGAACCTCTTCGATTTGTCTCCATCTATGTACCGCATGCATATGAATTACCGACCTATATCGACCTGGGGTTTCCGTCTGTTATGAGCCTCTTTCTGAATGCACCGAAGCTACAGATGATTGGCTTGGTTTTCCCAGGACAGGACTATGGGTGGGAGGACGAGCAAGACGAGATTCCTGCCGAGCATTTGAAGTCGTGCGAAATTGCACTGCGGGACTACTGGGATACATGGAGGGATACTGAGGGACGACATATTTATCCATCGGACCATGAGGGCACTTTGAAAGCTCAGAGTGATCGCAAGAGGTGGAGGAGTATTGTCGGCGTTTCTCGACCTGAATAGTTGCTTGCGTATTCAGTTGGCTACAGAAAAAGGAATTGTTTGTGAAAGATGTAAGACCACATCATCACGCAGACGGCCAAACTTTCGAAGTCGAACTCAGCCAGAAAGTTTGTATAGTCAATGTAGCGAAACTGCCCGCTTCCGAACTGACATCCAGTCTGGCTTGGAGCGTCGGGTTTGTTTACATGACCCCTCCAACCGCGGGTTTCTGTTTTCGGACTAGCGTCTCATTCCCCGCGCTCAGCCTCGCCCACCTTGAGCCTCATTTCAGCATAAAGGGGAACATTCAGAAGCACCAAAAGAGCTCGCAGCATTATCCTGAACGGCTGACCATGGAACCAGCAACATCCTTCCATTCCTTTAAAAACCTCCCCAACGAGATCAAGCATCAGATCTGGACTTACACATATGAACAAGAAGCTCGGGATAATGCCCGCATACAGCGAATCGCAAAGGATCCTCTTCACGAGGTGAAGTCCCTCTCGAAACCACTCGAGCTGCGAATCGTCGCCCAAAAACGATATCGAGTCCCTTCCCTCCTACACGCCTGCCGCGATGCCAGAACAGTGGCCTTGAATTACTGGTCTCTGTGGCATTGCGCGGAACCTCTGACCTTTCACGATGATGGCACATCCATCTATGTCAGCAAGGAGCACGACACATTCTACTTCGCAGACGGCGCTCCTAAGGACTTCTGGATGCTGAGCAGCTTCGTCGGTTACACGCAGGATATAGCTGACTTGGGGGAAGACGATCCAAAGAACGTCGAGAGAATCTGGCGGGAATGGGCGCAGGACATAAACCATTTTGCGGTGGACTGGTGGTGCTGGTTAGTAGCTACGACATCGTGTGACTGGACCTGGATGGGTGGACTTGGATTGAGCGAGGAAGGAGACCTGACAATCGTAATCAAGAACCCGAACGATCCAGGACATATACCCGAGTTCTCTCCATATATCGAGACGAGGCTGAAAGAAGTCACACTGGGCACGGTCAGAGCGAAGGCTGTCGATACTATCCTGACGCATATTAAGTACAAGGAGATTAAGGAGGAGTTCCCGTTTGATACACAGACAGTCAAATTGAAGAAGCCGGCGGACGAGGATAATTGCTGTGTACCAGCGTTAAAGGCACTGGCTGTGGTGGGTCCGAATGACGACGAAAATTCTAAAGAAGATGAAGAGTACCTGGAGGCTGTGAAACTTCAAGCCAGATTCCACAGAGTGAGTCACGATATCCGGAACTTGCATCATGAACGGCGGACGTTGGCACGGGAGATCAAGAAAATGGAGATAAGATTGCCGACGACTATATAGTTTGTTGAGCGGCCACATCATGCTACGTGGACTTCCGTTACGTAGTACTTTATACCCCACAGTTGGGAAAAATTTACAGTGAGGGAGTATGCGAGGGAGTTGTGCCAGGCAATGTGTTGGCTAGCCTTCTGATTATGAGTGGAGAGCATATGAGCGATGATTTGATAATGCCTTAGCAATGCAAACAGCCAGCATACGAGCATGCAAGATCTTTAAAAAGCAGCAAAATGATCCTTCATATAGCCCTAGCGAGTTTTGCAAAAGCATTTCACGTTCCAAAGCCCCATTCGTGACTCATTTGATGACTTGATGACTCGCTTGTGCTTCACAGCCCACCTCGATATCATTGGCCAATTCTTACGACACTTCACAATGACCCCAACATGAGCTTATAAGAAGCTCCTCTCTCCCTTTAAATTTTATTCGACCGTACATGGCCAATGTAGCCATAAAATCACCAAAAAATGAAGAAACCTCAACCTCAAGAATGCAGAAAGCATCAATAGGTTTTCATAAAATTGCACCATCTAACGCCATGAATGATCTCACAGACACTTTCGCGAAGGCGAACATGTCCTCATCCTCCACACGAGAAGATTCTCCTGAGAATTTAGACACGCATGAAGATGAGCCTCTGAAAACTTTCCATCCATTTCCTCAACTACCAACAGAACGTAAGTACTTAACTCCTATTTCAACAGGACCATAAAGCATCCTCAGATCCAAACAAACTTATACTTACAATGAAATCCAGTCCGTATTCAGATCTGGACCCTCGCCCTCCCATCCGACAAACGACTCTACACACTCTCAATCTCAATTCCAGCCTCCTCTGCTCTTCTCCCAACACCAACCTTCCTCATCCACCACGCAGCTTCAAATCATAGTTCAAAAAAACCAACAATTTCCCTCACCCGTTCAACAGCCCTGCTCCTCACCAACCATGAATCCCGCAGTATCTACCTCTCCCACCATCCTTCATTCATCCCCACCACTCATCAAGCAAAACTCCATTTCTCCCCTACCCAAACAATTTTCCACATAACCAACTACAAGACCCTCCAACGCAACGTGGCGTTTGCCCAATCCATCAAATCAAACACGGCCAACTTCCACCACCTAAAGACCCTGTTATCAGGAATCCACTTCCTCGCCACAACAAAAGATTCTTTCTATCCAAGTGTAGAGCGAGGTGCTTGGTGGGGAGGGAGCGGAGGAGGTCCATCAGTACGTTATTCGTCTTCCACTATAAACTCAAATTCCCTCTTCCCAGGACATGCAGTAGAGCCCAAGTAAAACAAAACAAACCAAACTCAAGAGAACTGACTTACCTTTTCCCTTAGATCCGTATCTTTCCCAACCTCGAGACGTGGTATTGCGTGCTGGGAGAAGGCGGGAGTAGGGCAGCGGCTGAAGAGGAGACGAGGAGGACAAGGGGACGGCTGGAGGGCTTTGGGAGGAGGTTTGATAGTGAGTGGAATGTGCCGGGGATTGAGTTGTTGGAGCTGTGAAGGACGTTGGTGGAGGCTTGGGAGGTCGTTGTGGATGAGAAAGGCTTGCAAAATGTAGAGTATTCGGCTTCTGAACCGAGTTATCTTGTAGCGATATGCAAGACTGTAACCAAATGAAACAGGAGGAAAATTGCTTTGGCAACGCTCAGAAGTCAGCGAGAAACGAAAATTGAGAAAATTGCAATCGACAATCATTTTTCGATTCATCCAGAGCGGGTCGAGCTGCCTCCCTATCACAAATAAACCCAATCCAACACGCCCGCCCCATGTATACAACATAGACAATTATCCTGCCCATTATCAAAAACAATAATACTCCACGCCACCCTCAGAACCCACAAAGTCGTTGATCTGGACGAATAATAAAACCCCAGTGAATGCACAGACGCCAAAATGATAGTCAAACAATGCCGTGGCTCTCATCAATCGCTGCTGCGGACCTTGGTGGATTTTTTCGCCGTTCCGATATGTGTGTTGTGTACCTAAAGCGTGTCAGAGGATAGGTTCTAGACTGGGGTGAGAAGAAGCATACTTTCGTCGCAAATTTCAGACTCGTCAGAGTCTCACTTAGATGGGCTTCCAAAGGACTAGCCATCACAAACATAAGTGTCTTAGAGTTACCACCCAACGAGTATTGGAGTAGGTAAGTCAACTGAAGGAGTCAGCACTATTCAATTGCATGAGTGATTAATGCTTACCTTTGAGTTTCTGTATGGAATATGGCCACCTTCCTTGCCCTGACCCAATGCTCCGATAACATCCCCAAGGCAACTCAAACTCTTGTTGATGTTCTGGGTCTCCTTCATTCTATCTCCTTCTGCGCCGGATTGCTTCAGTCTCTCGGAACCAGCCAAGTCGACAAGATTGAGCGTGCCTTCAGAGGTCTCGTTCGTAGTGCTGTTCCGCCCAACAAGCTTTAGAATGAAGACTGAGTGAGATCTCGAAGATCTCTCGTTGGACTTGGTAGCGGCAACACTTCTGTTGTTGGCAGCCTGCTTCAGCATCGACTCGACCGTATCCGCAGAGTCTAATGGCACAGTCTTAAGTCCAGTAATGGTGGTTTGCTTTCTCTGCTCATCGTGTCGGATCTCATGCTTCTTCTTGTCAAAATCCTTCGAGCAGCTAAGAAGATCGTGGATCTCCTCGTTGTAAACTTCCACAAAGCTCCCTTCCATGGTGTACGTCCACCCCTTCTCCTTGAGATTCGTTGCAGTCTCGTATATTTGATGAGTTGCCCGAGGAATCATGCCGTCGGCAGATGACATCGTGTGTGTTTTCCCAGACCCAGTCTGGCCATAACAGAATATGCAGACATTATATCCATCGAGGGCGCTCTGGACAAGCTGTGAGATTTCTTCGAAGACTTCTTGGTTCTGGCTGTCAGGTCCAAAGACTCTGTCAAAGGAAAATGAGTGATTTTTCCGGGTAATCGTTCCCAAGCTGCTCTTCTCTTCCTTCCCTTGAATCTCGAGCTCCTTTGATTCCTTGTCCAGGTCAGGATACGTTAACTTCGCAACTGGTCCTTCATCCACGTTGTTACTGAAGACCGGCCGCACTCTGCACATAACCCGAATATTGCCTTTGAGCTCCTGAACCTGATTGAAAAGTATACGGCGCAGAGACTCTTCTTTAATCAGCTTCCGCTTTGACTCCTCAGCAGAATCTAATGCCTCTTGCAACCTTCTCTCCATCTCAACGAAACTGTCGGACTGCGCCTTGGATCCAGATTCTAGGAAATGTATCCGGGCACGAAGACTTGCAACAGTACTTTCAAGCGTGTGGATAGTCGAGGCCGATTCGACTCCAGTCTTTTGAAGAGTCTCTCTCATCGTGGCAATCTCGCTCTGTGCATTTGCCTTTAGTGTTTGCTCTCGATCGAGGTCCCCTTTAACATCCTCCAGCTCACCCCTCATATTCTGGATTTCGCGGTCTTTCTTTTGCAATTCCAGATCCAGATTGACACTTTCAGATGCGATTCGAGACTCCAATTCTTGAACTTCGCGCAGCCTCCGACTGCGTTCTTCTTCGAGAGTTGCATTGTTACGTCGCTCAAGGTCCCGGATTCTGTCCTCCAATTCTACAGTGGCTTGACGCTCCATTTCCCGCAGTTCATCTCTGTGCTTTCGAAGCAATCGGTCCATCTCGTCTGTGTTGTCTCGCTTCATCTGGTCAATTCCGATCCGATTCTCCCTTTTCGCGTCATCCAGCTCAATTCGGTGTGTTCGCATCTGCTCATCGAGTCCGGCATTTGCTGTCATTAGATTTTGTTGAAGGGTCTCTACCTTCAATTTCATCTTATTCAAGTCTGATTGTAATATCATGTTTGCAGAGGAGAGTTGTGTTCTCAAACCATCTAGCTCGTTGACTTGCAAACGAAATAAGTATATGTCATGATCAAAGCTAATTTGGGCACTCACTTCGTTCCTTGTAGAGAGCAATAGCTTCTTCAAGGACACTCCGCTCTAGGCTGGTGTTCGTAACCTTGTTCTGCATCTCCGAGAACATTCCCTCCATGCGCTCAATACGCACATCGACGTCCCATGCTGTAAACCCAGACACGTTAGAATCTTTTGTCAAAAATGGGGTCTTTTGGGGAGAAGGTCTGGGGGTTCTGCGGGGGGTAATTGGTGCTTCCATTGATGCCTCCGCCTTGGAAAGCACCGGAATATGAGAAGGCAACTTTTGCGCAGCTGATTCTCCAGGAGGCTCAAAGAGCACCAGAGCAGTCTCAGCGCTGTCAATTCTCAACCCACGCAAGCCTGAACTAATGGAAGACTTATGAGATAGGAGGGATTGTGGCGGCCTCATTCTGATCGAGCTCGCTTGACACTCATGCTGTTGCTTGGATTTGACTTCTCCGTCTAGTCGTAGCCTGCTCATGGCAGTAGTGACGGAGACATCCCTCATGTTGGCAGCGGAATGTTGGGCTCTCAATGATTGCATTGATTGAGGAGCACGCAATTTCTTGCTTCGAAGACTTTGGTATCCGTCGGATGACTGTATGGGAGTAGGGATAGAAATCAAAGGCTCCATACCCTTGCGCCTTCCTTGTGATGGTAGATCATCATCCGACGAATGTGTGTCCATGGATGTTGCTGGTCTAGGTAGAGCAGTCGATCTTGTTGTCGTTGACTGGCTTAACTGCGATCTGCCGCCGTAGGATGATTTTGGCCGTCCATTGGGGCCAACACTGCTGGAAAAACTGCTATTCGATGTATTTCGGGACGATACTGATGGAGCTCGTGAACTGGCGGAGGATGTAAACGAGGGGTTTCGACTGTGCATAGATTTCTGCGACCGAGTTAGCCCTGGTATCCATCCCTTTTGGTCATCGGTCACAGTTTGTGGTTGCTTCAATCGAGAGCTTGTTGATTGGATTCGAGGTGCTGGTAGCCATTCTGCACTTGGCTTGCGCCAGGAAGCATATTTCGAAAAGCTTGGGGTCCGCTTTTCCTCCATCGTGTCTGTATATTGTGCTGCATTGAAAATATCTTCTCATGTCACTTACTCCTGCACCAACAAGTGATGTTCCCTTCACAGCAGGTCTCGCGCTCGTCGTGGGAGCTGCGATGGACCTTGACCCAACCTCTCCTGCTCTTTCCGCCAATGTCTTTCGCTTTGGTTCTGGTTCGTTATCTGGTATATCCGTCAGTCCAACCATTTGCCAGCTTCACCTCCAGCTTTAACTAACATGTTCCTCCCAGTTTATGCTTCAAAGACGACGGAGGGGGCATTTTCGAGATCATCCTTGATCGCGCATTGTTTTGCGATTCAGAGATCTCTGCCAGACCCATTTTCGGCGGAGAGGGGATTCGACTTCCAGGAGGCTTGAGTTGAGAAGGGCGATACTGTAAAAATATATAGTCAGTAGCCAATTGGGGAGGCTAAGTCAGGAAGTTGGTATCGCGACGCACGGAATTCTCCTCTTCGGTATAGTCCATCTCGAATCGTGGCAACTGTAACCTCCTTTATTGAATAGGCGAGCGCATAAGCATTGGAATCTTCTATGAGTAACAAGCAATGTCAAGACGCGTGGTTATGGATAGATACTGAGGTGTGGGTTGGAACTTGGACGTCGGCGAGAATATTGAACGACTTGTTGACTTCAAATTCAAGTTGTTTACAATTGTCACGTGGGACTGAGGTCCGGGGCAACGGCGTGGACCCACTCCTTTAGTGCCAGCCGATGTCGACGGGAACAGGAGAGCTGAGTCTTGGCGACACGAGGAGAAAGGAGAGAGATATCCCATCGTGATGTACCAACTTCACCGATACACATGTAAACACTGTCTCCAGCTCAGTGTATGTTATGATCAGCCTGTTTCTTATGTTCTCCTTTTTCTTCTCTGTCTCTCTTTTGTACCAATCGATACTTCGCTGATATGGCTGTGGAGCGGCTCCTCAACCCATCTCGAATACTTATCACTCTGTCCTCGCAAGAGTCTACATACATCCATTGTCGAGAACTTCAAGTTGTGGTTAAGACGCAGGTATATTAGGACGAGATCGGAATTTTGGAGACTCGGTAAGTTCTGTTGAATCTCAGGGAGCATCTCGCCCCTCCGATTGTCAATCTCTCAGAGCTTTCTACTAGCTTTTGCTTGTTCGAGACGGGGTTCTTTTTGAGAAGATTGATTAATTGAACATAGAACAGCACATGGACAATTGATAGCGTGTATTCAGAGCCGTCACCGGATTTTGCTGATACTCGCAGCGTTTCAGATGGTCTTGGGTATCTGTCCCATCCACCTCACGAAAACTTTGAGAGCGCGTCGTTCACATTTCAGGCAGAACGAAGATCTTCCTTTCCACCAATCGGTGGCTGCAATTGGGGGGGATCACTTCCTTGATTTTTGATCCTGCGGACACCCCAGAGTGCTTTCACTCCTAGCAGATCATCCGAAGCGTCGACGACTCCAAGCTTTGCGACAACTATTTACAGCTCGAGCTACCATCAATCTCAACCACAAGCCATCCATAGCCCCGGTCATATGTCCCGATCAAGTCCTCGGCGTAGTATTTTATCCAAAAATCCCTTTCGATCTTGTTCCTTCAGGTGCTATCAACTGCTGCATGACAAAGTGCCAAGTCAAATCATCCATTACTCATACACGCTACCAAAATATCAGAAGAAAACCACCCAGCCCCGCTTCTGTTGCACGGCAGGATCGCATACTACGGCCTCCAATGTCGGATCAGTCCAATCGGATCACGATCTATATATGTCAACTGGACGCCACAATATAGACGAACCGTTTCGGGCCGGGAAGATCCTCCGAAATGCGCTGCAGATTTCTCGCCCTCGTGAGATTTGCGTGACTTTTGCCGGATGCGATGCTTTCGAAATGTAGCTGGCTGTGAAGAGATTCAATGACAGGGCGTGAACGAGGTGATTTGGAAGCTTCGGCCGAAATTGTGCTTGCATTTCAGTTTCCGTTGTGTAGGTCCTTCTCGCTACAACTTCCTTGGGTCTTCTTTGCGTGAGTGTTCTTCTAAGCCTCCACATTTCACTTGGCGTCTAAATCTCTTGAATTCAAACGCAAGCTCACTAATTGCTAAGCCAAACCCCTGAGCGAGCATGTCTTCGCATTCGCGTAGCTCATTCAAGGGCCGTCTCCCTACTTCTCGATCACCGGACTTAAACACTTGGCAACCAAGAAATCAATCCTGCCTCCTTCGCCTTACCAGAATTCAAAGTGCTAGGGTATTCGCACTAATCACGTAAGTTGCATGAGAATTCTTGGATTGCGCTATGGCTATGGGAAGCGATTCCCCTACTCAATGAAGTATTAACTGAAGGCTGGGCGGGGAACAAGCGAGAACTGTCATTACATTTCACATGAGACAATACGTGACAAGAATGAAATTTTTCTGGATACAAAAGTATATTGTAAGTAGTTTCCTACATAATGAATCAAGTTTGATGTGTTTTCAATGCATAGTTGTTGGGTACTGTATAGTTGTTAGGTACTGATACACCCCACCCCCCTGTATGGGTAAACTTCAACTAGTTATATATCCTTAAGCCCTCCTACTAGCGGATTATCCTTCTTCCATTTGAACAACACTAAAAATACTCTGTTTGTAAATATCCGCTGCGCTCGGTATCCAAGACTCTAGCTATCTTTTTGTGAGATTCGTGTCCACCGCGCAAGGGACTCACAGCCCTCCGCAAGCTCTAGGGCTCGGGCATAGCGCCCTTTCTTGATAAATTTGAGTTGAATTGAACATCTTTGAGGTTCACAATGAAACGGCTTAGTGGATGCACGGGGGGGGGGGGGCGTATCGTTTTTAGGGGGGTGTATAATTACCCTAGTTGTTGTGTTATCATGATTTTTATTAGTATATGTTTTTAGCCCGGCCCACAAAGATCATTTCACCGGGTACCACGCTGACATGCATTATTTCACCCTGTAGGAATTCTCCGTATTTTGATTGTGGAGTGGGCAATTTCACCATGGACACAGGCAGCTACTTAGAGACCCTTTCCCCTTCGTCCCCTTCCTCTCCGCGTTCCACCTTGCATTCCTTGCAGGTCTGCTCGAGTGTCTTGCTTAATTGTCATTTTCATAATGCAGTTTCGTTACTTTCTCACGGCGTTGTTCATCTCGTTCAATCTCGTGACTGCAACCCCACGGTCTTCCAATGTCCCAGATGAGGTAGACAAACTCGCTGCCAAAGGACTTATCAATCTTGAGAAGTATCAGGCCAAAAGACATAGCAAGTGTACTGTCAGGAATGCTGCCAAGCGAAAGGAATGGTAAGCTCTTGAGCTCGCTTCCAATTTCTTCAGACTAACTAACCTATCGTAGGGGTGACCTCTCCTCAAGAGAAAAGAAGAAATACATTTCCGCAGTCCTTTGTCTTCAGTCTAAACCATCAAGGACTCCCCGCTCGGTTGCACCCGGTGCACGCTCAAGGCAAGTCGCTCTGCATCGATGTTTGATTTCCTTCAGACCTCGAGACCCCCTATGCTGACACCTTAATCTTAGATATGACGATTTTGTACTAGTACACATCAATCAAACATTGACAATTCACGCCACAGTATGTTCATAACCTCTTCACTCGTACCGTTCATTGAGCTAATAAACAAAGGGTAACTTCCTCTCTTGGCACAGATACTTTGTCTGGGCATATGAAACCGCTCTGCGTGATGAGTGCGGTTACAAAGGTTATCAGCCATACTGGAATTGGGGCCGCTACTCGAGGTTTGCCTCCAAAATCTCATGCGATTCGTAGATGCTGATCCAAAGCCAGCGATCCCATCAATTCTCCGCTGTTCGATGGAAGCGATACAAGTTTATCTGGCAATGGTCTCTACTACAACCATACTGGCGTTCTTATCGCTGGAGCCCCTCCACCATTTGATGTGATCCCCCCTGCAGTTGGAGGAGGTTGTATTACCACTGGTCCATTTAAGAAGTTAGTCACTATTCCACTGAATATCTTCCAATGTATGACTAACAATCCCAGCATGAGCGTCAACCTCGGTCCCCTCTTTCCATCCATCTCAGGTGTCCCACCCAACCCTCAGAAAGACGGCCTTGGATATAACCCACGCTGTCTTCGCCGAGACATCAATCCCCACGCAGCAGCCGTGACAGCAACCAACTACACCTACGCACTCATCACCGATCCTCTGCACTCTGACATCTACTGGTTCCAAACTGTCATGCAGGGACAATTTCCAGAGGGCAAGTGGGGTGTGCACACAGGTGGTCACCACACTATAGGAGGTGATCCTGCCGGGGTAAGAACATTCCCACTTATGTTAGAGTCCGTATCAAGTCTACCGCGACCAAAGTATCTGACACATTTCTGTTCTAGGATTTCTTCACATCTCCAAATGAGCCAGCTTTCTTCGTCCATCACGGCATGATTGATCGTGTCTGGTGGATATGGCAAACGCAGGACCTCGCAGCTCGTCTGAAGGCTGTGTCTGGGACAATTACTTTGTTCAATCAGCCGCCTTCTCGAAATGTGACGTTGGACGATGATGTTGACTTGGGCATCGTAGCACCGACTGTGAAGCTGGGGAGTTTATTGGATACTATGGGTGGGTTGGGTGGTGAGTTCTGTTACGTTTATGTTTAAACATAAGGGGCCGAGTGCTGGATATACCTGCTACTAATGCAAAGACTCTGGGGTATCGAAAATGGGTGTTTCTTTACTCTATGAGCTCACCAATTATGTATCATGTACTGGCCTACAACCACCGCAGTTGCATAGCCGTCTCGCGTCTCGACTCGGAGACAGCATTCCGACCTGATCTAGGCCCAAAACCGATATCCTTCCTCACCCACTCCTTACCTTGCCGGTAAATTCTCATCCATCCACTTCCTCGAAGCCTTCTACACACAAGATCAGCATCGTATTCACTCCACTCTCGCCAGCATCCAAAACCTCCACTTACCCAACTCTTACACTCATGTTTCATCCCGACCCCACTAATATGCGGTGCTTCCCCGTCCCTCTCATCTGCTGCTCCCTCAATCGACATATCACCTGCACACATGATACCCTGACGGATATAATCAAAACAGTGGTTCACATGTCCCATTTCTTCTTCGAGGCCGTCATTCTCGGCCATTCTGAGGGTACGGTCGCCGCGGAGGGCTTGCCAGTAGAGGGTGCGGATCATCATCTGGATAAGGGGTCAATTCTGGATTAGTGGACTGGTAAAGGGGTGCTCACCAGGCAGTGAATTTGGTGATACATGCTCACGCCATAGTTCTGCACGTTGTGTGGCATGTGGGGATTTGAGACACCGTTTGCTAGTCCGTATTGAGATGGGTTCTTGATTGATACGAATCCCATGCCGGCTATGGAAGTTTGATCAGTATCCGCTCGCAGTTGATTGGACTTTTGACAGGTCAAGCCTTGAGTGGTATTGACTTACAACCAAGCAAATCCATCCACATCACATTGTTTTCAATTGTTGGAGCAGCACTGTAATCGGAATAATTACCAAACACTACTTCTTCTGTCGGTACTGCAGCAGGATCACCGATCAGCGTTTTGTCTATGATCAGAAACGAGGTGTACGAACTTTGGGGAACCGGGCTGTTTCGCCCATTCGATTTCGGCTTGAACGCAGCCTGAGCTGTCAATGAGGCGGCAAGAAAGAACACTAGCACGATAATCGCGATCACAATGGGTTTTGTACGCTTCCAGCTTCCATTTTCTAGGCGGTGTGGTTGTTTGTCATTGACTGCCGTGTAAATCTCAACATCCGAGAACGTTTCCTCACCCTGCTCCTCAAGTGCATCCTTCCTCACACCAACTGGAAAGTATCGCGTGGCCATCTCAGCAAGCTATGTGACCAAAATACTGCCGATATCGTTGTCGTACAGCTGCTCATCTGTTTCTCCACATCATCTGTCTTTCGTTACACCAATTCTAGGTGCTGATGCAGCATCTCCGATCATGCGATGCGTGAGATCAACTAATGCTCACTCAGAACCATATCGGTTTCATCTCAGAGAGTTCTCTGGGAATATAAGCATTATGTCGTGCAGGGTTCTCGGTAGTTGCACCAGGCCCCATCCTTGGCTGAGCACCTCCTCCATTGGGTCACCTGCCGCTTTGGGACAGCTTCCCCGGTCGCCCCATGATGCTTATCTTTCCACTGCGGATCGCTCCAATAAGTCAGCGAGTCAGTGGTATGCGATTGAAAAGATCTGGCGGCTTTACCCTGGTAACAGTGACTTTACACCGTTTGTTGATGTGAAGCGAAGATGTGTGTTGTTTTGTGGTGATGCTCTTCTAATATTGCTAAGCGACGAATTGAGAATACTCACGTTGCTGCACAGGGAGTAAGCGCTGCGACGATGAACAAATCGATTTACTAGATCTCACTCATCATGCATTATGGTTTGGTCTCTCTTGTCATGTCATTCGCGATCGTTGTTGAGCAAGAGTCAAGTGACTGACATGAATTCTGCCTGCAATGTCCCTTTCGTCGACGCAAGTTAGTTCATTTTCGTCCCTGGATACCTCGCAGCTCCTCTCGAGAATCAACAATTGCTTGAAAAAAATCTGAAAATAATTATGGCATACAAAAAAAGGTCTTGGTACACACCAAAAAACACAACCCACCAAATCCTCTTCATCTTCCTTATCGCCAGCGCCATCTCTGGCCTTTTCATGGCCATCTTCCACCAACAAATCCATACAAGCATCAACGAAATCTGCCATAAAATCTCAGAATCTTCTGAAAACATAATCACAACATCCTTCAAAGCCAATTCTACCTACCAGAGCCTCGATCCCAAGCAAGACGACCAATGGAATCAGCTTGTGACGCCTAACGGCGGCTTTATTCTAGAGAAGACAGGAGAGGATTCGCATGTATACGGAGTAGGGATGTTCCACCAACTTCATTGCTTGCAGATAATCAGAAATCATATGCAAGAATTGTATTCGAAGCTAGATGCGAAGAATCGAGGAGGGACGAAGAGGGGTGTAATTCATGGGCATCATCTTGATCTAGGGCATACGCTGCATTGTATGGATTATTTCCGACAGGTAGATTACCCACTATTCTCTACATACATGATTGTAACTGCGAAGAATCCGCTAACGGATGTTCAGGTCTTTCTATGTTTTGCAGATGGCTCCCTAGAACCTTCGATCGTGTCTTCCGAAGGTGGTTTACCAACGACAAGTGGAATGGTACCGCATCAATGTAAAGATCCCTCGCCGTTATATGAAAGGTCTCTGGCATCACATAAGTCAAGAATGCATTCTAAAATTGGGTCTGGGTGGGATAGTGTACATGGCCATGATCATTGAATGATGTGAACCTGTAGTCGAGCATGACTCTACTAGCATTCTGTGGTCTTTTCCCTGTAACCATTAGAATAGTATATTGATGCCCGCGGCTCCTCTCAATGAAGGAAAACAAACTTTGTTTTATTCAATTGTTTAACATACATTGGATCTTCCTCATAAAGTTCTATCTAACTCTCCCCAAAAGCACTGGTGGGTTGCCTTGGAGCTTATCAGTCGACAACCTTTATCAATCAAGCCGAATGGAACTCTTACTTTTGCTCATTTCATACTTGATGTCGTACCTAAGCTGTAAATCTACTTATGGATCTGCGACGTGTATTGTCCTGATACCCATGGACCAATTACAGGGTGACCTCGCTAAATTCAGCCGGCTGTGTTTTGGCTCTCAGGCTGCTCCCAGGCTTCCTGTCGCTGAGTTCACTGGGCTTGTCGCTTCGGCACAGAGGTCGACTGCAATAGCAAAGAACAGAATATCACTTCACAGGTTTGCAGCAGAGACGTAAAGAACAGAGGCTAGAACTACAACAAGCAGATTGATTTTCCTGCGTTCATCTATTAACTACTCGTGCTATTTAATGGTCCAAGAAGTTATTTGCTTGCTTATCGATTGGTATCGTTGAAAGGGTTTATTCATGTTTTGGATACGGGAATCCTGCACCCGCTGTTAGCTTCAATTCTCTGCATTAACACGGAACTCAGAGACCTACCAAATTTAGGATGCTGCAAGTATTTCGGATCAAATATATCAATCGCCCTTTGTTTTGACCAGTTATCAATCGTCTCCCAATTAACACATTCATGCTGAATCCCAAAATTTGGCCATGGGCCGGGGAAATCAGGAAGCCATTCGTAGGTCATGAGTGCCGTGTCGGCTTTGCACATAATCACTTGGCGAAGCATTTCGATACAGTGGTCTGGGACTGTCAGCTCTTCAAGTAATTAATTAGAGGGTATTGAATACTTACTGACGTGGTCCTTCACTGGCACATTTGTGTCTCGTACAGTGTAGTAATCCTGGTGAACGTATTGCCGGATGTATTTCTAGCAGGTGGGGTTAGGAAAACCTCTTTCAACATCCGGGATTCGAGAGGGCTCACCAAGCAATGAAGCTGATGATAGACATCTAGTGGGGAATATTATCAATTGTTTTGTCTCGCATGACTAGATGCTAACTCACCAAGTGTACCGAAGTAGTCTCCCGTCCCATCGATCAACCGCAGGGACGGCCTCCCAAGCCGGTCAACCTCGTCCTTTGTGATTCGGATGTTTGCATCTGTTCCTACATAAGTATTGGAAACTTAAATATCCTTTAGTAATAACATACATCGAAATAGTGAAGCCCATGCGTCATCTACTTCTGGTGATGGCTCTGCGTTGAACATGTTGGAAGTCTGGTTGATTTTGACACTCAAGACCTTGGCCTCCCTCACAATGGCGTCTTGAGCAGGAGCTACGTGAGCCCATGTTAGTACATCTCCTCTCATTATGTTGAAGAAAGACATACTGTAGATCAGGGGGAGACATTCATTTGATTGTCGTGAAAGATGAATGATCAAGAAACAAACGACGGAATATGCAAGGACAAGCAAAACATGTATCATGACGGGATTACTCTGCAAGTAACCTCGAAACTTATGATACAGTGTGCTGTGTTCGTCATTTTCATGTTCGTTTCGAAATTGTCCCAAAATCCATTGCATCGCAACGTTTCGCGAGCATGTTTTCGATATTGAGTTCTGCGAGGACTCGAAGCTGGCGAGAAGCTTCTCCTCATCCTCGATCTCGTCTGTATCAGAATTTGGAGCAGAGGCCAACATGCTGTAGATGGGCATGATTTTTCACAAGAAGATTCTGACGGGTTGGAGTGCACAGCTTGTCGATTAGGGAGACTCCGTGACAGAACTTTGAGAGTTGGGAGTCAAGATCGACTGGAGATGATCGTCAATGGTCTCAGACTCTGACTAGCTAGTGTTCTAGATCTCTTGTAGCACCATGTAGATAGCTCTTTGTACCTAATCGTGCAAGCGATGAGCATATTACCAGACATAGAGCATGAGTAATGCTATGGTAATGACAGTCAGCATGAGAATATCGCTTACGGGACAGATGTTGAGCAATTCCCACCTGCACATCCCGCCATAGAATAATCTTAGAGGAGCCCGAGGCCGGTCTTTTTGTACTGCATTATATTTACATGACGACTCCCTCAGAACTTATCTGTACCAAAAACATTGAACCCAAGAGAACCAGCTCCTCAGCACATACTCCAGCAAACACTTCTCCACAATGCGTTGTCAACTCCTCCTCGCAGCCGTTATTGGCTCAACTCTTGCTCTCCCCATTACAGGTGAATGTCTAAAACCAAAATCGTGGTCAAATAATTGCTCATCTATGTAAAAGATTCGAACGCCGCGAGTATTGCCGATCGTGCAGAGTCTGTTGGAGACACAGCACTTGGGAATTATTACGAGAAGATCGCCGTCTCAGCCGCTGAGAAACGCGAAAAGTCTCATGAGAAAACCGGCAATGAACGCGCTCGATTGACAAGCTTGCCAGCCGGAAAGAGAGAGGAGCTAGCTGAGGATGCAGCACTTGGAGGCTACACTGGGCGACTTGCTGTCTCGGCCACTGGGAAACGCGCCCAGTCTCATGAGAGCGCTGGCAACGAACGTATTCGAATGACAAGCTCGCCAACTGGAAAGAGGTGGGAGTCTGTCGGAGATGTAGCAATTGGGGACTACTACGAGCGAAATGCAGTCTCAGCTGCTGAAAAACGCGCTGACTCTCATGAAAGCACTGGCAGTGAGCGTGGTCGATACACGAGCTCGCCGACCGGAAAGAGGGAGGAGTCAGTCGGTGATGTTGTACTCGGAAACCACTTCGAGAACCAGCGACTCTCTGACTTCAATGAGAAGAGGGACGAGTCAGGTGGAGATGTAGCACTTGGAGACTACTATGAAAGTCAGAGACTGTCTGACTCCAAGTAGAGCTAATTGAAAGACCCATGGTAAGTTCCGACCTCACCATCGGGCGCCTAGTATGCTTTCGTGGGTTGAAATGGTCTGACGCTGTGAGAACTACAGGATTTCGGAAAATCGCTTTTTCCGGACCTTTGAGGCTACTCCGCGTGGTTTCTTAGGTGGGATGTGGAGTCTTCACGGAGAGGTTTCTGAATGGTAGCTAGTTTTTGTGTCTACTCAATAATGATTGATTTGCGGATAGTCACAGAAAGCTTAGTCCAACTTGTAATGTTCCTTTTTATAGGAAAAGAAATAATCATTAAAAGCATGAAATGTGGACCATCCGACTGCATCATTCCATTCGCATCTCCGAATATATTTGTCCACACTGAAAGTCACTTTTACATTTTCTACAGAGATGCGGTGGAGGAACTCTGGTCATTCGCTATCAAGAAACTTTGTACTCGGTATATACTGCCTTAATCAAAGCTACCACCTGTTGTAGTGGCGGTGAGGTGTGTACTACCGCGGAAAGAAGCAAGTGATGCTGCAGTGTAATGGAGCTTGCAAGGTAGCTGGGGCTGAAGTGAATGAACATATCTTTCCAGGAAGAGATCAACGCGAAATTTGATTTAACCTCGATTCCAGTTTATAACTAGAGGTTAGAATGCTATTTTGAAACCCGTCAACGCGTGGGGAAAATTCTACCTCTCTTTTTTTGACCTTGAGGTTTAACCCCCACAGTTGTTAAGCGAGTTTGCCTGAGAATCAAAACAAATGATTTCTCCGACAACACGCTTCTGTACGACCTGTCAACGGCAGCTAACATATACCAAGCCAATAGATTGCAAATTTTGTGCCATAATCTGCAGTGTTCCAGACTTGAAAGCATGATGTGGCGAATCTTGATCCGTATCTTGCTACCCCACCTGCCCGACATCCAACTACATCTACGTCCACTTGAGTCCACATAATGACATACTGTGGCCAGCCGAAATTCTCGCAGATGATAGTAAACAGATCTCACACTATGAAGTCTGATTTGTTACTATTGGACGTTATGTAATACCGTTCTTCCACTGTCACTAACCGTTGACTTTGGTTGGCAAACTGGCCTTGAGGAGCACGCCATATTCATCGGCCTCTCATCAATCACATGCGCCTTAAGCTACTAATCTCACCGCTACTGATCGTAGTTTATGGATCTAGATTTGAAGTGCGACAGGTAGTTTGATCTCCTTCACTTCTCTCCTCGATAACCGCAGTGAGGGCCAAAGCTTCGTTGGATTGGTGTGGAGGATCTGGAATTGTGAGGATTTCTTTTTCGTCTTCCTAATCTATATCAATTCTGTCACAACCAAAGAGATCGCTTCTTCATTTATTATTGACTGGATCACGGGCCGATCACACATTTCTCAAATAAGCCGCCTCTGAGCAAAATGGAGCGCAGGAAACTGCAAAATAGAGAAGCCCAGCGACGATATCGCGAAAATATTAAGCGAAAGCTCAAGATTGCAGAAAGACAGCTGGAAGACAGGGGATCTCTGGCGAATGTACCCCAACAATTCGCTACCAATTGTGTGAATGAAGTGAACCTGCCTTCCGAAGCCCAGAACGGAATTGAAGCTTTGCATTGCGCTTCCCCAATTTTTGATTTTGGTACGTACGACCATTTGATTCTCAGATACGCCAGCATCACTTACTGATCATCATCTTCAGATTGGATGACCCTGAGGCCCCAGTGTCATATACAGGATAGTGATGAATTAGCCTCACCACCAGAGAGCTCTTCGGTAAGAATGCAGCTTACGAGGTGCTGCTCTTCAATTAATTGACTTTCAATCAGATTTACTCTCCAGCTCGTACCAGTGCAGGATCGACTCTCATACATGTTGCTGCTTGGAAGGGCTATCATGCAATTGTTCGCATCCTGTCAAATTCTGGAGTCGACGTGGCCTGCAAAGATTATGCAGGCCAGACCCCGTTACATCTGGCAGCGGCCCATGGACATACCAACACCATCAAAGCGCTGATTGAAGTGGGAGCGGAGGTTGATGCTAGGAATCATCAAGGGCAAACGCCATTGTTTGTAGCTGTGAACAATGGGGAGGACGATTCTGTTAGAGTGCTGCTGGAAAGTGGGGCGGATCCTAATGCTAGGGTTTCTGTTACGGCACTTGGATCTGAGATGGCTATGATGCAAGACAATACTATGGAAGTATTGCCGGCGGTCGTTCCAAAAGAAGTCTGAATACGTATCCCGTCCCATTAACCGCTGCCCGCTCCATAATTCTTGCCTGTCAGGTTCGAGCTAATTAACATTCTACATGATTTCTACATATATGTATGTTCACAGTGAGCCTCTATAAATCAGAACTCCAGGCCCTTCCGCTTAAGCGGGAAAGGAACAGAGACATCCTGTCAATATTCTCCGAAGTTAACGTCGTAATCGATTCACGTGACCTATGGCAAAAGGGGGCGCTTTCGCTTAATTCCATCATAAAATATCTATGGGTGCTGGGTGCGACACGGCCAGATCTTTGGCTTTCACACTAAGGTGAAGACTGAGTCTATCCCTTATTACTTCATTCGATCATGTTGCAGACCTCTGAATCCGGACGGTGACTTGTCGGCTCATGTCAACTTTGTTAGGCTGCTCTAGGGAACTGTCAATAATGTTTTGGTTGGCGAGTAAGCGAAAAGCCCATGATAAATGCTGCACTGAGCCTAGACGATGCCTGTAAAGCTAGCTCTGAGACAGGGTAAGACCATTCCAGCTAGGTTAAAGCCTGACAGGTGGGCAAGGTGGTAAGGTGGATACAAGGATTTACAAATTCGCGTTCCAGGGTTCCGCCAACCCGCAATTCGTTTTTGGAAATGGTCTGCCACACGGCAACTTGAGTGATTTACATAGCGCGAAACGCAGGGAGATGGGAAGTCATATAAACATGCTCGTTTCTTTTCATTCCGAGGATGCATCGTGTTGTGTAGAGAACCTCATATCGCCCCAGTATTTTGGGTTACTTTTGGCGACTATGATTGGTCAATCGAGTTTCATCTAGGATCAAAAATCTGACGCCGCATTCTCCACCCCACCCGTCTTAGAACGGCACCCTCCGACTTCGCTGGTTGCATCTTCGTTTTCTTTGATCCTCGAATTGTGCTCCTCCCAGCACCACAAAAGCGGGTTTTTCTTTCTGAAGAACCACGCCAACATGTATCGAAGCCAGATATCCCGGACGGCAGCTTCGGCTGTCCGTCCTGCTGTCCTGTCAGAAAAGGCTCATTTCTTGCGAGGAATGGCTACAGTGTCTCCTGTGAGCTCCATCAATCGAAATCACAAAGTTGTTGTTGTTGGTGGCGGTGCAGCTGGCCTATCTGTCAGTCATCAGCTTCTCCTGAAAGGAAAATTCGCCGAAGACGACATTGCCGTTGTGGATCCGGCAACATGGCACAATTATCAACCTGGATGGACACTTGTTGGAGGGGGACTCAAGACAAAAGAGGAGCTGCGAGAACCACTGAATAGCCTGATTGATTCTAAACTCAAGTTCTACGACAATGGCGTTGAAACATTGTCCCCAGATGACAATTCAATTACTCTCAGCAATGGTGACAAGATCAGCTACGAGCAACTCGTTGTTGTCCCGGGTATCAAGGTAGATTACGAAACCGTGAAGGGATTACCCGAAATCATCGCCGATCCAAATTCACCTGTCGCTTCTATTTACGATTACCGTTACTGCGATAAAGTGTTCCCTCAGATCCAGAAACTCAAAAGTGGCACAGCCATTTTCACTCAACCAGCTGGTGTGGTCAAGTGTGCTGGTGCACCTCAAAAGATCATGTGGCTGGCACTAGATCACTGGAAGAACGCTGGACTCTACAGGAGCGGTGCATCTGACTCACCAATCAATATTACCTTTGCTACCGGCTTGCCTACGATGTTTGGTGTACCCAAATACAGCGCCGAACTTGAGAAAATGCGTGTTGAGAGAGGCGTTGAGGGGCTGTTCGAGCATGATCTCGTTGAAGTTGAGGGAAACACGGCAACATTTGCACGCCCAGGTGGAAAGGAGCAAGTAAAGAGAAAGTTCGAGTTCCTGCACGTTTCGCCCAAGAACAGACCGCACACATTCGTCAAAAAGAGTCCTCTGTCCAATGAAGCTGGTTTCGTGGATGTCAACGACGGCACCACCCAGCACAAAACATACAAAAATGTTTGGTCGATTGGCGATGCATCCAGCCTGCCGACATCGAAAACTGTGGCGGCAATCACCTCGCAAGCGCCAGTCCTCGTCAGCAACCTGATATCTTCGCTAGAAGGGAAGGAGTCAGATGCGGTTTATGATGGGTACACTTCTTGCCCACTTCTGACAGAGTACGGGAAGGTGCTCTTGGCAGAATTCAAGTATGGTGGCGAGCCGAAAGAAACATTCAACAGCTGGTTTGGCATTGATCAGGCAATTCCACGCAGAGCTTTTTATCACCTCAAGAAGGACTTCTTCCCTTGGGTCTATGGCAAGCATATGTTGAAAGGCAAATGGGGAGGACCAAAAGGTTGGATCAACTAATGGAGGCGTTGCATCTTGGCGAGAGGATTTTCAAATTGCCATTTCTTGATAGGCTATTGGGTTAAATTATGGTAGGATTCAATTAATTCCATGGATGTTACTTCAGGTTTGGAATCCTTCACAAGCGCATGTACAAAACAAAAGCATAGAATAAAATGATAGATGTTGTACTAGACCTCCAATGCCATTTCGATGAACCATTTTCCTGCTTCACAAGACTGTTTCCATACTCGAAATCACGCTTCATTGTCACCGAACAATCACAGCTCGTTCGGGGAAGAGCAAGCTCCATGGAACAAAGATCAATGTTTTCAAATTGAAGGCGGATGCAATCAAGAAGGTCCTCCTTCTACCTCAATTAGCGTACAGCAACTCAGAGGACAAATGAGGGCAATCTATTCTCAGCGATCAAAGGGAAGGAACTCGCTTTGGGTTTCATCATGATCCAATCGAACGTGGGGTTATGTCGACCGTAACCTGATGCACAAAATAGCAACCACTAACTTATAAATAGCAATATTTATTGGAGTAGCAGTTGTCAAGTTCTAGACTGCATGAGTTGTCCAGTGGTAGGAGGTGCCATGATTTCGGGTTTAAGATATCGAATTCCGTATTATACGAGCCTCCGGGAGTCTCCCACTGAGATGATAACCAAACATTCATCGCAAACCAAATCCACTCAGAGGTCTCGTCAATACGAACTGGGCTGAACCTTCCCTGCATCCCGCTCACTGCTGATTTGCCAAGAGACCCCTGAGGTCAAGCGAGTCGCTTTGTTATCATGCGGTGATAAAGCATGCTGACTCCATCCATCGGCATTAAGTCATTCCAAGAAATGGGTATTATATTATAGTGCCAACTTGTTACAATCGACCCAGTCTTTTCTTACACCCTGATATCAGACGTATGATCCGGAGATCCTTGTGGCCCTTTGGTGTCGGCAATGCTGATCCGCGGTTCCCACAACTGGCGGGTACTGCAAACTATGCGGGTATTGCGTATTCTTGACACTTCGAAACGCAGCTTTCACGCCGAACATGTAGTGGGAGTCATCTATGAGCGGCTAATGGCCCTACCCAGGATCAGAGTTGAGAGCCTTTCCTGGAGGTATCACAGAAAGGCGGTCAACACCACTCCCAGCGCCGATGGCAGCCGGCTCCCGCTGTAATGTAGCCTTCATCGATAGTGGCCAAGGTAAATATACGTTCCTCGTAACCAGTCATAATCTAATAGATCCCTGGCTTATAGACTCAAATCATGTAGGATGCAAGGGATCAGAACGGAGCCAAGCTTATAAATCGAGAAAAGCCTTGGCAGTAGAAAGCTTTGCCATGAAAAGCACCAGTCTCCAGAACCGTACGGAATAAATATGCATAACCACATTTTCATAGCCATGAAGTTTCAGGACTCTCTGAAGGCGTGATGGTGAGAAAGAATGATTGGTTTTGCGGGCCTTGATCTGCCGGCAGCAATCTTCATATGGGCTGCGGGCTTGCTGACAAGCCAGCCTTGTTCCATTATTGCCCCATCGGGAGTGCGCGCCAGGGCCACGATTAGTAAACAGAGCTACTAACCAAGATTGTCTGCTTCCAGGCTTCTTCCTGTGTTTCTGATACTGACTAACCCAAAAGTAATTCTGCTGATTGTAAGCAGACTTTCTTCGACCTTCTCAAGATCTCTTATATATCAATCTGGTTTCTCCTAAACATGGAGAACAGGAAATAAACAGTTTTCAATTTTTACTTCCCAATTTTCACGATCGACGAGTATGGATTTGTTTCGAGAATCGGCTGTAGGCCAAGTGATCAGATACGCGACAAAGAACAAATACTTGCTATACCCAGAGGAGCAAGGAGACTTCCACTGGGCACCACTGGTATGTATTCTTGCAATTCATCTACGATTGTGCTAATATATTGTGACAGGAGACACTCTTGAAACAAGAAGACAACGCAGCAACTTCCGAAGAAAAATCTCCCCCCGAGTCCTCTGCTTCAGATGGCGATATTGAAATCAACGAAAACAAGACGTCTAAGGAACTTGATGACGAAGATGTTGATCAAACCCAAGATCCAACCCCGTTTCAGCTCGAAGCCATCAGAACCAAACAGGACCATGAAGCTGCCCGTACTCGCACTAATGGTTCGTCGATTCATCGAGAATTGACTCGCACTTCCACCGCCGCGTACACCCGTGAACGTTTTGACGTCGAGCAAGTGATCCAAGCAGAAAGAACAAAGTCTATTGCTATCGCACCAACCAAGACTGCCGACGGAACAATTCTGGTCGACTGGTACACCACCGATGATCCTGCGAACCCACAGAATGTATGTAAACCCCCTCACACATGATCTCGAGTGAGATGAGGTCTCAAAAAGAAAGATATTTCTGAGATGCTAGAGCCTGCTCTTCAAAACATTTTGCTAGCACTGCTGACTTTTTTGAAGTGGCCATCGTTCAAGAAAAACATTGTGCTTGTTCAGCTCTGCGCGTATTCTCTCGCCGTCTATGGAGCATCAAGTATGTATGTTCCTGGAGAAGGTGGAGTCATGAAACAATTCCACGTTGGAGATACAGCAGCTGCAGTGGGTCTCGCCATCTTTGTTGTTGGGTACGGGGTTGGGCCGCTCTTGTTCGCTCCGTTAAGTGAGATTGCCTCAATTGGAAGGAATTGGGTCTATGTTCCTACATTCGCTCTCTTCGTCATCTTGTCGATTCCGACTGCCGTTGTTGATAACTATGCTGGCTTGCTGGTGCTCAGATTTCTTACTGGCTTCTTCGGGAGTCCATGTCTAGCAAATGGAGGTGCATCAGTCGGCGACATGTATTCTCTGCTAGAGCTACCTGTTTATCTCTCAGCATGGACAGCAGCTTGTTTTTGGGGTCCTGCTATCGGTCCCATCATCGCAGGGTAAGATACTTAACATCATACTCTCACCAGATTGAAAATACTGACTGTTTATTGAAGGTTCGCTGTTCAAGCTAAAGGTTGGCGTTGGGGACTCTGGGAAATTGTCTGGCTAACAGGCCCAATTCTCATCATCTTCCTCTTCGCATACCCGGAGACCTCGGCAGACAACATTCTCCGGCGACGAGCACAACGTCTTCGAAAGCTTACAGGACACAATCATATCAAATCAAAGAGTGAGATTGATCAAGCGAAATTGAAAGCCTTAGAGGTATTCCTCGACGCCATCATTAAACCAATTGAGATCATGGTCAAAGACCCCGCTGTTGCATTCACCAACATCTATGTACGTCCCCACCTTCTACTATCAAAGCGAACGCGAGAGAATAAACCTAACAACACCTAGACGTCGCTCACCTACGGAATCTACTATTCCTTTTTCGAAGTCTTTGAAATGATTTGAAATGTCCGGCATCGAAGTGAGAATAATAAATTCTATAGACCGACTTATTAGGTATAGTATGGGTAAGGTAAGCTAAGCAAGCGAGATATCACGTGTAGATTGACTACCTACCTACCTACTCGGCCTCCACGGCAGCGGCCCCCGGAGGGAAATACATAAGGTACAGTATCAAAGTTCCCTCAACGTTTAAACAGGAGTTTCTATGAGTATATCCCCCAATCTACCACTTCAACATTGGCGAAGTCGGTCTCTGCTTTTTGACCATCGGCGTCGCCTGTCTAATTGGAGTTACCGGTTTCTTGGTTTATCAGTTCAAGTACTTGATCCCAGACATTAAGAAGAACGGTCTTAGAGAGCCAGAACACCGTCTAGTCCCTGCTCTTTTCGGAGTAGTCTTCCTTCCCGTGGGCTATTTTATGTTCGGATGGACGGCAAGACACGCTGTTCACTGGATAGTGAGTCTGATTGGCGTGACAATTCTGGTCGCAGCGAACTTCTTCATCTTCCAGTGCGTCTTCGTCTACCTTCCACTTTCGTACCCAAGATATGCTGCGAGTTTGTTCGCGGCAAACGATCTGTCTCGTTCAATGTTTGCTGCTGCTTGCATTCTATTCTCGCGTCCGATGTTCATCAATTTGGGCATTGGAGGAGGTGTGAGTTTGTTGGCGGGTCTGTCGTGCCTGGGTGTCGCGGGTATGTTCTATTTGTGGAGGTATGGTGGGTGGCTGAGATCGAAGAGCACTTTTGCTGCTCATGGATAAGGGTGGTTGATACGGTCTCAGAAACTGGACGGCCGATTCACAGAAGCTGGGACGCTGATGGATCTTGCTTCGTACTTCAGCTGGCATTTTAGATGTCTCTGCGGAAATCTCCTGTATACCTTTGGAGTCAATCAAAAATAATATTGCAATAGCATACTTTAATTTAGCATCTATTAATGCCATCTTTCCACTCTAAATCATGTAACAGCGAGCTCAATCGTCCTCAGTCTCTTGCCATTAAGGTCCTGGATTCCTCCAATTGAGTAGGTATATTAGTCGGAGTAACAAACCATCACTTTCATTCCACTTGAAGTATGCGAAGCACTCTCAATGTTCCAGCCCTTTCGCTTTCGGAACACATGTACTGATGCTCTTGATCATCAGGTTTAACAATTTGGCCCCACCTGCAAACGCAGTTGCTAGAATCCTCCGGCAATTCAGTTCGAAACCGAACCCATGCTATATTGTGCCAAAACTCGCATCAGGTAAGTTTGTTATAAACTTGTAAGCCCAATTGGGTACTTTAAAGAACTTTCAATGAGACCGAGCTGCCCAAATTTCAGAGTTTCTCCTTCTCAAGAGAGGACGTCATGATCCTGATGGTTCCTCAGAGCTCCTTAACATGGTTTTAATGTTCGGTCCGTTTCTACAGATCGGACATGTCCTTGCACCATCGCGGTCATACCATGCTTTGGCACACCGGAAATGGAAAATGTGCAGACATTGCAATTCATAAATGGGATCATGGTCTTTCACAACTTCCAGGCAAATCGCACTAGTAAGTGATCAGCTTTCTGATTCGTTGATATCGGAAGCAAAACGACAACGTACCACACTGTAATCTCCCATTCTGACGATATATCATTCTTCTCGGAGTGTTTTTCACTGTGACTAAAAGAACCTGAGTGGGTTCTCTTCCAGGCTGAATATTGCTGGACACTGAATTGGCTTCGCTTCGGTGCCGGACGATGTGTCTGGCGAACAGCCCGAAATGCGTTGCCGTGTCGCCTGCGATAGCGAATACAAGTGCAACTAGATAATCCGTCAGGCCGTTCATAGATTATACATTCTGTCCACGGGAGGAGAAATCATGGAGAAAGATGTGTGCTTACGTCACGAATGCGAGGAATGCAAATCCCAGAACGCATCCTACGAAGACCATTGGCAATGGGCTCCTCTCTGGGCTGGAGCGACTTGCAATTTTTCTTGCATCTCTGATATCTAGCGCTTTCCGATATAGAAGATACATAATTCTTGTTATTGAAGCTGGACCGAATGATGGGGAATACTGAAGGTGCTAAATTGTCAAAAGATGTATTGTTAAATCGCCATTTTGACATTTCAATCGAAGTCTTGTGGGAGTTGATCAGTTTTACAGTAGCCTTGAATGTCGCCGAGTCCAAATATGAACCACCATACCAAGCCTTACATGTCGTAATAGCGCAGTATGTCCGCCACTTTCCAAGTCCAAAAGCACATGTTTTTAGTGACAAACATCTGATGAGCTTGGATATGACTTGGCATTTCTCTTTTATTTTCTGTGTGACTGCTTTCCGAAGAGAACCTGAGCATGACATGACGGAGGCACGCATTCTGTGGAGCGTTCACTTCTTGGTGTTTACTTGGCCGTTATTAGCCAGTATTGGCACGGAAGTTCGGCTCTCGCCAAAGTTGGTACACATGACTTGGCTACAAATCCCACCCTGTCTTTTGACCCCACGAGATATTGTGATGAAGATGCGTTTTGGTTATCTGTTGGTATGTGAAACTCTCTTGGGGAAAGGCTTCGTGAATTCCCAGCCAGCATCATTGCCCAGTACTTCATCGCGAGTTGCTCAAAAGCTTCACATTGTCGCTTACAGAAGCATCATGGCAGGGATCCATCTTCTCCACTGCTGAATTTCGCAAATATGAATTGAATCTCAATCAATTAAGAACCTCTTATCCAAAGAACGCACAGCATTTGCATCATCTCTGTGGACCTTCAAAGTCTGATTGCTAACATCTCCTTTCTTGCCATTTTCCCAACCTGTCTCGCTAGCCGTTCCTACTGCCCTGAACTTCGGCTTCTGGGTTGACAAGCCTTTGTGAGGCGTACCTGTTGAATTTGGTGGGATTTCTGGCATTGGGAGGGACGAGCATGGTGGAAAACTCACGGACTGGACACCAATGCTGCCAGGCGCGCCAGCTGAATTTGACATTTCGATTGTATTGTTTAGTGGGTTAAAATGGTCATGATTTCTCTGATGAGCGTTGACCCCTGCCTGCTGAAAACTGACAAATACTGGTGGAAAAGGAGCATGGAGTTGATTTGAGGAAGTAAGGAGCCCTTGAGGTGGAGGAATCGTTTGGAATGGATACGTATGTACTGCTGGAATAAAAAATGGTGGTGGGTAAGTTGACATAGCTGGTGTGCGGACACAATAATTTTCCAAGTGCTGTGGCTGGGGTGGTGGACCCTGTGGCATGTTGGATGAGCTTTGTGTTAAAGATGCAAGTAATCTGTAGAGATTCATCGCCGTTTCATTTCCTTGATGTATTCGACCTGGGGGAGCACTGCAGTGGAGATTTGGATCCCTGGAATCCGGCACGTATGCATTAGATGGCAATGCACCATTGAAATGTGCTCCAAAGACAGGCTGCAAGCAAGCATTTGAATCTCCATAACGGTTTTCGGTTCTTAACCTCGATTCGTGAAATATTGTAAGGGGAGGTGCTGAACGTGACGCAATTTTCTCCTCAACCAAGTGCTTCAGGAGAGAATCTGTGGTAGGGCAAGGCAGCTCCGAGGTATCTCTGCAAGTTTGGTCGTCATAAGTCACCAAATGAAGTTGGCGTCCATTCGAGCTGATAGTCATTGATCGCCTGACAAGTCCGTTTTTCTTGTATTGGTAATCGTCCGTTGTTTCTTCCTCCATTTGTTCCCCTCCGTCACTTCCACGTCGACTACCTGCACTATCCGCGTCTAATACAGGGCGTTCCTGGACATTGCTCGGTCTTCTTGCCTTCCTTTCCATCTCTCGACGTATGATGAACTCTTCTGATAGCGTAATGGAACCCCACAGTCTCCCATCTGTCCACCTCTGAATGCCGGCTTCTACCTCGTCCCAAACAAATACCGCGCCAGGCAATATCACATCTTTTCGTTCCTTACGTGATAAACGGCGTTGAATTTTGGGCAATACGTCCAGCTGACAAGCCTCAAAAAGCAAAATCGCATCTTGCCTTGTACGGACGTGTCCACGATACGTTGTCATAATAGCCATCCAGGGATCTTCTAGGAGTGAAGCTCATTAAAACTGGTGGTGTTGTGATATCAAAAGATAGGAAGAGCTCACGCCACAGCCCACGAGGTAAGGACAAAAACGATAGAAGATGGATCCTGACTAAATAGCCAAAGTGATGTTGAACATGAGAACCGTGCCGAGACCAGTAGACCCGCCGACCAAGATTCGAAGCCACTGGGCAAGAGGAGTTCCCGTACGCGCTTTCTTGAGCCCCGGCACCTAGATCATGAACGGTAAACTTCCATCTCATGGCTGCAGGGGAGTTCTGTAACCTGTCTAGCCAAAATTTGATCATCATTTCAACGTTGGGAAGAGGTGTTGCCATGTGCACAGTGCATCCTTGGCTGGTCGCGAAGATAGCTCGGCAAGCCACTGCCAACCTTCCATCAGTCCAAATAACATGCATCCACTTTACCGCGCCTTCTTATATGGGTTCGTGAAGTCAGGGCGTATCGATGTATGGTGTACGAGATGACTTGAGCAACCTGCCAAAGTTGACGCGAGAAGCAAGCAGTAAAGCATTCCTCCTCGCCACATACTATCGAAGGGAGGCAAGGTATCACATCATCGCAAGTTAATGAAAGTTATGAGGAAGAATTATCTATATTTCATCTAGCATTGAACAGGGCTTGGTGGCAGTTTCAAGTTCAATTCGAATTTCACTCTCCCCTAGTATCTGGATTTGGTGCGGTGGAGGAGCGATTGTTTTCCATGCTGCGCCGTTAGGGGTGGATCACGAAGTTTTAGGTAGTGCTGGATTCTTTATAGTCTGTTGGGTGATCTGTGAAATGATTGGAACCTGATGTCATTAATTACCAGTGCCTTGTGAGAGTACCATAATACCACATGGTCCGAGTCCGTGACGAACTGACAGGCTGCAGTAGATCTGAAGTCATCCGGGGCAAGACATTGGCATTAATTTGATCATCGGATAACCGGATGCGGAGACGATAAGGAATTGTGCTGAGAGACTGGGCAGTAATTGGCAGCTAGGCGCGGATAATCGCCTTCTCCTGATACGTGTCCTGGATAGTCATAATGCTAGGGTGTATTTTGTTATGCGTTTTCTTCCACAGAGGAATCATCCCACGGAAGGTGTAGGCTCTCCTCGACTCGCATGGATTTGAGGCTTACTATTCGCACGGTTGACCTATCTTCAATTCCCTGAACGTACGTGGCGATATTCTCCGAGTGCTCACTGAGTTAAGTGGATAGTTTGCTATCTTATCTGACATCAACAGAAATTCCCTTTCAGTAAGTCAACACGCTAAACCTCCAGCTCTTCAGTCCAGCACTACTCTCGCTTCAATGTCAACAGCTTCGGCTGCGCGCTTTTAGCGGGCGATTCCAGGTCTCGGTTCTACCCGAGTCAGGGGTCTTGCATGACGCCCCACTTGAGCTGTTCTGTGACGCGGGAACTCCATCAACCTCCACCTTCAAGACCTGCCTGGAATGTCAACAACAGCAAATCATTTGAATAGTCATTTTCTTCTTAGTACCTCCAGTATTACTACAGCTTCTCTTTGTACCGTCCGTTAGATACGACAGAAGCCTACATCTCTGCTCTGGAAACAAGGAAGGCGCTCAGTAACAACCACAAGACGACCTGACTCAGAAATCGCAACGACACAACGTAACGACAACATGACATCCCTCCAGACCCTTACACAATACGCAGCAAACGTTTTGAACCTCGCGCAACTCCCCCTACTCTCCAACGCACCATCGTTCCCCACGTCACAGTCCCCCTTCGCCTTCTCAGCAGTCCCAAATGCGCAATCGACCTTCGACCACACATGTCCAATCGATAGTCCAGTCTCATGCCATAACAGCACGAGCTTTCCGGACTCCTGTTGTTTTATATATCCTGGTGGGCAGCTGCTGCAGACGCAGTTTTGGGATACGACGCCGAGTGTTGGGCCGAAGGATAGTTGGACGCTACATGGGCTATGGTGAGTTTATGCTGTTTCTGAATTCCGGGTATTCGCCTCGGGATGTTGATGGTGGGATTGGTCTGCAGAGTGAGATTACATCGTCGAGAGTTGATGGTCTAAAGGGAGAGAAGACTCAGCAGAGTCAAAGAATAGACAGCCAAATGGAATGCAAGCTAATTCCACTCCCAGGCCAGACCTCTGCGATGGCTCCTATCCAACATTCTGCAAAGCAGCACCAATGTACCACAACATAACAGCCATCCTCGCCTCCGCCAACGCACCTCTCGAACCCCCAAACCCGTTTCCATCCTCCTCCTCCTCAAGCACCTCATCATCCATTACCACCACCACCACCTCAACACTCCTAGACTACATGCAAACCTACTGGCTGCCCAACCGCGGCTCCGCAGACTCCTTCTGGGAACACGAATGGAACAAACACGGAACCTGCATCAACACCCTTTCGCCATCATGCTACACCTCTCCCTCCTCCTCCTCATCCTCTGAATTTACCTCCGAATCCTACAAATCCGGGGACGAAGTAGTCGATTTCTTCACCCGCGCCGTAAGCCTCTTCCGATCTCTAGACACCTACAGCGCGCTCGCATCCGCGGGTATCGTCCCCTCCGCCAGAACGACCTACAGGAGAGAACAGATCGAAGTTGCACTGAAGAAAGTCACAGGCGCGGACGTGCTGATCAGGTGTCGAGGGAACAGGCTGAATGAAGTGTGGTATAGTTTTAATGTGAAGGGGAGTTTGCAGGAGGGGAAGTTCGTGCCTAGTGAGCCGGTGGGGAAGGTTGGGAGGGGAGGGTGCCCGCCTGGTGGGGTGAGGTATTTGCCGAAGCATTAGTAGGCACCTCGGGATATGATGGGGAGGGCTGAGCACGTTATTGGGAAAGGGGGCCGGCGGCGTTTGGGATAGAGACATTTAGACATTGATGGTTGAGTATCGGACCTGAGAAGGTGCTGGATACCTAGAATTCGAGGCTTGTTTATATCATGTTTGAATGAGTTTTGACAAGGCAATCGTAAGAATAGCTCGCTATTAGTTTTCCTGATTGGACTGTGCCTGGACCGTGTTGCAACTTTGTGACCGACTGCCCCCTCCCAACCCTAGTCTGCCGATTCGGGGGAAATCAACATAATAAGCGAGCTGCCCAAGAGATGATCAGATTTCTTGGACAACAAATTTACCTTGGCTGGTAATTCACAAGATGTATTTCTTTCCCCACTCTCTTATGCCAGGTATATGCGACGATTGAACTCGTAGCTGGAAGTAGCATTGATGTTGGAGAAATCACAATTGTATGACACTCAGCCAAGAGTGCGATGATGTAGTCAAGCAGACAAGTAACTCGAAGACTTTTTGGATTCCATTTCCGATTCCAGATAAAAGCTGAAAAATACAGTACATTTTCCTCCTTCGAAACCACTCTTCCGAAAAACCACTACCTGCCTTCATTGCACTACTGGTGGTAAAATCTCCCTACGCAGCAACAAACTCCCCATCGGTAATACACCCATGACTAGCATCACTCACGCACCTCGCATACTTGGCTAACGTGCCCTTTGTATACTTCGCCGGCTTCGGGACAAACTCCTTCCTCCGCTTAACCAACTCCTCCTCATCGACCATCAAATCCAGCACCTTCGTCTCCGCATCAATAACAACCTCATCACCGTCTCTAACCAAACCGATCGGTCCTCCCTCCTGCGCTTCAGGGACGATGTGTCCGATCAGAAACCCGTGCGATCCGCCGCTGAAGCGTCCGTCTGTGATGAGCGCTACGTCTTTACCGAGACCGGCACCCATGATGGCTGAGGAGGGCTTGAGCATCTCTGGCATTCCAGGGCCACCTTTAGGTCCTTCGTAACGGATGACAACGACTGTCTTCTCTCCCTTCTTGATCTCGCCTCTCTCGAGAGCAGCGATGAAGTCGTCTTCGGCGTCATAGCATTTCGCCTTTCCGACGAAGCGGAGACCTTCCTTGCCGGTGATCTTACCGACAGAGCCGCCTGGGGCGAGGGACCCGCGGAGGATTTGGATGTGTCCGGTCTCTTTGATAGGGGATGAGAAGGGGCGGATGATATCTTGGTCGGAGGGGAAGTCGGGTGCGGATTCGAGGTTCTTGGCGAGTGTTTGGCCGGTGACGGTCATGCCTGAGCCGTCGATGACGCCTTCTTTGAGGAGGAATTTCAGAAGGGAAGGGGTTCCGCCGATATTGAAGAGATCGTTCATAACGTATTTCCCGGAAGGCTTAAGGTCTGCGAGGAAGGGTGTGCGGTCTGATACGGCTTGGAAGTCTTCGATTGTGAGTTTCACGCCGACGCTGTCTGCGATGGCGATGAGATGGAGGACGGCATTGGTTGAACCACCAGTGATGTTGACAACGACCATGGCGTTCTCGAATGCTTGGCGTGTCATGATGTCGCGGGGGCGGATATCTTCTTGAAGGAGGACCTTGATAGCACCTCCTGCAGCGAGACATTCGAGGTATTTGGCTTGAGACTGGGCGGGGTTGGATGATGAGCCAGGGAGGGACATTCCCATTACTTCGATAGCTGTGGCCATGGTATTTGCTGTGTACATGCCTCCGCATGCTCCTTCACCGGGGCAGGCGTGGTGGATGATATCGTCTCGGACTTCTTCTGTGATCTCGCCAGTAATGAACTGACCGTATGCTTGGAAGGCAGACACGATATCAATCGGGGCGTTGTTCTGTGTAACAGAGCAGCCAGGCTTGATCGAACCACCGTAGACCATCAGAGAAGGACGATTGACTCGTCCCATGGCCATCATGACTCCAGGCATATTCTTGTCGCATCCAGGAATGGAGATATTGGCATCATACCATTGACCGCCCATCACAGTTTCGATACTATCGGCGATCAAATCTCTCGATTGAAGAGAATACCGCATACCTTTTGTACCCATGGAAATACCGTCCGAGACTCCAATGGTATTGAATTGATATCCGACCAAGCCAGCCCTCTCCACACCCTCTTTCACTCGGTGGTTGAGATCCAACAGATGCATATTACATGGATTTCCTGTGTACCACACAGACGAGATCCCTACTTGTGCCTTATTCCGCCTTTCGTCTGTCAGACCGGTAGCGTACAGCATAGCTTGTGATGCTCCCTGGGACTTGGGTTGTGTGATGGCGGCGGAGACTTTATTGAGTTTGGGTTCGTCATTGCGGAGAGAGGTTGTGGAGGATATTGAACGTCTGTAGAGTATTAGAATTGCTCGCAGATATCATGGGAAGACTCACATGTATTGTGAAGTTCTTCTCGAGGTGAGAAGTGAGGCATTCGCCCTGGTTCTGAGCTGTGGGAGCAACATGTTGATGTTGATATATCCCAAGCCACGAAGGAATGAGAAACAATTGTGAAGCAATCAAACCCAGCTGAATGGTGTGGAAGCTGCAATGCGATCCAATGCCCTGCAGTACCAGTACAAATCTCCGATTTCGAGTGTGTTGCGCTCTATATGAAGCTTTGGGCGAGGAGAAGCACGGCCAGATTATGAACCACACCTCTGCGATCTCGAAACTTTTTGATTGGCGATATCGCTCGCTCGCTTCGCATCGGGGATCGGCACTTTCTCCAGCTGTCTCCACACTGTGTCTGGAATTGACCAGTCAGAAGCGCATGTTTACTCACCCACAGCCTTGTCCGCTCTTACCCAGTTTTGGAGGATTTGCTGCTCTCCGCATCGCCTTGGCAAACACTCTAAGCTGCATCGAGCGAATGGGGAAAGAACGACGCATGTGAACGAGGCTGCTCCCTTCCCTCGCTCCCACAGTCCCCCTCGACTAGCAAACGCACCTCGGCTTTTGTGGGGTTTCATGTTCCTGTCAAGGCTGAGTACCTAGGTACAAAGGACAAATATAAATAAGTACCGCCGCCCGTGTCTCCTATTTCCTTACTGTTGACGTTTCTTGTTTCGATTGTGCCTCCGGACAACTTCTTGCATACCCGATTTGACATTATTGGCATTGCTTGGATGAGAACCCCGCATCAATACGTACCATAAGTGTGTACCCACCAGCCGCACCACCTTCACTTCTGTCATACTTTACATTTCACTCGCAGAAAAGAAACAGCGAAGAGGAATAAACACCTAGAATACCTATTTATCGAAGCCTGCTGCAATTAATTCCTGATTCAACAAGCACAACAAACACAACAATGGCCGCTCCAGCAGAAGTCACACTCAAAGACCTCACGGGTAACTGGGTCATGGTACGACTTTCCCCAGCTCTTCTATCTTCTAATCACCAGTCTCCAATCTCCCATCAACACAGCCCCCTACCTCCCACTCAAGCTAATACCCACCCCTCTCCCCAGAACAAAACCCTCTCGGACGACACCGACGCCGTCCTCGCCCTCCAAGGCATCGGCTGGTGGACTCGCAAAGCCATCTCCCTCGCGACCGTCACCCTCCACACCAAGCAATACGTCGAAGAAAACATAACGCACATCGACATCGAGCAGACCGCCACCGGCGGCGTGAAAGGGACCACTGAGCTGCGCGCGCTCAACTGGGTCGAGCACACGCACACAGACCACGTATTTGGCACCGTGAAAGGCAAGGCGCGGTGGAGTTCGTTCCAGGAGATTGACGATGAGTTTTTGAAGGAGGGGTGGCTTGAGGGGGAGGAGGAGGCGGCGGGGCCGGAGGGCGAGAAGCACGTGGAGAGTTTTGCGGTAAATGAGGAGAAGGGGTGGACGGCGAGGCAGATTTGGGGGTTTGCGACTGTGGATGGGAAGAGGTATTATACGAGGAGGGTTGTGGTTACGAAGGGGAGTGAGGTGTTGAAGGTTAGGTTGGTGTATAATTGGCAGGGGAAGAAGTAGATTTGGTGCTATGGGGGGTTTCAATTGCAGTGTCATGGGGATTACGATAGATTGCTAGAGAGGGTTTGTCGGATGTGGCTGCTGGCTTGTGGTGTAGATTAGAACGATGCATGCTTTTTCAGTCCGTTTCCTTATATACCATCTTTACACTTCACTGCTATTTCTCATTTGAAAGGTTCTCTCCTACTTGTGTACAGATGTTCACATATGTCTATGTACAAAGCCATTGGAACGATTTTACTTTTGGTCAAGAGGCTGTCTCGAAGGCCTATGTGGAGCTAAGTACGTTTGATACCGGACGGGAATGCTAGATTAGAACCCTTTGAGCGCAAAACAAGGACTTCGAAGCCAACATATCAACATTCTCAACGAGTCGCACAGTTAACACGTTGTCAGTAAAGCGATTCAGTAAAATGTATTATTCATTGTGATTCTTTAACCTCTATGAGTTCTAGTCAGGAAACACAAAGCGCTTTTCGCGGTAGCCTCCTCTTTCCAACCCTCGCCTCATAATAGAAGAACTCCGCCGACACAACAAGAAGCAAGGCCAGGAAGGTCCGTCTAGAAGTCAGGCTCGGCATGCAACTCAACCCAGTCGTACCTATCCCACTTGTCGGTCGCCATTCTCTTAATGTAGCCATCCTTCCAGGCCGAAGTAGTGATGTAAAGCTGATTACCACAACTCTCACAGATGAAAAACTCCTTGTACTCAATACCGGCTCCACCCTCATAAGGAACAAGGGGATGATGCATCTTGTTATCGAAATACTTGTGAGTGATAACGAATGGTCGCGAGTTCTTCATGCGCTCTTCCTTAGGTGTTACGAACCAGACCAATTGCGGGGTGCCATCCGCTAGGGAGGGAAGAACTCGCTCGTATTCCATCAAATTCATGCTCTTGTACATGAGTGTGCCGTTCTGGATCGCAAAGCTGGCTTTGACTTTGGTGGTGTTGGCGTAGGCTGGGACGACTCCGCCAACCCATTCTCCGCCGGCCACATTGTATGGTTGGGGATCAAGGTAGTTGTAGGTACCGTTCTCGAAGACGACACGGATCTTGAATGACGAGACCTGGGTTGGGACGTGTACAGTAACAGTTACGGTCTGGATAGTCAGCGAGTGTGGAGTAGGTAGCGATGGCTTGCTTGGGCACGTACCGAAGCTGGTACTTTGGTTTTTGTGACCTTGGCGCCAGCACACTGGCACAATGATGTATATTGATCTGCATCAAGGTTCGTCCCCGCAGCAGATTGGCATCCGAAATCGTTCATATAGGTAGGAATGGGTGGTTGTGCTACAGCTTGAGTGGCATTCTGAAGAGGGGTTATTGTGTACCGTGTGTTCTCCTCAATCGTCTGATTCGCGAAAACGGCAAGAGGCACAGTTGTCGTAATCCTACAGTGATCAGTGAAGATCGAGGCCGATGAACTACATGAACCTACGTTGTGGCTGCAGCGGCGACAGTTGTAGCAAGGAAGCTGTTGCAATCCGACAAGACAACCGACTTATCTGGAGTCATCGTTTTGCCTGCAAAGTGCTTGCCACAAGCATCCTGGCAGGAAGCTGTCTTGCGAGGATGGAGGACGTTCGCACTGGACAGTTCCAACAGGATGGGAATGAGGAAGACGAAGCACTTCATGGCTCTGGATATTGAAAATGGGAAGGAATAATATTGATTTAAACCCCGAATGTCTGGACTAAACTTGAAGCAATGAAACCGAAGCACGATGTTGATGAGATGGATGTGTTGATGATGAGAGGAATGGAATAAATCGTCAGAATACTAGATACTTCCCCATAGGCAGAAAAAGTTCATAGGCAGAAAAAGGAAAGAACATGTTGAGTTGCTCGATATGGCAGGCTCGCTTGAGAGGCTCATCTGATGGGCTTACGAGGCGGAATGGCTCGAAATTGTGAAGAGAGCAAAATGGAAAGAGGAAAATTGACACAGTCCCACTTAAGACATGCATCCCACCCATATTGACTACCATCACGATTGAAAAGGACCGCCTGAGGTTTAAAGGAACTATGATGGCAAAGTTTACAGGTTGTAGAGAGGTTCGCGAAGCAGATGAGCGAGCGCGCAGAGCACCTGGAGCGAGAGGAATCTGCTGACAAAGAATGTTTTGGTGTTCTGATTGGCTGTAGGCTGGAAACCCAGCCCAGCTCCAACTTCACGACGTATTTCAACGCCCACCATAATATAACCTTCGGCCAGTTCAGTGCCTCTTATATATGGGCCAGCAACATCCTAGGACACAGTAACGGCGAGATGTCCAGATTTGCCACTGAACACCATCATGACCCTGACATTGACCCCCCATTACTCCTAGAATCCCTCGGCCCCGAGATCTTGGTTATGATCTTTGATCAGGTGTGTACAGAGTCGCCTCAAGATAGGTAGCACGTGCTAATGATCTTGCTAGATCTACATCACAAAACCAGCTACATTAATCAGTTTGAGACTCACCTGTCGACGCATCAATCAGATCGTCGCGCCGCTCTCTTATCGCCGAGTCCATTTGAGTGTGAGGAAACTCGCAGCTGTGTCTGGTCGAAATAAACGGGAAGACATCGTTCGAAATGTCTATGCTCACACACGACATGTTGAGTTCCGGCAATTGCTGGACTGGGATGATGTTGCTTTACTACTTTTTGGTTGTGTTCAGTTGGATACGATCACGTGAGTCTCCTCGCTTGCATCTTGTGCCAATATACGTGCTTCGATAATACCTTTCCTTTTGACAATCTAATACAATGCTTAGTTGGGCGTGCGGCCGAGACATACTCCAATGTTACTTTCCAAATGCGATGCGCCTCTTGGTAGGTGACAAGTGGCCCAGAGTCCGGATTTCCAATGAGTTTCTCGACTATCCTGCCATAGGGCAAAGTGGTAGTTTCCTGAAGACCTTTCCAGCATCGAATATGATTAGTTTAACTTTACACAACCGGGTTCCTAGACAATCGAATCGGCCCCTACACCAGTTTCTCGCAACCTGTGTGAATTTGGAAGAGCTTCGACTGTACGGCTTGAACTTCTTGGATTCAATCTTCGAGCCCGCCGACGGAAGGCTACCAGCAAGTAAGCGACTTGAAATAATCCCAGACTTTATCGAGAATGACTACTGATATGCAAGTACAAGTCAAAAGCTTTTTCACAGATGTTCGGTCCTGGCCGTATACCCAGGATAATGTTCATTCAGTGTGGGATTTCTCACAGCTACAAGATCTTGAGATTGCCTGGCATGTCTTTGGCTTCATGTCCCAGTCGATGTCACCAGAGAACTTGTCTCGTCTGCGTCGCTTAAGGTTGCGACACCGATGGGCTGGAATTGATAGCCCAATTGAGGTGTATACTCAATATCATACGATGAGAACGTCATTTCTAAACTCGATACTTGAACGAATTCCAGAAAATCAGCTCCAAGAACTGGACGTCAAATGTCACTTGCCTAAATTTTCGACGGCGGCGCTTGCAAGACACGGCCGCTCACTGCGTCTCGTGAGACTGTTGGATGCCTCCGGGTTCGAAGTCGACGGATCGACCACTCCGACAACCAGTTTGGATGACTTAACCAGGCTTCATTTCACATGTCCGCACCTGACCGAGGTCGCAGTCGGGGTAAACATTGCGTACCCTGAAGTACGTCATACAACTGGCTTTCAGACCTTTGCTGATTCTTGTTAGGAAATTCCAGCGTTCGCAGACTCGATGAGCGGCTTCAGAAACCTCAGTATTCTTACCCTCTACATGCAAAAGGTTCCAAAATCATTTATACCCGTAACTGGCAACAAAGTTTTGGACTTCGGGCAATGTCTTGCCGAAAGATTATATAAACAAAAATTCGGGCTTTCGCTGTCGAAACTTTCTATTAACGTGGGGGAATGGACGCCGAGAAGCAGACCTCATCGACTCATACACTCCTCGAAGGCCAACCTTGATATGACCGAAGCATACCAACCACGTCGATTTTTGAATTTCTCCTGGGATCTTCAAGGACTGATGTTGTTCGAGACCGAACCATGAATGGGGAGGCACGTGCGCTGACCTCCTTTACTGGGCCATGTTGGTAGACTAACTACATTCTTACAACCAACGAAGGAATCAAACAACCAACACAGTCTACTTGACAACTATATGTAGCCTAAATTTGCATATCTGTCCACATGCACTGGACGTCAGTGGAGTTTGCAGAACATTAGCAGCCCAGCCCCGCGTCACCTCACCCCTTACCAGAAAGACTACCGGACCTTGTTGTACACGAACTCTAGTCAACGCAGACCGACGACACAACATGGCACATGCTTCGGTTGTACCAAGTCTCAGTCAGACAAACATCGAAATGTTAGGCTCGGAAATCTTGCTGATTATCTTCGAGAAGGTGAGTGCCAGTCCCATTGAAACTAAGATAGATACTAACTTACCTCTTAAACAGCTTTCTGATTCCTCGCCCGAATTTTTGCAAGGCTTAAGACCTGTATCACACACTTTCAACTGCTTCGTAACTGCCATTCGATACCGAACCATCACAATATTGCAGAAACTGCTCGACCATAACACAAATGGTGTCAATACTGCTTGGCAAAACATGCACCACCATACAAGGCATGTCAACATCAAGACCAAATTCAACTGGAATGTCGTTGTTCAGTTGCTGTCTGGCTGTAACCGACTACAATCCATGACGTGAGTAACTTCGACTATCTCCTTTACGTTCAGAGGCTGATCTAGATTCAGCTGGTCGGTCATGCCCGATAACTTCTCAAACGGGTTTCCCAACATTCTCAGACAAGAAATCCAAGACTACTGGCCCCAAATACGCTTCAGCATTGCGAGAATCGATTGTCCATTGAATCATATAGCTACCTACCCGGGGAAGAACTTTCTAGCTTTTAACATTGTGGACGTTCTTGTTGAGAATATTAATGATCCATCGCTTACTGAGCCGTTGCAAGCTCCCCTAGTCGCATCCAAAACCTGGAAACGCACCGAATTACTTCAATACGTCGTCCATTTGTGTCGCATGTTGGCAGACTTCCAGCCGTTCGAAAACTTGTCCTAGGATCCAGGATTTGGGACTACACACCGGAGGATTCGCTTCTAATTTGGGATTTCAGTAGTCTTGAGGCTCTCTACGTGCGACTGGAAACATTCCTCTATCTTGCACCGTTGATAGAAAGGTATGAACTGGTTGGATTGACACCGCTGACCGTTTCCTTTGAGTGGTCGGGTCGGAATACCGGACCCGACCCAGATGCCGAGTATCACAAAGAATGCACGTTACTGCTTCGACGAATCATCGAGCAAATCCCCCAAGATCGGCTTCGAGAGCTTGAGATCAAATGCTCCCTCTCGTGTTTCCCGATTGCTTCCATTACACATCACCGGAACAGTCTGAGAACCTTGTCGTTGCTGGATGTGTCTGGGTTTGAAACAGTTGGTATTGATCAGGTCACCATCCCTTCTTCCGATTTGGAAATGCTCCTGAAGACTTGTACTCGCCTTGTGAGCTTATCAGCCGCTGTTGACTTTGACGGAGTTCAGGTAAGCCTTCCCAAAGCTCTGCCGCCATTCTGCACAGACTCCAGCCAAATGATTCAAGAAACAGAGCGGCTCTTGTCAGTCTTTGGATATCCTCTCTCGCTTCCGACACATTACAGACTTGTCTCTGTACTCCAAATGTCTCCTGGGACGTCCACTTTCGCATTCAACAGACGTTATTCATGAGTCTGCCCACGAAATCATGAACTATATTTGCGAACGCAAACAAGGGCTGCCGCTTAGCAGCTTCGAGCTCAATCTAAGGGGATGGACACCCTTGGCCGGAAACCGCACACAATGGGTGGAAATTCCAGAAGAATTTCAGGACTCTGTTCGCTATCCCCAATTGTTGATAAGGTTTAGTTGGGACCGTAACGGAACACGTGCATATGAAAGGTTTCCGGTGGCCAAGGCGGGCAACTTTCATGAAATCGAACGTAAAAGCCATCTTACCTGGTGAAGGGTGCATTTATGCTGATTTTCTCTGGCATTGGCGATGCTCTTTTGCAACGTACGGCTTTTCAATAATTTGCAGAGCATGAAACTAAATCTCTCAACTACACTCAACATATGTTCTCTTCTCATTGCAATTTTACATCGATCAGTGGTCACTGATCTGACCCCAACATGTCCCTAGTACGCATATCTTCCCAATATGCTGCTGTTTGGCAGGATCCATCTCTCCAATCATAATCCTTGAGGAACAATGCAACACCCAGCACAGCATAACTGTCAGCATTCTCCAGAGCCAACTGTGCTCCTCCGTTCATGGCGAGGTCATTACAGGCATAAAACCCAAGAGGTTCTGCACCACGGTCAACAGACTTTACATCAGGGACGTTAACTCCCAGATCTGATCAATCGGATTAGCCTCCTCTCCGAATGTCGGCGCTTCAGTGTTTGATATATACTTACAACTTCTCCCAACTAGATGTGTATACTCATGCAGAAATATCTTGGAAAAAGACTGATACCAATCAAGGACAGCCAGTTCGTGTGGCGGAGCCCTCATGGTTAAAGAGGCATACATGCCCGCCAGTTGCCACATGAGTGGACAAAAGGTAATGGTGTTGAAATGGGTATGTGTTACGGCCAAATTATTTGCTCCACATATCGATTTTGCGGGTTCCATGAGCGGAGGTCGAGTTTGCTTGGGCATTGATATTCTCGTTACCCTGTCATACCAATGTTCTGAAGGCATTGACGCATTAGCCAAATCATGATAAGGCACGCAGGATATCCAAGATAGGATAATTTACCTCCTCCTTTCATTTTCCGTCGCGGTCGGACTTCTGAGTTTGTTGAAGGGTCAATCACGTATTCTGATGCTTTGATCCACTCATGGCCACAATAGATCCTTGTCCTCCTCGGAATCCCCTGAGCATCCTGAAAGATCCGACCCTCACTATGCTGGCCAATCATGTCCATGAGGTCTGCAGATGGCGGTCAGCTCACGTCAAACCTCGTATCTGTTCGTCTGACTCACTCCAAATTTTGCGCAAGTTATCTACTTGAAGATCGACCCGGTCATCGCCGTAATCGAGATTTTCTTGCGTCGATGGTATAGCAAAGAGGTAATTGAACATCCAGCCAGTCGCAGGCAACTCGGCATTTCTCGACATGTCACCTGCGGCAATCGAGATCAGGTTCTTCATTTGGATCATTCCGTCAAAGGCTATGGAGAGGTCGTTCTTTCGATCTTCGCTACACCCACCAAGAACAGAAGCTGGCTGAACATCAAATGCAGTGTCGATTGGACGTGGTGGTCCAGAAGTCTCTGGTGCAGCTGAGCTTGTTTGCGCGTGGGCGATGGGAAATAAGGTCAAGAGCACGAGTGTGATCTTGATAATCAAGGAACAAAGAGGAGAATAATGCATATTGATTCTTTCAAGTGTTTTGCCAATATTTTCGCGAGTTTGGTTTGCTATCGATTGCTGCCGTGCGCTTCATGGTCGAGTGTTTTGCAAGCTCATATCCACAACCGAGGAACGGGTGCAGTGCACTTCCCTACGGGCAGACACCATCTTCTCCGGATTACGAGAAGACCCGTTGGTGCGTGTCGGAGGGACAGCCAATACGAACAGAGGTCCTACAACTCTACAACACCTCAAAGGATCGCTGTCGTATCCATACTTCTGGCTTTATGACCTGTTGGCTCACGAGGCGTTGAAGGGCTTCAGGAAAAGTTTCAGACAAAAAGGTCTCACGAAGCACGAAAGTGCTTCAGAACCCAGAATCAGGGCATCATGGTATCACAGAAGTCTTTTGCCGGAGTTTCATCTCCGATGGTGTTTATTTTCAGAATAATTCATCCAACAGTATCAGAAAATATCTCCGCATTGGCTTCCCAGCTTGATAAGCTACCCAAGCTTTCCTTCATGCACGTGGCATCCTTTTGTCCAGAATATTCATGCACCATCACGCGTCCAACTCTTATCCCAAGATGTTACTTAAGAGTTTATACATGAAACGCGAGCTGAGGTTCTATTCTGTTATTGTTGGAACCAAGTGAGCAAGTGGTTGTTACGCGAGTCGCTTAGCATCGTCAGTGGTGAACTACCCCCTTCTCCACGCCGCCAACAAGCAGAAAAATCCCGCAATCAATCGTGACACTCTCTTGTAGTATAGAAAGAGAGATTTTGAGAACACTTGTCTAGTGGCTACCGAGGATATACTATTTTGGGGATTACATTTGCGTGCCATGCCGTTGTCGCCTCCCAAAGATTCTACTGCTCATCAGAACCAACAGAGGCGCATTTTCTTAGTGGTGTGTAGATATCGCTGTCATTACTCAGTCATATTGTGGCATTCAAACGTAAATTTGTGGCGTAAATAGAGAAGGGTCCCTTTTGAGAGAGAGATATAGTGCATACCATCCTGTTGAGGGTCGGTTTCTGCCAATGCCGTACCACGATGCTTGTTACTCTTCTATTCTTGGTCGTCCTCGTGGCCATTTCTCATGAATTTGAAACGGACTGAAAACACTCTCACCAGGTTGGGCTGTGCAGAGACCATCAGAGGATGACATCTGAGAATGTGTTGAAGTTAAGAAGTCAGTCCTAGTGGATAGGTATGGCAGCATTGCCCAACTGCCTCTACTCATCTCTCAATCTACTCCAACCCTCCAAGTTCTCAATAGCCTACCCTCAACTCTATACCTGAATTCTTACGTGCATTCAAAGTTGTACTGAATTACTCGTGTTTATATCGAAATGAGGTCACGATGTGTGCATCTTCTCTTCACTTTAGCCATCTTTCTCGGTATCATGGTCTTTCAGCTCAGAAGCCCAAGATCAGACGTCGTGGCAAGCCTCGACACAACTCGCGAGCACGACTCATCCAAAGTTAACAAGAAGTCCCGAAATTGAGCTGGTCATATCATTCAGCTCTGGCTTTCGAGTGTATCGACCGTCGAGCATTCGGCACTGGGCTGGACGCGTTGTCGTCCGCCAGTAATGGTTTCCAGCTTCCTTCACCGATTCTCTCCTCCGCCCCTACATCCACAATATCCACCCCGCCAGCGACAACCTCCGATCAGGTCAGCCCCAGCTCTTCAATGCTCCAGTTTTCCGACGTAATTCCTACCGGCTCTTCAACTCCAGGTAGTTCCTCGCTTTCTTCTCCAATATCAGTGATAACAGGCTCCACTGGCATTTCATCCTCAACGTTGGTTCCAATCACTCCTGTGGCCCCTGGAGTCAGTCCGTCGATCCCATCAGATGCTACATCCATACCACAGACAAGCAACATACCGATAACCTCGATTATCACCAAAGACGGCACAGTATACAGCTACTCGGCTACATTCATCTCTTCTCAGACATCCGTAACTACAGTGACTACCTCGCAGGAAACCGACGCTGCTGGTGCTGTCTTTGGTCTCATTTCATTTCCTGAGAAGGGTGGCCGTGGCTGGAAGTTTCCTTGTTTGATAAGCTGTGGTGGTGGGTTCTCCCTGCCTGGTCCACCGCCTGGATTTGGTGCCCTTGGAGGCATAGGTGGGGGTGGTGGAGGGGGAGGTGGAGGAGGTGGAATTTCAGGCGGAGGAGGAGGGGGAGGGGGATCTTCAAATGGCGATGGTGGAGGGTCAAATGGCAACAACTCAGGGAACGAAGACAACACAAACGACAATGAGAACGAGAACGAAGACGATCAGAAGTCACAAAGCCAGTCTGGAACTTCGAATTCCGAGATGAGTTCATCATCTTCGTCGTCATCGTCACCATCGTCTCAGTGTAGTACTCAGACAGTATCGTCTTGTGTGCAGACATGCCCTCCCGTCAGTCAAGGCAGCACATCTTCCTGCTTTGAGACCTGTGTTACAAGCACAGGCTGTTCTATATCGAACACAGCAACAACAACTACCCATACATGTAGCTCCCTATCCTGTCAGACCTTGGTTGTGACAACAATCAGTGGAAGCATGACTTCAGAAACATACTGCCCAGATTGTGCCGCGACATCTACTGAGAAAATAACAGATCAAGCTGAAAGTGGATCGGCAACTACTGGATCGTCTTCCTCACAAGCCACTCTACTTACAATCACGATTGTCACCGATGACGGGTTTGTTCAACCAGAGTTCATAGTCGATACAGCTCTGGAATACAGTCAAATGCCTTCCATGGACAGAGAGATCTCTGCTAAACATACCAGGCAATCAAGCACTCTTGTTACGAGCGTAGTATCTGCTTCACCTCCAGCTTCTACCTCAACATCTGTGTCCTCGACGTCTGTCTCAAGCACTCTTTCTCCCGTGCCGACTACAAGAATTTCCAGCTCAATTTTGAGCTCGGAGCCATCTTCAGGCATAGCTCAGTCGCAATCACAGTCTTCCAAACTCGACACTCCTCTTCAGGTATCGTCGCCTGAAGAGCCCATCCCTACTCCAACCCCCACCGCGAACCTTCCCATCCCCGAGCGTCCTCCAATAACCGCTACTCGAGGCGAGTGCAACACTTCAGGATGTACTGGTGTGAACCGAGACCTAGCTCTCAAGGAGGTCAAGAAGTTTTGCTCTACGCAAGTGACCATCAATTCCAAAACGGCTATCGTCAGCAGTACTACATCTTTCATAGGCGTGGTAGTTCTACCTACATCCCAGGCCGATACTCTAAAGCTGGCCAATCTGTTCTTGGCCATTGAACTGGATAGCAGAGATGACCGTTGTGCAGGTGTCGAATATGTGAATCGGCCAAAAGCCAAACAGGCACCAGCAAACGGGAGGTATCTGCCCAGTATTATTGGGCCGAATGAGCTTTGTATGAATATGATGCAAGCGGCTTTGGATCATTGTATGTTCTATTCTTCCAAGTAACTTTTGACTGAACTTCTCTGACGTGGTTATTTTTGCAGGTAATACGGGCACAACGAGTGCAAAACAAGGTGGAAAGCAACTTGCCAATTGCATCGCTTGGTCGGTCTTGGTGCCTAATCCACCAAATGATAAATGCGCCGATATATAGATTCAGCACACTGGGATTGTTCGCTTTGTCCACATTTCTCATGTTAGCCTTCACTTTGATGTCAGGGGACTTTGGTTTTCTAGGGGATACATGATTTGCTTCACTCATTTTCTTGTATTTCTCTCATTTTAGTTACTTGTTGCAAGATCTGGAAGGCTTGTTCAACTTGTCAGGTAGATCGCAGCTGATGAGGAGCCAGAATACTCCAACTTTATCGTTTCGGGCGCAATATATATGATGTATATCTCAACGAAATGAAGCTCGAACCATTATCATTTCAAGTGAACAATTAAGAAATCTTTCTCGTGCTCAGGGGGCCGCCTGCCCCGTCACCACACTGCCTTTTGAGCCACGCGCCGGTGCCCAAGATGATAAAAATCGACTGTGACCAACAAGTGAACAACGAAACCACAACCCCGCTACAATCTCCTTGTGCTCATAACCAGCTTAGGGTATCAATAGAACAAAATTTGCACCCTAATCTAGCAATTTCCATGTGCATTTCCTGTAAAGATAGACCAAGCGAAGCAATTTTTGGTAACTGTTCCTCCAAGCTTGTTGAGAACTGTGTCTACGTTACCTAGGTAATGGACGTCAGTCATGCCCTGAGGTCCCTTGTACTTGATCAGTGAGCACTTACAACTGTCTGAGGTAGACTGTAACATCTTCACGCACTTCCCTTCAGGCCCGCTGACAATACTCTTGTCGTATCCGCGTGGCGGGGAAACGCTATATTTCGCCTCGGCACATCGAGGATCTGTGTCGAGCTCAATGGCAATGACTAGTAGCTCAGGAAACGATCCAGTGATTGGTGTTGGCCGGACCTTCGAACCTTCAAAATCGAATGATTGTATTGCAGTTGGGGTGGCGGAGTTGAGTGTTGTTGGACTCTTGCAGAATGATTTGATGGATTTGATCGCGTCATCTCGAGCAATTCCTACGCAACCTATCGGTGAACAATCAATGTATGTCGCGGCTGTGTCGTGTGGTGGTGGAGCACTCGTTGTCGTTGGGATCTTTGTCGGAGTTGGTGAAGGTGAGACAGCAGACTCGGAAGTTGGCGGGGTAGAAAAAGGCGGCGGTGAATTAAGCGAGGATTGTTTACTTGCTGGTGCTGGAGGTAGAGTGGAGCTTGAAATGCTTGTCTCCTGACGTACTGAGCTCAACTTCGACGATGGAACAGAACTGGATTCTAAGGCAGAACTTGGCATAGATGAAGTACTAACAGCAGAGCTTGTAGAGACCCTTGTCGTGAGTCCCGAAGGCCGAACAGTTGTTTGGTCGTTATGGATAGACTGCATGGCCGCGTACGCAAGCGCACTATCGAATGTATATGCTGGATGTACAAACAAATTCGTTACAATGGTAATAGTCCAAAGAGTGGCTTCTGAATCTGCGGTAGCAGTTCTTGTCGCTGGTGGCATATTCGTACTCGAAGAGCTTGATCCGCGGTCGGTACAGTATGTGGAGCATCCCACTGGCGGTCCGCCAAGGGTAGTTGAACAAGCTGTGAGGCATTCAAACGAGTTGATACAGCTAGCGGTCGTTGTGGTAGCTGTATTGGTAACCGAACATCCGCTGTTTGTGATACATGTTGTGGAGCAGGCGGAAGAGCTATCCCCGCTAGCTGACGTTGGACAGATGACTTTACAGGAGGATGCTGTCTGCGTGATACATTCCGAACTGGTCGCTGAGCTTGAGGTTGGGTCCGACTTAGTTTGATCACTTTGCTTCTTGGACTGGCTGTCGTTTTTATTGTCCTTGTTGTCTTTACCAGGATTCGACTTGTCCGTCCCACCACCAGAATCTCCTCCACCTCCTCCGCCTCCTGCTGCACCGCCACCACCTCCACCTCTGATCATAGATTAGTAAAGTGCCTCTCAAACAATCCAGAAACTCGAGGGGGCATAGTATCATACTACGTACCCACCTACACCTCCCCCACCCCCTCCGAAACCCCCAGAAAGTGGTCCGATACCTGGCGGAGGTCCAAGCGACTGCATTGAGAAGCCTTCTTCGCAACTCACTAAGCAAGGAAACTTCCAAGATCGGACTTGTGTTCCTGGGAACATGATGATACCAAAAACACCTGTGGAGTCTGTCTCGGTCGCGGTTTGGATTCCTGTTACTGAAGCAGCCGTAGAAATGAAAGTCGCAGAGTAGGTTACGGTAAGTCCAGCGGAAGTGAGCACAGCGATGGACGTATCAACATTGATTGAAGTCGCAGAAGGTAAGTCTGGGGTCGAACTGGTTCCGGTGCTTGGATTGTTGCTGCTGTCGAGATCTGTACTTGCGCTGGTAGCTGCCAGTGAAGTAATAGACTCCGACGCAGGAGTGTGTAGGTGGTTGGACGGAGTCATCTGCACTGCTGATTCTGAGAGATACGTACCAGTGATATCTCCTGGAGTTGATGACTGTTTGATATCTGTGGTGGTCACAAACGAGGAGGTAGTGGGAGTCGATTCCGACAAGGAAGAGGGTGCTGAAGACAGACGAATGGGGATGCCGTCGGTCTGTGCAGGTGCCATCTTAACTCCTGTTCCAGCTCCAATTGCTCGTTTCAATAATAGGGCTGACTTGTAAGACCAAGTTAGCTTTCTTGATGAGACGGTGGAAAGTGATGCTTGAGGAATGATAGGGCGAGCCAAGGACAGAGAATATGGCTCGTCCAATGATACGACGAAACAAGACTGTAATATCAGCACAACGATACTGGTTAATAATGACCAAGAGAACATCTTTGGTATAAGAGTTGAAATTGATTTGGTAATGTTGTTTGTAGGTCATGAGAGAATGTAGCCATGAACTTAGAACGAACTCGTACACTACCTGACCACTATATGGTTTGAGCGTGGCCTCTGGAGCTCAGTACACGATCTGTCAACATACGATAGATTGGGGGCTAAAATATTTTCTTAGATTCTGACAGATTGCAAGAACTGTTTCGTTTCAGATTGTATCATTTTGTCTCGTTTTAGAGCAACAGCATCTACCAACAGCAAGTACGAGTCCGAAAAATAAAATGGCGCTCGGAAAGTCTTTTAAGTGGTTTTCATGCCATCGACGTTGGTTGGGGAGCCTGTTCAGCGATAAGAACATCTAAAATGACCCAATAGCACATTATATGCGCCGCCGAAATTGAGCTTGTCGCCTCCAGACCAAGATGTCGACACCATCATATAGGTTGGTAGCGGAGATGGACAGAAAAAGAGGCCCCCATGAAGATGCAAACACACCAGCCTTTGTGTCACGCATAGAAACAGGAGGTTGCTTCCGAATCTTGAAATGGAGACCGGAAGGTCATTCAAAAGGTCCCCGGAGCCTTACGAGGGATACGGAGAATTACATCTGGCAGTACCAACGTTTGTGTGCTATTTCCATCTACCAACATCACTTTCATGTAATCGGGCCTTGGCCCCACGACTCGCATATATTGACCTTGAATCCCAGAGGATTTATGGTTTCAATATCAAGGGTATGAAACCATCTCTACCTTCATAAAGGGGGCGGTTCATCGTAGGTGTTGTTCTACAGATAGAATCACTTTCTGGTGTTTGCCGGGTCGCACATGGCCGCAGCAACATGCAGTTGAAGCTCAGGCGAGCCATAGTCACTGGTTGACTCGCGAATATTGTTGTGTATCAGCTAAAGGCAGGCATCATACGGTGCCGACTCAGCTCCGGATTTGAATTGTTGGGGATAGATAGTTCAAGAGATTCGTACCTCTGGGCTCTGGACACCCCGAGAAGAAAGTTACAAATTCGACACGTTTCGCTCACACCGGGGCTATTTTCTTCACATCAAGAAAAGTTCAATCAACCTATCAACATGTTTTCCAAAGAAGTCATTACCATACTTCTCCTCAACTCTTTCGTTGTAGCAACAGCTCCTTTTGGGGACCCTCAACCGTACAACCCATATGGGAGTCCACCATCTCCCCCGGTATTACCTGCACCAGATTGGACCCAAACCAAATTCTTTGATGCTTTCAGGTTCCCAACAGAAGATCTGACGAGAGGATGCTGCATGGAAGATCAAAAGAGCAAGCTGCAAGATGTGTTCAACGAGGTCATGCATCTGGCTCGGCTGGTATATGACTATGTGTCGGAAGAGATTCGGGGTGTAACTACGAATACAGATGTGGGAGATCTCATGTACTATGTCTTCGGTGTTCACCCCAGTTACTACATCTCCAATCCAGAAGGGGGCGGCAGTTATGATGGCGGCGAAGACCCTGTCACAGCCCGAACTCCCACCGAGTTCTGGAAACTACAACATGAGAGGTAAGTGCCCTGCAGCCACCACCTCTATGTCAATAACGGAGCTAACGAGTGTACTTCATGAAGGTCTCATGGTTCTCATAGCCAAACATGGCAAGGGAGATTTATCTTGGAACGGGCTGCAAAAGATCAGGATCACTCGACTGTATTGTGATTCAAGTTGGCTTGTTCCAGAAAAGTACGAGCGGGATGACAAGGGCGCACAGACTGCAATCAAGTTTCCAGACGGCCGTAAGTTTCCAATGAGGATTCCAGTTTTCCAAGACGATTTAACATATTATCAAACAGAAAGATTCTATGACGCAGAAAGTAATTACTTTTCTACGATCCCTTGGGGAGGTAAATTCGAGTTAGAATTAGGCATGTGTGGGCCAGTTGGTCCTGATCCAGAGCACACCGATGCCATCACAGATCTCCTGCGAAATACCATCACCTTCTGCCCAGATGTTTGGAAACCTGACCACCCAGTACAGATGCCCATTGCAATCGCCAATCCTATACAAGACACGCTCAGTCAATAGACACTTTCGACTCGATCAGCTGGAGCTTCATGCATGAGTATACTCACCTGATTGGGCATTCTGGTGAGTTGAATATTGTACGCAATTGGGAATTTTTTGCTAAATATACCTTCTCTTAGTTTTCGGTGGCGAAGGCGTTGTTGACCATGTGAATGCCGCAGGCAAAATAGCTTACGGATTTGCGGAAGCATCCCAGCTCAGCTCGAGTGACAAAGCTATAACTAATGCAGACAGCTATGTTTTATTGGCTGTTGGGTGCTTGCTCAATCAATATAACTGGTCTGATGGATTTTGTAGATATGGGTCGTTGCAGGGATAGGTGCTATGCCGGAATGTCTGATCAGTGCTAGAAGCATCATATCTTGTTGTTCCACGGGCTCAATTTCATTTTCCGGAAACCCTTCATAGAACTTCAATTAAAGAATAACTGCACTCGATCCTATTAGTCACTTACAATGGCAGAGATGAAAGTGCACAGTGAAGCATCTGCCAGGGAGACTTTCTACAACTCGCGGTGAGCGATCCCTAAATCAAGCGGACTGCGCCAATGGCCAGGCTGTTTCAGTGTGGATAGCGGGGTTGTCCCCCGGCCCTTCAAGGCGCCTACCTCCCTGACCTCACCACAAACGACCCAGCAGTGAGACTGATTGGCGCCTGGCATGCAGTAAGACCAACAGTTGGTATTTATAATTAGCAGCTTGTCTTGATTATCAGATTCCATGATATTTCGGCTTCAAAAATGACTGGAGTCTCTCATTCTTTCTTTGACATCCAACTCCTCGCAATCACGGACTCTATTGCCTCTGCTGTGTCTTCTAGAGGAGCATTGAAATACCCAGCCACGAGTCATTAATTATGAATATCAATTGCCCCATCATGTCCGAGATGAACCAGAATTTTTCGTCCCGACCTGTAATCATACTAGCAGCATGCAACTCGCTTCAAACATTGCATTCCGACGTTCTTGTCTTGATTTGTCAATTGGCAAGTGGAATTCTGCGTCGTAATCTCTAAAGATCACTAACAGAATTCTCTGCAGCTTTGCATAACATGTCCGCAGTCCCTCAAAGACTTGGGTAGGACATGTCGACGACTACATCATTTCACGGTGGCATTCGAATACAGAATTCTTCATCTCAATTCCAGACTTCTGATTACCCCAATGAGCCCATCTCTGCAACGATATTGGGACAATGTGCACTGCCACGCACGGCATATCTCAATCTTGGAGAATCTCGACTGGGAGATAGCACTACCATTACTCAGAGGCTGTCAAACAATCTCTGTCATCGAGTGAGTTGACACCCCTTCCTTGAACCTGAAAAGTGGCACTAAAATATTCTTTCAAAGCTGGGGAGTCTGGGGAGAACGTGACGGCTACCAAAGGCCAGAAACATCTCGAATTCCGAAGTTGCTTCAAGATGTCTGGCCCCGGGCACATCTCCGACTCATGAATTATCCATGGCCTAGCAAACTGCGATATAACATGTACACGTACACATTGCCCACAGAAAATATCGTTTATATCTCAACAAAAGCGATGAAAATCAGAAAGAGAGACTTCGGACCCCTTGGACAGGTTATCTCGAACTCGCTCCAATTGAAACTACTACATCTGGATTCAATGCGAGGGGATCAGTTGTGGACAGGCAGACGAACACCACCTATCAGAGAGTTGATGATGTGGGACTGTACCTGGACGTTTACCAAAGAAGAGACCAACGCTGTGTGGGACTTCTCACAACTTCAGATCTTGGATATTTCCGGTATCGACTGTGCAAAGGAATTCTTCAACTCGATATCAGGAGATAGTTTGAATGGTCTACGGAAGCTTGTTGTGACAGGCAAGCATGATGTGCGGTGGGGTGAATGTTGCTCTGCTCAGCTGAACGACCTGATTTCCAGAAGCCATCTCTTGGAAGAGCTTGAGATTGATTGCGACTTGACTTTGATGCTCATTGAGTCTATATATCGACATGCTTATCTGAACAAGTTGAAAATACACGACTTCAGGGGTTTCGGTAAGGATAATATTGTTTGCCCGACTTTGACAGTGGGGGCTTTGGAGGGCCTGCTGGCAACATGCCCGAGGTTGAGGCACTTGTCACTAGATCTGGATTGGACAACGTGCAACGTGAGTTTATGACATCCAAATGAGATTATCTGACTATTCAACTCATAAAATGGGGTTAGGTCGAAGAGTTTCTACGAATTCTAGCAAGATTCCTAAATCTGCAATACCTCAACTTGAGGATGCGATCACGTCTACACGAACTTGGTGGAAACAGCACTTCCTTCGACACTGATCTAGAAGCCGTGAAGCAACATGTATATATTTTAGGCTCGAATAAGGAAGGACTTGGGATGATAACTATAACAATTCGCACCGCGGGGTACAATGAGCTCACCGATCGCAGGACTGCAGAGTGGGATTTACAACGAAAGCAGGGGCATATACCTGAACGTTGCTTTGTGTTTTCTTGGTCGGAGGGCGGCTTGGGTCTGGTCGAGTTGTCGAACAGCCAGTATCGGAAAGCATGAAAGTGGCGGAGTGAGAAACCAATGTCGGATGTTGGCTACCTAGGTAGGCAGTCTCCCGTAGCAGCTCCAGCTTTACTTCACAACCATTACCCCTTCAAGTTCTCAATAGTCTCCTAAATCATGAAATAAATTACCAATGGCGCTTGTATTTAGAGTTGAAGGGCTTTGGTTCCGCAAACCTGTAAAGTTGTGCAGATATTGCAATGTGAAATAACCCCAATTGGGGAGTACTTACAATCACGGTGGCGCCGGCGACGTATACAGGTCTAAGATATGCGCATCGAGGTATTTTCTAGACTGCGCAGATAGAATTAGTACCAGAATCTCCTCGTTTGAATACACTGTTCTCCTTGAGACTTGTTCTGATGCAGATTGGAAAAAACACATTCGTGCGTTGATAGCCTCGCTAAGCACCAAAACAAGGCTAAGCGGGGAAATTCACTCTTGCCCGTACCACCAGCTTACGGAGGAAGAGACATTGGCCCTTCGTTCAATTTCTTCCATATCAATTACACATCGTGAAGACAGTCCTGTTATTTCTGATTGGTTAGAGTCTATTTAGATTCAAAATGTGCTATTTTGTTGCCTTGTCCTGACGTCAGGTCAGGGAAGTCCTGAAGCGATTTCCATGTCCTGATACTCTGCCAAGTCAGCATACGACCAAACTTATAGATGGAATCCTTGATGGCTGGAAATCAGTAGAGGATCTCTCGCGCAGTTGATTTCAAGCCACCCAGAGTTATGTCCAAGCACATGGACGCGTGATTGGAACTGATGGTCGTTTTCTTCAGCGGACCCTCGCCAATATTAAGGCCATTTATTAGCGAGCTTAGCTTCAAGTCCACTTCCTATCCCTGACTCGTTTCTCCCGCGCTGGAACCGGAACATCTTCGACGAACCCATCACACTTCATCGAGTTACTATTGATCTATCAATTAGCCTTATTACAGTGACTATAAGTTGCCAACTTATCCATACAATCATAGACAAAGGAGTAATAAAGCTTAAGTAGTAGTTTGATTTTACGTACATTCCTCGAGAATTGACCCAAGCAGACTCAATTCTGTTATCTCCTGCCCCTCCACCACTACTCATCAGCTCCCTCTTCCGAACCACTCACAATTCCTGGCTAAAATGCAATCGAGGCACAGCAGCCCTCAACCTGTAAGGCTTCCGCCGACGTCGTCGTGTCGCTCTCCTCGCTCCTCACTCGCCAATTTACCCCGCCAAGTACGGATGATCCCTCGGGCGTGCCACAGGACTCGTACACAGACAACCACAGACAAACAAACGCGCGATTATCTTTTGCTCTGTTCTCGGGACACAGCCTGATGATATGCAACGATGATTGATTACAGATTACCAACGCTGTAGTTTTGCTGCAGATCAGGCTGCATGAGGTATCCCGGTCGCCCGCCATCCATCACCACCCTCCACACTCAAGCGATGCAAGTAATCCTCGACGCGGTCCCGTCACCATACTAGTGCTAGGTGCTAGAAGGCTCAGACAAAGAAGAAAAACGCCCCCACAAGATCCAGGCTCCCCAAGCTTGTGGTTGAGCTAATCCTTGGACCTTGCATGAGCTGCCCGACACGCTGATTGGCGATCTCGACAACATCATCCCGCATGTCAGTGATATACAGCTAGGTCAGCTTAGTGGCACACCATTTTGACTTTCAGCTTCTCGGTGTATCCCACCCTCAGAACAACCCAGAGCAAGCCCATCCCGACCAATCCGCGGGGTGTCACACCTAATCTGGGAGAGGAATCGGGGAAAGGAGCAAGGCATGAGGATGGATGGACGAATTGGGTGTTAAGACAGACTAGATCTATAATACAGTAAGACCACCAACACACTCCGGTAAGTACGGATTTCCTGCTGTTTGTCCAGATCACGGTTCTCAACAACCTGCCTACCTACCTACTTCTTCTACCTTGGCTCTAAACCCCGCCATCTCCCCACCGAGCTATCAGAATATCCATCTATCACTCGGACACCAGCGTTGTGCAAAGCACGGCAGCCCATGCGAAACATTAGTCCTACCAAGCTACCATCTATCAAGCAGACTAACCCGAGCCTCGCCATAACTTACCTGTTTCTTTCATCCTCCATCTCTCACATCTTTGAATGATACAAAAGCCGCACATCTGACCTCACAATTGTATAACTCGGTCTCATTTACAACTCAATGCAATCCGAGTAATCTCATTTCATGTCATCCGGCCTCAATCTGTAGGCAACCGACGGGATAGTGTACGATACGGGATAGTGTACGATACACCACCGGCATCACGCAATACCGCCGAGCTGTAACTCTCACTATCCACTCGACAAGCCAATCCGTTCTGCTCTACTCAAACAACTGTACACAGAGCCTAGAACACGGAATACAGAATACAGTTGAATGTAACTCATCATGGCACATACTCATTCTCATTCCCGCTCCCGCTCATACTCTAACTCTCACACAACAACCCACACCAGGCAACTCTACCCCGAAACCCTCCGACGAATCCACCTCGTCCTCCGCACCATCGGTCTCGGCCTTGCCATCGCCCTCCTCGTCGTAGCCATCATCCTAACAACCCGCACAGGCGACACGCCGCCCATCACGTACGTGGCCGTGATCTGGTCGTTACTGCTCAACCTGTTCGATTGGACGTGTTTACTGCTGCGTGGACGCATCCCGCCGGGGGCGTTGATGTCACTGGATTTGATTGCGGTGGGGTTGTTGGTTGGGGGCGTGATTAATTTGGCTGTTGTGAATTATAGGGGAGATGGAGATGTGGATGTGGGTGGGAAGGATGGGAATTTGGTGGTAGCGGAGAGGTGGTTGCAGGGAATCTTGATGTATGTATTTCTCTATTCTTTGGTTGTGACTCTGAAACCCCAAGTCCTCGGCTGCTATAGTTTCTCACCTGATTCGAAATCACGCTTCGAGTTGTGGAGAGCTGTAATATTGTCATGGGATGTGGATGAAGAGCGATATTGACCATCTCACAGTGGCGTCCACGGCGTTCTAGTTGGCTACGGCTGTCTCGACTGCAGCGTGTGGCTCAACATGCGCAACTATCGCGAGGAAGAAATCGTCCGGGTGAGAGGCAGTAGGGGGAGTAGGCGAAGTAGTGGAAGAGGAAGCTATCGGGAGACGGAGACTGTGAGAGTTACTGTGAGGAAATGACGATCAGGATTTCTCTGGAGGCGTAAGTTTGATGTTGTGATTTTGTTACGCTTGGAGTTTGGAGTTGCTGGGCAGGAGTAGATGGTATTTGGGCATTGACTGGGTTATGACGGATGAAGGATGTTGGGTCATGGCTTGTGAGGAGCGTATCATTCTTTAATCGGGTAAGGACGTGACGAATGAGGGCTTGACGACTGGTATGAGGGTACGGCGCAGATAATTTTGTTATCCAATTAGCCTCATGAGGGGTATGAGGGAGAGGAGTGGGAAGCATGGGTTGTACGAATCTCGGGTGACAAGCGAGGAAAGGGTCAATATTAGACTAGACGGTGAGCTTTGTTCTTTGATGGCCATTCAAGGCACGACGAGAACATCAGAGAGACAAGGACAGATTATACGCATTCAAGATTTCCACTCAGATCGTACTGATAGATCAAGTAAGACGGATAAATATCCAGACTCCAAACCCTAGGTTTTCAACTTCCAAATACCATGAGCTCGTGCAAACGAAAGCAAAATCCAAACACTGAGTATTACTTTGTCCCATCCCGCTCCATTTTCTAAACTCATATCTTTTAAAACTTCTTCATTCTCAGCTGCATCGCAATCAGAACAACCGGTAATACGCTAACCAACTCCCCAAGTCCCGCATACGCGGGAGGTATCCTCGCCCTTGGAAAGGCACCAGCAGCAAGCAGGATCGCGAACAGATTATACACAAAGCTCCAAGCAAAGTTGAACACCACTCGCCGATAGAAAGCCTTCGACAGATCAATGAGCGTGATGATGCGTTTAAGAGATGCGTTCATGAGGACTGCATCTGCTGCACTATGAGCAACGTCTGTTCCGCCATTGATATGGAGCCCGATGCTAGCTTGAGCAAGGGCAACGGCGTCGTTGGTACCGTCGCCGCAGAAGAGGACGGTACTGTTAGGCAGGGACTGTTGTTCTTTCACGTAGGCCGCTTTTTGGGCGGGAGTGCAGCCGGAGCGAATGTTAGGCTGGGGAATGTTGAGCTCAGCACCGATGGTGGTAACGACATGCTCGTTGTCGCCACTGATGAGTGAGATTGAGATGTTGCGACTTTTGAGTTCCTGGATTGTCTCGAGGGCATCAGGTCGGAGTTGGTCTTGTAAGCCGAATACGGCTGCGAGGGTCCCGTTGCTTTCGACACAGAAGATTGTCAAATTATGATGTAGGAGTGACAGGACGGCCGGAGAGTCCTCCACCAGGAGCCATTGAGGACTTCCTCCTCGAATCTGATCCCCGTTGTACGTTGCTTCCATACCCTTTCCGGGTCTTGAGACCAAATGCTCCAAATGAACCGGCTTGAGCCCTTGTTCTTGCAAAAAGTGATGCACACCACTTGCTACTGGATGCTTGCTATTGCCTGCTAACGCCATAATTATTGATGGAAGCTGCTCAGAATGGTCCAGGTAGGAGTGATTAACCACAGAAAGATTTCCTTGTGTCAAGGTACCCGTCTTATCGAAGATGACATGAGTAATTTTTCGTCCAATCTCGATGCCCTCAGTTGATTTGAAAATCAATCCGTACCTGGCTCCAATCCCACCGGCGATAACGAGTACCATAGGAACAGCAAGACCAATCGCACAGGGACAAGAGACAATCAGCGTCGAGATGGCATAAGTCATAGCATTGATGCAAGCTGTTGAAGTGCTTTCGTGTCGAACAGACTTGCCAACTGCCACCCACACTAGGAATACCAATGCTGTTAAGACTATGATAGCTGGTGTGAAGTAGCTGGCGACCCAATCAGCCATCTCTTGGACTTTGGCTTTTGATGACTTCGCGTCGTCTACCAGAGTACCAATGGCTTGGATGCTGTTTTCGTGTGGTAACCGAGTTAGCTCGACGAGCAACTTGCCAGAATGATTAGTCGAGCCAGCGATGACTGACATGCCTGGCTTCTTCAAGCGAAGCATTGTTTCGCCTGTAATGAAACACTCGTTGACCTCCGTCTCTCCTACCAAGATCACCCCGTCTGTGACAATGCGAGTATCGGGTAGAACCTTGAACTTGTCGCCATATTGAAGAAGTCGACAATCGATCACTTCCTCTAGTGTCGGGTTTTCCGAATCCACAATAATCACTGTCGGTTCTTGCAGGGCCTGGATGGATATCGATTCAACGGCTTTCTGGCGAGAATATGCTGCGGCAGTTCTCCCCACCAAAATGAGAGTGACTAGTAGCGTACTTGTTTCGAAGTAGTCGCCAGTTGAGAGCCGATGTCCACTCAGCATGAATGCAAATGCAATGACCGAATACACATACGCCGAACTTGTACTCAGCACAACCAAAATATCCATCTCGATCGTCCGGGAGTATCTGAGTGTTTTGTATGCCCTGATGTAGAAGCCATGTGCGAGAAGCTGAACCATTGTTGCCAAAACAAGTGAAACTCCGCCATAAATTATCTCGTTGTCTGGCAAGTTGGCATAAGCCAGTACAAGAACGGGTATCGTCAGAAATGCAGATATGATTGCAAGAAGGAAGGACTTGTGAACTTCTGCGCGACCGGAAACAACAATTCTAGATGTTGGCGCTGGGGCGAATTGGGCAGATTGAAAAAACGGGTCCTCGAGAAGTGTCCTGGCGCCTATAATCTCGGGCATGTAGGAGATACGAAGTGTTTCCCGGCCGACAGATCTCATGCTTGTCATTCCTGGAGGCCATGGACCATCTAAACTCGAGACTCCAGCCGGTAAGATCAAGTCAAGTTCCCCTCCAGAGTCAGCAATTCTCGTACATGAGAAGCCTGTCATCTTCTCGATGACTTCGGAAATGTTAGTGCCGTTGAGAAATCTTGATGGCTTCAATCTGAATTCCGCCTGTGCAAGAAGTAGACTGATTTTGACGTCCGATATGGCTTCCACGGAATCCAAGACCTTTCGCAAATTCGCTTCGCAACCTGTACAGGTCATCCCTTGCACGCTTATGACAATCCTCTCCACCTGAAAAGCAGACCCGTTGTCGATTTGTACGATTGACGACTTTGATATGTGCCCAGCCTTGACATTATCCGAATGCGAATCTGTCACATCGGGTTTCTCATGTGGATGACCCGCCAGTTTCCGAACACAGCACATTTTGTTAGAGCAATCCGTGACCTTTGGTGAAGTAGACATAGGTATGCTCTTTGAGACATCAGAGCAGCAACTTTTGCTATGATTGAAGTGTGATGTGTCTCCGCAAGTCGTGTAAAGATTCCTCTGCTGTCCGTGGTGACGGGCAACCTCGCAGACTTCGCGGTCCCCTAGGCTGGAGCTAGAAAATTCCTGCGCTTCAGCTGGCTCTTCACTGCATGAATAACTGTGACAATAAGGTTCCTCATACTGGTCTTCTAGACCATTGAGATGGGTCTCGCTGTAGCATCTCGGCATGACGAGCTGTTAACGGCCTGAGCTATGCCGAGAGTCGCATATATTGTGGAAAGTATCACTCGCAGCATAGTTTTCTGAATGGGATCGATGCTTTTACATACTTGACACAAAGGAATGGATGAAATGACAGAGCAGGTATCCGAAATCGCGGGTGTCAACCCCATTCCATGGTATGAAACATTCCCGAGATCAGGAGTGAGGTCCAATAATATCAATCCATGATAGGCCCAGTCGGCAGTCTGCAAATCTTTCTGTGGCAGTCTCATAAACTCGACAAAGCTCGAAATGTTAGTATGCTAATACAGAAACGTTTTGATAGGCAGGACCTAGTCATGTCTCGGAAACCTGCAGCATTGTAACCTGTTAAGACTCGCCTATCCGGAGAGCAGTAGATCTGTTCCTTGTCCTTTGAGACATCGAGACTTACAGAGTTCTTGTTTTCCAAGGTAATATTCTCTAGAAATCTCCAGAAGAAAAGGGACCATTTGGCACCCAGCTTGTTTTGGTCGCATCCTCTCTGTCGTCGGGCATCCGCCGTCAAGTAACAACAATGGGAGAGAGCCAGCTACATTTCCCTTGTGATGTGGCCCGGCGGAGCATTATTCCGTATCGACTACTGCCCTAAACACACAGCATTGGCCGCCGTTCTGGTGACGCGTAACAGTTGGATAAGTTGATGCACGGGAAGGGACATCAACGATCAGGTCACACGTTGAAGCAAGCAGTCCGTGCTCGCGATGGTCGAGATCGACACCGCGCTGTGTATGGAATGGCTTACCTAACCCGTATATACATATGTAAGGATGTGGTTGAATACTGTGGCCTAGGGTTTGTTAGGTGTTGATGTTGAAGTTGATGTTGACGTTGATCACGATGCCGAACTCGCCTCACCACCGTCGCCTTGCCAAGCAACCAGCGGCCGCAAGGCTGCACGAGGCTGAGACGTCAGCGCGGCGCAACGTTGAAACTACGGTGATCGAGAAAACTTCAAGTGAAGATACTCACATGCGTGGGAGCCTTTGACGTCAAACAGCGCTTTTGGTGCCCGCCTAACAATGCATGCTGTCAACGTCGCATGTGGCCTCTTGAGCTTCATGTTCAATTCTATCTCATTGCCCTCGAACTTCCCAGTATTCCGATAGAGAGTCCCCATGTCGGCGAACGCAGAAGCCGGTCAAGCCGGGTCAGGCTCTGGATCGAGCCCAGAAGATGCACCTCTACAAATGGAACAGACAGCGACAGTCGATGGGAAACCCCTCGAGAAGACAATATCGTGTACCTCATGTCGAAAACGGAAGCTAAAGTGCGATCGTGTCAAACCAAGCTGCGGAACTTGTTCAAGATTGCGCCATGACTGCGAATATCCTGAACGGCGGAGGAATCTAGGATCTAAGCGGCGCAACATGAAGGAATTGGAAGCAAGACTGGGTAGGCGACTGGTGCATCTATTTCTATGAAAGATGTCTGACGATACCCAGCGGAAGTTGAAACCAGACTTGTGGCGGAAACAAAGGCTGCGGCTGCCGCAGCTGCGGCAAATACCCAAGCTCCAACTACAGCGCCGGCACCAGCACCAGCTACTACATCCGTTGAAACCGACTGGAATGCTATTGGAATGGATATGGACATGGATATGAACATCGATCTTAGTGGCCCTCCACTCTTGGAACCAAACTTTGAGATGCCATCAACTGGTTTCGGAGCCGTAGATACGGAACCATCTCCAGCAAATAACTTTTATTCTCAGGAACTTCTGCAGCTGGGACTCGACGAGCCCCTTCCGCCACAAGGAATGATGGATGAACTGTATTTCTCCCTTAAATGTCGTATGGTGAGATGCTGAAACTTCTAGGCATCAAATATATTTCGATTTGTTTCACCCAACCATGCCACTGATGCACAAGTATCGATATTACGCATCCTTAGACAGAGCACCACAAGCACGCCCCCCTGTATGTCTCCGGTATGCTATGTGGGCGACGGCTTGCTCTTTGTCCGACAAGTATATGTGCCTCGAAGATCTCATGTATCAACGCGCGAGACACTATATTCAGGCTGCAGAGATGAAAGTGAGTCGGCATTAAACCGGTCGTATAGTGATAACTGCTAAAGTATCAGGGACACGGCGAAGCATTCGTGACTATATATCACGCACAGACCTGGGCCTTGATCGCTTTCTTCGAGGCGAAGAAAACCTACTTCTCCCGATCCTGGATGAGCACTGGACGAGCAGTACGACTGGCACAAATGCTCGGGTTGTATCGACTTGATGCTGAGGGCTCAGAAGTGAAGCAGATATTGCCTCCTCCCAGGGATTGGATTGAGCTTGAGGAACGACGCCGTACTTTTTGGGCGGCGTTCTATGGTGATAGATGGGCAAGTTCTGGTACTGGCTGGCCCATGCTAATCAACGAAACCGAGGTTTGTAAACTGTGCCTTCTACCTGAAAAGATGCTTACCTTGACTTAGATTAGAACAAATCTTCCTGCGTCTGAAGAAGCTTTCGAATTAGGTGTCGCTGAACAAACCCCATCCCTCGCAGAAGCGCTCACCCCCGAAGGAGCGAGCACTATTTCCCCTTTTGGTGGCGTCATTTTGTCCGCCACACTTTACGGTCATAACTTTGAGCATTTACATCGCACTGGACCTAATGAGAACCCTAATGATCCTGCAAATGGTGAATTCTGGAAACGGCATCGAAAAATGGACAACGTCCTTTCGAATACCTTCATGTTTTTGCCAGATCATTTGAGACTTCCTGCTGGCCTTCGGAACATGAATATCGTATTTCTACACATGAATATTCATGCATCGTCAATATGCTTGCACCAAGCTGCGATAGTGACTGCGAACAAACACAATATTGCTGGCAATATAGTTCGTCAAAGCGAGGCTCGATGTCTCATGGCGGCTGAAGAGATTACCAATATAATGCGGCTGATATGCCACGTGGACGCCTCCAAGGTAAGAGCTACCTCCGCTCAAATATAAAACAAAAAAACTCTGTTAAAACTGCAGCAGATGAATTCCTGGGTGGGATTCTGCCTCTATGTCGCAGCCAGTGTATTTTTAAAGGATCAAAAATCGGCCAAACCGAACCCTCAAAATATCGTCAACATAGAATTCCTTCAGGCCGCAATGTCTGCAATTGGACTTAAACATTCCATCACAAAGCACTTCTCTACCCAACTTGAGCTTGACGTTGAATCAATCGGTCTGAAGCCCTCGAAACATGCCGGGCCTGCAAACCGAATGCCCAACACGCCAATCAACGGGCTTCTAGCTGATCGTAATGGAGTACCAATGACAGTTGATAACCTCAACCATTATGCTAGCACGGCTGTGCCAACATCCAGTGTTGGTGGAGATGGTGCACAATTTACGATACGGCCAGGTGGTACCGTCATGGATTGCACTGCTTACCTGGGAATTAATCCAATTCGTAGCGACAGCTCCAGTGCTGCAGATAGTCCAAATGACCCACAGCCTCCATGGACTGGTTCAGCGCCTGCAATGAATGGACTCAAACTCAAAGCAGATGACAGTCGAAAGAAGTCCTCTGTTGACATTTCCGCCAGTTCGAATTTTGCAACGCCTGAGAGCACCAGCTCAAATAACGCGCAGTTTCCTTATCGACAGCCTACCGATGCTACCAGTCAGAGCAATCCAGTTGATATGTTCCCTTGGGCTGAACCGAATCCATTCACGACTCCTAGTGAATGGACTGCCACTGGTGCTTCAGCAGATAAATATAACCTCGCAGAAGGGGTGGAGTCATTTCTGCAAAATAATGGATGGGATCATGATCCTATCATGAATCCCCGCTGATCCATGGCTCTACAGGTCTGTATAGGCCACCTAAGAACGTATTATACCTGTGGCCGGCACCAATTTCGGAAGGGAAGTTACGAATTGACAGAGATATTTCGAACACAGACACCAGCAGCTCGCCAAGGTCTGCTGCCTCCGTCCATCTACATCAACATCATCACCACACCTCTCCACAAGCAGAGTCTGCTTTACAATCAGCTTATGAAACTCATCCAGCTCATTCCGGCGGTGACGAAATTGTATTTTCGGATTTGCCACAGCTTCCGAAATTTCTTGTCATTGATACACCTTTGACACCCTACGAATATTTAATTTATCTTGTACTCAATATACCCCGGACGGGTAATCTGGTGGTGTTGGTCTTGTTCTAGATGGATTGGTATGGGATTGAAGTAGATGAGTGTCAGGTTTGACTGGTTCGCTCTTCAAGAGGTGAGTATAGAGACTCTTAGAACCATCTGTACAGCGAGTTCGAAATGAAGCACTTTCTAATCAACATTCGGCTCACTTTTCGGTCCTTCAAGCACTTTTCTGTGATACCATTCTGCTCACAAAGATCGCACTCTCGAGAACGATTCTGGGCAGGTTGGTACCCTGGCTTTCAAGGTCAAAATACGCAATGAAGAAAGAAGCTTTATCCTCTGGAGGTTCTGATCTTCAGTTGACTGGACTGTCTGCAATTGGTCTCTCAGCTTCGACGTAGGCCATTATTCCAGTGCCTTTATCAGGTCTTCCATACTTGCGTTAGTTACCATAGACTTCGCAGTCGGAAGTCTATCATCTGTGCGGCACAAGTCATTTCTCTAGTGGGCCTTGGGACGGACACGTACAATCAGTCAGCCAGAGGCGTACAGCATAATTTGCAACTGGTTGCCCAGAAACAAGATGGTCAAATCCAAGCTAAGTGCCGATGACTGTATGTCGCGGAGATTCAGCGGAGGATCAGATATGGGTAAGCAGACCTCCGGCAACGCGTTCTTCTTATGGCAGCTGATTGGTCTACGCTTCCCAGCATGACGGAGGGTCGTTTTACGTACGCTCCCCACCACCTTGGTCGTCCTCCCTCTCAAACGCCTCAACCACCAAAACTGTGTTTAAATATATGCATCCAACGGACGTTCTCGATCATCCATCGATACCCGTCACTGGCATATATATCTTATGCTTGAGATCTTCAAGGCAATGCCGGGCATGATTTTATCTCCATATGTTCCCAGCCAGGATGAAAAGGGCCAACCAAGAGGGTCAACGGCGAGCAGGCAGAGGTTCAAGCCACAATTATCATGCACATTTTGCAAACATCGGAACTGGGTTTCCCAATCATCACACTGAAGCACAATTGGAGCCTGCAATATTGGAATTGCACAATTGGCCTGGATGAATCCAATACGTCTCATTAATACCAGTCATGATGAAGTTTCACTACATCGAGAAAGCTTCGTCGAAATAGCTCAGACCAAAACGGATCGATACTGGCCTTAGGCATGCTTACTAACCCACTCGTAGGCTCAAATGCAACAGAAACTTACCTTTTGGGAACTGCGTGAAGAGGAACCAAGCTCCAACATGCACATATGTGCACGCTCCAGCTCGAGGAAAGTCCTCGCAAGTTTCCAAAGCCAGCAGAGGTGGTTTAGGATCTCGAGATATTCAATCTCAAATAGAGCATCTTGAAGAGATGGTCATTTTGGTGATGAACCAGACAACGAAATTCAAGCCTGCTATAACTGCTCCGATACATGAGCTCGTGACGCCGAACAGCTCTCCAGATCACGGCATCCTTAATTTTGGAGAGTCCGAAGATGGCGATGGCGAACAAGTCATTATGTCTGGAACGGGCTCGGGACACACGACGGAGTTATTTGGACGAATCAGCATGGAAGATGACCAGGCAAATAATGTGGGGAGTGCTCATTGGGCAGCAATCCTTGATAATGTAGGTCTGATGTCTGCCCAAGGTTCTCCCTTCAAAGAGGCCACACAGCGAATCCACGACGATTGGGTACTCAAATTCAAAACATAGGATCACCACAGTCTTCGGCCAAATTGTCGATCAGGCGAAATCGACATATCCCATCTCTTACTCACAAGTCATGGCGCTTGACAAGAAGCTCCACAAAGCATATCAACAAGCAGCAGATCCGATTATGATCGCTTTTATAGACGATCATTTTATCGGATCACCAACGACCAGACTCAGAAAGTTTTCCGTGGATCTGACGTTCCAAAAAGCTCGCTGCGTTCTGCATCGAAAATTCTTCGTAGTATCGAAGACAACAGCCTCATATCCATACCCATATTCTGCGAAGACCTGCGTCGAATCCTCCATGCGTATCCTCCAATCCCAGATCCTCATGGACCGCGAAATAAACGTCGGCCATCCTCTCGACGGCCACAGATGGAAGACATCCTCCCTCATATCGCACAATTTTCTGCTCGCAGCAATGCTTATCTGTCTGTACGTTGAGATCAGTATTGTTGAGAATACTGCAAGTCAAGGACGCGCAAACACAAGTATACGAATCAAATGGACGCAAGAGGAAACGATAAATGCTTTGCAAGGGTTGTACAAGATATGGGAGGAGCGGAGCGCAGTTTCTAAGGAGGCTTTGAAGGCTTCGAAGGCGCTGAAAGTTACGTTGGCGAAAGTAAGGGCTCATGAGCCGGTGATGGGAAGGGGTATGAATACCTCGCAAGGTGTTGGGCCTTCTGCGACAGCGGCTGAAAATGGTGCGGGCATGATGCAATCGCGTAAGTCCACGTGCTGACCCCCTTGTAAAGGTGACTGCATTCATGCTGAGGCTCCTAGATCCCAGTCAGCATAACCCATCGAACATTTATTCCCAAAGCTCATCGATGTTCGGAGTTTTCTCGCCATTTTGGACATCAGGATAATACCAGTCTTCAGCTGACAGCAATCTTCAACCTCTTTGTGATGACCAAGCGGTGGCAATAGATGCACTCGACTGGGTAGGTGACTCCAAATTTCAATCCCGCTAGACCAAAAAAAGCAAGCAAGACAGCTTCGAGAAGGTTGCTGACAACCCACGTGTCTTTAGGAAACCTGGGATAATCACTTCTCAGCTACCAACGGCCTCACAGATACCCCTCCAGTATTGTGGAACTTCGATCCGAGCCTTCCGTACACCGACGCTAATGCCAGCTTTATGCAGTGGAGCGAGTAGCGTTAAGCTTGGATGCATTGAATACAGCCTCGGACATGTGGACGTGGACAGGGATGGCGAATAGGCTCAGCGATTTCTGCTTGAAGAAGGGAAGTTCTGATGGGGCATTGTGGCAAAGTCGCTCAAAAGAAGTCCTGACAAAGTCATCGTGGACAGACAACGTGCTTAACGAGAAATGAAGATACACCTGCAAGAGCAGGGATTCGGCGAAAAAAAGGGGGTGTGGTGGATCAATTCAAGCTTTGATGGGCGAATAAAGCCTTGAGCTGTACCCCTGTTTATGTCTGCACCACCATAGCTCCTAGTGATATGAAGAACATCAAAAGAAAGGGGATTAGAATTCCATCCCGGAGTGTGTCAAATTGAAGGCTATGATGAGCAAATGTTTCCTCATTTGATCATTAATAGTTAGGCGCGCAAACTGGGATATCGATGTGCTTCTATTGACAGGCTCGCTGACGAGGAACTGAGACATCGATATCATCCTCAGCTGAGTTGGGAGACTATCGGCAGCTTTTTGATCAGCATTATGCGGTCAGCGGGCTCTTTATTGTAACACAACATGCCCTATAACTATGTATGAAAATGTTTACTCAGCAAGGAAGCTGCGGATGCTCGGGGTGTACACCGAGCCAGATGATGAAAACATAGTTAGCAAAAGGACAGTGACGTGATGGATCGTAGGGCTAGTAAACGGGAATTATCCGGCATTTCTTACCTGGTCTCTGACAGGTACATTAGAATCTGGCCATGTTGCTGCTATACATCTCAAAAGCTTGCTAAAAAGAAGCCTTTTTAGCTGCGGGAGATCGCTTCCTGAAACAAAACAACAACTCCACCAGAGGCTCGCATCGCTTAGCTGATCTGCAGCTCGAGTACCATTTCCTGCAAACCAAGCAGCGTCGATCTTGGAAAAGTAGGGCAATACCTTCCCTCGGAGTTGCTCGGTGTGTTCGTCAACTAAAGTGGATTGTTGATTACGTGATCTATGATTGTTAACTCAGATACATCATGCGGATCATTCGCTACGTCCTACCCATGTCAAAAGGGCAGGAGGGTGTGACAGTGTCCATGTAAGATATTGCATCCGAGCCTGAACAAGACTCAATGGTGAAAAAGAAATGGTATACGCGTATACTGGGGCTAAGCCGTCATATGATGCCCTCAGAACAAGCATACCCTTCTAGACCCAAGGCTTTTTCGCTAGGCTTGTTCAAATTTCAAGACACCAAATGCTCCTTTTTGACTCGAGTAACAGGTTAGGGAACTGATTATGGCATAGCTTGCGCCTTTGTGATGCTACATATCCTGAGTGAAATGGACGAATTAGATGACAGTGACTCAAGATCTCAACGTACATATTCATCTCGACGGGGAAGATAAGGTGAACCTCCATTATATAAAGGGCCGAGATGCCTACCAAAAGATACCTTTCTCCTCACCCATCAGCAATTCTTCTACAAGAAGCCTCCATCTCCATCCATTTTTCTTCCACCTGCTAGCCATTCTTACACAGAAATCAACAAGCTCCGTCCAGTCACCATGTTGTTTCACCCCAGAGCCAAAGGCGCAAGCTTTCTTTTCGCTGTTGCTGCTTTCGAACATCTAGTTTCAGGTGCTCCAACTGGCACCTCACCTGCACCCTCTGCAACGTCACTGCTTGGCTACAACCCCGCCAACGGCGTCCAATTCCAGGATACTGACAACATTCTGTTCTCCCTACTTCCAGCCCAGACTCAAGATGCCAAGATCGGAGCCTCATTCGATTTCAACGGTGTCGAAAACCCGCAGCCAATCCGCGGCAGCAAAGGTGGTCTTGACCCAGGGCCGAGAACAACGGAGTATGACGTCCTCAACCCGGACAAGCTTGCACCACCGGGAACTGATCACGGAAATGTGGCTAATGCCGAATGGCCCCTGGGACTGAGCCATAACAAGCTGGGACTTGGTCGTGCGGGGTGGTCGAGGCAACAGAATATCGATAACATTCCCGCGGCTACTGAGATGGCAGGCGTTGATATGCGATTGGAACCTGGTGGATACCGTGAATTGCATTGGCACACTGCTGCCGAGTGGTCGTATGTTCTTAACGGGAGTGTGAGAATTCAGGCTGTAACGGAGGATGGCCAGACGTTTGTGGATGATTTGAGTGCTGGTGATGTTTGGTTCTTTCCGGCGTAAGTCAGGATTGCTACCCTCAGCTGAAATTTGCTAAAAGTATTCAAGTGGCGTTCCTCATTCTCTCCAAGCTTTAGATGGTGGTGTGGAATTCCTACTTGTCTTCGATGATGGAAGCTTTTCTGAAGACAGCACTTTCCTCATTTCCGAGACCTTTGCTCTCAAACCGGTGAGACTTCCCCATAAAAATCACTATACTCTATATTCTGACACAATCTAGAAATCGGTCTTATCTAAGAACTTTGGAGGTCTTCCCCTGTCCGCTTGGGACAACATCCCAAGCGGTGAACTGTTCATATTTCCAGGCACACCTGCACCAAAAGACATTGCGGAACAGAACATTGTCGGCTCAGCTGGTGTCCTACCCATTGAACAATCGTACAGTTACCATCTTTCGAAAGCGGATCCTACGATTACGACGGCTGGTGGAAGTGTGAAGATTATTGATCCTAAGACATTTCCCATAGCCAGCAAGTTCTCGGCAGCTATTGTTACGATCAAGCCTGGAGCAATCAGAGAAATTCACTGGCACACGTAAGCATACTCAGGAAATCTACCCTTGGCGTTTTGGTCAAGAAGCTGACTTTATTGATTAGAACCTCTGATGAGTGGAAGTATGTTCCCCGATGCCAGGTTTGACTTAACTCTTGTGGGGATCAGTACTGACGTTTTCCAGTTTCTTCATTTCAGGCGACGCGAGAATTGGAATCTACGTACGTCTTTTCTCCAGGTCTTTCAATAAGAACCGGTAAATCAAAGCTAATTCCCATTCTAGGCCACCCAAGGCAATGCTCGCACCTTCAATTACCACGCCGGCGACTGCGGGTACATCCCAAAAGACATGACGCACTATGTCGAAAACATTGGCTCCGACGATGTTGTGTTCATCGAGGTTCTCCAGGCGGATCATTTCTCCGATATCTCCGTCGGGCAATGGGTTGGACTTACCCCGCCGCAGATCATCATGGATACCCTCAATTTGACGAACTCCACTGTCTCGCAGTTCAAGAAGGAGAAGCAGTATGTTGTTCAAGGTTGATTTGGTTGTTGAGAAGACTACTGGGGGGCTTTCGTGTGGATGTAGGGAGACAGCGGAGGGATTGTGGAAGGAGTCAGATGGTCTAGTGGTCTGAACCATCGAACAGTTCTTACCCGTGTTGGCAGAAAATGGTTGGCGGCATGCATAGTCTATTGTCTCATACAGATGCTGTGTATTTTCCAGTCCATTATGCATGCAGACTTCAACTTTCTCATGAAATATTTAAACCAGACTGCCACAAATCAGCAGGAAAGTAAGGATGTTGATTTGGATTTTCTGTCTCAGACAATTTAGACAAGTTTCTAGGGAGTGTGAATAATAGGCAGGAAAACCGATGATGCGCAAGACTGCAGTCTAGAATATCACTACACTCTCGACGACAGCTTTAGCCTTTGCGACTCAGTGCTAGAACTCTGGGGGCGAGTATAGTCTTCCAAATCGACCGAGTCTGCCTTGGTCCGGAGTGTTCATTACTCTCATGAATAGTTGGAGGGATGTCTTTTGCTAGAGATTTATTGCATTGTAAATGTTGAGCACGCGCATTCTGGTATCATTGTCCACCCTCCCTTGCTCAGAATCTGCAAAATATGATTCCAAGGTTATCCTCGATTTTCAGTTCGTTCAAGCAAGGAGCCCCAAGTTCAACAATCCTGCTCGTAGATCGCTAAGTCTTTGTGACATGTAGCTCGCCCGATCTTTGACGTTTTCAGCAGCAGCTTTAGTCAACTTCAACGTCGAGTCTATCTGCTGTGAAGAGTTTGGGGCGTCTTGCGGGCAGGGAATCTCTGATGCCAGGTCGATTGCATAACTGCAGAGCTGAGAGGCAAACTGGACGAGGAGGAGCATCTGCATCGGTACTGCTGAAGATGGTGGAGGGGTGTAACTGCCGATAGAGAGTGTGGGTGCTGATATTGCTGCTTGCCTGGCGTTTTTGGCCATTCCTCTCTGGCTGACACAGACATCCATGTGCTTGAACAGCGTGTCGTAGATTTCCACCACTCGGAGATGGCAAGATATCAGAAGTAAGATGGAAGCATGGTCCAACGGCTGCTTCGCATTCGACGATGTAGTGGATGAGGCTGTGCCTGAAGAAGAACTTCGTCTATTATTCTCGGAGATATCATTGCTTGAGCAGTTGGAGTCTGGTGTGGTGGATTGAGTGGATGGCGTTGGGTTGACGAATACATGCAGAAACCCGGGATAAATCTCGATCAAGCTTTGCGTCAATCTGAAGGTGTCTTCCAGAACATATCCATCGCTTTGCGAGCACGCAACATCAAGATCTGGTGCCAGATCATCATGTATTGAGAGTGGTGGTAGCGTGGCTTTGTGATCCGAGAGGTCGACGTTGAGCTGCGAGAGCTTCCTTACGAAGCTTCTAGCCGAATCTGGCTCTGGATATTTTACCCCATACGGCCAGGCATATTGGATATTACCACGTGAGCTGCTACTAGTCTTTGGCCGGGACACGCTTTCACTAGGTGGGAGATTGGAGATCCCTAGGAGAGAACCATCAAGGTTGGCGTTTCTCCGACATTGCACTTCGTTCGTAGCTGCCAAAACGTTCAGATCTTCAGGGACCGGTATGTTGAAGTCGATAGGAGGACACTGGATGGGACTGCCAAAGACGAAGCTGTTAAAGGTATTATCTAAAGCAAAGTCTTCTGTGGGAAATGGGGTCGTCATCCAGTCAAGACCAAGAAGGTCACTGTCAACATTGACGATCTGGACTGGAGGATCGGTTAAATCAACACCATATAAAGAGCCTGCGATATTTAGATCAAATGACAGGAGAAAAACAGTCGATTAGACACTCACTTGATGGAACAATGTCCTGATCCACACGCTTTCTTTTCTGACCCACAAGGTCAAGTATATCAGAATTTCCCTCTGGCGTACGGCCTTGGGGATGCGGGGTCATCACAGCTGCAACTGTCTCCTCATCGGCGTTTTCTTCAGGGGGCTTCTTCTGCCGAAATGGCCTGAATGTACACGGTGTTCGAGCTTTCATGCAGCGGCCACATATCATTGACCCACTAGTCCTGGGACATCTGATCTTCTGCGAGTGACATCGGTCACAGGCCGCACGAAGTCGAACTTCATCACCCATTCTGAATATATGATACTTTGGTGATAGGCCGAGCCAATAAGCCAGGGAAAGGTATGATGAATTCTGGTATCGAGGAAGCCGGCGGAGAGATTAAGACCATGAGATACCAACCGCGAAGCATTTCCACTTTGCTGGCATGGAATGCTTCATGAAAAACAGGAACTCATGGGCTCGAATATGCCGCTAATTTGATAATAGCACGGAGGAAGTGAGGTGCAGTATCTAAGGACACCTCCAACCAGGCTGCTGCTTGACGACAGTACGTTGAGCTGACGTTCAGACGGCACAGTAAAACGTGACTCGCTATTCGCTTGTGGGAGCAATGAAATATGGCGTTGCCTTATTGACAATTTACACATTAAGCGACAGTGTGGTGCGTAATTAGCGAATGTTTCACAGATTCTAACAGGCATGGCTGAAACTCGGTGTTCGCTTTGTAAGGAAGTCGGCCTTCGTCGATCTTGAGGAATTCCACCTCCTTTCTTTCTGTGCCTCTTCCCCATCGTCACCTGTCAGAACATGGTATGGAAGCACATCCAGTATCCTCAAACAGAGACAAATATCTGATTGTACACTGTTGGTCGAAGCCAAGCCCCATCCCTGGAGCAGCAAGCCGTGCCAGGAGCCAAGGAATGTGACAATGCCATCTTCAATCAGGCAATGTTTCGCTTCGCCGGCGTTCAGCAGTAAGGGCCGATATGGGCTCGTAATTTCTCATCTCTGTTTTTCTTTAATTCAGTCCTTTTGCCCTCAAGTACTCTCTTTCTGCTGAACCAATTCCCCTCCAGTCCTTTTCACCGAGCTGTAAATATCTTCATTTCATTTTCCATCCGAAACATGTCAACTTTTGACAATACAGGTACAAAAGGCGATGTCAATACTGTCGTCGGAAGCCTCTCTGAGGCAGGTGGTTCTGAAGAATACGAGACCGCCGTTCCGGTTCCAGCTCCAGTTGCACGAAATTGGAGATTTTGGATGTAGGTCAAGGATAAAATTACTTCCTACAATTTTCTCTGATTGACCTCAAACTTGGACACATACATCTGCTCACTCCTGGAGTGTTCGATACACAAACTGACTTGTTTTTGCATGTAGGGTTTTTGCAGCTCTGTCTATCACAGGATTGCTGTCAGCAATTGAAGCAACAGTAATATCCACGGCACTACCAACGATCTCTGAACGCCTGAATATAGGCGAGGACTACGCTTGGCTTGTGAACTCTTTCTTCCTCACAAGGTAAGAAACTTCTCCGAGTCCTCCGTTGTCGTGTAAGCCTGACCTAACACAAAATATCACAGCATGATCTTTCAACCTCTTTTCGGACAAGTCGCCGACATTTTTGGCAGGCGATGGCTCATGATTTTCAGCGTGGCCGTTTTTATCGTTGGAAGTGGAATTTGCGGGGGAGCGTCAAGCAGCGCGATGCTAATTGCAGGTCGAAGCATACAAGGTATCGGTGGCGGAGGAGTCAACGTTCTCATCGAGCTGATCATCTGCGATCTGGTCCCTCTGCGCGAGCGAGGCAAGTTTCTGGGCATCGTTATTTCAACGTTCACAGTTGGATCATCAGTTGGGCCATTTCTTGGAGGGCTCATAGTTGAGAAAACGATCTGTAAGTTGCTGAGCTATACCATGTTGTGACTTTCCAAAGTCCACAACCTTCCCCGGAAAAGTTTGTACATGAATCAAGCTGACTTCTTGACCTTCGTAGGGAGATGGATATTTTATATGAGTTTGCCCATCGGAGGCGGGTCCTTGCTTCTTCTATTCGCATTTCTGCAAGTCCAATACACGAAAGAATCGACTTTCGTACAGAAAATGAAACGAATCGACTGGCCAGGAAATGCAGTTCTCATCCCCGCACTAATTGCCATTCTCATCGCTCTTACGGACGCAGGTACCAAGGCACCCTGGTCGTCATCGCGTATCATTGTCCCTCTTACTCTCGGGCTCATTGGGCTCATAGCCTTTCAGTCTTATGAATCCTCCAAATTCTGCCTCGAGCCGACTGTACCTCCTAGTTTGTTTTCGAATCGCACTACCGTCACAGCATACATTCTCGTCTTCCTCCAGACCATCACTGCGATCTGGGTGATATACTTCTTTCCCGTATACTTTCAAGCTGTGCTCCTGTCCTCACCCTATCGATCAGGTGTCCAGATTTTAGCGACCTTTCTTGTCGTTCTTCCTTTTGCAGCTTTGGGTGGGGTCTTGATCTCGAAATTCGGCAGATACAGGCCGCTCCACCACATTGGATTTGCCCTTATGACACTTGGCTTCGGACTCAATACACTCCTTGATGCCAAGTCGAGCACTGCAGAGTGGGTCATCTATCAAACAATTATAGCAGCCGGCCAGGGACTCCTGGTGAGCAGCGCCCTTCCCGCAATTCAAGCTGGACTGCCAGAAGAGCTTGCAGCTTCATCTACAGCAACCTTTGCATTCACTCGAAGCTTTGGCGCGGTTTGGGGCGTGACAATCCCAGCAGTCATTTTCAACAATCAGTTCAATAAATCCGCGAAGGCGATTACCGATCCGGCTATTCGGTCTCAATTTTCACATGGGCAAGCGTATGGTCATGGCACGCGAGACTTCATCAATTCATTTGAGCCTGCTGTTCGCGAAGAGATTATTGGCGTGTATGTGGGCAGCTTGAAAGTGGTGTGGCAAGTCGCGATTGCAATCTCTGCATTTTCGTTCTTGCTCGTGTTTATTGAGAAGGAAATCAAACTCAGGACCGAACTCGCGACTGAGTATGGGATGAAAGCAACAAAGACAAAGGAGGCGACCACGGAACCTGAAAAAGTGTGAAATCGTGTCCTATCTCTCTGGTGCTAGGTGAAGGGTCTGGTTATTCCGCCTTTGACCGCAATTTCTTGTCAAAATTCTCACTGATTCTCATAAAGTACGCTGGGAAATTGATCGCATGTTCCATACTTATCAAATTTTACACAGGAATCACCTGTATATACGATTGGGCTTCTTGACATCTCATTTAGTCTTGTACACTCCGAGTTTTAGTGTGCTATCACAAATGACACCCACCTAAGCATTCTTGTGTAGTAAAGGAATTAATTGCATGGGGCTGATATCAACTTTATTCGACGGATATGGCAATAGATAAAATGTAGATTAATGCAGGGTTTGGATGCGAAGCGTACTGTAGATTCTTGCCATTTCATAAAAGCACTATGCAGCCCAATTGTCTTTTCGGCTATGATGCCAAGACAATATAAATACGAATATACATGATTATCACTGGGAACTTTGAAAAGCCACGCGGTGTCTGCAGCCAAGAACTCCTCGTCAACTCCTCACAAGCACTTCGCAGAACTACGAGGCTCTCCCCTCCGAAACATTACCCAACACCGTCTAAGGCTCCTCATGGTACTTAATCGCACACCAAAGCGTACTCGGATGAAGGACAAACTTACTCCTGAACAAACTCCCATCTTCCCTCGTCCAAAAGTCCTCATCCCCCGGATCACTCGGATCCGTCAGCCATCCATCCGGCAAAACATAACTTGGTTTCTTCTCCAAATCATAATACTCAAACTTCCTCGGATTCTTCGGATCAGGATAATACGGGCCCCACAACTTCTCCGGATCTCTCTGTTGCGTACGCATTATCCCACATTTGCCTTCTGCAATCAGCTCGTCGCTGATGAAATGCGCGCCGCCAGCACATTGGTAGCCTTTGCTTGTGGGAAGGTCGATACGTTGCCATGCAAACTTTTGGGGACAGTTGCCGACTTTGCGGATTATGGATTGGGCCCAGGTTTCTTGGGCAGCGCGTTCGGAGGGTAGGAGGGCGGAAAGTTTGAGTTGGCGACTGGCCATTTTGAGGTCTGCCGGGGAAGTGAGGACGCTTTTGATGTGTGAAGGGGCTTTGGATTCAATCTTGATTTCGTCATCGGATTCGCTGTCGACTTTGATTTCGGTGGCAAGTTTGCATGGTTTCGTCGGTGCATATCGTATTGATGACTTGCTGTATTTGTTTGCGATTTGGGAGGAGTTGATCGATTGTGGTATCCTTGTCTCGGGCAAGGACGGTTCTGAGGCGTACTCGCTTTTGTGCAGCTTGGATGCATCTGGCAGCTTGTTTGGGGTTGTAGACTTGTCTCTGAAGAATCTCGAGTCGAGAAGCTTAGATCGGTCACGGAAGTTGGATGACGGAAGAATTAAAGAGCTAGCAATCTTACTGTCAGTTTTCTTCGACTCGTCACGGACCTTGGAGCTTAGCAAGGCTGGTGATCTTGATGTGTTACTGCTTGAAAGCTCGGATTGAGGCTTCTTGGGTTTTGATGATGATGAGGACGTCGTCTTGTCGTCTTTGTTGGAGGAATCGTGCTTGCGCGATGAGAACTTGGAAGATATCAGCGCTGGCTTCGAGGAGGACTTGGTTTTGATTTTCTTGTCCGTGACCTTGTCCTTGTCTTTATTCTTGTCCTGGCGTGATAACATTGGCGATGCCATTTTGTGCCGTTGGTACGTGAGAATAGATTGGAGAGCGGAGGAATGTGTCGTGGAAGAGCGGTGATCAAGATGTTGGACCGCAATTGTGGAATCCGGTGCGCTCCTGCGGCAATGAATGAAAAAGAAGAGAGAGAAAGAGAGATTCCTTAAGTACCGCAGGATAAGATTAGAAGATCTAACCTGTAGTGAGTTGTCAGAATCATGAGCTGAGTATAGAAAATATTACTCATGGATCAATGAGTTTGCAGAGTAAGGCACCCGCCGTGAATGTGCAAATATGTCAAGGAAGAACGAAAGTGACTTGGAATAGATCTTGCCCTATGTCCCGGGAATCATGCTTCCCGAGTTCAGGATTATGTTCGTACCATTCTTTTGGAGCCGGGGCTCCAGTCTCTGATAGCAAAATCACCGATCTTTCTTCGTACTTGGGTGTGTACCTTACCTACCTTACGAGGAGGTGGAGGTGGTCACGTGCCATATAGTCAACATCAGCCGTAAGCGCAATTTGGCTGAAGGTAAATGAGCCATGAAACCCATGAAACCGCCGCCATATTCATACTGAGCTGTTCTTCAAAGCCCCCACTTACCGCTACCATTCTAGTTGGCCTTGCAGCGAAGCTTTCATGAACAAAGCAACAGTGCTCGCAATACCTAGCAAGGTAAGGGAGGATGCATTATGTTTTGTTATACCTACCTGGCACCCTGAGGGGCAGCAAACTTACAGCGCTTTGATGAAATGGACGTACGTGTATGCCGACTAAGTATTGCCGGATTGGTTGATAAGGTACGGGGTAAACCAACGTGGGGAGGATTTCCGGTAATATCACGTGATGCAAACTTTAAGACCACTATGATGACTCGCCTGAATGAGGGGGAAAGTATATTTTGATACAGGACGGGATGTATACGGTCTGCCGAGACTAAGTACTGTTCCTGACCGAACTAAATAATCAAATCCCGGCCCTATCCGGACCTAATTGCGGAGTATCAAATATAATTAGATGTACCCCAGGTTTTGCGGGGTAAGAATCATTCAATAAACTCTGGGGCATAAACATGGATTCAAGACGCCCGGAAGCATGTATCCTTGACTCCGAGATAAGTCTCACAGAAAACACCTACCTTAGGTAGGTAAGCTGGGCCAAGAACGTGACACCAGAACCGCGTACCCCTCAATTGGCGACGGGGAGTATCTGGCCATTTGGCCAGTGGGAGCGATGGATTGGCTGCAGTTGGGCTGACAACGGTGGACGGTTATATACTAAGCCGCATGTCGTGAAACCCTCTGCATTCGCCTTGTTGCTCTCGACTCCTTTGAAGCCATATTGTTGAAATCCCGATGATGTTCTGATCTCGAGACCCATTGATGGGACGCCGACTCAGAATCGACAGCTCATATTCATCAGCCCCGCTCTCATCTATAACCTTATCACGTGCAGCCCCGCTAGCTCCTAAAGTATGCCCATTCTCGAGCTCGTCCGTGTAATTGAGGATACCCAGCCTCATCAACCCCGACACCACCGACACTTCTCCGAGAGCTCAACGTCGTTAACACCACCCTTCGAACGCTTCGGATTCAATTACTCTTCCTCCTGTTGCACCATGAGTGAGGCCGTTCAGGACCCACCACTCGATTTGACCCCCGATGAAGCCAACCGAATAATCCACTCTCACCGCAAGGTCCGATACGGGACTGCGTGCTGGCCATGCCGCCAGCGCAAGGTGAAGTGTGACAACAAGCAGCCATGCGAGAATTGTGTAAAGAGAGATCACGCAAATCTTTGCTCGTACAACCCAAAGCAAAATGCTTCAAAAGGTTCGCCGGGGTCTGTCGCGGGAATCAAGAGAGCTCGGTCACCGGGCAGCGAGGGGTCGTTGAAGAAAGAGGATGATAGATGGCCCAGGACAACTGGTAAGCTATTCGCCAAATTATGATTTAGTATTGCACAGAGCATTGAAGACTGCATATTGTTTGTCGTAATTTGGCTTCGGGCAACTCGCCGTTGCAGATGTTGTCATTTTTTGAAATTTGCCACTTCTACTGGTGAGCAGGAGCGATACTGTCCGTATACTTTGCTATCCACAATCCGTCAGTACTCATGCACCTAGCATTAGTACGAATGCTCTTGGTGTACTTGTTCTCCTGAATGTGGCTTCTGTTCCTCACATATCACCAGAAATGCCAGTTATTCCAGGCACTTTTTGATGTTGCGGGCCTCAAGTGTTCCATGACAAGGCGTCATGGCTCAGCACACCTTCGGAGCAGCTCGAGTTAACAGTCCAGACTCACGCTTCCTATGGTCGCTCATAAACATTCCTGTGTTGCTTCTTCAGTGCTCTCGGGGTTCCGAAGACTAGTTCATGCATCAAGTCAACATTCCGAGGCATCCCGACACAGTTCAAGCTAACTCGCATAGATGAGGAGGACCCCAATGAATCCCGATATCTGGGCCAGAATAGTATCGCAGCCTTCCTTAGTGAGGAAGCTCAGGCTGGGGAAGCACTAGCAGACGGTGAACAAGATGTTATACGGAAAGATATCATGCCCATACTAGGGCTGCAGATATCGTCGGCATCCTACCCTTTCATGTCAAGAGAGCACATGGACAAAATACGTCTCGATATCGCCGCCGCTCTGCCTTCAGATAGAGATGTACTGAAGTAAGTTCCATCGCTCTTCATATCATTCATATCATGTTTCCTAACGGTGCGAAGGACTTTCCAAATATATAAACAAATCGTGCAGCCGTTCTGGGGTTTATTAGTCGACATCGAAGATTTCGAGTCCAAGCTCTGCATGTACCTCGAAGATCGAAGTGCATCGTCAAAACACCCTGCCAATGGCAGCAAAGGTGTATCTTCAGCATGGCTGGGAATGCTTTTCGCTGTCCTCGCCGTCGCCACTAATTATTCAGAACATCCATATCATAAACGCGTTGCTATCACACAGAATTATGGTAGGTAAAACCTAGGTACTAGCATTTTAACGTCTAACCAATTCTCAGTCCATTCTTCATTTCATTGCTTACGACTTTCGAATTACCTGATTCGACCTTCGCTGGAATCAATCCAGGCACTCATAATTTTGGGATTTGTGCTTTCAAATGACATGAAAGCCGAGGCGTCGTGGGCTTTGATGGGTCTCACGTGCAGACTCGCTCAGGCACTGGGACTTCACCGTGCTCCAAATGAAGGCGCACAGCATGCTCCTATTCCAGCTGGAAGTGATCTCCCGCGGCGAAAACTCTGGTAAGTACGGCCCCAGCGATCATCTAAAATGTCTAATTGTTTAAAGGTGGACCATCCTCTGGCAAGACAGTCTCCTCTCCCTCTCATTCGACCGATCACCCATCGCTATCATGACCCGCTGCCAATCGCCACTTAGCCCAAGCGCTTTAACAGAAGGCTTCTCCTACACCGAAGCCATGTACACGCTCTGCTTCAATATCCTCCAGTCTGTCAAAAATGACTCTAACTCCTCCCCAAGCTTCGACCAAATCATGGCCAGCTCTGCTGAAGTCGAGAATATTCGACAACAAGTCGTTCCACGTCTCCGTTCCACCGAGCAATGCAAGACATTACAAGATCGCTTGCAGCACTTCGCCGTAAGGCTGCACACCTCATTCGTTGTCTCAGTATTCTGTCGTCCAGCTCTTCGCAGAGGGGAAAATCCTGGGATGGACGCTACGCAGAAAGCTATCCTGGCGGACAAGTGCAAAGCGAACCTCACAGAGACAGTGCGCATGTACCTAAAGATGCACTCACTAAGCGTCATTCCAACTCGTTCCTGGGCATTCACCTACCACGGCCTCTCATCCGCTGTTCTGCTCGGCATCCTCGGCGAAACTAAAACAGATCCGGAAGTGCGCCAATTACAAGGCAACCTCATATCAGCGCTCTCAGTCACCGCCGCGAAAGAACAGACGTCACCCGATGTCCCAAAGTCAGATCGGGATATAGAGTTGAGTGGGCCGCTGTCAAGGGCATTAGTTGCGCTGCAGAATATATACGACCATGGGTGGGTTGTGGAGGGCGGGAAATCGTCGAAAGAGAGGGGGCAAGGAATGCAGGTTCAGGATCAGGATCCCTCGCAGTTTGAGCAGCAGAATGCGGCGATTGCCATGGCATCCATGCAGAATGGGATGATGCCTCCGTATGTTCCGCGTTCATATCTCATCCCTCACAGGATAATGCTAATGATTGATAGGCTGGATTACACACAGCAGATGGTACCGGTCGGTATGTCGGACGCGCAGATCGCAGACCAGACGATGCATATGTCACCGATGGATCTGTTTGACTCGATATTCTGGGGTAAGATCACCCATCTATATCTTCACTCTTGCCCTTAATCGTATAATATTGCCGCGTGCTGACTATCTCATCACAGAATACCCGACCACTGGCTTAGATCAGATGGGCGGCTTTGATTACTCGCAGCAGCTGTATCCTCAGTTTTAGGAATGTGTATTATATAATTAAAAAACTTGGAGGACGTAAAAGTATAATGAAGCATTTTATGGCCTTGGGCATGCTGCATCCTACCAGAAGACTGTTTGGCCTGACTACTCTCCCACAAGCAATAACTAAATACTTAACCAAAAACCCATCTTTCCAGATCCAGATATACTTCCAACAGGTGGAAATGGTAGACAGGCAACAGCAATCTCAAATTACCATATGAGGTGGCAATTGATATTGATAGGAGACTTATCTTGCCCTGGTTGAAAGTCTCATGCACAGTGGGTTGCTAAGAGGGTTGAGCATGAATGACCGCTAATTTAGGGGGAGAAAAGCTCAAGTCAACGTCAAAGCAGAAAAAGCAGAAAAAGCAGGTCTTTTAATTCAATGTGACCGCCAAGTCATGCTTAATCTACGGAGTAACTTCAAATATGATCAGGAAACAAGCATCAACTCCCTTGCTATGCGAGGAATCGTAGTCCAACAAACACACCGACGGGGTCAGAGAGTGAAGAGAATACAGAGAAAGCTCAAGAGAGCTCAATCACCAACACCAGGCTTCCAACACCAGCTCGAGGATGAATCCAAGGCTTAAAGAAACTCGAGAGTTCTTTCTTCACCACATCCCTTGCACTCAGTCGTAACTTTATACCCATCACCCTCCTCTCTAGCACCACAATCCTGACAAAGCTCTTGCGGAGCACTAACGACCTGCACCTCAGGTCCAGGACCATTGCACAGAAAGTATGCATAAATATCTGCTTGGAACTGCGGCACATTGCTCGTAAGCTCCAGAAAATCTCTTCTCTGCTCACTACCCTCTACCAAAAGATTGCGCATTTCCAAGACAGCTGTTTCGACGACGGCCAGGCGTAGCTCGGCGTGTACGGGGTTGTTGGGGAGCTTGTAGATGATACGGACGGATGTGAAGTAGACGGAGAGGTTGGAGATGAGGTTCTTGAGCGTGTAGCAGTACTTTTGCAGCGCGAGCGACTTCAGGCCGGTGATTGAGAGAGAGCATGCGAGGTCGAAGACTGCGACGTGTTGTGGGAGGGAGAAGGATGGTGCGATGTCAGTGACTGTTGTTGTATAGGTTGAGGTGTACAGATATTCTATCATGAGCACTGTGGCTTCGTGGTCATACGTTGAAATATTGAGGGATTTAGAGTCCTGATGCTGGTCAGCTTCGCGTCTGAGGGAAGGTGCGGTGGATTGGCAATTCACCTCGAGCTTCTCAATCATGGATTCAAGAACGGCAGATTGCGAGCAGACGACGACCTTGTGAGCTTGCCATTTCCTGGTACCATGTATGATGGTCAAATCAGAGAATTTGCCTGAGATGAGAGACCTGAGGGCGGGTTAGCAGTTTTTTGTCTACGTGGTAGTGGTTTGTTGACATTGGGGTCCAAAGCCATGACGTCAAACGTGCCGAAGCAGTTACAAACGCGAAATACCTGAGAATACACTGGGAATGACTTACGACTGAAGAGCAATCATTGGGTTGAGCGATTCCAACGGTGAAGGCGTGGTTGGAGTTGCGATGGTGGTTGCGGATGTTGAAGGAGAGGGAGAAGTTGGTGAGCGCTGTGACGACGTTGGCGTGGAATTACTGGTCATCATGTATGCGCGTCGTTTGTCTGCTTGTCGTTGTTCGTGGAGAACTTGCTGCTCACACTCGTCCATTTAAGCGTGGCTCAAGTACGGAGATGTTATTTTGCTGATGTGCTCCGCTTCTGAGAGGAAAGTTGGGAGTTGATATTCGCGGGGGCCCAGTTAAGAAGCGAGAAGTTGGGCCGTCGCCATAAAAGTTCGACGACGCCAACGAAAAGGAAACTGAGGACAAGAAAATGGATCTTGAAGGAGGCTGGACTTTGGTTTATGGAAAACAAAAGATTTCAGAGTCTGCAGCTTCTGGAACATGCGTGTCTTGGAACAAAGAGCACGACTGACCGCCAAAGGTATTCCGCCTCTTTCATCACATGTTCTCCTTGGCCAGTGAGGACATGTACCTGCTTAACTCAGTTGGTTCTCCATCACTCTTGTAGGACAGTCTTGGAAAGCCTGATCTGGAACTATTCGACGCGGCTGGGAACAGTTGTTGCTAGAGTTGCATGTCTTATTTTTTGCTCCATGCTGTTGATAAGCGTAGCTCACTGATACTACTGCGGGACTTTTCGCGGGCTGCTTTGACCGTTTCAAGCGCGGCTCAACGATTGAAGCTGATTAAGTCGTGATTTCATGCTCCATATAGATCCACCAAATGATCAAAGAATGCTTTGCCTCTCCCCCTGGCAACTGAATGCTCAAGCTTGCGAACTTCGACTCCAAGATTTCTTTGCGGCCCTTGACCGAGATATGACCAGGCACGCGAAGGTTGGTGAGAGGATCTGAACGAGTAAGCCGGATGTTTCATGAGATCGGGACGCATGTGTAGGGATGTACGTGCCCGAAATGAGTGTGGTAAATTGTTTACACTTCCAGTTCAGAGGATCCTCGTTTGCCTCGGCATCAATAACAAAGTTTCCTATGCGAGTCCTCAATACTGCCATAATTGATATGTTTTCAGCAGTGTGTAAGAATTGTATTCCTGTACCAAACACCTTTTTTGCGTAGGGCAATGACCATTGAATTTCATAGAAATAGAAAAAGGCCTGTGGTGTTGGCCAGTACTGCGGCCCCCAGCCTGTGAAGTTGCCATCAGCGCTTGATGCAATCACCCTGGTCTCAGGCACTGCACCTAGGCCTCCGTAAAGAACATTGTATGTTAATGCCTAGAGAAGTCTAAAAACTGAAGGACCTGGCATAGCATACGAGAGCCCACAAAGTCTCAATTTTTGCCGAATCCAATGCGACACTCGTGTGGCGCGACGTTCACGAACTGACCACTTCGAAGTCGTAAGTGACTGGCGAAGGTGCGTTGATATACGAGATCCCTCTGTTCCCTCATAGAGTAAACATATTTGTAACCATTTCCCACAAGGTGCAAAGACACAGGCCATCATTACCGAGTACACGAGCTTGGAGAACGTTTTCAAACAAGTGTTGGTCTCTGTACTAACATCAAATACAGCGACCAAAAAGAGCCTAATTGCGGTGGTCAGACGTCCCAGAACTGTTCGTAAAACCTCAAGATGGAAATCTCCCATTCCTGTGAAATGCCAGCCACGCCACGATCTGATACCAGACTCATCGCACTCCTCACGAGAACACATGAAATTATTCATTGATCTCCTGAGAACCCTGTGGACCTCACTGCCAATATTTATTATCCCCCAGACACGCATCCATTCAACTAACTCGTGTGGTGATATCCAGGTTCATGTGTGCATCGCATTGTGCTGAAGGTATTTCGCTCGAGTGTTGATAAGCCCATGAAAGAAGTAGCTTTGGAAGTTCCCAAACGACAAAAGACGGAACAGCTTGGTGTCCTTGGTACTTCTGGATATTACCAGCAGGCGGGTGAGGGAACTGTCCCAGTGCTTTTAGTGCTCAGCCTCTCAAAAGGCAAGGTGTGTCTCCAAAGCCTGTAGATGAGACGGTTCGATGGGAATGAACAGTGTTGATCAAAACATGGTGCCAAAGGTATCTATTTACTTTGTCACATAAAGAGTGACCATGCAGGTGCTCCGCGCAGTTGTGACACCATCTATCATCGGTTAGATACGTATATAGACGAATAGACATCGACAAGATTGAGACTTGGGCGATATCCCCTTAACTGGCGAAAATACACTTTTCCAGAGTACAGCGCTGAAGCGAGGCGCTAAGCTGCCTGGACAGGCAACGCTGGATTTAAATTTCAGCGTTCTTCGCTTAATTACAGTGTCTCGCCACAAGGCATGCACTCCCTGTAAACAGTGTGTTCGCTACGGCAGCTAAGGAACTTTTCTCCAACTCGTTGGCATGGCTTGACCATATTCAGGGTTTCGAGCAAATCTTTTGCGTTGCCTGATTTCTCGTCAATCCACTTAGACACCACACGAGCTTCGCAACAAAGACATCGAACAGAAATAGCCATGAATCCGATAAATGGCAAGGGACGGGATGAGGTTGCGACGAGTTTTGACTCGCAAAGACAATTCATAGTTGAAGAATCGAAACCTTGGGCTAAGCTAAAAGAGGACCGTGCTGACTAATCTTACTGCTGACTCGTTCTCATCATCCCTGTCTGCTTGCAATTGGATCATCAACTTCCAAGTTTTAATTTAATAGATTCAAGCAACGAATCAACGACATTCCAGCTTAGTATATCGCAAGCGCTGACCGCCAGTCTACTTCGAATTGCATTTAGCTCGGAGAGCAGCCGTCACCATCGGAACCCACTACAAATATAATGGCCCAAAAAGGTGATCTGATGACGGGAGGGGTTGAGGAAAATCTAGTTCTTCCAAAATGGTCATCATGGCAACCGGACTGCGTGGTCACTGGCACTTAAAAAGTTGTTATTGACGGGGATGCATGAGCTGCTCGCGATCCGAGCTGGAGAGAGTCCTACCATGGGCAACATGAAAGAACCACACAGCATTTCAACGAGAAGCTGAAGAATTTCAACCACAATAACTATTGTTATTATTATCCATATGATTGGATCTGGAGGCCTGCCAATCCCACACAGACCTAGGATGATGACGGAGAATATCCCTAAAGAAGCTTAGCCGCGTCAGACATTTCCCAATCAAAATCAACAATTTACGACCAGCCCAATCATGATGAAAAAGGTTCCAGACCCCGTCAGCCCTACGTATATACAAGTCATAACGTCCAACTGGAGAACTGCAGCCGCATCTGCTTCTCTTCTGAGGCCGCTTTCGTGTTTGGCTGTCAGTCTTTCGGCATTATTTCGTCCATTCCCTTCTTATTGTGGATCTCGTTGTCGTCGTGTTCTGTCCAGTCGACTTCATTATGGTTGATCAAGCTGCTGGCCAGAAGAGGACGAGAAGGTCATATGGGCCAAAGGTAACCTCTGGTTGTTTCACTTGCAAGTAAGCATCTACTCTTCAGACCTTTGGTATAGAGCTGACCGTGCATCGCTATCTAGGAGAAGGTAGAAACAGTAACTCTTTCTTGCATCCAAGACTTCAAATTTGAGCTGATGGCTGGAACTCTCTGCATCCTTCTTGGCCGGTTGCTAATGTGATGAATTGAATAGGAGGGTCAAGTGTGACGAACGACGTCCAACTTGCATGAGATGCGCGAATTATGGCACCAAATGCGAAGGTTACAAGCCGCCCGCAAGTGCTATCACACCAAATCGTCGCGTCGTGAGACCCATTCTGCCCAAGTCTGAGCCACTGTGCAAGACACCGACAACGGTGTCCAAACTCTTCAAGAACGATCAGGAGCTGAGTTACTTTCAGCGCTTCTGTGTCGAGAATGTTAGGCAGTTGACTGGTTCGCGAGGGTCCGAAATCTGGAGTCGTCACGTTCTACAGGCTAGTGAAGTAGAGCCATGTGTACGGCACGCTGTGATTGCGATTGGAGCCTTGGACTTCCGGAAAAGAGGGCTGGAGGCTGGTTTGATCAAACCAATTACTCGAAATTATGACAAAGTTACAGGTCCTGAGACCCTTGAAACAGATCGACTCGAGTTCGCGTATCGCGAGTATGGGAAAGCCATTTCCTGTATGAAGACAGCGATTGCGAACAAGAAGATCAGCATCAGAACCAGCCTGATCACAAGCCTTTTATTCGTCTGTTTCGAAGCATATCATGGAAATAGTGACGGGGCTTCTGCTCAAGTTTATGCGGCTGTCGAGGCAATGGAGGCCTATTCGAAGCAACGACGGGTTTCAAGGTCGCATCCAAGCACGCCGATAACCCCACCAATCGATGACGATATCGCGGAGATGTTCTCACTATTGGAGATACAGGCTACCTCTTGGGGTGGTGATACACGAAGCAGTGATCTACATCTAGAGAGAATGCGGGATTGTGAAATTACAATTGGGGAGATGCCGAGAGAGTTCAAGGACATGCGATATGCCTGGCGCATGATATCTCAGTTGCTCTTGCGAGGTATTCATTTGCGGAGTGCGCAATTGAATGCACAAATACAAGGTTCGTTGACAGCAGATCCCTCGCCGGCGCCAATCATCACACTTGGTCCTCTTGCAGACGAAGCTCAACATGCGGCGATGCGAAGTGTGCTGTCACAATTTCGGCAATGGGGTTTAGCATTCGAACCGATATTGCGTAGAGCGGAAAGTCCGCATGCAAGTAAAGAGATGGTACAAAGCGTGATGATGCTTCATCTCTACCACTTGGCCGGCATAGTATGGGCAGTTTCCGGATCTGCAGATAAAGCTGACTACTATCGGTGCTACACAAAGGAGCTCCACGAGATAGTGCGAATAAGTAAGCTGATATCTAGAACGAACGATGAGTACTTTTCGTTGGACATCAGGATCGTGATGCCGCTTCAGGTTGTGGCAATGAACTTTCGACATCGCGCTCTACGGAAAGAGGTTATTGGTATTTTTTCTCGAATGCCCATGAGAGAGGGGATGTGGGATGCGGCGATGATTGTGAAAGTTCTTGAATGGATTACAGAAATCGAGGAAGTGGGTCTGGGAGATGATGAGTATGTGCCGGAAGATCGCATGGCCACTTTGACTGGTCTGAGAGTTGATGCTGAGAGTCGCACTGCGGTTGTTAAGTGTGTACAAGGTGTGCGGGGGTGCCCGGGCCAGACTATCGAGAGGGAGAATACTTTGTATTGGTGAGGGGTTGAGAGGAATCAGACGAGGGATTGGAAAATCGTGGGTCAGGCGAGGAAAGTAAGAACGAAGCGATCTGTCTGTGGCATTAAGATGGCACCAAGTTATGGTTGTTGCAAACCACAATGGAGGAGAAGTTGGAAGGGTATTTCTACTTGTGCATGCCTTCCCATCTCCGGACCAAGCTATGTTTTTACTGGCAGGAGAGGAAGGTACTAAGCCAGTGACTCTGTTTACCGACCAACCGTCTAGGATGATCGGATCGGAGACGCCAAATTATATCCATACGTATGTACTCACTGTCATACAAAGAACCAAATTACTCAACTATAGAAATTCTGTTTCACACGCACATTCTGCTCCGGCTTGCGTTCATTTCAATATTTCTCATCGCGAGCTGGCAAGTGGCAATCGCTCCTCATGCCTTCCTCATAACCTATTCATAATCTGCCACTTCGTGGCGTGCCTGACCATCTGATCCCTCATAATTTCCCAAAATGCTGTCTAGTTTCCCATTGCCATGCTCCCATCTCTTGTCTTGACTGCCTCCATCTTTTTCTTACCAACATTACCCCGCCTCCCCAACACTTCACCACATCCAGGACTTTTCTACCCCCTTCTTTCCACACAACTTGCCTCTCTCAGCAGCAATTGCCAGCCTTGCAGAAGCACTTCTACACCCTGAACTGCTATGAACTGTACTAGATTGTTGTGGGGTGTATGGTTTTCACCACCGCCAGCTGATGAAGGAGTTATCCTGAAGCTCCTCCCTCGACTGAATCAACCTGGATCGCTGTAAGCGTACTCCAGCAAGTTACGATGAACCGCGATATTTTAATGGTGCTGCTGAGGGTCTTTTTGTATTCGTTTCGTGCAAACCCGTCTTCTTTCTTTGTTCTTTGCGATGGTATCCACTGTGTTGCTGGGACTCCTCGTCGATACCGACTCCTCGTGCAGTCATCGTTGTAGGCCAGGTACGCTGGCGGGTTAACTTACAGTGTGAAATACTAGATGGGTATGAGTCTTAGATTGACATCGGTCATGGACTCTGAGTCGCTCTGGCTAACTTGAGACCTAATAGAATCACATCTCAAGCTTCTGAGGGAGCACATTGTGGTAGACATCGCCATGAAAACGTCTCCTAGGAGCTCAACTCAATTTTGGGGCCTGAGAGCACTTTCAAGAACAGAACGGAGCCTTTTTGGCTCACGAAAGCATCCGCCAGTGTCTCCGATGAACTATGGGGACGTGCTGGTGTTGTTCAGGTAAAGCGGCTGTTGCATTCAGGGGAACTGTCGCTAACAGCGCTCCAGCCCCTGAACCTAAGCCCTCGCCGGCCCGTCCCCCTACCTATGCTGCCCACGTTTGGTTCACTCAGTTGCCACAATTGCAACACCACGATCCTTGACACCACTACAGGAACGACTGCCCTCGGTCTTCTCCTATACCAACTTCCCTTCCTCCACCAGATCCCAAGCCGCCTGCTGGATCCAGCGGAGAGCACGCCATCCCATTTTACGCCAATCCAAGTCAGTATCGTGGTCACAAAATCAGCACCAAGAGTCCACTCTGCATCCAACAATATGTGGCACGAAACGGTCCCATCTTCTCATCCCTCCATGTCAGAGTACAATCTTGAACGACAGATAGCATGCCCTGAGCTACCGCAGTACATGTCATGACACTGTATGCGACAGTTCCCCGTCCATTTGTTCGACATATCTTCAAAACAACCGCAACCCCAACGCGTCTGAATATGCTTGATACCAGGTCTGGAGCCGGGAGAAAGGACGAAATCCGAGAAGACCAGGCCTTGACTGGTCGCATGATGGACGCTGTCGCAGAGTCGAGATCTTTCAATGAGATCAGCGAGATGCTGAAAACGAAATTCCCCACAGGCAAGGACACAGTGAGGGCGGGTCCTGCGATTCCGCGTTCCGTGGCGGACAATGACTTGACTTTGGATACCCACGTCGACACAAATATGCGCCAGTTGAGCTGGTCCAGTTTATGGTTGTGTTAGTGGCTGTGATCGTGATCGTAATCGTCTGATGTTGGACGGATGAAGTACAGAACTACTCAAGTTGCTTATAGCGCGTTTCTTGGACAATCATCCATAGTGACTCATTAAATTGCAACAGAGTAATCTGACGGAATGGAGAAATTGCAATCGGATTGCATACGCCTTTGGGATTGCCTTCCGCTTTCTACGATTGATCCATCTCGACGCGGACTTTAGTAGCCAATTGAAGATTTAACGTACGAGGTCTCTCCGCTCAACGAGAAACTCCTGTACCGCTCCTACGAAACTCTGTAATTCGGCCTTGGTTGTCACCGTCATCAAGCTTATCATTCCTCGCTGGGCCAGGAAAAATCCTTTGCTCAGCATGTCGAAGAAAAAGAGCTCCTTCAAATCCGTCAGACCTTCCTGCACATCGGCCGCCGAACGAACATCTTGGGTGCCGAAATGCAGTGTTATCAGACTGCCAATTCCAGTAACTCGCAATATCGAACCTGCCTCTGTTGATACCTCCTTGATTTCCTTTTGTAGCCACTCTCCCATGGCGTACAAATCAGAGGCAGCTGTCTCAGTCCAGACCTGCTCCAGGACCGCTACCCCAGCAGCCATTGTGGTAACATTATTGTTGTACGTTCCACTGTGGTATGCGCCACCAGGATGTCCAGGTTCGATGATGCTCATAATATCGTCCCTCCCACCAAAGGCCCCAAAGTTCTGTCCACCAACACCGAAATATTTCCCCAATGTCGTCATGTCGGGACAGACTCCAAGAAGCTTCTGTAGGCCACCGGTTGACATCCGGCTTGTCATCACCTCGTCAAACATCAGGACGGCACCCACTTCTGTCGCTTTTGCTCGAGTTGCCTTGATGAAGTCTATATCGGCAGGCAAACAACCAGAGGACCCCTGCATCAATTCGAGGAAAATGCAAGCTAAATCATGTTTGTACTTTTCTACAAGCTCATCAAAAGCATTAAGGTCGTTGTAGGGAGCGACCACAAAGTTGTGGGGTGCATTCATGACATTGGCTGTCACTTTACCATCCTTTCCGAAGATCGCTAATCCGCCGTGGTAACCTCCCATGAAGACAATTATCGTGTTTCTTTTTGTATATGCCTTGACCAGTGCTAAAGCTGTAAGGTTTGCTTCCGTTCCCGAATTGGAAAAACGGATCTTATCAATGCTGGCAAAGCGAGAGCAAAATAGCTGGGCGAGACGTCCTTCGAATTTGATTACTCCACCCAAGGCAAAGCCGCTGTCAATTGCAGCATGCATCGCGTTTGTAATCACTGGATGGGAGTGACCAAACATTCCTGCGGAGTACTCGCCACACAGATCAAGATAGTTGTGTCCATCGGCATCTGTCAAGTATGAGCCATTTCCAGATTCCAGTATTAGTGGAAATGGTTGGAGGTGGATGACATTCTGAGTTGTTCCTTCAGCTATTTTCAGATTTGCAATACTTCGGAAGATTAACAAACATACCTCCTGGCAGTAAGAGAGATGATTTCTTATGGATTTCTTGTGACTTTAGATTGGCTCTCGCATACGCAGCGCGGGCTACATCCAGCGCTTGTGCAACTTTCTCTGATCTTGAATTGGCGGAAGGCATTCTCACTTGCTCTCATGGCGCGAAAACGAGTTCGACTCTAGATGTACTTTACCAGACAGAAGACGTCTCCTTTGAGCCAGCTTTTGATCATACGTGTTGGTGTTTGTCCGCACAGCACTCATCTCGAAGGTGGGGTAAATAGGTCGAGAACTTGCTCTCGACAGCGTGGTTGGCTGGGATCATGAGGAAGGTATGCCCGATTGAGTGCAATTAACAAGTCCACCTGTAGCCGATAGGATAGCTGTTCAATCTAATTGTCTTCCGTAATCTATAACGTTCGGGAGGCTGCAATATCTTCATCTCCCTTGTTTATTTTGCGACCTTTTCGTGCCAACATTCACTACTCTGCTTGCATCAAATGCTTTATTTACGACAATTTCGTCGTCAAAATAGGTTCCATAACTAAGGCAACTCTTCGTCACATTAATATTGATTCTCCAATCGAAGAATTCATTCAAGCCATCAAAAAGGATGGTGGCTGTATTTGCACGAGCTATGTTTCCCGAAGATATATCACCAAAGCGAACACTGCATTCAAGCAATTTCTAGATGCAGATAAGCCATAGCAGGCAAGCTAAATAAAATTGATTTATGGACACATCACATTTATCATTGAGCGCCTGGAAAGCTCTTCCCTCCAGAAACACGACGACGCATTCGCCTCATCAGGCCAGTCCAATGTGCCATGAGGAATTCTTCATGCACCCTCTTTACCAGGTAGGTGGTCATCTTTCGAGGATGTACGTTTCTTACCACTGTTCAGGCTTTAGGAGAATAATTCGTAGCAGAGCCATACCCAACATGGTATGGCCAGAGGTTTCCATGTTTATATTTCACATCCAATTCTCAACGCTACCTTAGGCATAGATGTCAAGACGAAATGCTGCTTGCCAGCGCCTGTATCATATGATAAGACGTACTACACTTTTCATTCGGATGAAGTACCCACAGTCTAAACAATGAAACCAGACTGGTCTATGCTTTATTCATGTGCAAGGGGACGCTTCTCACCAAGTTTGCAATATTTCCTGAATATCCGGCTGAGGTTGTCATAAGCTGGAGTGAAGAGCTGCAGGCGAGATTGGAAAGACCAGTTCTCCAAGCTGCAAGCTGCGGCATCGCCGATATCTTTCATTCGTGCTACGCGATCAGTTCCATCCATAAGCCCCGAATGTTGATGTTGATCTTGATTGGGATATATGGGTCGATCGAGACAACGATCAGAACTAGGAGAGAACTCCAAACCACTTCAAAGGGAGTGTAATGGATAGTTTTCCTACTTGTTTTTTGTCTAACATCGGACGTCATTATCGAAACCGATAATTCTTTACGGTCAGCAGCTATTTCGTTACCTTCAACGTCGGATGCAGCTCGACTCTATCTGCTGATAAGAGCTCCCCCCACTTTCGACCACCTGCGCTATCCCCTTAACTGCCATTCGGAACACTCTTTTTTACAGGCCTGAGATTAGTGCACGTGCCCTGTAGCCCAGGCAGCCGCTAGCCATTTAGCGCTTCGCTTCAGCGGCTGTGCCCTGTAAAGTGTGTCTCTGGCAGTTAAGGGGATAAGAACAGTGATCAAGCACAAGGAAATGCATGAGCGGGGCATGGTATCCTGCAGCCATCCTCTTCCGGAATAAATACCCTGGGTTTTCTGCTTGGTACGCCACGCCCTGGGAATGGAAAGAGAACGCGATGGCTGAACAGGCACTGGGCAGAGGAAAGTGGGATGGTCTTGTGCCGTTGAGCTGTGCATGCATGGAATGAGGGAGGCAAAAAGCTGAATTAGGTCAAGTGATATAGGACAATTTGATTGAGGATCTGAACTAAATGACGAACTTTACAGTAACGGATCCAGTGTCGCTTAGGAGTGGATACCTTAGCTTTGGCGGGGTATACTGGGCTTCAAGTTCATCTATATTTCCATTTCTGGTCGCAACAAGTTTTATTTATTTCTCTCATGAGATTTTATCTTATTTCTTCATTGATATTCATTATTTAATCTACTTCCAAAACGTCTCTTTCTCTAATGCCATATTCATCAAGCTCGTACCAGCTTTCCAAGAAGATATTGCATGACCATGACAGATGCGGGCAGAAAGAAGGCCAATGTCCTACTCCTAGGAGGTGGAGCTGTGGGAACAATCGCTGCACTGAATATCGAGACTAGTGGCCTAGGTTCTGTGACAGCTATTTTGAGGTCAAATTTCAAAGTCGTGCAGGACGAGGGTTATGTCATTGAAAGTGTTGATCACGGGAAGCTGAAAGGATGGAGACCAACCAAAGGTTAGTGAATAACATATATGAGAGCTCTTACATCGGTCTTGGAAGTTTCATGATATTTAAATTGGTTCTGATCTTATTTGCTACAGTGGTGAACTCCGTCCCAGATGTAATCAGAGAATCCCTCCCTCCATTCGACTACATCGTCACAACAACCAAGAACCTCCCCGACATCCCGCCATCCCTTGCTTCTCTAATCGCACCCGCAGTAACTCCAGGCCACACCATCATAGTCATGGTTCAAAACGGGCTCAACATCGAGAAGCCAATGTTCGCGTTATTCCCCACAAATATAGTCCTCAGCGGCGTCTCCATGATCGACGCTCATGAAGGAAGACTTGGAGAAATCCTACACGAAGAACATGATACCCTTTACCTAGGCGCTTTCAACAACCCCACAATCAACGACCCCGAACGGGAACTTGCTGAAGCCAAGAAATCATCGAGATTTACAACGCGGCCGGTAAAAGCACCGTGCATCTCAGCGAAGATGTGGCTTTTGCGAGGTGGAGGAAGTTGGTATTTAACGCGGTGCTGAACCCACTATGTGCGATTCTGGGATTGGATGATGCGCGAATTAGGTTGGCTGGAGGGGGGAGTGCGATTGAGGGATTGGTAAGGCCTGCGATGAGGGAGATTGTGGAGACAGCGAGGAAATTGGGGCATAATTTGCCGGACGAGGTTATGGATGCGATGATTAACTGTGATCCGATGGATCTGTACTTGAAACCAAGTATGCAGTGTGATTTTGAGAAGGTTCGCGGCTCTACTCCCTTGAGAGTAATTTGTACTAATTTGTTGAAGGGCAATTATATGGAGTACGAATATCTAGTTGGCGAGCCGTTGAGGGAAGCGGAGAAAATCGGCGTGCCTACGCCAACGCTAAAGGTCATTTACGAGATTTGTAAGGCACTACAGTGGAGGATTATGGAAGAGAAAGGGTTGGTTGTTGTGCCGCCCAAGATGGTATTATGATGTGTCGTGACTGCTAGAAAGAAGCTTTGTTGATGTTGAAGGCGATTTGGGCGGCGGAGGGCTCAACGCTAAGCAAATAAGAAAGACGAAACCGTCCTCAGCTCAGCAATTATGGCACCTCTCATCAATCAGGGCTGATAGAAATATCAACTGCTATATGATGACGATGCTGACCATTAGTTTGAGTTTAACAGTGGTACGTCTCTAGGGTTAAAAAGGAAAGTTCTACCGCAGATTGACACAATCAAACCCCACTTCACACCTTTACCAAGTATCGTTTGCTCTACATGAGAGTTCTTAAAGACATTTCCTCAAAACCAAGCTCCATCCATCTACGACAACTGAATAATTGCATAGAATCTTTGCCAAGCTGATCGTTTGTAATACTTGCCAGCCACTCCAATTCCTCGCCCTACACAGTTCAACGACCAGTCTGCAGATCAGGGGGTTTTTGAATCTTGGATCTTGGTTCCATTGAGGATTGTATAGACCGACACAAAAGTAAGGTATCAGGAAGAACATACAGCCAAACCAGTGGAACTGGCCAAAGTCATGTCTTTTCGTCATAGTGGATGAAATTTCCCGGAATAGGGAAACAATTTTCATCTCAGAGAGTCAGCGGCCAAATCTAAACCAAAGTCATGACCAGGCTGCATCCAAGTACCAAACTCCCAGGACCACCTAGGAACCATTAGTGGGGCAAGATTTGAACAGGCATGGCGACTTACTATTCTGTAAGTAGTTTTCGGGTTGCATTAAAGAGACCACTTCCAACCTGGGAACCGCGAGAAATGACCTTCTGACTGTAAGCAATGGTATCTCAATACCGGAGACGTTTCTGACATACATGATTCATTTAGAGAGCATCTTCTTAATTTCATCATGCGATTCGACATCGTTGACTACCTCGTGCGTATCCTTCACGTGCTCGCCAGGGGTAGGCGAGGTGAAGTGTCGGGAAACACCTTTCTCTTGTGACTTCTCCATGGAATTTGTACCAGATGCTCAAGCTCGACGATGAAGTGTTTTGCTGGGGGGCAGGGGTGGGCCTCTACGGTGGATTGGAGCATGTAGACAGGAATAAGAACGATAGTACAACATGGCAACGAAAAATGCCGGATTAAGCACAATCAGAACACTTGACTATTGGACAGACGGGAAAGTCAACAAATGCTTGTCTGCACGATTCATAACTGCGAACACAATAATCAAAGATTGGCAACGAATACGAAAGCTATGAGACTCGCCAAGAGCGGGATTAGACTTTCAGGTATCATTGACTTTACGGAGATCAAGGATGCCTCGCCCACCGTGGTTTCCCCCTTCAGCTCATCCCACTCTTCGGCTAGCTAGTCAGCAACTTCATGAGCGGCACTGAACCCCGGAACCCATCAGTATGAATCAATTCTTATCCGCGATCCACCTCAATGCTTTCTCCAGCCTCTCGAGAATGGCCATGTGGTGAGACGATAATTTAGAGGTGCTGGCAAATCGTCCTCTTGTGATTGGATTCCACACGAGCGGAGAATCTTATCTTCCCGAGTCGAGACAGGTCGATTCCTGGAAACGGCTCTCGCACTGTTCTTGATCGATCTTAAACCTCAAGAAGCACATACCACCGTCGTCATCTCCTGCCTGTTTCTTGTATTGTTGCTTAAGGTTGATCATCCATTATCCGAGGCTACAAATGGGATTACTCAGCAGGTGTCATATCCATGCCGATCAAGAAATCAAGGACGCGACAAACCCGCGCTCAGCGTGGTCCTGTTGCTCCTCCTCCTCGCCCTCGGACGCACGCGTTCACGGGATGTCTCACTTGCAGAGAGAGACACGTGAAATGTGACCTGGGGCAGCCATCATGTCACAACTGTACCCGTCTCAAAGTCCCCTGTGAGGGGTACTCCAGGAAATATACATGGGTTTCACCTAAGATCTTGAGAAAAGGGCGGCGGGTGATTGATCGGGGATCCCAAGAAGAGGTTGAGGAAGGTCAAAGTAGTCGTCGAGTACTATTTTCAGGTACAATTCTTCTCTCGACTACATATCTGGAGGAGGAAGCTAACAATGTATTAGACGAAGAGCGCGTTGCAATGGCTGTCCAGATGAGGAATGAATGCTGTGTCAATGCATCATTCCTCGATTTGGATCGTGTACTACGAGAGCTGCAAGAAAAAGTCGCAGAAGCAAGCGAGTTTGCCCGTATCGGTCCCTTTGGTGTCCTCCCAGTCGTTTCGAAGCTGTCGGCGAGTCCTTCGCCAGAAGCTCATCCAGAACCGGATGCTATACACCATGTGCAAGCTGATGAACAGAATGGACGGATTTCGACCCCCGACTTGGATTTGTCACTCTCCCAGTTTGCTTGGGGCGAGCTTGACGATGTACAGGCCTGGGATGCATTGGACTCTGCTCTCGTCACATTTTCCAGATTTACCTCAGAGAAAGGGTCTAGCAACGGAGATGTATATGCAACTTGGGATCTAGCGATGAATTCTCCGTCACAGAGTTTTGCCAATGATTCTACAAACGCCCTGGCTGTTGGTCAATATGGACCGAACACTGGAGGCCAGATCCTTGGCTTTGATAGCGCCATTGGTGATTCTTTCAAATATCTCAAATCTAACTAAGCTGACTCTTGACAGAACACACTACAACCCATGAGAGCCCGACGGAGTCGCTTAATATTCATGCTAGAGTACCTGCGATACTGCAGATGCCAAATACAGCAAACATGTCTAAGATACCCCCTGAAGCTCGGCTCCTTCTGGACTACTATTCCTCACAAGTCGTCGAAGCCATGTCCATGTCTCCAGTCAAGAAGCCGCCTTGGAGAACAATACACCTGCCATGTGCGATGAGCGCATTAGCCGAGCTCATCGTGCACGGAGAAGGTAGGAGCTTTGCCAAAATGGCCCTCTTCTATGCTTTGCTGTCAATCAGCGCCTTTCATTTGGGCTTTGCGAACCAGAAATCGAATGGTAGTGCACAGCACTGGAAGTTGAAAGGTGCTGCTCATAAGAAAACTGCCCAGAAATACCTGCAGTCGTCACTTGACAAGAATTTACCGAAAACAATGAGAGGCAAGTATAAGGAGGTACTGATGAGTATGCTGAGCATGGTTACTATTGGTGTATGTTATAGTCGCGTATATTTGCCGGTGACTCTGACAATTTGATAGGTGTTCAGTGGAGACATGCAAGATTCTCAAGCCTATCTCGCCGAGAGTGAATCCTTAATCCGGACTATCGGACTACCCAAACCAGTAAAATCGCTCAAGATATCAAAGCTCCATCACATCTTCTCATACCTGAGAATCATCCACGAAAGCACATCACTGAGGGGAAGTAAACCCAAGACGGACAGTTTGCACGACACCTTGGCATCTTCACAAACTGAAGAGGACCAAAATCAAGAACTTTCCATTGACATGGCTCAGTCAGCCAGTTCTAGATTAGCGTGGATCGAAGGAGAAGAACCTGAAGATTTGGAAGAAGATCCTCTGTTTGTCTCGATCTACCAATTGCCGACCACACTCTTGTCCTTGATTTCACAAACTTCATCACTTTGCAAACAGCTGGAATCTCCAGAATCGACAACATCAGAGTTTGATCGGAGATGCAAAATCGTTGAGGATCGAATATTCAGGTGGAAAGCTCCCACGGATTTGAGCCTCACATCACATTCTGGGCCGGATCAGTCGAATTCGCCAGACGCTGCAGCGAAAGAGGTAGCTGCTCACCTGGTCAATGCTACATATCAGGCCTTAATCGTACATTTCCAGCGTCAGATTCGCAATACCAATCCGCGCGTCCTTCAGCACTATGTCGCAAACGCAGCAGACCACTTGCTAGCTCACGAACAACTCAAACAGAGTCTCAAGTTATGCCATGCGCCATTTCCGTGGCCAGGGTTCATCGTTGGCTGCGAAGCTTATGACTTTTCTGCGAGGCAAAAGATCGATCTCTATCTCAAGACCGTGCGGTGCTATAATGTGGGAAGTGTCATGGCAGCGGAGAAGGTTGTGTACGAGGTTTGGAGAAGACAGGATGCGGGACAGAGTGATCACCAATGGGAAGATGTGTTAAAGGATTGGGGTATGCAGGTAGTCTTGACTTGATAAGTCCGTAAATTCCAATGCAAGGACACCCTCAATCTTCCGATGCAGTTCCCATCCGCCAGGCTAACAACATGGTCGTGAAGAAATACTCTTAATTTAGCGAAAGATAGCTCCATGTTTATGCTACCTCGACCAATTTCCACAGCTTATACGCTGAGACGACTGGAGAGTCCCACAAATCTGGTGACTCGTTTTGCTCGAATATCAAAAATTGCAAGAGTCTTTCTCCAATTTGGCCCTTTCAGAACAACACTTTTACAACTCGGGAAAGTTTGAACTCGAAAGAAACACAGGCATCCAGTCTTGCGCTAAAAATATCACGGTATATATAACTATTCGAGAATCAGAAAGTGGATTATGCCCAAGCACGCCATCAGAGCTTACCAAGGATCATCAGAATCAAGGGGACGCTCAGAATTGCATACCCAAATACAAATGCCAAAAACGACATATCTTTCAGAGCAAGATCTATGCCGTCCTCGGAGGAGTATGGACTGGGAGTATCTGTCGCCCATTGGTCGAGTCGGGCAGCTTCCTTCTCAGCTGCTGTAGGTGGTGAGACGTCCCAATTTGATTCCCTCATCCTGAAAATAACCTTCTTCGGATCCTCTCCGGCTATGATCGCAGCTTTGCACTTTTCCTCATAATCTCGATTCGATAGTGTGAGTATGCTTGGTGATTCTCGTTCACGTGCTTGGTTTCGAAAGATAAGTTCCTTCAGTATGTTCTCGCTATCTGGCTTCCAGCGGTCAATTATATCTTGCAATCTCACCACACTTATTTTTGAATCATGGAGGGGCCTCCATGCCCATTCTTTGTCGTGAACATCCACACATTCGCCGGCCCATACCACCCTGATTGCCTTTCTGTTGTCTTTGACTAATGGCTTCATATTCATAGTGAGTGAACAGTCCGCGCCATGTCTGACGAAAATCTCGAAGATGTGCCAAAAGTAATCGTTCCGTTGTAAATGGAAACCCTGTCTCAAAACTGAATTACGAAGCATCATATACCAAACTGGCTTTCCAAAAATCTTCGCCAGCGAATATTGAGGACAATTTGCGGAAATTCCCATGAGAAACAAACTTTCAATCCAATGAGGTTTTTCTACATTTGGAATACGCACGCGATAATTCAGCCGCTCAGTGATGTAAGGACACAGTAATTCAACTGCTGCTTCACGATGTTGTTCTAAATTTGTGAACTTTTTCGCTGTCCATTCGCAGTAGAAGGGAATATCGAATGCCATCGCCTGGTGGACTAGAGAGGTCACAACACCTCGGCCTGGTATCCTCGGGCGATTCGGGTGGATCGACAGGTCTACGTTGAATTTTGCCCATTCGACGTCTTCGAATGATTTACCAACGATTCCTTGTCTGTGGAGCACAGCTGACGCAATGTTGTCGAGCGATTCGCATATGGTAGTGGTGCATCGTGGTCCGACGACTTCAATCGTTGGGGCGGCGACTCGTTCCAAGTAGTCAGTAAACATGCCAGTCCAGTCCCGAGCCTTTCCCTGAGCCGTGGCATCCCTAGTGCCCCACATATAGCCGAGCTTGATCACCGCAAGAGATGTCTGTAATATTGCGTCCAACACATCAAAATCTTTGAGATACCCGGCCATATCCGCCTTAATTTGATCTTGTTCAAAAGCCTCTCGCGCTGATCGATGAATAAAACTAACAGTGGGAGCATTGAACACGCCATGATCGTTATTGACCTGCAAAAGAGCTTTACAGTGAGATACTAGACGTCTTTGTGTTCGAGCTAGACGTGTATCTTCTTCCTTTGAAGATAGCACACTGTCATTCTTAATTTCCATGGCAAATTTCCTGTTCGAAGTATAACTTTCCATAAACGAGTAATTCAGAAGTAATAAGCCGCGACGAGCCTGAAGGGCAATGGCGAAGGTGTGGTATGCTGACTTCCGATTTTCTGGCGAAATCGAGCTGACTATCCGTTGAAGAAATTTGTCAAGATCGTCTGGATAGAATTCTATCTTCTCCCACAAGTCTGATAGTGTGTCATCATCGATAAGTCCTTCACAAAGAATGTTGAGGATCAATGTCACCCACAGGAAAACCCCTTCTGCCTTGTGAACAACTCGTCTAATAAGAGACTCGCAACGAACTTTCTGCTCTAGCATCATCCGCTGGAATGCTCCATGTCCAAGCAATCGATCGCGTGTGACCTTTCGAATATCGCTCTCCGTGACTTTATGAAGATACAGCTTCTCCCAAGGCAGATCGTCTTCAAGTAATGCCAAAGTGCTCATGGCTCTACTCGAGACACAGAGCTTGATAGATTCGTGGAGCGTTGCCAGATGCCGTAAGCAAGTAATTAATTCGACAGGGTCGCTGCTCTCAAATTCGTCTAGGCCGTCCAGGAAAATGCAAATCGAATACTTGTCAAAGAAATCCAGGTTCGTGCCTGAAAAAAGCCTTCTAAAAGCGTTTCCTACGTCTGCATCTGAAATCTCGGGGACGGCGTGGGAATGCCATGGGGTGGATCGGCTGGTTTTCCATTGCTCAGAAAGTACATGTGCAATGAGCTCAGGGGCCTGGCTTAAGGTATCGTACAGTAGAGCGCGAAGCATCCCGTCCATCGAACTCTGAATTCTATCTCCCTGTTTCCAGAAGAAATGTTTTGCTTTGATGAGTGTCTTCCTACCAGACCATTTTCGAAGAAACCTCTCTGTCTCAGGACTATTACAGATTAACTTCATCATCGTGCTTTTGCTGGCGCCGGGTTTGGCGATGATCTGGAAGATCCCCTTCCCATCGGAAAGCCATCCCTGGAAAGCCTTGCGGATTGAGACGTGGAAGTCAGCCTGCCCATTCTGTTTGATGGACAGGTCATTTGGCTTGCAATGAGTGTTCGCATCGGCAATGGGTGTCCTAGTAAGCGGGTCACTTGGCCTGTCATCTTCTACTATCCAAGTAAAAGTTGTTTGGTGGGCCTTGACAACTTCATTGTATCGTTTCCTCATCGTTGGGAAGCTGATTCCTTTCAAAATATAATCACGGCAACTGCGGTCAGTCTCGCTTGAGGACAGCTGAAAAAGGTGGAGCAGTTGTGTCGAGATCTCCGGGTTCAAGTCCGCAGCACGAACGCCAGACCTGAGTATCTGGATATTTTCACGTAGCGATGAAAGCTGGGTTGCGTTTGATTTGTTGGAGGTGATCAGCGATTCGAGACGCTCAAGGTTCTCGGATCTACGATAATAGGCAGTGAAAGTTAGCAGCTGTGACTGAGAACTTTGGTAAGAAAGGATATGGATATAGTTTCTACTCGTCTCCCACCACTTGGCTTATTTGTAAGCCGTAGTATGGCTCCTCCAGTAAATGTAGTGCGGATACCATAAATATAGAGCATTGAGACCTGGATTTTCCAGAGATACATGGCAGCTGAGATTTAGCCCGAGTGCATAGCCTGTAGCAAGACCCTGTAATTAAGCGAAGAACGCTGAATTTGAATGCTATGTTGTCCTCTAGGCAGCCTTAGCGCCTCGCTTCAGCGCTGACCCTGGAAAAGTGTGTTTGCGGCAGTTGAGGGAATAAGAGCAAGCTGCCCGAGTATAAAGATAGGGGCACCACGTACCTCATAATCATGGTCACCTGCAATTGTACCTCAACCTGCACCTGTGCCAGCTTCTCCTGTAGCTCCTTGATCTTGACATGCTTCAACTCCCCCCTCGTGACTGATCTCAGAGCTTCTTCGACGCTATGTCGCTTTTTGCTCTTCATGTCCTCGAGTAATTCGAGAATCTCCCCAGTCACTTCTTTACATTTCCTGCTCAATGCATGGAGATTTCTCTCGTCCTCAGTCTGGACCGTTAGACATGTTGGCGAATTGGCCTGTACGATCAGTCAGCATCATCTAGACCGGTCATAACGTGCAATAGCTACGTACTTGAAGTCATCCCGCTAGCTCGTTCATGCCTTTCGTAGCACTTTGCAGCTTTTCATGCTCATCAGTGAAGCCAGTCTCCGAATCATACACCTTCTTCGCCGTGACCAGTGCGGCAGCACCATATTCGCAGAGTTGGCAGATATTACACACAAGGCTGAGAATCAAGACGGGGTCCATGATGCTGTGCGAGGATCCGAAAATGTCAACTGGCCAAACAGGCGTCGAGGAGTTGGTCCAGGAGAGTCAGGCTCACCTGGTCCGATTGATATGGTGAATTGATTTCGGAGAATGAAGTCGTCCAGAGGATGGTCGAACGAGGGTTGAGAAGCGTTCTTAAATCGACGTGGGGATGCAGTGTGACCGGGTCTGCAATGCGGCCTCCAGTGAGCCAGCCAATCAACCAAATACATGTCGAGTTGCGTATACTCAGAGCGCCCCCCTCCCCTTCCCCTTCCACAACCAACAGAGGCTAGATAAGGCAGAAACGTCGTGCTTCCAATCTACCGAAATGTCCCCATGAGGCTGTAGGGACAAATGTCGTGGCAAGAGGGATAGATGGGATGCCTTGTGAAGATACACACCTGCAAACGCAGATGAGTCACTTAAGAGGTGCAGGAGCATTGTCCAGCGCACTCTAGCAGGTGCCACAGCAGCCATACATACATGTAGGGAAGCGGCTGCCAACACTCGCAAGCGAGACTGCTGCATATCCCTGGTTCGCTTGGTGTGCAGTGTTAAAGCAGGAGCTAGTGGGACACACTTAATGATTCAACAAAGTCACCAACTGTAATACTTATCTGCGATGCATCTTGGAAGCCACTTTCAATCATCGAAGCTTCGTCGTTGTGCTTCCATGATCCCTTGCTATGCAACCCACACTTTTCCTTATCAGCCCCCTTAGCCTCTCTCAAGTCTTCGTTTCCTCCGGCTTCCTCCCATGGACGAAATACACAATCCCGTAAGCGTGGACATTCTTATTCCCCAGATCCTCTCTCACCTTCGTCAAAAAGACCTCCAGTCTCGACTGATCCCAGCCCAGAATCCTCGTGAAAGCGGCCGTGCTGAGCGAAGCAATACCCTCACTCATATTTTGGTACGAGATAATGCCTAGCATTTTGTTCTTCTTGCCTTTGGCCCATGGGTTGACGGGAACGTAGACTCGAGTTTCGGTGACGTCGACGAAGCCGACGTCTTTCATGTATCGGCCCCAGTTCTGGCTGTCTTTGAGGTTGCGCCCGATGCGGGACATGGATTCGACCATGAGGGTATTCCACCTATGCTTATCAGCAAATGCTTTAAGTTTTCGGGGAAAAGGGTAGAGCAGAGAGCAGACTTACTCATGCAATGCTGTCCCATCTAATGTCTTATCATCGCTCAACATGGGAAAGCAAGGATCTTGGAACTCAAAATATCCCCCTGGCTTGAGATTGTCGAAGATCTTTTGAACCATTGCTCGGTTGTTCTTGAAGCAAGTAACGATTGCTCGAGCATGGATGTAATCGAAAGGCTCGGAGAAGTTCCATTCGTTCTCTGCATCATCGACTTCAAATTTACAGTTTGGCGGCACACTGAAGGTATCAATCAATAAGGTTTTGCGAGACTGGGTGATTAACTTACAAGGGAGGTTGAATAGGACTAAGATCTGTACCAATCACAGTAGACTCGGTATGCTCTTGAGCGAATTCAATAGCCCAGATACCAGTTCCTGTCGCCAAATCCAAGACTCTTTGCGGGCTTTTGATCGGCGCGAGACCTAATTTTCCGTCCAGCATGATCCTGAATGAATGATGCTGCAGATCCAGTCGGTCCTGCTCTCTCTCATCGTTTGGCAACATATATTCTGTCACCATTAACACAATGTGATATCAAGGGCATCAATATACATACTCCCAGAGTTATAAGCATGGTAAGTCCGTCCGTTCTCTTCCATGTACTCATAGATGCTTGATCTGAGCGACACAGTCGAATTCCTGTGTAACATGAATCAGCATGTCTACCCCTCTCGCGTCCTGAGATGAGATGAAATTACCTAACAGAAGTCCCCAACGCTGAATCATCATCGCGATCCGTATTCGACTACACCTCATCAGTCTCTTATCTCTCTTGTATGTTTATACCTTCAGGAATAGATAGATCAAATCGGCACTCACATCCGACGTATCAGTCCCCGCCTCAAGATCACTCGGATACGCACTAAATTCTCCTGTCGCACCAGTCACAGCCTCTCCCTCTCCTCCCTCCACAGCTGTCACCTCCTCTCCAGGCTGTCCAGACTTTTCCAACGCCTTGACTCCAGGCTCAGCTTCCGTTGCGGTGGTTACACTCGATGGCGACGTGACTCGGGGAGCCGAGGCGGCAGTCTCATCGGGAGACGGCATCGTCGCGGGCCGAGTTTTGGCGTGAGCTGATCGGGACGCTTACGGCTTCAGAACGTATCACAGACCCTATGATATGCGAGATGCACTAGGAGATCTCGGTAGGTATGAATGTTTAATATCGAGGAGTGAGGAAATAGAGAAGACTCTAGTTTATCTGTATGTCGCTGGCGGCTAAACGCCAAGTACGTGCGTGTCCAGAGCCCCGCCCCCACTTGCTGTTTTGGGGTGGAGTGGAGTTGGAGTCTTGGATGATGGGCTGATGAATAGATTGGTGATTGTTGGATAATCAATTGTTGTATGAAAGGTTGCTTATCTTTATTGTATTGTCAAGTGATTTTCCTTACGGTGTTTGGGGGTCAGTTGTTGAACTTGGAGGATCCCTCAAATCGAGCTTGTCATTTCACATGCGCTTCGTCTAATGGGGACAAGGCGGCCAGACGACAAATCCAACTTCATTAGATTATATGTCAATCTAATTCATCGAATTACAACTGGTCCCAGTTCGATCTCAGCGAAACTCTCCAATCATCACCGCCTCTCCTCCCTATCATACCTACACCTAGACATGTGTCCGCTGTCCGGCTTCACACCCTTCACCAACCCCTCATTCCTACAATGATGCAACCAAAAATACATGTCTGCTCCCAGATACGGCCAGCGGTGCAGCCAAACCTCAGGATGCGTATAGTATATCCTGTCTCCCGCCTCCATCTGCCCACGAGCTTTCTTCGTCGAACATTCAGGCGAGAGGTTTGAGATCTCTTGAATGAAAGCTGCTATCCAATCTCGACAGTCGGCCCGCGTCCAGTCGAGCTGAGGGATGCAACTTGCTTTGATCAAGGAGGATCTTGACGAGCTGTTTGGGGGTGTGAGGTGGAAGCTGGTGATCAGGCGGCGGAGAAGTGGCAGGCTTGGGAGAGTAATGCTGGGATCTGGAATTGGGTAGCGGCAGCTTGGATCGGGCGAGTTTTCGCATTTGGTAGAGCCAGAATATTGTGAGGAGCTAGAGCGGGAGGGGAGTTGATTGTTGCTTTGTCTGGAGTCGTGGGATGAAGCGAGTGCATGGCATTGCCCTCGAGGATTGTTGCTCTCGTTGTTGAAAGTTATGCGACGTTCGGCCGAGTTGGTGGATTCGGAAGGGCAGGTTACTATTACGTCTGGGTTTGATCTCCTGCATAACGAACACACTTTCTTCTTCCAGCATTTGGCTGCCTTTGCAAGGCAGCGCTTACAGTCCTTGATCGGCTTCATGGTTGGCTCGTTCTGACAGGTTGAAAGGCCGAGAGATCTGGGCTCGAGACAAGGAGCGGAGAGAGCAGAGAAAAGACACGAGGGAAGTAAATTCAATTGATTGTGGGCGAGATTATTGTCGAAAAAGCCCTGAGACGTCATTACACTAGATACTGAAGAGGGTATCGGTGCCAAATATTGAAACGGGAACAAATAAAGCTAGAACTTTTTAGCCCGCCAACCGACAATACTTCGCGAGAACACACAAAGACCCCACGCAAAACATGATGAAAACAAGAAATTGAATGGTTGATACTGTCTTGGATACCTATTTCAGGCGAGGCTTGGTTCCTAGAGGCACGTCCGAGCCGCAGTGCAGTATGTAGTCGTGTTTCAACGAGATTCGCTTGGCTTGATCATTATTCCCAATCTGGCAAACTTTCATGGAAGCGGAATTCTGATCTTCAACCGGTCCGAGAGTGCAGGAAACTCCTTTCCAGTGGTAAATGAGCAAAGTAGTTGAGGTGAGTCTGCTTGTACATTTCCCAAGGAAATTGCTGCGACTTGTTCTAGAATCTTGATTGCAGAATGACGAATCCATGTTGTTCCTGCTCTCCAAGCATTTGGGAGCCCCATTTTGTATCCCCAATCAGTAACCGCCATATGTTTTATGCAATGCAGATCATCGGACGCTATTTACCGCGCCTCAATTGTCCACGAAGCTTGTGAGGCGGGTGGGTGATGTCGGCCATGTCTTGCATTATGGGGCTTCTTTCCTCGTCGATGTAACAATCCTAATGTATTATACCTCAAATCATTGACACTCCATTGTCGCGGGTGGGTATATGTGTCAATCAAAGGCATTCGAGTATGTACAGTGTTTTCAACTGTTGTTGCTCGACGCGCAACTGTGCCTGCTCAAGTATCCTTTGAATGCTCAAAAGCCATGCCTGCGGTCTGCGCGGGGGGGTAACTGGTTTTCCTATGTCGCAAAGTTGGATGCTGGGCCAATAATTCAGAAGTAGTGTTAGAAAGCAGCATTAGTCTTGTGTTCTACTACACATGGCTGCGTGGGAAAGGGGGGGGGGGGGGGGGGGGGAGGCGGGGGCGGGGTGATGGAGGAGAAGCCACCAACGCCTCGTCATGCTGTAACCCAGAGCACCCCAATTGATTCGCAGTAAGCTGTTGTTCGTTTGATTCTTCTCAAAGTCTCGGAACTACCTTCGATTGAGTTTTGAAGAGAGCTTCGGAATAGATTGGTGAAGGAAATACATTGGTCAATTTGCTGGTGAGAAACGACGATGCTGTGCATTTCGTCGAGGCCAATTCTCGTTTGTTTACTCGACCAATACATTGGTTTTTCCTGCTCAAAGAGACAATTCATATTACCGGTTGCTTCAAACCTCTCCAGAAGCCATGATCACTAAGTAGCAGCGTGTTGTGCTATCAGAACGAAGTTGAAGCTTGGACTTTCGACTCCCTAGTCTGGAAATACAGTATTCCTTGGCACTCCTCTCGCTAAACAGCCCTTGAGGTCCTACATACCTGCCTACCCCAACCCATCATCAACACAAATTGTGTCAAGATAAACTTTAGTGGTGTAAATGACCACGATTCCTGTATTAAGATCCAGATTACCACAGCATTCAGAGCAGCGGAAGAATAATTCATTATCAAAGATACATTTTCTTTATGCCCATACCGAATTGAACATTAACTCGAATCCAAACCAGGCCATTCTATTCCGTATTCGGCTCGAGAAGGAAGACAGCTAGCTATTCAAATCATGATAGCATATAACATGTACGTGAAGATATCCCCAATCTTTCAACAGATACAGGATCCAAAAGCAACACCGCGTAGTGTATGCGTGCGTGCCGTATATACAATCCCTATACCCGAGTACTTTCTTACATAAACCCCTCCCAGCAAGCTCACTTCTCCCCGGAATTCCTAGCCGCCTTCTCCAAATCAAACCAATACAAATTCATCGCACCTCCCGCTCCACAGAACTCACTCGAGTTCCCAGGACACTTGAAGTTACACTTACTATCCGTCAAGTTCGCACTAGGTGTAGCTCCTGCATTACCTGCCGTATTGAGAGTATTGCCACACCAGCACTCTTGGCCGTATTCCACTCCCGCGTACTTGAAGTTCCAGCATTTGGAGAGACATTTTTCGATAGTCATGGATGTAGCGTTGTTTTCGAGTTGACCTGGGAGAAGACGCCCCGAGGAGGGTTCAGAGACGCAGGAGTAGTAGGTAAAGTTTACGTTGCCTTGGGAGGTGACGGGTGGGCCGGTGTAGGTTCCACTGCTGCTGGATGTGGTGGCGGGTGAGGTAGAGGATGAGGAGGGTGAGATTGATGAGGCGCTTGAGGTTGCTGTAGAGACTTGAGTGGGTGCAGAGGAACGGCTGGATCCGCTTGCTCCTGCGGTGCCGTTCTTGATGTATACGCTCAAGCGGTTTCCGTTTCCGCAGTATTGCGTGCTGTCGCCACCGCATACTTTCGTGCAGTCCTTGTCAGACACGAGAGTAGAGCCTATGCCGAAGGAGTTTCCGCACCAACCTGTTGTTTGTTAGTATTTGAATGGAACAGAGTAAATTAGGGGAAATGACTTACATTCACGACCATACTCAGCTCCGAAGTAAGTATAGGCCGAGCATGCTTGAGCGCACATCTGAATGGTCATAGAATCATTGGCGTGCAGCGCACCAGAAAGAGCCCGCACATTCGAACCCTCGGTGTAGCAGCCTGCATAGTTGTACAGACCAACCGATGGGACGATGGCTGGGCCCGAAGGTGCCTTGGATGTGGTCGGAACTGCGGAAGTCGCAGTCGTCGTCGAGACGGGTGGTAACCTTGTGATGACGCTGACAGAAGTGCTCACTGAGCTTGTGCGCGACGATGATGTTGTGATGCTCGCGGAGGTGCTTCCTGATGTTACAGCTGAGCTGGAACTAGAAACAGCAGAGTATGCGGAACTCGTGTTAAATCCGGATGAACTTCTGGAGCTAGAAGAAGATATAGTCACAGGTCGGCTCGATGATGAAGATGAAGCTGAGTTCCTTTGGTAAACGTTCAATCGTCTTCCCGCTCCACAATACTCGGTGCTGTTGCCACCACAAACCATGTTGCATTCGGTGATAGCTGTAGGGACAGAGCCGGCGGTGAAGGTGTTGCCACACCAACACTCACCGCCATACTCCAAGCCAGCGTAGATGTAGTCGCTAGCAGAGCAAGCAGCGACACAAAGTGCAACAGTCTTGCTTGTGATTGTCTTTCCGTTTGGTAGCGCGCGGCCAGTGGTTGACTCGGTGTAACATCCAATGCTGGAGTATCCACCAACACCTGGGTTGACAAATGGACCGCCAGTTGGAGCAGGGGTGGAGGCTGTTGTTGTTGTTGGTTTAGGAGTTGTCACGTTTCCGTCGAAACGGCTGGAATCTGCGAAGAGCGAGATATAGCTTCCGCCTGATCCAGCACCAACTCCATTACCACCACAGATCTGGTTGATGTCTCCTTTGCAGGGGTAGTTGCAGTTGCCTTCATCAACCTCGAGAGTCGGGATCTTGGGACCACCCCAGCATTCTCTGTTGTATTGTGTGCCGCAGAAAACAACACCTGCTGCGTTACAAGCAGCAATGCAGATGGCATTGGTCATATTGTCCGAAGCAGTGAGTTGGTTCTGAAGTTGACGACCAGGATTGTTCTCCTTGAAACAGCCTGTGTATTTGTACAGACCGAGACCATTGGACAAGAGGGGTGGTGCTTGCTCCGTAACGGCTGTACACTCAAATCCAATATCGTGCTTGCCAAAAGTAGGATCGTCAAGATTCATGGTCCAATGGGCGGTTCCGTAGTAAGGGTCTTGGTTCCATTGAGTCTTGGGGACCGAGCAGTAGAGGGTTGCGGTAGCGTTCTCGCCAGGAGCGAGACTTGTACCTTCAGCGAGATCGACTTGGTTATTTGCGCCGATTATGCCGGGGACACCGAAGGGAGGTTTGGAAACAGTCAAATACAGCTTGGTGCTTTCGCTTGTGCCGTTATTGGTGACACGCATCTTTAGCGAGCGGGTCTGGTTCTCAGTCACATTTCCGAATGTGAAGTTCTTAGCTGGGTCGAAGGTAACCCATCCAAGTCCGTCTGTTGTCTGGAACTCGATGAGAGCCTTGGGTGCAGAGCCAGCAGTTCCGACGACATCGAAGAGCTCGATTCCGCCATTGGAGACAACCTTTAAATAGGCTCCGTAGTTCCCAGTGACTGAGCTGTCGAAATTAACATTGATAGTCACACCAGAGTTACCAGGAATAGTTTGCGGGAGCCCGTAGAAAGTGAAGGGTCCGGCTTTAGGGTTGGCAGCTGTACCGTTGGGAGGAATGAAAGGGCCTTGCTCGCCAACTATCGAATATTGGATGTCAGAAATGGTCAGCTCTGCATTCCCCAGGTTCGTGAAAATAGCAGATTGGTTGACACCGCCAACTTGTCCTCCAGCAATGACATTCTCGAAGGCGAGGGTGACAGGGCTAATGCGAAGCAGTGCATCGATACTCTGCCCGGTACCACGCAGAGTAATTGGTGTGCTCGTACTGTAACCGGCGACTCCATTGGACGTGGTGAGAAGAATATCCGAAGACAGAATTCCAACAGATTTAGGGTTAAAGACAGCAGTCATCGTGAAAGTAGCACCTGCCGCAAAAGTAGATGGTATAGTCGGTAGGCCGCTAACAACGAAGTTCGAATCGCCGACGAAACTTGCGTTCGAAATCGTGACAGCGACATTGGCTTTACAAGTGATCGTTTTCGAAGCAGTCGAGGTATTGAGGTTGGCAGTGCCGAAGTCCACGGGTGAAGTGCAGTTGAGCGGCAAGTTAATTGGGGAACCGAATCCATAGAGGAACCCTTTAGTGGTTCCAATGTAAACACGACCATCTCCGAACACGGGGCGAGTAAATTTAGTGACACTATCAACGTTGAAACCATTGATCTGTGTCAACAACCCATTGTCGGGAACAGCTTTGTAGATACGAAGACTCTGTCCACGGACGTCGCTGGTCCAGAGAAGGCCGGTGCCAGCTTGGCCGTCAAGAGAGGTTGTGGTGCCGTGGCCGACACCAAGAATACCAGCATTGGCGCTAGGAGTGTCTGCAACCTTGGCGAAAGACGGGACACCTGCGCTGCAAGAAAACTTGAAGACGTGGGTAGGATAACCGATGACTGTTCACATTAGTAAAGATTTAACAAGTTTCCGGAATACTTACCGCTAATGTAGATGTATCCACCTTCCAGAGGATAGACACCTGCTCCAGCATATACAGAATTCTCATTCTGGTACACCTGAATAACATCATCCAGCTTGTTTGGTCCGTTCTGGTATCCTCCCAAGTTATCCAAGTTCAACCAGTAGGTCTTACCACTCTTTCCAGTGACAACACCAATGCGCTTCACATCACCGCAAGAAAATTCGCTAGGTAGGAGTTCCAGAGGAGTCGTTCCAAGATCTTTGTCGGCACCATCCAATTGCGTCTTTTCCCACGGCATGAAGAAATCGACGATACTCAGACTTCCATCTGCGTTGATAGTCATATGGACGGCAGCTTGCTCGAGAGATGTTGGGGGGTTTCGGCCGTTGACAGGAATGGTACTGAGTTGAGAGGCATAACCGTTTCCAGTGGCGAAGAACATAGACCCGGCATCGTCTGAGGATATACCACCTCCAGACATCCAGATACCGCCTCCCTTGGTCTCGAAATCAACACCAGCACCTTCAGTAGCATATCTCTCAACGACTGCGCCGGTTGTCTTGTCCCATCCCATGATCCATCCAGTGAAATTGTATTGTACGCAGTGAGAAGCGAATCCAGCATATATGTATTGTCCAGAGTGAAGCAGAGCAGGACGTTGGTGATGAATACCTCCACCAAAGCTTCGACTTGGGTTGTTTCGGGCAACAATCCCTTCCAGGTCCTTGGGGAAGCCGGCGCGCTCGGAAAGATCGTTGACATCGATGGCGTGGAAGTAGTAACGTCCCGCTGGTCTTCCTTGAGCAACGTTGACCTGGGTCTGATCAAGGTATGTTTTCGAAGTCAAGTAGAGTGTGTCGGTGGCTGGATCAATGACTCCAGTAGCTGTTATACCAACGTGGGGGTTGATATCAACACATCCATCCAGATCTGCGGTCAAGAATGGGATGTGCAAGTTCCTTGACCGGACGATGGCGCCAGTCTTAGCATTGACTTTATACAGGTTGTTCTGAGTCGTAGCAACGTAGACATATTGGATACCATCAGAGGGTGTATAAACGAGCGGTTGAGCGAACAATTGCTCGGGAACGCCACCGTAAGCACCTGGTAAAACAGTTTTGAAGAGTTGACCGAATTGGGAGCTTCCTACTATGGAAGGATCCATATTATGATTACTGTTCTTGTCAGACACTTCCCCAGATCTCCATATGCATCATTTCACTCACGTTTGATATCCAGTGCGAGAATTATCTCCACCCCAGGTAATGGTATCGGTGGAAGCCAAGGAGTTGACATGGCTGACCAAAAACGAGAGTAAGAAGGCAGAAACGACAGTGGTGGTAGACATGATGCCCGACATCTTGACCTGCTACCTCTTGGTACAGAGAAGTAAAGCAACAGTCGATCGAAGCAACAGCGAACGTGAGGCTACAGATGAGCACGATTAGATGGTTGACCCGGTCCCTTGCTGAGGCTGACGTTAAAGAAGGTCAGGGCGCGGGTTCCATCCTTATGTATCCTTCATATCCAATTTAAGACCCACAACGTATGCGGCGCTCGTGGTTGAAGAGGGAAGAAGATGGACAGACGACCAGGACAAGGTAGAGGAAGCGGGAGATCGGAAGGCGTCTACCCACAAAATAACCTCAACCTTGGATTTCTCGAAGAAGTACCAGAGAAAAGAGGATCCCATCCATGACTTATGAGGCCTAGCCTTGCATGTAACAGGCCGTAAGGTGCGTGTATGCCCATGAAGTCCCCCCATCGCAAATTAGACTGACCCTTGGCCTGCTGGTCAACACTTCCCAAAGGGGCATGTCGTTAAGACTCTGACCAGTCAGGGGCCGCACAAGCGTTGGCGAGCGTCTTCCCCGCCAAAACGCCCCTTGCGCACACGCTGGACCATGCTGGTGTCCACGGCGCCCTGGCCCTTGCTCCTGGACCTGGACTATCGCAAGTCCAGGAACCAAACTCCGTGAGACCATTCAGAGACCAGGGATTCAGCCACCGCTGCTGAAGACAGATCTGACTGGTGCTCTCTGGTGCTATCTTGGGGTTCGTACAGGGATAAATAAGAGAGATTTGATAGTCTCGGGGACAAGGGCAGGAACATATTCCGGCTTTACCTGCATGCAGGAAAGTGCAGACGTTGAAATAAGTGGAGGGAGGCTCAGACTCGGATTCGGTGATTGAGTGATCACTGACCGGAAAGGAGAGAGTGACAGGTCTCAGAGCTCGAGCCATGATAGAAGCTGCCAATGTACCCATGATGCCATGACTTGAAATCAAATCTCCTTCGCTGATACAGTATCAAGCCGGCATCCGTTATCGTATTCAGAAGACACTTTCAGTAACCAAAAATGAAGGGGAACAGCATCATGCCATCAACAGCCAGCACTGGTGGTGTGTATGAGTAGAGTAACTTTCCTCTACACGGTAAATTACAATAACGTAAAGCGAAAACACTATTTTGCGGAGTAAGAAAAGTAACACCACACCAACAGACAAGTTAGTTCTTACAACTACTGAACCAAAAACATGTCAAGCAGCCTCGTATCAAAGCGGGACCGACAGCCAAATCGACGGCGTGCGTTTGCTTGCCCCCTTTCTGCACGTAAATTTAGGTATCAACCCTACCATGTCCCCTCCACACCTCATCCTCAACCAATCACAGGCACACCTTTTCAATCCATTTTCTGCCTTGCAATCGCCTTGCATGATTTGCTTCTCTACCTTCGTCAGCACCTTCTGCGTTGGGACGGAAAACACTTTGTACAATTAATGACTTGAGCATGCCGAGTCATAGATCAGAGCCTATCTTGACTACTAGTATGCTTGGAATACCACGAAACGGCTGGGCACTTGGGGGGAGAAAGAGGAAAAGACGAATAGGTGAAAGAAATGTTACTGTAGTAACAAACATGTTACAATTCTGACATGTCAAGACACGAAAATGAGATTGATGGAATAATCCGATTCAGGGCTGCTCTTGTCCACCGTGCGGCGCGGCGCGGCGCGGCTTTTGGTGGACTCGGAGAGCCTGGAAAGCCTAGGTAAATTCCCTTAGGTATCGTTCCCGTCTGGAAGGTACCGCTCCCCACTTCTGGACGCCACGTACCGGCTCTGAAGCCCACTGAGCTCTCTGAAGTCGGGAGTCGGGACAGATCTTGGCAGGCTTCAGTGCTTTCAACTGTGAGCACAGTCGGCAACAATAATAATACTGCGTGCGATGCAGTCAATCCAATAATACGCTGGATGCCCAGCCCAGCTCAATCCAGGTCCAATATCCAATTGAGTTCTAAACATGTCTCTATTTCCAAGTATCCAATATCGATAGCTCCTTCGCATCACGTATACGAGACATGGCAATCTGGATCCCCTTGACGGGATTCAGATTCTCTCCCTCTCTCCCTCTCTCCCTCTCTCGACGACCTGTCCTGTGCCCGCCTAGCGCACCCATAAGCGTGGGCTCGGGCTTAGCTTCGAAGCCACTGAGCTCAGGAACAAGCCCGGATCGACATCACCCGGGGGCTTCAAGTTAGCGCAGAGGCCGCGGCAGAAGACGCAATAACGGCCAGCCACAAGTGTCTTTTCCGAATAGCTTTCTTTGCTCGAATTGGACGTACGGTCTGATATGGTTCTTTGGACGATGATGATGATAGGAAATATCAAGAGGCGATTGAGAAATTCGCGTAGCGAACCGTGCTGGTACGAGTTTCAGGGAAGCTTGTTTGTCTATATTAGGTGTGTTTGTAAATTTTACTTCCCCCTAAAATTACACTCATCCGAATAGGGACTTTGACTTCAGGTACCGCGAATGCGTAGTCTGAGTTACTTAGTCAGTGATGCAACATTAGCATAAATGCTGCTCCGCTGACATGGGTTTATAATATCTGGTCTCAGATCTTTAATTAATTTGCAGCTTTCGTAATCTTACCAAAACCCTGGCGCCGGATTCAGGTCTTCGTCATGGCTTGTGTTTGTGTTCCGTTTCCCAAAGTATTACAGGAAACAAACTGATCTCTTATTCATCACGCGTGGCTTTGAAGTATATTTCTATTTTGTCTGTTGCACAACAGAAGAGCTAGAAGCAACCTGGGATTCTCGTATAGAATTTCAGCGTATCTTCAAGCATTTCAAGGCATACAAATTCAAGGCCACTGCCCCGACTTGACATGCAGCTTCCCCTTAAACCAAGTCCCGGTACTTAGATCCAGATACTATGAGTTTTCGACTCAGTGGATCTCAGATGAATCTAGGACGGTGTCGTGATGATCTCCAGGATACCTCAGAATGATATCTTCCAGTCAGTTAGCAGGTGAGGCAAGGTCTCTCGCCCTTCCTAAAGGATCTCCTAAGACTTTAGACTGTACTTAGTACCTACCTACCAAGGTTCTGGGTTGCAATGTCCTAGTAAGAATATCCTTACCTGTGGAGGGAGCTTAATCGTAACAGAATCATGTAAATGATTACCGACTTTGATAGCAAGACTTGTCGAATTGTGACCTCAACGGTCTGTCAAGGCATCTCAGATAGCTAGCTTGGATCACTCCAAATCTTTACAGCTAGTCTTTGTCGATAATTGAACCAATTAATAAGATTCTGCACGCAACCTCTCGAGCGAGAATTCAGTCCTCGTCTTCGACACTTCTTCGCTGCAACAAATAGGTACACGTTGGTTTTCGTTTCTTGATTTGAAGGCTTGGTAAGAACTTAACCCCTGACTCTTCCAGTGCTATTTATTGTATGGCCCTTTTTCGTGACTTTAAATCCCAGGCATGTGGCATATTCTTGATTATCTGCATTATGTACAGCTTGTTACGATGTCTAAATACTTACTATTCACAACTTCTAGTACTTCTAAAGGACAGTGTTAATTCCATCGGCAACTGTCCAAGTACTTCCCTTTTAGTGCATTCACGTGCCTTATCGCTCCTTATCGTCACGCGATCTCCAAAAAAATGCGGAAGGCTCTTCAACCTGATTCGAGTCACGACAAAAGAAGTCGCGTATTTTGAATAAAGACATTTTTCTTCCATCCACATGTTTTCCCTTTCTGCATTCAGACGCAGTCCACTTCTACGAAACCTCATCACAGTCACGATGGAGTCCAAGAAAAACCCAGCCAGACGGCATCCATACCGTGGCAAGAAGGCCATGGGAACAAACGCAGCCCCTCGAAATGCCCTCAATACAGGTGCATCAGCATCGGCTTCTCCAGCTCCCCCAATACGAGTCTCAACTCCTCCTCTCACAGCACCAATTCCTCTCGATACTCCCCGATTTGCAGACCTCGCAAATGAATCTTTACTCCATCCTATCCTGATCAAGACGATCACGGAGGATCTCAAGTTCGACCATATGATGCCCGTACAGGCAGCTACACTCCACGACCTCCTCGCAAAGAGAATCGATTGTTTGGCACAAGCAAAGACCGGCACAGGAAAGACAATTGCGTTCCTCTTACCTGCCATCCAAACAATGATCAACAAGAACCACCGCGTCGGATCAGGAATCTCCCTACTCGTCATCTCACCAACTCGAGAACTGGCAATGCAAATCGCGAAAGAAGCTACGGCTCTCCTCCAACGCCTCCCACAATACAAGGTCAGCTTCGCAATCGGTGGAACCAACAAGGACAAAGAAGAGAGGAGCATTCTAGGCGGCTGCGACATCCTGATCGCCACCCCAGGAAGACTCTACGACCACCTCAGCGACAGCCGCGTCGTCGACGCCTTCCGCAACCTCGACACCCTCGTCCTCGACGAAGCCGACCGCCTCCTCGACATGGGCTTCCTCAACTCCCTCAAAGACATCGTCAAATGCCTCCCCGACAAAGAGAAGTCCAAGCGCCAGGGCATGCTCTTCTCGGCCACCATCGCCCCCCACGTTCAGAAAGTAGCAGAGCTCATCCTCTCCAAAAACTACAAGTTCATCTCCACCATCCCAGAAGGCGAGCTCAACACCCACGAGCGCGTCCCGCAGCACCTCGTCGTCGTCCCGGAATTCAAGGACGTCGCGCCCGCGCTCGTGGGCTCCCTTCGCTCAGAGATAAAGATGAATGGTGCTCCGACGTTCAAAGCTATTGTTTTCGCACCTACAGCCGCACTCGCTGATTTCTACGGCGAGATCCTGGAGAAGCTCCCTGGTATGCCTAAAGTCAGCATCCTGCACTCGCGCGTCAGCCAAAGCAAACGCACCAACGTAACGAACACTTTCCGCGAAGCGAAGACCGGTATCTTGGTCGCTACCGACGTCGTGGCCCGCGGTATGGACTTCCCGCTCGTGACGAACGTCTTACAGGTTGGTATCCCCTCAGACAAGGAGTCATATGTCCACCGTCTTGGACGTACAGCTCGTGCTGGTGCAGAAGGAAGAGGAACATTCATTGTTACAGAACCAGAGACGTTCTTCTCAACATGGACATTGAAGGAGATCAGCTTTGAGCCAGTGGCTGCGGATATTTCTTCCAAGGCGGAAGTGTTGGCTATTGCTGAGAAGATGGAAAACCATGCCAAGACGTACCAGGCGTGGATGGGGTACTATAAGAATCATCTGAAGGGATTAAAGTGGGATAACCACATGCTTGTCCTGGAGGCGAATGAGTTTGCGAAGTTTGGATTGGGTGCACCTGAGACTCCTGGAATCGCTAAGAGTACGATTGGCAAGATGGGATTGAAGGGTGTCAAGGGTCTAACTGTTGTACCTGATCCTCCGAGGGTCAACAGAGGTGGCCAAGGTGGACGTGGCGGTGGTGGAGAGGGACGTTCTGCTGGCAGTGGAGGTCGTGGTGGCCGTGGCGGTGGGCGTACTGGTGGATTCAACTGAAATCAATTTATCTCCTTGAGATTGAAGGAGCTGTACGATGATGAGAGGGATTTCCGGCACGATACAGGATAGAGGTGCTCTAGACTTTGGTTTCCTTGATTGTACTATAGAAGTTTCCTTGGTCCTTTGTTTTGCATTTGGGATATGGTGTGTATAGAGAGATACCCATAGCTAGTACAGTACAGCGAAGGCGCAGAATAGAGGTCGGACAATCAATTGATAGATTCCTTCTTGACACACTAGATAAGCTGTTCTCGTACGCTGCCGATGATTGCCGATGATCAACTTTCTACCTTTTCATGCTCAATTCTTCTCCCCTCATTCCCAAAAATTGTGATAAAAAGATGAGTTGAGGTCAACACGAGGTCATGCTAGGATAGTGATACGTAAGTGAAGAAGCGAGTCGTGGAAAGGAAATAGTGTAATAATATGATGGATTGTACAAGTATTTGATGTCTCATGAGAATGGGGAGCCGCCATTGATTGATGGCCACTGCTATCCTACTTCCTGCCAGAAATGGCATATTGTTTACTTTCTCGCTTGTCGCCCACCCAGTCGTTCGACCTTCAACTCGCCTCACAAGCTCTTCTTTCCTATGCGAACCAAATCCAATCCAAGGTATAGTACTCATAAATAGAAAAGTATCATAGTAAGCTGGGCGTGGCGTAAAATCAACTTAGTAAGATCTTCCCTTTTCTATTTCTCAGTTCGCTGAGCAAGGCCTGGCTAGAATGTGTCGAAGATGGCTGAATCTTAGTGCGCTAGTTCTATCCTCATCTCACTCCCACCACCTTATTATTGAGGTAGCTTCTCAAACCCACTGTCCCAAGCTCTGATCCATCTCCCTATCCGCCAAAAAGTCCAAACAAAGCCCATTAAACCTCTCCGGATCCTCCCAATAACACCAATGCCCACCCCAATTCACGCTCACACCCTTCGCTCTCTTCTCCTCTTTCTTCTCAACACAACTCCCCTCTCCGCTCCTCCCAGTCCCAACATCCCCATTAACCAACCCCACCACAAACAACGGCCCTTCAGCAGGGAAACACCCACTCCTCTCACTCGCCACGACCAAAACCTTCGTCTGACTCTGACTCTTACTCTCCGCCCCAAAAGTAGCAGCAATACTCCCCCTCCAATCCAACGCCGTATGATCCCCCATCAACTTCCCATACCACTCCTGCCCCTCCTTCATCGCCTCCCCAAGGAAGAACTCCTCATCCTCCCTCGTAACCTGCTTTCTCTCCTCCTCACTCTGGAAATCACTATCCAGAGGAAACGCACGGTACGCCAAACAAGCTTGTATCGTCCCTTTATGCGCAGTCTCCGGATGAGTCGCAAGAGTAGATTGTAAACCGAGAAGAGCAGACAGGGAATTCATCCCGCGATTACAATGCGTTAGGTCCCAATCCCCCACTCGATTCTGCAGTGGTGACTGATCGACGAAAATCATATGCGAGAAAGGATGAGTGGTGAACAGCGAGGCATAGCACCAGAGGATGGAGCACCCTAGCGAACCGCCTATGGCGCGCCATTGTTGTGGGGTTTCCTGGCCGGATGCGCGCTGTGAGGAGAGGGAGGGGGAGAGGGTGGTGATCAGTTCGTGGAGGTCCGTGGCGAGGCGGCTGACGTGGAAGCCGTGGGTGGGTTTGGAGCTGGAGCCGTGGCCGCGGAGGTCTGGGGCGATGATGCGGTAGTGTGGGGTTAGGGAGGGGATGTTGCGTTGGAAGACGAGGGAGCTGCCTGTGAATCCGTGGATCTGGGAGGCTGTCAATCAGAATTGTGAGTAATAGAGTATGAGTGTACATTGGATTTAGAATATAAGAGGAAGAAAGGGAGAGATCTTGCCGAAGGCTGTATCCAGACAAATAACTTCTCTTTGGTATGTATGAAATGCGTAAGACCCAGCAAATCCAAATCTGAACAGAGATAACGTGAAATCATGGGATACAAGATATCGTTCTAAACACGAGGATATTGAGATTGGAATAGCAGAAGCACCATTCGCTGATAGTGTTCAAATTGCCGGAGGTGGACTTTTGAATTGAGATGAAGAAAGTGAGATGGGTTCAGATACCAAGAAAGATGACCTCCTCGTCGCTCCTAACCAATCATATATCGTCCTTGGTCCATCCGTCACCTCTTGTGTTCAGAATTTCAAGAGACTGAAGTCACTTGACTCACTAACCAATCCACCAAACTGGCGCACATCTCTCTCTCTGTGCCACAGACACCCACTTCTCCACAAGCTACAAATAACCAGACAACCCAAGAGCACTTAACAAACCAATAGACTCAATCCCACCCCTATTCCCAGCCTCAAAAAACAAAAATCAAACTCAAACCCTGCCCAAAATAGGAAACAAACGAATTAACATATATGACGAAGAAAGTCACCCACCATAACCAACCAAGGCTTCCCCTCCTCATTCCTCTCCTCATCAGCATCCCCAGCCTCCGAATCGAAATACCTCAACACCACCCCATCATTCGCCACAAAGCTCTTCACTTTCGAGCTCGGCCACGCGGTGATTATCTCTTCCCTTTCCCTTTTACTTTCCCTTTCCCGTTCCGTCCCATTTCTCGTTCTCGTTTCTGTAGCTGTAGCTGTAGCTGTACCTTTGGGTATTGATGAAGCCATGCTTGCTCAGAGTGTGCTTCAATTAATGCTCAGATACTTATGGTTCAGGCGATTGTTGGTCGGGCTTGGTTGGGCTTGGTTGAGAAGAGTGGGATTGGGATGAGACGGGAGGGAGGGATGCAGGTAAGTAGAGAGGAGAGGAGGAAAAGGAAGATGGGTGAAGTGGATGAGATGCAGGTGAGTGAAGTCTGAGAGGTAGTGTGGTGGGTTAGATTTCGTTTGAGATTCACTGTGTCGGGAAAACGTCGGCTTTTAGCGGGGTAGCCTTCCCTTTACTTTTGGGGTGAAGTGCAAGGAGAGGGGACAAGTATCATTTCACAGTACACGGTCAAGTCTCAGATTGTTCAAGATCACTTGGGTGATATTATCAATGCCCTAGAAAAGGAACAAGGGCTGATTACTCATATTAATGTTCATTTCATTTGCTATCATATGGCTTGATATTTGACTGCTCCCTCCCCTTCGAATGCCCATCAGAGCAAAGATAAACATAAATATCAAATTACTTTTCGATTCAACTTGTACTTCCAAGCGGTGATGAGGGGCGTATGTCCATATCCATCCAGCTATCCAAAAATTCACAAACCAGGATCCAGAACGCCCAGTTCTGTGATCCATATGCTTCCGTCCATTCCATGCCAATCAACCATGCCCATTACCGTTCGTATATATTCATACGCCATGCCATCCGTCAATGAATACCGTCGTTCTTTCTATGTACCCCAAGAAGAGAGAAACAATGAATAGAGAATGTGACCGTAAATGTGAATGTAGAACGTACGCGCAATGCAATATGCCACCCCAAACCTCAGCCCAGCCCCAAAAGTGAAGACCAAAACCTGCAAATGCAAATGAACGCCCAATCCATCTCTCGTTTCTCTGTACTTTTGCTCTGATTCCGTTCGTTCCAACCCAGTCGTCTCATCCTCAATGTATAAACTCAAGCTCGCCTGATATACCACAGATCCCACTGTTGTTCGTATCTCTCGTCCGAAATTCAGATCAGACTGATTTAATGACCCGAGAACGGCGTAACAAGATCAACACTCTTCGGCCTATGGCTGGCTGTCCTAGGCGGTAACGGCCTGTCCATGCCCATCCCTCCGGTATTTCCGTACACGCCCGTCCCATGACTCTTCCCATACCCATAGCCTGCACCATTTCCATACGCATACAAATCCTCCTTACTCCTACCCGCAATGCCATAGCTCTGGCTTACCGCATACCCACCACCATTGGTATTTGTATAAGAGTTTCCCGGTGTAGCATTTGGCGTGGGACTTGCAGTTTTGCTGCTTGATGCGAAGGGTATGTAGTCCCAGACTCCTGAACCAGTGCGCGTTATTGAGCTCGCGTTGCTTTTTGGTGGAGATTCAGGATCGCGGTTTCGGCTGCTTTTGCTGATTTTGGGCAGGGCAGTTGCGAGTTCACGGAGGGAGGCGAGTGCTGTGGAGGAGCTGGAGTGGTGATATTGTGTTTGCTGAGGAGAGGTTGAGTATTCTGTTGAAGTGGGTTGGTATGATTGTGCTTGGGGGTATGGATCGGAGTTGAAGTATGAGCGTGGGCGGGATTGGGTAGGTGAGAAGCGAGGGATGATATCAGGTCCGTCTTCGTAGGTGGTTGTCGAGGGGTAGGAAGAGAATTGGCGGGTGTATGGAGTGAGCGGTGGTGACGAAGAGTAGGAATGGCTTCGTACTGGCTGGGAGGGGGCTTGATCATGCACTCGACATCTGGATTAACATGCAGTCAGCTTTGCGTACCTTGGATAATGGAAGTAAGGGTTACGACTCCCCCAATTAGGAACAGCGGTGCCCCCATTTCCTGGGACTGGAATGGTGCGGTGATGAAGGGAACTTACGCCTCGGAGCAATACAAGAAGGTGTTGTTCGCAGGTAAGAATTGCTTTTCGCAGGTCATGCTACATGGTTCGTCAGCTGCCAGTTCAGTTGCATCCGCCAATATGCACCCCACACATGGGGGTTCATCGTCCAGGAACAATCTGTGGCCAGCCTCAAAAGGACAGAAACACGGCTTGGGAAAAAGCAAAGCAGGATCTAGGAAGGGCCTACCAGAACTGGGGAAAGCTTTCCCCGCTATCTCGTCCTCCATACGCATCATCGTCTCTGTCTCGGTGACTGCTCCGGCCGTTCCATCCAGGCGTCACTTTACTGATGTGTTGGGGAGTCGTTCGTCGCGATACAGGCGCTGGACGCGTGGATTTCTTCTCGCTGACTACATAGTCTTTTCCAGATTTCCGGCGCGAATGGTGTTTCTTCTCAGAATGCGTGCGCGGGGAAAGCGGAGGTGGTGAGGTAGCTACTGCGTGGGTACGCACAGGTGGAGGTCGTGACTGCGCCAGTTTGGCGGTTGGAGGAGAGGTACGTATTTACCCCTCGATGTGTGTGTGTGTGTGTGTGTGCGGAGAGAGAGAGCGATTAGGAGGAATTGGTGTGAGGGGCAGTCGATTGACGGCTGTATGTATGTATATGTATGAGTGAGGAGAACCAGAAACGCGGGGGTGGTCGTGTTGTGTTTCGGTGGGAGGTCTTGTGATAGTTGGCGGAAAGCGAAGTGATAAATGACAATAATAATCAAAGCCGATGAGTTGGTGGAAATTGATGTGAAGAAGGGTTGGCTGCGGCAGGTGGGATGGATGTGACTGAATGAGATAAGGTAAGGCCAGGATGACTCGATACAGCAGTCCGCGCCTCGGTCTTATGAGAAGCGATAACGGCGAGGATCCCGGTGCAGTTATATTATACAACCACCGCTGAAATGAATGCACAGTGTCTCGGAGGAGAAGCTTCGTTCCTTGGAAGCAATATGAAATATCAGCAAAGCGGCCGACAGCGGAGCGATAATGTCAGAATTATCGTGAGATATTGTTGTTGGACGTGCTGGTTGGATTGAGGGGTCCTGGTTGATCCGGGGCAAGGCGATGGATGGTGTTATCTCGACCCTGGCAAAGATGGAGACTTGTCTACCAAACACTGGCGGGCGGCTTTGGACGGCGCACTGTAGTGCCGCGTAGTGTCGAGTAGGACGAGATAGGGCAGAGGCAGAGAATCGAGGCAGTTGGTTGACTTGGTCGGTTGTGATTGAATTGAACTGAAGTGGTAGGTGACTGAACGACGGTGCGTATTATCTGGGAGAGACAAGGAGGGCTATATCCGTCTCAATTGAAAGTTCGCATTAATTCGATGTGGAGACGCCTGAGAACGTGTGCGCTTTGAAAGGCTATTGTGAGATCACCTTGATCGGTAGGACGTCCGGATTGGGTTGAGTAAGAGCTTTTAGTTCTGTCTGACCGCTAAGGTGTCCGAAGATGGCGTGCTTGTTGTTGCTCTAGTTTTTCTCAAAGGCGAGCGTGGGTTGGTGTTGATAAAGTGGTTTGTTGATCGCACTCAGCAAGTCATCCGCTGAAGAGTGTCTAGCCGAGGGATGTGATAGTGATCGTGTTGTGGTTGAGTCGAGTCGAGTCAAGAAGCATACTTATATCAGCGGACGGGGCCATCCAGATACATATACATATATTGGGGATGGCAACCGAACCTGGCTGCGATGGCATCATAATCAGGTACGACTCATCACTCCCCCTCACATCACCAACCAGGGGGATTTCGTGCTTCTGCTTCACTCTGGCTGCTACTGTAGGTAAGGGTAAGGTAAGGTAAGGAAGGTTATGCACGTTGCGCGCGTTCTTGCGTCTTCTCCTGACATTTCCATGTCATCCGTCTCCGCCTTTCCTCGATGCCGTGCTCCAGCTCCGCACCAACAAGGTCCACGTCCACCAAGCTCTTTCACATCTTTTCACTTCCATTCCTATCCACATATAGATTTACCTTATCCACAACTCAAGTCTCAGCATGCAGCATCATCCGCGATCCAAACGATCCAGACCAAACCCCCCACATGTCTCGTTTATGCCTCAGCTGCATCTCCCCTCTCCTCATCTCTGCCTCTGCCTCTCATCAATCAAAGTGCTCAAAGTCAAGACAACAAACAGGCCTCTAGCGAGTCAGCCAGCCAGAGAGCCAGAGAGCCAGCCTGCCAGGCCAGTCGTCGATCCCACGCGCCCTTCCCATCGTCCAATCAACATCTCAATGCCCACCCGAACAAAACACACAGAAAGCCCATCACAGCTTCACACATCAGACCAATAACCAACCCCCTGCAACAGCAACGGCAAATCCACCGACCCATCGATCCTCAGCTGTTCTATCGCCCCATTCATTACTGTATCACACCAACTCCTGCCCCTCCTTCCCTCCCCACCCCCACGACCCTTTCTCCTGCAGGCACAACCGCACCAAAGAGGAAAGCCGAGACCACCCTGTCAACTGCTCTCTTTGCTTACTGACACTCGCCACCGACTCAATAGATTAATTGCCCTCTATAAATACCTGCTGTACCATGATATGTACAGTATGATAACTCTACAGAGTCTCAAATGGGGGTCAGTCACCCCGGATCTCGTCAGAGGCGTCAACAAGAGAGGACATGACTTTGACCACCAGGACCCTGACAGCTAGCTATTGGAGGAAGCTCAGCACCCCTCTGCTCCGTTGGCTTGAGCTTGCATATATCCAAAGTAGGTTTCGATACCGCACTGTATATTACCAACAAGCAAAGGCAACATGCAACTTGAGTTTTCAATTAACTCCTCCCTCGGTATTCCAAACTGGGGAGGGAAATAAGCTCTCGGTCTCTGCGGTCGGTAAGGACGAGACGAGGTAGGTACCCGTGGGGGTATCCAGAAAGGATAATGGTTGTGTTGCGTTGCTGTCTGAGAGCGAGATCCCACAATTCAGCCGAGAGAGAGAGAGTAATAATGCCCCTCTTCTGTGCCTCTGTCATCCCTTCTTCTTCCTCTCCAATCCAATCATCAAACCCACACCACCTTGAAATGACTACCTATGGAACATACTAATGCACGAAATCGAAGAGTCAAAACAGTGGAGAAGATATACTTTTCCCTCCCTCCCTTCCATTACATCAGCTCACAAGAGAAACTTCTTTGAGGTAAAGAGATAGGATGAAATCGTCGCATTTCCCGATTGCAACATCCGCTCGCTAAGAAGTTTTTCCACTCATTTCCAAAAACGTCGGTATATCTTCCTATAACATAGCATGGAAAATATGTTGTACTAAACAGTTAATATACAAAGTATACACAGGGAAATGCCATCGGAACAGGCGGATACCCTCGGCTTTCCCCCGATTCTGTTATCTACCTATCTCTACCTATCTCAGTCTCATCCCACCTCACGCGCCTGGCCTCATCCCAAATCCCTTCAAGAACTAACAATTGATAGCGGCTGCCGTTCCTCTCTCTTCAAAATACCCTTATCTCAACCTCCCACAAATTCACAAATTCACAATCAATCAATCCATCCAACCTTATCTCAACCTCAATCTGAAGCTCTTCATCACCCTAGCTGACAACACAGCGTGATCACAAAACGTCAGCGGCGTCGGCCATCCAGCCCCACGAGTCAAGAAACGCGCACCCATTTATCCTATCCTACCTGCCTACCTTACCTTGCACGCGTTCAACGCGCAAGAAAATTGCCTTATGGATCCTCACAACCTCACTGTAAGCTTATGGACCCTACAGCGAGCATCCCTCAACCGGAGACGTTCTAGATGTATACTAAGAAGTTTATGACTTCATATCACATGTCCTTCTAATTACCTTAGAGGCGAAATGAGGCCAAAACCCAGTGACAATACGGCGCTTCACCAAGTGGATAGTTGCACGGCTGTCTAGCGCTCGTCAACTTTTTAAGAGGTTGTCAATGGAGAGTCTAAGTTACTGAGAGTCTACCGACTATCAAGCAAGGGGGTGCGGTTACTGTTAACTTTAGCGCTGTATTGTCCCTTGGTCTCGGCCGCATCTTTCCATTAAGGTATATTCAGGTACAGAAAAACATGTGATATTTCTAATTTTATCGTGGAGAATTCCGACTATCAAAGTGGATGCAGATGCTGAGTTGTTCGTTCACTCGTTTCACAATTAAATTGCAGGCTGTCCAGAACGATTGATTTTTTTTTAAGTTTTTTCTAGGAATATGTTTGTATCTCACCTCATTCGTTGGATTTTTGCTACCTAGAATACGAGCTGTTTCTTAGTCAAGTTTTACCTTAGTTTACTTGAATGAAACGCAGAGATTTTTTTTTCTTTGCAGATGTATTCTCGGTAGTTCCTGAATACGTATGGTGTGGTTTGCGTAAGTGCCGGAAGTCGAGATTTATTTTTGGCATCTTGCTTTAAATTTAATTTGAAGCGTTTCATGGAGTGATGGGGAAGTATCCGTTTGGTTGTTTAGGCTAGGCACCGGGACAGATTTCTGTCAATCAGAAAGAGTCATGTGGAGACCGGTGAGGAGAATGGTGAAGAGCCTTGTCTCCTGTCTGCCGTGGAGCTCGCTGCCTAGTCGTCAGCCTTCAGCCCATAACCAGTCGTCCGATTCTCTCTACTCATTGCGAGGTTCAGTTGCTCTATTCGGTATACCTGCAGCAAGTTCGTTGACCGAGCACTAAGGCGATATGAAGTTCTTGAGTACACTCATGCATCTCTACCCAACCGTTACACCGCTCCGCTTGGCAATAAGATCCGAAGCCAGGCTCTCTATGTGGAACTCTTTCGACCTCAAGGTCGTACAATCGCACGTTCTTACCAGATGCACTCTTCTGCTTTCAGCACAGCAGAGTAGAGAGTGGGGGACGAGTAGGAGGCTGAAGTTGGTGTGGGGGTTGTCTGCTCTCTGCCTGGCTATATCCCAAGTAAATTACCGGGAAATGAGACCTGTCATTTTTTTGCTTTGACTTGTTTCTTATCTGTCTTAATATCAGGCATAAGCCGAGAAGGTGTTTCCGGATGCCATTCGTTCGGCTGAATACTGCTGTGTAGGGAGGCTGGTTGTGCAACATCATATCCCGCGCAAGGCTGGATTTTGGCTTGGCTTCTCCCATCAGGCTCTCGGGACGGCTGTCTATCAGACTGGGAGTCGGTCCGGAAAGTGCCGTAAAGTGAAGAGCTTTTTATTATGTTCTTGTTTTCAGGGGTTGTTCGAAGCTTTCGGTATTTGGTAATTATCAAGGTCTCGGTGGCTGCTACAATAACTACCTACCAAGGTGACATGAGATACAGTAGTGAAGAATTCTTCAAGTAATAGAGTACCTGTTTAGTTACTTCTACCCGTCCAGGTACAAGGTGATATGATGATAGACCAGAACTTTCTTAATAGTTCCTGTCGACTTTGTACCTCCGTGTTGCGACTTACCAAGAACTGCCTTGTCGCCACCTCTGCTTAAATTCCTGCTTAATAATTTCCTCCCTACAGTCCATAGATTAGAGCCAAGCATACCATCCTGGTTTGTATCTCACAGAGACAATGTCGCCTAGGAATTCTTATCTTGTCCTCGTCCTCAATTGCTCTTTGTAAAGGAAATTGTGGATTTTTTGTGATTTAAAGTGTTCCATGGACGGTTTATTTATTTTGTGAGAGAAAATTTGAGTGAATCCATCAAAAATTTCTGGCTGCTATCTTCGCGTGACATGTATGAAGAAACACGTCTATGCTTTGATACTTCTTCTTTCATTGGCTGCGCCTTTCATTGTTCACGTGTTCTAGTAGATACCGCTGAGGCCATCCAACAGGCATAATTGTTCTCCTTTCATTGTCTCAGCCTTTCTTTGTTCGGTGACTCACGAACAGCACTTCAGCATACGTGTACGGTATATTAACGGCATTACCTTGCTTCTCTCGCGACGGCGAGTACGAACTCTATTCAAACTCCGCATCGAGAACAACATGGAACACACCAACTCGTGCTTCGACTCGCTGTCGATAAGTCGAAACGACAGCCGCGAAATCGCTCCATCAGCACCTGGACCTTGGAGTTCGCTTGCGCATCTCCTTCGCACAAATCGCAAGCAAGCCGTCGGCGAAATCGCTACATCAGCACCTGGCTCTCTGGGTACGCTCAAGGCTCTGCCTCTTGAGCTCCGATGGCAGATCTACGAAGCGCTCCTCTCGACCCCACATATCATCTTCATAACCGACAAAAAAAAGCATCAAGAGGATCAAGGTATTCTCAGATTCCTTCTGCTAGTCAACAAAACAATCCGGAAAGAAGTCCAGGACCTCCTTGCCATACTCCCTGTCAGCTACAAGTGGTGCTTCTCTCCCAACATCAAGGTCTCTTACGTCAATCTCTTCAACCCGGAGGTCACCACCTTCCGCATTATCAACACTAAGATCGACTACCAGCTGAAAAGAGACTGGACAGCCAAGTCGTTATGGCATATGCTCCTCATCCTCTTTCATTGCGACTTGAATGGCCAACTAGTATTACGCCATAATCCCCGCACAGATCATTTAATCGATCGATCCGAGCCATCGGATGATCTTCTGTCGATTATGCTCCGTAGTATCTTTTCCGACCCCTCTGACTACGCACCAAACTTTCGCCGCATCCCCCTTGACTTGAGCAATGACTTCAATGCTGAGTTCGACCAGAACATACTGGTCCCTACCAAAGAGTTCGTGCAAGTACAATGCGGTCGATATGAACTCTCAACTGTTGCGCATACCATTTGCTTATCATCGTCAGATGCAGGCTAGGGGTCTCAAATGGGACGACTTGATCAGGGAGGTTTGTCGCTTGGAGGAGGAGAGAAAACGAGGGAATTCTACGACTCCAACGGGAAATGTTGATGATCCTGTTACTCCTGAGCAGCAGCTGCCTTGTTATCGTGGAGATGATGAGGTAGAGTGTCTTGCATGGCCACCTGCTGGTGGTTGGTGGTGGTAGCCTCTTTCTTCTGCAAGAAGTCCTAAAGAGTGACATGACCAGGATACAAATGACAGCTTCGTCCACAGCTATGCCATGCAGACGATGGAATGATTAAATCTTATTTCACTCTCAAGTTACATCGGAGATAGCGGAAATCCACAAATACAATACCTAAAATCAAAATGCGACCAATGAACTTTTCTGAACCATTCCTATGCGGCTAAAATCCTCCGTGGCATGTAATAGCTAAGCGTGATTCTACCCTTTTGCAATATGACGAATTTATATCAATATGATTTCCTTCTATATCCTCTGACTATTAGATCAAGATACCTTGCTATTTCATTTACTAAAGTCCTCAGATCTTACATGACTAATCCACTTGAAATTTTAGGCATTTACTTCATTAAACACACAGGCGGGCGATGTCCATGCCCAATCCTCGCCTGCGTACCTGTGAGAATCATTGTTCCATGCGTCAAAGACGTACTCACAGCTAACCCAGATCCCGCAAAGCCACAAAATTGTCAAATTACTTCCCTTGAGTCGCCTGCTTAACAAAAAAAAGACACCCTTCTCTACACTTGAAACCCATATTCCTCATCACCCCACCATGCATCACAATCACCAAACCTCCTATCTAACACCGCCCTCAACCTCCAAACTCTCGGAGCCCTCACCCTTCTACTTGGCAACAAGCCTCACAACCGGAATCAATGAACGGATCGGGATCTGCTCTGCACTTGTCATTGTTCAGATTTTAAGTTCTTCGCGTGGTGGAAAACATATGATGTGGCTGAGCTTTTCGCTAGGATGGTGCACTTACTGCTGTCGCTTACATTAGACTTCTGCTGAGGTTGAAAGCGGAGAACAGGAAGAAGGAGGGGATAATGGACGAATGAGGTAGCAGTGATTGCTGACAATGCTGTGAGGGATTTTCTTCGGGATTATCAATATACCATGTGGTCGATTTGTTTTGTTGCTGAGGATTATTTTTATCAGTCATGAAAGTCATGAAGGGAGTTGAGGTAGCTGTCCTGTAATGCTCGTCGTATTCTAGATAACGCGGTTGATTCTGGAGCGCTCCCAAATATGATCATGACAGGATCGTCGTTTGATTGAGCAGCTTGTAGTTAGCCCCTATCCTAAGCGAGCATCAAAACAAACATGATAGGCGCCTGGCTCGAGACTTTTCGGCACCTCTAGATCCACAGGCAGTGAGAAGATAAAGTTTTGTTAAACCAATACAAAATCAATCAGAGTGGGGAAATGCTACTGGTTGTGTTCAAGGGATTTATAAGCCAGCAGTCAAGTATTCCATCCGGATTTGGAAAACACGTGCCGTGCTCGAAGCCCCGTTTTCTCAACAGTCTCACTTGCATGAATTAAGAGGGATTTAAGTATGCAATTGCATAAAATTTCAGCAGAATCCAACTACCAAGAGAAGGCCTCATCAACAAGTATATAAGGCCTAGCCATCAAATTCCTCGTCGATACATCAGAAAGCTTCCGTCGCACATCATCCGCCAGGCCTGGAGGCCCACAAACCACAACCCCGACCAATCCGCTCCCGCCTTTTGTAGACTTGGTCAATTCTTGACTGAGAACAGCATCGAGATCAAAGCGTTTCCCGATGCTTGTCTCGACCTGTACGTTACTTGGCAAAGCAGCTAGAACAGGTCGCAGCTCAGTTACCAGCCCGCTCGTTCGGGTCGACCAAAGTAGTTTTGCCGGTTTATCTGCGTTCTTCTTTAGATATGGAAGACAAGCAGTGATTCCTACACCACCGGCAATATACAAGATATTGCTGCAGGGAGAAAGCTGAGAGCTGACTTGGCCGGAATGGTGATATGGTCCGTCGATTAGAACCCGAATGCGAGCTGAACCGTTATCTTTAGTCACGCGGGCCAGGAGCTGTTTTGTGACCCCAGCGCGAGCCCGTGCAATGAAGGTCGTGGTACTGTGTGCTCCTGATGCCGACGTGTTGCTAACAGCTCGAACGGCGCTGACAGTAGGCTCTGACTTCTCCTGGTTGGGTGTACTGTCCTCGGATGTAGATGCTGGAGCCTGGCCTGGGCTTGGAGTCTCCTCTGGGATGTTTCCAGGGGTGAAAGCTACCGAGAAGGGATGTGTCTCCCAGAAACGCCAGCCAAGTGTTGGGAAGCAAAGATATGCTACCCCGCCCTTGAGCTCCTTGCCTTGGATATCGATGCGGATATAATCGCCTTCGACGTCCTTGATTGCAGTCACGATGGCTGTACGACTGCCTTGCATTGCCATACGTAAGACGCGAATCAGGCGATCGGCTCCCCAGATTCCACCGGCCACAAACATCCATATCTCGTAGCCCCAATTGTATGTGTAGAGATACCAAATATGGTAATAATAGCCGATGAGAAACAACAGAGACAATGCGATGTGTGTCAGAAGGAAAAATTCATAGAATTTCTGACGCACCCACAGATGGGAGAAGGGAAGCATGGCGCATACGCAGACAGTGGCGACAATGCCCCAAGTCCAATAATCCCGTGCAAACTCTGCTTTGTACATATCTTTGGCCATGTAATATGCCATCAGCATGAACGAATGTATGATCGTCTGTATGATCGCCCAGTATCCGAGCCAACGATGCAGTAGGAGGTAAGTACCATAGCTCCAGTCGGTGATGTAAAGCAGTGGGCTGTTTCTTGCCGCGAAGAGAAATAGTACAGCGACGTTTCCCATCGCCATGGAACCTGCTCGATTACCCACAATGCTGAGCGTTTGAGCGCCACGGGTGAGAAAGCTGGCTTGGGGTCGGTGGTAGACGTATGGCGTGAGGAGCAAAATAAGGTTGAGGAAGCTAATCAGAAAGATGTACATAGCTTGACCGCGTGTAGGTATGATGGCTCCAGCGACGGGTACACGGTGATTAGATCCCCAGGTTGCTGAATAGATGATTCGTCTCTGGATTTCATTCCACATTGAGTTTTTCGACAGACCAGGGACAAAGCGTAGCAACGAAAGGAAGATTGGGAGGAAGATTCCTACAATCGTGATGACAATCCTATTGATTTCAATGTTAAATCCAGTGAGAGGACATGAGGTGGCTGCCACTCACGTCACAGTTGAATGTCCGGCTTCGTTTACTTCGAAGTCATACATGTAGTTATACCCCATCTGCCATGTTTCGGGATCGATAAAACTCGTGACATTTAGCATGACCTTGCCACCGACTGTCATTGGAAGTGGGCTGGACACGTCAAAAACTTTCATGCCAGATGATGAAGAAGAGCCATGACTGTCGTGCCTGATCTTGAGCTTCATATGTGAATGATGTCCACTTGTGGTATTCCCAATGGTCACATTCATCCCATTAGCGGCGCGAGCCTCGTCTACTCGAGCGGCAGCCAGAGCTTCTTGATACGACATGGTCGGTACATATTTCGAGGTGCCTAATGTTCCGGTAGCGAGATGTCCCGCCCAGTAACTCTCCAACAGACTGAAAGATGGGTTGCCGGCTAAACGGCAATACGTGTCTATGCAGAGGGCCATTGTCTTCATGAACACTGGATCGGTGACATAACAGCTTGGAGGAGTTTTGACGGAATGATGTGCTGTGCCAAATGTCTCTGTGCTCTCGGTTGGTGTGCACGTTAGCAGTTGACTTCGAATTGCACTAGATGAACGGGCTGTCAGCATGGTTATCTACTAGGAAACCGAGTCGAGATTGCACTTGTCCGAAAATACTGCAATTTCTAGGTTGAACATTCGAGACGACTTACTATCGGCACGCAAATGTACATGTGGGGTTATACAACGTCTTCCCCCAGCCAATTAGACCTACACCATCGCCGTGTGCTCCTACTGCAAAAAGAAGGATGAGCAGGACTCGATAGTAGGATGAGCTTCGTAAAGCAGACATGGTCTTCAGTGAAAGCTTGTACTCGTCTCAGTTCGTTTTCTGATTTGGCTGAAAATATTCGTTTCCTGCGATGGCTGATGAGTGAATGGGAACATATATGTACTAAATATCCGTCAAGATGGATACTGGAACCCTAGACCCACAAAAAGACACCCAGAGAGGACGCAGTCACTAGTCTAATGCACACTATCAGGCCGCCCGCCCCAGCGGGTAGCGCAAATCTTGGATAAGCGAGTTGTTTATTTTCCAATCAAGACTAAAACTTCTTGTGTATTCGTCGATAATTCTGAAACAGCATAGTCCATGAGAATATTATCATTCTTCGGTAGAGAAATAACAGAGAACATGTCCAAAGCATGAGGCATAGAGTATTTATTCAGCGATGTTGTTTGAATCTACCATATCGTCACCGTGCTTTTTTGGCATATCTGCCCCAGCTGACAGAACGAACTTCCATGATTGTTTGCCTCGGGCTGATAGCTAAAGAAGACCTTCTCATTCGTGATTTCACGTAACATTCGAGCTCATTTGAGCATATTTTAGCATGTTCACCCAGAACTGGGTGCTTGGCCCCCTTGGCTTGCTTAGCCAAGCACCAATGACACTAGAGTAAGAGGCTTGGTATTTAATTCTCAGGCCAAAGCTCGCATGACTTGAGATGTTGTTTCCTCAGACTTATTTGAAAGATTGTTTCACGCCGCTCGCACTTTGTTTTCTTGTGGAGATAGTTTGCAGTCATTTCCATTCCGAGCGGATGCAGCATTGGTCTTGAGTAATATCTTTTGAGCTTCTGGTCTCTGATGCTGGCTCCACTGACTTCACATATCAGCTACGCACAATCTTGAAGAACCTATGAACGCAGCCTGGAATGATAGTTCCAGAGACAAACGAGAGCCGCAGATGTAGTGGTACGTAAAGAAACCCTTTTTCAACGGGATCATGTGATCAATGCTGCTCATCCAAGTACTCTAAGACATGTGCCCATGAAAGATATTTATCACTTGTTGATTATATAGGAGCACTGGTCTGAGAAGGAGAAACCTAGAGTTGATGATAGTATCATACTTGAAGATTTGCCATCTACCCGTGGAATATCTCTGCCTGCTTGAAATTTCTGTTTATATGAGATTCACGCGAAAATTGTCTCGCTAAGCTTGTTTAGTAGTGAAGCGAGCCCCTGAAATCGAAGATTGACGCTGTAGAGATAACTTCAAAGCATAAAGAAGAGACAAAGAGGGGGTTTTTCTCAGCCTTCTACAAATTTTCTTGGAAGTACAGGCGAAAATACCTTCAATACTATGCTACTTCATGTTAACTTTCAAACTGTCTGACCCCACGAGAGGTCAAGTGTCAACAACAGGCATAGCCGATTTGAACAAACTCTGTTTGGCACAAACACGATTACATAGGAGGATACCACCTCTGTTCATATTGCCCGGATCAAATTCTCTCTCGCAATTGCAGCTACACAACGGCCATGACAAAGCCCATTAGTCCCGCAGCTACAATTCTGAGATCCACGACTTTCACTACTAGCGCACCTCCGGTAGATGTCACTTGCACTACCCCACTTGTTCTTGTGCTACCATTTTTAGTTGTCCGAGTCTGACTCAGTGGGTTATTATTGTTCGTCTGGCCTCCTGCCTCGCTTGAGGTCGAAGTCGAAATTGTCGGCTCTGCAGCAGAGGTTTGGCTTGTCGTGGCTGTTGCTGATCCTGCCTGTGCAAACGATGTGGTCGCAGAGCTCGTCGCAGAGTCTGTCGTTTTCGGAGCTGTGGTCGTGGACGAAGTGCTTTCTCTCTCCGATGTGCTTGCCACGACGGCAGTTGCTGAAGGTCGGGGAAAGTTCGGCGTCGACAGTGAACAGAGGGGGGTTTTGCTGATGGAAATTGTTGCTTCTGGAATATAGTATGGGACAGGAGGCTCGTAGGCCACTTGAATGTATTAGTAATGTTCAGTCTGGGAGACCCTTGAACCTACAAGCAAATTCAGTGGTATTGCACTCCTTGTCTACACATTCGTCGTAAAAAGACAGATAGTTGCAAATACAAGTCTGATTGGTCAAAGGACAGTTCGAATTCGCCATGAAATTAAGAGCACATTCATTCTAATAGCCGTTCAAAGAGAGGATTAGACATGGGATGGAGTCATAGTGAGCCGGGAGGGGCAACTTACCGCACATGTTGGGAGCCCTTTGATATCTTGTGCATGAATGTGGGGCACCGAGAGAAGGATGGAGCTCAAAAGTGCTACGATGACTGACTGGGGCCCCAGGTTCTGCATTTTCAGCGAATGTTGTAGGACTCGAAGACGGTACTGTTCCACTCGATGCTCCGCTGCTGTGGGGAGGCTTTTATAAAGAGCGAGTGAAAGAATAAGGTATTATAGATTAATCTATTTGACTTGTATCAGAAGTCTAATATATTCAAGAAGACATTATGGAGAAGATACTGGTAATGGAGCAAAAGTCAATAGTTCTCAGCAAGCAATTAGGGAAAAAATGGATTGATAGAAAGCAAGTTGCCCAGAAAGTGCACTGCCAAGAATAAATACTAAAGCCAATATCAAACAGTATCACTTAGCTTGGGCCGCTTGCCATGCACCTGAGCTTGGACAGTTCAATGGATTCAGATGAGGCTGCATTCTTGGCTCTGTCTGGAGTCTATCATGCCTCGGTGAAGGCGCGATTTGTTAGAGATAAACAAGCCTTGTAAAAAATCCTGAGGTTAAGTCGACATGTGCTTGGTCCTTCTTGGTATGTGGGTGGAAGTATTAGGTTTGTTTCAGAAACGTCTTTGGATCTGTGACATGGGGAAGCGAGACGGAGAATGCCCAAAAATATACAGAGGCTGGGGTCGGAAGAAATGATGTAACATCTCATTTTTTGGCAGTGAGGTCTCCATTCGACCAGTTCTGTAAGTATCTAGTGAGGGTTTGATACAAATGGGCGTGTGATAGCGAGCTTGGAATCGTCTCATTGCTCAATAAGGACGATCTAAAATGTGTCTTGGCACTACCTTGACCGTACTCCATAGTGATGGAAAGGTGTGAAGTCGTACTAGAAGAAGATAAAACATAAAGTCAAAGTCAAAATATGGGCAAGGTTCCATCCCGTTGTAATTATCATTGGCATACGCTCTCGGAAGTTATGACTTGGTCCGCCTCGAGTGGTCGTTCAGGTCAAACAAGCACGCTCTCCAATGGGTAATGAAAGGTAGGGACAAATCAATAGATGATCATTTGAGTTTCTCGAAGGGCGAAGCTTCTCTGGTTTACGATGGTGGCTCCATACCAGCCATTTCATTTTCTCTGCAAGATTGGCACATTGGCGTTTTGCTAATAATGATGGGGTATAGGATTAACGGCTAGACGCTAAAGAATTACCCTCTGAAAGACTTGACAAGAAGAAAGTATGCTAATTGACTTAGGTAGGCAGCGGCAACTGGCAGACCTTGATTCGGAAATACAGCGAAAGGATACTGGGTCAAGACACAAATAGAAGCAAAAATTTGGATAATCTAATTATTGCAAATGCTTACAAGATGACGTACAGAAGGAGGAATTCAAGACCGTATCCTCCTAAGCCGGACGAGGCTCATTACCAGGTGCAGCAGGAGCTGCAGCTGGAGTACCGCCAGCCTTCTGCGAAATACCTATACCCGATCCACCAACCCCAGTACCAAGTTGCACTTCAGGCGAAATCTTCATAGCACCCGTCGCATAATTCAACGCCGTGTTAAAGCCAGCTAGATCCCTTTTTGCCGCCGACTCGTCAGCCTCATTCTTTACAAGTTTTGAGAAAGAAAGAGACACACCTCGCTTTGCGTTATCTTCGAAATCGATCTCTTCATCAAGTTCCTCCTCTTCTTCAGCAGTCAGGTCTCGCTTAGTGTTGTCGGTGATGGCTGCTTCTTCCTCAGCCTCCTCCAGAGCTTCTATTTCTTCGTCGGTCAGGCCTTCGAACTCATCCCGCTTGGTGTTGTCGGTGATGGCTGCTTCTTCTTCAGCCTCCTCAAGAGCTTCTATTTGTTCAGCGGTAAGACCCTCGAACTCATCGCGCTTGGTATTATCGGTGATTGCAGCCTCTTCTTGTGCCTCCTCTAAAGCCTCCTGCTCCTCTGGAGTCAATCCCTCGAACTCCTCCACAGCACGCTTGGTGTTGTCGGTAATGGCAGCTTCCTCTTGGGCCTCCTCAAGAGCTTCTTGCTCCTCAGGAGTCAATCCCTCGAACTCATCCGCACGAACGTTCACAATCTTGCCCATACCCTGAGGAAGTGCGTCGGTAGTAATGCTCTCAGCAGCTGGAGCGGCCGGTGCCGGTTGCTCAGCAGGAGCTGCAGGTTGAGCTCCACCTGGAGCTGGGATAGCACCATTGGCAGTTGCACCTTGAAGGGTGTTCATCAAGCTTGCGACTTGGTTCGCACCGGCCTGGCCTTCGAATCCGATAGCTCCATCACCGACTACCAGAGCTGGAGAATAGGCCCCCATATTGATGTTGAGAGGAAGAGAAAGGACGGCCGTGGCCGCGAAGAGGCCGATGAATGGTGATGGGTACTTCATGTTTGAGGTAGGTTTTGATGAGAGTACAAGGACGGCTTTTAATGAATGGAACGGGTATGGAATTGAGAATGGAAAAGGAAAGGCTAGCTTTCTAAAGGATTGGGTGTACGAAAATTATAATGAGCCCCGCTAGAAGAGAAATGAAGAACTTGGGGAGTTGGCCAACCTTTATGTGACTGCTACTGCTTGCAGGAAGACCAAGAGATCATCGCCACTTCATGCAATCTGTCTGGAAGTTCCTGACAGCATGATCTAAAAAAAGGACTGTGTGCTCGTACAGTACTGAATCATCAAGTCGCCTTGGGACTTCTTCACCAGAAACAAGCAAATTACAGATCTGGGACAAGACGAGAGTTTTGGGGTTTAAGGACGTGACAGCCAAGGCAAAAGAGATGCTTATTCCAGCAAACAATGGAGAAAGTATGCGACAGAAACATACTTTGAATGCCCGTGGACTTCGCCAATGCTTGGCTCTAGCCTCACCCGTGTTGCAAATCTCTTGGGAGTTTTGCAGCTGCTGATATTTGTGGTAGATCTGCGGGCGTCCCTGGGAGGTTAGCTGGCCAGGCGAGGGGCTCGGACCTGGCATCCATGTCTGCAGCTGAGTGCGCCGTGGGTTGTTTCTCGCAAACTTTTTCGACGAGTCAAAATGCTGGAAGGTTCCTCGCTAGTGGTGAGACGCTTGTTTCTGACGATGGTGTCGTTGCAGAAATCTCCTCTTTGAAACAATTCATGTCAAGGCGCTGTGCACGTGACACTCATCACACATCGCAGCTATCCAGATTCCTGGATGGATGAAATCTAGCACCTGTTTGGGTAGCAAAGTTGAAATGACAAGTGCTGTGAGAAGGTTCGCACCGTCATGGCCCTGGAAGACACGATTCGCACGAGTCTCTGAGACGCCATTACGGGGACCTGAACTCGCTCCTGTCTGAACATTTGACAAGGCTGGTCAGATCAAGACACATAAGACTTCTTGGAAGATCCTGAATGAACAGAGTCTTGGAAAATATGCTTATAATAGATCAGCCCAAACAATATTTTGGAGACGCTCGTGGGGTACCGCGACATCCCCAGATTCCATTCCAACTTCACTTGGCACTCCACATTTTATGCCTCTTCGCTGGGAATACTCAGTCCTGTAAGCGTCCTGTTTATCTCAAACAGCTGTATAGTTCTCAGACTGAAGCAAAAGTGAGAGTTGACGTCTTGACATACATCTTCGCCTTGATTTTGATGACTTTTGACATTTTCATGCTACTTGACAAGCGTTCCCGCTGTCTTGGTGGTTTATGGGAACATCTTTGAGGTAAACACGGGTGCTTACGCCACTTTAGATAACCAGCGAGTACAGGTCAATGACTGATCAAAGTACGGTGTACATAGAATAGAAACAAGTGAGATGAAGTCAGCATTGAAAACATACCTATCCACCTCCGTCGTTTGCCGGCAAATACTCGGCCACAAAACCTCGAAACTTGTAAAAGTCAAGCAAAAAAAGTATCAATCATGGTATTGAACCACACCTGATTCGAACAGATAACCTTTCGATCTGGAATCGAACGCGCTACCGTTGCGCTGCGAAGAATTAGTATGTGAATGTTTACGAGAGAAGTGAAAGTCGTACCCAGCGGTCCATGATTGGTTGAATTTCTTGAAAAGTTCTTATCTCATTACATTGAAGACTCAAGTACTGAATGGAGAGAAGGGTGTTAATTGGAAGAATGAGTATAAAGTGTGGAGACCGAATATGTGTCGAAAACAGATGACAGATGAAGAAAGGAAAAGCTTTTCTACTAGATGAACGGAATTGAAGACATTATCGAATCATAGAATTACTTGATTGGGGTTACAAATTAGATTTTGGATTTAAATTTAAAATGTTACTGTAGTCTTTTTGAGTCCAGAAACAGTCCTCTCATGACTGGCTGTAGACTTAGAGAAATTCCCGTTCTCCAATGAAACCCTTGTTAACAAATGTACGGTCATGTAACCGTTTTGTAGATAGGGAGACGGAACCTATTGATTTTGAGTACAAAAAACGCAAGATTCCAAAGCGAAAACAATTCAAACTCGAAATTGAAGATGTTTCGACAGTTGTAGGAGGGCTCAAGAGTGGGAGAGCACTGAGCAAAACCACGGTGCGGGCTAAGAAGAGCCAGAGGGGAACATTGGAGAAGAGTTAAGCTTTGTCTGTAAGCTAGCTAGCTAGACTCTGGGAATACTAATCGTCTCGCTGGCATGCTAATATGGTTTGGACGAAATGAACGGCAACATTGATGAGAAGAGCCGGAAGTGAATAATACCATTTCAGAATGTAAAGACACGGCTATTCCCAACGTGTGGAGATATCAAGGGAACATTGAGTTAGTTTCAACGACCAGTCTGCCGTCAATTCAATTCATGGCAACTACTGGATGATCTCGATTCGTCCCTCCTACCGTAAGTTCAGGCTCAAGTGCATTTTACATAGAGTGTAACATGAGAGGGATCAGAATCTCATTGCAATTGCTGCCAGCCACGACTCCCTCGACCCAACCATCCATAATTTACTTCCAGAATATATCATTTCATTCAGTCAGTCCAGTGCCCAAACGCGCCTTTTAAGACCAGACCACACCGGATTCAAGGGTGGCCAATCCACCCTTGAAATGCGTCGGTCAAATATTCTTGGTCCAAACCAAAGCCCCCATTGAGAGAAACAAAAAAGTACAGTAGAATTACCCAAAGTTTCATACATTGCCGCCTCGGACTTCCTCCTTTCATCATTATCGTCCTTCCGGTCTAGAACTTGCCATCTCTCCGTATCGGCCACGCTCACGTGTGGTATCGTAAGCTTGTAAAACCCGTGTCTGCGACTCGTCGGCTTGTGAGAAGGCGTAACCGCGTTGCTTGCGCATACGTTGCACTTGTCGTACTTTGCGAATAGCTTTTTGGAATTGTTCCATTCTAGGGATCATGTCAGTCAGAGACATCTAGTTGCTGAAAGAATGCATGCATACCTTGGTCTGTAATCTTGAATGTTGTATTTCTGGATCTCTTGGATGTGGTGATATGACTGTGGATAATACATGCGTTTGGCGCTGTACGGTGTTAGTGATGAATAATGGGTATTCTTGATGAACTTACTATTTCCATGCGAAATCTCGGGACAAGCAAAGGACTGGTAGAACTAGTCCTTGCAACCAGAAGACGGGACTTGTGAAGAGTCTTGGAACAACGCCTTCATACTCCGTAGAAAATCCAAGCATTGGTGCTACTGTGGCATAGACAGCGATGAAAGCCATCCAGATGATCATACTGCCAGGAATGGCGATGACGTGGTATTTGGTCCAGATATTGGTCACCAAGGCTGCCTTGCCTAGGACGGTAGCAAGAACGGCGGTGTATAGAGCTGTACCCCATACCCAATGACCAGCTGTTTTGCCGTCACCTTGAGGTAGATCAAGCCACCATATTCCTTCAGAAGCAATGTATAGAATCAACGAATGGTAGAATCCATTGCCAACCCACGAGAAGAAGGAATGCATTTTGAAGAAAGTGTTTTTCTGGCCAAGCTGATACAGTTGTGGATATCTGTCCAAGAGACGTGCCGATATGAACTGATCGAAGATGCCCATGGCGAGCGGTGGGAAGACTGTGAAAAAGACGTTATAGAACGACAAAGTCCAGGATTCGTAGATGACTTCTCCAGAGAAGGCGTTCTGGAACGAGTACCAAAACTGGGTCATATATAGAGTGATGTTCTTGTAAAAGGAGTACAAGATGACCTTGCAAACTCTTTGGTAGCTCCAAGCGCCATGAACCAGAAGAAGCTTCCGTAGATATCTGAATTGACCAATAGCAACATCAGCACTTCGTGCAGCTTGCAAACCTTCCATACCGCTGATACCGACACCGATATGAGCTGCTTGAATCATCGATACATCATTGGCACCATCACCAATGGCCAGAAGAATGGCTTTCAGATGACGTTTGACGAGTTTCACAACCAAAGCTTTCTGTAGAGGCGACACACGACAGCAAATAACGGCCTTACACATGACTGCAAGGTCCAGAAAGTTTTTCTCCAGATCCTTTTCCAGAGCGTATGTCAACGATTTTCCGTCAATGACAAGAGCCAGAGTGTCCATAGCAATTGTTCCATCGCCTTGCGTGCGAATGGCATCAAGCTTCTTCTGTATGTTGTCTCGAGTGTCGCCTGCGGTTTCCTCATTGACGATGAGTAGGGTCATGTCTTCGCTAATGAGTTTACAACTCATGCCAATGTTGATGGCAGTCTCCTGACGATCTCCCGTCAATACCCAGACTTTGATGCCTGCCTCCTGAAGAGTATGGATGGTTTCAGGCACTCCATCTTGAAGACGGTCTTCAATGGCAGTCGCCCCGAGGAGGTAAAAATCCTTTTCCAAGAGCTCTGCGGCTTTGTCAAGCTCATCAGCTCGGTTACCGCTGACGGTTGTCTGCGCCTTGTCGAAGATCCTCCACCACTCTTGGAATTCGTGCTCAGGGATTTCGCGCATAGCCAGACACAGGGTTCGTAAGCCCTCCGAGGCATACTCTTCCAGATGCTGCAAGGTCAATTCCACATGAGGATTGTCACCGCCAAGACGCTCCAAAATGACCGTATCTGCGCCCTTGCAGTAACACCTGATCTGTCCATCGGGACATCGGAAAATGGCCGACATTCGCTTCCGAGTCGAGTTGAATTCACAGACGGCCAAAAGCTCGTATTCGTACTCAACGCCTTTGACGGTTATCTGGACAGATCTGGGCTTTCTGGCTGTAAACTGATAACCCATCAATACTGCGCCTTCGACCAGCGCACCCTCATCTGGAGATGCCGCCTGATACTTTATAACACCTGGGTTTTCTTCCTTCCTCTCGGGAATGACAGTATGGCATGTTGCTAAAAGGCACAAAAAGTGGTGTATGGCAAGCGCTGACTCGTGCGACTCGAGGTTCTCTTTCAGCCGAGTAAAGTCATGCACTCCAACCTCAACACCATCTTGAAAGGTAGCCCGACGGTCATCCGTCACTTCGGTGGCGTACTGTATTCCTCCAATCGAACACTCCTTGAATTCCATTTGGTTGCAAGTCAATGTTCCAGTCTTGTCGGAAAAGATATACTCTACCATACCCAGCTCTTCGACCAAACTTGACGTTCGACATACCGCAGGGGTGTCCATCTTGTCGTAATACATGTCTAGGTCGTCATTGATCAGAATGGCGTGCCAGTACTTGACAATTTCGATCGTGACGAACAGAGAGATGGGGACAAGTGCGGAGTAAAGGACCCAGTACGTGAAGATATCAGACCAGAACTGCTGGACTTTCTTCAAGGCACTGGTTGACACAGCATAACCGAGATAGCTCAATTCTTTTCCATGGTACGCACGGACTATCAAGTCCCCGATCGAACTGATTACACTCAGTGCGACAAGAATTCCGACAAGCAAGAGGACAAGCATGTTCAGTTGTCTTTCCACAGCAGTTCTCTTGATAGGAGTAGCTGTTGCATTGCGCATGAGTTTCGTCTCGTGGCCCGTGAAAACAACAATGCCGTGGATCCAAGGCGTATTTCGAAGTGTTGCCCCTCTGAGCAGAAGTTGGTCGGGCTGAATCGGGAGTTCCTTTTCTCCACCTCCAGCGGCCAAGGTTAAAGTGGCTTCATAAGTGTACAAGCTGCTGTTGGGCTGTTCCGAACGTAGCTTGCCTCCAAGTCTACTCAAGTCGTTCAAGCTAACCATCACACATGTTTCTGGGATCGCTTGCTTGATTTTGAGATTGGTTTCTCCATCCAGATTAGCGGTTTCGATATAGCAAAGACCTTCGGGTTCCGAACTCGCGAGCAGCACAATATCTGCTGGGAAAGGCTCCTCTGACTCGACCCGAATGGTATCCCCTACCGCAACATTGATCCATTTCGTCTCCTCGAATTGACTGCCTCTCAAAACCCTTGCCTTCGAATTGTTGAGCGATTTGTCCGATGTCTTTCTCTTGTAATCCTCGATTAATTCTTTACCAGCAGATACGAGCAATACAAGAATCAAAGGTCCAATTGTTGTATATCTGTTTGTTGGCGAAATGTTGGGTATCTGTTGTAATGCTGCAGTAAACAAGAAGAAAATGTTGGCAAACTTGGAAAATTGTTCGAAGAGGAATTTCGGCATAAAGGTAGCGACGTTGTATTTCGCGGTGGAGATGTGATTGTCCACGTACTTATTCGCACTATTGGCGGGAGGGTTGTTGAGATGGATAATTCTAGGGCCAAGCGTAGAAGGGTCCGGTTTCCCCCTCCCAAAGCCAAATTTGAATTTTCCCACGTCAAACTTCTTTCCCGCCTGCTTTGAAGTCTCTGGTACGTTTGAGTCTGTTCGAGCTCTTCCACCAGGCTCAGTCAAGGGCAGATCCATTTCCGAATACTCCGGGGCCATCCCAAGCATACTCTTTGCTCTCCCCATCAGTCCACCACCCATACTCAGTACACTATTGCGATTCCTAGGTTTGCTTCCCATCTGCATTCCGGCTCCATCCCCAGGAATAGCTCCGCCTTGGTGGTAGTATGATTGTCCGTCGTCCGGAAAATCGTCCAAATCATCCGCGTATCGCTGATAGTTCCCTAGGCCGGAAGTCTGACTATATGTCCTGTTTCCAGTATTAGACACGTATGGTCCAGCTCCTGGCACAGTTCCAGGTCCGCCAGGAAGTTGTCTTGATGGATGTTGTCCTCCGCCAGCCCCCACAAAGTCATCGTAAGATATCGAAGGACGGGGATTCGTTTCATCGTGGTCAGCGTTGTATGCCCGTAGCAGGTCGTCATCATTCATAGGAGGCCGCTGGCCATCGTTATATACGGGTTGGTCATCATTGAGGTCGAGCAGAAGGTCGTTCCTATGATTCGGGGGTTGACCAGCCATGCTGGAAAACAGCTAAAGATTGTCGCAGTCCAGACGGCGCAGTGTCTACAATCATCCACGTCTCGATGAGGCGATATTACGTTGTTGATGCTGATTTCGAATCGATCGTTGCGTCGTAAAAGTTGTGTTCTTTGTGGTGATGGCCGTGTAAGTATTGTAAGCTCTTGGTGGAGATGCTCAGCCACTTCGGAGGATTTGAAGTACGAAGCTCCAAGACAATCCGCAGGTGAGGCAGTACGAGAGCGCCTGGCTATTCGACGTATAAGAAGCGATTGACAATCGATTGGGAATACTCGAGCGCCATTGACTGAGTTGAATGAGTGTTGCGAATCGCAAGTACTGTATTCAGACTGCCTAGTTCTCGTCCAGTTTCGTCCAAATACGGGGTCGTAACTAGCGCCACAACCCCTGCCACAGTCCGAGAAGCTTCAGCCTCATCACATTGATGGAGCGCATCTTCATCAACCACCACAATATTAGAGCAGCACAGCACATCACAACTGCACGATGGTTTGCGGAAAGTGCCAGAAGATCTCCAAGTCTACGACGCTTGCAACCCCAGGAGTGAAGAAGAAGAGTGAGATGTACTATGGCTCGCCCGCAGGTTCATCCTCTAAGGGTGGCGATAAGACGAAGACCTCTGCCACACTGGGAAACAATGGTATAGGAAAGGTGCGTCAACTCGGATTGTGTTCATGATACATATACTGACTCGTTATGCAGAGCAAGCTATTATCCAAAGCTGCGAGAAACCCATATGCGACATACTCCTCCTCATGCAGCACATGCAAAACAAAGGTGGACCAGGGACGAACATATTGCCATAAGTGCGCCTACAAAGCTAATGGTATGTTTCTTACATTGGGCTTCTGAAGGTTAGCTTATAAGACTTAGCATGCGCCATGTGTGGAAAGACCAATTCCAAGTCGACCACAGCTGCCCCAGTCATCGCCGGCCAAAAGTTTACCCTGAAATGAATGAACAAAAGCCACGATACATGAATGACGGAACTATGGAAGGCGTTGACGGCGTGACGAACTTTTGTTGTGGAAATTCGTGGCGTTGGAACTCAAGGGTAGGAGTACGGGTTCTTCGGTATGGAACTGTTTACTGAATATAAAATATTAGACCAGCATTTCACAGCTGTCTCGTTGAAGCGGACACTTTTGTGGATCCACCACCATCTCAATACCCAGCATGGACACCCAGCATGGACACCTGCATTGGATGCGGTAAGGGGATTCTCCTTGTCATTGTGGAATCTCAGCCTGCCATTCACTCTGAATTGGGATAACCGTCAGTTCGGACACCTGGTCACATTGTTTTTCATATCATCACAATGCGTACAATCATGACAGGTCGTCCTCAGAGATTAACAGGGTTCACGCCGGGGTCAAGTCTGTCTTCATTCATCCTGGTCAGTGGGTAAGATCTGCCTGTGGAATATTTCACAGATCAACTTCGATGAAAGGCAATAACTTCGGAGCTGTTCGGTCTGTGTGGTGCTGACCCGATCTTCCATCAGCTTCACACTGTTTTCATCACACTCATTGCCAGTCAACCATATCAGGACATCTTCTCGCAATTTTCGAGACGTTCTGGTTAGTGATCAGTCCTGTCATTCCTAGAGTGCTCTTTCCGGGATCGTTGAATTGCTTTACAATATCTTCGAGTCTACGGCATTGCATGGTGTCCAAGTAACTGTGAAGTACAAAAGACTAAGAACATCTGCAATTCAATCCTTCGGTCGTCTATTGCCCCGATGATGACCTCTGACGTATTCAAACTGGCCTGGGAATGTCCATCGTCCAGCAAGATACCTCAAACTAAGCAATCCTACGATTTCTATTCAGGTGCATTTTCGCATTTGCAAGTTAGAAGTCCCTGGAGATCGACGGCCTGGCCCAATTTCACGTCTACAAAAGTACCCAAACTTTTCGCCATATTATCTCCTCAGATTCCAGCGTGCGTGCATAAGTCTCAAAGTTAAAGCTTGGCTGGGCGGTTCAAGGTGCGGCTGAGAATGAAGATCGGCCTAAACGACTTTCGTCGTATTTAGCCTCGACTTTCCCTGCAACTCTCCCCCCAACGTTATTATCCTCTCGGGCCTCCGTTCACACGATTGGGTTCCAGGACAATTGAGCAGTACGAATCTGCTCGGTTTGAGATACAAGTGAAGCAAAAGATCTATCATTCACCTTTCCCTTTTTCCACCGTAAGGGTCGTCGATCAATTTTCAGTACAACCTGGGTAGCCTTTCGGAAAGCCCAACGCCACACCCAAATAGAAGCTCTTCCCTTCAGCCCTATGACCTCGACTGATTGGCCACCATCATGTCGCACCGCTGGAAGAGCCTTCAGATCCTTCCCTTTACCCTGTACCTGACCAAATATATGGAAAGAGGTCAGGTATCTCATCTTATTGGTCGCCTGAAAATAAAGTCCCGAAGGGTGGCTTCCGCTGCCAAAGCCTTAACCAGCATCACTCTACATCGAGAAAGCACTTATGAAATTGTCTTTAGCGGTTTCCATCTATCGTATGGATACATTTTGTCCCATTCAACCAATCCTTCGAGCGGAGTGCAGTAGCGTGGCGGATAGTAATGCCAGGTTGTCAGGCTCATTCGTTCGTGAAGGTTACACAATTTTCCAGAGATCAACGTCGCGGACAAATGCAACGGCCGTCTTTACATTTCAAGACACAGAAAATGAAAGAATAGCTAGGAACTAAGCTGTAAGATGTACATAACCGTTACGAAACAAGAGCCAATCCGTTGTCAATCACCTCCTAAACTTAGAAGATCTCATGTTGAGGGGAACTGGCGAACGTCCTGTGACATTGCTTAGAGCAAAATATCTCAGGCCACTGTCTGTAAACATCTGAACATCTTTTCTTGTCTAAGTATAGGCGCAACATGGGCATCAATCCTCCTTTGAAGATCATTATCGTTCTTCATTGAGGGTAATACGGTCAGATGGTCTGCCCGTCAGTTGAGAGCTTGAACTTGTCCTCTCTAGCCAAAGCGGCAGCAGAACTCAACAAGACATCGAGGAGAAGTCTATATAAACCTGTCCTTCTCCCATCACAACAATCATCATCATAACATCTTAGCAAGTACATTCACAATCACATTCTCAAATACCAAAACAGACTCACCTTCACCCACCCAAACCCCAACCATCAAAATGAAGACCAACTTCCTCGTTTACCTCACCACCATCATGGCTTCCACTGCCATCGCCGCTCCCGCAGCCCTTGAAACCGAGGCTCGAGATGTCGCCGAAGTTGATGCCGATGCTGCCATCCTCGCAGACAACTGCTTCCGTACGCTACCCCTCCATTATCCCGCACTCCCCTCCTTCTCACCATCGTCACATCAAGTACAACACTGACATCTAGTCGCAGATCGAAGCAGCTGCTCCGTCTCCTGGGCTGGTAAAGGAGAGGAGTACTGTGACTGGAGAGGCTTCTCCCACATGACGGGCGACGGATGCGGCTGGCCCAAGAAGGCTGTGTGCTGCATTGTTGCATAACTTTGCCTCAACGTATGGGGTGTATTCATCGCAACGTTGGAGAAGGGATACGCCAGTGTGATAGGAGGAAGAGCTGTCAGGAGATACGTACTGTCTTCTTGAATTTTGTGTTTTTTGATTTGTCGCGCTGCAAAAGAAGCTCCTTGTCTGTCGTTATCAAAAGTAGTTTCTAAAACTGAAATGAGAAACGGAGAGTTGTTTTTGCTGTATGCCTTTACCACAGTGTTTGAGGTCGTAACTTCCGGTACCACTTGACAGATGTGCACATCTTTTGCCGTAGGACAACTGAGAGACATCACACTTTGACCTGAAAGGAATTATGGAACCCAGAATACCTAGGTACGCTGAACACCCTCTAGGTAAATCCCTTAGTCTAAAAGGTGTCGCTCGCGGGTCGACTTGGCAAGTACGGCTCGCTTACAATTAGTGAACCATAATCCAGGAAGGAGATATACGACTAGAGTCAGATTAGGAAATAGCGAGCCACAATGATTAACTCTAACATCTATTCACCTTTACAATTTTGAGAACTTATAAAATGTGAACTAGTCAGTCCATTTTGTTAGAAAGGACTTCTTCACAGGACGACCGCGGTCTCCCTTCGAGTTCAAAGCCCACAACCACAAAAAAAGAGTCAAGCCTGGAGGATGGTAGACAGAGCGAGAATCAGATCACAACAACAGGCGGTAGCTTCAAGTATCAATCACATTCCTGCAAATGTATCAACGATGGCAAGCCACAATGATCACAATATCGATCGCGATGTCGTCACGGGCAATGCTGGCGACCAAACGCCAAGTCAAGCAACAAGATCTTCCACGCCGTCTTCGACACCCAGGTCGACATCATCTCCGATCTCTGCTCGAGACTACGAGTCGAGTGCACTTGCTCGGAGCGAAGTTGTGATTTGGTCTTTCGAGGATTCGAGTTTCACATATACCACTGAGAACCAATTACGTGACTGCGTCACGGAAGGAAAGAGTAAGTTATCAGACGTGGGCTTCGCATTCGTATTTTTGGCTGAGAATTGGCTGACTGAAATCTACAGAATGGACCCAAGGCTTGACATGGACGAGACCCCGAATCAGCAGCAATACATTTGAAGTCAAGATTGAAGTACATGTGAGCTATATCGACGAAGACGCACCTCCGGTCTGCTTCCAGAAGTACACCGAGACACTCGAAATCAGAATGCCGTACAAGCTTTCGTTCAACAGAAATTTGCCCAAGAACTTGCGAAAGTATGAGAAGATATTCATCAGTCGCGAAACGCCGGAGTTGTACTGGTAGAGAGTCATGGTTCGTTGTAGCTCTGGATATCGAGGGCTTAGACTTTGTTCTTCGGGCGTGTTGGTTTCATGGCATAGGATATGGAATTTTGAGCGGGCATAAATGAGCATACAGAAATTACAGCGTCTCTGTCTGCTTTGGAGAAGCACAACGTTAAGGAGCCATCATTGTCTGAAGTATTGTTCTACAAGTCATCAATCAAGTAAATTTTCCAACCTTCAATATCCCTTCCAGACATACAGCACCTTCAGATCTTCTCTTCTCATAACCCCTCCTTCAAAGACAGACGCAGGCAACTTGATCTCCTCGGCTTCGGGGTCTTCCTCCTCGCAGTCACCATCATTGTAGCCATCATCGTCGTATGTGTTTTGCAAGCACCACGACACGGTAATCCATACCGTAGAGCTGTATGGATTTATTGAGAACTGGAGGATCGTTTCGCCTATGATGCATCAGCAATGTTCGCTTCGTTTGAACTTTATTGATATCTGAAGCTGGATAACCATACCATTGCTTCTCCGCTTGTCTATCTCAGACTTTCGCTTCCATTCGAATAGTTTGTAGTATGCTTCATACACTAAGATTAGCTCGTCTATCTTTGATTTTCGGCTTGAAGTAGGAGTGGGCTCGTTATTTCCAGCGGAGTTGTCCTTGGACTTAGCCATTTCGATTTCTATTGGACTTCAAAATTGGATGTGTGTTGTACGATGTAGCCATTTCAAGTTGAACGGTTACAGAATCAGTAGCGGGGATATAAATAGTCCTCTGTCTACAGTCTACTGTCATCTGTGACCAAGCTTGTCCCATGATGGAAGCTTCGACTTTGTGAATCACGGACTGCTCAATCTGGTCATTTCTGCTATCTTTTACCTGAAACAAACAGCGGGACATGCATTTTATCTTAACTACTCTGTAGCACTCATACATACATACAGTTACATATGTATAGAAGGTTATGAACATGTAGGCCACAAAACCGCAAGATGAAAGTGCTTTCATGAGCAACCAAAACAATGCCCCTCAATCATGCAGCAATCTCTCCACCTGCAGCTCAAGGCTATCTTTAGACATACTCTTACAGTATCATTAATCAAACAAAAAAATTTGCAACTCGTATCTCTCGAGTTTTGGAGTCCTCGTATACCTAGACATGGAAAAGGGTCGTGAGATACGCCACCCGCTATTTACTTGCCCCCCACTATCCTTTGCCAAGGCTCGCTTGATGAGCAAGAAAGCGATTGAACTTGACTTCCAGGAAAACGATTCGGGAATATCTAGAAGCGCTAACTGGGTTTCTTTTCAAGCAAAACGATAGATATATAAACATATAGTGATGCTCTGCCTAGAGATAAACAGAATTATCTTCTCGAAAACTCCAAATGCAAGGATGTTTTCCGGGAAGGGGCAAAATGGAAAAAAGTGCCAGTATCCACTTTCGCACATTCCGATGCTCAAAAATGCAAAAAATAATGTTGCAACTGCCGTGAATCGAACACGAACCTCCACCTGACTCGACGTGTACGTCTTGGAAGGGTGGAATCCTTGAAGAGAATTAGAATTAAGTCTACTGCGAGACGAAGCTGATTGTACGAACCTAACCATTGGACCACAGAAGCTAAGCCTGATATGGACGAAAGCTGACTATTTGGCTACTTGTTAGTGCTGAGAAACTGGAACTCTTGGTTGCTTTGGGGAAGTCTCCACCGCGAAGGGAGAAATGGGAAAAGCTTGTTGATCGAAGCAGACGTATAATATTTCAAGGCTGGGGGATATAGAAGGATTTTTGTTCGATTTAATGGAAACAGGTACGCAAATAGGTACCACACTATGATTGAGTGGAGGAAGAAATCACAACGAAGTGTTGAAGGGAAATACAGCGGTCACTAACCGTCTTCTGCAGCCACGGAATACAGATGGATCACTTGAAGAAATGTCAGCCAACCCGTAACTGAAGGTCCTGAAATTTTTTAGATCTTGCCCTACTAGCACACTCTGGATTCTCTATATGAGAAGTCCACATAAGCCTTACTGCGTGTGGTGTAATTTATGTAATGACGCGTTAATAAGGAATCGCGGACGAGCGGCTCGCGACTTCTGACACCACGTCGCTAGAAATGAATACTGCCTTACGGCAGAGGTGAACAGCTTTTTCAGTTTCATAACCGGGGCTCTGGAAAGACTCGTATTCTTAACTAATTTTTCTACCCAAATTGTAGAAGACTGTCAAAAGTAGATATCTTCCCCCAACACCGCTGATAGCAGTCTCCTTTGATATTTGCACGTCGATGAAACATTGTCCCAACCAAGTCGCCTCAACAACTCATATCACATAAAGGACCTTGAATCGTCCCATGCAGCGAAACCGAATCGTGACTCGGCCGCCTTTATCAATCCTGTATTTTCCGACGGCATGCTCGGGGCGTTGCACGTACGTTTTGGTGATGTGAGCTGCAACTTGGACGTGGCGATCGCATCGCCCCTTTGGGATCACGACTCTGTCGGCTTTGCGGGTGTCGATCCAGCTCTTGTAGTGGTGCACGAAACACTGCTGAAATATATCGTAAGCTAGGACCTTCTCCCGGTGTGCAATAACGAGAGGTCCGGTTCGAAAAGAGGTAGCCATTTTGAGAAGTCTCGCATGTGCTGACTGCATGATTGCAGGGGTTTGCGTGATTGTGTGGCGTGAAGTCGTGTGTTTCTACTGATGAAATGGTTCAGTGGCGTCTACCTCTTCCCGAGCGCTTGGTGATTCTTCGGTTTCCCAATGATAACCAATGATTGACTTTCGACGGCTGTAATTCTCCCCACGCTTTCGAGCTACTAGAGTTTCCTTTAATGTACGAAGGGCCGTACGTCCTTGTATAACGATCAGCGTTGCTAGTTCAGCCCATGGTGGTTTGTGTGAACCCTCATCCTCATCTTTCATACTTTCGGTCTCAGCAGCTCGAGTCACCGTTTCCTTCCACTTCATAGCCTGCTCATCATCTTCTGCAATAGTAATTATAGATCCAGTGTACTTCAAGAGAATAGTGTTGATGAGAAGACGTGTGAGCCGACTGTTCCCGTCGAGGAAAGGGTGGATGTTGAGGATTTTGTGGGAGTACTTGGCCGCCAATTGGTAGGGGTCGATAGTCTCCTCAGCTTCAGCGACTTTGACTGCTGCATTGAACTCGGCGATAGTGTTAGCCATGAGTTTCGGGATATCTTTAGGTGATGCAAAAGACGTAAAAGTCCATCCAACATTATCGTTGCGGTATACACCTCCATAAACTTCGGAGCAGTCTTTTTCCTCGTTCTCAGCATCGATTCCTTCTGTGAGAATCTTATGGGTGGAGAGCAGAATGTCCTCTGAGAGCTCCTCGCCGTGAACTACCATTCGGTGAGTGATGTATTTCAAAGCAAATGCATGCTGAATAACTTGGCGCCGGGATCGTTGGACAGCATCTGGATCTGCAGCGCGCTTCTTCTGCTTCAAATACTTCTGTGTAACCTCGTAATCCTCATCTTCCACAGGTATCTCCACCGCCAGCTCCTCACCAGCAAAGATTTTCTTGCATAACTTCATCGTCACCTCATGACTAGACCCAGCTTTCTCAAGATCGTTGCTCTGAAAAATCATCATGACCATTGACTCCACCAGGTACTGCTCATAACTATCATCTTTCTCCTTCAGGTCTTGCAGCAACTTCCACACATCTCCAAAATAGGAGACACTCTCAGCGAAAACCTCATCAGGGTCTGGTGTGAACCGAAAGTAATCGTATAGTAGATCTGGTTTGAGAGTGAACTTCGCTTTTGGTGATGTGAATTTTGAGCGCACTGTATTTCGTAGCAGCTTCGGGAGGTTTATCGTCTTGTATGCTGATTTGGTGACAGTCAAGCCCTCGAAATGGCCTGCCAAGCTGCTTCGTTTGTGAGGAGAAGAAGATCGCGAAAAGTGCGCCATTGTTCTTGCGTGTGGTGATCGCGGTTTGAGTTGTTAACAGGGAATCAAGGTGACGAGCTGGATTTTAATGATTGGAGTGTGGACTGGTTAGGCTCGGTTGAAAAGATAGCGTCACTTCTAAGGCTAGACTATTGAGGGGTGGTGCTTCTTTGTTCATTCCGCTTTAGTCACATTGATGACAATTTCTGTTGAGAATAAAGAGAGACAATGACCCCGGATCAAGCTAGAATTTTGAAAACATGTCGTGCCTTTGTTATGACGCAGCCGCAAGAAACCCATAAGAGCAAATGCTCATTGTCCACTCATTCCCCACCACCAATCAACTGCTCTCAGCCAATCGCTTGGAGGGCGACAACACCACCTATCAGCTGCAGAAAAAGGTGGCCGATTCAGCGAGCTGCCTAGTTACTCAGTTACTTCAATGCTATGTTTTTCTTAACGAAACTCTTTTTTAGAATATTACTTAAGAATCACCAAAAGATCAAAGTAGTATTTTAAAAGTGTTTCTAAAGACTAAATTAAATTTTTATTATTACATGTTTTGAAAGTAGCCTTTTTCTCTTGTGACTTTGATGTTCTGCTGTGCCCTGAATCGGCTACCTTTTTCTGCAGCCCACAGACCACAACAAACCAGTCCGAGCAAATTTACGCAGATATTTCACCGAACAAAACACTCTTTCCACCTATCCCCGAAATTCCTCCCCATCCACACCCAAAGTGGAAATTCCACCTCTCTCCGCCAAACCTCCGATCTCTCCCCATTGAAGCTCCGCCAGAATAATCTCAAGTGTTTCGACCACCGCGGCACTTCCACCACAGTCATCCGGCCATCGACAAGCAGAGGTGGCAGATTCTCCTGCATCTCTAGCATCGGCGTGTCGTTTCCGCCAGGGAGGAGAATAGAGCGGCGCTCGAGGGCGAAGGTCTTGTCGCGTGTGTCGTAGACAAGTTCGAGAGGCGAGGAAGAAGTTGCCTCGACAGGTACCGCACGGAAGCGTCGTTGGAGACGGAGATCTTGAGAGTTTGGCGATGGTGGTGGACAGGGAAGGTTGGTGACTGGATGCAGAGGGCCGTGAATGGCTTGGTCTCGATCGCGAGCTGTTTTTAGGTATGTTGGTTTTGGTTGTGAGCGCGTCGGAGCCGGAAGCCAGCTTCTGTCGGGCTGTGGTTGGCGTAATGGAAACTGGTAGGGCTCGAGAGGTGGAGCTTTCGAGAGTCTCGACAGCCTGGAAGGAGATGGTATGTTTGAGGAGTTAAGTGATGAGCTTTGAATGATCTTTTGGTTGCCATTTGCGGAAGGAGGAGTAAGAAGTGGTATCGGGCAAGACTTTGGTCGAGATGGAGGCTGGTGAGGAGCAGACAGACAAGGAGATGATTCCATCTTTGAAACCTTATATTCTTCCGGAATGAGGGATGACGATGATGGTTTCAGTGTTGGCAAGCCTGCAAAGTCGGTCATAACTCCTCGCGGTCTGGTATTTAGCTGCGGTTGCGGAAAGATAACGCAAGAGAACGAGTTCTTGGGTTTGAGGATAGATACATCTGATGAGATTGTGTTTGACCGACCGTTGGAATCATTGAGAGTCTTCGCCTCATCTTCTACTGATGACATGGTGCAATAATCTGTGTGGCTTGACATTCACAGCAGAGATGTCATTCGTCGCTGTCAGAACTGTGGTAAGACGGGTCACTTTCGAGGTGAGTGAATTGCTCGAACCTTTCGGCTATACAAACATGTGGTACCACGATATCAACAAGCGAATAATTAGCTCACACTGAAGCGTATTTGCGGAGGATAACAAGTCGGCAAACCCCTACATGACATGATCAGGCGACGATTGGATGACGAGGTTGCTTATCCATGACTCTACCCTTGAAGCTAGTTTCAACGCTCTGGTCTCAATCACCCCATCTTGCAGGTCCCCAACTCCAAATATTCAGACCAACCTTCCATCCCGATAGGAGCGGTAGTCCAGCATGCCCTAGGAAAGGGTCAGTAATGGTTTGTGAAGGTGACTTCAATACCGACATGTTTCCTCGTATCCTCGACCATCAGATCTCAAGTTCTCCCAAAATACAGCATTGCCTTTCTTTGGCTTGAAAGTCACTCCCATCTTCTTTCTTTGGTCCTCTGGTTCACTGGTCGCCTCCTGGCATTCTAGAAACTCACACCATTTTCTATCCGCGAGATCAGGTGCCCTTATTCTTGGGAATTCTGTTCCACCACCTTCACATTCTGCGTCAACCTAGAAGAGAAAACTATAATCAGCAAACATCCCTTCCAAATTTCGGGGAGCAGAACTAAGTCCAAGGTAGCGATGGAGGGGTTGATGTGAAGTCCTGAGCCAAACATATAACATGAAAGGACCTTCTCAAAGGACCTCGACTTACATAGACCATAAACGAGCTCACTCTATCGGCGTTTCTGCTCGCACCACTCCAGTCATAATGATGAGTGTAATGACCACCCTCTCGATATCTTTGTGTCCTCAGCCTCTCAATATGAAGATCCGGCCGCCATCCCTGGAAAGCCCTCGCTCTATGCTCAATACAACGAACGACATCATCTCGATCGATGAGGGCAACTTCGGAATTTCGCACGTTTGTTTTGATTAAAGTTTCGGCTCCGCTTGTAACGGTTGATGGCTTAAACTTGTCTTCACTGCCGACTTATGTTAGGGCCAGTCACGTGTTTCCTTTCTGAAGGGCGGGACGAAACGTTCCAAGCAAGAGGTCAACAGGTTTCAAACTGAACTTGACCTACCTAATCTTCAGAAGGTGGGACGACTCATTTGGACTCAGAAAGTTCTCGATGTAGATGATTAATGGCTCCAGAGAGAGGATGTGGGTGTTGTAATAATGAGACGTGCAATTCAGGGGCTCGTTGGACGCAATGAGCGAGCTGTTAAGCTGTGTGATGGGCGCCACCGGTTTCTGCGATGTCCCGAATAGGCTGGTGGATATAGGCAAATACACGAAGATATAGATGGGCAGTATTGTCGCAATATACCCGATCATTTTGTCAAAGGCGTTGGTGATTGTGATTGAGTTTGGAGGCTGATGACTTCTGCTTCACTGGCGTCTGTCTACCTCTTGCCGAGCGCTTGGTGGTACGTACCTGACTGGTGGGTACCAGGTAACAAACCAGCATCAGAGCCCCACGTCCCAGCATGATCGTAAGCCAAACTACAAATACATCCCCACTTGCCAAAACGTGCGACGAAAGCGTCACCTTGAGGGCCGCGCGCTCATGTTTCATTATTAAATCTTAAGGATGCCAAATTCCGCTGCATCCGAAGTCTTGGCTCCCTAGCCGTAATAGTGACGTGATCGTCGGCATACTATGCAAATCCATTTGGTACTATTCAAAACTTACCCTGCGGTTAAGTGTATTTTAAAAACTGATTACAATAAATTGGCAGAGTTTCGTTAGTTTTTCAAGGCTTTATTGTTCTTGCATTGTGATAATAGCAGACTGTATCTCAGCTTGACCGGTTGTTTTGATCGTTATTAAGCGAAAACCACCAATGGAGCAACAGTGCCAAGAAGCTACCATTTCCCTTCAGCCAAGATTGAAATGTAATTTCAGCTCCCCTATGAATACAACTTCTCGGATTTAATACATACATAGGCAAGTATGTAGAGCTGATAGGTTTTGTAGGGGGAATGATAATTGGCCGTCGGAGATTGGAAATTTAACTGGCTTGCCTCCAGCAGTAACATTTAGATCCAGCACAAACACGCAATACTGACTTTTGCAGACTTTTTGGGCACATCAATGATAGAATTAGACTATAGCAGACACGAGAGATTTCAGTACCGTTTATTTAGCTAAAAGTCCTGCAACTCGAAAGGTCTGTCTCCTAGAGCGATCATCCATGTCCGCGCGAGACACAGATATATGGGTTGGTATTGTATCACTTTACTATTGATCTTCTATCATATCGGGCAGATCTAACATTCAAACTTAACATTCCAAAGCACACACTGAAAAGCACCCCGCTTCCTTCTGGGAATCCACGCCAGGTACCTCCACGATTAAATTGCATCCCTTGACCACCATACTCCCTCCGTCCCACTCGATCTCTCACCCAAAGAAGGCACCCTTCAGCACACCCACCGCACTAATCTTCTTATACGATCTATGCACCTCTTTCTCACCCTTCAGCTTAGCTTGCACATTATCCCAGATCTGGGCGAGCTCGGGGCGGTCACTTGCGCCGCCGATATTCATCTAAAAGTGCCATGTATCAGCAACAAGACGATACTTAAATTGTCCCTAGTCCTTTCAGAGCATCAATCCGCCATATGAGCCTCTGAAGGGAACACGGAAGGAAGGCTGAAAGAATAAAGTAACAAGAAGGGAGGAAGAAATGAAAGCCAAACTCACCAACCCGGCACAATCGCCCACTTCTCCAGCACCTCTACCTCTCCCTCGCCATCCCCTTTCCTCCTCAAAACCAAAACCCCCGGCTGCGCCATCCCACTCACATATCCCTTCCTCTCCGTAATCGCTACCTCCCACCCATACCTCTCCCTCAAATACGCCATCAACTCATTCTTCTCATCCACAATCGCCTCGCCCTCATAGCCAGTGGATTTGCGCATTTCAGGGAGGAAGTTGGCTGGCTCGGCGGTTAGGATGACGGTGTTGCCGCCTTGGGAGATTATTGAGGGGAAGATAGAGGTGAGTGTTGTGAGGTATGCGCGGCAGAAGGGACACCAGTGGCCGCGGTAGGCTGGGGGTGAGAGGTGTTAGCGTTGGCTGGTTGGGGGTTTTTTTTGGTGCAGGAGAGGGGAGGGGAAAAGTAAAGCCTAAAGGTAAAGGGAGAAGGGTGACGAACAGACTATGAAGAGGAACTCTGATGACGAGAAGAGGGAGTTGAATCTTTCGATGGGTGTTTGAGTTGGTGTTGATGTTGATGCCATAGCTGGGGTCGAGGAGTTTTCCATTTTGGATATTTTAGTTATTCCTGACAGTAATCTGAGTTTTGTCCAGAGTAGTTTTCTTCTTTCTTGTGTGCTTCAAAGGTTCAGCGATGGGATTGCCGGAATAGATACTGATGCGCACTGTAATGAATTAGGAGAAGATGCAAAACGAGGAAGATACTTTACAAGAATAACTCGAGCTCAAACAAGAGCATCCTACACTTATATACCTCCCATTCTACTCTCCTCTCCTCTCGTCGTCAATCAACAAGATAAACCGAGCTTGTACGCCGAGCTGCGCTGCGCCGCCTGCCATGCACAGTGACAGCACACCCGATACACCTTACACAACGCTGATTTCATTTCAACATAACACCTGCTTCAAATCAAGATCAGTAATCATTCAATTCACCACACACACACACACTCACACACTCACATGCAGCTGTGCCCGCACCCAAGCATTGAACAATTATTACCGAGCCCATATATACGGACATAAACTCCCCTACCCTCTACCCCAGCCATACGATCAACCCTGATTCCAAATAATCCCATCCAGGGCCTCGATGCTTACGGCTTGTTCTGCAGCCTGGGGTGCCTGCAGCGCACAAGCCTCAGCCCTTGTCTCGATCTGTAAGCACTCTGCTGACAAATGACACAGCAATACTGTACCTGCACTGCTGCAAAACTGATACAAGTCCCTTGAGCCCACAGATGCGGGTACGGTGCGACCGCGTGTGGGCTCCCTCTTGTCCTCTCACTGATTTGGAACATCTGCGTAAATGACGCTGAGTGGTCGGTCTGATTGATGATTGATGTAGGCAGCGCCGCGCCCGCACTTACATACTGTGTGCAAGCTGTGCTTGTTTTTTCTTGCTCTATTCAGGAGAATGATGGCCAGGCCCTGGCGCCCGATATCAAATGTCAGATGAATTCAGTGTAGCATTTCTCAGCGCCTGTAAGATCCTCACATTGAGACCAGGCTGATTCGAGGTTACTTGCTGTCAAATGCAAGAAAGCAGTTACGTGCATGGTGTCTAAAACCCCTAGAAGTCTCGCCCGCTGCCGCCGTTACCGTTCAAGGGTTTGAAGACCCATTCTATTTCAAATTCTTCAATTTTTGATTGATTCTTCTCCTGTCTGATTTTGCTCGTATACAAGTCTAGTCTTCCATGATCTAGAGTTGCACGATGTCTTGCTCGCGCATTTCTCTTGCTTTCCTGGTATATTGTTACAATCCAACCAACAGATTCTAATAAATCTCCTTCCCAAATAATTCCTATATGCACCTCCATTTCCTCACCGAAAACGCCCCGCCAGCCATTCTGCCTGTACAATGCTCCCTGAGTGAGCCTGGTTTCTCCACTCCCCAGCCACCCCAGTTGATAACGCCGGGCTGATGCATATATACAGAGAATGCGATTTTGCTGTCTAGTCGTAAAGTCGTCCCTTTTTCCACGCCATGTTTCAGTGGAGAGGTGCCTTTTCACCCAGAACTATTCCTCCTTTCCCGCTCCCGATTCGCAACCCAATTATCGATGATCTTTCCAACTTCCTTGAAAGCAACTGGCTTTGTCATGAAAAGATCAATACCAACTCTCACAGCTTCTGTTTGATCTTCGATACTGCTCCTGCCAGTGAACGCGATTATAAGAGCGGCGTGAGGTTGGCCTTCTACGTATTTACCCTCAGTATTGCCCTTATTCAAATTCCCGGAATCACTCGGCATTGCTTCTCGCTTCCGCTTCTCCTCGATGGCTCGGATTTGTCGAGTGGCGCCAAACCCGTCCAGTACGGGCATCGTGATGTCCATGAAAATGATATCGTAGCCTTGCTTACGGGCTTCGACTTTCTGTACCGCTTGGAGACCATCCATAGCTTCATGGATGACTGTGTAGTTGCGACGATTAAGATAGGTCGATAGGAGTCGGATATTGATCTGGTTATCATCTACTAGGAGGAGAGTAGGAGACTCCACTTTCGGTTTAGGCTCATTGGAAGCTTTGGCCATCGTTGTTTGAATGGTGGGAGCTGTTTCGACAGAAGTGATACGAGGCGGAATCTCAGGCCTGGTAAGTCTAGGACCCTCCTTCTCCCCAAGTGTGCGGCCAGTTCTTGGTGGCGTAAATTTCTCACCAGAGGCCGGGAATGGAAACTCGGCATGCTTTTCTGTGATGGCATTTGGGGTGGGGCTCTCGATTGCCTTTCTCGCATTGGCGCTGTCTGTTGCCATGCGGCTGTTGTCAAGTACTTCGCCTCCACGGGGACTCATGGATAGTTCTTCAAAGACATTGCTCAAATCTGTGCTCTCAAAAGGATTGGCCGTTGGGCCGTCCTGATGAGGAGTTCCAATCGAAGGAAGACCTTGTATGCATTGTGACAAGGCTTTTGCGAGCTTAAGAGGACCAACCGGCTTTGCAATGAAGCCGACATTGAAGTCTGCATCAAAAATGGTCATTGACCGATCAATGAATCTCGTGTTATGAGAGCACAGAACAACAACCGATGGAGGACGTTTTTGAAGTGTCCCTAGCTGCTGCACGATCTTGGATATAAATGTCGAGTTCCCCTCGTTTGAGACAATTACGTCGCATTTCTGACCAAGAGGAACTATTCTCATACCGTACCATTTGATAAGGAATGTTGATATAGAGTGCTTGAGCTGTCGTCCCATCTCATGTATTATAGGATCTTTGGTATCGATGTCGAAGCCATGAAGAGAAGCTCGGTACCCCACTGCACGGGCTTGAAGACTCTGGATAACTTCATCTGACTCTCGACTGACTGACACGACAGACTTTTGAGTGCTCGAAGAAGCAGCCGAATCGGCTTTTTTAGGCATTTCACGAAGCAGAGGAAGGGTTACACGCACACCTATAGAATGTTAGAAGACAACGACGAACAGGTCATGGTAACTCACGAGTGCCACGTCCAACCTCACTGTCGATCGTGATATCGCCTTCCAGAAGAGACACAATCTTCCGAACAATTGAAAGTCCAAGACCAGTTCCACTAGAAAGAGAGTTTTCCTGTGCGAAAGGCATAAACAATTTCGACCTCAGGAACTCGGGTGAAATGCCTCGGCCAGTATCTTGAACTGTTAAGGAAATCATAGCTCTGGGCACACCGTCACTACCTGTCGAATCAGAATGGAAATTTTCCATGTCCGTGACTGTAAGCGTAATCTTGACATATCCGTGAGAAGTGTACTTTAGAGCGTTGCCAAGCAGGTTCATGACCAAACGTCGCAAAGCGCCCGGTTGTGTCGTAAAGTGGTAATTCTGCGCATCAATATCGAGAATGACTACAACGCCTGCTGTTTGAAGTCGTTCAGGCCCTAACATATTTTCCGAAGAGGATATCAGTTTCCTGGCATCTGACATCTTGCCTTGAGAATCAGGTACGATGTCAAACGATTGCGCAGTGGTGTGCTGGAATACGTGGCCTGCAAACACACTCTCAACCACTTCCTCGCAGAGTACCGAGATGTCGATGTGCTGAAATAAGTTGAGCATTGGGAGATCTGACTGCTGTAATATCAAAGGTCCACCAGCCTTCCCGGGGATAGCACGTGCGCCAGCACGCTTAGTCCGTCTCCAATTCTTCTCAAAGTGATTGATTTTCGAGAAGTCAAGGATGTGATTCTATGAGCGTTAGTTACATTGCTGCATGTGGACAATGGAAAGACACTTACAATCGTGTCAAGCAATGTTCTACCGCAGCTATCGATCGTCTCAACCAAGCCTTTCTCCCACCCTGTGGTGATCTCTTCCAAAAATTCGGCACTAGCCAAAATGCCATGAAGAGGAGATCTCAATTCATGTGAGATACTGCCAATAAAGTCGCCTTTCTTCTGATCTGCAATCTCCGTATCTATTCGTGACCATTCTGCCATGACCGAGTTGCCAAAAGCACTCAAGAATGCAAGCTCGCTCTGTTTGGATAGAACGCGAGTTGGCTCCGTCGACCAGGCAAAACAAGCAGAAAGCCATCGAGAAGGGCCAGCATCCCACAAAGGTACGAACAGCAGTTGCCGTACACCTGGGAAATGTCTTGATATGACTCTGGCATCATTCTTGTTCTTCGCACTTCTCAACTTTCGGCGACGAGCTTCCTTGGTACGCTCGATTGGATCCTTTGACAACGGTCTCCGACGATCATCCTCAGATGACGATGACATGGCACCATCAGAGTCGAAATTCCATAGCTTTCCTCGGGGATATCGTCGGAGCAGCGCCATCAAAGTCTTCTCGTCCAATGGCTTGAATGACTGTAATCCTGGAGCTGGATCCCCATGGATTGATGCTGCATCTGGAGTCGAGAATCCCAGGATCTCGCACGACTTGGCAGCATTGCTTGTTGTGCGAGAATAGGTACCATCACCAAAACTAGGAGAATTATCTCCAGAAGGAGCTAATGTGGGAGGTGAAGGGATCGTAGTTACTCCTTCCTCCTCGGCAGAATGGTGGTCATCCCCACTCGTGTGGCCTGTCATAGCCTCTGCTGGACTCTCGGTGACGCTCTCCGTAAAGCTGCTAGCATCGTCATTTGGACCGTGGCCGTGTGACATATCGCTACTAAAACCACACTGAGCATCATAGAATATCACACCTCCATCCACTTCGAATGCTTCTCGGATAAGGTTGGCAGCGCGTGAAAACAGCACTTTCATAGCAGTTGTTTCGGATTGGTCGTCATTCAGGGGTGAGCCTGAGTTGTTTTGGGGCTCGTTGGGTGACGATATCGTGACACTGGTTCCGCCAAATGACGATTGATGAGACTGGGGCATACTATCGAGATCCGGCCGGGACTGTGTGTCGGCTGCCTGATGCGCAGCAAGAATGCCCTCCTCTGTCTTGAATAGAGCAGCAGAATACTCCTTCTCCCTGTCAACAGCCGCATGAGATATTGAACTCCTGACTGAGCCTTTTGATCTTGTCCTGGTAATGCTGTGATCGGTTTCGAACTGTCCAACAATCTTTGTTCCTTCTCCATCCTCTGCTTCTAGATCTGCTTCGACCAGTTCTGAACGTCCCTCTACGAAAGAGGCCAGCCCACGACTCATCTTCATTCCGCGACGATGTTCTTCTACTTCCCGAACCATCTCCATATGCCGCATAATGGTGACGGCCATGGTTCCCATAAAGTGGATCTTGTCTTGACTGAGCCCATTGCCAACTCGATCATCGACGACAAATAAGCTACCTATGGGAATTCCACGCTTAGTGATCAGAGGGACACCTGCGTAGAATTTTAAGAATGGTGCTCCAGTGACAAAGGGCAGCGTGTTGAATCTGTCGTCTTTGCTCAGGTCATCAACAATGAAAGAGGGATACTGTCCATCTGTTTGTGGTGGAACTGAAATTGTTCTGTTTGCTTATATCAGCATTGATCTACAGTCCTGCAAACTAGTTACTTTACCTCTCGCAAAGGCGTCCAGCCTTGCTGACACTGGCACATCCTATCCAGATATCATCTCCAGGTGCATGCTGCCGATTGTCCACAAGATCAACAGTCTTGGTGCCTTCTGCGATGAAGTACTGTGTCTCCGCGTCAATGACACTAATCAATGTCAGTACTTTTGAGGTACACGCTTCGCGAGAGTACTAGCCTTATCATTGCTCTTTGCGAACCGATTCTCCATGTTGTGAGTTGACAGAAAGCCGTCAGGGCAGTATCTGGAGATGAGATCTTAGATGAGGTGACATTGGACTTGACCTTGATTTCGCGTCCCTCTGCAGCACTGTCGCTGGAAGGAGAACCAGGCACAACTACTTCAACAAGGCTTTCTGGATTTGCAGGAGTCGGTTGGAAGTATCTGCGGGCAGATGTGTTAGTACTTCAAGCTCGCAAGCCCGTCTACCGATTTCCCCAGTGTTGTAGAGCATATCCTCGAGTTTCTCCAAACATACTTGTAAACTTCTCTTGCCCGCGCACTGTCCGAGACGCCCTCCAGATGGGATGCGATGGTAGAGGCCACAGGCGCCATCGACCTTCCTACTGCTCCTTCCCTAAGCCAGCTTGGAAGCTATTTTGGAACGATCGAAAACAATGTACTGGGACCAATCTAGACGCCGGCGCAGAGTCGGAGATGATGTGTCGTGCTCTACGAGGACGGGTGTCAGTGTCATTCGCGAAGCACGGGTCGGCAATGGGATGGTTATCAGAGGATGTTATTCCAAGACTACAGCACAGGGGTTGACTATTGTGCTCAACTTACCAGATTGCGCGTGCATTACACAGAGGTCTGCAGACTTCTCGTGAGGCTGAAAATAGTATTGTCCGAAGAGGGGGCAGAGAATGAATGAATGAATGAGTGGGTGGAACCAGAAACAGCGCACTGAGGCTCAGGGTTGTTGCAGCTGTGGGACGGTACTCCCGAAGACCTGTCGGGGCACGATTGACTGAGGTGAGGTGGGATGAGGGATGGCTGTTGGTGGTACCTCCGTACTGGTGGTCAGATAGATAGGTAATTTGCAGCAGGGAGGGCAGGGCAGGGCAGGGAACGAAGTAACGAAGTAACGAAGGTTGATTCGAAGTAAAGTTTTCGGTGGACGTAGACGTAGGCGTGGGCGCGGGCGTGGGCGTGGGCGTGGGCGTGGGCGTAGACTTGCAGAATCAGGGTTCAGCGCCACAGACGTCACCGGCACGCGGCATGCACCCCTGGTCAAAGGATCGCCCCGACAGAACAGATAGACAGACAGATAGATGGATAACAATTGCACACCACAGTACTCGTACCTATGTTGTGTTGTAGTCCAGCTTCGAATTGGTCTCGGTCTGATCACTACTATACTATACTATACTATACAATACGCGACAGGACATATCGGGCAGCTGAAATCCAGCACATCCATGACTGTCTCTTGAAGACGAAGAAAAAAAGCTTGCATCACCGTCTGCTCACGATCTGCAATGTGGCGTCTTATCCAGGGAAAGGAGGGGAGGGGGAGGCGGAGGCCCCAACACTGGACCGCGAGGCTTGAACGGTCCATTTGATCCAGACCAAGTGATAGACCACTTGCGAATATCCTGCTTCAACGAGACGGCAATGATTCGTTCGGAAGGGAACCCGCCGCTGAGCTTGAGAAATATGAGATTCGATACTTTCTCACGCCCCTGTTTATCGTTTTCCATTTGTCGTATTTTATTGTTCGCGAGCAGCTGTTGCTTGTACCAGTATGTTGAAAGATTGATATTGTGCTGTGAATGTGCACTTGGATGTTTTCCAATTAATAGTATCATGCGAGCTGAGTCTGAGGACTGGCTTGTCCTGGCTCAGGTACGATGTAACTAAATTCTCCTTCCCTTTCCCCTCGAGGTTCTATCAGTCAGTCAAAGGTCACACAAAAGTCAAATCCGAACCATGCTTCTCAGGGACTACGTAACGTCGTAATAGTGCATATATTGAAACCATCTTTCAGAGTTCGAGACCTTCTAGAACAAATTTTCCTCTTGCTCGAGGAATACTGCGAAGTCAATCCACGGCGGATGCGACTCCTGGAGATATTGCCCGAGACTAGCTGCTATCTCCGCTGTCAGTACAGTACCCTTCGTACGGTGCCGCAGGTAATGACCTAATCCCGAGTCGAGATCTCACCCCATCAACACCATCTCTACTTTCGCGACCAAAACCACGAGCCCTCAGTGACCGACCAGGAGCAGTCGTTACATTTCCGAGGCAAATTCCTGCCCAAGCAATCTCACTGCCATTTTGATTCTAACCCTCTGGTGGTGGGGACTGGTGACCGCTATTCGGGCTTTGCGACAACCATTTTGAACAACCTGCTCGCGCCACCCGGCGCATGCGATTACAGCCATGGAGCAAACAATAGAGCCTCCGTTAGATGTCAAACATCGACCAAAACCTGAAATTTCTTCCAAACCTCCGAGGAAGAGAAAGAGGATTGTTATATCATGCACAGAGTGTCACCGCAGGAAGCAGAAGGTATGCATCACCACCCCGCGCAGCTTTCTGATCAGCAGACTCACCATTCCAGTGCGACCGGCAATCCCCTTGCAGTAATTGCATTGCTCGAAACAAACAGTCCCTCTGTCAATACGAGAACGAGTCTGCGAGGAAACAGCAGCTACTAGAGGAGAGCACAAACGGATCGTCAGAAAATGGCGGGGTATTCAATGTTATCAAGCAAGAGTCGGAGACGGCGGCTCAGGTCAGCGCATTCGGATATGCGAAATCCAATGGGAATAACAATACCACCCTCGGGATATTCAAGAAACTTGAAACCCTCGATACGGGGACATCTTCGCCGTTGTCAATGATGACATCGAGCTCAGCAGACCATGGAGGACTGAAGGAGAAATATAAGAGCATGATTCGACAACTCCCAGCTAAACCATATATTGAGAAGCTGATTGCATGTTATTTCCGAGAAGTCAATTGGCAATACTCTCCTTTGGACGAAGGAACGTTCAGAGATCTTCTGAAGAATTGGCATAGCCTGTCATTTTCAACTTTGAATAAAGGCCCTCTGGAGTTGCCGCCTGATTTGCAATTCTTCCCAGCCCTGCTATTTCAAACACTAGCTTTAGCACTACAATTCCAACCAGTCGACTACGATCAGAGTCTGGACTCCCTGAAATATGCCGCGGGCATGTCATTTGATGACTTGGCAAGTGACTACAGCGACTCTGGTTGCCAAATTCTCTGCCTACTCGGCAAGAGGCATACGACTTTGGTCACGGTTCAAGCTGGATTCCTTCGCACAGCATATCTCAAGAACTGTGGACTTGTACCCGAGAGTTGGCATTATCTATCACAAACGATCAGAGATGCTCAAGAGGTTGGCCTGCATAAGGTAAACATTACGCAACATCAACGGAAGCCAGACGAGAAGCCAGAAGATGTCTTAGAGAGTCTCTGGCAAGAACAACTTCGACGGAGGATGTGGTTGATTTTGTCCCTATGGGATATCCACATGGCTATTGTCCTCGGACGACCAACTACTGTCGATCCACGAGATGGAAAGCCAAAATTCCCAATTGATGCGCCTACTCCCAAAAACCGGCGAGAGGTTGCCCCAGCACCAAGAACGGACTCAGATCCTCCTACATCACTTACAATGCTCCTATGGAATGCTGAAGTAGCTGCACCTCTCTGGGATATCTTCAACCTTGAGAAAGAGGATCCGAATCAGAACAACTACCCAAAGCTAGAGAGGATGCACAAGATGATCAATCAGATCACTTTACATACACCACCATGCTTCCGCACCGAAAATCCAGACACCACTTTCGATTCCCATCCAGATTGCTACTGGCTTCCTTGCGCGAGAGCAATCTTCCAGAATGGCGCAGCTTTTACAGTAATGGCACTCCACAGGCCGTATATCTTCACAAACTCAAACAGCCGAACTGCGGCTCTAAAAGCAGGTCTCGACATCCTTCGCGCCCAAAGAACATACTTCAATCTCCTCAGCATCCGACATTACAAGATGTTCGCTCTCGTCCTCAATACCTTCGACGCCATCGTCCTCGTCGCAGCAATCTACATCTTGCACCCAACCGAGAATCCAGAGTATCTTGACGACGTCCTACAGCATTTTCAGTGGGGCATGGACCGCTTCGAGACCATGGGCGACCGGAACGCAATGGCAAACGCCGCATTGAGCGTCCTCAAGGTAATCTGCGTACGCCTCAGGAAAGCCCTCAATCGCCCAGCCAAGACCGAAGCACCATCCTCCATATCAGCAAGCACTACACCCGCGGCTCCAACACCAGACTCCTATAGCACGCCTCAATTCTCCGCATCATCTCACCCCTCCATCTCTAGCGCCTCAACCAACTCAGCCAACCAAACCACAAGCACAAGTACAAGTATTGCAACGCCCGCCAGTACCCAGTATACACTCCCCACTATCTCCAACATGACGGAATCCGCGCCTGCTCCCGCTCCTGCACCTGTCCCCGCACCAACAGCCTCATGGGAAGCCTTCTCTATGCCTCAGACATTCGACTTCTCGTCCATGGCGCCTCTACAGCCAATGCATGATTTACTCTTCAACGACCTTGGGGGCACGATTGAAGGAGGCTTTGACCTCGGTGCCGGCGGCTTGCAGACGCCTGGGATCTGGGGGCCAGGGAATGGCCCCGGAAATGGCATTGGGGACGTGGCGGCTGACACGGCTGCTCAGTGGCAGTTTGAGGGCGATTTCGGGAATGATAGCTTTTGGGGGTTTATGAATACGTACAACGCTTAATTTGAGGCACTGTACTCACGATCTTCAGGATGAGACAGCAATATGGCTGGTATGATTGGATGAAATACAATATGGCGCACAAGGTATATACCGTAAATGGTCTGTTTTCTACCTCCATTTCACAGCTGCGGCTTGAAAGGCGTTTTCTTCCCTGCGGAGTGCAGTAGCACAGCATATGCAGAGTCCGCATTCTGAGCACATACTACGCAATTGCAATTTGCTACCAATAGAAGTTGTGCAACCATATCGGATCATTTCCTATTGGTGCTTCTTCTTCGCTCTAGTCATGCCTTCCCACGCTGTGAGATATAGTAGGCGTGTTTTACTCAATCTGTCCCTCAATGCAGCACTCCCCAATACATTGCGAATGCCTGATTTAAAAGCAATATGAGTCCTAAGTAATGTATTTATTTTTCACATTTCCTGTGATGTGACCCCGAGCTGACAGCCATGCAGTTGGAATCTCTTGCAGTCATTTGTTGGTTCTGCTATCCAATGCAAGAAGCAGCTTCGTGTAAAGGCGCTAAGTAGATCCAGCTACCCATTTATCACTGAGCTGTCCCTTATCTTACCGGACGCGGGGCCAACGGATTGTTGACCACGAATAGTCTTGCTTCCATTTCGATCTTCTTGATGTGAAGCTCGTTGCGGAACAGAGTGATTTGCTGGCCACCACATACTTCCGGTTCAATATGTGGAGTCACTTTCACCTAGAATGATATCATTCTTTACCTGGCAATGCTCGCTTTGGAGAGCACGTCCTTCTTTGTCGAGAGCTATTGTATGTTGCGATAACGGGAATTGGATTCTACAAGATCGCCAAAATAAGCGAATGCCTACTTTGGGAGAAGGAGCTCTCCAACCCCTGCTTCCCAATTCTCTGACCATGCAGGAACCTCCTCATCCGTGACACGGAGCTTGCAGCTGGGTTTTATTCTCTTTTTGTCCTTCAAGGATGTGTCAATCAGAACTTAGAATTCTAAGTTAAGACAAGTGCGTGAGTGGGTCGAGCCTCCTGAAATAGCGCTAGTGCCTATTCAGCTAGAAGTAAACTTCACGCCCAATTTCTCTCTGCAAACAAATCAACTCATTTCCTTCTCTTCTTTTCTTCAAGACAGCTAATCACACTTCACTCAAATCTCCAGTACAAACCCCGAACCTCTCATCTCTAACTATGGAGAGCCTCATGCCCACCTCCCTCATCCTCATTATCCTTCTCATCACCACCACAAGCCTCCTCAGCATCACCTTCTACCGCCTCGTCCTCTCCCCAATCTCACACATCCCCGGCACTCCCCTCTGGTGCATCTCTCGTCTCCCCTTCGCATACCACGTCTGCGTCGGACGAATAACCTACACCATCGCCAGCCTTCATGATCAGTACGGACCTGTGGTTCGAGTAGCGCCGAATGAGATTTCGTTCATCACGCCAGAGGCCTGGAACGATATATATGGTATGGTGAAAGGTGAGGATGGGGGAAAGGTACAGATGAGGAAGGATCCAGATTTGTTTTTCAGGCCGAGTGAGGGGAGTAAGGATATGACGTTTGAGCTGGATGATGTTGAGCATGCTAGGCAAAGGTTGGGCTCACCTCTCTCCCTTCCATCTCTCCTGAAATCATGACTTCCGGACTCAGGACTGACGATATGTGTCAACAACAGAAGAGTGTTCTCTCATGCTTTCTCGGACAAGAGTCTCCGTGATCAGGAGCCAATTATCGCTAGCTACATCAACAAGATGAGTGATCGACTACACGAGATATGTGACAAGCCTGTCAATATGTCTGCGTGGTTCAACTACGTCCTCTTTGATACGAGTGGAGATTTGGTTCTCGGTGATTCGTTTGGCTGCCTTGAGAATGGCGCTTTACATGTAAGCTTCAATTCTCTTCACATTGTGTTCCACCAATGCTAATCGAACCATAGCCATGGATCAACAACCTCTTCTCTGTCACCAAAGGCATTACTCTCATGGGTATGACGCAGCGCTTCTGGCCTTTGACACCGATCTTGATGTTCTTCGTACCGAAGAAGATGCGGAATATGGAGGTTGAGCATCGAGCTCTGATCAAAGAGCGATTGGAGAAGAGGTTTGCCAAGACGACTCCTAGGAAAGATATGTTAGTTCCCTCCCTAATTTTTCTCTCCCACTTCTCAAATATGAATGGCGAGGTCGCTCGTGTGTACATGAACTGACTTATCATCAGAATCTCAACCATAGCACCCTTCCTTAACGCCCCAGGACCAAATAGCATCACAACCACAGAACTCTACCACAACACTTCAATTCTCGTCCCCGCCGGCTCCGAGACCAGCGCCACCACCCTCACAGGACTGCTCTACTACCTTCTTACTAACTCTCGTACCCTATCCAATCTCAAAACCGAGGTCCGCTCTGCCTTCTCCAACGCAAGCGACATCACCATGGAATCCGTCATGTCACTAACCTACCAAAACGCTGCTATCAGCGAAGCTTTTCGCCTCTTTACGCCTCTACCGGGCTCCATGAGACGTATCACTCCTCCAGGAGGAAGTACCATCTCCGGCATCTATATCCCCGGGAACACCATCGTCGCAGTCGACAGCTACGCAGCATCTCACTCCTCCTCCAACTTCCACGATCCCGAAGCATTCATCCCCGAACGCTGGCTGACACCTCAAGATCTAGCCTCTGTCAACCGGCCCAAGGATTTCGCGGCGGAGTTCAAGAACGATAAGAGGGGTGTTGTGCAGCCGTTTAGTACTGGGCCGAGGAACTGTATTGGGCAGAGGCTGGCGATGGCGCAGATACGGTTGATTGTTGCGAGGCTGACGTGGGAATTTGATTTTGAGCTCGACGAAGAGAGTATGGGCTGGGTGGAGGGAATTAAGGTCTATACAATGTATGAGAGGCCACCCTTGATGTGTAGGCTGACGCCTGTTCGGCGAAGGGAGTAACTTGAGCTTGTGGCTCGCAACCATTTTGCATTACTTGTACATCGAGCAAGGCGATGTGAGAACATGAAACAGAACAGAAGAAATTGCAGCAAAGTGGATTGGTTTAAGCCTCACAGTGTATGGACTGTTCCTTAATGGTTTTCAGCGCGCCCACTTAGGCAGGCAAAGAATCGCGGCATCCAGGACTGGACCGAGCGACTACCCAGTTACTCATGCTGACCTATTGTACGAGCCACTCCATCGAGTAGAATTCCAGACCCGACCTAGTCAGGAACGGCATGTTCTTCGATCCGTTGCAAGCAGCTGCTCCAAAGCTCTCATTCAACAAAAACAAAATACGAAGAACAAAAAAAAGCTCATCAGGTCACAGCTCGAGAGCAACTCGATAAATGGACCAGACTGCTCAAAGGCAAATTATACATAGAATTTCGAAACGAAGAACCAAAAAGCAGGTTATGATACATGGAACCTGGTAGCCCTCCGAGCCAAGATATTCCATCCTTTCCATGCGCCGTGAGAAGTCCCAAATCTCCTAAGACAATGCGTGAATGCCACCAGCTCTATATCTCGAACCTAAATTATCCCAAATTGGCCAAATCTTCTCATACGGCTGCATATCCCCCTCTACTTCCACTGCCTTGCACCGTGTTCAGAACCCGTCGCATCCAGTCCTTGAACAGGTATGGAACATCTCTGATAGTATCGCCGTGAGGGAGCAGATCCCAACCTCGAGCACCATATCGGTTGTAGTTGAGCCAGGAGCCGAAGATAAGGTAGGTTGCAGTGGAGAGGAAAGCGCTGATTTGAATGTTAGCTCGCGGGCGCAAAAATCATCTCGGGGATACTCACATGATGATAAACCAAGTAAAGAAGCCCCATCCTGGTGCCTTCTCTTCCGGATCCGGGTTGTTGATTGCATCCTCGCATGCATACTTCGTTCTCCACGTTAAGCGTAGAATGTCTTCAGTGTCTCCAGAGGTGTCGTATCTGATGAACTTGAGACTTGGTTCTTTCGAGACGTCCTTCTCTGGCTCCTCTTTCTTCTTATCATCTCCCTCAGCACGCTTGATCTTCTCTTCGTATTTATCCTCCGGGTCCCAGAGATTCTCGGTGCCCTCCAGATTCTTGTCGCAGATGAACTCCACGATAGCTTTTTGTGATCTCTTGTCATTGCCAGTCCCTGTCCAGCCCCCGTTCATCGTCAACCTCAAGCCCTCCTTCTCAGAATCCGTATTTGACCCATCTGTCGCCAGCCGTGCCCACTTGGCATTTAAATCACCACCTCCTTTTTCTCTCAACTCTCCTGCAATTGGTATGATCTGCCCAATAATCTCATCGCCAGTCTCCTTGTTGATATCACGTTCGATAGCACACACTGCCCATATTAGCAAGGCTCCGGTCCTTACAATATGACTTCCCAAATCTTACCTCGAGTGTTTCCCGGACATGTGTCTTTCGAGTTCCGTTTTAAGGGTTTGCAGATATCGATTGTGTATGTTGTGTTGCTCAAGCTTGCTCCTCTATCCACGCTGTGTAGCACTGACCGTGGCCCTCCCAGCTTTTCCAGATTCCAGTGATGTGTCTTGTCTATCACGATCTTATCGCAGGTGATTCCTCCAGCTGCAGTGGCCAGTAAAGGAAATAGAATAGCTGACAGTAACGCCGCATCGGCCGGATTTCGAGGTAACCGCATTTTCGAGAGCTGTAAGGAAAGAAAGTAGTGCTCCGCGGGCGAAATAAAGGACTTTAAAAGAGGATAGAAATGGTACGAGAGAGTCCTGTTGACAACAAGCTGTGATGTGATGGGCGTGGTGTTGTCAGGTTGTCTAAATAGCTTGCTTGCTTCCAAGTTGGGATGACGAGCCCGCCAGGCACTCTCTGTGATCCCTGCTCATCACATGATCAAGACAGCTTTGGTGTCGCGTGACGTTTGCACTAAGCGAACATAAAAACAACATGAGCTGTAAATGCAACTTCCCCGCTATTCCGTTATGGCCGTTGGCTAGCAATACATTTGTTAAATTGCTCACTGTTCTCTATAACCTCTATATAGCATTGTAATTGATGGTTTTCTCTAATTGCTCCAATTACTTCCCCCGTCTCGCCCACTTAGTCGATGGACATCACGGCCTTGAGACCAGATTTGAGCGACAGCCTGTCCAATCCTCGATTATGTATGCAACCTGTTATAGGCGATAATTAAGGCACCTTCTTCATGAAACTTTTGTCGTCAACGATCTACTAATTTGCGGTTGAGCTAAGAAGTGGTGGCAAGGCATGAGAGTACTGCCTAGTAAAAACTCATTCCATAACAAGAAGATCACCGAACAGCAACATGATACAACTGCCAGCCGGTCATTTTGCTTTTTACGGTATGAAGATCTATCTCTTGCGAGGCAGTAAAGCCTCACCTAGGTCGCCACTGCCTCATCGGAATATGCTAGACATCTTAGCCGAGCTGCGAGACTTCTTCTAAGTTCCAAAGCAGTAGATCACGCTGCGGGACATCAATACCCTTCGACATCAGCAACTATACCCGACCATCCATTGATATTAACATTCCCAAAAAAAGCGTATATTCTTCTAACCCCCACATCACGGGAACTCCTCAACACGGACATTGACGAAGAGGTTTCGAAACAGTCAGATTACTCTGACTTGCTCTGTCTATCCTCATAATGAGCCAGCAACTTACAATTTTCCATATATTTGGGAACCTCCCAAATGAGCTTCAGGACAAAATATGGGTAGACTCTGCCGAATATCCCCGCTTTCTCGAGATAGCCATCCTGAACAACCGCTCCGAACTAGTCAATAGCAACACATTGGATGATGAAGGCTTAGTATACTTCAAAAATCCTTTCGGCTTTGATGCTCAACTGCCAGGAGGCTTGATGGTCACGAAGAAATCTCGAAACGCAATTCTGCCCTTGTACTCGGTTCTCGACCTGGGAACATGGCGCGTCAACCGGAAATGCCAAACCGAATATACCTGGATGGATGTGGCACCGCCACAGTATTCTGAGCTTCTTGACAAGACGCGGGTGATGTTCAACCCTGATTGGGATACCGTGGTGCTTCAGGTTGGGCATGTACTCTTCAAGCACGGCGTGCTCCAGTGGAAGATCCCTAGGCAACTACAACGGATGGCTATCACCAGAGACAAACAGAAGTCCTATGTGCAGCACTTGATCACAACCTTTTTCCCGTGGGATGAAAATGAGCGGCTTCCCAGAAATCCTGGTGATATGGTGGAAGCTTTCCCTGGACTTTCAACTTTGTCTGTCATCGGGCACCGGAATAGTGATTGTTGTGGCTACTGCCCACCTCCACGGCCAAAACTCAACGTGCAAGAAAAGGTTAAAAATAAGGTCATCAAAGTACTCGAGCGGACTATGAAACATAAAAGGCGAGACCCTAAGTCGATACCGGACGTTCGTACGTACTCGTTGAATCATAGATTTCTTGCAAACTACGATCCTCAGCGACCGTGGTACGCTTTTATTGCGCCCAGAACCGTGTTTAGAGACGCGCAAGGATTCTATCTTCCCTCAATTGCTGATCCCGATTGGCGTTCTGAGGGACTGAAAGAACCGGATCATGGAAGCAGAAGCGAAGACTCCGAGACAGGGTTAGAGATGGACTCTGAGGAAGCGGTCGTGGTGTGAGTGCTAGTAAAAGAAGAGGATTCGAGGAGGACAGAAGAAATCGAAGATATCGAAGGCGTTCACTGAGAAAGAGGCTCTTGAGTCATAAGTTCCACACTACAGGAATGACAAAGAAAGCTTCTGCCCCGTGCTACCCCCTGCGGGTTTGGGCTTACATACTGTAAATAATATTCATAGCTCATCCCTTGGAATGTCACGTACTGCTGGTGATGACTTATGATACTACGGCTCTGTTATGAATGTCTCGTTACGAGGCTCGAAACCCTGTCTTAGCTTGGAACCAGACGTGAATGGAGAATTCCTCGGTAAATAAAGTTGGCAATGGAAAACTTACCAAATGCCATTAAGTCCTCTTGCACGCGGTCTCGAGGTCAAAGAAATGTGATGGTTTGTTCTACCGACATTGAGTGAATGCCTCTCCTCAACACGAATGGGTACTGAGCGCTGTGACGTTGTGTTCATATATGAGGTGCTACTTTGATCTCTCACTTATGTTTAGACTTACTAGTTGGCAACAGACTCGTTTTCTGAAACTGGAGCATTTTGAATAACCATGCCATTCTTTCACAACATGCTAAGCGAGGCTAGCCCTCTTCCGCTGGCCCGATTATCTCTTGGAGAATAAAGTTCATATTCTATGTATTATAATACATATTCTATGTATAATAATAAACTCCCTGTCGTTATGATTAATATGGATCGTAAAATCGCCATAGTCGCCGTAAGTTTGATTCGTCACCATCAGAATGTTGATACATTCATATTATCATATATTGCTTACGAAGCTCCATACAATTTTCCTCCTTCCATCTAGCCGAGCAGATGCTGACAAGTTTTGAATACTCCAACATACCCACTGTTACCTCGCTTATTGCACGCCTTACAACATGAATCAGGCTTAAATGTCACGGTTCTTACACGTCAAACGAGTCTCTCGGTGCCCCTCGCCAGGTCCGACTTGAACTCCCATTCGCATCATCCAAATGGAAGACCCAATGGACATCATCATACCTCGGAAATCACTCACATTCAAACCAACTTCTCCGAATCTGAACTCCAACAACACTTTCGAGGTGTAGACACCATAATCTGCACCCTCACAGGTTCCGATCTCCATCTCTCCGGCCCCATCGTCGACGCTGCTTCCGCTGCAGGAACCAAACTCTTCATCCCTTCCGAATATGGACTCGATACATCTAATTCCAAGATTAAAGATTTATTACCTTCTCAACGAACCAGATTTGAGATCCAAAAGAAACTTCGAGCAAGCGGAATGGAGTGGAAGGCGATCTATTCTGGCATCTCATTTGAGGATGCGATGAGGACTGATGGTTTGATGGGGTTTGATGTCCTTTGGGCTAGTGTTGTCTTGTTTCCTGACTCTGAGACGATGAAAGTGGCTATTTCTAGCTATGCAGATGTTGCGAGAAGCATTGGTGACATTGTACGAGGAAAGAAGAGGGAGGCGGGGAATGAGGTGTATACTTGTGGTTTCCGATGTACACTGGAGGAAGTCATTGGAATGGTTGAGCAAGAGCTAGGGAAGGAATTGGACCGATACGAAGGTGATTTGGAAGGTGCACAGAAGGAAGCCGCCGAGAGGATGAAGAGGGGTCATTTTGATGGCGGGGTTGCACTAATGGGGCGGGTGGCAGTTTGGGATCAGACTGTTGACTCATGGGGAGTATGGAATGATCGGAAAGGAAAGGAAGTAGATAAATGGGGCTCGGAAATGAGAAAGGTGGTAAATGAGGTCAGAAATGAGCCAATTGGAGGAGATGGATGTGAATGTTGAGTAATTCAACGAAGCCCTTCCGAAAGTCAATATCAAAAAAGTGGCCATATACCTCTTTGTTCAACTCCAAACACAACAGGGTACTCAACCTAATATATTGAGTCCTAGACCTACATTCTCACACTTTTTACCTGCCTTACCAGATATGTTCTGTCTCAACTAAAATCATGAAGTCAACCCTCCCATCACGACTGATCCATCAACCAGAACTTTAAACCACATACAGCTTCACCCATGCCCGTGTTTGTTACTCACATCTCCAAAGACCTGCCTTCCGCTGGTGCACCTGCCCCGCCCATCCAATCCCCTCTTCTCTTACAAAAGAATTCCTTTTCTGGCGCCCAGGCCTTCCACTCTTCATCGGACAAGTCCAACACCCCAGCCATAATGGCGATCTTGTCTGGAAAGTCATCAGGCATCGTATTCCATAGTCTTGAGCCACATTCTGAACAGAAAGATCGATGGACTGTCCGCTTTGACTGTGGAGATTTGTCGATGTAAGTCTTGACTGAGTTCGGGGCAGTGAGTGGTGAAATCGTGAATTGCTAAATGCCGTTAGCGTTTGTCACAACTTTGAAGTTGGAAGGGACATACGGAGGTGTTGCAGAAACTATTTGATTGGAAAAGTGATCCCGATACTTTCTTGCAGCTGATGCAGTGGCAGAGAAGACGCATCAATGGATCGCCTGAGATGGAGAATTTGACGGCGCCACATAGACATGACCCTTGAGTCTGGCTGGATGCGGTGACTATCTCCGCCTCTGAGTTTGAAGGTTTTGAGGCCACTGTGGAGTCTATAAATGAGTTTTGGGTGGAGTTTGTATGATGTTTGAGAAGAAAGGGCAAAACCAAAGCCTGACTATGGTTTTAATATCGTAACTTATTGGTTGTTGCCTGATACCAGATGACTGGAAAGAGAGAAACGTAGCGACTTGTCTTGTCGATCGGCTCATTCTGGAAGCTTCTCATCCCGATGTGAACACTGCATGAGCCAAGCTCACTACTTACTCGATAAATCATATCAGATCGTCACAAGCGCATACGGAATCTGTTCTAAGTCGTTCTATGTTTCTGTAGAAGCTCGGTCAAGTTGTAGCAATTCGATTGACTTCTTCAAGAACAGAAAATACTCAAGCCATAGGCCCCTTTGTTACTTGCATTTATTTCCCACGAAACTGGGATGGTAACTAACGAGCAGTGTGTTTTGACCCTGAAAATGCGGGGTACTCGAGGATTTTCGCCAAATCTCGTCCTGAGAATTGACGAGTAGGTGCTGGGCAGGCCCGCCCCTACTTCCATATGTTAAATAGAGCATGAACGCCATACCGTACCATATGCACTTATGGTAGATACATGTAACGATGTCGGTTTGAAGATTCAATTCTTGATCATGAAGAATTACTATCCATTCCAAATTCGGTCATAACTCCCGCTCATGGGACAACAGGCCATTCTCAGAAAAGACTTCGAGGTTGGCTCTCTCATCGAAGCAGATTCAGTCCGAAATACTGTCTTCGAGAGCAATCATTGAGAACCCAACCAAACCCTAAACTAATGCTCCGTATCCCGCTATGCAACAATCACAAGCTGATCGCACAGAATCAGACTTTTTCTTCACAACCATGCTTCGATCCCTCTTTGGCTCGATTCGCTTCCCTCTCCCTTTCCAAGTCCGCCAACTCCTTCTCCTTCTTCTCTTTCAGGTATATACAGAACCGACTACCAGCTCTTATCCTATCACCTTTCCACAGAAACAAGAACGGAACAACACACATCCCCAAACTCAAGAACCCCAACAAACTACTAGCCCACGGCACACCTAATCGTCGATACATAGGCGTTGCCGCAAAAGGCAAGACCGCGCCAGCAAGACTCCGAGCACAGCTCGCAGCCGCCATGGCAGACGCAGCGAAGATCTCATAGGCATCAGTCAGGTAATTGAGCAGCGCCATGAATATCAGCACGAAACCACAGCCGAATGGCAGACCAGCTAGCATGGGAACCGCCCAGTGGACATCTTTATTTGCTGTCCAACCAAGCCAAAATAGTGCGATAACGTACATGGGTCCACCTACGCAGGCGAGTGGGAGACGTCGAAATTCCTCTTTGTGTGTCCAGGGTTTGTCCTGTGCTTGTGCTTTCCGTAAATAGGAATCGTACCAAAGGAATACAGCAATTGCTGCTACCGTCCCTCCACCGATGGGTAGAAACATAAGGCCAGAGACACCGAGGGATTGGCCGTAGATATCTTGGAAGATGATCGGATACGCCTCGAAGTACATGTAGAATATGCCGTAGGCTAGCGAGAGATAGAGACAAGTTGCCAGAACAATGAGCTCAAAAAAGAGCATACGAAGTGGTCGAGTAAGCGTTACGGTTGCCATCTGCTTCCATCCTTTCTTTTCGAGCTCGATGGGTGCGAATATGTTTGGATTCCCAGTCGTTTTGCGAAGATATGCTGCGCGGCGAGCGAGGAGAATTGGTGCGTATGTTTCAGGGAGCCAGAATAAAGGGATCCAAGATACGCCGGCGACTATGAGCCCTATCCAGAACACCCATCGCCAGCCTATGGTGGGTGCTGCGAAACCTGATATTGCTGGTGCAATGATAGGTCCGATGCAGGTCCCCTACTGGAGTTAGCGAGAATAATATCTAGGGATGAGGCGACTTACGCCCATGAATGTTGCCATTGCCCGCCCTCTCGTTACAGGATCATTGTAGACATCTGCGTACTGGGTAAGTGTTAGCAATTACCATGGAGAGAAGACATTTCTCCGGAAAGTTTTGAAACGTTGGAAAAAGTAGATTGTGGGCTTCCCCAATACATACCATTCCACCCGTCACAGCAATCGGACTGCTAGCATTGATACCCGTCAAGATACGGAATATCAACAGTGCAGGATAATTGGGTGCTAATGCACATGCCATAGTGCAAATAGTGAAGCCGAAGAATGTAGCAATCATGATGCCTTTCCGCCCGTAGGACTCGGAAAGTGGCCCGAAAACTACTGGCCCAACGATGTATCCAACAAGATACATGGAAATAGGTAGAATTTTGGCGTAGGAAGAGGTTATATTGAAGTATGTACTGATATCCGGAATTGCATTGGATGGCAGGGAAGAACCCATGGTACTGTTTACTACAACCAGCATGCCGATAAGTACGACGTTGACTTTCCGTCCCTGAATATTACATCAATATGTGATTTAGATACGAGAATACATTGAAATATGATCTACCTTGGACCAGTTGTAAGGATTTTCCGGGTCCTCATCGTGCCAGGATACTATTTTCCTATCCGTAGGAGCAATGCTGGAAGAGTAGGAGTCGGGCTGCGAGAACTTGTTGTCTGCTTCTTCCAGGTCATATCTCCGACCGGCGTCCGCTTCGTCAATTCCAGATACAACTCGTGATAAAGCATTGCGAGATTCTGAATATCATCGTTAGCACATACTTCTGAGGCATTCCCTCCCCCGCACCTACGCTGTGATTGTGGGGTCCCAATAAGCCCCACATCACTCGCTTCTCTGCTCCTTGACATCCCGAACTCTACTCAAAGCTCAAAGTTATGAGCTTGAGTAGGATTATATCGAAAGAATAGAAACATGAAGCCATTGACGAAAGCAATTCCGAGGACGGACGTCAAAATTTCTAGCATGCAGAAGTGGGAGTTGTGACAAGTAGCGGAATCTGCAGCGGCCATGAAGACCACTACCCGATCCATGGGCTCTAATTCGTCACTTGCAGCCTTGGAAGCTGGTAATCATCTTTAACCCCGCAAGCGACGACTTTTGGACGATCCCGAGGTGCAAGATGTTTGCTCCATTGGTCCTGGTCTATGCAAGATGCCGATAACCGTATTTTGGGCAAGCCAGAGGATGATTTCCGCCGGGTATTGACCATTCTTGAGGCTTGGCATACCATAGAAGGCTGAAGCTTAATAGCCGAACTTTTGAGAAGACTTACAAGGCTGTTGAGACTGTACCTTGCGGGCACTTGCCTGCTTGTGCAGAATCAGAGAATGGACTTACTAGAATCCTGCAATGTTCGTAGCTGCCTTAATGCTCTCGTCTGAACAACAGACATGCTAAGATAACTGAACTGCAGCGTGGCCCCAGAGGACTTGTGACATGCAGAACACGAATGGGAATCACGCTTTGCCGACATCGGGAGAAACTCGAGCATTGCGGTCCTGAGCCTTGCTCCTGTCTTTCGACCACCCCTCTCAAGCAGTGTAACTGGACCTTGTTGTTCTTGCTGGGTATCATTATATTCTGTATCCACCCTCCCTACGTCTCTAGGTTGATGCTCTTTCCGAACCTGCCATACAGCTCCACCTTCAATTGATCCATTTCCTCCCGTGTCGTGCTCAGCTTCTCCTCCAGTGCCGAAACATTCTCATCAATCTTGCTCGTCGAAGCCTCTAGCATTTCTTGGACTTCGGAGAGAGGCAATGAGATGAACGAATCGCCGATTTTGTAGCTAGAATCATATCAGCTCCTGGCTTGGCAGATAAATGTCGGGAGCAGAAGCCTTACGGGATCTTGTCGTCTTCATCTGCGAGCTCTAACTCATTCGAGATGTCGTCGAGGTCCTCTTTCTCTTTCTGCATGCCAGTTGTCAAGCTCCGTTCGAGCGGATCTCGCAGATTCACAGTTTACGCACATGTTTCGTCTTCAGCTCCTCCTCAAGTGCAATTTCCCTCTGGTGTAGCCGGCTGAACTTATTGATCTTGTCCTGGTCCTCTCTCCGAACTTCCACTTCATCCCCTCCGGTCGCGGCCTCGTCTTCTTTTGTTAACTGTATGGGAGATTGTCAGCATTTGTAGAGAGCCTGCCAATAGAGATATGGGAATGCCCATACCATTCGGCGCTGCATGGTTGTGTGATGTGGTGTTGACGATGCGGGGTTACTCTCCAAATTGAGCTTTGGAGCTTTAAGCTCTCTCTGCAAACAGAACAAACATCTAGTCACGTGTCGTGTCCCAGTAGGTAGGTACCTTCACATCGCTGGGATCGATTAATACCCTCCAGGCGTAAATGTAAAGATCTCCTGCATGAATGACTGCGACCATTATTTTACAGCAATGTAGCTCCAAGGCAGCTCAAAGGTTGGTTCTTTGTTTACTCTGACCTCCCCCCTCCTTCGCTTGCTTCAACTCGACCTTAAGCGACGAGCTCCTTTGCTCAAAGCAATGTCGATAAACTATATAAACATAAGGGTTCCTATTTCTGCTTCTAAAGCTCATCGGTAAAGGCAATGACATCTTTTTCTGACAATGCTTCGACTTGAACTGAAAAAAGAGGAATACAAAGCTCCTTTGAGTGCAACTCGCCGGTTCAAAATGATATCCAACAACTCGACTACAAGGGGTTTTCCGGATCGGAACACGTATCGGTATCTACATTTCAGTAAAACTGACAAAAAGCAACAGCAAGGACATTTACTCTGCCACCCGGATCCCGAAATCTGATAACTCGACACGTGACGGAGTGAAGGGCTGTCCCAATGCGAAATCTGCGGTGTCTCGATCCATCTGCATCACACAACAGGGCCATTGAAAAACATTTGCTGCACATCGCAACTCTTCGCTTGACTCATGCAGAGCTGTCAGATGAAGCAGCTTGGCTCCTTTCCTCACTTTTCAACACGATTATCTGGTGGTTTCCGTGCAGCTTCAGTACAAGCGGATTCCGACTTTCCAGTTTCACGTCTGAAGCCCAAGCCTTGCCATCAAGCCTCCATGAAGCCATGGAAAGGAAAGATAGTCAAGCACCCAGTAAGAACTTTAACAAATGTGGTCATGGAGAAGTCTCCGTTGGATTATGGATGCGTGCTTTTGTGGCAGTTTCACGAACTCTGTTTCGTTTATGATTGGCTTACCAGGCTATTCCCAAGCAGAGCATCAAACAATTTCAAAATCACACATATTTCAATGCCCCAACAAGAAAGCTCTTAAGGCGTCAATCTAGACGTTTCGAATTGGAGAAACAGCTAATCTAGCCGTGATGGTCAGAGCAAAAGGATAGAGTTGCCCTCCCTGGTTCTAGCGTTGTCAATTCATCCCCGCCTGATTGGCAGTCGGGGAGAGAATCAAGCCTGTCAAGCTCCCTTGGCCGCTTCAACCCCGCTGCTATCCCTGCTATCAAAGCCACCTGTACCGGCCGTCCTCATGGTCCTGCAGCTCTTATCGGCTTTCTATTACGACTTTCCTCAAGCTTCGTGGGGACGATCCAATGATCCGTTCGATCGGCAGTCTAGGTCGATGATAGTGGCATGGGCTTACATGGCACAGCAGCCATCTCTCCTGATACTTATTTGACTTGCGTCCCAAGTGGCACGATCGACCTCGAAATTCTATACTTTGGCAAGATTTCAGCAGTTCATTGACCACCAAGCTCCAATTATGGCGTCCACAGTTGCCAATAGCACAGCTCCAGATCTGGAGAAGAGTGCAAGCAGACTCTCGCAAGCGAATGTTCCTCCAAAAGAGCTCCTGGCTGGTGAAGCCGATACAGAACTGCTAGGTATGCCAATCTTTTCTCCTTGTACAAGGCGAGGTCTAAGCGGAAGTTAGCAAAACTCGGATATAAACAAGAGCTTCGTCGTAACTTCTCCATGATCGAAGTTTTTGGTATCGCATTCAGTATCATGGGCTTGCTACCGTCTATCGCGTCAACACTTGCATTCTCTATCCCTGCTGGTCCAGCTGGGATGGTTTGGGGATGGTTCCTCGCATCAATGTTTATATTTGTAGTGGCTCTTGCTATGGCGGATCTTGGATCAGCCATGCCAACAAGTGGGGGCCTCTATTGGTGGTACGTACAGCGCAGTTTGGAGACAGCTCAGTACTAAAACGTGCAGGACTCATTATTTCGCCTCCCCAAAGACGAGAAATGCATTGAGCTTCTTGGTGGGGTATTCGAACACTCTTGGCTTGGTTGGAGGACTTTGCAGTATCGATTATGGATTTGCATTGATGTTCTGCTCTGTGTAAGCCATTTTCTCTCCGGGCTTCGTCAATTCGTTCTAACAGTACCAAGTATTGTGATCGCTCGTGACGGTGAATGGGCTCCCAGTAACGGAATTGTGTACTCGGTCTTCCTGGCATGTGTCTTGTGCCACGGAATACTCGCATCGACTTTGTCCAAAGTTATGGGGAGGCTTCAAACTGTTTTCGTGGTAATGAACCTCATCCTCATTGCTGCAACCATCATCGCCTTGCCCGTTGGTAAACACCGCTCAAGCGAACGAAATAATGCCAAATTCATCTTCACCCATATCGAGAACTTGACCACTTGGCCAACGGGGTGGGCTTTCATGCTCGCCTGGCTCAGTCCCATCTGGACTATTGGAGGTTTCGACAGCTGCGTTCATATGAGCGAAGAAGCCGCGAACGCAGCCAAAGCAGTCCCTTATGGTATTCTGATGTCTGTTGGTTCCTGCTGGATCCTTGGCTTTATCATCATGATTGTTCTCGCTGCTTGCATCAGTCCTGACCTCGAATCTGTCCTCGGATCTGCATACGGCCAGCCCATGGCACAGATTTACTACGACGCCATCGGTAAGAAAGGAACATTAGGTCTCATGTCCCTCCTCTTCATCGTGCAGTTCCTCATGGGACTGTCAATCCTGGTTGCAGCGTCCCGGCAGAGTTGGGCTTTCTCTCGAGATGGCGCGCTCCCATTTTCAGGTTTCTTCAGACCCATCTCTAAGAGATTCGGATATATCCCACTTCGAGCAATCTGGGGCTGCGTTTTCCTAGCGGCCGTTCTCGGGCTTCTCTGTCTCATTGCTCCGGCTGCGGCAGCAGCACTCTTCTCTCTCGCAGTCGCAGGAAACAATCTTGCATGGGGAACACCAATCTTCTGTCGTGTGGTCTGGGGTAATCACAAGTTTATCCCAGGTCCCTTTTATACCGGCGACAGATTTTCGAAGCCCATCGCATGGCTTGCTATCACCTTCCTGGTCTTTGGTATTACGCTAGCTATGTTCCCGAGTGGTGGTCCGAACCCTACTGCCGAGTCGATGAATTATACTGTCGTGATCAATAGTGCCGTCTGGGGAGGTGCTCTACTTTACTACTTTGTTGATGCGAGGAAGTGGTTCACTGGCCCCAAGACGACTGTCGAAACCCAGGTCTTGACCCTTGAGCAGCAGGCTGTTATGGCTGATGAAGGGGTGGACCTGACAGCTAGCAAAGAGATATCTGCTGGTGGAGCTCACAGCAAGGATTTTAAAGGATCGACAAGCGAGAAGAATGACAGCGGAATAGACTCTGCTTAAAAGGTCATCTAAGGTGTGGAGCAAGATGGAAAGCCAGCGACATGTAATTCAGCGACAATGTAACATTTCTGCAAGTACCACTCGCCCAAAGTATACACGTTGCATCCAGCCGACTTGAATTATCCCATCTTAAGAGCCAGTAATTGAAGCAAAAGCACTGTTCCCAGATACTGCCCCTCAAGAGTTGTGGTGATTCCACACACCGATTTAGAGAGCGGCGCTGCAACAACAAAAGCATTACCAAGAGACTCCGTATGCGACAAATCAGACATGTGTCAGACTAATATGGTTCACTCAAGCCCATCGCACGATTCGCGAGCAAACCTCGTACGTACGCTCACGCGAATGGTCTTTTGCAGTGGAACACATGTCAGCTTCCATCTCTAGAGTCCTCAATTTCAACTTTGCCGCCCCTTCTTTCACCGCTCCCAGTGTCTCGCATCCCGCCCTGGTAATGAGCTACCTACTCCTGTCCGAGCACCACCACAACTCCGATGGAATGCCAAGACTCACGCCCGAAAACAATGTTGAAGAAGATAAATATTACTGATGAAGAGTGTTCAGTGGAGTCAGCGTTCTTGGTATGGGTTTACAGATAGCGTATTCAATTCTTTGCCTAATACATAACGGCTATCCTGATTGATGTTGTGCTTTGAAATCCCCCATGCTGAGCTGCCTTGGCTATCACTGGTAATTTAAGATTTCTCAAAGAAATAGAACCGCAATCATAACTTCTGCGTGTAGAAACAGCTGGCTATTTAAGCATATAGGTGACTTTCATTCAAGTTTTCAGCTTCTTTCTTCCGCAAAACCCATTTGATCGAGGTCAGTCAACGGATCTGAGTTGAAAGTTGCCTGGTAAATGATGAGAAAACATTCGTATCTGGTAGACAGTCGTACCCAAAGGTCCTTCCGATATCATTGAGTGAGGGGTCTAGTGACAAACATAATACTGTTTTCCTGTCGTGGTGCTGACTGGCCGTGGTGAGCATCATCAAAATCAACGACTTTAGGCAAATTTGGTACCCTCCATGAATACCACAATCGCTCAAAGTGAATGCCAACTCAAATTCAGAGGCTATGACGCGCCTCGTCCTGAGAAGTGGTCTGTTACGCCTTCCTTCTTCGATTCAGCTATTCCCAATGTGGACCCTTAAGCGAGTTCCTTTATTGACTTGTCTGTGCCCCGTTCTTGACTTACAAAATACCAACCTTGGCCTCAACGACATCCACTATATTTCCTTTAAGGCATCATGAAATTCAAGAAGAGTACGATTGTCATTCCTGTCATCACGGCAAATGAAGTTGCAGATTTTCCCCATCGCTCTGCAACTTCTGCCGAGGTTTTCGTATGGATCAAAGGTCACTGCAGCAAACGGATACTCTCTGGCATAGCTCTTACCGAAGTACGAGACCTCACTGGCGAGGCCATATACACATTCCGAGTTGATAATTTGATGTTTATGTTGCGAGCAATGGGGCTCACAGGCTGCCACAGTCCCAAAGCTAGGAAATTATGCGGATTTATCATCGCTGCAAGAAGACTCTTGGTACCTGCCCATGTCCCATACCCTTTTACCACATTGAGAATACTCGGTTATATTAACGACTCTTATCCACAGACTGGAGTGCATCTCGCCAATGGAACACAAGATGTCGCGTCAAACCTTCCACCCGCCGAAGAGCGTGAGGATAATGCTGGACGTTCGAGATCGGCCACTGCTGAGCCTGCCCCAGAAATCCCACCTTCCCTACCAGTCCAAGGACCTCAGTACCAAATACCCCTTGAGATTGGAATAGCCATGAGCTGCAATCTCCTCCCCATCGAAGCGACTGCACGAGCCCTTCTCCCTTCCTCAGCCTTTCCCACCCACTTCACGAGACCTGCATCCGCCCACGAGAGTGACAACGAAGGAGAATAGAGAATGCAAACGGCGTTTCACTTCACAAATCAAGCAATGTTGGCTCCGGCATGGAGCAAGAAGATGTTTCTTACAGCGATAGTGGATCGACTATGAGTTACCTGGAAATGAATTACGAGGAGTATGAAGTGTGTGAGGAAGAAAACGTTATGCACGATGAGGAATACATTCAGGTGAGTGTATTTCAACGCATTCTACTGCAGGATGAGCTGCAGATCAGACTTCTGACAGAGAATAACAGAGCCTGTTCGACGAATACCAAGAAATGACCTCCCTCGAAGATCGCCGAAAGTGGGGACTCACTCCTTACGACGATGATACCATACAACAACAACTCTCGGAGAGCGAACATGGAGACGACGATGGCTACAATCTTGATTCAAGACTTGACAGTTTCCACGAGCAGGGAGTCATAGGCGAAGACACTAACGATGACGCTGACGATGAGAGATCTGAGGATCAATGGGAGACTTACGTCCGCAACGAGATGTTGGCGGCAAGAGGTGAAAATAGATACCAGGATTTCACTGGTAATGAGATTGCCGAAGACTTTACTTATTACGAAGACGCCAACGTTGGAGATTAGGATGAAGGAGATGTTTATGATCGCGCAGTACAGTCGGGTAACCGTACCAATGGCAATTCTACACTTCGGGAGTTAATGGAGGAAGAGGTTGCAAGTAACGATGAACATTTTGAGAGCATTGAGAACAAGGAAAACAAGGAACAAGCGAGAAAGCGTGCTGGCAGTAAGACATCCACCAAGCGCAACAAGCGTGTCAGACTTACTGAGAAGCAACAATAAGCACGCCGCCCCTGATAATGGTCGAGAAAAGTGTGCTGTTGGTGGAACACTCTGCGACCTGTTTGATGATGATTGATGCTCTTGACTTCTTGGAATGCTTTTATTCGAACTCTAGATTGGAGAATAAACCGTCCTTCTGTACTGCCTATTTTTTGTGTTGTGGCTTGGTGCGGAATGTTTTCTGGCGTTTCTGAGGCTAAGAATCAGGGACACAACGGACGATTAGCTTTTCAAGTTTGAATAGAGAGCTAGGTAGGTGACTTTACATTTAATCCACAACTGTCTGTACTCATATTTACCAAACTAAATGTGTGACATGTATTATGATGGGGCCCTTGGGGGATAGGACTGCAGCATGTTCAAAGTCGATGAACTTTCTCAAGACATCTGGGAACAGACTGCGACGTAGCCAAGACCTTGACCTCCTCCGAACGGAATTATAATACAGAAGATAGCCGCAAATACTTGGAAGAGCAGCGGTTTTAACAGCAAAACCATGTTACATTACATGTTTTTAATCTGCAGCAGCTGTCCCTGCTTCAGATTTTCGGAAACATTTCAATCAAGTACTTTATGGAAGCAACAGGCTAGCTTTTCTTTCTGATACTTAGCTCTATATGAAACATTAAATAATCGTCACACTCTATCTCTGCCTCAATCCCGACTGCATTTGTATTCCATTACTCCTTCTCCTCCCGAAAATCGAATGACCACTTTGCATCATCACGCCATGGTATATTAGATGACCTTTTGAACTCTTCTATCAGCCATCATGGACTTGATTTGTTACTCTAGAGGGTTTGGGGCTTCCAAAGGGAGGTATTTGTGATGGCGATGTGTGACGGGGGGATCACTTGCGGAGTTTGAGGATAGAAAGTGCTTTGATGGAAAGTCTGCCTTGGCAGACATAGAAAGGAAATTGTTTCCGGGGTTAAAATTATGGCATTTATCTTAGGTTTAAAGGAGATCAGAGAGACTTTGGTATCTGAGAAGGTAACTGGGTCAGTTTTGCCATGCCTTGGACTTGGAGTAGGTGACCTGCCGACCTATTACTATCTGTCTATCAGTTTCGGCCATTTGCTCATTGGTAAACAGGTGTTTATATACGAATGAGTATTGATCGTAATGTTCCTTGGCTTTTGGCTGTTACTGCTCTGGGCCAGAGCTGTAATGAGATATCCTTGGCATTGTAAATTAAGCGAAGCCCAAAGTCAACAATACCTGCAGCTGGGAACAGCATCGAGCATTTGCAACGAGCAAATATTTACAGTACTGTAAAATTCATTTCTACTTAAAGTTGGTCTGTTGCTTACAATATTTCTTTTCTGGTCAAGATGAACATTTGCTACGGAAGTGTAAGGGAGGAGGTACACGTGAAGAAGTTTCCAATTTGCTGAAGAAATGGATAATGTAATACAAAGAGAGTGCCAAGATCTATTCAAACTGTGCATCATCAAGATTTGTCGGATAGTTGTACCACTCTACCATTTATAGACATTTTTCTGTTGGTACCCCGAAGAACTCCCACACCGTAATAGTCTAGACACAGAAACTGGCCACTTTTAAAGGTGAACTCCTGTGAGAAGAACACAATCAACGACCTAGCCGATAAGACATATCAGGCAGCTACGCGATTGCTCATTTATACGTGACTTTCAAATTCTCATAGTCAACCTTTTGTCTTCGAAGTACAACAGAACATCTCAACAGTCAAGGCAGCGCGTCTCCGCTAACTCGTCCCTAAGATGTCCCTTGTTTCTGCAGAGACACTTGCACACAACAACAACAAGGTCGTCACCACCCCTTTCAAGACAGTCCACAAACACAAGCTTCACAGGTTTCCTTTCAGAAAGTCTTTCAAACCGACTGACAACCTGTGCGACATCGAAGAGGGGGAGATACTTGGTGATGGCGATGAGATCAGACCAGGCTTGAAAATGCCTTCTTCTTGCCTTGCTTCTGAGTTTGAACCTGATGACGAGAAGTTCGATCTGTTCTTTTCCAATATCCCTGATCACAATGCAGCCATTGTAGATGTCAAGGTATTTGAACCACTTTCCAACATCTTCTGAAAGTTTGGAGCAGTTCATCTATCAGACTGTATCTGGATAGGATTCTTACTAAGTTTCCTTCTAGGATTGGCTCAAATTGTGGTTTGACGCGACTCTTCTCAATATTCGTCACGTTCCCAATTTCCTCGCTTCTATCGCTATGGATGGCAAAGCACTCCATGCTATTCAAGACTTTCGCTGGATTGAGAACTCTTTGAAGAATGGCAACCGCATCCCAAACGGCGACAACATCGAGTGGCTTCCTCAGGATATCGTTGTCAATTTGGCAAAGGTTTGCTCGCTGTTCTTAGGACTAAATATTGCTGTCAACTGACTTCAGACTAGTACGTCTTTTACGCCAAGGAATATGCCAATAGGTCTGACTTCGGACGAAAGCCATAGATGGACGGATGAATAGATGATGATACGATGATATGATGAACGATAATGGTGATTCATGACAATGGACGGTGATGGTAGCAGTAAAGGAGGGTCGACATTCGGACGAATACAAAGTAATGACAAACACTTGGGACTTTCAGAAGTGCTTACATGTGACGTAAGATAAATCCTAGCTTGCACGCTTTCAATTAAGTATCTGATCCCAGGTATAACATGTGTTCAATCTGATTTCGACGTTGCAGGATGTCTTGTGAAGGTGTGAACGGATGGTGGGATAGTGCGACCTCCAGTTGGGAAGGTGCCGTTGCATGGTCCCTTTTTATGTGTCTACAGGGTACAAAACGTCCTATGACATCGCAACTCTTCCACATTCCAAAAACATCACAACATCGTCCTCTGCAATATTTCTGTAATCACAGTGTCAGATACGAGTATCATTGTCAAGCATAACCCGGCTTATACTTCGTCGGTTGCAGCCGCGCTTCCTCCCAGCCAAAATCCCAACTCCACTTGGACTTGTTCTAGCCCCAGAGAAGAATTAACCATGGAAGCCTCCACGATCATCAAAGAATCAGAGTCATGGGATTCTCGCATCAGTCAATTGCAAGCAGCAAAAGCCAAACGCCTGAGCGACTGGGTAACAGTGGAGAAATCCCTCGTCAAGATAGAGTGTTTGTTGAACATGAGTAAGCAAGCTGTCACCGACTGCAGAGCTGAATCTTTTAGAGTCAGGGTGATGATAGATCGTATTGGAGGAGAATATATCAAGGATGAATCGGATTATCAAAGGGCCCTGAAAACGGAAAGCGAAGTGAAGGGTCTTGTTGAAGGGTTGCAGGCGCAGGCTGCTTCATTGAATACAAGAAGTTCGGATGTGAGTTTGCATTCTTTTTTGATCTGCTGAACAGGTGTTGATAAAGAGTTCGCAGAAGGATTTGCCTCCAAATCAACCTTTAGGCAAAGGACTTAGCACATCATCAGCATCAGCCCCAGCCCCAGCCCCAGCTCCAATGCCCCCTCCAAATGCAAGTATAGCAAATTTTGGCGGACAAGACATTCTCTACAAACTCCTCAACGCCGCATACATACTTTTATGGTTATACACTATTTTTGCCTCGGTCACCTTCTTCCGCGCCGCATGGGTGGCTGGAATAATCACTACGGTGGCAACAGCTCCATTGGCATGGAAAGACTCTCTATTGGCATGGAGAAAATCTCTATCCCTATGGAGATTATTCTATAACTATGGAGATTCTTTTTATACCTATGGATAATTTCTATCCTTGTGGAGATTCTTTCTATACCTATGGAACCTACTTTCTCTGTCAAAGCGTGTTTCATACTCAAACTTTAATCCTTCCATATGATCCCCCTCTTCTTCGCCCCCCCCCCCCCCCCCCCCCCCCCCCTCTTTTCTTTCTCTCTTTATCTTTCTCCACGGTAGGTCTCTCTCTACGGTAAGTCTCTCTAATCTCTTTATAGTAGGTCTTACGGTAGGTCTTTCTACAGTAGGTCTCTCCACAGTAGGTCTTACGGTAAGTCTCTCCACAGTAGGTCTCACAGTAGGTAAGGAGGTAAGGAGGTAAGAAAGTAGGAAGCTAAGGTAAGAAGGTAGGGAAGTAAGGAGTAGGAAACTTTAAATATTATCTATAGAACTGAATATGTAAAAATAGAGGAAAATCTATAATTATACATTTATGGATTTATAGATATTTCTATGTTTCATTTTGTATAGTATGAAATCTATGATCATGGAAATATTCTCCATAATTGTAGGTAACGACTCTCTATTCCTATGGAAAGATTTTCTATAAAATACCTCCATATTTATAGAGAATATTTCTATTAGAATAGAGAGCCGTTGCCACCGTAGTGAATTTACCAGGCTGTAGCAGCAGTATGGCTAATTTTCTACAGCTGTTCCGTCCCACTCAGAAGATTACTAGACGTCTCATGTCGCCTACGTCCCGGAATGGTTAGGACAGTCTTTATGGCAGGGTGGCACCTGCTCCGTCTTTGTGTGTGGGTGCTGTGCGGATATATCATGATACAGGTGTTCATGGATAAAGTAAGAGGTCTTCAATGCGACTGGCGGCCGAGGTCTGTGTACTTCACGTGGCTTACGTTCCAGTGTTGGAAGAAAGTCTATGGCTTATTAGGGTGAAAGAGAAGCAAAAATGTTTCGTGGAAAATGAGTTGGTGATATGAACATGGAATGGACTGGAATCAATCGTCAGTTAACGGCTAGAATATCGAAACAATGGATTGGGAAACGTGTGAAAACTAGGGACTGACATCGACATTAGCGACACAGAGTATCTGTAAGCGAGAGGGCTCCTTCAAGGAGTCCAATCAGCATTATTCTTTTAGTTACATTGATACGCACTTTTACTCCTTACCCATGCCAAACACCTCGTGCTAAACCTTGCTGCGCTAATGGATTCAAGTTGAAAATGAAACAACCGCTCCAGAAAACCACTGACTACAAGGCTGTTCAAATGTCCCTTGTGTCCTTGTCGGCACGGTTGATAGAGATGGCCAGCCACACATCCCAACGCGCCAGTCTTCCGCTTATAAGTACAGGCGGTGCTTGCAGCAACTCGTCACCGCGCACTCCCTCCACTTGTCTGTGATCCATTTTCACTCGCTGTTCTGGTCGTCCCGATCCTACTTTCCGCACTCGTGGAAGTCGTCCTCGTTCCCATGCCCATCTCGGTGCCAGTTGCCGTCCTCCTCTCGGACTCCACAACACTCTCTCCACTCTGTCCCCCCACCACTACCCCATAACTTGGCGGTTGCGGATTCATGATCCTCGCATCTAATTCCCACATCTTTAGATACTCCTCATGCACAGCGGCTTCTTCTTTGCGCAGTTCTTTGACGGATTTGCGGCGTGCCCGCCATCTAGTGAAGGGCGTTAGCCTGGTGGGGTTATACAAGCCGAACGTTAGGATGCGGTCAAGAAATGAAAGTATTCTTGAGCGGAGAGATGGATGTGGAACTGAGGAGAGACTGTAGAAGGATGTGTAGCTTGAGGAGTACTTGGATGACAGTGAGGGACGGGGTGGGTCTGACGAGGGGGGAGATAATGTTGGAGTGAAAGCTGGGAGAACGGTGATGGACAGATGAACACCATTGCAGAAGCACGGGTTGGCCCAGCATTCTGTGCAGTGCACGGGAGGAGGATTTTGCATCCTCAAAGCATTGAATGAATGTCATGGAGACTTGAGGCGATTGCCCGGCCTCTATATCCCAGACCGTCGTATGTCCAGAACTTCCTGCATGTATGGTCGATATCTCTTCAAGATTTTCGGCCGCCTCCGACCAGTGAAATAAGAGATGTTTGACGAAGTAGATTCCCTACGGTTCTCAAGCTGGGTCGAGCCATTAATGAACCAAACTGTTGCACTAGCAACCACCAGATTGATACCAAGATATGACATTCAATGCGAATATGTTGGGGAACGAGATATGATGCAATAATAGTAAAATTCAACATAAATGAAAGGTAGCTAGCTCACTTGTTGAATATCATTGTGTCGGCTTCCCCGGATTATTTATTCTGTCGTGGTCGGTGGATCTGGGGTACGCGGGGTAGCTAATTGATGTGCCAAGTGGACTGTACCAGGAAGCCTCTAGAGTGGTAACTGAATCAGGTAGTCTTGTAGATAAGCTAAGAAGCTCAATCAATGAATGGTTATGCCAGAGTTTGATATTGATGGTCGGACTACCACGTCGTTTCTATGGGATGAATCAAGGAAGTAAAATGGTGTAACTCGTCAGGCCATAAACCGTATTGACGAGTCGAGAATCAAGATGTACCAACACCCGCGGTAATAAACTTGACAGGTTTTGGTTGTTAGCGAAACTTGAAGGTCGAGATCAGATTCGAAACGGAAGTACAGAGGGAGTCTTCAAGCTTATGAGACACTAGTCATCAGCTCATGAAAGATTTCTCACGCCTGTGGCTTTCCACTAGACGTCACACTCATCAATCGAAGCCTGACCTCTGACATTAGCTCATCATCCGTCAGTTCCGTATGGAGCTACGAACAGCTTGCAGAAAGGCTAATGCTGACACTAGCCAATAAATACAACGGTCAATCGGGAGCGCGGACGATCAAAGCTTGAAAGAAAGATGGGGTACTTGATACAAACTCGGAAGTGGGCTGTTTGGTATAGAGAGCAGTCAGTCAGTTGTCACTGGTGTGCTGCAAGGCGTGCAAGGGTCGGTTGTCGGCTCCCCAAGTCGGCGTACTTTGAGGAAGGATCCGCAGCCCAAAATGGACAAGAAAGCTGGATTTGGAATTCTGTTTGGACATTCGGCAATGCTTGGTATCCGGCAGTCGAGTGAAGCCTCGGTATTTTGAAAGCAGTTGAAAGAGAAACGTATGATGGGTAGATATCGTGGATATCATTTGACCTCGCCAAGAGCAATGCATGATGCAGCTCGATTATCGCGGCTCGGACTGTACGAACAGTACGTAAAATCCACTCGGGCTTGTGGTCACGGTGACCCGAAGCCAGAATCTGACAGGTGGCTGAAGTCAAAATACACTCGTAAAAATTATCGCCAACTGTCAGCAGGAGGACGTCATTGAAGCTCTCACCGCCAATCGATATCGGTAATTTTGAAGGAATTGAAACCTTTGACCGGGGGCATTCTAGTTTCGAAGCTTGTGCTTACTAAGCGACCCCTCCATACGTTCCATAGGTAGGTCCTCCAAGTCGCGTCACTCAACACGCTCCTGTGTTGTCAATCGATGTCAACATGGCACCACAGTCACCATCTCCACGCTCTGCTTCTTTCCTTCCCAGTTTCCGGCTACGTCCACAGTGGGCTGTTCGAAATGGTACTCCGCCTGCGCAGAGTCCAGTGAATCCTCGGATCGACACGAGTGGGAGGCATGAGGATCATGACCAGTTGAATGGTGATCATGAGGGCCTTGATGAAGAAAGTGACATAGGCGATGAGGGCCTAGATGGAGAGGAGAATGGGGAGGAAGAAGGCGAGGAAGAGGAGGGAGATGAAGAGGACGAGGAAGGAGCGATTGAAGAAGGTGTGTGACTTCATATTACACACATACCCTGCCCATTCCTCAAAGATTGTGAATGCGCGACCAACGACTCGGGCGAGAGGGATATTCACGTTGCATGTTCAAGGCGCGTTTTCATTATTCTCTTAAGTGGGCCAGAGATTCCTCACTCGCATCGTTACCATAGAAAGCCTCCAAATGGCGAGAGAGCTTGCTAACCGCACCCTTCGAAAAGTTCCCATGGAAATAGACTCTCCTTTTGATCCTGCAGCTCTGGGTTTGAAAGAGATAGGAAATCTAGCGAGTTGGACTGTTAGTAGCTGCAAGCCAGGCTGTGGTGTGGATGCATTGAGGGATGATGATACAGGATTGTTCTGGCAGTATGGGAGTCTACACGAAGGCATATACTCTTATTAATGCTGTGACAGATCCGACGGTCCACAACCGCATCATCTAAACATACACTTCTCACGACTCGTCTCCATCCTCTCCATTCGTATCTTCCTCGACTTCGAAGCCGATGAATCCTACACCCCTACACGAATCACCCTTCTTGCTGGCACGGGCTACCACGACCTCATACCGTTTGCAGCACTCAATTTCGAGCAACCGAAAGGCTGGCTCGACGTACCACTGGATCATGTTGGAGGCGGTCCAGATGGCAAGACATTACGAGCGTTCCTGGTGCAAGTCCGCATTGTGGAAAATCATCAGAATGGAAAGGATACACATGTTCGAGGTTTGAAGATCTATGCTCGAGATGATAGGGCTCGTGCTGGACTTGGAGGTTTGTTGGGCGATGAGCTAGCTGATAAGAAGACTTCGTTGAAGGTACAGGGGAATGGAATGGAGAGGACTTGGCTTATTGAGCCGGATTGGATGGGTGAGCCTGAGTTGAGGTAGGAAGAAGACTTGGTTCGGCTTCGGTGTCTGGAGTTATGATACCCATGGAATTTGAGGATAACCTCGGGGATTTGGAAGAAACCCCAGTACCACATCAACTCTTCTGTTCCCTGTTCGTTTGTGCCCTAATATTCCATTGAGATGGCCCCAATGCATCCGGCTCTCGAGATCATAAGTCGTCTCAAGCGGGTGATGTCGGACTATTTGCCCAGATTTATTGGATGATTACTAATGAGACTTCCTGGACGAACGATCGTTTCTAAGCATCCTTTCTTAAGTCTCAAATCATCCCATCTTTCTTGAACTCTATTGTCAATGATATCACACTCACCCCTCACCAATCTCGGCTACAAACCCAAACAACCCGAAGCGGAGCAGATCAAACTAAATAGGCACAATGCCACCCCTCTCATCCACCATCATGGCTCTACAAGGCCTCTTCGGCATTCTCAACGGCGCAGCATCTCTCATCTCCTCTGCTTTACAAAAGAATCTAGAAACGTTACAAATTGATTCTGTGCCGGCTATTCACGCCATTTCATTGGGATCTGTGTCCATTGGGTGAGGGGGCTTTGTCCTTCAAATCAAGATCCCATATCTGACAAGTCCTCAGAGCTTTTTACATCAACGCAGCATACCGCAAGGACAGGCCAATCATGTGGGTTTGTGTCCTTGGGAGAGGTATGGCTGTTCCTGTTTTCATGGGGCATGGTGGACCGTGGAGGAATGTCGCGGCTTTTGAAGCGGTTTGTGGGTTGAGTATCGCGGGTGCGTTGGTGTGGGAGCAGTGGGGGAAGGAAAGCAGAAAGGTTCGGGAAGAATGAGGAATGGAAACAGAGATGTACGTGCAAGCCCCTTGGGGACTGTGTTTGAATCATTCACTTGAGATGTGGCTAGGTTTTGACATTCCATGCTTTCGTTTCGCGTATTCCTTTGTCGTGCCATTGCTCTCTTCGTTCCGAAGCATGCTTTCCAGCTCTTTGTTCTTAGCCAATCTGTGAATGGATATGGCTTCTCGGTATGACTATTACACGGAGTGTCTTTCAGGACTAGCTCACTTACATAGGAAGTTCACAACTCCCTTCATCTGGTCGAGAATCAGGCCTTGCAGCCGCCGGTACTCAACTTTTTCACCTCCCGGAGTAAACAATAACGTCATTCTTCAGCTGTAGCTCCATGTCCAGTTCGTACAGTTACATGCCATGGATCCATCAGACCAGAGCAAATGGCTTTATGAGCCAATCACGCTGCCAACCGAATGGGTAGAATCATATCGTCCGGGTGGACTACATCCTGTTCAGCTTGGGGATACATTCAAGAAAGGTCGATATAAAATCATTAGAAAGCTCGGTCATGGATCTTTCTCGACTGTATGGCTTGCACAAGATATCAGGTAAGAACACGATGCTTCGTCAAGACACAATAGTCTCGCTGACATTGGCTTTTTACCTCCAAGAAAATCAGCATTGGTAGCAGTAAAGATCACAAGAGCTGATGCTCAAAAAGCTTCCAAGAAAGAACTTCGTATGTGTCGCAAGCTAGAGAATGCTGATCGCTCTCCTGGCGATTCCTCCGCCGAAATTCGAGTGGTCAATCTGCTGGATAGCTTTAAGCATACCGGCCCGAATGGTGTACATCGGTGCTTTGTCTTCGAGCCTATGGGTCCTAGCGTTCAGGAAATGTTGGAGGTTCTGCCTCCTTCTTCCTCGTATGTGGTAGTGAAGTCAGTACTGAAGCAAGTACTGCTTGGATTGCATTTCCTGCACAGCAACGAAATAGCTCATGGTGATTTGAATCCTGGGAACATACTTTGTTCGCTTCGAAAATTTACTGAGCATGATAAGGGGGTCTTGTTGGAACAGCCAGCAGAAAGTATTATCTCGGCTCCAGTCCGAAGGAAAGATGGGCAGGGGCACGGAGGTAGCCCTAAGTGTCTTTACATTGCCCAGCCACTCATACAGATGGTAGATCACACAGCAAATCTGAATGTCAAACTATCTGATTTAGGGTCTGGTGCGTACTTCCCCAATTACAAGGTCCCAGATTCCATGACTTGAACATCGTCCAGCTAACTCACACTCAGCATTCCCCTTCTCCAAACCCCCTCAAAAACCCACCACACCAATCGCACTCCGAGCCCCCGAAGTAATCCTCGACTGTCCAATCAGCCACAAAATCGACATCTGGGCTTTCGGCTGCCTGATCTTCGAATTTCTAACCGGATATCCACTCTTCCAAGTCTCCAACTGGTCTAGCATCCCACAACATCAAAAAGACGACGACCACCTCCTTCAGATGTACGATACCCTAGGAAAGTTCCCTGAGTCTCTTTTTGAGAAGTGGGCTCGTGGAGGTAGATATTTTGGAGCGAATATGGAGGTAATCAGGACGGATGTTGGATCGGCGGAGATTGCTGAAGGGGAGATTTATACTGGGCCGAGTTTGGAGGCAGGGTTGAAGCGGCAGAGGCCGAGAGGGATGGATGATGGGGAGGTGGAGAAGGTGAATGTGGTGTTGAGGAAGATTTTGAGGTATGAAGCGGAGTTGAGGCCGTCGACTGCGGAGTTGTTGGAGGATGAGTGGTTTGCGTCAGCTGAGTTAGAGTAGCTCAGTAGATTATCGACCAGCTACAATTTTCTGTGTTCATTAGTGGATAAATGAAGTCTGGTTTGTTACCAGACCCCTAAGTGCAGTCTTGTACTGGTTGGGGTGGCTGCACTATTGATTCGGTGTTTACTCGCTAGAGCAGTTGTTTAGGCTTTGCATGAAAGATGGCGATGCCAAACTCGGTTCCGAGCACACGTTTTGTTTACTCTTTAGATGGTACGATAGGGTTAGTTACGATTCCATGAAGCACGGGGTAATAGAGATAGAAACAGGTAAGCAGCATAAATATTTGTCATTTCTTATAATGGTGAGAGCATTTATCTCTCAAAAGTCCAACGCGGACATTCGCAGTCTTAACTCAGGGAACGCCACGCTCACTATGATTACCACCCCTCCCACTCCTTTCCCAATGCAAAATAATCAAATAACAAACCATCACTTCATCTCGCCCTTTCCTCCATTCGTCATCCTGCTAGATACTGCCCTTCACGCAGTTATCGCAGACGCGGTGATTGCACTTCTTGCAAGCTTTGTGTATCCTGTGATTCTCTTGCTCGCATTCCTAATTCATCTGTTAGTTAATTGATTTTAAGAGTTGAGGAGAATATCGCTCACCTTTCCTTCAACCAGCCCACAGCAATACCACTGAGTCCATGGCGCTTCACCTTTCTTGACATGATCGGCCCAGAATTTGGAGTATTCTTTCGCTTTGCTGGTGATTTTGCTGAACGTACCCGTCGCTGGCTTGGTATCGGTGGATTTCGTGTCTTGAGAAGCCATGTTGGGTTTGTGGATAGAGGTTGGTTTGGTCACGAGTTTGCGGTCTGTTGACTTCCGCCAGCTGTTTCCGAGATTCTCTACCTGAGATGCGGAAGTTGCTCTATCGGTTGAATGGAATATCCGCTTGAGAAGTCAAGCCGTGTAGATGTGGTTGAACTTCCGCGTATTGACTGGTGAAACGTGATGCGATTCACAAGGTTGAATTGTGGGTTATTAAGCGGTTAATTCACTCCTTGAGCAGCCCCTCCAAAAATAGTCGAACGTGAGTCCAGATGCGAATTGAGAACTCGTCGGAGCTGGCTGTGGACGCAAAGAAATATTTTTTCGGAAGCGAGAATTGAAGTGGCGAAATGGGGCTGTACAACACATTTGTCTTGGCAAAGTATATGCTTGCGACAGCAATTGCCCCAGCCACATTTTGTCCAACAAATAAGGCGAATATGTACAGCATCTTTGGCGTCGGTCTTGGTCCAGCCAAGACAACTGGCATCGATGTCCTGAATTTGTACAAGATAATAGTATGCGTGTTTTGCTACACGAAACAAGAAGACCAGCGCCTGAATGGTTGTGCTCTCTTCTAGAACAATACTCATGAAAGCAGATTGCCACCAAGTTGCATCCCGAGGCCAGTATGTTTAGTAGTCCCAGGTCCTTCGCGCATGTTGGGGCTTGAGCTTGGAATGTCGAAGTCCAGACGTCTTCGGGTTACAGTCAATGGCGTTTTAGCTGTTCGGGGTGTCTTTGGCCATGCCTTTTGCGCTGGGCTAGGAGTGATATTGACGAAGTCGGCAAAATCGAAATTCTGCGAAGGGGTATTTGGTTGAAAGTTCATAAAGCCACCACCAGCACCACTGCTACCTCCAGGCGTATTCATCATCGATGAAGGTAACGCAAGGACCTTGGGAGGTGGAGTAGATGGTGGTTGCATTCTCGAACGAGATGGATTTGCAGGAGATGGGGAGGTTGCTAGGTACAGCAGTAAATCTGCACCCTCTTCACCCGACTTTCCATTCTTACGACGGCCAATGCTTCCCTTATTCCGAACTGGCGACGGAGTTCGTGGTGGAGACGAGCGTAGATTGAAGGAGTGCTCAGGAAGATGGTTGTCCTCGTCATCTGATATGGCCGCAAAATTATTGTGCATGTCGTTATGTGAACTTCTGGCATAGAAGGATAGGCTTGGGCCAGAGGATGTTGTGAAGTGAGGCTGTTTTCGTGGTTTGATCGGAGACGATTGAGTAATCTGATAGCCACGGTTATTGATCGGCTTCGTTGGAGAAGAACGGAACCTCTTGCGTGAACTCGCACTTGAGCTTGGCTGCTCGAAGCTGTTATAGTGTCGTTTCCTGTATTCGCTGCCACTTCCACTTCTTGGTCCAACCTGATCCGAAAAGATTGCGGAATTCTTGATTGGAGAGCTCCTAAAGTCAAGAGCAGCGCTGGACGAAGAATCCGAGAACATATCTCCGCTTGATGTAGGCCTTCTCTTCCTCAGCTCCTCCTCAACTTTGGGCTCGATGCTGTCAAGGGTGAGGTCCTCCCAACCCCGAGCGGCTTTGAATTGTGCGAGTGCAAGACGAGTCTTGAGTTTCCGGCCAATCTAGAAAAACATATTAGCCTCGTAAAATACATTGAAAGTTAAGATATCTGCCAGTCTGTACCTTTCCAACTTCAGCCCGCTTTAATACAGCGTCTACCACTACCTCGGGTTGTTTCTTCTTCCATGGCGACGACATGCTGATATGGAATCTGCGCAATTATATATATATGCCTTTGCCCAGCTCCAACAAATAATGCGATCGACACTCGTAGGCCTTTGAAGTGGGTTATCGCTCTTTATCGGGTCAAAGTGAGGTCGGCGTCAAATCGAAAGGGGTGGAGATTGGATTTGTCTCGCTTCGGATTTTGCAGGGCTGAAAACAATTGTGGGAAGCGGGCGGGGGACTCTTGTATTATATATTGGACAAGTGGACCTGCAGAAGGGAGATTTCCTGAAGGGGAAATATGTCGACCAAAAGACTGGTGAATGTTGTCGTCGACGGGGTTCGGTTAGGCAAATTGAGGTGAGGGAAGAGACGAGGAAGATTGCGTGGGACGATAACCCATTCTCACTTGGCACGGGAGTAGGTACAGTAGTTGGAGGGGAGACGCGAAACCTGCGCTTGGCCAATCATGTGCGCGTTGCCGAAGGAGCGAGATCACGTCCGAGGTCCTTGTTCAGTGCTTGCAGTCCAATTGAAACGGTCTGAGAAGTGCGGGGCCTGCAGCATCGAGCACAGTAATCGCGTGTTCTATTCGCTGTACTCGTATCGAGAATCACACCATGCGCGTAAGCAGGGAACCTTGTCATCCGTGCTGTCTGCCCTGTTAGCTGGCGCGCCATCCCATACTGTAGTACTGTAGTACGCCTCTCTTCGGTGACTTTGATGCGCAAAGCCCAACCCCATGCCCGGGCTCGAGCGCAGGCTCTTTTTCCGTTGCAGGGATTTCCAGCAGCCACCGACTGCCGACGTAATGACGATGCCGAGCAATCAACTTTCTGCTTGTAATCAGCAAGCATAGAGTAGGTAAAACCAGAACCCCAGAACCATCCGACGAAGACTTGAATCGCTTTTCATTTCACAACCACAACACATATCCAACCCAAGCATCCTCACCAATGCAACACTCGACGTTGTTCCGACAGACATCACAGTAATTTTCTCTGGGTTTGCAGAGCGCATCGTCAAAATGCCTCAAGTCATCAGGGGAGTACGGTCAAACTCAGAACCAAACAATAACACCGGCACTCCCGGGAGCCCACGACCGCACGAAAATAGACGTGTAACTTTCGAAAATGGACGGGAACGGGAGGAGGAGAGTGAAGCGTATTACGACAGTCGAGCCGCGACACAATATGAATTCCAGAGACGTGCAAGCACATTGCAGACATACTATTGCGAACACCCAGAACTTCTACCTCAACTACCCTTCACATTTCGACACGGCTTCAAGCGCTGGAGACTTGGGGGTTATATTGCGCTGATGGTCTTCGATGCATGCGTCGTGCCGATTTTGCTGTACTATACCATGACGTTTGGAGGAAACGTCGAGGGCTTCATCACATTTGCTGTGATCACAGCAATCTGGGGAGGACCTACATATGTCGAGTTTGCGGTTCGGTCGTTGCGTTTGATCAAGCAGCAGAGGTTTTACAAGCCGTTGGGTGTGGACAAGAGATGGGCATTTGATATCACGAACTGGATACTGGTGTTATCGATTTTTGTGGTCACGGTTATCCTTATCGTTGGTGCTGCACCCCACGATGTCTTCCTCCGAGTTCTGTCAATGCCGGGTCCTGCTATCCTTTATTGTATATGTGGCCCGATCTTTCTCATGAGTCTGTATAATCACTTTGGATGGAAGGCGCCGTTTCGAATCAGTTCGACGCACAAGGGGGAACAGGTCTTTCCGGGAATATTTTACATTGTGGAAGACATCGTTGCGGTCAACTCTGGAGGTGGAAGACCGTTTAGGGAGGGCATGTTTGCAAGATACAGAGCTAGTCCTATTTTCCGCAAGATGATGCGAGATCTGTCTTGGTTTTGGTCAATTCCTGGCTTGATAATGGCTGGGGCTATCACGGCTGTGGTAGTCATTAATCCTGTCCCTGAGCCAGTTTCATATGGACTTGGTATGTCGAAACTTCCAGCTGATGTGTTCAATCACTAACTTTGCTCAGGATGGGGTGTACCTTTTATTTGGGCGGGAATCTGGGCTGCCATCACGGTACCATGGGTACGATCAGTAATGAAGAAGGAGAAAGAGAGTTGGGAGGCAGAGACCAAGATGATGACTTCAACAATGTCGAAGCCACCCTCAGCTCAGGGTTCAAAACCGTCGTCTATCCACGGCACGGAACCTACAGCCGCCACAGAGACTACAGAAGCGACACAGGTGTAGATTTTTGCAAGTATACCCAAGATGAGCATTGTTTTAAAAGTATGACAGTATGAGAATGAGCCGAAGATATTTGGGGAAGAATGGCTACCAACAGGACTCCAGTTGAACGTGGAAAGATTGGGGAGGCAATTCGGCAGTCATAGATCTGGTGGTCAATTTCCAGCCAGACGATGCAATCATGCATCTGTATTTATAGGAGGCTTTGAGTCTCTAACAAGAGCAAGACAGGATAGACTTGTGTTCAAAGCAGCAGCTCTAGGACACTCAAGTAAATAGACGGGTTCCAAGATGCCATACTTTCTTAATGCTAGTGTTCCCAACTCCCTTACTAACCAAACACCAGATTTCGATCAACAATGATTGCCAAGATCAACAGTCCGCTTCCAAGAGGCTAAATTTCGATGGCTTTCAAATATGCCCAGCAGTTGCCCACTTTCTGAACTTGATATTCGGTCCTAGTGGACACCTGCTGTACAGTACAGTTGGATTCACTTCCGATCCCACTGACCGACCGGTAACTCGGCTCAGCAAGTAGGTGAAATTTGCTGATTTTGATAGGCAACAAATGAGAACCTTACGAGTTGATTGCAGGATATATTTCTTAATTAAAAATCATTTGAAACTCTACAATTCATATCATCACTCACTTGGTAGGTACGTACTAAAGAATATAGCTCTCAGATAATTAGAAGTATAAGTTGTGACCTCGCAATCCTCGTCTCTGCCAGAAGTGCGCTCTGCGAATATCGGCAACTTGCCAAGGTTTACTGGCTGTGTAGCTCGGCTCCAGCAGGCTTTAACTTGGAGTCCCCGCTGCATTCCCCATAAGTTTTCCCCGCATAAGCCAGAGAGGGAAGGTAAGCCACCCGTAAAGCTCCTGCACATCAATTAAGGTCCCCTCATTCAGCAGCTCATACTCTCTTCTTTCTTTTCTTTAAAAAAAAACCACAACAATCAATCATGAGGTCGAACGTCAGAAGAGCAGCACCGTTGATCCGGTCTGCTATCCAGCTCCAGCGAAGGAGCTTCTCAGTCTCCAATGACAGACAGGCACAGTATGGCTTCATAGGCCTCGGGCAGATGGGTACGTCATTCTCGGCACAAACACACGCGACCCTTCTTTTTGCGAATACCTTCAATTACTGACTGAGTGATGTGCCAGGCTATAATATGGCTCGCAACTTGCAGGCCAAGCTGCCTTCTACAGATACGCTTCGTGTTTATGACATCAATGTCGAGTCTGTTGACAGATTCGCAAATGATACCAAGGGATTAGATGGAGCTTCCGTGCAAGTTGCGGCTACAGCTAGAGACGCTGCCGAGGACTCTGTACGTGCACAATTTCATCTTTTATAGTAGCATCTTTCTGATTGGAAATGCACTGTGAACTTGAAGAAAATCTGGGGTAAACTCTAACTGTCTCCCCCCACAGGAAACAACAATCACCGTTCTCCCCGAACCCACTCACGTCAACAACGTCTTCGGGCAAATCCTCAAGCCCCCGCTCTCCACATCAGTCGTCTCCAACCCTGACCGCCTCTTCATAGACTGCTCTACCATCGACCCGTCCTCCTCTCGCGAAGTCGCCAACGCCGTACACGTCACACAGCAAGGTCGTTTCGTCGATGCACCCATGTCCGGCGGCGTCGTCGGCGCTACAGCCGGGACGCTCACCTTCATGCTTGGAGCCCCAGACACGCTGCTCGCCCGCGTCGAGCCAATCTTGCTCATGATGGGCAAGAAAGTCATACATTGTGGTCCTCAAGGCGCTGGCTTGTCGGGAAAACTAGCGAATAATTACTTACTTGCTATCAACAATATCGCTACGGCCGAGGCCATGAATCTAGGTATCAAATGGGGCCTTGATCCCAAGGTTTTGGCCAATTTGATCAATGTCAGTACGGGCAAGTGCTGGCCTAGCGAGATCAACAACCCCGTCAAGGGCGTGATAGAAAGCGCGCCTTCGAGTCGGGATTACAAGGGCGGCTTTGGGATCAGTCTAATGAGGAAGGATTTGAATCTGGCGATTATTGCTGCTGCTGAGGCGGGGGCGAAGCTAGAGTTAGGAGATAGGGCGAAAGAGGTTTATGAGAGTGCTGAGAAGCAGGAGGATTGCAAGGGGAGGGATTTCTCGGTTGTTTATAGATATATTGGGGGTGCGGAGTAGGTCTTTGAAGTACCTCGAGCACTTTTGAGATGCATTGTGAGGCTTTGGCTCTGTACATATGGAGTAAATTTAGACTATATGGCCCAAAATATGGATCATCACCTACCTTCCGATAGCATAAGCCTAGTGCAGTTGATTGTTTTATTTTGGAACTTCGCCAATCCAACTTGGACTTGTTGTTCTATGTCGCTTAGAATACCGAGGTGATTGGTTTTGCTCAAGGATATTTGGGCCTATGCACTTCATCGTTGATTTCATCTATCTGCCTCTGGATCTTCAAGATAATGTCTTGGTTCCCTATCGTCGAAGAGGCTTTCTATTGTGTCTAAAAGTACTGTTCCAGTTTGGAAACATGTCATGCATAGAGAGTCTGTAGATTATTAGCTAGGTTAAAATCTACTTGAAAGAGCTTGTTCGCTTGTGAGATATCACTCCCAACTCCATGATGCTGCTTGGAACAAATCTCGACTGTTTCTAGCTTTTCGATGGAGATGATGCTGGGAAGACAACAAGGTCATGTCAACCCCACTAAATTTCCAGGGATCGCAACACCCAAGACCACCAGAAACGTCAGCCGAACAACGCCCAGAAATGCCCAGCTTGACATGCTTTCAGCGCTGCAACACCATCTTCTCCTGCCAATTTCTTAATATATCCTCAACTCATCTCAACTTACCTTATCGAACACGACCACAATTGCAATTTCAGATCTTTTCAGCTCCCACGATGCACAAGACCCCCCCTCAGCATGCATCATCGCACGGAAGCGTGCAGCCTGCATTGCCCGCCAATCAAATCTGCAGATTCAAACCCGTGATGGCACCGTACCTGTCAATCCGCCAGAAAAACTAGCAGTTCCTAGCATCATGGACCTCATTGAGAAGCAGGTTTGGTTCTGTAGGTAAGAATGGGGGTTTTGATGGTATAAAGATAAAGATCGTTCTTTCCTCTTGTCCTTTGGATTCTTGGACAAGCCTCAACAGACGGACTTTGTGGATTGTTCAGCTCTGAAGAGTGACGGTGATCGACACTTTGAAGGAGTGCAGTGTTGCTTGACAACTCCTCAATTAGTATCATTATCTTGGTAAAATATTCATACATCATCTGTTGCCTCATCAATTCTAACTTATATCCAGGGAAGAGATCTATCAGCAATACCTCAAGCAGCCACTATGGCACCCAATTTGAAGGTCATCGTCCTCTTAGGCCTTTGCTCAACGGCATCAGCTTCAAAGCCGAAAGATCTCCCCGGTGCAGCATCCTTCGTCGTCCCTACAGCTTTCCCAACTTCTGTTTTCTCCAGCTACTATGTCAAGCCAGCACCCACCGTCGAGCCGCAACCTGCTCTATTCGATTCAATTCTCAACATCACCTACCCACTGAATCTCACGGATCCAACAACTGTTCAGACCGTGAACGAGGATCCAGTCTTCTACCCTCCCGGTATTGCAAACATCACCAACGCCACCGCCGAATCTCTCGTGGAGTTTGCTTTAGCCGAGATCAAAGGCATCATCTATGACGATGGAGGCCTTTCAGGGAACTGTTCAAAATGTATCGCTGCACTTAGTGTGGGCAAGTTCCTGGCCCAATCCGCACCGACGTTCGTGCCAGCTGCTATGATCTCGCTGTGTCAGGCTACAGGTTTCCAGTCTAACATGACCTGCAAAATAAACTACTCGCCAGGTGGCTTTGGAGCTATTTGGACCCAGGTCCTTGCGCTGGCGGACGTGACGGGTCTTGACGGTCGATATATCTGCAATTCTCTTAGCTCTAATTTCTGTCCGACGCCTGCTACGAGTCCTCTGAATACGACGAACTTGTTTCCTAAACCTAAACCCGAAAATGCGAAGGCGCCAAAGGCGAGTGGGAAGCGGGTCAAGGTCTTGCATCTGTCGGATTTCCATCTTGATCCGAGATATCAAGTTGCCTCGGAAGCAAATTGTACTTCTGGGTTGTGCTGTAGATACTCTTCGGCTCCGACTTCACAGGCTGTGTTCCCTGCACCTCTTTACGGAGCTTACAAGTAAGTTCTGCGGTATAGTTTCTGGGACACAACTAACATACTCAGGTGCGACACCCCATACTATCTGGGTCTTGCTGCGTTACAGTCCATTGCTTCCTTGACTGGTACGGGAACTAAATACGCCAGTCCAGCATGGACGCTCTACACTGGTGATCTCGTATCTCACGACACTCAGAACCAGCTGTCTCGAGAGTATGTCGAGTACACGGAGACAAGCATCTACGATATGTTCAAATCGTACATCAAAGGTCCCGTCTTCGCTGTTCTTGGTAATCATGATTCCAATCCTGAGAATATCGATGGGCCTCATAGTCTTCCGGGACCTTTGGGCAAGCAGTTCAGCTGGAACTATGATCATGTGTCGGCGCTATGGAAGAATACTGGGTGGATTGATGAAGCAACGGCAGAGCAGGCTGCAATCCACTACGCAGCTTATTCTGTCAAGAATCACTACGGTCTCCGCATTATCACGCTTAATACTGACTTCTGGTATCGGACTAATTACCTCAACTTCATCAATACCACCAATCCGGACGTCTCTGGGACATTCAGTTTCATGATCAAGGAGCTTCAAGCTGCTGAAGATGCCGGGGAACGAGTGTGGATAATCGGTCATGTTTTGAGTGGCTGGGATGGAACGAATCCACTCCCAAATCCGACAAACTTGTTCTACCAGATTGTCGACCGATACTCGCCTCATGTCATTGCCAATGTTTTCTGGGGCCACACGCATGAGGATCAAGCTATCATCTACTACGCCAACAATGGCACTGTTCGAGATGCCGCAAATGCTTTGACTACTGGTTGGATTGGTCCGTCAGTCACACCTCTCACCAACCTGAACTCAGGATACAGGATGTATGAAGTTGACACTGGATCCTTCGATATTTACGACGCCTATACGTTCTATTCGGCCGTCAATTCATACTCAACTCTCAACTCCACAGGCCCTACATACAAATTCGAATACTCAACTCGAGAAGCCTACGCCAGTGCCGTGGGATGGCCAAAATCCGCACCACTCAACGCAACCTTCTGGCACGGTCTCACAGTCGCTATGGAATCAAATCGAAGTTTGATAGAAATTTTCAACACTTATCAAGGAAAGTCGAGTATTAAGAGTCCCAACTGTACGAGCGATGCTTGTGCTGCGGCGAAGGTTTGCTACATGCGATCTGGTAGTTCTGCACTGGGGAGAGCTTGTCCGCAAGGATTTGCTTCTGTCCAAAGTCCATATACTGGGAAGAACTTCTGATTGGTATTGATAGAAGATTCTCGCTATCAAAAGCAACGCCTCCTAAATTACAGAACATCATAACTCTCAGAGCTTCGCCTCAATTCTTAGTTGCTTACCCTCATATTCCTCGGGTAAGAACCAGTTCAGGTATTCATCCGCCATGCTCTTGGTAATGTTTTTCTCCTCATCCATCATCTCCTTGCCTTTGAGATACTTGTACAGCTCCGCATCTGCATGCTCCTCTGCATCATACGCATAGACACCTAACGAAGTCGTCGGGTTACCATACAAGTTCGGACTTCTCAGCACAGGCTTACCACCCAATTCCAAAGTCATCGCCTTATCCCTCGCTTCCTGCGCAGGTCCATCAGGCAGCTGCCAAATGACTCCATTCAGAAACGAAACCTGCTGCTTGAAATGCGCCTTCGGCATCCTCGCCTTCTCATACACCTCGATCGCCTGCCCAAGGCTGATCCTCCCCTGTACAACCTGGCCAACACACCTCCCCAAGAACGCACCATCCTCCATACTCGTCGCCGCCCCCTGCGCCATATGATTCACCATTGAATGCGCCGCATCCCCCATCAGCACTACATTCTTCCCCGGCGAACTCCAACTCTCCAACGGCCCAGTAACAAGCAACGGCCATCTCGACGCCTCGGGAATCATATCCACGATCCTCTTGATCCTAGGATCGTACTCTGCATACTGCCTCCTCACTTCCGCTACGTCGACTTCCTCTACTTTATCTACTAGTCTATCGACGTGGTGCGAGAGCACGAGGTTGAGATCTTGACCGCTGGAGATGGGGTAGGTGATTATGTAGGAGTTGTCGCTCATCCAGACTTCCATTGTTAGTTTGTTGATTAGTTCGCTTGCGAGGGGGTCTTCGCGGATACGAGAGTAGGGTACTATGGCGCGGTAGGCGCAGTTTGTTGTTGGAGGGGTGGGTTTTACTTCTGGGAAGAGGGTCCGGCGGACGATGGAGTTGACGCCGTCGGAGCCGATGAGGAGGTCGAAGGTGTGAGTTGGGGTTATGGGGGAGGCGGTGTGCACTATTACGCTGGAACTGGAGTTGGACGTGTAGTCAATGCTGGTGACGCGGGAGTTTGTGTGGATTATTGCGCCGTGTTTGAGAGCGACTTGTACGAGGCCGGAGTGTAGGTGGGCGCGGTGGATGACCCACCAGCTATGAGGTAATCCAGTCAGTAATGATGTACTCAAACACTCTTTATACATGGGTATCCGGCTGAAAGCAGAGATAGGACAGATAGAAGACAATGAAGAGGGAACAGAGAATGGGAATGGGAAGGGGGATGCGAATGCGAATGCGAATGGGTCTTACGGGTATCCCAGATCTCTCTGCACGTTGGGAATCATGCGTGTATAGCCTACTTTCGTCCCATCTCGACGCCGCAGATTGAGCTCCTCGAACTCGACGAGGTTGGAGCCGATCACGTCTGCGACGCCCCATTTGATGAGGAGGCGGGAGACGTTGGGTGTCATCTATATCCATGGCATTGTCAGTTATGACTAGATATGAGTCGTTATTCTTTTTTTTAATGTGAGCTGGTGGGAAAGAAAGGGTATTGGAGGTGATTCGAGCCGATCGCGTTTTGAAAATGAGATAGTTGATAAGGAAAGGGAAAGTTTACTTGGATACCAGCGCCAATTTCTCCAAGTTCAGCAGCTGCTTCGAGAACGGTGACTTCAGCTCCTGCTCGACGCAGGGCGATTGCTGCTGCGAGTCCACCGAGTCCGGCGCCGCAGAGGCCGATGTGTATGTTTCGATTAGGCTGGAAGGAGTCAGTTAGGAAGTGTGTCTAAATGATTATATGTCTGGAAATGAGGTGAGGGGTATCTTGTCTTACCATTGTAGAAGATGTGAGTGCTGGATTACTTCTTGATCAGTGTGTCTAGAGAGGGTGATCAGGGCTGAGTGAAGTATGAATTGGACAGTCTTTCAAATGTGAGAGGCGAAGTTAAATAAACTGACTAGTGTTCCTATGGAATTAAGCACTTGCCCTTTAACCTTTCTTCCTACCAACTCACCTCTCCATCATATAACTTGGTTCAGCATCACAACATCTTCCCAAGTTATTTCCGCCCTGGTATAACATGACAATGGATCCAAATCATTGGCCAACCAACTGCAGACACCCGCAACGATCAACAGAATATCCAGCATCTGACGTGTGCTAGCGAATGGGAATATTCGGGTTTATCTTTAACTTTGTGTTGTGACAGGTGACATCTCTACTTCCTGGCCGTTGACATGACATTTCGGGATCTGATTTGATGTAGCGGGGAAGTAAGGGCGAGGTGAAGATCAGAGAGTGACGAGCTTGTGATACAATGAGGCTCGAAAGGGAGGGGTGCATGGGAAGTTGAGATCGAGGAGGTTAAGCGAGTGGGAATATTCGGCTTTAATTTAGAGTTCGGCTTTACTGGATGGGGGTGATACAGATCGAGATTTGTGAGTGGTAGCTAGCTGGGATGATACTAGTTGTATCAATGTCTGTCGTGTTGAGCTAGGATCATGTTCGAGGAGGATTTCAAAGGATGCGGGGTTTGCGTAGTAGCTGGATGCAATACCGTTATCACTTGTTCGTTCCGAAGCGAGAATGGGAATGGCATTACTGTTATTCCCCTATCTCCTTCTATTTTGAAGCTTTCTCTCTGCTGGCAAACTGGTGCAATTTTTCTTGCACAGACGTCGAGTGGACTTACGAACTGTTGCAGACGGCCTTGCGGAGAACGGCCCCGAACGTCGGGTTCGATCAGCCTTGCCATGTCCCGGGATTTCAATGATCAATGTATTCAAAACGCTTGGACTGACCATGGGAGAATAGCGAGATCGACAGGATTTCCTAAGGGGTTCTTCCTCTCTGGTTTCGGTGCCGTTGTGAATAACAGTACGTCGGTTGCCTCATTTGTTTACTTACACTTTCGTACTGCTTCTTCATAACTGGCGAATCTCTTTTAGATTCGAGGAATTTCGCGTCAACAAAAATTTAACGACGAATAAATACAAATCACATAGCGAGTTGACATTGACGCGGTACCTCCACAATGCTCATCTGTAGCGCGTGCTCTTCAATTTAGCCAGTTGCCGACAATCGCGCTTTGTAATTCATATTTGCTGAAGCGATACAAGAGTTGATAAATGATACATCAGATCAAAAATGTCGTGAAGGCGAAGATATTGTGAGTGCCTAATTCACCTTTACCGGTTGTTAATGCAGCTCCCCGGTTTGAGTTTCAACAAACAAACAAACTCTCGCTTCCGCTTCGTCTCAAGATTATCAGACACCACCTCACTTCACCTCACCTCATCATCAAACATCGATCTCAGCAGAACCTGACGATATATTGACCTAGTCAAGAAACACGATGGATGATACTACTCTGGAATCTCTAATGAACATCGATTGCCTGTTCAGCGAGTGTCAGACTCCAAGTCGACCACGATCCAGCAAAGTGCGCTCACTTTTCCTTCCCATCCAGGCACCAAGGTTCATACAGCGTTACAATTTATCTGAAGCATTGGATCACTGACCACGATTCTCCATAGAAGACTGAAAAACTGACCGCCAGAAAAATCCGCGAAGCTCAACAAAAGTCCCTGTCCTTCCATTCAAAACGGCTTTGCCTACACTCCGATTGGGACTACATTCGATCTCGCGAAGAGGATTTCCCATTTCAACGCGAAGCTGTACCCGCTAGGGATAGCATCTTGGCCCTGAAAAACAACCCTTCATACTCTCAATCTGGTATCATTCAATCATACGGCAAGGTCAACTTAGGCGACGACGTATGTAGCTGCTGTGCTCGAGTCTTCGCCTCGGGTAGAACGAGGAGCTGGAAAGGTTGCGTATCGTTCCCAATCGATCTAAAATACCCTGGCCGTGCGCCTGGCTCTGTTCCTTTCCTAGGCCAGTGTGCAAACTGTCATTGGGGTAGTCAGGGTTGGAAGTGCTCGCTAAGGGTCGGTGGAGGTGAGTCGATGATGCAATATTTCATGAGATTTGAAGCTCATTCCTGAACAGTTAAAGAGCCTCCTCGTCGTCAGCGCGCAGACTTGTTCCAGAGTAGCGTTTTCCAAAACACTCACCTAGGCAACAAGCATGATATGAATACCATGGAAGGCTGCATCAACGCTCGAAACGAACTCCAAGGTATCATGAACCAGGTCTCACGCCGGATTACGCAATTACAGAACGAACGAGAGGTTGATCCGGTTGGAGAAGAGAATGCGCGATATGATGAAGATGACGATGATAGTTATGTCGGCTCGACAAATTCTCGATCAGTCCCCCAGGCTCCTCCAACTCCTCGGCCTCGTCGACGCGGAACTTCATGCACACCTCGTACTCCTCGTACTCCTCGCCCGAGTTCTCGGAAAGTGGTAGCCAGTATCGAAGATGACGATGACAGCGACTATGTGGGACCAAGGAGTACAAAAATCACTTCTCATGAAAAATCAAATCGTCGAACTCGTCAGTGTTCCAGGTTTCCCTCTCCACCCCTAAACTCCCGGATTGAGGTTGTGATTCCTTCATTTCGACCTTCAATCCAACGCTCAACACGAAAGGCGTCTTCTATTGAGGACAAAGATCGATGATAATTAGGGGGGGAAAGCGAGCAGCACTTTTCTTGAACATTCCCTCAACTATGGAATTTTTGTAAAGAAAAACTTTAGGAGTTAACACTTCTTGTAATGGTTTATCTCTGAAGGAGGGGTAGACAATGTTTTCTTCGAGGATTCCAAGCTTACACCTGCTTTGTTTTGAGTTGAGGTTTTCTCAGCATGACATAGTTCTTCCCCTGCTCCGGCGTGCCCCCAAACTTTGTCATGTCCATTGACTCCGTTCCAATAATCTCAAAGCCTTGTGTCTTAAAAAGCATCATGGAAGCTGGCACAGTGGCAACATAAGTCAATCCTACGTTCTCGTCCACAATCTCGTCAAGACGCCGAGACAGCTTGGTTGCGATTCCCTTTCTCTGGTATTCAGGCAGCACTGCTATTCCTTTTCGGTCTGCTCTCTGGATTAGTTTCCCTACCACAATAACTTGATTCGTAGCCGTTAATCAATGCTTACGGTAGTGTATCTTTGAATCATAGCCGTAATTTTTAGATATGCCAATCAAACCTACCATCTCCTTCAACAACGCTTTGTCGACTCCCTCTGGCAGTGGCGGCACACCGGACGACGCTTCAAGTTGCTCTTTGGTCCACTTTCCTGGTAGACCTAGGATGCTGTAGCCCACTATTTTCCTATGCCAACACGCATCTTAGCAAGATTCTCCCCAGTTGCCAAGGTAGACACTGCCCTGGAATATGCAATGAGAGGGAGGGAGTTGCCCACCCAGTACTAATCTCCCTCGCAAAGAAGAGCCTCTTGTCAGGTAACTTCCACCGAAGTTTGAAATACTCCAGCTGCCATGCTAGCCAGTCCTCGAATTTCACATCTCGCATTAATGCTGACCACTGCACATCTTGCAGCATTCCTTTTACGAAGATTTCAGGCATCAGTACGACATCTTTCTCCGATCCTTCGTATATCTCGATTTCCATTCTTGAGGTTTATCCGCTGATTGTTCGTAACGTGTCTTCCTGCTCCTTACAAAACTGGCAAAGTGACAAGGTCTTATTTGTTCTCTCTTATTTAGAAACTTCGTTATTGCAGCTTTCAACGCTCGGTTATTGCTCCTATACGAAAGTTGCTGGCGTAATACTTCCGATGCTTATCTTTATGTGCCTCATAGTAGCTGATTTATGCAGTCAGCAGAGATATAGATCACTAGGGGACGCTAGTTGAGGGGCTGAATTCTACCTTCCTGAAAGAGAGCGAATGCGAAGGAACATTACAGGACTGAGGGTTTGTACCAGAAAGGAACTGGAAGAATGCTCTGGTATGTCAAATGGAAATTATATGACATCAAGCAGTTCCAATAGGGGATTGAAATGGCCTTCCCCAAGTCTCATTCTCATCAAGACGCTCGATTCCAACGCTACTCCGTAGGAAGTGGAGAGAGGTTCTCAAACTAATGTAAGAGCAGACAATTATCAATCTTGTCCTTCGGGGTATCGAATCATGATCCCTCCACCTTCCTCGCCACCAATCCTCATGGTGAACTCCCCCAGTAATTCAAAACCCAACTTTCTGTAAAGAATTTCTCCTGCCGGACTAGCTGATAGTCCTATGATAACCCTCTCGCGTTGTGCACGCTTGACGACTTCGGTGACGAGCATTCTCCCAATGCCTTTCCCCTGATAGGCAGGGCTTACGACCACACTGGCCAAATACCACCTATTGTTTCGTTCAGGATGTGACTTCCAGTACGTGTTGTCGTCTCCGTCCACAGACGCGAAAAATTTCTTGGTTGCTTCAACATCGCAGGACCTATCCGGCCATAGGAAATTCTCAACCTTATCGTAAATCCAAAAGAACCAGGCAAATACAAAGAAGTACACCTTTGTCCATAAGCTGTGTTGGGACAAGTAGGCTCTGGCTCCTTCATCACCCCCCCGGCGACTAGATTGAGCATAGCCCACAGGATACGCTGGGTTGCAGTCCTCAAAGGCGACCAGAGATAAGCTTCGAGGGTTGAAGAGCCGCCTTCGAATTCCTTGACGAAAATTCCGAACGAAATCGGCGCGATATTTGGCTGCATGAGGTGCAATGAACTGGTTCACTGGGCTCTGCCAATATGCTTCTGCTTGGTGATGAGCAAGAATTGGAATGTCACCCATTCTAAGTGGGCGTAGCTTGAATGTCCTGAGTGGTGGCTGAACATCTGGACTCGAGTCGCCGGGTCTAGGAATCTCCTCAACTGCCTTGCTAGCATACAAGGAAGACATCTTCACAAGTGGAGAAGCTCCTGTGTAACAATCGATGCAAAGTCAAATGTTCACGTTGTGACTTATACTTCAATAATGCCATGTGCAGATGTCCCGATTCGAGATCGGTGAAGAACAGAAGTACCGTTCGGTCTGACTCAGATACCACTGGCCAGGATCTACACAAGCTAGTAGGGGAGTGCAGCATTCCTTAGGTAAAGAGGATCTCAAAACTCAGGACACTGTTCGCTGTGGCTTCTTGGATCATCCATTTTCGGCGTTGTCAATTATTGGTCCCTCCCAATATTGGCACTTATTTCGAGGTGTTCTCCGAACATTGAAATTTTGACCAGTGATTCGGACTGGCTCATGGTCTTCTGCTGAATGCTGATCGTTCTCGTGGAACTCTCTCATCAGGAATCTTCTTAGGCCAGTTCCTCGCAATATCGATGGCATCTCTGGGCGCGAGGAATTCGAGCATAAGAAATATGAGATAGTCAATGACTACGCAAAGACAGAAAAGCTTTCCGGCCCATATTCCACAACCATAGTACCGTTTCAATCGGTCAATCAGTGCAAAACTTTGCACTCCAGCCCGTCCTCTTGTTGCGCTCCAGCTTGCAGCATCGGCAGCGTCATAGCCATAGAAGTCTGCTTCGCTCAGAATTCCAGATATTCCATCATACACCCTTTCCGTTCGTTCTGCCACATCGGTCCAGGAATACATCATCTTCACCTGATCGTGAAACTTCTCTGTTCTGACTTTATTCGCTCGCATTGAAGCAATGGCCTTCCCAGTTGCAGCAACTAAATCGTCCTCTTCTGGCTTTGCAAAAACTGTCATATGAGCAGGAAGGACTTCCGGGATCCCTCCCACTTGTGTACAAACGACATATAATCCGCAGCTCGCGGCTTCCACAATGACTGTCCCGAAAGCTTCTGTCAAGCTTGGGTGCAGATATATGTGACCCCGAACCATGACATCTCGAACCTCCTCGTGCCTGACAGGACCCAACATCTCTACTCGGTCCTGCAACACGTTTCTTTCAATCATCTGTTCCAAATCTATAGCCTTTGGGCCTGAGCCAGCAATCACAAAGCGCACATTTGGATGACTGGCAAGTATTCTTGGAATCGCTGCGACCAAAAGATCCGTCCCTTTATTATAGAAAAGTCGCGATATAACCACTATCGTAATCACATCATGAGGCCCGAGGTGCTGAGGCACAGGTACGAGTTGAGTATTGAAGTCGGATGGGTATGAGGGATGATGAAGAGGACGAAAGTTTTCGGCGACGACTGCATTTGGAATGACGGATACCATGAGAGGATCGAGGGAGGCTCGTAAGACAGTGTTCTCCTTGCTAAAGATGGTCAGTACGGTCAACTTAAGCATAATGATTTACAGACCATGTATGGCTGACACAAATGACGTGGTCTACATCGCTGAGGATGAATTTGAGAAGCTTGTTGGTGAGGATACTGGCTGCATCTGCGAATCCGAACAACGAATGATCCGTGAACACCGTCCTCAAGCCCATTGTCCTTGCATGCAGAATCGCTTCATGGCATAGACTGCTCAAACTCGCGTGTCCATGTACAATCTCAATCTGCTCTCGAATAACGATATTCCGGAAGACTGGAAAGAAGGAGAAAACAGTTGGAAAAGTCGTGGCCCGGTAGATAACGAAGAAGGGAACATAGTAAACTTTGAGGCCATTTGTCAGGTATCGCACTCCCGTCCGCCCCTCATACGCGTGAGTGATCACTACTACTTTATGTCCCCGGTCAATCAGCTTCGTAGAGAGCTGATAGATGTGACTTTCAACTCCTCCTGGTTGGGGAAAGAAGTTGTCGCTGACCATGGCAATATTGTACGGCATTGTTGCGGTTTGACAGACAGCTGGCACTGTCGCAGATGGTGAGATTATAGAGAGCTTTGCATAGTTGATTATTCGGAGTACCAATAGCTCCAGATCCTTCTGTCGTCGGTAGGCTGCACAGAGTGTATTGGGCTTGATGTAAAGGAGACATCATAGCTCTCTCGCGAAAAGGCATAATGGCAATTCAACATCAGGGGGCTTCTTATCGCTTATCGGAGCTCTCAGGAACAACAAACTTCCTTGGAGCTGACTTGCCCAGCCTCAGCCCAGCGCCGCGCAACCTTGCCCAGGAATTTACACAGCACTGCCAACTAATTCAACGACGACGACTGTCGCCACAATCCTCTCTACGCTCATTACACAGGCAGGCACAGCCTTCAGCGCGAATCTCGATGACTTGTTCCTAACCCTTTCACTTCAACACTCTCTCACTTACGACTCGAACGATATACTATCACAGGCTATAGGATAATGCCTTCCCCATATCTCACCCAGCTTCGCAAATGGATGCTCGAATCTCCACCAGTTGAATGGGGCATCAATCAGTTGCGGGAACTGCTCATCGGTGCTCTGAGACAAGGCTCTATACCGCAACATGTGGCCTTTGTTATGGACGGAAATAGACGATTCGCAAGAAGTCATAAGATAGAGACGGTGGAGGGGCATAATCTAGGATTCGAGGCTCTAGCTAAGGCAGGTGGTTCTTGAACTTGGAAACCCGACAGACGGCTGACTTACTTGGATTAGATCTTAGAAGTCTGCTACAAATCCGGAGTCAAGGTCGTTACGGTTTATGCATTCAGTATCGAGAATTTCAAGCGCTCGAAATACGAGGTTGATGCTCTGATGGACATGGCAAAGATCAAACTCTCACAGCTTTCCCAACATGGGGAATTGCTTGACAGATACGGTGCCAGTGTGAGAGTATTGGGAAATAGGGACCTACTTCGGCCAGATGTCCTGCAGGTAATTGATAAAGCGGTGGATATGACAAAGAACAATGGAACGTGAGTTTGCACAGAAAATTATATTGAATATGTCTGACAGAACTAGGTGTGCTCTCAATATCTGTTTCCCATACACATCTCGAGACGAGATCACTTCGGCTATCAAGTCAACAGTCGAGGACTACTCAAAACCTCTACCAGCACACGCAAGACCGTTTTCTCAGACGAGAATTACACAAAAGATCCGGTCAAGGAACCTGAGCACCTCACCCCTTCGCTCAAGTTCACCTTCATCCGATATCGATGATTCCGTTTCTTCAACTACCACGTTGTATCCAGAATCTCCACCGAGCGATAGCAGAGATCATCTATATCCGGACCCAGAGGCTATCACCTCCGAGACGATAGGAGATCACATGTTCACAGCCAAGGATCCTCCTTTGGATATGTTGATCAGGACGAGTGGGGTTAAAAGACTCAGTGATTTCATGCTATGGCAGTGCCATGAAGACACAGAAATTGTGTTTTTGGATTGTCTATGGCCGGAGTTCGATCTTTGGCAGTTTCTCCCTGTCTTGGTCGAGTATCAGTGGAACCAGAAGCACGTAGAAGACAGGAAGATAAAAATAAGGTAGGGCTCGAAGTCAGGAGCCTGGTGCTTGCTTGGAGTCTTGGGCGGAGTTTGCAGCGATTCGTGAAGGGTCTTTCACATGTTTTGTAAGAATTTAGAAGAATCTGATTGTACAGCTTTAAGTACAACACATCAGGTGCAAGATCCGTCCGAATCTGTAAATCCCAACTTCTAACATTGACTATTGAGAAATACGTAATTTGGGTCCTGAAATTTTCACAGTAACTATGATGCTTGCTTCCGGCCTGTGCAGCTTGCGAGTAAAGTACTGCTTATTCTCTGATTGAATACCTTGTGGTGAGAATGTGTCTCGGCTGGGCTGGCTCACCAGGCTCTGGTCTGGTGGAGTGCGGCACTCGCGGCCGCTTCAGCGGAGCAGCGGGTCAACTTTTTTGTTGCGCAGCCTTGTCTGCATTGTAAATCCCTGGCATCCCAGTCTCGAGCACCATTCAGCCGCTGTTTGAAGCTCAACTTGCGGCAATGGCTTCACAAATGTATTCACGATATGTTCCTCCGTCCAGGAAGAGTGTTCCGGCAGTACGAGAAGTCTCTGCACCAATTCTGGACCGGCCAGATCCTGAACCTTCTCATCCAGCCCCGCCAAAAACTCGACAGGATGCTTCCTCTACGTACGCGCGATATGTTCCTCCCTCAAAAAACAAATCAAAGCCGACATCTACTCCTGCAAAATCTCCTACAAACAGCTCTTCGCCATCTGTTGCAAAGCGGAAACGGGAAAACGAGACTGAACTGTTGGAAGTGTTAAATCCAGTCAAGAAGGAGAAGAAGGAGACGAAGGCTGTGACTGTCAATGGCACGCAGAGTACGGCACATGTTGATGATGGGCAGACTGAACAAATGGAGCAGAAGGTTGGGAGGTCAAGCTTAGAGACGGATAAGCTTGTGGCAGATGGGATTAGATCCAAGGAGAAGAACGTAGCGATGAAAAAAGACTCAAAGGAGAAGAAAGTCTCGAAGTCTTCTGCGGAGACCAAAAAACCAACAGAATATGAGGCATTAGAACAGACCGCTAGCGGATATGCTGCGCCGAAACAGTCTAAACAGAAAAAGAAGAAGCGTCGGGATGAAGAAGAACAATCTGCAAATGGCGTTGACGGGAATGCTGAGGACTTGCGGCACAATAAACTGATGGAGAAGCGGCAAAAATCTTTAAGGAAGGCAGAGAAGCTTGCAAAGTCCCAGGAACTCCCTGACGAAGAAGATATACTCATGCCAGATGTCCCAATTCAAGTCCACGACCTTGGCCCTCTTCCTCAACCTGAGCCTGTTCCGGAGCTGCCATCTCTTCCAATATCAGCCTCGCTTCCCAAATGGCTTGCATCTCCTATAAGAGTCTCGCCTACTGCTACCGCTAAGTTTGAGGAAATTGGGATTCCAGAGGATGTTACCAAAGTTCTTCATCAGAAAGGCTATATCCAGGCTTTTGCTGTGCAAGCGGCAGTCCTGCCACTACTTCTACCCGGGGAAAACGTTGACCCTGGAGATGTCCTTGTTTCAGCAGCTACTGGTTCTGGTAAAACGTTGTCATATGTGTTACCCATGGTTGAGGACCTTAGTCGGTACTCGACACGGGGCCTACGAGGTCTCATTGTGATGCCAACAAGAGAGCTTGTCACACAAGCTCACCAGGTTTCGGAAATATGCGCTTCGGCATTTGCTCGAGGAGATGGATATACCCATCGAGTTAAGATTGGAACAGCCGTAGGGAATGAGACAATAGAGGTCGAGCGGCGAAACATCATGGGTGATCACTTGGTCTATGATACCGAGCGATATGATGCGGAGATGAAGGAAGCAAATATTCCGTGGAAGTCGATTGAAGTCGAATCAAGGGTCTTCGGCCGAGAACAGTCTCGGTCGAAAATTCGAGGTGATGTTGTCAAGTCCTGGCCCCAGGTCGACATTCTCATTTGCACTCCTGGAAGACTGGTGGACCACCTCAAATCCACTCCCGGATTCTCGATCTCGCATTTACAATGGCTCGTGGTCGATGAAGCAGACAAGCTGCTGGATCAGAGCTTTCAGCAGTGGCTACCTACAGTCATGGCTGGAATTAGACAAAAGCAAGCTGTCAGGAAAGTCATTCTCAGCGCTACAATGACTAGGGATGTGGGCAAGCTGAACCAATTGAAGCTCATTCGGCCAAAACTGGTCGTTTTGGATGGTACAGGCCATGATGAGAATGAGACGAGCGGTACTGGTCACGTTCTTCCGTCATTGTTGATGGAGTCTAGTGTCAAGGTTGACGATGAAACTGTCAAACCGTTGTACCTCATGGAACTCATGAAACGCGAGAAGGTTATTTCTCCAACAGAAGCCTCTTCAGATGAGGATCACTCCTCCTCGGAATCAGACTCAGATTCGGACTCCTCAGACTCAGACTCGTCTAATTCCGATGAAGAAGGCTCATCAGATGCAAGCCCGGCCGTTCCCAGCAGAGAGATCTCGGATAAGGTCGCTACGGACTCGCCTCACGGTGTCTTGATATTCACCAAGTCTAATGAATCCGCTGTCAGATTGGGCCGCTTATTGGCTCTTATCTCACCATCATTGTCCTCGTCTATCCGAACCCTGACCGCAACAACACCACGAGCTTCCCGGGAACGTACCATCACATCCTTTACCTCTGGCAAGATCTCTATAATTGTGGCCAGTGACCTCGCCTCTCGTGGTCTAGATCTTCCAAACCTAGCACATGTGATAAATTACGATGTTCCCAGTAGCATCGAAAGTTATGTTCACCGGATTGGACGAACCGCAAGAGCTGGCAAGAAAGGAAATGCATGGACTCTATTCACAGCTACTGAAGGAAGATGGTTCTGGAACGAGATTGGGAGGTCTGAGAGCATTGAACGAGCAAATGGCTCAAAGATAGGTAGGCTGACTATCAAAGAGGATGCCTTTGCTTCACTGCGGCCAAGGTATGAGGAAGCATTGGAGACTCTAGGAAAGGAAGCTTCGAGCTCGAAAGCTGCAAAGACATAGTTCGAGAATAAATACACCCTTCCTTGAGCACAACGTCCAGATTTCCCAGAATAATATATTAACAACATGTTTCGATGTGTTTCTTCTCGCTTGTGGAGCCAAAAGTAGGCGGGCTTCATTAACCCGAAAGACTTGGCAAGAGTTATTCCACCACTCACCTATCAATTGACTCCAGTTTCCAAGACTTCTGTAACTGAATCGATTTCGAGGTATAAGACATCTGGGATCCATATGAGGATGTTCTTGCTATTCTTACTTGAACCCATCAGCTCTCATACAAATTCAAAATGTCTCTTGAAACATACTCTCAGCAACTAGTCTCCACACTTTCCAAAGTGGGACTTGCACCAGGCTCAATACCTCTCATTCCAAGCACCTTCAAACTCTCCACAATACTAGGTATAAAGTTCGGTGATAGACCCGTGACATACGGAGAGATATTCAGGGTTAGCGAATGTAAAGTTGCACCCACGATATCGTTCGCACCTGAGGTACGTAAACAAGCTACAGCCAAAGACTCTATCCAAAGTCCACCAATCTAAGTCAAGATCAGGAAGACAAAGATGCATCCACAAGTTACACTCTCCTGCTAGTTGATCCCGATGCGCCAACACCAGAAGAGCCCAAATTCGCTTTCTGGAGACATTGGGTTGTTTCAGGCCTTGAACCATCAAAAGTTGTGCCAGGCTCCGTTGCTACCGAACAAGCTGTGGCTTCAAAGGCGCCGTTAACTGAGTATCTGGGCCCTGGACCAAAGGATGAGTTAGTGAACATCTTTCTCTACTTCTCGAAGAACACCAAAATGCTCACATTGGAATTTTAGCTCCACGCCTCATCGCTACCTCTTCCTACTCTTTCGAGAGCCAGCAGGTGGCCTGTCGCTCTCAAAGGCAGATGTAGGAGGTGAAGAATTTGTTGATCGTCGATCATTCAAAGCTGCAGAGTGGGTAGCAAAGCATGGCTTGGAACTTGTATCTGTGAACTGGATGTTGGGTGCCGGAGACGGATGGAGCGGTGTTGCGCCTGGTCAAGCGAAGGAATTATAAGCAACGGGTAGACAGAAGCTATCAGGTATTTCATAATTCTTCATTGCTATAGACAGATATGCTGATACATATATATACAGTTAGATAAACCTCGCTCCAAACAAACATCATCATAATAATCATTTCCTCATCTCATCTCATCAGTAAGCCCCCTTAGCACCAGGAAACTTCTTGAATTGCGAGTTATCGATCCTCTCCAGCTGAGGACAACCCAACTGCGCAAAAACAGGAGCAAGCGCACTGTTCAACTGAGCCAGCGGCTTTGTAACACTAGAGAACAACCCCTTCAGAATATCCGGAGCAGCCTGCTGCGCAAATTGATACGCAAAGCACATAGCGTTGTTTCCTTGGGCGAGGTTCTGCGAATTGTACACACCGCCTGTGACATCTACGAGGTCCACACCGGCAAAGGAGTTGACTTTGCCTACATTGCCGCCAACGCTCAAGAACTGCGGATATTGCAGAGCTGCAGCCACAAGATCCGAGTTGAAGAAGGGAATCGTGTATTCATCGCCAATAGCACGCTTATACCAGTTATCAGGTATCTTCTCATACCCCTCAGTCCATTTGAAGTTCCCTTGCTGTCCAGTGATAGCGAAGAAGGACTTCAGGACATCGCCATTTAAATACCCGTCTGGATATTCGGCGGATTTGTTCGACATGAAGCGGTAGATGAAGGTGTAGGCTGCGGGTTGGACGGCTACGCCTGTGAATGGGCCGTTGAAGAAGAATGGGTTCTGTTCGATCGATTGCTGGAAGCGCTTTGCGCGGAAGGGTGTCAAGCTCATCAGATCGTAGCCGCGAGGACCTTGGGGCTGGCGGAACATTTCTTCGAATTGAGACATGATGAGTTTGTAGTCGTTTCCGCTGCTGAGGTCAGAACATTGGCTAAGTGTATGTGGAGGTATGACTTACTATTGGTACAGATCTGGTCGTGAAGGACTGGCATCGGATTCATATTTATTGTGGGATCCAGAGATTCCTTGAGGTGTGCCTAGGAGTCCAACTGAGCCTAGCAAGCCAGCAGGTGGTGGTCCTCCAATCGACCAGGACGTGAGATCACCATCAAAGATGGCTCCATATATGGCGAGGAAAGCTCCAAGATCGAGCCCCATTCCAAAGACTACTCTATGTCAGTATATTCCTAGAAAATCTGCGCCAAGGATATCAAACTAACCGTCATAAGTCCCTTGGATGAACTGCGAGATGGTAGCAATCCCATTATGCGGGATATAATTATGATTCGCCATTGCATTCAGACCAGGACAAGGTCCACGCAAATCATTCTTTCCCGGAGGAACAAACTTGTGAGCTCCCTGATTGCTCACATACTGCTGAGCGGCATTGAAACCAGGAGCACGAGATACGAAGTCCCGTTTTGTGCTGGCTTCAACCTGGAGGGAAATCCGGGCGAGTTCTCGCTTCTCATCTTCGTTGACGGGGAGATTGAAGATGTGGGCTGGGAATGCAATGACTTGAGAGACTTGCAATGCCAATGTGGCTAGGCATATTGAGTACTTCATGGTAGAAACTGGTCTTGAATGAAGGCCTAGAGAGAAGAGAATTCGGATTTATTGACTTTCGGATTAGGAAATGATGTTTCAATATTGAAGATAGTGGGTTCTCTTCACGTCTTCATATATTTGAGTGGGGTTATTTCAACGTTGAACAAGTCTTGACTGTTCTGGAGGATGCCCTCACCAGTAGCTGTATACGCTATCCAGTGGCATTTCCTTGACCTGCCATCAACAGTCTAGAAGTTCCCCTCCACTTGCGTAATTTACTAGACTTCAGCATCTGGAAATGCTCACATGCCCTCATGGGACAAGAAACACACCTCGGCCTGACATGTTGCTGACAAGTGAAGCATTGTCATTGCTCAAGAACCTGACGCTATTATGGCATTCGTTCGTTGCGCCTCCTCAGAAGAAGCACAGAACCTACGGAGGGGGCTTTTTGTGGCGTGAAGCCACTGGCGATGTGGCGCGGGAAACAAGATGTCCTCGACGTTAAGCTAACTACCCCGCCAACCTGGGGTAAAAACTACGCTTGAAAGGTGTCTGGACCTGCTACTTTGAGCGTTGTGGCTTTTACAATCCATTTGAATGGATGGATGCCCATGACGTCTCCACACCCTGCCTCGGCTTCGATGAATTATGAGGGAGGGGACTTGGTACTCGTATTTGTATTTTCATTTTTTTGGTGGGTTCGTCATGACCTAACAGGAACGAGAGAAGTTGAATCGCGGGGTCAGACATATATGTACTCCTAGTCGTCTGAAATCGGATGAACGGATTCAAATTAAGCAAGCCGAGTCATTTCTGTGTCGGCACCCATTCTTTGAGACGGTCACCCACCTATCCCAGGAAGTCTTGAGAGAGTTTTGGACGACGTGCCTCCAGAGCAAAAGCACTTGTTGTCTCCTTACTGGTAAATAGCAAAGAAGGAAGCCTCTGGTCTGCCTTCGCTCCCAATATTACATACATGCTTGTGTGCTAAGGTTCTGCTGTTAAGAGCGCGGGATTTGAAGGAGCCGACATGTACACACCAGACCCTTTCAAGGCTGTTGAGAGCATGTAGGCTAGCTTCGTACTGCAATATGAGACTGGTGAATTTGTCTAATAAACTTTCATGGGAGAGGCGATGAGATTCAGCAATCATTGCCTAAAAAGTACAAGTAGGCTTTGAGAACTGCTCTTTCAGAGCAGCACATACATGTAAAATTAGAGGGAAAAAGTAAACAAACAGTAGAAGTGCGAACGATAGGCAGGTATCCCAGGTAGAGATTTCGCCGTGTGAGATTTACACCATCTGTCTTCACAGGAGAGCAATCTGTATGCTCTCTTAAAGCCAAGTGAACAACCCAATTGCGCTAGGTCATAGAGCATGTTCGATTTCCTCATTACCGCTCACCAGATCTTGGAACTCGCTTTTAGCGAATACGATCAAGAGAAATGTAATCTTAAAAATATTATCTCGTGCTAGTATTGCACGTGGGGGGTTATGTGTATAATATCTCATGTTAGATAAACGATGTCGTAGATCAACTCTGCAAGTCTTCCTCCTCCGCGATTGACCAACTAAAGTGTGCTGGCTGACGGAGAGGGTGAAGATGAGAGTAGTAGGCCAGGCCACAATGCCACTAACAGATAACAGAACTAGAGCACACATCACCCTTTGTAGCCGTCGTTGTGAAGTAAGTTGGAGATAAGTCTCCAAAAAGCCTGTAAGACCTAGAAAGGACGTCTCGGGGTTCGGGTAGTAAATTATTTTCTGGCATCGATATATTCATAGACGAATGTAGATTTAACAGTGCGGAAAGGAGTTTATGAATTGAAGAAAACTTTGGTTGTAGGTTTACCGGGTTAATTTTGGAACAATCCGTCTTCTAGATCTGGTTTGCGTCAGCGCGGCAACTTTCCCTTTACCTGACGTGACTTTCCAAAGTCAAACCCAAACAGGATCCATGCTATGGACGTCTACATCGACCAGGCTGCCTGATCTTACTTTACAATTCACAAATATCATTATCACTTCCGAGGAGCCGCAGAAAGGCTGTCACGTCATCAAACACGAGTATTACGGTTTTATGGTAAAAAAAACATTGCATTGGCAAATGTTACATCTGGTGTACACGGCAATGGGAAAGCCAAATGATTCCTTCGCTAAGATTCAAGGCCGATCATGTTTGAACGCCGTACGCCAGTGATCCAAGGACTTTTGCTTGTGACCCATACCCACATCCCTTCCATGCGAGACAAACGAAACCCTTTTCTGCTGCTCTCCAAGTCTGAACAGGCTATCCAACTCCCCTGACTGTCTAGCCACCGTAGCCGCGTCCAGCTTTGGTGCTTCCAGTTTGTTCTCCCTTTCGATAACACGGATCGCCCAAAGTAACGTCATGAGTGTTTCCACACTCGCCGAATCCCTGGTCTCAAGACGACTCGCATCTACAGTGGAAAGACAGTCACGGAGCTGCTGTTCAGACGCTAACCGCATTACTACCATCGTCGCATCCGAAAGTGGACGCGCCAAATGGGGGTTGCAGGCTAGCAGTCTTCTCAGCAAGCGAATCCGAAGACTGAATCTCGGGCGCAGGCTGGTCGTCGTGGTTGAGGAATTCGTCGAAGTGGCTGTCTTCAAAGACGCCGTCGTTGTTGTGAGCCAAATTATCGAAGTAATGATCGAACTGGTTGGCGGCAGGTAGGACCCGGTTGTTAAGGAGGTCAAGATCTGATTCAGAGGTTGAAGGAAGGTCCAAATAGCTTTCGTACCCACATTGATCATGAGCGTTATTGCTAAAATGTGAGATATCGAAGCCGTTGAGGTCGAATCCATCCAGGGCCTGGGCTCTTCCGACTGACACGGCAGGTCGCACAACATCGCGGCAGGATGTTGTGTCAAGTCGGAAGAATTGGCGTTGGAAGTGGAATCGACGACAGGCCCCATCTCTGGGGATAGAGAGGCGGGGTTGACGGTTTGGACTACTTGAGGATCGACAAGAGATTGTGTCCTGATTGGCTGGGGGTCAGCGTCTCTTGGACCGAAGAGATTTTGTGAGAAGGTGATGGATGGTCTAGGTGTTTGGCGTAGTTGCTCGGAGGCTCCTGGAGATGAGGCAACTGACGATGAATGAAAGGCATTCATACCGCCGCTCATTTGTTCCAATTGGCGCTCAAGGAGGGCATTCTTTGCCTCGGCGTCAGCCAATCGTCTCATGAGGTCTTGGTTTGTTTGTTCGACGGCGAGCTTCTGTGCCTCGAGAGCCTCTACCTCCTGACGTTTGCGCTCCCTTGATGATTGAGCTGCCCGGCGGTTGCGCAGGACTCTCTCAACTCGGCGTTGCTCCTTTTCATCTTCAGTCTTGGCACGTTTCCTAGAAAGCGGGTTAGCCGATTGATCCACGATGGTGAACTGCTTGTCGAGTATGTACCTAGGCGGGAGATTTGTCTTTGGCTCTGGAAGTTGTTGGCCCCAAGACTTTCTCTTCTTGACTGGCTTCTTCTCTGGCGCTGGAGTTCCAGCCATGCTTTCACCATTCATCGATCCGCCGAACATGCTCTCATCATCGAATGACTGGGGAGTCATGACCTCGGATGGATCCATGGTGTCGTTTGGGTGGAACAGAGAAGGATATGCGGTGTTTGGTGTTGAGACAAAGCTGTCGGCGAGGCTGTCGGCTGGTGAATGCTCGAACTTGATGTGTGGTGAGCCCGACATCGTGTTGATTATGGATGGCAATGTTGATAGTTGTTGGTTTCAGCGACTGCGGATGTGATCGCTGGTTGCTGGGCGTTGGCTTGAATGATGGACACTGGGGGAGGAGAGTGTTCGGGGTGAGGCCAGGATGCGGTACTAGTTGTACGGGATGACCTCGCCCATAGTGAACTGGAAAGGTGGCCTCTTTCGGGAGCAGATGAGTCAAAGGAACAGGCTGCCGTTTGGATGTGATGGGTCCAATGAGAGAAGGGGAGAGAGGAAGAGAGGGGCGGAGGAGGAGGAGGAATGCCTGGTGGTGGTGGTTTGTGTGAGAGATGCTTCGTGGTCGAGGTGGGAGGAGATCTGGCTTTATGTTAAGGACACGTTTAGGCGAGAGCTGACTGGAGCGGGAGGCCCAGCCAGACGCCTTCCTTCTTCGAGTTAGCGCTCACGCAATGCGGCGCCCCCTTCGCCTCTTCCTCCTCCTCCGAGTCCTCCCTGCTAAATTTATCCGGAGGGAAGTTGCCAAACGAGTTTGATCACCCCTCAGCACGGGGCCTGCAAGGAGATAGGGGCAGGGGAACAAGGCACGACGGGGCCGGGAAAAAGGAGTTCGACCAATATACGGATTTTTCCATATTATAAGTATTTATTATCCCTTGAGTCCCCTATGAGTACCCCGTACCGTACAGTACCCCTTGGTGCTGCTGGAGAGAAACTCTGTATGACCTTGTGACAGCGCGAGATGAGCGCAGCAACATTGCCATTGGCGGAAAAGACCTGATATCGTGCAATGTGAGGCACTCGAGATCGCCGTGCCTTGCCTTGCAGTGATAGTGTTACTTCCCAGGTGCTGGAAAGTAAAGGTAAACACTCCTGAGGAGCAAGGAGCACAGCAAGGAGGACCTGCCTCCGAGAAGAGACGAGTCAATAGTAATAATAACGAGTTCTTGTCTGATACAGCACCAAAGTTTCCTCGAAGCTTCACCAGTGCCACCACATCTATGGAGTGCCTAGGTAGGCAAGGTAGGCTTTTTCGGCTTTCTCGCTGTTTGTACGAAAGTACCTTTCGTACCAAGTACCTCCATTCCCGGTGGAGAGACTCGTACTGAACTTACACGAATCATACGAGCTCATACGAATCATACTCGTACGGACTCCACGCCGCTCGATGGATATGAAATGAAATGAAATGAAATGAACCTGAAACTCAACATTCCATTCTTATTGTTCCTTGATTCGATTAGATTCGATTCACTTGTTCCATGTTCCACCCGCCTTCCCTTCCCTCCCGGAACGGCGGGTCCGGCTGGAACATGGAAGAGCCACAGCGTGCAGAGGAGCGTGCGGCGCTGCAAGGTCCGTCCAGAATCCAGAATCCAGAGGGCCAAAGGGGGACAGCCACGGTCACGGGCACGGGCATGCCAGGGCCGAAACGAATCGAATGATAAGGCAAGGCGATAACTGACCTCCACAATCGAGTCTGTCAATGTCAAATTTGCACCTTTCCTGGTCTACACAGACGAGCAAAGCCTCATGTCAAGCATCACGAACTTCCCAAAGGTACAGTACGGTCAGTCGATATATACATGTACGGGTGGACTTGCACGTTCCAACAGGTGTCCCCAATTTGATGTTCAGAGAAGAGAGGAGGCTCCGGTCGGTTCACTTGTCTAGCGTCCTTTCGCGAGGCTGAAATATTTTTTCTAAACAATCCGACCGATGTTGAGCAAGTACATAGTCATGCACGAAACTAATAAAAACATAACATTCTCAAATCCCAACTTCAGAGCCGACCTGACAATCGCCCATTGAAGATCAGGTAGGATCACGCGCATCGCCAATTGTAGATAATCTCAGATTTGGCTCTTACGATTCTTCACCTACATTCACAATGGACCGAAGAGTTGGACTACTTGGGGGTGGGCAGCTGGGACAAATGCTCTGTGAAGCTGCCAATCCCCTGGGCATCTCAGTGACCATTCTGGACGCGGAGAACTCACCTGCGAAGCAAGTAAATGCGAAGGTCTCACATGTAAGTAGTGACTGGTATCAAAAGTGGCAGCCGCTGACAACCCCGCTTCAAAGGTGAATGGATCCTTCACCGACCCCGAAAAGATACGCGAACTAGCCAGGAAAGTAGACATACTTACTGTCGAAATTGAGCACGTCGACACTCATATACTAGAGGAGATCGCAGAGAAGGGTGTGGAGACTGTTGGAGAAGATGGCAAAAAGACAACGAGAAAGGTGGAGGTTCAGCCTAGCTGGAAGACGATTCGAACAATCCAGGACAAATACCTACAAAAAGACCACTTGACCAAGAACGGTATCCACACTGCGATCTCGAGAGCTGTTGGGTCGGGCGAGAAAGACTTGCAAGACTTTGGACGGGACTTTGGTTACCCTTTCATGTTGAAAGCCAGAAAAGACGCGTATGATGGACGAGGCAATTATCCTGTCAAGTCCGCCTCTGATATCAAGGAAGCCTTGACTGTATTGAAGAACCGAGACCTATACGCTGAGAAATGGGCCAACTTCAAGATGGAACTCGCGGTGATGGTCGTCAAGACAGAAGATGGCGTTTCTACTGAGGGAAAGGGTACCGTGGCTTATCCTGTTGTTGAGACAATACACGAGGATAGCATTTGCAAACTGGTATATGCTCCAGCTCGTGGAGTCTCTTCTTCGATACAGGATCAAGCCCAAGCACTAGCTCGGAAGGCAGTGGGAAGTTTGTGGGGAAAGGGTGTATTTGGTGTAGAATTGTTTCTTCTGGATGATGGTACGTCCTCCAATTCTATGAAAAGACGAAGTTCTGACCTATATAGATCGTCTGATTGTCAATGAAATCGCACCGTAAGTTCAAGCTTCTCTCTCAGCAGAGACGTACTCACATCTCCTAGTCGGCCACACAATTCAGGACATTACACAATTGAGGCATGCCCAACAATGTCCCAGTACAAATCTCAACTCCTCTCCATTCTCGGCATCTTCCCCGATACATCAAAGATCCCGACAATGTTCCCAGCAACAATCATGCTGAATATCCTCGGTGGAGCATCCAAAGGTGCCCACGAAGAGCTGGCGAAGAAGGCTGTGGCAATCCCAACAGCCTCTTTACATATGTACGGCAAGGAATCAAAACCAGCCAGAAAGATTGGACACATTACTGTCGTTGGAACATCCATGGCACAGGGTAAGTCTCCTATCACGCACCATCCCATCCGCCAGAGTCCTAACAAAACCAGCCGAGAAGGTCATCAACCCCCTCATCACCCTCACAGACTCCATCCGCGCTGAGCGAAAAGGTATTTCAACGCATTCAAAGTCTGTACCCCAACAACAACAATCCACCGACGACAACCAACCCCTAGTCGCCATAACAATGGGTTCCGACTCGGACCTACCCGTCCTCAAACCCGGCCTCGCCCTCCTCGCAACCTTCAACATCCCATACCACGTAACCATCACCTCCGCCCACCGCACACCCCACCGCATGACCGCCTTCGCCGAGTCCGCCGTCTCCAAAGGATTCAAAGTCATCATCGCCGCTGCAGGCGGAGCTGCCCATCTACCTGGCATGATCGCCGCAAGCACACCGCTACCTGTGATCGGCGTTCCCGTGAAGGGCAGCACGCTGGATGGGATGGATAGTTTGCTTAGTATTGTGCAGATGCCGAGGGGTGTGCCGGTGGCTACTGTTGCTATCAATAACTCTGTAAGCTTTCTTCTTGCCTCCCCATTCTCTACCTTTGTCATTCATAATCTTGAAGTTTCCATTTACCCATGTTAACAAACAACCCACAGATCAACGCCGCTCTTCTAGCAGCCCGTATACTCGCCACAAACGATGAGGTCCTCCGTGAGAAACTAGAGAAGTACGCAAGTGACATGGGTGAAGAAGTAGAGGGCAAGGCTGCAAAGCTGGAAGATGTTGGTTTCGAGAAGTATTAAGCGAGGTAGATTAGATGCCCTTCAAATCCAAAAAGGCTTTTGAGCAAGATTCCTTACGTTTTGAGAATCGATTGGAAGAACAGTGTGATTGTGTCAGATTGGCATTCATGCAGTGGGATTCTGCCCCATTTTGAAAATATTTAGAAGTGTGGAGTATTATGCCGCTCAGCATTTGATTACGAGTATCATGACTTTCTGAATTCAAGTACCATCTGTTCAATAATGTGATGCTCCCTTATCAACTAGAAAGGACTCCCAAATTCAATTTTTTCAATTCTATCATCATCAAAACACTATCCAACAACCATAAACCAACAACCCCCCTCCCTCCTTCTTCTAATCCCCGCCTGAATTTCATCTCATATCTTCCTCCCTCGCAGTATTTATTCGAGTTTCGAGGGAATTTCAAAGGACCAGAATGCTTTCTTTTGTTTCTATAATTCCTCCTTGCAAAATCTCCTCTTGGTGTGGGATCCTTCCATGCTCTATAAAGTGTGTCTTTGGAGGATGTGCATGTCTCTATTTCCGCTTGGGACTTACAGGAGTACTTTGAGGGAAAGGAATGGAAGAGATGAGCTTGGTATGTATTCGAGTGTATGTTGGAGGTTCATGATTCTCAACTTGCAAGTCAAAAATATCGTCAAGTGGTAGGCCAACATCGTCAATTACGCCAGAAGCTCTAATAGACTGGATATCCACCACACCGTCTCGAGCTTTTTCTGGAAGGCTGTCGTCCAAAACTACCATTCTCTCTTCGAACCATTGTACTCAAGGTACTCCCCCGATTTCGTATCCTTACTCCTCAACACCTTCAACATCCCCGCAATACTCTCCTCCTTCTCAAGCATCGCCATCGGACCACCCATATCCGTCTTCACCCACCCGGGATCAACCGCCAAAAACTTAACACCTCTCGCCTCCCATTGGCCCGCCTGATGAACAGTCAACATGTTCAGCGCAGCCTTCGAGATACAATAGATAGTAGCCTCCACGGTCTCCTTGCTAGCATTATATGACATCGAGCCTAGGCCAGAGGACATGTTCATGACGACAGATCCCTTCTGGAGATGCGGCGTCAGGACCTGCACCATGGTGGCTGGTCCCATGACGTTGACGTTGATGTGATTTGTCAAGGAGTCAGGTGTCATTGTCTCACTTGTCTGCTCGGGAGTCGTGTTGATGCCGGCATTGTTTAGCAGGAAGTCGACCTGTTTCTCGGCACCGAACGTCTTTGAGACATTCTCGGCAAACGTTTTGATGGATTCTTGGGAACTGGTGTCGCATTCTAGGATGTGGAGAGACGGGCTCTGGAGAGATTTAAGTGCAGAGATATCGTTTGAGAGGGATCGAACGGTAGCGATGACTGTATTTGATGGATCGGTGGTAAGCTGAGTGACGAATTCGAGGCCTAGGCCACGATTGGCACCGGTCACAATCCAGAATGGCATATTGACGGATTTAACAATGTTTGACAGATTTTACAAGTAAGATGAATTCAGTGAGAACTATCCCCAGGAAGAACAGCAGCAAGTCTGATTTTGTACGACCTTCCAACAAGAAAGTGTTTGTCAGCAAAACCCCACGATGACGCAGAGATTTCGAGGGGTTGTTAAGAATGCATCGTGGTGTTTCCCCCACTCTTGAATTCATTGGGTCCACTGGGTCCCGTCAATCGTTGACGCCTCTTTTGCTAGCAAGAGCAATACACAATGATATTTGGCAACCCCAAAGATATTTATTTGTTTTTCTCGGCTTTAGATTTCATAATTTGTTGATACTTCCTGTGAAGAATATAGATGTAAGCACTGTGCCAAGAGTAGTATATTTTGTCGTTTGTGGGAGCAGCAAAATTCCGAGCCATGATCCATCAAGTAGATATGGACGTGGAATATGTCCAAACTGCAGTAGCCATTGCGGTGGGACGCAGGGATTATATAGGAAAATTTTCAACTTGCTTCTACTGGACTACCAGCACCTCTACCAGTCTTTTCTCTCTAGAGACAGCACCAGGCAGTTACGAGTACTGAGATGTGCTCTTATTTTAGGGACAAAGTTGCTGAGTAAACGACACAGTAAAGATTCGTCCCTTCCATCCTCATATGGCACGTTTTGTTGATTCACTCAGACAGTGGAGTGACAGTGGAGTGACAGTGGAGGGTGAAATAGAAGCGAGTCTTGGCCCGCAAATCTGATGGCCAGCTTTCATGATTTCCGAAGATTTAGTGCACTTCTGATGCCTCTTTTGGTTGCTCAGGCCCGCTTTCAAGTACGCTGAAAATGTGCCATTCAAAGGTGAAAGGGATAGAGTAGGTAATAAAAACCACATCTCCATCACCGCGTTGTTGTTCAGAGCGTCCAGCAGGAAGTCACGTACACTATGACGGGCACGCTGTATGGTATCCGTGGATATAAGCTCCTTTCAACAATGATACCATGACAAAACCATAGAAAAGAAAAAACGAAGAAGAAGAAAAAAAGGCAGAACTTGGGCAACTTGAGCAGATTCACTGCCAGCAAGAGCTCGCCAATATTGCTTTTTGGACTCGCTTAATGGCTGTCAACACTCAACTCAACCAACCCCTTTTCAATAATAACCGAAGGAGAGCTGACGCCAGACAGAGAACATTCAAGATGGATTCAACTAGGTGAGCTGCAGATACGTAGTGTCAGGCACACAATGAGGTAGGAAAAGAGTGCTTTTCGGACCATCGCAGCTTATCTTTGGTCGAGCGATACCTTGACAACCTCGCAGTGTCTTTCCACACCGCGGCATACTCTGAATAATGGAAAGCAATGGAAAGTATTCCAGTTTTCCAGTCTGGTAATTTTAGATCTCAGGTCAAACATGAAGTGCTTACATGTTGGGGCTTATCTCTGTTGACAGCTCTCTATCTCCGAAGCCGGCCAGATCTTCTTTTTTTGAAATCTTTTTCATGCCACGACATCCATCGTGGGTCGTGGAGATTATTCTCATTGAAAAGCTCTTAGGGATTCAGCCAGCCAAGGACCGCTAATCCACTGTGCCTCGTGTGCCTACTTGGTTGGGGGTTAGCGCGCATTACATAGCCGATGACGCTAGAGAGTCGCCTTTTCCCCTTTTTCCCAACATGGCCGAGGTCATCCTTCCATCGCGTCATGCAACAACAACACCATCCTGGACTTCGTGGCTCTGGATCGGGAGTCCATACATCCATACAGCGCAACACTGCCCGGTGGGAACCCATTCGTCTGAAGCTCATAGTGTTATTGATTGACTATCGTCGGATCTTGCTCACCAAATTCGTCCGCCCCGTGCTCATTATTATTATTCGGCCTGAGGATGCCGGGCGGGTTCGTCCAAAGTTGGATTTTCCGGTAGTTCAGAACCTTCAGCGGCTCCTATCGCAACTAGTAGTACTAGGTAAAGCTCGCTGTTCGAGCCGCAGTTCAGCTTCGATAAATTAGAGTTCGCTGGGTACTCATGTAACTACTAGTTTAGGGACAAAAAATTTGGACCTTTCAGCTCTCATCTTGTCTCTTCTGGTGCATGTGTTGCGTCCCTGGTCTTCCTTCCCGTTTTCCTGTGATATTTCCAACTTTGGATTCCGTCTGCATCGTACCTCCATGCGACACGGTCATTTTTGCGTCAAGCGTGGTCTTCACATGGCAGTCATTCTCCTTGTCGAAGGAAGCGCCCCTGTATCAAAACTCGTTGATCTCAACCTGTAAGAACGGGAGGATGTCCCGTAAGACGTTAGCGATCTTCAAGCCCCCTCCCGCTTTTACCCCAAGCCCAGACAGGCATCGTGCGGGCGACGCCTTCAACCGGTCTTTTCTGTTCTTTGGTAGGCCAAAGTCGGAACGTTCTACGCGCTCGTCTGTTAAGGGCAATGGCGCAAAGTCTATTACCCCTAAAGGATTTCCTAGCTGAAGCTTCAGTTCCAAGGCATTGGCAAATTGCGGCATCCGTCACGCCTTGTGGACTTTTTCTGGCCTAAGGTCTGATCTTCATGGGCCTCGGGCCTCGCTGGCTTCCAGCTATTCCCCCCCTTTTGGCCTGAACATGATATCGACCAGCACTGATCAAGGAGCCGCGGTGTATTTGTGGATCTTTGAGCCTATGTATCGCCAGCCATGTGGCTCGAGGCGTCTCCCCGATGGCACATCCCAGCTGCTAGCAGGATAGCAGGAAATGAGCCCATCAATAGACTCCTTAATTTTCATATATGGTCGGAAGTTCCCCCTAAGGTTATCGCAGATCCTCCTTCCCCGCCTGATGTGATGCCGGGATCCTAACCTCAATTACTTTCTTTCACGTCTCTGAGTTTCCCTTTCACGTTCAACTCTTTGCTCATGCTCAGGGTAGCGAAGTTAAGGTTGTCCCCCACGATGAGGCCCGCGATGTCACCTACGAAGACCGCATTCTGCAACCGTGTACCAAAACAAGTACAGCGGTGTTTACCCCTCTATATTGCATTCATCGTATTCATTATCCTTATAACCAACCTCGACCTGGTGGGATCTGGAGCAACTCATGTTAAACGTGACGTCGTCCTACGGAAAACGAAATCAGGGGGCACAACGTCCGCAGCAGAACCTGCACATTTTCCAAAGAAGATCTGGCAGACGTGGAAAGTCGATGCTCTGGCTTTCGAGGAGCGAGATCTGAGTCGTGCAAGGACGTGGACAGCGAAGAATCCCGGTCACAGATATGAGGTGTTGACGGACAACAATGACATGTACTATGTGGAGCAACATTTCGGCCCAGAGGGAATTAATCGCCCTGACATCGTTGATATGTACAGGTCACTCTCTGCGAGAATCATCAAGGCGGATTTGTTGAGATATTTGGTTATGTACGTTGAAGGAGGTGTTTACGCGGACATCGATGTCGAGAATCTGAAGCCTATCGATCGATGGATTCCAAAGCGATTTGAAGAGTCAGAGTTGGATATCGTCATTGGTATCGAAGTGGACCAGCCAGAATTTGCCTCGCATCCAATTCTCGGTCAAAAGTCCAGGTCGTTTTGCCAGTGGACATTCATGTGCAAGCCAGGGAATCCACTCATGATGCGTTTGGTGGATGGTATTTTGAATTGGCTCAATGAGATTGCCAAGAAGGAAGGCAAACCAATTTCTGAGATCACCCTCGATTTCGACGATGTCCTCACTGGAACCGGACCTTCTGCTTTTACAATCGCTACACTCGCTGAGATGAGCATGCGAGAGGGCAAAACCATTGAGTGGGACACTTTCCACAATTTGGACGAAGCTGTCCTTGTGAGCGGAATTTTGGTCCTCAATGTCGAGGCCTTCGCGGCTGGACAAGGGCACTCAGATTCCGGAAATCACAACTCACGATTCGCGCTCGTCAAGCACCGATATCACGCATCTGGCTGGCCATCCTCACATCCCAGACATACACACCCCGCCTATGGAGAAGTCGAGAAGTGCAACTGGAACGCCGAGTGCGTAGCAATGTGGGATGTCAACACAGCCGCCTACGAAAATCTATCTGAGGAGGATAAAGCCAAGATGATCGAGATCAAGAAGGCGAACGACATTGTGGAAAAGGAGAAGGCGGATCAACAGGCACGCTTCCTTGAGATGCTCGAGAAGCAAGAGGCCGAGAAACCGAAATTCGATCCCGGACCACAGCTTCCTCCAAAGGACGATCAAGCTCCTTTGGTTGCCGTCGATCCTGCTGCACCGCTGGATGCAGCTCCTGTTGCGGTACCTCCTCTACCTGAAGCAGCGCTTGCTGCTTTGCTTCCTGCAGAAGTTGTTGGTGGAAAGACTGAGGAGCAGCCTGGTGAAGAGAAACCTCTTGATCCAGCTGCACCGGTTCCAGCACCTGCACCTGCACCTGAAGCTGTACCTGCCCAGGACGCCGCACTTGTTTTGGAGGCGGCACCTGTTCCTGCACCTGCTTGAAAGGAGACTTAGACAAGGCGTTCTGGGTTCAATATTAGCATTGCATGTCTTCTCGGATAACGAAGCAAAAGACGAGCTATACGATACCACACAACAGAGAGGCGACGAGGCCAGTTGGGATGATGTGTATGGGGAAGGGAGGAAATACCAGATAGTGGACAGTTCAGGATTGTTGAACTGAGGCTGGATTTAAGTTTGGGTTACGGGTGGTGGTTTCTTGGCAATTTGCATTTCCCTTATCTGGGATTTGAGATGCGCAATGCAGCATCGGCTTGCATTGGTCGGATGGGACAGCAACGAAACAAGATTGCAAACGGAATTTCCTTACTCTCTCATTCGATTCAATTCTTCTAGACTGGTTTACCAGTCAGTGCACACTGCACATCTAGGGGTTTGTTGTTGTCCAAAGTTCAGACGGTGTTGGGGCGAACACGTATGCGTACGCAAGTATGCTGCAGGAGTTGGAAGTTTTACTTTTTCCCTCAAGTTCGATGATGAATAGCGGATGGCGTCGGGATATTCCATATTCTACTATATAATTGGCTAGAACGATAGACATAGAACTTGGCAGATGTATGAGACACAAATCTTCAACAACTGTATTTTGGATTTTCGTCCCCTCGGTCTGTCATCGTCACTTCTTCCTGTTACCTCGCACTTTCTTAAGCTTCAACATCTCTCACTTTCTGATGTTCCGAGGGTGGCTGAAATATTCCCATTCGTCGAAAGGATAATATGGATACCAAAAGCTTGTGATGCTCATCCTCCCAGGTTCTCCGCATCATATGGATCTCTTCCTCCGAATACCCCGCCTTCCTTCCTCGTCCCCTCCTCATTTTGACTGGACATGATGATATCCCAAGACCAAGTTCCCTCGACACGATCGGATCGCATCAACCCATCCCAGCAAATCAACTAATACGGTCCAGGAAACCGCACCGACAACCCCCTGCATCACACATGCTGCTTTGCCACAAAGGCCCCAAAAGCGCCTCGGTAGGTCGAGATTTTTGGGCAGGGGGGTTGGGGTGCGTGGGGCGGCTCGGGCGTGCTGGATGCACTTATGCTATGCAAAACTATTACTAGAATAGGATAGCCTGAACACTGGGATGCTAAATAATTTTACGGTTCGGAAAACCCCAACTAAAGAGAAAGGTTCACGTTCCGTTCCTCGACTACTGCACGCAGGAACATGGCTGGGATGGGACGAGCTGATTTGGCACGTAGGAGAATCTGCCGAGACAAGAGCACGAATCAGATGGCTGGGAACATGGGACGGACCTTCGTGGTCTTGGATCGAGACTTGGCTGATCGCTTTTTCACTTAATCGATAAGTGCTGCTCCTTTGCTTGATGAAGGTTAAGCAGGAGGACGGAAATGCGAGTACATACTTCCGGTGATGGTATCTAACCTTCCCAAGTAAATTTTTGCTGTAAACAACTGCAACTGATAAGAGAGAGTTGGTCTGGATGGGGGGTTTTGACGTAAGTATCCCAAAAGTAAAGTTTACACATGGACTATTAATCCAAGCTGAATGCTCCTCTCCCCTGTCAATGCAGCTGGCTATCGCGGTGAAGAAAGCCAAAAAAAAAAAAAAAGTGAAGAAGCATCCGTATGGATGCGCTGCACGGGCAGGATCTACGGTGCGCGAACTATGGAATTCTTGAACCTGGCTTCTGGGTCCAGAACATTAGATTGAAGTCCAGAGTTGTTTCGAACAGGTCGCTATGTGACCCCTAGCATATCTGACATCTGCTCTAAGAAGAAGACGATGTAACAACAATACCAAGGAATGGTTTATCCCATGTTCTCTTAAACTTGGATTGTAGGAGGCTGGAAATGATTGGATATAATAATGAAAGTTTTCTGGCAATAGCTGTGGTCATAATCGCATTTCAAAATACCATGCTGTGGAACCTTGCAAACTTTGTTGAAGATGTCGAGTTTGGAAATACATAGTCATGAACATGATTCCATTGAACGTGGCCAGGTGGGACCTCATGTTAACTCGTCTCTTTCAAATCGTCACAGTATCCTTTTCCTGGATGTATACATCATCCACCTATAATTCCATCCTCGACTCCTTGTTCCTCCATGCCCACAAAACTCGGTGTGCTTAACAGCTCCGACCCAATGACAATTCCCAACTCCTTGGGCTTCCAGCCCATATATACCAATGTCTTGCGACATAATCCCAGCCAACCTATCTATCCTATGCACCTGAAAAATCCAATTCTTTTCGCTCTTTGCCAATGCCCAATACCCGTTATCCTTCCTCTAAAACCCGAAACGCTAAAAGAGTAATTACAGCATATAAAACCAAATCCTCCAAGACAAAAGAACAGAAACTTTCAGCGAAAGCCGCTTGAAGGTATCGCAAGTGCCCTGCAGCAGAAGGTGAAAGCAAAATAGTATACAGTGGTAGATAGTAACAAGAAAGAAATTCCCAACGACTGGCCAGAACTCAGCATACCTAAGCTCGCGCTCGCGGGGACTGCTGGCCTGTACAGACCTGTCTGTTGGAACAATGTAAAATAGCATGCAAGAAATTTTGAGCCAGTCAAATAAACACCTTTGGCGGGGAATGATAGCTAGAATTCCTCTTCCGCTTCACTGAAATATGTGATGCAATCGAGCTCCGTATAAGGTCGCCGCGTAACTTGTAGTCTTGATTTAAATTTTCCGGAGTATGACACTCCGGGGGCTCATCTTCGTCGATATCATTGATATCGGTGTTTTGAATAAGCTCTGGAACTGAATAGTGGCTCTGGCACCCAGCCATCGCCAATGCGGCATCGAGCCACTCAAGATCCTGCCTCGAAATCTTGAAATCGTTTGGGATTGTTGCTCCTGGCTTTGAAATTTGCTTCTTGGACTTCCAAATGTTTATTTCTAGGCTGGTGATATCGCTTGATAGCTTCTGGTCTTGAGCCTGAAGTTGTGTTGTTGACCCATAGGCCTCTTTCTGTTCCACGTACAGTCGTCCCAATTCCGCTTGAAGATTCTCAAGTGTTTCAAATGGTGCTTCATCGTCATCCTCGCAGCTTATTTGCTGATCCTGGAGCTCATCCCTGTTGTGTTCTGCCGTCTCTATGCGATCTCGTACATCGCTTTCACGATGCCGTGCCCTTTCTATCTCGTTTCGTATGTTTACCCGAAGCATCCTCTGAAGCCGAACAAGTTCTTGATCCTGCTGCAAGGAGTTTCGCTGGAAGTTCTGGGATTGTAGTCGTTGATAATGAGGGAATGTAGCGATGAATCGATCCAGAGAAGCAATTTGTTGATGTAGATTCCCCCTCTCTTCCTCGAAGCGGAGGATCGAATTTAGCCATAAATTCTCGTAACGCTTTATCTTTGACTTGTAACCTCGAAGCCCAACCTCTAGGCGGTCGCAGGCTTCTGATTTTGCTGATAAAAGGTTGGTCGCATCGCCAAGCTCCAACTTAAGTTCTTGATTGCGCAGTATGGTCTCTCTTTGCGTCAATAATTCCTGCTCTGCAACTCCCAGACGCTCTTCCAATTGTTGATGGGACTTCAACCTTTCTTTCAAGCTAACGACAGAGGCTTCCGATGATGCAAGATCTGCAAAGTATCTTTCCTTGTCCCGTTGCGCCCACTGCTCCATTTCCGACATCTCCCCTCGCAGACGGATGAGCTCATCTTCCAATCTTTGATTTGCATGGATAATAGACAATGATGCCTGTTTCGCTTGGTCGATAGCGTATTGGGCTTGTCGCTGTACAGCTCCCACATCGGCTCCAAACTGCCCTCTTTGGTAAATAGACTGGAGTTCTTTCTGGTGCCTCTCGGTTTGTTCTTGTTCCCTTATTTCATAATAGTCGGCTTGGATTTCCAATTGTTTCTCGAAGAAAGCTTTCTGGGCCCTCAATTGTCCCTCAAACTTCGCTTTTTGTGCGCTTAGCTCCTCGCAGAAGGCTTCTGTGCTCTTACACTCGGGCCAATCACTGCCCGGGGGTTTTTGGACTTGTCCAATGCTGCCTCGACAAAGCTCATGGTCAATAGTCCCTAAAGAGACTGAGACATTGTCATAGTTGGGAGGCGTGACAGCGCGAGAGCTCAGTGTTCGTGTAGTTTGGTCGCTACGCGGTGTATATCGAGTTGGCCGCTGGGATGGTAGCAGTCCACTTAGTTGTGCAGGAGCACTAGGACTAGCAAGACTCGATGTGCGAGGGGGGTGGTCGTCAACTCGGATTGAGTTATCGGTATTCGAGGTCAATACGCTTGGTGTTTTTGGAACTTGAAAGGGTCAGCAAGATCTTGCTTGGGGCAAAGTTGAGACAGACCTTGGAACTCCCCCCTCTTCGCATGGATTGAGTCACTTCGAGCTCGGGCACTTCTCCCTCTCCCGATGTGTAAGACATTGCCTCCAAAAGTTGGTGAAAACCCTGCCTCAAAAGCTTGTTTGGGTCTTGTGCCGGTCTCAGAGATTAGGTAGTTGTTGGAATGATGGTCACGAACGGAGGGCAGTGAGGCTTCTCCGTCTGCACTCATAGCATGACTCTGCGAGGCATCTGCTGGATATTATAGGCGCGGAAGGAATAAAGAATGTAATCAGCCGCCTGCGTGAGGATTAAGGATGTAGAGACTGGAATTATGCTGCAAAAGCCATGGTGTTCTGGGGTAGGAGGCATGGGAATGTCAAGAGCCAGGAGCTTAGCTCGTATCGGAAATTGGAACTTTCCCACCGATGACGATTTGTGGAGGAGATGGACGGAACCCCCCTCCGCTGGCGCAAAGACTGCCATCTGCTCTGATGTTCTTTTGAAATGTTAAGAAGTAAATCCGAAGGCCCTAGAGACCTGAATTGGCAATGAAAGATATATTGTATCCAGACTCGACTGCCTCGGTCACACAACTGTCACGTCAATACTGCAGTAGCCCGTTCCAGCCGCATTGACGAGTCACAACATCACATGCAAGCCTCCAAAGTCTGTTTCGCCCCTCTGTCGCTTCTCCAAAATGCTCCATGTAAATACACAAGGGATCGATCATATCTGCTCGGAAAGCAGCAAGCTTCGGAGTTGCTTAGAGCAGCTGAAGTTCAAGACTGAGCCAGAAAATACTGTACATAACTGAGATGTTTAGCAGAAGTACTCCCCTGGCTAAATTTACTGAATCCCTTCCGTCGACCTAAATCAAGCTTTTAGCTATGTCAGGGAGGCTTGACAGCCCTAAACAAAACGATTACTGTGAATGCAAACTTCTTTAGCTACAGCTATTGTAGGGTTGAGGCTTGAAGCGGTGAACAGCAATTGAGGTCCAATTGGCAAGGCTTGAAAAGATATATCACAGAGTTCAAGGTGAAGTTTGAAGATGTTAAAATTCAGATGCGTGGGCTTATTAGTGGCAGGCAAGTCTGCACGAGTGCCGAGATCGGGTCGAGGTCTTGGATTCAACATCAAATGGATCCCATTGACACTTTTCGCGCATGGCCGACTCGTCAATCAACACAGGATCGCAGAATACACAAAAGATAAGCAGCAGCAATTTCATTTGCGCGTCTCAAAAAACTGTACGAGTACGTCTCCCCGACGTATCTCAGGTAAGATATGGGAGACAACCGATTGGATGCTTGCGTTGCATCTTCTCTCATCCCACTTTGAGCTCTCCACATGTAAACGATCAACGAGCGCTACTGGATAGAGTTTATCTATCTCCCTTTGTCGCATACGAAACCTGGCGCCGATAAAGCAAAGCTTCTAAAATAGCTAGTTGCAAACGTACGGAAGGGATAGAAGTATATCCGTCTATTCTACTGTAGACGGAAAGATGGGGGTTTTCGTCATAGGCTTGTAGTCTCTGAAGCCAGTACTTAAACGTGCGAGACCCCCACGCAGATTGGGAACTGTACCCCCATCTCAGGCTTGTAATTCTTAGAGAGTATATCTTCATATTCAAAATTTATTCCGATTTGTTTTGTGAAAGTATTACCAACACAATGGGTTCTATCACTCCCATTCCTTACAACCTCGGTCCGCTCCCACCATATCCCCTCCACCACTCCATCAAAGACAAACTAGATCCCGTCTACCGTGCTTTCTACGATGAGCATATTTCTGATAAGCAGCAAGTACATTTACAGCCTGTTGAAGCGTCGAGGACCTCCGGTGTGCTGATTCCTGGAGGAGGAAAATTGTTGAAGGTAGGTAGTACAAAGGATTACAGTGTGAGGAGGAGAGAGAGTGATGGGCCGGATGTAATGGTTAGAGTGTTTACTCCAGAGGGAGAGAGGTCGGAGAAAGGGTGGCCTGTTGTGGTATACTATCATGGAGGAGGTTGGGTTCTGTAAGTATATTTGATTTGGATCAACGGTGTTTTGGGTAGTGAACGTCGCTTCACCAAAACACCGTTCTCCCCTTACAGTTCCAATGGAGCTTTTCCATATCGCACACAAGAAAATGGCTGACTTGAGATTCTTTTAGAGGCAATATCGATACCGAGAACGTTGTCTGTACGAATCTGTGCAAAAAAGCGAACTGTATAGTCATCTCGGTAGATTATAGGTATGTTTACATCGACTCTCGCTTATCGTTGAGTTTATCTCCCTACCCCAATAAACACTTCAACGAGATACCACACATTGTGGCCCGAAGTTCTACAAGACAAACAAGACCCCAACCCAATCTCCTAACGAAATCCACAGACTAGCCCCCGAAAACCCTTACCCCGCAGCAGTCCATGACTCCTGGGAAGTTCTCCTATGGCTCAAATCCACAGCTGCATCCCTCTTCTCCCTCGACCTCTCCAAAGTTGCCATTGGTGGTTCTTCAGCAGGTGGGAACCTCGCTGCAGTCATGTGCCACAAAGCACTCTCTGCGCCATCGATCGTTCCGAGGTTTCTGGTGCAATTGCTTATTGTGCCGGTGACGGATAACACGGCGGATGTGAAGAGTACGGCGTCGTGGAGGGAGAATGAGTTTACACCTGCGCTGCCGGCGTTGAAGATGTTGTGGTGAGTTCTTGCTACATTTGAATTCGATCTCGGTCTTACAACAGGTTGTGAGAGGAAAGACCTCGAGATTTTTCATAGTGATCTTTACTGATGGTTCGTTCGTGATACAGGTACAGAAATCATTACCTCCCCGACCCCGAGACATGGGCAGACCCAGAAGCCAGTCCTCTTTTATACCAATTCGAATGGGAGGAGCAGCCTAAAGCATTGGTTGTAGTGGGTGAGCTGGATGTGTTGAGGAGTGAAGGCGTGGCTTATGCAGAAAAGTTGACGAAGGCTGGCGTGCATGCAGATTTGAAGGTCATGAAGGGAATGCCGCATCCATTTCTGGCTATGGACGGTGTGTTGCAGCAGGGGAGGGATACGATCACGTATATGGTTGAGGCGCTGAAGGATGCTTTTGCTTAGAGGGGTTGTATAGTGTAACAGGAGTAAGCGGGTAGGAATGGGTTAGTTGTTAGGCTCGGTGGTTTGCCTGTAGACTTATATGACTGGCATTCAGTGGCGCTACGAAACCATGATAGATGTTCTCGAGAAAGTTTAAATTGTTAGAGAATAGATGCATGCATCAATAGAAGTCCGTTCAAGGACCGAGTAGGAGACAAGATGTTCACTTCCCATAATAATAAATCTACGGCTCATGGAGGGGCGGTGCCATCTTGTTAGCTCTTCATGAGCATCTTGTCTGTAGATTGCTTTCCTTCTAACACCAAGGTCCACAATTTGCTACTTACACGTTCCACTCATGATCGTTGTGACGAGCTGAGCGTAGTACCTGTGAATGATTTTGAAAATCTCAAGTGCGAAGGTGAAAGTAAGGATATTTCGACACTCTTCATGAACTTGATAAGGAATAACTCACTATAGCTATCGTTGATTGTAAGGTCTATATCTGCTAGCTGTCCTGGATTTGATTTGACTCTCTGCCCATGTACCTAGGTATGACGGGAACGGACCCACTTTAACGAAATGACCGGCGGTCGATTTTTCCGATCCGCGCTTGGCAAAGCCTCTATTTCTCTGACCTGACGGCGATCGATGTCGACCTCTAGAGCCTCACTTGAATCTTCAATCTTCGATCGCACGTCGCAACATCACAAAACACGTCACCCTAACCGACGTTTCCTGTCGAAAGATACGAAATAAACCACTGCGTAGCAAGCGCAAGAGGTACGTCTAACACTCTCAAGTGGCAAACGTACAATCATTCATCATGTCGTACCCCCCACCTCCAGGTCTCCCATCGAAATCTACATCCTCACCTCATCCATCTCTACCTGCTCGACCACCACCTTCCTCTACACCGGCATTTAAACCAGCCTACAATGCTGGACGCGGTGCACCATCCTCATCGTTCACTGGCTTCGCGCCTAGATCCGTAGCCGCAGCGGCGCCCCAACCAGCCTACCACCCATATCCACAACCAGCATACCCTCAACAAGCTTACAGCGGATACTCTGCACAACAACAGCCAGAAGCAGCCTATGGCGCCGCACCACAAATTCGCAACCCATTTGCACCTCCTAGTCAGACTGCCGGCGCAGCAGGAAGAGGTTACGAGGAGGATCCTGAAATGGCAGCGCAGATCGCACAATGGCAATCGGCATATGCGGGTAAAGACACCTCGACAGCTTCTTCTGGTGGCTATACTGGAATTGTCAGAAGATATCCAGCTGGTGAGACATCAGGTGCTGCAACGTCGGCGAATGCTGCTCCATTAGGCGGAAGGGCTGATGGACCCAGCATGAGCAATGCAGCTATGACGAGCGCAGCCCACAACGACACAGGTGTAGCCACAGTTGTCAATGATGCTAAGACCAATACAAAGACCGTCGTTCGTTCTGGCGGTGGAACCACTTGGACCGACTCCTCACTCCTTGAATGGGATCCAGCTCATTACCGGCTCTTCGTAGGAAATCTTGCTGGCGAAGTCACGGATGAGTCACTCCAAAAGGCATTTGCACGCTGGCCATCTGTTCAAAAGGCTCGTGTTATCCGGGATAAGAGAACCACCAAGAGCAAAGGATACGGATTCGTGAGTTTCAGCGATGGAGATGACTTTTTCCAGGCTGCGAGGGATATGCAGGGCAAGTATATCGGAAGTCATCCAGTTCTCTTGAGAAGAAGCACAACGGAAATCAAGGCCGTCACGCCGAAGGATCAGAGAAAGGGGAAGAACAAGGGGAAGAATAATGGCAAGGGTGAGAAGGACAAGACTGGTGCTGGAGTTCAGAAGGCAGGCAGCAAGACGAAGGGCGGTTTGAGAGTGTTGGGATGAACTTCGCTGCTGTACAAAATGTTTACGATTCCCAAGGCGAAGCGAGGTTTACTGGCGTTATGGCAAGGATTATTCCGGAGCGAGCTTTTGATCTCCGTGAATTATGACGAATGGGTAGGATGAATTCTGCTTGGTGGACTCTTTCCTTCGAAGAAACCGGCTCTAGAGATAAATATCAGCAGTTTATAATTCAAGAAGAGAATCATTTGCATGCGGTATACGCCACTCCATCATAATGCACTCCGTTGCCTTCGTCGACTGGAAGTCGCCTAAAATCAATGCTTGAACGTGACCCTCTGACTGTAAGCAGAGCTGTAGATGAATTCAGTCAAGCTTTAGTGAATACGAAGTGTCTGGATAGAGACAGGTGTAATTTCCTCATGCGTACCCCATCTTTCCGCCACGACGTTACTCGTACCATCCTAGATGGCCGTTTTCTCCGACCCAAAAATTCTCGTCCAAGCGAGTTCTCAGTTTCGCTTCCAGCTCACGACACGCTCCGCCACCAAACACACATCAACATTCTGAACCCCAAGTCCAAAATGTCTGACAAACAAGGACAGCCCCCGACATTCGTTCTCAAAAAATCTCGCATCCTCCAACAACTCTCTGTCCCACTCTCAGAATACGATGACCTCTCGCCTAAAGGCTCAGTGGATGCTGGGATCCGTGAATTGATTGATGAGATTAACGGGCTAGAGGGATGTGTAACTACGAGTAGTTGTGCGGGTCGAATCAGCGTCTTTTTAGAAGGGAAGAGGAAAGCAGTTGAGTCCGAGGTGGGCATGAACGGGGAGGTGGATGCCGGGGAGCGTGAGAGAACGGCTGCTGGGGTCGGTGGGAAGGGTGGTGGTGGGAGGTGGCTTTTTGTTTCTCATGATCCTGTGGAGATCTCGAGCCGGAATTGTGGTGGGAAGGGGAGCTGGGTGGAGCTACTTGGTATGCAGAGGCTTGGGGGCGGTGATGAGGAGGTTCGGAGGGTGATGGAGAGTAGTGTGAGTGAGAGGAGACTTGTGCATTTCAAGTTTGAGCCGATGGTTTGTCGCCCTGTTACTCTTATGACATTTTGATATTCTATTTAAGATAAATAAGGATGAGATAGCTAATGGTAATATACAGATCCTTCATGTCCTCACGGCATCTCTTCAACAAGCTCAAATCGTCCTCTCAGCTGCCCTCCAAGCAGGATTCAGAGAGAGTGGCGCCTTGAATCTCACATCCTCCACTGCCGATCCACCTACACCTATGGTAGGTATTCGCTCTATGGGACTTGCTTTGGAATCAGTCATTGGCTTTGAGAGTGAAGGCAGGGAGATTTGTATGCTCCCTGAGTGGCAGCTGAAACATTTAGTTGAGGTTTCGAATCAGAGGTTTTTGGAGAATACAAAGAGGATTGAGAGATTCAGGACGCTCCTGAGGGAGATGAGCGTGAGCGGTGCTGGCTTAGCGAGAGAGAGCAAGAAGGGAGAGGATGGAGGGGAGTGGGAAGATGCGGTGGTGAGGAGGGAAAGGAAGAAGGCCGAAGGCTTGAGGAGGGCAGAGGAAATGAGGAAAGCCCGAGATTCATATGGGACAAGCCAGAGTGCAGACGATCTACCTGAATTGAACATTTTAGACCAGAATACATAGCTTTTCTCGCTTCCAGTATTTGTCCTTTCCAAGCTCTCTTCGCCTTGTATGTTCAAATTGTGTGATCCATCTATGAATTCTTGTTATTCATCATACACATAGTCTACAGTCGGTCGCCCATAATTCTTCATATTAGAGGAATCCATCATCTCACGATCTTTTCCACCCAAACCCCTTCCAACCTCCTAACCTCCTGCCTGAACGTCTCAACCTCCTTCCAGCAATCCAACGGCCTCCTATCATTCGCTCTCAAACACTTGACGACCTCACTCTTTGCCTTCTCAACACCGTCATCCACATCTGCCAACTTCCTCCTCTGCTCGAGCTTCTTCTTCAGACCCTCAACATCATTCTGTACCGCCTCGCGACCCAATTGCCGCAGGTGATCGCCTTCTGACTTGCCTTCGCCCGCCTTGTTCTTTATGGAGTCTTCGGCAGCAGAGATCTTGGCGGAGAGCTCTTCAAAGTCTTTTGCGGCTTTGTCCTGGAGTTTCTTGAGTTCTTCGGAGACTCTAGCTTGGATATGGAGTTCGAGGGTTTTGGCGCGTGTGGAATCTGTCTGTATTTTCCAAATTCGATAAGCAATTAATCATCTAGAATGAATAACAAGTACGCATACCTCAGAGCTCGACTGCAGAGAATCTACCAAGCCCTGCGAGAACCGGACTGGTGTTTCGCTGCTTCGTTATTAGCTTGCTACTCGAGATGATTGGTCGCAGGAATTCTACAAACCTGGTCCAGACTTGCGTCTTGGGAGCCGTATCCGGCTTGGAAGATCCAGAACCCATTGTGTGTGTGTTGGGAGTGCAATGGCTGGTTTATTGACTTCGCTGCTGCGATTTTGAGGTTGCATCTGATGTTCCTGGCCCACTAGGGATACGCTTACGTAAGCTTGTAGCTGGGCGTTCAGAAGCCGTCCCAAAGCATTCAGAACATCCACGAGTCCCAACTGGAACCTCGTCACATAACCGTTGAAATGGTATTTCATTTTCTAGGCATGCGATGTACAACAACACTTACTGAGGCACATGTAAAGGCCGAGAGCAGCTGCAAAAGCTTGCACGTGATCCAGTGGCCATGGAAGTTGCCCAGCGTGCGCATGCCTCGCTACTCTTTGAATCTCGTCTCAATTTCTCACTATTTCACTTGTACACATGCTATGGTTCATCAGGTAGTTTCGAGAACTATGGCTGACCTTCTAGGAACTGTTAGGAGTAGTATCTCCACCTAGAAAGGGAAGCTCAAGGCACCAAGCTCAGCCATACAATTGCGGCTGAGGTGCATCTCCAGCCTCATTATCTATGAGTTGCTATTTGCTGGCTTTCTGGCAATATTTATCCTAGGCACCCAAGGCTGCCAATTTGCACAGCTCATCAATCTCCTTCATTGTGCCAGACAGAATTCTACTATACTGGCTGTTTGGCATGATCAGTCTGTTACCAAAATGCAGCTGTACGAATATGTAAGGCTCACCACTCCCGGGGAATTTCGCATCCTCATCCTGGCTCCAGGCAGTGATTCAGAGCCGCTCAAATGTTATTTAAAGCACGCGCTTCTCTCTGATCGCCCCAAGTACGACGCGATATCATACGCATGGGGAGACCCTAGCAAACCAAGAGAGATTCTCTGCTCTGAGACTTACTCTATCCCCATCACCGAGAGCCTCTTCACAGCTCTCCGACATCTGCGCCATGAGAATGAGGAGATCGCCATCTGGGCAGATGCTGTATGCATCCATCAGGGCTCTGACACGGAAAAGAATCACCAGCTCGCTTTGATGGGAAAGATCTATTCAAAAGCCGCACGAACTTTGGTTTGGTTGGGGGTAGACAAAACCGACTGTGCAGCTCATGCGTTCCAACAAATCTCTTACTTGTCCCAGAGCGTATTGAGAGGTGCCACCTCAAATGAAGATGTTCGTCAACGAGTCCTCGTTGCATATCAAGACGAGGGCTACGAGAATTTTGAAGCGTGGTACATGACATTCATCGATATGATTGCGCCCATCCTCGGAAGCTCGTATTTCTACCGCCTTTGGGTGGTTCAAGAATTTGCCCTGGGGAGGAACACACAGCTCGTGTTTGGTACAGCAATGGTGTCGATGTACGAGTTTATCTCCGTCATGTATGACTTCGCAGGTCTCGAACAAGGATCTTTATTCCAAGAAAGATACAACTTCCATGCTCTATGCAATCTCTTGGACATGGATAGCATCAGAAGAAGCTATCAAGAAAGGATATCCTTTGACACCAACGCTATCAACATTTCAAGAGCAACCAGTGTTCCCCGAATTCTCGAGTTAATTCGTCAAACCGAGCGTCAATTCTTCACTGATCCCAGGGATCGCTTATTTGCAATACTCAGCCTTACTACAACGCCTGGATTCTCTGCTGATTATACTTTGACCGTTGAGGAGACATTCATGGGGTTCGCTTCCTGGACTTTAACTTCGTTTCCAAGTCTCGCCCTCCTATCAGTCGCTCGCGGCTTATCAAATACAAAATTCGAGCTGCCCTCATGGACTCTTGCTCCCGACATGGCTGGGCTCGACTCCGTAGAATTGACAGGACCTTGGGAAGCTCCGCCCCGACTGTCTAATATGCCGCCCTGTGGACTACCCATGAGCTTTCTACATGTTGGCCACTTCAAGGCTTCTGGAATTGGCCCATTGGAGATTGTGCCTGACTACAGTGTATATTGGTCAATTGGAGCTGAAAACGTCCTTCAACTAAAAGGCTACATTCTTGACAGTGTTCACACCAGAGGTGATCGTTGGCTAAACACTGCGACCTCGAGAGACAGGCGTCGGTCCCTGATCGAAGCAGTCACCCTCGCCAATTGCGAGACCCTAGATTTTGGAGACGACAGATACCGGCGATTCTGCGCGGCAATGACTTTCGAGCTGAGCAGAAACGATACGCCCGCGCTTCCCACCCAGCATGCAGATTTCAACCAATATATTCGTGGAATAATATATGGTTCTGAGACCAGAGGACATCGCGAGGAGATCTGGGACGACGATGCGATCTTTACAGAGATGTATTCACGGTGGGCACGGTATCGTTTCTTCAGCCTCACTACTTCGGATCGCTTCGCTTGGGTTCCACATCTGGCAGAGTCCGGTGATAAGATCTGCATTGTACGAGGATCGCGTATACCGTATGTTCTTCGACCGCAGCCAGATGGCAGATTTGTGCTGGTTGGGGAATGTTGGATTCAAGGGTACATGCGAGGCGAGGCACTGGATTTGCCTGGGTTCAGGTGGGACGATATATTCTTAGTGTGAGGAATTTTCAGATTTGAGAGATGAGAGATTATGGCTCTCATTGGAATCTGGAAGACTGGTATGATAATGAACTATGTATATTGTTTTTCATGGATGAGCTAGGTCGCGTCGATTGATTGATTGTTGTATTTAGAGTATAGGAAGAGCTCGCTTAACCGGGGTGAAGAGAACTGCGACGTGCAACACAAGCTCTTAGATGGAGCTAGTTGGGTTGTTGCATGGTTGGTTAAAACGCGAGTAGTGAAAGGTGAATGGCTGGCTTGCTGGATTTGGTTTGGTGGTGACGCTCGACAGGGAGTTCAGGTCCACGATGGCAAAGAGAGACAGATAGCTTGCGGGTTTCGAGGATATGTTGATAACTGACTTTCATGACCATGACATCTAGATTGGAGACAAGTACAGTATTGTATGAAGAGGCTGCACTCATACTCTGTTTCAGTGTATTTTGCTGACGGAGAAACAGAAATCGCTGGACGCAGCTGCTTGGGCATAGAACTTGAAGGATAATGTAATATGGTTTCATTTTAGATATCAAGTACTAGCTAGCATATAGAAGAGTTGCTTGATCTTCGTTCTATCTTCGAGTCAATGCCGTGCGGACATGGAGGCAGAATGTGGCTGAGATATGGAGTGAAGATATATCGACATTGACCTGGCAATGGCTCCTTCACCTGCTATGTTTGAGAACTATTTGAAATTACCTCATTATATGCCTCAATAAGGAGAAGACAAGTAGAGTGTATGATCATTGTAGCATTTTTAAATGGTGATGAGAGGATACCCTTAAAAATCACTTATCTCGGGTCTCTCTGGCAAGATATGAAGGTATGATTTGCTTGTATTATTGAAGACTGAGTCAGGATACAACGACATTCACAAAAGGATTCATTTACCTCTCCGTATAATTAGTCCTGTTGAATCAGTAGCACAGATCGTGAATCTGCACCAGGATCAATGCTGTGATATAAGTTCCCCTGACGATCCTCACCTCGTGCTGAAGCTAGAAAGTCACGAGACCCCACACACCAAACCCACTCCAAAGAGTGGAAACTCTCCCCTCGATTTCATCTCAACCTAACATGGAGAATGAACTGCCAAAGGTGGATACCACGCTCCAGAATCCCTCAACCAGACACGTGGGTTCGAATTCTGGACTCTCACATCTGACTCGTACGCATATCTCAAATCTTCGAAGTTCGGTCGTGGACTAAAAAGTTTGAGATCGGGGGATGTCGGAGGTAGGTCGGTATCCACTTGGTAAACTAACGGTCCGCCGGACAGAGATGCGGAGAGATAAGGATCGTGAGACAATAGAAAGAGGGGAATTCTGATTCGAAACCAGAAATTTCCCGAGAATGTGAATGAAAGAATTGCCTCACCGAGGGCCAGAGGGATTTTTGTTGAATAGCGGCCCGTGTATGCCTAAAAAATAAGCACGCGGTCCTGCTGGATGATTTGCAGACGGCTTACAGACGAAGGAATTTAGGAACGACAAACATCAGAGACCTAGGTACGTTGGGCTGAAAGCAGTGTGAAAGTGATTGCATGTGCAAAGTAAGTTCAGGGAAGGACATAAGAACGAATTTGAGATAGATCCATGGATGAGGAACGCTGCAGATGAAACGGGTAGGGAATAGGGAAGTTTCTACCGCTGTACCCGTGTTGAAAAAGATAAATGGCTCAGCTCAAGCGAAACAGAAGGCAGGGAGCGAGTAGCACAACACCACAACAAGTCGCGTCGCGAACACAAAAACGGGAACCGAAGGAAACACTGCATTGAGGCTGTGTACAACCTTACACAAAAAGGCACGATGCATGTGGATCTGTTCGACCCAGCAAATGAAGATTGGCAGCGAGGCAAGAAGTGCAGCCCATGCTGATGTTCAAGGTGTCGTATCGGTCCTGGCGGCTTTACTCTCCTTCAAGATATCTTCGTACTTCCGAAGAATAAACGGGGATATGCGTATGCCTCAAGGCCTGGGCTCAGATTCAGAGTGGATAGACTCTCGAAGACCAATTGCAGCGGGGTCTGGGGCTGGGGATCAACGTCGAACCTGGTGAGTGGGATAAATAGGCCCGAGGTGGGTAAATGAGAGGAACTTTTCTAAGGTAGAGATAACGACGGAATAAGTCATGTCAATTATAGGACGAGTAAAAGGGCGGTGTTTACAAAGACTACTGCATCAAGAAGCGTGAAATATCCACAGCCAGCGAGGAACAAGTGATGATGAGTGCAGGCGCTGGTGGGGAATTTGATCCTGATGTAATATTACATACATGGAGGGGTAACAAAGGAGGGGTCATCAAATCACAAGCAAATTATTAATGGTCGCTCGTGCCCGTTCACGATAGCATCATCGACATCATCCAACATCATCCCACTCCCATGTCCGCATGAGAAGAGACAGGCTAGAACTTCGGCCCGCCAGCGAGTGAGTGGTCGAGGTGGTTCAGTACTGTACTGTAGTGAAAGGAAGGTTTCATCAGAAGGCTGGATCCGATCCCGATTCAGGGGACGATGTGACGATCGTCCCCTTGTCCGGACGTCTTTCTCCTTGTCGCTCGGTTGTCATCATCGCAAGCCAAGACTATTATTTACTTACTAACAAACAGGACGCTGGACGTAAGTCTTCTTTGCTTTCAGGATAAACAATAATGGTCTCGTAAACATACCCTCCTCAACCCCTCACTCATTGACTTCTGCTCCACAAGTAAGGTATCCCCTCGCCCGTGATCCATTACTCCATGATTCCAGCGCGAGTGCACCGGATTAGTGCACTTGCATTGGCATGAGTGAGTGCCCATGTAAAACGGTAAAGAAAGGTGCGTCTAAAAACGCCCGCAGACATCAGAGGAGGCTTGCTTGTCTTTGCGCCGTTTCCATAAGGTAGCCATCAAAATCCATGCACAAGCCCCCTCCTTACCTGGGCAAAGATGGGAACAGGCCCTCTTCCGGCAGCTTTGCGTCATGGTTGCGCCGCAAAACCAATGCCCGCCCAGTCATAAGCTGCGGATCTGTTGCAGCCCCCCCGCAAAGTGGGCGTTTGCGGATGAGGCATGGTGCAGACTGCTAAAAGACGCACTGCGCTCAACCACTCACGGCACGCCTCACTAACCATCAGGTACTCGCTCAACCACTCAACCTTACGAGAACTGTACTGTACTGTCCTGCACTGTGGCAGCCCGGCCCCAGCCTTGCTCCAGGATCGAATCGTGTTGTGGTGTCGTTGCCGTATCGTCGCTTCCACCATCATACCTACGCTCCCTCCCTCCCCTGCTCGTTCCCGCTTGCTTCGCTTTACTTGGTCAAGTATAAGTACTGAGCCATACCTCTGTCTCGTCATTCTTTTTCTTCCCTTTCCTCCATTCCTGTATCTTTTCTAGACATTCATCTCATACTCACAATTGAAATCTCGATCCTGCCACTTGCGGCACATACTCTACCACTTATACATATTCCTACCAACAAGCACTTACTTGCTATCCACTCCATTACTAGCTGACTGACTACCGCTCACCCACCTCCACAACATCCCTCCAACCCCCGCAAATATGAAGGCAGTACATTTCGGTGCCGGTAACATCGGCCGAGGATTCGTTGCAGAATTGTGAGTTCCTCCGCCAAAAACAGCTCGTAATTGGCCTATCAAGCCATCAAGCGGATGAGAAACCAACGAACGACACTTACTGACATTTCCTGCCACAGCCTCCACAACTCAGGCTATGAAGTCGTTTTCTGCGATGTCATGGACAGCATAATCGACCAGCTACAGAAATCCAAGTCCTACAAAGTCATCCAAGTAGGCGCCGAGGGCAACAGCACAACCACCATCTCCAATTACCGAGCCATCAATTCGAAAACGAACGAGGCCGACGTAATCAAGGAGATCACAACAGCTGACATCGTCACCTGCTCAGTTGGCCCCAATATCCTCAAGTTCATCGCCCCTGTGATCGCAAAAGGAATCGACGCCCGCCCCAACGACGCAACACCAATCGCAGTCATTGCCTGCGAGAACGCCATCGGCGCCACAGACACCCTCGCTGAGCACATCAAGCACCCCAAGAACACATCTGAAGACCGCCTGGACGACCATCACGAGCGTGCCCGCTACGCCAACTCGGCCATCGACCGCATCGTACCCGCACAAGACCCAAATGCCGGCCTGGACGTCAAGCTCGAGAAGTTCTACGAGTGGGTAGTCGACAAGTCGCCGTTCCACGACCACGCACCTCCAGCGATCAAGGGCGTCAAGTGGGTGGATGATCTGATCCCATACATTGAGCGTAAGCTCTTCACGGTGAACACCGGTCACGCTGCCGCCGCCTACCATGGATACTACCACCAGAAGACGACGGTCTATGATGCTCTACAAGACAAGAAGATCCTCGATGAGGTACGCAAAGCGCTTGCGGAGACCAGCACGTTGATCGTGGGTAAGCATGGCATCGAGGAGGCCGAGCAGAAAGAGTACGTCGAGAAGATCATTACGCGAATCGGCAACCCACATCTTGAAGATGCTGTTGAGCGAGTCGGTCGTGCACCACTGAGGAAGTTGAGCAGAAAGGAGAGGTTTATTGGACCGGCTGCTGAGCTTGCTGAGGAGGGAAAAGCATTCGATGCCCTGCTTGATGCAGCGGAGATGGCGTTCCGTTTCCAGAATGTGGAGGGTGATGAAGAGAGCGAGGAGCTGGCCAAGATCATGGCTGGTAATAATGCTGAGGCAGTCGTCGAGAAGGTGTGTGGATTGACGAAGAGCGACAAGTTGTTTGAACATGTCGTCAAGGTTGTAGAAAAGGTACAAGCGGAGGCGTAAAAATTGGGTTGGGTTCGGTTCTCGGTTCGGGTGTTTTTCTTGGGTTGCACATTTTCTTCTCTTGTCTTTAATACTCGTACAACACTCGATGCTGTTGTACTGACCGGCGCTTATTGGATATGGTGTCTGGATGAGCGAGTCATTGTGGAACAAGCGTGCTCGTGGTCACGAAAGCGAGATATGCATGCTTTGGGGATGGAACTCCTCAAGCTCATAGAGCGTTATTTTATGAATATCAAAAAATCCTTCTAAACAATTATTGTTCACAGCCTTCAATTCTTTACCTGCTAGTAATATGCCAATACTAACGCCGGGGTATGTTATGCCAAATCATCTTCTCTCTTATTAGTACACTTACATGCTCACGTCTCGCTCTTCCTCGTAGGTATCTACTCGCTACTCTCCTTCCCAGCAACCAGCTTCTTCCTCTCACTCGTTTTCCCTTCCTCTCTTCGACTCGACCCCTCTCCCCTCCTGGGTCCATAAAACCCCGGACTCGGCAAAATATCCCCATCACTAGTAACATACGTCCCACCAGCCTTATTCCAATCCTCACCCTCACTCTCCGTCCCCTCATCATCCCCATCACCATCACTACCCTCTCCACCCCTAGCAGCAACCCTCGCCAGATGCGCCTCATGCTGAGCATCCTCTCTCATCTTCCGGATCTTGATCCAATTATACGCAGCTATAGCGCCGATGGTCACGAACAGACCGGATATGTTGATTGGTGTTAACGGGTCGTGGAAAACGATGCCTGCGGCGGAGATGGTAACTACTTCTTTGAATATACCGGCGATGGAGAGCGTCACGACGGATGTGCGCTGTAGGAGAGCGAATTCCGAGGCGGTCATGCAGAAGGCTATAGCGCCAGGGAAGAGAAGGAGTGCTGGGCCTAGGAAAGGACCTTTCTTCTCGATCAGAATCCGGAAGCCCTCGGCCAGCGCGGGGAATCCTTCTACAGGGATGGCGATGATGAGTAAAGAGGCGAACATGATGGGCGCGAGGTAGAAGATGGAGCTGAATGGGTTGGAAGTTGCTGGGTTGCGGAGGAGGAGGATCTGTGTTAGGCCCCAGCGGAAGCCGGAGAAGAAGGCGGCGGAGATGACGAGGATGAAGCCGAGGATGGAGAAGTCGACTTCGCCGGCTACCATCATTATTACGCCGACGGTCATGGTGAAGATGATGGCGACGAGGCGCCAGGAGGGGACTTCTAGGCGGAAGAGGAAGGCGAAGAGGAGGACGAAGGCGAGGGAGGAGGATTTACACATTGCTGGGAAAGGTTAGTGACTTATATGTAAAGAAGATGGGTATAGAGACGTACTGTAAAATGTCAAAGTGATGAACTTCAAACTCATGTTCCCAAGACCAATATCTAATCCTGTAGCCATTCCACACGGTCCTATACGAGTAAAGTAAAACATCCTCGTCATGAGCGGCTTCTTGCTATCTTCTTCGTGTTGTTGGGCATCCTGGTCCGAGACATGGGTGTTGTGTGGGTTGGAGATGGAGTCGTAGCGAGGTCGGAATTGGGGAAGGAAGAATAGGACTAGGGAGGAGAGCGTGAATTGGACGATCATGTGGAAACATGTTGTGAAGAGTGGGAAGTGGAAGTCTAGATGTTTGGGGTCGAACATCCATTTGTTGTACTGTTTAATTTGTGAGCTTAACGTAATGGTTACTTGGGACTGGGAAACTTACAATCGATATCGACAACGAGAACACATACCACATGGCTATCAACAAGCCATTGATCAAGCTCTTCTTCACAACATTTTGATCCGCCTCTTTCTTCTCTTCGTCTGTTATCACTATCTTCGCTTCTCCCGCAATCCTCTGATCCAGCAGGGTATTCCGCCTTCGCTTGCCTTTCCTTCTCTCTTTATCTTTGCCTGTCAACCCCGTCTCTTCGTCGTCTTGTAATCCATCATCACTTAAATCATCAATCTCCCCTCCACTCAGGCTATCATCCTCGCTCCTCTCCAGCTTTGGGTCTTCCGTCAGACTGTCATCTGCTCCTGTAGCTGCCGCCCCTTTCCTCGGACTGCCTCGTCGCCGTTGTGACTTCCCCTTACTACCAGCAACCGAGTTCAATGAGTTCATAAGACTACTCCTCCGCCTCCTATGTCCCGACTGCTCTGCCTCCATCTCGCAATCCGAATCTTGTAGCCCAGCGCGCGCGACAGGTGCATCAGGGGCCCAAAGGTTGTCAGTCGAATGTACAGAGCCGTCTGAAGTTGATCGAAGTCTAGGTAAGGGGATTGAGGGCGAGCTGGGTCGTAGAGCTGGAGAGGAGGATGCAGAAGGAGAATCAGGAGAAGCAGGTTGTTCGTTGTTGGCCGTCATAGCCTCTCCACTCCACATCCACTTCCTTATGGGGTCTCGTGGATCAATGCTCAGGTACTGAGTCGTCGGTCTGAGCTACCAGCCCAGACAGGGGATGTGAGTTTTGTGACGGGTGACCGAGATGCGACCAGACTGGACTTGGCGGGAATGGAAGATGAACTGCCAGCAATCTCAACGCTCGGGGAAGTTCAGCTCCATTTGCGACACATGTTCAAGACAAGTGAGCAATAAGTGCGTTTCTGCAATTCGATGTCGAACTCAACACCAATGCGGCTCTTGTGGAGAGGGTGCTGCTGGGATATTACTGTACTGCACTGGTCCGCTCATCCCTGACATCTCGGCAGTGAGGCCCCTGGTAAACATTGTGCTTGGCACGTGAAGCCCGTCCAGAGCTCGCGGAGTCGCGAACTGAAGTCAACAAGAACATTGATTTCTGTACTACCGCTAACACGTCAGTCGGTTTATTGCAAACTTAGAGGGCTGCGATGACCAGCTTCTTTCTCCTCCCCTCTTCTCTTTGTTATGTTTCCTTCTTCTATCCTGAGGCTTGTCCTCTCCTTAAGCTTCGCTTCTTATTAACAGCTTATAAAGCGAAGCAACAAACGTACGTAAAAGCTATTAAGCTCTTCAACTCTTTGTAATTAAACAGAGCAGTTATTTCCTCGATGTTAAGTACCCTATTAAATATAAACCAGTAGGTTGAAAGAGTATGAGTGGCTGTGATATTCAAAGAGTCCTTCAAGTATATACAAAGACTTCAGCCGGCAGCATTGGATACCTATACCACTACCACACGTGACTTTGATTGTTAGTAACACTCGAGGGAGTCAAGGGTTGTGAAAATTGGATGGTGAGAGATGATGTATCTACTATTAGTACGTCTGTCAAGACTGTATATGGTAGGGGAGTCGCTGCTCTTTCCATACAGACTGGAAAGAAGGATCCATGTCTGCTCCATTCGGATTAAGTGCAGAACGACAGCAGGGTAGAGCAGAGAATAAAAGAAGAGTGCTTACCCTCAAGATTGGTATTGAAGCCAGGTGCTTTGATACTAATAACGCTTCCTCGCAATATCTTTACTCGAGAGACATTGTACCCAGATTGAAGACCTCACTGTCCCCTAGATTTTGAAAATGAATTGCTACCTACAGACGGAAGAATGCCATGAAGTATGAAAACCGTGACATATCTTGGCAGCTTGGAAGATATTTTGGTGAGATGGGCCGGGCACTTAGGTTATGTACTATTGAGCTCTGAAGAAAATAACTCAGGATCATTGGTGGTATCGCAGAATTTGATGAGTGTTTGTATCATCCCGCGGCATGGCAAATCCTCGTTCTGCTTTGACTGAGATCCTTCCATTCTCTTCGCCATGACAGCTCGTGAAGATAAGAATTGCTTGAGCCTACTGTTCACATTCCCCTCATAGGCATTCGGGAATCGCGTCGAACGATCCTGGCCTCTGAGGAACCTGCCTAGCCTCGAATTGGCAATTCCTCGAGGGAAACCAAGCGACTTCGCCTCTAAAAGCCAGCTGGCGTAGCAGCTCGAAGCTATGCGTATCATGAAGCGTCAATATCTGCCACCGAAACCACCGAAACTTCATCATAAAGTCATCCAATTCATCATTCATACCTCGTAACTCTTTCAAATAGGCCGTCCCCTCAAACAATCCCAGGATCCCCCTCCCCAACCATATCACCTATCCTCTTCAAATGCAGCACCAGCCTATACGCACTATTCCCATTCAAGTAATACCTATGCAGCTTCTTACTTCTTATGAACCCTAATCTCTCATACAGTTTCATAGCCGGCACGTTCGTCTCCTCGGTCTCCAGGACCACCTCGTCTGCTCGGCGCTCGATCATAGCGTCCAGCGCTTTCCGAACGAGCGTTGTAGCTATGCCGTGGTTGCGATAAGATGAGGAGACGGCGAGCATGGCTATGTAGCCGCGGAGAGTGGGTGGAGAGTGCGATTGGTGGAGTTCGAGCTTGCAGACTATGACGCCGATGAGGGCGTCTGTGAGGGGGTTTAGGGTCTGCGAGAAAAAAATACCTGTTAGAAGGATTTCTCCAAAGATAGCTTGCAGATGGGATGGGATAGTACCATGAAACATAAATCTCCCCACTGGTACAGGAAGTATCGGTATACATAGATGCTGTATGGCTCGCTCAAGTCCTTGGAGATAAGGGCGCGGATTGAGGGCAGATATTTTTTCTCCAAGGCATGTTCGTATTGGATGTAGCGTAACTCGGATGGAATGTCGCCCTCTGCTGGTATTGAATCCACTGCTGTATTGCTAGCTATGTCCGCCATCTTGGTGCTTTTGTCGACGTGTGAGCGAAGGAAATGAGAAGTGGTGGTGTTGATGTTTGCTTTCACATGCAATCAAGCTCAGAAGACAAGGCTGAAAATTAGTGCCACGGACGGCAGAACCCCGGGTGGCAGAACAGGCGCGGTCAATTCGAGGTTCATTCATTGGCAGCCTTACGGCAGTGTTGCCCATTTCCCCAATTGGAAATTTTACCATCATAACAGATAGTTACCCTACCTATGATCCAATGATTTGCTACGAGATCAATTGCAACTCTGACATCAAATAACAGGGGTTTATATCCCAAATGCGGTGCTGATTAGCCATCATCTGCCCAGCTGCTTCTACTGCACATCATCTATTCCAAAAAGGTGGGGTTGGTCTCTGTACCCCGCAATCGGGGATTCTTGATGCCAAGACACAAATTACAACTTCAGGAATGCTTTCCACGGCGGTTGCAATTGATCTCACATTTGTTGAAACAAACCTCAACAGAGGAAATGAAAGAATAATGTAGCCTTCTAGAGTCTCCTCGGCAACTAAGATACCGAGCAGTTGGAAGACAGCTCTCGTTATGGGGACAGAATTGGACCTTTGAACCACCGCAAAGTCCGAATCATCCCCGACAGCGATTCATGGTATCATGGTGGGGTTCTAACCGTGGTACCACCTCCTGCAGAAGGACGTGACATTTCCCCACACCGAGACTAACATGCCGAAAATACCCCTCCACCAGCACCTTGTTGGCAGGTAACTCGGAGACGTGGACAGGCAGTTTTCTCCCGGACGAGCGTCTACTGGCTGGCCGGAATGGAAGCTCCCCAGGAATGTGGCTGCAAGTGGATGGAAAAGGAGCCAGGCGGCTGTGGTGAGACCACTCGTTCCGTGGATACTCGTTAGAAGCTTGGTGGTTCTCGTCCTGCTGTGCGCTAAACAGACAAATGGAAACTACTTCGGCTTGAGGAAGGGGAGCTAGCTCCAGGAACGGAATCTAGAAGAGAAAAGAAGAGGGGAAGCTGAGCTGAGCTGGCGATGGTGGATGGTGGATGGTGGATGGTGGATGGTGGATGGTGGATGGATGGAGTATGGGCCAAGTTGATGGGGAAGGTAGATGGGCACGGTAATAGGTAAGAGCAACCCAATCGATCTCCTCTCTTCCATGGCATGGATATATAAGGAAGGGGTTGCCCCCGACGAGTCTTGCTTTTAACTTTCTTCCCACTCCATTCCATACTGCTTCTACCCCTCCAACCCCTCCTCATCTTGAAACTTCCCAAAACTCTCACCCTGCTCAGTCGAGACAAGGTTTGTGACAATTATTTCTCAGACTTCTTGCATCAAATTGCTGCTCTTTCTACCACGACCTCTTTCCCAAAGCATCCTTCCTCATCACCCGCCGTCACGTAGCTCAGGTCTGACGTTGTTCTCAATAGCTACCCCGCATTCCACTCTCCGTATTATCCCCGAGCCTGGAACAAAATCCTAAGCTTCCGCTCTCGATTTCTCAATTTATAAACACAATCAACATCACCACCAAAAGCATAATTCAAATCAGACAAAATGGTATTACTCACTCGTTCAATCTGCCGTCTCGCGCGTCCTGCCTTCACATCCTCCCTCCACACAGCCGCAAGACCGTTAGCAACCTCTCATGTGCTGTCGCGGGGAGCTCTGGCATTACGGCACAACAATCTTGGAAGTATTAGAACGCTGACGGGGAAACGTGAAAAGGTCAAGGTACTACTTGTATTGTACGACGGCAAGAAGCACGCCCAGGAAGTAAGCCTCCCATCACTCAATTGGCCTTCAATGGCTGACAATGGCCCAGGTCCCAGAACTCCTAGGCACAACAGAGAATGAGCTCGGTATCCGCAAGTGGCTCGAGGACCAAGGACACACTCTCGTCACTACTTCAGACAAGGAGGGCGAGAACTCCAAGTTCGACCAAGAGCTCGTAGACGCCGAGATCATCATCACCACACCGTATGACACTCTGGTCAGGTGCTCAGACACTTGCTAATTGGCCTAGATTCCACCCTGGCTACCTCACTGCTGAGCGTTTGGCAAAGGCCAAGAAGCTGAAGATTGCCATCACTGCTGGTATTGGATCCGATCACGTCGATCTGAACGCAGCAAACAAGACCAATGGCGGAATCACTGTTGCCGAAGTCACTGGCTCAAACGTCGTTTCAGTCGCTGAGCACGTTGTTATGACCATCCTCGTCCTTGTCCGCAACTTTGTCCCCGCACACGAGCAAATCCAAGCTGGTGAGTGGGATGTTGCTGCCGCTGCCAAGAACGAGTTCGATCTCGAGGGCAAGGTTGTTGGTACCGTTGCTGTTGGTCGTATTGGTGAGCGTGTCTTGAGACGTCTCAAGCCATTCGACTGCAAGGAGCTCCTCTACTTCGATTACCAACCACTAAAGCCTGAGATTGAGAAGGAGATTGGATGCAGACGTGTTGAGAACCTCGAGGAGATGTTGGCACAGTGTGATGTTGTCACTATCAACTGCCCACTTCACGAGAAGACTCGTGGTCTCTTCAACAAGGAGTTGATCTCCAAGATGAAGCCAGGTAAGATCAGCTCATCTAAATCTGTTATATTATGTACTGACGGTTTGTAGGATCATGGCTCGTCAACACTGCCCGTGGTGCTATCGTCGTCAAGGAGGACGTTGCAGATGCTCTCAAGTCCGGCCACCTCCGCGGTTACGGAGGAGACGTTTGGTTCCCTCAGCCAGCACCAAAGGATCACCCACTCAGATACGCAAAGAACCCATTCGGCGGTGGAAACGCAATGGTTCCCCACATGTCCGGTACCTCCCTCGATGCTCAGAAGAGATACGCAGATGGCACCAAGGCTATCCTGGAAAGCTACCTGAGCGGAAAGCACGATTACAGACCACAGGATTTGATTGTAAAGGATGGTGATTATGCTACCAAGGCTTATGGTGAGCGTGCGAACAAGAAGTAAAGCGTTTGATTGGTGCATCTAGGCATGGGTTTCTCCTTCATACCTCATCGGTAGGCTGTATTTAGCAAGGGGCTTTTTCCTTAACGATATAAAATGAATCAATATTAGCATTATATTACTCGGGACTGTGTTCAATGAACATGTTCTTTATGGAAGCTGACGTCTGTCTTGTCGTCCCGGGTGAAAGAACTCCCTGCAGGAACATGTCCGATTCTGATGTCCTAAGCGAGCTCTGCGCCAACGTTGAAGGTATTCCAAACCGCAGCTCGACAAGTTGATGCTAACAACAACATGAACCGCCCTTCGAATAGTTCGATAAAGCTATAGCATGACTTACTTAGAGTGCCTCTAGACTCTTGACTTCACATTTACCATCAGATTCTTGACTTTTGAAAATATGATGGGGCGTTGGTCCTGTAACAGCTAGATGAGATTTGACGCGAGATGATGATGCATCTCCAAGATATATTTGCTAGCTTCACTCTGGAGGCGTACAACCTACTCTACGGTAAACTCGGAACCGAAACGCTTGAACGCTCCCAGAAAAGCAAAAGAAAAGCTACTCCTTTGGCCGGCTCAGGCGTTAGAGCTCGTTGGTCTCCAATTGAGGAGATTTTCCTGAGGCAAGCTTCTACACGAGTTATTTTGGAAAGTAGTGGAAAGAGAATTGGGTATTGTTATTGAAGTTGATGTTGGTATTGTTGTTGATGCGGATGTGCTGTTACGAGGAGGTCGGCTGGACGAGATCTCGCTTCGAGAAGGTGGTGCGGAAGCCGTATTGTCGGACGAACCACGCGTTGTGGACGATCCATGATTTGGATGGGTCTTCTAGCTGGATCTGTTTTCTCATGTATTAGCTTCTCAGTTCGAATGACCTAAATTCGTGCTTGCGAGAGGGAAGCCGGCCAAAGCGGCAAAGGAGAAAGTAAACATACCTCAAACCTCCTCAGCAAGCTGGGAACAACCTTATAGATTTCCAACAAACTGATGTTCTTTCCAATGCACGTCCTAGCACCCATACCAAATTGTAGCATGATTCCGCTCATTTCCTTGATTCTCTTCTCCTCGGCCTCTCTTCCTTCCGGAGCATTCTCGTCAACCAACCACCTCTCAGGCCTGAAAACCTCAACATCCTCACCAAAGACCTCACGATTATTGTGAATAACCCAAGCGGAAACACCAACAATCGTACCGCCCTTGATGAAATGCCCAGCAATCTCCGCACCGGCAGGTGGCACGATCCGCTCAAGTGGCAGGCCAGGCGCAGGATGCATACGGAACGCCTCCTTGATACAAGCATCCAAGTACGGCAAAGCCTGACTCTCACTCCACGTCACGACACCCTGGACATTATCCTTGAAATGGCCCTCTTTCGCCTTCTCGTCCAGCTCCTGGTACAGCTTCTCCATGCATCGCGGGTTCTTGAGCAGGTAGTAAAAGACGCTGGACAGCGAGATGGCGGTCGTTTCGCTGCCGGCGAAGGCCATACTTACGGCCATGGTCATGACGAGGGAGTCGGTCATGAACTCGGGGCGGTCGGTCTTGGCTTGGATGAATTTCGAGAGGAGGTCTGGCTGGGACATGGGTTTGGGCTCGGTGGATGGGAGGACGGATTTCTCGCCGTCTTTTTCTTTTGGGAAACGCTCCGCCATGCGCTGTTGTGCGAAGCGGGCGACTGGGAAGGTGGCGTCGATGAGACCGTATTTGGCGGCGAGGAGGTAGATGGGGTTCTTGAGGAAGAGGAGATCGAGGACTGGGATTTGACCGACCTGGATGTGGTTAGATCTCATACTAATTTCTGGATGAGGGAAGCTTACAGGAGCTACATAGTTGAATAGATTCGCGATGTAGTCAATGATTCCATCGACGTCCTTATTTTCCTCCAGGAATCCATGTCGTTTACTGTATGTCATCTCGCCAATGACATCAAAGGCATAGAACTGTAGCCATCGTGCAAAATCACATCCATTTTTTGTTACTGCATAAAGTTTGTCTGTCTGGTTAAGGAAGAGCTCTGTGGTGCTGTCTACGAAAGGCTCGTATTGTATCAGCGTTGACATGGAAAATGCGCTGTTCACACTTCGTCGTAGTTGAGCATGGAATGGCTCAGACGTTGTGCTGAACAGGGATGGGAGACGGTGACCTCCAGCGACGGATTGCTGGACCGGATAGAATTCAGACTGCATATAAGTTCAGTACCACTCCTTTGAATAGATTTCCGTCCAACTTACCTTCACAAAACCTTTGTTAAGACCATAGATGGTTTTCAGAGCTTTTGGGTCCGAGAATGATAGATTGTTTGGTCCTAAACGCACAACATCTCCATGTTTCTCGTGCAATCGGATATGTTCGACCTCGGGGCGCCTCTTGTACACGATCCAAAACCTCCACCAATCTGTAAATGATGCAATGAACGGCCCAGGATATTTATTCAGCCCTCTGTTGAATCGGTTATTGGCAAGATATGCAACAAAGGCCACGCTTAGCACAATTGGCCAATTTTGTAAAAGAACGATAGCAATGGTTTCTACCGCCATTGTCGCTGCTCTGGTCCCGTTTTGGAAAGTTCCCTCAACTCGCCGATTTCCTTATGTTCTGAGAGTAAAGCTCAATTCGAATTCCCCAAAGTGCTGAAGGCCCAGACAAGTTAAGTGTAAGAACAACTTCAACCACAAACCGTGAGCTTTGGGCACAAGAAAGAGAATAGCAAGAAGTGATTGAGGAACGGATAATACGAATGTCCTTAGAACCACACGGGACATAGAAACGGCAGGAGACGAAAATATATTAAATGCCAACCGCCATCTTACGGCACAGCCCGGCAGAGGTCCATCTCACAAGCAAGTAACACCAACTAAGCTCGCTCACTCGTTCACTCGTAGAGTTCAATATCCACACCAACAACGGCGGTCTCACTGTGCTGCGTTTGATACGAAACTTTCGCACTAGACTTGGCAGTGGGCGTCGGGGAGGATGAACATCCTATAAGACAGCTGCCGAACGATACTTGTGACGCCTCCACCTCACATCGTTACTTCATACAAGGCTAGTAATGACGCGCACGACCTGCTCACACTCCCCCGTTATTATTTCGTCTTTCGTCTCTTCTGACAAGGACAGCCCCCTAACTAATCGACATTCGGACCTAGAGGCCGCTGTCAATCCTGACTTATTTTTTCCGGGGCCGCGAATACCTGCTGCTCTGTTGTCGGCCTGGCAGGGTGCTCGGCCAAACTAACGGAATGGAGAGTCGTGCTAAAGCATTGCACGGCAGATAAATACGGTTGTCATCCGGGTTTTGTTGGCAAGAATAGCTCTACGTGCAGCTGTTGGACAGGCATCATTCAAAGTGTGAGGTGGATCTTTGACCCGAGAGCGCAAGCAGTACTTATCACCCCGCCATATGGGGCTGGCGTCGCGAGCTGTGGGAGGAGGGGGAGGGGTAATGTGGACTGGCCGGTGCTGGCTGCTGGCCGGGTTTCCGTTATAATGCCTTTGATCTGATGGGCTGGATCATGGCCTTGGGATTGGATCGGCCTCACTGGCCGGGCTGCATGAAGAGGCGATGAGATCGGGAGGCTGTCTTTTCTAACACGGCGAGCACGGCACCTTTGGAACTCGAGGTCCCATCGATTCCAACACCGCCGGTGGGGAGACCACTGTGGGGCGCTGAGAAAGTGAAGATCACGAGATCTCACTCTGAGAATCGATGTTCGGCAGATGCTCTTTCATCACTTGCCGTGCTTCATGCGAAAGGGGATCAAAGTTCGTTAAAATTATCTTCTTGCAGGCAATCAGCATTTCTTGTCTCGGCCTCATCTCATCTCCAACTCAAAGATTCCACGGCAGTTGTTTGGACCTGCTCTGGAACATGAGTGATCGAAAAATAGTCGGACAACCCCCCACCGTGTGGTTCGGAGAGGCAAAACGCACGGGTATAAGACCGACTAAACGATCCCTCTTGGAGGTTTAGTGGTCAAGATTGAGTTTAACTATGGCGTTTTGTACTTCAAGAGAGAATCCATCAGCAGGGTACTCACTTTAATTCGCTGAGATAACGACAGATACGGTACGGGAATACGGGTGTCGATTTGGAGGGCTCTCTTCCTACGAGCATCAAATGGAAAAAGAAATACCCGATAACTGTATTTGATGTCCACGTCCACCCCATCGACGACAGAAATATGTGGCCGATTAAGGCACTGTGCCTTGAGGCGGGAGTGTCATGTTTTTCTTCACCACATTCAGATACAAGGGAGAGCAAACTTAAGTATAAGATAAGTATAATATTTTAAGACTGATCCTAAAGACAGAAAACAATTTATATCAATATGTGATAGAAAAAACTACTTTTCTTACCTTGGCTTTGGGTATTCCGCAAGTCCCTTAATCGGTCATATTTATGTTGTCGATAGCCACCCTCACTCAGCCAAAATAACGCAAGGCCCACAAGTTGACTCTGGCGGCGGAATGATTCTCTGGTGTTGGTGCCCCAAGATTTGCTCTTCGGAAGTCTCATACCAGGGAGCGAGGACCAATGGCCTGGCTACGTATGTAGTCTTCGCTGTGAATGTTGGTAAATACTTGTCAAAATATGTGTAAGGAACTCGGGGCGGTGCAGAAGTCGTTGATGTGGTGAGGCTACTGGGATCAGCTAATTATTTTCAGAGATTTCGCCAGTAACTTGTGTTCTTATTTTGGTGCTGTGGAGGGTTTGGGGAGGCAGAAGGTGATCTTTCATGGATAATGAAACAGGTCAATGAGTGATTGCTTAATCCATCAAGGCATGAAAGTGATAGCTTTATCACACGAGGAATCTGGAGCATACCCTTCTTCACCCGTTCGCAGCACCACGCCATGTACTTGTGGTGCAGATGCAGAGGCAGATGCAAATATTACATTTCAATTCTAGATTTTTCTTATCAAGACATCGTCACCGTGGCAAACCAACCCAAGAACTCCCCATACTTCTCAAGAATCTAAGGCATACCCAATTGACGACCCAGTGAACGCCTTCCCCAGCCCTTAGTCCATGCCAGTACGCAATCTGTGCACCTTTGAATCCTGATTTACCAAGGCATCAAACCAGCTGGTAGCATTGGATATTCCTCTCCATCAATCCACTCTGTTTGTTCTTCTCCGCCAGTACCATACATTCCGTTCCATCCTTCATCTGTGCGCTTCCAGTTGTTGTTACATTCTCCAGGAACGAATTTGGCCGCATCCATCTTGAGCATCATCTTCACTTCTGGGCAGTAACCCCAGATATGTTTCCGCATCTCAGGAGTACCCCAAATGCCACCATGGAGAGTCTCTCCACTACCTCCGGTGTGGTAACCCATTGGCTCGTAGAAACCATCTCTCCAGTCATCGATTCCTTTGATTAATTCGCCCGCCTTCGACGTATCTCCGGGTTTCTTCCCCTTCTTCTTGTCTGCTCCAACTTTCTCCCCTAGACCACCAAACATTTCTCCACTGAACGTCAAACTCATAGTTCCGTTGGCAAGTTTTGCGCCAGGGCGATGTCCAAGTCGGTCCGTGAGCCAAACATCTTCCGGCTCTGTGTTGTGAATGCGCTGCTGATTCCTCAAAACATCGATAATCTTGCTCACGCGTCTGAGACTAAGTCCACCATTGCCACCAAATCGTCCATTTGGATTCCACGGCGCTCCCACCCAATCGTAATCGAGCCAGCTGTTCAGAGTCTGTCTGCTGTTGGCACAAAGCATGCTATCAGTTTGGAAAACCAGGAGCCATTCAGCAGGCTGCAGAACAGTCTCGTATAGCCACAAGGTAGTCAAGAATCTACTGATCTCCTCTTGACTTCCAGTCGTCATGTTCGCTGGGATGTATGTAAGGTCCAGCTTCCCACTTGCAACATGATTTCGAATTGCTCGGCTGGTATTAAGATACTCCACTGATTCGAGGGAGCCCATGAAGCGAAAGCGCCAGTCGGGAGGCACGACTGACATGAAATGTAGCATGAGCGGTGCCAGGATCGGGTTTATTCTGTTCTCGATCAAGAGGGCGACTTTGCTAACGTTGTATGGCGAAATTGGCCCGTCGGTGCCATATTCGAGGGAAAGAGACGGTAGCCTTGGTAGGGAAGGCGATTCAGGGATGGAAGGCCGGAGGAGAAGAATTGCGAGGATACTGGACGTTTGTCAATTCGATGCTCGGAAGGAGAAGGCAAGAACTGGAAAAGACGAAAAGACAGAGACGCACAAGAATAATAATACCGCGCCTGCCGCACGCATTCGTCTGGTTGTCTTGGACCATCCAGTCAGCACGACAGACTTCACGGATTCCCAAGCATCGTCAATTGTCATGTCACTGGTAGAAGACGCCATCTCGTCAGTTGGAGCAAAACAGTTCGTGGCCGCCGCCTCTTTGTGCTGTGCGAAGACAATTCAAAGTCCTCTCGATGGTTTGTGAGAAGTCTCCTCAGAAAGGGCAACGTCACGTAGGTATCGTATGAGAGAAAGTGAGGTTGCAATCGGCAGATTGTCCTCAGGGTCGAGAGGGCCAGGGAGCCAGGGATGGGAGAACCTTGTTACGGCAAGGGTACACGTCCTCGTCCGCTTCCTTCTGGGGCTGACATGACCCTTGCTTGGCGTCGTCTTCGAGCGGGCTAAACCCGGAATGCATTTAGTGACCTGTACTGATACGAGGAGTGACAAGATAATTCTGTAACGGTCAAATAAGGTTAATCATAAGCTTTCTCACGAAAGGTATCGATAATAATATTTAACGGTTGAAAAGGCTTTGTCCTAAGATTCCGCATCTTTGTTACAGCCAGACTGAAGACTCTTTTCTGCTCCGTATCATTTTCCAGATCTGAACTCGAAGCATGCAATCATGGACACATTCTCCGCGTTTTAGTCTGAAGTTTTCAAGTTGAACGAAAACTGCTTCAAGTATCCGGAATAATCTTTGCAGGGCAATATTTCCCTTGGCTTCCAAAGTATTCTTCATCCACTGATCAGACCTCACCCTCAACTGCTGACATCTGGATACACATCGAACCTCCGTTGCCCAGTAATCGGAATACCCTTCCTCGTCTCGACGATCTTCGTATTCTCCAAATCCGCAAAGACAGTCTCCTCAGCCTCCTCAGCCTCAACCATAACTGCCGCCATAGGATCACACACCAAGCTGTGACCCCAAGCATGGTAAGTTGCGCTCATGTCTCTTGCCGGACTACAGAGCGCAACATACACCTGGTTATCCATAGCTCTCGCCTGACCCTGCAGCTTCCAGTGTAAAGGACCAGTAGTGGTGTTGAAAGCCCCAGGATATATCAGTGCAAAGCATCCTCTCCTCGCTGCTATCATGGCTAATTCAGGGAAGCGAATATCGTAACATATCGCAATAGCTATCTTTCCATATTCTGGCAGGTCAATGATTGTAACTTGGTTTCCCGGCGACAGGACCTCGGATTCTCTGAATGTGATCTTGCCTGGGATGTCGATGTCGAACAAATGCACTTTTCGATGTGTAGCTAGCAGCTTGCCTTCAGGCGAAAAGGTCAAAGATGTGTTGTAGTACTTCTTGGTCTCTGTATCAAGCTCTGGGATGGAGCCACCGACAAGATACACCCTTGATTCAGCAGCCATGGCAGAGAGGGCGTGGAAGGACGGTGATTGCTCTTTCGTAGGTGGGGATGGAAGGAGGGTTTCGGCGTAGGAAGGGAAGTAATCGCAGCCATAAGGCGAATTAAAACATTCTGGTAGGACGACAATCTGAGCTCCTTTCGACGCAGCGGATAGTACTTTCTCCCGCGCGTGGGCGAGGTTATGATTCTTGTCTGCGCCTGTTTGTTTTTGTCAGGAATAATAAGTACAGTGAGCTGAAGCTCTAAGTTTGGCTGGACAAACCACTGGCGAGCTGCACAAGTGCCAGCTTCACTGGCTTTCTTAGCAAGTCTGTCATAGTAGATATGTTTCTCGCGGGATATGTGAAGGTCCGAAGTGTGCGAATTGTGCGAAAAACTCGGTACATATCGACAGGCAATTCATTGTTGAAGTGACGAAGCTGCCACTATCGGGCTTGCCTACCAATGGATAGTGGGATACTACCCTGCGGCTTGGCGGAAGTGCTCCATTTCCCAATACCTTGTACTAGCTGTGCACTGGCTCGGACTGGGTAAAAATAAACTGGTGTGCTCGTACCAAGAGCCAAGATCCCATTGTCTTTGTATCAGATTCGTCCCTGGTACGTGTAAGGTCTCCGTTTGGAGATGTTTCGGCTGTAACATTTGGATGCCAATGTGGTCCAGGATTTCTACACCACTTGGCCCTGGGGTATGTGCGCAACGATTTCTTGAGCCATTGTTCAATTGTACTCGAGTATTAAAATACTGTAGAGTTGAAAATTACCGCAAAGCCAGCGATACATACTCAAGACCTTGCAAAAGGTGAGTTTCCAGATCAAGTTTCTCTAGATGCTTCCAGAGCGCATATTTTAGGCTACCCGTTCATCAACCCCCTCACCTCTCTCCGCAGACTCCGTAACTACTGTACCCACTTTGATCAACCCATTTACTTAGATTGTCAATCATCACAGGATTTATGTCCCTATTGGTCTTTATAAACAGCACCTCAAACGGATGAACACTAAATCCGGAGTATTTGCCCTCATACATCATGTCGCCTTCTAATGTACAATTCTCGAACTCATAATCTCGTTGGGATTGGAAGATCGTCGTCATCACATCGACATGATACCCAGCAGATTTGAGTAGAGGAGTCGTTCGGATCGCACCTCGCATCGCATCGTCCAGCGTTCGAAAACACTCTCCTATTCCGGCCGGAGTGAGCATGATGTTGAGGCCAATGGTGTCTGTAGCCCAAATCATTGATTGCACATATTGATCACCACCTCCACGACAGTCTATAGACGACCCAACAAGCTGAAACTGTTAGTAGCGGCTCATAGAAAGGCAACAAATCTGAGAACATACTTTGACTTGGTCGTTCAACTTGCCCAAATATGCTTCTGTCCAACATTCTTTCGACCAGTGCGGGACGAACGGACCACGAATACTTGCATTCATCAAGATGAATCGTTTGTATATGTCTCGCAAAGCTTTCCCACCCCTCTTCCTGGCAGTGAGCACTTCCCTATGAGAACCAAGATCGTAACATGTATTGCTTCGCTTGATGATTTTGATGTTCGACTTGTCGCTGGGTATCATTTCATCTGCATTAGTGGGGCCATTGAGGATGAAGACGAAGTCGGCAGCGGCGTGAAGGCCGTGGCTCACAAAGAACTGGAGATTAGCTCTTGCATAGTCGGATTCAGTATAGACGTAGGTAACCAAAGGGACTTCTGGTCTGGCGAGCATTGGGGGCGGTGCGCTGGCAGGGAGCGCGACATCAAAGGTGTCGAGGGGAGAAGTTGGCTTCAGAATATTGAGGGCTTTTGAGGCTGTCTTCGTTGGCCTGCTCTCCAGCTTTGGAGCCTCGATCTGAGGTTCGCCATAGGATACGGAATGTATAGGTTTGTACTAGGGGTAGTTAAGTGCGAAGAACAGAATAGGGTGCAAAGTGCCCACAGAGAGACGTGAAAACATACTCCATGGTTGAGTCTTAGGAAACCCAGAAGACAGATAGCAAGAATGACAGTTCCGCACAGTACACGGATTGAAGACGCCAGACAAGTATATCCAGCCATCAGAGCGATAATAAAAATCAACAGCGGTTGTATGAAAGTTCTTGAAGTCAACATGCACAACTTGGACTTCCATAGTTCAGTACAGTGATTGAAGCACGTTGGGCGAGGGTGAACACCATTTCCCAAAATGAAAGGATAGAACACCTCCTTGCTTGAAGCACGAGTTCCTGGCCATATTATAAAAGTCGCAGTGAGACAATAATGACTGATCTGGTCCTTGAGAATGTGATGAAAATCTAGTGTTGACATCTCAGAATCCTCGAATCGAGGCGCACACCCTGAACGGGATATGACTTGGCGTGACATGGATCTGGAGACCTGGACCATGCGCTTGCCATCCCTACGAACGTGGTGGACCGCGCGGCGCAATTAAGGAGCAACATTTCTTGGTCCCGACCCCGTCCTCTCCCTCTCCTATCGCAACACCAGACAACTCTTCGATATACCCCGTCATATTCGACTCTTGAGGTCATAGGAATGTCGTGATCGCCATTATACACTCATTACTCGACTCTATTATTTCCAGCAGAAGCTTCAATTCCTGTCGTTCCAGTAACAATGGCAGCCGATCGCATTGCATCAGCCAGTTCCTCTGTCACTGCGGCTGAATCATACGATGACAACGAAAAAATGAGCGAAGGTAGACTGAAAACTCCAGATGAGATGGACATTGGCGACGATGTTGAGCGTGCAGAATTGCTATCCGAGCACGATGATCAGGAAAAGCCAACACCTGCGCCGAAGCCAGATACGTCAACTAGGACAGCTGTGATATGGATGGTTGTGAACACATTGGCGACTATTGGCATTGTATGTTCGCAGACTCCAATTTTCCCCATGCACTTTCTGATTACCATTTGCAGGTCTTTACAAACAAAGCCATCTTCTCGGACCCGTCCTTAAAACTGGCCCAGTTAACATTTGCGGCCTTCCACTTCTTCATAACATGGCTTACACTGTTTACCATCTCACGACCCCGATTCGCATTCTTCGTGCCGAGGAAAGTTGCCATCAAGGAGATAATCCCCCTTGCAATCGCAATGTCCCTCAATGTCATTTTGCCCAATCTATCACTGGCCTTTTCTACCGTCACATTCTACCAAGTCGCTCGGATCCTCCTCACTCCTATGGTCGCACTTATGAACTTCGTTCTCTACAAAGCAACACTCCCACGAAACGCAATTTTGGCCTTGATTCCAGCCTGTGCAGGAGTTGGAATGGTATCATACTACGATTCGCTGCCAAGCGCGGATGCCAGCGTCAAGACGACCAGCAGTTTGGGAGTTATCTTTGCCTTTAGTGGAATATTTGCTAGCTCATTGTATACCATCTGGATTGCCAGTTACCACAAGAAGCTCCAGATGAACAGTATGCAACTTCTATTCAACCAGGCACCTCTAGCAGCTTTCATGCTACTTTACGTCATTCCATTTGTCGACACGTTCCCAACATGGACAGAGGTTCCAATCAACAGATGGGTCATGATTATGATGGTAAGAAAGCTCTGATCCTGTTCCAAATTTGGCACTATTTCAGCCTCGTATATGCACATGTCAGCAACTCACACCTCTCTAGTCTGGCTTATTTGCCTGCGTAATCAACATTTCCCAATTCTTTATCATTGCCCAGACTGGGCCCGTATCTAGCACGGTAGTCGGACATGTCAAGACTTGCTCTATTGTTGCACTGGGCTGGATCACTTCTGGTCGTGCTGTTGGAGACAAATCGGTCATTGGAGTCTTTATCGCTATTGGAGGAATCATCTCGTAAGTTACATCACAATCTATGCCTCAAGACAATGTGCCTGGGGTTCGCTTTGCAATGTTCATCGACCAGACTTAGAAAGTTTCAAAGTTTTCGCGGCAGTTTCCTGAAAGACCGAGTCCGATCATTCGGTTGCCCGGGAAATTTGATGTCCAATGAGTTTTCAAGCAAAGTCAAAAACAGCTAATAACATCCCTCTAGGTACTCGGTTGTGATGCTAAAGCACAAAGCCCAGCAGGGTAAATGATAACCGGACGAGAGTTTCACGGCACCAGTTTCGAAGGAATGTTTACCTGGCCTTACCCAATATGCGTCCTCAATTCACGAGTATACCAAGAGCTAGTCATGTCTCTTAGTTCTGACTCGTTGTACCAATGGTTTCAAAAACAATAGATCGTCATCATTTAGCAATTCCGTTCGAGTTCTGGCGTTGATGGTTCGGTTGGCACTGTGGTCAGAGTCCCGCTACAAGGAAAGACAATTGCATCTGTCTGCCGAGAGTTACAGTGTTTCAACGTGTTTTGGAATTCTACAACGGCGTCTTGTTGTACGGGAATAAGAGAGAAATGGTACAATTTACCTGCTACGTCCTGTGGACGTCCTGGAGGTCCTAACTCCCCACTGCGATGCGCCTGTGCATCTGAAAACACACACTGAACATGACTAGCACCAAGTTCAAAGTAAACAAAATATGATCACAGAATGATTACGTTTTATGCTTCTCGTCACCCCACCTAATCTTTTCCCCATGCTTACTCTTCAACGTTCCCTCCTCAATCCTATCGTCTTCCCTCAAATCCTCCTGCCCCAGCCCATTACTCGCCCAAATCCTCTCCACACAGAGCTCAAACGGCCCCGGTACTCTATCGATCAACCCAATCCCCACCGTCCTAACCTTCTGCCTCAACAGCTCCGTCTGCGGCTCAACCACAACCCCATGATTCGTCCGCACAAACTCGTTCCACTTGATCAGCACCGTCTCCCACTCGCCCGGCCGCCGCGCATACAGTCTATGCTGATGTAAATCCGTAGGCACAATACTCTCTGTCTGGATGTTAACAAAATATTTGCGGCCGTCGGATTTGATGCGGAGAGCCAGGAAGGCGTAAGGATCGATGTCCCAGAGCGATTTCCCGAAGATCGTGAAAGCGCGGTCTTTTGTCCGCCACGCTGCGTAGCCGGACCGTTGGATATGTGGTTTGTTTGGGGGGAGCTCGATTGATATGCTGCCGTGGAATTTCGCGTGGCCGTTTTTGTTTTCGGAGGAGGGGAGGGGAGAGCTTGAGGTGGTTGTGACGGGTGGGATGAAGTCTAGATGTGCGTGCGAGAAGCCGCCCATGTCCGCGTCGGACATCAACTTGCAGTCTTCGAGAGAAGAGGCATCGTGAAATGAAGTGAGGACGTAAGGTTTCGTGGCGTGTTTGGTGCCTTCTGCTCGGAGAGCTGTGAAGTGGTTAGCATTCAAGTATTCAAGCAACCACATAGCTTCGAGTTGAGCTCGGAGGGTGTACCAATTCCTGATAACCGCTTGAATTCATCTAAACTCCGGCCGAAGAAACCTTTGGCTAGTAAATTGGGTGTCGCTCTCATGGTGAGGAGAATTGGAGTCTCCTGCGCGGGGTTATGGAGAGCAGTTGATGTTGAAGGGGAGCTTTGTTCATGTCGTCAACGAGTCTGGAGCTATCTTGCAGCGCAGGCCCCTGCACTTCCGCCCCAGCCACGGAACGCTAGACTTTCAGGGCTCAATCACTAATTCAGAGGGCCCCCAGCGCCAGCAACGAACGCTACAAAGCGAGCCTAAGAGGCAGTTCAGGGACTTCTACAATGTTTTATTCGCCGCATTTGCAGCGTATCTCATATGCCAATATTACTCCAAAAAGGCGCCTTGAGCACATCCCCAGAACATTTCAAACCTGTATCCCAATTTCCCATGGCTAAATTGCCTAAACTGCTCGGAAATCCTGGACAGTTTGCGTCACAATACTGAGCGTGACGCGTTGGGGTATCATAGGCATCTGATATACAAGGATTTACAACGCTTTACACCGATCACTGTCCTTCACTCCAAGACACCCAGAGTATATTATTCACCATTCCATCAATGCCCGTCCTTCCCGTCTTCTCTGTCCGGGACATAAGTCGTCTCTCCCAGCATAGCAGCGGGCGTCTGCACATTTGGCTGTGGTTGGATCTGCACACTTGGTCCTGGCTGGACAGGAGGAGGCGCTTGCGGTTTCGGTTTCGAAGTCGCTGCGTTCAATCGCTGATCTAGTTCTTTCAATGCCAATGCCCTCCTCCGCTCTGCTTCTTGCCGGGCACTACCTGGAGTGCCTCGTTGTACGAATGTGTCGCCCCGAGACGCTGATACGTCTGCTGCAGAGAATGGTGTACATATCCGTACTGAGACTAAGATATTGTATATCTGGGCCGAGATCGAAGCCACGAGGGGCTTGGCTGGATCAGGGAAGAACTCTGCGAATGCGAACGACTCGCTAGGATCGCCGCGCAAAGAAGGAGATTGGTTTGCATCGAGGTCTGGAAACGCTGGCTTGTAGAATCGCAGGTAGGTCCAGCTTGTGAGGAAGCCGGTTGCTGCCAATATGAAAGATGCTGCACTCAGCAAAGGAGTGAGAGACAGGAGGAAGACTCCGAGAATATGGAGGAGCGGAAACCTTGGGACTCGAAGAGATATGATGCCGCGGAATAGAGTAACAGTATGCGCAGGTACTAACTGAGAGAAGGCGACTAGAAACGAAATCTGTAGAGGGATAGTGCCATTAATGGAAGTCAAACTGTCGGACGTGATTAGCTTTTGAAAATGTAGGGAAAGAATGCCGACTTACGTCCAGCGCATATCACCCGTCACCGCGAAAAGCGTTACCAAAGTTCCAAAGCAAAGAATATTGGGTATCAAAGCCGCAACGAGTAGGAACTTTGCGAACTCCGCTGAGGTCCAGGCCCTCTCCAGATACCTCCCTCCATAGAAAATTGTAACTCCCGCTATGCCCAGCGTAAACACATTATTCTCCACCAGCGTCGTTGTAAGAAAAGTCCAAGGATAAATGAGTGACAACTGTGGTACCAGCGCAAGGTACGGAACCACAATATCAGACTCCTCCGACCATTGTCTGTATCGCAAGGCGAAGCTCAAAAGGGATTGCGCGAGGAGGACGATGAGAAGGATGCGCGTTATGGGTGGAATATTTAATCTGGGAGGCATGATGGTGAGTCTTCGAGAAGCTCCGGGGCTCGGATCGTGTACGTGTTCGATGTAGATAACAACCTTCTAGTTCAAACAAATCATGGGGAAGTTGACAGACTTGAAGTTGCGATTGAAACCCCTGGCGGAGCACGGCCCCAATAGCACGTGATTATCGAAGCTGCAAGGCGGAGACAAGGCTGATGATATGTTTGGAACATGTTGCACGAAGGATTCGGAGGCTAATCGTGGTTATTGAATGCTGTAGATGTTCTAGATATCGCGAAAAGAACAAGCTCTGAGACCTGCCGCGAATGAATCTTGTTTCTGTGCTGTGCTGAATATATCAATCATCAAGCTTTATTCGTCCCAACTAATGCAAATGGCGAGTTCAGTTACAGAAGTCTCGGTGCGAATAGGGATGAGAAACACGAGAATAACAACCACATATTCATGGATCCAGCTATTCGAAAAAGGCTTTGCTGAACTGAAACCATAGTTGAGATACCCATTCTCAACAACGACATATCTCAAATCCTCTGGCTTTGCTGATACCGGACTTGATTATCATTTTGTCACCTTCAATGTGAAACCGAGCTGTGTAGCTGCTGCGACAGATTCACATACTGGCTGTAGTATTTTTCAAGAGATTACAGCTGAGATCAAGGGCACTCGAGAAGCTAGAGAGTTGATTCTCGGAAATGAAGAGCCTAAATGAAAATGATGAAGTAAGCTGGCATTGTGGGATGGCGACTTACTGAAATTGAATCCATCTAGGTCTCTAAAGAATTGTATCCACCAAGCCAAGAAGTCGCAATAATGCAGGTAGGTGTTGTGCTCAAGATCCAAGACGTTTTGTTGGAACAAATAAACACATCTTCCGCCAGTGATCCACTAGTGTGGGTGCTTTCATGAATTTGACGCCTGGACAATTCGGTATTAAGAACGTGCTTCGGAACAGATAACAAGCAACAGCAAGATTGCTAACAAGGATCCGAAATACCACAGCAATTGGATAGTTGCTCGTCCAGGATTGGTGAACAAGACATTTGACGCTGCAAGGCTCGCTTAGCCCCTATCACGCAATACTAGGTCAGTATTGGCGACATCAGTGAACCCCGATCTTCGTGACCAGCTTGGAAATCATAATCGAAAGTGGGATAACGCTCAAATAAATACCTCGGGGGTTTAACACGTAGTTAGAAATTAAGTTGGAATTCAGCCGGTAAAAGTTCTCAGCGTTGAGGTGACGTCGTAGCTTCACCTGCCGTTTGGATACATAGGGACAGCATCTAGCGAAATCGACTTCGACGGTTGATACTTGACCTACAAAGATCGCAAAAATAACAAACATGACTTCAAAGACATCTACAAAACGCACACGATCAGACTTTCGCTCAGACGAAATATACAAATCGCAATCCATAGAGCAGTCCTTGACGCCGCCAGAGACACCGCCGTACGACAAGATTACAACACAACCTCTCCATCCTTGGCCAGAACCAGAAACCGTCCCAGAAGAAACGATTCTACGGAAACGGAGGAAGACTTTGGTAGAAGATGTGGAATTCAACTTGACCCACCAAGAGGTTCTACTGCTCCATGCACCAAAACAACGCTATGAACATACCAAACAACAGCCAATACCAGAACTGAAAACCGATAGGGAAATGCTGGTTGAGGTCGAGGTTGTTGGATTGAATCCCATCGACTGGAAAGCACCGTATGTATCTGAAATTCGTTCAGGACGAACCACTCTGATCATCAACAGTGATTTTGGATGGGGCCTTCCCGCTTTACCTTGCATTAGCGGTCGAGACCTCGCGGGCAAGGTTGTGAAGACGCCGAAATCGAAATCAAGGTTCTGTAAAGGAGACAATGTAAGTTGTGCATATTCCTAAAATGTGATCTTGCTAACTGTTAAGATCATGGCCATTTCGACAGACTATCGAGACAACAGAAAGGCAGCATACCAACAATATGCCGTGGTTTCAGACTTCAATGCCTGCAGACTTCCAGACCATGTGAAATCAGCAGATGCAGCACCACTAGGAGTTGCATTTGTCGCTGCAGCTTTAGCCCTCGGCATTTGCATGGGAGTCGACTTTGGCCGGTCGAGTGGTGCTCGAGGACCTAATCTCCTTCGAACTGTACATGGTCTTGCTCGAGTTGCACTGCCCAAAGACATTGAAAAGGAGTGCTTTGACAGTATAGCAGAGACCGAGGGTGCAAAAGAAGGAGACTGGATTGCTATTTGGGGAGGTAAGAATTCAAAGGAATCTCCCAGAAACAAATTTGCTGACGATGTTAGGCTCATCTGCCTCTGGATGCTGCGCTGTTCAACTGGCCAAACTCGTTGGTCTTAAAGTGATAGCCATCATCGACGTCGCACGAAATGGAGAGCGAATGCTAAAGCATGGAGCTGACCTGCTCGTTGACCGACTTGATCCCGAACGAGCTGTAGAGATTGTGAAAGGTGTCACCAAGGGAAAACTTCGTTTTGGTCTGGACACTAGAGGGAAGGACAGCGCAAAGCTTCTTGCTTCAGTGATGCAATCAGCAAGCGAGGGTAGCGGGTCTAGGGCTCACCTTGTAGGTCTGGTAGGAGTTCCGAAAGAACCTATAGATGGGGTCGTGTACCATTCTGTACCCATCAAGTCCTTCCACGAAGCTCCTGCGGTGGGAGAAGGGCTGACGATTTGGCTTGAGAAGCTGCTGGAGCAAAATCTCCTGCACACTCCTGATATTGAGGTCGCAGCTGGTGGTCTGGAAGGTATCAACGCTGCCCTCGACAGGCTTCGAGATGGAAGTGTCAACGGGCCTCGGATTGTTGTTCCCATTAAAGTGTAGCTATCTAATTCAGCCCATGTAAACTTGCTGTAAAGCTTTGACCTTTACAAGGCAGTCCTTAGTTGGCCGCATTTGAGATGCTTGAATAGTCAAAGTTGAATGCTCCAAAGCGGCTTTGACAATGAGTCACAATACTTGCCTAGAGCTGCAACTTGAAGAAATCAAAACCTGTCAGACTGTGTTTTGTCTGTTGTTTAGCATTGAACTGTTGATTGAGAAGAAAATGGGAGTGCAATCAGGTTCATGAGGCTGGCCAAGCTATTCTTAGTCATCATACACCCCTTTGGCTTTGAGAATCTGTTTACCTCGAAATCTGCCACATCAACATCTTCCATCAAGAATGGCGTCTCAGAACCTAGATGTGCAGAATCTTGCGAAAGCATTCGAAGGGCGAACAGATATTCAGGATGCTATCCGAAACGCGTCAGCGGGTACGTGCATCCTTTTGTTTTATCGTGAATTTCCCATAGCCTCGCCTTGCCTTGCCTTTGCCACGAGGCTGAACATCCTTCTTATCCGCACAACTTCAAATTTATGTCTCCGATGATATAGCGAATTGACTTAGTGTATAGCTGGACCCCATTATATCGAACTGTTCAATCAGATCTCTCTGCATGTATGCGGTCTGATTTCGAGCCCAGAGCCCGCATCCAAAAAGAGGCGCATCGATGATCAAGGTCTCGTTGCCCGACCTGCTTCCAGTGGCACAAATGGACATGCTTCGAACGGTGTTGCTACTGCAGCCGCGAGTTCAAGCGACCCTGTCTTACTGGAGATCAAAGACATATCAGTGGTGGTTCCTCAAAGGAAGAAATACACGCTTTGCTTCACATCTACACATCTGTACGCACGACTTCCAGATTCCAAAGAGCCGGCTTCAGGAATCAGCTTTGCATGGAGTGATATAGGTAAAGATCTTGAAGAACATACATCTGCAAGTTCTACTATTGACAGTGTTCAGAATATGCGTTCTGTCTGCCTGTCCCCGAAAAGACCCAAAAACAACACAATTATATCCTCTTCCCTTCAAACTCGACCATTACACCATCTCGTCTTGTACCAGGCGCTCCTCCAGTACCCGAGCCTTTGGTTTTCACAATCCCTGATGCAGCACCGAAGCCTGGGACAATTGGTGGACTGGATGCAGCAGCCGCATCAGCTGTATCGGACGACACGAAGATGCTCTTCAACTGGGCCATAAATACAAGATTGAAGGCTGCAGGGAAAAGCAGTATTAAAATTGTGCAGGCAGATGAGAAGCTCTTTGCTTCGGAATTGAAGCAACCACATCGTCCAGGGGAAAAGGCTGTTCACGTTAAAGCATTTAGAGGATCAAAAGACGGCTATCTGTTCTTCCTACCAAACGGCATCTTGTGGGGGTTCAAGAAACCGCTCTTATTCTTGCCGAATGAGCGAATATCTGCAGTTTCGTATACAAGTGTACTGCAGCGTACTTTCAATCTTGCTGTGGAGATCGACACAAGTGTCCCTGGAGAGGAAGAGAGCAAAGAGGAATACGAATTCGCAATGCTGGACCAAGAGGACTTTGGAGGTATCGACACCTATGTCAAAAGAAATGGCTTGCAGGACAAGAGTATGGCCGAGCAGAGGAAGGCCAAGAGGCTGAATATAAATGCTGTAAAGGACGAAGATGGCAATATCATTGGTAGCGCTGAGTCGACAGAATTAGCGAAGGCGGCTACAGAAGCCGAGCAGGCCGCAATGGATGAGGAGGATGAAGATGAAGAAGATTATGACCCTGGAAGTGAAGGAGAGAGTGAGGGGTCAGGCTCAAGTAGCGAAGACGAGGACAGTGATGGCGGGGGAGGCCAGGATGGGGAAGAAGAGGACGACGACGATGAAAATGCCGAGGATGAATTGTAGACTACAACAAGACCCCTCAAAGATTATATCCTCATCAAGCTTGTCGCGTGTACAATACAAAACAAAACAGAATACTACACGATACCAAATCACATAAGCCACACACGACAGCATGAACCACGAGTTAAGGCCGAGGAGGATGGTGGTCACGCAAGCGTTTCGGTATCTTGTTTTGGTGCTGCGCTGCCTCCGTCAACCCCGCATCTTGACCTCCCCCTGGCCGACGGCACTGGTCCGCTTCTATCGTTGGCCAACCTGGACGGATGGCTGACCTGATGGTTCGAGGGCCAGCCAGGCACAATGCGATTTGCAGTTTGGGTATAAACATAGGCATCCTGCGCTCCCACCTCGTTCTCGTCCTCGTCCTCGTCCTCGTCCTCGTCCTCGTCCTCGTCCTCCTCTTCCTTCGCATTATTCTCCACCTCCACCTCCACTGCCTTCTCTACCTTACGTGCTTCCGCTGCCCCTCACTCGGCTGCTGCCAGACCCTCATATGCCAGCCCGCTCATTGGCTTCATCCCACCGACGACCCATAACAAGGCTGAGTTCCAGGTTCTGACGGGCGCAGCATTATTGGATATCTTCACCGGACGGAATCCGCTCTTCGACGGGTCGCCCCATTAATTGTTTCTCCTCGTCCCCTTGCTGTCCTGCTGTCCTGCTGTCCTGCTGTCTCCCCCACCCACATCCACTGGCCCCCGACGACAAGGGCGACGGCGAAGCGCAAACCCGGTGTAATTCCCGCCAGTTCCCCCAAGCGGCCTAGTGCACCCGTGCAGTAAGTCGTGCAGCCACTTCCTGAACCTCCTTTCTCCGTATCACGGCGAGCCAGAGCTGTTACACGCGCTTTACCACGGCTATGACAGCCAAAACCTCCCGATTTCATCTCGTTGAGCTGTGTTTACCAAGGTAGTTCTGGGAGCACACTCCGCTTCGGTGACAACCTGCAACTGTTTGCTGCTGGGTTTCGGAAGATCAATGTAACTTGGCTTTGTCCCGACTCCCCAAGCAAGCTGGACTCACTCCCATACGCCAATCAGCCAGTGCTGAGACGCCTGTCCCAACGTCAACAGAAAGAACCCCCCGCATGCATTCTTCTTATATAACCTCTCAACATGTCTCGCACTCGCTCTTGCTCCTTGCCTTGCTCGATGTTGCTCAGTTTAGCTTTGCTTGTAACCTTAAAGCGCACTTCCAGGAAGCTGACAGCTCCTTCCTCAACAAAGCTGTAAGCAGCTTTCAAACTGCTAGACCTAACTATCATTTACCTCCCCTCCTCCTCTTCAACATACCCCGCATCCGTCGCCGCCATGTCAACCTCGAACTCCATCAAGCAAGCCGCCGAAGCGACTCGAAATAAGACGTCCGAAGCAATGGAAGCTACAAAGCGCATAGCAGATACCGCGAAAGCAGATCCAATTGCCGCGAAAAATGACTTCCTCCACACGCCTTTCATGCGCGGGGCTCTCCCCTTCATCAATGGCGGAGTTGCAGGAATGGTAGCTACAACATGCATTCAGCCCATCGACATGATTAAAGTGCGTCTCCAGCTCGCCGGCGAGGGAGCTCGAACAGGCCCCAAACCAACCCCTCTCAGCGTAACAAAAGAAATCATTGCTGCAGGAAAAGTCATGGATCTCTACACCGGCCTCTCAGCGGGTCTTCTCCGTCAAGCCGTGTACACGACAGCTCGGCTGGGCTTTTTCGACACCTTCATGAAGCAGCTCACAACGCGGGCAAAAGAGAAGGGAAACACTATCGGATTTGCCGAGCGTGCAAGCGCGGGCCTCACAGCCGGTGGTCTGGCAGCCATGATCGGCAACCCAGCAGATCTTGCGCTTATCCGGATGCAATCCGACGGCTTGAAACCTGCAGCGGAGAGGAAAAACTACAAGTCCGTCATCGATGCCCTACGGAGCATTGCAAAGTCGGAAGGTATTGGAGCTCTTTGGGCTGGAGCTGCGCCGACTGTCGTACGAGCCATGGCTTTAAATTTCGGGCAGCTGGCTTTCTTCTCCGAGGCTAAACAGCGTCTCAAGGACTCGAACATGAGCCCGAGGGCGCAGACATTGAGTGCGAGTGCTGTGGCTGGTTTCTTTGCTAGTTTCTTCAGCTTGCCGTTTGACTTCGTCAAGACGAGGTTGCAGAAGCAATCGAGAGCACCAGATGGAACCCTGCCGTACAAGAGTATGATACACTGCTTTACAAAAGTTGCGAAGGATGAGGGTATTTTCAGATTTTACAGAGGGTTCAGTACTTACTACGTCAGAATTGCGCCGCATGCGTAAGTCCTTTCACATCTGTACCTGTAACCTTTTTACTGACTTTGCTATGCAGGATGGTAACATTGATCGTTGCGGATTATCTTGGCTTCATCACCAAGTGAGCTTTATGACCACAAAATGGACTATGTTTTTGGAGGACGGTACGTTGGAGCATGGTACGGGATACCCAGTCTGACTTGGGTTACATTATACATAGCCACAATGTCGAGATCTCATTTTCTTTCTGGTCGAGGAGTTTGGTTGGAGGGATCATCCGTTAACTGATTGTTCGGATGGTTATTTGATTCATTATTAGTCTTCGCTAAAATCTATTACAGCCGTACACCGAACCAAAAAAGGTACATACAAAGAATCTACAAATATTCAAATACTTATGGTCCATTCTCTGTGGCCCCATTTCCCCATCTGTCTACCGCTTCTTCTTGCTCCCATTCGCATTCTCAACCACACCAGCTAGCATCCTCCCTGCCATTCCTTCTCTCCTCTTGAATCCACCATTGAAGATACCCGGTAAGATCATCTTACTATTCGCGTGCTCAGCAGCAAATCCCACTCCCGCGGAATTTCCCAACTTCTCCTTCGTAATCCTCACAGCCTCTTCCAAAAGTTCCGTCCCAACGCCCTTCCCTCTATACTTATTCCTCACCGTCCAAGCCCTCACAACACCATTCCCTCCACTCTTCCCACCACCCTTCCCCTTCCTCTTCCCATTCGGACTACCACCACCTCCATTCCTCTCTAACCGCAAAACCAACGCACCAATCAGTTCCTCCCCAAAATAACTTCCAACCATCAGATCCTCCTCTCCACTCCCATCCTCACTCCTCACGAATCCCCAGCCGATCTCCTCTGCTAACGCCAGATACCCACCTGTTGCGCCTCTCACGGCTACTAAACACGCCATTGTCACTCCTGCCCCTGTCGTGAATACAATCCCTAGGTCGCTGCGAGTTTTATACAGGAATTGGCTTATGGTTGCTAGCAGTAGGACGTACAGCGCTAGGGTCAAGGGGTGGAAGATTATTGCTCGCGCGGCGTATTGTCGTTGTTGGGCGATGCTATCGGCGACGAGTTTGAGGGCGGCGATTTTGGAGTCTTCGGTTGTGAGGAGGGTTGTTGTTAGGGGTGGGATTCCGTCGAGAGGGTTGGTAGCTGTATTGGGAGTGGTAGAGGGTTGTGCAGGAGGGGGGAGGTCGGACACGTCGGCTTCGAGGTAGGACATGGTTGCGAGAGAGGAGGTTGTTAGGAGGGGTGGGAGGGTTTGGGAGGAGGAGGCGTCGAGGAGGGGGGTTGAGGTGGTGGAGTTTAGGGTTGAGGGGGGGAGGACGAGGTTGCTGCGGAGGAAGGTGAAGAATGCTGTTTGGTTAGGTTAGCAGACTCATACAGGCTATTTGAAACCCCAAGATGTCGGACTGAGGGTGAGAACGACTTGAATTTTCAAGCACTTTTGAAAACGGAACACAGTGATGAACAGTACCTGAATGAAAGCTCTCATGAAAACCGAAAGGCAGTTGCGGATTAGTACCACCTAAGTGATGGTGAGCCGATCACTGGGGATAACAGTGCTCAGCTGAGAGAAGTAAGGAAAATCTTGCAAACGAAACAGAAATGATAAGAACTTCAGCACTGGGAGATGCATGGAAAGGAAAAGTCTCAACGACGAAAAAGGAAACAGGTGGCTAACTGGCACTAGTCCTTAACCCAGGTACCACCGAATTAATACGATCCGCCACGGTAAGAACACTATCCAAGTCGAGGAGGTGCTTGTTCAGAGACTCCTTGATGGGCACGTGTCTGGGCATTTTTCTCCCTCTGCTCAGCGGGGGAACAAGCCTTTCAGGGACGAGTAGGGCCCTATTACATAAGACCGACGATACTAAATCGAGGATAAATGGGAAAATGCTACTTTGAGACACAACCACAAGGGTGGACGAGAAGCCGGATATGGTGGATATCTTTATATCTTCACATCATCTCTTGGCCTGTCGTTCGCCCACGTGAAGTGGAACATCATTGGTTAGTGCTGAGAAACGATAACGATAAGACCAACATGCCAAGGAACATTGATTGGAAGCGTTGGACTGTGCAGAATGATGGCTGCCCGGGTCAACGACGTATGACTGAGGCGTGAAAGCATTGACTGTAAGGCATCGAGATCCATCACGAAATTGAAGCTTGACTGCAATTGGCCGTAGTCAGCCCTTGGAATACCCGACAGCCAGTCCAACTTTCAGGGTCCGATTCGCTGGGAATGGCAACATCCTCCCAGCTGCCAGCCCGCCTGCATCAACACCAATCGTCATCCTTCGTCCCTTGACACTGCTCCCCCACGAAATCCCTTGAACGGCTAGCCTTGCTCGGTCACTCCTGCATCACATCCCACCCTTCCCTTTGCCCACGACACGACACGACCCGACAAAGCCCCAGGAGTCCACCAGTCAGTCACTCGACAGCCCAGCCCAACCCCAACTAAGCCAGCCTTGTGGGCATACTTATCTCGATTTCTTCATTCCTCTCTTCAAACCGCATGAATGTCTCACAGAGGTCATCCGACTCCATTATCTTCCAATCCTCCCTCCTCAACTTTCAATGCACAGCGTACGGAAGTAACATTCTCACCCAACACTTGGGAACCTTCGCCGCATCGCCCCGTGTCCCGAACATCATCCAGGGCAGCATCCCGAGAGCCTGCAATCGCGTCATCAAAGGCGAACGGGAACGGTTCTGCAAAGTACACAAGTGGAAAGAGTACTTTGTCATTGGGGGAGGAAGACCACAGTGATCTCGACTCGGACTTGGATCTGGAAGAGATGGGGGACAGGAGGCCCCCTTTACACAAACCTGCCGACAGGCGATCGCAGCAGCCTCTGTTGCACAAGGACGATGAAGAAAGAGGCAGGACAGGATATGATAATGCCCCAGATCCGCCAGATAGGCCACCTCTCTTTACCAGGCGCTCGACCATGCGGAGCAGAAGTCCAGATACACAGGCAAAGTTGGCTACAAGGAAGAAGTACACGTATGCTGCTTTCTTCTTGGGTTTGAGTCTGGTCAGTTTTGTGATTCAGACAGAAACTGCGGTCTACATTCAGCATGAACTGGGATGGAATAAGGCCTATTGTATGCTGTAAGTTTCAAGACACGTTGAAGAAGAGTCGGCAGAACCTAAGTCTTGGCAGATATTTCACTCATGGATCTTGGTCGTTATTATGGCCCTTTCAACTCCTTATACTTCGATTACAAAAGTGGAAGATGCCATGGGAGACGTTCTGGCGGAGACATGTATACCTCGTTCGAACGACTGCGCAGATGGTTGAAACACAAGAATTATCTGTCCCTCGAAATCAACATTCCCCAGTTCCATATATGCTCCGCAAGACAGCCTTAGTTACATGTGCCTTGACAGTTGCGGGAGGATCATGGTACGTTGCAGTTAATTTGACTTCACCGTCAGATTTGACTGCGATTTACAACTGCTCTGCTTTCTTCGCCTACGCTTTCAGTGTACCTCTGTTGCATGAGAAGCTTCGGCTAGACAAGTCCTTTGCAGTGGCTGTTGCCATTGTCGGCGTTTTGATTGTAGCATATGGAGATGCTACCCCTACCAAGCATGGAGGGAAATCGGGAGGCTCAGTTGAAGGTGGTGACAAGGAGGACAGTGAGGCAAGCAACCGTGTTGCAGGAAATCTCATTATAGGAGTTGGAAGTGTTCTCTACGGATTCTACGAAGTTCTCTACAAAAAACTGGCATGTCCTCCGGAAGGCACTAGCCCAGGCCGAGGGATGATATTCGCCAACACTTTTGGATCCTTGATCGGAAGTTTCACCTTGCTTGTCCTGTGGATTCCTCTCCCAATCCTGCATATCACTGGACTGGAGAAATTTGAGCTTCCTCGAGGTGAAGCTGCTTGGCTCTTGTGCATTTCCGTTTTGGCCAATGCAGTCTTTTCCGGAAGCTTCCTTGTCCTTATCAGTCTTACGAGTCCGGTCCTGAGCAGTGTGGCCGCACTCCTCACAATCTTCCTCGTAGCGATCGTGGATTGGATGTGGACAGGCGTCCCTCTCAGTCCAGCCGCAATTATCGGTGGATTGCTTATTATTGCAGCTTTCTTGTTATTAAGTTGGAGTACCTATAGAGAAATGGCCGAGGAGACGAAGAAGAAGCAGATCGATCTGAGTGACGAGGATAGCTCGAACGAGGATTAAGTAGACAGTAAATATAGGCCGCCACATGGCTGTGGAGAATTGTACTTTATGGGCTGCATTGTATGCTGGAGGGCACTTGGCATATACTACAAGGCGCATGGGTATGATGCATTTAGAAGGCGTTGCCAAAGAGAATTTAGTCATTTTAACCGTTACAAACATTCAACTGTTTATTATACTTTTTATCCAAGTTTACTGTTCAATGACGGGTTCAATTCCTCAGTCCAGTACCTCTGTAAAATGAGTTATCAGGCTCCGCAGGTCAATCAACACCCACATCTAACGTGACCGCCTAGCTTTCGCGCTAGCACACCTAAAGCTCTCGTGCACCTCAATCTTCAGTACACCTGCACTTACTGGTACCTGAAATCTCCCGACTATATTAGATCCCGTGAGAACACATTAAGTACTCTCCAAGTCAAACTTCACAACCATGTCTCACGAACACTCTCACGACCATGCTCACTCGCATGACCATTCCCACTCCGCACCAGATCACGGCCACACGCACGAGATCCTCGATGGACCGGGAAGCTACATGGGTCGAGAGATGCCCATTATTGAGGGAAGAGATTGGTCTGAGCGAGCTTTTACTGTTGGTATCGGAGGGTATGTTGATCTGCTTCTTTCCTGTGATGAGGCAAGCTGGATTTTCTGTTGGCGGGGTATGGCGGGGTAGCTTCTACCACAGTTTTGTCAAGTGACGGATGGTGCTAAATGGTTGTTCACTCATAATTATATGGCATTTCATCGATTTTGGTTGTTATTTCAAGCTTCCAGGATTTGACTTACAACCTTTCATCTGTCGTCTTTGCTCATTCTGACGCTAACATATCTCCAGACCTGTGGGCTCGGGCAAGACAGCTCTCATGCTAGCACTCTGCCTTGCCCTTCGAGAAAAGTACTCTATCGCTGCCGTAACAAACGACATCTTCACGCGCGAAGACGCCGAGTTCCTCACCAAGCATAAAGCCCTCCCCGCTGAACGCATCCGCGCCATTGAGACAGGCGGCTGTCCCCACGCTGCCGTGCGCGAAGACATCTCCGCCAACCTCGCTGCACTAGAAGACTTACACCGGGAATTCACTTCAGATATCCTACTGATCGAATCAGGCGGTGATAACCTCGCAGCTAACTACTCTCGTGAACTTGCGGACTACATCATCTACGTGATTGATGTTTCTGGCGGTGACAAGATCCCGCGAAAGGGTGGGCCGGGAATCACGCAGAGTGATCTGTTGATTGTTAATAAGACTGATTTGGCGGAGGCGGTGGGTGCTGATTTGGATGTTATGGATAGGGATGCGAGGAAGATGAGGGAGGGGGGGCCGACGGTCTTTGCGCAGGTTAAGAAGAATGTTGGTGTTGATCATATTATTGGGCTGATTGAGAGTGCGTGGAGAGGAAGCGGTGCGGAGGCTGTTAGTAAGTCGAGAGGTGGTCCTGTGGCTACTGCTGGACTGGATAGCTTGAAGTGAGAATGGCTTTAATATGGGAAGGTGGAGGGTTGGTTTCGAGAGTATTGAGGGTCGGGGAACTTAATTCAGCGGGGAGTAAGCTATAGAAACATTCTACAGTATGTCACCCAGATACTTAGTATCATATCATGACAGCTTTTAGGACTGTTGAAGTCGCCAATTTCCTGTGGTTTCAATACTTCAGAACATGTCTGTACAAGCAGAATGTATCTACTACACATAAACGTGCATCTGGGCACTCTCAAATTCAAATTCTATTTCGACCTGGTTTCTCACTTACTAGACCTGCCACAAAAGAGAGACTCTAGAATTTCAGATTTTAAGACTCGACTTTATACACTGATATAAAGTTTTATATCTCACGGTAACTAAACTGATACTGCTCCTTTAAAGCAAAAGAACTAGAGTAGAAGGTTTAAGATGATCTGAGACTTAAAGCCTAGGTAGGCTAGGACTAATCAGGCAGCCTACGACATTATACAAAAAAGCGGCATCTGTTTCTAAGTAGGGTCTGAGGCGTCCGAGTCCCAGTTAAAGCCCACTTCTAAACAGTGTCAAACCTATCTAACCCCAACAATCATCACAAATGGTTTAATTTCAGAGCAAATGAAGCCAATAACAGTCGGGTTCAGGGGATTTTCGAGAAAGGGCCATGACATATAATTGTAAAAGTTTACAACGGAAGGTCACACTTATGGAGTTCGGCAAGACCCTGCAGATGTCCCCATTTCCAATAGAACAGGCTAGCCTTCTCGCCAAGCAGTGGATTGAAGATCACAAAGTTTATTTCCTTCCTTATCCACTATTATTGTAGTCGTACCCTTGTACATATTTCTGTGTCAAGACATCAGCCACCTTCCTCTTTGTCAACAAAAGCTTCCATCCAGGTTCTACCTCGCTTCCCCCTTCCACATCAAGGTGTCATCACTGTCATGTGCCTTTTCCCCTTCCGAGGTCGGTGTCGGCAAGAAGGCGCGCCCTTCTCTTGGTAGCGGTTGTTTTCTCCTTGCAAGTGAACTAAGGCCGGCTTTCAACGGCTCCCTGACGCTTACTCTGGGCTCCAGTGAGTCAAGTGCGAGTACCAGTGGCCCCGCGCTCAAAATTTCCTATCTTCTGTTTCTACCCCGCCATATACAATTCGAGTCATTTCTATTCAATTGAATTGTATCTCTCTACTTCTTTGTTACATTTTCAAATCAAGTGTTTGATTTCTTGAACCCGATTATCAGTTTCTTCCTTTTAAGTCGTCAAAGCAAATGATCAACGATCACACAGGCAAAATGGCCACCGAACTCCCCACCAGTAGCACCAATGGTGATGCCTCCAAGAAGGGCGATAACAGCTTCACTGTCAAGACTGGATTGGCACGCATGTTGAAGGGAGGTGTTATTATGGATGTTGTCAATGCCGAGCAAGTGAGCATTTTCTTCTTCAATTGACCACGCAATGACTTTCTGACTTAATGTTCTGTGAAGGCAAGAATAGCTGAGGAGGCCGGAGCTGTAGCTGTCATGGCTCTGGAACGTGTACCTGCAGATATCCGAGCTCAGGGAGGTGTGGCACGTATGTCTGATCCCAAGATGATCAAGGAGATTATGGCAACTGTTACTATTCCGGTGATGGCCAAGGCGAGAATCGGTCACTTCGTTGAGTGCCAGGTACGTACTCATTTTCCTCCCTTCCATTCTCTATCTAGTCAGAATGAATTCGGAAAGCAAGTAAGCCAATAAGACAAGTTTCTGATCTTAAGCAAAATAGATCCTCGAAGCCATTGGCGTAGACTACATCGACGAGTCCGAAGTCCTCACACCAGCCGACCACGCCCACCACGTCGAGAAGCACCCGTTCTCCGTCCCCTTCGTCTGCGGCTGCCGCAACCTAGGAGAAGCCCTCCGCCGCATCTCCGAAGGCGCCGCCATGATCCGCACAAAAGGCGAAGCTGGAACAGGAGATGTCATTGAGGCAGTCCGACACATGCGCACTGTAACTGCTGAGATCCAGCGCGCAGGCACCATGTCCGATGCCGAGTTGCGGATACTAGCTAAGGATATCCAGGCGCCCTTCGAGCTGCTCAAGGAGACTGCTAAATTAGGGAGATTACCTGTTGTTAATTTTGCGGCGGGTGGAATTGCTACACCTGCTGATGCGGCGCTCATGATGCAGTTGGGCTGTGATGGTGTCTTTGTAGGAAGTGGAATCTTCAAGTCGGGAGATGCAGCGAAGAGAGCGAAGGCTATTGTGCAGGCTGTTACGCATTACAATGATGCGAAGGTTTTGGCGGAGGTTAGTGAGGATCTTGGTGAGGCGATGGTAGGATTGAACTGTGGGACCATGGATGCGAAGGATAAGATGCAGGGTAGAGGATGGTAGATATCTGGAGTTCAATAGTGTTAATTGGAAGTAAAGAGGAAAATGGTTTTTGTCATGTTGATATTTTTAGCCGAATTTCCTCCAGAAGCTCTTTACATTGAAGACTCAACTCTTCTCAATGACTATGTTTTAACTTTTCCTTGACTTGGCGTCACCAAACAAAGAGGAAAAGTACATATGACTTCTAAGATTACTATCAGGTAGTCTGAATTGATCATATTTCTGGACAAGCTTATTGTTTCATCACAGAAAAAAAAAGTAGAAATTAATGAGTAGAGTCAGCTGCAAGGTAAGCGAAGTCTCCCATTCCAAGCATTTCGTCCTGGCGAGAGTTCCCATAGTTGAAAGTGCTGAGCATAAAGATAGTCGCTGCGCAGAGCCGATGCTCGCTGCTTTGCCATGTCTATTATCCTAAGATAGGAGACGTGTACAAACTACTGCACGTTGTTTCATCTGTAAGTAAACTTATTATTCTTTCGAATTCACTTTCTTCGTATCTGCCATTGAAGAGTGGACTTTCAAAAATCTCGGATCTAAAGCCACTACTACTTCGAGAGGCAGAATCTTCAATGGGGACTTACATCCATATAAAATTCATTGGGGGAGTAGCCCAATAGCTACAGCCATTTGAATGTCTTTCGTCTCAATGTCCAACATCATACAACACCATTGACCATCCTCGCCGCTGAACTACCTCCAGCATTTCCTCCCTCCAGCCCACTAAGACTCCAATCCCTCACACCTCCCTTCCAATCACTAACCCTCCCATCTGTAATCTTCACAACCACAACCCTAACCTCCTCCCCCTCAATATACATCTCTCTCCCCCCATCCTGCGCCTCTCCCCAAAAGTTTGAAGTTCCCTCCCCCTCCGCCCCCTCACTAAAAGTATTATTCTCCAAATGCATCTCCTTATAATACGCTTCCTCGTCCGTTCCTCTGTCCACCACCTTTGCCGTGCCGTTTATCGTTGCGGAGATGCTGCTCATGGCGCTGGTGTTTAGATTGAGGAGGAGGGAGGCGAGAGAGGAACGCGAGGCTTCGGGCGGAGGAGAGCCTGTCCGGGAGCTGCGGGAGCCGCGACGGTTGGTGCTGCTGGTTGTGGGAGGGCGGTGGGAGACCCAGTCGTGGACGAGGAGGGAGACGTTGGGGTTGGAGACGAGGTTGAGGGTTTTCTTGGAGGAGGGGTTGGTGGTCATTACTATTGTCGGGGAGGTGCTGTATGGTGCTGCGTGGGATGTTAGTATTGACATACTTTTGGCACATGTTTAAGGCTTGATATTCTGGGATGAATCCTAGATGGAGCGGTATGCTTGGGTATGAGGCAGGGTTGGACAGACAGACAAGACTTACAAGAGGGTAGGTAGGTGTAGTTCATGAGGGAGACGTGGGGAAAGAGGTTCGTGCAGGTTGCAAGATGGAGCTACGATAGATTGTTAGCTGTTGACCATGGCCTTAAACAATTGGTGAGAGATAGAGATATTCGGACGTACAAAGCGGGCGTTCTGCAGACATTGTACGACTTCTGCAGGTAGACAGTCTGCCACTTGAAGATGAGTTGCTCCAGCCGAGGCTTCATAATTGAGAGGGACTTCTGTGGCCATGATTTTGTTTCGGTTGGTGGAAACAGGTTTCGATATTATCGTGCTGAAATTCCGGTCAATTAAAGTGAAGAGGTTTTCTGTTCTTTGGATGGATTGTTGGTTTTCGAGGTGATCTCCAAGGTTGAAGTAGGAATCGACCCCGCCAAAAATGCACTACTCGTACCTTTGATTTAAGGTTTGGTGCTGCGCATGAACCTGGCCTGGACCTGGCTTGGGCTCTCCAATGATGCAACCCCACACGATAAACTCACTTCCGCACATCTTCGAGTCCTTGTCACCGACTTTGGCATTTGTCTCGGAGATCTCTCAACGTTTGCTTCTAGCAAATAGATTGCTACGCGACGCTTTACAGCGTTCTCCGGGGTTTGCGCAGCTCTCAAACTGAAAGTTGCTCAACGCAGCCAGGCGCGTCTAAACACCAATCCGAGACCCAAACAAAAGACGGATGACAGGTTTATAAAAGACCAAGATGCCGGACTTTGGCCTGGATGACGATGATAGGGGTATGGCATTTCTGCATACTGGAAACTCCTTGCTAACTTTTAAGGATCCAACGGCAGCTCGGACAATGAGCAGGATGAGTTGAACGAAGATGTGGATGACAACGAGGTGGATGCAACTATGGATGTGGATGGAGATGACGATGGAGAGGGAGATGGAGATGGGGATGGGGATGACGAAGAGAACGATGATGACAACGGAGATGACGATCAGGATGGAGGCGACGACGATGATGATGCCACAGCGGCGCGCCCCCGTAGACCAAGCATGCCCACGACGAATACCAGTTCAGACGATACCCCTATTGCCAGTCAAGTCAATGGAATAGGCCCTACATCACATCCAAGACCGGTTCTCACTCGAACGTCTGCCTCTCCGCGGCCGGTCTCTGCACCTCTACAATCACCGAAGATTCGGTACGAAGTGCGCGCAGAAGCCCTCGCAGCATCTACATACGACATAATTCCTACAATGGCTGCCCCTCAGAGTACATCAATAAATGCGATCACGGCGACACCAGATATGAGATATTGGTTCTCGGGTGGTTCTGATTGCTATATTAGGAAATACGACGGAGCTGCCACAGTCAATGGCAAGACACTTCTCACTGTGGCGCAAAGACACCCTTTTGTGGATAGTGTGGTAAAAGCAGGAGTTTTGATGAGCTATTGGGATAATGAAGAACCGTTGGCAAAGACTGCAGGGGAAGAACCCCCATTTTCGCCTGTATATTCCTTGGCCGTCCAGTCGCAAGCTCTGTGGATGCTCTCCGGATTGGAATCAGGAGCTATAAATCTATATTCTGTACGACACGATGAAGGAAAGCGTATCGCGTATATGCTAAAGCATAAATCCGCGGTTTCTGTTTTGACTTTGGCTCAGGAAGAAAAGTCTGTACTATCAGGAAGTTGGGATAAGAACGTGTACGATTGGGATCTGAATACAGGTCAGGTCACGAGGGGATTTGAAGGAAGTGGGGGTCAGATCTCTGCTATTGCAGTACGGCCAGCATCAAGTTTGCCTGTGCCAGAAGAGTCAGGAGAACCAGTACCCAAGAGCGAGACTTTCTCAAGCAGCAACGAGAAGCCATTTACGAATGGCAATGGAGTTAATGGCACACATGACACAGAGCCAGGGGGTGAAGATGCACCAGGATCACCAGCAGGGTCGCTATTCGGTGGCGGTAGCGACAACGATTCTCTATTTGGGGAGACGGCTGGCGATGGAGCCCCATCTGGAGGAGTTTTTGGGGACGAGGATGATGAGTTCTCCCGAGCGATCGAGTCGTCCAATATCAACAACGAGGAAAATTTAGATGCACAGGGCGATGTCAATATGGGAGAGGCTCCGACACAACCGGAACCTGTACCAGAACCGGCTCCAGTACCAGAGGTAAATGGGGATCATATGGAAGTGGAGCCCACGGCTCCTATGATCGTTGCAGAAACCCAAGACGCGGTAGCGACGTCAGATTCGACTTTCCTTGCGGCCTCAATGGATGGGACAATGAGGATATGGGATCGGCGGCAGCCCGACCCCGTGGCACGGATGTCGACCAGAACCGGCGTTCCACCATGGTGTATGGCAGCTTGTTGGTCCCCGGATGGGAACTTCGTCTATGCTGGCAGAAGAAATGGCACCGTGGAGGAGTTCAGCCTGCACAAGGGGCTCAAAACCCCAAGCCGAACATTCAAATTCCCTCAAGGAAGTGGAGCGGTTAGTGCTATCCGAGCCATGCCCAACGGACGGCATTTAATTTGGTAAAGTTCTCATCTTCTCTACAAAGTACGAGTGCTAATTGCTCAGTGCCTCACATGATATTCTTCGTCTCTATGATTTGAAGGAGCCACAGTCTACTAAACACTCGACGGTACCATTCTTGATCGTCCCAGGTCCACCGAGGGCAGGTGTCATCAGTGCTTTGCACATTGACCCGACCTGCAGGTATATGCTTTCAGCTGCGGGAAACCGGGGATGGGAAGGCAGTAGTACCGAGGTCTTGATTGGATACGAGATTGGTATTCCTCCGTGAGCAACGAGGGTCGTAAGAAGTTTATCGTTGGCCTACCACAGTGCTACGGACAGATAGAGTTACTGCACAGGAGTAGCGCCGAGTTACTCGGGACGAGTCTCTGGAGCCAATATCGATTGTCTACGGAATCTGGCTTCCATTCAGCAAGTCGAGGGCCTCAGTGTTGGGCGTCGCTGTCGTGCAATAAAGATATGGAAGGATTTGCAAGTTTTTGGACACTCTACGTCAGTTGTGTCGCAAGCCTAGATTGGCCTCTTGGGAGGGTCAACTACTGTACGAATACTTAGGTTTGGTGTTACGGATGAAGAGGCGTTCATATACCACGGGGCAGGCTGGATGGAGCATCAAGACCGCGTTGGGACTTTGTCAATTTAGGACCAGCTGCTATATTAAGAATATAAAGAGTGGTCATTTGGCGCTTTTACCTCACTCTACCTCCACAGGGCCACGCTGTCAGCAGCCCAAATTCCACATGAGATCGACGCGATACCCCGGATACATCATAAGTTGCTAGTCGACGTTACATGAGACGCCAGAGGTGGAGAAACTTCCCCAGAACTATCTTGTAGTTGTTACCTGCGGATAAGACAGTAGCTCGCTTCCTAGATTTTAGTCAACACAGTCCACGCGGGCGTTGTACAAGCTTCAGACGGACGAAGGCTTCTTGCGCTTCTAGTGTGAAGCAGATGAGCCTATCCAATCAGCACAGCACTGTATTCCCGACAATTAAGCTAGAAGCGAACCCCAAAAATCCACCTGACACCACAGCGCATCCCAAAATTCCGGTGGGGAACGATGTTTCCAGCCCGCCACGGACCTGAATCGCCGTGATTGGTGCGCATGCAGATCTCTCATCTTGGTGGGGTACTTCAACCCTCGTCGGCCTGAACCTCCCCGATCCCCGCGAAAGCATTTCAACTCCTGGCAACATGGCTGCTCACCAGGAGGCACGGAGATGCTCTGTGATTCGTGGGGCAATAGGCAGTAGGCCTAGGTACAGTGTTGATTTTCTTCTCCTGTCTGTTTCCTTCATCCCACCTTCCAAGTCATCTCCTAGCCGCATTTCGAGTTCTTGCTGCCGCTGTATTAATACGTAAAGGACGCCGCCGTTCCAGAGGTCAGTCGATCTCTTTCCCCTCTCCTCTCATTCCATCTTACCCTTCAGTTCCTGGGCACGTATTTGTCCTCCCGTTGAAAACGGTCACAAGCAATACCAGACAATTACAGACTTTCTTTTCAAGAGCTACGACCAAGAACTTACATCAACATGGCGCCCTCAGCAACAGAATTCATTCCGGTGAAAATGGACAAAGTGTCCAAGCCCAATATTGGGGTATACACGAACCCACAGCACGACTTGTGGGTTGCCGAGGCAGAGCCTTCGCTGGAAAGTGTGCAGAAAGGGAATTCGTTGAAGGAAGGAGAAGTGACGGTTGGCATCAAGAGCACTGGAATCTGCGGGCAAGATATCCTCCATCAGACTTAAGACCAGGTTGGCTAACAATATTCTTCCTCCAGCTCTGATGTCCATTTCTGGCACGCAGGCTGCATTGGCCCCATGATCGTTGAAGATACACACATTCTAGGTCATGAATCAGCAGGCGTTGTACTGTCTGTCCACCCCTCCGTCACATCCCTCAAAGTCGGCGACCGAGTCGCGGTCGAACCCAATATCATCTGCGGAGAATGCGAGCCCTGTTTGACAGGCCGATACAATGGCTGCGATAAAGTGCTTTTCCTCTCTACCCCGCCTGTTCCTGGTCTCCTGAGAAGATACGTCAACCACCCTGCAGCTTGGTGCCACAAGATCGGCGATATGTCATTTGAGGACGGAGCATGCCTGGAGCCTCTCAGTGTTTCCTTAGCCGCGATGCAGAGATCAGGCGTCCAGCTCGGAGACCCAGTACTGATTTGCGGCGCTGGTCCAATCGGTTTGATCACCCTATTATGCTGTCAAGCAGCTGGAGCCTGTCCACTCGTTATCACAGACATCGATGAAGGTAGACTTGCTTTTGCGAAGAGCCTCGTGCCGTCCGTCACCACCTTTAAAGTCTCACGACAATCACCCGAAGACTCCGCCGAAGCGATAGTCAAAGCATTCGGGGGCATCGAACCCGCAATCGCCCTGGAATGCACAGGTGTCGAGAGCAGTATTTCGGCCGCCATCTGGGCCGTTAAGTTCGGCGGCAAGGTCTTCGTGATCGGTGTTGGTAAGAACGAGATGAACATCCCGTTCATGCGTTTGAGCGTTCGAGAGATTGATCTGCAATTCCAGTACAGATACTGCAATACCTGGCCACGCGCTATCCGGCTCGTGCAGAGCGGTATCATTGATATGAAGAAGCTGGTTACACACAGATTTGAGTTAGCGGACGCGGTGAAGGCTTTCCAGACGGCGGCAGATCCGAAGACAGGTGCTATTAAGGTGCAAATAAAGAGCGAGGACTGAAGAGTTTATTTTGAGTAGTTTTACCATATAGATGACTTTTTAGCATGTTATGTATGTACCCCATTCTCTTCCCGTCTAGCAAATACAGGATCCAGCACGAAGCGTTTCTTGAAAGGACCAAGCCTTCACCGATCGAAACTTGAGCAAAATTCATGGAATCAAACAGATACTCTCTGTACATGTTGAGCCATTCCACAAAATCTATTCCACCATAGTCTCGTTTATTCGCAGGAAAGGTTGCCTCTCGCTAACAGCAAAAGGGGGGGCTTCGCTTAAATTATTGGCATTGAATAGTAACTACTGGGCATCACATGGATCGAGAGAAGCAAGATCTGAGAATGAGTTTTATGTCGAGTAAGCTTTGCATTTAAGAGCAATTACTATTTTACCGGACTCGTTAAACAACCGTCTGTGGTAGCACTGTAGCCGGCACAGGAGCAACCATCGCATCAACAGGCCTCACCTCCTCCTCTTCACCAAAAGTCTCTCTCCCCTCCGCAAAGACCTTATCAAAATCATACTCACTCCACCTAATATTCGGCGACAGGCCCGCAAACTTCCATACGCCATCAACCTTCTTATACCAATGCTGATTCGTGCTATGAGCATGGCCCTTGACAGCAACTTCCTTCATCGTCGCATCCTTGTACTTCTGATGCGGCACGCGCAGCTGGTGCCAACCGATAATCTCATCGTCCGAGACTTTCTCCCACTTGGTGCCGCCGATGAAATGTTGGGTTTTGAGGAGCGGATTGCCGAGGACGGCGGGGTTGGAGGCCATGATTACGAATTCGTCTGAGGGCATTGCTTCCCACATTTTGTCGAGGAAGGAGCGGTAGTCGACCTGTGGAGTGTAATGTAGGTTAAAAAATTGTGGATTGTTGGAGGAATGAAGTAAAGAGCGTGGATCAATGGAGAACTTACTCGGAGATTTGGCGCAATGCACTTTCGTAGTCTTTCCCAGTCTTTGGAATCATAACTGTCTGCCCACTCGAAGCATGCGGCCATACATCCCATTACCTCTGCTTTGATTAGCATGTTTTCTCATATAATTTAAGAAAGAGGACGGAGAAGTAACATGCCCTCGAACGTGAGATCGGATTTTTGAACACCCATTTTGCCGACGTTCTTCGTCAAATGTTGTCTGTCTTCAGGCACAGTAGAAACTTGATCTTTTCTCTATGAAAGACAGCAGCGAAACAACTTTTCACTCATGACGTCCATGGTTTTACTTTTAAATATTTTCGTTGACTGCACGCAAGACCCATTCACCGGACTCGGCGGAGTCGCGATACATATTGTACGGACTGCTTGGGGATGTCCGAGCTAGAGATCATACCGTGATCGCTGCCCCTTGCATTAAAGCCGAGCTGAGAAAATTGGACCAAATGATAGGCTAGCTTGCGAGGCTGGGATTATTTGATGAATGGCAGTTATATAAATTAATAATTGTGTTGCCTCAGCATGGAACTATGATTGGGAGTTCACCGTGATGGGTGGCTTTGCTGGTCCGTGATGCTTGGACGACCCCGCGTTTCGGACCACAAGGCGATTTTCCATTCGGGCTCCGGGTTTATACATTTCTAAGTCAGACGGAGCGGTCCGCGAAAAGGAAGGGATTGATTACGAATTGGGATCTATGGACTCAAGGGGGGACTGTCTCTACGTTAGTACACATTCCAAGCTTTCAAATTGTAAAGACATATACTTTCTAGAGTTCTCTGTGATTCTGAAGCAGGTCCTCGACTTGGTAACACCGATTTTTACTGAAGACCTTATTTTGCGACGAAAACTGCCAAGTGAATGGTCTCCACACTCTGTCTCTGAGGTTTAAAACAGTGATTGCTCAGGTAGTTATGTATTTGACCAGCGAGAAATCCACTCTCTTCTGTTTTGATTCGCGTCAATATAAGCCTTCTTCGCTTGCCCACTTTCGACCAATTAGACTTCGCTGAATCAGGTTCATCCTCACATACATCTGGTCATCTAACTAATCCGTTGTAGTTTCAATTGCATCTCAACACAATGAACAAAGTCCTTGAGCACAGAAATGCAGTGGATTTAATCATTGGTATAAGAGCATATCATGCCTGCTGTAACTTCACTGTTTTGGGAAGGTCTATGCGCCCCTGGGTTTTCGCTGCGAACGTTAAAGCGAAACCTTGTTCTCGCGCCGAGCGCAATAATAGGGCGCAGCTTGTTGCGGGGTTGGGATAGCTATCAAATAATAGATATCTAACGCCGCGCCGACCCCACCTCCCACTTCTGTTTGTACATAAAGGAAATTCTCTCCTCTCACTCGTTGACCTACGAGAGAGAAGCCTTGAAGATATTTGTGTATTCCGATCTTCAAAATGTCATCCCTTCGAGCAGCAGCGCGATTGCGCCCAATTGTCTCCCGCGTTTCACCCTCTCTCAGAACTCAACGACCATATTCAGCTGCTGCAGCAGTCAAGACCAGCTCACAACCTTCGGGAGAGCAACCCTTCTTTCCCAATGAACCATCCGGACCTACAGTTAAGACGGCCATTCCAGGTCCAAAAAGTAAGGCAGCAATTACGGAGTTGGACAAGGTGTTTGATACCAGGAGTTTGAACATGCTGGCCGACTACCAAACGAGTTTGGGAAATTATATTGCAGACCCAGATGGTAACGTTTTATTGGACGTGTATGTCGCTGCAACTCCCAGAGGATGATCGAAGCTAACTGAGTAGCTACGCACAAATTGCTTCCATCCCCGTAGGATATAGCAACCCCGCCCTCCGCGAAGCTGCCACCAGCGAACAGATGATCTCCGCCCTCATCAACCGTCCAGCGCTTGGAAACTTCCCCCAACACGACTGGGCCGATATTCTTAAGACCGGAATCTTGACAGTGGCGCCTAAAGGTCTCGACCAAGTCTTCACTGCCATGGCCGGATCCGACGCAAATGAAACAGCATACAAAGCGGCATTTATGTGGCGACGACAGCAGGAGCGAGGAGGAGCACACGTCGAGTTTTCAGAGGAGGATATTGCATCCAGCATGTTGAACCAGGCACCAGGTGCTCCTCAACTATCTATCCTTTCCTTCAAGACCGCCTTCCATGGCCGACTCTTCGGCTCCCTTTCAACCACCCGCTCTAAGCCCATTCACAAGCTCGATATTCCCGCATTCGACTGGCCACAAGCTATCTTCCCTCTCCTTAAATATCCTCTCGAGGACCACGTCGAGGAGAACGCAAAAGCCGAGGCCGAAGCCCTTGCAGACGTTGAGCGTCTCATCACAACCCACCATCTTCCACCTTGCGCAGTGGTAGTCGAGCCAATCCAATCCGAAGGAGGAGACAACCACGCCTCGCCCGCCTTCTTCCAGGGTCTACGTGCCCTGACCAAGAAGCACAACGTCCTCTTGATCGTCGATGAAGTACAGACCGGAGTCGGTGCTACTGGAAAGTTCTGGGCTCATGACCACTGGAACCTGGATACGCCTCCCGACATGGTGACATTCTCAAAGAAAGCCCAGACAGCAGGATACTACTTCGGCAACCCTGAGCTCCGCCCCAACAAGCCATACCGCCAGTTCAATACCTGGATGGGCGACCCAGCTCGGGCCCTCCTCTTCCGTGCTATCATCAAGGAGATTGAGCGTCTGGACCTGGTCAACCATACTGCAAAGGTTGGAGACTATTTGTATGCTGGTATCGAGAGCCTGGCCAAGCAGTATCCTGGCGAGTTCCAGAATTTGAGAGGCAAGGGACAAGGGACATTCATTGCGTTTGACAGCCCGAGACGTGATGAGTTCTTGAAGAAGGCAAAGAGCGTTGGAGTTAATATTGGTGGAAGTGGAGAGCGTGCTGTCAGGTTGAGACCTATGTTGGTCTTCCAGCAGCACCACGCTGATATCCTCTTGGATGCTTTGGAGAAGATTGTCAAGTCGTAGGATGTTTGAGGAGCATGTGCATTCGAAGTTCAGCTGGCGTATTGGGAGGGGCAATCTGTAAAAGCAGAATACTGTTTTGGATTCGCATTGGTGTTTCGTCTTGATTTTTGGCATGGTATGCACAAGATCACTGGTTTTTGGGTCCTCACCCTAACATGGAAATTGAAATGGGCCTAGAGCAGAGAATTTAACTGCCCAGTATCATTATTTCGTGCTTGCTCAACTGGCCTGCTTGCTGCTTCGTATTGTGACATTGGTATTCTCGCTTACGCCCCTTTCCCATCACCTCGAAAAGTAAGTCTCCCATCTATTTTACAGGAACAGCATCCTCGTCCTCGTCAATCTTTTTCTTTGACTTCTTGAATTGCTCCTTCCCATCCGAAATATACGCCACCACTTTTTGGCCCGCAAAACTCCTGCCATCCATAACGCCGATACACGCCTTCGCAGCCTCTGCATTCGCATATCGTACACTCGCAATCCCCTCTTCCTCCAGGTCGAAAAGCACCACATTGGTGACCTCCCCAAGCTTGCTGCATTCCTCTCTGATGTCCTCCTTGATATCCAGTATCGCAGCTGGATCCTCAGCCAACTCTTCCAGAGTGAACATGTGTTTCAAGATAACAACCTTATCCCACCTCGAACTGGTCTCCACGATACTCGATGGCTCGTCGTCACTCCAATCTGCTAACCTGGCATCCAACTTCTGCGTCTTCTTGATGATCTTCTGCTTATCTTTCATACTCGTCTTCTTCTTCTCCGCCGCCTGATCGCCTCCGTCCGTATGCTGTACTTTTTTGTAACTCGACTCCGCAGCCTGAACTCTCATCCTACCGCTCGAGCGATCTCCAAACCGGAATTCCGTGTCGTCTAGCAGTGTGATGGCCATCTGAACCGAAGGAGCTTTGAAGAAGACTACCAAAGCGTCACCCTTGAAATCGCCCTTCTCGTCCGTGTAGAGTTTTATCCTCGGCTTTCCGCTATCAATTTCCTCCGCGATGACGCCGCATTTGCGCGAGAACACCTCGTGTACTTCTTCTACTGTGACATCGTGCGGAAGACCTGTAACGTAGACAGCGGTATTAGGGCGGGGTGGTAGTGGAGCTTTCGCTTTCTTTGGGGCTTTAGTCGCCCGTCCTCCTTCCTGTGTCAAATCAGTCAGTACTGCTTGCTGGAGCTGAGGCTGCTTGGGATGTACATACATCTTCACCGTTAACGTATTCCTTCTTCCTTTTCCTCTTCAGCGCATCCACTGGTTCAGCTTCGTCGACGCCCGCCACAACATAAGCTTTCTGTTGCTCCTCAAGTAGTGCCTCGTCTACGACTGGGATCCAGCGCTTGATCGCGTCGTCGAATTCGAACTCGGTACCGTCGGGCTGGACCAGGACGAACTTGTTGTCGAGCTTCGAGAAGGATATCCGGTCGTCGGAATCGAATTCTTCTGGATTCGTGGGAAACGGGTGTGCTTCTAGTTCTTGGGGCTGTCTTTGCTCCATGATTGATAGTTTGGTGGTGTTGGATGGAGAGGTGAGGTTGTAAGAAGATGGTTGTTTTGTTTAATCCAGGTTGGGCAACGCGGGGCTGAGGAAAGCCTTGATTTGCTGGCTCTGGGGAGCTCTCGGCTGCGCTAGTCCACTTTTGGTTGTTGACGAAATTTCGCAGCGAGAACATCATAGTCAGAGGCCGAGGAAGTAGCTCTTGGAAAGATAGAATCATTAGAAAAAAATCACTTCTACTCAAGTGTCTGTCTGTGAGAGTTTGGCAAGTTTCTGTCGGTCAAGTATTGCTTGACACACATGTCAAGTTGAGGTCCTTTAATATTTAGAGGCTAACAGATACGCCATGTCCCCCTCCAAGGAAGCACGATCTCCAGACTTATGTTGCTCGATGTCTCAAGTGGATTCATAAAAGGTCATCCAAGAATTCAAACAAGGACAAAGATGTAAAGGCCAAACGAGACCAGTGAACAAGCTCTTATTTGCCATTTCCTTGACTTAAGCGGTACTTGGGTATCTCCTTCACTTCTTCCCTAGTTTCTGCATCCCTCGTTTCCTCTTGCCTCCAACTTCTCTTCCCTCTTCAATCTCAAGCATAGCTTCTCGTTTCTTTTCCCCCACAAGCTTCAATGCTTCTCGTATAACTCTGGTCTCGAGATTAACACCTTCTTCCTCCCAAGCTTCCATTTGTCGTCCAACACGAGCCTCGATAGCCTGGACAAGCTGTACATCTCTCTGTCCGACAAACGTGACTGCATCACCCTTCCTTCCCGCTCTTGCCGTTCTTCCGACACGATGGATATAGTCGTCTGGATCACGGGGAATATCGTAGTTTACTACTAAGCCAACCTCGGGGATATCCAGACCTCTAGCCGCAACATCTGTAGCGACGAGGATCCTTGCTGCTGAGGCGCGAAACCGTCCTAGATTGTCTATTCGTTGGCGTTGTGGAAGTTTAGAGTGTAAGGCTGTGACCCGATGTTCGAGAAGACGGAGGAGATGCGTGAGGTAATCTGCCGTGGCAGTACGATTACAGAATATGATAACTGATTTTGGGAGGTTGACGTCTGTGAGAAGGAACATATGAAGGTAGTGTTCTCGGTGTGTGACCGGGATTTGGAGATGCATCTGCCTCAATGAAGCGGGAATAGCCAGTTTCTGCGTGTCGACTTCGCAAACGAAGACCTGTGGTTTACCTGGTGTCCTGGGGAGTTCCTTGAGAGCACGCACTTCTGGTGTAATGGTCGCTGTGAAGAGAAGTGTTTGTCGTTTTGCTGGAGGTGGGAGAACAGAGAGACATTCCTCTACGTCTGGTATCATACTGCCCGTACTCCCACTTGCTAGTAATCGATCCGCTTCATCGAGAACCACCATTCGAACCCGTCTCAAACCGCATATTGTATCTTCTCCAGATGTTCTTATATGGTCAGCCAATCGTCCCGGCGTCGCTATTACAATGTGTGGTCGCTGCGCAAGAGCAGTTGCTTGAGGTCGCATGTCAGACCCGCCCGTAATCAAGACAGCCTTCAATTGTTGGGGCGATGAGATAGCTTTGATTTGCTCGTATATCTGAAGAGCAAGTTCCCTGATGAGGTTAGCAAGTGTACTTAATGCTGCCAAAAACTATCTCACCTCGTTGGAGTCAATATCACGGCAAATATACCAAAAGGATCCTCTGCCCAGGTCTGTAGAATCGGCACAGCAAAAGCCACGGTCTTTCCCGATCCAGTTCTACTTCCTCCTATACAATCCCTTCCCTTCAAGATCTCTGGAATACAGCCCTTCTGAATGCCTGTTGGTCTCTTAATTGCCATCGCTTCCAAAGCCCCCACTAGCCATGGCTTGACATTCAAAGCAGCAAAGCTGGTCTGGTGGTCAACCGGGACTGAAATGCCACTTGCAGCAGTCTTCTGTTCCACGGCTGAGTTCTGGGCTTTCGCTTTGAATCGAGATGGTGCTGCTACGGCTACAATTGGAAGCGCATCGTCTTCGAGAGGAGCAACTTTCCTTCGTTTCCTAGAGGTCTGGCTGTCCAGTGAATCAGATTCGGAACCAGAAGATTCGTTAGGGTCGTTTTCGGGTTGGGATTGAGAGGATTCCGAATCCGATACATCATCTTCCACTTGTATGGCAGGCACATCTGACCTCTGCGCCTTTGGTGGAGCCATGATTGTTTCGTTGGTAGTTATTGCGATGGAATGAAAGTCGAGGATGAACTTTTTTCTCTTATCGGTGACTTGGCGCTACTGTAGCTTATCTTATCGATCTTACCTACTCGAATAAAGCTACCCCGCGAAGCTATGAATGATGGAGAACAACTACACAGTCTCATGGTTAGGTTCTTGAAATGTGATGTTACTTCTTTTTCTTGTAAAAATGTTTCGATGTGTTGTCTCCAACCGTTGCTTATTACAGGGGCAATGAACATCACAATACCCAGGTAACAGGAGTAGGGAGAGTCCGCGAAGCAATACAGCCTAGGACGAGCTCCCGCTTCAAAAGCTTCTTCCTTGACATATCGCGAGGTCCTCAACGAATCATGTTCCACCAGTGTAGAAGTCTCAGCTCCTTGGAATATACCCTGTTCGCAAAGCAGCTCCTTATAGTATTCGCTCAGGCTGTTATTCCCTCTGTAGGAGCTCTTTACTTGATATTTGCTGCGTCTCTGGAACTCCCTGTGCGTGATCTTCGTGGACAGACCGAGACGCTTTGCATGTACCAGTGAAGAGCCGTGTAGGGGCAATTTCTCATACGCGTCGGGTCCTGAAAGTACCCGTCATTCCGTCTCTTGAAAATCTTAGCATCCACGAATGATTTGATGCACTACGTCTTTGGCATTTTCGTGCCTTCTTCAATATCACGTCCGACATATATTCGAGAGCTGCTCTTCATATGCCATCACTTGTCTAGTCCTCGAGCTTTGACAAATCGGTTGATTTGCTCTCTTGTGAGCTTCTCGTTGTATTGTTCTTGAACTTCATAGAACGAAATGATCTCTTGGGTGCAATCAACGATATTTTCAATGTTGATATTGCTCTCAGCAAGCCAATTTGCAAGCTTTTGTACTTTGGACCGTGGTCCTCCGCCTTGCTTTTCATTGCCTACTGAACTAAGTGCCGATTGTGCCGCGCTTGCCATGTTGCTGGCAGAACCACTTGCAGACTGTACTCCAGTTGTGTTAGGGCGGAGTACCAGAGCAAGGAGGATTGAGGTGATCGCAATTATGTGCGGTGCAAAGAGAAGTGGCAAGTCAGTCATGTAGTGATCGTTGATGATTGACCAGGCAAGGGCCGATTCTTCTTGAGTGAGAGAAAAGATGCCTTGTAGTGACGTGAGGCTCCGGTATGGGTGATGGATGATCATCTGAGAGCTCATCTCTGATATGAGAAAGAATTCGCACTCTCCAAGTTTGGAAGTGTCACTACTGAAGAAATCTGCGTAAGTGTTAGTGCTGGATCAATATGTGTGCTGTAAGACATGCCTGGCCAAAGTGACCGGCCCTCGCTGACTACAAGCCTGATATGATGGGGAGATTCCTCCATCTTGCATGCTAGATATACCGCAGTAGCAATTACTAGGTATGGATTTGTCCGTCTGATTTCCACCTTCAAATAAAAACGTCGGATGTATAGCTGCGCTGTGACCATCGCTTGTTGGCGGACATTGAGTCTCTTTCCCAGTCGAGCAATCTCTGTAGCAGATATATGTTAGTTGAGCTCCAGCATGAGATTGAACAGACTTACGCTGGTTGAAGTATATGCTTTGATGCCTGACTTCGGGCAGAGGGTACATCTTCACAAGGTTCTGATCCTCCTCTTCCAACTTCTTCCGCATATCCTCCAGCTGCTGACGAGTAAATTGCCAATGCCGCCGCTGAGTTGATTCCCAGTAATTCGCAGCCATCTTGAGTGGCTTTCCAGCTCGAGAATATGTGTGTGCTGGAGTATTTGTGCCCCAGTAATTGAAGGCTTCTGGTCTCTTCCGATGTGGTGCCTTTGAGAAGTGGTATTTGGAGAAAGCTGGTTGGATTAAGTAGGATGAACTATGCTTTGGTTCAAGCTTGCTGGCTGAATAGAATTAATACTGAAAGAAGTAGTCCGAACTGTTGTTGCCCATGGATTGATGGTTCTGGTCTTGTTGAAAGAAAATGAGATTATGCAAAAGCTCACCGAGGTGTTGATCTGACGTCGGCACATTACAGGCACCGCAAGCTTGAGCCGCTCACTAATTTTGGCGCTTGTAGTGGGGTGAGGCGGGGGTAGGTGCCCCTGAAATGAGGGGTACTTGGCTTCTGGACGCGACGATGATGGACTTCGGGTCTCGTTTCATCGATGGTTCTATCCGGCATCATCAACAACAACAACAACAACAAACAAAAACGCTGTTTCACTTCTAGGGAACGGCCAAACAAGTCAAAATGCCTTTCTCATTTACTCTTCCAACGACATCTTCGTTCTCATTCTCGTCATACTTCGAAAGTAGCTCTCACCCCTCACTTCCACTGGCTGCGAGCACATATCGAGGTGTTCTGCGAGACACTCTGAAGAAGCACAAGCGCCTCAGTCCTTCGGAACAGACACCGCATCTCTCATCCGTACTTCTTACACTGAATAACTATCTTCCCTACTTACTCGCCATCGACAATGGTCTTGCAAGCCAACCTGTCGCAGGAGAGGAAGTAGATGTTGTCCTGAAGTCCACTCCCACCTTGGAATGGAGACCGACATTATCTGAAAATCTGGTGCCGGGGCAAGAGACTGGACGCGTAAAGATTAAATCCCTGGAGTATGAGATCTATTTCGTTCTACAAACTCTGGGATACACCTACACACTACTATCTCGGTCCTCGCTTCATCTGCTCTACTCATCAGCTACCGCCTCACCAAGTGCAGAGCAACGGACTCTAGCCATCACGACGGCGACTAAGAATCTCCTTTCCGCTGCTTCAGTACATGATTACATTCCCAAACGTTCGGATCAGATATCCTCATCACCCCCTTGTGTTGACATCTCCCAATCCACAGCTAGCGCACTCCGCTCTCTGGCTCTAGCCGAAGCCACTCTTCTGGCTGTTCTGAAAGATGATCCGTATCCAGCTATCGTGGCTCAAAACCGGAACCAAAATGACCGGGATTGGATGATTATGGCACCTGAGATTCCCAAGCTCAGAGTGCACCTATTTGCCCGTCTATGTCTAGCGGCGTCAGAACACGCCGCCAATGCATCCTCTCTTCTCCAATCTAGCTCTACTAGAGGCAAAGGCAAGATTGATGGAGACTTGGTGAAGTATGTTGAGGATTTGAGGAGGGCAGGAAGGGGAAAGGCATGTAGATTCTTCGGTATTGATGCGGAGATGGTGGGGAAGACTGGTGATGCTATTGCGTGGTTGACAGCTGGTATGAACGAGCTTGGTATTGCCGTGAAAGAAGATGGCAAGAAAGGACTGAGCTTCGGGAGAATGAAGAAAGGTTGGGAGGAGAAGAGAGAGGATAAGAGGGTTGAGAAGGGCGCTCAATGGGGAGCTGATGCCGGGAGGGCTGAAGAAGGAAGAGTTCTGGAAATGCTTCAGAAGAAATGGAATAAGATGAACGACACAGTGAGTTCTCCGTCAGATCAAAGTAGAAAAGCTAACTGTTCTAGATTAATACTCAAGCGATACCACCACCAGGCCCACTCGTAGCGTCCATGCCCTCAGGACGAGAAATCTATACATTGTCGCCCTGGAACGCACCAACCCTGGACACTTCAGTATTGGAGAACATGCGAGCACCTCCGGATCGAGCAGATGATTATGGAAGCGATGCTAGCTCTGACGATGAGAATCAGCAACAGGATCCTGTTGGTGCCTTCCCCGGGACGAAAGGTGACTATGCTGGCAGCGGAAGCTATTACTGACGGACTCGTTCTCATCATCATACAAACGTGGTCACACAGTACAATGGATTGACTATGCTCAACATTGTGGTACTGAATATGGCCAGACAGCTCCAAGCCTTGTTGGCTTGGAAAGCACGCTGGTGCAAGTATGAAATTGGAATGAGATGCCAGCTGGAGGACCAGCTCTTCCCATTCTGAAGCCACGGCTCCGGGCTTGTTGACTGGCCATGGAAATCAGTAGGATGTTCACTCCCATGGCGATCACGATCCAGGACAAGATGTCAGAAGTCATGAAAATCTGTATGTTCAGCTATTCTAGTCCACAGAAGAAAGAAACTCTGGCACAGTGCTCCTCTAGGCCCAATAGATACTCTTGATGGACAATTTATCTCAGTACAGAAAGGTCACTGAATCAAAGTCTGTACCTCCTCAGCAGTAAATCCAAAGACATGTAGAAGATCCAACAAGCTCTCTCCATTCAGTCGCGCCTCGGCTTCCATCTGAACCACTGGCTTCGCATTCCACGCAACTCCCAATCCAGCCTCCTTCAACATGAGCAGGTCATTTGCACCATCTCCGATAGCTATCACTTGTTGCAATGGCACTTTCTCCTTAGCTGCCACTTCAAGGAGCAGGTCGCGCTTCTTTTCTGCGTTCACGATGGTGCCGACGACTTCGCCGGTTAGAAGGTTGGTGCTTGGATCGGAGGCTATGGTATTGGCGAATGCGTAGTCAATGCCCAAATCGTCTGCTAGCCATTGCGTGAGTGGGATAAATCCGCCTGAGAAAACAGCGGTCTTGACACCCATACGCTTCAATGCTCTGATCAACTCCCGTGCTCCCTTGGTTGGCGTGATCACTGTCCGAAGTTTGATAAAGATATCCGCATCCACGCCTTTGAGCAGCTTGACCCGCTCCTCGAAAGACGAGGAGAAATCGAGCTCGCCATTCATAGCACGAGCTGTAATGGCTGATACCTCTGCTTCGACACCGATAGAGGCCGCGATCAAATCGATGACTTCTTGTTCGATAAGCGTAGAGTCCATGTCAAAGACTACTAAGCGCGGATACCGTCGGAGCACGGTATCGTGCTGTAGTATCACATCAACATTCCACTCTCGCTCGAATCGGTATATGAGCTCATGTTTGCGCAAGTCTTCTAGTGTGAGGTATGCGGGGTCGGGTGTGGGCGAGAGGGTAAGCTCGACGATGGAGGGGTGGTCTGGGTTGTCGAGACAACGGTGGGAGGAGCTGAGGATATCAGAACCCTGGCGGGTAGGGAGGAAGGAGATGAGATGTAGGAAGGAAGTCAAGCATAACGGCGAGATGTAGCTGCCATAGAGATGGTCGAGAGGTTCTGGATCCGGTGGAGGTGGTTCAAATGGGAAGCTTGAAAGGGAGCGCACAGGAGCAAGGTTTGGAGGTATGGCGCGAGACTTTGCGGCGGATGGGGAGGGAGATCGATCCGGTGGGTAGTCGGTAATTGTAGCTCGAGGAGACTTTGTTTTGTAGATTATTGTTGCAATAAGACGATCGGATTGGGTTCCTGGGGCAGGCTGACAATTCGTATGCGACAAAGTGTGGACAAGACCACTGTCTACGATCTTGGGCGGGGTCTTTTCAGATGGGACGCCATTATATGGCTGATATGGCTTGCGGGGTTCGATCCTTGTGTTCTGCACGCCCTCTACGATGCTGTCAATTCCCTGATGGCCATCCTGTTGCGGTGCGCGATACTGCTTGTGTTCTTGGAGGTAAGATCCTGTGCGCATACCACTCCCAAGGCTGGGACGGGCAGGCTTCGTTGTTTGGTCGGTGCCGGCCATGGTTGAGGTTTTCTGACTTTCGTTGTCTGTTTGGTGATGGAGGGGTAATTGTCAGTCTGAGCTGGAAGGTCAACTAGGTTACTGCGCTTACTAGCTTCGGAAGGATCGACAGGGGCTAACGCACTACCACTTCACTGCAACGGAGCGGAGTACAGTGTAGCGTGCATGCCCTAAGGGAGGTCAGTATCTGATTTCCATTCCTGTTCCTCTTCGTCGCCTTTGCCGCACTGGAAGAAGGGACCAAAAAATCAGAACTGGATTTCAAGGAGGGCTTAAACGTCACTACAAGACTTGCTGAGCATGTCAAATTCTCCGTTGTTCTTAACAAACCATGGTAATGATGGTATTTAGGACATTTCAAGAAGGAATACCTTCTGGAAGCCGCAGACATTTTTATGCAGGGAAGGTAGGTACTGTATCTTGCAGAAGCCACAAACCAGTTGGTTTCCCTTGTACAGCACTGAGAGGGCTCTTCAATTGACGAAATACTCGTTGAGGGCCACAGGGATATAAGAACAATTGCTATTATGGAGGTGCCAGGAAGGAGTGTCTCAAGAATCAGCGTCCCCTCCTGACCGAGGCAGTACCTGGCTATCTAAAGTGACATTGGACTTCAGAAGACAGCACAAGAATGCGGTGCGAAATAGTCAGTACAATGAAATCGACGGTCCTTGGGAAACGAAAAAGGTACCTAGATTCCTAGAAATCAGCATTCCAAACTTTCCTACAATTCTACTTACACGTCAGGATGCGTTACTCTGTTTAGCAATCAACACGCACAGAAGGCAAATGAGTGTATGCTAATCATACCAGACGCATGTCTTTTGACAGGCCCGAAATGCTCATCAGCCACTTCAGAAGCAAGAGGTGAAGATAAGTATCCATCTCGATTGGCTCCCTACCCCATAAATCCAGGTCTCGACGTCTCTATGAAATCTGAAGTGTCGTGTGTCCTCAAACATATTGTCAAAAGGGAGGAACATTCCTCACGGGCTGTGAGCAGGTCAGAACAAAGACAAGCAGCCAGATGGAGACTAAAAGACTCGCAGATATTTCATCAAAGAAAGGTCTGCACCCATTCAGCCCAATGCTGGTCGGTATTCTCGAGTATCTACACTCTGCCTATTCCTCTTCTCGATTGATCATCTTTTTCAGCATCCCGACGCATATGAACACCAAATTCGCAGCTATCTAGCATGCTATCAGCTCATAAGGTGAAGGTAGAGGCAATTGTTGCTATCGTCAAGGATTGTTTCGATCGACAGGTGCCATTTCGTATAAATCATGGCTCGACCAGCAGCACACGGCCCATGCATCAATCCCAAATGGTGGACATCACTTCACTGTCCGATGTCATTGAGGTCAACTCCAAGACTAGGACAGCAATCGTTGAGCCTAACGTGCCAATGGATGTACTGATTCGGTCGACTCTGAAAGAGAAGTTGATACCACCAGTCGTTATGGAGTTTCCTGGCATCACTGTTGGCGGCGGGCATGCAGGTTGTGCAGGTGAGAGCAGCTCCTTCAAATGGGGGTACTTTGGCCAAACCATTCAGGCAATTGAAATGGTCTTGGGGGATGGAGAAATTGTCACTGCATCTCATACCGAGCGTTCAGATCTATTCGCTGGTACAGCAGGCAGTCTTGGAACTCTTGGTATCACAACTAGACTGGATATATCCCTGATAGAGGCGAAAGAATTTGTCAAAACAACGTATCATCGAGTCAACAGTGTTCAAGCGGCAATTGATCTCATTAAGCGAGAAATCAACAACACCACTCGCGACTACATCGACGGCATCATATTCTCAAAGTCGCACGGCGTTGTGATTACAGGCCAGTTGACGGATGAAATACCGGAAACTGTATCGCCCAAAACCTTCAGTAAGCCATGGGATCAATGGTATTACCTGCATGTGAAGGAAAAAACACGTCTGGAAACAGCGCCGGAACCACCACTAGTAGACTATATTCCCTTAACCGAATACCTGTTCCGTTACGACAGGGGCGGCTTTTGGATTGGTGCCGAGGCTTTCCACTACTTTTACTTCCCATTCAATCGATTCACTCGCTGGCTTCTGAACGACTTCATGCACACCAGAATGCTCTACCGCGCGCTCCATGGGAGCAACCTCCATCGTAAAAACATAATCCAAGACCTGTCGCTCCCTTACTCAACAGCTGGAAACTTCATAGACTTTGCCACAGAAGAGTTTGATATTTGGCCGCTTTGGCTCTGCCCGCTGCGAGGTCAAAAACCGCCCACATTTCATCCTTCCACACTGTCGACGGATGGGGAGTTTGCTGAGCCGATGTTAAACATCGGCCTTTGGGGAAGGGGTAAAGAGAGTCCAACTCTCGCGAAGAATAAGCTACTAGAGAAAACACTGGTAAGTATGAGTGGCCGAAAGGTCTTGTACGCCGAAGTATTCTGGGGGCATGATGAGTTTTGGAGTTTGTATCCACGCTTGTGGTATGAGCAATTGAGGGGTCGATATCGGGCAACTTGTATGCCTACAGTATTCGACAAGGTACATAGGCAAGAGGCAAAATGCAAGCAAACATCATGGCGTGGTTTCTTCTCACAAATATGGCCCATTCCAGGCATTCTAGGTATAGTGCAGGCTATACGTAGTAAGGACTACCTCCTCCATCGTCAACGGCGATAAAACTAGCGCACCTCTCATCAAGTGTAGCTCTTGTAACGAACCTTCAATGGAGGTGGCTACTTAGGTCTGGAAGCTTGGAGAGCATGAGGCTTGCACACGAATAATAGCACTCGCTCACTCAGTGCATCATAGACTGTACTTGTCGCTTTTTAGGACTGTATATGCTTCTAGAAAGATTGTCATAAAACAGTGACGGGTTGTGTACTATCTCACATGACACCAATCGAAGTTTTTGGATTTCAGGCGCTGTTTTAAAGCTGTATTGGCCTTCTTACATGATAGTGACTCTACACTGTAGCCTTTGTTCGTTCAAAGGCCATATGATAAAAGGCCCTCTCCAACCCGTGAATACTCTAAACAAGTTTATAATACATTACGTACCTGAAAATCTTACAGGTTCTCCGTATCCTCGTCAAGTATCTCTTCTAATTGCGAAGAAGTAATTCCCAACCTTCTCACTCCCAGAAACCTCCTTCCACCCCAGCCCAGGAACATACACTACCCCCATAACTCTAGGGCTGTTCCAACCTCCAGCCTTCAAGAAATAACCCCTCAACTCCTCTTCATTGATGTACTTGTCCCAATCATGTGTTCCTCTGGGCACGATTCTGGCCAGATCCTCGGCAACGAGCTTCGTCGTAACCCAACTCATCCACGTCCTCGCAATAGTGCTCATGACAATCCATCCTCCCGGTTTGACAAAAGGTGTGCAAAGGTCCAAGAACTCAGCTGGATGAGTAATGTGTTCAATGACCTCAAACACCGACATAACGTCGAATTGCTCCTCAATTGATTGCGGCTTTGGCAGCTCCTCGATTGAATTATTCAGATATGTCAATTTCCCCTTCAACATTGGGTCTTTCCTCGCATGTCCCTTCGCAATAGCCAACACCTCCGGACTGGGATCAATGGCTGTAACACTGCCGGTGCTGCCTAATCTCGCAGCACTCTCTGCGAATATACCTCCTCCACATCCAATGTCTAGATAACGTAGGCCACTAGTCGGTGGTGGGTCAGGCTGCGCGGCGTGGCATCCCCGGATAAAGTCGTGACGGAGAGGATTCATGAGATGGAGTAGCCGTGAGGATCCGTGGGGATCCCACCATGTCGAGGCCAGAGCATTGAAATGTGAGACTTCTTCGGGATTGACTGATGATGATGCGCTCTGAGACGTGCTATGATGTCGGAATTGATTCTGGACGAAGCGTGGTGCGGTTCGGAGGAGGAGAGTAAGGTTCCTGAGTGAGGTATGTTGAAGGGGAGATATAGTCGTCATTGTTGATGTGGTTGTTGAAAGAGGTGAGAGACCAAATTCGTGCAAATGGTACACTTGAATCTTTAGGTATTATATTATCGTTGATCACAACGGCATTGATGAATCGAAGTGCTTGGTCGTGAATGTTTGCGTTGTCGTCAGTTCGTGACGAGATTCAAAATATTTTGGTTGCCGAATGAGGAAACAGCCTCGCAGCCTCGCAATTCTGGCGCTATCAAAACCCCGCTGCTCCATCAACAACCCCTCTATTCTACCACAAACCTACAATATGGAAGACGACGATTTGGCACAGGTATGGTTTTTGTAAAGTTACTAACTGCTCTGCTGATATCTCACTGCAGATCAGAAAGGCGCGCCTTGAGCAACTGAAAGCACAAGGAGGAGGAGGTGGTGGCAGCAGCGGGGGTGGACAAGAGCAGAAGCAGTAAGCTATCCTCGTGTATATTACCTGCCATACAGGAACATGCTAACATGTCTTAAACAGACAGCAAGAATGTAAATACCCTATTCCATGGCAATACTCTTTTAAAGGTCATCCAGAAGTTAACACACCACTCAGCAGAAGCGCGTCAATCCATCCTCTCTCAGATCCTCGAGCCCGAAGCAGCAGACCGACTCGGACGTATCCGACTTGTCAAGGAATCCCGCGCGCAAGATGTTGAGAATAGGTTGATTATGCTAGCAAGGAGCGGCCAACTACGGTCGAAGGTCACAGAGACGCAGTTGAAGGAGCTGCTAGGCGCTGTTGCGGAGACCAAAGAAGAAGAGAAGATTGTGGTCAGTCGGAGAAAGGGTGGATGGGACGACGATGACGATGATTTGTTTGCCGATCTATAAGAGAGAAAGAGAGAAGGGGCAGGAAAGAGCATTCTACGGCTGAAGAGAGTTGTTGTTGCTGGTGGTATCTGGCATTTGGTTGACGAAAAATTGGCCTCTTCACGGACTATCATGGCGTTACCTTCGGCATTTCCTATGTTACTTTGGTCTCATTTTGGTGATGGAATGGGGGTTTATTGACCCCTAGCCGAACAAATTGCTCAGTTAATTCCAAGGCTATCTCCTGACCTTTCTTTTGCCTCCTTCTCAGCCTTCTTCCTCAATCTCTCAGCCTTGCGAATAGCCCTCAGGTCAATAGGTTTCTCAATACCCAACTCGGCTCTCAATTCACCAACATCCCTTTCCAGCTGCTCTTCCCAGTATACATTGATGACCTCTTTCGATCCTACCCCATTCTTTACTGCCCACGGCAGATAGATCTTCCAGAACCTCTCTTTCTCCTGCGGCTTTAGCCGTACATATGCAAACAGACTTAGTCCTGTCATAGGCAGTAGAGTATTGGCAAACTCAAATGCTTTGACAGCTATCTCTCCCTCGATTATAATCGGTAATCCAGTCAGCGCGTGGTATAAATCGTGGCATTCCCTGTAGCGCTGCATCACGTATGCGCACTCCTCGTCGTCGATGTACTGAACAGCGCTTCGTGTGTCTGGGGTCACGCCCTCTAAGTCCAACCAATCTGCGTATGCCCTCCCGACGGTATTCTCTGGCAGGGTCCTCAAGTATTCCATTTTCATGGATCTAGAGGTTATTCTAGGTCGATCTTTCAGGATTCGTCGGCCGGTAGGAGACGCAAGCATGACATCTCGAAGACGGTAGATGAAGTACGGCGTCGCGGTAGCTTCACCAAGAGCTGCTATCAAATCTTCTCGAATTAGCACAGCTATGAGCTGAGAGCAGTTGCTGAAGCATACCTCCGCGGAAGGGGTTATAAAGCGATCCAAATGCAGATCCTATGGCTAGACCTGCTTTCTCAATTCTCGTAAGAGGAATATGGCCAGGATAATTTGGTGGCGGGCGATTGAGAACACTGAATTGCCTCGAATTGAGAAATATTGCGCATGTTGCAAGGAGCTCCCTGGGAAGGCCAGGCTTCAAGGCGTTCTGCCGTAGAAACAAAGCCATTGTTGACTTGAAGTTGTGAAGTGGAAGCCAAGTTGTTGGTGATCAGTCGATTCCGGGAGCTACAGCTTCGGCTTTCGGATGGTGAAGCGGCCGCACCATTTTCAGACAACAATCTTTTCTTCTCAACATGACTCATTTTTGACACGAACTGAGCATTCGCAATGGAAGGTCCATGATCCTTTTGACTTGCCAAAAATGGAAATCCACGAAGCCTTCACAGAGTGGGCGTTAGACAAGGGCATCAAAATCAATGGCATTGCTGCACATACATTTGAAGGAAGAGGCGTGGGCATTATTGCTGAGAAGAGGCATGCGGTATGTACGACGCGCTGAACCGTTGTCTTTCGGCCTGAGTTTGCCATTGAGCATTGCTTTTGTACTTTTCACCTTCCTTGCTCTTGCAGTATTGACCTGTTGCCTTTTGGGCCTTGTCTGTTTTCTGTACTTCATACACCAGTACCGCACTCTGTTGGTTGATTTTCAGAATGTTTGGATGATTGTCTCAGTCCGCCTGAGAATCCCAGTGAAGTTGATGGCGACCTGTAAAAGCGTTTCTAATTAGTTTCTTTCCTGCCTATGCCCTACAAATTCAATTGGGTGCAAGCATTTGCTATCGATAATTCCAGACTGTATTCCTCGTTCTGGCGCTTTCTATAATTATGGCCTCCATTGGTATCTGTCCAGTTCAATCACTGCAGAATCCCTTCTAATTTTGCATACTCAACGACGATTGGAGCAGAAGCATTCACTTCTTTCCCCGATTTTGGTGACCGGAGTTGAGCCCAGCCAAAAGTCACCTACTACAGGCCCCAATTGCTGTTAAATCTTCCTGTTGCTTTCCATTCTCGCTAAGCTCCGAAGCTGATGTTTTTGCCAGGCGAACGAAGTCCTCCTGAACGTTCCTCTCTCGGCCTTACGCACAGCCAATACAGTGCCAAAGGACATTCTCCGAGCACTGCCAAAGACTACAGTTCATAATCTTCTAGCCGCTGATCTGACCCTCGATTCCTCAGCGCTTCGTGCTCCGTGGCACGCTGTTCTACCTACTCAAGACACCTTTGAAAATTCCATGCCTCTCCTCTGGCCGACATCTCTGCAAGAGTTACTCCCTCCCCAAGCAGCTAAGTTGCTGTCAAATCAACAATCAAAACTTAAGCAAGACTGGGCCTTGACTTCTGCTGCTTTCCCCACTATCACCTACGAGACCTATCTTCACTCATGGCTTGTCATTAATACACGAACATTCTACTTCGTCTCACCAGCTCCAAAAGTTAAATCTAAACCAGTACCAACACCCAAGAATCGCGATGACTGTTTGGCCCTCAATCCATTTGCCGACTATTTCAACCACACTTCGTCGCCGTCCGCCTGCGAGGTTGGCTTCTCAGTAGATGGTTACACTGTTACCTCTTCCGTACCAATCAAGAAAGGTGAGGAGATATACATCAGCTATGGACACCACAGCAACGACTTTCTGCTCACCGAATACGGCTTCATCCTTGCTGGAGATGCAAATAAGTGGGACGAGGTGGATCTTGACGCATATGTGCTAGGACTATTGAATGCGGACAAGAAAGAAATCTTAAAGGAAGAAGGCTTCTTGGGTAACTATGTGTTGGATCAGGAAACAGTGTGCTATCGGACGCAGGTTGCTCTCAGACTTGCTTGTTTGCCAATCGGCAAGTGGAGAAGTTTTGTCAGTGGGCTGGATGATGGAGAGAAGGATCAAAGCAAAGTGGACCAGGTGTTGCTCAAGCTTTTGCAAAAACACCAGAATGATGTGCTGGAGAAAATGAGATCGGTGAGGAAACTCGATGAAGGCAAGCCCGATCAGCGAGATACTCTGGAGAAGCGATGGCAGCAGATCGGTGCGCTTTTGCAGAGAGCGATAGATAGAATACAAAGCTGATCCATCGATCCTGCCCAGAAGCCAAATAAGGGCACTGACGTATAGCATAAATGAATCATACTCTTGCATCATTGAATGCCGTGATTTGCATGCCAAGAGCGAATCGCAACGATTAAATTTGAAAAGCGTCAATGATCCAATTTTAACTTCGCATAGCTGGTGATCTCTTCCGGAAATTAGCCACATATTTAACTTAAATCAAGTTCCAAATGCAGATCTTGAACCCTAATGTGAACTCTCTTCTCCCATGCCCGTGTCCTGAACGTATTTTCAAACCTTCGAAATGGAATACCGTCTGGGGTCTAAACTATATTTACAACATCAATGCAGCTAATCATACACCCCTCTCTATTTTGACAGCCTCATCCGTTGAGATACCTGCCAATCTGTGAAAACCTCGAATTTGATAGCAGCCAACGCTCCCACAAATAAATACGTAGAACGTCCAGCATCCTTAGACTCCTCTAGTTCTGTGCCCAATACATCCCTCCCTCCTTGGGGCCCGTCTAGTATCTCATTGGGCCAGAAATTGTAATGCCAGTCTTGTCCATCGTCTGAATACTTTGCAGCTTGACAGTATCGTCGTCTCCAAGTGTAGCGAATCTCGAGTAGTGGTCGAATCCCTTAACACCATACTTCGCCATCAGTGGGCCAAGCTCCAGGAGCCCTGCCACAATGAGACCGATACTGACTTCAACCGCAGACCAAGTGAAGACAGGAGCAGCGTCGACTGGATGTCCTGTTAGTTACTGATGTGGAAGCGGATAGGGAAGTCTTACACAGTTGGTCTTTTGACTTCTGGAGTTTGAAGAGCGCGAATAAGCGGATGATGTTTGCGATAGTCGCCCTGAAAAGTAGATTAGCAAACAATTCTTCCTCGGGAACATGTCCAACCGCTACATACAAGATACCCAAACTGAAAATCCCATAGATGTACTTCTTCAAGGTCTTGTTGATATTCTTGCCCTTCATCATGATAAATGGACTGGTCATCAACAGGATGTCCAATGTGAAAGTGACGAAGCACAGCGCAAGACCCATATACAATTGTCCAGTGAAAGGCAAGCATTTCCCCTTGACCGTAGGATCGAACAGTCGCCATGCGTAGCTGACTGGCGTGCATTGAAAGATGACGTAAAAGGAGAAGACGGCGGAGATGATAACGTCCATGGCGATCGAGCCCCAAAACATCCAGATCAAGACACGGTTCTTGGTCCATTGCATCATTGTGATAGCAATACTGCCCTTCATAACACTTGTAAGGCACACATAGATGATTTCGAGGAACCAAATATACTAGGCATTATCGTCAGTATCGCTGACAAGCTTGTTGCGATATCCTCTGAGCTTACTTTCAAAACATTCGAGATTTGGGGAATGCTGGCCTGGGCTGTATGACCACCAATACCATTCAGTGCTCCGAGGACAAGAAGGGCTCCCAAACTCAGATACGCGAGCTATAACTCTGTCAGATTGATAGGTAGAACACGGGCGTCGGTGGAAAGTCCTACAAATGCAACCAAAATTCCCACATCGTTCCAGTTGAACTTCTTTGTGACAACCAATTGTGTATACACTCGCGTTCCGATCGAAATGAAACTCAGCAATGCAAATGCTGCCGACACCACAACAGCGATCGTTCCTTGAGTGTGAAGCGGCATAGTAACCAGTACTACCAAAGAAACGCGAAATAAAATAGGTAAAGAAATTCAGTATCAATCACCACTGGGAGTGAGAGCAAATGTTTGTAAACTAGTTTTACGGATTGAGCGAAGATTATGTGTGTGGGGGATGGTAGATCAATATCCTCAAGATAGTGTCGATTGCCATGCTTCTCAGCACAGATCATTTTGAGTGACAGGAATGCGCTCAGTGAAGCGCAGCACCCCCCAGCTTGTGTCGGTTCTCGACTCGGAAGTGCAATGCGATTGGACGTCATAAATATTGCAGAGTTTGACTTGTGTTTCTCGCAACGCAATAGGAATAATACTAGTTTTACGACGTGTTTCATCAGACCCCTGTTCCAACTTTGTTTTGATCGCTTCGCTAAGGTCTTGGCAAAGAACATTTCGAAGAATCGAGAGCCACGAACCCTCGCTGGTAACGTTTATCTTTTGGAGAGATGCCGAGGCTCACTCGGTAGATGAAATGACAATGTGCCTTGATGATATCTCGTGCTACCCTACCACCCCTCGAGTTCGAATCGGCACAAGTCGTTGCGAGTCAGGCCTCGACATTTGACATCTCGCTGCAGTACCCAAAGAAAAATCGTAACTCGCTCTAATCAAATATCGTCCTGTATCAAAGTTTCGAGCGTCTGGGATGTTCGGACAATCTCAAGATGGCATATGTTGCTTTCATGAGAGATACACTGCTCGCAACCCTCGCGCCGAAGCCGAGTTGACAATGTGCCTTCAGCCAACCCACCTCTTCCAATATCGCGGCTACCGGGAAAGCTATGAAAGGTTATCACCTCTACGAGGTTTGCGACACTAAGTTTTGGATATCATGTTGCATTCCACTGGACAGTCAGTGTTAACCGAGGTCTGTAGGTGAGCTTATCATATGCCAGATGGAAGTGAGTCTTCGACGGTGCTCGACAGGTCTCAATTTTAAGACTGACATAGCAGTAGATAATAAATTCCGTATGCCTATCTGCTAGTTACATATACAATAATCGTCAAAGAAGCCTCGGTGTTATTTGCCTGATGTCTCGAGGACTCTTCCATTCTTTCCTCGCAAAGACACCTCGCAAGTAATGTATGAGGACAGCACCGCCAGGATGAAATCTTTTCCCAGTTTAAAGTAAGGGTTACGAATATTTCGCCAGGCCATTGTTTCTCAGTCTACTCCCTCATTGCTAAAGCAACGCCTTGAACGCCTTTCTTCCGTCCCACAGTATTTTATTTGACTCCCAAACTCCATGCGAGGCCGCTAAGTAAACTCAACTCGAACACCCGATTGCGAACAAGTGCTGACTTATCTCGCCTCAAAAATTTCTTCTGTTGATCCTCTAGAAAAATCTCCTGTCCATGTGTGGTTGACTGATGCGACACTGACACTCCTCACCTGCTCTGTACCATCTGTCGGTGACAGCTTGTTCCGCTCCGATACATCAAAAGATCTCCGTATGTATATGTCGGTGGCAAATTTCGACTCGACTGAGCGGTTCCTCGCTATCTTGGACATGTTATTTGTGAGCTCTGTATCGGATATGTTTCTAGTGGGGTTGGTGAAATGAGCAAAGAACGACGGCAGGACGCGAACTGCAAGCGGTCGGAGCGATGAAAGCGAGGCGCATATTATAGCAGTTCCGACTTCGATGACGCTCCAGTTGAGGGACCTCACTGTTTGATCTGCATGCTTGGTCAGTATTTAATCCCGGTGGGAAATCTGGAATACCTACACGAAATATCGTAGCCGGTCAAACTCTTCAGTTGAGTAATCCTGATGATACTTGCAATACAAGCACTATAAAAAATCAGGAAAGGAATGAGCCATGGTATCATTCGGAGGCTTACAATGTTCCCAGGCAGAAGAGTAGGCAGACCACGACCCGCTGTGCCTTCGGCATTCTCAATGCCCATATTGTTGGCAGAGGCAAAAAGCACAACAACAGATCTGTCGCAATGTTGAAACCAGCAGCAACGTAGAAGTACTTCACAATGTCGATACATTTGCTTTTGATGGAGTAATCCCAAGCTCCTTGAATCGGTGTGCATGTGAAAATGATTAAAAAAATTGAGCAAATCCAAAAGGAAGTAACGATCACACCTGCTGCGTAGACTATGTAGTGAAGTCTGCCTTTGGGAAATATTCTGATATAGGTAGCCATGATGGAGTATTTCGTGAATGTTATGGCCGTAGCATATGCTAGATAGCAGCCATACAATGACTTCGTGATTTGTCCAACGCTATGTGGTAACTTGGTGAGATCCGAGTTGAGATTCCACAAATGCTTTCCAAGTCCGTACTGTCTTCCCAAGAGGCATGACGCTGATAATAGTAAAGCAAATGTAACAGCTGCTACCATAATTACTAGACATTCGTCAGTCATCGAGCACTTGGAGCAGTCGATTCTGTGAACTCACAGTCATCTAAACCAGCAGATCGAAGCATACGAAACCGGACCACAAACCTGAGGCCTGTGGTGAGAACTATCGCAGCTACGAAGATAACATTAATCTTGAGTATAGAAGGCTGTAATGTGGAAAAATCTGTTTTGCTCCCAATAAGATATGGCAGCAGAGCCGGAGGAATTCCGAAAGAACTCATGATCAAATCTGCAGAAGTTTTGGCAAGAAACAGGTGCCGAAAAGAGGGATCGAAGAGAATAGGATGTTAAAGAGGGATTCATCTCGGATAAAATAATGAAGATGTGCCGCCTCCAGCTATATCATATCGATGGCGTACGCCTCTATGCCGGCCATACGATACGAATATTGAGGGAGCTAAACAAGGTCAAATGGAAGGACGGCCAGTCGGCCTAGACGGCTCAGCAAGGCTCCGATTTTGATGCATTAGCTTTTGTTAGTGACAGTTTAAGTCCAGCTGTGATGTGCGCTGATATGTGACATGGACCAGATGCTCACCGGCAGATACCGTGCACTTTCCCCTGAGCAGATCAAGGAGCATGCTGCATTGTTGGTGCAGTGGCCTGGAAGCGTTTGCTTGCCGTTCCATTGAAACGCAACAATGTCCCGCCGTCACCTCAAAACGCCGTGACGAGGGATGTTTTCGTCACTGGTCCCAACGAAGGACACGGGATGCACAGGCCTGTCATTGTGACCAATACCCCGCTCGTTCAGATAAACATGGCAGAGAAAAAGCCTTGTGGATGTGTATCATTAATGTCATTGTGACATCTAGACCTGTCTCATTTGTTGTCATATAAATTGTTAGGTTTTACTCCCTACTCCCACGCGTCGTGCCAGGCAGCCAGGCTTCCATTCGTTTCCTACTGCAAATCATTAATAACCAGGAACCAGCTATCGGAATAGGGGATACCGATACCAAAGCATTATCGTGTTCGTCCCGCGTCGAATTACGACCAATCCCAGGTCTGACTTCCCCTGCTCGCCTTATCTCCACACTTTCTCACCCGCTGTCAAACCAGGAATGTCCCTCCAAGATCTGGATAGTCATTCAAGATGTGGTTCGTGCTGAATCGAGGAGAAACAAAGTGACAGGCTGGGTACGGCACGAGGTTGAGTTTGCCAAGATTAAAAGCAGCCACATTTGACGACTGTGGAAAGGCCAAGGTCTAGCTCGGAGGCGAGAGTGCTGAGATGTCACCGAGACCTCTTCATCCAAACCATACTAAGTGAGAGACACTTCTAGTTGAATTCAAGATTTACTACGATCAAATGGTAATAGATTCATAATCATACTTAGCAGAAAGTTAGATATATAGCCTCTGTCACACTAAATCCGCATGCCACCCAATCGCAGAGAGAAGTGCCGAAATTACCGACGACTCTCACTTCGAGAAGCTGACGAGCTACTCAGAGCGGAGGCTGGAAGTGAAGAGCTTAGAAGCATAATCAAAAGATAGCTTTGCGTGGTGCTTGTGGACATCGATCGTTTCTACATAATCGAGTCCAGATATTCACTATGTCACGGCAAATCCCGTCCTTCCCCTGCCTTAAGCGAGACCCACCGCTTCAAACTCCACGCCCAACATAAACAAATGGCGAAAGTCCTTCTCAAGCTCACAAAACTACATCGGAATGATCCATCATCGGAATAATTGAAAGATGTGCGATAATGTCCACAAGTAGACTATGGATAAGTGATGCCTGTCCACTCATCCCCTTCCAGCTACCCAGCTGCGCCTGGCCCCATCCATCATATCCACGAGGAAAGCTTCCTTCATCATCTCACCGTAACTTCCACGTGCCGCAAGCGAGGCTGACAATATTTCCAAGATGTGTTGCCTCGTTTCTTCCTTCATGAGTAGCATAATCTCCACCACATCAACGGCCTCCCACCACCAAATGATCCGATGATCACCAGGACCACGACAGATGATCATATCAGAAGCGTTGTTGTCCATCTCATGCTGAGGCACACCCATGCGTGCCAAACAGTCCATAATGATGAACAGTACGGTGAGACCTTTGGGTTTCGTCTTGCCTCTAGTTCCAATGAGGTTATTTAGTCGGCGCAGAAATGGAATACTCTTTGCCATGTCGTCGCGGAGGTCGTACAGTATGCGATTAAGAACCCAGATAATTGCTAGATAGCTTCGATAATGTGTTTTGATTTGATCATGGAAGTTTGCCTGTGCGAATGTACTCAAGGAAGATTCTGGGCCGAAAACTTGCTGGAGAAGCTGGTCGTATGTTCTGGAAAGATTCTGATCTTGGTGATGTTCCGAATCCTCTCGGCGTAGCTCACTTCGGTAAGACTTTTGTCGACAAAATGAGGACATGGACCTTGCGAAAGAAGATGTAGCAGTCTCCAAGGAATCCAGGTCAGGAAAAGCAGCAATTCCACTTCCAAGCCAAATGAACGTCGAAACAATAGTGATAGGCATGCGTTTCCAGCGATCTCCCCGGTCAACTATTAATTGCTTAACAATCCCAAGATGTCTCTGTGCATCAGCAGGTGAGCAGCCAATTCTGTGCTCAGCAACAGCGATCGTTGTAATCCGCGTGATTGCCGCATCAGAATAGCGAGTTTCGGGATTGCTCAGCTCTTCTCGAATGGAGCGATAGATTGACGCTCTGCGAGACAAGACTGACATTGATTCTTCTGCAGCTTTGCTACCCAAGATGTCGACCTCTGCAGAAAGGATCACGCCTTGAAGCCAGTCGTTGCATCGCTGAACGAAAACGAGAGTTCGGTCTCGTACTGGACAGAATAGAGATGACTCGTGAGTTCCATAAACCCGAGCAGGGGTGACGATTAGGTCTATCGATACGTGAGCTTCGTTGTATAGTGAGAGTTTAAGCGATGCTTACAATAGTGTAGTAGATTCCGCTCATGAGGGGTGGTTTTTGCAGCTAGTGATATGAAAGGATCCAGTTGTTCGACGAATATCGAATCACAGGCGGGATTACCTGGTATTACTGCGGCCGAGACAGAAACCTGCGGTTTAGGGCGTTGTTTGCGTGCTTTATTGATTGCTTTGATTTGCTCAGCTGGTGGCGATGATTTGCAACAAGCGAGTCGCTTATGGGTTGACCTCTTCGAATAATTCGCAGCAAGTTGTCGTCTCTGACTCCAAGTGACTACTTGTGCATGGGAATTTGCTATAGTAATGTGATCCTTCGATGCGATATTTGAAGCATTCTTGTTGACCCAGGCGAACTGGCATACATCGGCCATAGTCAAAATCGGGAAAAGAGAAATATTCAGCAACGTTCAACATTTGACAGATGGTTTGGAGGCAAATAATAGAGTATTCGCAATCATGAAATAGCAAATCAACGTAGGTTAATTCTCCATCGACCTTCCATTTACGGAGGGAATGTTGGTATGCAAGACAGCTTAGTAACAGCGGAAGAGGCGTCAGCCTGAATCCCAAGCGGTGTACGGAGACCCAACTCCCAGTTAAGTGGATGTTATCCCCACACGAGCCAATGTCGTTTGGTGATTGACCAATCGTCAGGTCATTTGGGCTTGAGAGCAGCCAGTGCGATTGGAAGACTGCCAACAGGGAGCGTCGATAAGGTTCATATTCAAGCTTGGATCGGAGGCTCCATGTTGTGCTGACGCCAAAGACGGGGTGCCGCAAGAGTTCCTGCACAGCTGCTTGCCCCAGCCTCACGGAACCGCCCCACTGTAAGGATTATAATTGGAGAATGGGACAGATCAATAGCAGATCTTGAAGTATCAGATAGGTAAACCACTTGCTATCATCGGCATTTTCTCTTGTAACATGCCAAGCATTTGTCTATTTGGAGAAAGAGTGGTTTTGAAGGCATAGCATTGAGCTCCCAGAACGATACTCAAGCAGCAAGAACCAGCGCTCTGTCTTCCTCTAGCATCGAAGAAGCTTGTTCAGAGATCGTGTCTTCGTTTCATAGCCCCTGTAATCTATGTGATTTGATAGATTGCCGAGCTGGTTGATCGGCTGAGCCTGCACACTGGGTCACAAGTTAGAGATTATTCGAAAGGAAGGCGATGAATCAGAATAATGTGATTACTCAGAATCTCTTCGTATATTAAGGAAGGTAAATGGAGGAAACAGAGTGTGTAAAGTGTCCAAATGTCGGACATTAGCGTGGTTGCTGGTCTTATTGTTAGTATTTGTCATGTTTCTGCAGCCAGTCAGCCATGTAGCAGCAGTCGACTTAGTGCCGTGCCACTTCAACAACGATCAACCTGTGCTACTAGTACTTCAAGTATCATAAGAAACCAGAGTTGTATTTGCAAGTGATTCATTGTGTTGCAAAGCACTTAAAGGTAGTTCTGGTCTGGGGGGAGGTTTATACAAGAGTATATAGTGTGTGACAATCGTGGTAAGCATAATGTAAATATGACAGTGACTCAACGCTTGATCCTTGTCTTTGCAAGGGACAAATGGCACGATACCTCCATCCAGAGTAAAAAGCAGCAGTTGACAAGACACTTACCCTGTGCTTAAGGATCTGATAAAATAGTAGCAATGCATATATCCAGAGATACCGAACACCAGATCATGTCTCCCTAACCCAAACGCCATAACCATCCATCTATCCAGCCATACATGCATCGTTCATTCCTCCTCGCTCTCATCACTCTCATCGGCATCGGCCCGCAGAGCTTGTTCTAGATCCTGTTCCAATTCAGCCGCAAGATCCATCTCCATATCCTCATCACTTATGCCGCCATTGTTATTGCTTGCAGGACTTGGTAATTTGAGGTGATCAACGTCTTGATTCCTCTCTTCCTCCTCGTCAATCTCCTCTCCTTCCGCATCCTCATCTTCGTCGCTTGGCTCACTGACAGCTCGGTCAAAAATCGGAGTGGACTTGTATTCATAGTTGGATGGCGCTTCTGGGTATTCAACTGTGAGAACATCGTCGGAGTCTTCCTCCTCTGGTGTAGGTTCGCGGATAACTGGAGCTGGCTTTGGTTTCTTTGGTTTCTCGATTTTCCGGCGGGGTGGTGCGGCCTTCGTTGGATCCATCTTCTTTGATCCTTTCGACACTTTTCTTTGTGGAGCTGAGGTTTGGGATTTGGAAGTAGATAGCTGGGGATATTGCGTTCGTAACTTGGAGGCATCTTGGATCCAGGGAGCGCTTGTGAGGTTCATGTCAAAAGTAGAATCGACCTGATGTAAAACGAAATGTTTCTTTTCGGGGTTGAATATGAGGACATATTGATCGCTGCTTGTATTGCGCACGCCTTGATAGGAATAATTGTCGGAGTCGTCTTTTAAAGAAAGGTCGTAGTCTGTACCATCGGAATCTGAAGGCTGGAGGTGAAGAGAAGTCTCTGAAGAGTCCGAAGATGGGTCTGGCTTGTGGTTATCTATTTAAACATCGTCAGTCCTGATCGTAGTGTTAGATAGTTATAGTACATCTGATCCCTGTGTACGTCTCTGCTTTGCCAGTTGCCCTGCCCAGGAGTGCGTCGCTGAGGACGATGGGATATTTGCCTGGCTGGTCCATATCTATTGAACCACCCGCCATGACTACTAGAGGTGGTTCTTCGACAGAGTACTAATCAGCAGAATATTCTGCGTGCTGAATGTAGTGCAGATGGTATTGAAAGTACGAGGAAGTGAGAGTGACGTTGAGGTAAAGTGAAGCAGACGATCAGCACTACCCGGGGGCTAGACCCCGCGCCCGGAAGCTACTGGGATCAGGCGATTCAGGGGACTGCTTTGCTTCCGTTAATGGGCCGAGCCCTGACTTCTCGAGAACATGCATTACTCACACCTGCTGGAAGGGATCTACCCTTGATGGCGGTTGATTCATATAGGAATAGATTGCTTTCAAGAGCTTTGTTCTGGACAATGACAATGACAAACATCAAACAATTCATTCATATGGTATATATATCCGAGCCGTTGATAACTCCAGTATTTCCAGCACCAGCCCATCCAGACAAACGGAATAAGTACTAGTATATTTTCAACCCATCTTAACATCAGGAACTCCACCATATCCATTCACACCGCTGTTCGTTGGTGGCAATTCCGAGGAAGGCTTCTCCATAGGTGACAGAGGATTTTCTCGCTCCCCATCTTCTCTTCGAGACCGTCTTAAACGTTCACACCATTCTTCAGCGCTGACAATCGTGCCATCTAACACACCAGATACTTGCGCCATCATATCTAGACCTTCTTTCGCCAACACCAAAACGCGATTTGCGCCTTCAGTAACCTCCATATCACCATTCTCGCCACTCCGGCCACCTTCTGTTGGCCGTGAGCTGGCCAGTCTAAAGCGCTGGGGCAGCGAAGTGAGGTGTCTTCGAACAAGAACCCTGGCATTCTCAGGAAGAGCACCACCAGCATATTTAGACACTATGTCTACAACCTCCTTGAGCGTCTTCAAGACATCTTTTTTAAGCTCAGCAATCTTTGCATTGAGTGCTGAGCGTTCTGCATCGCTACGAACAATGAGCTGGCCGGGGTGCTCCGAACTCTCTATGGCCCCTGAGGCATTCACCCTGTTTCCATTGTCATATTCTTCCAAGGCACTCTTCAGTGCCAGAATGACTTTGCCGATATGTTCATTTGCCCAACGCAGCCAACCAAGACAATACTTCAGGCTGCGGAGGGACTCTTCGCTCATAGCGACACTAAGACCACTCGTTGATAGAACTAATCGCGACTGCCATGAACTTCCCGGTGACCTGGGCTCATCTTGTGACTGTGTAGGTATCAAAGCATTTGCTTGATAGCTGGGGCTGCGATACTCGTCGTAAGCTGGTAAGCTCTCCACTGTCGATCCTTGACTGGGCCTTCGTTGTCGATGCTGTAATTCCTGTCTGGTAGCAGGATATGATTCGTGCTGGCCGTCGATATCCATATCCACATCCTCTGTGCCAACTTTCCTCCTCTTGTTGGACACTTGCGAATCTTGTTCCCCATCAGGTTGGTGGTGACTTGGTTTTCGTCCACCGAGAAACCAACGCACCCCTCCTTCAACACCAGTTATGCGCCCAACTGAACCCACAGTATTGACGACCGGCGTAAACCTTCTTTCAACATATTCAGCACTAGACTTGAATCGCGGACTGTAGTTTTTGGACGCAGAGTAAGCGGATAAAGAACCGCCAATTGCTGTACCGATTATTGGATGCGAAGTGGTGAGGAGAGAAAGGAGGGGCTCTGGCTGGGCTCCTCTAGGTTGATGACTGTGAGGTGAAGAAGGTGGTAAGGATCGGCCATTTTGCTGAGGCGAGCCTACGAAGTCTACAAGCAGTCAGTTGCGATAAGTGCGCCGTCTCTGATCCTCGAGAGTTACGCACCTGCTCTGAGATCTCCCAGCGCTTCAGCCGCAAGTCGCACATCCGGGTCGTCTATCGACAATACACTTCCACCCCGTCGACCCCTACTATCCGTACCATCAAGATCCATCGTCTTTGGAGAATCCATTCCCATGGAGCTCTGCGTCTTGGGGGACAGGGCCGAGGGCCCGGGTTGGTAATATGCTGTCAACGGATTCGACGACGGCCAGATAAACTGGTGCTCCTCTGCTCGAAATCGTGGCTCTGCTGGTTGTGGCGGTAGGGGTGGTAATACACGCTCATGGTGGATAGGTGGTGGATCTGCTGTGGGAACAGATGGAAAATTCAGAGACTGGGGATCGTGGGATTGTGTATATGAAGGAGGTTGCTCCCGTTGCATGTGATCCTCCATCGTCGTTCACAGCCGCCAACGGCACGTCGAGGAAAGTGCGCTCTGAATGTTGAATAGAGACTTGGAATGCTCAGAGATAGTCCGTACTGAATGTCGTACCATCAACTCTCGGTTCCCATTCGTGAGATAGGAGGTGTACTCGGCGCAGACTCGGGTCGCTGTTCGGTCGTAGCGGTCAACGGCCAGTCCATATGTCCTCGATGTGTTCAGCTCTGTTGATGAAAGATGCGCTTATTCGCAGCAACAACGTGTACATGGAGAGATGGGCGATATGCGTTTGGAAGTGTCACCGTCACCATCTGCCTCGGGAGAGTTGAGTAAAAGACGGAATTGCCTTCGTCGCATTGTCACATGCGAGATGGGCATGGGACGGAGCAGCACTCCCGTGGACTGTGCTGCGCTGCGGTGCGCTGCAATTCCAGGTTCTGAAGATCACATGCCCGTTTATGCCAAGCTTCATGGATGTTCGTTAAAGCTTAGTCATTCTCTCGCGTATGTTATGGTCTGTGCATACCTTATGGATCAGACAAAGCCGAGAAAGGGCAGCTAGGGCAGCAAAGCAAAGGTGGGGAAGAGGGGCAGAGCAGGAGTTCAAGGTTCCAAGAAGGTTCATTGGATTATTGCCGTACTGATACCGGCCAGCATTGTGACACTTTGCTAAGAAAGCACGCAATACGTGATCGGCGCCATTTCATCTTCGTCCTTGTTGATACAAAGGTAGGTTATGCGCACATATTTCTCTCTTTCTGAATTGTCTCTTCCGTTATCTTCTTGCATCGCTCCAGAATTCTTCGTTGATTGTGCTCTGCTCTACCTTCAAAGACCATCATGGCTCCCTCACTTCTTGAAACCCAGCCAACGGCACCCCACCAATTATCAAACACGTCCCAGAAGTCTGTGGACAGAAAGATCTTCCCAGACGGTATCAAGACATCTGGTCAACATCCACCCTTGCTTGACCAAATCAAGCCATACTCCAGTTTCCCCAAGGAGATTACAGGTGAGACAGTCTGGAAGGCAGAAGACTACAAGGACAATCCAGAAAGATGGGTGCATGTGTTCAACGACGAGGAAATTGCCGAACTGGGTGCTGCTGCGGATAAGTTTCTGGCTGATAAGACTCCATTGACTGGTATTTCGAAGGTTTGCAGACCCAATGGCTCTTTTGGTTCAGTACTAATGCACACTGTAGGAGAACTTCATCATCCCCAAACTTTCAGTCTTGTTGAACTCTATTCGAACCGAGATCTTAAACGGCAAAGGATTTATTCTGTTCAAGGGCTTCCCAGTAGAGAAATGGGGCAACCACAAGTCTGCGGTCGCATACATGGGTCTGGGCACAATCTTGGGTTATTTTGTCAGTCAGAATGGTCGAGGTCACGTCCTCGGTCATGTCAAAGATGTCGGCGATGATCCAACCCAAACTCACAAAGTCCGAATTTACAGGACGAATGCTCGGTACGCATGGCTCTGACACATGAAAGGAGCTTCACTGACATCTACACAGCCAATTCTTCCACGCCGACGACTCAGATATCGTAGGCCTTCTCTGTATAGCTCGCGCTCTCGAGGGCGGTGAATCCGACATCGTATCCTCTCACCACGTCTGGAACACCCTACAGAAAGAACGCCCTGACGTCGCGGAGACGCTCACAAAACCCATCTGGTATTTCGACCGTAAAGGGGAAACCAGCGTCGGCGAAGAGCCCTACATCAAGACCTCTGTCTTCTACCTCGAGCGCGGCGAGAACGGCCGAGTATACAGCAAATGGGATCCCTACTACGTGAAGAGTCTCAGCCGGTTCATGGACGCGGGCATCATTCCTCCCTTGTCACCAGAGCAATTAGAGGCTGCTAAGGTGCTGGAGGAGACGTGCCATCGCCTTAGACTACATATGATTCTCGAGGTTGGGGATATCCAGTTCTTGAGCAACGAGCATGTTCTACATGCGAGAACAGAGTATAAAGATCATGCGCCACCTACGCCAAGGAGACATCTGATGAGGTTGTGGCTTGCGACTCCTGAGTCGGAAGGAGGATGGAAGTTGCCATTTCATGACTCGGCGGAGAAGAAGAGGGGTGGTATTCAGGTTAATGATACGCCTCCTGTTTGTCCGCTAGATGCTGAATAGATGGATGGGTAATATTATGTACATATCTAGAAATTTTCACGATATTATTGACTTATCGCTTGACTTATCGCTTAACTTGTCACTGTCCCCCCCTTCTCCTCTCGCTTAAGATACGTGCATCAAAAACATAGACCACGAGTGGCTACAACAATGAGCTATATGAAGGTATCAATAGTATATACACCAAGTATTCTCAAGTGCAAAGCCAAAAGGTAAATGATAGGGCTGGACTGGGGCTGCCGAGGTTAGCAGACGATCGTCAAACAACCTTGAAAGTAAGTCACCTCGAACCCAAGGTCACGTACAAACGATGTCAATAACCAAAGCACGTATCCTACCGCTAAATTATCCAGCCCCGACATGTGACTATCAGATACTATTATTATTATTATCATTAGCTGAACATAGCCAAAACTTGGTTGGAGAAGTAAAGGTTTTCTAGGGGAAGCAGTGATATCCTTACCAGCGTTGAGACAGCCCGCTCTTTGTGGGTATAACTGAAGGATCCAGCCTTGTATAAGCTCAAAGGCTTTGATGAAAGTTATCAAAGCGGTAGACATTGGTATCGTGTCGAATCATAGGTTGTGCTTTGCCAGATACCTCAGAAATTGTTGTTCCTGATTGATGGATGGGGGTTCTCATCCAAACTTACATAGGAGAGAAGATAAATGCACAATCCCATCACTATGCTCCTTTTTGCAAAATCATTTCACTGAAATTTGTTGCATTGGTCTCCATACTCGTGGGTATTCACTCAACTAACCCAAACGCCTCGCTAATGCTCAAATGAAAACACAGCCAGAATTACATCTTGCTGCCCTCAGAAACAGACCTTCTGGCCTGCCATTTCCTCTTCACCATCCTTACCCACCTCCTCCGTCTCCAGTCGCCTCTCCTACCCCTCCCTTCAATCTCAGCGTCACTGCCCTCCTCCCAACTCGGAAGCATTTTCTTCTTGCCCTTCGTCGGCGTAGCCAGATGCTCACCATCACTATTACCGGCCCCATACACCAACCCAAGATCGGCATCATCATACTCATAACGAATATCGTACACCCATCTCTCGCCCTCGGTCTCAACTTCCACGCCGGTGATGATTCGCTCCTCGACCCATTCTCGTGACCAAAGATCAAGAGCCCATTTCTTCTCGCTCCATTCCCAGCCATGTGGAGGTTGTACGTCCTCAAAGAAACGAGTTCCTTTAGGTCGCTCCGAGCGGATCCGTGCCTCGCTTAACGGGTCATATGGGCTCGATGTAAACAGCCAGCTCTCCCATTCACCAGCTGAAGAAAGTCTCTGCAGTTCAAATATCTCGACTTCCCTAGTTTCTGGTGCAGAGTCCAGGATGATATCTTTCGCGATCCAAGCATCAAGGTACGATTTTACCTCTTTCTCTCGTGGTGCCACATGTGTTCTGTGCGTTGCGATCAGCTGTTGCTGGATTGTTGGATGGCTGGATGCAGTGATTATCCAACCGATCGAGAGAAATATGATTCGCCAGGGTAGGAGATGTGAGGCGATGAACATGATGAGTGCGGTAGAAAATGCGAATAGGAACAGGGTCGAGGATAGAGGTTCGTTTGAGAAGTTGGTAGGAGGCGTCAAAAGACTTATGACTTTATCGTGGACACGGCTGAAGTCCTCCATACAATTCTGTAAATCTCGCATGTTCCGGAAGAAGTCTTTAGACAGCTCTTTGACAGGTTTCACAGTTGGTGCTGGCGCTAACGGAGGCCCTGCTGCATTGTATCCAAATGGTGCGGTATGTGAGGAGTAACTGGTAATCGTGGGTGGTGGAGCAGGATGTCTTGCTATGAAAGCGGGTATGAGTAGTGCAAGAAGAATAACTGCGAATGGCAGGACGGTCAAAAGGTAAGGATCCAGGCAAATGAAGGTGTATATTGCAAGGAAGGAAAGTGTGTGCGTGGGGGTGTTCCATGACAAAAGTCGTATAACTTTCGCTTGGAATACAAACACTACGCCGATTCGAGCGTTGAATCGACGGAAATTCGCAGACATTGTAGGTAGAGAGAAGGAGGGCCGAGTTGTGAAGTCTTGTGCGGGGGACGCTTCGGCTCGAGAGGAGGATAGGTCTTCGATTGGTATTACTTGTTGTAACAACCTACGCAATGTTAGTGACTGAGCTCGGGTAACAAGATGAATAGAAATTACTTCTCCAATAGTCGATCTTGGATGCTTGTTCCTGTCTCCGAGGCCTTCTGCTGCACCTTTTTTATATTCTCCTTGACATCCTTTCCTCGTTTTCTGAATCGATCTCTCTTACGATCGACATCCGATACATCCTCAACTTCATCTGATAGATCTTCTGCGGCGTCGAAGGATATTACAGGTATAGGATCATCCCGATTGACAAACGCATCCACAGTGAATTCCTCCATTGTGGCGTCGAGGTCCAATGCGAAAGTCGACGGAGGGCCGGGAGGGTCTATTGTTTGCCGTGTCGTTCCATCTACTATAGCCAAAGCATAGCAGGCTGTTGAACGTGCCCGAGATGAAGCTTTTGAGAGGTTTGGACGTGTGTTCAGTCAGTGGTGTGTTTTAGGACCCCACGGCTCTGTCGTAGCTGACGAGGCTGGCATCTGGTCTCGATTTGGCGCGATGACATGTGCTTGTTCAAGGGTGTCGGGCAAGGACTTGGCAGGGCTACCAATGACAGCAGCCGAGAAGTCACAGCCTCGGCAACTTTAAGGACGTCCGGAGACGACGAGGCTTCGTTGTAAAAAAACAACCGGCTTTACCCAGCAGCCTTTTTGTTTCTCTCCCTCCTCTCTCTGCTCCTCCTTTTTCTGTGCACTCTTCCCTCTGTCCTCACCATGGCACCCTCTGTGTCGTCCACTGGCACGCAAATCAACCAAAAGATTGAAGCTCTTCCCCAAGCCATCTCAGACAAGCTTCCCCATGTCCCCGAATCAAAAGAGGAACTCAAAGAGACAGTAAAAGAAGCCGAAAAGAAGTCGCTCGCGGGTCTGAGAAGCTTGGCTGCTGGTGGGTTTGGAGGTGTATGCGCAGTGATCGTAGGACATCCCTTTGATCTGGTGAAGGTACGGCTGCAGACCGCAGAACGAGGCGTATATTCCAGCGCTTTGGATGTGGTAAGAAAGAGTGTTGCGAGAGATGGACTACGGAGGGGCTTATACGCCGGTGTGAGCGCACCCCTAGTGGGCGTGACACCTATGTGTTAGTTGTCTAAATATTGTATTTCTCTTAGAGCAAGAATGCTAATGCGTTCGTAGTTGCGGTTTCATTCTGGGGTTATGATGTAGGAAAGAGTCTGGTACGCAAGTACTCGACAGTTACAGACAACCAATTCTCTGTCGGACAAGTCGCAGCTGCTGGTTTCTTCTCCGCGATTCCTATGACACTCATTACCGCTCCGTTCGAGCGTGTAAAGGTCCTGCTACAGATCCAAGGCCAGAAGCAGCTTGCGCCGGGCGAAAAGCCGAAATACAGTGGTGGTGTTGACGTCGTGCGGCAGCTATATAAGGAGGGCGGTGTGCGCTCTGTTTTCCGTGGCTCATTTGCAACACTTGCCCGAGACGGACCTGGATCGGCGGCATATTTCGCGACATATGAAATCATTAAGCGGAAACTCACACCAGTCGACCCAGCGACGGGCAAGCCTGGAGCTCTCAGTCTGCCCGCTGTTACCTGCGCCGGTGCCGCTGCTGGTGTGGCTATGTGGATTCCTGTCTTCCCAGTCGATACTGTGAAGAGTAGATTGCAGACGATGGAGGGGAAGCCGACTGTTGGGGGTGTGATTTCGGGGCTGTATAAGAATGGAGGATTCAAAGCTTTCTTCCCTGGATTTGGACCCGCTCTAGCGAGAGCTGTACCGGCCAATGCAGCAACATTCTTGGGTGTAGAATTGGCACACCAATTTATGAATAAGACTTTTGGATGAAGGATCAGTAAGTCGAGCATGAAAAGCGAAAGGACAAAGAAGTAGACATGTAATTGTATTCTGGGCGCACAGCGTTGATGGACCAGAGGACATCTTAGATAGAATCATGACTTAAGCCGTTTTGAAATTTGTGCTTGTTGTCGTCTTTCTCTCCCAGAATCATCACTAGGAAATGATTTTATGCTAAAGAATTCCTATTTCATCCCTGTCAGGTAGAGTAAACAATTGCCTCGGATGAGGAGTAGCTGGTGCCGGTGAACGGGAAGACGATTAAATTTTTATCGATAAGGGTCAAGGGATCCAGAATTAGAGTAATCAGCCATTCTCACCCACCTACGCCCGGCCGGACGTCTCCTGGCTCCTCCACATAATCTTCCTTGATGCCTCCTTAAACCCCATAATCTTCCTGGCACGAACGCCAGCAATAGCCCGCAATGTCTGCGGATGCGCCGCAGACTGAACCAGCGCGCTCCGGCGTTGAGTCGCAGGATGGAAACCCCGCCATACCCCTCCGCATGCGCACAAACACTGCGGAGATAGACAGCACCATCATACATCCTGGGGCTGTAAAGATCAATGTGGAAGGCGCATTTATTGTTGATCATGATGCAGAGGGTTCTCCAAATGGAAATCCAAATGGGGGGACTCATGAGACGAAAGATATCAGATTGCCGAATCACACAGCCGTTGTGAGCCACATAGCTGTGGACGTATGTCCCTCCTCAACGTCTGCCCGTTTGGGCATCTGCGAAGACTGCCTACTGATCTCATGGTAGATTGGAGGATCTCTAGCAAAGCTCGTATATTTTTCTCGAGAACCACATTCCCGCGACCCTGGAGGAAGATTGAATTTCATAACCTTCGAGACAGACCGGATTGATGACTGCATAGAGTTCATGAAGCAGCACAAAATCAAGCAGCAGAAACTCAATGGTTCCAGGCCTGGGGAATTGTGTGTCATGGCTACCGGAGGAGGAGCATACAAATTCTACGACAAGGTTCGAGAAGCTCTAGGTGTTGATGTGTCGAGAGAGGAGGAGATGGAGTGCTTGATAATCGGTAGAAATAATGCGCCCGTAACAATGTATTGTCTTCTAACGAAAAGCAGGACTCGACTTTTTCATTACAGAGATACCTCGCGAGGTATTTACATATAGCGAAACGGACCCAATACATTTCGAAGAACCGAGAGCAGACATATACCCTTACCTACTTGTCAACATAGGTTCTGGTGTTAGCATGATCAAAGTCTCAGGACCAAAACACTTCCAAAGAGTAGGCGGAACATCTCTCGGAGGTGGGACACTCTGGGGGCTTCTGTCTCTCCTCACAGGAGCCCGTACCTTCGACGACATGCTTGGAATGGCTGAAATAGGGGACAATGCTAAAGTGGACATGTTAGTAGGAGATATTTATGGAGGGGATTATGGTAAAATAGGACTGAAGAGCAGCACAATTGCAAGCTCATTCGGAAAGGTATTCCGAATGAAGCGGGAAGCCGAGCAGGAAGCGGAAGACAGCGGAGGTCTTGCAAACGACGATTCCAAGTCCTCGTCTCAACCCTCATCATCACGTCCAGGCGATTCTCTAGCCCAAGAAGATCACGTATCGGCGCCCTTTTCAGCCCCAGATATATCCCGTTCTCTTCTCTACGCGATATCCAATAACATTGGACAAATCGCCTATCTCCAGTCGGAGAAGCATTCTTTGTCGACGATTTATTTCGGGGGCAGTTTCATCAGAGGTCACAGACAGACGATGAATACCCTGAGTTACGCAATCAAGTTTTGGAGTGGCGGTGAGAAGAAGGCGTATTTCTTGCGACATGAAGGATACCTGGGAGCTGTTGGTGCGTTTTTGAAGCGACAGCCGAGAAATTGGGGAAGGAGAGGTAGTTTTGAGGATGGTATACCGCCATTTTTGCATAAAGGGATGGACTACCCTGGATCGTGAGGAACAAAATCTTTGAAGAAGTATGCTTGCTTGAATAGGGATATGTATCTGCTGCAGTTGCCCGGCTTTTCGCATGTGCATGGGATTCTGCTTCGGTCGCTAGCCTTTGAATTATGCTGGGGTATATCTCCAGGCACCTAGAGAGGCCGAATAAAAATGAGAGAATATTAAAAGTTCAACATTAACGAATATTGAAGCTCGCCATAAATTCTGTTTTATGGTCACTGAGATTGGACTGGCTCCGAGAAATGACGGATATATTTCGGGAGAAACGATTTGACTCAAAAGGAGCACAAACCAACAGCTCCTGTTGATTATCATACTTGTCAATAAACGATCAAACATTATGTCTGGAGATCGAGGGGAATACTGACTTAGAAAAATTGAGAAATTATGTCGGCATGCTGGAGAATGAGAAACGATTGATATGAAGGCCTACTGAGTGGTGGGGAATTCGCTTGCCCTTCTGCATATGCCCGGCCCGCAGCCAAGCACTCGAGCCCCCCTATCGGCGTCGGTGTTATGTGGCCGATTTTGGCGATCCCGTAACGTGAAAGCACCACGAAAACCTCATCCTTTCTCTAATACAACTTAATCAAAACTTGACAGAAGTTAAGAATAGCTATCTTTAAATATACTATGAAGACGAAATCTTATTTAGACAATTGTGTGTTGTGAAAATCACTTCCTAGGACATTTGTTTTAGTGTTCCGGACGTGCCTCAAACAGCCACATAATACCGACGCCGATACGAGTAGCGCCCACACAAAAGCAAGGCAAATTGTTTAGGTGATAAGTAGTCAAATAAGAAAATTATTGACACAAATCGTGGAAACACGCCACAATCGGTTGTAGTAAGTTTGCTCAACAACCTGTACCAGTAAAACATCCCTCTAACTGGTTTATAGTAGTGTAGCGGTTAGCACGTGAGATTCTGAAAACAGAATCAATATATTCTGTAAAGAATGTTTCTCGAATCCCCGGTTCGAGCCCGGGTACGACCTGAATTGTTTATTTTTAAAATTGCTTTTTGTCGACAGGCATGGCAAGCCGCGTCAGGCCTGGACTCGAGGCATACCGTGCTAATCAGTACTGAAGCTCTCCATTCCGAGCCCCTAAACTCGATTTGTAGCGTTGGATTCATCTACTCAGCCTCAAGTTAAGACGTTGTTGAAAGGTTCTTTTGGGACTGGGGGTTGTTAGGTTTTGCTTCCCGGGCAGAACTCTGTTGCGGTAGCGGATGGAACATTTGACTCTACGTAATCACCTAGATATGTAGCACATCATCTTAGGAATTCCCATGTTTCAATTATTGATCGAATTAAAGGAGAAACTCCGCTGCTCCCGAAAAGCTAACGAAGTCTTTTGAAACTGAGGTAGGTTGAAAGGACATTTCAGTGGTAATATCTGTTCCTGTATCATGGTTGCCTCCAGGCCTCGCTTCTGGACTGTCATAAGCGAGGACGCTCTAAACAACAATCTAGGCGCAACACTTGCTTTTCAGGACTTTATGATTAACAGAATCTTTCACCATGAAAAGTTTAGAGGAATCTGCCAGCAATCCCACACATAATAGACATGCAGTGGTCATGACAGCATCCGTACTTCTACTTGCAGTGACTGTTCCTGCTGGATAATAATCGTAGGTTTTCTTGCCAACAATCTGTCCCATGGCCCTTTCTAGACGCACAACTCCTTTTTCGACGATCTAATAGTGAGCTATAATCCTAGCACCTGTTAAACTCTACTTCGTCGGCCTTCCAGCAAGAAACAACGCCACTATTGGACGGAAAATTTGATGATCGCCGTATTGCTTCCATGGGCCAAGTGACGTGACCTCCTGTAACCCACATCACCGAAATTCTTTTTGATGAGAACACTGAGCGGTCTAGCCAGCCTGAGCCGCCTAGTTCGAAAGATGTTCTTCATGACAATCTTACTTCATGGCTGGCAAGTAGAATTAACAGGTATATTGAGCAAGGGGGCCACAAAGGAAGACTGCTAGCTACCAAGACATGGACAGCACTTGACGCTTTAGGTTGTGGTTCTAAATGCTGTAAAGCAGTGCTCGGTGTGTATGAAACACATACGCAGGAATTCAAACAAGGAAAAGGAGGATTAGCGTCAAAGATATGGTACTCTCGATTAGATCGAGTGAATCAACTACAATCATATCTACCATTCTGATACCTCTCCAGGCTTGGGTTTCTGTACTCTTACAACCTTGTCGCAGTTCAACAGACAGAGAGGGTCGAAAGCCAATTTGAGCTAATATCGTCAGAATATCCCAGAAAGCCAGTCCAGAACGGAGTAAACGTACCTTTCTCATCGCGTCAACGGTTGTCTCTCCCAACTCGTGGTTGAGATAGTCTCTCTTTACCAGTCCAACGCCATGCTCACCCGTAACAGTTCCTTCCATCTCCACAGCTCTCTTGACCATGCGATGTACAACTTCCTCGGCCTTTTGCCGTTGAGAGTCGTTGTATAACATAATGGCTAGCTTTGTCAGCATTCATTAACTTCCAACAAATACTTGGAAGACTTACTGTGGAAGTTACCATCTCCGACATGCCCAACAATTGCTGCGAACAATCCGCTCCTGCTAAGATCTGCCTTGGTCTCCTCGACAATATCTGGCAACCTACTAATAGGAACGGCAACATCGCCCGTCCAGACATGATCAGACTCGTTCTCACGCATAGCCATCACAGACCAAAGGGCGGCTTTCCTCGCGCCCCAGAGATCAGTCTGCTCCTCTGCTGTCTTTGCAAATTCAAAAGTCTTGCTTCCAGTTCCCTTGGCCAACTTTTGGACTATACCAACCTGCTCCTTTACTGCAGATGGAGTGCCTGCGAACTTGAAGAAAAGAGTTGGTGCTTCTGTCCACGTTCGATCCGTCATCTTTGAAGCGTTGACGCACTTCATCTGCACATCATCCAGAATTTCAATGGCGGCAATCGGAACTCCTTCGCTGACAACCTTGGCCACACAGTCTGCTGCCTGTCTTACACTCCCAAAGCTGCACACAGCAACAGAGGTAGTATTTGGCTTCGTTGTGACCTTTAAAACAGCTTCTGTGACCAGTCCTAGAGTTCCTTCACTTCCAATAAACATTTTGGTGAGGTCATATCCGGCGCTGCTTTTCCTGGGTCGCTGTCTGGTCTTGATGACGGTTCCATCCGCGAGCACTACAGTCAAGCTCAATACCCATTCTCGCATCGTTCCATATCGGTAGGCATTCGTGCCACTGCATCCAGTTCCGACCATACCCCCAATCATCGCACCTGGCCCTGGATCCGGAGGGAAGAACAGGTTATCCTGGGCTAACTCCTCATTCAGACGTTCCCACCCCACTGCAGGTTGAACTACAACATCCATGTCTTCTTTGTGCAGCTTCAGAATTTGGTCCATACGACCGAAATCGACGCAAATACCTCCTCTGGTAGGAGCGAAATGCCCTTCTAGACTTGTACCGCCACTATATCCGGTAACTGGTATCCGTCTCTTATGACACACCTTCATGATGGCACTGACCTCCTCCGTACTGGATGGGTATACGACCAAGAAAGGCCGCTCTGAATCGCCCCCAATGTGCGAGCTCCAGTCACTGCCAGCATGATGCTCCAGATCCGCCTCCAAGGTAGAAACATGTTCCTTGCCTACAATCTCTACAAAGTCTGCCCAAGCAGCTTCCATATTCGAACCGGATACATCGTGTTTGGGAGGAGTGGTCGCTGAAAGAGGGATCGTAGATGCTGTCGAGAGCTTTGGGGCACTCCGGCTCCCAAAGTAGTATCCTCCAAGGGCTGTAGCAATAATAACTTCCATACATTAGCTAGAATTCTACTTCCATGGAAGTGATATAAAATACCAAAAGTCAGCGCCGAATTGCGCCCACCAGCGCCCTCGTTCCTTTGCTTCGAGAAACGCGCCTGTTCTGCTCTCTCACGCTCCAGTCTCCCAGCCGCGCTCTCATACAATTGGCCCTTGAATGTACGACCCAGTGTCTCCCCAGATCCAGCTGGCTTCTTTTCTGTCGATTCCCATCGTACTTGCGTGTGTCTGGCGGCAGCTCGGAGACATGGAGCTGGGGTTGAGGATTTGCGAAGGGAAGCCTGGAGAGCTCTGGGCGGAGCTCTGAACGCCATGGTTATGATGAGCGTATGCCAGATGATTACGCCTTAGTATTTTACATATGATGCGACTTAAAGTTGAAGAAAATGAGAACGTGGTGGTTGAGAAACTGAGCCGGAAATAATTTCTGGGTTGGTTGGCTGTAGCCGCATTTTGACAGCTCCGGAAGCTTGCCCCCACTTTCAGTCAAGCACCAGCACATGTACTGGAAACGCCATAGCTGCATATTGTTAATCATCGCGCATCCATCATCTGATAGTGATTTAAGACCGGAATCCACGTTGAATGGAGCACTATGGTATATATAATGGGAAATACTGCCCTCAAATTCTAGACCCAAGCTACTTGACTCGATGTAAGATGATCATTTACAGGTTCGTAGGTGCCTACGCACGTCATTCTGTCTCGCTTCACATAAGTAAACAATCCTTCATCATGGGCAATGGCATTACAAAAGCAATCTACTATGCTATCAACACGTCTCAAAAAGCTAATCCTCGTGAGAGAAATCTCTAAAAACTCCACCGAACCTCCCCAACGCCCCATGTCCCAGGAACAGTTTGTCAACCCCTTTCCCACCCAAAACGCCTTCATGTTGTGACTGGTAACAGCCTGCCATGACTAAGAAACAATCATCGTTAATTCGTCTACATCTGGCCATTATTCTTCCAAGCAGCAACCAGTTGAACTTGAAACATTGGCTTCACGCCTCCGATGGCTGCAAAGTAAGCCTCCAACTCGTCATCCTGATCAATTGGAAGAAGCATCTCGTTTCCATTTGGCGGCTTGATTACTCCCTCGATACGAATAGCGATGGTTCCAGGAAACTTGACTGTGGCTAGCTGTCGTAGCTCATCGAGCGAGGTAGAACTCATGGTGGCCAACCACAATCTAGTTTGTGAGGTGACCTCAGAATTGGGATGTAAACGGATATAGAGGGGGAATGATGACGGCGCAGGTTGGAAGGCGGCCTGGGCTGCTTGAGCTGCATATTGTTGGTCAACGTACTGGTCAGCGAACTGATTTTGCATCCCCCGATTCATCAGAGAAGGATCATTGGCAGCAGCTAGCAGGAGCGACGGGTCAATTTGCATATCATTGTGATCAACCATGACCTGCTGGCGAGCTTGCTGCTGGGACTGGGTGTGATTCAGTCCAGATTGACCTCGAGATTGTGTTCGAGATTGGGGAAGTACTTGGTTCTGCATTTGACTTTGAGCCTGCGCAAGAGCAGCTGCTCGGATCAGACTTTCGTCCGGACCAGGCTGAAAATCTTTCATATCAAATGGATTCATGTCAGTAGCGTCTGGGACCGTGAAGTTGGAGTCGAATTTCTTCTTTCTAGTTGGATCGCGCTTGGTCTGATCATCGCGGAGGCGTTTCATAACATCTCTGCAAAGGACTTCCATAGCCTTGACCTTCTCCTGATGTTGGGGATCGGCATCTCCTGGGGCGAGAATACTCTGGAGCAGTTCTGAGCCATTGATCCAGGTTGCCTTCAATTCTTTCCAATGATCCTCGCCAGCCTCGAGCTTACTCGTGAAGTGATCGGCCTTGAGTACCTGGTAAAAAGCATTTCTCAATTGACGAGACTCCTCGGGGTTCACACCAAGTGAGTTTTTGGCCTCTGCAATGGTCATTCGTCGTTCCAGTGTTCTCATTCTCTTCGTTACGTCGCTGCATACAACATCCAAGGCAAGTTTTTTGGCTTCTTGATTATCCTCGTTTGCCCAGAAAACAGATTGTAGATGTGGACTCTCTTGCACCAGTCTATCCTTAGCTGCCTCCCAGCGTTCTGGACCAGCGATTGTCTTCTTGATGATGTCGGCTTCTTCACAGATTCGTTGGAAACGAGCGCGAATATCACGGTAGAGGCGGTTGTCAAGACTTAAGAAAGCCTTGCTCTCATCAATAGTCGTTTCAGAAGGAAATCTTGGAGGTCCAGGCGGATCAGCTGGTAGACCTGCCCAGCCTCGAGTTCGACGACGACGCTTTCTGGTTGCCCAACGCTCAGCAGACTCGGCTTGAAGCTTTGTTAGACGCTCCTGTCTCTTTCTCATGACTTCCGGACTGAGAGGAGGCGAGTCGCCCCGCGACGTCCGTGTTTGTGGCATGGACATGTCTTCCAATGGCTCATCATCTGCGTCTGCATCTGCCATTTGTTCGCCTGGGTAGAGAGCCTGTTGAAGTTGATTGATGACATCTTGATCTGAGTCTTTCTTCTTTGTCTTCATTCCGTTGGGAACTCTCAGCAACCATCGATTCTTCGCGCGAACACGCATCAACTCGCGTTCCTTGATATCATAGCCCTCGTCGTTCAGGGTGCGGAGCATATCCCGCTGAGACGTATTGCAGTCCCATAGTTCCTTGACGCGTTGCACGAGAGCTGCATTCTTGTGGGCGGGGTTCTGTTTGGAGGGGAAATCCCAGCGTTTAAATTGTGTCTGGAACGCACGTTTGCTGCGATAGAGAAGAGTGGAGGTCAGTACGGCTCGGGATAGTAGTGAGAGTACGGACGACGATATGGATTGGTATGGAGATGGGAGTTGTACGGGGGAGTACGTCCGGCGCCATCACCACTATCAGACTTACCTGGGTGCAAACTTGTGTTCCTCCTTCATGAATTCCATAATCTCCTCCAGGGATTTTTTCTCCTCGATATACATGCGATAGCATATCTCCTCTTTATTCTCCCAGTCGTAAACCATTTTTGCGATTACGAGCTGTAGGCCAGCAACAATTGCGCAGAAGTAAGTCAAGCGCGAGGTCTGGTTTGGGTCGCGAGGTGAAGCTGGTTCGTTGAGGGCGCCAGAGCAAAGTTGCGCCGACGAGTTGTTGCAGGCTCCTGTATCATTAGTCAGCGAGATCACTTGATCTCGCGAGGTTCGCTTGCATGCGCGAGATCTTTCTTTACTTCGCAGCTCAAAGTAAAACCACCTATCAAAACATTAGGAAAGTCACTATACATTCACAGACAATGGCTCAAGAGCCCGACTTCCAACTTTTCTCGTCACTCCGCTACGATCCTCTCCTTCTGCCTCTTACAATCAATACCGCTGCCTGGGATGGCGAGATCAAATTCTTCAGCCCATTCTATATGCTCCCCTACCATCGCGACCGCATGCTACAAGCCGCTGAGAACTTTGGCTGGACAAAAGCTGCGGACACGATCCGGGGTACGGAGGGTTTTAATTTCCTTCTGAAGAAGCTGAACGAAGGCGTTGATATCAACTCTCAATTGCCTTTGAGGGTGAAGACACTGTTGAGTCACGATGGGGAGATCACCGTAGAGTCAAACCCTGTGCCGGCTGTTGAACGTTGGACTTTGTTCCCTGAGAGGATTCCACCGCCATCAAGTCTTGAGACGACAATGAAAGTCAGTCCTCTCACGGGCGGAGCTCTCACGCTTGGCGAGAATGATGTCGTGCATGGAGATGCACCGAAAAGACAATCCTGGGATATCATCCCTGATCCTGTTCGCACCCCTCCTTCTCAGTATACGAGTTATAAGACTACAAGTCGCAACATGTACGTCAGTGCTCGAGAGCGGGTTGGAATCAAGGATATGGCAGAGGAGAAAGAGGTGCTGCTAGTGAGTGAAAAGAACGGAGAGATTATGGAGGGGAGCTTGACTAGTGTCTATTTCTGGAGAAATGGTAAGTGGACTACACCGCACGTAAGTAGTGGTGGGCAGATTGGGACTACCAGGAGATGGGCAATTGAGGAGGGGTATGCTGTTGAAGGGATCGTCACGATTGACTCTCTGATGGACGGAGAGGAGTGCTGGATCAGCAATGGAGTCCGAGGCTTCCAATATGGCAAGGTAAAGCTTGGGTAAGAACTTCAAGTCTTGTGAACTTCCAGTCAAGCAGCCCAATTCAAACAACTCATTCGAACTGCCATTGGAGGAAGGGATATTCAGGATGGCAGATACGGCTCCAGAGAGGAAGTACCAGGTCCATGATATCCAAGTGCCACGAGCCGACGGCCAGTTCAAAACAGTGAAACCTACTGCAGGCATGGGAGGGCTCTGATGAGAAAACTTCAAGTCTAATTTATGCTATCCATATGCCCTTGGGCAAGCCAGTTCTATACCCCATATCCCTATAACCGACTCCCTATAGTACAATTAATCGTCTCATCAAAACACACCCCTTGCCACCCGGTCTAAGCGGTTTTCTTACTCGGCATGTCCTTACTCGTACTTCCATCATAGTAATGCGCCATCTCCAGACCCGCCCTCTTGTACCCACACTTCACATAGAACCCCTCATTCGCCTCGCTACAATCCAGAATACACTTGTAGCAGCCCACCTTCTCCGCCACAAAATCCAATGCTTGAATGAGCTTAAGGCCGAGTTTCTTCCCTTGCTGATCCTTCGCGACAGCGATATCCTCGATATGTCCTACAAGACCAAGATTGTGAATACTGTTCCAATTTATTAGCTTTCAATTCCTTTCTAGGCATTTGCAGGACCTGAACATACAATTTCCTCTCCACAAGCAATGCCCCCGTCCCAACTATCCTCCCCTGATCCTCAATGACCAACAGATAGTATCCTCCCTTGCCCTGTCCATTCATCCAATCATACCGTTCATTCCACGCCTCTTCAGAGATATCTCCCACGGTCGTGAGCACACGAAGAACATCCAGAAAGCCAATTGCATAATCTGTTTTCCGCAGTGCGCGCAGTGTGTATGTGGGAGGTAGAGAAGCCGCAATTGTGGGTGAGATGAGTTCGGGGCCAAAGAGACCTTCGGGTTCTGGCAATTGCTCGCCCGTTGGAGGGGTCATTGTTATGGAAGGGGTGGTGCCGTTCATTTCGGTGGTTGTTTGGGTGGCTTCCTTGACGTGATTGGCTATGTTGTTTATTGTAGACATTAGGTTTGACGGAGAGTTTGATTTTTAAGAGAGGAGATTATGGGAGCAAGGGCGAAGCTTTATGTCCAGGTCTTGGACTCAGGAGGAGGCTGAGGAAAGTCGCATTTGCATTCTAATAATAGATAAACAATCCAGGTCCCAACCACACGGCTGGTCCCGCTTATGCAATCATGCCTTGCATTCAAGGTTATGACAGTGCCATCATTGATGATAGCACGATTGCTTTAAGTCAGATTCCTCTTTGACAAGTTCCAAAGCTCTAAGGGTTCTACAAACACTACAGAGATAATTGGACTTAAGTTACGGACATTTAGTACCATAACTTACAGGGCAGCAAAATTTATACACAAAATAAACCACGACCCTGTGTCTTGGCAACAGATGATCTCTCCTTCGTGTTAGCGAAAGGCTGACCGCCCCTAAAGACAGCTAGTAGCCACAGGTACTGCCACGGTTGGGCTAGCCCTAGCCTCGTCAGTTGATGCCAACAGCTCCAACTTGTCCAGTACCAGAAGCCTCGCCATTCTATCATCACCACCTAGACAGACAACCATCCACCTCCAGCATTCCCAGACGAATCAGAAATGGCAGACACACCACCAGTCCCCTCTTCGGAGCCCAGCACTCCACCCTCGAGCGCTGCAGACCAGGCAAGAATTCGCAAAGAGCGGCGAGAAGCAAAGATACGCGCCGGAGGCTCCGCGAGATTGAATAAGATCACAGGACTTGGAGGAGGAATACAGAGAGGTACAATTGCTCATACCTTGCCCACTCTTTGTGCATTTGGCTGATACATCCAGATGCCCCGCCTCAGCCCACAGTCTCAAAACCTACCGATGACCCCGAGGAAGTCGATATTTCAAACCATTATTACGAGCCTAAATCTCGCTCTTCTCGTCAGCCTAACCCATCGTCCTCTCCATTCGCCCAGCAGGGCATCAATGATGACCAACTTCGCCAGATGATGCTTGGATTTGATCCATCGGGCACTCCCCCTCTAGGTGGTAATGCAAATCCATTTGCCGGTTTTCCAGGTATGGGCGGTATGCCTGGTATGGATGGAATGGATGGGGCGGCAGGTGAAGACCCTATGATGAAGATGCTACAGCAAATGATGGGTGGGATGCCAGGTGAAGGAGCTGGTGCTATGCCCTCGTTTCCCGGGATGCCTCCTATGCCAGGCCAAGCTGCTGCTCCTGCAGATCCGTATGCATACCTTTGGCGTATTGTGCATGCTGTATTTGCACTGGGTTTGGGATTGTATATTGCGTTTACGACACCATTCACAGGCACGAAGATCGCCCGTGAAAGAAGTGCGCTAGGATATTCTAGTGGAGATGAGGTGGTCTTAAGTCCAAGCAGTGTCCATTTCTTCTGGATCTTTGCTACTGTGGAGGTTCTCTTGCAGACCAGTCGATTCTTTTTCGAGAAGGGTAGAGTTCAACATGGAGGAATCATGGGAATGATCATGGGATTTCTGCCGGAGCCCTGGAAGGGATATCTAGCCCTTGTTGCAAGATATTCTAGGATTTGGACAACTGTCAGTGGGGACGCAATGGTGTGTGTGTTCGTACTGGGTGTTTGTGCTTGGTTGAAGGGTAACTAGACAGCTTTCGATGTGGCGTGGAGATGCCTCAAATACTAAAGATTCAATTTCCAAGAGCACAGGGTTGACTTGCTTTCCCAGAAGCATATCTGTGATATATGGACCACAGCTTACAGAAAATCGTTGACTGGTAGGTAAACACTCAGCACAAACGAGTCTTCAAGACAAGTCAATCTCCAGATTCACGCAGAAATACTCCCAATGATGTGGGAGCAGGGTCGCTAGAATGAACAGAAATCGTCGACTGGCACGTAAAGAATTTGACACAAACAAATGCGAATGAGGTGGTGCTCTTACAGCCGACCAGTCCCCCTTCGAGGTTCTAAACAAGCTCCTGACCAGCGAATGTGGTCCAGACAGTGCCTGTGAGAAGTCACCAGGTACTAGACATGCCGCCTACGCGACCTTTCAAGGAAGTAAATCCCGTCACATCGACGAATGTGACGGTACAGTGCTATGTCTTGCAAAGTATGCAAAATACCAAGGAAATCTCTTATCGGTTCTAGATAGCAGCTTGAGGTGGATCCCGTCAATACTGAACTGAAAATGCTTAGTCACCAGGGGAATGACGTATGTACGCGACCAAGTGGTGTCCCCATGCATGTCACTGACTTGCCACCGTCAACAACTTTCTAACCTGCTCTGTTCTTACCTCTGCCATCCCTCCAATCGCTTGCTGGCATGCGGCTGGATTACTGAGACTTTGTCGGCCTTTCTTCTCTTCTCTGAGCCACACTTGGCGTGGGCTCGCATGCAAACCGAGAGCAGCCAGACCAGGCCAGCCAACCAGAAGTACTTTTTACTTTTATTAGAGTACCTGCCCATGTCCCCTCCACCCTCTCTTTGATCTGGGGCTTCTCCCTGCTTGGACTTTCACGCTGTCTCCTACATTCGCTCCTGCGAGAAATGCGAAGATTCTCACGACGTTGGTTTCTCTGGATGAAGGCTGTAATATGGCGTGGCCTCATGGCCATTGGGATGAAATTCCACCATCTCGCCGATCCCAAACCGCCGTCTCCCAACTTCAAGATCCTCATCCCTTCCAGGCTGTCTGCAGCCGGAGGACAATTCAAGCTTATCTTTTACGTCCCTGAGTCGTATTATACGGATACAGACGAAGATTATCGGTACCCAATAGTGGTGAATTTCCATGGAGGTGGATTTACTCTCGGCACAGGCACTGATGATGCACGATGGGCGGCGGCAGTATTGAAAAATGTCGAGGCCATATTTGTATCTGTCGAATACAGACTGGCTCCAGAGTTTCCTTTCAGCATTGGTGTTGAGGATGGAACAGACGCCCTTATTTACCTCGCATCTCATGCGGAAGAGCTACGAATCGATCCTCACCGTATGGCACTTTCTGGCTTCTCAGCTGGCGGGAATTTCGCATTTACAGTCCCCCTCATGCTTCGGGACCTCAAGAACGACACTGGTCGACGAAGTCTCCATGATACAGTTAACACACACCCTCTTCACAACTACAAATCATCGTCGAACCTATCCCTACCTCGCCCTGCTCTCACCAGAACAACTTCCGCAGCGACATCCACCCACTCAGTCTTGAAGCTTTCAGACCTAGAGCCCACTGCTCTCGAAGTAGATCAGAAGATCCCCGACCTGACTCTCCGCGCCATTGTCTCTTTCTACCCTCCAACCGACTTTCGTTCTACTCGCGCCGAGAAACGATCCACGAATCCAGCGCCAGAGAAGAACCTCCCACCATTCCTCACAAACTTGTTCGATGAGTCCTACATGCCAGGCTCCGACATTGATTTCGCAGATCCATATCTATCCCCAGCAGCAGCGATAGATGCCGACCTCGCAGCGGCATATCCTGAAGATATCGTTCTATATACTTGCGAATACGATATGTTGAATGTTGAAGGGACAGCATTTGGTGCCCGACTCGCCAGTGAACCTATTCAAAAGACTCTCCATGGTGGACTTATACGAGCTGTGCCACATGCTTTTGACAAGAAGCCAAATCCGTTACACTTCCCGGAAGCTGCAAATAAATGCTATAACGAAGCTTGTGCACATTTGAAACGTGTGTTTGGTGGCAGAGTGTCTATTGAGGAGAGGACTCAGTTGGATGAGGTGGAGGTAGTTGAGAGATTTGACGAGGAAGAGGCTGAAGCTGGAAGAAGGCTCGCTAAAGGCAAGGAGAGACAGAGAGAGGAAGATACTGATGGACTTCTGAAAGGTCCTGATATTTATGACCCAGGATTCAAGAAGTACTTGGATGTCCCGAAAAGGTAGATGATATTGAGGAATGAGATACTGGTGTGGAGACAGGACTGGCCTGACAGCACAGGATGCATAGGCTATGCGGTGGGTCAGGGGGGGCAGGGGCGTTGTCATTTGTTACCTTCGAAGCTTGGAAGAAGCATAGAAGTTATTTTTATTAGAATGTATATATATTGAATGTTTTCCATGGCCTTCAGACTTCCAGCAGAATCGTGACTTTGCACCTGATCTTCTGTCTCAGATGCCGTGTGTGTTTGTTTATTTCTACTGTTTTTGCCATATTCAATAACTTGGACGTACCGCTTTTGCGATATTTTGGTCACGTAACCGTTCCTGATATGCCACGAGCCGGGGCGATATTCAGGTAAACATTATCCTAACTCCCATATGAGGTGCGGTTCAGACAATTGATATGCTCCGAAACATCTCTGAGGAAATGCTGCTTGCTCACCAGCCATATCCCTCGTTGAAAGTGGTATAATAACATGCTCAAGGAAGCTGAAATATTCTTCGCCCCGTGATTACTAAATAATCATATCTAGTTCACTAGCTCTTATTGATGCCTTCCGTGACTGCTTGGCTTGTTGATACACCCTTCGGCTAAAGAGGGACGTGCTCGAGGAGTGCTCCAGACCTCGGCTCGTTCCCAGCCTTCAGCCTTGCCCCAAGTCCTTCAAAACATCACCAGCTTCGCAAGCCTCGTTTCCCATCCTACCTCCCCATCAATCGCCAAGATGGAGTTCATGACCGCCCTCCACTCCACCTTCGACGACCACAAACCCTCCCTCTTCGAACTCCTCTCCGAAGCCCAACTCGCTTCCCTCCTCCCCCCCTCCCTCCGTTACCTCCTCGCCGTCGCCACACACCGACACCCGCGCTACCTCCTCCGCATCCTCAACTCCTTCGATGAGCTCTACGCACTGCTCATGCTCCTCGTGGAGCGCCACTACCTCCTCACACACGGCGGCTCCTTCACCGAGAACTTCTACGGCCTGAAACGCGAAAAGGCCTTATCAGTCGGCGAGATCCCACGCGCGAACATCGCCGCGCCAGCACATGTCCGCGAGGCGCTACAGCTATCTAGGGGCGATGTATGGAGGAATCTGGCGGTCATGGTGGGAGTGCCGTATTTGAAGCGGAAGCTGGATGAGAGTTACGATATCAATGCGCCACGGGCGCTGCTGGGTGCGAGTTATACGCGGATGCCCGCCAATCCGACGATGAAGCAGAGGTTCATGCATTATTATCGCTGGTTTCTGAGACATGTGTACCCAAGTGTTAATGCGGCGTATTACTTCTCGATGCTGGCGTTTAATATTGCGTATTTGTTTGATAACAGCAAGCACCACTCGCCGTTCATGTGGTTGATTGGGACGAGGATGAGGAGGTTAGGTGAGGCGGATTATAGAGCTATTGCGGCCCTCAGTGAGCCGAAGAAGGGCAGTGGTGCTGGGCCAGCGGGAGGAAATCTAGGGGTGAATAGTATCTTCAGTCCGAGGGTTCTGGGGGATCGGGCATTGGATAGCCTGAAGTTCTTACTGCCAACCAGTATTTTTGCCTTGAAGTTTTTGGAGTGGTGGCATGCCTCGGATTTTGCGAGGCAGCTCTCAAAGAAGGCAACGGAAGGCATCGAGGTACCGCCGCCAGTTGTGTCTGGGTTATCGACGTTGTCAGTGAGGTTTGGTCCAGGAGCTAAGAAAGAGAGTGAATCTACGGATTTGAAAGAGAATTCTGGAAAGGAGGGAGAAGAATTAGAAAAGGAACCTTCGAAAGAAGACCAGGAACCTGAGAAGCCGCCTATAGCAGCATCATCCTTACTACCCATCTACACAATTCCTCCACCCCAGGACTCAGAGCTATGTCCAATCTGCCAGCAGGAAATCACGACAGCTACAGCTTGTCAAACCGGTTTTGTATTTTGCTATACTTGTATACATAGATGGCTAGAGGGAAATCATGAGAAACAAGAGGAATTCATGAAAGGGAGGGAGGGCCAGTGGGAGGATGGTAAGGGCAGGTGCGCCGTCACTGGGAGGAGGGTACTTGGTGGGACAGAGGGGCTGAGGAGGGTCATGATATGATGATATATTATAATGAATAGATCTCATGCCAGCCAAATCTCGTTGATTTGCTACTCTCCCCCCCCCCCCCCCCCCCCCGGCTTGAATGTTAAATGTGTAGAAAACTGGACCTCGTGTGGGTAGCTACTAGGGGTGTCTATCCAATAATTCAGTAGAGAATCAGCCTTAAATAGGGCTCAGGTGTCTCTCGAACCTTCTAAAGGCACCCTTGCTATTATAACAGGCCTAATTCTGGCTCGTGCTTCTAGCTGTATTCAGGGCCTCTAACCACTCAGCACTTGAAATCTAGGCCTCCGACCCGCAAAAGTTCACATTTAACATTCAAGCCGGGGGGGAGGGGGGGGGGAAGAGTAGATACATTCGTCTGAAGACTTGAGGTGGGACTCGTCGCATCTTTCGGCCATCGCTGCCATGTTGCATAATTCATGCAACAGTTCTGTATCAGAACTCTACACGCACTTTGACAGCAAATACTTCCAGGACGAGCTGCTCTGGTGTAATCTCAGGCATCAGAAAGCAACAGTGGTCTGATTATGTTGGTGATCGACTACTGGCCGACATGAGACTCTTTGTTGCTTTCATAGTCACTGTACCGAATGGAGAGTGACCGGGTTGCCTTCAGAACCTTCAAATCAGCAGGAAAAGCTCTTTCCTTTGCGCTTATCGAAGTCTAAAGCTTGAGAAGACGGCGACCAGATTCTTGAGAGAAAATGTTCATTCATATTATCTCATAGATCTCGCACTAATGGACCCCCATGCGTCGGGACTATGCCTACCATTTGTCCATCCTCCAGCATCTACACTCTCTTGACTCACATGGCGACTGCCATTCGGCTTCGGCGCGAATTGTCCCATTTGACCCAGGGTATCGACACCAGCGCTCTGCTGCTGTGCTCCTCCACTCGATGCAAATGGATTTTTGGTTCCTGCTATCTGCGTCACAACTGGCCCAGAAACACTCCGCTGTGGCTCAGGGCTTTGCATCGCAGGATTTGATAGCATCTGGGCTTGGTTTTGCTGCGGCTGTTGGACTTGCTGGGGAACGGCCGGTGCCAATTGTGGGTAATTGTAGAGATCCATAATACTCCTCTTATCCGCCCTCAAAGTCTGTTGAGGCATCTGAGGGTAGGTTTGTTGCCTTTGCTGCTGGTAATGTGCTTGTTGGTCGAATCCTTGTTGAGGAGCTTGTTGAGCTTGTTGATTGAAGTATGGATTCATCTGCTGTGGAGGATTTTGACCGAGAAACGGATTCATCTGCGGCTGTTGCTGCTGTACCTGCTGGGGCTGCTGCATAGCTCCATTGCCGAAGAAAGCAGCTCCGTATTGCTGAGCAGGGGATTGTTCCATCGGACTTTGATACATACTCTGAGGTGTGGCAAGCTGTTGATTATAAGGATTGCTTGCAAAATTGGTATTCAAAGGTGTTGCTTGGGGTTGTTGTTGCTGTTGCTGCTGCTGTTGTAGAAACGGATTGTAACTGTTTTGTTGTTCGGCTTGTTGTGGCTGCTGAAGTTGTTGCCCGGGATTCTCGTAGATCACAGACGGAAAGTATTGCTGAGGTACGGACGGAACAGGGGGGGTCATGGATTGTTGGTATAGTTGCTGGTGTGTCAGAGGTTGTGGAGCAGGAAATCCGCCGGTACGGTTGGGGAATAGTGGCTGTGAGGATTGCACAGACATATTCTGGAAAGCTTGATTAAGGTTGTACTGGGACTGAGATGGCGCAAGACCAAATGGGTTCGAGCTTTGGGGCTGTTGGTACGGATTGTTTCCCAACATCTGAGGCGAAGCCAAACCTCCTGTGGACTGGGAGGATTGAGGCGGTGCAATAGACGGTGGGGTATCCAACATATCAAACGGATTAGATGAGCTCCTTAATGGCACGTCTCTCGATCGATCTATTGTTAATCCAGTAGAGGCTCCAACAGGTGTTCGAGATCGACTATTAGGAGGTGGTGCCGCTATTTCTGGCGACTTCAATCCTCCACCTTCGCCGAGGCGGACCAGAGTTTCAATAGATTTCTCCAAATTTCCACTCAGGCCCCTTAGCACAGCGGTATTCCGCTTCTCGTCCCTAAATCCCATATCTCTTAGTTTGGCCAGCTTCATTTCCAAATCATCCGTTCCCTCTGCACCAACTGCTGCCCCGAATATCCTCGATTGCTTGTTTCTTCGTGGGGATGGCGATCGCTGGCGCCCAGTATCAAACTCCTGCTTGGCTGCCTCCTTCTTCGCCTTTGATGACAATGGAAATATCGAGGAAGCAGATCTAAAGCCGAATCTGCTACCAGGCTTTGGTGGTAATGGTGGCGGCTGATCATCCGAGTTCGTACTGCCAGTATTATTTCTCGCGGGCGGTTTCGTTGCTCTCTCTACATATTTCCCTCTTATGAATCTCTCCATGGCCGAGTCTGCTTCGTCGGCGTCAAAAGGAATCGGTGGTCTCGTGTTCTGAGGATTATATATCTTGTTTGAAGCAACATTACCAACCCGCTTCATGTTCTGTAAAAGCTTAGTCGGAGCCCAGGTAAAAGGTCACAATCAACATACTTCCACCTGCTCATTCGACCAGGAGTCCATACTGAGCGACTTCACTTTCGTGATATGCGTCCCCAGCTTCCTGTGCAGAGCCGCGCATCGCATACACAGGAATATACCCAGCTATTTCTGTAAGTGATTGTCCATGGTGGTGCTGTCGCACTATTGTTTACTTACACTCCAGCTGGCCCATCCTGTTGATGTAAAATTAGCATAAGACTAAATGCCGACTAGCAGAGCTCAACATACCTGGATTCCTCGCCTGGCAGTCTGCGCACACGTTATTTCCAGGAACCGACTTTATGAGATCCTGGAGCGCGCGTTCATTGCGCGCCTGCTGCCGCTTGCTCAAAGCTGCAGACATCACAGAATCGATTCTGTCGTAGCTCAATGGCGTGTTCGAGTCTGGTCAAAAGTATCGCAGGTTCAAGTTTCTCGGGTCAACAAGAGTCAGGAGTGAAACGAAAGCGTGGACGGAAACGCAGAGCTAAACTCCCAGCAGTTGAAATAGAGATGCAGACGTCCAAGGTGCGGCAGCTGGACTCGAAAGGAATAGATGGATGATTGCTGAGGTCGTAATCGTCAGAGTCGTTACTTCGTGAGAATGGAAAAGGAGAGACCAGCGTTGGTGGAGTGAAGTGGAGCTGCAGCAAGTTTGGTCTGGGTCTGGGTCTGGGCTCGAATGGGGACCGACCCGATGGCTTCGCCGTCGAGGTCGAGCTTGACAAGGGCAAGGAGAAGGGGGGAAGGGGTGACATCGGATGTCGGCGAAATGTTCTTGCGGATGAAACGAACATGCCTGTGCTGGCACCGAGTCCAAGAACTTCGCGTGTGAGTTCTGAGAAGTTCACCGCACTTCTCATCTCTCCTCAACGCCATCACTGCGCAACACGACCCTATCGTTAAAGCAGACCCGGGGCTTGTCACGGCCCTTTCTTGTGAGTTCACGTCTTATTGTCCTGGTGCAGATGTTGGACACCAAGTAGAAGAGCGAGTGTGGAGGAGGACGTTCGGTCGTTTTCATTGCTCAACCAGCTTCATGTTTATCCTGTGAACATGGCCTCTAACGAAAGTAAACAGAGACCCCTGAGCCCCTGACTTTGAGTCAATCAACTTCACAAGATTTGCCAAGATGCCAGCCATGCTGGACGACCCATCCAGTCCCACCATTTACCGTGCTTCTGGAGCTCCACCCTACCCTTCTGCTCATGATCCCCCTTCTCTACCAATGGACGTTTATCCCCGACAGGTGACTCTTCGTGACAGAGTTACCACCGCAACCATTGTCCCTTTCTCATCTCAACACCAAGTCCCCCGTACTCTTCTCAATTATCTCAGTGATCAATTAAACCGGGAGATCGAGAATGGGGATACCTACCCCATGATAGAGACGATGTCTACGGACAAATTCGCCTCGTACTGGTTCCAGAATTTCGCTGCCGTCATGTTGCTAGGCATCATTGAGAGTGCAGAAGATTTATTAGAGAGCAAGGATTGGAGCACCCAATGTCTGGGAAGCTACTACATTAAGCCGAACTATCCAGGGAGAAGCAGCCATATCTGCAATGCTGGCTTTCTTGTCACGAACCCTTCCAGAAATAAGGGTGTAGGCCGACTTCTCGGAGAGAGTTATCTAGACTGGGCTCCCAAGCTAGGCTACACATACTCTGTGTTCAACCTTGTCTTCGAAACTAACGTTGCCTCATGTCGAATCTGGGATGCACTGGGGTTCAAGAGGATTGGCAAAGTCAAAGGTGCAGGAAACCTGAAGAGCTATCCTGGTCAACTCATAGATGCTATCATCTATGGTCGGGATCTTGGCCCAGAAGGCGAAGACTTTGTTAGCGAAGAACGCTTCGACAAGATCAAATTCTATCTCAAATATGGCAAATACCCTGCTGGTGCTGATCGAGCTGAAAAGAGTCGCTTGAGGAGTGCAGCAACACACTACAAGTTAATTCCCGAATCAGACAAGCTCATGCTCAAGGACAAAGAAGTTATTTCCGATCCCCAGAAGCAGTACGAGATTGCTCGTGAGGTTCATGCTGGCCAGCATGGTGGCATTAACAAGACGACTGCAACAATTGCAGAGAAATACCATTGGGTTCGCATCAAAGAGACCGTCTCCCTTGTCATTCGCAACTGCGCGCAGTGCAAAGAGCTCGGCAAGGCTCCTGTCGTCCGCGCAGATGGAGTGATACGGCCGGCACCACGCCTCACGCCTTCAGCAGGTCAAGCGAGCGTCGGTGCTACTGATCGTACTCTCAGTATTGCCCATCAAGACCAACATATGTCCGACAGTGGTGCCGGGTTCGAGCATGCTGGCCAAGGTTCTGTTTCCCCTCAAGTGCTAAATCGTACTCTCCCAGGTCGGGACCAGCATCAGAATACTATGCAAAGCTTGAGGCAGCATCAGGCAGCTCCCATAGCCCGAATGCAAAATGATTACATGCCTCTCGATCCACAAATCATGGATGATGCCCTTGTACGGCACCATCTCGGAGGATACAATCCCGCCTCACACTCACATACAAATCAGCACTCGCATCCGCACTCGCACTCTCTCAACGCGGACCATGACCATCATAATCAATACTCGGAGCATGAGCATGAACACGATCATCATGACTCGGACTCCTTCCAAGCGATGCTCACAGGAAGTGGACACAGGGAGGGAGGTGGCGATGGAAACGAAGATCTGGACATGTTGATCGATCAGGAAGAGGATGGCGATGCTGAAGACGACGATGAGAGTGGAGAGGGCTCGATTATACAAATCCAGGCTGAGGCTGCAGCGAGGGCGGCGGAAGAAGCATTGCGAACAGTAGGTAGGGAATACGGCCGCTGAGTGTGTGCTTGTGGTATAGGGTATCACGCCGCGCGGGACATGTGGTTAAGAAACTATGCATACCGCTGTTGGCTGCCGTTGTCTAGGTTGGAATAATGTTTGAGCGAGGGTTAAAACGTGGAGTTGATGTTGGGGGAATATCAACAAAACAAGCGAGGTCGAGAGCAGGAGGCGAAGCGACGGCCGCATCGATGCAGTCTCTCTAAGCATTGTATTTGAAAGACTCACCAACGCAGAGATACAAGTCTTGTATCATCTCTGTATTATGATGAATTAATGAAAGTAATGTAAGTAAATGTCAAAGAAGATTATCTTGATGTTAGATGTACCCCTGTGCTGAATAACGTAGCGGTCATCGTTGGTTACTTGTCGCACAGTTCAACCGCGGGATATATCGAGAGAACCGAAGCGAAAGATTGTATCATGGCTACTTGTATTCAATTACCCATTACCAGAGTGCTTCTAGTAATAAGAAGTCTCCAACCGCAGTTCCAAAACTTCTTGTCCTGACTCAACACTCTCAAAACCCCCGAACCTCCAAACCTGCCGATCCCCTCCGCCAAATCCATCCCAAAATCCCAACCGTTTGAATCGCATATACCATCTGCAGCGCTCAAGACCCTTAACTCGAGCCTTAATACATATTGTAAATGATACACACGAGGCCGTTCCCGCCGGGTGTACCCTTCCTCCCGCCCAACGTATGAACAGCGGACAACCCTCCTCGGAAAATAAAAAGCAAAATGTAAAACATATCGGCATCGCACCAACCCAAAGCCTTTCGCAGAATCGAGGAGCGTTTCAAGGGCCGCACGATGGACACCTGAGTTTCTAGATCGGTGTGACCTGGTGTGGCGATGTGATGGAATGGAGATGTGGGTTCGGGACTCGGGAGTAGTGGAGTTGGGCACATTTTTTTCTGGGTGTTCTTTTTTTTGGGGAGGGGATCCCTGGTTGAAGATCTTGGGATGTTCATGGGTCTGGTGGGGATTGGGCTGCCATTCTGGAATGCGCTTTTGGCTGCGTTTGGGAGGGTCTTCTCGAGGGGTCTGTACTGTGCTGTTGGATGGTGGATTGGGAAGTGGGGGATCTCGGGGAGGGTGTTCTTTTTGCTTTTGAGAGGGAGGGGAGGGGAGTCTTGTCGGTAGAAGATGGGATGGCCTGGGTTTAAAGTCACATCGGACAGGATGTAGGAGGAAAGAAAGTTCCAAGTGAGGTCATGATGGCTTCATATTTCCTTAATTGGGATGTTAAGAATGTGAGTGGATGATGAATCGATCGGTTTTGGTATGGGAATCGAGACTTATCGTGGAGAGAAGAATGAGGATATATGTTCGAGTCACGAGACATAGCCATTTGGACTTTATTTTCTTCAACAAAGCTGTGGAGTCTCCGGGTCCATTGGAAATCTCAAACATTGAGGCTTGTATGTTTGTACCTTGGGCAGGCGGAGATATACCGTACCTTGCCGTATGTATTCGCACCCAATGGCACCCGAATCCCCACCTCTTCTTATGCGTAAGGCTCCAGCAAGAGCAACTCTCACCAAATCTCACCCCATTTCACCTTCACCGAGTATTTTAGTGCTCCAGCCAAGGCGTGTCATTCTTCGCTAGCCTTCCCACCCACCATGAAGCAATAATGCAGGTCTAGCGGGGGCCGGCTGGAGGACATGAAAGCAAAGCCTGTCGGCTGCGAGGCTGATGCCCAAGTACCGAAGGTTTACGGAGTTGGTGGGCAGCTGATGCTTCCCTCTTACGCTCAGGCTCAGGCTGTCGTACAGTAGTGAGCGGGCTGCTGCAGCGCAACGTTGGACACTCTGTGCCTATCATGAGCTGCGTTGATCTGCTGCGGACGAATGCGAGTCAATGAGAGGGTAGCTAGGTAGCTGCACGAAGGGTATCGCACGAGGAACTGCCTCCGGCCTCCGGGGGTCCTTTGATTCGAACTTTACTTTACATCCAAGAACAAGAATCCAAGCGATGGAAGAGCCGTAGAAAGTGTATGGAAACGAAAAATGGATCTCTTACTGGATGCTGGCCTGGGTGTGGTATTTACTACAGGGATCAAAATGGGCGGGCAAGGAAAATACCATGGAATGACGTTGGGAGGCGAGGGAGTTGAGCGGCGCTGAGCACTGCGCTGCACTGCACTGCACTGCGGGGAGGGGAGATACGAGCGAGGGAGGGGGCTACCTACCTAACAAGACCCTGGGGAGATGGATGGGTAATGGATTGAACCCTTGATGCTTGTCTCCCTGTCCCTTTACCAGCAATTACAGTACTCTTTGTCCCTCTCCACGTCGACCGACTCCAAGTCACATCCTTGAGCCTCACCACGGCGAATAATTGTCCTTTGTTCTTCCAGGTTAAAGCGTTCATTGCGTTGCGCTCCGCTGATCTGTTTCTCCTGACAACCAAACCACAAACCGCACTACCAACTTCAGCGAAACCTTCCTCCCCCTTTCCCAGTATCTGGTCTTGCACTGGTTCTGATTCTCTTCTGCAACTCTTGAACGTCCAGAACCCATCGTCCTGCACTCCAAGAACTTGGTCGGCGGGTAATTGCTGCGAACAGTCTGCAGCCTTACTTCCGCATTCCAACGGTATCACCTCATCGCGGGGTCGACACATTCCAAGCAGGCAGCCTCGACGGAGACCACAGAACCAGAGATTCTCTATCTGCACCTCCCAGCATCATTTGCACGATTGATAGCCCTACGACCGATTACTTGCATTGCATCCGGCAGGAAAAAAAAACTGGTATGTATGCGTCTCCACGGCATCTCTTAACCTAGGGCAAACTCTCGTTTTCTAGCTGCTTCGAGGGTGCAGTACAGGTTGCTGACATTTGCTCACTTCAGAAGCAAATTCTCACATTGCATCTTCCTCACGTGCGACACCATATTGTGATTTTGTAAGGCGAAACCTCGAGTCATAGAGGCGGTTCTCGAGTCCTTATAATCGAGTCCGACTTTGTGTTTCGTTTAGAACAGCACCATAGACATACACAACCATGTCAGACAGATACAGATATTCTCGGGCGCGATCCCCTCCACTCCTCAATCCTGGCCGAATATCCCTGCCAAGCAACTTCACCAACTACCCTCAAGTCCACGAGCATCATCACGTTGTTCCTTCATCCCGCAGAGAGGTGATCCCGGCGCCACGAAGCAGCACAAGTTCCGTTAGCAATGGTGGCACGATAACTACGACATACAAGGTTAAAAGCGAGGCCCCTACTCGAGGAAGTAGTGTGCGAGAGGGTAGTCGTACAAGGAGATCTACGATTGACAATCACAATCGTCCGACGATTGTTACAACAACGCAGAAATATCGACCGGTTATACATAGCGGCGGCGTAGCAAGGCCTGAAAGCCCTCTCAAGAACCCCTATCGCTCAAGTGAGGAAGAATATGTTGCTATACCCGCAATTTCTCGCCATGGACATCACCATACGAAACGCTATAGCGCCACAATGGATAATGCGGATATGAATCGTCTTGCTCGAGAGCGGGAAACAACCAGATTACAGGTGGTGCCGATCAGAGAGCCAACTTATCCTAGTACGAGAGTGAGACCGGTATATACGGGTGTTGTTACTCGTCATGCCGATACGGTCTCGGACGATTATGGCGAGGATGGTTACGGTTATACCAATCCAAGAGACTTGGTTCAATACGACTTGACACACAACCAGCCGGTCCACCATCGATCAAGAAGGGATAGCTTTGACGCTGGAAGGTCAGGCAGACCAACATCTATCACGGGATATGCAGATATTTTTCCTCGATCATATGATGCCCGAGAACGTGGACCACCTCCGACAACCAGAGGATTCGATAAGATCAGAACGCCTGTCTACGATCAGGCCCCGCCAGTGAGACCAGTCCGTCCGAGCTCTCCTCCCAGTTCGCTGGCACCTATGGAACCGGTGCAAAGACCTGCTCCCTTCGAGCCTGTTGAGCCCGTCAGGAGGACAAGCACTTCTAGGGCGAGACCGACTTCTATGTACCAAGAGAATCGTGAGCCAAGACGGGCGCCAAGAGAGGAATATTATGAAACTCGGGATGACGATAGAAGGGAGAGCCGAACACATCGTCATGAGAATCCCGTGGAGCAGCGAGGCTTTGGTGTACGGGCTGAACGTCCTGACAGGTCGGAAAGACCGGAAAGGTCTGACTGGAATGAGAGATCAGACCGTGTTGATAGGGTGGACAGATCAGAAAGGGTAGAAAGGGTGGACAGGGTGGATAGATCCGATCGAAACAATCGGCCGGACAGGTCTGACAGGCATGACCGGCTGGACAACGATCGAACAGATTACAAGGAGCCGAAGGAACACAAAGGCAGAGATGCCATTGCAACTGGCCTGAGTCTTGCTGGAGCTGCTCTTGGTGTCAATGCCTTGAAAAATGCTGCTCGAGGGGATCGTGACGATCGGGAAGACCGTGAAGAGCGAGAGGAAAGGAAGAAGCGTGAGTACGAGGAGGACGCTCGAAGGCGGAGAGAGAAACAGGACAGGAGTCCTGTGGATCTGGGTGGTAGAGACCCGAAGGAACGGCGACATAAAGACGAGGATCTTACACCACCACCTCGGGATATGCCTCCTCCGCCCCGAGATGGACCACCTCGAGAGGTGACCCCACCACAAGCAGCCTTCGTAGATCGTAATAGCCGAGATGCTAAAGATCGGAAGCCATCTAGGGATGAGAGAGAAAGAGATCCAGACCGTCGTGAGAGGCACCGAAATGCTTCGGAAGCAGCTCTGAATGGAACAGCCATCGACTCACGTTCTGACAGCTCAGCATCGGAAGAAGTTCGACCTCGATCTCGCCGTGAGCCTCTTCCTCGAAGAGAATCAGGGACTGTACCTGCTGCATTCGATCCCAAAAACACTATGGATTTGTTCGCCTTGAAAGAAGCACTCAACTCCAAAGACTCTAAGGATGCCTCAACACTTGCGCCAAAAGAGCCTGCTTCAAAGCCACGAACACCCAGAGGCTCATCAACAAGGGATCCGCGGGAGGCAGCTGAAATACGCAAGGGTCTTAATTCCGAGAGAAAATCCAGAGATCCTCTCGCTCCAACCGAGAATCGTCAACTGCGTGTCGTGTCTCCTCCACGTGAGAAGGTTGAAGAAAAGCCTGTCAAGGGTATTCTTCGTCAACCAAGAGAGAAGTTCCCCGAAGATCCAGCTCCTATCCGTGAAGGTGTTGCTCCATTGAAAGATGCGAAGAAGGATGGTATCCCACCAGATGCAAGATGGACTAAGATCAGCCGGAAACTAGTGAATCCAGAAGCTTTAGAAGCTGGAAAAGAGAGATTTGAGGCCAGAGAGGACTTTGTGATTGTCCTTCGAGTTTTGTCGAGGGATGAAGTACAAGGATATGCTGAGGTTACACAGCGTATAAGATGTAAGTTTCAACCACTCCAACAAATCGTTCCTCGTTTTATACTAATACATATCAGCCGCTCGCGAAGAATTAGAAGATATCGAGGCTACTGAACGTAGACGTGCTCGTCGGGAGAGACATGAAAGACACAAGCGCGAACGCAATGGTGAGATTCCTCGAAGCGAGCGTGGCGAACGCCGACATCGCCGCCGCGGAGAAGAGGGACGAGAGAGGCACCGTGAATCTAATTCTGAATCCGACTCCACGGAGGACGATGACGTGTACGAGAGGCCGAAGATGCTTGAGGCCCCACAGAAAAGAACCAATTTCCAAGATGCCTTAATGAGTGGTGGATTGGGCGAGATGGCCCAGAGCCAGTCGAACCTGAGGGAGACTGAAGTTCTGGGAACTTACAGCGGGTACAGCAGGAATCCGCCACCACCAAGCAGCATGGCTGCTGTCAGTGCGGGATCGAGTCGGAAGGAGAAGTGAAGAGGGGGTTTTGTAATGGATTGAAACGAAATTTATTATTGTTTTTATTTGAGCGAAATGGAGCAGAGCATAGAGGAGATATCATGCAGCGAGATGAATGACGAGCAAATGACGAGCGGATACGTGAGCTATGAGAGATGCTTTTACGTGTGGAAGGGATTGCATTTGACTTTATGTTCTATTCTCCTGTACAATTAAGGAATTATTATAAGACGAGATTGTGTTTTTGGAAAGAACAGAATCAACCCTTCGGTTCCAATATTTACTACAGTGTACAAGTACATGTTTCTACGTTTTGTCCAAGCGGTCACATATTAGATGAATGACGTGGATTAGTGAAGCGGCAAAAGAACTACAATATGATGTCTTCTGTGGGAGGCTGTAATGCTTTGTTTTGAGCTTTGCACATGCTTGTACCTGTATATTGGGTCATCAAGCGAAGCGAGGCGAGGCTGAATGATGAACCTCAGGCTCGGAACAATATTTCATCGACATCATCAGCCTTCCCTCATCAATCCCACCTCATCCAAAACTCAATTTTACCTCATCGAGACCTGTAATCGATCTATCGAAATGGGTTCTTCGGCATCTAAAGCTTCGAAAGCCGCTTCGAAACTTCCGTCGGCAGCAACAAATGCAGCGCGCAAATACCCAACTCGGACACCTCCTACGTCGACGACTTCGAATGTACAGACGAGAAGACCGGGAGCTGCGCCGGAGGGGAGCTTAGGAGGCATTACACAGGCGGATTTAGAGAGAAGGAGGCAGGATGAGGCAGGTTAGTGATTGTCGCTTGACTGGTTCCAGCGTAATTGAAGCGGTCTTCAATCTCATCGAGAGATCCCATTTCCGTACTTCTAATTGATCAAGCAAGCACATGAAGCAATGCTAAAATACAATTCAAACAGTCAACACCTCTACTTTAGACCCAGACGCAGACTTAAAGCCAGACCCCGCCCTCAACGCCCGCCTCAAAACCCTCGGCCCTGTCCAACCAAACCCCACGCACTCCCCCTCCTCAACCTTCCACTCCCACTCGCAAACCACATCCTCATTCGCAGACCCCACCCTTTCAGCCACTCAATTCCAACCTTCCGCTTCGAACCCCCTACAGACTATCTTCCCAAGCAGTTCTCCCTCACATCAAACCTCAAGTTCCGGAAATGCAGGAGCGAATATCTCAGGTCCCAGCTCGAATCCAGCAGTTTCGCTCTTAACTGCGAGGTATAGACTTGCGGGCGAGGCGGAGAATGAGTTTGCTAGGACGGGGAAGAGTAGCGCTGCTGAGGGGAGGCAGTTCTTGGATGTGCTTACGTTGAGGCAGATACTGGTGTTGAGGGATGAGAAGGGGGTCGAGGCGGGGGAGATTGAGAGGAGTTTGGGGTTGAAGAGGGGTGTGGTTGGGAGGTTAGGGAGGAAGGGTGTTGTTGGTGTGGGGACGTAGTTTTGGATTTCATGTAGGAAGGGTTTGGAAGGAGGGAAGTCCGATGAGGGAATGTAAATAATGCTGCAAGCGAAGGGAGAGTTGTTGAGTCAGGGAACTTGTAAGATATGACACGGCACACAATAAGAGCACGAATCTATTATGCCAGACACAATCCCCAGTCTTTTCTAGACCTATTCCTACACCTACAAGTTCGCCTTCCCCCTCACCTGCTCCCTCGCCCTCTTAACATGCTCCCAAGCCAACTCACTCATTGGATGCCTCGCCAGCGCATTATCCTTCGCCTTCGCACTACTCGCCTGCCTAACCGCCCACCTCGCCGCAATCCCCTGATAAATACACGACGCTCTAAAGAAACCAAACGCCGTCCCCCAATTCAGATCCGGACTTGGATCCCAGCCTGCGACCTCGCCGTACCATTTTACGACTTGGTCCCGTGTGGGTAGGCCAGGCGTGGCGCCTTCGCGGAAGGAGGGCAGGTTGCGGAGGTTGGGAGCGTCGACTAGGTAGTAGGGCATTAGGAGGTTGAGGAGGTCGGAGAGGGGGTGGCCGATTGTGGACATTTCCCAGCTGTGAGGGACGGGGGAAGTTAGTACTTGTTTCCCATTTAAAAACAATGGCGTTCGCTTAGAACAGGAGGTGAAGCGATTATGGGGAGGGAATAAGATAGAACGTACTCCAGAATTCCAATAACTCTCGGCTCAGTCTTATGAAATACCAAATTATCGATCTTGTAATCACCGTGGATAGGAGTTCCTCGATCTTTCGGCTGGAATTTCTTATTGCTGAAAAACTCAAGCATTTCCTCAACATGCGGGATCTGTCCCACCGCCTCTTTTGTATCAACATCCACGGCCTCTGCTTGAGCTTTGCTGATTGTGCCAAATGTTTTGATTTGGCGATCATAGAAACCAGAGGGCCTGCCGAAGTCTGAGAGTCCGACGGAAGATGGCTTTACGTTGTGGAGTTTGGCGAGCGTGCGGACGGCGTCGTGCCACCTATGAACTTCCCCATCAGTACACAATTTCATCTGAAGTGTTCGGTATATCTCTCACATCTCGGTCCTTTCCTCTGGACTAACATCCGGCATTGTAGGGTCCTCAATAATCCTCCCATCCAAAAACTCCATGATATAAAACGCCGTACCGACCACGTCCACATCCTCACATAAGCAGTATGCCATGGGTACTGGGACGTCTGTCTTTTCTAGGGCGTGGATGACCCTGTACTCGCGCTCGACTTGGTGGGCGGTCTTGGAGACGAGCTTTCCTGGGGGTTTCTTGCGCATCACGTATTTGGTGCCATCGCTGCCGGTGAGTTGGTATGTTGGGTTGGATTGCCCGAAGCCGAACTATGTTTTGTTTAGCAGGTGAAGCACAATAGCATGGCACGCGAGCAGTGTAAGTATGAGGGAGTGGAATTTGCTTACCTGTTTGATATCGATGGGCAGCTTTATCCGCGGTACATTTTTGGAGATATATGTTTCCAGCGACTTGACGTCAATGGGTTGCCTCACTACGCCAGCCATTGTAAAGTCTGAAAATGTAAAACGAAAGTTGTAGTGAATATTGCACGCTGGATTATCAAATTGTGAGGCTTTTGACGTCGTTTCTATGTGAGCATGAGACTGTTCTGTTCCTCGGCTTTCTTTCCCCGCATCCCGAACACTCGGTTCTCCAGTGTTGCAGCTGAATTGGGCCGAGGCTAAGTACGAAAGTACAAAAGCACAGCTTAATTCTGGAAGGCGGTGAACTCTTTGGCAGAAACAAGGCTTATCGGCTTATCTGCCCTCGGGATGTCAACAATTGGCCTCCAAGAACTTGTCAGCCTTTCCTTGGCAGCCTCGTGATGGCTGCCAATGGAAACGAAAACAGATCCCCACACCTTCCCGTCGCCGTTAGCGCTGACTCCCAGGAGAATTAACAATCTCCACTGAAGACCATAAGCTTCATTGTGCCATCCAGCTAGCCCTTTCACATCCTGCGACTATCCTAAAGCCAGCGATCGATTTTTGCGCGCCTGCGAGGCGTACAGCGCTTCAAGGCCTTCTCTTGAACATGGTTTCTTCGCTCCTGGCTTAGCTTCAGGAGACCGAGCCAACCGAACGAAAGGGGAATCACGTGGACAGGCGCAAAAACAGACTTCGAATTGAGGTCAAAGTCAGGCTTTGTTACGGGAAAGCAATTCTGTTAATCTACCCTCAGCCAGGGGCATGCCTGGCGTCAACGGAGTGAGAGGCGACGAGGCATCTGGGTCTGGGCGAGGAAATTACTCGAGAAGCGACAGTAGCAGCGCAACGATGTCTGAGCCTGGCATTCTGCGCCATCCAGCTACCAATGCGCGGAAATTGAATACAGATATCCCTAACATCTTGCCTCATGAGAGGGTATTCCCCATTCAGATAGGAACCGAGTTGTTCAGGCTGAGCGGCGCGAGCCTCAGCTCTGATGGTATGTACTCCCCAATGCGACTTACAGAGTGAGATTTGGCTGGGATGAAAGCTGAGAAACCTAGAGCACCCTCATACTTTTCCCAGTTTTTCCAGTGTCGGCTGAAAGAAGCTGAAGAGAAGAATAATGGCGATACAAGCCAGATTCGGACGTTGTATATTGATCGTGATCCGGCCACTTTCAGGGACATCTCACTGCATTTGCAGGGTTATCATGTGGCTCCAAGAGATGGAAGTCATTTCGTCAAGCTATTTGCTGACGCTCAATTCTACAGCTGTAAGCTAAGCCGATTTTTGAGAAAGTCATGCAGCTGACATGAGCAGTACCACGATTGATATCACAACTCTATGAAGAGAATATCTTCATTTCAATTGGGGGCCGTGACTTTCAAATCCCTCGGGAACTCTTTTCAGAACCGGGGAACTCGCCAAATTACTTCTCTCTTGGATTTGCTGTATTCTTTAGCAGTCCCACTGAAGTTTTTCCGGGTCTGAATAGAGAGGGTTTATTACGTCCACCATCGATTATGCCCCCATCAGTACCTAATCGCAGTGCTGATACATTCGCACAACTACTCCACCTCCTACGTGGTTACCCCCTTCACATCAAAGATGAGGACCATCGAGCCGAGCTCCTTCGCGACTGTAGATATTTCCACCTAAAGGGACTCGAGCAAAAGCTCCTTCGACACTCCATTTCATTCAACCTCTGCCGCAAACGGGAAGAAATTACTCTCCGCCTCGAAGACGTCCGCCAATCCGGCATCTCGATAGTCGGCGACGCATCAGCAACTCCTCCACCCGAGTCAATGAACACGCCCACCTACAACCCCTCACAAAGTCTAGTCGGCTACGTCAACTATGCCCGTCCATTTGTGGACGACCGCGCTTACGAACTCGTCCTCGAGATTGGAGACGAATGCACGAGACTACACTTATCGTCTATGCGCTGTGAGTTCTTCAGTGATGGCAAAGCACGCATATCACGACTCTTCGAAGTCATTGCCACGAAACTCAACTTGCCAACTTCACAGCCACTAGGTTTATTGATGAAGAAAGGTGGGGCGAGCTCTCAGCCTGCTAGTCCTGGGAACACGCCTATTAGCGAGGACTGGGTACGTTGTATTATTGATGAGAACTCATATATCTGTCTCGATGGGAAAGAATGGCATGGCCAGATCCCAGAGCCGGATAATAGCAGTGTGGGGAGTAGTGCAAGCTCTGTTGCTGGTTTGGACGATGCGTATGGTGAGCCTACGAGGAAGAGGCGGCGGACAGATGGGTCCACGATTGGTGGTTCTGGAGGTGAGGAGAAAGAAGTCTGGGTAGTAAGGAGGGGACAGTGGCGGTTGCGGGTGCAGAATTCGAGGAGTAGGAAGGGAGGTGTGGAGTGTGTGCTTGTGGCTGTAAGTCTCGAGGCATTTGCCTTTGAGAGAGGAAGGAATGCACAGAGGGCATTTTTGGCGGGATAGGGAGTTCATGTGGAAACTTAGGATTGGTGATGATGGAAATGAGCTCTATTTCTGGTGATGATACCTCTTTAGGGAATGCGATGCCATTCAGGCAATTTTGACCTTAAGCAGCATCCATCTCTCTGTTTCTGACCTCCATCGTTTCGTCTTTCGATAACAGGCTGACCACGCAACATACATTCATTCAAAAGTGATGAAAGTACCAATATCTTATATGTTAAATGCGGCGAGGGACAAACTTAGGCATCTGTCTGAGAAAAGGATCGCAGATGCCTGTGTGCATGCTCATCTTTTTGCTCAAACGATCTGTCATATTATCCCTGATCGAGTTTGGACAAAACAAACAACATCTAATCTGGAGGGGGCTTTATTTGGTTTTTCGATAATCGAAAACTGTCGTTGTCGTTCAAGTGCTTCGACAAAAATTTGGAACAATTTCGGAGGAAGCACTGTACTAAAGTGAGCCATACCTATACCACACTGTTGAGAATTCATATAGGTACTGGATAGCTTGAATATCTGCTTAAAGTAAGTGAATGGTAGGATCCAAAGACATGCTTCTACTCAAGAACTTAAGCTTGGTTTGATTTGTTCCTTTCGTATAATAGTGCATCCACATACGTACTTGAAGTCGTAACTCATAAAAAGTAGCTCTACATTCCTCAACATGAGCTTAGTCAACAGAACTCTATTCATTTATCATCAAGTTAATATACAACGAGTGCCCGCAGCCTCACACAGGGGGACCGACTACTAGGAACAGCAGATGAGTCTGCCAGCAGCAAACCACTCCTCCGCCCAGAAAACCAAGGACAAGCGAGAAATACTGTAAATATTTGCTCGGCTTAAGGCGTGCCGCCGCAAAGCGGCCGCGGCTGCGAAAGTCGCTGAAATAACCGAGGCCCAGAAGAGGAAGACCGACCATGTTGAGCCTGGCTTTATATGCAGCTATCTCATTTTCTAACCTTCTCACTAATTGTGTAGAGCTCTCCCAACACTCTCACAGTACAATTGAACTATACCTGCATTTAAATTGACCATGTCGACTATCAATCGCGGTGTTCGTACAGCTTCAAGAACTCTACGAACCCCCGCCTTCCAATCGCGAGCTCTCCGCACCCCTCTCGCCTTCACATCGCGAGCAAACTTCACAGCTTCACCACGCACCACACCCTCTTCCCACCGCCAATTTTCAGTTATGGCTGCTCGACAATCTGGTGCTCCCGCGCCACCCCAGGCAAGAGAGTACGACCCTGAGATCAAGGACATCGCAAGCTATGTTCACAACACACCCATTGACTCTGATCTTGCTGTGAGTTTATTTCCCCGCCATTTTGCCCCACTGAATTGCGTTGACCGTGGCCAAAGTTCGACACAGCTCGATTCGTCTTCCTCGATACGTTAGGTTGCGGTCTCGAGGGTCTGCGGTTTAAGGAGTGTACAAAGCTTCTTGGTCCAATTGTGGAGGGGACCGTCGTTCCAAATGGTACAAAGGTTCCTGGCACACCATTCCAACTGGACCCTGTCAATGGCGCTTTCAATATTGGTGCAATGATCAGATGGCTCGACTACAATGACTGCTGGCTCGCCGCTGAATGGGGTCATCCTTCAGACAACTTGGGTGCTATTCTAGCTGTTGCAGACTGGATTTCGCGTACAAACCGAGCTGGTGGAAACCTTGGCAATGGAAAGGTCATAACTGTCAAGGAGGTCTTGGAGGCTATGATCAAGGCACACGAGATTCAAGGTTGCTTGGCTCTTCTGAACTCATACAACAAGGTCGGTTTGGATCATGTTGTACTTGTCAAGGTTGCCTCTGCAGCAGTTGTCTCCAAGTTGTTGGGTCTCTCCGAGAAGCAAACAGCCGATGCCGTTTCCCAGGCGTGGGTTGATGGGCAGAGTTTGAGAACATACAGACATTCACCAAATACCATGTCGAGAAAGTCATGGGCTGCTGGTGATGCTTGCCAGCGTGCTGTCAACCTTGTTTTGAAGGTCATGAAGGGCGAGCCAGGTGTGCCAACTGTCCTGTCTGCTCCAGTTTGGGGTTTCTATGATGTCCTTTTCAAGGGCAACAAGTTTGAGTTCCAGAGACCATATGGCAGCTACGTTATGGAGAACGTTTTGTTCAAGGTCTCATACCCAGGTAAGACAATTCTATGTTTCTATAAATTATTCCGTCTAACCTTCATCAGCCGAGTTCCACTCGCAGACCGCCATCGAAGCCGCCAAGCGAATCCACAAGCAATTGGCCGACCAAGGAAAGTCAGCAGCAGATATCAAGGGAATTGTCTGCCGTACCCACGAGGCATGCATCCGAATTATCGACAAACAGTTCAAGCCTATGGACAACTTTGCCGACCGTGATCACTGCATTCAATACATGGCAGCTGTCATGCTCGTTTTCGGACGTCTCGAAGCAACTGATTATACTGACGGAGGTGAGGCCGCAACTTCGCCTCTTGTCGAGTCACTCCGCCAAAAGATTAAGTGTGTTGAGGATCCTCAATTCACTGAGGATTACCACAATGAGAATCTCCGTACCATCCCCAACGCCTTGACCGTCACTCTCAACGACGGCACTGTCCTCGAGGAGATCGTTGTCGATGCACCACTAGGCCACAGACTGCGGAGAGACGAGGCCAAGCCAGAGATCCTGGCTAAATATAAGAGACACTTGGGACCTCATTTCAGCGAAGCAAAAGTTAAGGAGTTGGTTGATTTGGGCAATGACGCTAAAAAGTTGGAGAGCATGGCTGTTGATGAGTATGTTGACTTGTATGTCGTCAAGGATAGCAAGTTTGTGTAAATAGGTATTTGGGCCGGTAGTCTAGACAAAAATGCATTACTGCTTGACTGAACCGTTCGGGCGATGATCATTCTTTTGATTTCGGAATGTTGATCTTCTTAGAGTTTTACATAGCAAGTCAATCAGGAACAAATGGCCACGGGAGGAACTGGCATGCTGAGCTAAGTTTTGCATACCACGGCTCAATCGGTTGAGTGTCACACATACTACAGCGACATCCTGTTGGTTTTGTGGCAGTGCTGGCTCCTGTTCTGTTGGCGAAGGACCGCAATGATTGCCATACTCACTGCCCTGCAACTTTTTCTGGATATCATGCCATAACCCGTGTCTCCTGAACTTCGGAGTACGTAACCAGCAGTTCCGCTGGCAACCTGGCTAAGTAAGTGCTCAAGGGCAATCCAACAACCGCATGCCCTCTCCTTTCTTGACTTAATTTGTAAAGCAACGTATTCCCTTACTGCCTCAGCCCCTATTCCTTCTCTCCTCCCACAAATTATGTATCGCCATTGCCGTGCCCTTGAGTATGAGCTCGTGTTCCTGCTCATGCACCCTCTCATTCAGCTCCTCCAGCGTCTCGGGCGTCCTGCACTTAATCTTATGCACAATAATCGGCTGTCCGCGATCCACCTCACTAATAACATAATGGATCATAATCCCCGTCGTATCATCCACCAGCTTGCCCTTGTGGTAATCGTCGTACGCCCTCTTGATGGCATCGATCCCGTCATACATACCTGGCAGCGCCCTAATGATGTGTCAGTACATCCCATTGGCCGTACACTGAAAACTTACGGATGTAGATTGATGACGGGAACTTTCCTCTCTGCTAGCGGGTCGAGGAACTTCGGACTGACGATGTGCATCCAGCCCGCGCAAATAACAATGTCCGGCTCGTCTGCCAGCACGATGTCCGCGAGGTCGGCGTCGTACTTTTCGCGCGCGGCTTGCTTGACGGCTGGGTCTTTCTCGCCCGATGCGTAGTACTTACCGCTGATGAGATTGTGGTATTTGGTTGGGATGGATGCCTTGGAGGCGCGGTTGAGGCCGTTTGCCTTGGCTTTGTTGGAGATTACTCGCACGATCTTGAGGTACGGCATTGTTGTTGTAGATGCGTCGATCAGGGCTTGCAGATTGGAGCCTTCACCTGAGATGAGGACAGTGGCTTTGGTGATTGGTGGGTCGTGCATTTTGAGCAATTGGGGCGTGTCAAGGGATTGATCGAGTGTTGGTTGGACAGTATTGTGGATATTGATGTTATTCTTGAACGTCTGTTCTAAAATAATCTTGAGTGCGGGGTGGAGGGGTTCAGAAAATCGGACAGTCGTGTCGCGTAGCGTACAAGGCTACAGTAAGCGAGCTTCTTTACTTTGCAGTTCGCCTTGTCCAGATTATATGACGCCTCAGAGTATATATATACGTTCACAGTACTGAGAGAGATATGGTACATGTAGTGTTATATCTGATTGGGTCTGTATCGAATTCCCATTAGATTGGTGGAGCAGTAGAGAACGATATGCTTCATCGAACTCTCACTAAAGCTGATGATCATGGCTGTATTTCAAGTATGTATAAGTATATCATAGAGGACAAGCGTACTTACAACCTCTTGTTCATAACTACAAGGTTGCCTATGGCTGGAGGCACAAGGTTTGAATCTCCAAGTGAGAATATGCCTCTCGCTTAGACCTCGTTATCCTAAGAGAGCGGAGCCTGGATACGGCTGGAGCTTTTCAATGCCAAGGGAAGGGAGCGATAGTAATGAACTGAAGTTTAGCTAATATGATAAATAGGGTATAATACATGTTCGATTGCCAGTTCATCAAATGTCCAAAACTCCATACCCGCCCTCGCCTTCCCACAAGTCCTCCTCTATGGGATATCTATCGTAAGTCTAGAATGTACATCGTCACAACAATCGATAACTTACGAGCGGTCCTGTGTATCTATGGCCATGATGGGTCCAACTCATTCCAGATCCTAACACACGTCAATTTGGCTCCATCTTAAGACTCTGATCCGACCTGCAACCTGCTCTCAAACCCATCGACTAATGTTTACATATCGCAAACCAGGAACCCGCCCCCAATCCGTCACCAAAACCAAAAAATATAAAATCTATTTTCAGTAGTAACGACCTCGGAGAAATTGCACTCTCAATGATAGCTCAAAGCGTCACTCCAAAGCTGATCTATGTCTTGATGCCCGTTGTCACACTCGAGAATATCCATGTTCAACTGGTCCATCTCGAAGTGTTCCAACTCAGACCCAAGATCGCCATGACTTAACTCGATCTGGAGCATCTGCCCCCCTAGACCCAACTGATCTTCTGTAATGCCATGGTCCGGGAGCCTATTTTCTGTCCTTACCAAGGTCGACTGGTCGAAGATTGCAACCCTATGTCTCTCTGCTTCAGCATGCTTGCTCCTGTTGTATTCGCGAATGTAATTTTGCGATATGCCATCGAAGTCCTTCTCGTTCCAATCGCAGCATCGATGATTCTTACGTGGGTTGGCAGCAAGCAAGCAGTCACCAGCTCCAGCCGGGTACGGCCGCACTCGAGTTATGCAATGCTCATGGTCCATGTGTCGATCTTGTCTGGGAGTACCGTTGTTGGCATCGAACCATGAATCCCATTGTTTGCTCAGCTTTGCGGTTGATGGCTCGTGCAGCTCCAAATCCGGTTCTTTGTCGAGACGGCATTTTGCTGGATCTGGGTGAAAGTGCCTGCATGTGTAATTTGTGATGTACGGGCAATGTGGATCCTTACTTTGGCACAAGCCGTCCAGCTTTGGATTACGTTCAGGTCGATTGGCCTTCCATTCTGCGCTGATGAGCGTTGGATCTTGCGCGATCGAGGGATCTGCTGCTGAGAATGCAAGCCGATCATGTCTAGCTTCGAGATTCTCATTTGCGTGAAGCATTAGCAGAGCTTCACAGACAACGATACGGTCGTTAACACGCTGGCCCTCCTGGGTCCTCTTTAGACTTGCTGTGCTCGAAGTGCAACCCGGGGAAACATTGCGTGAACTGCTGCACGACGAGGCTCCAGAACTCCAATCACTTTCGTACTCTTCTGTAAGTAGACTGATGCTAGCCGAACGACCTCGGTCTGCGCTGCCTGTTACATCTAAGCTCCTTTGCGGATGTATTGAACTGTTCCTCAAAACATAATAGTCGCTCTGGGCTGGTCGACGACTAGCCATGTCCTTGATCCTTGCCCAACAGTCTCTGTCAACAGGAACCGAAACAATATGATTCGACTGATAATCCTTTCCTCTCCCCGATTTCCTACTGTTGCTATGCTCCGGTGATGCAGGCGGAGTGATAGGTAGAGTAGCAAGTGGTTGTGGTGGGCTACTGCTACCAAACCTTGCCTGCATAAGCCGCCAGCGAGACTCGAATAGATGATTAGACTCGTTCACTGACAGATGACGAGTTTCTCCGGTTTGATTGTCTTTTGCTGGGATCATGACGCTTTTCCCGACAGGCTTGGTACCATCATTATACTGGCAGACGACAAATGACCACAATGCGTATTTCTTCGAGCCAGAGAGCTTGCACTGCCGTGCTGATCCTCTGAGTATGACGTTAGTATGCACCTTCCACGAGCATTTGTAAGAACAAGACTCCGTTTCAGTTGATATGATGTATATACACAGCGAAGGAGCAAAAAGGGCGGGATGCAACATACCCTGGAGTCCAAAGTTCCTCGCCGGGTGCCTTTCCTGCGGAATACATGCTAGTGCTATGAATTTTAGGGAGCCAGCAAACATGGTCAACTTGAATAACACCACTCTTGTAAGTCCGAAGGTTGATAACTGGAACAGTATGTTTGTATTCCTCGGTCTTGGAGTCAACGTGAATCCAGAATCGATCGTTCCGGCAATACGAGAAGTCGTTAGAGGGAGAACTGTCGCATATTGCAACGCCATGAGCTTCGATACTCGATGAAGACTTGTTGACGTGTAATCGCTGGTAAGTGTCACTGGTATCCTTCTCAATATCTGTCCTGGGAAGGAAGCAGACAGCATTCTGCTGTTCACCATTGAATCTTCGGACAGGGACAAGTGAGACGTCTTTTGTGATGTTCAACATCGGCGATTGGACCACAACTCGTTCTCTCTTCTTCTGCCATCTCGAGGATTGCGGAATAAGTACATACTTTCGCACCTCGATTTTGCAATTCTTCGTGTCAAGCGATAATGTACTCATGATCGAGTTTCCGTAGAAGTTTCATTCGTAGTGACATGAGGCAAGTGCAACTGTGCAGCCAGACCGAGTAGCAGAAATGAAGATCGTCCACGGCTCACAGAAAAATGATAGAACTGAAATGACAGAAGCCAGAAGCCTAGAAGCAGATCAAAATAGTATACCGACATGTTGGTCACCCCTTGCTGATAACTGGGAGCCCTACAACGATCATAAGAATGTGGCTTGCCCAATCAAATGGAACAATCACAAGTAGTCCACCAACATCTCACTTGCTGCCGCTCCAGCCATTTAGGAGGCGTCCTTGAACGGAGCATCCTCCGGGCTGAGGCTTCGAGATCTCTCAAAAGTAAGTATGTCTTGTCTGCGCGTGCAAGGTCCAAGCACGGCTGAACGTGAAACTGAGTTACTCAAGGCTGAAGCCATCAGTGCGTCCGAACTCTCCAAAGCTGGCGGCTTAGCAGTTGTTTAGGTCGAACTCCTGGTGTAAGAATGATCACAGAAAAGCTGTACCGTACCGGCACGCGGTGCTTGACAGCTGTGAGGTTTTAAGGGGCGTTTGAGAGATGTTGATGGTCGATGGCTGGAGAAAACCTGGAGGGCCAGAAATACCGCTGGTTACTGTACCTAGACACGGACACGCTACTGCGGGGCGGCCGAACTGGATATCGGTCACGTTCTTTTTTCCTTCAGCACACGCTGCACACGCTATCACATGGCAGTGGAGGCGACCATTGATGATGACAGCCGAAGATTCAAAATCGCTGGTCAACTCGAATGCCCACTTGCTCTATCCTAGCATTATATTTCTCGACTTGTCATCTGCCAGCGTGGTCTTGTTACAACACCCATCTTCCGAGGCCATGCGACGATAGTTCAGCTTCTCTCGTCCTCGCAAAGCCACAACTACTACTCTGCGCGCAACGCAAACATGGAGAAGTACTCTCAATTCCGCGATCGAGGTAGGTACACCAAGGAAGCAGGGTATCCATTGTTACTAATGCAAGACACACAGGATCTGGAATAGCCCCTTTCTTTCCCGTCTCCTCGACACACACAGGAATCTACTTCCCCGTCTATGTGTTCCTGTTCCTCTTCAAGCTACCGTTCTTTATTACCATTACGACTACCTACTTCGTCTTCCTGCAGTGGTTTCCTCTGGGATCACTTTTCAAGAAAGCAATACTATGGATGATACTGGGCATACCGGGAATATGGTGGATTGATCTTCAAATCGACGGAGTGAAGAAAGGCTCTCTGGCGAAGAAGCATCAAGGACGGGTACCTCAACCTGCAGATATTATCGCATCCTCCTTCACCTCACCGATCGACTCTCTATACCTGGCTGCGATCTTTGATCCAATATTCACCGTATCATACCCTCATACTAGACAAGTTCAGTATATCTCGCTCTTTGGCGCAATACTCAGAGCCCTGTCGCAACCCCAAGAATATCCACCAAAGGGAGCGAAGATGACAGATCTGAAGACTTTGGTCGCTGAGCACCCGAAGAGAGTGATTGTGGTCTTCCCAGAGTGCACAACGACAAATGGAAAGGGGATTCTTCCATTTAGTCCCAGTCTTTTGTTAGCACCTCCAACGACCAAGATCTTCCCAATAAGTCTGCGATATTCCCCTCCAGATATCACAACGCCCATACCGAGGCAGTACTGGGCGTTCATTTGGAACTTGCTTTCACAGCCGACTCATTGCATTCGGGTTCGCATTGCGGAGGTTGTGTACAACACTTCGAAGCCTACAGATGCAGCTGCTGAAAAAAGAGATCGGTACTTGACAAATTTCTTGGACACGCTAGGAGAAGACTCCGCAATGACAAGCAGCACGGATACATTAATTAGCCTCGGTGATCAAGCTCCAGAAGTCAACCAGGACGAGCGGAGAGTGCTAGATAAAGTTGGAGAGGCATTAGCGCGGTTAGGGCGAGTTAAGAGAGTAGGCTTGACTTTGAAAGACAAAGTAGCCTTTGTGGATGCTTGGTCCAAAAGAAGGAGGTAGCTGACTTCATGACATTCGACGATATTCTGAGATGAGTTGCCGATTGAAGGTCAACCGGAGTTTTAGATAGCGATAGCATTGCCAGGAATTTTCCGTGCCCAATATTATGCTTTGACACCAGGGGGTCAGTCCTATCTGGTTGGTCTACTGTACTCTCGAGCTACTCAAGTACTGTGCGCTCGACTAGGAAAGTTCTGTTTCGATGTTGCGATGCGAGGCACCCGTCATTCGCATCCTGTACTGGGCCTCGCTTTACTCCAAATTGTCACATTCTGTTTCAACACCTCGGTTGTTTGAAACGAGTTACAAAACGCATCCCCCTCGACTACCACTGAGGGGTTGATTTTTACCGTGCTCAAGAGCTTCGCGATTTGTTCTTCAGGTGCTCGATGCCCAGATTTGTAAACCTTCAAATCCCTCGAAATTTCCTCTGCTAACTGACCATGCTAGCGAGAGGTGCTGTTGCGCCTTATATCGGCACTCCTCTTCTCATACTCTTTTTCATTGTCTGGCGAGCTCACCATGAACCGTCGACTTGGAATACCTTCAAAATAAAGCTCTCAGCATCTTCATCTTTTGGATCAGGACAAGTTACGCAGCAAGGCGCCCTTCAGAAAGTCCTGCCAGGCGAACCGACGAACGTCAGTCCGGAGCATCTTCCTCACAAGGAGCTAGTATCAGTAACAACATCCAATGGGAAATACTTTCCAATTGTTTTTGGAGACAAAGGAGCAATCAATCCCAGCATTCTAGCCCACCCACAGCTGAATGATACATACATTATTGTAGCTCAGCAGCAGCGGAGCAATATCAACAACACAGTCTGGTTTGCCCAGCTAGTCTGCAATGCCAACTTCACAAACGATGTCCTCGCTTGTACCGAATCACCTACTATCCTTCCTATCGCAGCAACGTACGGGGACAAATGCAAAGATGAGCTAGTTTTCTTCAACTTCAACATCGGGCCTCACGATGGCCGAGCCTTCTACGGACCAAAGGGCGCATACGTGCTCTTTGGCTCCAATTCGCACTACACGTGCTTCGGACAATGGATGCAAGACTTGCGTGTCCTAACGGACTGGGGTATCGAATGGCGAGGAGATGACTTCCGCTCCGCAGTCGAACTCCGCCGGCACAAACCCTACGGCCGGGTCGAGAAGAACTGGTTCGTATTCTGGGACAGAGACGGAGAGATGTACGTGCACTGGGACATCCAACCCAAACGGTCCTTCGCAAAACTCCGACCAGATGGCACAGTCGGCCCAGATCTCGCAAAGTACGCAAGGAGTGATAAACAGTGTATGGCTCAGTACATGCCTCGAACCGGGCCTGCGATGGAAGACAACCACCAGGCGACTAACTCGCTCGCCATCACGACCTGCAAGCGCTCTGATCCGAACTGCAAGTCCGATGACTCAAATACCTTCATAATCAACATCTTCCATTTCAAGAGCTATCACTACTTCCATGGCGTCTACGAGCCATACGTCATGCTCTTCCAGCAACACTCATCTCTTGCTATCCACGCTATCGGCGCGAAACCGCTTTGGATCAATGGGAGGAAGAAAGCTGGAGAAACCAAGTTCCCAGCCACGTATAACGAGACAGTCTTCGGGCCGTGGAATCAGACTGAGATGGTGTATGTGACTTCGATTAGCTGGAAAGCTCATGGCTCGAGGTATCATGGATATGCGGATGATATTATGTTCCTGGGCTTTGGCATCGAGGATGAGACGACGGGTGGAATTGATATCGTTGCTGGCGATTTACTTGCGGATTTGAACCTTTGCCAGACGCCGAAGAAACAGAAAGGGATTGGGTATATCACATATAGCTGAGGAACATACTGAGGATACAGGCTGGCTGAATTTGTGTATACAAGCGAGATTTCAACAGGGTACTGGTGTTATGCAGGCGTTAATTTCATGCGGAAATAGCTTTATGGGGTCCTGACTGGAGTTCTGGGATTCGGGCTGGGCCATGAATAGATTTGTTACGATATGAATACAGTTAAAACAAGAAACATATTTGAGATAACTCAGAAAATCAAGTATCGAATGAATGTCAAATGTCAAATGCTCACATTGACATCGAGACCGTGTCATATCATCAGATGGTCTCAATTCGGCATGCTACAAATTTTGAGGGCATAGCTCAATAAAGTTTCCGGCCACCAACTGTTGCCTTGCATTGCGCCTCCTAATCCGTCCCCAGCCTCCACAGCCCATCTCCCAAATAATGTCCCTCTTCTACCACTGGACCCTTTCCCTTCTCCTTAACCTCCTTCGTCCCCATACTCAACAAGCCAACCGCACATGCCTCTTCCTTCCCCTCCGCACATATCACAACAGGCTCTCCCTTCTCCAACTCCCGCCCACCATACCATCCTCTATTTGGGCCCTCCGTCTCACCATACGCGCCTGTCTCTTCCGCATTGCCATTCGGTAATCTCCCACCCGTAGATGTCAGTCCCGGTGCCATGAGTGTGGCTCCTGAGAGTACGAAGCGAATTGCTCCGCGGTCGATGCGTATCGAAGGGAAGCAGGTTGGGAAACGGTGCACGAGCTTGAGATGTGGCAGGAGGGCGTCGGTCATGTGTTGGTAGAAGAGGGGTGTGCTGCCGATGAGATAGAGTGTTACTCTATCTGGACTATTCAGAGAATTCATTAGCCAATGATCCCAGATCCTGTATGAGATACTGTATTGCTCAAGAATCGCGAGTGTTGATTCCCAAGATCCAGGGGAACTTGGAGTGGCGGGAGGAATGTACATTTTCATAGCATCCAGCTGCTCTTTCTTTGGAACAATCTCATCGATATGCGGTGCCAATAAAGGATATGTCTGTACAAGCTGTGTGCGAATTGCTCTCTGGACTGAAGATTTGACTTTGGATTTCGATCCTGGGGAGAGACTGGCATGTATTAGCTGAAAAATCAATTACAATCTGTACGGCGAAAAATCCACTATTGACGGCAGGTAAGTAGGAATGATAGACACACTCTTTCTTGAACATCTTGAATATCTGTAGATGTGTCGAGTTGGTTAATGTTTTGGATGTTTTGAGGAGGGGTAGCGGGGTCGAAATGCAATACAAGAAATGCTAAAATCGAGATCCCTGGCACTCTAGCGCGGGGCAATTGAGTCAACTTAGGTAATATTCGGGTGGGGTTGAAGCTGCATGAGAGAGTAGAGTCATCCAGAGCCAGTACCTATTCATTCTCATAGTACAATTCACAATGTTCACCGGAATCGTCGAGATAATAGGAGGTATGCATATCCTCAATCATAAAGACATGGTTTTTGACTTCATTCAGTCGTGTCCGAGCTGAATCCTCAATCCGAGGACGGCGGTACAACCCTCACCATCTCCAATGCCTCCGAAATCCTCGATGACTGCCACCTCGGAGACAGCATCAGCGTCAATGGCACCTGCCTCACTGTAACATCTTTCGACAAGAATAGCTTCAAAGTCGGTGTCGCCCCCGAAACCTTGCGCAGAACGAATCTCGGTTCCCTCAAACAGAACTCCAATGTCAACCTGGAGCGAGCTGTGTCGGCGAGCACGCGAATGGGGGGCCATTTCGTGCAAGGCCATGTAGACACCGTGGGCACGATATTGAAGGTTGAGCCGGATGGAAATGCCTTGACGTTTAGATTCCAGCCAAGGGATAAGAGTGTGCTCAGATATGTGGTTGAGAAGGGATACGTTACACTGGATGGGGCGAGCTTGACGGTTACGAAGGTGGATGATGAGGAGGGATGGTGGGAGGTCATGTTGATTGCTTATACGCAAGAGAAGGTCGTTACGGCAAGCAAGAAACCTGGCGACGAGGTCAATGTCGAGGTTGATCAGATTGGCAAGTATGTAGAGAAGGCAGTGGAGGGGTATTTTTCCAAGGGAAGTAGTGGGGAGCCAGCGACTCTGCAGAAGATGGTTGAGAGGATTGTTGATGCCAGATTGAACTCAGCCAAGTAATGAAGCCTTTGATTGACTGCTATCCTTCCTTTCCACTCTATGCAGCCCTTCTCTGCTTCCTGTTTCCTGGTGCAGCAACAGGCTCCTCAGGGATCTGTCCAGCCTGCGCACCACCCATCATACCCTTAGCCATTCCCAATAATCCATACCCCTTATACAGCCCATAGGCTGGGATGATGCTCCAAACAATCCATCCCCAGTTTCCAAATATAATGACGGAGATCAAGCACAGCCAGGTAACCCAAATGATATCGAACATATATTCCGTCAATCCGGGAGCAGCAAGGTCCTCGCCAGAGCTTTTCAAGGTCTTGGTAGCGGCATCGTATTTGGGACGGCCAGATGTTTCGAGGATGTACTCGGCGACGATGGAGGGAATCGAGAGGACGGTCCACGCGAGGAGGGAGCGGCGTTTAATGAGGAGGTTGAAGAGGAGGAATATGCCATTGGCCGTAGCAGTGCCGATGTGAAGACTGTTGAGGCTGGCGATGTTTGCTTTCGCGCGGTCTTTCTTTGCCTTTTGCGCCATGGTGGTTGTGGTGCGCGAGATCCGGGGTATTGGGAAAGAGTTTCGTGGCGGATGTGAAGCCTGAAAGCTCACTGTGAGAATCAGGCTAACGAGACCCGCGTTCAGTGGATAGGGGTATTATATCCAGCGTCTCGCTTAGAGTGCCTTCAGTGGGGATGGGAGGGTCGTTCTTGTTAACTGCCACGAGCTGAAGATTATCATATCTGAAGTCAATTGTCGCTCGAGAATGATTGAGGCTTTGGTTTGGATTTATGATATCCACGAATACATTACATATTAGATATGCTGAGCAAAGCTCAAAGCATGCAGCCCAAGATTCGAGGAAGATGCGGGACTTATGACGAGAGTGCTGGCGAACATGCATCAGTTGGAATCGGAGGCTAGATCTGGTATCGTTTTGTCTCCTTTCACACGGTAATTGTATATTGATTTGGTCTCCATTTTTTCTAAATTCCTTCCATATGAAACGCATCTTCATGAACACTTCTCGGTGCGTGCCAATACATCACATCCAAAAGAAAGACAGGCAAGAGACATACAGTATGAACACCACCACAGGACAAAACACCAAGAAGTCACGATCCATTTAGAAACGTCTCGCCCACTTATCCAACGAACGAATAGTTTCAGTGTACATGCCAAAACGCAAAGGCAACCGCAAAGGGGATTGGACGGAGTTGGATCTCAGCCTGGAGCACATGGTGCCCGCTGTCATCGCAGGTTTTATTAAGCTTTCGATATGAGGCAGAACTTTACCTTCATCTGACATGAAACCTTGTTCAAACCTTTGACGTTGTGCAGTACGAGTAAGCTTTTGAGCCGCAGGTTCCGTAAAAAAGGGGATCGGCGGCGGTCAGCCAACGATGCCAACGACGCAGTCACACGACTCATGCATCTCCCAAGAACGAACATCAACATTCGCTTGCAACAGCACGAATAACTCTTGAAAATGAGACGATTCTTTGAATCCTGTTTCCAGGCATGCATTGCTCTGGCCCGTAGGCTCTTCATCTATACATAAAATCATTTAGGTATCGCTGTCACCTATAACGCCACCATGATGCTTTTCCCATCATTTTGTCCCCGATCCAATTCAACGCCGTAATGCAAAGTCGTCCATCATGCTACATCCCATCATGCAAGTATATTCTCAATACGCTCCTGCTTTAACTCCACTTCACCGAGCTTAGCAGCTAGCTCTTCTTGAAGTCTCTTCTGCTCAGCCTCATACAAGAACTGTGCATACTTGCTTCTCTTGTTGTGGATACCGCACTCTGTCTTCGCTTGACCCTTCCATCGTCCCGCTCTCTCATCCTCACCCTCCTTCACTGGCTCAGTCGAGTGCCAGTCACCGACGCTCTTGTATCCACGGTCCAGCAACTTGTTGTATGGTACATTGTTGCTCTTGATGTACTGATCGACTTGCTTAAAGCTCCAGGCTGCCAGAGGGTTGATCTTGATCAGACCAGCCTCATCAATTTCAATGATGTCCAACGACTCTCGCTTGGCACCTTGCGACCGACGACGTCCAGTCAAGACAGCAGCGACAGCCAAGTCAGAGTAGGCTCTTTGTGCTGGCTCGACCTTTGCTACCCAGTCGTACAGATCAGCGTTGGTCTTCCACAATTCCTTGCCATGTCGTGCTTCGAACTCGGCCGCAGTGCTGACGCCGTCTGGTTTGTAGACGTGGAGGTGGACATTGGGGTATCTGGCCTTGGCCTGCTCTACTAGATCCAGTGTTTCTTGGAAATGGTAAAGTGTGTCGAGGAAGATGGCGTCGATTGATGGCGCAGATGGGGTTTCGACCTGAAGTTTGGAGAGCATGTCAAGTGTGACGAGACCAGTAACACCGAAGGCGGTTGTTTGGTAAAGATTTGGAAAGGTGATCTTGGCCCATCGTAGGATGTCGATTGGTTCCAGGTTATTGAGAGTTTGGTTCAAGAATTTGAGATGTTGTTTTGTGAGGATGATGGCAGCAAGAGACCCAGCTGACGATGCTCCCGAGGCATAGCCCGACTCGAGGTTTGATTGGTTCGAACTGGTTGATCCCCGGTGGACACCCATTGTGACTGACTTAAATGGGTTACTTTTTCTTAGAGTTCTCGTGGCGTTGGAGTGCTTGGTGTTGAACGTCAGGAGAGAAGTAGTAGTTTTGGTGAGATGAGAGGGATGTGAGGGAAGTGAAGGATGGAAGAGAGGGGTTGGTTAAAAGAATCGCTTTGGCAATTGTCATCCTGATTATCAAACAAATTGAGGAAATATAGTGGGGATGTCGCAATTGTATCAATGTAGGTAGTTCAATCTTCATATGGCGTGCGAACCCGTGATATTGCGTGCTGGTTTTGGATCCAACTTATCCGGCAACGCGCCACGGCCAGCTCCTTGTCTTCCCTCGCTTACTGCTGACAAATGTGCGGGAAAGAGGGCGGTGTGGACTAACATGTTTCGGGTGTTCCAAGGTTGAAGTTTGTTGATCTCCCGAGGCGGCTCAACGAGTCAATTCAAATGTGAGACTTGAATGAAGACTTCACAGCAGAGGCTAGAGCAAAAGGGAACACTTCGGTAAAATTCTTTGGTGAACGCTAAAATTATTCTCAACGTGACGCTCTTCAGCCGAGCCTCTTGTCTTCCCTCTCAGCCTTCCTTCGCAACAACAATGCCTGTAAGTTCCTCCATCAACTGAATACCTCAGACACCTCCCACCACTTCGGTTCTGACAGTTCCCAGCTCATAATCCTCACCGGCTACCCCTCATCAGGGAAAACCCATCGCGCCACACAACTCCAGACATATCTTAACACACAAATATCCAGCCTTCCCAAGGAATCACCAAATGCCTCTCTCCGAGTCCATCTCATATCCGACCACACACTCGCCATATCCCGCAATGTTTACAACCTCTCCACCAAAACACAACATGAGCGCTCCAACAATGCTTCAGAGAAGGATGCGCGGGCGACCATCTACGCCGCTGCCAAGCGTGTGCTGAGCGACAAAGATATCGTTATTCTCGATGGAGCGAATTACATCAAAGGCTGGCGATACCAGCTCTACTGTGAAGCAAAAGCAGTAAGGACCACGCACTGCGTGGTACACGTTGGCACGGCTGTGGAGAAAGCAAGGAGTGTAAATGAAGAACGATTAGCCAGGGAAGGTGAAATCAAGGAAGAAGACTTACCATACGAGAAAGACTGTTGGGAGAATCTTGTGTACAGATACGAAGAACCGAATGCTTTTACCCGGTGGGACAGTCCTCTGTTCACGGTCGTGTGGGAAGATGACCGTCCGCCTTGTGAAGCGATTTGGGATTCACTTGTGGGATCTGAAAATGGGAAGAAAGTTGTTCGACCGAATCAAGCTACGGTCTTGAAAGCGCCTAGTAGCGAGGATTATCTTTACGAGTTGGATAAGGCTACACAAGGTATTCTGAATAAGATTTTGGAATGGTCGAAGGACCATCCTGGTGAAGGCGGTGGGGAAGTTAATGTTGGAGAAGCCGCGGATGAGTTATTGGTAGAGTTACCCGCGAACCCTATTGGACTGCCAGCGCTTCAGAGGATGAGGAGGCAGTTTATTTCACTCAACAGACGAGATGCTGTACCTGTGAAGAGGATCAAGGAGAGTTTCGCTGGCTATTTGAATGATGCATTTGAAGCGGCATAGAAGGCATACTGGAGCATTACATGGAGTTACGGCATGGAAGATACCCTGGGGTCTAGAAATTGTAGAGAAGCACAAAAGCTTGCTTTATTCACACATACCTCGCTTGTTATCAACTCTCTTCATCTTTACGTTTCCTCAATTCATCCTCGCTTATCCCCGAAATATCTTCACTTCTCACTCCTTAATCCACTTCACAACACCCTCGCCCCATTGCTCTCCTTCCTTATCGCCACTCATTAAGCTCATCGGCGGACTGATATGATTATGTCCGCTTAACTTTTCAACCACCAAGCCTTCCTCCCCAAAGACCGCCTTCCATTTGGCCGCAAAATCCTTCATTGGACCAGCAATCTCATCCTCTGGGTCAAACTCCCCAATGCCCAACCACATCTTCTGCGGAATACCCAACTCTTCCCTCCTCTTCCCACTCTTCCCAACACTCTCAAGCAGTCCACAAGCACACTTCCCCTTAACATCCTTCTCATCACCATAATACGTCTTAAGCACTTCCGCCCTACTCTCCTCCGCCTCCTCAAAATGACACGGGACAGCCAAATCCGCGATCCCTTTCAATACAATCCCCTTCCCGCTTCCAGGAACATACTTCCTCCTCTGCTCCACAAACCCATCATACAACAAAAACGTCGACACATGCACACCCCCGGCCGAATTCCCCAACAGATAAACCTCTCTCCTTCCCTCCTCGAAAAACCCCTCCAACCACTCCAACACCAACCCCACATCCTCCCCACCACTAGGGAACACCGCTCCCTCTCCACCTCCCTCAAAATCAACCCTCCTATAATTCGGCACTACCGTCGTAACACCCCTCTGCGCGAAGAACGACCCTACATTAGCAAAGATCAAGCCGTCCGCGATCTGCGGACTGATCTTGTCGCCGCGGATGAGGCCGCCGCCGTGGAAGAATACCAGGATGGGCGTGGATGGGGTGTCGGTTGGGGAGCGGTAGATGTCGAGTTCATGGCGGGAGTGAGGCCCGTAGGAGTGCGTGGTGGAGGAGATGGCTTTGATGGCTGCTTTGTTTTTGAGGAGGTGGGGGGCAAAAATTTGGAAGGTTGAGGGGAGGATGGCGCCGATGGATTGGCCCGAGGTGGTGTTTAGGGTGCGGATTTTGTCCATGGTGGTGCTGGGTTAATTTTGATATAGGATGACTTTATAATCTCGAGGTACTAAGAGATGATGTTGTTTATTCCATTTGAAGTTGGAGAGAATGCGAGGTGTTGACTATTTGTATTTGAACTCGTCCGAGGTTGGTAAGACGGAAGCTAAAGTAGACATTGAGAACTTTATTAAGAACTTTACGTCTTTTAGCTTCTCAAATATCCGAATCTCCACATCATAAACCCGAGGCCGAAAGCAGAGACGTATCAGCACTAGAGGTTCTACCGTATGAGACTGTTATCATGCCGATGTTCTCATCCGATCCAATAGCTCTGAAGGTGTTGTCCACCAACAGCACCTCTTTTGAACCCGTCCACTTTTCACCCCGCAATCACACCAGTGACGTCCACATGCGAAACTGCCCCTCCAATTACTTTTAGTCAACATACCTCGCTTAATTAAGGGTTAGCGGGGTAGCTTCAATTATGACGATTATTGTGCATTTCACAACTTGGAACATTCGGAGCACATGAGTTTTGAGTGGTCTTGAGTTCATCTTTCTGTTAAATAACTCCAGCAACACTCCAGCAACACCTCGAGAATTTCCTTTCCCCAATCATCATACCGCGCCCCCACCATGCCCAGCACGTGCTGAAAGCTCTGAACTTGAAGCAAATGCCAATGGGAACGACTGATATCCATCCACCTAATAAAAGAAAGGAAAGGGGAAGTACGCCACGCTATGCAATATTATAGACAATCGAATCAAAGGAAAAAGGTATCGTGGCTGTATGCAAACATGACATCCTGCCAAATGCAAAATGATACATCAGATCCAAGAAGTTCCATTTCTTACGGCGTCCTTGGTTTCTTCCAGTAGTATTGCTAAGGTACGTTAATAGATATCCAGAAGCTTCAACGTCAAGCCGATGACATACCTTATGCTGTTTCCGACAATTTCTCAGACTTGGTTTTCTCAATCCATCTACCACTGCTGCTCTTCTCTGCTCGTCGGTATCCTCATCTGGGATATAGTAATACTCGCTTTCGAGCGCCTTTCCTGCTGCATCTTTCCCTTCGCGGTGGATCTCTCCTATGCAGGCTGCCGCATTCAACATTTTACGCAAGTCATCTTTGGAAAGACCCCTGTTCTCAGTATATGTTGTGCTTGCACCTTTCAATTCAGCTGGTAAGTGATTCAAGATGACTGAAAGTGGCGTGGAAGAGAGACGCGAAAACGCAAGCTGGTTCACGACATGATTGACAACAGGAATGGCATCGGCCTCGTTGGTGGACTCGGAGCTGGATCTGGGTTGGGGGGAGGACGAGAAATCACGCCCGCGATGGATTTCTGGGGAGCCAACAGCTGTGAAAGAAGCCATACGCGCAGATATATTTGCACCATGAGGACCAAAAGAATGCACGATAGGATCATTCTCCTCATCAGGATCATCCTCAGGTTCACTGAGATCACTCGACTGACTCTCGACAGCAAAAGAAGTGGCAGGTTGGGTCGAAACGAAAGACTCTCCTTCTACAACCTCGGGACTTTGTGGCGAAGGCGAAGGCGCATCCTCGAATACTTTGACCACACCAGGTTCTACGCCATCAGAGAAGAGGTCGGACAAATTAGTCGATGATGGCCGAGCAGGAGTAGGCGAAACTGGAGACTCGAGGCGTTGTCCACGACGAAGGGGGCTAGAAGCAATCATCTGTCCGCGAGCACTGACAGCAGAAGCTCGACCTCGCGGCGAGTTCTCATCATCCCAAGATGACTCTGTCTGAGCCCCAACCGAGCTATTGCGATCCCTTCCTGGCCAGGCGATCAACACACGGGCATCCTGTACATCCAACATGATCTCTGCAGCCTCGGTCTCTGATGTGAAAGTATCGTCTCTTGCCAATTCCCATGTCCGACCCTGACAATGTAACTTTACTCCATTCCATCCTTTGCACTTAATCTCCACCTTATTCGGTTCGAGTGGAACCGATGCGGCAATGTAGCGAGCCTCAACATGAACGCGAGAAATCAGACGATTTGCTGACAATTGGTAATGCGAAGAATTGCTTGATCTGCCCATGCGCAGGACTTCTCCATTGTCGGGGAGGGTAATCGAGGGTACTGCCAAGAGCGGTGCACGTTCAGAGACGGAAGATTGTGTACGTTTTAGACCTGGTCTCGCATGAACTCGTGGTGGTGAAGAGGAAAGGATACCAGTTGTAGAAGTAGGAATTGGCGTTGGGTATTTTGAGTAAGCATGTTCGCGTCCAGAGGGCGGCGAACGAGCCTGTCTCTTCGAAGGACGCGGGAAGCCTGGCGATGAGGAGAACGGCTCGAACGCGGGCAACAGTGATGGAGCTGGACGCTTCACACCCGCTGTCGAAGGTAGACTTGGCTGTGTGTTTAATTTGCTGGGAGAGGAATCCATCATGACAGACATCTATCACCACTGTCCTGTCCGCGAAAATTGCAGACTTTTCGACGTGCAGCTCCAATACCGCGTTGAACTGACGCGACTGAATCCACTTCTGATATTGGCCCAATTGACGAGAAGGTGAGGGTATTCGAGAGCCAAAATCACGTACAAGTTTTTTCCTGAAAGTGAGGAAAAGAGAGGAGGTGGAGTTTTAAAGGTCAGAAACATGGTCGACCTGTGAGAAGGCTGGGTGATGGGGAAAGCGCGAGGAGGAAGACTAGCGCGACTGGACGCCAAGGCGTCGCGTCCTTCGCGGGCAGAGCTCAAGCACTTTACAGGGCATACAGGACGCGAGATGTTTCTAATTCCAACCAATTTTCTCCACCGAGGATAATTATATGGAGCTGAGATATGCACGCGTCGCTGTTCATGTCTGAGTTTTCTAATTGTGCATACTAGGAGTCCCAGAACAGTGCCTTTTGCTCAGTGTTATTTCCAACAGTCAAGACCCTGGAGCTATATCGACACGCTGGAGTCTTACAACTCGGCCACTAAGTGTTCGGTCAAGTTCAGCTGCAAATATAGGCGTCTAATTCTTTTCTCTGTTACAAACACCACTTATTGTGGAATGCAAGATTTCGACACATCTAATTTCCCTGGCATCCAGCACCCAATTCTAATCTAGAGAATCGAATCGAACCTGTCATCAATGAGCACCACTGTCTCAGGTGCCGGAGACAGTCTCCTTCCCGAGCCTTGACACAAAGTCGTGCTCACATATTCAGCGACCCTAGACTCCCAGCATCCCTAGACTCATCCTCTCAAATCGCTCAACTTCTCTACATAATAAGCGGGTACAACAGGAGCTCCCTCAGCCTCCCACTCCTCCTTCTTACTAACACCCGTCAAAACCGCCAGAGTTCCACCCAACTTCCCCTCGATTCCGAACCTAATATCCGTATCCAGTCTATCTCCTACCATGCACGCCTTCTTACGATTGAACTGAAATTTCCCCTCGATAGAATCCATCATTGCCTGACTGGGCTTTCCCAATGCTGTGGGTTGTTGTCCCGTCATATTGATCAAGGGTATGGAAATCGATCCTGCGCCAGGGAAGAATGTATGGCTGTTCGGTAACGTGCTATCCAGATTTGTAGCTAGGAAGACAGCTCCTCGTGCGAGATAGTGGTATCCAAGGGAAAGCTTCAGGTAATTGACGTGGAAGTCCAGACCAGCAAGAACAATCCCAACATTATCATCCAGCATTGACCCGTCCGCAATGCGCGTGTAGTCTTCTGGTGTAAAGTCCCGTCTGTATGCAGGATCTGTCCCCCCGATAAACTCGATTCCCTCGGACTTTAGTTCCGTCTCGATGCCACTTTCGCCAAGTACGTAGACTTTGTTTTTGGGGCCGGGGAGTTTGAGGATGCGAGAGATATAGATGGCAGAGGAGTAGGCGGATGCAAATATTTCTTCTACATTACTTGGTATTCCCATTGATGTGAGCTTCTTCTGGTAGTCTGCGCGAGATTTCGTAGAATTATTGGTGACGAAGACGACTTTCTTGCCTGCGGAGAGTCAACGAGATTCGGCATGGAGGGGTAGTGGGGTAATCAAACCTCTAGATCTCAACATCTCTAATGTCTCGACTGTTCCTGGAAAAAGGTGCTCGCCCGACCATAGTACTCCTGTTGACGGTCAGTGGAATCCTCACTCTCCGTGAGGGTAGAACGACCGTCGCAATCGAGTAAGAAGATCTGGACTGCAGGTCAGTGTGTGTTTGCTGGAATTGGACTATCGGAATGCTCAACTCACATCAAACTTATCAATGAATTCATTGATGGCAGCTGAGTCTCTGGAGAGACACTTCGAGGTGGAAGCCATTGTAACAACGTGTCGGAATTTGACTTGGATTTCTGTATATCAAATACAGTCTCCGTGGTTGACCAGGAAGGAGGCAACTCAAACCCTCAAGATTTTGGCGGGGCAATCCCACCATCACCTGGCATGCCACCAGGGCCCGACCCTGAGCCGTCCCAGCCTCGGGATTCATGCCGCTGACAAGAATGTTAACCAGTACTACAATATCTGTTGAGATTTGAACCCATGTTCGGAAGATTTCAATTCTCGTAAATAGGAATAATTGAATCGCAAGTCTGGTGAGACACAGAACCTTTAAGTGGCAAACTCAATGTTGACGCCAGAAGTAGGCAATCCATCAAATTGCTTGTGGAGTGCTTCGTCAGCGATGTGTAGATGGACAACCTGGATCGGGGAACACTATGGACAGAAGTAACTGTCTATGCCAATCTCGAGTGGAGCATTTCAAAGTAATCTCAGGATTTCCATGTATCTGTTTTCATCTATTCGGCAAGTAAGTTTGGTCTAGCCTGGGAAAATCTGGCCCCATTTCATCAGTTACATATGGAAGTAAATATTATATCACATCGATACAACATCGATATGCATTTTCTAATTATCAAACACCACCTGTTCCGCCACAACGATCACTACCCAACGTCCGTATCTAAGCCTCGGGCGAACCGCAATGGAGCTAAATCTCAACCCTCAGATTATGTCTTTTAATCTCCAATGGAGTAAGGAACCGAGCTCTTATTAACCAACTTTCCCTTCTTTCTGAGAGTCTCCGACAGACCTGCCATGTTCACCTCATGGAAGCCAGTGAAGTCTGTTTACTTCCTGTCAGCACTTCAAAGACATTCGTTGGGGAGACCAGACTTACCAAAAGGATTGCCAGAAACACAGCGGTAAACTCCCCATTTCATCCAGCTGACATGATCAGCAACCTGCTGGACGTGCATTGTTACCCAGTAGCCACCGAAGACTCCGCCACCTTGGGCAGCGGGGACGGTGAGAGGAACTTGGATCATGATCAGTGTCATGCGATTTTGCTTTGCATGGAGACTTACCGGTGGACAAATTGAACTGCTGTTCGAAACCTCCATCTCTTGTCTCATAATAGACATTGAGCTATATTTGTCAGTCCGTCTGTGAAGTATTACTTAGGAAAGACTCATACCGGCTCAGTGAGTTGGTAAGTACTATTGTTGTATGTAACGTTCAGTGTTCTGATGCTTCCAACTGTTTTCGGATTGCCCTGTTTCTTCACGAGGGTAAGGCCAAGATAGTCAGTGGTGTAGACTGTATGATATGTCAGCCAAACCAAGCTACCCATTACAACACAAATCTTGTATTTTGATACGTACAGTTGGCTGCGATGTCGTACAGGTCTTTTGCAGCAGCTCCGATGTATCCAAAGGTAGTAGAATTGCCAAATGTGGTTCCGGCAGGACATTTACAAGGAGCGGTCGAGTAATTGTCGCATGACTTTCGTGATGCGCGATCCTCCACTGGAGAGGCATATACGGTTGAAATTGTAGCCAAAATGGCGAGCTGGATTTTGAGTGTGATGAGCATGGCGATGAAGCCTATTTCGTTGAAGTTCTCTGAAGAGTGTGAGAAGAAATTGAGATTCCTGTGGTCGATGAGAATGATCTACAGAGATACGAAGCTACTCTTGTATATCATGCATCTCAGCTCCAATATTCGTCATTTGGTAATCAGTATACTGCTTTCTATTTTTAATATCTGGTACTTTGCATACTTGAGCTGAAGTGGAACTTCTTTCTCGGCACGTATGTACCATTCACTAGAACTCGTATCTGGGATATGAGTCTTACCAGTGTAACGCAGCTCCGTAGTACAGCATTCTATGAGTTCTAGTTACCAGATACCTGAGCCTAGATTTAAATCCAGAAGTCTGGCTTTGTGGATACTTTGGTGGAAGGTGGATTTTCATTCATGACTCGGTACCCAATTCCGGATCAAGAACTGCTGGTGTGGGTTGCTTGAGCGTTAAAGTAAACATAATGCACAGCTTTGTGAAGAAAAACGGTGAGAAATACACAGTACCTGTGTAACACGCATTGTGGAATAGTGGACGCTAGCCTTGCAATAGGAACGTCGTGGCTCCTGTGCTCGTGTATCCACAACTGTAGCACAACATCATCCACTATGTTCTATGTCCAAAGAGCTTGCACATTAGATGCGGGATGAAATTACAAAGAGTTCCTGGGATATCGAGTCGGCTTTCCATTCGGCATTTAACTGACAGAGGATGGACCAGCCACTTAAGCGAAGCACAGAAAGAAAGTAAACATACCCACGTGATCAGGGATAAATCATATTTGCCGGTTCAAGTAACCTATGAAGCATGGTGTAGGCTGGGCTCAAACGATCGGTATTTACGCAAGCATGCTTCTCCCTTTCGAATATTACTGAGATATCATCACAAAGATCCCCGCTGCCAGTTATCACGGCAACTGCGACAGGTAAGCATATGCCTTGCAGGGTACAACTGCTTATCATGTCAACAAGTCGCCTCTATATGAGGACAATATCTGTTTTTAACGCTAGGTTATGACATGAATGTTGATTAAATCTGACTTTATAGAATATACATTCCTTCCTCGACCCGTCCAAACTGGCTCACGATACCCTCACGTCTCCTTCGCCCATTGCTTCCCACTCCAGAGTCCACCCGTCTTCCATAGCCAATAATCCCTCCCCTTGATCAACCACACTAAGAAGCTAGGTAAGCGGTACCCCATCGCTGCCCCAACACCTTTGCTCTTCCCAATAGGCACCATCTGAGTCTCTCGAGTATCCTCCCTCAACATCCGATCCTCTCCAACTAAGCCATTTTTAACTGCTGAGTCAAGGAGCAGATCTCTTTTGATATTACCGCAGAGAACGGGAATGGCATCGAGGATGAGATGGATTGCTGGCCGAGCTGCCGAAGACACGTCGCCGATCGAATAAACGCGGGGTCCTGCTTTGTCGACTCGTAATGTCGATTGGTTGGTATCGACACGTCCATCCGAAGCGAGCAGTGAAGCATTGATGAAGTCAGTGTTGGGTTTTGTGCCAGTAGCAGGGATGTATAGATCGGCCTCTACTCTGTTCCCATCGTCGAGTGAGATTATTGCCTTGCTGGTGGCATGAACATCTCCTCCACCAATGGCATCGACGGACTTGACCCTAGTGGTCTTGACAACAGTGACACCAACTTTAGAGAGAAGATCTTCCGCGTTCTTTGCAATGGATGGTCTCAAAACAGGCAAGATCTGAGAGCCAGCAGTATAGACTGTAATTGAGACTTTGGGATGTGTCGATATTCCACCGAACCAGCCAGGTTGGCCATTCAAATATTCGCCTAACTATGGTTCAGCAAACAGAAGTCAGCGCGTTCATTTCTGGTTACATGAGATAGGATCATGAAAACGTGACAAATGTCGTAGATAAAAAGGGGGGAAATGGTCTGAGAAGCTACACTTACCTCACCAGCTACTTCAATCCCAGCAGGACCTCCTCCTGATATGACGATAGTCTTCGCCTTCGGTAGGACTTGCCGAAAGGCTTCCCATTCTGCTTTCAATTCACTTGCATCGCCATTCAAACCAAGCAACGGCGAGGCTGTCGATGCACCGGTTGCGATCACCAGAGCATAATACTCAATTGTCTCAACGTCACCAGATGCCAGATTCACACTCACTACCCGACTTTCATGATCCAACCTCTTTGCTGATCCATGAATGAAAGTAAAGCTCTCCTTGGGATATTGTTCGAACTGTTTGTCGATGCTGACAAAAAGCTTGGCTTGGTCGAACATGTCATCGGAGATCATTGCGCGAGGACAAGCTGGCCGACACATGACTTGCGATGATCTGCTGATCAGGACGATTTCGTAGCCATCTCCGGGAAGATGAGGGATTGCATGTTTCAGAAGGTAATGGGCTGTGGAGATTCCTCCATAAGAACCGCCGAGAATGACAATTTTCTTGCTCGCTGCCATTTCAACAAATATTGGCTAGGGAAAAAGGAGTAGAGACAGCGGACAGTGGCGAATGATGGCAATATATGATTCGAATTTGGGTGGTAAATGGTTTATCTTATTCTGTTGTCACCCCAACATCTCGGTCCTTTCGCTCTTGGAGCTTCGGGAATCTCGCTCTTCGGCGTTCAGTCTAGATCGTTTGGCCTCTGCTGTGCCACAGCCTCAAGCCATTCATGAGTCCAGCAAAGGATCAAGCGCAGGACGGTAGCAGTATTCCAATAAACATTAAATACGAGGTCTTTTCCCTAGCGGCCCTCCGCAAGCTCCGGGGCCTTCGGACCTCGCTTCGCCACGGTCTAGTTAATCAAGTCGAATTATCGCTCGCAGACTCGCGCTAATCCGATATGACTAATTAGGATCTTACACGTGATAGTATTTTTTAAAATCGGATCTATAAAACGTATAATATAAGATAGAAGATAATGCGCAGCAGCTACAGAAATATATAGTTTGGAACTAGTATCCGATAGAAGCTTGTTTAGAGGGTCTATGGCGGGCGATCTGCGCTAGTTGTGCTAGTTGTGGGGGTGAATTCTGAGCGACAGAAGTTTATTTTGTCAACCGCAAAGTATTGAGCCGAACACCATCTTTCAGATTCGCTTCGAAGCTATTTTCATCTAAATCTCAAGAATAAAGGAAGGCTTGCCATCCAGCATTGGGAGGACATCAAGAAATATTCAATAGCCCTTCTACAATTCACCGATTAGTGTACCTGACCAAATTCAAAATGCCACCATCACGCCTCCCCACCAAAGCCGATTTCCCTCAAAACCTCACCCTAGACATCATTCCACCACCATCCGGATCACCTATCAATATCCTTATACTCCTCCACGGCCTGGGAGACACACAAGCCTCTTTCAGTTCCCTTGGCAAAAATCTCAACCTACCAGAAACAGCCTGTATATCCATCCGCGGTCTGAATCCCATCCCGCCAATATTCACAGGCTCAGACACGCCAGCTTTTCACTGGGGAGATGATGTTCTAGTTGATGAAAGCAAGGGAGAGACTGATCCTGATGCCGGGTTCAAGATGGTGGAGAGCGTGCTTGGTGGGATTGTATTGAAGGCTTTGAGAGAGAAGTGTGGAATTCAGTCAAGAAATATTCTATTTCTAGGATTTGGACAAGGCGGTATGGCGGCTTTGCATCTTGCTTCTTTGGAGAAGGAGGAGCTGGGTGGAGTAATTAGTATCGGAGGACGATTACCTGGCTCGTCTGCTTTATCTACAGCATCGGCCAAATGCAAGACCCCAATTGTTCTATGCGGAGGAAGTAGAAGTTCTCAAGTCACGAGGAGCGCAGTTGATGCGATTAAGGCGAGGTTCACGGATGTGGAGTACGTGAAGTGGGAGAAGCCGGATGATTCGATGCCCAGGAATAGGGAGGAGATGTTACCGCTGATGAGATTTCTGGCAAGGAGGTTGAGAAGTAGAGCTGGAGTACCAGAGGGTGCTGTTGAGGTGTGAAAGCCAGGAGTTGGGCACTGCTGCATTGGATCGGAGTTGGATTTACAGGGGTTTGTATTGGTATAGGAGTGCAGATGCATTGGTTATGGAGTATTATAAGTGTTACTCATTTACTCATTATACTAGATTGTGGCGGTAATTTCCATGGATTGGCCGCAAACCACAAGGAATCTTCCAAGATTCAAGTTGCGACTTGATATCGCGACTTGATTCCTGCATGCAACCGTCCTTCCACTCTGAGCGTGTGAGGGTGTAAAATATGCCACCTGGACATATTTGCTCGAGAATTCGCCGCTGTCTACAAAGACTGGTCCCCTGGCACTGGGAGATTTGGCAGAAAGCTGGATCTCGGCCTGTACCTCGGATTGGCTGGATATCCTGGACGATTCGAGGACAGAATTAGTCAAAGAAGAGGATATGACCGTTGTACATTCACAATGTACCTCAATCAGCCTTAACTTCTACATCAGCATGCACGTCAGGTGCTGTACTCTCTGCGTCAGGATTTGGCTCCTTCTTTCCAGAAATGTCCAACCCGTCCAATTCGGAGACAGGCACCGCAGGCTCACTGCCACTTGGGCTGTCAAGATTCAGACGCGCATTGTCCCATCGAATCTCTCTTTGCAATTGCTGGACAGCCTTGATGTGCTTTTTACTCTTCTCATGGGATTTGTACTGATTCTCGCTTTTGAAAATCTTCTGACAGACGACACATTCAATCTGTTCTATCTCTGACTCTTCAGACTCTGACAGAGCTTCGGGTTCTGGCTGTCGAGACTGGGCCCAATCTTGGACTACGTGTTGGTTCAATTTCGCTTGGTTGGCAGCCCGAGACCGAGCAGCTTGGGCTGCGGCGGCTTCTCGCAAAATCTTTTGTCGGTCTGCTTCCGTTTGCGAATTTGGAATAAATCTTGGATCTCGCTTCCTGGCAAAGACGACAAGTGATCTGACGGCGTCGTTGAATTCTCGAATTCCCTCATCCCTCAGCCTCTTGTTTTCCTTATCGATCAGGCGTCTAGTCGCTCGGTCTGGAGCATCTGATGCTCGGTATGCGTCTCTCCAGGAAAATGTCTTCTTGGTCGAGAAATTCATCCAAGCCCTGTAGAACGGCTTGACAACATCGTCGTACTCGTCTGCCATGCTTCCAAACTCGGGATAATCCACGGGTTCAAGTCCTTCCCAGTCACAAGCTGCATCTTCCTCTCTGGCGAGTTTGACAAATGTATCCTGGAGTACTCCATAGAAACCATTCGGGGAGTCTGTAAACGGAATACTCTTATTGAATCTGCCCATCAAGCCCATAATGTCCCCAGCACTGGTCAGTCGTACATTGTGTTGGAAGTGATCTTCTGCAGGATCATTACTCCCTCCTCTCAGAATCGAGTCACGGTGTGCGTCGTACCAGGCTCGTTCTTGGGGATCCGATAATACTTCATGGGCAGACTGGACTTCTGCGAACTTGGCCGTCGCATTATCCACATCGCCAAAGTTTCTGTCGGGGTGGAGTTCGAGGGCTTTTCTTCTGTATGCTTTCTTGATTCTGTATGACTTTAGTACCTGTACTTCAAAAGGAGAGGAAAAATATCCTACTCGTCCTCACTCGCATGGCGATCAACCCCGAGCACTTCATAGTAACATCTTTTGGCTGGCTCGTTATTCTGAGCTCCTGCTCCTGCACCAGAAGACTGTTGCGCACCCATGGTGGCTGTTGACGATCAAAATAATGCTTTAAAATTGACCCAGTCCTGCCCTGCTATGCTGCTTATAAAAACAAAATGGAATGGAGGGGTGAAGTTCTGCAGCCTTGTGGTGGCATTTCAATTTAGTGGGCTGGCCATTCTACTGGTTATCCAATCATGACGACTCTTGATAACGATAAGACATGGATCGACTCATTCTCACTCATTTCACTTTCCTTTCTCCTTCTGCCTCAGGTACAACCCCGGAGTCTCGGGAAGCCTAACCCCGACTCAGCCTCCTTTCCATCATCATCAAACAGTCTCAATTCCAGGATTGTACTCCAGTCCTCCCAGGTTCCGCCTCTTCAATATCCACCATGCACTTCTCATGATGGCTACATTGGCACCACCAAGTTCTTCAAGATCTCCGAACAGAATGCCTCGAAAGTGGGCTCGCAAATGCGAACGATATGTCTGCTTAGGAGCCACTTATTTCCCCCTACTATTCGTCTACTCTCTTACAACTTGGGCCGTATGGGTGGAGGCCACAATTGGATTTCTGCAAGCAAAAACGACATGGACGGGTATGAATTATTGTCTGGTGTAGATTCTGTACTAACGGTTTAGGAACCGGCACATCCGTCCTAGGTATCGCTTTGTACATCCTATTGAACTGGTCCTACACGACTGCAGTCTTTACGAGCCCAGGAACAACAACTAGCAGTAATGGATATAGCACACTACCAACAAACGCGCCGCCGGCTGCTACCAATTTCACAGTCAAATCAAATGGGGAAATGAGATTCTGCAAGAAGTGTCAGGCGCGAAAGCCGGATCGAGCACATCACTGCTCGACATGCAAAACATGTGTCCTGAAAATGGACCATCACTGCCCATGGCTAGCGACCTGTGTTGGGCTACGAAATTATAAAGCCTTTCTTCTATTCCTGATCTACACGACACTCTTCTGCTTTGTCGACTTCGCAGTGTCAGGTTATTGGGTCTACAGAGAGATCCTGACCGAAGGGGAATACACGGATGCGCTGATGCCGATCAACTATGTGATGCTAGCTGTGATCTCTGGAATAATAGGGTTGGTGCTCGCTGGATTCACAGGGTGGCATATCATTCTCGCTTCTAGAGGTCAGACTACCATTGAATGTTTGGAGACAACGAGATATCTATCTCCTCTAAGAAAGCAGCACCAACATCTTTCTCAGTCGAGCTACGAGCAGCAGCAGCGAGACATGAATGGGGAACCTGGCCAGCATGGGCAGCGGCACGAATCCTACGATGCGCTGGAGAGATTTAGAGCGAGGGAGAGATACGAAGCATATCTCGATGAGCAAGACTCTGAAAAGCTACCAAGCGCTTTCGACTTGGGACGGAAGCGAAACCTGCAGCATCTCTTTGGACCAAGCAAGTTGTTGTGGTTCTTCCCGATTTGCAACACGACTGGCGATGGATGGAGTTGGGACGCCAGTCCCAAATGGTTGGAAGCGAGAGAGAAGATCGCTCGGGAGAGGGAGGAGCAACGACAACGAGAACACGCTGCTGGCTGGGGAGCGGACCCAACCCCACAAATACCGCCTGTCCGTGATGGTGCGGGTAGACATTATGTCTCATATCCTAATCGGACACAATCTAAAGCGGATAGACTGCTGGGGAGAAATCCAGATGATTATAGCGACGATTCGGTTCCTATGAACAACCTACGATCGAGGGACCCAGAAGACCAGTATGATATTAGTAGTGATGAAGACGAGGCTGATAGGAGGGCTTTGGACCGTAAAGCTACACACGGTTGGCCTCAGAGAGTTGGTGTTGTCACGAATACATTGTTAGGGAACACGCTTGCCAGGCAGAAGGATGATGTCCGGGGCTGGGATGGCATTGACGATGGTGGCGTTGATTGAGAGTATATTATGGCTGTATTTGGGATCATTGGTTGGCGTTACCTAGGCAGGTCGATGTATCATACCCCATTTATGATTTGCATGTACCCTTAGCATCTACATATTACCTTCAATATTTGTATTATTTAAGGTTCAAAGTGACATAGGATCCTACGAGATGACGATGATTTGTTCTGTTCATGTATCGTAAACCCTGGGAATTGGGATTGTCGGAGAGGGTTTCCTTCCTGGTCATTACTTCTATTTTTTAATATAAATGTTCCGCATACTCTGAATGGGGGTTTGTCTCATACAAACTCTTGTTGATAGGAGAGCGTCAAGCCATACAGGCCTGACTGGAGCTGTAGTGATATGATTTGGCTCCTGGAGACCATCCCAGGATTCTTCCTCCATAGTAAACTGGCAGATGAGCTATTCTCTCCATGATGTCCGAAATAGTAATCACATGGCTTGGCACCTTAACAGTATAATTGTGAGCCACTTGCAAAAGCACAGATTTCTCCAGAGAGCAAAACAGACCAGGCAAATGCCATATCTTGTCCCCATATGATACTAAATTGTAGACTCTGGCAAGCAAGAAATACTCAGTCATTGCACCTCAAGAGGTCCACGCCATTCAAGATGACCAAATTCAGTCTCTCAACATGTAAAAGTCCACTGATTCTGTAACAACCTCTACGTACGGCACGCAAAACATTTTTGCCTGCCTATCGACTCTCTTGGTCCTCCTCCTCGTAAGCGACATATCATTCCCGTCCTCACAGTCCTCGCTTACATGTCGGAACATGCGTGATTCCGGATCATTGCTCCGCATCTTTGTAGTCCCGAGCTTCTTCAAGATCCGTGGGTGTGACAACGACTACATGGTACAGTTTTCCCAGCCCAGTAGACGACAAACGATTCCCATCTCGTGAAATTGGATATAGTGGTTTAGTTGTTATATGTAAAGTAATGATACTTTACTGACGTCCTGTGCTCAGACCCGACATTGCTGCTGTGGCCAATCTTTTCGTCGTGACCATGGAAACAGACCAGAAGAAGATGTGGTCGGCCCGACGCATGGTAAATAAGGCAAATGAGGAAACCATCATGGGGCTTGTGTTTTGCCTTGGCATCATGACACATGGACGGACATGACGAAAGTATTGAGAGTCATGGAGATGATCTCGAGTCCGCTGCGAAGTAGTGGCATCGTCTCTTAATCACCCTGCCCATATCATAAAGTCTCATCATCGTCTACATCCTCCCTGAGTTCACCATAGAGGACTTCACATACTCCTCCCAATGGAACATCCATCACAGCATCTGTACCCTGACTCCACAGTGCCCTCCAATCCTTGATTGTCCTCTCTTTCTCAGGTCGCTCTCTCCTATCCCGTCCCCTGTCTTTCTCCTTCACAATATTACTCGCTGCTTGTCTCCCTTTTCCATCAATTGTCGCCACATTCGCTGCATCATCGATGATCGTCTCAATGCTACTAAGAGGTAGAGTAAGATATCCTGTATTGTAGCTTGCCAGCGCCACGTAAATGTAGACAATCAGCATGACCAGGAACGACGGTATGGCCAACGACCACCACCGATCCGGATAATACGTTATGCCTAGCGCACGGAGGAAAGGCGAGGGCAGGTAGGACCAGAGGAGGTACATGAGGAAGGTCAGGGATGAGAACAGGTACAGCACGAAGCCATAATATTCATATGTTGGAACCTTCGGTGAGGCACGGGGTACAGGTTCTAATTCATCGGCAGAGGTATCGGGAGTGGTGGGGCGAGATGGTCGAAGGAGGGAGGTGAGGGAAGGAGAGGGTGGGAGAGGTGTTGGTGGGCGACCGTAAAACGGTGGCGCGAAGAAGTTGTGTTGGAGAGCTGGTGGTGAGGGCGATGAGCTTGACGACGAATCGCCTCGGTAGTGTGATTGAAAGATTGCATCATCTTCGTCTGAGGATGAAGAAGGCATTGTGTTCTTCTGGAATAGGTGCGTTGTGGTTTAGGAAAGATGCAAATTGATGTCGCGAGAACCAAAGCTTCAACCTGGAGCTACGTAATCACGAACCCACGTGAGCTAGGCCAAGGCAATGTTGACATGGGTTGTGACAGGACTGGCTTCGGGCTTGGAAAGGGTTCTTCCGCCACACTAAAGTTACTGAGAAACAGGAGCTACCAGATACGACGTATCCGTTACTTACTTAGGTGTAGTTTCGTGCGGAGGTACAAGGAAGGTCCTCCATGTGAAGCAAGTAATGGCGATTTAGTTAAGCCTTGATCTGAGACCTCGGTCGTGGTGGAGATTAGAACCCATGGACCATGATTCCAGTGCGAAGGACGCGACACTTTCTTGACCCACGAACCTGCTCGTCGGTATTTCATCAAATAGGTAAGCTTTTGATTCGACATCCATCTGCGAATGAAGTCGTTTACCAACCCGGAATGCAACATGTGGATGCGATTGGATTGGATTGGTCGACCGGCGGGGAGCAAGTCCATGAGCCGTGCCGGATAAGGGAACAGACAAAAATGGGTGGAGAACCTTAGGGTGGAGAACCTTAGGGTGGAGAACCTTAGGGTGGAGACAGGCGGGAGCTAGTAAAAGGGGGGAGTAAGGGGAGGAGACGTCTAGAAGCAAGGCCGCGAATCAGGAAGCGGCGTTCCCTTTCTAGTCCTGTTGACGTGACAGGAACAGGTTCTGGGTCGCTCGACGTGCAGCAGCGGGCTAGATGGGGGCAGGACCCCGATATTACTTTTAGTCTTAAGTTAGTATTATTGATCCAAAATATTCCTTCCTTCCCTGGCTTCCCTTCCCTTCCCTTCCCTCGGTATAGACCAATCCATTTCGAGCCAGGTCCTCGACGGCCTTTTCCTCTTTATATCTGGTCCACCCTGTCCTTTGTCCTCCACGTATTTCTCCCTCGCGCATCCATCTCTCCCTCGTAAACAAACCCGCAATAGGACATCTCCTGTCTATTTGAACGTTACTGCAGCACACCACTTCGGCCTGGAAACCATCGACGAATCACGCCCCTCCCCTCACCTTGATCCGTTGCGTTTCCCCTGGATCGCACACCAATCGGCTCAGCTCCCACCTCATCCAAAAGCCAAAGCCCAACCCCCCTATCTGCCCTGCAGATCTCTCAAAACCTCCGAAGAACATCGTCACAGCCTGCCATCCAGGCTCAAAGTACTGTGATACTCGAGCTCGCGCAACACACCGGCATAGATCCGAGAGAGAACTGGTGGAGCGCGACGCCTGAGCAGAGCTTCGACCAGGCCAATCCGTTATCAATTGCGCACGGCATCACGATAAGCCAGTCCCTTGACTCCTCGTGTTGATCGTTCGGAGGCGCCCGCATTCAACCCCTCACTGACCAGACTGACCTACCACTCCCACTCTACGCCCACCTTCCCTTTCCATCATGGGAATCTTCTCCCGCAAACAAAAGCCAATGTCTGGTTCTACGACTTCTGGAAACTCTCTTGAGAACGCTTCGACATCTTCACAATCCTCTCTCAAATCGCCAAATACACCAGTCTTTACCAAGATGGGCCCGAATATACCCAAGATCCCCATGCCCAAGGCCCCAGATCCACATGTCGATGCGGCGGGGTACCTGCGAAGTATTGGCGCAGTGAGGGAACGCTGCTCAATAGTATTGCGAAAGGCAAAAAGGAACCAATTGAATCACTTCGATGTTGATATGGAAAAGTTCCAGGACACGACCAACTTCGTTGTCTCTGTTATCAAGGTATGTTTGCCCCATACCGACACATTTTAAAACTCTCAATTGTGAAAATGCTGATTGATGCAGCGCGACTTTGCTCCAGATTATGCAAGTATTCCTCCTCACGGACGATGGCAGCACTTTAATGTTGGCGGACGAGACCGAATCGCGGCAATGTTAGAGAGCTGGGGGAGCGAGACAGATCCTTCCGAACGTTGTCGCAGACTCTTGGACCTCTTCCTTGTTTCTGTTCTCCTAGATGCCGGTGCAGGAAACAGTTGGTCGTACAAGAGCAGAGAGGATGGGAAAACATATAGACGCAGTGAGGGTTTGGCAATCGCAAGCTTAGAAATGTTCAAAGCCGGAAAGTTTAGCAGCAACCAGAGCCAGCCACATCAAGTTGACGGAGAGGGTTTGAGGACGTTGACCGTCGAGGTTATGGCAGAGGGATTACAAGTATCAGAACAGAACCCAATTGCCGGATTGGAGGGACGGACAGGACTATTGATGAGACTTGCAAATGCATTAAACAACCAGGCACTCTTTGGTGCAGATGCGAGACCAGGAAATATGCTCGGTATGTGTTTCCCCATCCTGCAAACTACCACTTACTAACATGTAAGACTACCTCATTTCTCATCCCTCAACTCAAGCTTCCTCCATTCCTATCGTTCCTCTCCCAACGCTTTGGTCGGTTCTCATTGACGGACTGGCACCAATTTGGCCTCCATCTCGTACAACACTCGACAACACCTCCCTGGGCGATGCCTGGCCACTCTCCACTCTCCCAGTAACACCAGCCACTGCCCCTTGGGAGACAATAGTCCCCTTCCACAAACTCACACAATGGCTTTGCTACTCGCTTATGCAACCTATGACCAAACTCATCCACATCCATTTCGCAGGTGCGGAACTCATGACTGGCCTGCCTGAGTACCGGAATGGCGGCCTTTTTATCGATACGGGATTACTTACGTTGAAGCCAGACGATGAGAAGAGAGGGTTGGCCACTTTTAAGGAAGAGGGTGCTAAGAGTGGTAAGGGAAGCATAGAAGTAGTGCCCATGTTCACTCCAGATGATGATGTGGTCGTTGAGTGGCGAGCAGTGACTGTTGGCTTCTTGGATTTGTTACTCGAGGAAGTGAATAAGAAGCTAGATCTGGAGGGCCCTGATAGATTGACGCTACCGCAGATGCTAGAGGCTGGTAGTTGGAAAGTATGTTCTATGTTTTCTCCGCTTCGTCGATGCTGGCTAACTCTGAAAGGGAGGACGAGAAATGGCGGAGATATCACGCCCAAATACCCAGTGCCCGCCGATTGCTATCTTAAGCGATGGAACGGTGTTTTGAGCACAATGCAGCACTTTCGCTTTGCCACAAATTCCTGGCAAGATTCAAAAATATATTGTCAGAGAATGAGCATTTTGCACTTATTGCATGGCAAAACCAGCAATTTTACACACTTGCGTCCATTGAAGGAAGGGATGGAGTGAGCTTTTACGTTTCTACGAAGTTGCAATGGGCATCTGCTAGGTCATGACATGAAAGTGAAGCAAGAATATTTGCCTAGCTCTACCAGATATACTTTTAATACAGGCGAGACTTTCTCCAAGATGAAAATCCTGGCATAGGACTGTTTTAATCTGACATTGTGAAACATCTTATACAATGTGGTATATTTGTTTCGTGCATTTCAACTTGGCTCACCAGTCCAGATATGATTTCAGAAGACCAGGGTCGAGGAGAACCACCCCTTACTCAGGTTCAAAGACAACAATCCACAATTAGCCGAAACATGGTCACGTGTCGCTATGACTAACTCAAAAGGCAAAATTTCAACTAGTACCCACGGAATAACATCAAGCGGACTGTGAGTCAATGGCAAGTAAGATTCGAGTCGGCCTCTGCATACGAGCACGCGGATTGACCGTTGCAAACAGTTCAAGACTATTGACTCGCCAATTGCGGCCAGCCGAAGCACAACGAATCATCTTACATCCCCAAAACATTTGCGCACGACACCTCGCCTCATCTGCAAGCAGATCCAAGAAACCCCGCGCTATCAAAATGGTCAGCGCTGATGAATTCATCTTGACTCTGTCATGTCCGGATAGGCCAGGTATTGTCCATGCGGTCACTGGATTTCTGGCTCAGCACAATCTGAATATCGTCGATTCGCAACAGTTCGGAGACCCAACATCAAAGACTTTCTTCATGCGTGTCCACTTTGCTCAAGTTGATACCGCGGAAGGAAATGGCAAGATCAACGTGGACCAGCTTAGAAAGTCGTTTGAAGAAACGGCCAAGCCAATGTCCATGAACTTCGACCTCTCATCGACAGCTCAAAAACCACGTGTGTTGATCATGGTCTCAAAGATCGGGCACTGTCTGAACGATATCCTCTTCCGACAATCGATCTCGCAACTCGGGATCGAGGTTCCTCTCATCATATCCAACCACCCAGACTTTGCTCCTCTAGCAGCCTCTTACAAGATTCCATTCCATCATCTCCCCATCACGGCTGAAACCAAGGCCGAGCAGGAAAGCAAGATCCTCGAGCTGGTCAAGGAACACAACATCGACCTGATCGTGTTGGCGCGGTACATGCAGGTGCTCTCTCCAGCACTCTGTAGCGCCATGTCCGGGAAGATCATCAACATCCACCACAGCTTCTTGCCGTCGTTCAAAGGCGCTAAGCCATATCACCAGGCGTACGATCGTGGCGTCAAGATTATTGGTGCTACTGCCCATTTTGTCACCAGTGATTTGGACGAGGGTCCGATTATTGAGCAGGATGTTGTAAGGGTTGACCATGGGTTGAGTCCGAAGGGTTTGACGACTGAGGGGAGCAATGTTGAGAGCAAGGTACTGGCGAATGCTGTCAAGTGGGTCACAGAGAAGCGGGTGCTGCTCAATGGGTCCAAGACTGTGGTATTCAACTGATGTGCTTCTGCCATTTAGTAGTTTTGTCACGGTACTGACTGGGCTTATCCTCGTGCTCAAATGAAGAAAGAATAACTCAAAAAACAGCAGATGCGATATCGCTCGATCCGTGGGGATATGACTCGCCTCAATGGCAGTTTGACCAAAATGATTGTACAGTTTCATATACCTTTAGTAGTCTTCTCCGGTCATGCCTCATTATGCAGCCTGTTGAAGATGGCAGGTTGAAGTTTCACTGCGTATCCAGGGGTAAGTGATCAGTTAGACTGTGGAGTTGGTTCAACCGATGTTCACAATGCAAACCCTTTATACAGATAAAGGAAAACCCTCACTTGAAGTATCTGGGTCAAGCCCACAGTAATGAAGCGAGCTATCTGTAATTTCAAGTGTCAACTGGCTATGCACATGCTGAAGAACTGGAAAACTGTCCATACACCAACAAGTGCATCCGTTTTGTATTTTGCACATATTTGGATGTATAAGAGAGTATTTTATAGGTGTTTTCCCGTCGTTCAACACCCAAGATCCGCACCCATGCAAGTCAATGCAGGTGTCAGCTCGGAAGTACTTCGGATCCTACCCGAACCCTCGGCTTCTTAGCGCTTGGCTACGTGGGTGGGAGGTGCCCGCGTGCAACATTCGCTCACCGGATCACCAGGAATAACAACATCCTACAAACCCGACATTTCCGATCTTCTTATGCCAACGACAGTACCAGAAATACAGCCTTCTTTTGAGCACAAATATGTCTCTGTTACAACCTGTTTAAAAACCACGAATGATCATACACCGCTTCGCCACTTCCACTCATAGATAGAGCGATCAAGTCAACATCCCACCTCGCTCCAAAATGCTCCTCCTTCACCAAACCGGCAGCGTCAAAATCGGCGAAGTTGTACGGTACACAGTAACCTATACGCCAGCCCACGACCGAATCCTGCCTTCTCCTCAATATCTACACCTCAAGATAAAGAATACTTCTGCCATCGCACTGCGTGCCGCCTTCGTTCATGGGCCATACACACTCTACACCGCCGCGTACCCGGCGACTTTCCATCCAAATGCGAAATTCGAAAACCCAAGGACATATGGCGTACCAGAGTTCGAACCGAACTTGAAGGCAGGGGGAAACTTTTCGTGCAAACTGACTGTGCCAGAGAGCGTCCGAGAAAGCGCTGGCAAAGGAAGGAGTCCTGTGAGAGGTGGTGATGGGGAAGGGAGACATGGCGAGGATAGGGAGGAAGAGAAAAGCGTGAGCTGGATCATCGAGGTGTCTAGCCAGGTCATTTTCTCGAATTCCGCAGCAGTTCACTACGAGATATTGCTTGGGCGTGATGAGAAGAGTCTATCTCTTGGCTTTGCGAGCTCGTTGACGGCGAGTGGGAATGGAGCACAAAGTCAACCGGGCCAGGTGAGTGATCACCAGCATGGACCAGGGGGTGGAAGGGGTGTAAGGGACGGGCACGGACATGGGCATCATGGTGGATTGGCCAAGGGTGTGTTCAGTAAGTCTATAAGAGTGAAGGTGGACGATACGGCAAGTCTGTGGAATACTCCAAGGATGCCAGAGTGGAACAATGTAGAAGATGATGTTGCGGGAAATGAAAGTGGTGCAGGCAAGGAGGGGACGACTAAACCTGTGCTCGAAGGAAAGGATCCGCAAGAGGAGCAGGGACACAGCACGAAAAGACAGAAGAAAGTACATCTGGTGGTTTTGACACATGGCTTGCATAGCAATTTAGGTGCAGATATGTTGTTTTTGAAAGAGAGCATTGATGAGGCAGCGAGGAAGGCCAAGATTGACGCTAGAATACGGAAGGCAAAGAAGAGGAAAGAGAGCAAAGCTGCTGAAAACGTGGCTTCAGCAGGAGAACACGCAGACGATCCAAAGGGAGCAGAAGATAGCGAAGATGAAGAAGAAGTCATTGTGCGAGGCTTCTCCGGGAACTCTGTTCGAACAGAAAGGGGCATCAAGTATCTAGGTAAGAGACTGGCCAAATACGTCTTGCAGATGACATACCCGGACCAGCCGTATAAGCCGGTAACGAAGAAATCGACTGTTGAAGCTTTATCACATGCCATCAAGCCAGAACAGCCGGCTGCCAAAGCGTCGAGCAAGGCACCCGGACAGCCGACACACGAACATAGCTCTATTATCAAGGCACCTTTCGCGGGGAAGAAACTGGCGTATAAAATCACCAGTATCAGCTTTATTGGCCATTCCTTGGGCGGTCTAATCCAGACCTATGCAGTTGCGTATATCCAGAAGCATTCTCCAGAATTTTTCGACAAGATTGAGCCTATCAATTTCATTTCTCTAGCTTCACCCTTTCTGGGATTGAGCAATGAGAATCCAATGTATGTCAAGTTCGCATTGGATTTTGGTCTCGTGGGCAGAACTGGGCAAGATCTGGGTCTGACGTGGCGAGCACCCACCATTGCCAGGAGTGGATGGGGTGCGATTGTTGGTGGAATTGGAGAGAGTGCACACAAAAAGATTGATGGAGAGACAGCACCCGAGTCCAAACCGCTTCTGAGGATTTTGCCAACTGGACCCGCTCATGTCGTGCTGAAGAAGTTCAGGAATAGGACTATTTACTCCAATGTTGTCAATGATGGAGTTGTTCCTTTGAGAACGAGTTGTCTGCTATTCCTAGACTGGCAAGGTTTGGGTCGTGTTGAGAAAGCAAGGAGAGAGAATGGCCTGGTTGGAACTATGGCAAGCTGGGGATGGGCTGAGCTCACTGGTGCGAATTCCAGCTCTCCATCTGGAAGGACGTTCTCAGAGAGCTACGCCAGCGAGTCGGAAGAAACTGGGACCAACACTCCTACAAAACAAGGGCATGGAGGAGACGTCCCTCAACCATCGCCATACGCTACTGTTGATGATGATGCCAGAAGTTTGAAGAGTCTTGACCGTCCTCTCTCTGCTGGTGCTCGCCATCCTCCATCAACAGCTGAGCCAACCAATAATGCTGGACCACTTGCAAGCATCATGAAATTTTTCCAGCCTGCTGCTTCTTCCGCGCCAAAACCTCACAATGATCACCCCAAACATACAAAGATCTACAAGAGGAGTCAAACTCTCCGAATAGGAAGTGAATCATCCTCTAATCCATCCATCTCAACGCAAGAACCCTCGCCCAAAAAAGCGCATGGTAAAGCCACAACGGGCGAGGATAGCGAAGATCCAGATCGACTCTCCGCCCCTCCCAAAACAACGTTTTTCGAATCCGCTGGCGATATCATCAAGCCTCCTCTCCCACCTACAGATTTCCTCATCGACCCTTCTTCCCGCCCCCGAACAATCTTCCACGACCGAGTCTATCACCCCTCCGATATTCCTCCACCTCCCCTTAAGAAACGCCCAACAAGCTCCCTCATGCTCCGTCGTCGCTCGTCCATTCAAACGTCAACGCAATCATCACAGTCATCTGATCCCTTTACCCCAACCATCAACCACACCGACTCCACACTCTCAACCCACGATTACGACGACACACGACACACCAATCCGGACAAAGACCCTCGCGAAGTCATTGACGGCTCTGCCATGAAAGTCGAGGAGAAAATCGCCCGAGCATACCACCGCGACTTATCCTGGCGAAAAGTCCTTGTGCGTCTCGAGCCCGACGCTCACAATAACATCATCGTCCGCCGCATGTTCGCGAACGCATTCGGATGGGAAGTGATCCATCATGTGTGTGATACGCATTTTTCTGATTCCGACGTTGCGCACACGAGGGATGAAGTTGCTAGTAATGCTGAGCGCGCAAAAGGCGTAAACGAAGGACCTGCAAAGGATGGCGGGGAGACAAACGATCCCGACACAAAAAGTGACAACAAGAACGAGAATGCCACCCACCATGATGGCAATCGGGACAAGGATGAGATAACACCACCCAAACCCCTCACCGAATCCGACCGCACCGACTCCGAACGCAGAGAAGCAACAGACAATCTACCACCGCTCATCACATCCCTCTCCAACTTCCCTCGCTCCGGCACTGGACTCGCAACAAGCACGAATACCGCACCGGGGACAAGCACAGGACCAAACAGTCTCGCTAAAGCGCTCTCTGGATCTTCGCTTACGGTTCCATTACCCTCTCCTGGCGGGAATGGACCCGGGAGTAGGAAATCGTCTACTAGTGGTACTGGTGCAGGATATACATATGAGAGCGACACTGCATGGAGCGAGCGCGATTGGGCGGATAGTGAATTCGATAGTGATGATGGGGAGGGTGGCACTTCTTCTGAGAAGAAACCCTTCTCGACCGGCGGTGGTGGTAGTGGTACTGGCGGAGGAGAAGGCTGGAACTGGACAGAGGCCATTGCTGGGAGAGGAGCGACGGCAGCGGCGACGAGTCCGAAGGGGACGGATAGGGCTGAGATTGAGAGGTTTTTGGCGAAGGGAAAGGAAGATGGTAAGGGGAAAGAGGGTGGTGATGGGGTTGGGGATGTGGCGAGTCCTAGATCGTAGAGTGTAGAGTGTAGAAGGCGTCAGGGGAGCAAGAAGTGGAGATTGTGAGTAGATGTTTGCATGCATATATATGAGTACAGCATAAGTAAGATTGTAGAGCGTCTGTATAGCGTAGCATTGTAGCGTTGAACATAATTTGACAATCAATTGGATATAGTTGAAGGTATACTATGTTGAAGATATCCTAGAATGTAATATAATCTCCACAGTACTTAAGAGCCAAATTACAAGAGATGGTAGACAGAGGTGACCACAGAATATAGACATCAAATCGTGTTTTGGATTGTGTTTTATTGAATAAAATCGAAGAAGGTATTAATCGATATTGGGTATCACGTTTCTACACCCGAGCCTAGTAGCTTCAACAGGTAGAGCCACTCACTCAACCACCAGACGAGAAGGTAAAGAGAGAGTTGCCTGAACTCCTTCTTTCCGTTCCCACCTCATCCTCATAATTTTCCCATCCAGTTTATAATAAGCCAGACCACCAATCCCAATCTCCAAAGACCGTAAACGTCGTAAAAACATCATTCAATCAGAGTACACATACAGGCAGGGATAAACACAAAAAAATGAGTTTGCGCCGAGATACGTGAATCTGTACAATTCCCGGACCCAATGGTCCGGAGGCATCTCATTGCGCCGCCCAGGGAAGTCTGTCCAATGAACGCCAAGCGGGGCTACTACCTCACGAGGGAGGGCAGCATGAAAAGTTCCCAAAATAAATGTTGGGATAATGCCTGATGCAGGTGAATTATCAGGTAGTTTGATGGTCACCACGACGAAACCCAGACAAGGCCTCTTGTACCATCGAATCAGCGAAAGATGGCTCACAGTTGTCTTTTTCCATTCATAGGAGGGCTTGGCTGGTGTTGAGTGACTTATCAGCTGGTGCTAATTGATCGATCGACAACGGTAGATGCTCAGGGGCGATATTGCGATGCAGCGATAGCAGCTAGAGCATCTAATCCGCTCGGCAGAGTTTCGCGTCGAGATGTGATAGGAGAGCCATAGTAAGCAGATGATGCTGAGGGACTTCCGTACGATGTAAATGCCGGCTGCTGTTGATACAATGCAGGGTCCACTGGCGTAGTGTCCATCGAATCGTTGGTATTCCTGCTCGACGGACGACTGGATCTACCATCTGATGAGCTGGCCTTGCGTACGCCAGCAGGCATTGTGAGTGTTCTGATTGCAGCGTTCTTCTGGGCAGCGGAAGAGCGAGAACGCTCTTTGGTGTGCGTCTCGAGATGTTGCTTCATGTTGTCACCGCGTGTGAACTTTTTCTGGCAACCTTTCCAGGTACACACGACACCCTTCTCGGCGGTGTGAATTTTCGAATGGCGTGATGCATGGCCAGAGGTGGTAAAAGTCTTGTCGCAATTGTGGGTATCTCTGTGGCGACAGGGATACCTCTTAGGCCCCCTCTCCTGCTGATTTCGGTTCTGATACATGTCTTCGTCGTACATCTGTGGTTCCGGATATGATGTCCGCTGACCTTGGTAATTGGGGAGAGGCATCGAGTATTGATGACACGAGTAGTCGTCCATGCGTGGAGGTCCTTCGCGATACTCGAACTGTGGTTGATTCTTGTAGCCCAAATAGGACGACTGTCTACCAAATTCTTTCAAGGAAGTAGGCGTGATGGGAGAAGTAGGATCGTTGGTGTTGTTGGAATCAAAAGAATCTGCGCGGACGAGGTCGGGAACGTGTGGAGAAGAAGTGCCGCTTTGTGTGGACATGGCGGAATTTGATCGTACCATACTCGCCGACTCAAATGCTGAGTAAGTGGATCTGAAAGCGCTGTCCTGTCCTGCCGGCTCATCGTTGAGAAGAGAGACCTTTCGGCCTGAAGAGTCTCGGGCATGCATTCTCGGTCTGGCCGACATAGTGAATAATCTTCCAGACTTTGAGACGAGAGCAGTGTAGTGAGAGTAACTCTTCTCCAAATTTGAAGAAGAGTTCTGAAGTGATGAGGGAAGTTGTTGGTAAATTGGAGTAACGAGACGACGGGAATGAAGGCGTCTGGATGATACACAGTCACTTCGACAATAGAAGTTGGACGTCGAGATGTGATGCACTTGAAGATGGGCTGAGCGTAGTGTCACTGCAGTCTTGATGATGGAGGAGGACGAGGAAGTCTTGTGATGCGGCTGGAGGGAGAGTTGTTGGTGGTAGGACAAAGCGGAGGGAAAGGAAAAGGGAAGGGGAGTGAAGTGGAAAAGATGGGATTCTGTCTATGTTATGCAATTCCCATTTGGGGGAGGGAGACCAGGGAAGCAGAAGCAGGGCAGGAGACACAGAGAGGGCCAGGGCCAGGGCACTAGGGTAGCGGCAATTTTAGTTTAGCTCGAAGAGCGACGAACGACCGGGGCAGGGGTGCGGAGGGAAGTGGATGAGGAAGTGGATGAGGATAGGAGTGGAGAAGGCAGTAGCGTGGGTGTGCCAGCATGCCCTGGCTTGGAAGCTGACCCACTCCGTTCCATTTATTTACCTTATTTTACCTTACGGAGGAGCTGGAGGGAAAGAGCAGACAGCAGGTGCCATGCCAGGAAGGGGAAGGGGAAGGGGAAGGGGAACAAAGAAAGGAGGGAGGAAGAGGAAGGGCTGGAGTGGACCAGGACAGGGCACGGGGATCGCTCCAGTCGTATCCTGGTTAGGGTTTGCCTCGAAAGCAGAACAGGGCAGATTTGTAAGTCTACTCGAACGTCCTACAAAAAGATGCGACGCGACAACTTCACGGCCGAAGATGAAGCGATGCTTACCCCCCCCCCCCAGATGCCTGGTCTGAGTCCGCGTTCACGCAGTCATATCTCTGCACTTCAGCTCTCTCGGGGAGCTGCACAATCTCCCCCCGCTGGACAGGATGGCCATCAAAAGGGAGACAAAATACAGTAGGGACGTAGGTAAATTTAGCGTAGGTAAGCTAATCCATTGGCTGCTGATGTCAGGAGACACTCTCCGCTCCACCACCTCATCGGACCCTGCTGAACCCTTATGATGTGAGTGGAATTAATCCCGGTTACATGGCGCCCACACGGGAGGGGGAGGGAGAGGGAGACATAACGGAGGCATGTGGGCGATGCGGTGATTCGAAGAGATGTGGCAGTGGTATGTTGCACCACCTGTCTGGGCAACAGTCGACAGCCCCTCCCTTTGTTGGCTGGATATAAAAGTCCACCACACCTACTTGCCCGTTGCAGTATATCCCGAAATACTGTTTTATGGTTGCAGACAATGCGTTGGATACGCTTTTCATGGAAATGCGCTTGAATGCATGCCAGATAAACTCTCGCACCAAAAGCTCATGCCGGGCATGACTGTCTTATCACGCTGTAATCACAATTCAATAATAGTCGGTCAAAAAAGAATGCGCTGGCATCGCCAGTAGTAGCTCGTGAATAAGGTCCTGGCCTCTTCCTTGGATATCGCAGCTCTGATTGGCGCAAAGCACATCTCCCACAGCTGGAGCTCTGCCCCGCTTTCGAACGATGCGATTCAGGGTCTTGCCATTTCATCACCAATAAGTTAATGCAATACCACGCTGCTGGTTGAGCGAAGCGGAGTAAGAGCTCCTGAGTTTCGCGAAACCAGATCTCTCATCTGCCCAAAAGCTTGGAATCATCCAAGGGGGTGCAGCTTGATGCTTAGACGGTTAGGTTGTCATGGTGTTGTGTGGTGTGAGCGAGTCACAGTACTGTAGAGACAGAGGCAGCTGTTTTGAGAGCGCGCGTACTCGTACTGGTACTGTATGGTGTTTTCGCTCCCTCACACACCATCTTTGCTCCTCACCAACGTCTCAAGCCACAGGGCAAAGCAGGGCAGGTACACAGTCGACTGGTGACTCGTCCGGCTTCCATGGCCGTACCCACTACTGAATGCGCCCGTTCGAGTTGGAGTGCATGGCAGGCGAGGCAGGGTGAGGGTGAGGGTGTGGGTGTGGGTGTGGGTGTGGGTGTGGGTGCGGTGCGGTGCTGCACGTTGCTGTTTTCCCTGCATATGCCGCCCGCTTGGCGATCGCCCCTCTTTCTTTCCCCATTGCCTCACTCGCGCCCGTCACTCCGACAGAGTTCAATCAACACCACAAAATCGTGCCATTTCTGACTGCAACCCTCAGACGAGCAAAACTCGATCGCAAAATACAAGATGCGCTAATCAAAAACAACGTTGTTTTTGACAAGTGTTTAAGTAACTACCAACATTCCATTTCACGACTCTCCTCGCGTTTTCCCCTTGTCTCCATGTCTCTCAGGCGTCGAGTTGCCAGGCGCGGAGACGGTGCACCGGAGGCTCCTCCGTCGAACGATGCTGAAGTCAGAGTTCCGATCAGTCGACTTCTCGATCCTCTAGTTCGCACCAGCCCTGCTCCCTGTCGCTCAAGCACGGGGTCCAGACCAGTCCATTCCCAGGGTCTTGACAGGGTCTGACCAGCACAGGCAGTTTTGGCAGCGAGCCAAGCAGCGCATCCAGTAAAGATCGCCGCCTCAACGGTAGGGCTCCACTTGGGCAAATCACTGCATGCAGGTGGGTGCTCTGCTCTGCTCTGCTCTGCACTACTGGACCACTGCGCTGCGCCTGATTTCGATGTCCCGAGTCCCGGCAAGACTTCCTCGTTTTCTTCGGTCTCTCGGGTCTCTTCTTCTTGGTGCGTGCCAGGGGAGGGGAGAGGGGAGCTGGGAGCTCGGAGGGGTGAGGGCAGCAGGGCTCAGGAACGCTCGCCTCGTCTGCCCTGCCTTGCCCGCGTCGCGTCAGGGAATCAGGGTCCACGGGAATGAGGGAATTCGTGGTCCCCCGTTATGATGCAATGCATATTTTGCATCTGGGGGACACAGGGGAGGGCATTTGAACCCCGAAGCGTGCGTGCCCTCTGTCGAGCAGGACCACCAAAACAGGAGACCATAGCTCCAGCGTCCAACTCCAGCTCCAGCTCCAGGACGGCACTTCTCAACTTCAACATTCTTCAACGACAACCGCACCCAACCAACCCCATCACTACTGTACCCAGGAGGAAGTCCTCCGTTCCCCCTCGTGTCTCTCATCAACCCGCAACCCGGTGATTCGGATTCGGATTCAGGACAAACGCGCAGCAGAAAAAAATAAGAAAGACCATGACCTCATCGTGGATTCACAATTCTGAGAGAAGATCGAATTTTGTTCGAGGGATCGTGATTTGAGGTGTGGAGTGGGACCCTGGACATGGGAAAGCGAGGCAGCTAATGCAACCTAATCCCTGGGTATGGACAGGACAGTACTGTAGTAAGCTCCTTAGTTCCCTGACTAGCTACAGCAAGATTGGGAACTAAGAGCTAAAATTATAACCTCACCAGACCGGCCTCACGTACAGACTGGTAGGGTAGGGACTACAGAAAATAAAGTCCACGTTCCAAGCTCGGAACCTACGGTCAGTCAGGTCGGGTTAGAAGTCCGCCTTCGTAGGAAATCATGCTTTTGATTACTGCGCGGAGTTTAACCGAATATGCAAGTTCCAGTAGGTACTTTTGACCTGTCTTCAGAATCCAGATCAGATCTGCCGTTGAGACGCGGTACCCGACGATGTGGGTCTTGGTCTCCTTCTGTTCTTCCAGGTCGATCGTTCCAATGCAAGATTTAAGATGCTCATATTCTTTCTCAAACAGGCAAGTCGACTCGAGCTTTTCAATCTTGGTTTTGCAGAAACACTGGTCTCGAGCACATGGAAGTCAGCACATGCAATCCTGCCTTTAAGTAGTGATCCTCAGATTCGTGGGAAATGTCAAAGACTCCAAGAGTAAAATAGAATGGCGCGCGCCCAACTACTCAACCAACCAAAGCCAAAACGGAGACACCTCCTCACTGTCTCAGCGTCTTGCACCTCAACAGAGGAGAACTGATACCTGTCTCACACTAACAGAAGATACGATTCACTAACCGCAACCGCAAGCTAATTTTTACTATGGGAAAACCTCCCATGTGAGTGAGAAGTTCCAGCCACCCAGCTGATCCCTACTTCCCCTCGCGCTCCTCATCTAATCTAGCACTGAAAAAAGGAGGCGTAAATTACTGTACTAGTAAACAAGCCACTATTGAGACCCCTAATGTTGGGGGAGAGTGAGGTCATTGTTCACTCTTAGTTCCGAGGTCAGGAGCGAAGATTGTCAGGTCCCGAGGTCTTTGGAGTGGGCTGCGAGAGAAAGTAGGAGAGAGCTCCTGAAGAGAGGCCAGCCAATAAATACTTGAACTTGTCGTTGTGTCTTCCGGAGGAGGAGTCCTGAAGACTTTAGGCAATTGATTCGTTGTCGTTGATTACGGTTTTAGGAAAAGGTAAAGGAAGAGTGAAGGAAATAGTCCACTTCTGAGGTGAGGACATTCCACCCAATATATTCACTTTGTATCTAGTAACTTCAAATATCACTATCTCCCCTCCATTCTCAACCCCTCCTCCAAAACACCATAAAAAACCGCCTCAAACCATCAAACCATCATACAAATCTAGACATCCATCCATCCAACCAGCCCTTCCTCCCAGCCTCCCTCCCCCACATTTGAAGAAACCCCCTATCTCTATCCCACAGCATCAATTCTTAATACGGTCGTTATATTCATGTTTATTTTTTTTGGATTTGTTGTCAACTGGCGGGCGGCGATAACCGAGCTGCATGCAATGCAGCCTTGCTGTGCTGTGCTGTACCTGCTGTGCCTCCCGGTGCATGTCTTTTGTGTCTCAGCCCAGCTCTAACAGTCACTTCATTTTTTTAAGTGCCGAGTGGAAATGATACGACGTGATAGGGAATATGATAAGAGTGAGTGAGGAGGTTCCATCTATCTATCTATCTATCTATCTATTTATATTTTTATATGAAGGGACAGGAAGAGAAAATATCCGTCTATTCCGCTTATAAGCAGTGTTGGGAGGATATTTTTCCGCAAGTGTCAGATAATAAAATAACCGAATGTAATGTACTCAATTGGCGTTAGAGTACTTGACTTGACTTGACTGAAATACTGTACTGAAAAAAAAAAACATGAAGAGCTTCTCCGAGCAGCTGGAGGGAGCTCGGTAGAATGAAGCTCGCTTCTGCAGAGCCAAATGTGGACAGGTGCTCTGTGGTAGAGGGGTAGGAATCAAGATAACGTCTGTAGAGTACAAGCAGTATTACATTTGTTTTTGACACATGTCTGTCTGCCTATCTTAGTAAGAAGATATTCTTACTGCTACTCCTGATATTGCCCCCTCCCCTGGCTCTCATGAAGGCCAACCAGCAGATCCTGTCATTCATCCCAGGCTGAGCTTTTGTAAACAAAGGAAAAGGGAAAGAACTCCATCGCTATGCCAATTTCAAACCGTAGTCATAAACTTTCCATCCTTTCCTTTCCGATCCCCGGTATGCCCTCACATCTACTCAACTTGTCTACCGCAAGCAGATTCGTTCCTAGACTATCGCTTCTGATCACAACCCCTGGCCGCTAGATATGCCCATACCAGCAAAAATACGCCACTGTTCCGAGCTTCAAGTACCTATATGCAACGAATGAAAAGTGAAGCGTCTCTAACCCAACCTCAAGCTTACAAGAATGGCTCAAGATTAGCCATTCCCGCAAAGCTATTAAACAGGTCGCGCTTATTTGAAGTGCCTGTGTCGTCAACGGTGGTGAGATTCAGGTTCCCGATCTCGCACCAGTTCTTGTAGTTCTATTTCAACTATTAGCCAGCATCCATAGATGAACACGTGTGAGGAGATGGAGCTTACAATACAACTCAAGTACTTGCACCAACTGCAAGTCATTCGGTCCTGGTAGAAATTCCTCATCAGAAGAATAAACACCACCAGCACAAACACTAAACTGCCCGCTCTAACCAACCACCAAGCCCACCAAAGCGGCTTACGACCTTTAAAGAACCCCACAGGGTTCTTCGCAAAACCGGTGATCCCAGCGTTTGATTTATCGCCATTCCCACGCACTACTGGTGCGTAGGGGGGCTCGTCTTCACCAGTACGCTTGCGAAGTGCATTGGGCGAATGCAGGATACAGATTCCGAGGACGAGGCCCATGAAGAAGCCACCAATATGGGAAAAGTTGTCTAGACCAGGAAGGAGACCAAGCCCGAAGGAAATTACAATGTCGAGCATGATGAAGCCGAGGTCCTTCCATGGCGATGTTCGGTCACCCCAGGTATAGAACAGATCCAGGAGGTTGAGAGCGATGACGCCGAAGAGTGCGCCTGATGCTCCTGTTGAGGCGATGCCAGTCGCGGCAAAGTTTCCTCCAAGCACGAAGCCGAATATACCTGCTGAGAAATAGACTAGGAAGTATCTAATCGGTCCAATAGCTATCTCCATCTCCTTTCCTAAAGTCATTTGGAGGAGCATATTGAAGCTAATGTGGATAAGTCCGGCGTGTAGGAAGATCGGGACAATGAAACGGAACCACTGATTAGGCTGATTCTCAAATTCATTGAGCGGCTCGGTCTTGTTTCCTGGGAAGACTGGATTCTGCTTTTCAGGCATATTGAATCCGCAGAGTTGGGCAAGGGTACAGTTCTGATTGTCATTGGAAGTCGTATCTGGACAAGGCCATGAGATTGGTCCACCGGTATCTCGGTTCTGGACACCATCCACGGAATGCATGCAAGGAACAAAACGAGCTCCCATATTGATGAGGACGTAAGGCGAAGGGCCGATCATAGGATTGAAGTTGGGCTTGATTTCGATTGGAGATCCAGTCAAAATGCCTGGGAATATTAGCAACCTTCTCTCAACAACCAGCATCTGTACTTACCATTCTTTGCAATTTCCCCAATGAACACGCCGATTTGTACTGCCGTAAGGATATACGTGACCCAGGGTATTCTACTTTTCCTATTCTTGAACATTCCGCTAATCCTGTTCTTCTTGCGCAGCCCCTCTTCCAGATGTGCTGGCGCAACAGGTGCATCGTAGACGTGGTCCGTGGACTGATTGTCCTTTACAGGTAGCCCAGGATGATCTTTCAGTGGTATATTATCCTGATATGAATTCGAAGCTTCCAGTCTTCCGCCTCCTCCTTGTCCATAATATCGTGTATCTTGCCCCAGCGTACTTTGACTGTCGAAGCGGTTTGATCCTGGTGGTGCCGGATACACGTGGTCGTCGAAAGGTGCCTCGAAAGGGGAGACTGGTGATGTGATGTCGTGAGGTCTTGTGGGAGCTTGCGTCGTATGATATGAAGGCGCTACTGATGGCGGAGCAGCTGGTTGTGATTCTGGAGATTGAGGATTGTAGGACTGGTAGGCATTATTGTACGGCTGAGGGGTTTGATGCCGTGACGAAGGGTTGTAATAGTCGTTCGCTGCCATAATGAACGAAAGTGATGCTGTGATACAGCGATTGTGGTTCCTACGAGGTTGTCGTGGTAGGTTGCGATGTTGGAAGCTGGATTATGTGAAACAGGAGGGAGAGAAAGATTGTTGAACGAGCGTTGGGTATTGAGGTTGTGTTGAAGGAAGAGAAGCTAGTCAAACTCTTTTCTTGAGGACAAGAGCCTCTTCTAGCGAGCTGAGTGATCTTCGTAATAGCGCAGGGCTGGGAGGGCTGTGGGGTGAAGATGATGCTGGGTGGTGTTGAAGTTGGCTCACCAGACCCTATTTTTGGACCCCTGCGCCTGATGGCGGCTGAGCAGGAACCCCGTTCGGTTACGTGCATTAGCGCAAGGTCCCCTTTATTTACTTTTGGTTTATTTGCCTCCTTAAACAAAATACATGATATATGCACGAGAAAATTGAAAAGAGGATATCGGTAGCCTGGCCTTACCCTTTTATCTCCTCCCAAAGAGAATTTTAGAGTGGTGACTGTAAGGAGGTAGAACATTCAAGTCCAATGCTTTGACTTGAAGATGTGGGTCCCACTATGAGAAGGACCCTGGTTGGTCCCAATAAAGAGGGTGGCCACAGATTTCCGAACCCCAGCTTTGTGGAAAGTCAAATATCTAGTTCTGTAAATAAACAAAATCGCCACATTTTAACAGTACACGTCTGAATTGTGGCTTTATTCTGCTTATTTGATTGGAAGATCGTTACTCAGTCAACTAATTAGAACAAGAATAAAGTTTAACAGGGCTTTTTAAAGCGGAAGTAGCTGAAATCAGCGAATCAAGTGTACTATTTCATACGATAAGATATGAAGTCTCTTAGCAACAGAATAGCAACGGGCCTTTAACCCTCGAGGGTTCGGAAATCTGTGGCCACCCTCTTTACTTGTGGTTCCAATCATGGGCTACGTAAGGTACGCAAGTTTGTGCTGTTTACGTTGCTTTTGGGTGGCTCATGATTGGTTGTAAAAAACAGTATTTATGACATAATTTACAAGAGATCTTCATCATGTCCTATCTATCAGGACCCACCGATTTCGCCCTTCACCCATTTTTCTAACCCGCCTCTCGCAATGATCTCTTGAACATTCGGGGGCAACTCACCAACCTTCTGACTCCATGTCGGGCCACCCTTCCCCTCTGTAATTACAACCTTGCTCCTCTTCACATCCCACAAGAATGTCCATCCCGTTCTCCTTGTCAAAACTTTCTCCTCCGCAGGACTGGCCTGTTGTGCCGGTGGCGGGCTATCCAAGCTCTCCTTGTTGCCCTCCGGCTCTTTGACATCAGTCTTCTGTTGGACTTTCTGACCCGAGAAGTGTTCGCGGAGTCTCTCGACTAGTCGAGGAACTTCAACGCCCATGAGTGCATTGTTGATGCTATTCCTTGCAAAGATGTTACCAAAGCTGCCAGACACAACAAGAGGGATCTTTTTGGCCAAAATGGCAGTAGCAGCTTGCTCTCTTGAACTTCCGCATCCAAAGTTGAAACCTGAGACGAGAATATCACCCTCACGTGCAATAGATCCAAATGTTGGATCGTAGTTCTCCATACACACTTCTGCCATCTTCTCTACCGAGACGTCGTCTTGGTAGGTGTATTTTCCGGGGTAGATCCCATCGGTGTTGATGTTATCTGCGTCGCAGAAGACAATTTCGCCTTCTACGCGTTCTGGGAAGCCTGGAAGGATGGCAGTCAAGGCTTCATCTGATGATTCTTCCTTCCGCTCCGATGTGCCTAGGATATCCTGTTCAGCTGACGAGATAATTGAATCAGCCTGAGCGATCAATTTGTCCAAAGCCTCTTCAATGCTAATGGCCTTATCTTCCTCAGCAATGCCGTTTCCTTCTCCAAGTACGACCTTTTCGACGCCAACAGGCTTTTCATACCAGCCTGGTCCGCTGATCTTGCCACTCAGTGCACTGGCTGCTACGACTTCTGGGCTTGCAAGATATGCTTTGGCATCTGGAGAGCCCATGCGTCCCTTGAAATTACGGTTACTTGCACTGATACCTACTTCTCCAGGCTCTAATAATCCCGTTCCGAGACCAATGCAGGGACCACATCCAGCCGGCAAAGGCTTCGCTCCAGCATTGAGAAGTGCTTGCCAATCTCCTGCATCTTCTGCTGCTTCCTGCTCAGGTAATGATGCTGCAGCAATGTAGAATTCTACTCCTGATGCGATCTTGGCAGGTGTTCCTGAAGTTGATGCATCCTTGAAGACCTTCGCAGCAGCAGCAAGATCGGACGCACGAGAGTTGGTGCACGATACAAGGTAGGCTTTGTTGATTTTAATATTTTGGGCCTCAAGATCCCGTAGAGGCGTGGCGACCTTGACGGAGTTTGGCCCAGAGACGTACGGAGACAGAGTGGAGAGATTGAGGTAAAGAGACTTCGCGTAAGTAGCACCTTTGTCTGCCACTAGTTGGTTTTGGACCAAGTCATCGATTCTTGCGTGTGAAAATCGAGATTCCGGTGCGTCCTTTCCATCAAAAAGGGCTGCAGTTGTAGCCTTAGCTCTCATCCATGCCTGTAGCATGGAATCGATTGGAAACAGTCCAGTCAATGCTCCCCATTCCGTTGTCATGTTCGCAATGGCTAATCGGTCATCCACTGGCAGACTTCTCATTGTCTGCTCCGAGCCTGTAAACTCGATGGCATGGTTAAGCACTTCGTCGTTGTTGAACAGTCCACACAGCGCCACAATGACATCTTTTCCGGTAACACCCTTTGGTAGGACACCCGTCAATGTGACTTTTGCTATTGGAGGAATCTGCCACCAAGTTTTACCTGTAGCCCAGATACTGGCCGCATCCGTCCTTACCACAGCTGTTCCCAAGCAGCCCACTCCACCGTACATGTTGCTGTGGCTATCGCTAGCAACTGTCATAGTGCCTGGCCACGCATAACCCTCCTCAACCATAATCTGATGCCCAATTCCGCGTCCAGCAGGATAGAAGTCCACACCTTGCTTCTTCGCGAACTCTTGGATTTGCTTGTATTTCTTAAGGTTCGTCTCACTCCGATTTTGGACGTCATGATCCAAAGTGCAAACGATTTGCTTTGGGTCGTGGATCTTGCTAGCTCCGACCGAAAAAAATTTGAGAGCAACAGGCCATGAGTTGTCGTGCGTCATGCAGTGGTGAGGGGATAAGGTAACATAATCTCCAGATTTCACGACCTTGCCATCCGCAAGACCAAGGGAGTATCTTTGGACGATCTTCTCCGTAAGAGTTTGAGGGATTCGAGAAGGAGTCTTGAGGGAGGAGAGGATCGCCGAGGAGGAGGGATCAGAGGACTGGGCGTGGAAGACATCTTGGAAACGATGTGCGGTAGATGTGATTGATCGCAGACCTCGAGGAGTTTGAGGAGAGAGCGGGCTACGGGATAGTCTGGTAGGCTGTGTAGTAGACGTGATCGGTCGTAGATATTGAGGAGTACGGAGAGTTAGAAGGCTGAAGGAGGGTCTGGCCCGCAGACCTTGCAAACCAATTCGTTGCTGGAAAATGTTAGACCCTAACAATTAGACGGCCATGGGACGCTTTCAGCATGGTTATATGACTTACTGATATCATCTTGTGTCCATTGACTCCAATTGAGGTGTTGTGGGAGGTCAAACTGGGGGGAGGAGGTTCCCCGGATTTTGACAATTTATTTTGGTGTCATGAAATGTCTTGCCTCTGATTGGCCATATCAACTTTTTGGAGCCGCGATCGGACGTAGGTAAATAAAGCGGCATTTTAACAGCACAGGTTTGGCACCATCTTCACAACCACGGAGCACTTCAACGAGTCAATGATCCAACATGCAACTGCGACAGCGAGACTATGTGCTCGTCGCGCCTTTTCGCCAATATGGCACATGCCATTGGCGATCCTTAACAGACCTGCCCTGATGGCCAGGAACCATGGGCAGCATCCTCCAGTCGCCAATAACATACATACCTGCTTTTCACAGCAGAGATCATTCAGCAAAAGTATCAATCGACACAACAACACAGCGGAAGGTACGGTCGTATCTGCAAATCAGGAAAAATATGCCAAGACAGAGGAGGAGGAGATGGTGACAGCAACTTACAGGATGCCTGAGTGGAATCCTGTCACAGACAACGAGACAATCTATGCCATATCGACAGGCCCTGATGCAAGCGCAATAGCTGTCATTCGAATTTCAGGCCCCGCCTGTACCCAGGTAGGCAGAAATATGGCCTGCTACACGCTCTTTGCTTACAAAAGATATCTAGATCTACCAGGCCCTTTGCCCAGGCAGAAAATTACCCCCAAAGCGATATGCTGCAGTGCGGACACTGTACCATCCCAACGACAGGACGAATATAATTGATTCGGATGCCGTGGTGATTCAATTTGGTGCACCAAACACAGCTACTGGGGAAGATATGCTGGAACTTCACACCCATGGCGGAATTGCAACTGTCACAGCTGTGTTGTCAGCCATCGGGCAAGTTAATCCAAAATTAATTCGTGCTGCCAGTCCTGGGGAATTCACGCGTCGAGCATTCGCCAATGATAAGCTTGACCTGGAACAAATCGAATCTTTGGGCGACATTCTTACCGCGGAGACCGAGTTGCAGCGCCGTGCTTCTCTACGAGGACCTTATCAGCAGCTTGGCCGCATATATGATAGTTGGCGAACTTCACTGATCGAGGAGCTTGCTCATGCAGCAGCGGACACAGACCACTCTGAAGAACACAACCTTGATGATATGGCAGGTATATGGCCTCGCATTACCGAGAAGGTTCGAACCATCCAAGAGGAGATTTCATACCATCAAATGGGCGCAAAGTGTGGACAATTACTGCGGCAGGGTATTCAGGTTTCGTTGATCGGTCTCCCAAACGCTGGCAAGAGCTCACTGTTCAACCAAATTGTGGGTAGCGAAGCCTCGATAGTCAGTCAACAGGCAGGCACTACCCGAGATGTCGTTGAAAAGACCATCAACTACAGAGACTATCTCTGCACCTTTGCAGACACGGCTGGCGTGCGAGCCGCAGATGTTGTAGGAGGCTCAGACATTGGAGCCATTGAAGAAGAGGGCATCAAGCGAGCCATTGCAAAAGCGAAGGACGCGGATGTACTTGTTTACGTTACTTCTTTTGAACCTGACCCACTAGAGCCTTCTGGCTACAAGACTCCGATTATGGATAATCTTTCTTCGATCATTCGGAACGAGCACGGGAGCACGAAAGAGGTGCTCATTGTGGTGAACAAGAATGACAGACCTACGCCTGGACAGATCAAAAGTTGTCTTTCGAACTTGCAGAAAGCCATTGGCGACTTGTTATTCAACCCTGGAACGTTGAATTACAAGCTTCCTATAGTTGATATATCGGTTGCTGATGCTGTAGCTGACCGCCCTGGACGTTATGGGCAGCCAGGACGGGGAAATATAGGGGGCTTTACACGGGCACTTATGAATCTCTTCGAAAACATGACTACTATGCCAGTTGATATGGCGCACCTCATTGGTATAAGAGAGCGCCAAAGTCAGCTCCTCACGTCCTGCTCTGGACACCTGAACGACTTTATGAATGAAGCTGCCCAAGGCGTACCCGACAATTCTATTGCGACACATCACCTGGAACTAGCGGCAAAATGTCTAGCTCAAATCACCGGACGACTCGAAGGTGCTGGTGATGTCGAAGAGATTCTGGGCGTTGTGTTCTCAAAGTAAGTACCTGTTTCCACAAGATCTATCTGGTCATTCTGACGATCCAGGTTCTGCATCGGAAAATGAATACAGCATACATCATACGCTTAAAGAAGTCAAATTTTTTTACAGCAAGGGATAATCAAAGCAGGTATCTTGGTAGCTTGGCCTATTCAAGCATTCCACGTTGAACGCGGCGCAGGACTTCAGAGTTTGCAAACCTCCCCTACCATGTTCATCTTCTAACGAAGGTGGAACAGAAGCCTTGAACTACTTAAGTAGTAACGATGGACTGTTGGGTATGGTACGGGGTCTCATAATGACAGCGGGAGCCATATTGGTCAGAAGTAACCTCCCGCCTACAGCTCCAGCCCACTGTGCTGAGGCAGAAGTTCCATCACTTGTAGATGGAACTCAGCCTTGGGATCTGGTCTTGTGCTGCTACACTGTATTAGATGCCAAATACTAATCTGAACCGGACTACTTCGAAGTTACATGTATCTCAACAGTGCTATGTTCGCAAAAGGAGAGATGAGGAGGAGAAACATTTGATGGCATAAGATTCCTTGCAAGCCAAAAGAGAAAACATATAAATGAAGATGGCAGCTTCGCTTCACTGCTTCTGCTTCAGTGTCGGCAAGGAAACTTAACATGTACTGAAGTGCATTAAATGGTACCAGGGACCGGCCGTTGCATGCCATCTCTGCCATAAACATTCTCGCTTAGCTTCATCTTATCATTCAGAGTTTGGACAAAATCCAAAGCTCTATCACGGTGGAGCAGCTTGATTTGGCTCGGTATGTGAAATCCCTGAACGGCCCCTCATTAAATCCTTCGGAACTTCCCACTCGACAAAGCGTTGACATGCGAGAGCCGCTGTGATGATTCGTGAACTGTTTCCGCCCCCAATGGATGTTCTCTTCCTGTTTGTTTCGCAATCCACCGCTCCAGCTTCCAAGCAATAGAAGCCTCGAAATCCAAGGCTTGAACTCCAGCGTCAGGGACTCAGGGCGTTGTTGCACGGCTTCCTTTTGGCTTCAAGATATGCTGCTCTAACCCGAATGTGACTAGCTTCAGGAACAGGTTTCGACTCTCGAGTTGCAGCTGGCGTGGTCCAATCATAGCCGCCTGCTCCTGGCTCAGCGTCTGACATTCAGCCCCCTTTCGGAATGCTCCACGTCCCCCGTCCCCTCTCACCCGACCATCACACCCATCGTTCGAGGGCAACAGACGCCCATACACTCATTTCAAAACAGCCATCCCTTTCCTTGGGAAGCAAACAGACGCCATCAGCCAAATCTACTGCTTCGAGACATACACATTCATTCACTTAGACCTCACAGTGACCATCAACATTGACCCTGCCTGCCTGCCTGTACTTGACCTCAGCGTCTCCCTCATCCCAAACATCACCTGGCGCCAGATCATCGGCCCTACGCATTGAATCCAACGACCGGGCGTCAATATCAGCGGTCTTCTCCCTCAATTCGTCGTCCTGCGACACCTCCCTCGCCTCGATCATCACCATTCCTGTCCCGTCTCCTGCGACATCCGGTGCCCAGCGATCAAACCGCGCGACAACTTCATCGTCGGCGTCCTTGGTCCGGCTGCAGAGCAGGATATCATCAATACGTGCTGAACTCACCCTGCATTGTTCCCGGATTATTTGTTGACCATTCAATTGTGGCTGAGGCCGATTCACGATTCTCGAGATCGGCTCGGACAATAGCAACGACGATTCTCGACCTGGTCTATTCTGTTGGACAATAGGAGGAGCAAACAACTGTCACCAGCCGCCGAATATAGCAGTATCCGCTTCTGGTTCGCACCCTCGACGACTAACAAAGAAGAACATGCATCGCGAAGGACAACAATAGCAAGTCATTGCTATTATTGCTCGTTCTAACAGAGATACATCACGACACTCTTTACACCCTTTCCTTCGAGACCATTCTTCGCAAATAGATACACCAAACCAACATCCGCACAGTCGATTGCTTCGCAGGCGGAGAACGACAAGTGCGAATTGATTCGAGATCATCAGATCTCTCGACTCGACAATACTGCGACAGGCCAATCCGGCACCAATACATTCTTTCTTTCACGACTTCAATTCTAGCCAGGCGCTGACATCGAGGCGGCAGAGCCAGATATATTCGATTTTAATACCCTCAAGATGGGTTGTTCAGGAAGAGTTAAGGCGGATGACATCCGACCTGAGCAGAAATGGGATTTCATCGTGAGTTTCGCAGTTCCATTAGTTGGTCTGATTAATGCTAACCCAGACCAGAGTCTCAATGACTTCCATTCAGGTTCTTGTCTTGAATTCTTCGCATACGGATATCTTTGGATCTCTCTTGTTATTTCAGTAGCTGTCTATGCTGTTGATACTTTCACCGCAGTCAATCTCCTAGCTTTCGACAAGTGGTCAGGAACGTTCGAACCACCGGTCGACTTTGATGTCCAAAAATGGATTTTCGCTGGGTGTATTATTGCTTCTTGGGTCAATGTTGGTTTCGAACACCTCCGAGCCATGCGGGTTATGAAACGTGGTGCGGTTGCTGAGAGTTACTTGGACTCATTGGCTATCAGACTGCAGAGTATCCGCGTCGGCAAAGGACGAGGTTGGAGACGTTTCTTGGTCTTCTCTGAACTGACCAAGTCAAAAAAGGGTGCTGAATACGTTGCACTATTTACATATTTCAGTTTCCAATGTAAGTTCATCGTTGATCTGTAATGGACGTTTCTGACAAAAAATTAGCTTGGATTCGAATCATTCTTTGTCAAGGACCTCGCCAAGTTCTCAACTCCCTCACTCTTTGGTCAGTCGTCAAGGCGAACATCGACGGAGATGCTCAGAACGCTGGCTCGGCCATTCTCACGTTCTTTAAGAACCTAGGAAAGCTTGCAGAAGAGAACAACCAACAAGCTGTCGTTCTCTCGGGTATGGCTTTTACTCTGGTCATTTGGGTAGTTGGAGCATTGTCCCTCCTTCTCTCTGCCCTCTTCTACGTTCTTTTCCTCTGGCACTACATCCCAAACGCAGATGGAGGACTTTCAGGCTACTGTGAGCGTAAGATTAACCGTCGGTTGGCAGCCATTGTCAGCGTCAAAGTCAACAAAGCTCTGGAAGAGGAAGAACGAAAGCGAGTCAAAGCAGACGCGAAGGCAGCCAAGAAGGGAGAGAAGCCATTAGGTCGACAAGCAACTCTGCCGACCATGTTTGATCAGAAGACAGGCGACAATCTTCCTCCAATGCCGATGATGAATCGCAACGATACCATGACAACTCTACCAGTCTACTCGAGCAGACCTGGAACTCCGAGTGGCCAGCCTCCACTCCCAGGCCTGGAGCTTGATCTTTTAGACCAGAAACGTCCCGGCGGACCATCTCGAAATGTTACTGGATCATCATTTGCCTCGAATGCACCTCTTATGGGAAATGCTTCTGACATGGGATTCGCTCGTTCGGGCTCTCCGGCACCTTCGCTTCCACCTCTAGACACCAATGGTTACCCAGCTCCTCCACAACGTACCATGACAGCAAATTCAACCAACAGTAGCAATTGGAGTCGTGGTCCGCAACCACCTAGGATGCCAAGTGCCATGGGAGACCGAGGTTATACCGCGAGCCCAGTCTCTTATGACACTGGGTCTCCAATGACTGGCCCTTCCATGGATCAGTATGGCCGCCCATTACCTCGAGCAGTTGGTGAATTGAGATCAAACACACCGGCTGGACCTGCGCCAAGCATGGGCCGCCGAACACCATTTGATCAAGGTCACGGCTCCAATCCCTCAAAAGGATCGGTCGACAACTTTGGACGCAGTTCACCAGCTCCAACCTCAGCGGGCTACCAGCCATACAACCCCAGTGTACGAAGTGCTTCTCCCGGTCCCGGAACGGCCAATTTCCCTAGTAACGCACCCCAGTATCGTAACATGACGGATCCTGGCCAGCGTGGACCTCAAGCTGATTATTTCGGCGGTGCGCCCCAGATTCCGAGACCGGGCACGGGTCAGCAAGTTGGACCTCGTGGAGTTGGTGGATCGGTCGGCCCTTCGAATGGCATCTCCAGGCTTGCGAGCCCCGCGCCATATAACCAAAGTCCTAACTTCATGGGCCCTGGTGCACCATCTTACAGACGATAGTTTCTAATTTAAGCATTGATGGACGGAGCGTTTCGTGCTCGGGAGCGTACAAGGGGATTGGACTTTTACGATACGACTACGAGCAAGCGCGCTTTAGCGAGTAGCTAAAGGCAGGGACGGATGGATAATTGACCACTTGGACTTGGAATTCTGTATTTATGGATTTGGAATGACTCCAGCCAGCCAAGTAAGAACAGGCAGGCGTTGGCGTCTTGATATCATTTTGCTTTACTAGGTCGATCTTTGGCGTAAAGACATAGCATTGAAAGCTTCGAGAGTGAGATAAATATCGAACTTTTGATGAAAATCTGCATTCATTTTATAACAGCCTCGGCTCCACTTTTCTGTCTGTCTTTCATCCCAAATAACTCTTCATAAGAGATGATCTCTTCCACTCTAGCGAGCTTGACTTTCGGCTTCAACTCCAAGCCAGCAGCTTGCAACATCGCATGCCGAACAGCATTAATACCCGGTCTCTTCCCAGCCATCAAGATTTGCGAGCTGCAAGCAATAACCTCCCCAACCAATGCCCCATCCTCCTCAGTATTCGGCTGAATCGCATCCCTGACGTCCTCCATCTTCCTCGCCAGCACCGCCAAATTCTCTGGCCGTACTGCACTCCCTGGCTTCCCTTTGCCATAAAGTACCTTATCCACCTTCGACAGAATAACCTGATACGGAATCCTCTGACTCTTGAACAGCGCCAGAATCTGTAAATCCGTCTCCTTAACCCCATGCTCAGCATCAACCAACAAGAAGGCCCGCCTCAAGTCCTTCCTCTTCTCCAAATACTTCATAATCTGCACACCCCACGCGGCTCGCCCGCCATGTCCATACCCAGGCATATCCAGCACCACTAACGGATTCCCTCTATCCAGACCACCGACTCCAAACGCGTTCATGAGTTTTGTCCTTCCTCGCTGTGCGCTTGTATGTGCGATTTTCTTGTTGAGGAGCGCGTTTAGGAGGGAGGATTTGCCGACGTTGGAACGGCCTAGTACGCATACTTCGGGGCTGGTGCTGAATTCCATGTTCTTGAATTTCTCCGCAGACCAGAGGAACTCGGGAGGTCGGCGCTCGAAGAAGGTTGCTGCGTGGGTGAGTTGTTCGCGGGTTGGGGGAAGGGTGTCCCAGTGATAGGAGAGGGCGGATCGGATGTTTGGATTGGGGTTTATGGGTGCTGGTGTTGTGGATGAGTATTTTCTAGCTGTCTGAAGTCGCTGACAGCGAATACATGGTCGTAATCTGGTAGAGGCTGACATTGTGATGCGCTGAATGTTGAAAGCTTCACAAGCTCGAAGCTCCGGAAGTTGAAACTAGATTTTGAGATAATTTGCCGATGCGACCTCTACAAAAGGAAGCGTAGTATCTGAGTGTTATATTTCAAAAATTGAAATTGTAGGTAAGTATTTTCAATTAATAGTGGGTGTTGGATAAATCGATCATGTCTTGAGCTGTCGCAGTTTCTTTGGAGTGGGAACACAAACGACGGCAGTAAATAAAGCCAGACAAACGCCATGCTTTTTACGGAGGAGTTGCCTTTCACCGCCTTAAACTGCCAGGGACCTTGATCCCGATAGCTTCGAGATTCCGATCAGCCCCTCTGTTTCCCCTCACATCTTCACTTCGAGAAGTTCAATCTTGACTACGTTTGGCAACAGTCAATCGATTTCCCATTTCATACCAGCATCCGCGACCTTCATATTCACAATATCGGACACAGCAGATGTCACAATATTCAAGAATGGAACCACCAACAATGAACAATCTCAATATGCAGGACGAGCCTGCTGTCTCGCCAGCTTCTGAGCCGCGCAAGCAGAAGAAGAAAAAGGTGCTTCTGATGGGAAAATCTGGCTCGGGGAAGAGTTCTATGAGGAGTATTATATTTAGCAACTATGTTGCGAAGGACACAAGGAGGCTAGGTGCTACGATTGATGTCGACTTGAGCCATGTTAAGTTCTTGGGAAACTTGACTTTGAATCTTTGGGACTGTGGTGGGTAAGTTGGCATTTTTACTTGAAGCAGACTCTTTGCTTTGTTTTCATAGCAATCATTTGAGGGCGTGCGCTGGTTCAATTGAGTTCGAGGGTTTAAACTTACCTGCAGACATACACAGTTTGTTAAACTCGTTTGCTATGATATACTAACTGCTTCATAGACAAGATGCTTTTATGGAAAATTACCTCTCCCAACAACGGCAACATGTCTTCTCAAATGTTGGTGTCCTCATCTACGTTTTTGACATAGAATCCCGCGATTTCGACCGCGATCTCCTCACATACCGCTCCATCATAACCGCACTCAGCCAATTCTCCTCCACCGCAAGTGTCTACATACTCATACACAAGATGGATCTCGTCGTTCCAGGCCAGCGCGAAGATATCTACAATGACCGCGTGTCTCTCATCCAATCGAAATCTGACACCTTCGTACCCATACCTTTCGCAACCTCCATATGGGACCAATCACTATACAAAGCCTGGGCAGAGATCATCCACGACTTAGTCCCCAACCTCGACAAAATCGAGCATCACCTCGGCTCCCTAGGTAAACTCATCCAAGCCGAAGAAGTGCTCCTCTTCGAACGCTCATCCTTCCTCGTCGTCTCATCCTGGTGCTCTGAAATCGGCTCCGATAACCCCACCACCGACCGTTTCGAGCGGCTAAGCAACATTATCAAGAACTTCAAGCAGACAACTAGTCGGTATACCGGTACTCCTAAAAGTGCTGAGCAGTTTGCACTTATGGAGCTCAAGCTCTCAAATTTCTCGTTGTTTATCCTCAAGTTCACTACTAACACGTACCTTGCTGTCGTCCTACCTCCCGGTGAAGAGCGGTTCAATAGCGCCATCGAGAATTGCTATATCGCTAAAGCTGAGTTTGAGGACTTGGACTCGCCCGCGAAGAAAGGTGCTGATAGAGGAGCTACGGCATCGAGCGAGGCATGAGCTAAGATCTCCACTTCCCCTGAGGATATGAATAGAGCTTTTTTTGATTGAGATGGATTTAATGTTGTCTTCAAGGACTTCAATGGATGTCGATTGGTGCATTGGAATAGATAGGTACTGTAATGAGTTTTGACGATATGGCTTGAGCGATAGCATTTTCACAGGCATGGCGGCAAACAAAATACCCAGGCGTTCTACATTTGGAGGAATCTGAACAAGAAGAGTTCACAAGAGGGCCCTGTTGTTGGGGATTGAATGTAATACGATATAACGAAGCACTGGCTTTGGGATTCTCTGAACATGTGGACCCTTGGAAGGGAAAATAGGGGCTAGAGTTAATAAATCGGCTAACAGGACGCAAATCAGAAAGGAAAGTTTTTCCAAAAAAAAAAAAAAAAAAAATCGAAGGCGAGAAAACCATGTGTCAAGTGTTTAAGAATAAATAGGTAGTTATCTATTCAGAATGTAATATGCTATTTTCCAATACCCAGCTAAAATCGCCTAATAGTGCCCATCCTATCCATCCAAACTCCCTAAGCGAGAAGTAGAATAGAAGATAAACAACAAAACGCCGTGAAATGCTGCTTTGCTTTACTTTCGTGTCGTAACATCATTATCTTATACTTGTATCCATCCATCCATCTGAACTTTCATTACCCCCATTCCCATCCAAATATTCAATATCCAACCAATCAAACGCTAGATCAAGCCTCCACCGACCTCTTCTTCCGTCCAAACACCGTCCCCTTCCTCGTGGCAACCCTCGTCACAGCCGCACCATCAACACCACCAAGCCCCGTAGCCGCTCTCTCCTTCTCCCTTTCCCTCTCATCCGCGTATCCTTTCCTCCTTTCTGCTCTTCCCTTCTCAATAGTCTCCTGACTCAAATGACCAAAACCGTTGCGTCTCTTGTAACACGCCTCCATCAACGCATTACAATCAATCAGTTTCCTCGGGATAGTCTGTACGACTTGGAAAATCTCCATGGGGTCAGAGACGGCTCTGATCTCTGACTCACCGAGCTTGAAGACCGTAAGCGCGATACGGAAGAGTGTCTTGGAGCCTTCGCAGAAGAAGGAATCCCATACACGGAGAGTGGACTCGATAGGCAGGGTGCCGATGAAGCAGGACATGAACCAGGCAGTCGTACAGAGGGTGATGGGTGGGAGACGAAGAGTGGAATGTGGGAGGGAAGAGCCGTCGAGCTCGCCTCCGATCTTGGCCCAGATCTGGGGCATCATGTCTTTGATGCTTGACATTAGAACCCCCAAGTCGACATTTGCGCCTTCGAGATTGAGTTCATGAGTCCCTGGGAGATAAGTGGTCGTTATGATGTTGAGCATCCAGAACGCCTTTTCTTCCTCCATGAAGAGAAGAAGTAGGCCAGCAAGAAAGTTGAGTGATTGACAATAGCCGATGCGCGGGTTGTGAATGGAAAACGCTTGAAGGACTCGCCGGAGAGATTGCAGTAGAGGCGTTTCTGGTTCAACTTGCTGGCTGTTGCGCACTTCGCCTGGAGCCAATGGTGGCAGATCTGGCTTGAATTTAACGTTGTCTGGAAATGTTCGGTTAAGATCCCGTTCGATGATCTCTTCATCCGTTTCTGTCACATCGCCTGCGGCAGCTCTTCTCACCAAGGCGTTATAGACTCCATAGTTCTTGCTCACCATGGCTGGACCTCCTGCATACCAAAACCATGCATCGCCTCTCCAGTCTGGCGGTATTCCTTTTCGAATGAAACGCTTGACTTTGGCGGATTTTGCCGGAAATCGTATTGGTCGATCAGTGACAAGTCCATTGTCTTTCAGTAAAGCCACCCATTTCTTTCGCCGTCGAGTCAAGTACTCTGTATACGGTCCATTCCAGGCTTCGTACGCCTCTAATGAGATGTATTGAGTCTTCTTCCGGAACCCATATCGATCTCTCGTCTCATCAAATGGTGCCGCAGTCGCCCTTGTTACTGGCCGACTGGGACTCGGAAGCTTCTGCTCAAAATAAGCTTCCTGGACGTCTAACGTCCCATCACCACTCCTGGGCACATCCTCACTTGGTCTCCCAACCGTATGGAATATCTGATGTGAGTCTCTGACAATCCTTGCCATGTTTGGAACCATAAGGGACTCTTTCGCGTCCAATGGTTCTGGTGACTCCGTCACTAAAGAATCAGTCATGGCTTCATGAAGGCCAGATATCCTTTTCCGTTGCGAATCAGGTGTATTCGGTCTCGTAGCATCATTATCCTCAACGCCCGAGTCCATAAATCCACTCTCGTACATCCCAATGGCATCATCCACGCTCATTCCCTCATCCCGGCCATATATTGAGGTTGCAGAGCTGCTCTTCGTCATGACACTACTCCTCTCTGTCCCACTGGTGCCCATAAAGCTAGAACTGGTGGTCAAAGCGGATCGAAAGCTAGCTCGTACTTCCTCACTATCAAAGCCGTTCGGTCGTGGTATGGGGTCCCGTCGATATGCAGAATGATTACTATCCGGTCTGCTGACTGCTTGCCAGGGCCTGTATTGACGATTGTTCAGGTTTCTCTGGCGAGAGTATATCGAGTCGGCAGCTTGATAGTCAGGTATCGAAGCTGAGGGACGTATTTGGTAGGCTGGTAAATTCATGGAAGATTGAGAAGAGGATGTAGAGAAACCACGGTCTCTTGAAGAAGCAAGGTCCGTAGGTGTTTGCTGCTCATCGTAGGCCCGTAGAGGGAACGAAGATGTTGCGTGTGAGAGCGGTTTAGGGGAGTCATTCCTACGCCGTAAGCTCGGCTGTCGAGGTCTGGAGAAGTTGTCTGCTGGTAAGTCCGCTGCTCTATCCGTAGATTGCGACCTATGCCCATTATTCAGAGCCCGGAGTCTGGAAGCCTCGGAAGGTTTCTTGTGTAGACTATGAGGAATGCCTGGTGGAGCAGTAAAGGACCGCTCGTTGGAATGTGCGTGGTGTGAGGTATATGGCCGTTGATTGTACTCCTCTTTGGACATGACAGGAGAAATTTGGGGAAGCTGTGGAGCTGTGGAGGCAATTGGCGACGAGGGTATAGAAGGTATCGAGCTCTTCGAAGCTGTTCTCGGACGCGCAGGATAAAGACTGAACTTCATACTGCGTTGCCTCTTAACCTGAGAGCTCTCAGCGTCCGTCTCCTCGTACACTGCTCCCGTCCCATTGTATCCATGTGTTGTGCTCATTGCCCTGTTGTCCTCGAGTCAACACACTTGGGTCCACGACTCGTCCTCTCCACCACCAGGCCCGAGACCCTTCGTCAGTCGCGAAACCCTGTCTCAGGTACTGTACCGCTGCTGCACATGAAAACCGCGTTTGGAAGGTCGGAATACTTTCAATTGGAAGTCGCGGAAGCTGTAGATGTCGAAGGTCGAAGGTCGAAGGTCGAAGGTCGAAGGTCAATCGAATGGAGAAGTGAGGTCTGAGCAAACGTCCGGGCGCATTTGTTTTGTTTGTAGTCAAAGCAGCGGCGAGAGGAGGATCTGAATCTCGGATGATTCTGTGTTTCGTGCCTCTGACGGTGTTGTGGAGTGCGATGTTACCAGGATATCCCATAGATGTCTAAGTGTTTGGCAGTCCAAGCTCGGAATGATTGGACACGAGCTGCTCCAGAGCTCGGTTGGGCCCAGTAATCTTAAAAAATGGTCCAACCTTTCTGACGGATCACAACAGCTGTAAAGCTATATCAGATTTAAATGGCGTCGTTATTAGAGGAAAGAAAAGAAGAAATTCTCATCGCCTGTCACATCGGTTACAACTGCTTACTGGCATCGGCGATGTAGCACATGGTAGCCGTTGGGTGATAGAGATTCTTTAGTCGAGCACATAAGATTGCATTCGATTCCTGCTTCTGAGCCCATGCCGAAAGTAAACAATTTCCGGGGATTGGGTTGAGAAATTTAATCAGCCCTGTCAATAGTCTAATACGTTAATAACCCCTTCCGTCAATTTTCTCCACATGGCACTAGAAGCAATAGCCGAAGTAATAGTATGACATGCAAATAAGTTTCTCACATTCCGCCTGACTCTGGGCTTCCATTTGTAGAGGTCAGCCTCCTGGAATTCAGATATCCAAGAGCAAGCTGTGCCTGCCAACCAATGGTCAGCTTGGAAGTCACATTCCTTTTGTCGCTGGTGAATTTACCGAACAATTCAGCCATACGAAGCCAAGTAAGTGTGGTGCAAAGCAGACATTTGACCATCACCACACTACTCCGCAGGAACGTGCTTTGCATCTCATGCGAAAATCATTGTATTCTCTATTCACGGCTTTTTCATCGTTGCATACCTACTATCGTATAAACAATGTGATGGAATTGCAGAGCCATCGCATCAAATTAACGCCAACCAATTCAAACATGCCTTAGCAGATGCAGAACTCCGAGATGAAAGGCTCCAGCCATATTGCAAGACTCATTCATCCGTCCATCATGTACTCATAAACCCTCGCCCAAATTCTATCATCAACAGCATTATACAAAACGACTTCCAGGATATGAAAGCACTAAAGAAACGTCAAGGGTTGGTGAAGTCTCAGATGACTCGTCCTTCATCAACACCAGCCTCTGTACCCTCGATTTGCATTCCCAACGCGTTAGGAACACCAATCAGAATTCGACCTTTCGGAACCTTGATATCCTTGACACCAAAATTTCCGAAGACCTTCAGCGTCTTGAGATTTGGGCAAGATCTGAAAACGAGACCACAGACGAAATCGTTGACACCTTGACAGAAGCTGAGATTGAGTTGTCGAAGCTCAGGATATACCTTGTCTTCGGCAAACACGTTCTCAAAGGCTTCACGAGATATGTGGCGGCAGGACTGGACATCGAGATAGCGGAGAGTCGAACCTGAGTGTGCCATCAAGGCCTCAAAACCAGCAGAAGCGAGACCGATCAAGTCTGGATTCTCGCGTGGCTCAGCGGCGTCAATGTGTCGACATTTATGGAAGTCAATATAGAGGAGAGGAGGATTGAGCCAGTTTGTGAAGAGCGCAGCGAAGCCCGCATCGGTGAGAACTTCGTTGTCAGTTACACGGAGTTTGAGGAGCTTTTGGCAGTTCTCATGGATAGCCTGAAGAACAGAGTCATCAACGTAGTGGACTGCTGCAAGGGCGAGTGTCTCGAGGCCTGGACCGATACTGTTGATGATTTCAACATAAGGTTCGGTAGAGGTGGTATTGTAGATCTCGAGGGACAACTTCTTCAGATTGGAAAGGTCGGCAATATGGAAGAGTCCTTCATCGGTGACCTTTTGGTTGTGGACAACTTTGAGGCGTTGAAGCTGAGGGCATGCTTTTGGGAGAAGCTCGAGTTGTTCATCGCCGAAGTGACCATCGGTGTGGTAGACCTTCAAGGCCTTTAGGTTTTGACTTTTCTCGTTTAGGAACCGATCCCATCTCTGGTCATCAATCAAGTTTGCACCATGCAGACTGAGACTTTCCAACTCTACTGTAGTACCGAGTAGATGGTCCATAACCTTATTCTTGAATTGAATAGCATTGCGGAGACGGAGGTGCTTGACTGTGGGGCAAATCTGTAAGATTCGGATGTAATCATCAGACGACAATTTTGATCCATCGTAGACTGTGACAGTGTCGCTGCCAGCACGGAGGAAGAGATCGAGGGTAGTAGTGTTGACAAGCCACTTCTTAGAGAGAATTGCTGCGAGTTTATCAACCAATGGAGCCGGAAGATCGCCCAAGCTTGAAGCATCATCAACGTTCTTTGCCAATGTCTCGATGCAGAGCGACATGAGAGACTTTGCTCCAGGATAGATGCCATCAAGAAGGTCGCTCTGGATTTTGCGTCGTGCCTGACCAGCGGCGCTCTTTCTCTTCTTTTTCGCAGCACCTTCCTCTTTGTTGAGCTCCTTGGTGCATGCTGGACATAGCAAGCCTCCACTTGGACCAGCTTTGCTGTAGGCGGTAACGCTGAATCTCTTCTCACAGATCTCACAATTCTCCATCTGGCCAGGTAGAGGTGCCATGTCGGCTTCGAATATAGCTCTAGCTGCATCGTCCTCGTCGGTCAACTCATCGTCAGAGCCGTTATTGCGTCTGCGCTTCTGGAATTTCTTCGAAGCCTTGATCTTTGCGATAGCTTTCTATCTCGTGTCAGCATTCCAATTAGTCAGTGTCTCTCACATAGCACAACTTACCTCCTCTTCCTTCTTTCTTTTCGCCTGTTGTGCCTTTGTCTCCTTGCGCTTGCGCGGTGGTTCTGGTGCAGTGACCTCATCATCATCATCCTCATCATCGTCGGGTGTATCTGCAGGTTGTTGGGAGGCTAGGGCAGCAGCTCGTCGAGCAGCAGCATCTTGACGGATTTGGTTGGCATTAATTCCTGCAGACTAAAGACAGTCAGTAATTGTATGGAAAGATTGCTACCTGATAGACACTTACTGCGAGGTAGCTGGTCAAAGCGGATTGCCTTTCAATCGGTCAGTAATCACGAAGAACGGGGGAGGGGGTTAAAGAGAACTCACGGTCCTCGAATTGGCGCAGCTCGAGCAGCGGCAGCTGTGATGGCAGCATTGACAGGAGCATTTGGTACAGGATTTGCAGGATTAGTATTGGGAGCATTTGCATTTGCATTTGCATTTGCAGTCTGTCGATTACGCTGTCTACTAGACCTTCATTCTGGTCAGCCATAGATCTTGAAAGGAGGGGCTTTTAAATATACATGTTGACAAGGTTGCCCCTCGGTACGTTTGCTCTCGTCGTGAGCGCAACGCTGAGGAACGAGAGGTCGTAGAAGTGATCGGACTCCAAGACCCGTTGTAGTCGGGATGCCCTCAACTCAGGTGCGTTGCCACGTCGAGTGAAGTTCTTGACAAGTACAGCAATATTTCGAGGCGTTGAAAGGAGAATTACAGGATGACCCGGTAGAAAACGCGAGCGCGTGATCACGTGCTGTGGTGCCCGGCAATTGGTTGCTAAATTGATTTTGGACAGCGCTATGTCTCGAAGCTCAGCCCCTGAAGTGAGCCGAGCCGAGCAAAAAGCTCAACAGCCTGGAACTTCAGCCTTCCCTTCTCTCCCCATCGTCGTGTACGAATTCACATCATTGCACCATGGACTATATCTCCCGCGCCATGGATTATGTCTCCCTGGACACCGTCGACAAGGTTCCTAGATCAGTGCTGGCGACTTTTGCTGGCATTGGCACCTTGTGGTTGAGTTTCAAGGTCATCAGCTATGTGAGATTGTTGTTGAGCTTGTTTGTCTTCAGTGGAAAGAGTGTATGTCCGCCCCCTTCCGCAGTTAAGATCCAGCGCTATCCATAACATGATACTAATTATACTCATAGCTTCGTAGCTACGGCAAGAAAGGTACCTGGGCAGTTGTCACTGGCGCCTCGGATGGCATCGGAAAAGAATATGCTATTCAACTTGCGCAGAAGGGTTTCAACCTCGTCCTGATATCTCGCACTGCTTCCAAACTCGATACACTGTCCACCGAAATCACTCAAAAATATGCTGGCTCCCAGATTGCAGTCAAGACACTTGCCATGGACTTCTCTTTGAACAAAGATGAGGACTATGCTAAGCTGAGGGCGCTGATTGATTCCCTCGATGTTGGAATCTTGGTCAATAATGTTGGACAGAGTCACAGCATACCAGTCCCCTTTGTGCTCACACCTAAGGACGAAATGAAAGCTATCATCGAGATCAACTGTGTAGCCACTTTGAGAGTTACACAAATCGTTGTGCCTGGCATGATACAGCGCAAGCGTGGTCTGATTCTTACCATGGGCTCTTTTGGTGGACTTCTTCCCACGCCTCTTCTCGCAACCTATTCCGGCTCCAAAGCTTTCCTACAACAGTGGTCTACTGCACTCGGCGCCGAGTTGGCTGGCTCTGGTGTGGACGTTGAATTGGTTCTCAGTTACCTGGTCACCACTGCTATGTCAAAGATCCGCAAGACCAGCGCATTCATCCCAAGTCCAAGAATGTTCGTTAAGAGTGTTTTGAGCAAGGTTGGCCGCAGGGGAGGTGCACAGAACATGGCATATACCAGTACGCCATTCTGGGGTCATGCGATTATGCAGTGGTGGTTGGAGAATACAGTTGGCTTGGGAGGTCAGAAAGTGGTGGTGCAAAACAGAAAGATGCACGAGAGCATCAGGAGGAGGGCTCTGAAAAAAGCAGAGAGGGATGCTAAGAGGGCATGAATTGGGCAATGAAGCCGATGGCCAATCATGGGTTTCGACTGGAATGGTCAGTCGATGTTATTGAGAAACGAGGCTGAGGCTCCGGGGCGGAATTGAGAAGCGTAGTATGGATATCCCTTAGCTTAAGCGCTACATTATCTGCAGATAGACTTGAGGACGCAATCGATCTGACTCGTCTGATGTTCGTTTCCTTATGGACACCTGTGACTGGCTCATGTGCACATGCTTTGCAGTAGGTTCCACAGCAAGTGTGATGTCAAAAAGTATGATGCTCGACTCTTGGAGAGCGTCCAAATCATTACTGATTTGACGACTATGGTTTCCAACTCTCACCACAAATGTCGATGGTCTTTGGAAAACTCAACAGGATCTCGCTCCATCTTACTCCGAACGGCGGGAGTATCCAGCAGCTCCACCGTTGCCAAGATGAAGCTATTCAACAGCACCTATTTCGGTCAATCATGCAGCCTCTCGTCTCTCCTCTCCTCGACTGTTCTTCGCCGAGTAGTGGACTTCCCAGCTAGCTCAAGCTTTCGGCCCCAGAACCCAGGAATTGATGTGGCATATTCGACGGTATTACGCAATGTAACCGACGCTCGCGCAGGACAAAAAGTAACCTTGCTACTTGCCTTGGTCGACTGCCTTTGTGATCCTGCCTCTTCCCGGCAGCCTCTGCTCTGCATCTGCATCTGCATCTGCCTCTCCCACTATTGCCAGGCCTGGTCTGCCCTGCTCGTCGATATCACATCACAAGAGATCTCGTACTTTGCTGCGGGGTGTGATTGGCGGGGTGTTTACAGTGTAAGCGGACGTGCATTGATGGCGTTCTTCCCGAGGACGTCTAAGGCTTGCAATTGGCCCGGGGCGGGATCGACTCGACCCTGGCAGCACGTCGAAGCGCTGAGCACAGCACCCCGGGAGATTCCCCCAAACGTCCCTAGCGGGCTCTCTCGAGCTGCACCTCTTGTCATCCCCTCCTCCCCTCCTCGCCCTCTCAACTGCGTGCCTTCCCTTCCATCCCGTAGGCGCCGGCTCTTGCAGAAGTCTATCAAGTGCTGCATCCAGCTGCATCCAGCCCACCCGCATCAGTCCAATGGCCTGTGAGTGCAGGCGAGTGGAGGTACAGTAGTGGACGTCCCAGCCGAGCCAGCATCAACGGGACAACTGCCACTGCCACTGCCACCAGCAAGCCAGAGTGAGCCCATTGTTGGTGGCCTCGATAGCTGGCCTCCCATAAAGGTAACCTAGGACCCCAAATTAGATTCTCCTTTCCTTTCTCTTCTCTCTCCAGCAAGCAGTCAATCTTCTCAGAGCTAGTTCCTCCATCTCCGTTGTGTTTTTTTTGTTTACCTGCCCCGTCGTCTACGAGCTGTGCTCATAATATCATCACCACCACACATACATTCTAATTATCCTAACCAAGTTGCTGGCCAACTTTATTATTATTTGCATCTCTAATCGACCGTTTATTCCCAAAACTAGCTCTACTTGCTCGAAACAACTGCATACCATTTCACATTACGACAATTTCGCTTTTTAAGTAGCTTTCAAGCTCACAATGTCAGCCGTTCAACTCTCATTCTCGCTCCGCACGTCCTCGGGCGTCAAGACCGTTCATCTTCTCGGGTCATGGGATGGCTATGCCGGACAACTTCCTCTTTCCAAGGATAAGACATCTTCAAAGTCTGGTGCCTGGAAGGGTACATTCAGATTTCAGGGCAGCACACTCCAGCCTGGCCAAAGATACTGGTACTACTATATCATCGACGGATACCATGTCTCTCACGATCCTGGACAGTCATCCACCACTGAGCCTACCACTGGCCGCGTTCTGAACATCCTCGATGTCCCCCATGAGAAGTCCTCATCTTCATCCCACCGCTCCTCGAAGACCAGCTCTTCTTCAAAGCATTCTTCGTCGGATAAGGAGAAGCGCTCATCGAAGCACCACTCTTCATCTTCAAAGGAGAAGCACTCCTCCTCCAGCTCTCGCCGTGAATCCCGCCGCGACAGCTTGAGCCTGACCGTCGACATTCCCAAGGGACGCCCGCTCTCCGTGTCCCAGATCCAGTCACCGAAGCCAGTCACTCCTCATGCCACCAAGTACATCCTCGAGGCCGACTACAGCGCACCTACAGTCGAGGAGTTGACATCCCGCTTCAGTACCACGACCATCGACGAGGAGTACGGCTACGATCTGTCCAACTCACCTCCCTCATCCGTCGGTTCCAGCCTGTCAAGCCGTTCGGACAGCGACTCGCCCAGCTCCGCAAGTTCCCTCAGCGACTACAGTACGTCTCGCTCCGGGTCCGTCAACTGTACTTGCGAGCGCTATGGCATTACTCGCGGAGGCGATCGTGTCAAGTTAGACTGTGGCGGCTCACGCTGCGGCTACAGCGACGATTCGAGCTCCTGCTGCTCATCAGACGAGGAATACATTCCCAGCAGCTCTCGCCGCCACGGTCTAGTCGTGAGACGATGACGAGATGGAAAGAAACAGAGAAAAAGGAGAACGGAAGGAGTTGAGGTAGAATGAACTGCAGGAGGAAAGAATGAATCCCAATCATCCCCAACGCCGTCCATTCCTTACGGCTACTTAACCTGTTTGCGACACCACAGCGCGCATCAGCGGCTGGCTTCTGATGCGCCTGTCACTCACGAAGCCGAATCCGCGGCACCGCGGCCGGGCCATGTTCTCACTCCCTCCTCGTTTCCCGAGTGGACTGGGATTGAACGTGGCCGCGCCGCGCGAATTCGTTGTGTACCGTCAATCATCCTTGCACGCTCTTCCTGCACGAAAGGAAGAAGCGTCCAGCTCGGAAGGAGAGGGGGAGTCTAGTTTTTTTAATGGCTGCAGAAGGTGGTATTGGTGGACTAGAGAGACACGTACACGGGGGCAGCGCTTTGTCTCTGAGATACTGGAAAGTCAATGGCCCTGAATCCGGCTAGCCATTTCTATCGGCGTAGAGCACTGTCTACGGTGAAGATAGCATAGGTGGATAGAAGACGTTTGAATCTACTCCACAGAAACCGACACTTGTCTGACTTCTTTTGATACCTCTATGAAAAAATATGATTTGTGACGTTGCCGAAATACTTGCTTACAGCTTGAAAGCAGGGGCGGATAGAACCGTAGAAATTGTCCTAGTGAGAAAACCTGTCGAAGTTTAGGTCCACCTTCATACATATTGCCCGCCAATAGAAACTCCAACTTATCCCTCGAACAAGCCACTGGGCGCTTCCTGGTTCCCAGTAAAGTGAAGTACGTAGCCGGACGAGGCAACCCTATGGATTTCAACTCGTGCAAAAAGTATCACTTGAAACTGAAAAGGAAATCCGATCTTCAAGAGAAAGAAATGAGACTGCGAACCAAGGGCCTTAAAGGTAGCTGAAGTGTCATGACTGAGATACGTCTATATCTAAAATTAAATACAGTTCACTCTTGAATTCTAGAAGGAGAAGTCTAAAATCCGAGACCGATCAAGTCTTTATAAGTATCTCGTTGTAATGACATAGAAACGTCAAGGACTCGGACAAGTTGAATCTGATAAAGTACAGAAAGTGAAAGAACAGGCGGAGGACAAACTGCTTTAATGTTTCCTCGCAAAAGAAATCACAAAATGGCAAGATAAGACTTTCGGACTGTGAGACTTGAGAAAGAAGAACACTACATCTTCAAATAGAAACGGACGGACATACAACTTTCCCTTCTTCATTCTGGCATTACATTTCTGCAGGAAATATACGAAGTCCGGGCAGAGCACACCCAAACCTGCCCAAGAGATGTAGGTAGACAGAGTCTGGAAAAGGAGCCCTGTGCATCTTCCTCATTTGCTTGTTGATTTTGTGGATCAAACGAAGCCAAGCCATATTTCCCAAAATAGATCTTAGGAGTCTAACAACGGAGAAGAACCACGTACTGACAATTTGTCACCAAGTCTGCAAACATGGAAGATAAATTTCATGCCCCATGGAAGGGCCAGCACTGTAGATTATCTTCTAGCTCTATCTGTCTCTGACTTCTTATCTATTGCCAGGGCAGTCGAACCGCCAGTATATTACCAAATCGTACAGCAAGGGGAGAAATCCCCGAAGAAGAGTGGCAGCTCTCTCTCTCTCTCTGTCTTTCCCTCTACCCATATCTAACCCAAACTCCTTCCCCAAAGTGTATGTTCTTCTAGTCTCTCCCGAAAAAACTCCGAAGTGAACTTTTGATGTGACCGAAAACCCAGGAAAATTAACAATGGCTCGCTCTAAACAGACGCTAATCGATGGCTCGGATAATCGAAGAAAGTCGTGGAAGCCAGGTATCGAGGTATCGAGGTTTATGGACGAATGCCGCAAAAGGGGAATCGTGAGAATGACGTAACGAAGGGACACGCAAAGCAAAGCTTCGACGGCTCATTCACGCCAGCATCGCTTGCTGACTCTGCTCCCTCTGCTTCTCTTCCCGGAAGACCCTCCTGCTCATCTCCAAAACCGCTTCGAACCCCTCCTTTCCTTTTCGAGCGTTCTCCGAGAAAGCCGTGACGGTTGCATCCTCTACAGCGTTCTTGACCTTCTGCCATCCTCCGCATAAAGCTGTGATCTTGGCATCTTGCACGAACTGTGTCCGGGTTGCCGAGAGTGGTTGGTATGTGACTGTCTCCCTGACGTTGATGATATTCGAGAACGTGAGGTTGTGGGAGATCATGGTGACCTTTTTCGATGCCGGGTCAACGTATGAAGTCTCGAAGACGTGCGATGTATCATTGCCTCCCATCAACGAGTTCAGCCATTTCGGTGCACTTTGTTTGCACGTTATCAAACGTTCTGTTCGCAGCTGAACGATGTTAGTATGTGGATGACGGGTGCAAGAGTGGAGAAGAAGCATACAATTCCAGTATCTGAATCAACGCTTCGCGATATCGTGTCAACCGCAATTACGTGCGTTGATTTGTCGTTCCAGGGGCAGTATTTGTTCCAGTTCGCCGTTGATACCTCCTCCCACGAGTAGTTGAATGAGCAATCGTTTGAAAAGACCTTCATCGTGATCGTGTGCTGTGTGCAGGCCGAGTGGATTCCCCCAGATTTTTTATGGACTCCGACGCGTGCGATGACTCTTCCTTTCAATTTTGAGCGTGCCGAGTGTTTTGCGTATATTTATCAGGTGTTTTGAATGGATCTAGGTTCGTAGGTGTATGTATTCTGTCCCGGTGGCTGCGGAGTCAGAGCAATTAAATAGATCGATGTTTGAAGAATTTGATGTTGGCTCGTGAAGATACGGAGAAGAATTCGCCTCTTCGTCTAGCTTCGTCTAGCGCCGCCGAAGGCCGATCTGCCAAGAACCGGATGAAGGGCGAGGATTAGTCGGGATCCTCACTTGTACTGCACAGAAGAATCGTAAGCCAACCAAATCTTCTTCGGCCATCGGACAAATTTTCCCCTCGCTGAAATGACGACGGGGTGTTCCTTCGAGAAGTTTGGTTATTCCGATAGAGACAGCTACTGGGACTTGATGAATATTCAGAGCTTCATGACTGCATTTGCAATTGTAGATTGCTTTGTCAAGTTTTACTTGCTCTCATACTTACATCTAATGATAAGTGTGTTCGCCATGCCATGCCAGGCTTTTAGAAGACTCCGAAGTTAACTTGTTGCTTCAAAATACAAATGGGTATTACTCCAAGCCCTTCAACCCTATGATTCCATTCCCTGCATTCTTGTTCCTGTTGGCCTTCCTCCGCTTCTTTCGGCTCTTGCGTCCTCTATCCTCTTCCTCGCTACTGTCTGCATCACTGTCATCATCACTTCCATCTATCGCTCTCTTCTTAGCACCTGACTCATCATCATCAGAATCGTCGTCCTCCGCTTCTTCCTCCAGGTTCATCTTTTCTTGCCAGACTTTGATGATTGAACCTCCTCCACTGATCAGCCTTCCCTCAACATCGAAGCCCAATCCAACAACACCCTCGACCTCGTCATGTCTAAGCTCTGTGGTGACCTTGTTTGGACCCAACTTGACAATTCTGATCGTGCCATCCCCCACGCCGACAACCACGTTCTTTCCACCATCTCCGACGCCCTCAGGCATCAGTACAAGAGCGTCTAAACTCTCTCCACCGCCTCTTCCACCATCTACGATGATTCTTTCATCTTGATCATCCCAGACGCCTCTCTCCCACAAGGTCAGAACTCCATTCGAGCTTCCCACAAGCACCTTTTGCCCCTTACTTCTTCCTGGTCTCGATGGCAACCCACCCACGAAGACACTGCTTAGCAGTTCCTCTTCCTGATCTTCACTTTTTACCAGCACTCCTCTTCGCAAGTCGGTAACTGCCAAAGTAGTACCTCCAGTCGTGACCCATTGCTTGCTGAACCCGCTGGTGCTATTTTCTGTTGGTGGTAATGGTGTAAGAGAGGATATGTAGTCGTCGTGTGGGCGGTGTGTCTGACTTGGCTTTGTACTCAATGTTGATGGAGCCCTCAAATCGAATAGATGTAAAGCAGCAGAATCGGTCGCGAGAAGCAATGTCTGGGGAGTAAGGGCGTGGATCAGAGTTGGAGGGTCGAGCTTTCCCGAGGGATCGAACGGAATGAGGATTTTCGAGACAACTTGTCCAGTCGAGGAGTCTGCTGCTTTGAGCAGCCCATCTGTACCTGCGGAGTAGAGAACTTTTCTCACGTTAATGGGGTTGCACTGCCAATTGGGTTTGGGGAGGGGGGGGGGGGGGGGAGGTTTGTCATACCTTCCCCATCACCGCTGTATGCCAGAGTTCTGCAGCTGCCCTTGTGCCTCCGTGTTCGCCATTCCGTATCAATTGTGCTTGTTCCTGTTGAGATCACGCTAGTATCCGCGTCATCGTCGTCGCTGGAGTTGGCAGCTACTGCAGGCAGTCTGAACGATTCAACATGGCCGCCCGAAAGTCCAACTGCGAGAATTGGCTCGGTTGGATGAAGTGCTTGAGTGAAGAGCTCAGAGGAGAGCGGTAGAGTGCAGAGATTCTCGAACATGATGTCAGGGCATGTTCAATTGATGATATTGGATCTGGATCGAGGTTGTTTTTCTGATGATCGCCAGATCCTCACAGAAAATTTGGCGAGTGGCAGCTCCCTGAAGTGGTCAGAGCTTCAGGTGCATGACCCCGCGATTTGGCGACCCCACCAAGCCCCAAAAGCTGGACAGGAGGAAGGGAAGGCCTCCTCTCACTTTGTTCTTCTCTGACCAACTTGATTGATGTCTGGGAAAATAGAAGAAGCTATTACAAACATTCGAATGGGAATCAGTCGTTGCAAGAGCGGCCGGGTGATCGCCCCACAACTCGAGAAAGGCAAAGTCGGGTGTCTCCTAGAGGCCAGCATTTACAAGTATGAAATTGTTTGGCAGCGAGCATTTGCCCTACATGCGGCTGCCAAAATTCAGAGAAGGGTACTTGGAACAACCCATAGTCTCTAGCTCGTACTTCTAGTACAAGGGCCTTAAGTCTGTTAAGCTCAGGAGAATTAAAGAAGGGCTTTTGACGGCAAAGTTTCAATGAGGTATGTATCTTCGTTGGCAAAGGGCCTTCACGAGGCAGCGGAAAGGAGTTGCCATGTTTTTCTCCCGTTCAAATCAGTGTGGTTCCAAATACGTACTTGACTCTATGACTTTCAGCGTCGTCAGGCTTCCTTGATCTCGGCTTCCTGAACGGCTTCTGCAGACTGATGCCGGAGCTCACTCTTTGCAATTACCATGAATCTGGCAACTCCGCAAACGACTCCCGCAAACCATTTTAAACGCCTTTCATGGTCCCGAGAATGAAAGTTGGCTGCGTGCCACCAACCATACCAATTCTAGGGGCATAAAGTCTTTCCCGGTCCCACTGGTTCAAGCACTCCCCGCTCCAAACAAAAAAGGCCCCACGTCGGCTCGTCTCCGCCATCTCTCCACCACTTATTTAGCCCTCATCAAGTCCGGCTTGCATCACGTAGGATATTTTCGAAAAGCTTCATAATACATATATCCGTGTCTGGACTTTTTTCTCGCAAGTCATTACTCTCTTCACATTCAATCTATATACAGTAGAGACTAGAGCGGAAGTCAGCAGCGAATTTACCGTGCGATTTTGAACGAGGTCCCACATCAGGGCCTTCACGACTTACAGGCAGACAAAATGGCATCCCAGGAGTTGAAGAAGTCTTTGAGGATATGTGTTATTGGAGCAGGTATATGATCATCTTTTATAGAGACAAATTAATGATTGCTAACGTACTACAGGAATGGGTGGGTTGGCATGTGCACTTGCACTTGCAAAGGAGGGGTTTCAAGATATCCAAGTCTTTGAGACAGCTTCGAATTTAGGATTCGTCGGTGCTGGAATCCAATTGGCTCCAAACATGGCTCGGATTTTGGACAAGTTGGGTGTTTGGAAAGCAATTGAAAAGGAAGCTGTGAGATGTCATGAAACTAGCATTAGAGGTCAGCACCAACAAAGATCGTTGGACCGGAAGACGTTACTAACTCAAACAGACGGAGCAAGTGACAATGAATTGGCACACGTTGAGCTAGATTATATCTACAAGACTTATGGATATCCACATATGGTCGGGCACAGGACATCCCTTGCTGGTGGTCTTTACGAAGGATGCAAAGCCGAGAAAGCCATAAAATTCCACTTTGCAACTTCTCTTAGCGGCATCAAGACCTGGTCGCCAAAGACGACTTTTACAGCAACACCAAGAAACGGCGAACCATTCACAGTTGAAGCAGACGTTGTGCTCGCTGCTGACGGAATCAAGAGTAACGCAAGGCGGGATATGCTGAAGACCCTCAAAATCGACGCAGACATCATTGACACGAACCAAGCCGCATACCGTATCATGATCAACCGTTCTGACATTCTGGATGACCCCGAGCTTCTCGAATTGATGGACGGGGAGACTGTGACACGATGGATTGGAGAGAAGCGGCACATCATTGCATACCCTATTTCGAATAACACGATCTACAACATGTCTACTTGCCAACCCGACGTCAACTTTGCAGCTGCACCTTCTGAGACATACACAACAAAGGGATCGAAGCCAGCTATGTTATCAGTCTTCGCTGATTTCTGTCCGAAGATCCAACGACTGCTGAATCTGGTCCCCGATGGCGAAGTCTGCGAATGGAAGCTTCGTGTGCATGCGCCCCTCCCTACTTGGGTTCACGGCTCCGTTGCTTTGGTAGGAGACGCATGCCATCCTACCTTGCCACATCTGGCCCAAGGAGCAGCCCAAGCCATCGAAGATGCTGCAGTCATTGGAGTTCTGCTCGGAAAGCTTCCCAATTCCTCGCCTGAGACGATCAATAAGACATTGAAAGTGTATGAGAAGATCAGGAAAGGCAGAGCAGAGACACTGGTCGAAATGGCGGCAGCTTCAGGGAGGGAATTACATCTTGGAAAGGGTGCTGCGAAGGAAGAGAGAGATAGACAGTTTGAGGAGTTGAAGAAAAAGGGTGGGAGGGTGCCAGACAAGTGGGCTGATGCGGATGTACAGAAGATGATTTATGGACTTGATGTTATGAAGATAGCTGATGAGGAGTATGAGGAGTTGTTTAAGAGTATATAGCGTGGTTGCAAAGCGCAACTTGTAATTGTTTATTTTGAGCACTCGCTTATCCATCACGTGTATGATTCTGGCAAGGCATTTACCGTTCAATTGCCATTTGAAGCACTGGACAGGGTGGATACTGTATATATGATTTCCTCTTTAAGTTACCAGAGAATTTGAATGCTTTCTGACCACTTTTTGTTGTGATGGAAGAATCTGGAAGCGGGGAGTGGCACTGCAGTCACATGAGTCGGAGATAGCGCGGGACAAGCTCCGTCGACGTCAACGACGGTCGCCTTCAAAGCTCTCAAAAACACCTCCACCTCCGATTGACTTCCACCATCATTGCAAGCAACCACACAACACATCTTTAAGATGGCTTTCACGATGCGCCAACCTTTTAAGCTGACCTCCGCGCTGGCAGGAGTTTCAAAGTCAGCTTTCCGATCGACTGCCGCCCCAGTCCGATCATTCCACAGCAGCAGACCAGCAAACTCGTTCTTCACCTCGAGAAAAGCTACGCCTATTACGACACTTACAAAGGCGAGATATGCGTTCAGACAGAGTAGGACGTATATGCAGGAGCCGGTCGCGCAAGCTCCAGGAGGAAACTTGACGCAGAAGCTTATAATCGGGGGAGCCATCTTTGGGGGTACGCTCGTGGCTATAAATCTAGGTGTGTATATTCGATTACCATTCAAGCACCTTTGCTAATAGTCCGTAGTATTCAACCGAGAGACGCGCGAGGATGGCGGGATGCCTCCATTCGAGCGGGCATACCTGAACGACACCTTCATGCACACTGGCCTTGGAATCGGTATCATCGGACTGTCCGCAAGAGCAATGTTCCAAAGCGGCTTCACATACCGGTTGATGGCTACAAACCCATGGGTTGTCATGATTGGAGGTCTTGCTTTGAGCATTGGAACCATGATGGGAACGCGAGCTACCAGCCCAGATAACTACATCCAGAAATACGGTCTCTGGGCCGGCTTCAACGTCACTCAAGGCGCTCTTCTCGCTCCTCTCCTCTTCATGGCACCACCAGCTCTCATTGCCCGCGCTGGTCTCTATACGCTAGCTATGATGGGTTCCATCTCCTTCGTTGGCGCCACCGCTAAGCAAGAGAAATATCTGTACCTCGGTGGACCTCTCCTCGCAGGAGTAGCTCTCGTTGCCGTCTCCGGATTCGCACCTCTCGTTCTCCCCGCCACAGCAGTCCGCACTCTCGCCTTCACAGAGAACATCTGGTTGTACGGAGGTCTCGCAGTCTTCGGTGGTTTCACGCTCTATGATGTCCAGAAGATTCTTATGCATGCTAGGATGGCGGAGAGAGGGTTGATGGCTAAGGACCCTGTCAACGAGAGCATCAGTCTGGAGCTGGATTTCTTGAATATCTTCATTCGGATGGTGCAGATTTTGATGATGCAGCAGGGAAGGAGGAAGTAGAGGGTGGTGATTGGAATGGAATGGAAAGGGGATGGAATACCATGGGGTTTAGGAGTAGTGGGGTTCTGTATTATGAAGATGACAAGTAGTCTCCTCTCTTTTGTTTGTAAGCATTAGCGGGTTGGCAAGCCTGAAATTGACCAATATGCATAAATCAATAAGCAGTTTATTGCCATCAACAGTAAAGCCTGTGGTATCAAATCCGACTATAAACCTAGCCTAATTGATCTGGAGAGAATTTTACAAAAGACAATATTGATCATCCATCACTTGCAATTTGCAAGTAACTCCAAACTTGTAACATTCTGCTCGTCTGTCTACATCTAGGACGTAAGGCCAGAGCCAGCCATTAATAGGCAACTGAAGGACTAATAGTACACACTCCCAACATGCGGTAAGCGAGGCCAGAAAAGGGGGAATGAAAACAACTCCTAGGTATACCACACCTCACAGAGCTCTTTATATCCATACTTCTGTTTGTCATCCATTCAAGCACCTTTAATACACCCCCAGAATGGATCTAGGACTATATTTATTCCTAGAGAACACAATAGAGGGCTCGGATTATTCTAATTGCCGATTTGCTGCTCGGCAAGAAGGGAGGGCTCGCATCGTGGAATGATCCTCTTTCAGTGTTTAAACTTTATATAGAGTTTTCGAAGTGATGAAGTAAAATGTCTCTAGGGAGGATGTGCTGTTGTTCTGGTGCTTCTGTTAAAGAGTGAGGGGGGTTCAGTACATATATTGGGCACAGTAGGCAAGATTACAAATCGTCTAGAAACTCGATGGGTCATTTCGTTGCGATAGTTCTTATTATCCACGATCTTAGGGAGATTTGAGGTGATGAATAGGTGAAGTTGTATCACTTTCTTGGACTTGGACTGGGCTTGAGCATCTCGTTGTTCCTAAGAAGCATCAAATACAGTGGGCTCCGGCTTGACGAGCAGAGGTATGATCAATGCTCACAAAAGTAAATAAAATGAAAGGAATATATGGTATGGTAGTAGCTCGTTTTCAATTGATAGCTAAGCTGATGGGGTATATATCTACGACACTATTTAAGCAAACAGGTATTGTGCGCATTGCTCGCCTGACGAGATATTATGAAAGCATGTGAAACTCCCATACTTCTACCCCGCCAATTGGGTCCCCTCATATCCTGGATTCCATGTTCATATTCCACTCGTCCGTCTGGCCATCCGTCCAAAGAACCAGGTGCTCGGAAGGGTAGACTTAATGGAATTCACGGTCCGAACGGAAGTATGGCGGCCAGAATGAAAGGGCGTGTGACTCCGGGTAAAGGCATTCCGCCATTCACGTCACTCGCCTTCTCCCAATTGAAGCATTATTTTTTTCTTCTTCTCCCTGATGCCCGAACAATTGAGCATGTCTCATTGTCCAACCTCTCAAGTAGGCGGCTTCTTCTTCCGCGCCCACCACGCACCAACCTCGAGACATTCCCCCCAAGATGTCCCATTCTGGTTCAAAAGATCATTCATCATGTTCCCCTGCCAGCGATCCCACTCGTCCTGGCCCTTTCCACTGGCTTCCTTGAGTAAAGGTTCGAGACTCTCAATCATTTGAACGACTGTCATGAGTGCTGTTCTGCGGAGGGCGAGTTGTCCTGCGGTCAGGGTTCGTCGATCTGCTTCTCGGGCTTTGCCTTTGGAAGAGATGACGTTGCCGTTTGAACCTTGCGTTACTGCTCCGCCGACTCCTTCTCGCTCCCAGCGGACCTCGTCCAGGGGTATTGCTAACCGGCGACAATCGATCTCGGTTAAGATTTCTGATTCTTGGAGAAGCATGGGAAGCATGCTGGTACATGGCATGGGTGTCAATTTTCGGGCTTCCAGTGCCTTTGATATCCAGCTGTTGTAGTCGTTCAGATACGTATTGTGTGGGGCTGCCAAAGGCGTCTGCCTCGTCAATGTATATGTGCCCATTGCATTCGTGTGCACCTGTTCCTCGTCCTCACTATCGTCATCATCTTCTTTCGTTGAAGGGGGAGCATGCGGTAATAACATTCGCAACGAGTGATCCCCATCCCATATCTCCAATGTTCCTCCCGGTTTCAGTATTCGTAAATATTCGTCCATCAGCACCTGCTGCATTCCCGTCGTTGGCGTAACCATGCTCAAGTCCTTAATCATAATCAAATTAAACTCCTCGTCCCGGAAGGGCAGCGGAACCCGCCGTAAGTCGTGTTGCACAAAACGCCAATTCATGTCATCGTCAGATTCCATACGCGGCGCAAGCGGCGCAATGTCAATCCCAGTAAAAGAAATAGAAGAAAAGCCTCTCTGCGAGAAATGTCGGTGACACATCACGCTCCAGAATGCTGTGCCACATCCCACTTCGAGGACACGTTTGGGGGGCTTGCTCTGGAAGGTGGAAGAGCAGGTAGGGCCATTGAATACCTGGCACAAGAGCATTGTCCGCAGCGTTTGTCTGTGAATCTCGGAGAGGTCACAGGGAAGAGGGTAGGGTAAAGTCGTATCTCGTAAATATCGTCGGCCATTCCGTAGAGTGAATGGACGTGTCAGGGTTTCATTATTCGAGGCCGGGTCACTAGATGTTACCGCTGTGAGGCCACTTGAGCCGGTTGTACTTGAATGACTGTCCGTTCGTCCAAGTGGCTCTCCCCTCGCAGCACGCGACTCCGCGCTCTGGAGTGCATGTCTGCGTTCAGCGCTATCTGAAGTTGACGATGAGGTCCGATTGTTCTTCGCGGCTTGAGCAGCTGCTCTTGATTTGTTGGTCTGGTTCGCGCTATGTTTGTAGTCAGGTAAAGGTGTTGAGAGCATGGGATCGTGTCTCTGCTCAGCGTCCCAGGAAGAAAACCGCGTAGATTGTGAAGAGTGACTGTTGACGGACGTTGACAGAGAAGACGATTTGGTGCGCGTCGTGTGTTTGGAGCTCTTTGAACCTCGTCGTTGACGCTGGAAAAGGGGCTTCACAGGTTGGGGACTGGGAGGTACGGAAGCGCCTGCATTTGCAGGAAGAGTTTTCGTTCGGTCCTCGCGAAGGATAGGTGCAGAGAGAAATAATGCAGAATGCATCTCGGCCATCTCGTGTTGGCCTTCTCACGGGCTGGGAGTGTGCTGTGCTGTGCTGTGCTGTGCTGTGCTGTGCCACGACTCACCCGCACCCTCTGCTTTACGGGAGGTTACGGACCAGGGAACAAGCGATTTGCCTAATCGAAGAGCTGGAGAACGCGTTCCGCATACCAGATAGGATGTATGGGGTTGAAGGCGTCAGCGGGGTAAGCTACTGTTGGATGATGGATACATGGCTGTGGCAATGTGACAGAAACAAGAGATGTTCTCTGTCGCTGCATTGGACGGGCAAGGGGGCCAGACCACGGACACGAAGTCCACAACCACTTCCACGGGTGAAAAGGCTCCGGGGAGCTGAACGCATAGGGCATAGGGGACCATCAGGGACCACCGCCTGAGGCAAACACTTTTGACAGCAACACTAAGTTTAACCTGCGCTATCGATGGATTTGAGGATATCGATAAGGTAGGCAGGCTCTTGGCTGTTCCTTTTGGCCACAGCTATATCGTGATGCGCAAATTGCTATACTTCCATAAGCTAGAACTCTAGTAATTTAGCGAGTGTCATCTAGGTACTCATCGGTTGATTGCCTTGCTATACAACTGTTGTACTGCAGGGCAAAGGTAGCTTGCAACAGGACAAATGGGCATGCTTATCCAATCACCCCTAGAACGGAAATTGAAGCTATTCCGAGTACTCAGGGTAACACTTCAACGCAACTCTACTAGCATCACTTCTTCTACTACTAAAATTATGGCTTCGATCACTACTGGATTTACTGTATGCCAGACGCATGCAAAAGCTGACGGCTATGTGCTTAAAGCGCAAGACACGAAACGATTGCGTGCATCATTTGTCTGCGATCGCGCAGTAAATACGATCTCAGTGGATGCAAAAGAATGTTCACTCTTTATGGTTTTGATAAGCTGGCATACGCAGCGTAGGTAAGTACGAGTTATCCACTCAGGTGCTTTCCATAGTCATCCATAACACAAACTTCAATGGTGGACATATGTGTTATGTGCACTGTTCACTCTCGGCTCGCTTGGATAGCGTATGGATTTAGCTATGGCCTAGGCTTGATGGGACGGTGTCACTGGACCTAACATAACAACATTGGAATCACAATCCAAAGTATCATCAAAACCACAGCCCCATTCTAGCAATCACAAATACGACTTTTCGACTTGTCTCTGATCCTGCAGGGTCTTCTCTGAACTGTGACTCAATTTGACCCATAATTGCTCTGTGGTGTCAGCGCAACGGGTGCGTTAGAGTGGTCGCTTTAAGCGCTGGACAGTGGTCACCAGGCCGGATATCATGGCCTTCTGAAAATAAGGGACTTTCCAACGAATCGAGCACAAATTGAACGATGTATCCGCTCCTCGAGTATCGTAGTCCAAGTGTTCAACATTCCATTCCAACGACCTATTCATATCCTCTGATGATGCCTTGTTGACTTATACCTAATCAGATCACGATCAGTGACGGTGGCGCAGATAAGCGAGGCGAGGGTCCGAGACCAGTTTCAGGGGACACGACTGACGAGACTTCTGAGAGGCCGAACAGCGAACGCTAAGCACTTTTTAAGCACTTGAGACAAGATGGGCTTCAACTTTGTTTCCACCACCACGAACCTTTCTCTTCTCAGGCTCGTCAGGCCCGGCCCTTTGTGAATTGTGAGCCTCTCCCTCTTCCAGCATCGCTCCTCCTCTCGAACACCCATCCCGTTACCCTGTCGCAGCCAAGGGCGAAAAACACTTCGTCTGCCCCGTTATTTCCCCCATTTGACCAGTGGCGGAGCATACTTGTGTTTAGAGTTGGGTCCTTGTCCACGTCTTTCCCTGTGCGCGGCTCCTAGCCAAAGCTTGGCCTCGTACACAGCCAGGGTTGACGAGTCCATCGCCAGTCCCTTCTGTCTCATATCCCCGTCAAGACCCAGTTTCAGCAATGCCCTCACCGTGAAATCTCCGCCTCAGGACCCTCTCTCTCGCCATAGTCTATGCTCTCTTCCTCTTCCAGCCGTTGTGTCCGACATATTCTGTCTGGGATGGCGCCCAGGTCGTACCATGCGGACTTGAGCCGTATCAGACCTCGTGCAAGCATGGCTTTTTTGTGTATGGAGCATAGCCCATTCCCTATCTGCTGAGTTTGATCACGGTGATCTTTCGTCAGCGTGCGAATCCTCAGCTAATTCCTTCCATTCGGTGTCCTACCGCATAATCTTGCTGCCGAAACTTCTCCAGGACTCGTCGTCCACCTGTCAATCCCTATTCTTACCTTCTCTCATTAATCGACACCACCTGTTCGGCCACTGCTTGGTGAAAACAAAACATCACCATCTCGTGCCTTCCCTTCGATTCTTGGGCAGGCCCCTTCCTCTTACCTTCTTTCCTGTGTGCGGTTTTTACTTGGTGTGGACTTTTGCCATCGAGGCAACTACGACATTCACACTCTTTACCCAAACCGAGCCGCCGGACGGAAATCCTAATCTTCTCCACTTCAACTTCTCTTTCGACTCGACAACCTTCGCCATGTTGGCTTTAGTGTCTCTTCTTTTTGCTGGCCAGGTTGCGGCAGGTGTTCTAGGGGATGTGTCGCGGTTGGGACGAAGGGCTGATCCTGAGGAGGCCATGAGGAGATACGTGGATAAGATTGTCGAACCGATAGAGCGAAGGCAAACGACGACCGTGGGAATGAATATCACGCAATGGAATGCGGATACGACAGCACTGTGTACGGCACAATTAGAAGCGTTAAATGGTGTGGCAAGCAATCCTTCAGGAATGGCTGTTTGCTATAACCTGCCTGCGTTGGACAACTCGACTGGAGTCTTCATGGCGGATCTACGACTCTACATGATCGCTGCGCCCACCGGAGCCTTTGCCAATATCGCCAGTACGAACGTTCAGGTTGGACTCTCATATAATGGAGCGACTGTATCGGCAGTTAATTCTACGACTTTGCAAAGGCGAGCGGACGAGACGTCGTTAATTTCGTGGCCAAGGAACGAGTTGATCGAGACTCAGAAGCGAGCAGCGATGATCCCAATGTTGATCCAGTCATACGCATTTGTTGGACAGGTTAACAAGGAACTCTTGGTTGCAAACATGGGAACGTAAGTAGGAACTGTGCTATTGTAACTTCCAAACTGACAATTGTAGTGCTGCTCTTCAAAAGGTTCTCGTTCCAACCGTCACTCTAACTGGACAAACATCCACCGGTGCTGCTGTCAACACATCGCTCTCCTCGGATGAAGCGACTTTCGTGAACGGTGTCTTCGCCAAGCAGCTCGTCCCGACAAAGTCTAAAGTCGAGCCCCCGATCCAAACCCTCGTTGTCGCAAAGGGAGAGCAATTCATCGTTCCTGGTCTCAAGATCATGATCTTCCCCATCGGTCTCGTTATTACTGGTACCTGGACAATTCTTTTCATCGGTACCGTTGCTTACGGCACTGTTGGACGCATGCAATTCCGGGACCAGTTCCGTAGGAGGTCAGCACGACAACAGAAGGGTGACCTCGCCAGGATATGATTCTAGTATGGAGGAGTAAATAAAGATTGAATGACAGCGCTTCTATTCGTATACCACATAGAATTATTTCTTAAAGTTTTCCTCAGTCGTGTTCATAATGCTTGCTTTCTGGAGAGCCAGCGCTTTCGTATTGGGATTCCATATTGTATTTACGTGGAGGATGGAATAGGAATGTTGGAATTGGGCTAAAATGCGTTGCTGAGGTGGATTTCTGGCGATGGATGGGAATTGGAGTGGAACAAGATTTTGAGACAATGAAACAATGTAACAAAGGCTTTTGTAATTTTGTTTGTGTCCTTCCATAGAATGAGACGTAAAGTCACGTTGCACAACATTTCTTTCATATAATGGTCTTCACTTCAAACAGGATAACAAAGGGTCGGAGAAGCTTCCGTGGACTTTTGCAAGTGCAAGCTGTTTCTAGAGGTTTGACAGTAAAGTTTGTTCTTCTGTTTGCTGAGAGATAATTGCAAACAGCACATCAGTATTCAGATATAGAGCAATGGCCATTAATATGGAGTCTGCCCTGCTATTCAGAAGTCTAGATTGCTTAGATTTAGGATCACTTCCTTGAATGCTGTTTGATTAAAGTCAACAAATAGCTAGCAGCAAAACCTCACCAGAATGACACCACCTCCAATCAGCCTCATCGAGGATCTCTGTGATAACGACATTAAGAAGTTGACTCAGCTACTCATACTTTCCCCCATGACGGCTACCGACCCAGTCTGGCTCCAAGAGCAGTCTAAATCCATCGACACACTGCCACCAAAACTCAAAAGGCCCGAGTCTTTCCTTCCCCGACTTGCAATGTCCCTCCCGTTCGGCAAAGAAAAAGCCCATCTCTGCCTATCCCACAAACCCCTTAACCCTCATCTAATCCGTCGCATCTTCCTACAAGTATCTGCAGAATGCACCACGCGGATCGCACGTCTTGTCTCGAACCAGTACTTACCCCCAGATATAGCAGTCCATGTCAAGACTTTGCAAAAAGTCAACAGCCTCTGGATGTCAGCAGACTTGTACCGCTGCACGTTCCAATGCCAGCCGCATGAAGAGCGCTTCGACCGTATCGCCTCGGACTGCGAGGCGTGTATTCTTGCCGCTGTGGGCGGCAACATCAGCATCTTGCAGGACTTACGAGCTTCAATGATAGGACGAAAAAAGAAGAGAGGGACTCCTCCGAGACTCTTGCCGTTAGTCGAGAGTTGGATCATGTGCACGGGTGCGGAGGCGATGGTCCGCGAACAGAGTGATAACCTTGCAGTGGAGATCAGGAACTGTAGAAGACAGATGCAGGAGGCGAGGAGGCAGAAGAGGAGGAATGAGAAAGAGGGGATTCTGGATCCTCCTCCACCTGAGATGTCTTCGACGACACCTCGGGCCGTCGAAGACCCCTTCGCAGACGTAATGCATCTCATTGGTGTGCCATTTTCGAATCAGAACAAGGCTGCGCAGGATTTCAATAACCCTTTCGCTGACCCAGAACATGGTTACGGGCGATTCCAAGGAAAGGAGTCTTACGAGTACGAAGACCGTGACGAGCACGAGCACGAAATCGAGCACGAAGGCTCCATCATCAATTTCTACGCGCACCGCCTCTCCTCGGCTAATCTCCACAACAACCAAAACATCACCCAAGCCCAAAACGAAGCCAAAATCCACCCCGCATTCAAAGACTCCATGGTCTTCCAATTCCAGACCAACCCCAGCGCTTACAGCCTCCCAGCGCACAACCCATTCGAGGATGATGATGATCAGGCAGCGAATACTCTCCCCCCACGACCAGGCAATCCAACCGCCTACGACGACCCGGAATTCAACTCCAATGGCGGCAGCGGGCCAACACATCGCGGAGCAAGTTCTCGGCCTCGCCAGCCTCCTCCACTGGCCTACCTCAATCGCGCGAATGTGAAGCAGATGAAGAATTCGTGGAAGCGCGTTACGGGATACTCAGAGAGTGTGTATAGTCGGCCTGTGGACGAGTATGAGTCTTTTGCGCAGCTGGACTCTGCAGCTAGGCCACCGGTACCGCAAAGGAATGTGAGACGGGTTGAGGGTTCTGGGGACATAAGTGCTGGCTTCTCGAAATTGGCGCAAGGAGGGAGGATTGAGGAGGAGGGGGGGTATTTACCACCGCGAAGAGAGTGGAAGGGAGGTGAGGAGGGGAAGGGGAGTGGGGGTTGGAATGGACGGGATGGAGATGGGGATGAGAGGGGAAAGAGGGATACGAATTTTACGAGTTTTGGTGATTTTATCTAGACTCATTTTCATATTACGCTTCCTAAATTACAGAGGTATCCAGGCATTTCAATGACAGAGCTGTCGGATCGACTATTGGCATGTATTGTCAACTCGCTCCACATTTAATCTCTTTGCTTAGTCTTTTTCGCGATGTAATGCAATCAATGGTTTCAAGTTTGGTCTCTTGAACTTCCTATTTTTCTCACCGAATGACTAATCAGAAGGATGCTCATGATTGAAGTGATACAGTAATAGGATAGAGCATGATTGATTCGGTTTAATTAAAGATATTCTATCCGTTGTGAAAGCTGTCTCGATGTTGGTGAGGTCAAAGATGACATTGAAATCTCGCTTAAAATGGGTGTCGAACTTGTCTTTATTTATTCGCTTCTTGGGCTTGAAAACTCCGAGGTGATCGGGGTTGGGCTGCGGTACCACGATTCCATTTCCAAGATAGACTTGTGTCGGCTACATGCAAATGTAAAACTTATCGTCACTGTTCGACTTTTGAGATATGAGCTTTCATATATGTATTATTTTGGATCAAATGGAATTGGAAACTTTTGGTTGCCTACCTAGGTGCTATCACGCTTAGAACGTAACTGCACTTTCTATCTGTCCTTCACACACACCAAACCCAACCCTCTCGCCATCTTCTCCACACACTCCTCGAATAGTTACCACGTCACCATCCTTCAAGAACTTTCTCGTATCCATGCCAGCAAGCATGATATCCTTCTTCCCTCCCCAATTCATCTCAAGCATACTTCCCAAATCCCCACCTCCCTCAGTCTTCCCACTAATAGTCCCGCTCCCCAACAAATCACCCACAGCCATTGGGCACCCACCTGAAGTATGATGCGCAATCATCTGAGGGAAGCTCCACAGCAAATTCTTCCCACTAGCCTTCGAGATAGTCGTCGTAGCTCCATCCGGCGTCGTGAGATCAACCTCCAACCTAATATCATAAATACTATCCTCCCTCTTCTCCTGCAAATGCGGCAATATCTTCGTCTCATTCGGCAACTTCGCCGTCCGGAACGGCTCCAGCGCATCCGCAAGCACAACCCACGCACTGATCGTCGTGCCGAAGTTCTTCGCGTTGAACGGGCCTAGCGGGACGTACTCCCAGGTCTGGATGTCGCGCGCGCTCCAGTCGTTCATGAGGACGTAGCCGAAGATGTGTTGGTCTGCGTCTGCGATTTTGACGGGTTCGCCGAGGGCGTTGGGTTTGCAGAGGAAGCAGCCGAGTTCGAGCTCGATGTCGAGACGGCGGCAGGGTCCGAAGGTGGGGATTTTGGGGTCGGCGGTGGGATCGAGGAGGATTTGGCCGTTTGGACGTCGGATGGGTGTTCCTGAGATTACGACAGAGGAGGCGCGTCCGTGGTAGCCGACTGGGAGGTGGGTATAGTTTGGTTGAAGTGCGTTGGCTGGGCCGCGGAACATGGTGCTGGGAGCGGGGGTCAATTGAGAAATTTTGGAAACTTTGTGCTGGTTATGGAGACGTACCCAACATTGAAAGCATGGTTGATGCCAGCGAAGAAATCCGTATAGTCTCCTATTTTCATAGGCAGATGCGTCTTGGTATCCTCCTTCTTTAACAAGGCATTCTTCTTCAATTCCTCATTATCTTTCAATATGCTGGCATGTTTGCCACTCTCAGAGAACACATCTTGTAAATAAGCCCTGACCTCCCTATGTACTGGTCTTCCCAAAGCAGCAAAAGCGTTCAGCGTAGGCTGTGCAAACACATCGATGTGTTTCTCTATTGAGGGGAGGCCCGAAAAGCCTTTGGCTTGTGAGAAAGCTAGAAGATCCAGGACATGGTCGCCAATTGCTACTGCAGGTCTCTTCTGATCGCGGGAGTTTCGAGACGTTATGATACCAAACGGTATGTTAGAGAGAGAGAAATCACTCTCTGAGGGTATTACGAGCCAGGACTTGACAGGTGCCATGTTTGTTGACGTTGTGGTGAAGAGGCGGACGGAAAATCGTATTTTGCAGCTTGCGAGTTTCTTTTGAGTAGAAAACGGGAAAGAACGGATAGTCGTCCGGAACATAGAGGTAGCGTCAAGCGAATCTAAAGCCGAAGGAGATTTCTTGAAGCTATCCCGAGCTGCATGCTCTTGGTCTGACCAGCACAGGCATGGCGGGGTGGGCGGGGTACGCGGCGACGGTTCCGCTCTCGCTCGCACCTCCTTTCCACTGTTCCACGCCCTTTTCCGCCTTCACTCTACTCCACCATTCTTTTGCTCCCGGACACAGAGCGATCAACCAGACTTGAGGCTTGTGATAGCTTCAAAATTCTCTCCTAGCATCCCCATGGGGTTATGCAGCCAGTGTGCGGAAAACACCCGCATGCTCTCAGAGTCTAGAGCAGTCATCCAATGAGACCGCTGCTTATTCTCTGCCAAATGCAGCTGTGACGATGTTCGAGGAGGGGTGTGCGGGTGCGTGAGAGCTTGAGTGACGCGAGCGTGACTCCGCCGTCTTGATATCTTTTGCCTTTTCTAGTACAGAGATCAGGAATATATATCTTTCCTTTGGTCATTGCTGTCATCTTCATCTTCATCTTCATCGTCATCTTTCATTTTACTTCTCTTTTTCAGCCATGACTCTGCAAACCACAGGAATCGCGCTGATAGCGTTTGTGTACTTCTTCATCCGCTACCTCAACCGCTCAGATACTCCCAAGATCAAGAATCTTCCTGAGATTCCTGGCGTACCGCTTTTCGGAAACCTTCTCCAGTTCGGAGACAAGCACGCAAAAGTCGCCGGGCAACTGGCAAAGAAGTATGGGCCTGTATTTCAAGTGCGCCTGGGGAATAGAGTGAGCATTCCTAAGCATTCCGAGCGGGTATCAGGGCTGACGGCGGAAAACAGCGGATTGTATTTGCCAATACTTTTGACTCTGTCCGTCATCTTTGGATCACCAATCAATCGGCTCTGATCTCTCGTCCTACGCTTCATACTTTCCACACTGTGGTCTCCAGTTCACAAGGCTTCACTATTGGCACTTCGCCATGGGACGAATCATGCAAGCAACGTCGGAAAGCTGCTGCTACGGCACTTAACCGACCAGCTACCCAGAGTTACATGCCAATTATTGACCTCGAATCTCGTGTTTCAATCAAAGAGCTGTTGGAAGACAGCGACAATGGGAAGAAGGACATTGATCCCATTGCCTACTTTCAGCGCTTCGCACTCAATACTTCCCTTACTCTGAACTACGGTACGAGAATAGATGGCAATGTCAACAATGAGCTTTTGGTTGAGATCTGCGACGTGGAGAGGGCAATCTCGAATTTCAGAAGTACGAGCAACAACTGGCAGGATTATATCCCATTGATGAGGTTATGGCCGAGTCAGAGTTCGGACGCAAAGCAATGGAGAGATAGGAGGGACAAGTATTTAACTTTCTTATTGAATAAGTTGAAGAAGAACATCGAGGATGGAACGGACAAGCCTTGTATCACGGGAAACATCCTGAAGGACCCAGAGGCAAAGCTGAACGAATGTGGGTTCTCTCTTCTACTTCATTTTTATGCGTATAATTGCTTGGTGTACATTGGCCCTGACGTAACAACAGTCGAGATAAAGTCCATCTGCCTCACCATGGTATCAGCTGGTCTTGATACTGTTCCGGGGAACCTCATTATGGGGATCGCATATCTCTCCTCCAAACATGGACAGGAGATCCAAAAGCGTGCTTACGATGAAATCATGAAAGTGTATCCCGAAGGTGACGCATGGGAAAAGTGCATACAGGAGGAGAAAGTACCTTACGTTACGGCATTCGTAAGAGAAGTGCTACGGTTCTTCACCGTGATCCCAATTTGTCTGCCCAGGACGAGTATCAAGGATATCAAGTATGAGGATGCGGTCATTCCTGCTGGGACGACATTTTATATGGTACGTCTTTTCTCCTCGCTTACCATAACTTGACTTCAAAAAATCAATTTTTAACAACCCAACCAGAACGCCTGGGCCGCCGACTTCGACCCAACACACTTCAAAAATCCCGAAGAATTCTCCGTCGACCGCTACCTCGACAACCTGGAAGGCACAGGCGGAACACCGCACTACGCCTACGGTGCCGGGTCCCGCATGTGCGCCGGCTCACATCTAGCAAACCGCGAACTGTACACAGCCTTCATCCGTCTGATAACAGCATTCCATATTGAACCTCCGAGGGATAAGAAGGATCTGCCGATCTTGGATGCTCTGGAATGTAATGCTATTCCGACGGGATTGACGACGGATCCGAAGCCGTTTAAGGTGGGGTTTAGGTGTAGGGATGAGGAGAAGGTTCGGTTGTGGATGAGGGAGAGTGAGGAGAGGACGAAGGATTTATAGGAGGGGGATGATTGGGACGTAATCTTGGGGTAATGTTGGGACGGGTGGGTGAAAATTGTATATATTGTGCATGGCGTCTCATGGTTACGGAAGAATCTAAGCATAGTTTGAATTCCCTGAATACACTTTCAGGATATATGAAATAATTTTAGGACAAGATATTGTGCCCATCTTCGCGATCAGCCACAATGCTATCTATTGTGAAGAAAGCTTTCCACTAACACTGATATGGACCTTTAAATTTGTCATATTACCATTCCACTTCCTGATTTCTGTCTATACATATATACATACATATGATATGTTATGTAGTTGAATATATACTAAAAGTACACTCGTCCATACGAGCCATTCAAGGAGGCCTATACCCACGGCATCATCCAAAAGACATATCCCAAACATCTCTCGCTAACATGCCAAGCTTTCCCTAGTAGATCATATTCTCCAATATTTTCCCCAGCATCACCTCTTATCCCAAGTGACTCCACCAACTCTCCTCATCTTCCTCCTCCTTCCACCCCAGAACCTCCCTCTTCGGATCCATAACCCTCGCATACTCCAACAATAATCTATAAGTATAAACCCTCATATCCTCCCTCCTCAGCACCCTCTGCGCCCACTCCCTCCCATCCGCGCCAATTTTCTGCGCGAGATGGTCGCGACCGCCTGTCTTCGGAGTCGAATTCCCATTCACGCCATCATCAGGATTATACGTGTACGACGAGGCGGGCATCTCGCCCTCGACGCCCTTCCCCGTATCTGACTCAGAAGGATCCGCGTCAGACCCGATGAAAAACTCCATTACGCCGTAGATGTCCATGAATCGGTTATCGATCGGCACGAAGTGTTTCCAGGCTACAAGCCTGCTGTCGTGCCACTCCTTGAACAGGGTAGCTTTCAGCGGCACGCTGAGACTACTGAGGAAATCTCTGTAGCGGCCTGAGAAAGAGTTGCCGTCTACGTCGGGCAGGTATTTATGGCCGTGTTGGCCGACGAGGTTGATGGCTGGTGTTGGAGCGAAGAGGTAGTCCGTGTAATCGCAACCACCGAGCCAAACCCCGTCCACGGGTTCTTGCTTTGGGAAGCAAGCGAGGTCGTTGAATGAGGCGTTGGTGAAGGATTTGAGCCAGTTGCCCATACCTTTTGCCTTGGCTTCAATATCAGAAGAATCTGGGGTGGAGAAAGCTGCGAGATTGTAGGTCTCCAGTGGTAAGGTGGCGATGTCGATGAATCCCGAACTATTGGGCATGAGAAGGGCCTGGGTACCGTTCAGCATAGACACGAGTCTATGTCTATGGAAGCCCTTCCAGTTGTCGGCCTTGTTGCGGCCCCCAGAAGCGAGACCACGCCAGACGATGGTGTCCGTTTTCTTGTCCCAAGGTACGGGTGCCTCTTTTACTTGGAAGCGATCATCTCCCTTGTAATACATAGTTGGTGGGAGCAAGATCTCAGAATTTGTGGTGAGCTTACTGCTGCCAAACATTGGGAAGAGGCGGTCTGTCGAGGAAAAACTGATGCTTTCTATGAAGAAGCCATGTAGACCTTGGAGGTCCGGCTGGTGACAGAACGAGGTCGAAAGAGTATAGTTGGACACGTAGCCTTGGTAGGTGTGTGGTCCAGTATACTCAAGTGACATATTCGGTGGTTGCGAGTAGTCGGTTTGGATGGGATATGTACGTGCTGCACTGTCTGGCGGACAAGGGCTAGCTACTCGATCCCAGTAGGGACGAGAGCTATCCCATGTAAACTCTGGTACCGTCTCATTGACGTCCAGTGGAACAAATTCTATTCTATATTAGATTTGACTCCATGAAGCTGTGGTATGACTTACCCGTATACCTATCCACCAACTGCCCTTGGGGCACAATTTTTCTCTCACTGCTCTCAATTCTCATGTACTCGGTCATATTCTCCCATGGTACCCACATACGCGGCTCATCCATACTGTTCATCGCAATGTCCATATCTGGAAGATCACCGTGGTCCGCAATGCTCTGTATCAATTCTTGCCAAATGGGCATCCAAAAATGGTCCTGCTCCGTCGTAACATTCCCCTTCCTAATCTTGATCTGCCGTACCTGACCCCTCACATCTCTTAACATATCAGTGGGATCTAGCGCCCACAATGGATTTATATCGTGGTAAATCTGGTCCCAGAAATCCTCCACCATGACCACTTTATTCTTCCGCGCATACTTCCACCACTTGTCGAATCCAGGGGGTGGTTGACGGCCTCGTCGTTGTCGGTACGCTTCCGCAGACGCAGACAGGTTGAATGTCTCTTTCGAGAGGAGATCATTGAAGGTCTTTTCTGCGCCACCTAAGAGCTCGATGATGGGGTGCGCATCTTCTGCGGGCGTGGGCAGCTCGATTGGCGGCGCATCGTCCAAGAACGGTACCCAAATCGGTGTCGAGATATGCGGTATTCTCACAGTATCGCGACTATAGAGGTAGGAGGAGACAAAGAAGAGAGAGAGCACGCAGGCCACGTATGGCAAGAGCCTCAGAAGACGTAAGTTCATTACCACTCCCATTCCACCCCCCATCTAACCAATCCAATGGAGATGAATCCAGACCCCCGGCAATTGGAGATAAAGAAATCTCAGCTAAGGGATTTCGAGGTCAATATCGAGGCCGACGGGACAAGACATTTGGCGCAATTGTAAATTATTGAAGAATCATAGCGAGCGCTGGTGATGGACGTCTGAAAGGGGAGAGGTAACCTCGTAATGTTCATGTGGGGAACCGCCCAGGCGGCGCAGGCACTTGCAAAATCCCTGCAGGAATCCGGCGTTTTTTGACCTGTCACTTAACACCAGTAGCTCGCCAGTCAAGATCAAGTCTGGTTGCAGTGTCCAGAATGGAGGGAAAATATGATTGCGAAAATAAACTCCAAAGCTATGCGATTGCTCAATTTCAATGGAAAATCATAGGATCTAGTCATCATAGACTCGAGAATCATGAAAGCATTTGCTCTCGAGCTCTCTCACTCCCAAGCCTCTGAACCTCGCTTCGCTTAATAAACACTCCCTTTGATGCTCTTGTCCTGCTTCTCCTCCCTCTCCAATTCCTCCAAGATATCTGGCTCAGCCTCACTCCCAGCATCACTGCCAACATCACTCTGATCACCCAAGGCATCTGCCATAGCCCCACGTGCCATACTGGTGTCCTCTCTCAACTTTCTCAACTGGCTCATGGAAACCTGGCTCTTGATATCCCCATTCCCGGAGGCACCTCCGTGAACCGCGCCAGCACTCAGGCTTTTGGTGCCAACGCTCCTCCCCTTTGCTAAACGCTTCCTCGTATCTTCTTCAGCCGAGAATTCAGTATCGCTTCCTGCTTGCGAGGTGTTCCCGCTTGCTGAGCCGCCAAAGTCACGCCCTGCTGTTACAAGCAGACGATCATTGTTGGGCGATCTAATGAGATTGCGCATCCTATCTTCTACAGAGATGAAGGATGGCGTCCCATCAGGACTTGAGACGATATCGTCCAAACTCCTTTTATCGTCCAAACTTCTCTTCACGTCCACTTGAAACGGTGCCCCGACCCTTCCCCTTGGATCATCCTCGTCTTCCTCGCTAGAGCTCTGCCAACGTCTAGCCGCCGGGCGACGGAACTGAAGGGTATCGTTCGAGGGAGCATGAGGAGAGTTGGCTGGTGAAGGGCGTCCGTTGAGTTGCATAGCATGCATGCTATTCTCCTTCTTGTAGTAGTGCTTTCCATGGTCGCAGCCATTTGGGCAACCTCCCCATTTCTTCCTCACTGGAACGGTGGTTAGAGAGGTCGCTACTGCTGACGCTCCATCAGTACTTGCCGCAAGAAGTTTCTTCTCTTTCTCCTTATCCTTCTCTGATACGGGCGTGCTGGCTGTCCCTGTCCTTGAGGGGGAGGCTTTCTCTTTTGCAGCAGCAGCGGCGAGACGCTCGCGCTTGAGTTCAGACCATGTTCGCAGGTTATTCTCCAGAATGTACTTCCCAGAATCCTCCTTTTTGCGCATGATGAGGAATTCACAGTGGTTGACGTTCCGTAAATCTTCAAAGTATTCAACGCTGAAGTGATACCACTTCATGAGGAAGACCCTGCTCATGAGACCGTGGGTGACTGCTGCAATTAGCATTTGATCGTCCATGAAAGTCGCAAATGGCCATACCCAAGATGCAAACCGAAGCAAAGTCATCCTCTCCAAACTGTCTCCAAAGACTCTCATTAAACCCACTAACACGATCATATGCGTCCGCAGCGCTCTCGCCATTCGGGATTCTGTAGAAGAAATGCCCATAATCCGCTCTCTCCTGCCACATTCTCTCCATCTCCGCCGAACATGGCTGAAAGTTTCCAAAGTCCTGCTCTCGCAGTCGCGGCTCCTCATAAACCTTTATAGAATGCCTGGGAAATGGACTCGGGGAGGGCTCGTCGGATGTGAGCGTGGACAGGATGCCTTCCGTGGTCTCCCGCGTTCGCCGGTAGGGCGACGTGAAGAAATGCAGAGTGTCGTCTGCGCGTAGGAGGGTTCGCAGACGTCGACCTGCGTCGTGGGCTTGTGTCCAGCCATCGGATGTTAGCTTCACTCTGTGGTCGGGGATCGTTTGGTGGATGTCGCGATTTTCTGACAGCGTTAGTGGGGTTTGGTGTATAGGCGCTGCAGATACGGGCGGACAACACCCTGGAATTCGCAGAAGAGATTGGACTTGGGAGAGATAGGGGACACAGAGATGGATGTACAACTCACTATTGCCTTCCGATTGCGCATGGCGGATCAGTATTATCATACGGGGTTTACCCATCTTGCTCCTGGGGCGGCTCTGTTATGTTATCCGGGTGTGGCAAGATATGAAATAGAAAGCGTATGACTTCTTGAAAGTTGTTAGGGTATGGATTCGCGATTGGTGAATGACAAGAGAGGCGAGAGAGGAGAGGGGTAGGTCTTCTCTGTGTCTTATTTATTTTATTGTCTTGAGCTTGCGGTTGTGAACGGTTCGTTTGCGAGAAATGTTGGAGGGGTACCCCACCTAGCTGGAACAGACATGGTGTTTCAAGGGTGCAAATCAACCTAATAATAAAGAGCTGTTCGTGATGTGCCGTGAGTCCTAGCATGGCATTGATGACTAGATGAACCGCTGTTGAAATATGGCTTTTGCCAACAGACTTTCGGTGGTATTTCCCTAATGCGATCTCGGAGCGCATGGGTTTGGGACATCTTTCGTATCAAAGACCACTGAGGCATGGATATATCCTGCTTCATCCGCACAAAGGAAATAAAAGAAGCATAGGAAGAGGGTCACCAGGCCTAGAACCAGTGTGTTCATATTTACAATTCTCTATATTGTGATACACGATGTCTAGATAGCGCCAAGCTCCTTCAGCTTTGCAATCATACCATCAACATCTTCAACCTTTCCGCCACCTTGCCTTGGAGGAGGTTCTATCCATATATTAGCACTTATCACAGATGACAGGACCCTTGCCGGGAATAGATCAACATACCAATGACTTTCAAAGTCTTCAGCCTTTTCCCAACGTCCACCCCAAGATCCCCGGGAGCCATCTTCTCAATCTTCTTCTTCTTCGCCTTCATGATATTCGGCAGACTCGCATACCGTGGCTCGTTCAATCTCAAATCCGCAGTGATGATCATAGGCAACACGCCCTTCACGGTCTCCGTTCCACCATCTACCTCCTTCTCAACTGTAACACCCTTTCCATCCCCATCAAAACTGACCTTGCTGGCTTGCGTCGCCTGTCCCCAGCCTAACAAGCCCGCTAGCATCTGTCCCGTCTGCCCAGCATCATCATCAATACTCTGCTTGCCGAGGAAAACCAGGTTGATCTTTTCCTTCTCCACCACAGCCTTCAGCATCTTAGCTACGCCAAGTGGCTCTGGCTCCTCCCCTTCTTTCACTTCGACATGTATACTGCGATCAGCGCCCATGGCCATGGCTGTGCGGAGAATGTCGGCGCTTTTGGGAGGGCCGCATGAGAAGGCGAGGATATCTTCGACGCCAGAGGGATAGGTCTTCTTCTCGCGGATGCGTACTGATTCTTCGATTGACAGTTCGTCGAAAGGGTTCATGCTATGTTTTACGCCCGCGGTCTCGACCGCTGTTTGGGCCTTATTGACTCGGGGTTTGACCTTGAAGAAATATTAGCTGTGCTTCTTGCTCGAGGTTGGCATTTGGCTCGCGATGGAGAAAGTTATCGAGGAGAATTGTCCGACAGCTTCAATTGGACATAGGAAGGGATTCGATGTAATACATACCGCATAGTCTATAACTCTCTTCACGGGTACAAGAATCCTTAATCCAGACATTTTGTGTGCAGTATTGTTGTGGAGATACAATGAAGCTCCAATATTGACGCAACTGAGGGATGGGAGCGGCTCTCCCCACGCTTTGCCCAACCGACACCTCGGTTACATAATTAAGTGGATCTCCGACGCAAGCCGAAGTGGAATGTCAGTTTCATTGTAGATGAAGCGAATTCTGTAAACAAATCTTGTATTCCAAGAAGAAGTTTCCTTTAAATAGTTTGTGACTTCCTACTGCTTCACTTGTTGTTTCAATTGTAAGTTGATCATAGTTACCATGCCACTTCGGCCAAGATTGTCAGAATTTAGAAGTTAGGAAATGCTGCACACGAAATGGGTGTATAGAAACATACTAATGTAAAAGTCCCACTGAGTGTCATATAATAAAGAAATTCTTTGTTACCTAATGGGATGAAACCTTTGGAAAAGTCCATATTTGGGAAATTGTAGCAGCACTACAGACCAGTCTCATTTCGGGAACGGCCCCCGTCGAATTGTATTGAAGTCTTTTTTTCCTCTAGAGGTTTTGTGCAGGAAAAGGTTACAGACTGGACTGTCATTCAGTGCAAGACTCTTTTTATGCTGCGAGATATCAACCCACTGATCATCACATTAGAACCCTAGCAAAAGCCGATGGCGGGGAAGAGAGAGGGAGATTCTGAGGTCGAGCGCCCGAAGAATTGCCACACGAATATCACTTATCTGATGTTTACCTCAATATATGTCGATTCTCGAACGCATTGTTTAGTACTTTCCAAGGGCTGAGCCTAAATATGCTCCAGAAACATTATCTCAGCAGAGTCCTGAGAAGACGCCAGACAATCAGATCGGAGAGACGACCAAACTCTGTTTAGAAATGATTGGGGTATGGATGTAAATGGCAAACAGCTTTCGCTGTTCATTCAAGGAGCTGAGCACGTATTTTGAACGACTTCCATGGATATTCAGGTTTTTGATACAACTGATTAAACATATTGGAGGTCTTGCTTCAAAACCATGCAACTGGTGAATATTGTCTTCTTCAAGAAGCAAAACTTGGACGATGTAAGTCGAGCATAGCCATATGTACAAGCCGCAAAGGTATTGGCAGAGCAGGCTAGTCGAAGTCTTGAACCATAGCCAACTTAATTTCTGACAGTTCCAGATTGTCTCGCTTATATACAACAAAGGTCCATATCGCTGTACCAACGGTCTAATGATTCTCCTTCCACACTCCATCACAAGAAGTTTTGTGGCCTGTATCTATCTCGAAACAAATCCCAGATCAATTTGAGGATATGAGAATATCCTGCAAGATCGGAAAGTCTATTTTGCACACTCCGCCATACCCATGCAAAAACGCCACTCCAATGTTCCCTTCAATTTTGAACAAGAATGCCTAGCGCCGCCCAGTACGCCCTTCCATCCAGAGCTTGACTTCAGCCCCATAACCTCCATCACACTTCGATCGAAAACGGCCCAAATGTCATCATAATATAATGCAATGCTTTCTTCCCCCATGACCATGCCCGTGTCCATGTCTACTGGAACCGGATTTAGGACCTTTAGGCCCTCGGCCATGTTTGTCGTGGCCGCGTCTCTTACGATACTCTTCTTCCAAACTCGAGCTAGTCGTGTTATCTTTCCTTATGATTTGCCTACATAGATCCACGAACACTTCGTCCACGTTAGCTGTTCTCCATTAGCGTGTGTTTCTCAAAGCTGTCCAGGACCAATTTACCCCTCCTCCTTGCGGATGTCTCATAATATGGTGCATTTCCCCAGCTCTGCGACACAGCAAAGGCTCGCGACCTAGTCACTACACGATCCTCCTCTAAATCCGACTTGTTTCCTACAATAACGATAGGGACATTCTCATCGTCCTTGATTCGGATGATCTGATCTCGGAGTTCTGAAAGCTCGGCTAGACTGCTCTGGCTCGTGATGGAAAAGACGAGGAGAAATCCCTGTCCAGTCTTCATGTATAACTCTCTATATTGTCGACATTAGTATCACATATGACCGACCTGTCCGGGACTTTTCTTACCTCATCGCAGCTGACGATCTGTTAGCAAAAAGTAATATCACGTGATGTTATGCTTTGGGATCATGAACTTACTGAACTGTTCTGTACCAGCAGTGTCTAATCTAAGTAAACCGTAAGTCTAGTGTTTCGTAAATCGTCGGGGTCTTCTTACATCTCTAACATGCATTGGCGGCCCTGCAGCAGAATTTAGTTTCGGGGTCGTCTATCCACTTCTTGGCAAGCACATCACTCACATCAACTTCGATCTGTTTCCGATATGAATCCTCAATAGTCGGATCATAGCTCTCGATCCACACATTCTGGACGAATTGGGCTTCGAGGTATTAGCTTTCTCCTATGTTTATTGTTTACTTGGGCGGGGCAGTACCTGTGAGGCAACTTTTGCCCACTCCGCCTAGAATTGCAGAGATTGCAGTCAGCCGCTGCGACGTCCACCTCCTGAAGTTCCAAAAATAAGGGGGAGGTTACACACCCGCGCCTAAGACAACAATGTGATAATCTCTCCTATATTGAACGATACACCGTTAGTCAATATGCATCTAGCAGAACCAGAGATGGGACGAAATTGTCAGGAAAGAGCCTAAATTTGTGCATACCTTTGGGACGTCCTAGTTGACATTCTTGCGCCTAGAAGTATAGGTGAAGTTGAGTTGAGTCTACTGCAGCAGCAGCAAACTCTGACGTCTCCTAAGCTCCAGCCCAAGCCCAATCTGTGGCGGCCAGAACCTGGGATTCTCGCTACTCCTTTCTTTTCTCATGCACGCACTCTCTCACACTCTCTCACACTCAACACCCCTCGTTACCAACGCAAATGTCTGTTTGTGGAGAGCGATGTGCATGTACATGTAGGATTTTAGACTTAATCTGCAGGCGAAGGGGCCTGCAGGTGATTTGGTCTGTCTTAGTGTGCCAGTGGTTCGGTCTGGATTGGGAGGTTGAAGCGGGCGGAAAAACCCAAGCCCGTGGTTGCGGGGAAGCTCAAAAGCATCCAATGTCTTGAGCTACAGCGTGCCCATAAACCACGATCAAGTCCAGGTCCTAACCTTCGAAGCTACCTACTCGTCGACCTTACAATCATGGCTGTCAACATACCCGCCAAATTGAAGGCGGCAGATCTTTCTAGGTTTATCATTAGAGCTTCCCAGCTAGAGACTGCGAAGCCCGTTATAGCTTACTGGTGTAAGTTGCCTGTGACCCCGCGAGCAGCTGAAGCTGATGAACCGAGGCGAATACTGGATCGTCAATCAAATACTTTTGAAGGGACTACATAATGGCGATGCAGAGACGCTACAGTATACAACGACATTGATGGACAAGCTCGAACAGGTGAGACTCAGCTTCGCTGGCATCGCTTGGCGGGGGCTGATCCAATTCAGATCAAAGCCGACAATGCTACAAACGATGCGATCGTAGACGATACGGCTGGTCAAGCATATGTTGAACACTTTGGGTTGGAAACATTCTTCCGAGCAGATAGGACGGTCAAGGCCAATGCAGTAACAAAGTAGGCAATCCACAGAGCATAGTGTGTTTACTCTGACACCTTCAGGCAAACCGCGGATACTTTCCAGGCGGCTGCAACCTTCCTTGAGCTCGTGAATATATGGGGATCGCCAGACGCAGATACAACGGCCAAGATCAAGTATGCGAAGTGGAATGCGATTCGGATAATGAGAGCTTTAAAAGAAGGAAAGGATCCCAATGAGTCGAATCCCAAGATAGAGCCTGCGGAAGAGACGTTACCTCCACTCGACCCCAATGATCCAGAAGTTTTGCAACTTGAAGAGTCTTCCAAACAACCATCTGTCGAAGAGGTCCCTGATGAGCAATTTCAGGTCGAGCCAAAGCTTGCAAGGCAGTCCTCGATTAACCAGTCGCTACATCCCTCCGCCCAGCCATCCGCACAAGCATCTGCTCGTGGATCCCCAGGACCGACCTCCACTTTTGAGCCATATCCCAAGGATGGGTTTCCTTACTCTGCAGTCAAGGATGATAACGTCTCTCCCATGGAGCCCTCACCAAACGAAAGAGACGGGTCTGTTGGCGGAGGTTACTTTCCAGAAGTACCCACCTTCACATCTGAGGCCCAAGATCCAACCCTGCAAACAGCACCATCAGCAGATGCATTTGATTTAGGTCTTCCCGACCATCCATCAGCACCTCCAGGCGGAGATTTAGATCTACCTGAGCAGCCTACCAGTCAACCAGGCACCCAACGCTCACCGGATTTTGAATCATTTCCACCTCCAACCCTCCCGGACGAGCCATCGAACGCTCCTCAAGATTTCTACCGCCAGGGCCTAGCCCAAAGCCCTCCACCGACGTTCTCACAGCCCCACGCCCAGCAACCAACAAATTACGCACCTCCTCCTCCCCAACCCCAACAACCAAGATACCAAGCACCGCCTCCACAAGCACAAAGATACAATCCGCCACCACCAGACCCACCAGCACCAAAGAAGACGCAGTTGATTACGGACGACCAATCTATTTCCAAAGCGCAGAAGCACTGTCGATGGGCTATCTCAGCACTGAATTTCGAGGATGCGGATACCGCTGTGAGGGAGTTACGTGAAGCTTTGAAAACATTGGGCGCGATGTGAGCAGGTTTGGGGTTGGATTTGGAGGGAGTACATATCGTTTGTGTAGGTATGTATTGAATAGTTTAGTCTTAGCAGCCACCGAAAATGCGAATACCCACTCTTGTGCCTCATTTCAGAGTCATCTATCCCGGAGCTTCCAGAACAAGATATGGTGTAGACCACACTAGATGATCATAGTCCAACAATCAAAGAAGGGCGGTGTGAATAGACGGTGTCCTTACTATGCTGTGAGTTACACGGCAGTCAATGTGCCTGCTGAGACATTACGGAAGGCATTTTAAGCAATGAGAAGCAGATACGGTTTCAAGGCAAAGTACTCGGCGCCAATGATTAAATGAAGATATGACTGTTTCAGCTTATTCTTGCTGCTCGTAAGCGAAGTTCTATCAAGAAGCAGTTGTAGGGGTAGTTGTCAAGACATCACCTCGCTTATTTTAGCACGAATGTTTGTTTACAATGTCACTACCATAACCGAAGATAATCCTCAAAGATCATGCAACTGACATATTCTAATGTAGTACCGGGTATCTTTTGTCTATTCCCCTTTCAAGAATCCCTTGTAAAGAAACGCCAAGCCAAGAACGCCAATGAGAAAATGTACACACCAAAGGGCACTATCGTACAGAGAAGCGAAAAATCGACCAAACCACCAAGAAACTCTTAACGTCTGCGCACCTCTCCGCTGGCACGTCTACGATCGAGTCGCTTCACGACAGCGCCAAGCACGGCCTTAAGAATTCCGTCGCCTGTGAGACCGATACCACCATCGCTCGAGCTCCTACCGCCTGTCCAAGTGACCGTATCCACGATATCGCGGACGCCGCCTTCAACCAACTCGGACAGGCCATCATCCAGCTCCTCCAACGCCTCCTTCGCACCCTCCTCATTACCCACCTGGAAAAACTGCACACCGACCTGGAACGGCGGCGCATCCAGCTTATCCAGCTTCTTCGCCGCCGAAAGCAGCACACTCTCAACATCATCCGACGGCACACCATCCGTCAGCACAATCAGATTCAGCGGCTTCATCTCCCTCCCAGCAGCCATCTCGCTCTCGACTTTAGCGAGATACGGCTTCAGGATATTGTGGACACGAGTACCCGTCGGCGTTCCACCATACGGTCTCACGCGCTCGAAGATCTCGTGGACGGTGGCGGCACGCTTGATGCCTCTGTACCCGCCGGGAGCGATACCCTCTGATGGCATGCCCGGGTTGGTCGACTTGTGGTTCATGAAGTAGACGTCGATGCCGTCCTCGTCGTGTTTGGTGACGATGGGGGCGATGGTGGAGATTGCTTGGCCGACTTCACGCCAGGAGCGGCCGGCCATGGAGCCGGAGTCGTCGATTAGCAAGGTGGTGTCGAAGGTGCCGAGGAAGGAGTAGGGATCTTCGCCGGTGCCGGTTGTGGGGGCAGCGGCTGCGGGGATGGATGCTTGAGGTGGAATTGGGGCTGCTAGTTCGGGGACTTGAGAACCGACTGTTGGTCCTGATTGGACTGTTGGGGAGGGTGTGTATGCTGGCGGCGGTTCGTTTGATGGAACTGTGAAGGCGTTCATGCCTGGACGATCTGGGCGTCTTGTTGCTGGAGAGGGGTTGGCGAGAGGACTTGGGCTTCTCCGTCTTGCGGCGTCGTCTCTATCTGCGAAAGGGTTCAAATCGCCTGGGCCTCTGAAAGTTGGAGTTGTGGGTGAGTTGAGATCTGAGTTGGCGCTGTGTGTTGACTTTGTGGATCGCTGGGATACGTTGCTTGATCTGCGACCCAGTTTGCGGATAGAGCCAAAGATGGAGCGAGATGGAGTTGGCTCCGGCTGGAGACCCCATGCTGATCCTGTAGGCATGACGATAGTTGAGCGATGTGACATATGATGTGAGTGTAGTTGTGGAGTCACGAGTAGTTATAGCTCGTGGTGTTTATGTCCGTGTTGTTGTTATGAAGAAGTGACTTGGTGAGCGAGGTAAGCTCTTATACCGAAGCTGTTCGGGAGAGTTGTCTGAACGACGCGGGTGAATGACTTTCAAAGAAGACCTAATGAGTCTGCCGAGGGCTATGTGAAGTCACGCCAATAATGGAGCGCCACTTCTTTGTGATGTAAAGAATGGTATCGGCTTTGATTCAACAAACAGCTCATCTGCCTTTGATGAAGGTGAGGTTGTCATGTCCTGAAGAAGCGATGTTGATTGGTCATTTAGCGACTCAGCCCTCGGAACCCTGACTGGCTGAGCAGACACAGCCTCAAGACACAGCTAACCCAACATGCTGCGCTTTTGGAACGAGGCAATTTTTGCCTCGCCATCTCTTCAAATGGTTATCCCGTGATGTTTCACAGGCTGTGTTAATCTGCCTAGGAAAGTGCCCGTCATTTTCGGCCCCATCTCAAACAGCTCAGCCTAGCCTCCTTCGCGCCCACTCTACCTTCAAGCGAATCACGTATGTTGTGAAGCTTCCGACCTATCCATCTTCAAACACACTCGTACTCGTACTATCAAAGACAAACTCAGATCGTAGATACACAAGAGTAAAGTTCACATGTCGAGCTCTAAATGATTAAGTGGACATGATCGACTATTGGCTCCGTGTTTCAGTGACATTAGGTTATCGTTGTAAAGTTTTTACAACGATAACCTAAAGTCGGGCTTCAATTTGAACCACACTTGTTTCTTGAAGGCTGGAGACTCATGGGGCCATACTAATTTGTCCTTTACACTTACCGTCAGACAATGACTGAAGACTGTTAGGTACTACAGCGCCTTGGGTTTTGGAAACATTGTTGGAGAAGGAATAGCGACAGGCAAATTTGACTGAACAGAAATGTCCAGACGACCTTGTATTAAATGATTATGACGCCAACTTTTGCTAACCAAGTCATAAATGCACAATTTAACAATCCTGATACCAATTGTCGAGATTCATGTTCTTCAATAGTGTTGAGAACCCTTCGTCAGTCGATCGATCACAGAATGTCGCATTGTCGGCAGAACTGATCCTTGGAGCCGAGTTGGGATATTCGATATGGAAGACTGGCTTGTTGTTCTCGATGAATGGCGTGAACGAGTCGCATTCGTTGTATTGTACGCACTGCTCATTGACCTGCCATTGCATCATGGGCAGGGTGGAATTGACAATTCCTCCAGAGTTCTTGAGACCGATAGACATGTTCCGGCTGTGGGCTTCAATAGCCATAAATGTCATGAAATCGACAGCTTGCTCCTTTGTGAGATCGAAGCCAGTATCATTGTCATAACCGTCCACGTTATCCGGGTCCACACCATCACAGCCCTTGGTCTTTGCGAGTTCAATTCTTGTAGTCATGATCTCTCGAACATTGGGCGAGCTGACATTGAGCCACCACTCTCCCGGCCATCCGTCTAGTGGCTTCCCGTAATCGCTCTTTTCGAAAGATTTCGAATCAGGTCGGAAATCCTCGTAACTTCCAGCAGAGAAGTAACAGATGACCTTGCGGCCTAGGGAGTGGAGGTTGTCGATTGTGGATTTTGGGTTGGTGAAAAGATCGATGTCGTAGACGGCTACATCGGGAGTGGTGTCATTGAGAGCATACTGGAGAACGATCTGCCAGGAGGTACCGGCTTCGGGCCGCCAGAACGTGCCCTCGGTGGCGTTGGTGTTGTTGACCGGTGGTGGTTGAGGGCTGTCGTCTCCCCCTCCCCCTCCGCCACTGTTGCGTGTCAGGCCCACGCCGAGACCGACTCCGAGTGCGATGGCTATTACAAGAAGGACAGAGCCGACAATGATCCAAAAGCGTTTCCCAAAACGGGATTTCTGGGGAATCGACATTTCGTGTTCGGGCTTGAGTTGTTGGTGTTGGGAGAACCAGGGCCAAGACGGTGACATGATAAACGAGGGACGTGTCGGTTCAAATTAAGCGGTAGGGAAGAAAAGAAAAGGAAGAGAGATGTCAGATGCGGGGGAGCAGCTGAAATAAGAAAGAAACAAGAGGCAGATGCACAGTAACTGCGGCTGCACTGAGCTGAGCTGTTTATTACTCAATAGGAGAGAGCAGGTCAGATCAGAAACAATGCATAGCCAGACAGCACAGCAGAGGCTAGCCCGAGCGGGCTCCGTGCGGGCATCCAGGCTCCCCAAAAGAGCCAGGAACTCAGGGCTCAGGGCTCAGGGACCGGTTCAGGGCAAGCTCAGGGAGTTTTGGTCAGGTCGTTCGTCGTTCGTCGTTCGGGTGTCAGGCAATGGTGTTGTGGAGAACACTGGCCGCCGGGGTTGATCAATGATCATGCCATTGCTAGCACTAAAAAGCGCAAACGAAAACCCTAAAATATCAATAATCGCGTCTTGGGTTCTTAGCCTGAAGAGCCTGGAGCCTGTACGAGGGCGAGGGCGAGGGCGAGGGGCAAAAGGGAAAATGCATGGCTACCTGACCTTAAGTATTATTATGGCTTCCATAGGTTGTCCAATAATAAACATCCCCTGTCCATACGCTGCAGCACAGCCCTGTGCACATCGTCATTCGTTCGTGGGCCTCTTGGGTCTCTGGGTCTCTGGGTCTGGGAACCTGAGCAGAGAGCGGGGCAACTCCCACTCCCACTCCCACTCCCAACCTGCCTTGCCCTCCTGCCCTCCTGCCCTCCCACCCCAGCAGCCAGGGCAGGCCGTCGACGTCGATGCAGCCAGGATACGCCGCCCGCTCGATGAGCACGTCGTGGGTCGGGTCGTGATGTCGCCCAGCTGCCTGCTTTTGCGTACACACTTCACTTACTATACTAGACTTCTTCCTACCTACCTACACGCAATCAATATCCGCCTACTCATTCACAGCTTAGCCAAGAACACGAGTACAGTCATCATTGCATAACATCAGTCACCACGGCGCGCTTGAATTTTCTCTCAGCTCCTGGAGCGAGCACATCGCAGAGAAGAAGGAGCCGTTTCTCAGCGACTGTGGATTTCGACGGCACCGCGCAACAATCTACCTCCATACCCACCATGGAAACCAGTCGCGCAATACGGCGGAAGGACACCACGAGGGGTCCTCCCCTTCGCATTCTATCTCTAGGTAAGAATTACACAAATTTATCGCCAGCACAAAGCACTGACGAGGCCCAGATGGAGGTGGCGTGCGGGGTTACTCGATGCTCATTATCATTCAAGAGCTCATGCACCGAACATATGTTGAGATGGAAGGGAAGGCCCCACGGCGAGATCAGATTCCAAAACCGGCAGACCATTTTGACCTCATCATTGGCACGGGAACTGGAGGTTTGATCGCGATTATGTTGGGAAGGCTGCGGCTGGATTTGGAGACTTGCAAAGAAGTTTATGTGCAGATGACGAGAAAGGTTTTCGAGACAGATAAAACGATCGCTGGAATACCTTATCGCTCAACACTATTCAAAGCTTCAAAGCTGGAGGAGGCTATCCGGGAGTGCGTAAGGGAACATACCATACTCCAGCGTGAAGGAAATGATGGGGAGGAGCCTGAAGGACTAAGCAACCTTAACAGCCCGATCAGTCCCCTCAACAGGAGTGGTGGTCCTCGACGTCATGCAAGCAATGCCAGTGTAGCAAGCTTTAGTGCTAGGAGTCCTGCAAGCTATACGAGCAGACCGTTGATGGGATTAAGATACGGCAATGCAAATGCACTTCTGTATGATACTCGAGAGAACAGAACCAAGACGTTAGTGCCCATTCACAATTCTATCTACAAAGCTGACGATGAATAGTGCGGTTACCGCAATCTACCAAGGTACTCCAAAAGGTGGTCTCCCAGCAATCTTACGATCCTACGATTCGCGGAAAGAGCCTTCTCCAGAATTTGACTGTACGATCTGGCAGGCAGGAAGAGCAACAAGTGCGACTGGTCTAGCATTCAAGCCCATCCAAGTTGGTCAATCTGTGTTCATCGATGAGGGTGCCGGGCAATACAACCCTGCTCCATTCGCACTTGATGAGGCTTGCGTAAACGAATGGCCAGGCAGAGATATCGGTGTATTTGTGAGCATCGGAACTGGAAAGCGACCTTCTGGAAGTGATAACAACTCTCATCTCTGGTATGAAGGATTTATGGGCGAGTTTGCAGAAGCCAGAAGACGGCTCATTTCGAAGATTGAGGGCTGTGAGGAGACACATCAGTATATGGTACGGGAAGGTCTCGCTAAACGCCAAGTCAACATTGACAATTATTATCGACTCAATGTCGAGATAGGTGTTGGAGAATTCGGTATGAATGAATGGAATCGCCTGGCAGATATCAGTACCGGAACGAGACGATACCTGGGCAAGAGCGAGGTCCAAAGAATGAACATCGAAGCTGCAGCGAAGCTTGCCAAGATCCTTCGTGCAAAGGCTCGATTCGAGAGTGAGAAGATGGGCGGAGGCATGGGAAGCTACCAGGATATGTCTCTCCCAGACGTCCCAGAAGCTTATCCCAATGCTGTGGAACTACCGGCCGAAATTCCTTTTCAACCCGCACGTAGTCCGCCTCCCCGTCCATCCTACGAGTCCGGTAACCACGATACTCTCGAAGTACCCGGCTACAAGCAAACCCCCTCACCGCGGTCATCAGCAGAAAATCATTCTCGCCACTCTCCTCACAACTCCAAACCTGATGTCCAAGACGCCAATGTAGACCGTCTGGTCTTCCACGCCCCAACACCAAGCGAATATCGCACCGCAGGCGGAGCGGATAAAATCGCCATCACAAGCATAGACGAACATCCTCAACCTCTCTCGCCAAAGCAACCAATTCGTGTAGAGCCACCTCCTCTCCCACCCAAGACACCTATCCAGGACCCAAATGGCAATGGGATGCCCTTTGGCGGCAGACCAAGACCGCCGCTTCCATACCCGGCGGATGACAGACCGCCGCCTGTGGCGAATATGGCAAGAAAACCAGAATACAAGGGCAGATAAACGAAGAAACCCATTAAACAAAAACAGAAAATGGATCGAAACAACAGAAGATACACCTAGGATATGTTTGCTTTCAAGGGATTCGAATGGCGTTTCGAGGATTTTGAATGAATGTTAATGACTCGTGTGGTCTGGCATACTTGATGCGTGCCTCGCCATGGATATTTTTCCGGAGTTCGGTTGTGTTGGGTATACCTCTTCAGTTTAGTCGATTTTTTGGGGAGGCGGCTTTGCCATGTACATTCATGATTGGATATGAGGGAGGGAGGAACGAATGGATAGAGGGGTGGAATAGGACATGATTTGACAAGTTAGGATAGGATGTGACAGGATAGGATTAGATTAAATATGTAAATCCTTTCGCTTCTGCTGGAGTTGAGTCGCTTGTTTTGCATCGCATTGTTTGGACGTATCTCGCTTAGTTAGGAGGGCATGCATGCTCAGAGTGGGGAGCAAGTAAACAGAGCGCGGCGCGGGCCCGGGCCGGGGTATTGATGCACTTCACAGCCTCACTTTGCTTTTTGGGTAAGGATGTACTAACCCGCAGAAAATTTTCCTACCTATGGAGGTAAGAAAAGAAGTTTGATAAGAGAGCGGAGGATACTTCCTACGCAAGGCACTAGACGGGAGACAGTTTAATTGATATCCTCACTAACACACATACTGACCTTTCCTCACATTCATTTCAAAGAAATTTCACTCCTGCACCTGATTCAAAATCACAATCTACAACACATCACCAATTCCTCCTCCTAGATAACTTGCCATACAATTGAGCTGAGCTGACTGGTCCCTGTCCAGTGTCTGCAAATGTCAAACCCCCCTACCCGTACCCCTGAATCCTCGCACAGACAATCTGAATATGATAGATAACATCGCTGGCTTGCTTTACAGGACAGGCGATAGTTGTGTGTGCTTTTGCGTCTGTTGAGACTCAAGAGTCCTTGTCTGCTTTTGGGTGGGCGTGGAGCGGGATGGGGGGAGATTATTTATTCTTCACTATTTTCTTCGACATGATAGATGGTCATCATGCCCGTCATCCGCGACCTCAACGCTCAAAAGCAGACGAGCAGATTATAATCTGTTAATATTGTGCACAATTCGCCTTCATAGGGAAAGCATAAGGTCCAAGTACAGACTCCTCAGACCAAATATGCACAGAGACATTGAGAAAGTCCAAGTCTCTGTATCGGAGTGAGTGAGTGGTGATTCCCACAGGAGCATGGAGGGTTTGCAAAATCGTGGAATTTATGCGAGACCTAGAAATGGTTATACACTATGAATTCCAGCATTGTGCAACGACTCTTACCCAAACTCAAGACCCATGTAAAGCAACCCTCTAGCATCATATCAATTTACCAGACAGGCACCGTGATCTGAGTTTTGCCCGTTGTTCACTCGCTTACGACTAGACTTCCACTCACCCTAAGTAAGTTCCCTGCCCGAAAGGGCTAGTGAAAGTAAGTCAACTCGTTGGCAAATGTCTACTATTGCAAATTTGAGATGGAATTTACTTTTGTACCATTGCCATTCATTCACTTTCTGCCGGGTAGAGCGTGCGCGAGCGTGAGAAGAAATCTATAAACATGACCCGCCCAAATCCACCCCTACTCCATGAAACCCAGTACTGTTCCCCTGATCCCAAATGTACACAAGAATGTCAAATATTTCATCCGGGTATCATGCATTCGATCCGCCTCCAAATATAGGATGTTTCTCACCACCTCAAGTCCCACCATGTTAACCCGAAAAGACCTTTTCTCCCATGTCAGTATTCACAATATCCGGCTTTTATGTACCTCCTCCTGCTCCACCATTCTCATGAAAAGGTTTCACGAATTCCCGATAGTCCAAACTTCCACACCCAGAATCTCAAACTTCTCTCCCTCCTCGCTCAACGGCTCATTCCCAAACGTCAGACAATGACTGCTAATACCCTTCTCGAATGTATCGTCCAGCCATAGTCCATAATGGCCGTCTCCACCACCAACGCTCAGGAAGCCTGTCTCGCACAGCATCATGTAGTCGTTGACGCCAGAATAGGGAAACGCTTTGAACCGGATGCGTTCTGGTGTCGAGAGCCCGGATGGGAAATGTGGGTTTAGCGGAGAGAGGAGAGAGGATGTGGATTGTGCTGGTGATGTGGGGTTTTGCATTTGAGAGTGGAACGTTGGAGAGAGGAGATCTGGAGGGGCTCGTGGCGAGCCAATTCCGACTGTTGTGCTGCGGACTGCGTTGGTAGTATCTGCTGATGGCGGAGGAGGGAGATGTGTCGGTATGGAGGCTGCTGTCAGAATTGAGGCACGCCAAAGGAAACATTCGCCTGTGCCAAAGTAGTGCGGTGCTGTGTGTGGTGCTTCTGTCAGATAGGCGCCGAATAACTGTCAGAGCGAGTTAGCAATAAAGTCCGGTGTCCTAGATATCTGGCTTGCATCGCATCGCCCAGGGCAAGAACAAGAGGGGCAGTCCTAATAGACTGGAGGAGTCATACCCCACCCTCCCCATCTTTCACAACCAGCACGAATCCATTCCTTAATCCTCGCAGCTCATCGCATTTCTTATACAGTGTCCCAAGACTAACCCCATCCTCCTCGAGACTGTACACCAAATTCCACTCTTCGCATAACTGTAATCTTGCTGGTACCAGTAACCGGATCTCTTCCGCCAGCGCTTTGCTCAATAGCCTCGCTGATTGAGGCGTACTCGAATGATATCCCTTCAAATTGACAGGGTAGAGAGGTGGTGGTTGAAATGGGGAGGCTGTTCGATACGGAGGGGTGTACACGCCGTCCATGCCATTTTGGTGGTGATTTGTTCTCGTAGCGCCGAATGTAGGGGAATGTACAGGCGATCCGTTCTTAGTAGCCGAAGGCTCGGTCGAGAATCTACGCAGCAGGCCTGTCACGGCGTGGGATACTGTAGAGGGCATTACCCAGGAGGATGAGGCCGAGAGGGAGGGGGGTCCGGATGAGGTATTTTCTGGGTAGTTTCGTGACATGTTCGTTTAGGGGTTTGTTCTTTATTCATAAGTTGTGTTCGGCTGAAAGACTTCGTTGCATTTGATGTAGACTTGTTTTCGTAGGAAAGTTGGCTGATGTTTGGCTCAGCTGCGATTAATAAGGTGGTTGATGGTCGTGGCAGGTTGGAATTTGGCCGCCTTGCGCTCAGCAGGCTGGATAGGGCAGTGATTGGCTGTGGAAAGAATTGTGGGTGCTTGTGGGGGACGAGGCTGCACTTCCACATGGAGGTAGCATGTGCTGCCAAGTAATTCAGCTGATCATTCTATCGTGCTTTCATATTCACTTGGGTGCATTCATGATCTTTTGAGGTTGTGTTGATAGATTTGGTGTCTAAGAGGGAGCTTACGCTCTATCTACCTCTACCTGTTGCTACAATTTACTACTTAGGAAGAGAGCCGACCCGCCAGGCTAATAATGCATTTTCCATTCTGCCTGCCATATACCTTTTGCTTTCATGAAAACGACAATCCCCCCTTACTCAACAGGTGTCATGCACCAACCAGAAACACTTGGGTATCTTCACTTAAATATCCAGTCCAATGTGGACGCCCTTCTCAGAAGGTGGGATAATCTCGTCTTCCTTCTGTCCCTTGAGGTTTGGCAATTCCTTGATGGCATCGCCAATGATCTTCAGAGATTGCTTCATCTGCTCTTCGCTGATGACCAAAGGTGGTGCGAATCGGATGATGTTCTGGTGGGTAGGTTTGGCCTAGAAGTAATTAGTTTCTGTCTTGCGATTCACTTCGAAAGCACTCACCAAAAGACCCTTGCTCTTCATCAGCATGCACAAATCCCATGCAGAGTGACCACCAGTCTTCGACTCGTCGATGACAATGGCATTCAGTAAACCCTTTCCTCGGACGGTTGAGATCATGGGAGACTTCAGATCCTCGAGCCCTTGACGAAGGATCTTGCCCAGAGCTTCGGCACGGGCAGTGAGATCCTCCTCTTCCATAATCTCGAGAGCACGGATAGAAACAGCACATCCCAAAGGATTACCTCCATATGTTGATCCATGGGTTCCAGGCTCGACGACAAGCATGACTTCCTTAGAGCCAAGAACACATGACACGGGGTACATTCCCCCAGAAATAGCCTTTCCGAGAGTAACCATGTCGGGTTTGATATTAGCCCACTGGGAGCACAACATGCGCCCTGTACGACCGATACCTGTCTGGATCTCATCGCAGATCAACAAAACATTGTGCTTCTTGCAAAGTTCCTGGACCTTCGTCAGGTAGTCGTCTGCTGGCACAACAACACCAGCCTCGCCTTGGATTGGCTCAACAATGAAAGCGGCGGTCTCCTTTCCATGTGCCTCAAGCGCTTCTTCGAGGTCTGCGACGTTGTTGAATCGAATAGGCTTCTTCGTAGATGGGCAGATTGCTCCAATTCCTGGAACGTATGGGCCGTAGTTGTCGCGGGACTCAGGGTCGGTAGAAAGAGTAACGGCAGTCATCTGAAATATAGTAAGCACCGAGTCAGGCGGTCACAGAATCAAACCTTACCGTCCGTCCGTGGAAATTCTCAGCGACGCCAAAGATCAGAGCCTTGCCTTGTGGGACGCCCTTGACTTTGTATGCCCATTTCCTTGCAATTTTGATAGCCGTCTCAACTGCTTCCGCGCCAGTGTTCATTGGGAGAACCATGTCGTAACCAAAGACATCCTTGACCTTCTCTGCCCATTTTGGGAATACATCGTTGTGGAATGCCCTCGAAGACAAAGTCAGACGTCCTGCTTGTTCGCACAGAGCCTTTACCAGTTCAGGATGGCAGTGGCCTTGGTTGACCGCACTGTATGCTGACAGGAAGTCGATGTACTGCTTTCCCTCGGGATCCCAAACGTTGCAGCCTTCAGCGCGAGCAAAGACTATTGGGAGAGGATGGTAATTGTGTGCTGCATATTTGTGCTCTGCCTCAATTGCACCTGCACTCGACGTAGCATGGTACTGAGATTCTGCGAGGGCCGCAACTGGTTGGAAAGTTGAGGCAGTCGGTTTGAGAGTGCTGGCATTGGTATCAACACTTCCGTTTGCGTGTGGTGCCATGATTGCTGATTTCTGATTGTCGATTGAGCGGTGAGATTGGTGATTTCAGTTGTCTTGTCTTGTTCTGGGTCTGGAGTAGAGGCTCTTATATGTCTGTCCGAAGTTTCTGTGTGTCAAGATAGAGGAATGGAGGGGTGGCGGCGCGGGGAGCCCTGAAGGGAAAAAGTGGAAAGCCATCGTCCAGACCAACAGATGCCGCCAGATTACCACGCGACTCCAACATCGTCACTTGCGCGCGGGAAGTAACCTGAATAAGTAAGAATAAGCCCAAGAGTGGGTTAGAGATCAGGATTGATGTCGCCAAACGCAGTTTTGACAAATAGATTGCTTGGATCTGATGGATGACACTCCGTAGTCGAACGGTGTTCGCATGAATTAAATATTCCGACGTCAAGGGGTGCCGACGCTACCCGACTCCTCTTCCAGCAGAACACAGCAACAATTTACACTCACACCGACCTCGGCACTGCACAATGATACTGCGGTCCCGTTACTGTCTATAAACGAAAGTAAACATGATCAGTGACGATGGGTCAATAGGAGGTAAGACATGTCCTACTCCGATCCCGACTATTCCGTGTTATGCCTACTGGTTCTGACATACATTTCAGTTCCGTCGTGGTCAGCCATATCAACAGAACTCCTACGAGCAGAGTTGGCGCGACGAGATGAAAATCCACCCAAACCAACATGCGGATCTGTCAGTAAGGGGTCGTATAACACATCAGCGCATGTTTTTGCGCTGGTGCTGATCTTGGCCCTGAGCACAATTGGTTTGTTCCGAATTGCTACTGGAAACGAGTTGTGCTGAAAGGACGGACAGCTTGTGGATTTCCCCTGATATCACGACGGACATCCAAGGAGAGTGCAGGGCCAAACAGATTCATCTTCATATCACAACATTTCGGAACTGGAGTACTCATTGCAACAGCTTTTGTACACCTGCTCCCAACAGCCTTCATCTCACTGACGGATCCGTGTCTTCCAGCTTTCTTCAATGAGGGATACAATGCTTTGGCAGGTTTAGTCGCCATGCTATCTGCATTGATTGTAGTGGGATTGGAGATGTTCTTGACGACGAGGGGTGCTGGACATTCACACTCGCATGGAGGAGCTTGGGATGCTGTGCCAGCTGGGGAGGACGGCCATAACCACATAGGCAATGGGTCAGCAGAGACAACGAGGCCGAAAGCGAACGGAAGGATAGGGAAGCTAGGTCTGAATCACAGGCCAAGAGATATTGCCATGGACGATTTGGACGCCTCTGAAGGCCTTGTGGCAGGTGTATCTCCTTTACCAGTTTCGACACCAACACCTACAACACAGTCGAATAAATACCGCGACGAGAACGAGGATGACAACGATTCGGACCTGGATCTTGATGAGCTCGACCCTACTGCGGAAGCATTCTCCGGCTCTCAAACTGAGATTGAGCCTGAGTCTTCAGGACCCCATTCTGCCCTAACTGCTGAAGAGCAGCAGAAGAGACAGATCCTCCAGTGTCTCATGCTCGAAGCCGGCATTTTATTCCACAGCATATTCATTGGTATGGCTGTATCAGTGGCCACCGGACCACCATTCGTAGTGTTCCTGGTCGCAATTGCGTTCCACCAGTCATTCGAAGGACTCGCGCTAGGTTCTCGAATCGCAGCAATCAATTTCCCTACACACTCTCCCAGACCATGGCTTATGGTGCTAGCATACGGAACTACCACGCCGATTGGACAGGCCATCGGATTGGTAGTACACAACCTGTATGATCCACAGAGTGCGGCGGGATTGTTAATGGTTGGGTTCATGAACGCAATTTCAAGCGGGCTACTATTGTTCGCGGGTCTGGTACAACTACTAGCTGAGGATTTCTTGAGTGACAAGAGCTATGGCATCTTGAAAGGCAGGAGAAGGTGGGAGGCTTTCAGTGCGGTGCTTGCCGGAGCAACGCTAATGGCATTGGTGGGAGCATGGGCTTAGAGCTCACGGAGAGTGTACGAAAGGAACGATTTGACGGCAGGCTTGGGATGTTACAGTCATCTGCTTGTGGCATAGCGGCGTCTGGATCTCTGGATAGAACGGGACGAAAGGAGCTATTTCTCTATGGCTCCGGGAACTGTATAAATATATTAATGTATTTGTCCAAGAAGCGTCACCTGTTATAAAACCGCTGATGAAAAGAAGTGGCAATTGAAAGTAGTGATGTTGAATTTTTGTCTTCGCCATAACATAGACCATGCTGTTGAGGCTTGCCTTCCCTTAACATCGTCAAACAGTCCTAACAAAATGTATGCTTCACTTTTGATATACCAAAGAAACATTAATACAAGCTACTCCCACCAGCAGTCCCCTATTTCGGGCTCTTAGCAAAACTTTCAATAAAGGCTGCCAACTTCTTCGCTCCTTCAACGGATATCGAGTTGTAGTTGCTCGCACGAATACCGCCAACACTTCGATGACCCTTCAAGCCGGTGAGACCTTGCTCAGTAGCACTTTTCAAGAAGGCCTTCTCTGAGTCATCGACACCGCTTTCGAGCTAAGCGAAAGTCAGTAAACACATTCTTAAGAAAATGATATGTTGTGCAAGGTCCATACATGAGTGACTCTGAAGCAGATGTTCATCCTTGATCGAGCGCTCTTGTCTGGTACGATCTTGTATGACTCTGGGTACCTCTCGAGTGCTTCGTAAATAGCCTTCGCTTTCTCATTTGCGATCTTCTCTTGGTCGTCGACTTTGTTGGGGAAGTTGGCGAGAGAATTCTTCAGGACTTGGCCAGCAATGTACACGCTATTGAGATTAGTATTGACTTGTTTCTAGAGAACATATTTGCGTCACTTACTCGAATATGCTCAAAGTGTTGTACAAGCTGTTGTTCTTGGCGATCGTCTCGTAGGACAGGACAATCGGACCAATCGGTAGACCAAGTTTTCTGAGTAGCGTTGGAGGAGGTGTTGCCACAGCTGGAGGAAGGAGACTCTTCTTGATTATCACGACTGTAATACCAGTGCTTCCAAGATTCTTCTGTGCCCCGAAGAAGATCACCGAGAAATTCTTGATGGGTATCCGGCGAGAGAGGATATTTGAAGACATGTCCGCAACCACAATTAGATCATCGTCATTTCCCTTTGGCTTCAGAACTTCAGGGAAGCCAGGGAACTCCACACCATCGACCGTCTCGTTGTCGCAGTAGTAGACCATAGCTGGGTTCTTGGATAACTTCCATGAAGACTCCTCGGGAATCTTCCCGAACTTCCCATCGTTCACTTTTCTCCCATCTGCAACCACATTGACAAATTCAGGGCCAACCAATCTAGCTGCCTCCTGGCTAGCCTTCAGGGACCAAGATCCAGTAACCAGGTAGTCGATTTTAAGTTCTTCTTGAACAGCCTTCTCTAATTCCTTCAAAATGACATCCTCTGGGATGTCTTTTCCGTCTTTGATACCCAGCTCCTTCAAGATCTTTTGCTTCCTCCGCTCGACCCAGACGCCGACTAGGTTATATACCGTTGCGGAGAACTCTCCACTGCCACCTCCCTGCATGAAAAGGACTTCGTAGTCATCTGGGATGTCGAGGAATGTGGCGAGATCCGCCTTTGCTTCGTTGAGGACTTTTGTAGCAATCTCGGAGCGATGAGAATGTTCTGCTAGACCTAGGCCGGTGTCATTGTAGTTTACCAGTGACTCCGCGGCTTTTTCCAAGACGTTCGTTGGCAGGAGTGCTGGGCCAGCGCCGAAGTAGGTGATATCCGCTCGAGAAGGCATGTTTACTGATTGAGGAATTGAGTTGAAAAATCACTGAAGCGGTAATAGATTACTGAAAGAAACTCCGGGAAATTATTCGTGAGGGAGTCGTGATTCGGTGCCTTTTACCAATCGAAAGAGTCACAATCAGTCCGCGGTGAAATGCTGATGTCAGAGAGGATGGTTGTTATTTATTCGAGGGAATACACACCAAACCTTCTAACAATTGGAAGTTGTGATGGAATGTAAATGATTTCTGAATGGCAAAATGACTCAGTGCCGTCTCATTCTATCGTACCTTGTCAACAGTCGATGAGCAGTCATCTGGTGGGGTGCATTTTTCTGCCTCCCACCCCGCACCCGGAATCGGAGTCAAATGCCACCCACCGCCTTTCTGGCAACCTTAATTCTGCCCCAGAACTTAGCGTCACTGAAATTCTTGGCTTTGTGGCTGTAGCTCCAGGCAACGTTTGCTTTCGCCATCTACCCCGCCATTACCTCCAGTCGTCCTTATATCCCAAAAAGCATAGCTTCACATCGTCATTCGATACATATCTCAATTATTTGCCAGTAGAGATCCTACAATATTCGACTCCCAAGCGATCACCAAAGTTAGGAACATCACAGCGATCAAGAGCATTCAACTCTGTACCCCGCCATCAAGAGCGTCATCAATCTACCCATTACGCTCGAGCAAGCCACAGCTTGTGAACATCCACCACAGAATGGCGAACAATCCACTGAGTACGGAGAGTATTCTCAAACACATGGCAGATGCCATTCCTACACATACCAAAGGCGACACAGGTTCCGACGTCAGCAGCTCACTAGATGCCATATCACTCTTCACCCATGCTTGCATGACAGCAGTCGGATTCCGTATACTTGGATTTGGGGAAGAACAAAAGAATGGTAAGCTTCATTTTCAGATGCTTATTACTAAAGCTGACACCCATGTAGAAGCAGAATTGGCACAACGTGCTCCTCGTCTATCAGAAAAATGGAACGCCTCTGCTTCATCACATTCCTTCTTATACGCCCACTCCCAGTCTTCCATGGAATATGTTATCAAAGTGGATCGCTTAGGAGGTAAAGCAGAGATTCGGGGAATCGGACTTGGTGATGAGAGAATCAGCAGATTCGAAATCACAGCTCGGGACTACATCTCCAATTCAGCCCTCCCATTACGCATCACCCTGACAGCCGATGGAGAAGAAGACAGATCAGATTTGGAGGGCAAGCTGAAAGATTTATTCATTTCTCCTCATAGAATTCAGGGTCAGAAAATCTTTCCTCTTCTAGAGACTCACTAACACACTACAGACCTCGCCGCTGAATTCAAGACAACCATAATCCAAAAGCTCATCCCGAATCTTCATAAAGAAGGGTACGAAGAGTCAGCTGCTGCCAGAGATGCCCACGACGAACGAGAAGAAGGTCATGCTCGTAGACAACCTCGTCAAGATCCTCTTCGTGACCCGGGTCTTCCCGAGCCAGCCCGTCCATATCCATTCGACGACCCTCTTGCCGCACCTCGACGCCCTCCCGTCCCAGCAGGCGACTTCCCACCTCCAGGATTTGACGATGAGTATGACATGAACAGGCCACTTCGAGGCATGGCACCGCAGTTTCCTGGACCGGGAGCTCCATTTGGCATTGGTCATAATGATCTGAACCCTCCTGGACTAAGGCCGAATGATCCCCTTAGAGGAAGCTTTGTAGGCGGTGGACCAGGTGGCTTTGGAGGTGGTATGCATCCTACGTTTGATGACCCCTTGTTTGGAGGACAAGGACAAGGTCGTGGTGGTAATGGTAGAGCTCCGCCAGGCGCTAGATACGATCCCCTTGGACCAGGCGATGGACCACAAAGAGGTGGTAGAGGAAGGCCTCCTAATCCATTTGGTGGGTTTGGAAACAACGATTTCATCTAAGCGAAGGGGTCGAGGGATGACTGTATGAATATGATGTTATGATCGGATGATGGTGCATTTGGGCAGGCGTTGGGACTTGAAGTAAAGAACTTTTGTACTCCCAGCAAAGGAGCAAAAGAGGAAAATACAGCAGTTTTCAGATCGACCAAAACCGCCCATCAGACAGAATTCAAAGCGTGTCCGAAGACGTGCCCCCGTCTTCCATTCCATGGTCACATTTTCATATGGTACATCTATGGACATGATACATACTAGGTCGTTTCCCTACTAATGGGACCTGAATCCAAATCTATTTTATCGCTCCTCTTCTACTCCTCTTCTTCATCCTCACCACTCTCGTCCCCTTCCTGATTCAACACCGCCCTCTCAATCAACCCCAATGTCACCCTCACCGGCAACCCCACGACATTATCCCAACTCCCCTCAATCCGCTCCACCAACAAACTCCCCATACCCTGAATCCCATAACCCCCCGCCTTATCTACCCCCTCTCTCGTCCTAACATACGCCTCGATCAACCCATCACTAACCTCGCTCGCAAAAAAAACCCTCGTCTCCTCCACGGCCGTCTCCATATTATACCCAGGAAACTTGGCATCCTCCCTCGGCGCCAGCACCGCCACAGCCGTGAACACCTTATGTACCTTCTGATCTCTCAGCATCTTCAACATGCCAATATGCTCCTTTTCATTCCGTGGTTTCTCCAATATCCGCCCAGAGTTGGTAACGATCACGGTGTCGGCTGCGATTACGAGGGAAGGGTCAGGTATTGATGCGAGGGTGTTCTCGATTGCTACGCTGTAGACGTCGAGGCATTTCTGGACGGCGGTTTGAAGGACGTATTCGAAGGGTGGGAGGTCCTTGGAGAGGTTCTCGGGTTTGGTGGAGGGGAGGATTTCGAGGTTGTTGAGGCCAATCTGCTTACCATTAGTCTCTTCAACTTTGTAGAGTTTAATATAAGTAAATACCGTAGACAAGATCTGTTTCCTTCTTGGACTTGCAGATGCTAGAATTAACCTCTTCCCAGGACTTCGCAATTGGTTCAGCACTGGGATGTCGAGAGGGAACGGGACGCGCGGCAGAGGTGGTTTTCCTGAAGCAGGAACTGCTGGTCTGGATGGTAGGGTAGCGCCATGTTCAGCTGCGGCAGCATCGTAGGTTGGTGGCGTATCGCTGGGAGGTAATTGGATTTTGCCTTCTGTCATTTTGAGGGTGGGAGGTGTTGATGATGGAAGGTTGGTGATGCTGTGGCTGAAGCTCGACGCGGGGTGTTTCGCTTGTCCCAGCCCCTCCTTCCTGACTTCCTTCTACGCATCATTTGTAATTGGTAGGGACGGGGTATACATAGTATTTGTTGACCATATTTGAAGCGAGCACGATGAAGAAAATGAATATGAATTCCTTGAATATGGTCAAGTAGGATTTTCCCTCAAACTGCAGCTTCACATGCATGGTGCAAGTTTCAATATTCAGCGAAAGTCTCGCAACATCGACATGCCCAGTCCACCTATAGCGCAAGCAATTCCGCAGCAAACTTACTTCCTATAAGCTCTGGCCTCACGTCTCCACCAGCCCTTGAAGTCCTGAGTAGCAATAGGGACTCCAATATCCTTCAAAGCCTTAGTCGACAGATGACAATCGTAAGGTCTTTGGACACTAGCATTGGGATCATTGCCCTCCGTATTCGCAACCATGCCATCCAGAGGCAGACCCATGATCTCCGCAAAGATCTCGCAGATCTCATATTTGGTCACCTTGTCTTCGGATGAAAATTGTAGGATCTTGGGGAGTGTTGCCTTGTCGTCTGTGGAGAGGTATTTGGTTGCTACATCTGGAGAGATTGTTAGCTAGAACGTATGCATTCAAAATAATGGAATATACCTTGTAGAACTCTGCCCACGTCTTCTGTATTGGTAGGATATCTGATAGCCCAGTGATCCATCTTTATACTCGCTCCCTTCTCCTGTGCCTTCCAAACAGCGTCCATAAGAACATTCACAGCACTCTCAGCCGGTGAACCAGCCTCTCCGTAAAGAACAGGAACTCTCATAACGACTCCCCATCCCTCCTTGCCAGCCTTCTCATACTCAGCGAGCACGGCCTTCTCGCCTTCCCACTTCGTCTCTCCATATAGATTCGGTGGGTGTGGTGCGTCTGTAGCTTCGTATGGCGCATCGCCTTGTGTGCCTGGGAAGACGTAGTCGGTAGAGATGTAGATTAGGAGGATGGAACTGGCAGCGCAGAGTCTGGCTAGGGAGGCAGAAGCTTCGACATTGAGAGCGCGTGTGCCTTCGGGGTCATTGTCGCATTTATCTGGGAAACGGTTCGCAGCACCTGGACGGTCAGCTATGTTCGCAGATCGAGCATAGATCGCTGGCACACTCACAGTGTACTACAACCTGAGGTCTTCAGCTGCTGGTTAGAAATTGGCACAAATTACTTGGGAGGGAATCTGACTTGACTTGTTCGAGTGTCGTCGCGATGTCTGCCTCGGAGCCTAGGTCAAGCTTCAAGATCGTAGGCGGACTGGCGCGTGTAAATCCGGTGCCCTTTACATCCCAACCAGCTCGATCGAAACCTTTGACTACCTGTGTACCCAGCAAGCCGGTTGCGCCTGTGATAAGAGCTGTTTTGGCCATGGTGTTGTTGGTGGGGAAGAAAGTCACAATTCTGAGCTTGGTTTGACATATCGGCAACCTCGACGCGTCTTCCCAAGTCACATATTCGTCCAGTAACAAGTCTAATAGCAAGCATAGTATTTAAGAATCTGTTCTCATCCTCCATGTTAAGCCTCTTCTAGCATACTTTCCCTTCCCCAGCGTCGACGAGTTTTCTTCTTCACGACCATCCACATGGAACAGTTCGTAATGAAAAAAAAGAGGTCTCTTTCGAGAAGTTGGTGTACAAAAATTCCTTATCCGGCCGAAGCCAAACAAGAGTGGTCACTAGAATGGTGGGTAAGAACTTGCACAGCGAATGACAGAATGGTTGAATCTCACTGGTTATAGTTTTCCTGCATGCGAAGTCAGTAACTTTCATACAAATCCAATAGGTGGAATGGAACTTACAACTAGCAAAAACGCAATCTGCAGAGGGCGGAAGTTAGTATCAATCAAAGCAGTGTTGAGCTGGTGATATAATGGGAGTTGTTGGGTGGGTGGATTGGCGACGTGTACTGACCTCGGACGAATCCTCACTGATATGCGTAAAACCTATTCAGCAGTTAGCAAAGAGATCGAACAGAGGTTGTGGTGCGGCTGCTTACCCATGCACTAAGATGAGGAAAAAAGAAGAAGAGGAGGAAAGGCTGGACGGCGCTGGAGATTATATAGAACTTTTCGGCATGCTCGCTTAGTTAGATTGGCGCTAGTGGAGGCTGAACCAAAAAAGCAGATGAGCAAACTGAGCAAACACGATCCGTGCTCAGTGCTAAGCCAATTAAAGAGAGTGAATCACAACAAAAAGGCGATGTGAAGTGCTTCAATGAAAGTGAGTGGAGAGGTGAATTAGTGGTGAACCTCATTCAAAAGACCAGGTTTACCAAATGACAAACCCACGAATACTTGAGGAACGTGAAATACGCGTTGAGACTGTCCATTTCAAGAAGCGCTTTAGTGACCATAGATTTCTGCAACTTTCGTTTGTAACTACCCTCGCTACCATCCATTCCCCATCATTCTTCATTCCAGGACTTGTTGCTTGGCATGGCAACCTCTCAACTGTCCACTAACGGCTCAGTACTTGAACTGCACCTCTAGCAATTTCCAGCAACCAGCCTTAGCCTTCAAGGTTCTTGTGCAGAATTTGAAGTATATGCAAAAATACTATATATTAGAGTCTAGGATATTTTGACATTGTCACAACTTCCAGACTTTCCAAGTCCGAATGCCCATTTGTCCAATGAGTCCACCAATTTGGCCTTGACCTTCCTTCCCACCTTCCCATTTCTTCGGTCCTGCTATATAATTGATGAACCCCTCCGGTCCAGATACAAACAACAATTTCGAATCAACTCTCGTATGCCTCGCTCCAAATTTTATTTCAGAGGTTGCCTTGGTAAGGCTCGATATCCTCTTCTGATCCAAGAACTTCCCTTCCTCATCCACAAGATAATCTACCGATAATTGACCAGGGAACTTCTGCTGCAATGTTTCCAGCTCTTGTACAATCCGTCCAGTCTTCCTCGCTTCCCAGGCATTCGGGTTACTGACGTCCGCACCACCTTCACAATCCGCTCTTTTCCTGCTCGCCCATACGATATGCATCTTGGGCTTTTCTTCATCTATACGTCTCTCTGCAAGCAATGTATATGCCACCTGCAGCGCTGGAGCAATTCCAGTCCCGCCAGCTAGAAACACAACATCCGTCACTCTCTCCGGCAGATCGAGTTCTTGATGCGGGCCTCGCAGGTGTATTTGTGACCCGACGGTCAACGTATGCAGATATCCCGAAACCTCACCCTTATGCTCCTTCCTGATAAGAAGTCGCAGATCACCCTTCGGATCCCCTTTATTCGGCGGTAGAGGCGTGTATGATCTCGCAATCTGCAGCTGTGGCTGCTTGATCTCTACCGACCAAGTTCCCTTCTCCCATGACGTTTGGTATGGATCGGAAACAAGTTTCCGCGGCCGGTTGACGAGAGTTTGTGGTCGTAGTGTGAGGATTATACTGGTGGGAGAGACTTCTTCTCTCTTGACTATCGTGAATGGTGTGAAGCGTGGAGGGTTGAAGATCTTTGTGTCGGACCTGGAGTTTCGGTTTACGAAGTAATAGGAGACTGCGCTGAGACCCAGTAGCAAGGAAATTGCTGTTACGACGAGTTTAGGTCGAGAACCCTCCTTTGGCTTTTTTGTTGCCACCAACGAGAGCCGGATTTTATCTTTCGCAAGCCGAAACGGAGTGGAGGAAAATTCTCGCCGGCATTGTTGAAATATGGTTATCTGTGAAGCTCTGCATGGCCGAAAATTTGACCTAATTATGTTGACAGGTTGCCAACATACTTTCCCTCGAGGTGGTGATTTCATTGTCGATGTTGCAGCATCCTCAAAATCGATGTCGCGTACATCATGTATTATTCGGCAGAAAGTCGTCCCCTGTTCGACTTGCTCCAGGGCGGTGAGTTTAGTGGAGAGACCCCTGACAAAACACCCCGCCGGTGATCCATTCAGGGCATGGTGGGGTGTTCTGGTCCTGCAAGGCTGTGAAAATTCTCCATGACGAGATCGGACCAGTCGAGTCCATCAGTCCAAAACCCTCCGAGAACCTGCCAGCCCAGGTGATTTCCCGAATCTGAGTCACGACATCGAGCTCTTTCTTCTAAGTCAAATCCCGCTTCCTTTCCTGTCTCCTTTTCTCTCCCCCTCTTCTCTCTCTTCTTTACCATTTCCCACAAACACCACACCCACGAAACATACAAATCCGTCAACAATGGCTACTCCCGCACAAGATATCGCCGGTTCCTCCCACAGACTGGCCAGGACGGTCTCTCACAGCCTCATGGTCTCAACTTCGCCCACTGCCACATTCCATACCCCCTCTCCAATTGCCACATTCCATTCTCCCACTTCCAGCTTCGGCGGGTCTCAACTTACGCGGACTCAGACTGCTCCAAAACAACTGAAGCCATTTGATACTCAAGATATCAAGATTCTGCTGTTGGAAAATGTAAATCAGAGCGGCAAAGATATTCTGTCAAGACAAGGCTACCAAGTGGAGTCAATTAAGACCTCCCTACCAGAAGCCGAGTTGATCGAGAAGATCCGGTAAGAGAGCTTCGCTTCATCAGAGTAGGACGTATGCTGAATTACAAACCTAGAAATGTTCATGTTATTGGCATCAGATCAAAGACCAAGCTTAGCGAGAAGGTCCTCCGTGAAGCAAAGAACTTGATTGTGGTCGGTTGTTTCTGCATTGGTACCAACCAGGTCGACCTCGAATATGCCGCCAGACACGGCATTGCGGTTTTCAACTCTCCCTTCGCCAACTCCAGGAGTGTGGCAGAACTGGTGATTGCCGAAATTATTGCACTTGCACGACAACTTGGAGATCGCTCAAACGAATTGCACAGAGGGACATGGAATAAAGTCAGTGCGAAGTGCTGGGAAATCCGTGGCAAAACTCTTGGTGAGTAATACTGAAGTGCGGATTGATTGGTTGTCTACTATGTACTAAGAAGATGGGTCAGGCATAATTGGTTATGGCCACATTGGTTCCCAACTCTCGGTCCTGGCAGAATCCATGGGCATGTCAGTGATCTACTACGATGTCGTGAACCTCATGGCTCTAGGAACAGCAAGACAGGTTCCTACGCTGCAAGCACTCCTCAACGAAGCGGACTTTGTTACCTGTCATGTTCCCGAGTTACCCGAGACTAAGAACATGATCGGAGCAGCACAATTCGACCAAATGAAGGAGGGAAGCTACCTGATCAATGCCAGTCGCGGGACAGTTGTCGACATTCCAGCTCTCATCAACGCTTCACGCAGTGGTAAGATTGCAGGTGCAGCATTGGATGTCTACCCAAGCGAACCTGGTGGAAATGGTGATTACTTCACAACGGACTTGAACTCCTGGGCCGAGGACCTTCGAAGCTTGAAGAACATCATTCTTACTCCCCATATTGGAGGCAGCACTGAGGAGGCCCAACGTGCTATTGGCGCTGAAGGTAAAAGGAATCATTCTAAGTGTTTTTACTGTGCTAATTTTGGCAGTCGCCGATGCCTTGGTCAGATATGTCAATTCTGGTGTCACCCTTGGCGCAGTGAACCTTCCTGAAGTCAACCTTCGTTCTTTGACTTTGGACGAGTCCAACCATGCTAGAGTAAGCGAATTCAGTGCTCACAAGTCAATATTTGCTGACAACAGCAGGTTATTTATATCCATCACAACGTTCCTGGTGTATTGAGAAAAGGTGCTTCACATCCATTCCAGAGTTTTGACAGGATTCTAACACAAATAGTCAACGAAATTCTTGGGGATCATAACGTTGACAAGCAGATTACTGATAACAAGGGCGATGTGAGTGCTGTTGACGGAAATAAGTTGCATAGCTAATCATGATTAGGTTGCCTACTTAATGGCAGATATCAGCAGTGTCCACCCACCACAGATCAAAGAAATTTCCGACGCCTTGGAAGCTTTGAGCTGTAAGTCATCCTGCCCTCTGAGAAGATACGTTTCTAACCAGAGTAGCTCGCATCTTGACTAGAATACTTTACTAAAATGGCATTGGCTGGAAATCGGAGGAAAGGAAAATCTGGAAATAGAATTCAACAGGAGTGGCGGCGTCTTTGGGATTGCATCAACTCTTCAACATGAATGATCTATGGAGAAACATATGGAAAGAAAGGGCTACAACGAATGGCTTCATTAGAGATAATTGGAAAAGCATCGTACAGGAGATAAGAGAGAATGTCAAAAGCATAGGAACTGCCGATAGAGTTACTTTCATTTGATAGATACTTATTCCAACTCACTGCTAATCATCAAGTCATTGAATCGTCATCTCTCAACTTCTAAACCCTGTTCTTTGGCTTAATTATCTCATTCTTTCAACGATATGCTCTCCCTTTTATTTATCAGTGGGAGACGCATTATTAATTTGATCAGAAGACCTAGCTAGCACAATAAGCATGTTCCAGCGGACATCAAGTTTTAGGGAACAGCGCTTAAACCTCAGAATATAGTGTCCTTAACGGCGAAACCAGGGTGAGGACCCTATTTCTATTGAGCAACAGGACCCCAAACAACTTGGACTTGCACATGCATCTCTGATCTGCTCTGCACTGCTGCGCCATCAAGTTTGCGACTCTCCTCGCCTGACACGTGATCAATGACGAAGGTTTGGCGATTTGAGACGAAACCTGGCAGTAACTAGTCAGAAGCACATCCCAGTCAATCCATATTGTTGAATACTTAAATTCAACTCGCGTGCAGTCTTTTGATCGATTTATGCCCTCTGTCAACTATCAATAACCGGACGATTATTGTTGATCAAAATCCACCTCCTGTCTCGAAACTCTCCTCCCTGATCTATCCAGACCAGGGTCGCAAAGCCATCTAAAGATCCCTGCGAGTGCTCCCACCCCAGTCGAAATTATTCATTTCAGGAGCTGTACCCTGCCAGAAGGACACTCGCTCGCCAGGTCAGCAATTCCTATCTGTCCCACACGACGGGCCTTCCATCAACCACGAATTTCGCGATTTCTTATCTGCGAGAAGATTTCACTCCAAGTATAAAGAAGTGTAGACATTTCACACGGAGGAAAGAGCGAATTGCAACCGTCATTGACCCACTCTTCACTTAATTATCCAAGATCTGTTCACGACATTGAATCATCATCATGTCTTCTCCATCATCCGCAGGTTCGGGCAAGCGGAAGAGAACCAATACCGGTCCTTCGAAGAACCTCACAATGGATCCCCTACAACAAGCATCCTCTCGAGACGCGTCGGGTGAGGACGGAGAATCAACTGCGCCAGAAACAACGACCAAGAATCCCGCCAAACGGCTCCGATCGTCTACACACGAAAAGGTCGTGATTCCAAATGGCGACCCAGGAGAGCCATCCGAGAGTACAGAAGCGTCCGAGGATATTGAGAAGCGCGTTCGAAAGAGGAAGGGGAAGGACGATGAGGAAGACGAAGGCTTACCGCAGTCCATGGCTCCACCGCCAATTGGAAAGCTCACAGATCCAGTTGGGTACAAGACAAACCCAGCTCCGGCTGGCAGAGCAGTAAGAGTCTACGCCGATGGAGTATTCGATCTTTTCCATTTGGGGTATGTCTTAATGTCCTTGACCTGTGACCTGAAGACTGACTTCAATTAGACACATGCGCCAGTTGGAACAAGCCAAGAAAGCCTTCCCAGATGTGTATCTGATTGTTGGAGTGACTGGTGATAAGGAGACACACAAGCGAAAAGGGCTCACAGTATTGTCTGGTCAAGAGCGAGCTGAGACAGTGAGGCATTGCAAATGGGTCGATGAAGTCATTGAAGACTGCCCCTGGATTGTCACCCCCAAGTTCCTGGAAGAGCACAAGATTGATTACGTTGCCCATGACGATTTGCCATATGGTGCTGATGAGGGTGACGATATCTACAAACCTATTAAGGAGGCTGGGAAATTCCTTGTCACCCAGCGAACGGAGGGTGTCAGCACAACAGGTATTATCACTAAGTAGGTCCACCCCAATCACAATATTTAGGGTCAAATATTGACATTACCACAGGATCGTACGTGACTATGAAAAATATATTGCACGACAATTTAAGCGTGGAACTTCCCGTCAAGAATTGAACGTATCATGGCTGAAAAAGAATGAGCTTGATCTCAAACGCCACGTTTCTGAAATGAGAGAGGCTATCAGATCAAACTGGACCACAACTGGCCAAGAATTGGGCAAGGAGTTGAGGCAGTTCTGGCAAGCAAGCAGACCTGGAAGTCCCGCTCGTATGGCTAGTAAGTTACTGCCAGGATATCTGAAGTCGCTTTGGACAAAACACTGACCACTATCAGGTTACGATGAGTCGTCAAAGACTGGGCCACTCACCAGCCCATCAGCTCTCTCACATCTCAGCCGTCGGTTGGAAATCCCAAGAGCAGACAGTCCTGGTCCAGGCAGCGATTTCGCTACTGGATACAGCCTTGGTCTCATCGGTGGTGTACGATCATGGATGACTCGAAGCCGTCAAACCAATCGCGACAGTCTCCACGGCAGCGACAGCAGCGAAGAAGATAGTGACGAACGCTCGCCTCCACGCGGCCGTTCAGGAAAGGAGCAAACCCAAAAAGAGGGCGAGGAAGAGAAGCTGGTCGATGCCCAGATTAATGCACTAATGGGGGAGAACTCGAAGCATTCTGGTGCATAGATCTTTCATACATGTTTTTAGCGTCTTTCCAGTCTTTGCAGGCAAAAAGCGTCCTTTTGGTTTTGTATGATATGCGATTTATTCCGGTATATACTTGTTTCATTTAGAACAAATCATTGAAGGCATTGCCCAAATCCTTACACCAATTGGGGGACAGCCAGCCATTTGCGCGGATGTGACCTACATCTACTGCAATCCCGATGGTGTTGCCCAGCAACTCAGGTACAAGCAAGGTTTAGCTAACCATCCCATCCTTTCATATTATCAATACCTTTGAAAATTGCCGCTGGGAGAGGACCTTGTCATCGCTAGGGTGAAGGGACGGAAGCTATGTATCCATGGCATAGTAGGAGAGTTTATGTCCTCAGATCTCATCTTCCTCATCATCGAAATCCTCCCTATCCTCCTCTCCCATGTCATATAGAATCCTCCCTCCGTCACCCGGTCCCGCGGCACCACCATCCTTCTGTGCGTCAAAGTATGGAAGTACAACATTCTCTCTATCCCTCTTCTGCTTCTCCGTAAGACCCAGGTTGAACGTCGTGTTCATAACGTCTTGCTCGGCATTGACAGGCGGACCACCTGCAGCTGAAGGAGATGAGAAAAGCGGATGGTCATCCAAGAGTATGAACTCGCTTAATGAAGAAAGCTTCGATGATTTGGCCGTAGACTGAGAAATTGAAGATGAAGATGCTGGAGGTAGAAGCACGAAGTTTTCCGTCACGCCTCGGCCCGAGCGGCGCCGAATCTCCATATTGACCACCATACCCTGCTCATCCTTTGCGCGTCCCCTCAAACCAACGATCACGCCCTCGCGACCTTCTTGGATGCCAAATACTGGTTCTTGCTGACTCTTGTCCCGCGCACGTTTGCGGGCTAGGACTTGTGAGAGGGGCGAGACTGTCAGGATAGCGGTGGCGAGGTAGATGAGAGTGGTGAGAGGTGAAGGCGTATATGGCGAGACCGAGGATGAATGGCTGAGTGGAATATCCGTGTGATAAGTTGCCAGGAGGGAGATTTGAGGAGAAATGAGTAAGGATGAGAGAAAAGTTGAAAGGTGCTGAGGGTGCTTGCTTGACAGAGGGTACAGCGTGTCAATTATGAGCAGGCATTCTGCTTCGTGTCAATCTTGAACGACTTTAGACGAGATTTGACAGCGATTGACTTACTTGTTGAAGCCGCTGATGTATTTTGGGAGGAAGTTGCCGGTGGTGGGAGATGAGATAAGATCTCAGTTCTTAGTACACCCATAGGTTTTCCACGAGCTTTGATGAAGGAATCGATCTCGAAAGGGACCTTCTTTCGGAGAGTTGAGAAAGATATGAAAATTATCTTGTTCTTCGACACCTACTCGGAATTAGTGAGTTTCCTATGAGAGTAGAATGACTAAATATTTTTGAGCTCGTGCTGGTGGGATAGATATGGAAGGAAGAAAAGGGAATTTTGCTTTGGGCGAAAGGAATTTCCAGAGACTCATCCCAAGACCAGTCAAAATTCCATCACTACTAACGCACCTTTGCTCTCCTCACAAACTCTCGTAACAGAGGTCCTCCACTCTGCTCCAGAGTATCCAGTATCAACGTGAATGGACTTGCGCTATCCCTGAGATTTAATAGCTTTTGGAATAGAAGGTTGTTGTGTGTTCGTCGTTGTTGGATGAGTGAGGGCGCCATTCTTATCAATGTTGATGTTTCTTGAAGATGATAGAAAATATCTGACGGGAAGAAGAGGAAGTGAAAAATACTGAATACTTACTTTCTCCTTACCTATTATGTTTTTCTAGTAGGTGAAGTTTCAAGCACATCGACATGCAATGTAAATTGAGGCTTCAAGCTATTTCATTTAATAATATCAGGAACTGTAACATTTATTCTGCTTTTGAAGTCGTCCTCGCGGATCTCAGTGCATTAAAATTCAGATCATATGACTTTCACGTGGAGCGCCCAGCCACAAGGAGCGTACGCCGCCCTTCACAACAGGAATCTGCGCCTCATGCGCCTGGTGGGGTCATCTGTTGGTAAGTAGCGAGTTGCCTTGTTCGATCGTCGTAAGTCTGCGAATATATAATGCCCAAACTGCAAGCCCAAACCTCCCTTACTTTCGATCGAGTTGATTTCTAGCAGAGGCAAATTGAAACAAATATCCTTTTGTGTTCAGAACCCCAACACCATGTCGGCTCCTACAAAAGCCACGGATAGCCCAGTAAGTACTCAGACGCAGCTGGATGTTCTGGTTCATGCGCTATTTACTTGTTCTTGAAGCTGCTGCTAATGACACCTTTCACTCAACAGTTAAAGAGCCCATCAGGAGCTGAATCTCCAACAACTGCGAGACCATTAGAAATGGACGACGATGATGTGCAAGAATCCGGAATCTTGGGACACGATGCGCCCGCCGTATCAAGGCAAGCAACCGTTGAAGACGAAGCACCCGCGAAGCCTCCGCGCCCTTTGAGTCCTCAGCAACAAGCGGAAAATACTTTGAAGGAAGCATTCCCAAGCATTGATGCCGCTGTTGTCAAAGCTGTTCTTAGAGCCAGCGGGGGTCGGGTCGAGCCAGCTTTCAATGCTCTTCTAGGTAAATGCCCCCATAGCTCTTGGGAATATAATTATTACTAACACTTACCTATAGGCATGTCTGATCCTGATGCCGTCAGAGAACCTACACCTCCTCCACAACCTCCTCGCCCTACTGCTCCTCGTGCCGGATCTACCCCGCAATCACAACTCGAAGCTGACGAGCAATATGCTCGTCAACTGGCGGAACACTACGGTGGTGGTTGGGGAGGAGATGGGCAACGCGGTGATGGACCCCGCAGACAGCAGACTGGTCTGCGGCCAGGACCTAATGATCAACAAAAGGAACGCAGCTTCATCGATGACGATTTGCCAATTATTGGAGAGAACTTGAAGAAGGGTTTCCTTGAGACACAGAGCAAGGTAAATGGATGGATAACAAATCTGAAAAAGCGAATTGATGGCGAAGATGACGACGATGTACCTCATCAAGGTTACAACTCTGGGCAGTCATCGAATCCGCAATACCGTTCACGCAGAAGCAATGATGGAAGACGAAGTGGAGATTACAACCGTTACGATGCAGACCCTCAAGTACTTAGCGATGACTTCGCAGGTATGCAGATGAACAGCGATGGCAGTACGTTGTTTCGTCAAAGTTCCCTGGAAGAAGATTTACTGACCCGAGATTATAGCTCCAGCTCGACGCTCTACTCGTCCTCTTGCCAACCCTGATCTTTTCAAACCAACTCCTCCTGCACCAAAATCTGCCGATGGCCGCAAGGTTGCTTTCCAAGGTGGTCCACCTGAGGAAATCGACATTTACCGTACCTCTCCGAGGTTGGGAGCCAAGGAGAACACACCACCTGTCAGCAAGCAGAGCAAATGGCAACCATTGTCTACTGTGGATCCCAGCCCAATTGGTGAGACTGACAACGATCCGTTCAGCTTAGGGGACAGTGAAGACGAGAAGGAATCTAAAGATCGTGTTGGTGGAAAGGAGGTCAGGACGGACGATGCTGAGAGACTTAAGAAAGCAGCTGCGGAGGCAATGAATGACAGCATTAGCGAACCGGCACGGAAACCAGAAGCTGCAGAGACTATTGGAACCAAAGACAAAATTGCGGAGGAGAAGTTGGCAGGAAAGTCATGAATACTGTACGACGAGTCTAGCACATTGGGAGGATTTTGTTCTTTAGCCTGCATTTCTCGTTCATAGCTCAGATTGAGGCTCAATGATATCCACGTACTCCTAAGTTTATGGTCAGTTTTTGACTTTTATAGTGCCCGTTTCGCTGATGATACCCTTGTTGCTCTCAGAGAATAGTATGAGACATGTGATAGATTAAACCAATCAAAAGCCTGGTTTTAAAGAATAGATCTTGGAAACGAAGGTATAATACTAAATAGCGAAACTCGAAATACTAAATCAGCAATATCCTCAAAAGTCCTTGATAAATGAAAGTGGGTGATATAAGAAAGCAAGAGGTTGAAAGTCAGGGCATGAGAGAGTTGATAAGGTATCACGTGCGCCGGAATTCAGGCCTCAAGTCTTCCAAGATGCCACGCACTTAGACCTCAATCGACCAACAATGCCCCCGTAACAACGATGCCGCCTTTATACCTCCGTCAAGAATTCCCCACCCTCAAAGCCTTCAAAGAGGCTCTCCATGCCTGGGCCATCGAGGCGCATTTCGAGCCACGCATCTTAAAGTCAGATACCGGTCGTGTTCGAGTAGGCTGCAAACGCGATCCTAACTGCCCCTTCGTCATCCGCTGCAACTGGGAGCGCAAAGGGGGCAGGGAACCCCTCGCACGCGTCACGGTCCTCAGGGAGAGACACACATGTCTGAACGGGTTGGAATGGCGGCCTGGAGGCGTGGGAGGTATTGGAAATGGCATTCCTAGCACGGTTCCTGGTTCGATTGGCGGACCAGCCAACATGATCGGTACGCCTGGTGGGATGAATGGGCTTGGTGGACCAGGTGGACAACACCAAACGCCTGGACTGGAGATCCGTCAAGATGCAGAGGGCAATATCATGGGAGGCGCGCGCATTCTTGGACCCATCTCTCCGCGACAGAATCCCAATAATGCCTCTCCGACTGCGACACTCATTCCTGTCCTACCTAAGGTGCAGCGGAACTCTGCGAGTCGGCTGCCGTTCTTGATGGAAATTTTGCCTCGATTAATGAGAATTGATAAGGATACTACACCAGTGGAGATCAGGGAGTGTTTGCTCAGAGAGTATGGTGCAGAAGTTCATCTTCAGCAGTGCAGAAGGGCAAAGACTGAGATCCTGAAGAAGAGAGCTGAGCAAGGCGAAAACGAGAACCAAGGTGTAGAGGGCGGTGGCAGTTTAGACGGCATGGGAAGTCAAGACGGAGAGGCTAGTAACAACCTTTTCGGAGGGGACCTTCATTCGACGCCAAATCAAAACAATTCCAGAGTAAACGGAGGGCCTAGCATGAACGGGAACCCTGGTCCCAGTGGTCCTGTTGGAGGCCCAGGCCCTGATCAAGATTTCCAGCTTCACACTGCTAGTGGAGTGGTTATTCCTCAGGTTCCTAGACGCAGCGAGGCGGCTTTGAGTGCGGTGAGTGAGCAGGCGGTCAGATGCCCATTCTGTATTAATCATCGCTGGATGAGGACCGTGAAAGAAGCTGTGGAGCACATGAGCATGCATGTTGTGGTTTCATGAGATCAGTCTGCTGTCGTTTGGTTTTTTAGAACAAGCATAAGAACCAAGGTCAGTGACAATGGTTTCTCCTGACTGGCTCTCGAGAAAGGTACGATTTGTATGAAAATACTGGAGTTGAGGGAAGGCGCTTTGGGGGTTAACTTGCAAAGAGCTTGCTTGGATGGGCGTTTGATAACTTCTTGTTCACATTGCTAGGGAATTTTCATCTGGATTGGGATTGGGCCGAGGATGGAGATAAGGAGTTTTTTTTTGTTGTTTCTCGCTGGTCAGTTATATGAATACGTATTCTTTCATCTTGACCTGTGTTCTCTCATGTCATGCTGGAGCTAAGAACTCATCGTGATTTTGCCAACCTTGAGGTAGTCCTCACAGTGCCACCAGGTATTTGCTGTAGGGCGAAATCCAGCACCCAACGTCAACGGTGTTGCTTTGACTATACACGACCAGCCAAGCGTTGGCAATGGTGTAGTCTAGCGACATTCAGTCCAGTTCTTAAATGTCCTGGGTCAGAGTCTGGATGTACTCGAAGTAGCTTATCTCGTTTGAACAGCTCTGCTGTATTGGCCACCCCGAGACAGTCGCCCAGCCATACCTACCTCTGAACTAAGTGCTATGCAGTCTCTCCACCTTATATTTGCTGTAGAAGCCACTGATTTCAACGCCCGTCTTGCCACATATAAAAATTAATACTGTAAGATGAACAACTCGAATGAACTATTCCCTCAAGGCAAGCGTCCGGCGAAGGGTTTGGCAGCAGCCAAACAGAGGTCCGAAAAAGTTCACAATTCTCGGTTAAACAAAACACAACAAAAGCAACAAAAACAATTGGAATCAGCTTCACCGTCCCAGTACACTGCATAAGATCGAGGACACCTTAAAAATAACAAGTAATTATAACGAATCATCAACTTAAAAAGCAAAAGAAAAATCAGGAATACTCAATGTATCACTGTTTCTTTTCGGCGGGGGCAACGAGAATGATTTTCATACTACAAGTACCCAGTTTAGGGAGGTAGCAGAGTGATCAATATTGCTTTGAAGAAACCCTGTCCGACCATTACTCACACCGTGTTTCCAGATGCTGGTTGGCAGAAATTTACTTAACTTGAGGAGTTGAAGGTGAGAGTTCTACACAGCCCTTAGCGAGAGGTTGTTGACAGGTCAACAACGAATGTACTTGCTTCAAGAAGTAACGGGCAATGCTGAGAGGATCTAATCAGTTGAGACACGGAATTGAGCAATTGTATGGAGACTACCACTTGAGTGTTCCATACGTATGTATGTCTTTATTCCCTAGATTTGTTCTCTCCATCGCAATTAGCAGTCTTGTCTTCTGATACTCAGAACGCCTGCCTTTCTTAACGCCAGTAATCTACAGAAGCATTACAAATACACAAATGAATGCTATCATCTGTTTTAAATATATCGCACTTCGCATCGATCTATCCAGCCCAGTATGTCCATTTCCAGCCTCCCTTACTGTCCCTTATCACTATCAAAAACACCGAACATACTACCCTGGTAATCTGTGTACCCCCTCCTCATATGCCCCGTAACATTAACCAACGGACTCCCACCCATCCAATCTTCAAAGCTCCTCAAACACTTGTCTCTCTTCTTCTGGTGATCAGATTTATGACTGATGCCATCCGGGCTTCCCAGATCGTGCCATGGCTTTTGACCTCTGAGCTGCAATGGTCCCTGGCATGTCAACATGCTCATGATGTAGTTCATTGCAAGGTCATCGCAGTTGAAGGTTTCGTCTACGAGATTCCGGGCTTGTATGGCGATTGGGTGAGCGGATGCGTAGAAGCCCATGAATTTGACGTGGATGAAGGCGAGTCCCACGAGCACCACTGTATAATGTTAACTCCGCAGGTAACAAATTTGGGGGTTTTTTTGGTCTCCAAGGCTACAAGCTTTTGAGAGATAGTTTTGAGAACTGTACGTACTTTGATAGTAACTCTCTGCTCCACCACCCGTAGAGCATTTACTCTTATACCAAGTCTGTCCGCTCTCATCGATACCCACACATCGACCATGAGCACCAACAATCCTATTCTGACCATAGTTTCGCCAGATCTGGAACCCCCATTCGAGGTCTGATGGTGTAAAATAAACGTCATCGTCTGAGCTGAAGACAGCTTGAGTTTTGAGAAGGGGGTCGGGCGTCAGTCTATTATTCATGCTGTTCACTTCGGACTTGCGGTGACGGACAGGTACGCCGAGGGGAGAGACGTAATCTTCTTCAAGCGTGGCGTTAAGGTCGTTGTTGATAATGACAATTTCCTGAAGAGAAGGAATGCGTTCTGCTAGAAGGATATTGATTGTTTTATTGAGCTCTTTGGGGCGTTTGTAAGTTCCAATGGTTATTCTGTTTTAGTATGCTGTCAGTCTTGAATCTGGACTCCATAAATCCGCCTACGTTGCAGGTGGGAACAAGTTCAAGAACAAGAAGAATTCAAGAAACCTACGTGAACTTATCATCTCTCAAACTGCTATATTTCTGCTCCATTTCCCTCAATACGTCCAAGGCACCATCGGCAGGATGGCAATTCGCATTTGCACTGGCAGCAGCTGTGCTCATAGCCTGCTGGAGCACTGTTGAAGTCGTAGTTTGCAACACCACCGATGTCGACGTAACCACCACAACATTGGCTCCGTTCGCGTTGGCCTTTGCCTCCTCCTCATCGAATCCATTTCCAAACCCGCCAACATCCACTTCAGGGACAACTACAACCCCACCTCCTGTTCGCGTACTGCCATCTTGACCTTGTTGTGCTGGTGGTCCCACAGCTACCGGTACGAAAGACGAGACTTTCCCCCCCGGTGGTGAGAGACGGAGCAGTACAAGAGTTGCTGTAATGGAGATAAAGGCTGTGATCAGGATCGTAGGGAGCCTGCCTGTGGGAAGGCCGGATTTGAGTGGACGGTAATCCATAATGAGATGCAGAGATTCAATCGCACTTGGTTTGAATCAATCAGCCTGCTTCAACGCACACGGCGAAGACGAAAGAAAGAATGACAAAAGAATCATGAACGAGAAAGGGGCGTCATCCCAACATAATTTGTCTTTCACGTTCAGCTATCCTCGGTCGTCTAGTGAGGCCCGCAAAAAGGGGTTCCATCCCGCCTTGGGAAATCCTTATCACTTCCCCCGCCGCATAATCTGCATTTCGGCGAATGATGAGACATGTTTTCTGCCACGCTTAAAAGATCAACGGTAGCCGCGTCGATAGTAAGAGGTGCTAAATGCGTTTCTGGTAAAGACTGAAGATCATAGCCGAGTCCTATTCTGGAAGGGGCTAAGCGAGCTGGCGTTTTCCCGTGCCTAGATTTCCAGCTTCTCTGCAGCTCAGCTAGCAATGAACGTAAAAAGATATTAAGCGTGTGCTCATTGATGATACGAGGATCAATTGACAGTGACTGCTCTCGCAGTCCAGCTCTGCAGAATACGCCAAGTCAGTAAAAGTTAATAAATAGCATTCAAACCTTGACGGCAAAGAGCTGAGAAAGCTTCATTTGAAACCTTTTCTTGCTCGCTGACTGTGAGAACAAACGGAGGAAACTGAGAACAGTATATGCCATGAGAAGATCGATTTGGAGTCCGAAATACACAATCAGAATGCTTCAGATTTGCATTCTCAACTTCTACTTGCATCCGTCTTCTATCTCTAGACGTTCGAGAGGATTCATGAAGGTCCATGGTGTTATTCTGAATATCTGGTTAGCCCAATGGTCACTCCCTGGCTTGAATGTACTTCGCAATGAGTACTTAAAGGAATCATACATTTGTCAGTATATTCCATCTATGTGCACTGCCCTATATCAATATCCAAAAGCTGCCAATAGCAAGAAAGTTTTTGAACACATGTGGAGGTACACAACAGTTCAAGGCTTGAATATTTCTGACTTCCTCCCATGATAGTTTGCCTCTTGGATTCAAAAGTATAGAGTCTTTCGCATTAGTGATTTTCGAAGCAGTGCGGCTCACTTAGGATCTTCCAGTAGTTCTCGGTAGTCAGCAGCCGTTCTGCCAGCAAACCAGCATGCCAACGTCACTCATCATATCCACACTCGATCTCGTCAAAGTCATTTACTGTATTATCCCACTCACAGCTTCGACTCCACCCAAACCGGATTTCTCTTCTCCACAAAAGCCTTAATTCCCTCCTTGAAATTCTCCCCCTTTACCAAACTTGGATACCAATCCCGCTCCAAGACATCAACAGCATCTTCCACACTCCCCGCTTCCCAGGCAAGTCTGATACCCGTCCGTCCAACTATCATTGCATCAGGACTGTTACTACACATCTCTTTTGCCAGCTCAATAGCAGCATCCACCACCTCTTTACCTTCTCCAACATTCTTCTTTGCCCTGTCTCCCCCCTGTTCAATCTCAATGACCCTATTCACCAAGCCCCATGCTTCTAAAGTCCTCGCACTGACACTCCTCCCGGTCAGCACCAAGTCGCTCGTCCTCTGCAGTCCCAATGTCCTCACCAAGCGAGGTAAACACCCGGCGACAGGCACAATACCTCTTTTGATTTCTGGGAGAGAAAACACAGCTGTCGACGCAGCGAGGATCATGTCGCAGTTGGCGATCATCTCAAAGCCGCCGCCCATACAGATCCCGTTAACGGCTGCGATGATGGGTTTCTTGCCTGAGCGGCGAGGGAGGCCGGCGAGTCCGGGGGCGGCCATACTGTTTGTTGTGGAGGTGGAGTTGAGTGAGTTCCATTCTGAGGAGGTGTTAGACATGTCTCCTGATGCCTTTCCAAAGTTGTAAAAGGGACCGTCTCATTAAATCCAAAAAAAAACTCCATATATTTACAATCCAAGGAAACAGGAAAAACGATACGAGAGCTTTCTGTGAAGAATGTATTTGGAAAACAGTGAGAACTTACCACCCAAATCCGCTCCCGTACAGAACGCTCTCCCAACACCCGTAATGATACCGACCCACAAGCTCTCATCCTTGTCAAACAACTCCCATATCCTGGCGATCTGGCGACTCGTAGTCAGATCCACGCAATTCAATTTCTCAGGTCGGTTGAGCGTCACTTGCACGATTCTCTCGTGGGGGAAGGAGACGTAGAAGTGTGGGTAGGTTAGTGTTTGCGAGCGGAGAGACATGATGGAAGCTGTCGTGAGATGGTATTGGCGTTAATGAGTGGTTGAAAGCTTCGCCTGAGTGAGAATGAGTGATTACTAGAGGAGTAAAGTTCAATCTGGCATCCTCATGTGCTGTCAAAAATCTCACAACGAAGAAACACGAAGCAAGAAAAAGAAAAGGAAGCAAGCGAGTGCCGGAGCACTTCTGTACCTCGGACGCATTGATCCTGGTTCGTGGCTGAGAAGTGGATGTCATAGAAACCCATTGATTAGTTGTTGATCGATCTGATTAGATGTAGATAACGCTTAGCGCATGCTAGTGCGGTGAATGAGCTCCACTTTCACTTGTTTCGTCAACCCAGGATGGTTTAAGTTCAAAGAAATTGAGTTAACAATTCTATACTGACTTCAATTCGAGGAAAGAATATGAGCTTTGAAATCGCAGCTTGCAACCGAGTCAACTGCTTTGTCCCTATGAGACATGGAGAGCTCCTGTAATTACCTAGCTTGACATGATACTTTCTTTCTGGGATCTGAGTATTTTTGCAGCATACAATGGGAGATTATTTCCATTGGTTGTCCAGCTAACATTTCTTTTCCCTGTCCCCATTGGATCCGATATTGTTCGACAGAAGTATCTTCCTGTAATTCACCAGGAATGAGCCGACGAGCTCGGCACCCCGCAATCAGGACAGCCCACCTCTCACATCGCGTCATCCCGAGACCTGTTCAGACTCGAACAGCCACCTCAACTTCTCTTTCCCTCCCACCTCCCAACACAACCTCACGACCATTACAATGCTCCTCCTCGGCCTAACAGGGTCAATCGCGACAGGTAAATCCACCGTATCATCCATCCTCTCCGCACCACCCTATTCCCTCCCCATAATCGACGCCGACATCCTCGCGCGCCGCGTCGTCGAGCCAGGAAGCGCAGGCTACGCCAAAATCCTCGCCCACTTCCAGCCCAGCACGCCAGACCTGCTCCTCCCTTTCCCAGATGACGCGACGTATAATCGGAGTAAAGGCGCGCCTTTGAATAGGCCTGCGCTCGGGAGGAGAGTCTTTGGGGATAGTGAGGAGAGGAGGAAGGATCGCGCAGTGTTGAATGGGATTGTGCATCCGGCTGTGAGGAGAGAGATGTATAAGGAGTTGTTGAAGTGTTATTTGAGGGGGTGTTGGGCGGTGGTGCTGGATGTGCCGTTGCTGTTTGAGAGCAGTTTAGATGTGTTGTGTGGGACGGTTATGGTTGTTGCGGTTAGGGATCCGGAGATTCAGATGAAGAGGTTGATGGATAGGGATGCGCATTTGACGAGGGAAGATGCGGAGAATAGGGTAGGTAGTCAGGGAGATGTGAGGGAGAAGGCGAGGAGGTGTGAGGCGAGAGGTCCTGGGAAGGGAGTCGTGGTTTGGAATGATAAGGGGAAGGAGGAGTTGAAAGGAGAGATCGAGAGGGTAATGAACGAGGTGAGCAGAGCAAGTCCGAGGTGGTGGGCATGGTTGTTACTCCTATGTCCACCGCTCGCTGGACTCGCTGGCATCTGGAACTACTGGAGAGGTTTGGTCATCAACAAAAGGTGGAAAGAGGGTGAGCTACAAGCGAAGGCTAAACTTTGAACCCGAGGTACGTCTCTGATATATTTCGAGATATTTTTAGTCGACGATCTTTGGCGTGGCGTCGATTGACATGGATTGAAAGATGTGGCCTTGGTTAGCGCGTCTCCCAAGTCCCAGGGAAGAATTTTTGTACATGTCCACATAGCAAGTGCCATAATGTTCGTTGATACCACTATCTATCTCGTATGTACAATGTATCCATCATCAAATATTTACATGCACAATCCCGCTTTTCGTCGTATGTTCTTTATAGGCACCGTCACAAAGTCTAGACTGAATCACCACTCAACCCATTCTTGACTAGTAGTGCGGAGAAATCTGGGTTCTTCGCTGCATTAAAGTCATGGTTCCAATAGTTGGTTACCTCATGTACGGGGAAATTGGTCGTATTTGACGCTGGATTCGATGGCTTAGTGCCAGAGTAGGCGAAAGCGAAGCGGTTATTACCATTGGCGTTGAGAGTGACAGCTCGATTGCTGGCCCCAGTGTATGAAGTGCATCCCGTGCATTTGGCCGTGACCTTCCAATGAGTCCTGTTCGTGTAGGTGCCGGCTTTGATGATTTCATATTGGGCTCCACTGTAGACTGGAGGTTGAGAATGGCTTCTAGAAGCTGGTCAGCAAATCATATTCTCTTTTCGAAAACAGAGATGTATGCTTACACTGCATATCGAGATGATATGGTTGAACTGGCACCGTTTGCCCAACATGCCATCAAAGGGTTATTGATCATACTTCCTCCCCATGCAAGGGCTGCCCAGCCTACATCAATGGGAGCCGCGACCTGGACGACGACGGGGTATGTCGTGTTGATCTGACTTGGTAGAGCGACACGATATGCGATAGTCAGTCCAATCTTGTACGCCGCATTGTACTGCTGGAAAAGGAATCCAGTATCAGAGTCCCGGAAGGCAAACGAGTCCGCAGCTTGAACTCCAGCGACTAGATGGGATGTCAAAATATGATGAGGCGGCTTTAAATTGAGGCTTTACTTACCAAGACCTGCCACAGCAGTCACGATCCTAGCACCAACTGACCACCTCATCTTGAGCCAATGCTGTGAAAGAAAAGAAGCCGGGAAAGGAATAAGAAGACAGTGGTGTCCGATGAAGTCAATTTTACCACGTTCCGGTGGTGTCGAGGTCAGAGAAGTTCAATCAGAGCCCTGAAGAATGCCGACAGATGTTTGCTGGAACGTAATGTATTTCTGTCGGTAGATCAGATCGAGATCGGTAGATAAGCAATCAAATGAAAACTGTAGAGTTCATTATCCAGCTCTATACCGGGGAGGAGGACGATCTAATATATGAGCAGGGCGGAAAGTGGTGGCATACATCTAGAATCGTCCAAGTCAAACTTCCCGCCACTCGCCCGTCTGATGTCCTCGTCTTTCTCGTTTTGGAAGCAAGGTCACAATGCAGCAAGCCTTCGTTCCAATTTCCACAGCATTTCGGAAGCTGAAGACCGACAGAACAGAGATTCTGGATGCAGATAGATACATCGGAAGGCTCACTGTTTGTCTTCCTCATCTTGAGGACTACCACCGAAAATAACTCTCAGGCTAATTCGGAATGGGTCTTCTATTCTTCGTCTGCGTCATGATCTTTAGAGAAGTACATTGTGGCATGGGCACGTTACCAGTCTAGAAATCAAATCATCCCATGCGTGATCTTTCCCCTCATTCTCAATTGTTCCCTGCTTATCCTGAATCCCATAGCCAATTTGGCAATATAACAATATGATCGATACCCGCAGCTCTATGAGAATCAATAATACAACCCCTTTTGTTATACTCAATTCGCTTTTACCCCGCGTGATATTGGCTCGACTTCATAATGTGCGGCTAAAAAGAAAAGTGGTATTTCTCCACACCAGATAACCTTGGTTTCAACACAAAATAGCCGGAAGGAACGTTGAGAAGTTCTGGGATGTTTACTCGTCATGCTGCTCATCTAGGTCGTTTCGTTCCGGCTCTTGAATCGAGGCGAGATCAGCTGCCGGTGTTTGGGACTGGTTTGGGGAAGTGCGTTGCTGCACAAGCGAATTTGAAAGTTGGATCAACATAACATTTCCAATCGAACCACCCAAGGAAGTTCTATGCATAGAAGATTGCGAAACCCGGTTCAAAGATTTGTTTAAAATCCTTCTTTAATGCACACCCCACCAAGACAACGTGAATGCACACCACTCTTTGGATAGGTCCGGCCAAAAATAGCTTCCAAAGAAACTTGTGACAGCAGAGTTCAGGCCCCACAGCCGCACCCTCGAGCTCTGCTCTAGTGGGGCCTCTTCATAGGAGGCAGTTTCTGGGACTAAAGCGAAGCAATCAGAGGAGTCACAAGTCAGAAGCTTGGAACAATATCTGTAATAGCTGTGGGGGGTAGGTAATGTAGAAAGAGAGCGAGTCGGATGACCACTCAAGTTCGATGTGGGACTACCCATCGTGACGCTTCCTGTCATGAATAACTGAATTAGGATTTGTGGGTAAGTGAATATTCCTTAAGCTAAGAGTAATTGTGTCAAAATCTCAGCCTTGAATGTGAGAGTTCTGGTATCTCAGTGCTCTGCGATGTTTGAGGAATGGCTGGAAATAGAACAAGAACTATGCAGGGACGATATGCAGAGCTGGGAAAGCCAAACAGAGCAGTAACTTTGCATATACTTTGTGTTGCCTTGATAAGTTCAGCTCCAGTTCCAAAACGAGAAACTCAAGCAAATCAAACAATGTGGCAATGCTTTTGCATCCATTACCGCATGCCTGCTGTGGAACGACATGGACGTACTCGTCCGTGACACCATGCAAGCAGCCGCGACCTCTACACAGACAGCACCTTGGAGATTCCCCGTCAATCAGTAGCAAGATTCTTGTAATCCCTGAATGTCAAGTCATTGCCCAATACAATGGTTGGGAGGTGGCGTCATGTGTTACACAGTCATATAGAGCATGGGTGATGATTCGTTACTGCGTCAAGGGTATTGAAGGTTCGAGCCTATTTATCTCTAGCTGTAAGTGACAGTCGTTCCGTCCTCTGCTGGCTCCAGCAGTTTCCACTCGCACTTGATATCCTTCTTCGCGAACATCGCCAGGATAACATTGGCGATACTATCGAAGTTCTCAGTTGCCAATGCAAGAATGGTTGGTCCGGCGCCCGATAAGCAGATTCCACAGAGACCTGGATGGGACTTCGGTGTCACTGATTGTAGAATCTCTGGTAGACCTGGGATCAGACCTTTTCTGTATGGCTGGTGTACTTTATCTTGCATAGCAAGGTAGATCTGCTCAGCATCCGGAGGACTCCTTCCCAACGCTGATGGCAATAATGCTATCCTCTGCAGATTGAAAACGACATCTGCCCGAGAATACGAGCTCGGCAATACACTCCTGGCTTTGGCGGTCGCGACCTCGAATTGAGGAATGATGGCTATTGCTTTGATTTCCTTCGCCCAGGGGAACTTCATATAATGCCCAATTCCAACGGGAGGTTCTGGTGGGGCAAAGCCAGTATCGACGCCGCCTGCCGGTTCGGGCAGCACTTCACTAAGGGGAATTTCTTTGCGAGAGGTGTCTTCGGGACTCAGGTCATTAAGGTAGGTACCCACAAAACCGCCATACAAGGCTGCTGCCACATTATCTGGATGTCGTTCTGCCCTTCTTGTTAGTGTATTGACTTCAACAGCCGAACGTTCGAGAATATACCAATCATCAAGCAATAGTCCAGCATCCGAGCCTTCGAGAGACCCAACTTTCCCACTTCATTGCCCAGAACCACGCCAGCTACCACAGCCGCCCCGGAAGATCCCAGACCTCTGCCGAGTGGGATTGGATTTATGATATGGACTTTCGTTTCAGAAGGAAAGGCTCGCTGGCCATGACATCGCAATACGTAAAGCGCCGTCCGCGTAATTAAGTTGCTGTCTGCGCTCAATGGGACCTCATCGGCACCCTCACCTTCATAGGTGATTTTGCAATCGAGAGGAGCTTGGGATATGGTGGTGGCATCAATCGAGACCTGTATTTCGAGCCAGATGGAGAGTGCAAGGCCAATCACATCGAAACCAGGGCCAATGTTGGCTGACGAGCAAGGTACTTCTGGAACGATATGTCAGTTTCTTGACCAATTGACACACTTCTGTACAACAAGAGCTCAGTACTTATTGTGATCATGGTGGATTTGGAGAATTTATTTATTGGCTTGATGAGTCAATGGAGTGGAATGTGTGAATTGAGGGGCTGTTTTTGGTCTGTTAATTTTCGGTCTGTCAGCCTTGTCTCCGCCACGCTAGGCCCTCCGATCACCGGGACAAAAAGAATACTACCATTGGCTCGCTAATCATTCTGGCGTCAGCCGATTTTCAGCCTGGCGAGGCAGCCTGGCTCCTGGCAAGCGCAAATGACATGTGGGGGAATTTTGAAGGCTGAAAGAATGTCAACAAAGATCTTCAATTCGCCTTTGGTTATGGATATCCAATCAATCTATTCCTGAGCTTACTATATATCTGTATCATATCCTTCGTGCCTCGACACGATCCTCTTGTACTGAACGTCGACTCCCAAGAAAACGCCAACTGGTATCTCGACATGATGTCTCTCCCACCAGCTACTGTCAAAATCAAGAGAAAGGCGACAGATGATCCCGTGGAGTTCCTACGTACGCCTCAATCCGTCATTTGCAAATGTCCATCGTACTAACAAGTCTTGTAGGCATCCATGAGTCTGGTGGTAGTGGTAAAAGACAACGACAAGACACTGGCTACATCTTCTCGAGACAATCAACCACAAACGATACCGTAGCAAGCCAATCCTCCTCTCCCGCTCCGCGCAAACTCGCGCAGCTTCCCCATACTACCAGCTCTGTTATACGACAAGCCAACTCGATTCTGAGCTCCCAAGATGCAGCTCAGACAACTCCGACCACCAAAACGACCCCTTTCGGCACCTTGAGTTCGCAGCCTCGCCGATTCCACATTTCCAGATCCGCCATACCGGCAAGCAAAGCTCATGCTATTCCCAGTGGAAGTCGTAAGCGCAAAGTCGAGCCTACAGTCTTCGTCGAACGTCGTATTCGGCCCAAGAGCGCAGATGGAACTCCAGGAGGCTCTACAACTCCAGAAGAGTCGGGAGGTCAGAATGTGAAGATCGCAGTGCCAACCCAGACCCCAATCGGACAAACCCCATTCGAGCAGACCTCAGCCAAACAGACCCCGCTCGAAGAGCCTCCAACCCCCCAAGTCAGACCGCAAAAGAAGCCTGGAAGAAACGCAAGAAGTACACCAGTCCGATCCGTCACTCCTCCCAAGTCTTCTCCAGCGCCTCTTCGAAATGTCCTCCTGCCCAACGGGTCGATGGTCCCTTGGGATGTTACTTCCGAACAGCTTGCCCTTGAGATGCAAGCTTATACATTACAAGAGATTGGCAAGAGTATCGCCGCATCCGAGAGTCCAAAACCAAGCCCTGTATCAGATCGCGTCAAGTCCCCTAGCAAGTTCAAGCCTAAGAAGCCAACTTTGCGCTACTTGGAACGACATCCGGAGCATAAGGTTGAAGCGGGTATGGAAATTGATGAGGAAGAGTACATGGATGAGGATATTGATGATGATTCGGAGTACATTATCGAGACCTATGTTCGTGTCCCAGCAGAGGCTGTGGAGGTCGACGCTGTCCAGAAGAACGTCGGTCTTTTGGTTCTTGATTCTCAACCGGATATCGACGAGTTCTATAGAGAAGACGAGGAGAGTGACGAAGAGGAGTACGATGAGGATGAAGATGAGAATGGTATGCGACGTTCCTCATTCCTCTCGTATCAGTAGCTAATCTATCCTAAAGCGGAGAACCACTACACAGCCGACTATCCCGACGAAGAAGTAGACTCTGACGACGAATACGACCGTAATGCCTACAATTACCGTACTCATAACGCTTCTGATCTCGAAGAGTTCGATGAGAATGACGCGACATTCAGTGATGATGAGAGCGAGGCTACGAAATACCCATGGATGGCTAAGCCGTGGCTCAAGAAGCCCACTGGTACAATTATGGATGATAGCGACTGAGGGATAAATTATGAACAAATAAGAAAGGCCGTCTAGCTTATGCATATGTAGAATCAAACATGGTGCATAGAGGGAGTAATACAGGATAAACATACGCTGTTGCAGGCGTGGATAATAGACATAATTGGCCCAAAACATAAGGGCAAGGCAATGAATACGACATGACCATTTGCATGAATCATTTTGCTGCCGCTGGCTGGGAATACACGTGGCTGCGCAATATTGGAACTGCTGTCTCCTCGCTGCAATTCTACCATATCTTCTCGCTTAACTCAGAACAAAACAATGGACGTCGGCCTGTTATCTTGACTTCAGCAACGAAAGCCAGTCGTTTGTATGAAGAGCACACAATTTGGTGTGTTTTCTGGTCCCTTAGGATGACAGCTCCTCTGCTCCTCTTTGGATAATAGCAGGTAACGCAAGATCCAGTACTTCAACCTCCCAAACATATTTACACATACTCGATTTAGCTGATTCTTCCTTCTTTATCTACCATTTTACGGCCCCCTTTTCATCGTTCCCATTGGACTCAGACGGTTTTCCTCTTTCCCAAAATAGCCTTCCCAACGCTACTACTATTTGCCTTGCCAATCTCGCCCGTAATCCACTCCCCGACCTCACACAGTTTATCCAGATCCGCACCCGTCTCCATCCCCAAACTCTCCAGGAAATACACCAAGTCCTCCGTACTCACATTCCCCGTCGCCCCAGGACTATACGGACACCCTCCAAGCCCACCCACACTACTATCGAACCTCCTCACGCCATGCTCCAAACTCACAGCGGTATTGACCAGCGCCTGCCCATACGTATCATGGAAATGCATCGTCAGATCCTCATTCCTGATCCCCGCTGCCGTCATCGCCCTTAGTAATTCGGACGTCCTAGGCGCGGTCCCCATGCCCGTTGTGTCGCCGAGATCGATCTCATCGGCGCCCATCTCCATTAAATCACAGGCAATCTCCGCGACGCGCTGGGGATTCACGTCGTAACCTTCGAAGGGACAGCCGAGGACGACAGAGATGTATGCTCGTACCCGTAGGCCTGCAGCTTTAGCGCCGGTGATTACTTCTTTGAAGCGTTCGAGCGAAGTGGCGATGTCGGTGTTCAGGTTCTTTTGCGTGAATGATTCGGTTGCGGCTGCGAAGACGGAGAGTTCGATGAAAGGGGGTGGGGAACCGGGTGTTTCTGAGGTTTGTGATTCGGGTTGGAATGGAGTTGGGGCGGATTCGTTGTAGGGAGAGGTTGGTGGTGTGAGAGACTGGTAGGAGGAGGGGTGGTTGCGGAGGATGGAGAGGGCGTTTGAGAGACCGCGAGAATTGGGCGCGAGGAATGAATACGATATTGGATTCGATGATGTGGGTGGTGTTTTCAAGAGGTACTCTAGTATTTCATTTGAATCTGCCATCTGGTTCCTGTTAGTTCTTGTCTGTTTGCGCATCGTGTTGAGTAGAGGTGGAAACAGACCTGCGGAACCCATTTCGGCGCCACGAAACTCCCAGCCTCGATATCAGCCAATCCAGTCCTCGCTAGCTTTTCTATAAGCTCAATCTTAGTCGTCAATGGTATGGTTTTCTTCTCATTCTGTAGCCCATCCCTCGGTCCTACTTCCACCACTTTAACGAAGTTGTTGCGGTTGGTGGCATGATGTTGTGCGGAGGGGTCAGTGGCGGTGGACATGCATCTCAGGCATCGTGGTCGCAGATTGGCGTGAGCACGCCGTGATAAATATCGTATGGGGAGCATTTTGATGGAGATGATAGACTGTGAGGTTTGATTATTGCAGGAGAATGGTTTGGCGGAGGACCCGCCGTTCGCGGTTACTCGCGGAGGAAGTACTGTAGCGCGGATGCGGGGAAGCTCAAGCTTGGACTCTTTCCAATTACTGTAGCGATCAATCCCTAACTACAGCACAAACAGCAGTACCCAGCCCAGCACACTAGGTAACCCTAAACTAACAGCCATGACATTTCGGCGATATTCTGCTCTACATGTTGCTTGATCTCTGAACTGGTGTGTATACGAGTAGATGTATGTCTGAAATCGCAGGAGTCGACGATACTCAATTTAGAACCGACGCTAAGCTTGTTTACTTTATCGCCAGTACCGAGGCCTTGTCCAAGCTTTTGTTATTCATGCAGAGAGAGGACCATGCTTCTAAGCCGCTACACCAAGCTCTCCGAGCCTACTCTCCTTCAACTTAGCAACTGTAATCTGTTTGTAAGCTTTGATCTAGATCTTCCCTTAAATAAAACTTACACGAAATAGTTCCTTCATCTTGATCAAAAACTGAATAAACACCAGCTAAGAAAGCTGCTCCGAGGATTATATACTTTGGCTCGTCATCCGATTCCTTGTGCCGTACAAACGGAACAGAACACAGCGTACCGCCTCCCTCGGCATCGCCTTCTAGAACGTAATCCCAAGGTGAAATTACGATAGAATGACCTGTACCTAACCTGACGATCAAGTCCGGCAGTTCAGCACGTTTCCCACATGGGATCTCTCCCAAATTATCGTAATCCCCTCCGCATCGGTCCTGAAATTGTACGGCAAGAGCTTCCGGAAAGGAGATCCACGGAAAGGCTGTTATGACAATAGCTGTGTAGCCTGAGAGATCGGCATTGATAGCATCTGGGCCAGATCCAAAAGAAACCGAGTGTGCGTCAATCTGCCATCCGCTTCCAAGCATTTGTCTCAGAGGCATTTCCTCGTGTGTCTTGTGCGTCGTGGGAATATTTGTAAATCCCCCCTCAAACGATTCAGAATTCACTTTACCGAACATGATTTCGCCATCTCTATAAGGTGATTTCGAAAGCTTGAGAGAGTAAATGTTCTTCTTCAGAAGTTTTTGTTTGATGAGATTATGCCAAGGACTTATTGCTCCCGAGAGGTCTGATCGTGGAAGTGAAAGTGGGAATCTAGACAATCCCAATACCGAGTCCATCTTGCGGTCCCAGTAGAAGGGGGAAGGCCTCAACGAAGTTTCTTCTTCGAATTTCTGGGTCTTGATTTCGAGACCTGCGACACGAAGTGTATCCTCTGACTTAAAGCCTGAGGTATAGATCCCCGCATAGTGAATACTAGTAGGATCCCCATGTTCGACGTAGGTCTGTGATTCAGAGGAGTTGTAAAGCTTATGCACCGAGCAATATATGCTGGAGTTGCATCTAGTTGAAGGGACAAAGAGATCGGTCTAGCCAGTGTCGACAACGGCGCGGAAAGACTGTGGTGGGGTTCCAATTTGGATGTCAGTCAGAAAAGAAAGTCTTGAATAATCCTGGAGTTATTGTCAACGATATTGACACAAATTTAAGATATGATTTACTGTTATTCGCGCTGCGTAGCTGCGGACAGCTTCCAGACCTCCCATCAAGGGAGTTTGATTCTCTCCATGCGTCTATTTGCATGTTACATAAAGAGTTAATTCCATTTTATATACGGGGACCATACCATTTTCGTTTCTTGGGTAATTGATAGTATTGGAGACTGGCTTTGGTGTCTCTCCACAATCGATGCCGCAAAACCCAAGCAGCTAAAGAAGCCAGCCAGAAGAGTGACAGCAGCAAGTAAGTCCATGTTCTGGCTGCATCAGCACTATTGGCGTCGCTTTCGTGAGTATGATGAATGTGTAATCAACATATGACAGCTAGAAGAATTGAAAGAGAGTGAGGGGAACAAACGTGACTAAGCTAGTATAACTCCCTTCATGAACATGCGGCTCTAGCCTGTTTACGGAGGAATAGCCGTCAAGATCCTAGCCTTACGATCTCGAGAATCGCTTTCCCTGATTGCAGCTCCCGATGCAGAAAGTCGTGCATTAAGGTACCTACCTACCTAAGTGAAGGCAGGGGACCAAATACACCTGACTTTCAGCTAAGCCAAGTCAGGCACCAAATCAAGAATTGTTATTGGATAGAGTCATGGCTACACCTACAAGTAAGCAAACTTGAGGCAGTTACAGGGCAGTAAGCTTGAGGAATGAGTCCATCGACATTCGGGTCGCTCCTCGCACCTTGAGGGGAGAAAAGTGGCTTGCCTCACGATACAATGACTAAATGCACACCCTCGGCTTGAGTCGCTTGACAAGTAATTAATTTACTCCATGACTGATTTCGCTTATCTCTATCATCAAAACCCTACCATGGGAGAGCCGTGAGACAACGGACTTTCAACTGGCGCTGTCACTGTATTGTCCATAGGTTTTGACCAACTTCGGTGTGCAAAATATTTACTACAAAAAAGTAAGCATCGGTGAGTTGAGGCATGTCAGCATTGTCAGTATCCTATCTCGCCTGTCCTAGGGTACCCACCTTACCTACGAAGAGTACAAGGAAGTCATGGATGTTCTGTCACAGCACAACACTGCGCAAAACACAAGTTGATTTATTATTCCAATTGTTGCACAGCACAAGTTGACTATTTCCGAAACCAATGTCATTCTTGGTCTTCTGTTCCTATCTTCCTGCATACCTGGTCTAGATGTATTGCTGAAAAGTCCATCTGTCATCAATAGATGACTACAGGAGAACCACCCAACAAAGACACAATAACACTTTCGGCGTCAAAAATAGTCGCCCTCAACCCCTCCTTCTCTTACCCAGGCTCCAGGGCTCGCATCCGCCGCACGGCTGCCGCCTCAGTGTGCAGAATTCACAGGGGAGGGGATCCTTGCCAGGGGGCCCGAAATAGGTTGTGATCCAGTAAAAGGTGCGTGACGCCTAATTATAGACGCCGTGGCTGAAGAGCTTTCCCCTTTTTGTCCGCAACATCTGCGTCAGGCACATGCTAAACCTCCTTGGTACACGTACTGCCCTATCAGGTCGTTGTGACTTCGCGGACTGCGTGTGCATGGAACTGCCAATCCCCCAGCGCTTCGAGACCCTTGCCCACCAACCGCGACCAACGATCGTAAATATCCTGGGGATGACAGGGTCCTGGTGAACTCCCTTTGCCTCCCATCTCTGCTCTTCTGGCCTCTTGTGCTTCTAGAAATACCCCGTCACACCGCGCTTAAAGGGTCTCTGCGTGCCGCATTGTCATCTCATCACCTGCATTAGAGCGATTTCTTTCCCCATATCTCGCTTTCTCGGTCGCTCTCCACCAGTGCCACAAGGCTGCTTGCGACGGTTGATCAAAAGCTTCATTGATACATAAGTGTGGTATCACCTCGTCCTTCATTACCTTTTTGATTTTATCCTTTCCCATTACAGTACGAGTGGTATTACCCGCAGAGCACAGTCCTACTTCAGGTCACTGCCCTCGTCCTCTTCTCCACAAAGTTGCAAAGACAGACGATCTTGCGACTCTATCTCACGATCGTCTCATCTCGTCTGGTCTACCCGGTCTCACGAACCGCACCAGGAGGTCGTAAATCTGGAGCGGAACAGGAAGCTTCCGACACTCCTCAAACAATCAATCAATCACATAATATCAGTCTGATATCCCTCCAGTCTGGATCGATAGTGTGTGCATATCTAGCATACTTCTGGATTGGATCGGATCGGACACTTGCCAGATCACTGGATCTTGGCCATCTATGATGCTTGCATCTGTTAGAACCTGCTCAACACTTACAATGTCTCTTGATACCAATAACTCTTCACAACCATCATCATCTCCTCCGAAGCGGCCGCGACTCTCGCTTCAAATCAAGACGCCGGCCACGGCCCAAACACTGGGGAAGTCATCCACTGCCTTGAAAGCAGATATCGACCCCTCGTCTCCTACAGCTTTCAATACACTTTCGAATGCATACGCAGTCGCTATCGAGAATGCTTCACCTAGGACAGCAAGGCCCCTCTCGACATCTGTCGACAGCAAATTCGCCAGAAGGACATCATTACGGCTTGAGACGAGCAACTTCCAGGGAGGCAACGAATATGTCCACCCCTCACAACGGACCCAGACACCAGGTCCATTCTCCATCACATACCCAGATACGCCTCGCTCGGCATATCCAAGTCTAACACCAACTGCAACCACCCAACCACCCCTTCAAAGCGAACTCAAACCTACCGCAACATCGTTCACTTTCACACCTCCTCAATCCGCAGGCTCCGACCATTCCCTCCCCCGAATCTTCACCTTCGCCGCCAACAACGGCAGCACGTCCTCCCCAAGCACGCCTCGCACCCCTCGTCGACGCATGACAGTCGGCGGCAGCCAAACAGCACCCTACACACACCCACGCAGCCTCCACAGCATCCTGCGCAATTCTCCCCTCCCACCACGAAGCACCATCACGCCCGCCACACCCAGCCGCATGTCCATGCGCCTCGCGAACCGCGCCTCCAAGAAAGTAGGCTACAACGACCCCCTCACGCAAACAATCACCACCAACAAATACGTCAAGTCGCACATCGATTTATTATCTGAAGATTCCCCTCACTCAGCCACCGACCCCGAAGCATCCGAGAAGCCAGAGCTAGAACCCCTCGACGTAACGATGGCGTACACAGGCGACGAGACGCGCGACGGGGGCCAGACGCCCGGTCCATTCGAGGAGATGCGGCGGCGCATGGCGGAGAGCGATCTCGAGACCCCTGGGACAAGGAAGCGCAAGCGCAGGGAGAAGAAGAGGAAGTGGGAGTGGACGATCAGCACTACCGAGAAGGACGACGGCGACGATGGCGAAGAGACGCCTGTAGGGAGGACGCCGCTGACGGCTGTGATGCTGGCGAGGACGCCTATCACGGCGATACGGAGAGGGGCGTCTGTATCAGAGGATTCGGCGTCTGAGGTTTCGGAGGCGGAGGAGAGGTTTGTGCCACCGGCTTCGGGGTCTGAGGATTCGGAGATGTCGGATGAGAGGGATGAGTGGAATCGTTCTGTGAGGTCGGAATCGAGGGGTTTTGATGAGGGTGATGATGTTAGGCCGACGACGTCGCAGTCACTGTAGATAGTGCAGCACATATATACACGCAACGGGACGGGCTTCCTGCAAAAAATACGAATTATGAGGGTATGTGTCATATGAGACCACCCAGAAATCGTTAGACTTCGTTCACGTCTTGTGTTGTCTCTGCCTTTTGTTGTTTTTATTGCTCTCGGCAAGCGAATGCCAAGTTGCTCTAAGAATTTCCCACAGAGAACCAAGTGAATAAGTAGACCTAGCCACATAGTCAAGTGAACAGTCCTGCAATAGGGCAATAGGAAAAAAAGCAGAAGGGGTAACTGTTGCCTCTGAGGCACACATGAACGCAATGCATCTATGGAGATCCCGAGATGCGATGCAGCAAAACGGGAAGAATCGAACATATCAGTTGACTTGAGCAGAAACTATCTGGTTGAACACTAGTCCAATGAATGTCAATTCGGACAGTTCATTGTAGAGAGATTTTTGTACTGAGAAACTGGGCTTGGAGGAACAGCACAATCAAGACTGAGAACTACCTCCCAAGATATAACTCGCTTCTTTTCCCACTTTGCAAGGCAAGGCAGAGAGAATTTTCGAACGTATTCATACAGAAAAGAACAGCGCGAAACGTCCAACTCCATGGCAGTCAACTGTCAAGCTTCCTCTCTTAGAAAAGGAACTCGTCAAAAAGAAGTAGCAGCAAATGGAAACAAAATCAAAAGATACCCGTAGAACGCCATGTCCTAATACCACATGCTTCACAACCGGTTTTTAGTCCCCTTCTAAAGGCCCCCCTCACATTGCCGCACCGTCGTCCATCCGTTGTCGTCCGCAGCCCACCTAAATGTCATTTCCCGCTCCAAAGATCTTTCGTAACTCAATTCGTGGTGAATATTTCAGACCCATCGCCCATCCCATCAATCGATTCACTTCCCCATCTCAAGTACTCTCTCCTTCCATCGAGTCTCAGGCTCAGGATTATTCCTCACCTAAATAATCATCTGAGCAACACCCTGGCCACCAAGCGTCTTGCTACCAACAAAGCCTTGACCCTTAACACCAGCCAGCGCATAGAATGACGCAGCCAGCGTCAGCATGATGGCAGCGGCAATCAGACTGCTAGCCTCATGTATTATGCTCAGCCATTGCACGAGGCCCATGGCGAGGTAGATGCCGGCGCGCATGTAGTTCGTGGTGAAGCGGCGCATGAAGGTGTCGAATTTGGCGGACGTGGGGCAAATGCGGAGGAGGAGGGGGATCTCGATGAAGATGATGAGGAAGGAACTTGCGCTTGGGGAGGGTCAGCATGGTAGCTTTGACGAGATGGAAGGGTTGAAAGGGAGGGGAGGAGGGAAGAACTTACAGGCAGAGGGCTCCGAAGAGAATCATGATGCTGACGTGGAAGAGATGCGAGATGCCCAGGGCAAAGCACAGGAATATACATATCACTCCGGTCCTGCCGTGAATCCGAGTTAGCCATCCAGTTTCAACACCCTAGGGTTTGCCAAAAACATAGTAAGGCCTGCATCCAAATATCTGCCATCTACAGTCCTTGTCGCATGAAAGATCTGGAGATGACTTGTGGAGTATACCGGCCGTAAAGCAATTGACGTTGACCCGCGGACATAATCTATTCCCAACAAGGACACTTCGACAGGAATCAAACAATGAAGCTTACCATTGACCGTAGATACCTGAGTTAATTAGCAAACTGAATCTAGAATCCGCAGACACCAGGGCAACTCACTGAAATTTCTCGTAGCAAATTCCTCGGCGATCGTCATCTTGTCTGATTTCTTTCTTTTACTCGATACTTCGGGTGAACAGGTAAGCTCGGAGCTATCTCAGCAGCGCAAACTGGACACTTTGGCACTGTCCTGCAGGTACAATGCGCAAGTTTATGAACGGTATGAGTGCGTACAGAAGTGCGTTGTGCGATTTGAAGATTGTGGGTATGTCCTTGCGAATGCTTTGTTGTGGTTGTACTGTTTTGTATGAGATGTCTTGTAGGGGTTGCCTTTAGACGTTACGTGGTTGAGCTGTTTGGGTCGTGGCGCATGCTCGGGACTCGCGTCTAGCGCCTCTTTGGTTGCTCGCCAGGTACCTCACGCCGGCTAGGCAACTGTAAAACATTCGCAGTTCAGGAGGCCCCATTGAACTCATTTTAGAAGCGTTTCATAGTAATTTTTTATTTGGAAGATTTTTTTAAGGGCCACATTGTGAGGATTGTCTTCATTTTATGAAAGATCATGACCTCATGACCGCAAAGTGGAATGAACGTCTATCTGAATTTCTGATCTAGATAGGAGACGCTCAAAGTCAACGGAGGATCTAGTTTAACACGAAAGCAAGCCACAGGGGTAGATAGAAGATTGGCATAACCTGAGCAAGAGATAATATTGACAAAATAGGTCTTTCTCGCATTTGAATCTTCACCAAGTACTGTCTATATGTCCAGTCTTTTCTCTCCAAGTGTTTCATCACTCAATTTGGAATGGGAGTAATTCTATTAGCTTCTTGCCATCTAGTCGCTCATGCTATATATTACATGACCTGATCTGTCACCAGCACTTGGTAACGCGAAGGCCTTCTACAGTCAATTACAAAGAAAACCTTCCCCAAATTCACAAATAGGTCCCTCCCTTCGTCGCTGGTCGGTTTGTCGCCTCGTTATCGACCTTCGCTTGAATGCCCCATCATGGCTGGACAACCAACATCTTTTTCCACCTCATCTGTGATCTCCATTATGAACAGTCCGAACAAAATCTTCTGTTGATCTTCCGGAATTGGACATCCTGTCGTGAAATTTGGCAGCCTTGAGCTCTTGTGACCTTTGCCTGGTACGCCTCTAGGTGGTTGATGGCTCCTAGAATCGGGGCATGTGCATTCCTTCCTTTGTCTGAGGTAAAAGTGCGTTGGAGATCTCGAAACCACACCGTCGATTTCGGGATGAGTTCTTGACACTCATTCCCTCAGCGACTACCCTTGGCTCAACCTCCTCAGCTCCATCTCCACCTTCCCAGCAGCCCCCTCAATCTTCCCCCTCTCAAGCATACTCATCTTCTTCAAAACATAATCCGCCACATCCCTCTTATCCCTACTCTCTGGACGTCCAATGCCCACCCCGATCCTCATATAGTCCTTCCCACCCAGCGACTCCCCTATACTCTTTAAGCCATTGTGGCCTTTCGCACTCGCAGTCCCCGGTCTAACCTTCACCTGTCCAAGCGCTATCTCCAACTCATCATGTACGACTACCAGACGTGTATCCTCGCCGCGAGATTCTTTCTGGAATTGCCGCCATGCAGAGGCGACGCTTGGACCGGAGACATTCATGAGAGATGCGGATTGCCAGAGAGTGAAGTCTGAGCCGATGGATATGAGGCCATTGGCGTAGGCGCGAGATTTCTGGAAGGAAGGGTAGGAGAGAGAAGATGCTAGGGCGGAGAGGACGGTGTGGCCTGCAGAGTGGAGGGTATTGATATATGGACCTGGGTTGCCGATTGAGCAGACCAGAAGTCGGATGGGCGAAGCCATTGAGAGGAATCGAGGAATATGAATTGATGGTGCTAGGGTATCTGAATCATTTTCTGTGTCGGATGATGTGAGAGTCAAGGCTAATTCTTGCCGGAGACGGAGTTGTCGTCGTTGTTTTCGAGAGAGGTTCTGGCTTTGATCTGGAGAGCTCGGCTGAGACATTTTTTTTGGATAATCCCTGTGCTGATTGACAGGGCAAGCAGCAAGGCTGAAAATTGCTTGGAACTCGGAATCTGGCTCCAATCTTAAGAAATAGCTGTTCTTGAAAATTAGAAGCTTGAAATTGAATTATCATGAGTATTAGAGATTAGAATAAATTGGAAATCAAGTCTTTTATTTGGTCTTATGCTTTTTTACCTCCATTCACATTTTTGTGAGTCTGCTTTGTCAGTTGCCGGAGGAGTCATTCGCCACTAAGTAGCCCGGCGCCGTAGACAAAGCTGCGCCTTGTTTTCCTCTAACATACCGCCGATGCTTTTCTTTGCCTTGCACTCAATTTGAATCACTTTGCGAAGTGACATTTGAAGAAACTGGATAAAGGAAGCACTACATTGTCTATCACCTTTACTGACAATCAAATTGATTGTCTGGTATTTTCCTTGTCGCCAAACGCCTCAGCTGGTAGAAATCCGTTTACCAGACATAGACAAACCACCAAATGCAACGACTCATGCCTTCCAAAAAAAAAACCAAGGAGAGGTACCGATAACTGTCTAACTGATAGCATCTAGCCACTTCTTACCGGTCAATTTCTCAAAAGCCTCGCGATACTTCTCGGCAGTCTTAGCAACCACATCCTCGGGCATAGCAACATCTTGTTTTCCCTTCAATCCATTGCTGGTAAGCCAGTCGCGAAGGTACTGCTTGTCGTAACTGTCTTGCTCGCGGCCAATTTCGTACTTATCTGCAGGCCAGAAACGACTGGAGTCTGGGGTCAATACCTCGTCGACAAGAACAATCTCATCCGTCTCCTCATCGAGACCAAACTCGAATTTGGTGTCTGCAATAATAATTCCCCGTGAGATAGCATAATCTCGAGCGGCTGTGTAAAGCTTAAGAGCAAGCTCCTCGATTCTCTTTGCGTATTTCTCTCCAACTATTTCGGCAGCTTGGGCTGGGGAAATGTTCTCGTCATTTTGTCCTGCTTCGGCCTTTGTACTCGGGGTGTAAATGGCACCTTGCGGGAACGCCTCTGCATTCTTCAGACCGGCAGCAATTGGTATTGTGTGTACAGTACCAGTACGCTGATATTCTTTCCAGGCACTGCCAGTGATGTAGCCCCGAACAATTGCTTCGATAGGGAAGATCTTAAGACGACGCACTTGCATTGAGCGGTTTTTCAAGAGAGCGCGTTGAGCTTCGGGTACAGAGGTTGGGAGGTCGAGGGTTATGAAGTGAGTTCGCAGACCAGGTATGATGGTAGATAAGATATGGAACCAATGGGTAGAGAGGAGGTTGAGGAGAGGTCCTTTAGACGGAACGCCCTATCCTGTTAGCTGAAGGGAAGCCAGCTGATTGAGGGACGGCATACATTCTGCATGATGACATCGTAAGCAGAGATACGATCGGACGCGACAAACAAGAGAGTCTTCGAGTCAACCTCGAATAAGTCTCGAACCTTACCCTCTGCAATCTTTGGGAGAGCCGTGAGGGTAGTGGACGTGAGAACAGGGGCTTCGGCCATTGTGTTGGGTCAAGATTGTCTAAAGTTGACGCTTTAATTTGAATCCGAATCGATCCCGAGTCATAAATTTGAAGTGTTCAGAAATCTCGAAGGCGACGAGGGGTATTGCAAAATTTAACCCCGCCAAAAAAAAATACAAAGGAGCGAATGGCGCGGCCGCGAGGTCGGAGGAGGGGTTCAAGGCTGCCAATTGCCATGCATGACCGGGAAAGGCTGGCTTTCAGCATATTATACGACACGTGACCCTAGAAACTTCACGATCCCACGGCTCGCCCATCCAACTGACATAAATACCACCACATTCTTTCCAGTCCACCTCACGCATATTAGAGCCCCTCTTCCTCCTGTATGTTCTTATGAGAACCTTTCGACCGACCTACGCGCTTCGCGTCTACGAATTTTAATAATTACTTGTGTCCTCCTTCACCTTCGAGCCAGTCACGCACGCCACACTGCAGTCATGCCTCCTGTACGCTTCGTTAACCCTCGAGGAAGCGCTTCTATCTAACAAATTTCTACAGATCGGGGATCTTCTGGCCCAGATAACTGGAGAGCCAAGTCCCACTCAGTCGGCACATCCATCTTCACCCCCGAAGCGCAAAGCCGACGATCAAATCCGAAAGACAGTTGACAAGATTCAGAGGACACAAGTGCCAGCAGCTGGCTCACCGCGCCCTATAGCGCAAGCCAGCAGACCTGCTACAGTCGATACATCAATGGCAAAGTTGAAGCTAGCTCAGAACCATCAAAAGCAACCCCTCTCCCGCCCGTCAACAGCGACAACATCCTTTAAGAATGGGCAGCCTACACCACCTCCAACGAATGATGCTCCTAAAGCACCACCAAAGAAAGGATCATTTGCAGAGATTATGGCTAGAGGAAAAGCAGCACAGTCAACACTAGGTCAGGTTGGAAAGATTCAGCACAAACGGATTGAGAAGCAACCAAGCAAACGTGAGAGAGAGGATGCGAAGGCGCAGAAGGCATCGAAACTCCAGAAGAACTTGGCACCAGATAGTAAATTCAGTAAGATGGGCCAGAATCCTGTTCGGAATGGCCAAAGCACAGGGAAAGATGGTGGAAAGAAACGTCCGGAACCACTTCCTGAGAAGAAGGTCAAGAAGGCAGCTCTGGCCACGACTGGATATACTGGGACGTCGAGACCCAAGCCTGGTGGAGGATCTTCGAGGCCCTCAGCCTCTTCTGCGTCGTCAAGATATGACAGAGGCCCTGACCGGGATAGACATCGCGGAGACAGATATGGTGCCCGCTACACCTACGCAAGTGAAGACGAGGAGGATGAGGAGGAAGAAGATGAGCCGGATTACGAATCAGATCTTTCCGATATGGAAGCCGCCGCATTTGAAGTAGACGAGGAAGAGGAGGAGGCTGCAAGGATTGCTCGTCGTGAGGATGCTTTGGCACTGGCCGAGGAGAACAGACTTAAGCGAGAGAAGGAAGAGAAGCGGAGACGACTGGCTGCCATGGCGAAGTCTCGCCGCTGATTCCATAGTAATGGATCGGGGGTAATTGGGAAGGTTGGGTTATGTCGGGTTTTCAGAGGCTCTGCCTCCAGTGGGTATTTGCATTTGCAAGGTGACAGGGAATGAAAGGCATTGTTTGTTTAGCGAGACGGCGTTACGGTGAGAAGCATTGCAAACGGCGTTCATTCTATTACAAATACTAGTTGTGTATACCAGATTCATGGTAACTGTTTTGGCCCGCAAATCCAGAGCGCTTATTAACTATTTTGACCTTCTCCACTCGTAGGACGTCGTTTCCATGCCTTTGCAAATTCTGAAGTCATCGCTTTGACCACCATCAATAATACCAAATTACGAGTAGAATTCTATGATGCTGTGAAAGTCACCAGACAATCTGCTTTCCATTCCGCGACCTCTCTGCTTTTCAAGATGGTCTTTCGCTCTTCCATGGTCATACCCATACCCATCTCATCCTCGAACATCCATCTCCATCTTTGCGTTTTGATTGTAATCTCATAAGTATTTCCTGGCACCATAAGTCTAATATTTGAATTTCTCAACCCATCGGCCTTCGGTAGGACGCTAATTGTATACTGCGTTGAGAACTTCTGACCGGGTTCCAGCCGCACCAACGAGGTATCCTCAAGATCCAACGCCTCCTCGTCCCAATCATCAGCAATCAGAGTCGAACCTCCTCCTATCCTGCGATGATTGCGTTGCGGGTCTCTAATTTCAATACCGCCGCTGTAATCAACCCATAGGCGGACAAGCGCCCAGATCGGCTTGGGAGCGGTACATTCGTACTCTGTGGTCACCGTGAATGGTGGCTGGCCAGATAGGGCGCAGGTCGGATAGGATGTTGTTACAATTGTGGATATCTGGGGTTGCTGTGGGGCCTGGGAAGAGGACATTGTTTAGAATGTGCTGATGCTCCTTCAACAGCGGCACAGTTAAAAGGGGGAAAGTCTCCTATGTGAGCCTGGTAGTGAGACCCAACATGCTGCCTGGATCTAGGGATGCATGATTCTGATGTCCCGCATGCGGGCTTGGGAGGCGACACGCCATGTCAAGCAATATCAATCATGTAAACAGCTTGCTTCCATACTCTCCCCAAGGTATGATTCAGTCACCTGCCTCCATGACTCCATGAGTTCTTCCTGATACATAAACAAAATACGCGAGGGACAAGCAAGTGTCACTTTACTGCATGATCTGTATCCAGGGTTTACGCTAAGCTAGCCTACCCGCAGTGAAGCGATAGAATAATCCCTGCCTTCAAGGTTGGAACAGACCAAAAATATTTCGAGCCTCAATGACGGCACCGACAACATTCAACTCGCAAACTTTTCTTACCAACGCCGTGGGAATTCTTCCTAGGCCAACGACCCACTGGCTCCATCACCGCGGATCATAGCGCTGCTCGCTCGTCGGCGAGCCGCCCACGTTACGACAATGGCGCTCGTTGAAGTTCCCCAATCAACTGCATACCCTCCCCTCGAAGAACAGAAGCCACTACAAGAGCCACCTCCTATAGTCATCACACCCTGCGATCCATGGCCACGACCCTACTTCCTTGAGAATGGGCTACGGAGAGTTGCGCCATACCATTTCACCTACAATACATACTGCAAGGAGAGATGGCGAGGACGGGAACTACTCGATATATTCTCAAGCGAGTTTAGAGACAGGCCCCTTGAGTACTATGTAAGCCTGGAAGTTTGTACTGGTTAATTCATTTCTAACAGAATTAGAAAGATGCCATAGAGCGTGGAGCTGTCACTGTCAACGGCAAACCTGTGCCCACGACACAACACATCGTGAAGAACGGAGATGTCATTTCACATACGCTGCACAGACATGAGCCTCCAGTCACGGCACTCCCAATATCAGTTCTACATGAAGACGAAGACATGATAGTCATCAACAAACCTTCTGGTGTTCCAGTACACCCTGCTGGGAGGTACAACTACAACTCTGTGGTGGAGATAATGCGGGCAGAGCGTGGCCATGCGTGGAACCCCTTGCCATGCAATAGACTTGACCGGCTGACAAGCGGTGTCATGTTCATTGCAAAGCACCCAAAAGCTGCCGAGGATCTAAGTCAACAGATCACACAAAGAACCGTCCGGAAAGAATATATCGCCCGAGTCAAGGGAGAATTCCCCGACGGAGAAGTCATCTGCGACATGCCCATTCTACAGATATCCCCCAAACTAGGCCTCAACCGCGTACGCGCAAACGGAAAGTCAGCCCGTACCGTCTTCAAGAAACTCGCATACTACCCACCAACAGCCGAATCCGAGCCCGGAAAGCCAGAAGCCCAAGAAGGCTACTCAGTCGTCAGATGTCTCCCCGTCACAGGACGAACCCACCAACTGCGAGTCCATCTCCAGTTCCTCGGCCACCCAATCGCAAACGACCCCATCTACTGCAACAGGCGCGTCTGGGGCGCCAATCTAGGAGCCAACGACGCGGACGCATCGCAAGACACAGATGAGGATATCATCACGCGGCTATCACGTATGGGCAAGTCGGAAGTCGCCGATGCGGTGGCGTACCACGACGAGATGGTCGATGAATACAACAAGAAGAAAGCCGAGAAGATGTCTGGAGAACTCTGCGATATTTGCCAGACTCCTCTTTACACCGATCCTGGGGAGCAGGAGCTCTCGCTGTGGCTGCATAGTCTGAGATACGAGGATGCTGGTGGCGCATGGAGCTATCTTAGTCCTCTCCCTGCTTGGGCGCTTCCGCCTGCAGGGTTTGAGGGTCCGACTGAAGTTGGGGGAATGGAGGAGTTGGTGGAAGCGGTGAAAGATGAGAATCCCGAGATTGCGTAGCCTTTGCATGGTTATGCGTCTTATAGTCAAAAAATGAAATAGAAATCTTCGTGTCCAATAAGAGTCGATTCCAACCAGCTGGAAACGTAGATACAAGACTAGTCTTACGTGCATGATCTCGATAATCTGGAGCTCTATTGGCTGTTCACGCGTCGGTGCTTGATAGCTTACAGTCTGTTCAGAAATGGAGCATAGCAGAGAGAACTCCATGGCCAGCGCTTCTTGCAATCAAGCAATGTCCTGGCTTGTCAAATTTTCGAATAAGCCCATCTCTCCCTCTTGGTCAATACTACTGCTAATATAACCAACCTTGTGCAGCCACTTGGCTCTCCAAATCAAATAAATCCAACGAGCTAGAGCCGTGCACATCACATCTCAAAGTAACGGCACTTGTCACAAGTGAGACACATACATCTGCACCAAATCCCGAAATGCAAAAGCAAAGAAGCCCTTGCAGGTGAGACCGCTATCCCACAATCCGGGTACTTACAGTAGATCAGATCTAAGTCTACCAAGATCATTGGCTTGGATTCCATCGGGCAGAATCCGATTGATCAATTCACCATGACCTGCCTACGAGTAGTCTGCCTACCTGTCTCACTCACTCACTCACCCGCTCTCCCAATCGGAAGAATTGCGATATTCTGCGTAGTAGAAAAGAAGGAAAACCCCTGACAGAGACAGTGACAGAGAAATTATTAGCAAAAAGAAAAGTAGTATTAATGAGACTGGGAGACGGCATGGAAAGTGTGATGTGATGTGCTGTGACAGGCTGACAAACTACAGCTTGGGGCCCATGAATTGGGTAGCGAGACGCCGCTTACTTTTTTGGTGTGTCCCGGGCTCGGGGATGACGGGGCACCCCGAAAAAAAAAAACTCGGTGTAACTCCACCGCACCACACCGCTTCGAATCTTCGCGTTAGCTGGTAAGCTTCGTCGAATCAGAAGATGGGCCTCGGGAACTTAGCTTAAATGCTAGTGAGATTGAGTTGCCGTGAAATTGGATCCCTTTGGGACTTCTGCAGCGCAAGACTTACAGTAGTGCCGAAGATCGATCTTAAAATCTCTGGTCCTCGCTTAGCTGGAAAAAACAAAACAAAAGGGTGCCGCACAGAACAAAGGAAACTGCACGCAATAATGGCCGACTTCCTCGCTTAAACACTACGAGCAAGCAAAATATGGGATCGATATGTAGTGTCTAACGCGGAGCAGCCTTGCTTGCGATGAAAGCGGACACCGTATCTAAGAATCGCGTACGCAAGCGGTTTAAGATCCATAAAATCCGGAACTTCCAATACATGATGGAGGGGTAAGTAGATGAAAAATGTACTGGGGGGTTAATGAAACCGGAGGAGCGCAGCGAATGTTGGAGTTTGGTACTACCATTTTTGACTTGAGGAATTGTGGGAATTGATATGTGATCTTGCTAGGGTGAGGGTCTCGGCCGAATACCGTGATGAAGATTTTGGAGTGGAGAAAGATGTCGAGTGGATTCGGTGGGGAGGGAAAAAATGCGTTAAAGAAAGCTTGCCGGATTGGTGGGTAATGCAAATCATATCCCTTCTTGAAATAGTATAACTTGCGAGTACATATGTGAACGCACCGTACTTTGTCTTGCTCTTGAATTTCTGGAAACAAAGGATCAAAATGAATTGAGTGACTTCCAGCATGACCAAAATATGATGGTACAATCTCGATGTGAAAGACATCACAGGAATGCTTGCGATCATGAAAAAAAACTTGCTCATTCGCCTGTCAGGCACAGTATGGATCCCTACCCCTGGTTTTGTTGGTTTTCCAGAAAAAGCAACAAAGTCACAGCAATACGACTCAAAACCAACAATGGCCAAAATACGTGTCCGCGGAGCTGGGAATGGAAGGCGTCTTAACTGTCCGAGAAACAAACCGGATTCGTTCTGGTAATGCGACTATGTTGGTTCTAAATTGCAAGACATGTCGCAAGTAGATGTTGCCACATAATGTGAGTAGTCATGTCGATGACGAGCGTGATATTGTTCCCTGACTCTCGTTACACGGGATAGAGTTTTTTCACGACTCACAATCCCGTCCCCTACTGACTTTATTTCAGTCTCGGAGGTAGATCAGTCAGCCATTATCAAGATAATAAGAGCCCTGACGGCAGTTGTTACAACGGGAAAGAAGCACAGCCCTCGGAGAGGTCTCAGGCCCAAACGTCTCTCCTCTCTCCATATCTCACTCTGAACCACCTTGGTGGCGTCCACATTATTTGACTCGCGTCAGGGACGCGGCCCAAGAGTCAAGGAATGGCCATGGCTGCCTTTCTTGGAACTCTGAAGTGAGTCGAGGAGTTAGCTGTTGGTGAACCGGATGTTCCGTTTTTGTATCTGCGGGCCGGAGCGCTTTTGGTATTTTTATTCCGAAGCGAAGTGGGATCTTTGTCTGTCCGCAGTTGGGATTGGTTGGGTTGGACCGCCGTGTATTCTTTGCAGGTGTTGGTCGGGACTATGATTCGCTTGGGCCAGACTCGTCTGTTCTTTCTGTCCAGGTTTCCAGAGCATCTGGAGACATGGAGAGGGGCTGGACTGGATATTGGACGACTACTGGGATAAGATGAAAACATGCCATTCCATACCTCATGGTTCAGGGATACGAAAACGTGGGGCAGTCGTGGCCCAGATGATGGTCCGTGACTGAATGTCTCCATATGATAAGGACGGCCCACTGGAGATTTCCTGGAGTTTTGTGAAAGTTGTACAAATTAATTATTGGAGAGGTGGTGTCAAGTTTGGTAATGTGGAGGGATATGTGGCCTGCTGTTCGTCAGAGGGGCAAATGCCGGTGTATCTGCCTGTAAAGGAGGGTTACACTGAGCTTGGATATCCGGCTTGTCCAATTGTTGGAAGACTAGTGAAAACGGTGTTGCATTTCCGTCCGAAATCAATAACCTTTGTTCCAAGGAGATTCTTGAATCTTGAGAGTACTGTATTATTTGCATAACTCTAACAACCCTGAGAAACAATCCGAATACCGAGGCAGTAAGCTTCAAAAGGAAAGACAACTTGGGGCTCCAGGAGTTGAGTGAGGGATTGCACGGACGACGACGAATGGAATGTGCTCCGCTACGTGGATACTTCGGTGACAGGCCCTTAACCGTGATCTTGGTCCGTTTGCTGGAATCGATCCACCGTCTTCAGGACGCAGGACTGGCCGGTTGGAACCCTTGCTCTCAACCCGCATGATTTCCTGGCGGGATGTCTCACTGACGAACGGCACAGTACAGTAGTGACATCTGGAACCTCGTCGTTGCGACGGATCGGTCATATCTCGCACAAAGCTTTGTCGCTCGTGTTATTGATGCCACGAGGACTGTTGGTTATCCCTCGTGGATGTTTTACTTCCTCTGAGCGCTGCCAAATGGAAGACATGTTGGTTGGCGTGAGCTTTATGTTGAGGTACAGAAATACCTGTGGCAGCCGGAGAGGAAATGGAACATTGCTGGAGAAGGCCCGATATTCCGAGCGTGCCTGCGTGCCCCCCAGGAAATCTCGATTGTTATTACTGCTTTAAGGTTTGCATCCGAAGAAAGCGAGACGCCCGCCACGCCATGTGCGGCCGCAGACGCTCTTCAGACTTCAGACTTCAGACTTCAGGCTTCAGACTTCAGGCGCCTGAGAGCCTGTGAGCCTGTGAGCCTGTGAGAGCCTGAGAGGCCGTCTGGCTCCTGCTGTCAACTTGTCAAGGGCAGCCGGTACCAGGTGGGGAAGTTGAAGTGGACAGCTACTAGGTTTCCATTATTACAGTATTGGTGCTAGGTAAATTTACTAGGTAAATTTAGTGCATCAATTAGGTAGGTTCCCCTTCCGTGGTACGGGAATAACATCTTGGGACTTGCGACTTGCGACTTGGGACTTGGGTTTTCCTGCTCACTTGGCTGTTTATCCGCCGGTGCCAGCCAGTTTCGTTAACCCGCTCTCCGCCCTTGCCCTTGCCCTTGCCTTTTGCCTTCTGCCTTCTGCCTTCTGCCTTCTGCCTTCCTCGCCTTTGAACGTGCTTTCCCTTGCTTGGTCTGGTTTGGTCTGGTCTACGAGTACTGGCCTGTGTGCACAGCTACCCTTCTTACCCGTACAGACTACGGAGCCCTAATATCAAGGCGTGGCCCGTGAAATCTTCAAATCCCGTCCCCTCTTCCTTCCCCTCTCTTCCCAATTATAATCCCATCCCATCCACCTTTAATCCACTGTCAAACTTCCGGCGCCAATCCCAGCAGCACCGCGACACAGGATGCCCCAGCTGGCCGGAAACTTTCTTTCTGTCAATCAGCCATCACTCAGCACTACCACCGCTACATAGAGTCGAGGATATCCCGGTCCCGTCCCTTTGGTACGACGTCCAGCGCATCAATATTATCGAGCATATCAACCCGACAGACTGTCACTGGTACGAAGGAATTGCTCACCGACAACTCGGAATTAGTGTATTGGTATCAGAAGGATACTTTTGGAATAAGGTCTGCGAATTGATGGACCGATAAAGTCGACTATTGATCCACATCCAAAGCCATAAACTCCACAATTACAATCGCGATATATCAGTCGCAATGAGCACATCAGCAAAGGATGGGCCTGCGGTCCCGGCTGAGGAGAAGAAGGGCGGACTGAGCAAGATGGTATCGAGGATGAAGACCGTTTTGAAGAGAAGTGATGGCTCCAAGCGATTGTCGTTTTCTGGAAAATCGACTCCGACCACAGCAACTGCTGGACCAAGGTATATTTTCCCTCCCTCACTATGCAATTGATGTACTGACCAACAGTGTCTCTAAATCGGCCGAGCCAACACCTGTTGTTGCACCGGAACCAGTCGCTGAACCAGTCCAAGCCACTTCCACCACTGATGGAAATCAACCCACCAAGATAATGCGATCTCAGGTCGAGGCCGACAGAGCTAAGAAGCTGGCGGAGCGATTTGCAGTCACCATCGACCCAGTGTACAATGGACCAGACAGGGAGATCTCTCGCATTGAGAAGCCCATCCGGATGCGCATACACAGGTCTTGCCACAGATGCAATGCTACCTTCCGAGGAGCCAAAATATGCGCCCAGTGCGAGCACGTCCGATGCAAGGCGTGTCCAAGATACCCATTGAAGAAGGCGGAGAAGAAAGAGAAAGAACCAGTTGTGGCAACTGTGATTGGAATTGAACCAGACACGTACTGGGGAGTGCGTCAACAGGTCTTATTGACGAAGCCAAGTCCAAGACCAGGTGCTCAGCCACTGGTTAGAAAGTCGCCTAGACAGAGAGTCCGCCGGACCTGTCATGAGTGCAACACTCTCTTTGCTAGAGGAACCAAGATATGTAGCAGTTGTGATCATATCCGTTGTGTTGAATGTCCCCGAGACCCGTACGTTTTCTCGCTTCGCCATGTATCATCCATCAAGTACTAACAATATCTCAGAGCCAAGAAAAAGTCATATCCCGATGGCTACCCTGGGGACGCATTCTCAAGCAACACCGCCATCCCAGTCAAATACTCCTGCCACAAATGCCACAAGGTCTTTCCACCCGTGCCTCACCCCGATAGCGAAGAAGGCATAGCCCGCAAAGAGAGCGGTGCTGAACCTCTCGCCTGCGTACGGTGCGAGCATCCTATGTGCTCTGAGTGTCCAAGGGCACCTCCTGCTAGAGTCGAACCCGCACCAGATCCTGAAGTATTGAAAGCAGTACAGGCGAAGCTGGCTGCATTAAGCGTCTCAAATATCGTGTCATCTTGATAGTACTTGTCCAGCATAAAAGAAGAAGCAAACCGAGCACACCGATCGCACTGGAGTAATGAGCAACGAAGACACATGATATGATACTGATGTGTGAAACAGAAAGAGACGGACAACAGGGACCAACCGACTACTGGACCGGCGGATTCGGAATGCGAACTTTTTCATTTCATCTTCTTTTTCCCATTCGAAGTTATCCAGCAACCATTTTATTTGTTCCCAGTGTTGTTTTGCTTGCATTTTAGCGGATACGAGATGAGATGATAAAAAAAAATGGAGAAGGCAGCCAGTGTTTCAGATTCTTTGATGAGGAGCGGTTGTAGTGGGGGGGGGGGGGGGGGGGGGGGAGGTCGGGGGGGAGCATTCATGATACTGAGGATATTACAACTTTGGTAATTTTCATTTCCGTTCTTCAAGATGATGACTGTGTTTGGGGAACTATTGGGGGGAGTTTTGCATGAAGTATTGAATTATGGTTGATGGAGTGGGACAGAAAGGGAGGAAAGGAAAGAGCAGAAAGAGGTGACAACTAAAGGGGGAAAATATACTGAGGGATATGGAGAGCAAAAAGCATGGTGAAAGATAGCCGATGGAAGAGAGTAGAGGAATATACAATCGCACCTCTTCTTTCTACATTTCTCGTCTTCTAGATACTTTCACAGAGCAGTGATTCTATGATCCACTAAGATGCACGAAATCTAGTCATCAATCCAGCTCTTGAGCTTTGCCAACCGTCCCATAACCTATATACTTCATACTTATCCAATCATGCAGTAATCGTCACGTCACTCTCTCTCAAATGATCAAAACTCTCCTCACTACTATTCCCACTCAACCCCCCCTTCTCACACTCATCATCCCACACCTCGCCCGTAATCAGCACGCCTCCCCTCCTCAACTTCGTCCTCCCCACCTCACACTCCTCCAGCGCCAATCTCGGCCCATCCCCTAGAATAAGCCGCCTATGCCACTCCCCAACAAACATCCCCTCGGGATCAGCACCCTCGCGGATCCGCCTCCACTCGAGCAGTTTCTCCCCGTACATCTCCTCGATGTCCTGCCCCGTACACTCGAAGTTCTTCGCCCAGTGCGGCTTCCCGCCTAGCTCGCGCATCAGGTACTCAAAGCCCTGGTAGTAGCGGTAATGGCACGGCGGGTCCGAGTTGCGCGGGCGGTACAGCGTGGCGTTTAGATAGAGCGTTGCTTCCTCCGTACAGGTCGGGTCGAGGTGTGGGCGGGGGGTGGTGGAGGTCGACGTCTCGGTGACGCGCACTTCGATGGGGGCGTGCACGTAGAGGCCCTCGGCGGAGTAGGGGATCCCGTGGGGGACGTAGTCTGGGTCGGAGGGGTGGAGGTGGTTGAGCCAGGAGCTGAGGCGGCGGAGGGCTTCGGGCCCTTTGTGGAGGGGGAGGGCCCATTCGTTGACGAATTGGCTGTACAGACAGTTCATGAGGAGGGCTTGTCGGGAGGGTTGGATGGCGGATGTGCTTGAGCCGTTGGGGAAGCCGTATTGCATGCCGAAGACGAACCATTCTATCCAGGGTAGTACTCGTGGTACGTACTGCGCGAGATAGAGAAGGTTGTGATAGACGTGATAGCCGAGCCAGGCGTCGTAGTAACTCTTCGGTGGTGGTTTTGGAGCTTCGTCTGTCTTTTCTGCTGTCCAGACTACGGCTCGTCTTGTATACGGAAACCACCAGACTCGTACGAACTCGGTCTGAGTCCATAATTCCCTCTCCCATGAATTGAACATCTTCAAATCCGTATCCACAACCTGTTTCCATGCTAGAGTAAACGCCGGTACCGCTTGGAATGTTATCTCAACGATGATCCCCAAAGCGCCCAGCGAAATGAGTGCTGCGCGAAACAGGTCTGGGTTTTGAGTTGGCGAGCAAGTCTCCGTCTGGCCATTCGCAAGTGTAATCTTCAAAGCCAGAATTGATTGCGACAATATCCCATGACGCAGCGTACTCCCATGCGTGCCCGTCGATATTGCACCAGCAATACTCTGGTCATTTATACTTCCCAGATTCGGCATGGCCAAACCAACCTTGTCCAGCTCCTCCCCGACCTTGAACAGACGTATCCCGCTCTGCATCACTACCACACAGCTCTCCTTATCCACGCTCAGGATCTTGTTGAATTTGTCGAGGTTCACGAGCCAGGAAGACGTGCAGGTTATGTCAGAGGGCGAGTGCCCACATCCAACCGTTGTGATCCTGCGCCTGCATCGCCTTGCTAGACTGACGACTTTCTCGACTTCCTCGATGGATTGAGGTTGGATATAGAGTTCGGGGGAGGAGTGGAAGGTGCGCGCCCATGTTGACTGGGTATGATTCCTGGTCGCGCGGAACGGGATATCATCTCTGCATTCTTGAAGCGCAGCAGTGATGGCGGGGTCCATTAGAGACTGAATCATAGAGTTTAGCTAGACTGTCCGACATGGTTTTGTGTTATGAGTTTAAACAAGTTAAATAACTTACGACAGCTCAACCTGGAGCTCTGGATACTAGAGACACCGAGAATGGAAAAAGTGATTGTTGGAGGTTTTCCTGTCAAAGGACGAAAGGAGGAAGAAGTGGTCATGTACTCAAGGGCGGTGAACGAAGCTATCGAGGGGCGCTGAGTCCAGAGGGGTCATTTCGGCAGAGAACCTGAAATGGATTGGACGACACTAACTCGAGCACCTGCAGCACTCGTCTCATCCTGAATCGTGCCATTTCTGTCATCATAATCATAAGTCAGTACATTTCGAAGCCTCGGCAAAAGTATTTGAGGTTATGGGTCAGACCAAAACACACCTCCAAGTCACTTGGGAACAGGGCTAGATAACTTAAATCTATGAAGGGTGACCAAATGTGTAGAATTACTCCTAGGACACTTCATATGCCCACCTTCATAAATCGGTCTTTTTTGTTATCTTCATTTGAAATGTACTACCTTATAAACTTCGCTTGCACTCATTCAACACAGCCATTAGAAGTACACCGTTAAGAAACGTATCATCTCTTGTGACCATGACTTGAAGCCTCTGTCACGACTATCGAACCTGCCCATTACTTCCCTCCTGTGTCAACGAACACACATGAGCGAATCTTCCCCAAAATGACTCGATATCGAACCTTCCTCTTTGAGCATACTCCCAATCCATACCCTTCCTCCCTCCACAGTTCGAGCTCCAAATTTAACAATCGTACATCCCCTCACCTTAGCAGCAGACCACAGCACCTCATCAGCCTTCTCCTGCTTCAACCTCGCTGACCTCCAAGCCTCTATTCTCGATACAACCACCCCACTGTCTCTCTCGACTTTCTCCTGTGATCTGAAGTCCCTTGCACCGATTCTAGGAAGAGCAGCGAATTCCGAGTGGAAGAACGCTGCTAAAGTATCCATCAACGGTCCTCGTAATACCAAAGTCCCAAATATCCCCAACTTGTGCATCTTCTTCCTCAATCCCTTCTCCTTAGCGTCCGGTTCATCTCCCTCCAGGATAACATTATCTCTCAACAACAATCTCGACTTCTCCCCACTTCCCTCCTTCGCCACCGACCACACCTCATTCTTCCCCCTCCAAGCCCCCAAATCCCAATCCTCACCCCTCGCCGTCCTCCCCTCCGACACCCAATCCAACAAACACAAACTGCCCCCCTCAGCAACCATAAACTTCTGCGCCTGCTCATACACACTCCCCTCAAACGGCTGCACCGGATCAGGAAGTAGACACACCGCCGCGCCAGCATGGATCGTCACATCCAGCCTCTGCCTCGTGACGACATCTCGTGACGGCGACTTGAAGATCTTGGTATGGCCCTGCGTGACGACGCTGAGTTTCGCGTCGGACTGGACCTCGATGGTGAGGTGGACTTGGTCGCCGCCGACGAGGCCGCCTCCGTAGGTGAGGAGGAAGACGAGGACGGATTTTTGAGAGGGGGATGGGGAGGGTGAGATGAGTTTTAGGGGGTATTGGAAGGAGATTTTGGAGAGGCCTGAGAGTTTTTGCGGGAGGAGTTGTACGATTAAGTGGCCTTCTCCGGGGGCTGAGGAGGATGCTGGGAAGGGAGAGGTCATGAAGGCGTGTCGTTGTGAGAGCGTGGAAATCGCTGACCTTGGCTCACAGGATATTGATTATCGGTTAGCATCTGGGCAGTATTGACGCATCGAAAGCTTGAAGTCTGAGGTTGCAGTACGTATCTGTCAGAACGAGCTACCGAATTGTAGTATTTCTAGTCCCGCTTATGCTGGCACTGCTTACGACAGGCTTGTGGCATGTCTTTGGGAGTGGCCTCGCAACTTGATTACCTTTCCTCTGAAGCGACAACTCTAGCATTTTACCAAGATATACATCTTCTCACCGAATCCTAGACCTCCATCCCCGCATGATGAAATCAAAGTAAAGATGAAGGATTTATCAGCAAGGGCAGTTCTCCAGCCTTGACAAAGTTGATGTGGAATGCCCAGAGATATTGCACGGGTTGGAGTCACCATGTCGGTCAAGATGGGTAATAATACGTAATACGAACGACTAGCTATCTCAGTCTCCACCAAGACGATGTCCAGATCCCCTATCCCGCCATGATTCTGGTAGAACGCCTCCAGCAGCCGACCCAGACGCAGAAGCGCTCCGTTGGGCAGGTGTAAATGCAGTACCATAAGCTCGATGATCAACCCCCGGAACCGTGCTTTGCCACATTCTCTTGATAAAGTTCGGCGTGGGCAACAAGTTCATACCACCAACGAATGTTGGATACAATCGGGTGAGGAAGTCGTAGAGATGGGCAGCAACTAATCCAGTCGCTTGGATCTTTGCTGCATGAGGTCCAGCCATGACCAACGTCATGAGAAGCATGGCGTATGGAATGAACTGGGCTGGGATCTGAACAACGATGAAGGTTGCTTTCTGACCTCGAGCATCTTGAGTACATGTGTAGCACATGGCCAAGATCAGTGCAGATATGAAGACCACTCCGCCTGTGACGAAGATGTTCAAGCCCTGTTGAACTTGTCAGATAAGTTCCACTAGAATGAAACCAAGCCAACGATGACGAAATCCATGACGGATATGTAGGGAGTCACAACCACCCGAGTGAAGTTGATGAATCGACACGAGTTTTCTCAAAGGAACTTCCCACCATGCCTACACCGCGAACTGGCCCTAATATATTTTGCGAATGACGGACCAGTCGAAGTGCAGGGGTAATCTTCCTCGTTTTCAGGAACCGCAATAGCTGGGAGCATAGCACCACGCGGGCAGATTAAGAGGTGGAATGGAGTGTGTAAGGGAAGAAATCCTAAGAGATAAGCAGTAGACATGCGTCACCGCTGTCTACTGCAAATAACAACGTCCGTGTACAAGGAGAAAGTGTATCCTACCAGAATAACAGAACAAACAAACAGCAGGTATGTGAAATAGTCTCCAGGGCCAGATACCCTTGGAGTGGCTATCTCAAGCTGACTGCTGTAGGTGTACACTGCCAGGGAGTCAGCGAGCTGATTGCAGATCTGGTAAAGAGCTCGTACGGAAGTATGTGTCCAGTACAATCCCAATACTCTCCCCTGTTATGAGGAACGAAGTCACCACTGTCCACACGTACGGTGGAACCTTCAAGATCTGTCCGACGTAGAAGATCACGTAGCCGAAGCTCAACATGCCAGTGTGGCATGATACGGAGAGGAAGAATGCTGCAGCCGCGAGAGTTCTAGGCTACCATCAGCATCAGCACAAACAATCAGCACGGAAAGCTGCAGGACATACCTCGAGATGGGCGGAGCTGCCCAGTACATATCCATGGCCGACATGATTGTTTTGGAGAGAATCAAATGCGACTACGAAGCTGTGGGAGCTCGCGAGGTGGAAGAGAAAAAGATGAAGAGGAAGACGTCAAAAGGATGGAAATATGTGTTCTCTCACACACAGTGGACCACTTGGCGCTAGCTTACAACGCTAGCTGCCTTCAGCCTTCAGCCCACCTGCAGTTCCTGGCCCGAGCTCTTCGGAGTGCGATGACGGAGCGCCAAACCCCCACTAAAACATTTCGCCTGTTGAGTCTTCGGTGAGGGGTGTTGATCTTGGGGAAGGAAAACTTTCGGCTTTCTCTTATTTAACTTCACTTCCACCACATCTTGGTACAATTCTTCTGACAACAATACCTCACAACACAACAATCATGGCAGGACCAAAGTGAGTTACGACATCCAATCATTGGGACAAGTTTTATTGGCTTCTGAGCGGCTCCTTGTCCGGCTGGATTACCCCACCATTAAAGCTCATCAAAAAGTACTGATTATCTCTGACGCCTTATAGGAAAGTGCTCATGCTCGGCGCTGGCTTCGTCACCAGTGCGTACTGACCAGACCTTGACGTTATCTAAAAATGCTCCCACTAGGCAATTGCTGATTACGCTTTGTGTACAGAGCCTACATTGGATGTTCTCAGTGATGCTGGCATTGAGGTCTCAGTTGGTATGTTGAAGCGATCGATCTTCAGAACTCCCATTGACGGTTTCTTAGCTTGCAGAACTCTCGAAAGTGCAAAGAAACTCTCCGAAGGTGTCAAGCATGCCACCCCGATCTCCCTCGATGTCACCGACCCAAAGGCCCTCGATGCTGAAGTTGCCAAGAATGACCTGGTCATCAGTCTGATCCCATATACCTTCCACGCTACCGTTATCGAGTCTGCCATTCGAAACAAGAAGCATGTGGTCACAACCAGTTACGTCTCCCCAGCAATGCTTGAGTTGGACCAAAAGGCCAAGGATGCAGGCATCACCGTCATGAACGAGATTGGTTTGGACCCTGGAATTGATCACTTGTACGCTATCAAGACAATTGAGGAGGTTCACCAGGCTGGAGGGAAAATTACTGGATTTGTGTCTATGTGTGGCGGGTTGCCAGCTCCAGAGGCATCAGACAACCCACTCGGATACAAGTTCTCATGGTCTTCCCGCGGTGTTTTGTTGGCATTGAGAAATTCTGCAAAGTACTACAAGGATGGCAAGGTCGTCGATATTGAGGGCAAGGACTTGATGGGTGCGGCAAAGTCGTACTTCATCTACCCTGGATACGCCTTCGTCGGCTACCCAAACAGAGATTCTACTCCTTACAAGGAGCGCTACAACATCCCAGAAGCTCAGACCATTATCAGAGGTACTCTCAGATACCAAGGATTCCCAGAGTTTGTCCGTGTGCTGGTTGACATGGGTTTTCTGAGCGATGAACCTGTAGCAGCTCTGAAGAAGCCAATTCCATGGAAGGAAGCTACACAGAAGATCCTTTCTGCCACCTCCTCCAGCGAGCAAGATCTCAAGTGGGCCATTGCCTCCAAGGCCAACTTCAAGGACACCGAAGAGAAGAACCGCCTCATGGCCGGTCTCAGCTGGGTTGGTATCTTCTCCGACGAGAAGATTATTCCCCGCGGCAACCCACTGGACACTCTCTGTGCTACTCTCGAGAAGAAGATGCAGTTCGAGGAGGGCGAGCGTGATTTCGTCATGCTGCAACACAAGTTTGAGATTGAGAACAAGGATGGCGGCAAGGAGACACGAACCTCTACTCTTGTCGAGTACGGTGATCCAAAGGGATACTCTGCCATGGCTAAGTTGGTTGGTATTCCTTGTGGTGTCGCTGTCAAGCAGGTGCTTGATGGTACGATTTCTGAGACGGGTATCCTCGCTCCTATGTCATCGAAGATCAATGATCCTTTGATGAAGGAGTTGAAGAAATATGGTATTGAGTTGGTTGAGAAGGTCATCTCATAAGTTGGATCTATCTCTTCAAAAGCGTTTCGGTCACTATAATAAAATAGATTCATGATTCGCGTTTCATATTCCGCACATTTTCTCGATTTCAGTGTAGACCTTGAGACGTATGTGGATTACGATAGATGACTCTGAATATCTCGGTCTGTTGCATAGAAGGCTTGAAATAGCTGTCTCAGACAAGTAAGAAGACAAATTGTGTGGTAGTACAGGATGAAGATGGAAGGGGGGTCCTTGCGAACAGGAGCTGGCCAGCTCGAAGTCCTTAACCTGGTAGATCGTCGTTCAGGCCATTGAGAGAAGCGACGAAAAATATAGGTTGCTTCAGTATTGAATATCCAGCGTTGCACATCCTCCCCTGAAATGTATATTGGCTAAACACATCTCCTACCCCAACTCTCCCACCTTTCTTCCACCCTTCTTACAATCTAACAAATCTTGAAAAATCAAGGGAGAAGAGCTCAAGCCATTGAAATCGCAGCCCCAGACAAAACCCAGCATGAGCAGCCCAGTCGTGTCACAGTCATCTATCACAGCCTCCTTCACCACACAATATCTATACATGCCAGGCTTACGAAGTATGGGGTACGTATGCGCAAAAGTGTCGTTGACTCTTTTGGCCAGAAAGTTCATTGTCCTTGCTTCCCTGGCCAGTCTGGAAGATTCAGGCGGATATGTTGAGTCGATCAGAGTTTTGTTCCAAAGTGGTAATGAAATGGCGTTTCGATCAGTAGAATGGGAAATCTATTGAGGGTTGGCAGACTCGATTTGGCTGCATTGATGTTGATGTAAACATTGACAGGTGACTTGCTGTGAGCTTAGACGCAGAGTCTACTGTAGAAGTAAACAAATGAATCAGTTAGCGAAGACATGATTAAGGAGGGCGCAACTATAGATTTGATCCAGAACTTCCCGTCTAACGTCTCGAGTAAAATGAAAAGGTTCGTACAGCACCTCGAAGTGTAACCTGTCATGAAAGACTTTTGTTTCAAGATCCGAACTGTTGATGTCCCTGGTGGATCATCCGCACAGTGAAAGTGAGCTTGCTTACCTGCTTGGTTGATAAAAGGGCCCATGCCTAGTAAGATCTTACGTTCACGCGCCAGCCACCTCGATGGAATTTACATATTTAGATAGTTGTTGAGGTGTTGGGACGATCACTGTGGCTCTTCGTCTGCCCGTGAGAGCCATGTCGTATGCTCTTTGACGGCATACACACGAACATTAGCTTGCCTTCAAAGCTCCTACCATTACAGAAGTTGAGGAACGAAACTGTAACCTGGACGCTGAAAAATCTTTGATTATCCCTCTATCTATCTTCTATATCTCGCTCTCAAACTGTCTTACCATCAACCCTTTCTCAGCCAGCGAATCCTTCACCTGCTTCACCGTATACTCGCCCCTGTGAAACATGCCCGCGCCAAGCGCAGCATCCGTCCTCGTCTTCGAGAATACCTCCTCAAAATGTCCCGGATTACCCGCACCACTCGACGCAATGACTGGAATACTGATAGCGTTCTTCACCTGATCGATGAGGTCGAGGTCGAAACCGCTGTTCGTTCCATCCTTGTCTATACAGTTGAGTAGAATCTCGCCTGCGCCCATGGCTTCGACAGCGGTGGATAGTTCTACCACGTCCATGTCCCTGGTTTCGCGGCCGCCTTTAATAGTGCATGCGTACCAACATGATGTCTCGCCGTTCGGTCCAGGGTATTTTGTCTGGATTGTGTTATGTTTTGTATCTTCTGGTTCCGAAATGTACACCCTCTTTGGGTCGACACTGACAACCACCGCTTGGTTGCCGTATGCCTGTGATATTTGCTCGATAGCTGTCTTACCAGACAGCTTCTTTCCCGCAGCATAATATTCCTCAGCTGCTGTGACAGCATCAGAGCCAATCGACACTTTGTCGGCACCACTCTTGAAATACATCGTTGCGATCTCCAAAGCCGAGACTTTTGTGCCGTCGGTATCTGTCGTATCTCGAATCCCGCCTCCAATCGTCAGTGGGACGAAAACTGTTTCCGACGTTTTCCGCAGAATCTCCAACATAGGCAAATCTGCTAATGGACAATCTCGAAAACTGGTAATGTTCAAGAAAGTAACTTCGTCTGCTCCTTGCTCGTAATATTTCCGTGCCATCTCAACAGGCTTGCCCAGATTTCGCACGTTTCCTCCTTCCGTCTTCTCCCTCACATCGTACTGATCTCCTTTTGTTACCACAAGATCTCCTTGGTCATTTGTCCGTACATCCAGACATGCAATCACTCTCCTCGTCAGACCTTCCTTCACAGCTTCCATGCCAGCAGAAGCTCCACCCTCTTTGTCTCCATCCAAAAATGCCTTGATGACCCTCAGACCTGCAACGCCACTCTTCTCAGGGTGGAATTGAGTAGCCAGAATATTTCCTTTCGCCACAGCACCAACGAACTCCTCGTCTCCATACCTCGCAGTCGCAACATCCCAGCCCTGGCTTTCAAGCTCACCTTTCCGATATGGTATCTTATATGAGTGAACGTAATAGTATTTCGAGCTCGGTCTTAGTCCATAGACTTGTTTGTCGGAGGTATTGGCACTGTTCCACCCAATGTGCGGTACTGCTTTCGAGCTGTCGTCAAATCGATCGAGGTGGCCCTTTATTACACCAATGCCTGGAATGGTGGGACTTTCCGAGGAGCCTTCGAAAAGAACTTGTAGCCCGACGCAAATTGCCATGAATGGCTTTCCAGAATTGATGTGTTTCCGAATCGCGGGTAGGTAACCTGCAGATGCGAATTGACTCATACAGTGGCCAAAGTGGCCTACGCCGGGGAGGATGAGTTTCTTCCCGAAAGTTAGCAATCTCTCAAGAGAAACGTATGTCTCTCAAGTCATCGGTCTGCTTCATTACTCACATCTGCCTTCTCAACATCTTCCGGTGATCGGACCCATTCGATTGTGTATCCGACTTTCTCAATGGCATTGACTAAACTTCGTACATTTCCAGCAACGTAATCGAGCAAGTAGACTTTCGACATGGTGATAAAGTCAGCTTCTGAAGAGAACCAAAGCAAATTGTACAATGTAAAGGAATGATGCCCTGTTATGTGACTCAAGAAGAAGTTTGGTCCACCCCGCGCTAAGAATTATTGCCGCTTGTCACCGCTTTTACCCCTCTAGTGTCTCCATTAACAGTATGCCTCAGGGCACAAACCATCTTGGAAGCATTGAGATGTCAAGAATTAAATCAGATTAAATATGAGCGGCGAGCATCAAAGCCTATTTGAAACTGCCAATAATGAAATTTCGGTCTGGAGTTGCAATCCACATGCGTTATTTCCTTTTCAAGACCTTTTGACATACTCCACGAGAAAGTAAATCTGAGAATTCGTCCCGTTCAAAGCTTCACTTCACTATTAAGAGAGCTATCAAGCTACATACCCATTTGACCACTCCATACGTTCTTGCAAGATTATCTTCGGCTGCTGAATTAGAATCTGATATGTTGGAATGTGTAGCTTTCAGCGGGTGACTTAGCAATCTCTTTCCGTCTTCGATACACTGTATCGTTCAAAGTGTCTTACCCTCTGATCAGAGTTCCAGGTTTATTTTATACCCACTTGCAGGTCATAGATCACAGTGCTGGTGCATAGGTACTCGGAGTATTGATGTTTCAAAGAGCCTCGCTTACAAAACAACACGGCGATCCGAAGCGAGTCAGTGAAGCGAGAACTGTAAACAAGACATCCAAGCCGCAGGAAGCTAATACGTTTACGAGCGAGGAGTTGTAAAGGTATAGAGTCACTGTTCGACAACTTAGAAATTCTCAACTACTCAGGCGACAATTGGAGAAATGATGCGGCTGGTTCTCGCCAATTTCTGGCACACTGCATGTGTTGACATTCATCATTCATGGGTGTCACGTTCGCATTCACACAATGAAGGCACAAGGTTTGAGGTGGCCGAATCTCTCATTATCTGCCATGACAAGGGCCTCGTCTGGCTCATCCACTAGGGACAGTCCCATTCACATCATCAAGACATGAACAACATCAGCAATAGCATCCCCATACATCCCAACAGAAATAGGAGAAGAGTGGTGCGAAGTGGTCGCCCGACCGTGGATAGCACCTCGTTCCCTCGCCAGAACATGCTATACCCGCAGGATACATACATATACATGGCGCAGAGAGATACAAGGGTACTAAAAAGCAAACGCAAATCCTTTCCGTCCGTAGTGGTGATAGTTCAATTTCCAAAACAGCAAAGCGCGAGGGGGTATTAGAAAAGTAGAGTTGAGAACGCTTGGTAGGTTCATCGGAAGGTGGCCAAACCTCATGTTGTTGAAGGGAAAATTGTGAGCGAGCTTGCCGCCCGTAATGTTCCATATGGTCCAATCTGATGGAGATAGACAATCGTCCTCGAGGCCAATTTGGAAATGTAACTCCGAGCTATGGTACCCAATCGTACATCACATATGCAACTTTAGATAGTCTTGGGAGATTTGGCATTCCTGCCAGTATTGTCAGTAATCTACAACAGGGCAGTGAGTTGGATTGACGGAAAGCGAACATACCCCATCTCCACAATGTCATCGACATGGTTGCATAGTGCGACGAAGAGGTCAAAGAAAAGTTTACCGCCACTCTCCATTTCTGTCTGCATGGTTCCGCTCCTCTTAAATGTCTTGCGACATCTGATGATCAAGGCGAGATAATGAGCGCGAAGCCGTGAGTCCGTGTCCGGCGTGTTGTCATACGCATACCGCGCAGAGCGAAGGATGGTAGCGACCTCGATACCGCTCTGCAGACCCTGCTTTTTGAGGGCAAGGCGCTTGAGTTCCTCCAGGCCGTACTTCTCCGCTGCACAGTATATAACGGTATCCTTCAAGAGGTGTTCGCGCACGCTGGAGATGTAGGTTGTAGCCTCGACGGATCCGCGACCACCAGGGTTTTCTGGGTTTGGTGATGACACCGCATCCTCGAGCTCCCAAGAGTTTCTGCGCTTGTTGTGGAGCAAGCGGGGGTAGTAATCGCCCTTCTGGAGAGAAGGTAAGCAAATGCGCAGATTGAGATCAATCGCCAGCGCAACTGGGCAGATGTCAAGAGACCGAAAATTGTGGTACACATACGTATAGATACTCGAGAACACATGAGAAGATCTCAGGTTCCTCGTCTGGAAGATCGATCCTCTTGCTCCCTGCCTCGAGGAACTGACCCCTACAGGCCGCCGCAAAGAACGGCGACATTGTAAGGACATCCTCGTGCGCTGCAAATAACCGTCCTTCCTTGCCAATAGTGAAGGTCACAATCGGCGAGGTCAGAGTACTGCGCACAAGTCAGTAACTGCTCGGCTTCTCTGATTGTATAGAAAAATTGTTTGTTTAGGCAGGCAGCCTTACCTCCCGACTGGCGGGCTCTGATCGAACGACTTCTGCAACTTCGCCAACTTCGTGGGATCCCGATACGACTTCTTCAGCTTGACAGGCTTCTCCACGCGATCGTTTGTTCGGAACGAGCGCTTGAACATGACTGCGGTGGTTGTGTTGAAGGGGGTGCTGGATATCGAGATTGTGGGGTTAATGAGCGACGAAAAGAGTGTCGAGGTTGGTTGTTTCTGGAAAACTGACGCACAAAAGATTGACTGGGGTCCTGGCAAGAAAGTCTCTAGATATTGCGATTCAAAGGAATGAACGAACGTCTAGAGTATTCCTGTGTAGTTTGCGACCCGGATTGGTGTGGTGAGGAATCAAGAGAAAGCGGGACGCGTGGGGAGAGACGTGAATATATACCACGCCAAGTAGCGTGGCAGGCTCCCTTGGCCTTAGAGCACGTGCTATATGACGCCTAGTTATGAATAGAGCCATAAACTGCATTGGGCGGGAGTGCATATTCTCAGAATGCCGATGGCGGGAAAATCAGCTGCACTGCGTTTGTTATTCGTTGTACTCGTACCTTGCTGCACGAGTGACGCATGTTTTGATGCCTTCAAACAAGAACGCCTGTGAAGCTAAGGCGGGCGCAGTAACAAGCGAATCAGGGGTAGCGAGACAGCGATTGGAGACACGGGAATAGTGTGGAGTTAGAATATAATAGAAGTCGCAGTTCCATAATGTTCACTAGCCCCCACGCGAACCAAATAAGAATCATTTAAGACTGCCTGCAGGCCGCATTCTCGCATCCAATTCTCGCTGCGAAGAGTAAACCATGTAATATAAATGAAATCTGCTACGATCCACATATATTATATATTAGAATTGATATAAGCACCTTTACAGACACGATAAGTTGACCTGAGGAGAACAAAGATAAATATACCCTGAAGACTTGAGAAACAGTTGGTTGAATAGAGTGATTTGGAGAGATGTAGGTTGGCATGGTTGGTTGCGAATGTTGACAAGCTCCGTGATTCGTTGATGCAGTGCTGAAAAACATGAAGTAGGTGGTCATTTGTTCATGGCAATGCCTGCCCTGTTGTGGAGTCTTGTCCAAGTGGAAGCCAAGAAGGATAGTCTATAAGGAGAAGCTTCAAGTGATATAACGGTAGTCCGCATGCCTTCATTTTCTTGCCCTCAAATACCGTGAAAAGAATGAGCGTCCCATCACGATCAGAAAAAGTAAGCGAAAACAATAAGAAATGATACCAGGAGTACTGAAAGTGCTCACAGTTGTAAGTCATGTTCAAGTCCCTATTTTCAGAGACTTACAAGTTAGAGGGGGGGTTTTCTTGGGAGCCTCTGAGACAAGAAGATACTAGGTTTCTTAATGACGTACTGCTGAGATAATAATGAAGTGATCATTACAAGACATGAGGTTTGCCATGTTCAGATTTTATATGCCTCAGGCTTCTTCTAGCCAATCTTACTTATTCAAGAAGACCGCTTTGTCAGGAACCCTTTGTTCTTACTACAATCTCTCCTCTTCAAGGCTCTCGTTGGCAAAGCATTGACGGGCACTGGTGAGCGTTGTAGCTCAGGGGTTCCGCCTGGCTGCGGGGCATGTTTACCCGCCATCATTAGCGAGACTACCTTAGGAACAAATGATCATTATCCGGGCGAAGAGCACTCACTGTGTGTTTTCCGACTCTGAATATTGAACGAGATCACCCTATATTTTGTCTTGAGCGATATATTTAAATCAAGTTACAGTAAATATTCTTTCCTGTGTTCAAAATGTGGCACAGATTGTCCTCGCTGACAAGATGCTGCCTGGGCGTCGAGGATGCCTAAAATGTTTGTTTAATGGGCATTTCCTTTCAGCTGACGCGCTTTGTGCATCACCACCATCAGCTAGCACTTGCATCAAGAACATATACCAAGATGGCAGCTTTACGACGCTCCAGTCTCGCCAATGTTCCTGAAGAGATCCTAGACCAGATCATCCAGAGCGTCCCCGTCGAAGATCTACGAAACTGTATGCTCACTTCGCGAACCTTTTGCAGATTAGCACGACATCGTATATACCACTCCATTTGCTATTCTGTAGGAAGACTACCATCTGAAAGGAACGATGTTGCATCTCTTCGGCCTCACGCCAATAATTACAACGGCCGGGACAGTTCTCGCATCATTCGACTCCATGACTTCGTACGAACGATCTCAGAGAACCCCATCTTAGCGTCTTTCATCCACAGGGCAGCGTTCTCCCCCCTAGGAGAACACCCAGAAAGGATCGAAATCAAAGCACTGAAGAGATGTCTTGCTATCGTTAACCCCAACGTATTACACTTGGCATTGCCGTACAAATCCGCGTCGCTCGCACTCATGAATTCAATCACCTCGTTAGACTTCACGTATCCCATGGAGACAGCACTATCAGGGTTTCAACACAAACTTCGGAATCGTCTGTACTCGATTTTTATGATAGATAGCCTTCGTTATCTCACGTTACGGTGTGCTAGGTGCTGGCAGGCTTTTGATCCTGTCGATGTTGATACTTTTCGGATCGGAACAAGCAACGTTGTATCGCTTGGCTTGGTTGACACAGTTCCTATGGATGTAGATCTGGTGGAAATATTGACTTGTGAGTAAGATAGTCGCGTCGTTGAATGCCCTTTCGATGGCAAAGTTGATCATGGGGCTCGATTGTCTTTTCCAGTTCTATTCAAACCGTTTCTGACTATTCCTCGTGTCTAGGGCCCAAAGCATTGATATCCTATGATCACGAAAGCTTGGAAGGATTAGATTGCTTTTTTCAGTATTGGGGACGGGGACCTATCGCATCAGCAGACAGTTTTCTCCGAGGTGAGGTTGTATTTGATCTATAGTTCCATGTTTTTACTCAAGCTCACAAACCCATCAGCCTTTTCTTCCCATTTCCCCCGCCTTTCTCCTAATCTTGTCCTCTACAAGCCATTACTGAACGATGAAATACAGGTATTTCTAGTCAGAAAGGGTCACTCGAGGAAATAATTTACAACCATGGGGAAGACTGCTGCGGAACTGATGATTCAATCTTCGACCCAGCTCTTCTTCGGCAATTCTCAACTTTGAAGCATCTCTCTGCACCTATAACCTGCTTTGTATACTCGTCGCCCAACTTAGGAATGACCCAGCCACTCCGCACCTTCCTACCTTCAACCATCGAAGCACTCCAGATCGACCAAGACAACATGATTGGTGAAGAAGAGCACGAAATGTTTCTCAGGTCATGGCTACAAGATGTTTTGGATCACAAGCAGGAATGTTGCCCTCGTCTGAAGACTGTCGTGCTTTCTCAGTCGGAGACTATGCCCGGACTCAGAAAAACTCCTCTAGATGGACTTACTGTGTTGAATAGCCTGTAGGTATTTTTTTCTTTTACATCTGAGCCACCTGTCTGGTTCTAAGAATTCAGTCGTCATAGTCCTAGCTGACTCGTAGGTTCCAGTGCTTTAGACAATGCCTTCGAGGAAGCTGGAGTTCACCTAGATTTTGGATTCAAAGATTGAATCACATCGAGAGTATTTCTTCCATATTTGATTATCGGTCAATGCGCCATACCCAGTACACCAAGGATGTGGTGTTGACTGCTAGCATAACCAGGGTACGATGTTGAGTGCTCGCAAAAGGGAATTGCTAGTGGGAACAAAATCGAACGTCTTGAATTTTAAAGTCCCTTTTATCTGTAGAATGTGTTGGATACACTTGATTGAGACAATACCAACATTGATGACTTCTGTTTCATAACCACAAGAATGGCCGGAGTTAGGCTCAAAGTGTAACGCCAGGATCCTGTTCTGCCAATGTACATGTACCATGCTCAGTCAGAAGTGAGCCGTCAGAGTTTGAAGGCCATCCTTCTTTTATCAAGTCAGCCTCAGCTCGAAGGGAAAGCAAACAGAGCTTAAATTGTCACCTCAAACCCGGGTAGTCGTGTCCATTGCCAATAATTCAATCCAGGCAGACGACCGAATCGCAGTCTATTAGACTGCAAGGCGCCGCCTGTGAGTCTTTTGGAGGGGTCTTGACTCACACATGGACCTCCCCATGGCCTCACCACGCTGGCATTTCCCCTCTACAGCTCATGACCACCTTGCCATTGGGCGAATAGCCTCAAACGCAAACGGAGAGTACGAGTACCCCTCTCGCTCCCATAATAGAGCTTTCCTGTGACGAATCCCGTGCAGCACAGAAGGTAAAACTGGCCCCCGAACCCACCTTTGTAGCGGTGAGGATGCAATGCACCCAATCAACAAGCGAGAAGTCGATGACTGATGGCTCGAGATGGAGCGCGGAGCGAGGTCATCCTGGGCGCTCTGGCCACTAGTGCGGGCAGTCAACCGCTAGCGAAAATATATCTCCTCCATCATCTTTTTCTTCTCCGCTCTTCACCACCAAACTCAATCTCCAACAGACAACGAAGTCACACTACAATACACATCAAATACAACCCCAATACCTTACACTTCGTCGAAATCATGCCACAGGCTATCGCTGAGCTGTGAACGCCCACTGCGGGCGTGCGAACCCAGCACGTCCGCAGTCCTTCAGCCCACGAGACTTTCAATAACTATCGACCTCGACGAAGTAACAGACTCTTACCGTCTAACCCCGCAGTGGCCTGCGAGGAAGAGTTTGCCCAATACAACGAAATAAACAGAGTGACGCTCTTTGCCTCGCGGAGTGGACTCCATCCCGACCCATCCACCTCCCCCTCACATCCTCCGAATTCGAGTCTCACACCACTCCTCCTCCCCTCCTACATATCTCGATAGTCTTAATAGACTAGAATTGACACACTGTCGAGTTGGGTGGAACTTAGTTCCCGTTTTCGACCCAGAAAAAGGGTGTCCTAACTTCACCGCTAATTACATCACACCCTCAAACCACCTCAAAAATTTACGAACACACAGTAGACAGTCAAAATGTCTCGAAACATGCGTCACAGATCGACTCCACCGCCTGCGCAAAAGATGCCGCAGAGCAGCCCTCAACAATCCCAAGATTCGGATTCCGACTCCGACTATGGTGGGGTTGATGAAATCTCCGGCAGCGAAGACGATGAGCCAAATGTTGAGGTGGCCGAGGAGCGGGCAATCATCTCGTCGGAAGGCGAAGAGGTTCCTGTGATTCCTCGGCCGTATGAAGAATACGGACAATGGGAAGGATTTTCATTTGAAGGAGATGCCGCACCACTTGACGGACAATTCTTCGAACAAGCCATTCAGAAGAGCAGTTCTGTGGACGAATCATATGACGAAGATGCTGCAATTGAGAAGCACGTTCACTGGGAGTCACCTGTAGAGAGCGAAAGCGAGACTATTGGCGATTCTGATGCTGATGAGTTCTGGCCCGACCTTTTCGTCGACAAGAACGAGATTGATCCACATTTGCTCAGACAAATTGAGGCGGATGATGTCAATGGACAATTCTCTGATGATGGTTTCTTCTATGGAGAAGCTGAGACGGATGAAGACGACTTGGACGAATCTACTGATGCTAGTTCTGATTCAAGTGGTTATGATTGTGGGTAACCATCACTGTTACCCAGGCCAATGCTAACAATATCCAGCCGATGAATCAGGAATGACAACCGATGAAGAAGATCTTTCGTCTCGTTTCATCCCACCCCAGAGATCAGTTCTCCGAGCCATATCAGAAGCCTCATCTTCATCTGAAGAAGTCACAAGACGTAAAGTTTTCCGAGCACCTGTTCTTGCATCTTGGACTCATGACAGCGACACTCCATATGCTATGGCCGATATCACTTCCACCAAGGTCAAAGTTTTCAACATGCGTCGCTTCAGAGAGCAGTATGAGATGCAATCCCGTGCCACTCCATTGACAACACCACAACGGAATATGCTTCAGGAATCACCAATGATCAGCAATTCTGGCAACATCATGATGAGTGCAATGATGTCAGATCCTTTTGATGACAACGTATCTGGTCAAGCCATCGGAGGCCCCGAGGCATTCTACCCTTGGACATATATCGATGCCAACGGAACAATCGAGAACCAAAATAGCTCTTCCGTAGATGGCTCTGACTGTGATGACGAGGATCTCTGGAACATCGACGACCTCCTCAACTTTGGCAATCAAGACTCCGATGATGAGGAGGAAGGAGAGCCATCTGATGAAGCTCAAACCGGTGCAGAGGACACCCCCGGTGCACCATCTTCGACACCCGCACGTCCAACCACCGCCAGAAGCGAAGATCAAGTCCACCCTCTCCTCGATCACTTCAGCAGCGGCACAGTCGGTGCCTTCCGCTTCAACCAGAACCGCCACCAACTTCTCAACCGCACCTCAGTCACCCGTGAGTCACTCGCCTTCGGCAGCGCTCACATGGAGGGCACAATCCGCGGCGTCAAAGCCGGCCGTCTCCAGCATGCAAACACACCCATCACCCCCGTCCGCAAGAAGAAGAGACCTATTCCCTTCGAATCCAGCCCCGCGAGCCCAACACCCTACAACGCGAACAAGAAGCGCAAATACAACGGCGACGAGAGACCCACCGGTCTGAAGCGGGCGAGGGGTCTCACCATGTGATGTGACATACCATACCGACTACACAAAATTACGCAGAGGACGGCATGACTCGAAAGAGCATCCCTGGCCTCTCTCACTTTCCTGGCCTTTTGCACTGTGCACTTGTTTTTAGCACAGCCTGCTCTTTCCTTCGTCACGGCTCCACACTGTTTTCTATTCTCTCTCTCCCTCTTTCTGCCCAACCTTGCTTGGCTGGTGGTGGTTGGTGGTTAGACAAAAAAAGAAAGGATTCAAAAGCCCGCTGCGAATAGAATACTACAAACAAAAGTCAACGATTGATCGATGTTCGATGTATGCATGCATGTTATGCCTTTTTTCCTAAACTGTTTTCATATGTTCCGAGTTTTTTCTTAGTTTTTTCTTCTTTTCTACAATCTCTTTGTCTTTCCCTTTCGGCTCAGATGTGTTTTCACGTATGTATGTATGTATGTATCTATGAAATCGAAGGTGGTGGAGAGATCTTTACCTTGTGTGTATGCATGTGTGTCTCTTCTATCCTGTCCTATTTCATCCTATCTCTTCCCATCCTATCTTATCTTATCTATTCCTTTGGATTGAGATGAGAGGTTTTCCTCAAGCCTTTTCTCTGTCCGGTGGATAGATAGTGAGTTGGGTTTTGGGATTTAGGATGTGGATTTGGGATTTGACATGTCAGACAGACTGAGAGGTTGGGAAAAGTTGCTGCTGCTGCTGCTGCTGCTGCTGCTGTTGTTGTTGCTTGCTTGCTTGCTTCAAGAGAAGACAAAAGTTGGTGACTTGCTTGCTTGAGGAGGACACGTCGAATCGAGTCTGGATGCGTGCTCTGCTATGGCCTTATCTACTGCGGAAACTTGAGTTTGATTGATTGATGGATTGATCCATGGAAATGGGGCGTAGCTTGCATAGCTGGGTGGCGTTACGGCACTGATTTCGACGAGACGAACACATCATGACAGGACACACACGGGTTCGCTAGCTAGCTTGCTGGTGTGAGTGGGCAAGTGAGTGAGTGAGTCAGTCGGTGACTGGTTCTGGTCTTGTGCCTTTTATGCGGTTCAGCTTCTTCTACTTTAGCAAATGAAAACTAAAAAATACTTCAAATTTTCATCTGTGCCATTCCTCGTGCCAAGTCCCAGTTCAGCGAGCAAACACTGAGCACAGAATCGAGCTACAGCCAGAAGAGAAGGACAAATGAGAGAAGAGGATATTTCATTTGCAACTATGCCTATCTATCACACTAGCTGGAGTCAAACCACCAGCTAGAAAGATCTATTACACACAGCTCAGGATCCTCTCTCCAACCGTATGTTCTTCATCATGCCAGAAGGAATTGTGTCCATATGTCCGTTCCACCCATCCATGCCAGGAAGCCAGCCAGCGCAAAACTCAACGCATGTGTTTCAAATATCATCGCAAATGTAGAAGTAGAAGAATTCAGAGGGCTCTAGTCTATCGCAAAGAAACGAGGAAGACATGATGGAGCTTTTGTGAGTTCAGTAGGGGCTGAACTACAGGTCATCGCCTCCAGTGGCTTCTTGACCCTTCTTGGCCTTCTTCTTGGGTTGAGGAGCACCTTCCTTCTTGCAGTGTACGATGAGGCGGGTCCATGACTCCTCTTTGTCCCATTCGAAGCCTGCTAGGACTGGGGTTTCGAGTTCATCATCTGCCTGTTGGGGGAAAGGTTAGCTATGTACTTCTGTACTTCTTGCTCTGCCGTTTTCACCTGGCAGATTCAACAGTGGTTTGGAAACAATGAAATTCGTGGTCCTCGATGATAAGAGCAGAGAGTCAAGAACATACCTTCTTTCGGAATTGCTTGTGAATAGCATCTAACGCATCCTTGATGGTTACACCCTTCAAGTTCCGTGCGGTTACCTCCAGACCCAGTGGGAAGTGTAGGTCGATTCTCTTGACTGGTGGGGTGGTGAGAGGCTTCTTAAGCCAGCCCTTCTCGGGGTCATCCAGAGTCATTGGAGATTTGTTGATATGCCTATGAATGTCAGCCTTTCTCCTCTCTGCATTTACGCACTCATTGCTCCCAGCTGAATGATCTAGTATTCGTCGTGCAAGAAAGTCTGACTGTTCCCTGCATGCACTTGCATTTGATACATCCAGTAGAGCGTAAAATGAAGCTACAAGACAAGGGGAACAAGGGAAACTTACCAGTTCAGCTTTTGTGTCTCGACAGCAATCTGCAGTTCTGTTCCTTCCTTCTCTGCACACATGACTGTCAGTTTTGCTCTATCCGAATCACTTGCCCACTATTGCTGTCTCATCACCTTCCCATAAATAAAACAATCAAGGTCAAAAGCACCCAACAGGCCGGATACTCCGGTCCTTGTCACGGGAGCTTGATCATGATCCTTGGCTGATGGGTCTGGGAATTGAGGTGGACAGGCAGGCAGGTAGCTCTAACCTATTTCTTATCCCAAAGGATGAAATAAGAATATCAGAACTCAATTCAGCTTACCTAGATCAAGAATGTTATAGACACCTGGTACACTCGAGCTTGCTCTCCGCTTCTCCTTTGGAGGACTAGACGAGAGACCTTGTACGGCGGAGTCGACCTTTGATAAGGGTGCTGGTGCTGCGTCGGCGGACATTGTTGCTGTTGTTCTTACGACCTTCGTTTGAGGGGGTGTAAGCTTGTGGGGTTACTGGTGAGGGGAAATCAACTGTGATTGAGCCGAGTAGTTGCTGTGTCTGGGAGTAGTGTTGATGGAGAATTGGTTGCAGAGGAAGTGTGAGAGGTCTTGAGTCTTTGATTGAGTGTTGTTGTTGATTGAAGGTGGTGTTGTAGAGCTGAGATCAGGTACGATGCAGGAAGAAGAGAATGGAAGAGGGGAAGAAGAGGGGTTTCTATGAAGGGAGTGGGAGTGGGAGTGGGTGAGCTCTCGGAGCCCGGGCGCTTTGCTCTGTCCTGCCTGGTCCAGTGTCTGGGTTTCAGTCAAGGCTGGTGAGAGGGCAAGAGCGGGGTATTCCTTGACCAGTCCAGTCAATCAGCTTGAAGCACAGAGCAACAAAGAGCAATCGCGTGACTTCCGTCTCGTGAGGCGAGGAAGGAGAGATGCGGGCGGGAGTAAGTGATGCAGACTTAAGCCAGATCGGGTAGCATCTGCCCCACTTGGCCCCTTCCCCCCGCAGTCAGGACAGGCCTCGAGTCTGGGGAAGAGGGGCGAGGGGCCCACTAGGTAGCTGACGAGCTGTTTCCTCACTTGGACGAGTAGGTAGGGTAGCAATTGGAAAGGAGAGAACGGGGAGAGATTGAGGTTTGATTTGATTGTGTTCAATATACTGTAATATCAAAAAAGTCAATGGCGATTGAAGTTTGGAGGAAGCGGTGTTCCAGTGTTGCGGCAGTGCATTGCAGAGATGGAGACATACATGACGCCATCCTATCCTATCATATCATGTCACCCCTTCTGACAAAGGAAACGGAAACAGAAACGCAACGCGAGGCATGTTTAAGCTTCCGAGCATTCCATCCCACCTCATCCATCTCCTGACTTCTGACCTGCTCCAGGATTTGATCACTGAGTGAATCCGTAGAGCCCCTGCAACGATCTTTGATATAAGCTCACTGCAAGTCACCACGCCACACCAGCTCAGGAACGGTCAGGAACAAGAGTACAAATCACAGTTGTGAACTGGAAATGGGTTGAGTGCTGTGCAATAATGCACGCCATCAACTCCCGTCGGATTCAAGCACGGTTGCTGTTGGTTGCGATCGGATGCTGACTAATCCCAACTCCTTTATCCCTCAGGTATCAGCAAGGCATTAACACATGATATTTTTGCAACTGGATGAACACAACCACATGTTACACGTTGGAAAAAGACCTCCAATAGTTCTCCCAAAGAAGCATAATTCTTCCATGAACTTCTCTTCCTTTGAAGCTTCTCTTTCAAAAGTCGTCACATGGTCACGTTCCGGAAACAGTAAAAGAAGCCCCCGGCGTGTTTCACCGCCACAAAATTCTGCCAGGACGTCATTGAGGTGGGCTCGGTGGGCTAAGGTGAAGAAAGACCCACGCCAAATTTCGGATTTCGGTAGAAGCAGACCGACCTTCAATCGAAGAAATTTGAAACGAACGTATTCTTGATACTTACATCCTTGTCGCGAACATATTCCACAGTACGTGTCAAAATCCCCAAGTGATTCTCTCTACGCGGCTCCTGATAAGATCTCCAGAACTGATCGCTGCAGAAGATACGAGAATAGATCGATCCGCGATAGCACCAGCCACAATCTTATCTTCATCATCCCACCAAAGGGGCCCCCAGGCACACGCACAGGCACAGGCACAGGCGCAGACACAGGGCACAAGAAACAGAACAGAAACAAGCAAACTCAAACTCAACCAAACAAAACAAAACAAAACAAAACCCTCACGATGGCTCGACAACCCAACCTCTTCGCCTTCCCCACCGTCGACGCCCTCGCCACAACCCTCCGCGCCTACGTGATCCAATGCCAAACCGCCGGCATCCAACGCCACGACTCCTTCAAAGTCGCCGTCTCGGGCGGCTCCCTCCCCAAGACGCTCGCGCAAGCCCTCCTCTCGAAGCCCACCTCCCCCGAAGACACGGTCAAGTTCGACAAATGGGAGATCTTCTTCGCCGACGAGCGCGCCGTGCCCCTCGACCACGAAGACTCCAACTACCGGCTCCTCAAGGACGAACTCCTCGACAAGATCCCCTCCGAGCTGGGCAAGCCCACCGTCCACCCCATCGACGTCGCGCACCTGGACGACGTGCAGGAGCTGGCAGATCAGTACGAGCAGCTCCTCGTGAAGAGCTTTGCGCAGCGCGATAGCGTCAAGCTGCCCATCTTCGACCTACTGCTTCTCGGATGCGGCCCCGACGGACATACATGTAGTTTGTTCCCTGGGCATGCGCTGCTGCGAGAGACCGCTGCGTGGGTTGCGCCGATTGAGGACTCGCCGAAGCCGCCGCCAAAGAGGATCACGCTCAGCTTGCCGGTTGTTACACATGGTGTGAAGATCGCGTTTGTGGCTACGGGTGGGGGGAAGAAGGAGATCATGAAGCAGATCTTTGAGGGTGGGAATGGTCTGCCTTGTGCTCTGGTCAATGAGGGTGCAGGAGAGAGAGCGAGTTGGTTTGTGGATAACGCTGCTGTAGAGGGTGTCAGTTTCCCACGGAGGGGAAGTCTGTGAGGGCAGATATTGCGTGGAATTTTGATTGCATTTCGATTCGGATCTCACTAGACTTTACAGAAAGAACGGTGTTTTACACAGGATATCCTTTTTTTTTATAACATTTCAGTAGTTGCCATTCAGCTAGGTAGAACAAGCGGTTCCCAGAGAATGGATGTGAATATTCCGGTCAAGTTAGGGTTATCTTCTTGTGGGCGGCGCATTGTGCAGAGTCGGGAATGAAAGTGGATTGCTGCAATGTAGCTCGTTTAGCGGAACAACGGGATTGATTCGGTACTTTGCCTTGCTCCATCGATTGAATTTACTGCCTGGAAAACACTCCTTGGATATTGTCACAGTACTGGGTACTGCTTCTGGCGAGGTATCCCTCCCGGTACGGGATGTATGTAGGGGAGTTTGACAAGCAAGTCACTTGTGTATCCTGGGCCACGCCAAAGGCTCAACAAGGCATCCAAGTTTGATATTGTTAAAAGCCTCAAAGCAGATTCTTGTATTCTCTCAATTTAACTATTTTCCTTTTCGTCTTATTATTCTATAAACACTTCTCGGGGCCGGAAATTGATCCCTAGAAGTGATCCAACCCTAAGGACTATCTCATGGCTCTGATTTCAGAGTATTCCTTCTCTTTGATATTCTATTATTTTTGCCATCATCAATTCTCAGCAAAGCACATCTAGTGATAGCTAGCAGGGCTGAAACTTCGTTGTTGACAGACTCACTTGCTATGTCTCGCTTATCAAGTCCATTATCAATCCAATTCTCTTTCCATTTTCCTTCTTATCAGACATCTGTTAATCCATACTCTCATGTAACACTTCTTTCCGTTTCAGCCCGTTATCCTCCACACTCTAAGATATCTACTTCTGGGAGATACACCAGAGAATCGTCGAAGTGTGTCCTTTCATTTTAGATTTCTATCAAAGTTCATTCTCAAAAACCAATACTCAAAAAACACATACATCCACCCCAAAACCTTCTATAACCCTCCCCCTCACACCTCATCCTCTCCCCTCATCCACCTCTCGCCTCCAATCCCACCTACAACTTCGCATTCCAAGCCGCCCTATCCGCACTCTCCAGCGGCTTCTCCCTCCCATCCCACCAAACCGGACAAAGCTGAAACCACTTCTCCCTGCTGCAAACACTATGCACACTCCTCTTATGTCCCAGATCCACATACTTACCAATGGTCAAGCCCTGACTATTCTCATAGCTGAGGATCGTGCCTCCCGTGGCTTTCGGCTCGCCGACAACGTTGGCTGTTCGAGGGTCGTCCAGGAAGCAGTAGTGGATGCAGCTGCTGTACCAGGCGCTGACGCGCTTGGAGCCCCGGAAGGTGGAGTCGCCTACTAGGGAGTGGCGGCCGCGGTCGTAGGGGGAGGAGGCGTAGTGTGCGCCGTAGTGGTCTTCCTGTTGGGGTGGAAGAAGGGAATATGTCAGTCAATGCATCTTTCTACCACTTCTTACAAGCAACTCTCAATCTCGAAGTCCACCTCAGCCAGAACATGACAAGCATTGGAAGTGAGTATGTGAAGAGAAAGAGGAAGAGGAACGGAAAAGGAAGCGAAGCGAGAAAGAAAGGCAGTAAGTAAACATACCGTCGCCCAATACAACTCAAAATACGCAAACCTCCTCCCCTCAAACCTCCCAAACAAACACAGCACATGCGGATCGTCCCCCAACCTCCTCAAATACCCCCTATGCTCATCCAGCGTCCCCATCTCATTCCACCCCGCCGCCACCCTCGGATCATTCTGCCACCTATTAAACAGCCCCAAATGCTCCCCATCCCTCCAATCCACCACCTCCAGCGAGAAGTGCTCGTCCAGCTCGGGGATATACCGACTGTAGCAGATCGACCCGGGGTGCGGTTTGGGCCGACGGATCGGGTGGCGCGCGTAGATGGGCTCGAGGGGGAATTTCATCGTTTGCGTGTAGGTTTCTGGCATCAGTGGATAGGAGGCGATGGGGTTGCGGAGGGGGCCGGACGTTCCTGAGCCGAGGGCCCAGATGGGACGGGGGCCGAAGGGGGAGGCGGCGCCTTGCCAGAATGCGCTTCTGAGGATTAGGATCTCGTCTTTGGAATCAGGAGTTGGGGCGAAGGCGGTATCAATCACTTTCCCGGTCCATGGCTGTGGATGTGCAATTCCTAGCCCGGTGACGAGGAGTTCGGTACGGAGTGTCTCTCTGCCTTGTCCTGCGAGGGAGAGACGGAAGTACTCGTTTGTTGGGGAGGAGAGGTAGAGAGCGTGGATCAGGTTCCAGATTTGTCCTAGGGATGGAGGGGAGATTTCTGTCCAGGAGAATGTCGTGCTTGGGCTTCGGTAGGCTCGAGCCCAGAGACTATTGTCTGATGCTGGAGGGACGGAAGTTGATGGGCGGGACGTGATTGGGAGGAAGCTTAGGTTGGCATTATGAAGAGGTTCTGGAGGTGTTTGGCCGTTGGTGGGCTGAGAGTCGAGGGTTAGGGAGAGAGTAGTTGGTGATGAGTTGGTAGTAGTGATGCGGTAGCTTGTTAGGAATGGATGAGGGAGCTTAACAAGCGGGTATGTTGGTTGGGAAGTCATTGTGATGGTTTAAGCCTGTGACCTCTTGACCTAGAGCAGAAGGATACGAGGTGAAAACAGAGAAGTAGAACAGGCCAGATCGGAAGACGAGAGGAAGAAGAACATCATATAAAAGTCCTCGGCACGAAAAGCAAGCTCCTAGCTTGACCGAGACCGGGAGAATGGTGTGAGAGTGGGTAAGAAGTATTCAGTAGCCATGCTTTCTTCCAGTCCTCCAATCTTCATCCACCTTCCCGAACCTCCCCTGCAAGCCCGAGCCAATAAAACACATACGAGGTGCTCAACGAGCATCAATAGTGGAGTCCCGAGTGAAAATTGCTGGGATAAAGAACGAGACCCCGCGCTAAGGAACTCAAATTAGGTTATCTGATCCGCCGAAGTTTTTTATCTACATCTAATCAGATCGAGCGATCCCTTGGCTTCGACTCGGAACAGTGGTTGGTGGAAACTGAGGTAAGTGGGGTTCCAAAAGACGTAATCTGATCAGAGAACGGGGGGGCATGAGAATTTTGCTTGGTGCTGGCCCCGGGACGTCCACTTCTCTTTTCGCTGGTCGATGGTGGAGTAATTCCTAGACAGTGCTTCGATTGTAATGGAGCTTTAACACAGAATGCGTCAAGAGACTGAGGACCAAAGTTGGAGCTTCAGACAAAACGATTCCTGTCTTCACACTTCCATTTCTGAGAATAAATCTTACCTAGATCTTGAGTCCCAAGTAAAGAATAGAAAATTATGAAGATCGCTCATTCCTCTCAAGTCCATGCAAGGTACCATGCCATATTTCGTGTAAGCCTTCTATCGCCTCAGTTTAATTAATCGTGCTTGGAAGTGACATGATCTTTCTAGTCCGTAAGTATTGGAGGCACTGATTGACAGCGATAAAGGATACTTCAATTCAACAACGTCCTGCATATTTTCGTCAAGCAAACCTGTTGTACAACACCGACATTGGTAGAAACGACTATATAAACCACATCAGATCGCTATCTCCAAGTAGTGCTTCAATACAGTAGCGACGGATCGTATTAGGACTCAGCCCAATTAAAATCTGAAAATCCTGGGATCTATGAGAATTTGAGTCCGAGCTTTGGGAACCCGGCCACATATTTCGTTACTGAACATCTTCGAAAGATGAGCAGATAGGAAGCAAGACTGTCTCCGAGTATTTGGTATTAATTGCCTTACATGAGCGTCGTGGTGTTCGCTGGCTCGGACTGGGCCAGAAATAGAAAGAAGCATGATATCATCTCATGTAAGCAATCACGTACCGCAGGACCGTAAGATCCCAATCTCTCGCACAATCTCACTTAGGGGTCACAGTGCGACGTTCACGAGCAGAAGAAGACTAATTAAAATAGGGGGTGTATGTATGTGTTGTAGGATCTCGCAAACTAATCTAAAGTCCATCGAAGTAACCAAGATACATCGAAAAATCCCAAGGCCCATGCCCATTCTGTATGCACCTGCATATGCGGGGTTTGTCTGTCAACCGATGCTATGTATGTATGCCCGTATCCATGCCATGCATACCCGAGCCGCCCCTATTCCAAATCCATCCAAATCCATCCCAAATACCAGGCCAACTAACGATCAAAGGGGGCAAGTAAGCATCAACGCCAAACGTAACCCAATCCGTGTAGAAACCATCCAGAAATGCAGGCGACCATCCATCGACAAAGAAAAAGAATAGCATGGACGTGTAGAGAATAGTGAATCCAATGATGTTATCCTAAGATATCAGAAAGCAAACAACGTTCCCTGTGCCTAAACTCGTTGCAAAAGCAGGGAAGAGAAGGTGGTGGAGCTGGGCGGGCTCTGGGTATCAAGCTATCGGCCCAATGCAAATGTAAAAGCAACGCAAACATGATTGATCATGTATGTATGTGGTGTAATCCCTGCCACAGTGACATATCCTTATAGGTAGTGCCATACCATAATCCCAGTCCCAATCCCATATCCGATCCAGGCATGGTGACAAATGAAAAGTGTCATGTCCGGATTCAGGTTGAATGAAACGTCAACCCCAGATGCGAATAACCGTCGCAATGCAGTAAGTATATGAAGAAAACAGTCATAAATCATATGTCGCTTGCTCGATGACCAGCAAGAGTCGAGCCGTTCAGACATACTGGGCGATGTACTTCTTGTCGAGCCAACCGACTTTGTCGAAAGCAGACCAAAGTTTGCTAGCCTTGTTGACGTCAATCTTGCATGCCTGCTGGGCGTCGGTCTTTCTGAACTCCTTCTTGATCTTGAAAGCCTCAATTCTCTTGATGAAGATTCGGCGCTTCGAGGTCAAATACGTGGCACAGTCGAGACGGAGGTTGGCAGCAAGGTGAACCTCGTCTGGGTGGAGAAGGTGGGCATGAGGATCGGATCTGAGGTCAATGGGAGCACCTTTCCAATCGACCTTGAGAGAATTGGCTTTGCTAGGAAGAGTGGAGAGAGGTGGGCAGTAGTCGGGCAGAGCACTGAAATCCTTGTCTTCTCGAGCAACTCTCTTTGCCGTGTCAGGTGTCGAGCCACGATATCCTTGGGGCACCTTTGGTGGTCGTTGAGGCTTCGTCACTCTGACGCTGTTTCCTGACTTGACGGGCTTGATGTTTGGTCTGACTTGTCGTACACCGCCGGCATGCGCAGGTGCAATTGTAGTATATCGTCTACCTCCCAGCTTCAGCATGTTATCCTCTCTCAATTGGGCGATCTCCCGTTGAGCCCACTGCTTTCGATTGGCATTGTATGCTTGTGCAACCTGTGACTTGAACTCCAAGATCAACTCATATTCATCGTGGCGAGGTGGTGAGACCTCTCTGAAGACGCTTGGTTCCCTAGCCTGGACATATTCGTTCACCATGCGAGAGCGTTCGTGATCAACGAAGAGAGGAGGTTGAGTAGGGCTGTTGTCTGGTTGTGGGAAGAGGATCATGTCTCGAACGACTCTGGGAGGTGAATCTTCGGGATTAACCAACTTCGATTCTGGAGAGATGGGTGGCGAGAGGGGAGCGACACCTCTGCCTGTTTGGTCGGAGTTGACTGTCTTCATGTTGATGTCCATTGATGGTCCTGAGGACGACGAAGAGAAACTCTCTTGTAGTGTTTGCTCGGGTGGCGAGAGCATGGTGGTTCTTGCGTCGAAAGGTCCCTTATTCTCCATGTTGACGATTCGATTGATGCTTGGGAGAAATGGCTGAGGGGATTTCGAATTATATGTTGGGGAGGTAGTCAATGGCTGAATTGGTGATTGTGTAGTTGTTGCGTAGGAGTCATCGAAGGAGGTGGAAGAGTGCAGGCCGCTCGAAGTTGTTTTGTCATCCATGTCTCGTTTGAATGCGCCGCCCCAGATGCCTTTGGCTAGTTGTGGCAACTCTCGGACTATGTTGCGGAATTGAGGTGCTCTTAAGTCCGCCGAAGGTTCAATGTCAGATGGGGTCTGGGGAACTCTGTAGATAAGTTGAGTTGCGCGTAGAGTTAGGAGGATTGATGAGGGCAGGTCAGCTGAGTTGTCAGACCGATCGGTTCTTTGTGGTTTCCGGCCTCCTGTCAATGCGCACGAAGGCTAGCAGTGTCGAGTGAATTGGTTGAAAGAAAGTAGCGAGACAATGGTGAAAGGAATGCGGAGAGCCGTTTCGAAGTGAAGTAAGATGAGGGAGGAGAGTGAGAAACAAGAAGAGTGCGAGAGGGAGTAGGAATAAATAGGCTGGCGCTGATGGCCGCTGGTGGCAGCAGGCAGGTGAGTGAGTGAAGTAGGGTAAGGCGTAGTGGTGGGATGTGGATGCGGATGTGGAGGTAGCCAGCGCAGGAGTGACTGTGTGGAGGGGTAAGGGTCGTGTGGTCTGCCTGGGCCTGGTAGTCTGGAATACCACTGGTACCTGATGACTTTGGCCTTGCCTGACCTGGCCGCCTTGCCTCATGTGGGAGGAAGTGTGTGTGGTGAATGACTCCTCGTGATATAAGCCGCCGTATGACCAAGTAAATGCAGCCCACCTTTCTGTTCCATGTGGTCCTTGACTTACCTGATGTTGCTCGAACGGCTCCCATCGAAAGAGTAGGCAGGCTCGCAATTGAGTAGCAAGAGAGGCGGCCTGCCTTGAGTCAGTCTGACCGTCGATGACGGATATCGGTGGCCCAATGTGAAGCTGCTGGTTCCGGTCCTCTTTGCTTCTGGCTGGAGCGTAGGCAGCGGTTAGTTGGCGTATGCCTGTTGGTGCTGGTTCCTGCTGGTTGGCTGGATAGAGTCCCGGATCGAATCCTCTTTGTTCGAGGGCGGCTGTGCTGTGCTGAGCGGTGTTTTGAAGGGGCGCGCGAATAGCCAGCAACGCGTAATGGAGCAAACAGGGCAGGGATTGGAATGTACGAGAAAGAATATGGAGGGAAGTGAGAGGCGGAGGGGATAGAATTGGCCAATGGTAGCGCAGGCTGGCATTGGGCATGAAGCAATAGATGCCACCGCCGAATATATGTGCTGGCTGGATTGTACTGGAGGCAAGGAAAAGGGGGCCGCTCAGCTCAGGCATTGGCATTGGCCCTGTCCACTGGCACTGGCAGCAATGCATTGACCAGCGAGAAGGAGAATTGCGCGATGCAATTGGGGCAATTGAGAGTATTGGGGATGGTAGATGGGGGATGAGATGAGATGGGAGTGAGTTGGGGGGGGACCTCGCACCTTGAGACGTCTCTGGATTGGCCGAGAGGACTGGAAAGAGGAGGGCGCACAAACGTAGCACAAACATCTCCCGAGAGGCACATCCCATCCCATCTCATCTGGCTTCTGTTCTCAGCCTGTGCAGCCTCGCCTCCCCCTCTCTTCCTCCGTGCTTGCGCAACCAGAACGACGTCGTTGCGGAGGTCAAGTTGTGTGGTATGAGTCACTCTTCTCCAACCAAGTGCGAGAAGAGAGGATTACAGATATTTTAGTTTGCGGCTAGTCTACTTCGGGTATAAATGTGCCCATCGGTGAAGCCTGATCTAAAGTCCGAAGCCCAGCCAGCCCAACAATGCGTCTCGCCGCAAGGAGGCCTCGGAGGGGCAATCAGGGCGGCGCATAGCAGCGGAGCATGATTGATTGTTCACACTTCACTCTGCATTCACGGTCGTGTGAAGGAGGGGTGAATCTATTTTGATATTGGAATGCAATTCATCCAGTAAGTCTCCAAGTTTTATTCTATGTATCCAATCAACTCAACCATTTTCATCCACAGTCAATTGAAGCATCAAATCCGGCGCTGAACATTATCTGGCCATCCTGTGCCGCTATGTTGAATTGACCACCGCAATTGACCTCGCGCGTCTCCCCACACCGCGAATCGCGGGATGGAAAGACCCTTACCAACAACAACCAGACTGCCACAAAGGGATGTCTAGGTCCAATTCGGTCCACAATCGCAACCTTTGATCTCCTGAGGTGTTGACAATGGCGAACTCACCTCTGGTAGTCCCTGGGGATGCAGACAAAGCCAATTCGAGCAAATCAAAGCTGTCGAGCAATGCAGCCTCGAATGGAGCAACACCAGAAGCTATGCAGGCCAGTAACGGCGGCCACGATCTAGCAGAGCAGATGAACGAGGAAGAGAAGCAGAAATATGTTAAAGGTTCTTTGCCCTCTATTTCCTTGCTCTGTATAGTTATACTGACCATTGCCCAGGCAGGAAACTCGGAGAAGGTACATACGCCAATGTCTACCTTGGCCACCTCCGCACCGATCCCACCAAGCTCGTCGCCATCAAGAAGATCAAGATCCAAAAAGAATACACCGAAGGCATGGCCCCAGACGCCATCCGCGAACTCAAGCACCTCCAAGAACTCTCCCACCCCAACATCATCTCCCTGCTCTCCGTCTTCTCCTCCAAAGACCAGAACCTCAACCTCGTCCTCGAATTCCTGCCCTTGGGCGATCTAGAGATGTTGATCAAGGATACAGAGGGCGTGCGCTACGGCGCGGCAGATATCAAGGCTTGGATGGGCATGCTAACCAGAGCCGTCTGGTTCTGCCATGAGAATTTCGTGCTTCACCGGGATATCAAGCCGAACAATTTGCTCATTGCCGCAGACGGCGAGGTCAAGCTAGGAGATTTCGGTCTGGCGCGATCGTTTTCAGATCCTTACCGAATCATGACTTCAAACGTCATTACACGCTGGTACAGACCTCCAGAGCTCCTCTTCGGAGCTAGACATTACTCTGGGGCAGTAGATATCTGGTCCGTCGGTCTAGTATTCGCAGAACTGGTCATCAGAATGCCATATATAGCCGGCGACACAGAGATCGGGCAAGTCAACCTGATCTGTCAAGCCATCGGCACACCTACAGAAGAGAACTGGCCCGGTGTATCCAAGCTTCCCGAGTACACCGTTCCAGACCCACCGAACCCAATTCGAGGACGGGATCACTACCTGGCTACCTTTGGGACAGCAGGACACGAAGGTGTCGATCTACTGATGAAGATGTTGATCCTGGATCCGAGGAAGCGGATCACAGGTCGGGAAGCACTAGAACACAAATGGTGGGCAGCAGACCCCAAACCAACTAGGAATGAAGATCTACCGAAGAAACAAGGGAGTTCTAGTGAGGAGAAGCTAGGCGAGGATCTGAAGAGAAGACCTGGAGTAGTAGATAATGATAGAGGGCCGAAAGTAGCCCGAAAATTGGATTTCGGAGGCATGAAATGATGGGATATAGCATAGCATGGAAAGAAAAGGCATAGCAAATGGCGTCTGGGGCATTTAATACCATGTTGTACGAAAGAACATACGGTTTTACCATACCCCTGTCTTCACCCTTAGGCCTCAACCTCCGCAAACATTCTAGACGTCCCTGCTTAACAATTCGATAACTCAAGAAGGTTGGGGGCCGTATTTCAATCAATCAGATGGATCGGATCGATTGTTCACATTCCAGGCTACCCACCGCATCCAAATCCAGAGATCCAATTGCAGCCAAGCCAGCCTTGAAAACTCTCCAGGCTGTCCCAACGTCAGCATCCGAAGCGATTACAACAGAAGGCAAGGCTCCCATCCCCATCCCCATCATCAATCAATCCATCCCAATTGACCTCATCAACGTGGTTCCCTTCCTACGGCGTACCTACCTCCAAGTATCAGTATCAAGACATCCACGTGTCTAGCTTTCCCTCTCCCCCAAACCAAAACAAAAAATAAAAACTCAATTCTGTCGTCATCAGTACTCAATAAACTTTCCAGTTCTCCGAAGGATCAGAACAAAAAGGCAAAAAAAGCAATTGAGTTGGGATTTGATTTTGATTTTGATTTTGATTTTGATTTTGATTTTGATTTTGATTTTCTTTTTTTGAGTTGACGTTGACGTTGACGTTTGTTTCATTCCATTGCATTGCATTGCATTACATTTCAAGGCACAAACCACGTAATTACCTTCATGCAACACGTACCTACCTTTGCCTTGGGTATCATACCGTATCGCGCTCGCGCTCAGGCTCACGCTCGCCACGTCGAGGTACCGCTGTACCTACTCTGGCCAGCCATTGGGGATACAGAGACCAGGAAAAGTAAACTCACCAATTGCATTGCATCGCAACGCAATGCGATGTACGCACTCGAGCAAGGAATTGACATGACGAGCAGTTGTTCCTTCCACCCCCTTTCATCTCCCGATTCTAGCTTTGGGCTTTTGGCTTTTGGCTTTTGGCATTTTGGCTTTTCTGACCTGGCTGGCTTCGGATGAAAACATCGCATTATTATGTTACACAAACATCCCATCCCATCCCAGCCCTCCCGGCGCAATCCACTGCATTGCATTGCATTCCATTCACAATTCCTCGGCTCCAGAATCAATAGTCCCTCTCTCCCTCTTCCTTCTCCTCCTCCTCCTCCTCCCTCTCACACCCTCTCGCCTCATCAAGCAATCAAGCCCGACCACCTATCTCGTGCAACCGATCATCTGGGCAATTTCATCAGCGCGGTCAGACAGGCAGGCAGGCAGGCAGGCAGGTAAGTAAGGTAAGGTAAAGTCGAGACTCGACCTAAAAGATCCATTGGAGGTTGCAAGCGGGAGGTCACATGGCGCACTCCTACTGTAGGAGTCGAGTCGAGGGAGAGAGAGATGGATCCTGGTGATCAGATCAGATCATGGATGTGGGATGGTGATCCCATTTTCACATGCCATCGCGAATGCCACGCTTCTTGTCTCAGTATACCCTCCATCTTCTGCTCCATCTGTAGGTATCTCCACTCGCAAGCAGGGAGGGCAATTGACCCCTCCATGATCCATAATCCCCTCAGGCGAGATCCGCACCTTCCATTTCCAATTCAATTACCCCTCCATCTAAGAAGGGAAGCGCAGTACACGACATAATTCAATTCACTTCTACTCAAATCAATTCAATTGAATCAAAAACTGCAAGCCATCCATCCCCAACACTGCCGCCCATCATCAACATCATCATCCGATCTCCGAATGTCCCGAATTGCCTGCCCTGCCCTCACAATAAACTTTCCCCCCAAAAGACACACCCATCATGCGCCGCCCGCACCTCGCACGCTCACGCTCATCATCATCCCGGCGGTCAAGGTAGGTGAAGGTCCAAGAAGTACCTACCTACTCTACTACAGTACTACTGTACGTGTGGGTGTGGATGTGGAAATGCAAGGAGGGTTCATGGCGTCTCCTCTAACCCTAGAAGTGCCCTCACTCCCGTGTGATCGACGCCCGACGCCTTTCCCCCCGGCAAGTGCAAGTGCAAGTGCAAGTGCAAGTCATGGCAAGGAAGGAAGCATGGAGGGAAGGATAGCAATCGATAAAGCAATCGATAACTAATCGATAAGGAAGGCGGGAAGAGGAGGTTCAACTAACCCCCTCGCCTTATCGCCACGATAACCTTATTATGACTCGGTGTCTTGACCTAGGTGAGGAGCGAGGACAGGATGTGGAGAGCGGTGAGGGGAGCAGGCAAATTTATTTTCAATTGAAAAAAATGCGCTGAATTGAACTGACCCGTCGTGATCGCGATCGCGGTATGGAATTGAATTGGTGAGGGAGGGAGGGAATTGACCTTGGAAGGATCTCAGGCGCTTGATTCGTTTCATTTCAGGGCTGTTTCGCTGTTTCGGGTGGCTGGCACTGCTCAGCGATGATGTCGTGGGGTCGAGGGGTGCGCACATGACCTTGTCTCTCATGAACCTCCCCGAGATGTTCTCGCGGGAAGGGCGCTTAGACGCAGTCACGTAGATCATGGTGGTAGTAAGTGTCTAGCGAGTAATTTACTTGCATGTGCAAGACTTGGATGCATCCATGGGAAGTTGGCAGGAGCCATGGTTCTGAAGGTTAATTGATCTTTTGTTTCGCTTAGGAATAGAGGCTCGCCTCCCCTAAGCCCCGTGTTTGTTTCCTCAATAATCCATATGTCTACCATATCATCCGTTCCTCGCATCTTTATATAGGCTATATGTCTAGTTTACCAGTCGTTCATGAACCCCTCCAATCGATAGGTGAATAGACTCTTGGAAATTCTTCCTGTCAACAATCATCTCATAGCAACTCCTACTTTACCAACCTCATCTCAACCAGAAGGCCCAGCACTTGCCTCAACCTCAACTCTCGCCCTTTTATCTGGTAACGGTCCAGCTTCACTCCTTCTCTCACCCTCATCAACGATAACCGCATCTCCATCTCTATCTCCATCCACCATAACCCCTTCCTGTGCTTCCCTCTCCTCCCTCCTCCTAATCCTCCTATCCACCGCCTTCCTAAAAGTCCCATAAAACACCACACTCCCCACCCCAGCAACAACAAAACTCCCACATATAGCAGCCCCAATAATATCATAATTATCCCCTGCCTTCTCAACACCATCCCAAAACCTCCCAGTCGGCTCAGCCACATTCAAAATCAGACTGAGGAGTTGAATAACACCAATAGCCATTGCAGCAGAGATAGTGATCAAGGTAAGCACAATGCTGTAGTACAAGATAGCGATTTGATCGCGAGCTAGAGCAGTGGAAGTGTATAGCGTCATCATGAGCGCGCCGTCGGTGGTGTCGAGGAGACACATGCCTGCTGTGAAGAGGATTGGGAAGATGAGGATGAGCCAGAAGGAGGTTCCTGATGCGCCTTGGAGGGAAGCTATACCCAGGAGAGCAACTTCTGAGGAGGTATCGAAGCCGAGACCGAAGAGGACGCCGAGGGGATACATCTTCCATGGCCTGTAGAATTTCGTCAGTGTCTATTCCCAAGATGATAGATACTCTGTCTTTCAAAAGCAAGAAGTAAAGCTACACTCTCACCTATCAATGAACTTGAACATCCTCTTAAACACCCTAAACAGCGGTCCACCTCCTGCTCCATCCCAAGGATCAGGTGTCCTCTCTTCTCCCTTCTCAATGATAGTCTCCAACTGCACGCACAGCTTCCATAAGATCCACATGTTCAGAATACTAAGAATTATGAGAAATGCAGCGGATACTGAAGTCCCGATTATGCCACCGACTTTACTGAAGCTTCCGAACCGGTCTGAGACGGCGGCTGCTGTCGCTGCAACGACGATGGATGTTATGATTACGATTCTAAAGATGCTTAGCTATTGTCCATCTCTAGGTAAGGGAAAGAGGGTAAAGGGACGGGAAGACAAACGTTGAGTGTCCGAGTGAGAAGAACGTTCCGACTGTTGTAGGTCGTTGTCCGTCTGCTATTAGACGTCGTGTCATGAGATCGATGGCCTGAGTTTGAAGTCAGCATAGCAGCTCGGCACTGCTAGAAGATGTATTTGAAAATACTCACAGCAATATGATCAGCATCCAGAGCGTGCCGTAATCCTAAACTATATGCCAGCGCAGCTGTGCCGGTCATTTGTCTGTATAAAGCATCACACAATCAGTCTTACATTCACCTTGCGACTTCACGAGTCAATGTCATATTTCTTCCAATCTTCGAAATCCGCCGGCATCAAAGGTTCAAAGCACATGATGACCCTCATTTATCTGACGTGAAGCCCACAGCCTACGCTTCAACATCCACATTCTTAAATGAAAAAATGCTTACGGATGATACGCCTGTCTAAGTCAGCACTCATCTAGCATGAAAGTATACCAGAATCAACAACTCAAAAGTAAAGTAAGACTCACCAAGACAACCCCAACACCCACCCAAACCACAATATTAACAAGCACCAACGTCCCAATCGTCCCCAAGACTTTCAACGGCAACTTATTGATTCCAGGCATGCGACCATGCACAGCACCAATTTTACCCATCCACACCTTTCGGCGAGATGGATGGTGTGATAGCAGAGCCATTCCGGCACCATCATTGCTGAACGGTTGATCCATGGTTCTCCCCTGGTATTCAGTTTTCAGGTCACTGAACGACGAGGAGAGCAGACAGGACCTGGAAATTATGACCAGAACAGGGTGGTGATTAACAAAATGAGTGAAGCTGAGAGAAAATATTCATGAACTGAATGGAATGTTGGCGGGGTAGCTTTTTGATCAGAGAACCGAGATCTAGCTAAAAAGTGGGATGTACTGTGTACTTGGTGGGGTAGTTTGCTCGACTAACCTATCACGACCAATCAAAGTCCACACATTAATCTGCTTTTACTCACTGTGTACTGTAGACAAAATGAAAAGTCTTGGCCAAGAGCCTGCCTCTCGAAGGGTATCAAATTCTGTCTTTGTCTAGGATTTGTCTATAGACCTCCAGCCGGTGGAATGTATGGGTGGATGAGCATCTCACTGAAACTCTCCAGCTTCTCCTTCCCTCTAACCTCCTCGACCAGTAACGGCATCTTGACCACATTAAACTCATCATACAGCTCCTCAATCTGCTCCAAGTACTTCTTCTGCATCTTCCTCCTAGCATTGCATTGTTCGCACTCGCTGCTGGATTTGGGGAAGAGCAGCTGGTTGACTACGATGCAGTGTGTGTCGATTCCGTAGCTGGCTAGCTCTTGAATCATGCGCTCTGTTTCGTAGAGGGACAGAAACTCGGGTATGCACACGCAGACGAAAGTTGTCAAGTTCTCGTCCTTGAACTGGGTATTGACCTCGCTGATTGTTTCCCGCAAGCCCTCCAGCTTCTCCATCATCTCATTCAAGTTCGCACCGTTCGGCAGAGATCCATTCGCACCGAGTAGACCGTTCAGCATAGGCCCAAACTGTGAAGAGAGTTGAGAGATCTTCGCGAGTGCCTTTTCGAGAACAGTTGGAAATTGGAGGAATCGGAGAGTGTGGCCTGTTGGTGCCGTGTCAAAGATGATGGTTTCGTACGAGAGCGATTTGACTTGTTTCAGGACTTCTGCGAAAGACATGGCTTCATCGATACCAGGAATCTGGAAATTATTAATATCTAGCCTGGACTGTAGTTGGCGGGTTTGAACTCACTGCGAAAGCCAAATCCTGCATCATACCTCCCATTCCAGCAGCCGGACCTTCTCCCTCCTCAGCCTGGCCCATAAGCTCTTGGATACTTCCATTAGGATCAATTTCCATTGCGCTCAAGTTCGTGAAGCCATTAATCAGTCGCGCCTCCTTGCCAAACTTCTGTGAGAAGGCATCGGATAAATTGTGCGCTGGGTCGGTCGAGATGAGGAGGACAGATCTGCGAACTTTGGCAAGTTGGATGGCAAGGGAGCAGGATGTTGTCGTTTTTCCTACACCTCCTTTTCCTCCAACGAAGATCCAGCGGAGCGTCTTCTGGTCGAGGATTGACTGGAGCGTAGGCTCGAGTTGATCGTCATCGGTATTTATCACGGCGGTGGACATTTTCGAAGTCGTAGATGCTTGAAAATAGATCTTTGACTTTATTATGGGAGAAGGTGATTCGAGTAGAACTTAGAGAAAGTGGTAGGAAATTGTGTAAAGTCGTTAAGTCGTAAAATAAACAGGTACGTGGAACGGAGTGAAATCGAACTGGAAGCTTCGTCGGCTAGCCTTGGCTTCGCCTTCTCACGCTCGTCAGTGACTCGAATACGCTAGCGTATGATTGGCCAGCTCACTTGCTTCCCAAAACTTGTATTCTGTTCAACATTATTTACAACATTCGACCATTCTTTGTTTTCTACAAAAACTTCCTTAAAAACTCTCCCAAGCACATGATTGCCATCGCTTGTCCGTAAGGCATACTTGTTTTCTTGATATCTTTGTAAAACTGGTGTGTCTCGCCCATTCCTGTTCCAAAACTTACATCCATCAACTCCCCCTGCTCACTGACCTTAGCCATGACTGCCTTCACAGCCCGCACAGCAACCTCCTCATATTCCGCACTGATATATTTCTTCCGTACTGCCTTCAGGATGCCGTACGCAAAGCCAGCGGTGGCAGAAGACTCGAGATATGATCCTTCATCGGAATGGTCGAGTAGTGTCCGCCAGAGTCCCGACTTGTCTTGGTATCTCTTCAGGGCACGGCATTGTGCTTCTAATGTGTCGATGAGATGGATTCGTAGTGGATCGGTAGGAGCAAGATCTAAAAGCTCGATAAATTCTGGGATGACAATTGTGATCCAAGAGTTCCCTCTCGCCCACCTTGCACGGGCAAAGTTGTGACCAACCCCTCCCTCGGCACTCTCATCAAATTGCCAGCCATGGAACCACAGTCCTGAGGTAGGATCAAAAAGATACTTGATGTGGATGAGGAATTGTCGTTTCGCTTCTTCAACATAGTGTGGTCTGTTGAGCACTTTCCCGATTTTGGCAAGTGGGAGGACCGTCATCATGAGAGTGTCGTCCCAGAGTTGTTGGGTATTTGGTGTGAGGTAAGTGATATGCTGCATGCCTCCATATTCTGTCCTCTCGAGATCGTACATGGCCCATTCTGCCCATGCATCCAACCAAGGCAAATATGTCTTCTCGCCTGTCTCCTCATACAGATACGCGAGTGTCAAAAACGCGGCCATGGTGTTGATGTTCTTAGTTGTGCCACCCGCTGCGAAGCGGTTTGCGAACCAGTCTTGTATTATCTTGAGGGTAGATGGTGAGGAGGTCAAGTTCTGGTATTTGTAGAGGCCGTAAAGACCAACTCCATGTGTCCACTCCCAGTCATTCCAGCCCTTGGTGTCGATTATGCGGCCGTCGGGGAGGGTCATGAGAAACTCTCCAGTGGTGTCTTTAATGTTCACCAAGTTATCGGTGAGTAGAGCGATAGCATCGTGAACAGAAGCAGATGTGATGTCTGAGAAGGTGGTAGGCATTTTGACGGTTGCTACAAGCGCTTGCGGTTGACTCTCCAGATCAATTGGTTACAGAGGATGGCGAAGAAGAAGTCTGAGAGATATGGGTTGAAAAGAAAGGGGGACTTGGGAGACGGAAGATATTATTATTCCTGAGTCGGAGGCCTCGGTCTAAAGATTTCTTTTCTTTCCGTGACTTTTATTTGAAGGACGAGGGCCAAGATGCAGGAGTGGATAATCCCAGTTGCTGCATTCGGCGCATCTCGAACCGACGAGGGGCAGCGAGGGGCAGCGAGGGGCAGCCCCAACTTCCCCAAGAAACCTTGAGCAATATTGTAGCCAATCCGTGGCCTGTAGGCTCGGCTCGGGGGTTGGCATACTTATACAAGCGCCGAGCTCACCACAAATTTTGGTTAGTCAGCTGCTGTGGGAACACCCATTGCACCTGGTGAACGTGCTTCTCTTCTCGACGACGAGTAAAGGCATGGTGGCACTCTCCTACGATATACCCGATTTGGCATATCTCCGGTTTCCCATTAATGCAAAGGCATAAGGGTTTTTGAATCCAGAGCTCCGATACAAGAGAAGCTGCAAAGTTGTTTGGCGGGATGTGTCATTGTCTGTTTACCTCGACAAAAACAGAGAGGAATTTCACAAATCCCCCGCTAGTAGCTCGGAGCAGATTTTCAACTGTATCTGTCAGAGCCTCCATTTTGCTTTGCATACCTAGGTACGTATTCGACTTGGTCACATAATTGGAGCTGGAAGATATCGGATTCTACTCCAAGGGTGCGCCGCTCCCTTGTCCTGAACTGTATTCTGGCACATGAACCAGCAGTGTGGTGATGGGCAGGAAGATATTCTTGCTTCGAACTGGTGAACCACCCAGTAGAATGCACAACAGAAAGCAACAAGTGCTGAAAATTGCATGAGAGACGATTCCTGCCCATCAACATTCAACCAAATTAACTCCCGCTTGACTATCCCCATCAACCCATAATGTACAATACCTCCAACTCCTCCTTCCACCTCCAGTTCTCATCTCGTCTCCCAACCCTCACAAATTCGGATCCTTAATCTCACCTTCTCTCGGCGCACTCTCCGCCATTGTCCCACAAGCCTTGCACCTCCTCTTCGCCTCACTTTCCTTAAACCCATTAACCGCCTCCTTGATCTGGCTCCCTAAGTCCGTACAGTGGAAGCTCTCCTCATATACAATCTGCCTACACGCTTCATTCGCGCAGTACCATCTCAAAGTATCGACACTATCCGCCGGCCGCGGCTGCTCTAGCACGACGCCTACTGTGTTTGCGAACCGTACCGGGTTATGTGGTGTGTTTGGTGGTAGCAGGAACATGCTACCTTCCGGGATGAGGATATCTTTGAATTCGGTGCCGTCGACAACTTTGAGGAGCATAGTGCCCCGGTATTGGTAAAACCATTCGGGTGTGGTGTTGATATGGTAGTCTGTTCGGGCATTAGGACCGCCGACGATCTGTGAAGGAGGAGGGTTAGCTAAAGATATGAATTCTACGTAGGCAATTCGGGCCCTACCATGACGGTCATGTCATCGTTATAGACGCAGTAGTTGTTGATCGGAGGTTTGAGGAGATGGGAGTTTTCTTCCAGCCTGAGCGAGGATTGTTAGCTATCATGCCCACCTCTGTACCGTTCAGTTATTCAAAGGTATAGTACCATTTCGGGATGTTGAGGGGTGTGGAGAGCATCTTTACCCACCGGATGTAATCTGGAGGGCTATGAGGTGTTTGAGAGTGTTGGGAGAGTAGAATTGAGAAATCTCGAATATTTATGTAGTTGGAGGGGTACACGGCTGTGGCGTGGCGGGGTTGTCGGCGTTAAGATCGCACTGATTCATCAACATGCCTGCCCCTTTTCGCTTATTTAACACAGCCATGTCAATAACTAGCTTCAAACTTGCGGGGTGCTTGCCTCACGATTTTTCCCAGCCTTAGCAAATCCTAGAAAACGCCTCGAAATATTACACTTGAAGTATACATCTAACTGAGAAGCGTAGTATATCAAATTAATCGCTGCATGTTATAGTATAATTATGTCAGAGGATTTGAGATGTAGTGGCTTTATTATTAAGTAATTAGAGGAGGCACAAAAACATAGGTTTAAGGCTCTGCGCAGCCTTACCTTTCGTGAATTCTAAGCTAAAAAGCTGTTGTCCCGCTAAATCAATTATTACTTTGTCACTTTAAGCGATATAATATATATAATATATCAAATTAACTATTACCAGGCAATCTATATAAATACTAACTTCTTATACTGTATAGTAAAAAAATAATTACGTGCGTAGTCGGGGAAAAGGTGTGTCAGGCGTGTTCTTTGGTTTTGCTAAGGTTCGGCTTAAAAGCGCGGAAATCGGCAAAAATCGTTGAAGCTAGTTATTGACATGGCTGTAGTGACTTAGCCCGTGCATTTATCCACTTCACTTCCCTTGCCATGCTGATTAACCACGGTATCAACGTGTTCAAGCGTGAAAGCTTTGCGTACTTACCTAGATATGGTGAGAATTGACCGGATACTGTACAAGGCCCTTGTTGGCTCTTGAGAAGCAGGCGCTGGCACTAGTATTGACTATCCTAACGATGGATCTCAACAGCCTCTAACAATTCCATGTGCATAACATCAATCATTTCTTCGTTCCAAGATGTTTTCTCCCGCCACGTTCATCTCGCATCCCTTCACAGCTAGAGACTGACTTTGGAGCCGTTATTGAACTCAAGAATGCGCATCTCCCTACGAGTTTGAACGGACAATATTGCCAATTGAAGTCGTTCCATGGAAAAGTCAACAATTCTACCGAACTCTGGGACAGTGCCCATGGCTATGGCGAGAGAAAATCTAAAAAACGGGTTGAATGCAAACGAGACGACGGATTATTTGTATGAAACTCTGCATGTGAAGTTCTCATCATAAACTGTCCGACGTCGCCGTCACAGAGATTCAATACTTCTTACTGCGGATTACCGTCACTGATGTCATCAGGTGGATGTAAAACGGTCTTGGTCAGAGAAAGAAGCTTTTATTACTATTGTAGCCTTGTCTTGAACTTGGAAATTGAACTCAGCCTTTTGAAACCTTTCTTCGAGACTTACGCTCTCTGTTCCTGTCAACCATAGTAGCCACGACAGCCATTTCGAACCTGTTGTGCAGCGGTACTTTTGGCCGAATAGTCGTGGTTATACCCCAATACAAATACGATGTAATATACCCTTTGCAAGACAGAATGGTTTCGGACGACACGATAGAAACGTTGCAACGAAGACCAGAATCTGAAAGCATTTCTCTCAAGAAACCTCAACAAAATGGAAGCGAGAAGGTAGATTTTATTTCGACCTAAACACAACCCAAAAAAAGTAAAATGTGTTCCCCATCTAACTCCATCCCCTCCGAATCGAGCTTCAAATCAAAATTGAAGGTCTTGTTTGTGAATTACATATTTCCTATTTCCCAGTCCCTCCTTGTCTAACCATGCCGTGTTGTTGTGTGATATGAAGCAATGTCGTGTGATATGATGAGTTGATTACAAGCCTGCATCAGTGGCCGCTATTGGGGCGTTAGAATGCTGCAATAAGGAAGTGTATTGGACCGGATGAGGGGGTTATCAGGTGGGGAGGGAAAAGGACTAGTGGTGATATACACTTACCCTTGTAGACAGCTGCGGCATCGAAAGCTACGACGTCTCCGTTGGCATTGGACATGGCGGCGGCTTCGGTGTTGACTTGACGGGCTGTGATATCTGAAAGGTTAGTTGGGATGAATTTTAAGAATGCTTCATCGTCTGGAACGGGAAATACCATCGTCCATCTGTGAAATATGTGGAGAAAGGGGAAGCACTAACCATCAAGACGTTGAGGCATGGCAATGGGACCAGCAAAGGCAACAGCCACAAGGGAAAGAAGAGCAACGATAGTGAATTGCATGATTGCTGTTGTGTGGGTGACCTTTTAAAAGTTTGGTAGGTGAAGGAATGTGAGGAAAAGGGTCGTCCGGCGACAAAGATATGCACTGGCTAGCAGATGAAGAAAGTAAAAGTAGATGAGGAAGCAGGAAAGAACGTTTGATTTGAAATTTCGAATGGAGTGAAAGATAGAGGATGAGGAAAGAAAACGGAAAGTAGGACGGGATGGGATGGGATATGGTATTTGTATTGCCAAGGTGGGAACAACCCCCCCTGCTTTTGCCTGGGGAGGGTTGGGGTTTAGAGTTGGCCAAGACTGAGGTTTCGCCGCACGGGATTGTGGCCAGGCTTCTGGCTGGCCTTTTTGTCATATTACTCCCTGCCATCCCATGATGGAGCTGTCAGCGTTGCAAGGCTGGGTTTATGGGTCCGGGAAATGTCTAAATCCAAGCTTGAAATGGGGCTGATCAGGTGCTAGTGAGACTGGTACTGTTTGGGAAGAGGCTTGTCTTGCGGCTTGGGTCTTGCGAGGGTCAATCGCCTCCTCACAATTGGTTGTATGACGAGTAAAAAGAGGGTCTAAATCGTCGTGCCCTGCGGCCTTGATATTCCTCTTGTAGAAGCTGAATCCGAACGCGAAGCATCATGAGACGAGACTGAGACGGGGATGGAGTCGCAGCCGTCGAAGCGAGAGGGGACAAAGCTTATTTGACAAGCAACCGCAGGCAAAGATGGGAAGAAGAGATCCCGAAGATGCGATCATGCATTACGAGGCCTTTGTTTCCAAATCATATTCGTGCTTATTATTTGAGGTAGTCCGCATGGCTTGGTCGTCAGATGTGAATCTGAGAGTTGTGATCGAAGCGGAAGATCGGACTTTTACAAAGTTGACTTTTGAAACGAGATTCAGGGGTAAGGTTATCACGTGAAGGAATTTCTGCCATTGACCTCGAAGAGTGGGTTTCTCAGTGAACGATATTACCTAGAAATACCACTGTGCATTAGCAGAAATATGCGTAGGTCGTATTACGGCTACTAAAAAAGCTACCTCTAGCATTGCAGCTTATTAAGCTGTATGCCCGATATGGTCAGGGTCAGCCCCAAAGTCGACCCCGCCATAGATACCTCACTCAGACCCAATCTTGGAGCAGCCTCCTGTTGATTTCGATCACTTTAACACCACTCCTCTCACTCCCCTTCAACCTCTCTCTATATCTCTCACGAAACCCGCCATGGTATCCGTAGAGCCCTGTCTCTACTGCTTTGATGTACCTGCTACAACTCTCGAGGACAAGGATCATCGCTTTGGGGATTTCTGCTCTCCTGCAGTTCTCACTCCACTATGCCAGAAACCACTTCAGCAGGTAGCCAGATGGCTGGCTACGCACAGGTCTGCTCGGGAAGTCATTTGTCTGCGTTGCTTTGAACTGGGTCGTTTATAGATGCAGTGGAGGGTGTCTGCGGGGAAGGACTGAATCTACACTAATCATTGAGAGTTCGGTTATGAAGCTGATTTTCGAAAGCTACTGTAATTGTAAGTTCTTGCATTGAAAAGGGTAAGAATGGTCAGTCCTCGATTGCCAGTCTCCTGTCTCTATTCATCCATCGATATCTGCGTGTACACGTGGCCCAACCACAAACCAACTGATTGATTTCTTCGAGTTACACGGCAGAAGCGCGAATTCTTTCCCTTACTTGAACTCTTCACCGCTTCCCTCCCCCAACATCGGACGGCTGTTCTTAATCACGTCTTGGAACATCCAAAACTTCTCACAGAAAGGTCGAACTATCTCAGACCTATCGAATTTACTTCTTGAGAACAGAACGTCTCCCTAAGGTGATCATGTACACCACAATCCAAACATCGCAACGCAATTTCATCACTGACCCGGAAATGTGGCTGGGTCAAAGCATGTACTTCAAGAAACTGTTTTCTGGGAAATGGGGCGATAAACAGGAGGATGGCTCATACTTCATCGAAACCGACGGCCACATCTTCGAACACATTCTTCGGTACCTTCGGACTGGAGTGCTTCCAGTCTTCTATGACACAGGAAAAGGTCACGATTTCGCGCTTTATCAAGCCCTTTTAGAGGAAGCGAAGTATTTCGCCATCGAAAGACTAGAGAAATGGTTATGCGAACGCAAATATTTGGAAGTTATCAAAATCCATTATGTGGCTACCGAAACTCAAGACCGAGGATCCTACCGGAAACACACTAGGTCTGATCCTCAGGGCCGCACGTTCATCTTAGAGGATCGCTTTGTTGAGATCACAACGAGTAGCAACATGGAGACTACAATGGTCCCTATGGTACAGCAACAGTCCTCCTTCTACTGCCCTAACGGAAAGCATGGCAAAAGCAATCAAGAGTATTGCAGGAGCTGTATTGAGCAAGCAAGAGACAGCAAAGCCCATGTAAATGGTGGCTGGAGAGAAGAGGACCAACTTAAGCGGAAAGAAGTTGTTTTTAACCACGATCTCTGCGTTAACTCGTATTTGGAAGATGCTCTGCCATGAACAGCAGACCTTGGATCTTAAGTAGCAGAAATACTTCACGCGTTAGGCGTTGATTGTCGAGACAGGTGTTTATGGTGCTTGCTTAATACATATCCACACTGCCCGACTATCCTCATGTGCTCAGACAACAAACAACCGCTGAAGAAACTCGCCAATTGGTGATGGACAAAGTAAGAGAGTGCCAAGGCCTGTATTACGCTAAGCCGATGCTCCACACCAGCCTCGTCTGCACAGCCACCTCGAATCTCAGCCTCGCCGATACCCCTCCTTCCAACGTCAACATCCCTCTTGAGACAACGTATTCCAGGCAAAATGACTACCAGAGTTGCCAGTCACGCCGGATCATGGTACTCATCCAGAGGTACTACGCTGTCGAACGAGCTTGATAAGTGGCTTGCACAAGTCTCGGCTTCGATCGGCGGAACACAGCTGCCAGTCCCAGGCGCAAGAATCATCATTGCGCCGTGAGTAAGCTGTTGCTTTGCTATCAGATTTCTGGTACTAAGAATCGAAAGACATGCAGGCTATTCATATTCCGGTCCTGCCGCAGCTTGGGCATACAAGTCTCTTGATCTCTCAAATGCCAAACGCATCTTCCTCCTTGGTCCTTCCCACGCTCTCTACCTTCCGGGATGTGCAACATCGAAGCATGGGAAATATGCCACGCCTCTTGGAGATCTGATCATTGATACTGTGACTGTGAAAGAGCTGCAAGATACTGGGAAGTTTGACAAGATGAGCACGAATGCGGATGAGACGGAGCACAGCCTGGAGATGCACCTTCCATACATCTACAAGATGCTCTCGCAGTCCTTCAAATCAGCTGCCGAATATCCCCCTCTCGTTCCAATTCTGGTTGGAAACACAAATGCGGATGCTGAGAAGTCGTATGGAAAGATTCTTGCACCATATCTTGCAGACCCAACATCAGTCTTTGTCGTCTCGTCAGATTTCTGTCACTGGGGTCTACGCTTCCAATACACTTACTACCTTCCAGCTTCGCCCTCATCGGCAGCTGTAAGCTCAGACGGCGGATATTCGCTGAAGAAAAGAGACAAGGATCCTACAAATCCACCCATCCACGAGAGTATTGGACGTCTTGACAAGCTTGCCATGGACGCGATCGAGACTGGCAAACATGACGAATTCTTGGGCAATTTGAGAGAGACTGGCAACACTGTCTGTGGAAGACACCCAATAGGTGTGATGATGGCTGCTATAGAAGTGTTGGAGAAAGAGGGTAAGGTTGAAGGACAGGAAAAGGGCAAGTTCAAATTCGTGAGATATGAGAGAAGCAGTGAGGTCGAAGAGATCAGTGACTCGTCAGTAAGCTATGCGAGTGCATATGCAGTACTTTGATGGCAGTTAAGCTAGACTTAGAGCTTCCAAATGATACAATGGTGGACTTACTCTCTCATTGCTTTTTGACTCAGTATTTTATTGGGCTCACTGTTTCTCAAGATGTCGAGAGTTTGATGGAGTCTATCATCTGGAAAATCTTCGTACTTTTACATTATTCTTCTGTGATCAATCTGATGATGATTCTTGCTGCTACTTTTTACTATGAGTGGAAGACTCTCAAGCAGCTTCAAGGACTTGCAAAGTTGCAATTTAAGCTAACAATCTCACAGCTTGGATACGATACTCGGCGACTCCGGTTTTGAGGCCAAAAACCCAGATGGATATATGATGGCAATTCCGCTCAATTCCCTCCCCAGAAAGCCCGGCCGTGAAATATTCCGAGACCTGACTGCTTCACATGTCCATTGGCGCGGCTGGAAGACCTTCAGTGGACCTGGTCCATGAAACAACTGACTAATCCCGCCTGAATCCCGCTGTTTCCCGCAAAAATTTGGCTTCTGGTGGGCCAAGAAGCGCCGACCCCGCCATTCTGGCAGCTCTGGTGGATTGTTTATTTCAACTCGTGTTTTCCAAGTTTCTTTCGATTCTTTTCTGTCGTTCCAAGCACAATCTTTTCTCAGTCAATTGCATACTTTAGCAAGGGTCTCACGGGATCACACAAGCACAGTCATGCCCGACCAAATCCTCGACGACATTTCGCATCGCAGATACAACCCACTGCGGGGTAGTTGGCTGCTCGTCTCCCCCCACCGAACGAAGAGACCATGGCAGTAAGTCGTGCAATTCGCAGTCCAACTGAAGGGCTCTAACACCACAACAGAGGTCAGAAGGAGGAACCGTCGAAAGTCACTCTTCCAGACTACGATCCAGCTGTAAGCGACACCACTTCCTCGCTCTATTTCCCTCTGACAATTGTTTAAGTGCTACCTCTGCCCGGGAAATAAGCGGGCGCAAGGAGACGTCAATCCCCAATACGAGAAGCCCTTCTATTTCGTAAACGACTACAGCGCAGTCAAGGAATCGCAGGCGGAATACAAAGCGGAAGGAGATCCCAAAGGTTAACCCACATCATTCATGTCATTCATGTAGTCAACGTGAGGTTCTGACAACAGCAGACCTTTCGAACTTGCTCCTCCGCGCCGATCCCGTAACCGGAAAATGCTACGTCCTCACGTTCTCACCTACCCACAACAAGACGCTCGCAGATCTCACTCCTGCTGAAATCCTGCCCGTCGTTCAAACATGGACCCAAATCTATGCTGCACATCTCTCGCCTTCCTCACCCCTCGCGAAGATCCCGCAGCCAGCTCCAACAAGTAACATCTCGCCCCCAGATGCTCAGTACAGATGGATGCAAATTTTCGAGAACAAGGGCGCCGCAATGGGCTGCTCTAACCCACATCCTCACGGACAAATCTGGACAACGACAGGTACACCCGAAGAACCAGCGCAGGAACTCGAACAGCAGCAAAAGTACGCGCGTGAGAACAATGGTCGAAGTTTGCTTGAAGACTACGTCAAGGTGGAATTGGAGAAGAAAGAGCGCATTGTGTTCCAAAATGCGACTTTCTTGGTAATATGTCCGTGGTGGGCAGTCTGGCCTTTTGAGGTCATGATTATCAGCAAGGAGCATAAGAGGTCGCTTGTGGATTTGAGTGAGAGCGAGCAATTGGACTTCGCCGAGGCTGTGGCTGAGGTTACGAGGCGGTATGATAACTTGTTTGAGACAAGTTTCCCATATAGTGAGTCCTCCATTTTTTTTCACTCCCCATCACAAATCTTCACGATGGTAAAAGGAAAAAGTGCTGATATTGAAACTCAAGGCTCTGGCATTCATCAAGCCCCCCTCTCAGGAACAGACGAGGAGATCAACAGCTCGCATCTCCACATGCACTTCTACCCTCCTCTTCTCCGTAGCGCTACTGTCAGGAAGTTCTTGGTTGGATATGAGTTGATGGCTGAGCCGCAGCGAGATATCACTCCTGAGCAAGCCGCGAAGAGATTGAGAGACGATTGTGGAGGTGAGTTGTACAGGAAGAACTTGAATTAAAGGAAGTCTTGAATCATTGCTTGTTGGTTCGTATGCATGGCTACTTAGACGGTGGGTGGGTGGAGTTGGGTAGCATTAGACATTAGATGGTTTTCTCTCGCTTCTCATCAACACCAAAACTTTTGGACTTCTCAACCCGCTAAATGCTTTGCTCAAAACGAGACCGTACTCCACATCTGTACTATGACAGCATTTACTGCACATAGAATCCCCACTGGAGCCACATCCACACCAAGGTACTCGACGCAATCGTAACGGGGAAGATCAATCCCTCTCCTATCCTCGCAGTGCCAAAGATCCACCATTCGCTCATGAAGTGCCAAAACGCGACAACGTATGTCAGAAAAGCCAACTCGTAGAACTGCGGATTGGAAATATTGTAGGCGGCGTAAATGCGCACAAGAGACTGGATCAGAGTCCAAGTTCCGAAAGTTCGGGACTGAAGAGGTGTCGCTGGGGAGTTTGAAGGAGGCTTAGAGGTGGATTTGTCGGTGCTGGAGAGAATTGGCTTCGGGAGTTTTGGACCAGCATACAGACGTGCGGTGTAAGAGATGGTGAGATAGGATTGAACTGAGTTTCCTAGAGCGACAAGGGAGATCTGTGAGGGTGGTCAGCTTTGTAAACAAACGGGATCGGTGTTGTAGAAACTCACGAAGAGCATCCATTTAGGGAGGATTCCTTCATGTTGCGGGAGGTAGGATGTTAAGTTTGAGAGCAGGGAATACATCTTGAGTTCTCTGCAAAATAGATTGAACGAGGAGAATGTCCAGATGTTGAAAAGAAACTTTGATCCTTGGGGAAGTCAGCTTACATTGTCTGTTTGTGCACAGACCACCAGGCTTCAGCCTTCCAGGTTCTCGGGAGCATCTCGCGGCTTGCATCCATTAGTTCTTCAATATCAGAAAAGAGCAAGCCAAAGACTTTCAACATGACGATGGAAAACACGTTCGACCAAACGGCAACGGAAACGATTGATCTACTCGAAGCGCGACTACGAAGAATCGAGTTCGCGATTTCTGGTCAGGTCGAGTCCACGTCGAGCTCCAACAATGCGATTCCGGCAACGCAGAGACTGGCCACTTTGGAGCACTCTCTTCACCAATTGGCGTCAAAATCCCGCGTAATTCAAGAGCTTCTCAAACTCCGTATGTATCCTTGTTTTTGCAGATAAAATATGTAAATACTTACCTCATCTTAGACTCCAAATACCCTGACCTCTTCCAAGCACCAAATACTCAAGATATACCCACAACACTCGACACCACCACCCTCCTCTCTATCGTCATGGCATCCGCAAGTGCCTACCCCTCCACTTCTTCCCGCCTCACCTCCATCATGGACGTGCCTGTCCCGCCCGCAGAGCTATCTACTCAGCTCATCGACCTGCAGCCGCGGATCGCGAAGGTGGAAGCCCTACAAGCTGCTCACAATACGGATATTGCTAAGCTGAGGGAACGTAGTGCTGCGGTAATTCACAGGTGGTATACGGCGGATATTTTGGGCGCTGGGGATAAGTGGGCGGATGTTGAGGGAAGGGTGGAGAGGGTGGAGCAGAGGGTTAGGAGAGTGGCTCTCGCGAAGAGGGCGGATGATGCAATGGTTTGAGGATATGAATCGCTTCTTTGGCAAAGAGCTCGTTATTATGGGAATTATAGAAGCCCAAGATGGTGGCTATACCAGAAGTAGTGGTCGGATTCTGGCTTGGTCGTTGGGATTGCCCACAGGAAAGAAGGAACAGGTGACTTGAGGCCGAAATCATGCATTCTCCCTCAGAGTACAGTCTGGATTTTAGAGTTGGTGGTCATTGGGGGCTATGAGTCACCGACTGTGAGAAGCGGGGATTTGAGCATGGGAGGCAGTAAAAGCCTCTGGCTAAGGGCAGCGAAACCGAGGACCTATCATTGCATTCGAGCTCTGTGAACAATACTCGATCTGCGGAGAATGTCTTCTACCAAACTCGTCGAGCCGCAATCAATTCGCGTCTCTGTGTCTCCTTGAGGTAGATAGACTGAAGGACGAGTATGAGAATCATCTATGAACAAGTAGTACCTTCCCAAAATCGCAATGTCTTACTTTTCACTCGGTGAATAGTTGCTTTTGACAACAATCTCATTTTTGTCATGCCTTATAAAGCGTATACCGAGCTTCGGACTTTTAGAGATCAACTCACTCGAATCGACTCATCAATTTCCGACCTTCGTCTCGTTAGGTCTTCAAACTCTTTCCTTTTGACCAAACCTGCAGCCTTCCATGCTACACCCCATCGTTCTATTCAAAAACAAAAAGTACGCCCACCGTCTCTGCCTCTAACATCTACCATACTCTGATAGAAGAAGAATTGATTATCAAGCTTGAGCGCCTGCAAATCCCAAGCTTGTTGGCATAACGTGCTCACCTTTGGCGTAAGTCAGTATCTGCTATCTTCACAACACGGAATCACCACTCTCGATCCGATCCCCTCCCCAATATAAAGCCATTCGACATAAATACTAACCTCCATAGAGTAGACTTCCCTGTAAACACGAACGAGAAGACATCGACAGATTCACCTTCGAAAAGCACTCCTTGACTCAAGCCACGTCGAACAATACACAAACATTCGTTATTACAGTCAACCAAAAATCCAAAGACCGGACCGTTTTCTACAAAGTAGGAAGGACTGGAAGCACACTTCCTTCCTGGCTCGACCAAAACCTTAATCAATACCAAAAAAACTCTTTCGAAACTCAGTAACATAGTTGTTTGGCAGCCATACAAATACGATATACGACTGGTTGCTACGATTGGAAGCAGTCCTTTACCTTGAACAAGGATTGACTGAGGGTGAGTACTTGCAACTAAGATGTTCCCCTCCTCCAAAGTACATAATCGTTATTCACTCTGTTCTGACTAGAAAGTGAAGCTGACATTCAATACGGGCAAACTCAAAAGACCAATAAGAGAATGCTTGCGCTTTTTTGAATGGTCGTTTGTCTTGACTGTTCGGAATTCCATGATCAATCAAAAAGGCGACGACTTCATTGCCCTTGGCTAAGCGAAACATACCATCAACATATCCGTAAACAGCAACAACAGAAAGTCCCCTCTTAAGCACAAGGTATGTGCGGCATGTCTCACTCTTATTACACAGCTTCAATGCATATTGCCGCTAGCTTGCTAGCGCATTGCCGTTTATGCCTGCGCTAGTGTCACCCCTTGCGCAATGACTTATTAATTAGCCAAGTGGCCAGTCACAATCACATCCAGGAGATTTCTTTTCTGGCTATCGGTTCAAGCGAAACATTTCACAGACTTAATAAGTCTTGTTAAAAGCGGCCTCGGTCCAATCAACAAGAGACGCTTGTCCCAACATAGACAGAGTCATGCACTTTACTCATTACCTAATAATAGCTCTTAAAAGTTTTAGGTGCTAGCGCGTTTGGTCTTTATGAGCTAATAGTTATAGCGCATTATGATAAATACCCATGCCCTACCCCCTTCTTCGTTATTACAATCTTTTACTTTCGCGCCAGTGTATGTGAGTTTCATGCGCATCGCATCCACATTTTTTGATATCGCGCCACGGGAGGTACAGTATGAAGCCGCATATCCCTACTTGTCAATCATTTATCTCGCTCACCTTTCTTATCATTTTCCTGCATGTACAATATGGCTAATAAGTCTCAGCATAGGCAAGCATCGGACTTATATTGGCGATTTAAGACGGAAGTGTCCTCGTTCTCGGATTTCTGAGCTCTGAGTTGCGATACCATATTCGCGCGTCAACAGTTTGCTACAAAATCCGTTATTGCGCGCTCAGCAGACGCGCCACATCAACCAAAGTTAAATATGCCAAGCCCGGAAGATGTCGAGATGGGAAACTCATCGTCCTCATCCTCGGATATTCGAGAAGTCGAGATGGAAGATGCAGGTTCTTCTTCAGAGGAAGCTGTCGAGTCTGCTCAGCCCGAAAGTACAACCTCAAAGGGTCACATGACGTCTGAAGAGCGAGGCAAGAACGACAAGGATGAGTCTAGCAACATCAATGGAGGCCATGAATCGGAAGCACTTTCATCCAGTGTCGAATCAAAGTCTGGAGAGATTAGCCGCGACCAAGAAATGACAGAAAGTTCAGCAGACGTAGACCCAGAAATGCCTGTGGTCGAGGCCGATGAGAGCAACTCGCCAGCCACTGCGGACGAGGATATGACTTCTCCAGCAGTTGAAGCACCGCCACAGGGCAATGCAGCATTACCAAAAAGTCAGCGCGATCCCCAAACTGACGTTGAATCGCCTACCGCCAGCCAAACAATCAAATGGGACAAGCAGATTGCAAGGTTGAATGAAGTTCTAGCCGAGATATCTCCCGAGGCTGCTCAAAAAGTGTTGAAGGATAAGTGGCGTTTGTTTCTGTTTGAGAATTATGATGAAGCCCACATCGCTTTCATCATTCGAGCTGGACTGAAAAATGCAAATGCAGCTATCGTGGAGAGAGTCCTGAAGGATGACGGGGTCTTCAAAGATTCGCTTCTGAAACATGCAGCCAAGAAGCCCGGATTTTTGGACAAGATACTGAAGAATACACCGGTGGAGACGATTGCAGACCACATTCCTGAACAAGCCCTGGATTATATGATCGCCGAGAGATTCAAGACTGTGCCGGGCAAGACCTTGATCAAATGGCTTGCAACTGCTGAACGACTCGGCTACAAAGAAGACGACATTCTCGATGAGGAAGACGAGTCGGTTTCTCCCAATGTGCCAAGTCGAGATCGAAGTGTCGAGGTTCTTGATGTTGCCCCAATTCCCACATATCAGCAGCCTACTCCACAATATCACCAGCCATACCCTCCTCAGCAACCGTTATATCAACCACACTTAGCCAGTTCATACAAAGACCCACTCCTTATGGAACAAGAGCGGCAGGCGATTCTCAACACGCAGCAAGCACAACATGTTCAAGCTGCGATTGCACGAAGTGCTCAAAGTGCCCAGGCCTCTTCAAATCGTAGAGCACCATCTTCGACAATCCTACCCCCAGGTCCTGGTTCGAATTTCGGTCCTGTTGCAGCTATGACTCGTCAGGAACAACATGTTCGAGTGCAAGCTCAACCAACGGGCCCATTGATTTGCAATAACTGCCATCGATCCTTTCTTTCTGGGGCATTTGATGGCTACACATACCATATAACCAAGAAAGTTTGCGAAAAGATAGCACCTGTAGGTGGATACAAGTGGCAGTGTTTAAATTGCCTGTCTGGATTTACCACCAAACAAGGACTGGATTACCACAGTCTTCGAAGGGTTTGCTTTGGTGGAGGATTTGCGCCTCCGACGCCAGTACCTGTCTCAACCTCTGTTGGACCACGCACGTTGCCTCCACCAGTGAGCTCTGGAGTATCGCAGCTACCTCGAACAGCATCGACGCCGATTCTACCACCTCCACGACCGCCGTTATACGCCCCTCCACCTCCATCTCAGGCACCCCAGTCACATAATCCCCAAGTCGTAGCATCAAGCCAATCAGCGCGACCAATTGCCCAAACGCCACAACCGCCCGTCCAAATCCCGAGACCTCCTTTAGCAACGCCTCGTGGCCCTGGTCGTCCAAAGAAAGAGGAGCCCATCCGGCATTCCCCATCTGAGCTGACGCCAGAGAAGCGAGCATCTCTCGAGAAGGCATTACAAGACGCAGAAGCTGAGGCTGCTCAAAAGATATCTAAAATCCCATCAGATTTGCCGGCAGATGAGCGTCAGCGGCGTTTAACCTCTATCAATAATGCGAATGCTACCAAGAAAAGTCAGATCCGTCGAGCCCATGGTGTCAGTCTTCGTATGCGAGAGAAGGATAAGAAGGCTCGTGCCGCAGCTGGTATCTCTCCATCGGCTACGTCCAGAATCCAAGAATTCAGGGCAAGCAACTCTCCAGCCGGTTCTCCCCCTGCCTCATCTTTCTCACCTATCAATGGCAACACCGCGACCTATAGCGGCCCCCCGCAACCAGCTACCGCCTACCGGCCACCACCCCCAAGTGCTGCAAAACGAGTGTTCAATCCGATGTCATCTCAACCCTCGGGTCATGACGTGCCGCTCACTCACGCTCGCCAGCAAGATACATCTACCCCATCCGGTTTTGGCGTTCTGAAGGCTTCAACGCCTTCACACATCACGCCTACTTCGTACGCAGCATCCTCCGCCTTAGCTACTTACCAAGTCAATAATAAGCGGAAGCATGGATCCCAAGAGCCAATCGGCAGCCAAAACGGCACGCCCCAACTCTCTATGATGGAAGTCTCGACTGAGGACGCGGCGGCGAAGTTCGCAAAAGGCTACCAAAAGAAACTGGCTGATCGCGAGCGAGAGGACCGTGAAAGGAGCAAGAGCAAAGACAAAGATACCGCTATGGCCGATGTACCGAATGGTGAAGGATCGCGGAATGAGGCTGCGATCGATATCAGCAGTGACAGCGAAGACGTGGAACCTCCTCCCATGAAGTCTGTTGAGGGTGATGGAGAAGAGAGTGAAGGAGCGAGTAAGAGAGCGGTGGGTGGTAATATGGCACGGAGAGGAGGTAAGAATTAGCCTTTTCACGGGCCTTGCGTTGTTCGTATGCATTGAACTCGGATTGCTTTGACGAGGAGTATGCTGCAGAGGAGTTTACAGGCTGGCTTCTGGATCGAAGTTGGTTATACGGCCTTCCTCCTTGCGTTTTACGTTTGGCATTTTGCGTTATTCTTCTTCAAGATATATTCTTTGAGTGGCGCGCTAACTTCAATTCTCTCCAGAGGATGAGAGTACCGGAGAAGGCAGTGATTGAATATACCCAAGGGACGAGGCGAAGGATTGTATGAAACATGGATAATGAGCGAAATTCAGGGGCGTTGATGGAAGCGTATCATGAGCGATTGAAGCATGGCTCACGCCTCAGGATAGATTATGGGCATGGATAATTAATACAGAGCGTGGTTGACTGTTGACGAAGCCTACGATCAGTCTCTTAACACCCAAGTTCAGAGAAAGCTCCGTCATGGAGATGAGTTGCCATGCCCAATGATCTGTGATGATTGTAGATGAAGTGACGCTGAGTTGAACGGCGAGGCTTCTGCGGATGCTAGGCTTGATTTATGAATGTTTGGATTCAAATGTCCATGCCTCGCTTAGTCTGAGCCGCATATAAACGTTGTACCTTCTAATCCTCATCCAGGACACGTCGCTTCAAAACCTGTCATTTGGAGTAGTTGAGCAGTATGGTAACAAAATAATGCTGCAATTGCGAAATATGAGTCAAAACAAGAGAGTGGGCGCTACAATGGTGAGCTGCATACGTTATGCTTAGACTGAGTATCATGCTTAAGCGAAACAAATAATCAACATGGGAAATGTTTGCAAATTGTCGGCACAAACAAGAAAGGCTAGATTGCAATGATTCACCAAAAAAATGAGCCACTTGATAGGTATCAGGACACTCGTATTGGTATTCAATTCTCAGGGCTAGCTGTTACAAGCCAGCAAGCTTTGCTCGCGCCTCTTCGAAGCTGAACTTCAACGACTTCGTCTGGGTATCCTTCATCCTCATCACATCCCGCGAAATCTTATTCTACCTTTCGTTGATGTACCGTCAAGAAACGTCTCCTCTGGCTCCTCCTTGCTCTCAACATCTTTCATCTCGGTATCCTTCGCATCGCCATTCGCTCCATTCGTTGCGCTCTCACTCTGTTGTTGAGCCTTTGCCTTTGCACTCGCCTGGGCTGCATCTTTCAATGCTTGTTTCTCAGCCTTCTTCATCTGCTTCCTGCCCATACCAATATACTTGCTCCCTTCTTCCTCCTTGCGTAGCAGAATCGGCCACTTCTCCCTAGCTTGCTTCTCATCCTCCTCCGACCACTCTCTCGGCAGGATCGCAAAAACGAGATAGCTTGTATGAGTTTTGACATCTGGCTCAGTTCTGTGGATCAAGTTTCCGTCCTGGTACATCTTCTTCTCGATAAGGTTCTCAAGAAGCTTTTCTCGGCTGTTAGGATTGACATGCACTTTCTTTGAGGTCTCGACCTTGTCGCCGTTCTCGTGGAAGGATTTGAATGTACCTTCTACTTCTTTGAGACGCGCGACGGCTTCATCGACTGAAGCGGGAGTGAGTTGGAGACCACGTTGAGCGCCATTCTCCATTCCGATTCGCTCTCTTCGGATTTCGAATCGTCGCTGTGCCATCTCGACCATCTCGATGTCTACCCAGCCTAATTGTCGCATAACAGATACCGTGCGCTGGACTTGCTCGATACAAGGCGAGAAGGTGCAGATATGGACAGGTGCTGTGTCACTGAGCGGTGATATGAACGGTGTATCTCCTAGACTTGATGCTGGCTTAGATCTTGCTAGGTGTGGTAAGGCAAGCCATGGGGCAGGAAGATCCAGAAATACAGCCTCGGCTTTTGGACTCTGCCCATCAACCAAGAACCCACTTTCACAGACATCTCGGTGTGTGATCTGAACGGTGTTCTCCAGTCCATGTGCTATGATCTCTTCTTGTAGTTTCTCATGTCTCTGAGCATGAAACTCAAAACTCCAGACCTTCCCCGATTTTGCGGTTTTCGAGCCATTGAAGACTGCTCTTGAAGATGCATGTGTGAATGATCCACTGCCGGCTCCTGCCTCGATCAAACTTGTTCCAGGTCTTGCTCGTATTCGGTGGAGGATGTAGCTGTAATCGGGTGTGTAGACAACTTGCGTCCGGTGGGGAAGGGAGCTCGTCCAATTCTCGGGAGTGGGAGGTAATAGATGTATGAAACCACTTGATGCAGCAATGGCCTCTGTCTCTTCCCTCGGTGTAGCCGGCGTACATGCATCTTCCTCCAATTTTGGCGTCTTGTTTGCGCCTTCTGCAGATTCCTCTCTTTTCCGCTTCTTCTCTTCGGCTTTTGGTCGGCGCCCTCGCGATCCCGTATCAACTTTCGAAGCTCTGACTTGACTTCCCCATGGTAAGCCAATCAATGTTGTGTGTGGAAATGATCCGAATCGAGTGTTGACCACCTTCCCCTCCGAATACCCCTCGTCGTCTTCGTCGTGTTCCTTGAGAACTGTGGGGATTTGTAGATCTCTCTTTAGATGGACAATTGCCAGACTATCTGCTGTCGCTACTGTTCCTGGGTAGAGGAATGGGGAGCATTTCGAAGTCATGGCTGTGTTTAAGGACGTGTCGACGTTCAACAACGGGAGAAAATGATATCGAATTGATATCCGCCCACATAAATTCTTGGTGGCAGAACTGGGCGGTGAGCTCTTGCTCCATGTCATTAGCGCGAGGCTGACAGACAATAATTCGAACCCCTGCAGATATCACGTTTAAGCACGCAATGCGAACGTTATTTGACAAGGCTCAATCCAATCCGGTGTCGCCTTCTTGTATGACAAACATATAAATTCCGAAGACCCAAGGGACGTCGATATCTTGTTTCTTTAAGACTAGTGAGAAAGAAGTCGAACAGCAGGATGAACTCAACACGGAGTGTCGCCGCGGCTGCACGAATAGCCTCGAGGTCATCCAGAAATATACCAAAGCCATGGCACTCTTCTGCACCTCGACAGCCCGCCACAGCGCCGAACGGACGATTACAGAATGTGTCGAGGTCATTTCATGCTCAGATTTCTAAGAAAAATTCCTCTGCCGGGCTCGCGGAAGCTTCAAATCCTGCCATGGCATTCCCTTGTCTCGACGCGCTTGAAACCAAATCCGCAACCCTCGAAGCTAGGTCACTATCCAGCGGCCCAGAACCCTCGTACACAAGCGGTGCGACGCTCAGCTACCATTGCCACGATCCATTACTGCTCGATTGGGGAGGAGTATTACGGGAATTCGATATAGCATATGAAACTTGGGGTGAGATCAACGCAGACAAGTCAAATGTGATCCTCTTGCATACAGGTCTTTCAGCATCCTCTCACGCACATTCAACAGAGCAGAATCCTAAGCCTGGGTGGTGGGAGAAGTTCATTGGACCGAATGGATGCTTGGATACGAATAAATACCACATAATATGTACCAATGTCATTGGAGGTTGTTATGGCTCAACAGGTCCAAGCAGTATCGATCCCGCGGACGGACAGAGATATGCGACGAGATTCCCTATTTTGACAATGGAGGACATGGTACGGGCACAATTCCGACTCCTTGACGGATTGGGAATCAAGAAACTGTATGCCAGTGTTGGAGCCAGTATGGGAGGCATGCAATCCCTTGCCGCCGGTGTTCTGTTTCCAGAACGTGTGGGAAGAATAGCCAGTATTTCTGGTTGCGCAAGAAGTCATCCGTACAGTATTGCCATGAGACATACCCAGAGACAAGTTCTTATGATGGACCCGAAATGGAACCGAGGATTCTACTACGACGGCATACCTCCCCACGCGGGTATGAAGCTCGCGAGAGAAATCGCAACAGTCACCTATCGTTCCGGACCAGAATGGGAGCAGAGATTCGGCCGTCGGAGGGCTGACCCGAGCAAACAGCCTGCATTATGTCCCGATTTCCTCATCGAGACGTATCTCGACCATGCAGGAGAGAAGTTCTGTTTGGAATATGATCCCAACAGCTTACTGTATGTCAGCAAAGCAATGGATCTTTTTGATCTCGGCGCAAGCAACCAGTCGGCGACTGCATCACGGAGAGCAGCGCGAGCATCGCGGCTTGACGAGGGACAGGTTCAGGACACGGAAGCCGCCTCCTGCACTCTCACACTCCCGGATTCGCCCTACCAAGAGCAGCCTGAGTCGGGAGGATCTCAAGATCTGAATGCGCCTGTCAAGCAATCCTCTGAACCTCCACAGGATTTGATCGCTGGACTGAAGGGGTTGAGGGACCACCCGGCTTTGGTGATGGGCGTCGCGAGTGATATCCTTTTCCCAGCATGGCAGCAACGAGAGATTGCAGAAACCCTCAGGAGGACAGGGAATACCAGAGTCACCCATGTTGAACTTGGAGAGGATGTCAGCTTGTTTGGTCATGACAGCTTCTTGTTGGATCTGGAGCATATTGGTGCAAATTTGAAGCAATTTTTGGGCTAGTCTGGCAAAGTATTTGGCTACGTCAAGTCAGTTTTCAGCAAACTTAAGCGAGATGGCATTGGTTACAGTCAAGCAATTATTGAATATACCCGCCGAACAATATTGACGGTCGTCAGGACGGGGTGTGTAGTTTTGGAGGTTTCGAACCACATGAAGTGTGTTGCTTGGCTGAGAAGGAGAGAAATTTGCTCTACAAGGAACTCTGAGATGAAATAGGGCTCGGGGAGAAGAAGATGTGCTGATACCACAAATTAGTACAAAAATAATTACATCCAGAATGCTGCAGCATTCTGCAAATGCTACATGGTATCTCGGGACGCCAAACACCATACATATGTACATGCAGACCACAAGACATCGGATCTTCCTCATCCACCGATATATCCACAAAGTAATCTACTCAATACCCACCCCTTTTTACTTTTCATAATCAAACCACCATTATCCCAATAATATATCACCTTTCTTCTTTCCTGCTTGACACCCCAAGCAGCATCCCATCACCGGCCATCAGGAGAACTCAACCTAAACCCCTCCAGCTGCCCATCCAACCACTTCCCAATCTCAACCGCCTGCCTCCTAACCCCGACCAAACTCCCCGTCCTCGTCCCCGTACTCCTAATACTCCCCGCATCACTCGGCACCGCACTCCCACTCCCTCTCCCCACACCAGCGCTCAAATGACTTCCCCCTCCTCCTCTCTCCCCCTCATGCGCATCGCCCTGCGGCGAAGACGGCGGACTTGTATGCCGCGAGAGATTCATATGTGCCTGTGCCTGGAGCGAAGTATGGCTGTGATTGGTATTGGTATTGTGGTTGGCATTGGGATGTGTGCTTGTACTTGAGCTAGAACTTGCAGGTCCGATGGCGACGAAGAGGAGACTGCATGAGAGCGCGCGGATCACCATTATGCCGTGGGAGAGCTGGATCGTGATTGTGCTGAGGTCGTGGTCGGCGATGGTGGATGTGCTGGAGAGGGTTGCGTCGGAGCCGCGAGACTGGGAATGGCTTGTTTCTGATTGGGCTTCTGCTTGCGATTGCGATTGTGATTGGGGTTGCGAGGAGGAGGTCTGTGATGACGAGGGGAGAGCAGAGGGTATGATGGATGTCGTGGGTAGGTAGAGGTTCCATAGTGAGCAGGCGAGTGTTGCTTGTGTGCGGAGGGTGGAAGCTGGGAGAGGTGAGGAGCTCGAGAGGAGCTTGCCTGTTGGGGAGAGGAGGAGAAGAGTGGGAAGTTGGGGTGTGGTGTTTTGCGAGAGGAAGGCTGTGAGGCGCTTGGTGAGGAGCATTGTTTGCGACATTGTGTCGAGGAGTGGTGGTTGTGAGTGTGAAGGAGAGAGAGGTGGCTCGAGGATGCTGGGGACATGCGATCAGCTCTGTACTCGAGATAAATACGGGGAGAACATTGGAAGTAGCGGGAGCGCAGGATTGAACCTACTATGGCATCTAGGAAATGTGCCAGATGCAATTGAGTTTATTTCGATCTATGCGATGGTCTTGGTTTGTGCGGTGACATGAGAGGGGAAGATTGTGGATGAGGGAAGGAAGCTTCGAGGTTGGAGACTGAGGTGATTAATGATTGTGGCCCGGGCCGTGATTGTCTTGAATTCAATTTCACTCAGTTTCTTTAACCTCCTTGTTTGGCGACACGCCGAAAATGAACCAATGGGATTGAATTTCCAAGGTAATCAATATCCTTATTGAATTGACTATCAGTTATTTTCTCGACCGTTTGAAAGGTTCTTTCTATGCTGCAGCAGGCCATTCCCATGGACTTATCATCGGTCACAGTTGCAATACCTTCGAAGCTGTGCGACCAACCATTCAGAACTGGATTTTCGACCACCTTGAGATTCGAGCTGAGCTTTACGAGGAAGACGAGTTCTTCGACTTGAGCGAGAACGGAGATTGGGTTTCAGAAGAGGAATCAGCTGGCGAAGAGGAGTTCCATGACCCGGAGGAGGAACTATTCGCCTTGCATTGAGCGAAGAAATCAATGTTCCTCGGGGTCGTTCTGATATCTCAACTTGTAGCCATTGGAGTCGTGCTGCATCACCTTATTGCTTCTTTGAAGGAAGTACTTCTTAACTTTCTCTGCGTTACTTGCTACATCTGGTGCGTGACGCTCGCCTTCCTAGCAGATAGACGGGCGGTCGAGCTTGATCAACGTACGGCTGCAGAGCTACAAGAACGAGTCGACAACGAGGCTGTTCCACTGAAAGATCTTGTTTGTGCTTCAGGCCTCGTCTTCGTTGCTTGGCTTGCATGGAAGTTTCTCTGAAGCCTTCTCTTAGCCTTCGACCTCGCTTCTACTGCGTCTGGATCTCTACCTGCAGATTAAGGTGAGGGAGGCTTGCTTGCTTACAATACAGAATACATATTTCTCCTTTCAGCCTCGGCGAGTCGGCTGCACTTGGTAATTGGTTCCTCTCGTCACCTCCACTTCAGGTCTTCTGTCTCACACGTCATTGGCGAGCAACGCGGGGCAGCTCCTCGGATTGTTTTATCCCCTTCATCCTCTACCCTTCAGCCTCCTCCCACTCTTTCCGTTGTCAAACAGATTCGAGACATTCCATGAACTCAATTCGTCACCTACAACACACTTACAAATCAAGCTTTCTTCAGTACACCGCAAATCCATGTAAGCTACCCAACTTTGACAGCTGTTCACCAATGGCGGGGTGCATATTACTGACACTAGAGGACCTGCACAGCTACCAGATCATTCGCAACCATGGCGGCAACCAAAGTAGAATCCTACAAGTTCAATCACTCGATGTAAGCATGCATATCGTTTTACAAATATGATTCGAAACTGAACTTCCCCCAGGATTCGGGTGAAGGACCCGAAAGAATCAGGTATGTTGAAATCCATCGAAGCTCTACAGCAGACTGTCTAACAGCTTCGAATAGTCAAGTTTTATGAATTCCTCGGCATGAAGATGATCCAAAAGATCGAACAACCTGAAGCCAAATTCGACCTCTACTTCCTGGGCTATGACTCTCCCAAAGCAGTTTCACACGGAAATCACTTCAGCGACCGCGAAGGCCTGATCGAATTAACACACAACTACGGCACCGAGAACGATCCTGACTACAAAGTATCTACTGGTAACAACGAACCACATAAGGGTTTTGGACATACCTGTATCAGCGTTGATAACATTCAAGCTGCTTGCCAACGGATTGAGGATGCCGGTTACAGATTCCAGAAGAAGCTGACGGATGGTCGCATGCGACACATTGCTTTTGCTCTGGACCCAGATGGATATTGGGTTGAGATTATTGGCCAAAATCCAGTTGATAAGACGGAGGGTATCAAGACCACAGATGTGGCAACTTACAGAATGGTCGGGTCCACTTCCTTACAAATTTTAATCTTACTAACCTTTGCAGAACCACACCATGATCCGTGTCAAGGACCACGAGAAGTCTTTGAAGTTCTACCAGGACGTATTCGGCATGACTCTCCTCCGTACAAGCGAGAACAAAGATGCCAAATTCAACCTCTATTTCCTTGGCTACCCCGGTGATAAAGGCGTATCTCAAGCTTCTGCCAATGGGGTCAACCCAACTGCTGATCGCGAAGGTCTTCTCGAATTGACCTGGAACTATGGCACCGAGAGCGATGAGAGCTTCAAATACCACAACGGCAACGACCAACCTCAAGGATTTGGCCATATCTGTAAGTGCCAGTCTCTGATTGACAGGGAAGATGTGAGCACAGCTGACATACACAGGTGTTTCCGTCGACGACCTCGATGCAGCTTGCAAGCGCTTCGAGGACTTAGGCGTAAACTGGAAGAAAAGACTTACAGACGGCCGCATGAAGAATGTTGCCTTCGTGCTGGATCCTGATAATTACTGGATTGAGGTTATCCAGAATGAGAAGTTGAAGTCGAGAGCTAACTGGTAGATTGTGTAAGAGTGGCGAGGCTGTAAAAGACAAATTTAGCCGTTGCGGCAGAACTTTCGCTTCCTTAGTCTCTGAAAGTGCTCCTGCTGCTGTATACTTCTCAACATCAACAAATGTCTTACAGATGCCTGCCCTTTCCACGTGAATGATAATAAAGACATATCCTTTTAACTGCAAAGTGCAGAGTGCAGATTCTGGACTGATGAGCCTGGCGGGATTGCTGTTCAGGGCGAGACAGTGGCCAACACATTTTGTTTACTTCCTACATTTAGCGAGCTGATGCCGCTAATGGAGCGGAAGCCTCAAAAGGTACCAACGCACTGGAAGGATCTCTACAAAACGATGATTAATGCACAAAGATCACGAAACTAAATTAAGTCCAGTAATGAGTGAAGAAAGCCATAGTATTAACACCACAGCAAGAGCCCTTAATTTCCCTCCTCTAGATTAAGATCCCAGCTCTGTTCCGTAGCCAGACAGACGAGCCATGTCTCCTCAACACATTTCATCTCATCTCCCAGTCCAGCCCAGACATATCCAATCACTCATTCCGCATTCCGCAATCCGGAAAGGAAAAAAAGCTATAAACACAAGCAGATGACTTCCGAATAAACAAAAACATACATGCAGAACACCGACAAATGCTACAGACAAGACGCTATTTCGATACGCAGAGTCGTTGATGGAACTTGTGAGTGAGAGAGCGAGACCCCATCCCATCACACATGGCATGGTATCATCACAAAAACAAGACAATCTCCCCCCTCTCATTCTTCTTCATACGCAAACTCCTCCACAACTCCTTCTCCTCGACCGCCTTCCCCAGCCCAGTATTCGTAGCCGCTCGCTCACGATGGTACCTCTTCAGCGCCTTATTCATGCTAAGTCCACGCTCAGAATCAGGACCCTTGTTGATGAAACTGAGGAGTAACTCAGCCCGCGGCTGATACACAACGAGCTGGCTGCCGTTATCTTCTTCTCCTAGCGCAATCTCGCCGGTCATAGGCTCGTACTCGATCATCTTGCGGGACGGACGGTCCGAGTCCTCGCGATGGCGACGATGTTTCCTCTTCGGTCTATCCTCGGAATGTTCTCTCGACGAGACGCGCTTGTTGCTGATGAGAGACATGAGGTTATTTCCGATGGACTCGACGCGGCCGCGCTTGGCGGTCTTCGAATGCTTCGTCTTCTTCAGTGGGCTTCCGGGAGAGGCATCGCCTGCGTCGCCGCCGGAGTAGTCTGGTGAAGGGGGGAAGACGGAGGGGCGAGACATGAGGCGGCCGAGCCCGCCTGTTAGGCCGGAGTGCAGGACGGGAGGGGCATCGGTCATGCTTTCGTCGTCGCGGGCGGCGAGGTCGTGGGTCTCGACGTGGAGGCGCTTGCGCTTCTTGTCCTTCTTCTCCTCGCGAGTGAGTTCTCGCTCTTTCCTGTCCTTCTTGAGCTCTCGCTCGGCTTTGGGTGCTGGGGTTTGGTATTCTGCTGCGGCGGTGGGGATCGGTCCGCTTCCGTACTGTACTAAGTCTGTTACGCTCTGTGCGGCGTCTTCGAATCGTACTCGTACGAGGTCTCGGTCGTGGTTTGATTCCATATCTTCATCTTTGGTATCCTCAATCAGGTTCATGGGCTCAGGGGCCGGGAGCTCGAGTCGAGACTGGTTTGGTGTGGAGCTGTCGACCAAAAAATCGAAAACATTGACTGGGCTGGATTGCAGCTTAAAGCCGGGCGCCGCAGATGGAGGAGAGGGAGCTTCCGGCATTGGTGGCTCGACAATCTCGATGTGCGAGTTGTGGTGGTACTCATCATCGGCATCTTCAACGTATGCGGTATGCTGCACGAGAGCTTGTGAATTGTTTTGACGTTGGTTGTTGTTTCGTCCCTTCTTCTCCTTCTCCGGTCGATATAATGCTCCCTGATACTTCTGTGCTTCACTGACACAACTCTGCAAAACATGTCAGCGCATGCCGAAATGTCTGGTGGAGGGGTAAATACCGTATGCGCGCGATAGTCAGTCCCGTAGAAGTGTACCATACAATCGATACAAGTAAATGATGCGCCGTAACATTGATTGCGGTGTGGATCCAACTTTTTCTTCGTGAGGACGTCGCCGCAGTTCTATCACAGCAGCAAAGTCAGACCAGATCATCTCTCGATAAGCTGTGTTGGGTGTTTCAGAGCGCGTAGAGGTACATACCTCGCAGGAGAAAGAAACCATGATGAATTTTCTTTTCGGGCACTCGATTAGTGGGGTTCTGCTGGAGACTCGATGTTCTGGGCGGTAAAGATGATGTTCGAAGATGGATGTCGTGAGCAATAGGAGGGAAGGTTTGCAAAGAGTGGATGTCTGGTGGGTTGGTTTGGCTTTCAAGGGGGCGCGTGGTGGTTGTAGGAGGTGTTCCACGGTACAATAAACCCTGGCCTGGCCTGTCTTGTCTGCCCTACCCTATTTCTGGATCAGGATTGCGGGCGGATGGTGTTGGCTTAGCTTGGACTTTGCGCTGTATGCAAGGTCGCGTTGGTGCATGAGCAGATCGCCGACGCTGTATGGCTGCCGCTGTTGGAAGGGCAGCGGATTGGTTGTGCGCCTGCTTGGTGGAGATGAAGGCATTCCACTCGAGTTAAACACGTGAGAGTTGTTTTAGCATGGGCATCAATCTGAAGCTGTTGCTTGTCAAACAAATGCTCGGATGGTCATATGAGACGGCGATAAGAGTTTGAAATACATCATTGAGTTTCTGGCGCTCAAGAAACCATCCAAAGATAAGTAGATTGCTTAGTAGCCAGCAGCGTATTTTACGTGTGAAGTGTACCTTTCACATGGGATATTATCAAAGAGCTGCCGCACTGCAATGAGTGAGGACTTCTTTGAAGATCGAACAAGAATTTAGTATAAATATATACACAATGATTCGGCGAGAAGTGAAAAGAATAAACTGATAGGATAAAGGCCATGGATTGCAGTCATATAAACATGTCGCTTATGACTAGGATTCTATTCCCATTTATGGCACAGGGGACAAGGGGAAAGAGAGAGACGAATGTGGGTTGAAAGATGTCTATTGCATGAGTGTTCCTTTTATACAGTTGTGTTTTCTTGCATTTCTTCTCCTCCAGCCCAAATAATAGCCGCATTTCACCCTTCTTGACTTCCCCAACGAGTGATGGCGATTAGAATGGCTACTACATGTTAGTCTAGTCCACTTCCTGATGAAAGATGAGCTGGGATTTATGGAGCTATTGCTCTGGAGAAAGTCATCGTCCTCTCTATCAATTATGCCATGCAAGATCTTAGCAGAAGCTAGAGCTTCAGAACTCAAATCTCACTTGAGATATTCGGCGTGAATTGGAGGAGCTTAGGCCTGGTACTCAAAATGTCCATAAGACCCATTCAATTCTCTCAATTCATCTTGCCATGGCATTTCCGCCTGGCAGAACCCTCTCATTGCCCGTCCTTGCTTCCTCCACCCGGCCAGGTCTCGATTTTTGCCTCAAAAACAAACGGAAAGAAAGGTAACTAGACTCACGTTGTCGGAAGCTGGAATCTCCTTGACAAAATGTTGTCCAATGATAGGGACTTTCTGAAATCCAAATCAGCCTTGTCCTTTCCTCAGCCGGGCAAAGGGTAAACATACCACCATGATATCATTTCTGACCTTCGGTACCTCAGCAAAGAAGAAGATAGCGAAAACACCGGCAACACCACCGAAAGCACCAAGTGTCATTCCTCTGTTCATATATCGTCAGCCCTGTTCCAAGCATAACCTCCTTCGGCAGCTCTGCCTCGATTCATCGACCCAAGTTGGGGTATGGAAACGGAAGACCTACAATCTTGTAGCATGCTTGAATGTCCAGCCGTGGAAGTTCTTCTGCAAGGTGTATCTGCACACAATATCATTAGCCCTCGTTCCCCAGCGGCCGTGTTTCCCGTTCAGCCCAATATCCTCATCATTCGTTTCCCTTCCAATCCACCACCTCTCCGCCATTCGCCATCCGCAAACCAGGAGACACATACTTAGGACCATATGGACTTCGATAGCTGGCATATCCGGGGTTCTGCTTTGGAGGCGTGACGCCAGTACTTGGGTGGAACTGCATTGAACCAAACATTAGCCCTTGAATCCCCTATTTTCGTAGTCCCATCGGCGGCCCATAACTCCTAGGGAAAGCCCGAAGGGCGCAGAAGCTGGAGATAGAACCTACCTCGCCGGACATTTTGTATTAGGTGATTGTGAGGTCGTGGGGTGATGCAATTGGAGATACTCGTCGATGGGTCGTGGTTAGGATGATGATTTTGTTCGGCGAGAGTCGGCCCCGAATTTGATATCTATCACGTGACAATCCACGATTTTCTCACATAACATTGAGCGTATCTAAGTCTATAGGACTAGAATTCAATTTTGGGCGATGTGCAATGTGCCCATCTCGTTGAAATCTATCGGGGTACATGTGGAGGTGTGGACATTTCACTGTTGACGCCGTCCTGACCAAGCGAGCAGGATCTCCAAACGCTCAAGAGTTTGGAGCAAACATACTGTCACTTCTTGACCTTTCAAGATTTCCCTTGGACGCCTAGTTGGTTTAAATCTTATAGCAGCCGTCTCTCTATAATTTATATCCTTTTGAGTTCTTCCATTATCATCCGACGCCCGGAGAACCCCTCAATCATCCGTTCTTCGGCGAGATCTCACCAGATAAACTCACCTGCATGAACCTCCATCATTCCCTCCACTGGCTCTATTTGCAAGGTTGGATCCAACTTTCTTTTTATGGCGAGATCTAAAGTATGGCTGAAGGCCATTCATTAATAGGGTAAGGGTACCACGACCTCTTTATCAAGGACTATAATAAAACAAAGACATTTGCTACTTGCCAACCTACTTTCCCGCTCCATCGTGGGAGACGCAGACTTCATCGCATTGCTGTATTACCTCATGCCATGCCCGTCAAATCCTTCCCTCCCCTCCTCCTCCATCTCCTGCTTCTTGACACCTGCTGTCTCATTCGACAATCCTCTCGCCTCCTCTCTCCACATCTGCACGATCTCTCATCCCGCCATCCAGGTCTCCAAGAAGCTTAGTGATTCCGGTGCTGTGATTGGCCAGCTGTCAGCCCGCTCGTCCACCTAATCGTCCCGCATTATCAACGTTCATCCCCCGGCTTTCGCCCTTCATCCCGAACCGCACCGACAACAAGAGGAGGAGAGAAATCCAGCATCCGTCATCCCACTTCAATTCAGACCCCTCTTCTACACAACCGACCTTCTCCGTTTGCGCCTTTTCCCCCTTCACCCTTAAAGAAGACGATACAGACCCAGTATTGACGGCGTGCAATTTCTATATATTGCAACAACAGTGTGGGGGACTTCCAGGAATATCAGGCCGAGGTTGAGGACAGGACGAAAGACTGCAGTGTCTACCTAAACCGCAACACCACCGAAGATATTTGTGGCTGGCAGAGCGAAGAACAAACGGACAGACGTCGACTGTAATCAATAAATAACTGCCACGACTGACTGGCGGGGAGGTCAGAGCAGGGACTAATAAGCAAATCGAGCCTCAGTCTGCAACACGGCTCAAACGGAGGATTGGCCTGGATTGGATATACTGGACCTGCAGGCACTTACTGTGCAGGAAAACTGTATATTACCACCCCGCACCTGATTTTCCCGACTTTTCTGCTTCTGTTATAAGTACGATTACGGACAGACCTTGAAGTTGGAAAGAGTTCTTAGACTGCCATCAACCTTTCTTTCAAGAGTCACCAAAAACAACAACCACACATGCAGCGAGCAACAGCAGAACCGATGCCTACCCAACGCCCCTTCTTCTCCAACTTCCTCGCCGCGTTCCGCGCACACTCTGCTATACAGACGAGCAAAGCACAAACAGCCCCATCCTCAACAGCCCAAACAGCACACCCTTCACCTGGAACTTCTCCCTCACAACCACGCACCATAACAACATCCACAAAACCCTCCGGTGCAACTACAGCAGCGTTAACAACCCTCCACTCACCACGGACATCAAATTCTCCACTCAGTCGGTCACCGGGCCCTTCAACGTCACCAGTGGCGGAGAATGCATCTGCGGCAAAATACATAACACCGAGAGGGAGAAGAGGAAGCGATAGCTCTAGCGAAGGCTTCAGAGATGTTCTTGGGGCTGAGAAGTGGTATATTGGAGGCCGGACAGCGGCTGGTGAGGAGAGGTATTTCAAGCTGGGTGTCATCAAGAGGCATACTAGTAGGGATCGGTTGAGTTTGGATCGGCTGAGCTTGTGATATGGAATGATGGGTATTATGATGGATGAAGTTATGCACTACGCATCAAGTCTACGCTGCAAGTTTCCGCTGCTGGAAACTCAGATGGGTTATTGAGTGAAGATATGAACACAACTGGCTCTGGCCAGACTTACAGATTGGGGAGGATATTTTATGGACTGGGTCATTACTACACTGCTCGCAATGATGCGGCTGGGGATCGGCGTTTGGAGAAGTATGGCAAGGCACATTTTGACTGGGAAGGATTGCCTGGATGGGATGGCATTTGCACTTATATAGGTACTTACTCACCTTGGATGGAAGTCCAGAGGTACAAGGCAATAAAAGCTTGTTCTTGACTTTGAGTTAAAGGTTTTCTCTCGTTGGAGCGAATCTATACTGAAAACATATTGCGAGATCTTCAAGACGACTCCGAGTGGATGCTCATATTCCAGGATGACGATCAGCTGAATGAGGGGTGGTAGTTCTAGGATTCCATGAGGACGTTTGGACGCTACACTACCTATCCAATTTTGCCAAACCTTGGGAAGCCGTTAAAAACCCACTCGATATCTTTTCTCGACTGGGAAACAAGTCTGATCTGACTACTCTTTGAAATCCCGAACCACCTGTTTAACGATGATATCTATTAATACGCCAAAGGCAATGGACGCCCAAGGCAATGGAGGGGTAGATGCGGGTAAACATCGGTCCTTGATCCCCACCAAGCCATCTCCAGCCTAGCCACATCGGAGCTTCAGCCTTACTGAGATTTTCTCGGAGCCTCGTCAAAATCAACAAACTCCATACAAACATCGCGAATCTCTCGCACCAGAAGCAGGTCAAACCTCACCCCATCTGCAATTCCTCAAGCCAAATCTCCACTTCCAATTCTGCAAGAGGAATTCCAATTCTGCAAGAGGAACGACGATGCCACCCACAACAATCCGCGCGGCGCCAGCCGATGACACATTCACAAGCCTTGCAGAACACCAGGCGCAAACACCGTCGACGTTTTACAATGCAAAGCCAGTCCTTCACTACAAGAAGAATGGGATCCGTGCTATAGCATCCGTCGATCAGATATCTAAGTTGCCGATTTTGGCCCCGGCAGAAGGTGTCGATACAGCTACAACGGTGCAGACCTTGGATGTGTGGATAAGCTCAGAGTACGTCTCCTAGCATGAGTCCCTCTTGCATCATACTACTTGGGACATTATAACCGATGATCTATCCTTCAAACAGCTTACGCTTGATATAACAGAAACCTCACCCTCTTCAACCCCACCCTCTCAACCGGCCTCTCCATCCCCTACCCCTCCATCTCCCTACACGCCATCCAGCGACTGCCCGACCCCTCCACTCCAGAAGACACAACCACCCAAATCCAAGGCCTCTACATGCAACTCGACCTCTCCGACCCCAACTCCTTCCCCTCCGATAATCAAACCAACGAAGACGACGACAACGACAACGACAACGACCCCACCGTCGAACTCACACTCCTCACCAGCCCTTCCTCCCCCGACGAAACACCCGCCCAAGCCATCCAAGCCATGTTCTCCGCCGTCTCCAACTGCTCCAACCTACACCCAGACCCAACCTTCGACTCCGACGAAGACATGCAGGATTTCTCCAGCGGGGGTGCTGGTGGTGGTGGTGGTGGTGGAAGAGGAGACAGCCGGATCGTCTTCGAAGGCAGTGTTGGCTACGAGGGGATTAGCGGGTTACCAGGTGGTGTGCAGCAGGGTGTTGGGGATGGGGAGGGGGGGTTGCCGCCGCCGTTTCCGGGGAGTGGGGGGTGGATTACGGCGGAGAATGTGGGTGAGTTTTTTGATGAGGAGGGCAATTGGATTAGAGATGGAGAGGGAGGGGAAGGAGAAGGGCAAGGATTGGGTGAGGGGGCGGGGAGGGTTAGGACGAGGGGGGAGATGGATGGGAGCGGGGAGGGGGAGGGGATTAATGGGCATGCTGAGGAGGGGGATGAGAGTAAGAAGCCTAGAACGGAGTAGGTGTTTGTGGAACTTAAAAGCTTTGAATAGATTTTAATAAACTTCGATTAAGAGTGCTCTCGTTATGGCACGCGATGAAGCGGTATGTGAGTTGGGCTGTCTGCGTTGGTCAAGTGCCTCTAAGATTCCCATCCGGTAAGTTTTGGAAAGCGATTTTCTATTTACCATATCTCTACCAACACATACCACAAGAATTGAGACTATTTGGCACAAGGGTTCCGCATCCAAGCATTTCAATCCTACAAGTAGCAGGCTCAACGCAAACTCTTATCACCTCACAAAAGGGATCCTCAACGACTCAACGAGGGAGTATCTTTCAGATTATGTATTCCATTGCTTGCTTGCTTGCTTGCTTGCTAGCTTTCTTGCCTGCCTGCCTAAATACCACTCCCTCCCTCCCTATCTACACCTCTCCAAGCCATGCCATACCAAACCATAGGTAGCTAGCAACGAGATCCCCAAAGAGATCCCCAAAGACGAAGCGTCAACGCGAACAGAATTGCACCGCCCATAGACCACAAATAGGTCCAGCAAAACAAACACGCTCGCTCGCTCGCTAAACGAAATCGCTCATCGCTATGTATTTTTCTTTTCCGCTTTTCTTTTCATCCATGCAATGCTTTAACTTTAACTTCAACGCTCGAAATTCCAATGCCATGCTATGCTATGCAACTTTTTTTCGTCTCTGATTCATTCGTTTCTGGTTCGTTATAATTTCCCAACGCCGAAAGATAATGTCCCGAAAAGGAAAAAGGAAGGGAGAAAGTAGTCCATGCCTGTACTCCTTGATAGGCGTTGAGAGAAGTATGTTTCGTGGGGAAAGTGGAGCATGAAGTTGTATGTACGCTGCAAACTGAGTTGTAGACTGTGACTCTGTGTTGCAGTTGTTGTATCCGGAAACTACTCGGCTTCGGAGTGCTCTACATGCCAGGTGTGGATAGCTGTGGATTTTCAGTTCTTCTTGAACATATAATGTCCTGGAGGATAAGATCAGTACTCGCTCACTCAAATAAGACTCGAGAACTCAAAAACTCACCATAAATACCACCAACTTCCGCCCTCGCAACAGGAACCTTTCTCATCCCCCAATACGTAGCACCCCACTTCCAACTTCTCCCACCCTCATCCTTGACGCCTCCCTCCCTCGGCAATCGAACCAGCCATCCTCTTCGTCCAGCTTCCTTGATACACCATCCCACGCGCTTGACATCTGGTGCTTTCTCGAGACGCTTCAATACCTCTGCGCTCAATTCCAGGACTTCCAGGGGCTCGGCAATAGTCTTGAGAACTGGACAGCTGGAGCCGAATAGAGTGCCGAGATCCATCTGTGAAATGGATAGATCGGAAACATCGACATAGCGGAGCGAGTGTGGAATCCAGGCTACTTGTTCCGCGAGCGAGAGGTTGGAATCTGGGACAAAGAGGCGGGTAAGTTCGCGGAGACCTAAGTGTCGGCCGAGACCTAGCTCTTCGACGTGCTTGGTGAGCGGGAGGAGGAGCTCGATGTGCTCCTTACCCATCTTGGATCCCTTGAGGTTCAGAGAGCGGAGAGTCGTAGGGAGGTGTGGGAGGAGAGCTGTGATGTCGGCGTTGGAGAGCATCTCGGCGGATTTGACGTCCATGGCGAGGTTCAAGTAGATCAGGCTCTTTGCTGCGGGGTGGGTGGTGAGGAATTTGACGACTGAAGCGCCGGAGAGGAGCGAGCATTTGCTGAGATTGAGATGGGTGAGGCGGGCCGTATGTGGGATCGAGTGGAGTGCTGCGTCGGTAATGCGCGTGTGTGCTACATCAAGATGTGTAAGACGCGGCAGACGTGGAAGGAGAGCGTCCAAAACCGAGGATGGAAGAATCGTGCATTCGTGGAGACTCAATCGGGCGATGGGAAGAGCAGCCGGCAGGATCTGAGAGCTGATTATAGCGTTGAATGAATCACGGAAGGATGTCGAAGAGCAGGCGCAGAGATCCAATGCCTTCAACTTTGGGAGGTCGCAGAGCAATGTCTTCAAGACTGCGGGAGAAAGCTCATCGTCAATGTGCTCTTGAGCAAGGAATTCCTGGAGGTTCGTGGTGAGGAGAAGAGATTGAAGAAGAGTCTCGGGGATGAGATTCTGGGTTTGTGCACGCTCTCTAGCGGTCATCCCGGCTCCTGTCGGGTTGAAGTGGGAGAAATCCAGACGGCGAACAATCGTTCCCAAAGCAGGGTGAGAGCTGATGTGGGAGAGGAATTTGCGGAAGATTCTCGAGTGTGGAATGGTGACTTGAGCATACAGAGTGGACAATGTTGCTGAATGAATAGCTCGTGATGTGAGAAGTAGAGACATCAGATCGATGTTCCTAGCTGTGAAGCCGTTTGGAGGGATATCGGTTGCCAATTGGTCAATGATGGAGCCTGTAAACATTAGCCAATATTCATCATGACATCAGGTGACACAATGACGAAGAGGGTCACTCACCAAGTAATTCCATGGGGAGCGATTCAAGTGGGCTTTTTCCAGCGGCATGTCGTCCTTTCTCCTTCACCTCCTTGACGGTCGTGCCCGTCATCTGAACATCCGAATCCCAGTCCCATCTTGCCAAGCCCTTCAAATCCCCCGAACTCTTGCTCGCGATTCTCCCTCTCACGCTGATGCCCTTCCATCCCTTGAATCCATCACAAGGGCATACGAATCCATGAAGTGAACTATGGGGGTTGGTCAACATTCCTCTTCCAGAATCGGTTCTCATGAGCTCAGGTGGTGTTCTTGAACCGGAAGACGAGTCGTCAAGGATAGCCTCTTCGTCATGGTTATATTGATTTCGCAAGTACGAGCTGGTCTTGGTTTCGGTGAATGTTTGAGCGATTCCCCCAGTGTGTGACTCTTTGGTACTGGAGAAAGAGGCTCGATCCATTCGATCTGTGATTGGTGGCGAAGTCTTCTTCTCGGACATGTATGGCAAAGGCGCGACCTTGCGGCCAGCAAACTCAGTAGGTGAAACTGCCATTCTGATAGAGATTAATTCAGCTGGTCTCTTCTTAAACGATCGAGGTCCGCGGAGGTGTTTATATGGTACAACGTTCAGGTAGAAGGTGAGCTGGTAGCGCGCTCGGGATTCGCTTCCTGGGACAAAGACCCTAGCGAATGAATTTTCTCGTAGTCAGGCACGCAACGGACCTCGAGAGGTGATGCGATGGAGTTGTGCTCTGTTTGGAAGGCGAGTCGTGATGCTGAGGAAACTCTGACACACGATCCCCTTCTATTTAGTCAAGGAAACACCCGGTGGAAGCTTCCCCGCCCTCGTCTGCTACCCCGGATTGGAATGTGTTGAGTAATAAGCTGCCAAGTGCGTGTCAAGTGAGGAGCACGCGGTGGGTGTTGTGTCAAGGAAACTAGTTTAGCAAGCTTGGTGCTGTTGGAGATTGGAGCGGTATGGCTGCTTGTTTGTTGTGTCTCTAGGTAGTCGAGAGGCACGGGGGACGGGGATGCAGCCTTAAAAGTACTTCAGGGTCTTTGACGAGGGAGGAGCAAGAAAACAGAGGCGAAGCGAAGACGGAGTGTGAATTGGGCAGGTAAGTTAATGAAAGAAAGAGATTATCTCTGCCGTGCCGTGTGAGGGAGTGACTCGACGGACGCCACTGTGCCCTGATTATACAGTATCATGTCCGGCTTTCGGAATGTACAATAATGGAGACAACTGGAGACGAAAAGTGACCTTATTATACCTGGCTGATGGATACCGGGCGGGTTTTGCTTTGCTTTGCTTTGTCCACAATTGCCCAGCGCCAGCGCCAGCGCCAGCCAACGTTGCCCTGCCCAGGCTGGCCTGGCCTGGCCTGCTGGGATGGATGAAGAGTCTGCGGCTGGTGTCACGCGGCTCCTTTCCCTTGGCTTTCTCATGCATCCAGTCGTGCATTGTCTTAATAACATATTACCCCATACTTACCTCTCATTGGACGCTCCCAACGTCGCCTCTTCTTCCTATTCGTCCACGCCGAATAATTTCATAATGAGAACAGACGAGTGAGAATTTGAGAGCATGCCATTTTATGTTGTTGTTGCGAAGATGAGCGGACCTGCTGGACAGTCGCCATCGTGACGTGTGAGAAATCAGGGGCGAAAATGCTAGACTGAAGCATTTTCTGGGACCGGCCGAGAAGCCCGGAGTCACGCGCTTACATGCGGACATTGGAGGATGATCCGAGGATTCAGTTCGGCGAGAGTCCCAGTTAACAGCGATAAAACCTGGCTTCATCACACAGTGGAATACCTCATGAGTAAAGAAATGTGAACAGCTTTCTAGTGTTGTCGCCCTGAACCGAGCTGAAGGGGCTCGCCTACTAAAAATATAAACATTACGTGATTTTCTGTACAACAGAGACAACAGACAGCAAACTATATTATAGAATGTTGACTTCTATAGCATAGAGTCAGACTCAGGTTCCATTCCAAGCTGTATTTGTTGATTTGTTCAGAATAAGCTCTTACCTGAGCGAGACCTTGCATGCGCTCATCGCAACTACGAATTCAATATTTACTAAGCTACGAGACTTAGATCGAGTATACTCGCCTTACACGATCGATCAGTCGGGTATAGAGAAGCTTCTTGACCCTGTTGCATCTTATATAGACTTTTTGAGCAATCTTGGGGAATCTGAAATGTGAGATAAGGTTGCTGCAAGTAGTCTAAAGTCTGAAGTCTGAACAGGGCAGGCTATCCGATAAGCACTCCTTATCGGCGAAGCTTGTGGTGCGCCACAGACATCGGAGCAACTGATCTTTTTTCCCCCTCTGGTGTAATTTACTTGTCAATGGAACAATGTCGGCGGTAAGAGCGTGGACATGCCGATGCGATGCCAATAGGTGCTATGCGCAAGTGCTGTTGATTTAGTGGGGCAGGAGAGATAGATATGGAGCAGGAGAGCCTTGAAGACGGGAGGGAGGCTGAAGGAAAACGTCCTGTCATATCCTGTACCTACGTCGGAGGCTCGGAGCTGAAGGGACCGCCCTCCGGATGGCAAACTCAGAAGCGATGCGAATCGTTCAACCTTCTCCCTGAAGATTTATTCCCAACGTTCTGGACCGCATCAACTATTGGTTGCATGAATGGACTACTACAGTACTACTGACTACTGTGAGAGGCTGGCAGTGGAAGTGCTCTGCTGAGCTGGATTATCTGGGTGCAGGGTACCTCGGCAGGAAAGAGAATAGCGTCTGACGGTGGAAAGCTACAGCCCCAAGCGAGATGATAGCCTGTCCGGCAGCCACTCAGGGGATCCTCCCCTCGCTCCCCTCCTGCCCGTCTTCCTCTTTCAGGTAAGAATTGAAGCCAAAGAGCAGCGGCTGGAAGGCAAACCTCAGGGTCTCGCGCACTCTCAGCACGCCTGGTTTCCTGGAATAGGAAAGCCTGCCGCCAGATACCGTGGGTGACATGGACATGGACATGGACATGATCCTACTACTAAAGTAGAGTAGATGCTTTTATCCTAGCATGCTTTTCCTCTTGTTCTTGTTCTCGTTCTCCTTTCTCCCCCTGAGATCGTCGACGTCAGGTCTTAAATGACTCTGCACAGTACAGTACAACCTTTGTCTGTTGTATCTTCAGTATCGTCGCTGCCCATCGCGGACATCATACAGGATGTTTCTGAAGGGGCAGGGCCGTCGCTGGCCTCTCATTCTCGCTTTGCTTGTCTTTCTAAGTACCCTTGTCTATTTTCACAAGCAACTCATTGCTCTCCCCCTGCCTCGAATTCAGAGCCCTCTGAGAAGCAGCTCAAAGATAGGCTTTCCAAGCAACGTCGACACACCCCTGAATCCAGATGGGACGAAAACACACACTGAAGTATACTCCGTGTCTACCAAAGACAGGAAATATTTCCATGTACAATTCGGCGGGCACAAGACTGCGGCAAATACCAATATCATCCCACATCCGCACTTGAACGATACCTTCATAATCGTCGCTCAGAAACCCCCAAGCAAGATCCCCCACACCGTCTGGTTCGCCGAGCTAGTATGCAACGCTCAATTCAAGAACGGCATAATGGAGTGCGTCGAACCCCCCGCCATCCTCCCCATCGCCGCCACAGCAGGCGACAGATGCAAAGGCGGCAAAATCGACTACTTCAACAACCTCGTCGGCCCTCACGACGCGCGCGTCTTCTACGGGCCCAAGAACCCCTACGTCATCTACGGCAGCAACGGCATCCAAACCGCCTGCCTGGCGCAGTGGATGGAGGACTTCCGCCTCCTAGTCGACTGGGGCCACGAGTACTACGAGGAGACCAAGTTCCGCGTGGGCACCGAGCTGCACCGCCCCGAGGGCAAGTACATGGACATGGAGAAGAACTTCTTTGCCTTCTGGGACAACAGCGGGAACATGTACACCCACTACGACATCTATCCCAAGCGGGTGTTCGCCAAGGTCGAGTACGACGGTACTGTTGGCCCGGATCTGGCGCCCCTGGCGGCGGATCTGGATAGCAAGTGTATGGCTGCGAGGATGGTGAAGCTCACAAACGAGAAGCAGGAGGGTTTGCACCAGGCTACTAATTCCCTGTCTATCACTATGTGTAACCGGTCGGATCCTACTTGCAAGGCTGAGGAGTCGAATACCTTCATCTTCATCCTATACCAGTATAAGAGCTTCTTCCAATATCACGGGCAGTACGAACCGTATGTCATGATCTTCAGTCAGCAGCCGCCGTTCCAAATCCACGGTATCTCCAACAAGCCGATCTGGATCTACGGTCGAGGTGGGCCTGGCACGGGCAAGATACCGAAGAACATGGGCGCGAAGAGTATTGCGAAGTGGAAGCAGACCGAGATGCTGTATGTCACGAGTATGAGCTGGAAGGAGAGGGGCAAGAAGTATCATGGTTTCTTAGATGATATCCTGTTCATTGGATTCGGCATCGAGGATGAGGTCGCTGGTGGTATCGATATCAAGGCTGGTGATTTGTTTGCTGATATGGGGTCTTGTCTTGGGACGTGAGAGCAGGCATTTGGGGTTTCTGGGGCTGTGAGGTGCGTTGGATGATTGGCGTTGGATATATCGTTGGTTTAGGTTCAGATAAAGCACATGTATATATGTATGTATGAAGATAGGGTGGTTACGTGGCGTTCTGGAGACATAATAGACAAAATAAAGAATATACCTTTATAATGCCTGGAAAATTGAGCCCACCCAAGGTGATGTTTTGAAACAACTGGAGCTTTCAATAAGCTGGGATTCGGATACCTCGCTAAACAGGGGGAAGATTGCAAACACCAACCAACCCTCTCCTGATTCTTTTTGCACTTTTCGACGCTCACCAAGAGAGAGAAGCTATGCTAAGAGATATTCGGATAGAATTACGCTGCGGAGAAGTTTGCCCAACCAGTATTAACAATACACCAGACGTGATATGCTCCTTTCGGTTGATGGCACAGACAGGTACTCGACGATACTGAAATCACTCTTAGTGGGAACATCAATATAGTGATATTTAAAAGTATTCAATATTTCTAAATTCGGGTATGCGAAACCAAACCCCAACACCAAAAACACCATCCTACACACCCATACCCATACCCATACCATACCATGCCATATCATTTTCCCCAAATGCACCTCACTTCCTACCCCCATCCCTCCACTCACTCCCATTCCCTACCCCCGCAGAGCTCCCCCCACTCGGCAACACCCCCTCATCATCATCAAACTCATCATCATCCAGAATCTTCGCCAACTCATCCGGATCCCTCATCTTCGCATCCGGATCCACCTCCTCCCCACCACCAATAACGCCCGACTCCTGTCCCGCAAACGATTTCTGCCTCTCCCTCTCCCCAGCAAGAACCCCATCATCAGCAGAGACGCTTATCCCGCGAGACCCCCATTTCGACGTTGTTCTACCGGTCCCACCACCAGGCGCAGACTCGCTGTCTCGTCCCAAAGCCGGCACGCTCTCCTCATCATCAACATGTCCAACAAGAGGTTTATGCCCGAACACTGTGCGTAGCAACCAGCCGTTCCGCAGATCATCTGCATCGACCAGCCCGCCATGACGGAGCTTGACGCGCTGCCTGCTATAATACACCCAAGCGAAGTCGACGTAGAAAGCCGTCTGCAGCACCCCGAAGATGATGGATACGGGGTCTGGCTTGCGGTCCGTGATGTCCAGCTCGCGCCAGATCCAGTTGAGGATGTAGAAGGCGCGGTAGGAGCCGAGCGTGAGGAGGTAGTAGGAGTCGATTACTGTTGGGACGGTGGTTTGCCGGAGGAGGAGGAGCTGTGGGAGGATGCAGGTGGATTCGAGGATTATGGAGAAGGTCCACATGATCTGTAGATAGAACCATCATCAGTATGGAAATAGAGAAACGGATAATTGGGAAGGGAAAACAAACCTCCATCCATCCCCAATACCTCGTCTTCTTAAAAATCATCATCATCAGCGGCGCTCCCACCGCACTACCCACCAAGCACGCAGCCCCCAACTTCCACGCCTTCTCGCGCTCCCGCGTGCGCGCATACACCCTCAGCATCAAGAACAAGATGTAGACACTGCTCAGGATGTAGAAGATCTTCAGGATGGTGTTCCACGCCGTGTTGAACTGGAAGATGTCCAGGTACCGCGTTATGAAGACGCCGCAGTACAGCGCCTGCGTGATGAGCGACACGCCCTCGGTGCTCTGGTTGCGGTGGATCGCGAAGATGAGGATGCATTTCGAGAGAGTGTGTGAGACGTCGCCGAGGATGCGGAAGATCTGGGGGAGGGGAGGGATGTGTTAGCTTGTTCATTGTAATTGCAGCTGCGCCGGAGCTGGGGATTGCAGTGATGGGGATTGGGACTTACGTTCATGGACACCATGATTGCGGGGTTTGTGGGATACGTGATCCTTGGAATTGGAGGCAGAGAGAGAATTGCGGTGAAGTAGGTAGGGAAGTAAGTGTTGAGGTAATTTCGCAATGCAGCTGCTAGCTGAGTTGAGGTGAGGTGAGGTGAGGTGTGAGGTTGGATATGTTTCAACGGGATCGTAGCCTGATTACGCGCGTTCGAGGAAGCTTATCTTCTCCCACCGGGTACGCCCATAGCAGACTGCGGATGCTTGCAAGGAGCACAAAAGCAAAACGATTTCTAGAACTGAATCTTTGTTTTGTTGATGGGGTTTGAAGTTGTGAGGTTCTTGGGTGCGGAAACGTTGGAGCTGTCGGAGCTTCGTTGATGACACTTGCTCCCCCACGTCACTTCAGCTTCGTAGCGTGTCCCAGACGGCTGCCGGTAAAGTTCGAAACAGCAAGGGGAGGCTGCTAAGAAAGTAAGAAAGCTATTTCGGACACAATTGAGGAGCGAAACAATGTATTTTGAAAAGCAAATGGAATTATTTGCAACTATGTGATGATAGAAAGTTCAGTATAGCAGGAGAGTGCAAGGTGGCCGGAATAATCCTGAAGAGTTCAGTGTAGCACACGAACACATCCATCCCGACACTTCCGCAGATCTAATATTCCAACTTACACAAGTACCACCCAGATAATGCAGATTTTTACAGCTTAATCACAGAATACCTTGGTTCAAGTTCTTGCAATCTCCCAACCTTCAAAGAGCCGATTTTGTGAAGGGAATCCGAGAAAACGGAAGAAGTTCATCTTTCCGAGAGCTGCAAAGAACGGTACCGTCAATCAACTTTTATTCGTTCAACGCCTCTCTTATTACGGCTCATTTGTACCCACAGAACCACTGTCCGTGGCTCCAATGCCACCAGAATCTCCTCTTCCTCGACCTCTCCCACGTCCACGACCTGGCGCACCTCTTCCTCTTTCGCTTGGCCCCTGGCCTCTTGGACCTTTCCCCATCGGAGCCTTTCTACCTCTGAACTTTTCCGGGAGCTCTTGAAGCATCTTTCCTTCTTCCCAGAGCACACCAATATCTTCTTTTCTTCCTTCAACCTTCTTCCAGTACTTGGTCCCTAGAACCCCTGTCTGATCACCCTCAGTCAACACAACACCATTCTCGCTTAGCCACCACTCAACCCCATCTTCCAGACTCTGCTTTATATCCACATAAATTAACACCTCAGCATCTTTTCTCATACCACTGATAACTCCTTCTTTATCTTCCGGCAGACCAGTGCTGAAATGGATATGATTTCTGGTCATCTTCTTCAAGCCACCAGAGTCCACGATCGCCTGATAAAAGGCAAAGTACGTGCCGTGTACAACGGTTTCAGGAACATTGCCAGCAGCAAGAGTGATGAGAACAAGTAGGGAGGCTGAGTCAACGGCTATACTGTGACCTTGGTTGGCGCGGATTACCCAGTCTGCTGGATCCTCTGAGTTGAGATCTGGTGGGTCTTTTAGCGAGGGAGACGGCTTCATAGAGAAGCGCTGCTTTGCGTTATCTGCAACAGCTGTACGGATGTCGGCGAACGTTATTTGAAGGGACTTTAGGCGTGGCCATTTCATCTGTGAGATTGTGTTAGTCAAGTTCTTCGCTTGTGACTATGTACCCGGCGCGAGGATGTATCCTTTCCTGTTATCAGAACATGGAACTGAGGATACAGATTCATGTGTTCAATGTAAAGAGGAGAAGAACAGAGAGAAATTAACTTACAACTTGCTCCACACTAGCATAACCCTCAGCATCTAGCTTCAGGCCTGCTTCAACAGCCGCGTGCCTCAAAAGTTTCGATAATGCTTTCGACACCATGACTTCTCTGCCTTCTCCTCTCCCTCCACCACCGCCTCCTCTCTTGACACCTCGTCCGCCTCTACCTCCACGTCTGTCACGATTTCCCCGTTCTCGACCCACGTCCAGGGCTTCAGCCTTGTCGAGGAAATCGTCCATGGTTGAGTTTGAGCCTTGCCAAGGTGTTCTGTGTGGTCTGGTTCTAAGATGTAGCTTAAAAACTTTGGAATACAAGCCTTTCTGCCTCGGTGCTGCTCTCAGCAAAGCCAAAGCCCTTTGCATATGGTATCCTATGTCAGTCGAAAGATGGACGATTTTCTCGAGAGGAAGAATGACTGATTTACCTAGTGTCGCTTATCGATAGTTCAGCCTTGCAGGTCAGATTAATCTAAATTAAGCCTAGCTCCTCAGCCTTACGCTAGATCTAAGAAAGCTGTCCTCAATCCGCTGCTGGGCATCACCAACTCTCCACAACCTGATATCTTGCGACGTTCCTACACCCTCCAGACAGATAAATCAAAACATTGCAAGAGGAGAAATTTTGAAGCAAGCAGCAAAGACATCCGCGCTACAAAGCTCTGCCGGTGCAGACCCGCCCAAGATGGACGACACCGAGACATTCACTCTTCTCCCTATCACAATCGATCCCACCTCAAAAGCCATAATCACATCCTCCAATTCCCGGCCACTGAAACAGCAACTATCATCTCTCAACGAGCTACACAAGACACTCCTCACTCTCGAATCACCAGTACCTCCTCCACCTGTTCCAGTCAACCCCAAACGCTCCTCCCAGATCACGAAACTCCGAGAATCAGGCAATGCATCATTCCGCGCAGGCAAGCATGCCGAAGCGATTAGAATGTACGGACTGGGTCTACAGATGGCGCTAGGAAGACCTCTATGGGAGCCCTCTGGGCTAGTTCGAGACGAGGTTGCTGGATTGTATGCGAACAGAGCACAGGCACATATGGCGTTATCGAATTGGGCTGAGGGGTCGATCGATGCAGAGGCGAGTGTGGAGGCTAAGAAGGCTGGTAATGCGAAGGCATGGTGGAGGAAAGGAAGGTGTCTGATTGAGATGGGACGTCTGGATGAGGCAAAAGAGTGGATTGGTCGAGGTCTGGAGATGGAGGGTTCGGAGGCTGATTTGGTGGGCTTGCTGAAGGAGATTGAGCAGAAGTTGGTGGCAAAGAAGAACTAGGAGGTTTGATACTTGGGAGATAATTGCATGACATCTTTCGGTCCAGCGGTGGCGCTGCGGTTGAAGAAGCGGCAACTCTGGTTGTTCAACTATTTCATATCCATACCAGTCTCATGAGCCGTACGATTTCTACTATAAAAGTGTAGGAATATGTAATAATGTCCAAAACTCTATCGGAGCTTTCGTTTACTTGAGAATCCCGATACGTTATCCTTCATGATCCTAGGCTCATCCCCGCTGCCTACTCGAAATAGCTAGCCAGGTACTAACTTTTGTACACCGCCAAATTCTGCCGCTGGGGTCTGATATTTTGCAAGCTCCTCCAGCTTGAAGTTATTCAGTAACAACTTCGCAAATATGGGACGAGGAGAAACAAATGCAAAGGCAAGGAATTGTTAGCTTGATTGACAATACGAAATACTAATTGGGCCAATTTAGAAGCGGAAACGCCTGTCTGAAGCGAAAGCTGCCCCAAATCCATCAAATTCGACTCCCTCTACCCCCGCAGAAGTCGACACCACTAAGCCAACTGCCATTTTCCAACCTACCAAGGGTCGAGACTGGACAGTAAGTGTCGCCCTACCAGGGAGCATAATTGCAAAGTATTTCACCCACCTTCCAGCAAGTTTAAGTCAAGCTAACCATGAAGTGCTCAATCCCACGAACAACGAACGTCCCTTGCTGGGCATATTGCCCGCGCTCTCTCGGTCTTTTGTGTCGACGAGATAACGATCTTTTCAGATGGACACTCACATAATCCGAACAAGCGCCATCATAGCCGGACGCACTCCTTCGCGCATCAGCAAGATCCATCCCAAGACGAGTACTCAGGCACTTCAGACCCAGACCACTTCCTTATCCACCTCCTCAGCTACCTCGAAACACCTCCACATCTGCGAAAACACCTATTCCCTCTCCATGCAAATCTGCGAACTGCAGGTACACTACCGAGTCTGGATCTACCACATCATCTGAGAAGCGACGAGTGGTGTCCGTTCCGGGAGGGAGTAACGCTACCTGGTGCTGATGAGCACGGGACTTTCGTCGAGGCTGGACTAAGGATACCAGTTACGATCAAGGAGCAGATACCAGAGAACACGAGAGTCACTTTGAAATTCGAGGAAGGTGCTGAGGCGAGCCATAAGGATGCCAGTGCAACAACAATCAAAGCCGAGCCAGTGAACCCTAATGATCCACGAGAAGAGGCGGGGTATTACTGGGGATTCAATGTGAGGAAGGCTGGAAGTCTGAGTGAGGTCTTTACGGAATGCCCGTATGAAGGTGGATATGATATCACAATTGGCACGTCCGAGCGTGGAATCGACGTTGAGAAGCTGTATTCAGGAACTGAGGAGCAGAAGCTGGGGAAATTCAAGCATCTCTTAGTGGTGCTAGGCGGAGTAGCTGGACTTGAGGTTGCTGTAAAGAATGATCCCGAACTACAGAAACTCGGGGTTGTAAAAGCCGAGGATGTGTTTGATAGATGGGTGAACGTATGTCTCAATCAGGGAAGCAGGACTATCAGGACCGAGGAAGCTGTGTGGATTGGTCTGATGGGCTTAAGGCGATTAGTTGTTGGCAATGAGGGAGAATAAGACATCGAAGATCCATCTAAATCGTTGTGGGGCTGCGTCTCAAAATATTCGTTCAGATATCAAGACCTTCAAGAAATGGTCCAAACTAGAAACTGGCTCAATTACAAAGTAGAGGAAGGCACTCAGCTATAATCCCAATATCATTGAGTAGCAGTATTGCGCATTTTCAATGTTGTTGATTTGATCAAGACAAGGTCCAATGATATTGACGCTAGGGCAAGCGAGACGCCACTAAAACTCAGTCATACTTAAAAACTGACTGCGATCTTTCTCTTCTCTTTTCTCCCTAAGCGTCGTCCCCTTCAACGCTGCGTTTCTATGCTACAAACAGATTTGCGCTGGTTCGCCCACACACATCAGATCCTCAGATCGTAACTTTGCATATGAGAAATTCGGAGTACTCTTCAAAATCACCTTCCTCCCATTCCCTTCGGGTCGTGGTGACAGGTCTGCCCGCGAGGGTTCGGCGCGATTTTCGCGTCTGCAATTGGCATCAGAAAAGCAGGGCACGTCTTTCCTCACATACTTCCTCCTCACGGGGGTGGGAAAGTGGAGAGTGCTTGTTCCTATGGGAGAGCCGTTGCGAAGATTGTGTGTGCTGAGGCATGACACTTAAGTGCAATACGCAGCGTGCCTTTTCTCGCAGTCACTTGTGACTGTGAGTTGGGTACAATTCGATTCCGATTACTCTGTTGGGGACGACGCTTCACAATTTTTTCTTCAAGGTTAGTCAATCAGTCAGTCATGGAAAGTCATGTGGGATAAGGGTACTACTAATAATTTGTGTATGTCGATCAAAGCAAGAAATCTATGTGAACTCCATGCAAAGCAACCCGATCTATGGCACCTTCCCACAAGCAAGAAATCTATGACGAACTCCCAAACACATGAACCTAATCTATGATGCTACTCCAAATTCGAAAAGTCTTTGGCAAAAATCGACGACAATCATTCCAGACCCTAATCGCTGGACTTTCTTGAGTACCATTGCCAGTCCCCTGGAAGTGCAAACCATCGCCGCCGTGTGACTCCATCGTAAAAGTAAACGACCTGCATCACCCGCCCAACAACTACCCAACTTCTCGATGTATTCTTTTCACACCTCATTCTTCCCAGCTACCTCCGCCCACCCCTCCGATCTCGTCCTCGTCGGCATCACCGGTTCCATCGGCAACTCCTGCTTGGTACAGCTTCTTGGTTGCCTCTTGTTCCGGATCAATGATCTGCTTCAGCACAGCGAGCTCACTCAGCAGTGCCACGCAAAATTCGCGGTCTCTTGGCATCTTCTCCATGACATCCATGATGTGGAACTTTGCTGTTTCGACCTTCTCTTTGAGACGGCTGACATTCTCGTGTCGAATTGCTGCACCTAAGCCCTTGATCTCGCCAGCTTTGGCAAGAATAGCAGTATCCATCGCCGCAGCCAACTTCTGTTTCATAGTGCTGTGTCTCTCCGCGAATTCCTCGGTCTGTTCATCCTGTTCAGCCTCATCTTCACCAGGCACCCCGACATTCTTTCCTTCAAATTTTCGGCGCCAGAGATCAACCAACGAAGTCGTCTTCGCATATCTCTTGACTTCTTTGGTATCTTCATCGAAGCCTCCTTGAAATTCACCATAGGCATTTTCAACATCTACAAGCCACTTGTGCAACTTCTTCATGGCTTTGCCGAGCGGCTCTCCTTCCTTGCCTTGTCCTGCCATACCTGCTCTCGAGTGATGGGTTTGGTCAGTACGTCTCATGGCTTGTTGCTCTCGTCGGCCGTTCTCCCGTGCAAAGCTTTGTTGTGGAAGAGCGCTTTGAGGGTCGTAGTTGTGGGGGTAGTTGGGTGCCCAGTCGGATCGACCACCAGCGCCTAGGCCTCGAGATTCACGCTCTCTGATGTTGGAAAGTATTTCGACAACCATCTGCTCGATATGGTGGTAGGGAATCTCGTGCTGGTCGCGGCCTCTGGACGAAAGAGGGTTTTGGCGGCGATGGGTGTTTCGATACATGCTTGTGCTGTTGGAACTGAGAGTTTTTGACAATCGAAGAATCGAAGAGTGGATTGGTGATTGGATCGTGGTAGGTAGGGGAGGTGGTTCGACCTGATGTTCAATCTCAAGAAATCGTTGGTGGTTATATCTTGCTCTAGCTTCTTGTTGCCGCAGTGCATGGGCAGCTGCGTCGTCGTTGACAAAGACTCCAAGAGCTCCCGGTGACTGGTTATGTCGCGGACCGTGAAGCATAGAAGCAATTGGAACCAGCAATGCATCTTTGTGAATCCACCGGGTTGGATACAAAGACAATGGCTGTTCCAAAATCCGCGACATTACGCCATCTACAATCGGGCTTCTCTTTCAACTTCCACAGAATTTTCGACGACGGCTAGTCAGATTCACACAAGATCATGACCATCACAGAGCACACTTGATGAATGAAATGCAAATATGATAGATCAATCAAAGATGTTTATTGCAGTGCCTGGCATGCTACATTTGCGGCAAGACTACGATTTTGTCTCGGTGCGCCGTATGAATGCCTGTTTGACCTGTACATGCTGTACTGAAAGAAGCCTCCTGAATGCTCTGCAGCCCGCTTGCTCTGCATGTGAGCTTCAAAATATGGGGATACAAACCATCTCCTACAAGCATATCAAACATGCAGAATGGCTGGAAACGTTCTTTGACCATGTTCCAAGCGCCTCTACTGCCGATGGGTCCAAGCAGCAGGGAACGACAATCTGCTTCAACACTCTATCCGCTGTAGCCATCTCCTCCTTTCATCGGTTCAATTGGTTACACGGCTCTTCGCTCATCTTATGCAACATGTGATGATGGACAACAGCTGCTTTGTCAACTGCAGAGAAGTGAGATCCTCTCTCCTTGAAGAGAAATGGAGAATGTCCGCGGGGAGTGTCATCTGCAGCCTCCCACTTCCCTCCACCAAAACTTTCTATCAGGAGTTACGACATCGCTGATGGCTCTTTGCCATTTATGACAAGGAACAAAAGTGATCTCGTCTTCAAAACAAGTCATCAACCATCTATTTGGATCTTTGAAGCAGGATTCCCTCGCGGCACAAAGAAGGGATACACCTCGCCGGGCGAGAGCAGCATGATAGCTTGTCAAGCACAAACCCTTCTCCGCTTCCAACCGAAATCACAATGCCAGCCTTTTGTCATTTCTGACCGTGCAGCTGGCAAGAAAGAGAACATAGACGCATCTTCAACACAATATCAGAGACAGACACAGGATCTGGAAAATGTTTGACATTGTGGAACATGGGAAGGAAGACCAGCATCACGCAGCTCAACTCAAACAACGTTCTTTTGAAAACAAAGAATGAAAAAACCGTCCCCGAAATGCAAATCTGCCGAAATGGACGACATTTGACGCAAAAAAAGCTTAGCGGTGGCACCTGTACCCAAAAAGCGTCAAAGGACTGCCAATGCTTGTGTGGAGAAACGGGGGGCTGGCATCTATATTTCACGTTTTGATAGTTGCCCAGGAACGGTAGCAAGCTTTCAAGTCCGACCGCCAAAGGATAGGTCAGTAGATCTATGGGGTTCTGTTATCTTGTGCTGCATGGCTTGGGCTTCGGTAGGCCCCAATTGGACCTAGCTGCTTCAGCGTACGTTGACAGCTGTTGATGTGCTACGATCCGGAGGGCACACCGTACTGTGAAGGATCATGTCCCAGAGCGAGCGGCCATGAGACTGCAGCTGAATTCCCAACATGGCAACTCCAAACTTTCATCCAAAGTGCAGTGTCTTGTTGAAATGTAGAGAATGGTTGAGATTATTCATGCTCGTTGCTATCTCGAATCAGACGTCAACTTAACCATATTTCCAGAGCGTGTTTCTAGTGAAATACCAAATAAACTCTTGAACTCTGTGTGGTAGTAATGCATCTCCCTGACCGGACTCCGGACGCACCCCTTTCAGAGCGCCTGTCCCCTCGCTAGCGATCCCTAGCCTCGGGTAAATACCAGCCTATGAAGCGAGCCACAACACTGCAACAGGGCCTTGGCAGGCTCTTCCGTTTCTCAACACCTTACGGACATCCGATGCCTTCACGGACAGCTTGAACAAAGCACAAACACAACGCCCCAGAGAGCTTCGATGGCTAAGATGAGAAGAGACAGACCATTCATTCCTTTTCGGCCATGCGAAGGCGCGAAGAGGCGAATGTCCGAGTCTATTTTTCGATGGGACAGTCCTGGCTGGGTAGGGTTGGCGGAATGGGAAGATTATGCTGGGTATATAAGGATGAGAGAGCTTCCTCTTTCCGGAAGACACCTATTTCAGTATTAATCACTCGATCAGACCGGCTTTGATCTTACTCGGATACCCTTCGCGACATTCGGACATTCGTTCTTTACCACTCAACCATTTACAAGCCCTTTTGAGAGATTGGATCCATCATAATGGCAACCAACGGAGTCAACGGTCACGTTAACGGTCATGTAAACGGCAATGCATCATATGATGAAGTTGTTCCCATCACAAACGGCAACGGACATGCCACAGAGACCGCTTCAACACCAGTGATCTCAACCGTCCGTGGTCCTTTGGGTATCGAGTCTGCCAGCTTAAAAGGCAAAGTCGCGCTCGTGACCGGATCAGGTGAGTTTGCATCCTTCATTATACTCATTAACCATACTAAACACCCAACTAGGGCGAGGAATCGGCCGCGAAATGGCCCTCGAAATGGGACGCCGAGGAGCAAAAGTCGTCGTCAACTACGCCCACAGCTCCGAAGCCGCCGACGAAGTAGTATCCCAGATCATAAAATCCGGCAGCGAAGCCATCGCCATCCAAGCCAACGTCTCCATCGTCAAAGACATCATCTCCCTATTCGCACAAGCGATTGCGCATTTCGGCGAGCTGAACATCGTCTGCTCGAATTCTGGAGTTGTGTCGTTTGGCCACGTTAAGGATGTTACGGAGGAGGAGTATGACCGCGTGATGAACATTAATACGCGTGGCCAGTTCTTTGTGGCGAGAGAGGCTTATAAGCATCTTTCTGTTGGGGGGAGGTTGATCTTGATGGGGAGTATTACGGGTCAGGCTAAGGGCGTGCCGAAGCATACTCTGTACTCTGGAAGTAAGGGTGCTATTGAGACGTTTGTCAGGTGTATGGCTATTGGTAAGTATTGAGTTTCTACAGTTTATACTGCGCGCTCGCTGACTGACTTCGATAGATATGGGTGATAAGCAAATCACAGTCAACTGTATTGCCCCCGGTGGAATCAAGACCGATATGTATCACAAGGTCTGCAGAGAGTACATCCCAGGAGGAGAGAAGCTCAACGATGACCAAGTCGACGAGGTACGAAACTCATATCCCAAACTCTTTCTCATCTCGAAATGTTCGAGACTAACAAAATAAAAAATTAACAGTACGCATGCACATGGTCGCCATTACACAGAGTCGGTCTCCCCATTGATGTTGCGCGCGTGGTGTGCTTCCTTGCCAGCCAAGACGGCGAATGGATCAATGGAAAGGTTCTGGGGATTGATGGCGCTGCGTGCATGTAGATTTGTGGCTTTGGTTGGGTGTCTTTTCGCGTAATTAGAAATCCTTAATTGGGAATTGAATTTATTTAATGACAAGTACCTCTGGGGTTTTCTTTTTCATGAAATGGTGAGAATTGCTGATTGGAATGGACTGCGACTCGTTTTCTACTTCTAACAGAACAGGGCTGTGTACTGTTATCAAGCACTTGCAGCAAGAGACAAGGACAGACTTCTGCCAAACACGTTGAGGAATTCTTCGTCAAATTCCCTCGACTGCTACCTTCAGACATCACGATATCACTGGCTGTTCAACCACAGGCCATGGTTTGTATGTTGAGCGTGAGAATTACCATTGGACTACAAATCTCTCTACTTCAAGTACGATAATGGCCGTACAAAAGCGACTCTTCAAAGATAGTCATTCATCATGACACGAAGCAGAACCGAAGAGTTATATATCTAACCTTTTCATCTCCAGCTCCTATGCTCCCAACCGCCCTCTTCTTAACATCGACCTTATCTTAAACCCCTGCGAAATACCAACGCCGTCTCAATTCTCCTAACCACATTTTGTATTTCCATCTCAACAACGTACTCTAACTACAGGAGCAATAGCAGTCACCCCTGCCAACCCACGGCTACTTGTGCAGAAATCTGTTTGACCTTGTAGAATATATATGAAGAGAAGAGTGAGAAGCTGTTTCAGGTGTATTTTATATCTATATATGTATATATGTGCATGAATATGAAGAGGTAGATTTATATGGTAAATAACTGAAAAATATCAGTGATACTTACTTACAGTCCAAGCCCAATGAACGCCAAACTGACACAAATGGCACAGGGCATGCAAGCAGAACTCGTGAGACTTCCGCACAGTAGCAGCTACCAATCCGAAGAAGACATTACAGCCCATTTGGCCATCCATAAGGACCCCAGATACTTTTTCAACCCTCGCCCAACGGCAAAATCCAATCAATCAACCTTCTTCAACATCTTCGAAAACCTCAACCCATCCCTCAAATCCCCATACCCCGCAACCCAATAATCCGACAAATAATTACTCCTCGGCTTCCAAGGCGCTACATCCCCAGACTTAGGCAGCTCCCCCTTCGCCTTCTCAATATACGTCGAATTCAGATTCAGCATCGGACTCGGCCTCATCCTCATCTTCAGATCCGGCTCAATCGTCGGCGTCACAGCCCCGTCCTTCTTCCCATCCATCTGCTTCAGCAACCTGCAGACTAGTCTCGCCGTGGCGTCGGCGCCGAGCGTCCACGAGGCGTTGGTGTACCCGATTACGATTGCGGCGTTGGGCACGTCTTGGAGCATGACGCCTTTCCAGACGTATTTGGTGGAGACGTCGATGTGCTTGCTGTCGACGGTGATTTGGGAGCCGCCGGCAAGTAGCATTTTCAAGCCAGTAGCGGTGATGATGACGTCCGCATCGATGGTCTTGCCCGAGGTGGTCGTGATACCGTGTGCTGTGACGGTCTTGATAGTATCCGTCACCATATCCGCATTTCCTCTATGCAGCGCCTTGAAGAAATCCCCATCCGGACAAACACACAGCCGCTGTTCCCAAGGGTTATATGCAGGTTTGAAGTTCGGATCGATGGGGATGTTGCATTTCCCGAGTTGGCGCTTGGTGTTGCCCTGGATGATTTTGCGGGCGGCGTTGGGGAAGGCTCGGCAGAATTGGAAGAAGATGAAGGGGAGGATGAGGAACTTCCACCGCACGATGGTGTGTGCGAACCAGGCTGGGAACCATTTTCGGATGAATTCACCTGTTGCATCCACGGCTGGGAGGGCCATGATATAGCTAGGACTGCGTTGGAGAATGGTGACTCGAGCAGCCTTCTCTGCTAGGTTGGGGAGGAGAGTGATTGCCGTAGCACCACTTCCGATGATAATGATCTTCTGCCCCGAATAATCGTAGTCTTCAGGCCAGAACTGGGGGTGAATAGTCTTGCCTTGAAAGTCTTCAATGCCAGGAATGTTGGCTTTCAGGGGTGTGTTGTAGTCGTAGTACCCAGTGCTGTAGATGATGAATCTTGCACTCAATTGTGCCTTCTCCCCATCAGCATCCACTGTGAGTGTCCATCTCTGAGTCTTGGATGACCAGTGGGCCGACAGCAGTTTGTGTTGGAAGCGAATCTTCTTGTCGATGCCATTGACTTCGGCAGACTCGCGAATGTATTTGCGGATGGAGGGGCCGTCCGCGATGGAGTTGCTCTTAGACCATGGTCTCCAAGGGAAACCAAATGTATGTAAGTCTGAGTCGGATCGGATGCCTGGATATCGAAAGAGATCCCATGTGCCTCCAATCGCATCTCGAGCTTCTAGGATAATATATTGGTATCCTGGCAGCTCGGTCTGTACACGGTATGCTGCATTGATGCCAGAAATGCCAGCACCAACGATGACCACATCTAGGTCGACTGTTGTGTCTCTCTCGATTGAACCCATTGTTAAAATCCTTCAACCAAATGGAAGAGATAGGAGAATTGGTGACAGAGGGGCAGCCTCGAGGCGTGACTTCGTACCGTATTGAGATAATGAAGCTCAACAGAAAGATATCAAAACACAGGAAGGTTGTAGAAAGAGGAACCAGATGAACGTGAAGCTCTGCCAGTCGAGGACATCAAGCTATCTTTAACTGTCTGCCTTGAAACATTCCGCGCCGAGGTGCATTTCGCAAGACCAGACGATTGCGGTGCAGTGTTTTGGTTTAGCTTCGCGCCCCAGAAAATACATGACGATCCCAGTCAATGTACCGAGGCAGGGGGCCACATTTCACAGGGACAGGGGTGGTGCAGCCCAGAGAATGCGGGATAAGCTTCTGACTGCGATCGGGAACGTGCCGAGGTCCACTGTCAGTCGGAGACATATTGCTACTTTTGGACCAAATCTGGGATTTGGACGACGCGTACGATGCGTTGTTCACCTGCAAGATAATTGCCATAGTAGAACCTTGCAGAGCTGGCTACTCGATTGGGGCAGCACGAAGTTGCAACTTGCTTGGCACTTGAAGGTCAAAATCGGAGGATTTTCCACCCGAGATATTCTTGCCTCTTTGATATCTCTCTGTAATGACTTTCCATAGCTCGGGTCCGGCATGACCTTAGTATCCGTACATATCATCATCCTCGTCACCGTCCGCATCTTGATCAGATAAGCCATCGCCTTGGAACCGCACCTCGTCAGGAGTTCCATACACGCCCGGATCATTATCATATCGTGGAGTATTGTCACCAGTACTTTCAGTAAACGGCGTTCCAACCTGCTCCATGCTGCCATCCAGCACATTGGGAAATCGATCCACCGAACGACTGTGACCATGACCTGCGTTCGCGAACTCCAGGGGAGTAACAGGATCATTCTTCTGTCTTCCTCCTTGCCGTTTGCGTTTCGTCGTACTCCCTGCACCAGCCGCAATACCCTTCTCCTCTTCAACATTCCGTAAATCCTCATCCTCTTCATCCATCTGCTCCAGCCTCTCCTTCGCCTGAGCTACCGCAGCAGCATTCCTTCCCTCCGTAATTACCTGCTCCAATCGCTCCCTCTCCGCAGCTCTCAAGGCATACAATTCTTTCCTCCACCTAAAATTCGTCAATCTCGCCTTCGCATGAACAGTGACGAAGTCCTCCTCTCCAATATCCTCCTTAAGGTCAATCAGCTGTTCCAGAAACTCCGCCTGGGTATTCCTCTGCGAGCTCGTTCCACGAGGAATACGGACATTAGATCTCGCCCCTCCTGCAGCACCTCCTCTCCCCGCTTTCGATCGTCCCTTCCCTCTTCCTGCCCCTGACCCCGACCTCTTCGAATTTGCTTCAAACTTACGCTCGAGATGTGCCGTCCTAGCAGTAATGCGCGCAGACGAAGCAGCTAATAGATCCACCTCGCAATTTGGGAGCTCTCGTAGTACCGGCAATCCATTCTCCTTTTCGCGCGGCACAAATAACATTTCCGTCCCAATATTCTCCGACCACCTGCAAGCAAAGACATGTCCATCATAAGAAACCAGCGGCTTTATGCTATGAAGGTCGAGGATCTGGACTTCGGTCGCTCGGGGCTCTTCTTCCGGAGGAGGTTTCTCTTTCTTCTTCCTCTTTTTCCGAGACCGGCCGTCAATATCGTCGTCTTCGGGCACGGCCTCAATCTCAAATTCTTCTGGGTCTGCTTTTTCCGCTGATTCGTTGTCGTCAATTGAGAGGACTGTTGCGACTTTGAAGCCTGATTCCTCTGGTAGACGGGCCATGCGCTGATGCTTTCCTAAACCTGGATTCGTCCATCGTGGAGTTGTAGCTGCTCTGCGACCTGTTTGTCTTTGGATTGCTGGGACTTCTGGGGTTGTGAGATCGAGAGTTACGTAGAATGTCTAGAACCATCAGCATTTCCAATTGACATATGACAGCGATTGACCAACCTCGGTCTCTGTGGTAGAGTACTCGTACTCCCAATCATCTGGATTTTCGTCTTCTGCGACAGGTATTGAGAAGGTGTCATTTGGGTGGGTGGTCATTGTTGTTTCAGACAGGATGCCGTGTTGTGCCATCAAGGTCTGCGATTCAGGTAGAAAGGTATTGTAGGATGCTGCGTATAAGGCATCTGGTTAAAGTATCGATGTGATCTCCAGGAGGAATGTTATTGATGTGGTGTGGTTGGACGTGAATGCGATTCCTCGCGGAAATATCAATATCCATGCTGACGCTAAGATTGCCCTGCATTATCGATAAGAACAGCTATCAATGCCCCTCCATAACTCCCTCCGAGCTCGCTAATGTCACGACTCAAGTTCGAGACTTATTATTTTCCCAAACCCCATCCTTCAATTCCACTCTCTACCTACTCATCCATTCTTTCTTTTTCTTCCTCACTCTTACCTTACCCTATTCTTATAATACCCCGATTTCCTCAAAATGCCCTCCCTCCCCCTCCGCATAGCCATCCTCGAATGCGACACCCCCCTCCCCAACACCCGCACCAAATACGGCAGCTACGGCGGCGTCTTCACCTCACTCCTGCACGCCGGCGCCTCCTCCCTCAACCACCCAGGCCTAACATCCACCTCCGGCCTCACCCTCTCCACCTTCGACGTCGTAACCGCACAAGCCTACCCCTCACTAGAAACCATCGACGCGATCCTGCTCACGGGATCAAAACACAACTCCTTTGACGACGACCCGTGGATCTTGAAGCTGGTGGAGTTTGTGAGGAGCGTGCTGCGCCAGAGGAGGGTGAGGATTGTAGGCGTTTGTTTTGGGCATCAGATTCTGGGCAGGGCGTTGGGCGCGAAGGTTGGGAGGAGTGAGAGGGGGTGGGAGATTAGTGTTACGGCTATGGATTTGACGAAGAAGGGGCAGGAGCTGTTTGGGAGGACGTCGTTGGTGGGTTTGCTCTTTCACTTACTTACTTACTTACTTCATGCTGCTTTTTGAGGAAGAATGAGTTCCTTACTTACCATTCCACAGGCTCTATACCAAATGCACAGAGACATCGTGTTCGACTACCCTGAAGGCGTCGAACCTTTAGCATCTACAGACCGTTGTGCAATCCAGGCGATGTACGTCCCTAAAAGATACATCTCTGTTCAAGGGCATCCCGAATTCACGGAAGAGATCATGAGGGAGATTGTCCAGTTACGGCATTCGACGGGATTGTTTACAGATGAGATGGAGAAGGATGCTATTGAGAGGGTGGACAGGTATCAGGATGGCGTGACAGTTGCACAGGCTTTTTTGAAGTTCTTGCTGGAGGAATAGAATGTGAGGGGATTTGTTTTACTGCTGTTGCGATTGAGCGTAGAATGAATATAGATTTTGATTTATTTCACTGACTGGGTAAGGTTCTTGAGATTTCCTGGGTCGCCATTTTTGGCTTTTGGAGCTTAAATGATTTGTATAAGCCTTATGTAAAGAACCTTAGCCTGCATGCAGATACCCTATCCCCTAAACTTCACTTAAGACTGGTCGCCGGGAAATATTCAGGTGTGATAATCTCGATGTTATCTCTTCTGAGTTCAGCTCTCGCCGTCAAAATCAATTCCTCAACCAGTACTCCCAACGACATTATCTCTACGTCCCAAGTTCTTCTCTTCAGTCCGTAGCTCTCTCTAACTAACCAATAAAACAATCTCCTCTAAACACCAAAGTATAGTCGACCTCTACTTACTCACTAGAAATTGTAATCCCGTTTCTTTCTCCTCAATTCATCCAATGATATTAAGATGACAAGACTAAGCGAGGCAGACTAAATAGAGGAATATCACAGACCTACCTTCGCGAAGAAAAGAGGCTGCTTAAGTTGGCCCGCCAATCAGAATTTCTCTAGTTACACTGATATCTGGATGAGCATGTAAGCGTATCCTGGGGTTGTTATTCATAGATTGTAGATGTCCAGTGCTGAGACTGTTTCGTTAGGGATGAGGTTCGGGAATGCATGCAACTGAACACAATGAGAAAACATTAAGCGAGACCACGAGCAACAGGTGTATCTAGAAGCGAGTATTATTCTCATCCAGAGCATGGACATAGCGGGGATGTTCACCAGCCAAATCTAAGCCTCAAAGCCTCACTATCACATACCACTCCAGCATTCCCATTCTCATACCATTCGTCCACCATCCATCGTATATCATGATATCATTCCACTACCGCCCTCTGAACAATGCAATAGAATAGAAAACAACGCAAGCGCGAATTGAATCAAGCGCAAAAAAAATGCAAAATCACCTCCCACGCTCCAAATCTCTAAGTGAAAAAGCCTCCAAGCCGAGCAGCACTTCATAGCGCTCAAGCCGAAGTTCCGACGCCGTCTTTTCGCTCAGAACCTTTCCGCTCGGCATTGTCGGCGTTGTACTTCTTCCACAGACCAGCAATATCTTCCTTGCTCTCGTTTCGCTCCGTGATGAGGTTCTTCAGCCACTTGTTCTCTGTCTCGAGCTGGTTGATCCGTCCTTCCAGCGCCGCAACCTTGTCGCTCATGTCCTTCGCCGAACGCTCGAGTGCTTGCTCGCGTTGCTTCTTCTTCACGCGAAAACGGGCCGAGGCTGCTGTGTTACGGCGGCGCTTGTCTTCTTCAGCGGCGTTGCGGGCGGCATCTTCGACGCTGGCGGAGGGAGAACCGGCGTGTGAGATGGACTCGGCCTTTCGCTTGGTGCCAGATGGGGGGTTCGCTGATTGAGGGGAACCAGCGCTCGAGGAGCTGTACAGAGGCTGGGTGGTGTTGATGGGAGCTGGCGGGATGGTGGTATCGGTGAAGGTCGTCGGAGGGAAAGAGTTGAAGTCTGGGAAGTGGAAGTCGCCTATACGATCCATAGTTGTACCGTCAGCATAATTGCTTCTTGTGACAGACGAGTACTCGCGACGACAAAGAGCACAGCGGGAACAGCGGAATACACGCGGAGTGTGGGGTGAGCAGCCCGTGAATAACTGGCAACTTGCCCGTTACAAATATGGAGATGTGAAAAGTGGGAGGGACGACGTTTGAGGTATCCTCACGTGACATTGCGCCATTCGGCTAAAGGCAAAGCAGAATGGCGTGCTCGGACACCCTTAATTGTGCAAGTCTGGAGGGATGCAGAGCAATGCAGAACAAATGCAGCAGGGCGAGAAGAGAACAAAGCACGTGTAGGGATTAGGAACCAGTGAAAATGCAACGAAGAAAATGCTACGTGCAGTGGTTCGCAGCAATGCAGCAGCGGGGTCGCACAGCTCACTGGAGAAGCCCGACTCATGATACCATCTCGTCGACGACAACGCCGACATCGTGAGTGTGTATGCTGAGCTGAGGAGAGTAAAGTGGGATGACGAGAAGACAAGAAAGCAAAACAAGACAAGAAGACAATAGCCGTAGTAGCCCAAGACAAAAACACAAGATGACAAGATATAGTCATTGCTTACCATTCATGAAATCCAGCGACTTCAAGTCAACCGCATCAGGTGCAACAACAGCCTGCTCCCTTCGTCCATCTCCATTGTAGTCGGCTGGTTGCAAATCGGCATCCTGACCCAAGTCGAAATCGAAGAAGTTCGCATTGGTGAACATAGCCAGGTCATCCTCGAGGAACTCCGAGCTGGGCTGAACGTCCTGCTCTGGGACGTGGTTCAGAGTCGAGATGTATTCCACCATGTTGACTCTGCTTGGTCCATTGTACGCCATGATGACAGATGCGATGCCGTCGCAGGCCTAGATATCTTGAGGCTGTCGTTATGGAACAGTGTCCTTCGTCGTGGTGAGATGTCGTGAAGTTGTAAAGTGGAGGTCGTCAGACTGTCGTTCGAGAATTTGAAATCGGAGTCGCAGTCTTTGTCTCGCAAGCGGCGGCTGACGATCTAGGTAACCCGAGAAGCGGCCTGCTCTGGTGAATCAACCCAGACTGTCAGATTGGTCGCCTGAGTCTGTACCCCGTATTCTGCTGTCGGGGGGGCTGTCGCTGGGTGCTGGGTGAAGGTTGGAGAGAATAATAGAAGAAGCAATTCACAAGTGCAAGTTGAAGTCTGGTCGGGTGCAGGTGGGTGGTGCTGCTGGGAGTGGATTATTGGAGTGAAAGTGGAACGCGGGCTGGAATACTTGCCCCCACTACGACCGATATCGTAGTGCAGCAGGAAATCAATGAATTAGTCAGTTCGTGCACCAATGAAACAGCCGCTGAAGAGAAAAAAAACTCCCTCCACGCCGAGCCGAAATCCCCCCGCGCGACATTTGCCGACGAAGTGTGCGAGTAGAGTAGTACTGTAATGCCGTAAAGTAATCATGACCGCTCCAACCAGCAGTGGTGTGAGTCCCTGAGTTTAACTCCGATCCCCAATCCCCTAATCTTCTACCTAGTCCTGTACCGAGTAATCGCGCGCAACCTTTTTGTATCTAACTCTATGCGGATTTTGGACGAAATTAATTTGTAGAGCTTAAGGTGCACGCACAGGCAAGCGGGGCTCCAGAAATTGACATGCTGTTGGAGGGGTAGAGTATCAACCCATGGCCAAAGCAAGAGGATATGTCCACCTACAGTAGAGGCCGAAAGTTGCATCAATTACTCCGAATGACTGTGTCATCATTTGCGATTAGTAAGTAAGTACTGTTACCTACTCGAACACAATAGCTTGATCACAACCGAACACAAGTCGTCTCTCATCCTGCATTAGTCGCGCCCTTCCAAATGCCGAGCTAGTCACTAACTTTGCGAAGCGAGGACCCTGGCATAATCAAACATATCGGAGTTGAGATGCACGTTTAAACTTCTACTGTAACATCGTAACCATTCATGCCAGCTTGAGATTCAGAGTTTGACAAGGAGTCTTAGAAGGACATCGGACCCTGACTTCTAAGACCCTGAGTCTAGCTGGACAATATTTACCAAGTGACAAGCTTTGTGCGCCCACACTCTCCAGACGCCGCGGAGATACCTCAACAACCTGCATGTCAATGTCGATGTCCAAAGTGATTAATCAACACTGGTTTAAGACCTCCTTCCTACCTCGCTCACTTACATACCCACTGAGTCTGTACTCTACCTGTTCTGAAATGGCGAGGGAAAGACTTTATGAAAGAGAGATATTTGGGCACATCTTCATGATCTCGACAGAAACTTTATGATCACATCACAATGACGAGTACCAATCAGCTTCGTCTACATTAACAAGACTATATCCAAGAGAATGCACAATCTGCATCCAATCAGAATAGGAGAGAAAAGCTTAGCGGGTGATCCGGAAGACACTTTTGTTGCATGGGATCTCGTGAGGGGTGAAAACCCAAGCCAGTCTGTGTCTATCAATGTCAGATACACAGTATCGATTCTATTTGCAATTGAGTACAGAATTGAAAAGTCCCCCATTACCCCAAACCCTGATCCTACCATATCACCATCAACCAACCATCTAGAAAGCTCCCGCACCACTCTTCTCATCGATATGTCGATACCTTTCCTTCTCCTTGCGGTCCTTGAGTAAGATTGCTGTCATGATGATCAGAGCGACATCCACACCGACAATACCGAATGCGCCTGTGAAGATGACATCTAGGAAGTTGTTGGCGTATGCGGCGAGTGGTCCGACACATCCTCCTTGGGCTGCTGCGACGAGGGCGTTCGGGCAAGTAGTGTCGACCACGAATGGTGGTGAGGTACTATTCATGTACCCACAGCAGAGGAACTATAAGTTATTAGTATGATAGAGATGGATCGATCTGTAAATAAAGTAACGTACTTCTTGTTGAAGCAGACTCTGGGTTGTTGAAGGTTGCTTCTTCCAAATAACGAAGAGGTTCTCCCTTGTCTTCAACGTCTCAAACCAAATATCCAGACCGATAATCATGGTGAAGAATCCACACACAACCATCATATATCCACTAAGCTTCAACCATCCTCGAGTCATCGGCATAACTATCGCGGGTACCGTCAGGAGGAAAGTGATGAACACTATGACTGCGTTTCCGATTGCAGCTGTCCCAAAATCAGCACTTTCACTTCCCCCACCGTCCTCCCCAGACTTACCATTTAAAGGACACATGTCGAACAAGAGATCCCTCGCAACTCTGTCTGCCGTTGGCCCTGATGCGATCTCTGCCTTCGTAACCAGGGCGAAGATGAGTATAAGTGCACCGGATATCACGAACGCGGCATCCATCGCCATGTACGTCAGGAGTATGCTGTCTCTTGCCATTTTGGCGACTGGTTCTTATGGTGCGGACTCGTAAATCGAAATGTATCGCTCGGTATTGTCCTCCTTTCAACAAAAAATGACGACCGGCGTCTAACTGTTCCAAAAAGCGGGTTCCGTACTGAAATCGAGGTCGAGAGTAACGGTCGCAAGAGTTCGACCAGCACTTTGTTGATATGGACTTGCCGTAGGGGAAACAACGAAGGAATGAATAGAAGGAGAATTAAAATGATACGGCAGGCACAGCACACACACAGAGCAGAGCAAAGGCAAAAGAGAGAAAGTGAAGCCGGGAAAGGAGACGGAATGGAAACACTTGCCATCGTGGAATGGGCACATCTTTGATGGGGCCGTGCAAATGGCCGGTGGGGATGCTGCGATCCCCGACACTTGGTGTTTGAGACGCTGCCTCGAAGCCGCAGCCTGAGACGAGGGATCCCGCCATCCACAGAACAAGACGGCGTACTCGTGGCCTGTTTCATTCAATGATGATTCGCTGGCAGCCATGAATACCGCAAGTCCGGAACATGGTCATGAGGCCTTTCAAGAGTGTGATAAGATGAATCGTGATGAAGAAGAAGTGAAGTGTTGGACAACAATAATAGGGTGAAGTCACAGCACAACACTGGGACCTCGAAGCGAATGACACAGCATGGCTCCAGGGGATGGTGGGGCAGCATCAGTGGCGTCAACACGCTAAACCGCATCTCGACTCGCTAAATGGGTGACAACTGAACAGCCAGATTGCACTTCGAGGTCATTGCATCAGAGCTTCTCGAGTGCCAACCTCCATCCCAAACATCACCGTTCAGCTTCCTGTCTTCATCCTCCTGCCAATTGACCGTCGCAATGGGTTTCTCTAAGCTTTCTGTCTTTGCTCTCCTCGCTCTGCGTGCTGCCAGCGTCTTTGCTGCCGACGCTGTAAGTCGATTGTTTTTGTCCTCTTGAGTCCCCTCCCATGCCCTTTGTAAACAGCTTTGGGCTATCTTACTTTCAAACTTAAATTCTAACACATTTCCCCCCACAGGTCGAGAAAGAAGCTGAAGCTGCTCCTACAACTCCCAACCTTGCCCTCTCGGTCTCTGCCTCATTCCCCAACTCTGAGGTCTTCGGTGTCAAGCTCATCAATGGCCACGCGACCAAGGCCGTTCTTGACTTCACCAACAGCGAACCCGACCCAGTTACCATCTCCCTGATTGGCGGGTTCCTCTCTTCTCTACAGCCATTGCCAGTTGACGCTCCTCCCAGCGCAGCCGTCATCCGCAACTTGACTGCCACCCGATACGATGTTCTGGTACCAGCTGGCGAGAAGGCCACTCTCCCATACACCTTCGTCAATGACTTGAACCCAACTGAGCTCCGCCTCAATTTGGTTGCTGTGGTCTCTAGCAAGGCCGGTAACGTCTACCAAGTCCAAGCCTACAACGAGACTGTCCATGTCGTTGAACCAGCCACCAGCATTTTCGATCCTCAAATGTACGTCATCACAGCTTCAACCAAGTTGAAAAAGTATCCCAGCTAACCAACCCTCCAGCATCTTCCTCTACCTCTTCCTCCTCGCCGGATTCGTCGGAACCCTCTACTTCGTCTACAAGACCTGGATCGAGACTCTCTTCCCACAAACCAAGCGCGGAGGCAAGGGCGGCGAGCGCGCCAAGCGCTCATCTGGAGGTTCCAAGAAGGCCGTCCCAGTCGAGGAGCAAGTTTCCGTCATTGGAGCTGACGGACCGGCTGTTACTACTGCGGTTGAGGCGCAGAAGGCTTATGATGAGAGCTGGATCCCTGAGTACCACTTGAACCGCCCGACCGCTAAGCGGGTCAAGAGTGGAGCATCATCGAAGCAGAAGAAGCTTGTTGCCGAATAGGAGGATGTTCGATTAGGACGAGTTGGGTGTTAGTATATCTGTATGTGTATATATGGAGTGGAGGCGTGGAATGTGAGGGATTGATGTTGGCGGAAGACAAAAGCAATGTAAATTACAAAAGTCAAATGTCAAAAAAGGTGGTCAAGGTGAAGCGAGATTGAGGGCTCGGCGATGTGATTACACAGCTACGTGGGCTGCCAGAGATAGTCTCAGGATACCACGCCCGTTTTCATGGACGCAGAGGATACAACGACGATGACGGTTCCATGGCGACATCCTCGCTTAACGCAGATTTACCCCGTGCGCCAATTCTACCCTGCACTCCCGGAAACCCGCTATGGATATGTCGAAAGAGGGAGTGATACTACTGGTACTAGCAGCACCGAGGATTCAGAGTACCACTTTCTACAAAGCACCAGCTTGCAAGTCCTCCGATTGTTGTGTCCGGAGCAGTAATAAACTGTAGGAGCACACCAGCGAAACCATACGTCAATTCCAAAACACCAATATCAAGTTCAAGTTCGGATGCAATAATATATGATACAGTAAGGATTCCCCTCCGCCGAGCAAAAAAAAAAGGAAACAAAACTAACGCTCTCCATTAAAATATACAAACTAGAATCCAAGCGCTCCACAACCCTTCTCACCCCAATTCCTCAGTACCGCTACCACTACCACGCTCAACCTCTTCCTCAAGCTCAACCCCCCACCATCACCCTCCTCCCTCCATCTCCCTATCTATCCATTCTATCCTAAGCCAACCCCGCAGCCCCAGCCGCAAACTGCGCAGCCTCATCCGCATTCTGCGAGTACGTCAGATGCGGCTGCAGGACCTGGTTCTGCCCGTCGCAGATCTTGTCGCCGTTGTGGCAGATGATTTTTGTCTTTGCGGCAGACACGCCGGCGACGGGCTTGCCGTTCATGGGGTCGCCGAAGATGACGGCTGTTTATTGTTTATAATTCGTCAGTATATATCCATTCCCATTAACAAACAGACAGTATGTATGTATGTATGTACGTATGTATGTATGTATGTAGGTATGTAGGTATGTAGGTATGTAGGTATGGACTGCCTGGGGTGCATGTCCAGACGTCCGGGGAGGAAGGGAGGAAAGGTGGAAGTAATGGACTAGGTACATACCTGACGAGACTTTCGCAGCTGTAGCAGCAGGAAGCATAGCCGCAGCATTATGGACGAGCTGTCCTCCTTGACTAGATTGATGTCAGATCTTTCTTCCAATCAAACCCAATCCAATCCAAGGACTATAAGTAGTCGACCATCCGGAGAGGGGAGAAGTTCATTACCTGTATCCAGCCATCACGACCTGCGTATCAGGACACGCAGTCATAGCTTGCTGAACAAGCTGCGCCATCTTCGCGCTTCCTTTCTTATCACCTCCTGCTAGGAAGCCTTGGACGCTGTAGGTTGATCAGTTATCAGCACAGAACTTCAACCACCATCCAAGACACCTCTGTAAGTATCTCTCGAGCTGAACACTACAGCAGTGCAGTGCAGCATAGAGTACTTTAGGGTAGAGGAGAGGAGGAGACTTACTTCGCAGGATAATCCACACCCTGCACAGCCAGATTCTCCGCGCCGACCATCTGAGCCATGGCGTCGAACCACGGCGGCCCAGAGAGGCTCCCTACATTCCCTTGCTCGGTTGTGCCGCGGGCGAAGATCACAGTCATGGCTTTGCAGCCGCCGCCGGCTGTGAGGCCGTTTTGGGTGGTTGCTGAGCCGAGCTGTGTGGTGGTGGAGTTAGTCAGAACCTGATTTTTCATGGATGGATGGAGGAGGAAGAGGAGAGAGGGGAGAGGAGAGATGATGACGAGTAGAATTGTGGAAAGGACTTGTTGAGAGAGAACAGAACTGGAAATGAATGAGGTTTGAACGTACATTGTTTGCTTGCGGAGCAGGAGCCGGTGCAGCAACAGCAAACGGAAGAGCAAAGACAGTGAACTGAAGTATAGATCTCATCATGATAGAGTCAGGTATTGATTGGCTCAGCCAACAGAAGATAAGGTATGGAATAGAATAAAATAAAATAAAATAAAAAGAGTATGTAAAATTATAAAATATTGGATACAAAAGAAGTACTCACTCGAAGATCGAAGAGAAGACGAGACGACGGACCTACCCTTCATATACATAACCACCTTCTTTTCCAGCCCACACACACACACGCTCGCAAACTTCACTCACCTGCCACTTGATTTTGTCCCTTCCGTCATGAGTAAGTAGTTCCCTTCGAAGTTTTGAAACGACCTTCCGGCACTCGCCAAGCCCAAGCAAGCTTCAGTCACTCACTCACTCGCAAGTGAGCGAGGCGAGGCGAGGCGCAAGGGCAAAATCAAAACACGAGGAACAGTTGCGATTGGTTCCCCCCGCGAAAATACCCGTAGCGAGGAGCCTTTGCAGGACTAGGCTTCGGGCTGCGAGCCTGCGGTTGGTGGGGTGGGCTTTGGTACAGTACAGTGTGGTAAAATAAGAGGTTCTGTATCGAGAGTATGCACTGTATGTAGTGGGAATTATTTTTACAATTGAGCTGAACCGAACCGATCCGTGCCACTCCCTGCTGCTCGCATCAAATCATCATCATCTCCATCCTATCCTGTCCTATTCGCTATATGTCCTCTCGTTCCCTTCCTTATTTTCGTTCGTTCATGCTTCATCGTCAACGCAATGCAGATCAGAAACCTCGGTACCAGATCTGTATCGGTTCGATCGGTATATTTACCGTATCATTCCATCCATGTGCGGTTTTGAACCTGCTGCATTTCTCGTACTGTATGCTCAACCATGTCGGAGATACAATGGGAAAAAAGTCCATCCTCCCATCCCATCAAATGCCCACCATTTCCAAAACGCCTTTTCGCTCCAAATACAATGCCAAATAAAATAAAAATCATCAATCTGAGTCCTCCGAGGCAAACGAAAGTGGTCTACCGCCGCGTGTGACGGGTTCCCCTGCTTTCTCTCGTTCTACGGTCTGAACTTGCACTGCCTGGCGGAATAGTCAGTACTGAAACTCGAAAGTTTTGTGTTGGAAGGGAGAGAGGGGCGAATATTGTACTGGTGTTACTTACTTGCGCTAGTGCCCGTGTAGGAATCGGTATAGTAAGTACTACTGACATCCGATCTGTGCGACGACTTCGTCTTCTTGTCGTGATTCCTCTTCAGACCCAAGACAGCCGCTAGACCCAGCAGACCCGCTCCAACCATACCCAAGCCGCCGAACCCGCTATCCTTCTTCCTCTTCTCTGTGACTCTCGCTGGCCGCGAGCCTCCGAACCATCCTGTGTGGGTGTCTCGTCTGGCTGCTCCTCCTGCGTGGCTTCCGTGTCGGGAGTACCGCTCCTCGATGACCTCGACTCGCTCGGTGGACCTACGTCTCTTCTTGCCGAGACCGAAGATGGCGAGGAGGCCGTCGAAGCCGGCTTTGACGATGCAGCAGAAGCAGAGGAGGAGTAGGAGAATGATACCGGCGATGACGCCGATGACGATTCCTGCGATTGCACCAGCGCTCAATCCGCCGCCGCCGTTATCTTGAGTGATGGGAAAGCTGCTTCCGCTTGCTGTGGCTGGGGCTTGGAAAGGAACAGTTGTCGTCGCTGAGGTGATTGAAGTTGCGGTCGAGACGCCTCCGCTGGTTGGTCGAACTGGAGCAACATATGTGCTGGTTCCGAGATACGTTGAGGAGTATGCAGTACAGGTATTTGGGCCGGCACATCTTTGGTCAGCGGCACAGCAGATCTTGTCGCAGGAGGATTGCCCCAAACTTGTCGTGCAGATGAGAGGAGTGGCTGCCACTGTAGGTACTACGGGCACTACGACCACGGGCGTGGTTGCGACTGCGTAGCTGATTGTCGCTGTCTTGGTGACGAGATTGGTCTCGGTCCAGGTAGTTGTGTAGACTCCGTAGCCAGCACCACCTCCCACTCCTTGAAGTCCTGCAGTCGCTGTGCAGCCTGCTATGTTTGACGTCGTAAAGCAACCTTGTCCTTGTGTACAGCAGAATTGATTCTCCGAACCACAGTACATAACACATTGCCTGGGTTGGAGAAATGCGAAGCCGAGATCGTGTAGCTCATCCTTTGGATACGGTCCCGCATTGACCAGGTCAGTTTGCGAGAGTACCGTAAAGAGAAGGGAGAGAAGACTCGGAGGAGTCTGTGAGAGTCGCATCTTGTCGATTGAAATTGTGAGACTCTAGTTGAAATCGTTATCTTCCGCCGAGTGAGACCGTGATCGAGTTTGCGAGCTCGCAGCAGCGGTGTGGTGAAACCCCGCCCTCAAGCTTCGAAGCTTGCACAAGCAAAGGAATGTGAATGTAATCTGCAGCGCTATCGACAATCGGCCTTCGAATACTCGATGCGCACGAAGTCTAGAATTAGCGTGAGTGACTGGAATGTTTGTCTGGAATGGAAGAGGAATTTTGGAGAGGGGACTTAGAAAAGTAAGAGGTTGATATTGTGGTGTTCCCAGCCACCGAGTTCCCAGCCCTCCGAATTTAGTAACTTAGTTGCGCACACCCGCACGAAGCACACTAAAAAGCAATTAGCTCGTATTGAAGACAACCTAGATTATCAAATCGATATTGGGCATTGATAGTAGGCGGGCGCGAGTTAAGGTGTGTACTGTATGCAGGTTGTATGCAGCTTGCCTTGGTTCACAGTGGTGTGGCGTGATGGCCTACGATTGGAAGCGATTTGTTGACTTTTACCTTCTGGCTTATCGCACGACTCGCTGATAGTGGACTGGGCAACTGGAATCCTTTTCGCTTCGGCCTCTCCATGGCTGCAAAACTTGATCCACCCCCTGAAAATCTTCAACGTGGTTCGGTTCACCTTTGGAACACTGTCTCATGACATCACACGTCGATGCCAAATACAACATGCGATTTGATTTTTCTTTCAGTAAGAGACAAGTGTTCAGGCTCTGTGTACAGTCCTTTGTGATCCTCATTTAGACCTGAGTAAAATCTGTCCCCTTTACGTCTGTGGAGTTACGGCAAAGCTCTCGGGCCGTGCCTACCTAGGTTCAACACAGATGGTGAGCTGAAGCTAGCGAGCCCGGGCCCAGGCAAGGCAGCACCATTTGACAACTTTGTCAGCCTGAATTCACCCCACCAGCACCTGGCCATAATTGGAACTCGAGCATTTGAGCATAACACCTCTCAATAATACCACCGCAGCGCGCCACCGCAGCAAGACAAACCCATTTATTTCCAGTCGCTGTAAGCTTGTAGTTTCTGGTAAAATCGTCCACGCAGAACTAACCTGAAGCCCAGACTGCCTCTGTCACTAATATCAAGTCGCAAACCCACGCCATGTCGGCCTTCATCACCGACCTCGTACAATCCATCTTCACACCCGGCCCAACACCCACCCTACTCGTCGCAACCAACGTCACATTCGCCTGCCTCCAAGTAGTTCTCCTCCTCCTCCTCCTCGCCACCTTCAGCATCCACTTCGTAATACTCTCCCTCCTCAGCGCCGGCCTCTGGTGGTCAATAAACTGGTTCGTCAGCGAGCTCCGAGCAGCTCAAGCGGTGGAAGACGAGAAGAAGAAGAAACGCGCTCAGGAAGAGGCGAAGCACGCAGATGATACGGACACAGATGCGGATACGGTGATTGGCGCGGGCAATACGGCGTCGGGGAGTAAGGAGGTGGAGATTTTGGAGGAGAGTAGAGAGCTTAAGAATCGTGGGGGTGTAAGCGGGAGTAAGTCGGAGACGAGTACGGAAGATGAGTGGGAGAGGGTTTCGGAGAATGAGAAGGACAAGGATAAATGAATGGGCCCATGGGGAGGTCATGAGTTGGTAATGATATACCCAGTTTGCGAGATGGTGCAAGTTAGGACGTGCTGAAAGTACAAACAGTACCGTTCTTAGCAGATATTATGAGATAATCAAAGATCTTTCCCCTTGGTGGAATAGAAGCAGCTGCAATATTTTGGATTTCCTGGTCATGGGGCGTGTGTTGCTTTCTCTTGACGGCTGAACGAGTCTTGCTGGACGACACTGGTAACGTGGAAGAAATCATGGCATCGTGAGCAGGTTACTGATTATTAGAGCTCGCTATTCTGCTCCGCACATTCCTTCCTTCCCCTCTCCCGAATTTGGATTTCTCGTTCATCCGTTTCCTCTCAACTCATCTCGCAGGGCAGGGCACGGCAGGTCAACCCGATCGAACTTCTCAAAACAGCATGACATGCACCACCTCAAAGATTCTTATACTGTATAGTTCATCTTATCAAGAATCGCCAGCGTTTCGTCGAATTCTATCCTGCCGATACAGACTGTACTCGTTTCATGACGACTTTAGAATGTACGAGGGCCGTTTCTACATTCAAGATAGAGTAAGCCCATCAACCCTTCTGAACCAACTCAACGGGAAACTCCAACCATGTATAACAGGAACAATACTTTGAGACAGATTTATGATGGAATGAACCATGGAGAACATAGAATCATCAGGACGTTGATTTTCTTAAGAGTAGAGTCTAGCATGCCAAATTCATGAAGAGACGGGAGCAGCAACACTAAGAAATACGAAGGCATGAATCCTAAATACATATGAATCCATTTCTCAGAAGTCGAAGCAAGATTGATTTATGTGTGCCCAGGCCATGTTCTTTGCTCGCTTATCATGTACACATGATATTACTTCTCATTCACATTGGAGATAATATCGCATGCGAAACCCAGCGACCAAGAATCGAAGAGCTCTGGTATTGTCTGACGGGTTTGATGAGATGGGTAGACATAGCCCTCGCTCTTGTACCTATCACTCTGTCAACCTCTTCTAAGTTTTCGTTGCACAATAAGGTAGCATATTTCGTGCTATTGGAACCCCTCCCCGAAGCTCCACATGATCATCTTATTATCATATATAATTGGTATCAATGCTATTCTGTGTAAGGAAAATACAGATTCCGATCTGCCTCAACTTGGAAGTTGTTTGTCGATCTTACTGGACCTTATCTAAGAGTGTGAATCGTGAGTCCCATATCAAACACTTTCTCTGTTCAGATACCGAGATTGCTTACAGATTCTTTACGAAATGTCTGTGTTTGGAGCATTTCGGATGTCAATCAGGTTCATCACCACTCGAAGACTATGTGAAACATGAAGCTTTGAGGACAACTGGTTCTTTGTCTATTCCTCTGCTTATTTCCGCGTTTTTAAACACAGCCAAACCATACACTCAGTCTCTCACGGATTCGAGACCTCACGACAATCTATAATGCCGCGCGTTTATTGACTTAACGTCACCTGGTAATGTTTTGAAACAGCTGAGACATATTATCTTCACATGCTATTAAGCGAAGGAGAAGGGAAGACGTGGCTTTACCCTTCCCTCCGTAGCTGCTGCGCCACACTCCACCAGCGCTCTCGAGCTTCAATTCGTCTCAACTTTCAACCCCCTGTCCAGCTGCAATGGCGGTTCCAGCGGTGTACCGCGGCCAAATCATGAAGCACCAGCAGTCAGAATTTGCTCATCAGGAGTGTGAGGTCCAACCCAATACATCGGCTTCTGGCCATCCGCGACACGATACTTTCGCGGGAACGTCAATGTATTTGGCAGTAGTATGCATTAGTAGGTGGGGAGATATACTTGGTACCACTTAGACGCCGCCAGATATCGACTTTTGCCTTGCTGGAGGTATTGGATGACAGGCTTGCAGATCGCCTGGCCACCTCCAATCGCGATAACGCTTGCTCTTTCTTTCGCCTCACCCTCTTTATCCTGCTTCTACTTCGTATGTCCCTGGAGGTATTCCTTCTTTGTCAGTACGCTCTGCTACTTTGTCTTCATCTCGAAGACTAAGCTATTGTGAGCATCCTCGACAAGAAGGCTTTTGTGCATGCTTTGTCTGGCTTTTGTCACCTTGAGCCTTTAACTAGGTATATCCCTCACCGCACTTTTACCAAAGCAAATATACCCCATTCATACCATATACCCTCGAAGCTGGCCTTCGTACACTGCTATCCCATTCAATACCGTCAAAATGCCTCTCATGGAGACAGTTACAATAATAAACAAGTCCGGGAAGGTCGTCAGTACCGTATGTTGACCCCCACATTTCCCCAGGTTCCCTGCTAACGATAGTCCAGGGCAAGCACCTAGTCAATATCTTCAAAGATGCGAAGGATGCGTACCAAGACAAGAAAGCCGAGCTCAAAGCCGATCACCACGCCCGAATCAAGCACAAGAACGATCAGAAGCTCCTACAAGCTCGGGAAGAGACTCGATCAACCACATCCTCAAGACATTCCCATCGCTCTCGCTCCCACAAACACAGAGATCCTGCTGCTGGCCCATCCAGACCTCCGCTCACTGAAAGAAATCTATCGCACATTTCCGAGGGCAGCGTCACATCATCTCGAAGAAGTCGAAGTCACCATGGATCCCGTACTGGTCCTCACAGCCCTCGCGAGTACCATCCTCCTCAAGTCGCAACCGAAATGTCGCAGCCAGTCCTCCAAAGACGACACACCGACTTCCCAGATGCATCGCCTAGTGTTGCATCGGGCACACTTCCACCACCCTATACCTCACAGCTCTCAAGAATGCCGCCCCGCAGCCAGTCGAATCCAGACTTCCATTCAGACGATGTTGACATGAACCTCGCGTATGGCAAGCTTCCACCGGATCTACAAGTCGCACAAGTGGATGATCTGGAGAAGGAACAAGAGTTGAAAGCTACAATGAACAAGCTCGACGAGTTGCTGCTGGAAGCGCATTGCTTGCAGCACTCCGCTACGACAATCATCGCAAATCTCCAAGCCAACCCAGAAGCAATGGCAGCTGTAGCTCTGACTCTTGCCGAGCTTTCCAACATCTTGACGAAGATGTCGCCTGGTATCCTCACAGCATTGAAATCATCTTCACCAGCAGTCTTTGCCCTTCTCGCTTCCCCTCAATTCCTCATTGCAGGAGGTGTTGCTCTTGGAGTTACAGTCGTCATGTTCGGCGGGTACAAGATCATCAAGAAGATTCAAGCCAATAATGAAGCTCAAAAAGATGCCAACCGCATGGAAGAGGCGATGGTGTATGAAGGCACAGAGATGGGCAGCATTGACACTTGGAGGCGAGGTATTGCCGATGCCGAGGTGGAGAGTGTGGCAACCAGCGTTGATGGAGAGTTCATCACCCCTGAGGCAGCAAGACAGAAAAAAGAGCGGATCAAGGAACGCAAAAGAGAAGAGAGGAGAGAAGAGCGTCATGGAAAGAGTGTTCGGGCGGAGAGTGTCGTCAGTGGAAGCGTCAGAAGTGAACGCACTGTTCGAAAAGCTGGTAGCGAGGCGACTCTTCGTCAACGAGACATCCCCATCCGCTCATCTAGTACGATGCCTCCTTCTGAGAGCGGTCGTAGCTCGAGAAGCCGCAAGGAGAGTAAAGGAAAGGAGCTTGTGGTCGTGTCAGAGAAGGAGAAGAAGAAGAAGAGTGCTCTTTCTGTAATCTTCAAGCGCAGTAAGGACAAGGGCAAGGACATCAGAGAGAGCACTGTCTCGCACCGTCCTCGCGTCGTGTAGAGGAATGATATGAGAGATAAATCGATATAAAATCTACTTCATGCACAACTTCGACTGGCGAACCCTGGGCTGGTGTTGCAGCCTCAACTGTGGGGAATCGTCTGCGGCTCCAGATACTTTCTGTCACTGTTGCTTTCCAGCAGTCACTATACCTCAACCGGAAGTCCTTGTTCCACGACATCGTCCCACCTCAGGACGCTACAGACTTCGGCAGACGCACGACTAATGCACATGTCCGACGCATGCCAGCCAAGAAAACTTTCTGTTCTTCAACTCTAGCACAGCCTATCACAAGGAGGATGGTCAAATCGGGACTTGTTGGACCGGCGAGTCTGGACCGGATCCTCAACCCGCGAAATAAAGTTCCTTGCTCTGAGTCTCTGACTCGTGCTGGTATGCTGGCGTGCTGCACCTGGACGTTATTGACTGGTAACTCTTTTTCAAGTATCTCTTTTGACTGGCCTGGAAACGTGTTCCATGGCTCGCTACACGAATGTTGTGGCCAATAATTAGGCGAGCAAGGCAGTCCATGACGCTTGCTTCTCGAAGCGAGTCCGAAAAGGGGGCAGTCGAGTCTTTGGTTCAGGAATCAGAACAGACAGCTATGAGACGGTTTTCGATGTTGATATCTGACAGAGGAATGATCTCTGTATCTGCGATATGTAATTTTCAAACTCCAAAATTTCATGATCTATTATGTTATTACAATTCAAATCTCTTAAGTTATCAAAATATTGCTGTAACTAGCAGTAAACTCGCTCCCTTACCTGACTAAGTGCGGCCTCCTTCCCAAGTAAAGTCTAGAATGATCGTATCCACAATCCCAAGCGTTGCGGGCTGGGCGGCTGCTCTGCCCCAGAGAGGCAAAGCGTCGATTTCCAACTCCTTCATTGTTAAGTTCATAACGGCTCCAGATCGTAGCTTGCCCAATCAGTCCTCGGCTTTTGGGGCGGATGAGTGTCCGATAGCGAGGTCGCCGCTGAGTTTACGAACAGTACAGTACATCCATATAAGGTATTTTATTTGGCTTGAAATGGACACGATTATGCAATCGAGTGTTCATAAGGTTTCGTGAGGTAGCTCTTCCTAGGTGTCATTGTTGACCTGGGTTGGACTGGGATTCTAGTAAACTATCTGGCGGAGGGCGGCGAAGTGGGGTTGAAGCTGTTAGTGATATATATTTGAGTACAACGAACCTGAAAATGGAATACATCTAAAGCGCAAATGGACGGCAAGGCGGTGAATGTCCCAGCTGAATATTATTCAGGGTCCTGTAAATCATAATTACTTACATGAGATTTACAAGTTTCTAACGAGTTTGTACGACGGACGCCGACCCCTGCTTCAAGACCCGTTTTGCGTGTGGCGTCTGAGCATCATCGGCGATCCTACACTTCCACTTCCTTCCGGACAGTCCACCACTCGTACAAAGTAAGACACTTGATGACGGTAACATACACTCCCAAGAGAATCATGCGATGTTGTCCGGCTTTTGTCTTTGAATAACTTCTCTTCACTTCATCCGCCTATCTATTGTTTCTCTATACTGTTTCCTTGCGCATACGATCTTCACGGCCAGACATACGTACCATTGACGACATCGACACGGCTTCCAACTTTTGCGACGGCCCGGAGTACACACCCACCACACCGTCGACACAACATTTGCAGAAGCACCCCCTGATCTTGCACGGATAACAGAATAGGAAATCTGGCTTCCTCTCCGGAATCCTCGCGGCTGTGGGCCGACTCTCTATTTCAGTCTCCAGACGACGAGGTGCAGTCTAACGGTCCTGCACTGGACCTCGCGCCGCTGATGTCCTCCGTCCCCCACGACAACCCCGCTGTGTCCCTCCGATCCAGCCTCAACAAGAGACAAAAGACTTCGAAGACAGAATTTCTGCAACAAGATGGCGGGCTTGAGGCGTCCAGGGATGCACGGCAGATTGTGAGGCTGGTACAATGCCCTCGATGCTCGTATCCGTTGCAGGAACCAGTCACTCTACCATGCGGGAACTCCATCTGCAAGACGTGTATCCCAGAACTACACCTCCGACAGAATATATCGTATCCTGCCACGCCAAACCGACTGCAAGGCTTCACTTGCCCGTTTCCCACGTGCGGGGTTGACCATGCCGCCGGGGATTATAGCGTGGATGTGGTGCTGAACAAGATCATGTACATGGTGAGGAAAGAGGTCGAGGCATATTCAGATTCGGTCGAGGCTTCGGAAATAGTGCATCAGTTACAAGAACGGGATAGATGGTCGATTGCAGGCGTCACTTCTTTGCGGGATGAAGAGGTGCGAAGTCGGGTCCTGGCTGGAGGACGACTGATTGCAACGTATATAATGGCACAGATGGGGGAGTTGGCATACGATTCGGAAGTTGTATATACACCGATGTCACCGAATTGCGACAAGTCCGATGCGTTAGATACGGCTGTGCTGGAACACTTGAAGGAATCAACGAGGGCGGAACTGGATTGTCAAGTTTGCTATGGGCTCTTCCTGGAACCATTCACTACCACCTGTGGACATACATTCTGCCGGTCATGTCTGCACAGAGTACTGGACCATTCAAATCTATGTCCCATCTGTCGACGAAGGCAAGCTATCACCCCTGGAACGGCTGATAAAGCGCCTACCAACGTCATACTCTCCAAGCTTCTCACAGGACTCTGTCCAGAAGCTCTTGCTGCTCGTGCCGAAGCTGCGGAAGCGGAAGCAAGTCCCGGAACTCAGGAGCTGGACATGCCGTTATTCATCTGCACACTTTCCTTCCCCGACGTACCTACGTTTCTTCACATCTTCGAACCCAGATATCGACTTATGATTAGACGGGCGATAGAAAACGGCGATAGGAAATTCGGTATGCTTCTGCACAACTCGTCTCGAGTTCCCCAAGGAGAGCTGGGTCCAGTCAACTTCTACGAATATGGAACACTGCTGCATATCGAGAGTATGCACCTTATGCCGGATGGGAGGAGCTTGATTGAAACTGTCGGAGTATCTAGATTCCGGGTTCTGAAGCATGGGACTTTGGACGGATACACGATTGGGAAAATAGAAAGGGTAGACGATATCAGTATTGCGGCGGAAGAAGCCCTCGAGGCTCAGGAAACAGGCACTTCAGCCCTCCGGAGCATCTCCGCACAGGACCACTTCGGCGCACCACCGCACCACTCTCCGCCAATTTCCTCTCAATCCTCCAAACTCGACAGAATGTCGACACAAGCTTTGTTTGAACTAGGAGTCGCGTTCGTCAAGAAGATGCGCGAGCAGTCTGCACCCTGGCTACATGCCAGAGTCTTCCAGGCATATGGCGAGTGTCCGAGTGATCCGGCTGTGTTCCCATGGTGGTTTGCGAGCGTGCTACCCACTGCCGAGTCGGAGAAGTACAATCTGCTCATGACGAATAGCGTGAGGCAGAGATTGAAGATATGTGCCGGCTGGATTGCGGACATTGAGGGGCAGAACTGGTAAGTTCAACATTCATCGATAAGGACTCACATATGTGTTGGGACTGGACTAACTTGATGACAGGAATCAAAGTTCCAGCTGTAATGTCCTGTGACTAGCCGGCCTAAGTCTAGCTGTAATGATTTTGGCGGTAGCGATTGTTTATATGGGGACATCTGAACCGCATTGAAGCCACCACCATCGGTTGAAGGGCGAGGTTTACTCGATTTGATTTTCATGTCTTTCCGTCAATATATACAGTGGTATTGACCAGACAAAAAAATTCTATCTATCCCGCTTCTGCTGCCTTTTTATTGTGACATTTTCATGGAGTTTTTTTTCTTGGGAAGGGAAGGTCAGACTTTGGTCGGCGGCTGCGGTTGCGGTTGCAGTTGCGGTCTTTTACATTACAATTGCATTACATTTGATGATGGTGATGATGATGATGATGATGAAGGCATAGTTTAAGGGAACCGAACAGGATGGGAAAGGAAGATGAGAAAGCTCGCATGGCATCGTATTGCATCGCATCCCTTTTAGGAGAATGCAATTTCCCAATGATACTCTGTCAGCTCAGCACCGGCTCCTAGAAAAATTTCCGTGCATGGTTGGTTACCTTATCTGTCCAATGCTACTAGACCTATGATAATGTTTTGCCCTGCTGCGTAGGTAAAGATATGGGACGCGATTCCTAAGCGAGAATGTAATCAATTGTCAGTTCTTTTTCCAAGGCGAGGCTCTTATGAAGTAATGTATCGCTGCCAAATAACCGTCACTTTTGATAGTGAAGGAAAAGGCAATGTTGTCGATGGAGATAGGATGCTGACGGGCTTGATAGATAGATCGATAGATAGATACAAACTTTCGGGAAGATCGGGGGAGGTCCATACGTGCCGTTGCTTTTCGTCATTGATTGAGTAAATAGAGCTGAGGATTTATATGACTTTAGACTTGGATAGCTACAGTGATAGGCAAAGAGGGAAATCTTTTGATTTGAGAAAAAAACTCACATGAACTGTCAGAAGCTTACTTTGATGCTCGGCACGGGAAGCAGTACCGAATGGTAAGTCATCAATCTGCTTCAGGGGAAAACATTTCAAGTCTGGTTCTAAACTGTATACTCACAGACTCATGTAGTGACTAAGTGAACTAGAAACCTATCCATCACCTCTCCCAACCACAACAATAATCAGGAGTATGCTACCTCTTATCACCTCCCACAACCCTTTCTTTCCCCATCCAAATGGCAGCTTCAGACTATACCTCCTCAGTCTCCTCCTCCTCATCATCATCACCATCACCAATTAAGCACTCCCGCTCCAAACCCTACACCCCATCTATTCCACTACTACCCTCAGCAATCCCACTAATATTCATCAACGAAACCGAGCGTCTCACCTCCAGCCAAATCCGACGCGACATCCGCTCGCAGGTCCGGAAAGGCTCACATGAGAGACAGCGACGCTTGAATGCTGCGGCGAAAGCACGGCCGCTTGAGGCTGTGAGGAAGTTGGTGAGGAAAGGTGCTGGGAAGGAGGGGAGGGGTGAAGGGAGGGATGATAGGGCTAAGTTGGTGCCGGGGTTGCGGAGGTTGAGGATTTCGGGGGTGGAGAATGATAATGAGAGGGATGAGGAGGAGGAGGATGATGATGATGATGTTATGGGGCATAAGGCGGAAGAGAAGAGGGTGAGGGGAGGGAAGTTTTCGTTTGAGGTTGATGGGGAGATGTTGCAGCATGTGAAATGGGAGTTTCCTGTGGATGTTGATAGTGGGACTGGGTTTGGTTCTAGTTCATATTTTTGAACTCATCGACACTGCTATGTCAACATCTGGTAACGATCCGGATTTGTCACTGCCATTGGATGGTCTTCCCTCATCCGAAAACCGCTCACTAGTCACTTCCATGCCCATACACATAGATCGCTGGCCCTTCAAAACAAGTACGTCCTCGCCTCAAGTCATCTACTACCATCCCCATCCCACTCCCTTCCCACCACTAACCCACCACCCAGCAACGCCCTTCGCACTCCTCCTCGGCAACGACGGTCTCATCCTCCAAATGCACTCTCTCAACTGGCCCGAGCACCTCCCCCACCTCTCGAATTCCAACAACAACAACAACAACAACAATAACCGTCCCGGAATCTGCGTCTGGATGCCCTGCAGTATAATCCCATACCCAAACTCGGACCCCGATCATCCTTATTAAGAAACTCAAAAATCTTCCCTTGGATATGCAATAGCGCGGAGTATTTCTCCTTCAAAGAAGAGACGATTAAATGGGCTAATAAGAGATTGCAGCAGCACCCGACGCATGAGAAAACGATTGGTGGGATTGCGAGTCTGATGAGTTGGGAGGTGAGTTGCTATTATTGCACTTCTTAAACTCCAAATGCAGATAGTCTTGCTGCTACACGCTTTGCTGATTTTTGTACTGATTATTCATTTATTGTCGTAGAGTGCGAGGGGCAATATCGAGGAGACGGCGTTGCATATGGATGGTTTGGCTAGGATTGTATTGATGAAAGGGGGGTTGAAAGAATTTGTGTCCGATTAAGCAGTTTTGTTGGAAGATCCATTTGTGAGTGTTTTGATTATTTGCCGTTGTCAGATCTCCACTATGCTTGATCTGCCTATACCATTTTCTTGCATTTACTCGATATGAGGTATGCAGTATATGAATTGGGGCAAGTTGCCTTGCCATTCTCATTGTGTCGATTCGACTGCTACTCTTGGAAGAATCTTGGCCGTTGATCTCTTGTTTACGATTAAGCGAGATGGGCAGCGAGTCCAACACCGTTTCGGACAACGCGACTCAATCCAAATACAATTCCTTCAATCCAAATTCAATTCCCTGGATTTCAAACAACCCCCATCTAATTCCTCACTCAACCCATTCCTCCTAACCTAATCCTACAAAACTCAAAACTAACCTCCCAGAATCGACCTCACCGTCTCCCTCCTAACCAACTCCTCCCCCTGTTTCAGCGACCAAACTCCCCGACAACCAGCCCAATTCACAAACCACTCTCATCAAATCTCCTCTCCACCACTCTACACACGTATCTCTTACTTCCCCTCTTTTGAATTCGAGCCAAATAGCTCTCCCCTCTGTCCAAAAACAATATCCCTCCTTCGGGAAATGCACGCTTTGACATACAGCTCCCAGTCCAAGTCCAAGGCAAAGTCCAAGTCCAAGGCAGATTCCTATTTCCCAGATATACTCACACCACCGTACACTTTCAACGTACACGCTGGCGCTGGCGTTGATATCGACATCGAGAATGAGAATGGAAATATGTACAGAAATATGTGCAAAAATAAGAGCGAAAACAATAAAGGACTCCTCCCCATAACCCAAGCAACGTCCAACATCTACCGGCGCGCCTTCCTCCCCCTCCCAACACGCACACCATTCTCTTCCCCGCGTAACAAAAGAGACATGCAAATCATCTGCGAGTGTTTAGAAGATAATCTAACGACGACGTTTGGGTTAAATACCTGGGAGTACTGCTGTGGATTCTGTTGGTTGGTGTTGCGGCTGCCGGGGCTGCTGCTGGTGGTGGGGTTGGAGGTGGAGTTGGAGGTGGTAGTGGTGGAGTTGGAGGTGGTATGTGTGGGTGTGGTGTGGGAGGCGGGACTGGTGTTGGGGATGTGGTTGAGACGGAGAGGGAGAGGGAAACAGAGCAGAGGAGTTATCTGACGATGTGGTTTTATATATAGGGCTGGGACGACGGTTGGTTGGTGGGGGGTGAAGGAATGTAGGGGGGCGGTGATGGCGTTTTTGAGGGTTAAGAGGGGGGCTGATGGGGATGGTGAGGGTGATAGTAGTAGGGAAGGGGAAGGAGATTGGGGGAGGAGGTGAGAGGTGATATTGCGTAGGTGTGTTGGGGGGGGGGGGGGGGGGGGCGTGGGAAGGTGACTATGAGATTGAGGGCTAGTTTGTTTTTATCGTTAATTAGGAGAGGGAATAGAGCGAGATGGTTAGGTACGGGATTATCTAGTTGAGAGGAGATTTATTTTCGTATAAGAAGTTGAAAGTAAATAGCCTCTCGTTACTCCTCCATCTCAGTAAACACAGAGCTAGGATAATCAGAATGTAAAAAACTGTTCTCGTGATTGTAGAGAGATTCTCACTTCTGAAGAGTGGGCTGATTTAGACACTGATCTCGGATGAAATTATCGACTCACCATGTGGCGAGACTGTGTAGATGAATACAAGGTGTTAGTTGAAAACAGGCAGTGTGTATCTATCGCTCATCAGGTTTCCTCTATGATAACCATGGAAGAGCTTGATGGAAAGATAAAGAGGGAAAATCGATACATACTGTCCAGATGCATGACTACGAGATGCAGACGAGAGCTCTTTGAACATACCTGCAGCTGTCTAGGTCTTGAAGGATATGCCTCGCCTCACCTCACCTCCTTCGATCTCTACTGGTACCTTGGCGACTTCTAAGAGAGATCGATGTTCTGGCGCTGAGATCAGGGCATTTGAGTAGCACAATTTCGAAAAGCCGACTGTAGTACAAGTATCGTAATCTCGCTTGGACGAGTACATCTCCACATGTTGACCCATTTCGCCATGTCCTGGTAAGTCAGGTCAGCGGGAAGAATGAGGTCGTATCGAGGCAAGCTGAGATGAAGTTGACGCCGAAGAAGTATTGACACAGTTTCATTACAGTACAAGATTCCTGCGACCGAAATAAAACCCGGTGGAGAAAGCGACATTACGTAGTGCCCCATGCGCGGTTGTACCGGCGGCAAGAGAAATGAACGCGACTAAGTGTCTCCAGCACAAGCACGACAAAAATGGGTCTCATACAACAGGTCCCACTCGGAACCACAAATTTCAACAGAAATGGAATAAAGAAAGTGAGGAAATGCATAATAATAAGGTCTTGCCAAGTTTCAATGACAGCTGAATCTTAGCTGTGCATGAAAATAGACAGAGGTCACGTGTTTCAGACCTGGAATAAGGACGGCGCTGACGGGCGCGGACCTGGCCTTCTCTGAGGCCCTCCGACGTCAACGACTGTTTGAGAAGGAAGAACAGTACGAATGGAGAATTCGGATGCAAGACATATTACTACACCTTTGCGGTGCATGATGATCCGCTGGCCGTGGATTTCAGACCCGGTCACGTGTGTAAGAATATTTCAAAGAAGTCCCTTCAAGAGGGGAGGTATCTGAGGATCTTCTCGATGAGAAGAGAATTTGAAACGGTCTTTCGTCGGCCGGAAGGATGATGATCGGGAGTCGCCGTCATGCACCGGAAACAAATCCCGCAAACAAATCGGTGTGGTCTCGATCGAAAATGAGGCTTTTGATGAATATCTCCCCCCCACATCAACAGTTTCCCAACCACCCCATTTATTCATCCGAACTGCTCAGATGACAGCATGCAGCCATGATCATGATAAATGTGGAGACATATACAGGTGGAAAGTGAGTCAGAGCTCTCATGAAACAGACGATCTCGAAACATTTCCAAGGATACAGGTCCAATAGCAACGGCCAACACGAGATGAGTCTTTCAAGACCGCTTTCCTGCATTTCTAGTCGTCTCCTCCCATCTGCAGCGCGTGGATGAACGTCCAGGATTATTCTCGCTTGAGCTCGCGTATTGAGGGACCAATGGCACTGCCGAAGTGGCCCATCGCTAAACACGACCTTGACACGCGGCGCCAAAGGTCCAACCTCTCGAGTGTCGCAGCAGCGCTCTCGCTCACTGCCGGGCAGCGGATGCCAGCAGAAGCCATGGCATAAGGCAATCAAACCGGCGCTTCAGTGTCGGCTGTGCGAGATGGCGGCGCTTGAGTTGCGCGGTCTCGGTCTTCTAATGAGGGTTTTGTATGGGGGAGGTTCATGGTCGGAGAGGCGGCTCTTGGTTTCATTCGCAATCTGAGGAGCCGCCAGTCGCCAAAAATACACCCAGAACCCCGAGTCGCCCCCCTAGAAGAAGCCAAAAGTTGGCGTTACGAGCCTCCTCGGGACTACTAAGCAGTAACTTAGTGGACCGATCTGGGTTGAGGTGACGCGGGCGCCTCGTGAAGCTGTCGCGCAACAGGATCCGGACTTAGGCTCAAGGCACGGTCCAGCTCGTGTATTCGTGTACTGGTGTCGCCCCCCCCCCCCCCCCCCCCGCTTGGTGTTGTTGACCTGTTTTTGTGGACGAGAGAAAAAGCGCGTTGGCGCGCTGCATATTTGGCAACATCTGGTTTTTTTTCCCTTTCTGCAAATGAGCTACTGCTGCACTTCATATCCACATTTTCACTTCCTTGCAAGGATTCTAATTATGACTCAGAGATACTGCAGATGTAGTGCTGCCGGTTGAGCTCCCGCTGGAGAGGGCATGCTCGCAGCGCCTGTCGAGTGGCCTACCAAACGGCCTTCTGGGCCTGACCAAGAAACAAGCTTGGGTACACACACCGGATTCTGGGTAGCCTTCTCTCTCTTCTCCGCGTTTCACCTTGATTTAGACTCGCGGGACCCTGGTTATTGTCCGGAGGGATTGGGCTGTGCAGCTTCTTTCTTGTCGTGGGGAGGATAAGTATCAGCATGTCGCCTCAGGACTTTGTTGGTTCTTGATTAATTCGATAGAGCTTCCCCTTCTGTCGACCTCATACATACTCATATCTCTCTTACTTGTTCCATCATCATCATAGATATTCCAAAGTACTAGACGAGCTGTGCTCACCCACGAATCTCCTAGCCTTCTTCCCATTGTATTGACAATCGGAGCTGGCCTCCTCTTATCATAATTGATAGTGTCTAGTAGACACCAGATCTCATACTCCAATCCATCTCACTGCGTAGGTGAACCTATCCCAGCTCATTATGATTCATTATAGCTAACATTTGTCAGTCTGGAAGTAGTCAAGATGTCCTTTGACTACTCGTTCTCATTCGGTGCTGGCCCTGCCACGCCCCCGGACTTCTCTTTCGAGGAAGCTCTCAACAGTTCCTCCTTCCAGTTCGGCCACAGCCGATCAAGCTCTCATGCTTCATTGTACTCTCAAGGGTCATCACCTGAGTCTGTCAACACTCAATTGACCACACCGGCTAGGTCACCCATCAGACAACATGGCCCACTGTTGTTACCCAAGATCCGTCCTCAGGACCAAGAGATCCATTCTCCACCCAAGAGAATGAAGAAGATGGCAAAGTCAAACACTCTCCAGCCAACAACCAGCTTCAGACCATCTCACACCAGAAGCTACACCAACCCAGAGTCCATCTCCGTCACTCCGCAAGACAACTTCCCATCTCACACACGCTCAATGTCAACATTGTGCTCACCAATCTCATTCGCACCAAACAACAATGAGCGGAGAGCTTCCAGTGCAGATCTTCTGGATACCCAAACCATCGGAAAGTACGGTTTCCCAACATACCGTCAGATGCCAACTTACATCCCATCGGCGACCAATAGCCAGACGGAGACATTCAATCAACAGACATTCTACGTTCCTCGGCGTACTCCTTCGCCACTTCAGAACTCCATCTGTCTGGATGAGATGACATTGAGTCCCATCGATGACGGCAATAACACCACCATGATGGCTTATCTCACATCTCCAAACCCAGCACCTGCTCTAGTGCGCCAAATCAACATCCACATCCGCGATACAAACACAAAGCATTTCTGGTGGGACATCCGACAAATCCGCCCCTGGACAACCTTCAATCCAACGACCATCAGCGCCATCCCCGGTCTCCAAGCCCTCCTCAACATCAACCTCCCATCCTCCACCTTCCCCACACCACCCAAGACATCACTACAGCCCGAGACCGAGCTCGACCTCCAAAACATCTACAGCTCCTTCTACGGCAGCAAGCTCAACGCCGCTCTCTCCCTCTCCCTCGGCCAACGCCACCTCGTGATGCGCCCCTCGGCCAAATCCACCACCGACCCCTCCTTCATCTCAAACTACACAGACGACACCTCGCAGCTCATCTACGGCCGTGGCCTCGGCCGCGTCGTCGGCCTAGTCAAGTCCTTCGACCGCTGGAACACAGGCATGCGCGTCGAGGGCAACCACAGGAAAGTCGAGTACCTCCGCGGTCTCGCTCACCTGCACCGCCACATGCGCGAGCATGGCTGCAGATATGGCTTCATCATCACCGAGATTGAGCTCGTCGTCGTCCGCAATGGTGGAGACTCGGTGCCGCATTTCGGATACCTTGAGATCCAGACTATCCAGCTCGCTGCGCACGATAACCCTCGCACTTCTACTTTTGAGGAGGTGGAAGGCAGTTTCGTTGATGCGGGAGAGGAGAATGTGGTTCCCAGGAAGACGAAGATGACTGCGCTGTTGGCGCTGTGGTATTTGCATATGTTGGCTAGAGATGATGCTTTACCTGGTCAGGTGGGCTGGAAGAGTGAGATTGGTGCTCCTGCTGAGGGGACCAGACGCAAGTGTTTGCCGAAGGATGAGTGGATTCCAGAGCCTCAATTGGCGGAGAAGAGGGAGGCGAAGAGGATCAGAGGATGGGTTTGGCCAGAAGAGGCGGTTGGAAGGAAGGAGTTGGGGAAGAGAGGTGTGAGGTACAATTGTTAGGTGGTTGGAGATGGGTGGAAGGATAGGCTGCTGGTCGGTCGGTCTACTTGTTTGTTGATGAGAGATGAGGGATGAGATGAACGAAAAGCGGGATGAATGGATGATTGATGGGAGGATATATGAGTAATGGTTATTTAACTGGCTGCTCTAATAATACATATGGTTTCAAAGTTCACAAGTGTCTGCTACGTTTGTGTACTCTCATCCAAGTCCTGAGATGCTATTATTCAAACAACACCGTCAGCAATTATTCAATAAATCATGGTACTTTGAATACTACCTACAAGAGATCAGTGCAAGCTCACTATTTTGAACTTACCTACCTAAGTTTTACTCCAATGATCGGACTCCCAAAAGTTCTAGAGAAGAAGTCGAGCAAAGGATCTACAGGGGCTCGCGTCCATTTGCGGGGTAGTAAGCAATACCTACGCCTCAACCCCGCCATCCTCCCGCCTCCACACCTCCAACAACAGCAAATCAACACCACCACCTTCAGCCTTCTATCAACCATGCAGCCAATCGACGCAACTCAATAACCAAAAGACAAGAGAAGGAAGCACGAGGACGGCACAGCTTAGCATTACGGGATGGACCTCTTCCAAGATGTCACCACGCCCGTTGATCTACACAGCTACAGCTTGAGCTCGAACCTGAACCTGAACCCGAACCTGAACCCGAACCTGAACCCGAACCTGAACCTGACTCTCGATAATGGCATTACTGGCGAAGCCGTCATGTCGCCAGCAGACAGCAGCAGCAACAGCAAGTCGAAGCTCCAGCTTCCGGTGACCTGTGATCCTCCTGGTCCGGGGAATCCAGCAAAGCAGATGGTGTGGGTTGTGAGTACATATATGAATTCCCATTCTCTTTACCTTACCTCAGCATGAAGCTCCTCTCAGATGAGAGCATACTGTCAACACCATACATGCGAAACCGCTTTTGAGGACTCAACTTTCACCTTGCACTTTCAGATATAAGTCTGTTTCTATATTTATGTATATGTATCTATTAACACCCTCCCCCAGATCTTCGGCAGCACAGGACACATGGGTCGCTCCCTCGTCCGCCACTGCCTCAACCAAAGCGACCTCGTCTGCGCGGTAGGCCGCACCTTCGAGAACACCCTCCCCTCGATGCAAAACTGGCACCCCAACTGCCTCGGCACGCTCTGCGACGTGCGCGCGCGCGAGACCGTCACCGAGGTCTTCGAGACGGCCATCTCGCACTTCGGCCACGTCGACATCGTCGTCAACTGCTCCGGCTACGGCGTCATCGGCGCCTGCGAGGACCAGGACGAGCACGAGCTGCGCAACCAGTTCGAGACGAACTTCATGGGTACCCTGCATATCATCCAGTCCAGCTTGCCGTATTTCAGAGAGCAGGGCCAGGGGAGGTATCTCATCTTTAGTAGTACGAGTGGGGCTTTGGGCGTTCCTGGGTTGGGCCCGTATTGTGCGACGAAGTATGCTGTGGAGGGACTTATTGAAGCCATGCTGTATGAGATTGACTCGTTCAATATCAAGGCTACGCTTGTGGAGCCCGGGCTGGTGAGGAGGGATGAGCCGGATTGGGAGTCGAGTCCGTTGCCTACTTGGGGGCATTTCTTGATCAAGCCGGCGAGTGAGCCGTATTCGCAGGCGACGTCTCCGGCGTTGCATGCGAAGAGGATGGTGCAGTGGTTAGGGGATAAACAGCCTACTAGTGCTATCAAGTGTGCTGAGTTGGTTTGGCAGTTGGGACATTGCTCGTACCCTCCACTGAGGCTACTACTAGGAAGCTATGCTATCGAGAGTATTCGGGATCGGTTAAGATCTATCATTGAGGAGCTGGAGGATTGGAAGCACTTGCATTTCCCGGTGGCAGCTGATGCTCCTAGTGAAGACAAAGAAGAGGAAGCCGAGAACTCGGGAAACATGGACACGGGACCATGACATAGACATAGCTTTTGGGAAAATGGTATGGTATCATTTATAATAAACACCCCTACCCAATGCTCCTTCGCACCCCGTATTCAAGCACGAACAAACAACTGCCATCCGACAGCTCCCAATAACTCCAAATGTATGCTTCCCTTTAAACCAAATCCCCTCTACCTAACTTCCCGCGCAGCCGCCACGGCAATCTCATTATTAATCGCATCCGCCGTCTCATCCCTCGGCCTCCCCTCAAAGATCCGCCTCCAAAACATCGGCGGATCAAAAGGTCTAGACCCCCCATGAAGAGGCGGATACACATCACTAAAGAAATACCACACATGCCCAATCACCACGCCCATAATCTCATCCTTCGGTATCGTCCCATGCACCACCAGACTAAACAGCATCAGCACCCACGGCAGGTACGGCGCCGTAAACACCAGCAAGCCCAGGAAGCTGAGCCGCGTGTCTGGGTTCCGGCGCGACCAGATGTACACGAGCGTCGAGGAGAGCGGGTGTCCCAGGAAGGGCATGGACACCAAAGGCGAAAGGCAGATCAGGCAGGTCGTGGAGTAGAGGAGGAGCCAGGAGAAGTAGGCTGGGGAGCGGCCGGAGGATTCCTCCAGTAGGCGGGAGTAGCGCGTTAGGAAGAAGACGTGGAAGACGAGGTCTAGCGAGAGGGGGCCGAAATAGAGGAATGTGGTCAGAAGCCGCCAGTACTGTGTTTGGCACAAGTCAATACTTTACTCTCAATGAATATCCTTCCTCCTTGCTTGCAGGACGTAGAACAGACATAATGAATATACAAAGAGGAAAGTTAGAAGAGAGAAGAGAGAATAGGAACCATACCTGCGATTTCGAAAATACCGCTCGGAAACTGTAGAACAGCTGGAAGGGCGTCACGATCTGGCATTGTACCAGCGCGCTTGTGATGACCACGGCTGTAGTCCACCATCTCGTACAGAGAGGCATCTCCCAGAACCACTGCTCAAGAGGGAATCCAGCCGCGCCTCCTATGCCGCCATCTCCTCCTCCCATCATTTGGTCCATATTGGCTCGCTGTAATCGAATCCGCTGCTGTGCGCCACCAGCTAGCTTTAAAGATCAAATGGAGATGACGTTCGCCTGGATGTTGGGGGGGGGAAGAGTTGGGCCCTGGATTCTGGGGTTTTGGAATTTTTTTTGGGAGAGTACTGTAGTAAAGAGTGTGGATGTAAAGGTAGGTAGGTACCTAGGAGTGGATTTAATGGAGAAGGAGGATGAACATTCTTGGTGGAGTTACTCGTAGTTAGGGTGAGGTTAACCTGAACTTGAAGTAGCCTTTCAGCATTACGTTCGATAAGCCAGCTGGCGTTATCTGATGACGCCACAATGGAATGGAATTCACCAGCCACCCAACGTGGATGTGTGGCCGGGTGTGGCAGTTCAACGGACCGAAGTCTTGGCATTTATTGTACAAGTATCGGGTTTCTCGCTTCTCAGACCTTGCATATTCTCAAATTCATAAAAATATCAACAACACCGCTCAAACATCCAAAGATGTCAACATTCAGCTTCTCCTTCTCAGGAGACGACATAGAGGATACTCAAATTACAGACTCTGAACCCCAACCCTTATCACGAAGTCATGCCGCCGAAACAGGAACCCTACAGCGCTCTACTACCAGCTCAGCTTTCCCAATTGGGAGTCAGTTATTACAGCCACAGACTCACGATTTAGAACCCATGCTGAGATCCTTACCATCAAAGATCGTCTACAGTACATTAGTCATCAGACTCGATGACGGGACAGACATCTCTATTCCGAGGAGAGAGCTTTGGGATGTGAGGGTTCAGCTTATGGCTGAGGAGGATGATGAGGGGCTGGGGAATCTCGGCAAGGATGATGTTAGGACGGGGGTTTATGAGGGTGGGTTTAAGAGCTGGGAGAGCTCGGTGGATGTGGTTAAGTTGTTGCATGAGAGGAGGAGAAATGTTGATTTCTCGGGGAAGATTTTAGAGGTATGTGTTTATATTGCTGGTACTGAAGCTCAAGCGAAGTTACGGTTCCCATGTGTTTTCTTCATCTGTAGTGCTGGCAGTTCAGACCCCGTGTCTGACATAGCCATACAAGTTTCTTCATGCGTCTTCGGATCTATAACAAACAATACTGACACCTCAAACAGCTCGGATGCGGCACCGCCCTCCCCTCTCTAGCCGTCTTCCAATGGCTGTTACAAAACCCCATCTCAACCGAACCATCACACCTCGGCCTCGCAGACTACAACCCCACCGTCCTCCAACTCGTCACACTCCCCAACATCCTCCTATCCTGGGCCCAAACCACTCGCCAAGAATCATGGCAACCCGAAGGCGAGCTCGATCTCGACGAGCAAACCATCCAAGACTTCCTCTCCTCTCTCCAATCCCGCCAAGTCAAACTCTCATTCTTCTCCGGAGCATGGAGTCAAGAGTTCGTCAACCTCGTAAAGACCAACATGGATTCACGTACATCGCGACTCACCATCATCGGAGCGGAGACCATCTACTCGCCTGTAGCATTGAAGTCCTTTGCGGAGACTCTGGTTGGTCTTTTGGGGAGTATGCCGGATGAGGAGAGGACGGCGTTGGTTGCTGCGAAGAAGGTTTATTTTGGTGTGGGGGGGTCGATGGAGGATTTTTGTGATATTGTGCGCGGGCATGGGTGTACTGTGGAGCAGATTAGGGAGGAGTCGGATGGTGTGAGGAGGTCTGTGGTTGAGGTTAAGATCGCACAGTCCGTATGAGTTGGTTGAAGACGGAAAGAAGGGAAGGAAATTGTGGCGAGAGGCTTTGGTATCGGCTGGACACACTTCACGGTGGGTACAGTTGCATTGAACAACCGATTCTCTTGTGATGAGGGATCGGGTGATGGCCATCGACTTCATGGACATGGTGCAAGCTCCTGTACTGTACCTTGGGAACCATGAAGGACCAATTGGCCGAAGCTGACCTCAATCATATCATGGGAGCAGTTTCCGGCAAGATAAGTGTCGCAAAGATTCATTCGTTGCATCTTCTTGTCGCAAACTGAATTGAATTGACTGCTTGGACTGCAACCCCGGAACAATTGATTACTGCGCCACAGTTCCGAGAGAGATCACTGAGAATTTCCTCCAAAGCGTAAAAGTTGAAGGGCCTTATTGGTAGATGACCTTACAAGACATGAGCGATTGAACAAGTGGTAGAGCTAGAGGGTTGCCATGACATGAATCGAGGCAGGGCCTCCTTAAATATGCCAGTAGATGTGACAAAACATGATCTACATATCATCATAACAGTCATGTAGGTCCTGCTCTAGCAGAGACGTAACCCCCCCAGCTTACTGGGGCAGAGATCACAACCGACGGATCCAACTCCTCGAATCGTCTGTCACCGTAGTGAACCAGTAGCTCGTTTCCTCAACGACTCATAATGTTCTACCTTGACTCCACTCAGAAACTTTTTACAGAAAGGATCCGCCCCCAATTCGTTCTATCAAAACATGTTTTTGTTAACTTTCATGAGCCCTCGCCCATTTGTAACATATGGCCCATTTTCTCGATCTGATACGTTGTTAGCATTTCCACCTGAAATCTGGTCAAGCAAACATACCTTCGTCTTCAAATAACCCCCCACCTCTTGACTCCTGATACCGCCCTTGGAACCCCTCCAAGCAAGTGGAATCATAGCAACCCTTTCCCTAACCACAACTTCCCTCCCAGGCCCCTCTACAGCCCGTACCTTATCCGGATTATTCGTCAATAATCTCACATCCTTCACCCCGAGATCCACCAGCATCGCTGTCGCCAACCCATAACTCCTCGCATCTGCAGGATGTCTGAGTAACAGATTCGCTTCTACTGTATCCGATCCTAGATCCTGAAGATTATACGCCTTCAACTTCTCCCCCAGACCAATGCCCCGCCCTTCCTGCCGCAAGTAAATAATCACACCTCCCCCAGACCCAGGCATAGACATCAGCCTCGCCGCTTCATCCAGCTGCTCTCCACAATCGCAGCGCGCAGACCACACCGTCTCTCCGGTATAACACTCGCTATGAATCCTCACCAACGGCGGTTCCCTCTTCTCATCATCCGCCGCCTTCCCAGAATCCCCCCCTTCCGCCATACTACTCGTCGTCCGTCCCGGATACAAACGCCCCGTGTACGCCCCCCTAATCAACCTATCCATCTCCGTCTCCCCCTCCCTCACGCGATCCAAACTCGTGCTCCGAATCGAGTTCCCAAACACAATTGCCAAATGCTCCTTACTATCCTCGCTATTCTGATACAAATGCAGGAACATCTCCGTTCCCGTCCCGCCGATCGTGGTCGGGATCCGCGCCCTCACCACGCAATTCACATCCGGCAGCTTGTCCAGCAGTTTCGGCTTCTTCTGGCCGCACCCGCCGTCCGCGGTCGTGCTGTCGACGGGCACGGATTTAGGGAGGTGCTGCTGCGCATGCGGGGGATGGAGCGAGGCTCGTGAGGGCGTCTGCGTGCCTGTCCCTGGTGTTGAGGGGGGTGTGAAGGCGGGGGAGACGAGACCTGGGAGGGAGCCGTCGCCTTCAGGCTCTGTGTCGGCATCGTCTGAGTCCCGCTGCGGGGTTGGTGATCGCTCGTGGGTGTGGGTGTGGGCGTGGGCGGCGAGTGAGGGGTGGGTGAGGGAGAGAGAATTGAGGTCGAGTTCAGAGATTGCGCGCGAGACGGGGATGGGTCGAGGGGAGTAGAAGGGGGGCAATTGGGGGACTTCGTCGTTTTCCTCTGTGGAGGTTTGGACGGACCATGAGGGTGTGGTGGGGGAGGAGGAATTGGTGAGGTCGGGCATCTCGGTCGAGGTCGAGGTCGAGGATCTAATTCATATATGTGCAAGGCGAAGGGTATCAAGAAAGCGACAAAGACATGTAAAGAGATAATGCGGTGTCAACATATCATGAAGGTGGAATACTGCGGCTTCATGATGGAATAAGGGACTACCACTCGAAGCGGCATTGCCGTTGATCATCAAAGTATTGAACGCTACTAGCCGGTCCCGGTCCGCCTCCTGTTTTGCTCGGGGCTCGTCCTACCTTAAGATCCGGTCTGCCGGTATTCAATCTACCTCACGTGCGCGCGAGAATTTAGTAGAACTACCTAGGTACGGAAGGTACGAAGGTTTCGTACCTTCCGTACCTTACCCGAAAGGCGAAGCGAGGTTTCTGTCCACTCACCACTGTCCAGAAATAGGCTAGCGACACTTAGCACCCACGTAGTACCTAAAGGGAATGTAGGCGTGTACTTAGGGGAGCTTTACTTGAATCAATCGAATCTCATGCTATATTTAGTATAATGTTACGAACTAAGATGCGGGGTCGTGTACTGAAGAGTTTGGGACGACCTGGCTGGTCAGTGCTACACCGGTTGATTGTGACGTTTAATAAGAATAGATATTGTTGTTGAAGTCAACTACTACTCTACTTGCAAAGCAACGCTCCTAAACTAAGAATTGAAACCCTCGGTAAGTCAACATGTTGAATGTGCCTCACTGCCGTAAACTGCAATTATCCCTGTCAATCTGTTTTCCCATAGAACCCAGCATTGTCCTGGAGCACAGTGCCTTGACCCATAAGCGTAAGGGCTACGGAGAGCGGCCATGGAGTACCACAAAACCCAAGTACATCTTTATCCTTGATTCCACCGTAGGTGACAGTCCAGTTCGAGACTCTTGTCGTTGACCTAACGTATGCTCCATTGACTTTTATATACATCCATTTGAGTTCGGTATAAATCCCAGTGTCTTGGTCCCATGCCCAAGTGTGAAATCTAACAGATTTTCCAACGGTCCCTGCTGAAGGGTATCGAAATTTGTTTAAGCATTTTTCGCCTATGAGACCTTTGTTGATAGACCATGTACTAAGCTGTTTAGTAACAACACACGACGTAGATGGCTTCTCGTCACCGAATGTAGTCAGCCGTAGAGGCTCTTCACGGCAGGTATATACGCCGGTGCAATCAGGGAATGCTACTATCGTGTCCTCTGGATCGTTCATAAAATCAGGTGTGTAAGCACGACATCTGATACGACGACGAGTACCGCGACAAACTGCACCCCAAGAAGCAAAACGGACGTGCTGTTGACCTATCATATGATCCAGTTCTGCACATGCGTGGTCCTCATCATTTGCAACCCAATCTCGTCGTTCGAACGGTGACGCGTTCATGTCAACAGGAGGCCAAGAGCAGGGTTTGTTCTCGATTATATCAGTTCCGTTCTGTGTCATGACTCGAATCAGGTCGTCCTCCGAGACGGGAGCATCTTCGGAAGATGGAGACCGAAACTCCTAGTTCTAAGGAAATCAAATTAAGTCTATTAATATGATATTATATTAAAAAAACAAAGCGCAGAAGTGACTTAATATATATTAATCTTCAATTCACTAAGATATCTAAGTATTATATTAAAAGGTAGTTGTAATGTAGGTAGGTAGGACTCAGAGAAGGGGGGGGAAAAGATTTGGATAAGAGTAGAATTTCAGCCCCGCGGTTTCTAACTAGTTATTGAAACAGCTGTAAGCACATGTCAGCCGGGGCCGGTATCCCACCAATTCCGTCTTCTGTTGCTGAATGTAAATTTACGAGTTCGCCCCAGTTTGTGATCATGACTTAGGCCAATGAGCGTCTTCAGTTCAGCCATCTCCCCTCCTTCCTTTGATTCTATCCTTTCCACTGCGAAATGGGACGTTTTTAACCTTTTGGATCCCAGTGGAGTAGAGACGAGAAGCGAGCTTAGCGAGCAAATCTGGATATACATTTCTTACAAAACGCTCGCTTAAACTAGGGATTACCTCGCTTCTTAAGCAAGATCAGGGTGTTCTGCTCCACTTCTGCGTGCACCGACAAAACGTTCCATTTCGCAGTGGAAAGGATAGCAACACCTGTTCTTGTTTGTTGACAACTCTCTAATGTTGAACACAGCTTCTTTTAATCGTAAAACTTTTTTCTTTGGGGTACATATCCCCACATGAATCTCCGAGGTCTGAACAATTCGCTACAAGTGATAGCGCAATGGATATCAAGATTGTCCCTCCGCTGCTATTTTGTCAACGCTGTTGTTCATCAGGGTGTCGTCTCTTCAAATTATGAAATAGAGATGTGTCCTACAATCCTTCATGTGCTGGGTCGGAATCAGTTCGATTTTCAAAGACATTGGCATTGTTTCTGAGCAGAAGACTTCACCACAAGAAATTAAGCGAGAAGTCAACATTGAGGATGACCTTTAACGAGAGTAAGAGTTCCAACACGGGACAAAGAAAGAAGGACAACTTATGTACAGAATTCCAACCACTACCTTCCCACCTTCTCTCTCAATATCCACATGTTCTGATCTCCACCAACCAGCTATTTACATCTCCCCTCTCACACAATCTCTCCACCCTCCACCCTCCTAAGTCAAAGCCGGCACGCTCCACGAATACCAACTCGCCAAATTAACATTCGAACTACTCTTCGCCACAACCGGCGGATTCGCCGCACTCCCCAACAAAAACCTCTGCATAAATGCCGTCAAGTCCGACTGCTGACTACTCGGAAACTGGCAATGACTATGCCCCCCCACAAGCGAGAACCCAAAGCTCTCCGGCACCCCCCAAGCCTTATAAATCGTCTGCCCAACCTCCATACACCCCGTCGTGCTCACCGGACCAAGCCAATCGATATCATTCTCCAAGGGGAATAGCCCTCTGGGAACGGTAAGAGCAGCAAGCATATGGTGATCGAACGGGAGCTGCGTGACTTTGGAAGTCCAACTATTGAAGTTCGGCGAGAACCACGCGTTCTCGCCTACGATCTGCGAGGCCGTCTGGATGTTCCTCCCAGCTTTCTTTTCCGAGTCGGAGATCCGCCAGCATGCTGCTCCGCCGGAGCCGGATTCCTGCGGGATAGTGAGCGCGATGCGTGGCTCAAATGCGCCGACTATGAATGCGCCTTTGCCGTTTCGCGAACACCCTGTCACGCCGAGGCGGGTGGTGTCGATGTTTGCCGAGGGAGTTAACTCCAGCCCGTCGATCAGACGACTCACTCCCCATGCCCAAGCGATGAGGGCGCCTGCGCTGTGACTTTTGCCGTACAAGTTGAAGAAGAGTCCCGTGCCATGACTGCCACTGTTCTGCTGGGCGGCCATGTTGTCGTTCTCGAAGTTGATGGTTGCCACGCCTGCTGGGACGGGGATGCTCGATCCGCCGATAGCGATGATAGCTGGGTATGGAGCCTTCCCACCAGATGGAGTTGTGATCTTAGCGTTCATCGTGATGGATTTACCGCCGTCTGTGATGGTCACTTTAAGTGCGCCGCCGGAAAATGTTGCTGTTACTTTCTCGGGCTTGGGAGGTAAATCACCGAGCTCGTACTTTTGCATCAGAGCGCTGATCTCTTGTTGGCGGCACGGCCATTGGGATTTGCTGGTGATCTTTGTGCCATTGAGGAACGTGAATGGGTCTGGGAGTTTGGCTTCTGTTGTTGAGGGGGTGTAACCTGCTGGTAGACCGCAGGATGCTGCGGCTTGACGCTCGTCGAGGTAGGGATATGGAGATGCTAGAGCGGGAACCGCGAGCAGAAAGGTAGAAAAGTACTTCATGATGGTGAGACAGCAAGGACGGACAAACGTTGATAGAAGGACGGCTGTGGTGAAAGTCCGAGGAAGGATATGTATCCTTTATTTGGTCTTATATCAACACAGCAAGAGATCACAATCATAGATACTCCATGTCTAGCTGAATAGCCGACTCTTCTGGCTTCCAATTCTTCCGTAAATGGAAGAAGTATCGCTTAAATAAAAGGAGGCGGAACATCTGTCTTCCCCGCATCTGATATTCGGCAGTCAACCACATGATAAGATGTTCCCTCAAGAGAAGTCCATACTCTCCCCAAAGACAAAGATATTCAACAAGGGTTCCTTCACATGTATATTACCTGCATTACCCCAGAAAGATCGACGGTCTGTCCCGAGACCGGTTGATTCACTTTTAGAACAGCCTGTTTGATTTCTGCCGGCTGGGGAACCACGTTGTTTTGGTGGCTGGTGGGGTACATGTCACTAGTTATATATTTGCATCATGGTGACCTCGTGTCATATATGCTTAATTCGGTCGCAAATTTGGAATGGGTTGGGATCGCCAAGTTTGGATAGAAGGAGAACTGTTGTGTTTATCCTGAAAATTAAGCGAGCCAAAACACGACGTTTGAGTCTTGGGGTGCAAGCCCGGTTGGGTAGATACACAACCTAGGATACTTGTTTATCAAATTTTGGGTAAGTTCTATTGAACAAGATCTAAAAGAATCGTGAGAAGCCCCACAAGCCCCACGTTGTGGTGGTGTAAGTACTCTGAACTTGATCGGGGGAATGGGACAACAGCACCACGCCAGTATTTTAGCAGGATATAAAGAGCGTCGTAACCTGCCAAGAAGGATGATATATGACCTTCCTTGTTCGAAGAGAATTTGCCACCTCCGCTACTTGGCAATGACACGCGTGATGGGTAGTTACATCTGAGATTGTCCGCGAAGCAGACTCTTTTGTCCTGTCTTTGAGACAAGATAGCATATTGTATCTCACTCACTTGACAGATACAACGAAAACGAACGGCCGAATGGTAAGACTGTGCCTCAAATCTCATCTATCAGGCAGCTAGATTTCTGCACATTGATTCAGGTGGAAATTATGCTTCTGGCTACCATATTGACTATGCTTTAGAAGCAGTAAGTTAATGAATATCAGTAACACACCCAAAAGAGAAAAAGAAGACGAAAAAAAAAACGAATTGAATAAATAACAGAAGCCGGCAGAGTAGCATTACAACTCAATATCCTCAAAACCTCACACATGCAAATGCACATCACTGTTCTGGTGCGGTTGAACGAGATTTGGGCCAAGAATTCCAGCAGTCTCAGACCATCATCAACTTTGAATTTTCCTTTCCTTTTTCTGTTATTTTTCTTTTCGTTTGGCTCAATGCCTACATCAATCTACACTCGTCACCTGTGCTCACAATACAGGAGATTAATCAGGACCTGGAAAATGATAATGACAATGGCCATACTCGCACCCCAGAACGAGGATAGGATTCAAGTGGAATTTCTGTTCTTCATTCAGAATCCTAGTCACTCTTCAATACGTATTTGGCTTCTCTCCAGTGGACCAAACTTTGCTTTCCCTTTTCCTTTTCCTTTTCAAGCTCAGTGCGTCGACGCTCTTCCATTCAACTCATGATCTCTTGATCGTAACCACGTTATGGATTATGGTCACGGGAAAGCTATTCTTTCGTACCTGTGGTAGAGATGTGATGGTATCCCCGAGGTACTCTGTATATGGATCTTACTTTGGTTCCCTCCTGCACCCTCGGCACCCTCCCTTGCTTGCAGATTGATACATGTCGATGTTTGTGCTTGTTGTGAAGAAACCACAAAGGGTACAGTTCATTCGTCAGACTTTTCCTCAATTGCTGGGTAAGTATTTACATTCTATCGCGTCTTTTTCGGTAATAAACGAAATCACTAAAATGCAAACCGACTGACTGTCTAGTCCTCTAAATAGACCGACCGACCACCCTTCCTTACCCACGGAAATCAATGCAAATCAAACTCATCCACCTCACCTCCCATCGCCCCGCATCACCCCCCCATCATCTCGTAATCATCGCCTCCCTCCCCGGCCCGGTCCCAATAAACTTAACCTTGACACCCACAAACTCCTCAATAAACTCCACATACTCCCTAGCAGCCTTCGGCAAATCATAGAACGACTTCGCGCCCGTGATAGGTTGCTCCCACCCCTTGAGCTCGATGTACTTGGGCTGGACGCGACCTAGGAGTTCGAGATCTGCGGGGAAGGATTCGAGTTCGGCGCCGGTGGCGGGGTCGATGTAGGCGGTTGCTACTTTGATGGTGGGGAAGGTGTCGAGGATGTCGAGTTTGGTGACGTTGAGGGCGGTGTAGTGGTTTATGGCGGTTGAGTACTGGGAAGTGTGAGTATACAGCTTGGATACAAGGGTGAATAGCCAGAATCTCGACAAGGATATTGCGATCTGAGGGGGGCTTTTTGATGTACCTTGACGACTACTAAATCCAACCATCCACATCTCCTCCTCCGGCCTGTGTCATAAGTCAACGTCTTGTTCATCATGGGAGCCAGGCCGATCGTCTACTAACCAGTTGTGACACCAAACTCTCGTCCAATTTCTTGTAGCTTTGTTCCGGCCTCTTCCAGGTCCTCGGTAGGGAAAGGACCACCACCAACTCTTGTCGTGTATGCCTTGACGACACCGAAAATGTTCGAAATCTTGGTAGGATTAAGAGCAAGCCCGGTGAAGATGCCTCCTAATCCGGTATTGGACTAAACTTGTAAGCCAAAGCAAGACTTCTGGATCATTCCAATCGACTTACTGAAGTAACGTATGGATATGTGCCGAAATCCAAGTCAAGCATTAGTGCATTGGCACCCTCAATCAAGATAGGGGCACCGCTCTTTTGTGCCGAATCCATAAACGGTACTTGGTCGACGACGTATGGTGCAAGCTTCTCCCGATAATCCTGCAGCAGTTAGCTCTCAGAATCCCAGAGTCAAGACCGAAATCATCATACATTGAATCTCGAAATCTCCTCCTCGACGTCATAAGTCAACAAATCGCCGTATCTCTTCTTGTATCCAGCAGCCAGCTTCCGTAGTCTCTCGTTGAAAGATTCGGCCTTAAAGATCTCGGATATGCGAACACCACTTCTTGCCGCCTTTGTAGAGTATGATGGTCCGATACCCTTTCTCGTTGTTCCCACACTCTTGCCTCCCAGCTCAACTTCCTCCAACCCATCCACAATTTGGTGTAAGTCGAAGACAATTTGTGCTCGGTCGCTGATGAAGATTCGTGACCGTACATTCTCCAGACCCTTGGCTTCAAGATCATTCAATTCTTTGAAGAATGCTGGGATGTGGCACACCACGCCGGCTCCGATAAGGTTCACACATTCGGGGTTGATAAGGCCGGAGGGAAGGAGATGGAAGTCGTATGTGACCCCATTGGCGACGATTGTATGTCCGGCATTGTTCCCTCCTTGGGCTCTGGCACAGAGCTTCACTGTCGGACACAGGATATCGACCAGCTTTCCTTTGCCCTAGAGAGTTGGATAGTCAGTAACTGTCAGGTACGAAATGTAGTATATGCAGTGTGGAAGAGCGTCGCAGGACATTTCCACAACTTTGCAAGTGCTCAGGTGTAGAAATGGCAGCAGCTGCAGACTCAAGCATTTCTGATTCCAAAATACCATGATAAAACCTGAAATCGGGATTTTGCAACATTCTGCAACTGCCCTGATCTGGTATCTCAACCCTTGCTCAGATGACAATATCCAGGATCCAAGCAATTACCCCAATTCGCAGACCAAAGTCTCAATAACCTCTGGCGACATGTATGTAAGTGGTGGCGTCTTTTCCGAAGCCAGTCCTATTGTTGTGCCCAGTTCTCGCGTCTCAATATCCAGACCTGAAGTACATGGCATGGCGTGCCTAGCACAGCAGACAACCCACCCAAGAGGTGGACAAGGCTTGCATGCAGACACTTGTAACCATTCCCAAGACCAATTCGACCTTCATGCCCCGCTGGAACATCCCAAAGTCCCAGATCCTCTTCGCGACATTCCCATGTGCTCGTAGATGGGGAAACCGAAAAAGTTCAACCGTACCTCATCGCCCCATTGGGACCCCAGCACAATTGTTGCCATGTTCGAATTCGAATCTGCGGAGATTATGTTAGTGACACCAGAACGGGTACGGGAATATGGATATGTGATACGAACTTTGTAGCGTTTTGTTTGTTTACGACGATGCAATGAGTGACTGTTCGACGTGAGGTGGGGGGAAATTATTGCATCCAAACAAGCGACCGCGGGGTACTGGAGCCAGGCACTCAACGCAGTCACTCATAACAGTACTGTCTGTGCTTGGTGGGCAGAAAAACCTTTGAGGTCCGGCGGTCGGCATTGGCCGATTGGGCTTGGGCATGGGCTTGCAGGCACAGCAAGCACCAGAAGGGCAGCGACATGCTTAGTCAGCAAGCCAATCTGAGCACCAGGAGAGTTGAGCATGAATGTCTTGCTGCTTTTACTCAGTCTCTGCTTTGTGGGCGAGAACAAGGGCGGCGAGACATGTGACAGAAGGCATCCTGTTGGTCTACCTACCTCCCTACCTCCCTACCTCCCTACCTCCCTACCTCCCTACCTACCTACTCTTCACAATGCATGCTTACCGTAGAATCCTAGGCTAGCAAGATCCATGTGCTACCATATTCCCCTACTGCTGCACTGTACTGCACATACTGTACTATCGGAAATGCCGGACTATGATGTGCGCTACCAGTTCCTGCGATACTATCTGAGTTTCGCATACTCCGACCCTTACTGTAGAAAATACCGGCAAAAGATTCAACCGGGCCAAACCTCTCGGCCGCCGCAAGTGCCAGATGCCGGGGCCGATCTAGCTTCCCCGCATTTCCCATCCAGTACGGCTCTTCGTTTTGCCAACATCCCCCACCATGGCCCGCGAGTCTCAAGTTAGACACTTAGACCTCGCCCACGGGAAGCTGACTAGAGTGCCGTGAAGCCCAACCGTAGAAGGTACCACTGGGCCTGATAGCCAGAAAATCATTCCATTCGTGCCCGCTCCCATAGCCGCGATGAGACGACTGTCCCGAGGGGCTGGATATAAAGGTAGAGTCTGCTCCATTCCGGGCATAGGTTTTCCATTCCGTTCGACTATTCTTCAAACCAATTCGAGCTTCAGTACAGATACCTGTTCTTCACCCCCTTTTCCTTCTAAAAGGTTCCTTATCGAAAGTATCTCTATATCTTCACATCTTCGCCATTCAACTGCTACTTCTACCCACCACTCTACTACACCACTGTCCACCAGAAACATCACCACCATGGCTACAAACGGTACCAACGGCACCAATGGCGCCAGCAAAGACAAGAGCCACAGATTCGACCCGAACTTCACACAACACGTTATCGACCTGATGGCTCCCGAGACGAAACCCCGAGACAGAGAGATCCTCAGCTCCCTGATCAGACATCTCCACGACTTCTGCCGCGAGGTAGAGCTCACACAGGAGGAATGGGTCATGGGCGTCAACTACGTCAACTCAATCGGTCAAGCATACAGGAAGAACCGCAACGAAGCCTGGAGAGTATGTGATGTGTTGGGCGTAGAATCGTAAGTCCTCCTTACAACCAGATATCTGGTCGATAGCCCGCCCATACGTACATCTGCTAACCCTCTCTCTCTCTCCAGCCTCGTCGACGAAATCAACCACAAAATCGTCACCGAGCAAGGCATCTCCCCCACCTCCTCCGCCATCCTCGGACCCTTCTGGTCGCCCGAAACCCCCTTCCGCGATCTCGGCTCCTCCGTCGTCCAAGACATGCCCCCCAACGGCGAACTCACCCTCTTCCACGGGGTCATCAAAGACGCCGAGACAGACATCGGGATCCCCAACGCCGTCTTCGACATGTGGCAGGCCAGCACGAACGGCAAGTACGACGTCTTCGACCCGGAGAACCAGTCCCGCCACAACCTCCGCGGCAAGTTCCGCACCGACAAGGACGGCCGCTTCTGGTTCTACTGCCTCAAGCCTACCGAGTACGCGATCGATACGTCTGGCCCGTCGGCCGATCTCCTCAAGATGATGGGCAGACATCCGAATCGTCCTGCGCATATCCATATAATGGTTACGCATGATGACTATATTGGCGTTACGGCACAGCTGTATCCTAATGATGATCCGTGGTTGGAGACCGATACGGTGTGTGCTGTGAAGGATGATCTGCTGCTTGATTTTAAGCCTGCTGCGAAGGATGATCCGCAGGGTGCGAAGTTGGATGTTGAGTACGATGTGCGGTTACTGTCGAAGAAGTATAAGCCCGAGTCTAGCATGTTGATGGCGAATGCGGCTGGTGATAGGAAGGAGTTGGAGACTGCTAAGAATTGAATGATATGAAGTATCATGGGATGTTGGTAACGATTTGAATCATTTTGCTGCATATACTGGATGGAATGGCGTAGGAGTTTTGTATATAGTCTATTTGTTAGGAAGACAATTCTACTTGGATGAGTATCAATGAAGTCTCGCTTATGAAAATGCTGTATAGCTACTAAAGACGTGCCAAGTGCCAGAGGTCTGAACATAAAAAGCTTTTAACCAAGCTGAAATTCATAAGACGTATGTGACATACCGTCTTGCTGGGGCAGATAGGTACACCAAATCTCGCTTACCAAAATACCTGTGTATCCACTTAGACGTGTAAAGAAAGTACCAGTGCTTAAACATGGCAATTTGCTGTGCAAGCCGAGAGTTAGAGAAGCTGTCCATGTATACAGAGATATAATCTCTTTTCTCGGAAAGCAGTCTCCCTGTTGCCAGGAAGCATGGCCAAGTCTTACTTACCAAACAAATATACCACTCCAACAAACTCTCTCTCCACTTAAGACCTACAAGATATTTCTCCGCCGCACAAGTTCAAATTCATGAGATAAGCAAATACCACATTGGATGTGTGTGTTAAAGGTCATAAGTTCATTATAGGTAGACTACACGCCAGCGCAATCTACCTAGGTACAAAAAGTTCCAGGTTCCGCCGACAAGTCTGATGTAAAAGCCATCTATCTAGCCGTCTGTCTTTCCAGCGATCTATTATATTGTACCGTACCATACCGTACCATACCATGCCGTGCCAAACCATAACATAACATACCCAAGTCCCATTTTTTCCATAGCCGTTCCCACAGTCCCTAAAGCGTACACTTGAAATACCATGTGCAAAGAAAAGAAGAAGAAAAATCACATATACGCCCATCGTGTCTATCTGACACTCAACATCTTGACAGGCTCTAAGCCGCAACACCAGCACCCATCTCAAGAAAGCCATTCCCATCCAACAGACTCTGACTCGCCACATAACTAAACCCCCCAAACGGATTCTCATTCGCGGCAGCACCCGCCGAGCTCCACGGCGCCTTCGTACTACTCAACACAGGACTCAGCGCCAGCTCCGTGAAATCCGTCGAGAAATTCTCCGCCAGCTCCGGGTCCGTGATCAGCGGCTGAATCGGCGGCTCGATCTCCCTCCTAGCGAGCCTCTTCCAGTCGATCTTGCGGAAGAAGCGATGCTTCTTGATGAGCAGCATATCCTTTGGCATGTTGGATCCCAGGCGCTTGTTAGGCTCCTTGCGGAGGAGGCGGGTGAGGAGATCCTTAGCGTCGGGCCCGAGGAAATACGGCATGACGAGTTTCTGCTTTGTGATTCTTTCTTGGATATTGGCGTGGTTTTGGCCTTGGAAGGGTGGTGCCCCGGTGAGGAGGTCGAAGCCTAGGGCGCCGAAGGACCACCAGTCTACTGCCATGCCGTATTTCTGGCCGAGGATCACTTCTGGCGCCATGTATTCGACAGTGCCGAGGACGCTGTTGCATTTGTCGTTTTCGTTGACCGCGACTTTGGAGAGGCCGAAGTCGGTGAGGAGGAGATGGCCCTCGGTGTCTAGGAGACAGTTCTCGGGCTTCAGGTCGCGATAGATAACGCCTAGGTTGCGATGCAAGTGCTCGAGAGCCAAGGCCATCTCTGCCATGTAGAAGGACGCGACTTCTTCAGTGAACATACGTTCTTGTGCCAGATGCGTGAACAATTCTCCACCCTGCGCGTACTCAAGGATGAGATAGAGCTTCTCATGGTCCTGGAACGCGTAGAAGAGCTTCACCACAAACGGATGCCGATTGACGCTCTCCAGAATTGACCTTTCGGTCTTGGTCTGTTCAATCAGACGCTTGTGGACAGTCAATGATGCCTTCTTGAACTGTTTCTGCGCGTACAATCGTCCTGTAGTCTGCTGTTTGACGAGGAGCACCGTGCCAAATGTTCCTTTCCCAAGACATCGCAGAGGTTCGAAGTCGTCCGCTGTCATCTTCCTTGCGATAGTATCCTGGATAAGCCCTCCTTCTATGGCACCGTATAGGGGCTTCTCAGCCACGCTCTCACTGACAAAGTCGCCCTCGAGAGGAACTTCGTAGCTGGTAATATCGGACGTGTCATCATCGCTGTACCCGTCTGAAGTGTTGGTGCCTGTACTGCTCTGAGGCTGGCTCATCAACTGGCTCTTGCTGCGCACAAATGAGCTAGTTCGAGAATCGTTATCCAAGTTCAGGGTATCGAGTTGTAATTTCAACTTGCTGATTCCTCCCATAGCAGGCGACGAGGTTGATCGCAGCATCGGGCTGCTGTTGGCGCTGACCACATCATGGATCTGGTGTCTGCGAGACGGTGTCCGTGGTCCATAATCCGAGTCCTCATCTCCTGATCCCAGTGCTGGTGTATTGAATCCGCGAACGGTCATCAAGGCGGGGGTTGGCGACTTCATGGTGCTCCACGGCGCCTCTCAGCATCTGCCCTGATCTGGCTACGATAGTTTCGGTGCAGCTTCTGGTGGTTCTTCGCGGTTCGCATCTGGCACTGGCCGATAAAAGAAAGAAGAATGTTCGTATTGTTTATTTCGATATGCATTTGTTGGGCGGGGTCTGGTAGGTCGTATGTTCTGTCACCGGTGGTGTGAAGAGGAAAAGAGAGAAAGAAAGGAGAAAAACGAAGGGATTCAGACCTTGGAAATTCGCAGACATGTGGCTGGCTCGGCTGAGGCTGATCCTGACTGTGATCATCGCTAAACTGGAAGCGGAAGAGGCTGACTGGATGTTGCATGGTTGTGACCAGTAGATTTACCCCGTGGTTTATTCTTAAAATATTCGGGGAGTTAATTCTGTACAGATAACTAAAGAACCTGAATACAATCAAAACCACCAATAATGCTGCATAATACTGACATTTTCCTGGTCCCTGATCATGAACTTGCTTGGCCGCCCATGCTGTGTGGGGAAACCCGTCGGATCGGCTGGAGAATCTGGAGTCGAGAAATCTGTGTCGGATATCCGCGGCTGAGGGTCTGACTGCTCAAGCTTCCTCTCCATAACAAAGGGTACATTTCCACCAGGAACTGAAAACGATGTGAAGGCAATTGACTACCGACTTCACGTCGGATCCATCAATGACTTGAGATCTCCCTCCAACCGAAAGCTCCATACGTCTATCATCTCGTTTGCTACAGAGAGACAAGATTAACACAATGAAGCTCCCTCAAATTCGCCTGGCGCGAACAGCAACGCCTTGGTCAACAGCAGCCTCGAGAAGAACGATCCCCCTCCGATTCTCCTCATCACTATCACAAAAACCAGGCGCAGCAGGAATTCGTTTTCCTGGTGCAGTGTCCAGTCAATTTGTCAACAGCCTCTCCTTCGAGCATCCATCCACCTACCCCGCGCTCCCAACTTACCGATGTGTCAACCAAGATGGCGATATAGTTGATAGCGACTACACCCCAGAGCCAGACTCTCTTGCTCTGAAGCTGTACCGAGATATGGTCGCTGTGTCAATCATGGATGTTATCATGTTTGACGCACAACGGCAGGGAAGACTTAGTTTCTACATCACAAGTCAGGGCGAGGAAGGGACTTGTGTTGGCTCTGCGTCCGCATTGGAGAAGGAAGATGTTATTTTCTGCCAGTATAGAGAGGGTGGCGTGTTTATGGAGCGGGGATACACATTTGAAGATTTCATGAACCAGCTGTTTGCGAACGCAAAGGATAGTGGAAGGGGCAGAAATATGCCTGTTCATTATGGGAGCAAGGCTTTAAATATCGTACGTATCCCTCAAATATCCACTCTGAACAGAAAACACATGTCCAGTACTCTGTGACTAACAATTTCAACAGCACACCATATCCTCCCCTCTTGCAACTCAGATACCCCACGCCGCAGGTGCCGCCTATGCACTGAAAATGCAGCGCCTTGCCGATCCAAACATTCCCCCACGAGTCGTAGCTTGCTACTTCGGTGAAGGAGCTGCCAGTGAAGGTGATTTCCACGCCGCGCTCAACATCGCTGCAACGCGATCTTGTCCCGTAATCTTCATATGCCGGAACAACGGCTATGCAATCAGTACACCCACGCTGGAACAGTACCGTGGAGACGGTATTGCAAGTCGTGGAACTGGATACGGCATTGACACGATCCGCGTAGACGGAAATGACATCTGGGCTGTGCGAGAAGCTACTAAGAGAGCTAGGGAACTGGCGTTGAAGGATGGAGGACGCCCTGTGCTGATAGAAGCCATGTCGTATCGGATCTCGCATCACAGCACGAGTGACGACTCCTTCGCTTATCGTGCGCGAGTCGAGGTCGAGGATTGGAAACGCAGAGATAATCCAATCACCCGACTGAGAAAGTATCTGGAGAAGAAGGGACTGTGGGATGAGGAGAAAGAAACGGAGACTAGGAGTAGACTCAGGAAGGAAGTGCTGAAGGCATTTGCGGCGGCCGAGAAGGAGAAGAAACCGCCGATGAGAAGCATGTTCGAGGACATGTATGAGGAACTCACGCCGGAGATTAAGGATCAGATGAGAGAGTTGAAGAGTATGATTGATAGGTATCCGGAGGAGTATGATGTTAGTGAGTTTGAGGGTGGAAAAGATACACTTGCTCCTTAAGTAGACTTGCAGAGAAAAAAAGCAAAGTGGATTACAAATAAGCGAAAGTAAACATCCATTGAAAGAAACCATCAAACCAAGGACTGAACGGATCGCATCCATAATATTATATGCAGTTCTTAATTAATGATTCAATTTGGAACTTGTCGCATGTACTTTACAGGAATCTGATTTTCTTCTTGAGTACCTGGCGTCATCTTGTGCCATTTACTGCATCAGCGATGGGAAATGCCCCAGCTCTCACACTCGCACTTACTAACCACCTAATACGGATACGCACTAACCTCCTCCTCCTTCTCCAAATCCAACCCCGCCTCAACCTGCTCCCTATGCTTCCTATCCAAATACTCCAACAACACCTCCTCATACCTCTCCTTCCCCTTATACCGGCTCACATCATCTCCCCAGCTCCTCACCGCACTCGCCAACCTCCCCGGCACATACGGCTCCTCGCAGATCTCCGTAATCGGATGAAAGTACGTGCGGATCGTAAACACTACACCACCGCTGCGAGGGAGTCGACGCAAAGTCTGCCGCTCTGAGCGGAAGTAGTGGTGTGAGATAGCTTTGTTCTTCTCGGCGGTGAACCAGCCGACCGTTCCCTCGGCGCCGTCTTCGTCGCCTATGCTAGAGGACCAGGGGAGGGAGTCGTCGACTTGGATGAAATAGTTATTCTATTCTTTGCCATCAGTCTCTCACTCTGATATCAAATCATCCGGTTAGCTGTAGGACAGGACAGGACTCACCCTCTGCACCGGCCCACTCGGCTGCACCCTCCTAAAGAAATTCATCATCCCCTTCTCCAACTTCGTCTTAAACCCCGGCACATTCCCCGACGTATGGATCTCACTCAACGGCATCCCAAACTTATCCTCCAGCTTCCAAAATCCAGCTAGCAAGATCGATCCCGCGAGGAGATAGTACTGCCCATCGTCCTTCTCGAACATGATTGCTAGATCGTCCTGCGTCATGCGAGCGGCCATCTGCATCGGGTCTTCGAGGAGTGGTCGCTCGATGATGTTGAATGATTCTCCTGTGATGAGGTTGTCCATTCCGACGGGTGTCTGTCTGTAGAGGGATGGGTAGCGCTCTGGGAGGTAGGCGCAGAATTCTTCGAGGAGCTCGATGGCGCCGTCGAATGCTTGGGGGTCGGTGTAGCTGCATTTGGACCCACGGTCCTCGATACGTTTGGCCTTGTCAGAGTGGAATTTCAGATAGTGGTTGTCAAGTTCTAGCCGGAATCAGTTCGTGTATTTTGGAGAAGTGTAATAGGAACTTACCAATCCACTCATCCCAGTTCATGTTTCGGAGACCCATTGTGATGTGGTAAGGTCCATGTCTGAAAGGGCGATATGGATTTGGTTTCGTGGTGTAAACATTCCAATTTGTCGCAGGAGGAGCAGTTGGTCTTTTGAAATCCATGGGTTCCCATACTAAAGAGATTAGCCATGCTAAGTCTTTCCAAATGGAGCCACACAAACCTCCAGGTTTCCTATCAGGAGCCTTGAAACTCCGAGAAGCTTTCTCAAGTGTAGGTGTTGATGGTCGACTCTTGTAACTTGGGCGCTTGAGATATTGGATAGCTTGGAATAGAAGCCAGAATACAAATGCCACCCCTAACGCTCCGTATAGAATGACTTTCGGACTTTCGAATATTTTCTGTGTTATTGGTGACATTTTTATCTGTTCGACCATCTCTCCTCCTATCTTTCTGCACTTCTCTACTCGTTTATCCATGTTGAAATTCATTTGTTCCAAAATCAAGTTGCCAAAAACTGCCAGACAGAAAGTAGTACAATAACTTAACTTCGTGATCTTGAAACACAGAGCATCCTACATATATGCGAAATATGAACACTTACAAAGGATAGGATCAATTAATGCAGCGGGGTATTTTGCCTGCTATTGATAGGTTAAGAGTGGGTAGGATGGCTCTTATCACCCCGCCTGGCCACCCAGGGACTTTTTGTCCATTTCGGGTTAGTGATGTCCAGAGACCGCAACAGGATTTGGGTAAGAGATGCTTGTTTGAATTAACATGATGACATTTTAGGGGACTCCTGGAAGATTTGACTTTCATTGGAGTCTTATGAGAGCTTGTTGGCGTGCATTTGACAAAATGGAGTGGTTGAGGCCCGGGTTGTGTATGAGACCTGTTTGGAGAGGTACAAGTTGTCGACCAACAAGCAGCCATGCATGCTAGTCGTGATCAAGGTCTTTTGTTTTCTTATCTATGCATCGAATTATACCAACAGCATATCTCCTTAATGACTCTTGGTTTGAAGGTAATCGTCTCGACAATAGTTGATACGGCGCAGATGCAGAGTTGACTGGCAGCTATGTGAACTTGTAAACACAACAGTATCGGATGATAAATTTTGTGTCTAAATGGACGACATTATATTTCTGCTTTGCATCACAACTTTTCCTTCCCATCCTCTTTTCCTTGTAATTCGCAAAACGCCTTGAATGTTGTGAAATCGTCACTCTCGCTCTCCATCACTACCTCCGCCGTTGACCCGGCGAAATACACATATCCAGGCTTGACCTCCTCTACCTTCGGACCAACACTAATCTTTCCGCTTCCAGTTGTGCAGATGAAGATACTTGGTCCTGCTATGGGCTCAAAAGTTGCCTTCGCACCCTTCTTCTTCAGATCAGTCTTTACGACACTGAACTCCTCAATAGGCGGGTCGTATAAAATGGCTGATGAGGCGGAGCTGTATGCTGTGGAGTTGAGAGTAACATATGGGTAGTCGACCGGTTCCATTTTCTGCTCTTCAATGGGAGCATAGGAGTATGTCAACATATCCACCAGAGTATCGACATCCTTAAATTTTGGCGTGAAGCCAGCTCGCACAACATTGTCCGACGCAGCCATACATTCGATAATATCCCCGCTCAAGTATGCGTGGATGTCGTCCGCCTTGAGGAACATAGCCTCTCCAACCTCGAGCTTGACGTAGTTCAAGAAAAAGAGGACGAAGAGTCCAATATCTCCTGGAAATTGCTTGTCAAGTCTGACAACCAGATCTGCCAACTCTTTTCCGGGTGTAGATTCCAGTCCACCACCGGCGAAATTTGCTCCCTCTACCTTTGCAGACTCAATCAAATCCTTGCTGGCCTTCTCGACATCTTCCTTCTTCGCATTCATTAAGGCCCCAAATGCCTTTTGTAGTGCCTTCTTGTTCTTCTGCTCATCCTCTGGCTTACTCGATGTTTCCTGACCTTTGATCGTAGATTGGAATGCTGCTCCTTCTTCCCCAACCAGTTTGTTCAACGTGGGCACCGTCGAGAAGAAGTGCGAAATCTCAGCTAGTGGCCTGAAGCCGCAAAGTCCGTCGAATGGTGTAATCGCAATAGTCATCTCAGGTTTGTGGTTGTCATCCGGATAGTTCTTGCTGTCTCTTGCGTGCAGTTTCTCTGCTAGTTTCTTGTTGGGATGTGCCTGAATACTGAGAGCTTTCCCAATCGATAGGACCTTGAAGAGGAATGGGAGTTTGTGACCGAACTTCTCGCCAATTTCTATGGACATGAGAGCTTGGTTGTCCTGCACAAGGTCGAGTAAGGTTCGTTGTGTGGTGACATCTTTAGAGGGGTTCGAAGGATGTGTTCCCATCCATAACTAGAGAACGTGAGATTAGATACTAATAGAGGAGCAGAAATAAATACCTCTGCGTATGGCTTGTCCTCCTGAATTGAAAAGTCGTTGGCGGGGGTTGCTGCTGCGAACTTGGCTGCTGCTGAATCCTTTCCTACCTTACCCCAATCGTAGCTGTTGACTCCGCACTGGAGTCTGATCAATGGAACTTGCATCGCGAAGTCTGGGCAGGTTTCAGTTGTTGCAAAAGTAATGGAAGTTGAAGCTATTCCGAGAAATATTAAGGTACTTGGGAGACATGAGCATTCCGTCACAGGCCTCCTCCTCCTCCGTGCTTTACCCCGCCAAAGATCAAGGTGGGGCGCCCAGCTTTCTATCAAGCCAATGACACGCGTGACTGAGGAGATTTCATAACCACACACCAAATCCTGCCCACGGCTTCAAAACGGCCATCATCTGCCGCCCTCGACGAGACGAAGATTGATACTGACGCACCACCATCGACCGACCACACCACCTGCATCGCACTGCGTCCAGAATTCGCATCGCGAGATTCGATTCAAGATGTCCTTGACGCCACAGGACAGTGCCAGGGCCCCATTCACGAATTCGAACCAAGCTGCCGGCCGTCAACACGTCTTCCAAGTCCAACCAAACCTCCCAGCTCCATCGCCATCACAACAACAACAACAGCAGGCCCAGCAGCAACAACAACAACGCGCTTTCAACAGACCGACTCATGGTGGCATTCGTCCTCCTGGTCAACAACAGGGTCAACCAATCCTCCCGCAGAAGTCGTCCTACACGACTCCCTACACCCAGAACAACAGTCAAGTCGGAACCCCTCGTCAGAATGGCAGCGTTGGACTTGGAGTCTCTGCGGAGCAGCAGATTGCCCAAGGTGTTTTGAGCAACTCCTCTGCTGGCTCCGGCACGAACACCCCACAACGTCGCCCTCCTCCTCTGGGAACCACGATTCATATGCCTCCTCACGGCACGTCCCAAACTCAGCCCATGAGCGTCAACCATGCCATGAATCCAATGAACCAGTCAACAATCCACCAAGTTCAACGACAGTCTCAAAATGCGTCTCCCGCTCTCAAGAACATCAGCACCCAACGGCCCACGATGACTGCTTCTCCTGTCAATCCAAGCCTCGCACCTAGACCCCAAGATGGACCTCCAGACGCACAAGACATGTCAATGATTGACCCTCAACTTGCTCTTGATCAGCAGCTTTCTGAGCAGGCGAATACTGCTATGATGGCGGGCAGTCCTAGCACTCCTCAAGTCGTCCAGGGTGACATGCTTTCGGCTCCTCCAGGTGGAAGCTTCCCAACTTTCGAAGCCCTCTTCGCATATGCACAAGCCCACGCTCTTGCCCATGGTTATGCATTCGTCATTGGGCGATCCAAAAGGGACAACAGAGGATTGAAGAAAGTCTTTCTGATTTGCGATCGTGGAGGAACGAACAAAGAGAAGGTCCCTGGAGAGCAGCGCCAACGCAAGACCAAGTCTCGTAAATGTGGTTGCGACTTTGGTGTTTACGGACTTGAAAATAAGACTACTTGGATTTTAAGAGCTCGTATTGATGGTGAACATTTGGCCCATAATCACCCTCCCAGTGAAAGCCGGACTGAGCATCCGGGTGCTCGGAAACTGGACCCAAAAGCAATTGCAGCTGTTAAGGCTCTTGAGGAGAACGGTATGTGTTTCTTTGATCTGACATTCTTCAATATAGACTAACAGACCCAGGGGTCTCTGTAAAGGAAACACTTGAGATTTTACACCGTGAAAACCCCGATGTTCGCTACCTACCCAGAGATATCTACAATGCTCGCGCTGCCATCAAACGTGATCCGTCTCGCGTAGAAGCTACGGCAATGGAGCAACTCCCAACATTCTACAAGAAGCCACCACTTACGTTTGAGGAGAAGCTTCGTGCTGAACTCCGCACGGAGGTAGCTAACGCTCAAGCCGAGACCGAGAAGACTAAGGAAGCCTGGCGTAAGGAGGTGGAAGAGTTGAAAGAACAGATTCGCCAGAAAGACAAGCAAATCCAGAAGTTCGAGATGTTCATTGATATCTGTAACGAACGGGTCATGATGCAGCGCGAGCGACTGACTGCCGAGGGCGCAGAGGGAACCGCGTCTGGCTGATATCTCTCATTTGCATTACAATACATTACTTTGATGAGCGTTTTGGCGTGGAGTTCTTGAGAATTGCTCAACGGTCGGTTGGATGGTGCTTGGCTCTGGCTTGGAGTTGTCTGTGTCTGTCTACTCGGTTAAAAGTAGGCAGCCAATGCCAAAAATCGCTCATTGTCAAACGGTGGCCATACTAATGACAAAATTCAATCACTGAGTACATGCGTATTTCTGGTGCCCTTGTATAAATCTTTCGGACCAAGGAGTAAAAGCGTATCTCTTTTGGTGTAAGAATGAACGAGAAAACAAATCCTACAACAAGCGAACCATCGTAAACAATCCTTCGATCTTTCCATCGTGACGATCCGATCTATCGTGTATCTTGATCTATGGCACTCGCTCAAAAGCCTCCAGACCATCTATAATCGAAGCAGCCTCTAAAGCTTGCCCTTGATAATGCCGTCCAAGCAGCTATCAAATTCGCTCCAATCCTTCATGACGACAACACACCCAGCATCAGTCAACACCTTTCTCATCTCCTCTTCCTTCTCGGGCTCATAACTGCCCGTGTAACCAATTGTCTTGATTTTCGCCCTGAATGCCGCTGTGGCACCACTCTTGCTGTCCTCAACAGCCACACACTCACTCGCGTCCTTACCGAGCACCTCCATGGCATGCAAGTAGATAGCCGGATCCGGCTTACTAGTCGGCTTGGGCAGCGACGAAGCCGCAGAAAAGACATCCTTCGTAAAATACTTATCCTGGCCCACCTTCTCGATACTCGCCACGACTCTCCTCAACGCACTGCTGCTCACAACAGCCATCTTGAACTTCCCCTGCTTCGCCAGCTTCTCGAGCTCGCGGTCCGCGCCGACGCAGGGCTTCAGCTCGGCCTTGAGCTTCGCAATGACCTTGTCCTCCTCCGACAGCACGTACTTCTCCAGCTCGGCCTCGTCCATCTCGTACTTGTACTTGGCCTTGAGCGAGACCATCATGCCGCGGAAGTTCTGGCCGACGAACTCGTTGAGGAGCTGGGGCCCTGTGTACCGGTCGGGGATGTTGCGCGAGGCGAGGATCTCGTTGGCTAGTTCGGCGCAGGCCTCGAAGGCGAGCTCTTCCGAGAGGACGAGCGTGTTGTCGCAGTCGAAGAGGAGGGTGGTGATCTGTGTAATTGCGTTAGTTTTGGTTGGGCGCAGTTGAAGTTATACAAAGCGACGGGAGTAACAATGGCGGGGTAAACAAGCATTGGATGAGGGGAAAACAAACATTAGGCATCTTTGCTGATTTATCTATTGCTGGTCTTAAATTGAGTCTTCTGCTTGTATGTTTTTTTTTTTTTTTTGACAACGATGCGAGTTGCAATGGCAGATTTCTGGATGTTGAGAATGAAGTTGGAGGAATACAATGGTTAAGTAGCGAATAGGTAAAAGAAGGTTGAGAGGACGGGAGGAGGGGTCACTAAAACCCACTATTCCTCCCGGGCCTCAGCCCCGGACAGCCTATGACGTGAAGGAAGGCCAGCACAGCACGGGCAGCACAGCACAGGCACGCTTCAGTGCAGGTGCAGTTGAAAAGAGGGGCTAAGGCTAAGACAGGTAGCGAACACAACAAAGTTTTTTTTGTCACCACCGCCGCCAACATCCCCCTCAATCAACATCTACAGAACAATCCAACTGCACGCAATTACGGTCGACTGCATATCCAATCTCCCCCCCGAGAACCCGAAATCACTCCGATGATTCCTAATCCAATGAATCATATTCATTAAAGTTGGAATAATCTTTTCAACTTGTCACAGGCTCAGTGTCTTCGACATTGAACTGCGACACTGCAACTGCTCTTCTTCCTTTCCCAACTACTCTATGAGCACCAAAGATCTGCTTAGATTCCTGTCCAAGCCTGCAAAGTGAGTGGCGTCTTTCCTGTTTGCGTGGTTTTCGCGGGAGTGCTCTCCGGATATCCATTCTCTGGCTTATCCATATCCTGCTGCTTTCGCCAACTGGTGAATGGGAAAAGTTCGCAGGACAAGAGACTATCTACTCCTGGGTGCGAGTATCGGAAATGTCTTCTTCTGCTTTGGGACGCAATTCACTTTCGAATGCTAATTCTCTCTTCCTAGGCCCCGATAGCACCAGCCACGCCCCCATACAATTCACCCCTCAAACCGCAGATAATCCTCATCTGCTAGACCCGATATCCACTCACGGTATCGGAATCTATCAGAGAGAGGCTACTCCAAGAGTCAACATTCCACCAGCAAAGGACTTCTACATCCCTTTGTGCACCCGACCTCCATAACGTCCCCAAAAGACGTTTCCCCCGATATTCCCCATTTAGCTGGCTCCGCCAGCATACGATATCTCCCACGGTTCTGTGGGCCTTCTCTTCTCAGGCGGACACCGCAAGGTTCGTCTGGGTGGCAGATAGTGCTACACGGTACTTGCCAAAGGACATATACTCAATATAATCCACCAAGTCGAAACAGCTACGGAAGTAGTTATGGTCAACCTTGAGATCCCTTCTCAATACACTTTCTCGCCTTCTGAGGGTACACCACACCTGACGATCAACCGCGAGGCTACTATCGATCTTGACAGTAGCAATGCATTCGAAGGTAAGATTATCTGACATATTTATTGGATCAGGCTAATAGCTGTAGGCCCAGAAAAGCTCCTAGAAGTGTGGTTCGCTCCAGCTGCCGATGCTCTCCCTCCGGGAACGAAGCCGAATGGGCTGAAGGCTGTTGCTGCCGAAACATGGAAGGAAATGTTGGATTTGGTCAACTGCAAGGTTCTCTCTGTTGTGGAATCCGAGCATATCGATGCCTACCTCCTTTCCGAGTCGAGCATGTTCGTCTTCCCACACAAGCTTATCCTCAAGACCTGTGGCACCACAACTCTCCTGCTTGGTCTTAGACGCATGTTGAGAATCGCTGCTGTTGAAGCGAAGTTCCCATTCGACAATACCAGCTCGGTTGATGATATCAAGACTGCTGCTACTCCGTACAGGGTCTTCTACAGCCGCAAGAACTTTCTGTTCCCTGACAAGCAACATGGACCCCACCGTAGCTGGAAGCACGAAGTCAAGTTCCTAGACGACATGTTCGCAGGCGGAAGTGCCTACATGGTTGGCAAGATGAATGGTGACCACTGGTATCTCTACCTGACCTCGCCAAACACCACTCTCACACCACCAAGAACACCAGACAACGAACGAGCTCCCACCGAGACCAAGCTCCTCAAGATCCCAAGCAGCTCTGCCTATGCCGTTGGCCAGCGTGCACTTGAAAATGATGATGAGACCCTCGAGATTCTCATGACAGACCTTGATCAAGAGAATGCCAAGCAGTTCTACCTTGAACACGCGAGTGCGGTCGCAGAGGGCAAATACTCTGATCGAGCTCAACAAGCACGCAAGGAAGCAGCCAACAGTCTCGGTGACTTGAGCGAGGCCATGACAAACTCCACTCTGAGCGGTACCACAGCTGGGAGCTTCACCGCAGACGAGAAATTCGATGTCTTCAGCCAGACATCCTCCGAGAATGGAATTTACACCCCGGAAGATGAGGCACCCTTCCCAGACGATCTCAGCACCGAGGGACACGCCCTTGGCACTGTCGTCTCCGAGGTCTGCGGCCTCTCAGACGTGTATCCCACCTCGCGATACCCCGATGCCCGTGTCGACGCCTACCTCTTCACACCCTGCGGATTCTCCGCCAACGGCGTGATCCCCGCCCCAGGCCAAGCTCCCTCTGCCACACACTACTTCACCGTCCACGTCACGCCCGAAGCTCAATGCTCCTACGCCTCCTTCGAGACCAACGTCCCCGGCCGCCAGACCGGCCGCGAGACCTGCGAGGTCATCGAGCACGTCGTCAATATCTTCAAGCCCGGCCGCTTCAGCGTCACGCTCTTTGAAGCCAAAGCCGATTCCTTTGAAGCGCGAGAGATGGGACTCGTTGCTGAGGAGAGCGTCGACGCGGCTAAGAAGGCGTTGGTGAGAAGTGCGAAGATGGAGAAGATCAGGGGGTATCGCCGCATTGACCGGATTGTGCATGAGTTTGATGGGTATGATTTGGTGTTCCGATACTATGAGCGTGAGGGCTGGGCCGGTGGTGGGCCGAGATTGGGTGAGATTTACTGATGGATTGGATGGATGAATTGAGTTGAGTTGAGCGTGTCTAGGTTATTTGATGATGGGAATTACTTGGCGTTGCTTTACTTCACTCTGTTTTATTTTGCTTGCTTGCGTGGCTTTGTCTGGCTGGTATTTAAGGTTGGATGATTGATGCAGATATTCGAGAACTCTGTCCTGTCTTTACTGTAGGTAGTGAGCAGCTTGGGTAATCATTCTTGAAGCCTCTTATATTTGCTCCCATATTCAGATTCAAGTATGACTTAGGTATCACGTTCGTGACTGTGCTGTATTTTCTTCTCAATACCGTGATGGAGTGTTGAACCCTCGAAGGAACAGAGTCATAAGCAGACTCATTTATGGCACGATGTGAAGCCTCCATATTGCCTCGCCGGATTTCATGATATTAATGAGAAGAGGATGTGTAAACGAATGTCCTTCAAAACCCCAATCTTCAGCTCCAGTTCTCCAGTTCAGGTCAACAGCTGATGGATGTTCAGATCCCTCTTTTCCGCTTGGTCTCGGCAAAACTCAATAAACCACTTCAGACTTGTGGCGACTGGTGACAGAACCCACTGGAAATCAGTAAGAAGGTCCAAGTCACAGCTGGAAGAACGTTTCAAATACCAGCACTAAAATTGCATGCTCTTTCCGAATATTCCCTGGAGTGAGACGATGTTTAAGATAGCGAGTAGCTTAATTGATGTCTATACTTGAAGCTGCCCTAGGTAGGCACACAACGCCTCTCTATCTATCTTTCTATCTCAACACCCACACACCCACAGCCTACCACAATCCTTCGTTTTCGAGCCAACCGCCCAACCAGGCATCTACACCCACTCCACACTCCAAGTCCCCAACCCCCTCCTAAACGGCACAACCTCCACCCCCTCCCCCTTAAACGACCCCCTAATAACCTCCTCCCCCCTCCTCAATACCACCCTCTCCTCCTTCCCCTTTTCCTTCCCATCACCTTTTCCCTCACCACCATTCCGAAGCAACCCCACCGTCCCCTCAACACCATAGAACCTCCTCCCATGCCCACCCAGAAACCCCCTAAGGATATCCTCCGTTACATCATCTGCTGTTATCACGCCGCGGGAGATGGCTTGCTCGAAGGCGCCGATTACGAGGGGGAGGAGATAGGGTTGGGTGAAAACGCCGGCGGCGGTTTTGCCGGTGCTGCTGCCGGAGCGGGTTTTGGAGGCGATGTCGTGGGGGGCGGAGTCTGGTTGGGGAAGAAGAGGGGGAGTTAGTTAGTTGGATTTTGGGGATGGATGGTGGATTGTGGATGGTGGGGGGATGGATAATGGGGGATGGAGAAGGGGAAGAAGGAGGTAGGGAGAAGGTACAGGGGATGGGAGGGAGAGAATAATGAAGGTGGAGAACTTACCACTACCCAGGAAGAACTTCCCCGTTCCTCCAACAGCGGCTTTTATAAGAGCTTCGCGATCGGACGGCCATTTAGCGACTGGTTTACTATAAGGAGAATATCAGTATTTCACTTTCGTATGCGGAATGAAAGGCGGAGTATCAGAAGGAGCTAGAGGTAGAGATAGAAGTCGGCTGGCTGGAAATACTCACCAATAGCAGAATGGGTCGTCGGCCCAATCGTCGATTGTGAGGTATAAGTGGTGGGCTGTGATGGTTCCTACGACGTTTGGACCGCATCTGTTGACTGCTTCTATGGCGTCTTTTGTGGTGCAGTGCTCGAGGACGATTTTGAGCTGTTGAGAGGGGAGGGTTAGTATTGGATATTACTCGATTTGATGCTTGTGAGGGGAGGTTGGCATAATGAGAGGCCTTTTGATCAGACGGGGAAACCAGCACTTGACTGGAGGCCTGGCATTGATCTTTGGCTTGGAGTGTCGCATAGTCGGAGGGGAGGGAGAATTCCCAACTTTGGGTCAAATTTCAAAGCGGTCAGTTGAACATAAGCTCCTTCCGAAAGCTCTTATCCTAATCAGGTCTTCAATGACCTGTTCATCTCAACAATCTCAAGATGGAAAGGGGTGAAAAGAGACTCTAGAAGATGTAATAGATGAAAGATCCTCTCGCTGCAATGAGGCGAAATCCGCAAGAAAAATAAACATACCTCAGGAAACATAGAATGTAGCCCTTCCAAAGTCTCCAAGAACTTCGACTCGGCGTTCAAAATAGTGATATTCTTAGCATGATCCGAAGGACATTCACCATGCAAGTTGAGAACCATGCCACATTGTTCCATCGCTGCTCCAAAGAGATTAGCAAATGTTCTCAGAGAACGAGAAACTCAAGATTTCTGGGTAACAAAACGCGAAGCGAGAAGCCCTGGCAAAGAAAGTACAGCACTGACCGCGAAAGACGGGATAGAACGGCTCATACGACGAAACACCAGACTTCGAATTCGTGGTTACACCCGCTGGATACACTTTGATACCGACAATACCTTGGGCTTTAGCTCCTCTGACCACCGCAGGAGTGATGCTCTCGTGAAGGTACAGTGTTAGGAGAATGTTGAGGTTGGGCTCAATCTGTTGGATTCGGCTCTTGTAGGCTAGAGCGTCTGAGGCTGAAGTGAGAGGAGGGACCAGATTTGGCATGACATAGACGGTCTTTTGTAATTTGAGCTTTAGTACTTATTCATAACAACACTTTATACTTCCCAGAACAGCCTGAAGGTACGCGGCTCTGTGAGGAGGTACTAAGTGATTTGAGGTAGACTCACATTGACACCGCCAGCTCGAACGAGAGGCACAACTGTTTCCTGTGATCAGATTAATGATTAGAACTGTTTCCATCCAGCGTTTGAGATGAGAATAAGCGTACCATCATAACTCCATCTCGAAGATGGACGTGAAAGTCCGCTGCTGCTGGAAGTTCCAAGCCATCAAACTTGGAAAGAGGAGACATGATGATTGTATTGATCAAGGAAAACAAAATTCCTGTCTTCTTCGGCTCTCTCCTGGTGTTCGTCTTTGCCTTCAATCTTTGCTAACACTGTTCCGAAGTAGGTACAATGGATGTGAAGAACCAGGGTAAATGTGCGCACTAACAGTAGTTGAGCCATCAATGTATAAATTCTTGAAGCCCAGAAACTTACATGTGGAGAATATACGAGTGGTTTTGAACTTTTGTTGAAAGTTTGTATTGCTGCTCCAACTCGTTCCTAGACGACCTTACTTTACAGAATGATCAATTGGTTGATTGGCTCTAATAGAGTAGATGTAGTCAAAATACCAAAAGATAAAAAAGAGGTCTATTTCGCTTAGTCCCGAGCGAGGCCGGCCGCCAGCATTCTCCCGAGTCTCCTTCCCCTGACCATTGATACCTCAGGCAGCCAGACCTTCCTCCAACACGGGCACGGTCCCGAAAGGAAGGAACCCCTCATTGATTTTGTAAGCTGAGCTTCTCCACATCAGCAACTTTCGTCATCCACCCCTCCCATTCTTCCAATTGATTCTCACATCTACACCGAATCTTCAACAGCTATACCCAAACCAACTTATCAATATCACTTTATAAACAACAACGCCAAAATGGTCAAAGCAGGTATGTCATGCATTAAATAATTCCCGAGACCCCGGTCTACGAGCGATTCATTGTTTGGCTGCCAATGGCGGGGTCGGTAGAGACAATATGAGCAGGATTCGACCTCCTTTGGGCAACCAGCATTGTCACCCGGATGGCTACATATCAGCCTCAATTTTGACGGGCCATTCGTCTGTCTGTCCAATCTAGTGGGACTGGACTATTGCATTGTTTTTGCTTCTTCTGTCAAGATCCTTGCTGACCTGCTTCGTCTCCCTCCAGTTGCAACCGTCCGAGGTGACTCCAAGGTCTCCGGAACCGTCACTTTCGAGCAAGCCTCCGAATCCTCCCCAACCACCATCACATGGGACATCACCGGCAATGACCCAAATGCCGAGCGTGGCATGCACGTCCATCAATTCGGTGACAACACCAACGGCTGCACATCTGCCGGTCCTCACTGTGAGTGCTGATATACTTTTACATACCTTTAACATGCATATACGGTTTGAAACAATGAGTCTGATACACGATGGACAGTCAACCCCCACGGCAAGACCCACGGTGCTCCCACCGACGAGACTCGCCACGTTGGTGACCTGGGCAACTTCAAAACCGATGCTCAAGGCAACGGAAAGGGCACTACCACCGACAAGCTCATCAAGTTGATCGGCCCAGAGAGTGTCATTGGCGTAAGTTTACGCGACAGCACATCAACTCAGAACTGCTACTAAAACCTCACACAGCGAACTGTCGTCGTCCACTCCGGAACTGATGATCTCGGCAAGGGAGGAAACGAGGAGTCCAAGAAGACTGGTAACGCCGGTACTCGACCTGCTTGCGGTATGTATTGTGTTGATGATTTGAAAAGGGGTTTACTGATTGATTGATCTTCTAGGTGTCATTGGCATTGCTGCATAGATGTATTATGAATTACGATATCTGGCCAGAATTGAGAGTGCACGTTGATTTGACAAGGAAGCTATTTAGCTCACTCACATAGTCAGAATGAAAATGAACGCCACAGTCATACAATTAAATCCATTTCCAGGCATTAAAGGCCTGTCTCTTGAAGTATGAGTGAGTAAGTGAGTAAGTGAGTAAGTGAGTAAGTGAGCAAGTGAGCAAGTGAGTAGTACCGATAGATCTCCATTCCCAAAGCTAGGACTCACCAGAGCAGTCTGGACAACCTCTCAACGGGCTGGAAAGCCACACGAAACAATCAGACAGATTCTCACCAGCCAGATCATTACACTTGATCTGCCGCCATGTTGGAAGTTTATATGGACGAATGCGTTCAAATTCCCCTTGTATTGAGGTTTGTGTAAATCTTTGAATTGGAAACCCGGTATCAATGTCACTAGACTTCAATTGCAGCACTTATATGGAACGCAAGCGGAAGTTTTCGCGCAAGTCACAACGGCAGCGTGGATGAAAAATATATATTCCATAGTGGATATTTATCCATTGGAAATAGGTATTCCGTAAGGGCATCTGCCACACTTCCACCCACATGCTTGTCTATCTCTAATAATAAGTTGTTAAAATACAGCTTCATAATGCATTGGTATCGATCAATCAATCATTCAATCAATCAACTCTGTCCTTACTCCTCGACCTCGCCCTCTCCACCTCCGGCGTAGCTGTCTGATCCTGATTCTGTTCCCTCCTCTTAATCTCCTTAACCCTCATATCCAGCCCAACGCGAAACTTCTTCCCCCGCCACATAACCGTCGTGCCCCCATAGCACGCCCACACCCAAATCGGCAACGCAAGACACTCCCTCCCCAGCCAAGCACCCACCCACTCCCGAAACGGCCGTTTTCGACCTTCTCCTTTCGGCCCCAGCCGAGCAAACGACGGCGTATTCTCATCCAGCTCGAGCGATGCCCCAGAATGGACTTTATTATAAGCGAAGAAATCCACGCCCATCCAAAGCAGCACGATTCCCACCCAGATGCACGCAAACGCACTCCACGTATGCGGCACTCCCCCAAACCAAGGGAGCGTAGAGATAGCGAACGCGCCATACGCAGAGCAGAGCAAGGGCTCCACCCCAGGCTCAACAAACGTCGCCAGCGTGACAGTCCACTTCCTCACGCGCAGCCAGCGGACTCTCCGAGCTACGTACTCACGCACCGACATGCCTGCCATAGGCTGGATAGCCAGATCGCCAAACACGAGGCCGTGCCTGTAGAATTTCTGGCCGGCTCTTTCATCCTGCACTTTTTTCCGCCAGAGGAGGTCTCCGATCAAGTGGTCCTCGCAGATGTTTTCGGAGAAGAAGTCGATTCCGGGGGAGTATCGCGGGGAGTTGGCTGTTAGGTCGTTGAGGTGGGAGCGTCGGAACATGTTGGATTTGCCGACTATGCAGGGGGCTACGGAGACGGTGTTGATTGCCGTGTAGAATTTTGCGTGGGAGGTCGCCATGAACATCTCCTCGAACCTGCCGCCGCTGGTTCGCAGCAGGTTATTAAGCCAGGTTTCGTTCTGCGGCGGTACCGAAATATTGTATGCAGAAGAATTGGTCGTAGAAACTTCCTCTTGGCCCTGAAGCAGGCCACGGGCTTCTTCCCCGACACTTGCTCCCACACTGTCTACAACTAGAGGAAGCTGATGCACGAACTTATACGGAACGGCTCTCTTCCCGTCCTCCATGTACCCGCAGAGCTTGTCGACCATTCGTCCCGCCACGCCCTTCCCAACCCAGACATTACAATCAATGATCCAAACCAAATCTCCTTTTGCTTCCTTGTACCCGCGACTCATATTCCGTATCTTGGGGTTCGGCCCAAGGTTATCCACGGCTCCATCGCCGCTCAGGTTTGGATCTTCCTCCTCGATGAAGATTTTGGCGTCGAATTGCGGGAAGTCTGCGAGGAGACGTTGGAGGACGGGAAACGCGGGATCGGTAGAGGAGCCTATACAGAAGTAGATGGTCAACTTCTGTAGAGGGTATGTCTGGTAGAAAGTTGCCGCGAGACATTCGTAGAGTTGGGCTTCGAGGCCTTTGACAGGCCGGAGGATCGTGATATGTGGAACATGATCGAGTTTTAGGGTTGGAGAGACGGCTCGTTTGGGTTTGGAGGAGTAATAGCGGTATCTAGAACAACATATGTAAGAATGGGAACACGTAAGCGGTCAAGAGTTAGGTGTCAAGCATTACTTACAGCTGGGTCGATCCTATGGCCTGAACAAAAATAATGAAAGAGCACCAGATCCCAGCTGCTAACGCGACCCAGAAAAGCCAATTGGGTATCTCATAGTTGCCAGCGGCGACAGTTCCCACGGTATTCTGGGAAGAGCCGCGAGCTGGCAAGGTAGATGACATGCTATATGCGAGGGATCCGAGGAGAGTACGAAGGTAGAGTGCATCAGGGGACGAGTGAATATATTTGTGGCTTGTTTCGTCCCGCTCCCCAAGTCCGAAGCCAAGCGATCCTGCGGCTTACCTCCAGGGGCTGCGATAAGATAAGATCTCGCTTACAGTTACCGACAGATCAAAACAAAACAGATGTGTGAAAGTGTAGCTGGGATGCAGAAGTTCGGGTGATCTATCTGGAGAAAGGAAAAAATGCCAACTCTGTATAGAAGAAAGCTGATAGCTCGGCAAGCTGGGGTCCTCCAGTGTGGAGAGAAGATATGGAGAGAGAAGTAATGAAGAAAGAAGAATAAGAATAAGAAGCGATACAGCCGCCTACTTTGAAGGAGCCCAACATATCCAAGTCTTGCACCAATTCAAGGTGCGGCATCTGCTAGAAAGTCTTGACACTTGGATGCTCTTCGTTCATTTATGGCCAACTCCATGACCTACCATACCTCGCTATGCATCTGTAAACATCGTCGCTGTAGCCAAGCAAAGAGATCCCTCACTGTGAATTGAACACCTAACAGTCATTCATCCGAGAAACACGACGCTCCAACCTTTCATCTAACCAAACTTGAATCCACGATTCGGATCCCATGTCCCTGGCTGGGGAATCTTATTCCCATCCTGTCCCCCAAGTCCAGGCATACCACCTGGCGCCGGAGCACCACCACCGAACTTGATACCCATTTCAGGATTCCAGGTTGCAGGGACAACAGGTGGACTCTGTCTTGCACGTTGCGGGACAGGGGCGGGGATATGAGCATCTTCGTTGTTATTTGGTGGCCGAGGTGGGGGCTGTGAGTGTGATGGGGCGTTATAGGTCCGTGGAATAGGAGGGTTGGCTTCTTGTTGTTGGCGGAGGGTAAGTGACGAGAGGGGCGGCAGCGAAAGGTCGCTTGATGTATTATTAGCCGAGTTTCCTTGTCGGTGGCATAGTAAGGGGAGACGAATGAATATAGAAAATGGGGAACGTACGATTCCATTCTCATAGCTTCTTCCCTCCTCTCGTACACAAACGCCTTCACACCATCTCTGAACCTTCCCACAATTTTGGCGAGGTCATTGTAGAACTTCCTGCCTACCTCCAAGTTACTCACGATCTCCTTATACTTAAAGTACGCATTCTCCAGCTTCTGTAACGCTTGTTCTCGCTCCCTCGAACTTGTATCACCTTTCCTAGCAAGCACGAAAGCTTGATTGGCTTCTTCGAGCTGGCTAGTAAGACGATCCTGCTCGTCAGACTCGGTCTTCAATCCTTCAATGTCAACATCATATTTTGTGAGGCGCTGTTCGAAGAAATCCTCGAAGTGGGCAGGAACGACAATCTGGCTTGGATACTCGCGCTCGATGCGTGCTGCTTCAGCGAGTATACTGCTGTTGATATCATCCTTCTTAGCCTTCTCTCGAAGCGCTTCTATTTTCCTCCTCCTCCGGGCTTCGAGACGAGAGAGCTCGTTGAGGCAATTGCGCAAGCGAGAAACTTCGCCTTCGATTTTGGGAGGTATTGTAGCCCGGCGACTACTGGGAACGAAATTCCCAATATCCCGATCGGAGCTGGAGAGAATGCGGAGCATATCTTCGCATTCACGGAATTTGCTAATGACGAGCTGATCACTATTATTGGCACTTTTGAGGTAGCCGTCGATTTCTCCGATTTGGGAAAAGAGTTTTGTCGCAGCGGACTTGGAATCAAGACGTGTCCACCTGTCGGATCCGTACTTCATGAGGAGTCTCTCATTTTCTGATTGTTCTGCCAATAGAAGTTCTCGACCTTCTGCGAAGATTGCGTCATCTGAGGCTTTCAGTTTTGCTGTATCCGAAAAAGACCTTTGCAGTCGGTTTAGAGCATCTGCCTGTCGGATCTCTTCTGCATGAGATGTGAGAGTTGGAGGTAAGCCTAGAGGCTTCTCCAGTGCTTGAAGGGAGCCAGGCAGGTTTAATGAGCTCAGGGTATCGTGGATTCTTGTAGTGAGAATCTCTAACTCCTCGATGACGTTAGTATTGACCAGTCTATCTCTTCTTTCGTCATAAATGCTGGCAGCAACGTGGACAGCGAATGGTACAAGCTTAGCGAATAGTGGAGGACCGAATTCTCCTTTGTCACCAATAAACGAGGCTGGCTCTGAAATCTCTTTTGGGACTTTAGCAACTGCCATATTTGCTCGTTCAAGAGTTCTCAGTTCTGATTTGGGCGGTACAGGATCTGTGAGATTAGCGAGGTTCAAGAGAGGGAGAGTAGAAACATACTGAGATAGATCAAATCGTTGTCCTTTTCCGCCCGTTTGAGATCCTCGGTGACTTTGTTCTTCAACCCGTTCAAATCTCCAAGCACAATCTTGTTCAAGTATTTGGCCTCCTTCAACGCCTCATTAACACAAGATATACTATCCCTCAACCTCGCGACTTCTTCACCATACTTTCTCTTCTCTAAACAATCGCATGCCTGACGATATTGTGCTGCCGCAGCAAAATGATGATGTTTCGCGGTAGTATGATGTATCCACTCGGAGCTTATCGCCTCACTCTTCACTCCCCAATCTCCCGCAGCACCATAGAAGTCTGACACTTTAGCAGCTAATTTCGCGATTGAAGCATCCTTGTATCCGTCCATGACAGCTTTCTGCCAGAAACATTCCTGCCCTTGTGCTAGAAGAAGCTGTTGTAAGGACTCCAACGTGGAATCGTCCATATCTTCCGGCGGTGTGGATCGTAGTTCGGGAATAACAGAGTGCTTGATATGCGAAAGGACTCCTGCAGCCAGGCAGAAGTAGTTACAAGCCGCCTTCAATCCATCTGTAGTTCCGCGGTTCGAGGACATAGCTAGTTGAGAGTAAAGTGCCGCAAGATTGTAGAGAACATTGGCCAGTTCAAATTTGAGATTGTTCTGGGAGATGGGTCGATCAGTATTATATCCCAGCGCCGGATACCAGGTGAAATCAACGCCAATCTACCAGTCTGTCAGCACATCTCCTACCAATCTGCAACCTCAGATACCCACATCTATTGGAAATTTCCCACCTATCCAAGCAAGTTGGCCTGCATACGCAGAGATCTTCTTGATACCACTTGTATGCGGTTCTGTCACATGTACAGCATCTCTTCGCAGGGCATCTATAACCTCGAGGTCTTGCTTGAACATATCTGGGTGTTGGTCATATTTGCTGGAGATGTATTGCTTGATAGCTGTTGAGAGGGAGACCGAACTGGTCTTGCGAAAGGGCAACGAGAGGATATTGCTGGACATGTCAACTTCTGACTTCATAGATGGAAGGGAGAGATTTCAAAAATTTTGCTTACTTTGCCATAGCTGTTACAAGCAACCTATCTGGCTGCACACTTCAGCTTCCTGAAAGTTGAGCACGCGATGTCTGCGAGGTTGTTTTGTTACAGTCCCTGTTCCGCGCCCGCAATGACTTCACAAATCATGCCTTAAAGGCGAGGCAAATAGGTACAAATTACCCCTCGCTAAACCGAATGCGGTCCTGACCGACTTTGCAGCACGAGCCCGGCTGGATCCTGGGATCCACGCGACTTCATTAAGATGTCAACATCAACAGCCTCAAAATTACTCATTTCAGCCACAAAGCTATCTTCCGAGTCGCGCACTTGTCGGATACAAGTCCGGGACCTGCGAGTGAATTATGGCTCCAGCTCAGCGTCACACCAAATCTTCAGGCCCGGCAGCGCCTTTGAAAACCCTCGTCGTAGACAATGGCGCCTACACGATTAAGGCAGGATTCTCGTCTGCTTCGATCGAGAACCCGGTACACGAGATAATTCCCAATTGCCTAGCGAAAGACAGAGACAGGAAAGTCTACATTGGGTCGCAGGTGTCTACATGCAAAGACTTCAGCGAAATGGCATTCCGCAGACCAGTCGAGAAGGGCTATATTGTGAGCTGGGAGGCAGAGAAGGAGATTTGGGAGCATGAGTTCTTCGACTCGAAGGCGAAGCTTCATTGCGATCCGAAAGAGACGGGACTGATACTCACGGAAGCCCCCAATGCTTTGCCCGTCTTGCAGAGTCATTGCGATCAGATCGTGTTTGAGGAGTTTGGATTCGCAAGATATCTACGTACTACTGGTATGTATACCCGCAATGGGCAGGGAAGTGCCGTTGAGAAAGAAAATAACGTATAATAAGTGTGACTGATTATGAGCAGGCCCAGCCATGAATGCCTACAACGATATCCAATCCTACTTCAAAGCTCCTCCTCGTCCCGCAGATGCGCCCAAGACTCTTCCCGCAGAAATCTTAATGTTAGTCGATTCTGGCTACTCTCATACCACCATCACGCCTCTTCTTCTCGGCCGCCCCCTCCAGAAATCCATCAGACGCCTCGAGGTTGGTGGAAAGCTTTTGACGAACTATCTCAACCGACAGATCTGCGTCCGACAGTACGATCTAGCAAATGAGACATACCTTGTCAATGAGATCAAAGAAGCCACAGTTTATGTGGCGAAGGACTTCAGTGGGGATATGGAGAAGACATGGAAAGGACCCAAAGGAGATAGGCGGCCTGACTACGAGACTGGAGGAGGTATAGCCAAGGATTATGTTCTGCCGGATTATCACGCAAAGACGAAAGGATTTGTTCGGGACCATGATCCTCAAGCTGCGACGAAATTAAAGGAGTTGACGAAAGGCAAGTCGATGGGTGCCTCAGAAGATGTTGTGACTCTGAGAAACGAGCGCTTCACGGTCCCGGAACTGCTGTTCAACCCAACTAATATCGGATTAAGGCAAAGTGGCATCGCTCAACAAGTTTTCGACAGTCTGTCGAGCTTGCCCCCCGGTTTATGGCCCGGATTCTTGGCAAACATTGTGGTTGTGGGAGGAAATGCAAACATTGAAGGGTTTGTAGCTAGATTGCAGACGGAAATCCGAGGATTGGCTCCAGCAGAGTGTATTGTTAGAGTGGCAAAGGCCACGGACCCCATCATCAGCACATGGCAAGGAGGTGCGAACCTCGCAAAGGATGAAGACAAAATACGACAACTGAGCGTCACTAAGGAAGAGTATGAGGAATACGGAGCTGCATGGGTTGCAAGGAAGTTTGGAGGAAGGTAGAGAAATGGGTCCGGCGTTCAGGTGCAGCACGTATGATACCCAATTCAAACATGTTCAAATTCGTATTGTCCATTTATTTATTGGGTATGATTAACTGCCATCGCTCAGTGTCAAAGGATATCAACGTGACTTCGTCTAAACTCTTGAAGAGATGGCAGTCAGAGGCAGAAGTAGACACCAGCAAGGGTGATTCCGTGACAAAGTCCGCATGGCTCAGCTTGACTTGGGCGAAGCCAGCTGGTGGAAATTGCAGGATATCTGAAATGATGGTATGTGGATTTGATAGATCTGGAGAAGCCGACCACAACTCAATATCCAAATCCTGGATCCATCTATTGCAAATTTCCGTAGCAAGTCGACCTGTACAGTTCCAGATACCCTCATCCGTCAGAGTCATCATCGTCAAAGGTCTCCAACTGGAAGACTTTGGGCTGCTCTTCTCTTCTTTCCGGAGCAGGTCCGCTGCCACTCATTCTCCTCTCCATCTCCCTCCTTCTCGCATCCTCTCTTTCGACTCTCTCCTGCTCCCTGACAGCATCATCCGCCTCAGTAATCCTCTTCCTCTCAGCCTCTAGCTCCGCACTCTTTTCAGGGTCAAATGTTGCTGGATCAATCCCCTGATCAACCAGTATTTGTATACTAGCCAATGCACCTTTCCTGATCGCCTCTTCTGTTGGCCAGGGCACAAACGGCAAATCAGCTGGCTGATTGAGGTATTGCTCCCAACGTGACAAATTGCTCGAGACACCCGGATGCTGCGAAGCTTGTGATTGCCCAGCATCTCCCTCCCTTACGCTGTGTGTTTCTCCATTTGTCGCGACAACTGGGGTATTTGTGCCGTTTGTTTGTGTCTGCGAATTGGGCTCCTTTGGCGTGTTGCTTCCCGTCTCGGGGGCATCCCCAGCCATAGGCTCCCGATATGTAGGGGGCAAAGTGTACTTGCTTATTCGGCGCGCATAACTGAGGAGCTCAGAGTAGGATATCGGGTTAACAGCGGTGGGTAGGTTTGTCGCTGGTATTGCTAGAAGATCTCGTCGGGTCGTAGTGAGAAGGATGAGCGTGTCCCGGATCTGGTTGTCAAGCGCGCTGGATGTTTCTCGGAGGGCACAAAGTCTCGCATAATTCGATTGATGTGTTGATACTGGGGAGTGTCAGTGAGGGTAACTTGTGGAGGGACGAAAAGGCTCACATTGTTCAAGACCTTCACTGAGCTCTGCATCTGCTGCAACCAAATCGTTGGCAAGAGCAGGAGCCGGATTGTAGGTCGAAATTGAGGTTATCAAGGTCGCTAACGCTTTCTCCACCCGCTCAAAGCGACTATCGAGGAGGACATCCATGTTCCAATGGGTGAGGTTGTTGCTGAGATAGCTAGGTTGGCCATGCTTTGAGCGAAACCAAGACAGACGCGATCTGGTAAGGCTTAGCGCCTCGGCAGTTTTAGTCACATGACACATCCTGCATGTTGATGGGTGTTGAACCAACCACTGGGTTTCTATCCTGCCAATCCAGCTGGAACGCAGGTAAAGTATCCGAAGGATCATTGGTTCTGAATCGCGTCGAGTGAGGGTACGGGCCAGAAACTTGGCTACCTGGGTTTTGTAAAGGTGGGCATTGCCCAGGCATCTCTACCTTAGCCCCAATCGAGGTGATGTTTACATGGACCGCAAACCCCTCATGGGGGGTAACTCCGTCTAGGTAAGAAGCCTCATTATTCCGAGGACTAAAACTGTCCCAATCTGCATATCATCGATGTTCGATGCTTCCAAATCTCAACAACTTTGACGGCGAGGAAAGCAGACCTGAAAAGTCAAAAACCTGATCCAGAGACAACCTGTACTTCTATTTACAAGTCCGCAATACTATACATCCTCTCGCGATCGAGTCGGTCTACTATTTTGACGGTGGAAGAGCTTGCTCTATGGGTTTTGCAATACGCCCGAACGCTTGAAGTATTCCCATTGGCCCTCAACTGGCTTCTCCTCTAGATCTTCCCATCTGCAATTGAGTTAGTAAAGCATTCCGACCAACCGAATTACCCCGTGGAACAACGTACACTTTCGCCTTTGCCAAAACATCCACCAGCTTCAGTTCTCCCTCGGCGACCTGGATAACCTCCTCGATCAAACCAGCACCGATCTTATTCTCGATTTCTGAGATTCTGGTCCATATTAGCAGGGCTCAGTTTCTAAAAAAAAGTTTAGTAGCAGCGTACTGTTCAGAAGTCAATTGCGGCTCCGGATCCCAATTAACTGTCTTAACATCACTCCCCGGCCTCTCCTTCGCCCACTCACTCTGGCCCTTCCTCTCAATAGCTGTCCTACTCCCCTCCAACTGTGGTCCTTCGTCCTTCTCACCATCCCACTCTGTCACGAGCTCATCATGGTCATCATATGGCTTGCTAGTAACGAACTGTGAACCGCCAATCACCTCCTTTACATGTCTACCTTCATCATGCGCCATGCTTCCCTCCGCAGTATTGAACACCTCGGGATGTTCCTTGAGCGTCTGCTTTGCCTTCTCAGCCCATGCTTTGTAGCCCTCTGGTTCGACAGCTGAAACAATGGCCATGCGGTGTTTGGTCAGTGCTTCAGTCGATTGGCGGTATAGGGAGGATTCTGGAAAGGCCTTCAGCTTCTCGAGCGTACTTGAGTATAGGTAGATCAGGGTTGAGCGAGGGGCGGCGTGTGTAAAGAGCCCGCAGAGACCGGTGGGTGTACCGGCTTCCAGGAACCGTGACGGCTTTACTGCCGCGAGCTGGCGGAGTGAACGTCGCATCGTGGAGAGGTCAATGGTGTGAGTTGAGGTTGCGAGTCTGCGCTTGTTGTCGTGACGTTCTGAGATGGAGCTGTGAATTGAGGGCTTGGCACAGTCGGCCGCACTCCGTTAGTGCTCCCGCACTTGGCTCCCAAACTTTTTTTTTGGCGATAAGCTCGAATTTGCTTGCAGCAGAGGTTCCTCAACTTCGAACACCACATCAATTAACGGCTCACCATGTCTGGAAATCCCAACACGCAGAAGCTCGGGAAGCGGAGGAGCACTGCGCCACAACCTGATTGGCTTTTCCCTGCTGCATCAAAACCAGTCGAGGCTGTCCCTGTTTCTATCCCCACGCCTCAGACCCAGGACCGGTCAAAAAACAAGAAAGACAAGCGACTTGCCAAAGAACTCCTCAAGCGTCGGGCTGCTGGAGAACCTGCGAAGTCCTCACCACCGGCTCAACTGCTCGAGCTCGTCGGAGCTTTTCTCGCCGAATATCAATTCACAAGCGCAAGTCAAGCACTTCAGGCGGAGCGCGAAAATCGAGGCGAGAAGGCAAGCAAAGTTGAAGGCATACCATCTCTCAGCACGGTTTTCAGCGAGTGGTCCACTTTGAAGGGAAATAATAAGATTGCCGACAAGGGGGTAGCGAAGGAGGCTATTGCTAAGAAATCCAAGGCCGATAAAGAAAAGGCAAAGAAACAAGAGTCAAGCAGTAGCGAAAGCAGCAGCAGCAGTGATGAGGATAGCGATGTTGAGATGGCAGATGCTCCGACAACAAAGAAGGTCGCTTCCAAGCGATCAAGCTCCTCTTCTTCATCATCATCATCCTCCAGCTCCGACAGCGACGCAGATGACGAGAAAGAAGCCCCAGCCGTGAAGACTACATCTCCCAAGGCCAAAGTCAACAGTCTGAAGAGAAAGGCCGAATCCAGCAGTGACTCGTCTTCATCTGGATCAGATTCGAGCTCCGAAGATGAAGCCCCAAAGTCAAAGAAAGTTAAGACCGCAGCCACTTCCTCGAGTGATTCCTCCTCATCTGACTCGTCCTCCGATTCTTCTTCCGACTCTTCATCCGATTCAAGTACAGATACAGACATTAAGACCAAGAAGGTGAAGGCCACCAAGAAGAGTTCAGACAGCGGATCATCATCATCCTCGAAATCAGACTCGAGTAGCTCGTCCGATTCTGAAAGCGACTCCGATTCCTCTACCAATTCTCTTGCACAGAAGACTCCTCTTCCAGACTCAGACTCCGACTCGTCTTCATCTGACTCTGACAGTTCTGATAGCGACTCTGCTAAGGATGCGAAGAAGAAAAAGGCTGTTGCAAGCTCCGACACGAGTGCTACACTCTCCGATGGACCCAAAAAATCGGCAGCATCATCCTCTGACTCCTCGTCTGATTCCTCATCCAGCGACTCTGAAGAGGAGGTTCGGACGATTACCAAAACTGTCACTGCAACCACCAAAGACTCGGATGGAGAATCGAAGGTCGTCAAGGTAACCGAGACAATCACCACATCTAAGGCTCATGAACTCGACCCGCCATTGCCACCTGACCCAGTCTTGAAGAGAAAGAAGACGAACGAGCCATTCTCCAGAATTCCAAAGGATATCAAGGTTGACGATCGCTTGTCTAGCAACGCATATGTTCCTTACGACTATGCTCAGAAAGCCCATGAGGATCTCATTGTGACTAGGGGGAAGGGATTCACCAAGGAGAAGAACAAGAAGAAGCGTGGCAGCTATAGAGGTGGCTACATTGATGTTGAAGGAAAGAAGGGAATCAAGTTCACGGACTAGACAAAATTGGGCTGGTAGAATTGTATGACAGTTGGCTGGGTTGACGGAGATAATACGCGTGACTTTGAGCTTTTTTGTATGGCGCATTATGATACACCTTTCGGTAGACAAAAGAAAACTGCTTGTTCACTCTGTACCAAAACTACCTTATGTTGCTCTTTCATGTGCTCATGTGACCATATTGATTGTCAAGCGAAAGCTGGCAGAAAGTCAAGCCCCCCTGACATTCCAATCCATGTACATAATTTACATGGGCGGTCAGCAATGGCTATCACGTATGCTTTCATTAGTAGGGCCGCTGAACTGTCAAATACAGCCTGAAACACGAACTCGTGGACTCTTCTACATTTTATTCTGTAGGAGCTTGACTTGCCATCTCATCCTCTTGGATGATGTCGATCTGTCTGTCACAACTCGAAATCGAATCCTCGCTTAGCCTCACCTCTTCCAACTTGGCATTCCCAGCCCCTGAAATCCGAACTCTCGCCTTCATCAGCGGCAAAGCAGCCAAGTGCAGTGGATAAAAAGCGCTCCCTGTACTGTAACCACGCCCAAGAAATACCTCGTACAGGACATCGGCAGGGGCAAAGTCAGTAGGGGCAGGGGAAGATTGGCGGTAATTGGTGAGTAAGACTTACGCGCAGTGGTTGGATGGTGCCCGCAGCCAAGGTCCTTGGTAGCAGCCGCCAACGGTGGCGGAGCACGTTTCCAGCAGGGAGCAAGCAGGGCCAGCACTAAACCTCATCAACTCCAAGAACTCTCCAAGAACCTCCAAGAGCCTCCAAGACCCAGGCTTGCTCCAAGCGGACAGCCATCTAAAATTATTGCAAACCGGGGAGTTCTCAGTATGGATATGATGAGCTCTTGGAGGCTCTTGGTTTCTTGGTTGAGACCATATCAGCTCGTGGCTGGCCATCTAAGGTTTTTCCTTTCCTTTCCTTTCCTCTCTCTCCTCTTGTTTGTTTGATGTGATCTATCTTTCAATTGAATTCTTCGTCCCTTCATCAAACGTGCCATCATTCATCCTGTAACCGGATCGAACTTCTCTTCACTCGTTCAGAGAGTAGTTCCGGCATTCTTATTCCATTATCATCTTTCGCTCCCCTTCTAATTATTTCCCCTATCTTTGTTCACACGCGCTTTCAAAATGAAGATCACAGCTGTTGTGGCATCGCTCGCTGCGGTTGCCCTTGCTACTCCCACAGTTAATCTCGAGGCACGACAGACTTCTTCTGGTGCCCTCCCAACAGTTACAGTAAAGGGAAATGCATTCTTTGCTGGGGACAAGAGATTCTACGTCCGTGGTGTCGCCTACCAGTTAGTTTCCACATGGGTTCTTCCCCCAGAAACCGGACTTCCATACTGATAATCATCCAGACCCGGTGGAGCAGCGGATGCAGCAGACCCCCTCATTAACATCCCCAACCTCAAACGCGATGTAGCCAACTTCAAGAAGCTCGGAATCAACACCATCCGCGTGTACACAGTCGACAATTCCGCCTCCCACGATGAAGGTATGAAGCTCTTGGCAGACGCTGGCATCTACCTCGCTTTGGATGCAAACACCCCCGACTTCTCTCTCAACCGTCAGAACAACCAAACTCTCTTCCAGTCATACAACGAGAACTACCTCCAAAGCATCTTCGCCACTATCGATGCTTTCCAAAAGTACTCAAATCTTCTCCTCATCATCAACGGAAATGAGGTTATCAATGAGCGCAACAATACCATTGCTGCGCCATATATCAAGGCTCTGCAACGAGACATGAAGGCGTACATCTCGGCCAGAAAATACAGAAATATCCCTGTTGGTTATGCCGCTGCAGATGTTGCCGAGAACGTCGACCAGCAACTTGCTTACTTTGACTGTGGACCTGATGGCGTTCGTGGAGATTTCTTTGCCTTGAACGATTACTCCTGGTGCGACCCAAACACTTTCACTGGAGCCGGATGGGACAAGAAGGTTGAGCGCTACACTGGATACGGAGCTCCTATTTTGTAAGTATTTTATGAATCTTCGTGAGAAAATGTTACTAATTTGGATCCAGCATGGCCGAATTTGGTTGCATCACCAACAGACGTGACTGGAATGAAGTCGCAGCCCTGTACAGCAGCAACATGACATCCGTCTACTCTGGCGGTCTCGCATACGAGTACACCACCGAAGCCAACGGCTTCGGCTTAGTCTCCACCACCAACGGAAACGTCGCCCCCAACGCAGACTTCACTCGTCTCGAGGCCGCATACAAGAAGACCCCCAACCCAGAGGGCGACGGAGGATACAATCCCACCACCACCGCATCCGAGTGCCCGCCTGCCAGCGACGACTGGGAAGTCACCAACGACCTGATCCCAGCCATGCCTGCTCTTGCCCAGAAGTTCATGGAGAATGGTGCTGGAAAAGGACCTGGACTCGGCGACAACGTCACTCCCAGTCAGTATGGAGGAGAATCGTACTCGGCTGGTATGGTTGAGATGGACGGTTCAGCAGCAAGCAACAGCGGTAGCGGTTCCGGCACCACCAGCGGCTCGTCCACTTCATCCTCTGCTGCTGACAATGTTGTCATCCCACCATTCATGATGATGCTCACGATCCCCGTCTTTGTCACCGTCGGTGGTGTCCTAGCTGGAATGGGATTGGTGTTGTAAGGTTGAGCTGTACTCGTGTTGATTGCTTTGTTCTTTGCTTGAAAAACATGTGTGCGATTGAGCACCTGTATATAGAATCCATTCCTTATGTCAAAATACACTTCCAATCATGGTCTGTGTGCTGTATTTCCATGCATAGTTGGTGTTTGTTGGGTTCTGAGGTCTGGGAGTACTAGAATGTCAAATACTCCATCTCAAATAGTGTTGAGTTTTGAGGCTTCACTTTTCGACTAGGAGTGGCATGTGCTAATAACGATCGTTGGCGGGTGTCAAACTAAGCTGTACATCCTCTTTTGCCCACTATTTGATCTTGTGCTTCACGACACTACTTCCTGTCTTGATCTCGAAGTCCGAGACCTAGAGATTTACTGGCGGCTCGAGATTCACTTCTCCAATTAACGAAAATTAAGTCAGAATTTTCAAAGTTTTCTTGACTATTTTTTAAAGGATCTCGATATTCTAGTATTCCGAGACTATATTCGACCTTCAACTGGGATCCTAAGAGGACAAACGTGCTTGGCAACGTTGCAAAAGTGGTGCCATTTATGATACTACCTAGAATTCCCTGCCAGCTACCTCCCACTTTCTCCTCCTACTCTGATGATCCTGCTCTCAAATCAGCTTCTCAAGTTCAATAAACTACACATCGATCGACTGAGTTCTACTTCAACAATCTCAGAAGGCTTATCATCAAAGCATATAAATCTTGTCTATGTCGTCAATCGCTGGCGAGAACGAGATCAAGGTGGAAATCTTTCACCTGTTCCCACACCTTATTCCGGAACTTCGAATACATATTTGGGCGCTTGCAATAGATGACCGAGTTGTTAAACTCCCCTATCCCTCATCAATAATACCAGGCCGCTGGTCGCCTACCCTACCGCCAGCTGTCACAAGAGCCTGTCATGAGTCTCGAAATCACTGCAGCTACCAGAGATGGTCCGACTGTCCCGGCCCAAGTTATATCTGGGTCAATTTTGATCACGATATCATCCAGATAAAAAGTGATCAACTCGGGAGGCCGAAGACTTATCCGCTGAACGATATCAAGCATCTGAGGGTTGATTTGGTTGATTCACGAGGAGAGGAAGACGACGATTGGTACCACTATAACTCGCAAGAGCTTTATGACTTTCCTAAGCTACAAAGTGTTGATATTTTGGGCCCTAGAGACTTGTGCTGCTATACTCAGTACATTGGAGATTTCTCCTTTGGGCACTGTCCAAAGTCAAATGTTAGAGTCATCACTATGAAAACAGGAGAATGGATTGATAACAAGACGGCTGGGGCGTACCAAGACTATCTTGATTTGGAAGCAGAACTCGGGTTTTTCACTAGGGTTGTCAACGATCGAGATTATGAAGATGAAGAGGAGAGGTTGGAGGACGTTAGGCAGCTTCAGATACCTCTACCGCGGGTCGATCTAAGCTATCTTTGATCGTGCCAACAACGGAAATCCAAGAGACAAGTTGAAGATGGTAGAGGGGAGAGAGGGGCAGGAGAGGGGCAGGAGAGGGGCAGGAGAGGGGCAGGAGAGGGGCAGGAGAGGGGCAGGAGAGGGGCAGGAGAGGGAGCAGGATGGTTGTTGGGAGACTTTTTGATGCAGATTTCTGTTAGTGAAAACCGGAAAAGTTCTTCGGAGAATGAGTGTTGGGAATTACGATAATAGTTGAGTGTTGTGATGCTTAAGATTTCATTGGCTTTGGTTTAGAACCAGGAGCCTGTTTTATCTGCATCGAGTGACACAAATCTTTGATGTCCAAAGAGGGCTGTAGTCTTTTTACATAAGGTTAAACCTCTGACATATAGTATTCAACTAACTTTAATCATGATCTTACTCACCCGCTACGAAGGTACATCTGGAGATAGACAAACCTTGATCTTAAGTTAATAGTCTCTTTTGTGGAGGACGAATAGAGGAATCGGGAATTCCATATTTGTTCAATGCAGGTTGTGAGCCTATAGAGAAAGCTAATAGAATTCGGCGATGTTGTTTGCTTTGAATAGGTGAATGGAATGAACTGCCCTTAAATAACGAAATCCCGAGATAACAAACCCGTAACTTTGTAACGGGGCTTATGAGTCGAAGTAATAATCTGTCAGTCTGTAAATTGAGGAATACGAACGAGCTTTGAGGAGGCCATAGCCAGCTTTCCTAGAAAAATTTACCTGCTACTGTAGTACCAAATTTACTTGCTACCGACTGCTGGTCCGGCTGGCGCCTGGATGAGGTAGCGTGCAAGCTATTCCTGGCAGCACCCGCGTGCTAAGGCCCTGCCTTGTCCTTATCGCCCTATCTTAACCCCACTTGGATTTCTTGACTGCTTTGCGGGGTTACCAAGCTTCCAACTTTGTATTCAACCGCGCAGGTTGAAGAATAAACAACATGCTGCGCCCTTTTTTTCTACCGTAACTTCGATAATATTCAACATGGCGACTCAAGCACAACTTGACGAGAAAGCTCGAAAAGATCGTGCCGGCGCATCTGGTCCAAATTTCAACGATCTAGCTACCCCAGCTCAACTTGCAGAGAAAGCCCAACGAGACAGACAAGGTGCTACGATTTCCGATTATGCTACACCGGCGCAACTTGCAGAGAAAGCTCGACAAGAAGAACAGTACAGCAATCCGTCTGCATCATTTGCAACTCCTGCTCAATTAGCAGAAAAGTCTCGCGGTCGTGCACCTCCTCTCCCTCCACGAACACCTTCAGTACAGGCCTTTGCTCCACCCCCATATACAAGCGATGATGCAAGGAGGAGCGAGTTGATATCAGAGCAATGGAGATCTGAGGATCCAAGATCTTCCTCTACACACTCATTAGTACCTTCAGAGTCTGGGCGGGACGGCAGAAGGACTTTGCTGCTAGTATTTATCCATGGATTTATGGGGAACGAGACAAGTTTTCAGAGCTTCCCAGCGCATGTTCACAATCTTCTCACAATTACTCTTTCGGAGACACATGTCGTACATACCAAGATCTATCCCAGATACAAATCGAGAAAGGCAATTGACTTTGCTAGGGATGACTTCAGTAAATGGTAAGTCTTGTGTAGTTCTAGTAGGATAATGCTCAATATCATCAGGCTTGAACCACATGAGAATAGGCATACGGAAGTCGTATTACTAGGCCATAGTATGGGAGGATTATTGTCTGCGGAAGTAGCCCTCCAAAAGCCATCGTCTCCGGCGACAGGGAAGCCTTTTCGACACCGAATCTTGGGTACAATCAACTTTGATACTCCATTTCTTGGAATGCATCCTGGTGTGGTTGTGAGTGGTCTAGGTAGTCTTTTTCGTCCAGCGCCAGATCCTCCGAAACCCCAGTCTTCTGTTGGAAGTGGAACGAATTCTCCATCAGGTCAATCGAGCTATGCTGCATCGACTATCACATCAGACTCCTCGTTAAGTTTGGTGCAGAGCATCACATCTCCGTTGGCAAGTCCACCACCAAAAGATCCGTTCTTCAACCCACCATTTCCAAACGATGTACGATTACCTGAACGCAAAGGCTGGACCAACGTTTTGCATTTCGTGAACAAGCACTCGGATGGCCTTACAGCCGCCACGAAGCAGTACTTCATGTCACATTTGGAATTTGGTGGTTGCATGGCTGATTATCCAGGGTTGAAGAATAGATATGAGCGGATTCGTGCCCTGGAAGATGTTGATGATACTCCGAAACCAGGTCCAGGATATCGACTACCAACTCGGCGGATCAGATTTGTCAATTATTACACAGCCAGTACTGGAAGACCGAAGCAACCAAAGTTTCCGCCAGGACAAATATTGGACAAGGATGGGAATTTGAAACCAATTGAAGTTGAGATGGAAGACATGAGTTTGAAGGAGGGTAGACGTACACCTACGCCTTCTACACCAAGGATATCTGTCGATGAGCATCGTGATGGCACCGTCACTCCACAGCCTCTTGAGGATGGGCCGGATGCTTCCCCGATCGAGGTTCAGATGCAACAGCTTGGCGAGAATTCGGGCGTGCAAGATGATATACAGGAGTTAGCTCCAATGCAGCACATTGATTCTATGCCGATTGAAGATGATGATTTGTCAGAACCATTGGTTGTCGCTCAGACAGAAGAAGCTGAAGACCCATCACTCGAAATAAAGCCCTCGGTCGCTGAGCCATCTCTACCTCCGATTCCACCATTGCCAACAGAGCCGGAAGCTATCGACTTAGATGCATATACAGACAAAGATTCCAGGAAGATTGCTGAAAAAGAACAAAAGCGAGTCATGAAAGCATATCAACAAGCCGTGAAGGATCGCGACAGCGCTATTCGAGATCGACAGAAATTGGTCGAGAAGCGAGAGAAGAAGGCACGGCAGGATCGCGAAAAGTTACAGAAAGCTGAAGAGAAGAAAAGACTGAAGGAGGAGAAAGAAGAGGAGAAGCGGAGAGAGAAGAAACGGCTCGAGGAAGAAAAAGAAGAGGAGGAACGGAGAGCTACGATTAACCCTGAGCCAAGGACGAGGCAGGGCTCCGTAGCTTCAGCAGATGATGGGAAGCCGAAGCGGGACAAGAAGTTCTGCATGCTGCCTCCTGAATATGGTGGGAAGAGAGACAAGTGTTGGATTAGAGTGTATATGGAAGGTGTTGACGAGGTTGGAGCGCATTGCGGTCTCTTCTTTCCAGGTCCACAGTATGAGAGTTTGGTGGGGGATGTGGGTGAGAGGATAGGTAAATGGGTCGAGGAAGATGCGAACAGGAGAGCTATGCTTGAGGCTTCGATGGAATAAGGGAATTCGACATGGAGTTCCAGAATCACGATCTAGGATCGTGGAACCCAGCTGGATTGTGCAAGGCCAGGAGGCTTGATACACATAGGGTAGTTTGCGCATACTTGAGGGATTGCACTTACCTGGCGAGCCTAGGAGGTTATATAAATCCAGTAGTCTAATAACAACCTCGGGACCATCTCGTTGTGCTTGGAACTCTAGGTACCGAGTTTACCTTGGCATTCCTCTGAGACAGTTAGTCAGCCGCAGATTAGGTAGGTATCACGTGGTGAGCTAGGCTAGCCTGCAGCCACCTGCATGACAACAATGGAAGATCCGATGAGCATTATCAGCTGCCAATGCCCCGTTCATTATCGTCTCAAAATAACAGGAAGATAGCAACATTATATTCTTACATCAAAGCTACTTTCTTTCCATGATTCTTTCTCATTCCGCTGCGTTTCCTTTCTGAATAAGCCGTGGCAACGCAGCTCTCGGTGGCTTTGTCAAGACAAGGATCCCTGATTCTGCCACCGACCGACCGCCTCATCTTCTGCCTGGATTAGACTGCACCTAACCTCACCACTCGGCGTGTGACTGACTCTCACCCAAACAACTTCCCTTTCTTCTCTGGGTGACAGCTCTACTTCAAATCAAAACAGTATTATATTCTATCGGACGCCTATTCACCTACCCTCATATTTGCAGTATCAATAAAGGACTCGGCACGAAACTCCACTTCTGTAGGCGGTGACGGCCTTATCGGTCACTTCGAACAACCGCAGCTTCGAGCTATCTGCACACCGCATGGGATTCGAAGATGTTCTCAGAATGTGAGTAGATGTCCTGGAAACAGGAATGATAGTCTTACTATGGGAGCTTCATCTAATAAGGAGTTCTCAGACGCTTCGAGGTTCTTAGCTCAATCACAGTCGCGATTCTCGAACTTCGTACAACCTGATAACGCCGACCCTCTGCCACGAAATCCCAACGATAGATACCGACAAGCCAGCCAGCCCTTACGAAACCAGTCCCGTGGATACTCCTCGCGGCTTGGGAACCCATATCAGTCGACCTCCAACTTCAACTTCACTCGCTACTCTGCTGCAGCCCCAGACGCGCCTTTGTTTCACAGTGCTTTGGATGACTTCCGAGAAGAGGACGATGAGGAGGAACGGGAGAGGGAGACCGCGGATTTCTTTGCTTTGCAGAAGTCAAGGAGGACGTTCGCCCCCATAGCGCGCTTGGACGAGAGCCACGAGACTGACCCGGAGGCGAGTAATGAGTCAGTGGAGACAGCCAAAGATGGTGACGGCAGAGCTACTGAAGACAGGGGAAGAGGGCGGGGGATAAAGAGTAGCTGGACTGGAGGCGGCAGGAGTATGAGAGAAAGAGGACGGACACCAGGGACGATAGGGGAAGAGGGTAGTGACAGGGATGGAGAGAGCTTACAGAGGAGTAGTGAGGCGAGCAGCAGAGGCCGGGGGAGGATGGAGGATGTTGGACTCGAGTCGACGATAGAGGACGATGACCCGCCAGATGACCTGGCTGTGGAAATGGAGGACAGCCCGCCTGCGTTCCAGAATTTCAGATCACCACCCAAGTCTGGACCTATTAGACTACCCACAGACTCTAAACAGAGCCGGCAGGAAAGAGACGCGGAAGCACGTCGTATAGCTGGAGCCGGGATATCGCGACCTGCAAGTTCGATTGAGACTGTCCCTGCTACCATAGCTACGACAATGGCTGAAGCACCGAAACACGACGTTTTCTGGGGATCTCTGTATTTAATATGCCTCGGAGCTTTGTTTGCCACCTTCTTCCTTGTGTTCCTCCATACGGAAACCCCCAGCAAGACTATCGGCGATACGATATACACGACATTACACGCTTCGTTCCACCTCTTTGCCGTCGATACTTTGGTCTCGATCATTGTATCTCTCGTTTGGATTGCCCTGCTGCGGTCATTCGTGAGATCTTTGGTACACTTGATCTTACTATCAGTTCCGGTCATTCTATTTTCATTCTCGCTATACCCATTTGTATCCAGCTACAAGGGAGCTGCGCATGGACACAGTCTTCAGGATAAGGCAATGAGGTGGCTATCTTTCATCCCTGGAATTTTTGCGGTGGTATGGGTGTATACAATTTACAAAGGTCGCCATTCCTTGAACAAGGCAATCGGGATATTAGAGTTCGCCTCGAGGATCCTAGCTGCCAACCCTGCTCTTCTCGGGATGGGATTTGCTACCTTGGGAGCTGTGGTAGTATGGACTTGGGTGTGGCTAGGAATGTTTACAAGAGTATTCCTTGGTGGTCAGCTATCGACATCGGTGACCAGATTTATTATCGACGCGACAAGTTGGTGGTTGGCTGTCTATTTTGTGCTCATGTACATTTGGACATTATCTGTGATCAGCGGAATTCAAAGAGCGACCACAGGTGCCACCGTTTCCCAATGGTATTTTCACCGAAATGCTATTCCAGCACCAGCACCGAGAGAGGTGGTTGTGGCTGCGTTCAGTCACGCAACTTCTACAATCTTCGGTACTATCTGCTTGTCGACATTAATCGCCCTTCTCATTCGGCTCCCTCTTCTGTTACTTCCACGCCGCCTTATGAGCGTCGTAACCATCTTCGCCTACTCTCTGATTCCGACACCAATTGCGGCACTCACCAATCCTTTGACCCTTACCTACGCTGCGATACACTCGCAAGCGCTCCACCCTTCAGCTCGAGGACTAAGTCAAATGACATTCCTCAGTCCTCAAGCTCCTACGACAACACTCACACCGCGTTCTTTCAATGCCCGAAACCATCAAACAACACCTCTCCTCCCGTACAGACTAGCGAAGCTCCTCCTTCACGCAACCAGATTCATCATGGCCATGGCTCTCGGCTTCGGCGGCTGGGTCGCAACAGCTCGCCAATTGAACATAGCAATGCCAGAAGGTGCGGGTATCAGAGGCAGCGCGTACGCCTACGTCGTCGGTCTTGTGGCAAGTTTCATCGGATGGGGTGTCCTTGGTGCGATGGAGGGCGTGTTGAGTGGAATCGTGGACGCAAGTGTGGTCTGCTGGGGAAGCGAGAGAGGCATGGCTGGCGGCGGAGCGTATTGTCTGGAGGCAGGATATCTTTTTGGAGAAGGGAGAGAAAGAGATTTGCCGTAGTCTCTGCACGGATCATGGCGTATTGCGAATATAGGAGTTTGGGAATCCCCCATAGGGAGAGATTTCTGGGAGTAGACTGCATGATTGGTTTGGGGGAGTTTCTGAGCAAGCATCCACAACAGGGCGGCGCGCTTGTGAATTGCATTGTATCAACGTTAGCGTTTTTGAATAATATGATATTTTATAAATTGCCAATCTAAGAACCCGTGTACCGTCTTTAAATAGAAAAAAAGTGATAGCAGCGAGAGCAGCTACCGTTTAGGAGTGGGAGCGCCCAATAAACAAGCATGGCTGCAGATCATCGAATAGCCGACGCGAATCAACTCACCGCTTTTGGCAGTTCCATCAGATTCGGCTTCAAAATCCATCCCACCTCGACAACATCAACAGACACTCAACGCACTCCAAACACTCGAGATTGCGCGTAGATTTCCTAGCGTAAGCTCTCATTAACACTGTCTACAGCTCAGCATGGCACAAAAATGCGTTCACCAGTCGTGTGGGAAGATGTTTACAGATCCAGAGGAGGAGTGCAATTACCACCCAGGCCCTCCAATTTTCCATGAAGGACAGAAGGGTGAGTTCGATACACGACACATTGAATTCAAAGTTTGGTTCTTAAAGGTCTTGTAGGATAGTTACTAACTAGCTTCTCACAGGCTGGAAATGCTGCAAGCCTCGCGTCCTAACCTTCGACGAATTCCTCTCCATCACACCCTGCACAACTGGCAAGCACAGCACAACCGACCTCCCCCCGACGATCGAAAAGAAGCAAGGCGAAGCTGTAGAAATCTCTGCAGAAGTATCCCAACCCCCCTCCCCAGCTCCAGCAGCTCCCCGCGCCCCAGTCGCAGCTCCAGCTCCCCAAGCCCCTCCTACCCCACTACCACCCCCACCAGAGTCCGAGGACGACGAACCCAGCTTGGAGATCCCCAAGGGCAAGATATGCAGACGGAAGGCGTGCGGCTTCCAGTATGAGGGCGCGGAGAGGGAGGGCGAGAAGTGCGTGTTTCATCCTGGGGTGCCGATCTTTCATGAGGGCAGTAAGGGCTATACGTGTTGCAAGCGGAGGGTTCTGGAGTTCGATGAGTTTATGAAGATTGAGGGGTGTCAGACGAAGGAGCGACATATGTTTGTAGGAAGTGGTAAGAAGAAGGGCGGGAATTCTGCGGGAGAGGAGGTCTTGGAGACAGTGAGGTGAGTTTCGACTGCGGATGTCTTTGCTTGAAGAGAGTACTGATATAAGCTATTCACAGACACGACTTCTACCAAACAGCAACCACGGTAATCGCCTCCTTCTTCCTAAAGAAAATCAACAAAGACACCGCCAAGGTCGAGTTCCTCCCAAACGAAATATCCCTCGACCTCATCACAACCGACACCCCACCAAAACGCTACAAAACCACAGTCCCCCTCTTCGGACCAATCGACACCGCGGCCTCCACATTCAAGATCATGGGCACGAAGCTGGAGGTGACCTTTGTCAAGGCGGACGGTAGTTCGTGGCCCGTCCTGAGAAGTGATGAGCAGCGAACGGGAGAGATTATCCAGGTTGGAAGGGCTGGTAGAGCGATATGATTGATATGATCCTCCCTCCCCATTACCGTTGATGTATATATGAGACCTATGAAGAGAAGAGAAGCGACATGGCTGAGTATCCTTGCTTGAGCGAAACTTAGAGGAGTGGAAATAAAAATAAAGAATTATACTACACTGTTACCGACTGTCGGGTTCGCTTAAACTTTCAGATCCTAGGACAACATGCTTCGAATATTGGGATTTGATAGTCCAGGTTGGGAGACCACCCACCCACCCTCTTGCTTAGTGCTGCTACGAAATTCAGGTAGAGAACTATTCCCCGTCTCGTCCGCATGAGGCAGTTGATCTTCTTACGACAGAGCTCAGCTCCTTGAGTGGGACCCGTCCCTCCATTTCCCCCAAGCTCCTTTCCATCTAAGATGTTAGGAATCTCTCTCTGCGGTTTCTACATCACTGTTAAACTTCAAGCACTTAATCCCTCTCGTTGCGAAAAAAGGCGTGGCATTCCACTGTTTCCTTCAGCATGTGCCCCTCTTGCAGGATGGATGGAGCTGTAGGAGCAGGTACTCTATCTGTGAGACTCAAACACTCTGTAATAGTGCTCTGTTGTAGCATATCGTTAGGTCGGAGGTATCTTTATCTTCGAGAAGAAAAGTACCTAGGCGAGTCGACATGAACTGTAGATAGATATGTTTATGCTCATGCTTATGCTCATGATCGATCTGAAGGCAAGTGCAAGTGTAGGTATAGGTATAGGTAAAAGACGAGTGGTAACTTACTCCCCACCCAAAACTTAGTAACTAAATAAAAAGAGAGAATGGGAGGAAGCAACAGAGTATGTTAATTTGTGCTTAACTTGGCAGAGCAGTGAGTTACTTATAAGACCCGTTCTGCTGCCGGTTGTCACTCTCAGCGGAGGCTTGACCGTTAAGGCTGAGATATTTCGAATTCTCTCGCAGCGCAGCTCAGCTGTTTTCAAAGGCGCTTTTCAAACCCGTACCTGTGCAGTGTAGGTATCCTTCATCCAATGTTAACCTCCAATATCATCCACCCATTCCATTCCATTCTGCGTCCCTCTACCGAATTCCACACCTACCTACCTACCTACCTACACCCCAGCTCACCTCCGCTTACATCACATCACTTCACTTCAGTTCACATCACATCACATCACATACAGTAATCCCCACCTACCCTGCATATATGTACCCAACCACACAACCACAAAACACAGCTAGCTAGCTATCATCCTGCTCTACCGTGCAGCCCAAACAATACCCAACGATGTACATACCTCCCTCTCCCTCTCCCTCTCCCTCCCCGACTCAAAATCCCCAATTTAATCCTCTAAGTTCCGCATCTCCACCCCCATTTCCGTCTCTATCCCAGGTCTACATATATACTCAAAAGAGTAACCTTAGCTTATAGTCTCCTTCCTCCCCCTTCCATTTCTTTTAAAACATCCAATCCAATCCAGTTTCCTTGTACATATAGAGAAGCGCCGGTCTCAAATAGGAAACAAGATTCGAAGCAGGGGTTGAGTGAGTGTGCAGTAAGTGTGGGTCAGCAGTGTGGTGTGGTCACTGGTGAGAAAACAAAAAAAAAAAAAAATGCGCCGACAGAGGGTTAAGAGGACGGGAGGGAAGAGACGTGGGGGTGGGGGTGGGGAAATGCGCCGAATGGATGGGATGGGATGGAAAAGAAATGGAACAGAACAGAAAGAATTTAGGGAGGAAGGAAGGGAGGGGGTGTGTGAACAAGGTAGGGTAGGGTAGAATGGGATGGGATGGGATGGGATGGGATGGGATGGGATGGGATGGGATGGGATGGGATAGGATATGATGGGATGGGATGTTGTAATGCAATGTAAGGTAAGGTAAGGATAAAAGGGAGGAAAGGAAAGGGCATTTCTTAGGGAAGAGTAAGTAGGTAGAAGGTTGGTATTATTGGGGGAGGAGGATAGGTTGGGGGAATGAGAGTGTGGTGGGGAAGTGGGGAGGGGTGATGTGAGATGTGAGATGGGGACGGCGGGAGGGGAGAAGGAGATGGAGATGGAGATGGAAAGAAGGAAGGGAGTTTCGGCTTGAAGTTTTGAGTTTTTGAGTTTGGTGTTGTGTATTGGTATTGGTATTGGTATGTTATTCTTCATATGGCGTAGGTAGCATGGTCGTGAATACATGACATGACATAACATGATATACGTTAAGATGTGATATTGTGTTGTGTTGTGTTGTGTCCTTGCGAACAATCAAACAATCAAACAAGTAAGCAAAAGGTATAATGCAAAAATCCCACCAACCCACACACCAAGCGCTATGCAAAAATGTAAATGCAGCTGCAACATCATCGTCGCGTCAATCTCCCGTCCTCCCCCTTCACCCTTTCCTCCCTCCTCCAAGCTCAATACTCCAAGTTAAACTCCTCCATAACCTGCTCATACAACCGATGCTTCTCATCATCCACAATCCCAATACCCATACCCATACCCACACCAAATCCCACACCCACACCCACACCTCGTCCCACCACCAACCCATCAACTCCAAACCCTCTAACTGGCCTCCCAATCTTGACCTCTCCTCCTCCTCCACCCACGTCAGACTCAACAGGAGGTGGCGTCTCATCATCGGAACTCTCGTCCGAACCACTGCTATGCTCATCCGATGTCGAGGATGAAGAATCCGGAGACATAGACCCAATACCTAGAGTTTCGGAGTCGGAACCAGGCGGCGTGCAGGAGAGCATGTAGTCGATTGGATCGTCGACTGTATCCGTATTCACGGGATCGGCGTTACCAGTATTGGCGCTGGTTCCATAGTAGTAGCTTAATGAGCCTTCGCCGATGTCTGATGGTGATGGGTTCGGAGAGTTTGTGGGCTGAGTGTAGGGATATAGAGATCCGACGGTGGTGGAGTGGGGCTTGGAGGAGAAGTAATCCGTCTCTTCTTCGCCCACGATGCCAAGCCAAGACCATTCCACGTCTTTCTGCTCCTTGGTATTCTGGCTCGGACTCTGCTTCTGAGATTGAGTCTGTGGCTGGTTGTATGACCACAGACTATCCGGACTCCAGTAGCTTTGTTCGCTAACGAGCTCTGCTGGTTCTGATTCTAGGAAATAAGCTTCTTCGTCTAAAGTCTTTGATCTTGTCTTCTTGACCGTTCGATGGATCTTCCTGTCACCGATGGGGTTGACGATAATGTATTGTCTGACTTCTGAGAGGAATTTGACGTTCTTCTTTGGTTGGGAGCTACCAAGCGTCGGTATTGACGCGGTGAACTCGACGTGTTGGTGTGATGTTTGGAGATGGGCTAGCGGAGAGTTGTCGCTTAGCGAACAGCCTTGGACTGAAGTAAATGAGAGCGTCGATGACGATGAAGGGACGCTATAGGAAGGTAAAGAGCCACGGCGTAAGATATCGCCTATACTGGGCTTCTTCAAGATCGACGCCGGTGTGGTGGTACATGCCTCCGATTTGCTCTTCGGAGTCCGGACGGCACGTGATGTCGATGAGGATGATAAGGACCGTGGGGGTGAAGTCTCCCATGACCTCGAATTGACGGAGAACGGTCCGTATAGGCATGTGTCATCACAGTGCTTCAGCCTGGTCGTCATTAGTGGCTTGTTCGTACCTTTTGACGGGAGTGCTAGGGGTTTCTCTGTAACGTACCAGTTGATAGTCTGTGGGGACACGGTCTTGAGCCCAAATCGTAACTTTGACCATGTCCTCCACGACGCATTCTCCAGTCGCGAAACTGTGTTATGGCGTTTCCATGAAGAATGATCAAGTAGTGAGATATCTCTCCAGGTCTTGCGCTTGGTCACTAGGTGTTTCCAGGAGGCAGAAACATCGTCTTCTTGCCACTGATGAACAAGGTAGTTGACGTTTTCGCACGGCTGCAAACAAACCACGGAACAATCCCTCGTCTCTGGAACTGTAGATCTCTCGAAAGTTGGAGCCGCATTAGACTGGATCTTCTGATCTGCTTTCGGTGGCTCCGATAATGATATCTCTTCGCCAATCGGGGGTAATGTTTTGAGTGCTCCGAGTCCGATGCCGATTTCTATATTCCCTTCATAGGAAGGAAAGTCGATTGGCGATTCTTTCTTTTCTGAGTCGCGGAATGATTTGAATGTGAATGATGTCTGTATTGAAGTGGTCGATGACGATGCGCTCCTCTCATTTCCATTCTCGCTGTCGCCCCATTGGAAATCGTCGCTGTCGCTGTCGCTCTCCTCGAGGGTATGCGTCAAGGTTCTCCGGTACTCCAGAGTTTGGCATTCTTGCCCATTCTCTGTCACCTCGTATGGGGCGTGATAGAGGACGATATCCTCCCACTCGAAATATTCATCCTGAGGCATGGAGTCGTCCATTTTTGCGGTGAGTCTCCCTCGGTGGAAATCCGTTGAGCGTCACGTGTGGTCCCTGTTTGTTTTTCTTGAAGCCCCTGAGTAGCTTCAATGATCGCGCAGCAACGTTTTCGAAGTGGCTGTCCATGAGATGCGTACATGTCCAAGACGAGGGAATCGAGGGAGGAGATGTTGAAGTTTATAAAGGAGGGTGAGAATGTGTCCGAGTGAGATGTGAGATGATGTTATGTGTTCGGAGGTTTGTTGGGGGACTTTTGGTTTCGGCATCCGAACGTTGAGAGTCGAGACAGGGGCAGGGGCAGAGGCAGAGGCAGAGGGGCTGACAGCGCAGTACTCCCACACTCTTGGCAGGCAGGGAGGCAGGCAGGCAGGGCAGGCAGGGCAGGTCCCTTTGCGCCGCTGCATCGGCCGCCGCACTCCATTCCACTAATACAGTATAAGTACTAATACTCGAGCTCAGCGTCAAATCTCATTTCGGCAGAATGGCAATTGTAGTAAGCGGCTGTACCACCCAGCCAGTGATAATTACAGACACTCTGCCTCGTGATGGACTGGCGAAACTTAGTGTCACATAATCTGAGCGGAGCGCCATTTCGTATGTGGTTCTCGGTACTCAAGTTTCGAATTTGGCTGCCAAATGATAATGTTTGTGAACATCAGCTCAAAACGAAACACAACTGCGACCAAGCTTGGAGTTCCCCGGAAAGACCATCGCGATTCCGGGGTCGCCGCCATCTCTTGCAAAAAATTTGATAGGGTTTTCAAATTCTTCCAAGTCTCTCATGTCTCTCTTCACAGGGCCTGGAGTAGATCGGCAATGTTCTGGAACTCTTCTCCTCGATGGTAGTTGTGATCATCCAAAGACAATCAACATCTGTGAAAGCAGTGTCTAGGATATGCCCCTATCGCCGACACAGGGTCAGAGTCCGGGGTAGCGCTGGTCCTCTTTTTGCCTAGGTTGCAACGGCGTAGTCTTGGCGCACGTGCCTGTATTTGTCTGGCCAACTCGTTCCTCGCTAGACAGACCGCTGTGTCTCGGAGGACAAGAGAGCCAGCTTAGGTCTAAATATTTCCTTCAGCTATCAGAAATGGATTCCTCAGAGAAGTGTCTGTCGACCTATCGAAAGCCACCGATACAAAGATGATAACACACCGAATGAGTCGAAGCTGGTACCACGACTTTCACTTGGCTGTTAACTGCTTCTTCTGGAAGACTACTGGACACCTTTGTGTTGCCAGTGAAAAGCCTCAATCCTTTTGTGCTTCAGCTGAATTCAGCTAGTAGTCAAATACGAGTCGGTAGGTTGAAAGGGCTGAATCTTCTCGAACACAGTCCGTCGTCCTTAGGTAGTACATGTCCGTTCCTATGAGGAATCGTGGTTAAGTACTGTCAATCAAGTTTATCTGGCTTCTTGGTCTTTGTAGGCTTTTATGGCCAATTCGGCGAAGGTTTGAGATGGCTGCTCTATCTCTAGTCCCACTCTATTCCATCTCTAGTCCATGCTTCCCAAGGAGGCGTATCTTACAGGGCAGCTGTAACCGAACGATGGTTGAGACAGATAAAATAGTTCGCATAATTTCAGCCTACATGTTTATCAGCAATCCCGCTTCGTTCAACACTGTTCTCATACAGTCCTAAGGAATGCGGTCAACCTTCCCGGTACGGTATTTCGACTGAAGGTGGAGGAATCAGTGAACGACTACAGAACTCCCTCATATCTGCTATATTTTCTAACAGTTCCATTGTCTTCGGGCGGTATCTGGGGGTAACGTACCGGTAAACAAAATATGTCGACATGTGTAGAAACAGGCGCTGCAAGAGTGCGGTTCAAATACTTGTATTCAAAAGATTATCTTGAGGCAGAATATATCGGGCCCGGCGGACGAACAGTGTTTTAATACCCAGATTGATGTCCTGATGACATATCTTGCTCGTGGTTTACCTCACAAAATGAAAGCGCTTGTCCTGACCTGAATATAAATGGTTTTAAAAAAAGGAGGATTCTCGATCAGGACATCGATATAACTTAAAGTGTTCTTTTAACGGCGATTTGAGGCTTTCTAAACAACGGTCCTCACAAATAAGCCTGCAGTAAAAGATAGATGTCAATGGCGCTGGGGGAGGGTGAGCCGGGGAGCCTTAGTCAGCAGAACTCTCTTCATCATTGGCCGAGAGTTCACCATGCAAAATACATCGAAGCGAAGCATCCTCCTCCTCGGGAACATCTTCAAGCACATGATCGCAAGCACGATTAGGCAGCGCATCTCCTCGCCTTTCATGGTCTCTCCATCGCATATGATTTTGATATTTCCAGTATAGCATTTCTTTATGGTCCCAATCATCTGAGGACCACGGACCATTTCACGACAGGGTGTTCTTTTCCACGATGCTTGCCTCTAGCATTTCCTTGCCTTGGGCAAATACAGTTCTCGCTTGGATCGCAAGCTCTCTTGTTATGCTCGATACACCACTCTCTCCTTTACGATTACTCAAATCCTTTCAAGTCTCCGTGCTCGTTGCGAATGTCGCTCTGTACAGCTTGGCAAAGTTCTGGCTAGGTCAGGTGACCAAGCTCGTCCGAGAGCCATACCTGGTTCGTTACAATCCTTCTTACGAAAATTGGATTTATCGTCTGATACTATTCTCAGGATGAGGTCTTTCATATACCACAAGCTCAAGCTTATTGCAATGGGAGGTACGATATGTGGGATCCTAAACTTACCACCCCACCAGGACTGTGAGTACGAGACCATTCTGAGAGACGCAACCGGAACTCAACTTTGATAGATATATCTTCTCGACTCTATATGCCAAGCTCTCAGCATATGGAAAATGTTCTCCCGCCGTACTGCGATCTTTCAATGTCTTCGCTTTGATCATGGTATTTTCGTACGCCTGCGACTGCAGAGCCCTCATCTCCCGGTCCAGAGCCCGGAATGCAGCAGCTCCTCGAAATTCTTCTATTGCGTTTGGTGTGCAGAACTGGGCGTATGGCCCCCAGCGGATAAATCCAGACGAACTACACACCGCATTGAATATCGCCTTGTTCCCCATACTATTCTTCTTTTCTGGTCTTTTCTACACCGATGTTCTGTCAACTTGCGTCGTCTTGAGAGTGTACCGACTGTTCTTGGAGAGAAGAGGAGCATACCAGAATTCCTCCGAGGGTCTAATATGGCTTTATCTCACAGGCATTGTGTCTCTCTGGATGAGACAGACGAATGTATTTTGGGTTGCTGTATTCATGGGTGGCTTGGAGGTGGTGAGGACGATCGATGCCAACCAGACTCCTGATCCTGGTCCGGATATTGCACCCTACAGGTGGAAAGATATCTGTATCTTTTACTTCAAGCGTTATGGCAATGGCCAGATCCATGATGTGCCACTGGGGGACGCTGGGGTTCATGGTTAATGTTTCTTTGCCGCTCTAGGCTTTCCTCGCTAACTTCTCCCAGATTTCATTCTCTGCGCAGTCAGCGTCGCTGTTGCCGCCGTATTTCACCCTCTCCTTCTTGTAACTCGACTATGGCCTTACATTGGTCTTTTACTCTCCTTTGTCGCCTTCGTGATTTGGAATGGCGGCGTTGTGTTAGGTAAATAAGTTCCGCGCCGTCCGACCTAACTAGATCACTTTGCTAACCGTCACCAGGGGACAAGGCAAACCACGTAGCAACCATCCATATCCCACAGATGCTTTACATTTGGCCATTCATGGCCTTCTTCTCAGCTCCTCTCATCGTTCCAATCGGCCTTTCCTTCCTACATCGCCTCTTCAAACTCTTCTCTCTGCCCCTGTTTCCGCGCCTGGTGTGGCAGTACCTACTCGCAGCGATCTATACAGCTGGAGCGCTAGCTGTGACCCTCGTTATCATCAAGTTCAACACGATCATCCATCCTTTCACTCTAGCGGACAACAGACATTACATGTTTTACGTATTCCGATACACGATTCTCAAGCACCCAATGGTTCGATACCTCCTCGCACCAGTCTACCTGATCTGCGGATTTCTTGTCTACTTAACGCTTTGCGCTCAAAGTACAACCTCTCCAACCACTTTGAAGAAGAAGAGGGAGTCCTCAAAAAACAGCGATGATCAGCCAAGAGCAGAGGAGAAGCCCGCTACAAACACACAGTCAGACGGCCCAACAACGTCATTCGTTCTCATCCTACTCCTCACTACCGCCCTATCACTCATCACAGCACCCCTCGTCGAGCCCCGATACTTCATCATACCATGGGTCATATGGCGACTCAACGTCCCCTCATTACCACCACCACGTCAGGCAGCCTCCTCACCAAAATCAAAGTCGAAGTCAAAGTCAAGAACCGATACAGCACGACAAGAAGAGATATCCCGCAAGATCATCTCCTGGATCAGGTTCTGGGGGTGGGAAGGACATGACTACAGGCTTTGGCTGGAGACGGTGTGGTTTCTGGGTATCAATGCGGCCACGGGGTATATCTTTCTGTATCGCGGGTATGAGTGGAAGCAGGAGCCTGGGAATGTCCAGCGGTTCATGTGGTAACCCTGAACCCTGAACCCTGAACCCTAAGCCGAGCATCGATGGTCGCTGGGGATGTACATTTCTTGTGATATTTAAACATCCATCCTGGGGACGTAGACGTAGACGTGGTTGAATCTCCCGCATTGTAGTCGAGTCTGGCTTAGAGTCTTGTATATTACCAGTTGCGCGATATGTGATCGGACCCTAAACAACATGGTGGACGGAGGATGATCCATTCCGTAAATATAGGTACATACCTAGTAACCTGGCCAGCATGTCTTCCTCTCAAACATTGTGTATGATGGGTTGGTCGAATTGATTGTTTAGCCTCTACAAGTCCAGATAAAACACGCACCATTGTCATCACGAGTCCTCACCAAGCGCTCTTTACGGCGTATAGTCTAGTCATCTCTCTGCTATCGCTATCGCCGTGCGTCTTCTCAGTAGGCAGCCGTGTCCTGGGACGGGGCTCTGGATTTGATGCGCATTTCCAGCCTCTTCAAGACGCAGGCGGGCAATTCACCCGTTGGAGCCAGACGCGTTCATTATGACATGAGCCCGGGCGTGGTTGTCAAGTCCGGAAGAGCGCCTGCTCAAGAAGGTTGGTTTTCTATATGCTGCATGTAAATGCTTCACATGTCAAGGAATCCTTTCACAGGTCAAACGTTCATTTTTATTATCCTTGCTCCACCATGATGTCTTCAAGGACCAGCACGTATATACAAAGCCTAGCAAATGCTAATGCTCCAAAGTAGGAATCATCGTCTAATCTCGCTCAAGGATCCTAAACCCATGCATTCCCGAAATGCATTCAAATCATCATCCACCAACGCCTAATGCCAGGAAATCGTTATGCATAGTACGGAAAAAGGTATAAACAAGCAGAACAAGCGGTCGTCAAGTCGGATAGAGGAAATTGGAAATTTGAGCCCTAGCAACCATACACTCCATGTCGTTTCGATGCCATCACATAGTGAAAGATAGGAAGAGATGAAGGATCCGTAGTCCAACTCGTGAACCCAAGGTACAACGATACTTGGCGTGATCAAATCCCTCATCTCTTTCACATCGAGACAAAGGATTCAGGTATCGTGCCACAAAATACCAGCGAAAGGTTGAAAGAATCAGGGAAGGGGTCCGAAAGTGGAGCGATAGATAGATAGTAAGAGGTGGGAATCGAAGTAAGGGTTAGATTTGGCCTTTGATGTCGACTTTAGCAAAGGCTGCACTTTTAGCAGCCTCGAACAAGCCGCCAGCCTTGCCAGTGAGGAATCGAAGTTCATCGTTCTTCTCTTCAAGCAGGTGTTGGCCATTGTAATCACAGATGAACTGTGCGGCATCGCCGTCGGACTCAAATCCAAGTTCCTCGGTGATAAATCTCAACTTGATATCTGGCTTGTATCTGCGAATTATTAGCACAAGTCTAGAAGCGAGATGTGGATGTGTGGAGGAACATACGCTTTGCATATATTTGACAGAGCAACCAGACGTTCACGAACGACGAACATATCCATGAGGTAGGCACCCATGTTAGGTGTGTCGAGATAGAGCCTGAAAAATCTGTGGTAGTTGCCTAATGCTAAAGCCGAACGCACACCAAGAGCATGCTTGATAGCCTTTTCTTCCTTCTCTGCTGGGGTTAGATCCGCCAAGACGTCATTCAATGCCGTGCGGTTAGATGTGTGAATGAAATACAAGATACGATACGCCTTGAATTCCACCGGGTTGCCTCCCAAATTCTGCGCATAAAGCGCACGAAGCTGGGTTTGACATTGATTATACTCACCAAGATCCCCCTTCTCCAGGGCAATCCGGGCATGGATTTCATACACCGTAACTGTGAACTCGTTCTTGATGCGTTGCACGGTAAGATCTTGTCGCATAGACTTGAACTGGTCGCATATGTAAGAATAGTTGCCCTCTTTCTTCCACTTCTTCTTCAATAAATCAAGGGTTTGTCTCAAAATAGGTTCAGGTCGGACTTGTGATGGGACTGGAGCTGATGTGAGGCGGAAATATTGCTTCTCGAGGACTTTGCACGTTCCGACTACAGGGCCTGATGATGGTTCTGGGGTAGGAGATCGAGCGTAGGTTGGTTTGTAACCGCCATCAAAACGACGAAGGCGCTTCTCCAGGTTCTTCTGGGACTTACTTAATTTCTCCTCCTGAAATGGATGCTGGCGTTTTTCGGTGATACGATCTTCGAAGCGGTTGTTAGCACGCCACGGAGGCATAGGATTGTCATCTCCACCGAGCTCTTGGGATTTTCTCTTCTTCGATAGAGCGTGGTTACCATTGGCATTGCCATTCGCGCCTATCCGCAGATCTAGAGATTCTTGTTTCCATGCCTCGGCCTTTGCCTGTGCCCGCGCGTGGTGTATCATTTGTTGGGGAAGGGGTAGATGGTCCCAGTCGATCGTCTCCAGAGAATTACTATCGGTCGCTGCTGCGATGGTTGTTCTTAGCTGTTCTTCCATCTCTGCTCTAGACACATCGGCAAGGAGGTTATCGTTCTCGAAAGATCTCTGTACGTAAAGCCGAACTGGTGCTGGCCAGTCGATTTTCTTTTTCTCCGCAGGTGGAGGAGCAGGCATCGGCGCGGGTGGAGGCGGAAACTGGGCAGTAGGCACAAGGTGAGGCACGAGGTGAAGGGGCGCTTGGGCGAATGTTTGTCGGACTTGTACGGGATAGTAGGCTGGCGGAGCCGTCCTCTCGTAAGAAGGCATCTTCTGAGGAGTTGGAAAGGGGTGCTGATGTTGAAGGTGATGAAGAGGAGGAAAATCCACGATGCATAGTACGGTTGGTTGTTGGACGACGTTGCCGCTTCGAAATCGACGAGCGATCAAGCGTCGTAAGGCCACAAGGCAGCCACGCCAACGCTGCCATGTCTCCCGGTCAACGATATTATCCGCATTCCAAACAAGCGAGAACGCATGAAGTCCGATGAGACTCCCCTTTGTCCATGTGATAAAAGGATCAATAATAAATCCAAGCGTGTAAAACGAATCTCATTCTACTCAGAAGAAGCATTAGAATCATATCAATCTTCTTGAAGAGGGGTTTGTCGGATTCGTTGTCCTGCATCAGTTGTTCTATCCAGTCCTGGTGCTGATTTTAGTGTGCGCATATAAACATAGACCGGGAGCCCGCCAGATCACCATCTCTCCATCTCCACAAACAGAACTTCCCCAGAACTTCCCGTCCACACCAGACAACCACAAATATGGAACCCAACTCCAAATCCAAAGCCTCTCTCTTCGATGTCTACCTGCGACTCCGCCCGCCACCAGCAGGTCAACCCATCTCCGACCGTTTCCTCACCGTTGAAGAAACATCCGAAGATACAGCACCTACACACATAACCCTTAACCCACCGAACGACAACCGCAGACGCGCAATCGAGAAATTCGCTTTCACGGAAGTCTTCGAGGAGGAATCTACACAGCTTGATTTGTTCCAAGGGACAGGAGTATTACCGCTTGTCGAGGGTGTTCTAGGTCCACAGGGTGGTGAAGGGAGAGATGCGCTGCTTGCTACATTGGGTGTTACAGGGAGTGGGAAGGTATGCAAGATCTTTAACGAATTTATGGTCAGGGAGAACAAGACTGATACGATAAAATACAGAGCCACACAATTTTAGGATCGCGCACCCAACGCGGCATGACCCAACTGGCCCTCGACCTCCTGTTCCGCTCTATCTCCCACAACATTCTCGATCCCAGCACATCGACCTCTCTACACGCAACAGTAGCTGCCTCTGACCCATCCGAGGCACAGGTAATGTCCGCGCAAATGTTCCTCGACACCATGTTTGCCGACCCAGCAGCCGCCTCGCGCGCAAGCTCTAGAGCTCCAACCCCAATGGTAATACATACCCCGTCTTCCAATCTCAACCTGCCACCTCCTCTCCACGCATCCTGTCAAGGTCTATATCCTTCTTTGTCAGGCTCAGACACCGGAAGTCCGAAGAGTATCAGAGTAGTCACAGATACAGATACCGAATCTCGAGTGAAGACGAGAAGTCAGACAAGATGTCGAAACCAAGGTCAAGATCAGAACAAAAGTCAGAATCAGCAAGTTGCCGAATCGAACCCATTAGTTCTGGGACCCCTCTATTCCATTCCATCTTATATGCAATCGACGCTTGCGAAAGCAGTTAGACACATAGCTAAATCTCCACTCAAGGGCGAAACATCCTACATCCCACCTACACCACGACGAAATGTCCTGCAGCGGCCTTTGGCTCTGCCACAAAGTCCAGATATCAGCAGTTTGACAGTGAATGTTGACCCGAACGCTGAATATGCGATCCTTATCTCTATGTACGAGGTCTATAATGACCGGATCTTCGACCTCCTCACACCCGCTATTCCAGGCAAATCCGCAAAAGACTTCCGACGGAGACCCCTCCTCTTCAAATCCACTGAGCAATCACCCGACCGCAAAGTCGTCGCCGGACTGCGCAAGATTATCTGCGGCACTATGAAAGAAGCGCTCATGGTCCTCGAAGCCGGCTTGCACGAGCGTCGAGTCGCAGGCACAGGCTCAAACAGTGTGTCAAGTCGCAGCCATGGGTTCTTCTGCGTGGAAGTCAAGAAGCGGAGAAGGGGGAGGGTGGTCCATCCATGGGGAGGAAGTGCGCTGACAATTGTTGATCTGGCGGGGAGTGAGAGGGCGAGAGATGCGAAAACGCAGGGTGCAACCCTAGCAGAGGCAGGAAAGATCAATGAGAGTTTGATGTATCTGGGACAATGTTTACAGATGCAGTCAGATCTGGCCTCTTCGGCAAAGGTATGCTCTAACAGCTGTCTCCTTGCAAAGGAAACAAGCTTGCTGACTTTATTTCCTGTAGCCTAACCTCGTCCCTTTTCGCCAATGCAAACTCACAGAACTCCTTTTCTCAAATTCCTTCCCATCACCCACGCCCACGCCCTCACACCAAAGTTCCTCCTCCTCATACTACAGCACCCACCACCAAAGCCACCCACCCCCTCGCAACCCCCAGAAAGCAGTCATGATCGTAACAGCCGACCCTCTCGGCGACTTCAACGCCACCTCCCAAATCTTGCGGTATTCCGCCCTCGCGCGTGAAATCACTGTCCCACGAATCCCCTCAGTCAGCTCAACTATCCTCGCCCAATCTACCGCCTCCCACTACTTCTCACCCCGCTCACCACCGTCCGACACGGACCGCTCGACCATGGAAATTGCCGCCCTAGAAATCGCACGTATGTCTGAAGAAATCGACGGGCTTCGCGCTGAGCTGCTTTCTGCTCACCAGGTAAGGCTGGAGATGGACGCGCATCTCGAGAGTATGGCCGAGAGGATGAATGAGCTCGAGATGGAGGTTAGAGAGGAGTGTTATACTGAGATGGAAGTTCGACTACAGGATGAAGTTTCCAGGTGGAAGGCGCAGTGGCAGGCGGAGCAGGATAGGAATGATGAGCATATGGATCGGAAGCTGGAGATCTATACGAGGAGTATTGATGCTGCTGATGTGGAGCCCGTCTATCATGGAAACGGAAATGATGCAGGAGAAGCAGAGGAGGATAAGGAAAACCAACATTCAGGCCCCGGTGAGATCGATAACCTACAGATCGAGAACGAACGCTTAAGAAGAGAAGTCGAGATCCTGAAGCGTGAGCTGGCGTGTAAGAGCCCTAGCAAAGGACAAAATCGGAGTGCGAGGATGCCGCTCAGGGAGAGTAAAGTTGGGAGGGACAGGAGCAACACCCCCGAGGTGGATAGTGATAGGGTGCTAGGTGGTGAAGGGCATGGGATGGGGATGGAGGAGCAGTTCGAGAGGTTGAGTGTTAATGGTGCAGGTGCGAGGGAGAGAAGTCCTACTAAGAAAGTGAAGAAGCTTGTTGCGAGGAAGTGGGATTTGCTTGATGAGGGGGACATGCTTTGATATCCTATATTCTTGTCGGACTGGCAAAATCATTCTTCTTGTATGCAGCAGCCACTTAATTTTTGGATTTAGGAGTAAGAATAGGGGTAGGTGTAGATTTCGGAGGCTGTTTCTCGGGGTTAGGTGCCATGGTTCTTCCTTTCCGTATTCCCATGGAAGGGTTGACTATGAATTTTAATGGGACAAACTCTTTACCTGTTCTCTATTTTTTTTTTGATATCTGATACCAGGAAAATGCAATTCATTGGGTGTCTGGAAATCGACCAGGCCGGACAATAAGGCGAGAGATTTGTTTACATCCACCTGTCACATGCCAACACCCAGCCAGGCTGCTTTAGCCAGGATCTCTACGAAACCACAGCCAGTTCTCAAGTACCTGATAACAACGGAATCATCAGATACTCACAATAGCTATCACATCGTAGCTTAATCGATTCAAATGCGTCGTCAAGTACTTTATTAGGGAAGTAAATAGGGTTCGAGGCGTATTCTCGCTTGTTTAAATGGTATTTCTGCCTTAGGCAAGGATCGACAAGGGTTACAGGACACTGAGGACAGGCCTTATGCCGGTAGCGATCTTGCAGTGGAGTGAACGGGTGGCGGTCCTGGAGGAGGACATCGGATGGTGGACTTCGAATCTCTAAACTCGCTACCCAAGATTTCCATCACTCTCATGGAATGAGCCCAGACCCACTGGAACACGAATCGCTGGAGGACAAGCCCGACCACCTCGTTTGATATCATCAAACACCAACAGCCACGTACAACAGCCATCAAACGCCAATAGAGTAGCCACGTACTCTTCACTAACCTATAGAGTCGCGTCTCTATCCTCTCCTCACACCAGACCACCACCCACGAATGACTCTCGCCCCTACCGCCGCAAGAACACCAGAAACCCGCCTCCACAATGGACGCCCTGATCACTACAACGGGCCGACCTTAGCCGGTCCACATCCTACTGCCCTTTAAAACCTCCTGTGTCTGTCTCCTTGCGCAGATCGCTGAACTCTCTTTCTTGGTTCGTAAAGGCAAACACTTCTATGTCCTCTCTTCTCCTCGGTCCGTACTGCTTCACGATATACACAGGAAGCTAGGCTTCCGAATAGGTCTGGCAATACACGAACACATGGTGTTGGGGATTTGTTCATTTATCAACTTTTTATTCATTTGCAGAGGGACAAGAAACCATATTGAGTTGATGATGCTTTCTCCAAGCCTCACTATCAATATTTGTCCATACGCCCTGTTCCCTATTCCCATACCGTTAAAACTCCACGCAAGAATTACCACAACCTTTCCTTTCTTTCACTCTGTCTCCATTCTATTCCTCTATCCCAAACCCCATTCATCACAAGAACCCCAACCTCCCAAAAAACCCCCCCTTCCTCTCCCCATCACTAGACCTCCTCCTCCCGCTCCCGCTTCCCTTCTCCCAACTCCCATCCATATCCATGGACGACCCCCCTTCCGACGAGCCCTTCCCGGACTCCTCCCCGCCCTGGTACTTCTCCTCCCTGCTCCCATCCGCATACTCTATATTATCATACAAGCCAGACTTCTCCAGGTCCTTGGCGTCGAAACTGCTGGATTTCTGGCGAGACGACGAGTAGCGGCCCAGGAACGATCGACGACTGTACGTCCGGGAGAGGTCGTCGTCCGGCGCGGACATGGACGCGTTCGGGGAGGTGTCCGCTTCGGGGTGAGGGAGGGTGGTGTTCCTGTCTGTGGTGGTATGTAAATACCAGTTCTTGGATCCAAAAACAAGCAAGGTATTTGGGATTCCAGGCAGTAGTGCATGGGGAGGGAGACAGACCTATTGATAATGGTTCGGGAAATCCTGTGTCTTTCCCCAGGGAATTCCTTTCCGCCGCCGGGGCATCTTGGATGTGGTTATTCATGACTGGGTCGAATGTATGTGCTCTCTTTAAGTGGCTTCTGTAGTTCGAGGGTGGTAGTTCTAGGTCTTCGGAGCTGTATTCGAAGGTGACTGGTCTCATGGTCAGCGACCGCTGCAGTCTGCCGTACATGGCCATGATGGTAATGGTGTTAATGGACTGGAAATTGGGAGAACGAAACAGTAAGAGAGGTGGAATGTGACTTTCTATATTTCTCACTTGAGAAACAAAGAGATATTTGTTGGAAGGTCCATTGATGGCTAGACTCAGCACGCCTACTAGACACCCAAGCTTGACTGTGTTTATCATGGCTTGATGCACTTTGCAGTCATTTGGTTGCGTGTAAGTCGACCTCAAAGCGCTTAGTGATACATTTGGAGGCGCTTACAGACTACAACTATTGACTGATGTAGACGATTCCTAAAGGAGAAGTGAAACTCACCGAAAATAGAAATTGGAAGTTCGGAAGCGAGGTGAGTTGGTGCTAGGATGATTGTTCGTCCAAAGAAGTCCAAGGGCATTACCAGCATATATATATATATATATCTCCCCATTGTCTTCCTCCAAGGGCAGGCACCCACCCCCAGCCCCAGCCCAGTCCAGCCCAGCCTTGGACGGCAAGGAGTGCCGAAGTGCCGTTACCCGCAGCCAAGCACGCAGCCTTGCGACGCTCTAACCAATGACACAGCCGCTGCTGCACAATGATCATCTCACTTGCTCTTGAGTTTACTCACCGCCCATTTCTGCCGGCACTCAGTTTCGGAATGGGCAGAACGAAGGCGGTGAGCTTAAATTTACCTATTCCCAACACAAGCATACGACATCACAGCGACTCTCAGATCAACAAAATCGTCGCTTCAAACTTCGATACCACTATACTGATACGGATCATCTTCTAAAAATGGCAGAACCTTCGTCAGAATTGAGGAGTGCTGACGAAAACAACACGGCTCTTAAAGATCCGGTCGCAACTTTTCACAAGATGCAAGAGCTTCTCAAGGCTAAGAACGACACATCCAGATTCGTTGGTCTTGCTCTTCTCAAAACAGTTCTAGATAATGGTCAACTCATCAACGATCCGCAAAAGCTTCGCGTCCTGTGGGAAGCGTTATCTCTAAAGTTTTTAGATCGGCTTCTTCGAGCCCAGCAAAATGAGAAAGTCAGCAAGGCAGACGCGAAGGACATGGTTGACTTGGCAGTAGCCGTCCTTCACACCTTCTCTATCCTGTTACCAGAAGAATCTCGGAGAGAGAAAAGACTGACCGCACGGACAGCTCCTCTTATAAAAGCACTGACTCAGAGGTTTGTCTCCACCCAAGGTTTATCAAGACTTCGGCTAACCAGAAGTAGTCCCCCAGAGACCACGAAGCTTATTCTGCAAACTATTTTGACCATCGTCAGCCAGCGCGAGGGTGCTTTGGAGTTTCTAGCAGTAGAAGATCTGTCTCCGTTGATTGAGATCTCCAATCAGCACCCTCTCGTGCTCGAAATCTTTAGCTTCGCTTGGACAAATGCATCTACTGTCACTGCAGAAGTCGAGGCTGTCAGAAAGAGCATCAATCAAGTGATTCCAGCAATGATCGTTAACTTCAAGGGGACCGATGCGGTGACTTTCATCGATTTTGTTGGAAACATGCTACCTAAGCTGGAGCCAAAAGTGAGTCTTATTCCTGCCTTCACGGTAGCTCGTGTACTAACAAGCTCAGGCTATCCCTCGAAACCCCAAGTGGTTAGCACCTCTGATCCTGATGTTGCGGAAACTTGTTGCAAGTAAGCCTACCGCAGCTGGAAGAGCAGCATATACCCAACTCGCAGCGGCTCTGTTGCAGACGTATCCCGTTACTTGTCCCTCCATGCTGTTCAAGCACGATGCTGCTGGCAACTCGGATAGCAAGCCTTTTTCCTACTTGCTGGTCAATCTCCTGCTCATTGATGTCCGCTCTTCGTTCCCCTCTTTACTTGCGAAGTTGAACAGCGAAGAATATCCAGCGATATCTCAACGGTTAGCTGCCGCTTTTGATGTCATCTCAAGCTTCATCGGGTTTCTTGTCCGAAGTCTTGACGATGAAAGCTTCTCGGCATTTAGCATGACCCCTGACCTACTATTGAAACTCCGGAAAGATATTGCTGAAACAATGTCACTCAACATCGAGTATCTTCGCGACAGATGGGATGCTTCTATTGCTGGCGCTTCTGGCCTGCATCCATCGGCTCGAACTGGAACCGCCGCGACATCCGAGGGCACCAGACTTACTCTGACTTGGGAATCTATGAAAGACAATGTCAACTCGGACCCGCTTATTTTAGCCGGGATCAGGGCCCTGGCGATATGGATTCGCGAGGATGAGAACGAGAATCTTCGCAACGAAACCGCAGGTCTTATGGATATGTATATGGAACTCTACAAATCTAGCTCACAAGGCACGCTTGATTTCCGCTATCCAATTCTGCTTGCTTTGGAAGCTGTCATGGTTACCGAGGAAGGGATCGATGGATTTCTGGGCCAAGATGGGTGGCAAGTGCTAGTTGAAGACCTCAGATCGATTCTTAAGTCTACGACGGAGCACAGTACTCTTAACAATCCTTCTCCTGATGCCAGTCGAGGACTTCAAATTGTCCGAGTCTTGCTTGCTATCATTGACCACGAGGCCACGTCTTTCCCACGCGAAGACTGGATGGCTATCGTCACAACAACAACATCTATGCAGGTTCTTGCATCAACAACCTCAGCTGTTGTTCTCGAGTTCCACACTGCCATGTTACAACTCTCATCGGCACTTCTCTCCAAGTCATCTGGTGGAATGACGAAGCGCTATGTTACGAGTATACCAGCTCTCTGTGGACTTGTGGAGCAGCTGAAAGCCGTTGTCAAGAGCTTGGATGACAAGGTCGAGTCAAGCGAACTAATTGGACTACTGGATGATGTTGCCCTTGATCTGGAGAATCTGCGATAAGCGAATCTATGCAGAGTAGTATAGACAACACGAATGGAAGAAGATCTCGGGAACCGATCCCCTAAAACGCTAACATCCGGGCTAACGCAACCTCTCTGCAAGCTCAAAAACCCCCGGCTGGGTGTTTCCAATACACACTCCTCAAGACTCCTCTTCCCAACCCGAGAAGAATCAAATGGAACGAGTCTCGCACGCTCTGCCGGTAAGAACCTGGGTCAGCCTTACGGACAAATGGTCATTTAGCCAGTTCAAAATCTCTGTACAGCGTGCGCGCAATTCGCGTGCCGGATTTGGGCGCTCTTTGAGATTGAGAGAATTGTGAAGGGCAGGTTTACGGATATAGTGAAGCAGGTAATGGCATAGTCCTAGGAGGTATCCAGACCTGGCAGCGCCGACTCTGTGGGGGTCCAGGGTAGTATACAGTCCACGTTCCCTCAGACTTAGAAAGAACACGGGTTTTTTGACTCTTATTTCAGAAGACTCTAAATATCGATACATTGTGTGATACTTGAACCGGTACTGCCCACCAATATAAATGGTATCATTGCAACAAACCACTACGCGCGCTGAGCAAGTTCGTAATCAAACAGTCTCGATGTATCTCCGCACCTCCCTTTTTGAAAGTCAGCACTGCATTTTCTCACACTACGGAAACACTCATGAGGGGGGACGTACCAATCTGTCACAGCTTCGTCCCACAAGCGAATCTCGTGCTCTCTCGTCCCACCATAATGCTCTACGAACTCATCGCCGAAGACTTCTCTGGCCACGCTCTCGGGTCTCATGAACCTCTCTGTTGCCTCTTTCAGACTCTTAGCAAGTCTTACGCCTGGGTCTGCCTTCCCGCCGACATCTTGTCCCTTGCCAAGAGGCGGTTGCTTGATCTCGAGCTTCATCTCCACGCCTCTCCAGCCCAGTGCTAGAATAGCAGCCAACACGTAAAATGGATTCGCGTCTGCTCCTGGGACGCGGACCTCGAATCGCGTCGCTCCTGGCTTGGATGTTGGTGGTGCGATCAATCGGATTGATGCCGCGCGGTGCTCTAGACCCCAGGAGACGGTGACGGGAGCCCAGAAGTTCTCCACGAGGCGCTTGTAGGAGTTGACGGTAGGTGCTACGAGAGGCATGATATCTGGGAGACCCTCGAGGAGTCCAGCGAGGAAATGTCGGCCCATGTCTGACAAGTTCTCGATGTCTTTCCATTCCGCCTTTGTGTCCTTTTGCTCGCGGAAGAATAGGTTCTTGCCGTTCTGATCGACGATTGATACGTGCATGTGTCCACTGTTTCCTGGAAGGCCTTGTCTCGGTTTCGCCATGAAACAAGGTGTGATTCCATATCCCGATGCTATCGACTTGACGACATACCTGCTTCAATTAGAGGTATCCTGTAAAAGGATAAGAAAAGTAGTCACTTGAACAGTCCAGCCTTATCTGCCATCTGCTGAATCTCTCCAAAGGATAACGCAGCCTCGAAGACTCCAGGTCCGCTCTCGGTATGCCAGCCCTCAATTCCACAGTTGAACTTCTCGCAAGCATCGAATATGCCATAGTAGTAGTCCTTATTCTGTACAGGTCGTGTTAAACTGTACCCGAACATGCCTTCGGTCAAGGAAGGGAGAGTATTAACAGGATTGTCTCGCAGAAACGTGGAAGTAGACGAGGAATTTCGCTCGGAGACCGGTCCGCTCGAGTTCTCAGACGGAACCTTGAATTGGAAGAATTCATACTCGGCTGGTAGCAATAGTTAACACCTCAGAAGACGCCTGCTAGACTTCAAACATACCTCCAGCCATGGCACCATATCCCTTCTCATGTAGTTTGTCCACAGTCGTCTTCAGCAAGCCTCTTGGGCATGCGCTCACCGGCTCTCCGGAGTCTGGGTCCTTGAAGTAGATCAAGAAGAAGGGCACATTGTCCTCCCAAGGTATCCTCCTGAAGGTGCTCAGGTCGGGAATAGCAATGAGATCGTGGTAACCGTTCTCGGCATTGCTGATCTTCAATTCCTTGAAGTAGGTCTGGTCATGCATATCCCATCCAAAGACCACAGAGCAAAATCCAAAGCCTTCTTTGGCGATTCCCAGGAACTTCTTCTTGGATATCAGCTTACCCCGCAGAATACCATCGACGTCAACTCCTGCGAGCTTGACCTTGGTGTCATTCTCCAGAAGCTTCGGCAGTGACTCAATTGTGACCTCTTGTTCTGACATTGTGTCCTGAAGCTTTGAAAGTTGGATTGGGTCTTCAAGGAGCTCTGTCTTAAGGAGCACCAAACAGGAGCCCGTCGTGGTCAACCAGATTGCGACAGTAGCTGTTAGATAAGAGCTACCAGCCACGTGATTTATCTGCTCACCGCCTTTCAGGCCCCTTGGTAATTTCTGCCCTCCAAAAATACTGCCCCGCAAAAAATAAATCCAACTTGAGTGCATTCCTTTGCTGTGCCAGTCTATCTAATTGCGCATACCGAGTATAACCACAATGGGTAAGACACGAACTGAAGCATCGCGCGCAGAGCGCAAGGCAAAGAAACGTGCTGTCGAAGATACAATCCCAGATGTGCCCGAGTCGTGGACTCCAGAACCCGAGGCGGAGACAAGCAAATCGACCGAAAAGGACTCGAAGAAAAGGAAGCGGGATGGGGACGAGGATGGCAATATAACGAGGGGAGAAAAGGAGAGCAAGAAGGAGAGGAAGAAGAGGAAGAGAGAGGCAGAAGCAAGTGAGGAGGCGAACATCGGAAATGTTCTGGTGGAGGTCAGGAAAGACAAGAAGGCAAAGAAAGCGAAGAAGGAGGAGGAAGCTACTGAGTCGGAGAAGACGGAGCATGCCGATGCTCCTGGGGACCTGGATTTGGAAAGCAAAAATACACCTGTTGTTGATACCCCGAAGAAGTCCAAGAAGGAGCGAAAAGCAGAGCGCAAGGCCAAAGAAGCTATCGAAGCCGCCGCTACGAGTGGTATAGCAACCACGAAATCCGAAACAACTGCAAATGTAGCCTCCGAAACGAACGGGTCGACAGAAAAGGTTGCCGATACGAGTGACGAAAAGGAAGGGAAGAAGTCCAAGAAGAATAATCGCAACCGCGAGAAGAAGCGCAAAGGCACAAATGCTACCCAGCCTACCAATGGGGATGCCGTAGACGATAATGGAAGCTCGAAAGCGGCGAGATTTATTGTCTTTGTTGGTAGGAATCCCCTAGGAAAATGTCCATTTCATTTGCGACCTTTCGCTGACAAGTAGGTTACAGGCCAGCTCCCTTTCACCGCAACCAAGGAGTCGGTTGAAAAACACTTTGCTTCCATAAAGCCGAAATCTGTGCGTGTCCCTACAGAAAAAGGCCAAGCAGGAAAGGCAAAAGGGTTTGCTTTTGTTGAGTTCGAGGGGTACGACCACATGAAGACTTGCCTGAAGCTTTTCCATCACTCCTTGTTCAGCGACGGCATAAGCGCAGCGAGAGAAATCAACGTAAACTTAACGTGAGTCTCTCCGTCCCGAAATCAATTGACTTGTGTCAGAGGATGCTAATTTGGCGATCAACAGGGCTGGAGGTGGTGGCAATACCAAAGAGAGGAAAGGGAAGATTGAGGAGAAGAACCAGAAACTGGATGAGGAAAGAGTTCGCCGCAGACAAGAAGAAGAGAAAGCCAAACTGACCAAGCGAGCGGAAGGCGCGAAGAAAGATCTCATTGACGAGAGTGCCATCCATCCTAGTCGGAGGGGCCGAGTTCCTATCACGAAATGACATTTTTATGTACATTAGAAGCAAACCCAGCTTGTACAATTCTTGAAAGAATCTTCAAGGTTTTGAGGCAAGGCTTAGGATAACAGAGCCACGAAATGAAACATCAATTACCGAACGAGATAATTGTCAAGAACAGCCTGCGCGCTGTACCTGATCTAATTAGTGGCCATATCTTGTTGCTACTGGCCTGATGGAAGATATGTGTGAGATGACACAGAGGTATATAAAGCGCCAATAAAAGCTTACTCTATATCTCCTACGGCTACGTTGGTCCTTGTTTGAGTCTACAGTTCCTTCTGTTGGCTATGAATCTCATGCAATTCCTCGATAATCTTCTTCGCTCCGACAATGGCAAAGCAAGCCGCCGTCAGAGTCGGATTACAAGCATTTTGGGTGGGAATTACACCGCAGCCACCGATAAACAAGTCATCCATACGCCAAAGTTTGGAGTGCTTATTCACGACAGAGCGTCCGTCGTCCTGCTTCCCTGTCCTTGTCGTCCCACAAATGTGCAGCGCTGCGCCTGGAGCGAGAAATCCAGGCTCGCTGCCGGGAAGGAAACCTCCAAGATCAGATGCAATTTTTATCATACTACAGAATGAATGGTTAAGCAAGTTCTTACTTACAGACAAGCGATGGAATGGAGCAAAAAACTCACTCTTTCATCATAGCTTGCGCGCGTTCAGCGTCGTCGTCGCTAGTACGATAGTGGAACGTTGGCTACAATGCGGTTAACGAAGGAAATTCGCAAGGCAGCATAGGAAATAGATGAGATGAAGATGGAAAGTAGTTCTACCTGGGGCATGCCAAATTTGTCGTTGATCTTGGATGAGAACTCGACATAATTCTCATAGACAGGTTTGACGTAGGAAAAAAATCTCAGGTCAACAATGAGTCGCTGGTCAATTCCAGAAGGCACATTGCCATAGTTGAATGCATCGCGATGAATCTGTGTATGCCATGGGTGTTCCTCTGAAAGCGGACTGGTGACCTATATTTTTTGTTGGTACTGTATCGCGGGTACATTACAGTGACAAGTGGTATGTTAGGGTCGCCTCACCTGGGGATCAGGATCATCGAATGGGATATGCAAAGGGTCATTGGGAAAGTGCCTGAAGTGTTCTGTGCACCGTGGATCATCCCAAGTCCTCTCGATTAGACTTCTTTTGAGGACGACTTGGCAGAAGCTCACGATTTGCTCGGTCATGTACCGTCCCTTCGAGTCATTAGCGTAGCGTGCCCTAGGAATTTCTTACAACACTGGGATCGTACCAGAGCAGGATATCCCTTGTCTGGTCGGATATCTGAGTTGAACAGGATTCCAGTAGTAAGAACTGCTCCAGCACAAATGACGTACTTCTTCGCTTTGATCAGTACCGTTTCGTTTGTCAGTAAATTCACCAACTCCGCTGCAATGACCCGTCTGGAGGTCGCATCTATGTGAAGCCGTTTACAGCAATGCTGAGCCTTTAATTCAAAATTTCCACCGGCATACCTTGGGTCAGCAAGTGCACCAAGAATTGTGGCTGTAGATGACCACTCCACATAGTCTGGGTTGCGTGCGCTTCGCTGGCATGCTAGGGGCATGCTTACAAACTGTCGATTCTTGTTCGCTTGACAAAGAGTACTTTTGACGAGATTGTGACGGACTGAATGGTTGAATGCTGTATCAGTCGTGTGTAACAGAGCCTTTGAATCGTCGTATAAAGTCTGCCATTCTTCGTCTGAAAAAATATCAGACCTCTCCACGATAGGATGCTGTTCCGGTGTAGAACAGGTCCAGTAAGAGCCCATTCCTCCGACTTCTCTGATTGCGGGAGCAGCCGGCAGATTGTCGTAGGGTGATTGCTCAGGGTTTTCACTATATTCATCAATATGAATGCGGGCCACTGACCGAATTGCTGCACCGTGAACAGACCGCGGGAAAATACTTACTGAACTGATGAAATAACGGAATCGAAAGACGTAGATGAACTATTTACTGGTACTGACAGTAGAGACCATGCACCCTAGGCAAGAAAGTTAGACCAGACCACAAATTGATCACAAAAATACATACTTGAATCGTGCTATAGACGGGTTGACTTGTAAGTTTAATGAAAGCTTAACGCAAACTGTTTCCTTCAAGCTCCTCTTACCTTGTAAAGCGACTAATTTCTTTTTGGACGACGATATTGTTCTTTTTATGATCACCGATCAATCTCGTGCCCCTAGTGTATATTATCGGAACTGAGAAAAAGCCGTAAATGTGACATAGCAAATGCTTACTGCTCTCCCATGTCCACCATTAAAATTTTGATATCTTTATCAGCATCTATGAGCTTCCTGACGTACACAGCCCCAATAGGGCCAGATCCAATAATCAAAACGTCAGGCTCTTGAGAAACTTCTTTGTTCTTCCCATGATGAGAGTTCATGGTCCTAGAGCTCACAGTGCGTAAGTGAATGTGCGAGACTCTTGTGCTTGGCAAGTGTGGAATCCTTAAGTATATTGAAAGAATATTGACCAGAGTATGAGCTTACATATATATGGACACTGGCGATAGCTTTAGAAGAGAAGTGCAAAAACGGACAGAAAGAGTCCTGCCCTCTAGAAACAGTGGCTCTTGTTCTCGACGAGGTATGTAATGTGTGCCAAATGTTCTGTCAAAATATGAGGCACTAGAAAGGGCGGATCAGAAATCAAATGATTCAATAGTTGCAGCTTATAAAGAACAAGGCCAGGTTGAAAGTAACCTTCTTGAACCCACAAACAGAAAGTAGGCAACATCCCCACTTTACTTAGATATCGAGTTAACTATTTATTGGGCGAAAATCCCAGTCCGAAATGTGCAAGCTGCTAGGGGTTCTGATTAGCTGGTGATGATGTGTGAAGGATAGATCCCAATTGGTGGGGGGCGGAGGGACTTTTCAATACTCATTGGGTCACCCACTTTGAGCCTAAATACATAGATTGCGCACCTGCAAGTCTGATTGATAACAACATGTTAACAGCTTATTCCCTCGCCCAGATAGACCATGCTATGGAGTAGGATCAAGAGTTCCTTTCAAATAGGAAGATTATAAGACTGTGTTCAAATTTGGATATACCTAATTGCGAAGGACGTGGCATTTTTTTGATAATTTCAGGTCAAGCTGCCGCCATAAAGGACCAGCGAGTCACGGGAGTACTGAAAACATCAAATGAGTGAAACTTGTCTCTATTGCTATGTTCATCATGGACACAATATCAATTCGGGAACTTTCCCTCAACGCTGAAATACAACGCCCTAGGAGCAAGGGTTTCGTATGTAGCGCGGGCAATCGCCTGGAGCATTGCGGTATTGTCGTAGATAGCTTTTGACGAGATTCCTTCGACATCGCAGAAGTAATTCTGTAGCACTAGGATTACGTACAATGTGTCGTCAGTTTGTACTGCAGCCTGATACTTCGAATGATTCCAATCTTCGCCCTGATGTACATTGATATGTATACTCCTAGTTCCAACTCCTAGGCAAGAGGCCGACCAATCTTTCACGCTTTGGCGACTCGACCCAAGGGCGTGTCCGTAGCAGATAATCTCCACGAAGCGTACTCGAGGATTGCTATCCAAACATGCGACGATTTCAGCACTGACCAATGTAGTCTCGGATATTTGCCGTTTCACTTCAGCAGCAGCTACCAGATCCAAAGCTCTCCTCTTATACAACTGCACCTTGGGATGAGTGACAAACTGGATCTCTCGATGATAAGCCAAGATGGCAACGAACGCTGACAGCGCATTCATTGTCAGCATTACCTTCACGACTTTCGGAGTCGTAGTTGGTATCGGCATCGCAATATGTTCGAATTCGGCCAACTCGCCGCAAGAAGTCACACAAACTCGTGGGTTGAAACCGACTTGCTTAGAGCCCAGTGCTTGTTCTATGAGCTGAGCCACCAATAGGCCCATGGTAGGGGCGATATCCTCATCCAAATTTACTTGGATATCCTGGGTGTCGTTTAATGCAACGGACCACGCTATTGGTAGTACAGCGTTGACAACCTCATCTCTCAAAGCCAGATACTGCTGGTAAATGAACGACATGGCCTCCCAGTCTTGACAGAGTAGGATGAACAAAGGTAAAAACATCAACATCGAATGAGGCGCACAAAAAAGTGCGTTGATGTCGGCGTGATACCTCACTGTTAGCGGCTCTACATCCACACACTTCCAGTCATGTAATTGGGATGATCGGATTCTTGCTTCGCCGCTCTTCAGGTCATTGACGGAGATGCACGTATCTGTCAACCAAATGAAATGCTCTTGGTAATTAAGTCCCGCAGTGTCAAAGCGCTCTCGAAGTGAGTCCATCAACATGACTGTCTCTAATGTCGTGCCCGATTGGCTCATACCCAGGCAGACAGCCGAGGAAAGCTCTTCTATGAGCGAGAATACATCTACGAGGGCTTGTGGGTCCAGACTCCGAAGAGTGTGAAAATGGATGTCCTGGCTTGCTGGTATGATCTCCTTTAGGACGTCCACTAAAAACACCCAGCCGCCTGTCCCAACCCATATAAAATGCTTCTTGGAAGTTAAGGAACGTCTTTTTAAAGCGGCTTCAAGTGCAGTCTTGATTTCGTGCCATGCTGGAGGATGGAACCATCCTAGTAAGGAAATATTGCCGTCGAATCCAAGGTCACGGAACATGTTTCCCATGGGAATTGCGTCCTTTCGTTTCCCAGCGGCTTGCTGAAGGTGGAGCAGTGGGAGTTTCTCTATGGACTCAATCGTTCCATTCCGGGCATCCATGTCCACAATCACTCTCTTTGCTGATATGCCTTGAATGGTTCCATCCTGGGCAAGCCTCTGAAGGACTTCCGGGAGGACGTCAAGCGAGATGATGTGCGAGATCACACTGCCAAAGGAGAGTCTGTCCTTACGAATAAAGTTGATAGCCGAGACGAGGTCCTCGTTTCGGCTCCCGCGGTGACCTGACAAATCTACTGCCTTGCCAGCGACTTTAATTGATTCAGTCTTCCAGTGGGTTCGAATCGGCCAGACATCCAGCTTTATGCCTTCATCCAAAGTCAAAGTATCACCAGGACTAAAACCTGCAAATAGATATACACAGCCACCTGCATTGACATAACGAATAGCATCTTGAGCAGCATTCACTCCTTGCCCGAGGGATACACAGACGATGACAACATCTGCTCCTTGGCCTGCAGAAACTTCGCTCACTTGTGCCGCGACACAATCACTCGTGACGAAAACTTTCTCCCGTCGAATGATCGCCTTTGTCACAGCAAAATCCAGTCGTTCTTTCGAACGATTGGCTAAGAAAACGGTTTTGGCGCCCATTTTATGGTTCATCAAGACAAACAACAGACCCATCATACCAGCTCCAATGACTAGGACATTCTTTCCCGCTATTCGATCTTTGATGCGATTTTGCGCTGCAACAACACAGCTCAGAGGTTCAACGAGCGTATCAACTACGCTAGCTGCGGAACTTCCCAAAGTCAACACCTGTCTTCTCTCCAAAGATTCTTGGCCAAATTTGAAGTATTCTTGAAACACACCTTCTCTGGTGTGTCCCAACTTGTCATGGTCATCCAAAGGATTGTTGGGATTCATCACTATCATCTCGTTCACACTCAGGCCTTTCACGCCTTTTCCTACTTCTAGTACCTGGCAGACGGCCTCATGGCCAAGGACTATTGGCTCTACGCCCCGCTCACCACGCAGGATCTGTAGGTCAGTTGTGCATATTCCCGCAAACACAACTTTGGCGAGAACTTCTTTGCTGCCACAAAGAGGGATTTTTCTCGTCACGAGGGTGAGATTTGGCCTTCCGACCACCTTTTCTACTGCGCGATAATTGGACCGTAGGTGTTCCACAAAATTGCCCATGCCGATCAGACCGTCATTGTCATCGTTAACACCGAACTGGACCAAGCTACGGACATCATCCTCTTTCCAACCGCAGAAAAACCCCGACGGGTGAAAGAACCGAACCAAGTGATCTTGAAGTGAAAGTAGATACGCCTCCTTGCCAGTCTTCATTGCGAACCCGCCTACGATTATGAATTTATTCAGGCCTATATCTCCAGCCAATTGCAAAATACGAAGGGCTAGTGGATATGTCGAGTCAGATAAGACTTTTAGAGCAAGTGGATGGCCCGAGGCGATAGATTGTCGAAGCCAATCGTCTGTGATTGCATTAGATGCAATATCGTAACCGCCCGAAGAGGCCAAGCTCCGGGCACGGCGCAAGGCACCTCTGCCAGAGCTGTATGCGCACAAGTCCGCAAGATTACCGCAGGCACAGTACGGTATGTCTCTTTCCTCGAGAATACGCACCGCGAACTCATCATCTTCTTTGGCTGCTAACGCCAAACATCGTGAGTTGATCCGCTGGATATGTCCGTGCACGTAAACATCCACAAGCGAGCCCCTGAATTCTTCGGGACGGGCCGCTGCCTGCAACATCGCATATTGTACCAACGCATCCACAGCACGTGGCTCCACGATGACATGACCCATCTCCCCCCCGATGCCCGAAGCATCAAGATCAAGCTTATCGAGAAGGCACAGATCAGGATTAAAAACCTTGTTGCTTAGTCCCGAGCTTACAGTAATGAGACAGAATCGTCCCTCGTCTTTGTACCGCCATGCAGCAGCGGAAACGTCGTTCAGGACCGTCAAACGCATGCCAGGTAAATACTCCAGCAAAGTAGCCTTGAAGTCGTAACCGCGGGCAGACGAACCCCAGAGAATGCTCGCATCTTCTACAATTCCTTCGCGAGTGACTACGGCACCGAAGGAAATTCCAACTTCTTCAATTGAGAGGTCAATATGACCAGCCCTGACAATATTGACTTCCCGCACTATCGTCTTTATCAATTCTCCCTGGAGCATGGGAAGCGTATATTGTGGATACGCCTGCTTGCTGGGACTGAGGACTCTGTTGGGGTCATGTAAGAGAAGGCCATGGGGGCCCTTAATCGCAACCCGCAAATAGGTTGCACCGACATCCAATACAATGATGTGATGTCTGTCCCATCGTTTGAGGGAGTCTTTCCATTTGAAGGCCATCTCCTGTTCTCGTTTCTGCTCCTGCAGAGAAAGTATCGGTTTACGCCCTCGTAGTAAGAATGCTAGGAAATGGTAGCCCATACAGCCGATGATATCGTCTATTATTTCCGTACTGTTCTGATGCAACGCTTTCATTACAAGTTCAGTTCGAATCTCGATGAAGCTCCGATAATCATGCTTGCCATCCTCCTCGACAACAAATTCGCCGCCGTGCTTCATGGCGCCATCTGAACGTAAACGAATACACAATCCAGGTTCGATGGTCGTGTTTTCAGACAATACCTCTTGGTGGGAAGTCAGCAGCTTGTCAAACCACTGGCTTAATGACCGCTCTAAGATTTCTGTGGTAGGAGACACTCCATAGGCAATGCGGAACAAATCCCCACTGCAGATGAACTTCAGCGTAGTTGTTGCGCCTGGAAGAAACCCGTCAATCTCCATAGACTTGAAAGTGACAGGGTGCGAAAGACGCATGATCTGCTCCACTGGATGAGAAGCTCGAGCAGATTCCTCAACTGTCTTCTTCAAGCCAACACTCAGTGGCGTCAATTCTCTACCCAGTAGACGGCGAGCAAAGCGTGAGTCGAGGTTGAATTCTTCCTGTGTCACGCCACTCTGGAGAGTAAGAGTGGCACTATCACCAATCAATCCTCTAATCATTCTCCACACCTCCTCCAGGTCGATGCTTTCGCCGGAGGCCGCGTCAAAGATTCGGCTATCAGGACTTTGAGTCTGCGCTACTCTTAGAAGCAACTCATTCAAATCATCAGAATAAATAAAGTCCCTCTTTTCTGGCATTTCGAAGTTTCCTTCGGATTTCGGGTTGATTGCTCGATAGGTGAACCCTCTGGTAAACGCTGGCCCGTAAACACTGGAAATTCTCATCAAAGAATGCCGCGGTAACAAAGACACGAAAAATTCACCCAGCCGTTTAGAGATCTCATAGATGTTAAATCCTGCTGGCAATGGATGATTTGAAATGAACAGCTCCGCAAATTTTTCAAGCGCTGTGCATGTGTCTTGTTCGGCAATCAGGGCGTCCGCGTGTTTGGAAAATGCTTCGCCTGCCTCTTGGATCCATGTATCCACAGATACGTTGGCATCGGTCAAGTGAACCCGCTGACTGGAGGGATAGACGACTTTCAAATCCTTGTCTCTTCCCATTTCTCGAATGATATGCGTGATTACACCCTGAGCCAACCCGTTTATAGCGATGACCTTTGCAAACTCGTCAAGCTTGGAGTTAAGTGAAACAATACCCGCCATATTGTACAGGACGTCTGCTTCCCGTATCATCCATCGTAGGTTGGCAAAATTCAATAGGTTTCCGGTGAGAATTCGAACCTTCGGGTCGAGAAGATTCTGTCGTTTTCTGAACGAAACCGATGTGGTTGATCGGACAGAACAAACAACTCGCACGCCATTACGCACCAGATGGCCGACTAGCTGCGATCCGATGTCACCAGACCCGCCAATAACAGCAGCCGTTGTAAGAGGGGAATGGTTGCCAGTATCAGAAACCAGAAGTCTTTCTGGCTTTGAAATTGTACGACTGGATCCCGCACGCTCCTCGGAATATCGACAGAGGCTGAGGATGACTTCACTCAACATCCCAGAATCAATGTCCGAAATCTCGTTCAAGAATGTTCCCCTACCAATCGTCTCCGGCACTGTGAGATATAACATTCCACCTTTGTGCTCGATTCCATCCGTGCTAATCTTTCCCCAGAGAAGATCAGCACTACAGCAATCGTAGTCTGTTAGGTAGATTGGAAGTCCCAGATCCAGCATGCAATTCAAGATTCTCTCCAGATCGGACCGTGAAAGGATCCGTTTCCGATAAGCAAGAGAAGAGGAAATTGCCATGCCGATCGCAACACATTCACCGTGAGAGATCGTTTGTTTGGCGAGGCTCTCTACGATGTGCCCAAATTCGTGTCCAAAATCAGCGAATCTACACAAGTCTTGTTCATAGAGGTTCGGTTGCAATTCTTCGAGCATAGATCGGATGGAAAGTTGAATCAACTCGTGGGTGTGTGCGTTATACTCGACATCGCCGTGATATCTCTCAATGATCTCGAAGAGACGCGAGTCTTTGACTGTAGCGATCTTTATTGACTCGGCTAATCCACAGGCGAATTCTCGTCGTGGCAACGTGGGTAAGAAAGTTTCTGGGTCGTTGAGACATGCGACTGGAGGGAAATATCTTCCGAGTAGACTCTTGTGATTTCCGAAATTTACGCCAACTTTAGCTCCTACGCCTGCATCGATCATCCCAAGTAGAGTCGTCGGAATTCTTAGATAGGGAAGGCCTCCTTCGTAGATTGCGGCGGCAAACCCAACGACATCCATGAGCGTTCCACCTCCAATCACAACGAAAAGATCAGTCTGCGACATCCCCATCTCAATCGCGACATCAACCACCCTGAGTACGGCATTGAAATCTTTAGAAGTGCTCGGAACATGGAAAGGGAGGATACGAAAGTTTTCAATGACTGAGCTGTGACTTTGGAAATACTCTTGGATATTGACAATAGGATTTCCGACGTAGCTGTCAAGGATAACCAGAATTTTCCTTTTGCGCGTCGTGGTGTTGTCCATGCAGTAGCCCCGGATCAATGTCTGGTTGCAGCTATTGAATATCTTTTGAACCATGACTACATGATATTGCACATCATTTGAGGTAGTCTGTTCATGGACAATCTGTCTCAAGTTCGTGGGATCCTGCACCTTGACAGAGGCACACCAATCCAAGAATTTCCCGGGCGGTTCAGGACGATGGTTGCGAAGAATGGACAGAGCGACGCCGATAACTTCAGACGAGATTTCCGTCGCATCGACAAATTCTGTTTCTCCGAGGCCACTTAAAATGATGAAAGTGGATATCCCTCGTTCCTCATTTGCACTCTTCATATGTTTCCATAGTGCGTTTGCTTCAAGCTCCTCGTTGTAGATTGGCAACCCAGCCTGGAAAAGAAGATTCAGTACCCGTCCAAGATCTGTAATGCTGAGCCTCCCTTTCAAGGTTGATATGACAGACATCAGTGCAATTCCAGTAGAAACCGATTCTTTGTCATCGTAAACAATTGCCCTGTTCTCCCGTATTGCTTGCACTGCTTCATCCCCAAACTTGACGCTAGACACGTGGATCTCAGATCCACACAGCTCCTTACGCTCTTCAACTCTCGCTCTGGTAGCTAAGCTCAGGGCGGTCGTTAGATATCCAGCCTTCTGACTGCCTGCCAACATCTTGCTCAGATGAGCTTCTGTGTATGAGAACAACTCGCTGTCTTTACCTATCGATGTTTTGACAATATCGGCCAAGAAGCGTGTGATTTGGTCCTTATCCATTGCCTCAGGGGAAATTGGCTCGTAGAAGCTGGCGGTTGGTGGATGGACCAAGGCAAGAGCGTTCCGGTAGATTCTTCCATCTTGGTTGACGTGATTCAATGATAATTTGCTGTCCCAGTTGTGACAATGCATAATCCCAAGAAGATCGGTAGGCACCAGAATCCATGGCGTTGACCGGCGATATATGGCTGCGGCAAAGCCCACAACATCAGTCATCGTGATGCTGCCAATGGCAACGAACATGTCTCTCCGTCTGAGCCCAAACTCTTTAGCGGCTGCGATTACGGCTTCGCTTTTCTGTAACGTCTTCTCTGTTCGGTTGACACTGAACGCTATGATCACATAATCCTCCAGTAGCATTTCCGTCTTGCACCACGAGAGATACGCCTCAATTTGGATTCTCTTGCTTTCTGGGAGGTGGATATCCAGTATGACGAGGATTCTTTGTATGGTACTACATCCAGCGTTGAGATAGCTGATCAGATCGGTCCTTTTATTGCCAATATCAAACAGACCAGTCGACTGCACAGTACGGACTCTGATGTCGTGACGACACAGAATCTCTGTACCTCGATTTCCGTCTTGATCGGTCCATTCGTGTACGCCATGCATCTGCTGGGTGCTGGGCACAACAGGGTGATCCATTGCTTCTGCCGTAGAAATTTGTACTTTGAAACTTTTGGAGAAAGTTCGAAAAACTAGACAATATTGTGTCTTTCAACTGAAGGAAACACATGGAAGAGGACTACGGGTCGACTGACTGAAGGAAACATATGAAAGAGGACTACGGGTCGACTGTACCTGAGATAGCCACCATCACATCAATTGGTCGTCGGTGCTTGAAATCTGTCTGGCTGTTTACCGACCTGCACCTCTGGATTTAGGAATACCGACCCGGGCGTATCAGCTAACATTGCAAACACACCTTTCATGGGGGTTGTTTTTCCTCGAGGAGTCCTTTAATGAGGCATTTTGATTCCCAATCACTGTGCTCATCTACTTTTAAACGCACCCGAACCAAATTTATCACTATCTCTTGACTCTGTGATGATGATGTTTTAAAAGCTGAAAGGGCATAAAAGAATGAGATGATGCTTTCATGAGGATATTCTGTGCTACCATAAGCAAGCGCTGATCCAATCTTGTAGCTTGACTTCGACAACCCTTACGACGTACACACTTTTTTGAAACTTTGACTATTGGCTCAGATAAGAGGTTCTGCTCAGGCCATAACCCCTCACCGGCCAATGTATGCTTTGATCGCGTTCCACTGCATAATCAAGGACGTACCTGTGCTTCAATATGGAGATATGCGGTCCGATCCGGATTCGGATATATCTGCGCGATCGGCCAATCGCAGGAGAGAGCGTGTTCAGGGAGAAGAAGAGCAAGTTGGACGAGCCGTTTTGCTACAAGCCCCTCATGAGATCCTTATCCATTGCATGTGCCTCGTTTCCTCGTCGTCTCTCCCTCCCAAGTCCCTCAAGTTTCGGTCTCTCAATGCACAATCAAGCGACTTGAATGAAGAATCGCGAGATGTCTACCAAGCCTCAGAAGCGACGAGCTATCGATGACATACCGTGTGAGCCACGGGTCAAGAGAGAGATGGAGATCCTAGGAATGGGCATGTCGCGGACTGGAACTGCGTGTTTGTACCCTGTATCGACATCTTGGTAACCGCTAAATCGTCGCAGCAACTGCAGCTGCATTCAACATCCTAGGATACCGCAGCTACCACGCTCACCAGATCTTCCAACCTGACGAGCCGGGTCGATGGGCAGATGGTGAATGGCATGTGCCGGCCTGGAGAGAGGCATTTCTGGCGAAAATGTACGGCAATGGAAAGCCCTATGGAAAGCCAGAGTTTGATAAACTTCTGAGGAACTACAGTGTATGCTGGTTTCTCTCCCAGAGTTTATGCTTGCTGATCGTGGAAAGGCAGTCACAGATGTACCTTGTATCTGCTTTGCCGACGAGCTTATCGAAGCCTACCCCAAAGCAAAGGTCGTCTTGACTACACGAGATACAGCCAAATGGATCATATCATTTGAGAGCCTTATTCTCAAGTTGGCCGAAAGTGAAGAGTATGGCTGGGTCAGGGCAGTAGGTTGTATTGACCATGTACGTTGAGCATTCGTACTCGTGACAAGGCTGACCAACAGGAATTTCTTGGACCTTACCTTGACTGGGTCAATATGTTCCTACGATATTGGACCAAGGGTGATTGGCAGAACCGCGAGAAGCTGATCCAGGCAATGCTTGATCACAACGAGCATATCCGCGAAATCGTACCGAAAGACAATTTGCTAGAATGGAACCTTGCAGATGGTTGGGAGCCGCTTTGCAAGTTTTTGGACAAGCCTATACCAGATGTACCTGTCCCTTATATCAACATCGGTGCTTCTGACGCACCAAGGCATAAGAAACTTGCTCTTCAGCGACTTGCAATTATCCTTGGTAGAATGTTGATGAAGCCTGCTCTGGCTTTTATGATTGTGGCAGTTGGATATATCTTTTTGAAATCCACACTCTATTCAGCTGCCTAGGCGCTATGTAGAGAATACACTTCATGCAGATTCGTAACCGCCGCGCTGGACGCTTGTGACAGCCTGAGGCCCTAACATCACTCCCCTCCTATGCCGCCGTGTCCTCACGGCGTCTGCCTCGTCCGTATACTCGTCCTCCGAATCTGTATCCGATGCCGCCGCTGCGTTGTCCGAATCGAGCTGGAACATGACTTTCTATTGGTATCGTACTGGTAAACAAATAGCAAGTGTATATCGATATATATTAAAACCAAAGGTTCAAGTCATAGGTGTTCAAAAATGTGTATCGTAAAGAGTGTCTAAGGGTCAGAATATTATATACCACTCCCCGAATGGCCCGGCTCGCTTCCGAAAGGGGTCCGTTCCTTGACTGGGATTACCCGTCCCCCTGATTGCCGTATAGGTCTGAGGACCAACATCTATTATTTCTATCTGTAAAATGCAGTTGTAAAAGTTCATAACCAGATAGATGTGTCGGTGCGTGTAGTGCATTCCGAAATGATGTGCCTCCTAGGCCAGAACTGACAGAATTACCAGCCGTCGAAGAAGTGAGTTTCAAAGCTGCTTGGTAGATATGCCAAGAAGTACCGATAATAACGTAGCTCATGTACTACCCATCACTTCCCTTCCCCACCTTAGATACTCTGTAGAATACATACTTTTGAACACCTTTAAATTGGACCTTTGATTACTACGTATATCGATATACACTTGTTATTTGTTTACCGGCACGAAACCAACATATACTGAGCCATGTAAATTTCATCACGCTCAAGAATGAGCTGTCAGAATTGTGGGAGAGGATGTTTGTGATCTTGAACCACTTGTTCGAGTTGAGCGCCAAGCCCAGTTTTATCTTATCTTATCGCCGAAAGTTATTTCCTTGGAAGCTCGCGAGTTCCAGCTCAACACATTCTTTGATTCTCTGTTCATAGCTCTGTTCATAGCTTGCTAGGAACATAGGGGGAATACAATAGATATATGTCTGCAACCGGGGAGCACCTCAAGGATGAGGTAAGTTCAAATGCCTGGTTGAAAGAGAGACCTTGCTGATCCGAAAAAGGGGACCAAAACCCAGGTGGTAATAGCTGGAGCTACAGCAGGCTTAATCGCAAGGTATATCTTCTATTACTACTTGAGAAATATAGCAGCATGTCTAATTCTTGAGCAGATTTATAATAGCTCCTCTCGATGTCGTCAAGATCCGCTTACAACTCCAAACTCACTCCCTCTCCGATCCCTTCGCCCTCCGCGACTTGCGCGGCTCACCAATCTATAAAGGCACCCTCCCAACAATCAGACACATCCTCCGAGAAGAAGGCATCACTGGGCTATGGAAAGGCAACATCCCCGCAGAGCTGATGTACGTCTCGTACAGCGCTATTCAGTTCACAACCTACCGTACAATAACGCTTGGCCTCCAACAAGCATTCGACGAGCATAGACTGCCTAACGCAGCAGAGAGTTTCATTGCTGGTGCAACTGCCGGTGCCGTTGCCACAACCACTACATACCCCTTGGATCTACTCCGTACAAGATTTGCTGCTCAGGGTACAGAGAAGATCTACTCCTCGCTGGCGGCATCCATACGTGACATTGCGCGGCAAGAAGGACTACGCGGCTTCTTCCAAGGTCTCGGCGCAGGCGTCGGGCAGATAATACCTTACATGGGAATGTTCTTCTCCGCGTACGAGACGCTGCGTCTGCCAATGTTGCGCCTATCCTTGCCCTACGGGTCTGGGGACGCTACAGCTGGCATTCTGGCGTCAGTATTAGCAAAAACGGCCGTCTTCCCATTGGATCTGATTCGGAAGCGATTACAGGTCCAGGGTCCAACAAGATCGAGGTATGTGCATAAGAATATTCCAGAGTACAAGGGAGTGTTCAGGACACTAGGGGAGATTGTGAGAAAGGAGGGAAGGAGAGGCTTGTATCGAGGGTTGACAGTGAGTCTATTCAAATCGGCACCGGCTAGTGCTGTTACGATGTGGACTTATGAGAGGGTCTTGAAGATTCTAAGGGATATAGAGGGAAGAGGGAAGGATATGGGAGTCGATTGATGGACTGTAAGATAAGATACTTTGAAGTAAAGATACCCGGATAACGACAATCAGGAGTGCCGTGCTTAGAAGATGGCGAGGGAAAGGCTATAGTTTTGAAGTGAAGCCTCCTGAGAGAGGGCCGATAATTTGCCTGACTGTTGTCAGTGTCAGCAAGGGCGAGGTCCCTAGGCTAGATGAGGGAGCCACTTTAAGAACTTGTTAGAATATACAATAAGAAGATTCCGCAAGGTGTGTAACCCAACTGAATTGTGCGCCTTGCCAGTAGTGTATACGTCTGCTCTAGGTCTACTAGTCCATGCGAGTGCAAATCTGTACGTTGATGATATCCTGGCGCAGCTCCTGAGGTCCAATAGTCCGTTGTACTGTCTTAGTAGGGATTAGACGTAAATACGGGAAAGGAGAATTTATGGATTTTCTTCTAGCAAGGAGAAAGCGGAGCTCAGAATAGAATACAATAATCATGCGAATGGAAATCATACATGTCCAGATACTGCTGTTCGTATCCAAATCAATCCATCCTGAATGCGCTAATCCATAGCAATGCTCCAAACTCCACGCTGACCAGCAACCAAGCTCAGGAAATATGCAGATAGTCTATCTCTGGCCCCATAAAGATCGACCACATTATGTCTTGCTCCTGTCAATTTATCCAGCCTTCCCAAAAATCGTAGCAATAAAACTCTTCCTCCTTCTCATCTTCTGCAACTTCTCGGCCTTTCGATCTAGATCATTTTTCTCGGTAGGAGCAGCGGGAACAGGTATCGCGGGCAGATCGTGGTGATTGAAAGTTGGCGTCGGAGGAGCAGATTCTTTGTGGGTGGGCAATGGACTGGATCTGACACCTCGTAGAGACTTCATACTCTGGCGCTTTCGGCTCTTGGTTGTGGCCCTTGATAGACTGCTGTGAAAACCGCTGTTACTCTCCACCGGTTCCTTCTCTAAGTCCTCGATCTCGCCAGACACAGTCTTGCCATCGTTTGCGAGGTTCTCTTCCGCAATTGATATGAACTTTATGATGCCGCGCCGGGGGGTAACTTGTAAGCTATCTTGCATATGCTGCGCCAGGAGCGCCGCATTCCGTTTGTTTGTTACGGGTTGGAGTTGAGAGGGTAGGGCCGTTATGGTCAGTGTGTATGCCGGATCGAAATTTCCGCCAAAGAGCATGCAGAGGGAGTGTGTTAGGGTTACAACTATAGACGTTTCGGGTCGCTGATAACGTTGGGAGAGGTAATAGGAGAGGTCGGTTGTGACTGTATATTCATCGCTGACCTGGTAAATGTTAGAACAATCCTCCAAGACCAGACTGGTGTGCACACAATGACATTAGTCCTGACATCTGCCACGATCATGGACTCTTTAGTAACTCGTTCCTTTGCAGACGAGTTCGACTCTCTGTATGCGAACACATCCTCGTAATACTGACTCTTGCGTTTCGCGAGTTCTTCCCTATCAGGAGTTTTACGGTCGGAGAATATGGCCTGATCGCCAGGTGCGCCGCGATCAATGTGTCTTGTGATCCTCCTCTCTTCCCTGGTTGTAGCAGAGGGGCTTCCTTTCGGGCTTTTGTCACGCATGGCAATATCACTTGCCGCAGGAGAAGGCGGGAGTTGTATATGTGCCAGATTCGAATTCCTCCGCTTCTTGACTATTGGTGATTCGTCGTTTGGATCGTACCTCTGGGAGGTTGCGTCGATTGTGCGTAGTGAACCTGGCATATCTACCGAAGCTGTGCGAATGGTCTGCGAAAGCGGATGTAGTTGAACTAATTGTTGTCTGCTGACACGAGGCAATTGTCGTATTTAGTGGAATGTCTGTAGAACGTGGAATCAAATTGGGAAGTGGTAGCAAAGAGGATCAGTATCAGACAAGGACTTGGTGATGAGGGGTGAATGTGCTGATAATGCTTCACCCTGTAGCAATTAGCAAGAAGAAAGGGATTTACTCTGAAGTGAATAATTGAGGCTGGAAGAAGAAAGTGATTGAGAAATGAGAACTGCTGTGGTGAAGTAAATTACAAGTCCAGGAACTCCGTACCGAGCCGGAACTATAGGTACCTAGAGTTGATGCCAAACTTAACTTTCCTAGCTGCAGCAGCTACGACCAGCACGGCATGGAACGGCGTGGTCTACAGCTCGTGCCACGGTGCCAGAGAGGTTCGAGGCTCACTAGTGCGCTGCTTGAGTTTCGCCCACTCGACGGGAGGGTGCGTAGATACCCAAAGGGGCCCGGCCCAGATCATCGCCGTCGCGCGACAGTGATTATAAGATTGGTAGGCGAATGAATGTAGGACATAGGACATGGCTGAAGATCGCAGGCGAGATCAGTGCTGTGTCTCTTGTAAAGTCACAATAAAAGCTGGAATGAGGGCACGAGCTTCCAAAAGTGATGAAGCGGGATGGCGGAGCGAGGCCCTTGGTAGTGTTATGTAAGCATTGACGGACAACTGCTCAGGTCCTGCTAGGGCATGTGAACTTCGAATATTTTGCAGCATCCAATCTTGAAAGCGACTCGGGCGTGCAGTTCCAGCCAATGGAATCAAGGTAGACTGTCACGACATGGCGCGTTCAAAGATAAGAGGGACTGCCCAAAATATTAGGTATTTCAAAGTATATAAAGAAGGAAAGTAAACAACCCAGAAGGCTCCCATTCGAACCTCGTTGTTCGACGTTCGTCTTCTTCAGAATACAAAGTATCACCAATCGACTGGACCTTTGTCGTGACAATAGGCCACCGCAAATAAACTACAAAACTGTCAAATAACACTGATGGTATGGTACCGGTAAACAAGTAACAATGGAAGTGTATATCGATATACGTCAAAATCAAAGGTTTAACTCAAGGTGTTGAAAAGTGTGTATTGTGAAGAGTGTCTAAGAGTCAGAATATATACCACTCCTTGAATAGCCCCCGGTTCGCCTCTAGAAGGGGTCTGTCCCCCTGGCCGGGATTGCCCGTACCCCTCATTGCCCCCTACATTTCAATTGTATAGGTCTGCGGACCAACACTTCCGGTATCAAGGCTGAGGCATGAAGGAAAAGAAACCTCGTTGGCAAAATCACCATCAACTTCAGTATTATCGCTTTCCTCTGTTTGTCGATTTTCCTTTCTCCTCTTCTGGCGAGGCCCGGAGGAAGGGCTTGGTGGAGACATGCCCTTTCTCTTGATCTTTTCAGGTTGAGGCTGATACTCAAGAACAGGGGCAGAAAACGAGAGGCCTCTCTGCAGGATCTCATTATCAAGTCCACTCTCATCGCTCTCCTGCCTCGTAGACTTATCCCTACTTGAGCGCTTCCTCCCCCTCTTCTTACCCTTTACGGATCCAGACACAGAATTCTTTTCATCCGCTTGACGCTTTCGGATATGCTGGTTTGCTACAAATACATCGAGGTTGTTCTGGTGGATGTCTATCGTGTTACCGCCACGCTGCTCACGCACTGTTTGGATATGTTTAGACTGCTTAGCGAGATGCTCTCTCGTTAACTTTGAGCAAAGTGTGAACTCGTAGTACTCAAGCGGCCGAACACCTCCGTCAAAGTAACGCCATTCGACCGAGTTGCGGATAAAATCCAACACAATGCCCTCCATACTCTTATGATCGCGGGTAATTGCCATCTTGTTCTTACCTTCTTTCAATTTGCGAACATCTGGGCGAACATCAAAGTTTTTGCAAATCTGCGGAAAATCTAGGAACTTCTCGAGGCAATAGAGATGAGTGTAGGCTGCGTTGTGAAAAGGATCTTTATCCGTGTTTGAGGGTTGCTCGTCGAAAGCAACGCGATAGTCTCCTTTGCGGATTGTGCGGTTAGAATCCGGACAGTTGATAAAGCGGCATTTATCTGAGGTTTTAGTAGGGTAGCGACGCCCGCTGTCAGCTGGGACGGTTTGGATCCAGAGTCTTGCGCGGTGAGAACTGATGTATTCAGACATTTGCTGGACGCTAAACCGATCCCGCGGGTTGAGCTCCCCGTGGATAGTGTAGTTGAAAGTGCGATCCTGTGTGTCCGGGTTGATACTTCCCCATGAGTCCGGTGCCATAGGAAGGGGTCGGTACCATTTCTTCGGATCATTGTTACTGATGTTTATAGGTCGCTTGTTCCGTGGCGTTTTGGTGCCATCTCTGATGGGAGTTGGGGCAGGTGTAATTAGGACTGGTAGATCCTGAGCTACTTGAGCGATTTTCGCCTCTAATACCTCGTTTGATTCACGGCGGCGTCTGAGCTCTGCTTGGTAGTAATCTGCAAGGCTCTGCTTCTTGGATATCTCGTTCTGGCGTTTAAGTTCTGCTTCTAGAGCTCGCTGAAGCTCGTCCTCGAAGGGGTACTTGTAGTTGTCGATGACCTGGAGAGGGGTGCTTGGGCAGCTGAAGTGGTTGAGAATTGGGTTCAGATAGGTTCCTTTTAGGGGTTGGTCCATCGGTCTAGGAATAGCAAGAGCCGAAGAAGGCCGTGTAATAGGTGCGGAGTTTTGCCAGGGTTTATGTAGGTAGGAATTAAGGGCATTCGGCTGGACGGCATAAGGCTGGGAGAAATAGGGTTGAGGAGCGTAGGACTGAGGAGCATAAGACTGACCTCCGTATGGTTGAGAGACGTAGGGTTGAGTGATATGTGGTCTAGGGAGATAAGACCGGGGAACATTGGGCTGGGAGCCATATGGACCTACAGCGTAGGGCTGCCGATTCGTTTGGTCAAGAGGAGATGTAACGGTTACAGGAATTGACGATGAACCGTGCTTCATCTGAGGTACTTCGAGACGTGGTAGTACTTGGAATGGCTGCTCTGGGACCTGGAGAGGCTGCGCTGAATTTTGGTAAGGCTGCTCCGAAAATAGGGTTTTCCCGTGAAAACCATCTTCCCGCTCATATGGTCCCAGGGTTCCTGATTCTGGCTCTTCTATCGAGTACGGTATCGTTAGCGCGAGATCAATGTTCGTATAGTCATCGAAGCTATCGTAATGTAATCCGTTTTCGTCTTGAGGCGGCGGTTGTTGAAGCTCTACAGCTATATTTTCAGCTATGAACGTCTCAAAGTCGAAGCGGCTAGGCGAGAACTGGTTAAATCGCTGGTTGGACTCCTCTGTATACTGGCTCTGGCCTTTGCTTGAGTTCGCCATGTTGCTGTAGATGAGAATAGTATCACGTAGCTCTGTTAGTGCGAGCCCAGCTGTTTATACGAGCGTGTTGACGATCTAGCCTTGCAGGTAGCAGAAATCACCATACCACGATCTAATATGATGACAGCTAAAACAAGATATTTCAAAGAGAGTGATAGCAGCTGTTTAGAAAACAGAAACAACAGGAAGAAAAACAATCCGGATTGTAGAGTTCGAAGAAGACTTCAAGTTGTGATACTACAACGGTCTCTTTGTGTTAGGGAAAGCTTGAACAAAGGCATGGCTCTAGACTTGCTAGATAGTAGATCAAAGAACATGAATTGCTGTCGGACAAAGGGTATATGTTCACAAAAAGAAGGTCAAAAGCGTATGAACTCACAGGCAAATGGTACGTGTATCAAGTATTTCACAGAATATTACAAGAGAAATCGGGCTTTTGGGTGCGCGTTTGCTTTTGAGGCGCAGCTTTGCCGGCTTGTTGGAGGAAGAAGCACCTGATCGGCATATTTTCGGCCCCTCTGATAAGCTGATAAGGCTACGAGAACGACCCGTCCAAATATCTTTGTTGACACCACTTCTCGTCACCATCTACATTGCCTACATTGCCTGCTATTCCACTTCCGATTTACAGCCTAAAATATGCGACGATGTGTTTCCCGCCAGAAAAATTCCGTGTTCCGGACTGATCCAGTACTGACTGCTTATGGCTTCACGCAGCCACTCCACCATTTCCCAAGACAAAACTATCATAGTTGCCAGCCGTCTTCAGGACCCATCCCCCGTTCTCGACAGCAACAGCGATCTATCTTTCAAAGCAGTCATTCTATCGCCTGTAGGCGAAGCCTCAACACCAATGCGGTGGTCAATCCCAAGATCCCGGCCAGCGAGATTTCTAACTTCGCCTTCGCATTCGAGTTAGTCTTCCGACACTTCTCCTTCCTTTTAGAGTTAATGTTTGTCCAGCATTGACGGCGTTCTCCTACGATCCTCGAAACCTCTGCCCGGAGCGACTGAAGCCCTGCTATATCTACAGAGGAATAGCATCCCATTCATACTTCTGACTAATGGAGGAGGGAACCTCGAAAGCGAGCGAGTTAAGCAGTTAAGCAAGAAGCTTGGTGTCCCTCTGTCAGAGGACAATTTCGTTCAGTCACATACACCGTTCAAATTAGTAGTAGAGTCGCTCAGCGAGCGCAGAGGGAAGTCTTTGGAAGAGACGACAGTTCTGGTCACTGGCGGAGATGGAGGAAAATGTCGACTCGTCGCTGAATCGTAGGCTATCGCCCTGGTCATTCTCTAGAACATGTTGCTGATAATAGACAGGTACGGATTCAAAAACGTAGTTATTCCTGCAGATATCCTTGTGGCCTGTCCTGCCATATGGCCGTTTAGCAAGATCTTCTCCGATACATACAAAAGTTCCGCCCGACCCCTCCCCCATCCGATCGACCCCGCGAATCCCGAAAAGTCTCTCCAAATCGATGCGATATTCGTTTTCAATGACCCCCGAGACTGGGCGCTAGATACGCAAATTATCATGGATCTTTTGATGTCAAAGAATGGCGTACTTGGCACGGTCTCGGAGAAGAATGGCGATGAATCCCTACCCAATTTCGGATATCAACAAGACATGCAGCCCAAGCTATACTTCTCGAATCCAGATCTTCTCTGGGCAGCAGCCTATCATATGCCAAGACTCGGGCAAGGCGGTTTCCAAGCTGCACTTGCCGGTGTATGGAACCAAGTGACAAGGGCGAAATTGAAGCGTACTGTGATCGGCAAACCACACGCAGCTACATATTTATACGCGGAGACAGTACTCCAAAAGCACAGGACAAAGCTTTTAGGCAAACTCGTAGGTAACAGCATCAGGAAGAAGAAGCATGATGTTGGTCTGTTGTCGAGAGTATTTATGGTTGGTGACAACCCTGCGAGTGATATCCAGGGTGCAAATAATTTCGCTAGTGCACAGGGCATTCCGTGGACGAGTATTCTTGTAAAGACAGGGGTTTTTGAAGATGGTACTGAGCCAGCATACAAGCCAAAAGTCATTGTGGATAATGTGCTTGATGCCGTGAAGTGGGCTTGCAAGCAAGAGGGTTGGAAAGATAACGAGAAGCTGATTGGGAAGTGAAAAGCTACTTCTTGCACTTCTTATAGAAGAGATGACAGCTGCGATTTATGGGCTCGACTAAGCATCATCTCTCATCTTTGCAAGACATGGGTGTCTCGGCTGCGTCTCAGTTCGTGGTTGCTAACAGCCAACTTCTATCCTGCTGCAGTGGTATTACTTATACCACGGAAAGTGGGGAAGAGACGAAACCACCTGGTACCAAATGGAATGACAAAGTCAGCTTTGGTTATGTTGTCGTGTAATATAGAAACAGATAAGGGGGTAGATACTACTAGACAAGATTCGACCAAGAATAGAGCATTTCATGTCTCGTCAAGCCTTCAGCAAAAGTTGGTTGACTGTTATTACGCCGTGATATCAGCCTTTGGGCAAGCGTCACATGAAGATTCCTCTAGCTTGGCTTATGAATACATTTTGTTCGGCGCCATCCCCTTCACTTAGTAATGTTTGTACAAGACAATAGCAGTGGCTAGACAATTTCTTGGGTTACATATTTCCACTATTCAGGAATAAACCCACCGCCATACTCACTAACATATTCGTCGCTATCCTTATCCCCCTCATCATCAACCCGAAAAGATTCCACGTCCTCTTCTAACACTTCTTCATCATCCGCATAAGCATCAACCCTCTCTTTAATCCTCAGCTTTAGGAAGAACTGCTTCCACATTCTCACTGCCGCATTTGTGCGTCTGAACTCCTCAGCACTAGCTCGTTCGTCTCGGAAGCCATCAATCACGGCTTCGACTGCCTCGCGATATTCGGCTGCGACTACGGCGCCTTTAAGAACCGCTGTTCCGTGGCGGCCACGAAATTCAAATCCTGTCAAGGCATCGGAGTAGTCAATGCTCAGCAGGCGTGCTGCGCGTGAGGTTTCGTTATCTATGTAATGGTTAGCAATGCCATCTTTAAGAGTACCTTAACTCGTAAAATGGACACACCGAGAATATGGACACCTCCCCTTGGCACCATTGAGGGAACGTAGATATCTATATTGCCATACGAGTTCTTTGGTACTCGACCATTGACTACTGGCGGCGGCTCGTATAGGTCTGTCTGGTCTTCAGTGTACAGGTTCACGCCAGCACGTTCGTCGGGTCCATCCCCACCATCATCAAAGTCGTCTGGCCGCCGCTTCGCAGGAACGTTTTTAACAGGTTGCTCGCCTATCTTCACTTCTCTACCGAGCCGATACCACGCATCAGCACTCTTCGCAACCTTAACATATTGCCTCCTGAAGACGCTTTCGAGCTTCTTGCCTCCAGGCACGCTGGGATCTCGCCCAGCTGCGACCTTGCCGCACGAATGGTCACCGACTAGAATCTCGTTCCGTTTGAGGTGGCGCTCCAATGCATATATTGGGTGGTCTTTGAAATCCGCGATGTTCGATGGCATCGGTTCATTTGCCTCCTTTTTCGAAAGTTCCGTGTCTTCGATCTGGTCTGCGTCACTTGTAAAGCCTCGCTTGAATGGTCTCATGGCTTTACGCCACCATCTGTCTCCTCCAGGCGTAGAATCTACCCTGTTCTTTCTTGTCTTCGCAACGTAGGCTTTAGTGTAGCGTCTTGTGACGTCGCGAGCACAACGCTCTTCTTCGAAAGCTATCACATATGACATGTTATTCTCTCGATCGGAAGCTGGAGGTTCGATTTTGGATGGCTTAGCTATCGTTTCTGTGACGAGAGGGTCGACAGGGAGCCATTTCTGGTGTGCCTCATCGAATACCTCTACCCAAAAGACTGGGTATGGAGACTCATGTACAGGCTTTGCTTTTGGTTTTGGAGGAGGACGTGGAGGAGCGCTTATCTCAGGCAGGTGGTATGCTGCTGCATTTGGGTGTCCGAGACGACGACGGGGTGAGATTGGCATGCCAGGTGCTGCAGGATGACTAGAGCTGCCAAATGGTGAGTTAGTGCCATGAATATTGATGGCTGGTCCCGTATCGTTTGATTCAGGTGTTGTTTTGCGTAGTCTTGGAGTGTGCTTGGGCATCGATGGACCACCAGAATTGAAGGATAATGGTTGCAACGAGCATACCAGACGAGTTTCCACGCCGGCACTTCGCAGAAGGGCACAAAAAAGCTGTGCACCGAGATCTCTAGATCCTTTCAGAGTCTTCGCTGCTGCGCGAAAGTCTGATTTATCGAACACTTCTCCGTTTTCAACTTTGAACTGCTTCGACGTTAACGACCGGATTATCTGAGAACATTAGGGGATGTATTACGTTTTGGAGGTCTGTCTCATTGTCTGCCCACAGCGCTCTCTTGAGACCCCTAGCTGTGATATTGAACCTCGTCCTCCACATGATAGAAACCTGTTCCAACCCCCTCTTCAATGAATCAGTCCGTCCAAATTGCGGCAGACTGGCCTTTGGTCTCAGGAATTTCAACATCTGCTTATCCAAAAGTGGTCTGAGCGATTTCTTGACATCAGAATCGTTACACCAGTTGTTCCTCATGTCCAGATGTGATAGCAAACATAAGACATGCATCTTGTGTTTCTCCACCCTTTCAATCTTCTCTGCTTTGCTAACGAGCCTTCTTCGTGGTAGCGTCGGTTTGGTTTGCGGTGCGGGTTTCTTGACGAGAGTCAAATCGAGGTCTCCGCTTGGCTCATCAGCTTCCGGCTCAACGTCCAGGTTGAGTCCCTGCCATTCTCCATCACTGTCCTCGGACTCTTCATCCGAATCTCTGTAGGCGGTTTGCTGTCGTTTAACTGGGACATCCTGTTCACCACCTTCAAGATCTAGCACATCCTCAAATTCGAGTTCTTCTTCCTCTTCATCTTTCAGTTGACTGGGAGCTGGACTGATGTGTGCAATTTGACTGGGCCGTCTGCCAGTCTTTTGTCGTTTCAATGGTCGTTCAGTAATATCTAATTGTTCAGGCAGAGCTTCTGAGAGCATGTCTTGGTAGATATCAGGGACTGCACTTTTGGTGGCTTTCCCTTTGCCTTTACTACTGGCTCCTCTCTTGCCTGCCATTGTGAATGCACTTCTTTAGGCTGTGATTTCCAACTAGGACTGAGTATTCGATCAAACTCTTGTAAGACTACTGTTTGCTAGTAGACTTCGTCGTCTCCAAGATAGCAAATCACATTGCTTTGCTGCCATGATCACGGTGAGTGTTTAGGACGTTCAGGCAAGAAGTGCTACAGGAAACCTATGACGACGGTAGCCTAGCTCGCTAGCGGCCGCATGGGTGGTTGAGATAAGAAAATAGCCTTGAGACGACGCTAGCCAAGGATAAAAGGTGATAAACCACTTGAAGATCTGGGGAAGACTGAAAAGAACAAAAGAAGAATGAAAACACGGTCAAGCTGAATCTCTATCCATGAAATAGAGCAAGCCATCTAGTTCCAGGGTTTTGTGGGTTGGGTAGGTAGGGTCTGTGGTCCTACGATTAGGAGGGGTGAACGCTGGTATCGTAGAGTACTGTAAGGCGCCTGGGCGCGTCGGCGTCATTACTTCAGGGGCTTAGTGATAGCGTTGCTCGCTAACGGAGGAAACATTAATATTGTCCACGCTGAATTAGTTTTGAGCTCCAAAGGAAGTTACTGGCTGGCCAGACGCAAAATATGGTGGAAGTTCTCTTAGATGTCAGAGAAGTACTAACATACCTCTAAATCTCTCTATAATCTCAAGGACTTGTGAAATCTTAACTCGATTTCTGTTGGTCCGCAGACCTATTCAAGGGAAATGAAAGGGGGCAATTAGGGGAACGGGCAATGCCAGTTAGGGGGTCGCAGCTACTAATGAACATTTGTTGTGCTGTCACAGCTAGAACAGCACTTTCTATCAAGGTAGTAACTCAGGACACAAGTCTGTGACTATATATCATTACGGTTCGTAAGATCAACTGTCCTAGAATCCGTCCTTCTTAATACCCTTACTCTCCTCCAACGCCAAACGCTCGTTATTTGCATCTACCCACCAAACGTGTGTAGGATCCTTACTCGTATTTATACCTTCAGCATCTATCTCGTCCCATGGTTTAGGTGCAAGAATATAGTGGACATTCTTGACCTTGTCATCTCGCCAGATCTTGCTATGCACATTCTCCCATCTTAAAGTCTTCAAGGCATTGTAGATATATGGTAAGGGAACCCAGCGTCCAGAGTACAGGTCCGAGAGTAACGACTGGTCAGCGAAGTCCATATCAATTACGGCATCAGATTCCATGTGCGCAACAATCTGATCGTAGACAGCTTGGGACGGATTGACGACTTGAAGACCACCATTCATAAACCCTAAAGGCCCGACAGCTGGGTCAGGGCCGACTGTTTGTGCAATTTCGGGAGTAGAGTGTTGGCTGGTGAAAGCGCAATTTTCTGGCACCCTATTCCAGGTCAGTATCTTACTATTGAAGTATTCTTCTATTTGCATATAGACAAAAAGCCACTCTTACCAGTCTTTAGGATAATGTGGCTTCTTCAGCGGATTACACACACACGCATGCCCAGCTGCGAAAACCCTCTTGCCTTTCCCAGCAAGCTCAGGTCCATCAAGCTCCATCTCTATCAACTCATCCATATTCTGCATAACTAACATATCACTATCCAACTGCACCACGCGATCATACTCTATTAAGCTGAACGGTGTTAACTTTGTCCAACAGTCGTAAAAGCGCGGATCGGCAGAATAATCTTTCCCAGCTTTAGGGAGCAAGTATTCGACTTTCTGCGACGGGATTTCGCGCGCAGCGAGAGCGGTGTGGCCTTCGGGAGGGAATGCATCGGTATAAAGTGCTACGAGGGGATATTTGGAGTTATGCTTTTTGAGCGAGTAGTCGAGGGTAAGGAGTCCAGATAGATACTTCGTATTTGTAATGAGAGTCGTCCAGACTATAGAGATTAGCTAACTTTTTATAGCACATAAACAGGAACATAGATACCTTTCCTAGACTCTGTTACTCTTTTCGTGGCAGACATCTTCCTCTGATATCAAGACTGTTGGATTGGATAAGAAGCTGGTAAGAAGGGGTAACGAGGGGTAACTGGGAAATTGTTGTACAGGCACAGCTAGCTGCGGTCGATTTACACTTGACTGGGTTCTGCAGCGGCAGACCGCCTAAGGATAAATGTCCTTAGCCTCGGCAGCCTTGCATTACCCAGACCCACCACAGCCTGGCGACGCGATCGCGTCCATCTCACACCTCAATCCTCAACATACAAAGTATTACCAATCAACTGATTCTTTGTCGTGACATAAGACAAACTGAACACAATTCCATTCTGCTCTCTTTTAGCGCCGGAGAAGTAAAGAAGCGTCAGAAATTTTTGTTTCTGTAGATTCAGCGATACTGATTCCGGGGTAAGGTGCATTCCTTACTGACAGAACAAGAGTGTCTCCTGGTCTACGTTTTTATCCGCTCACCAAAATCAGCACCTGTAAATAATAGCAGATATACGATAAAAATTCTGACAAATTACCCTTCAAAAAGGATGAAATGATATAATTGCTTCCTCTGAACAGAATGATATTATTTTCATGAGTTTTGCTCTGTTAATATGTATTTTATCGCGCGGTCAAAAGCAAGTCTCTCGTCGGATTTCTGCGTTCTCGCTTGTTTGGTGTGTGGATAATATCGTAGACCGGAGAGTGTGTAGGTAGCCCCTGATAGTGCAACCTCAGCTACGCCCTTACTCACTATCGATTCTTCCCACTGGCCATACGGCTACCTGGCAAGAGTGCTGGACGTCCTTAGGGAAATCAGACATGGCAGCTAAGAAGTATTGATGTTGTGACGTTGGTGCTGGTCTCTTGTGGAGCTAATTAAAACTCAGCCTAAGAACCTTAGTCACTAAGTTGTCCTGTCTCGCCTGTGTCGACTCTTGCGCGCCTTTGTTCTGTTCTTAGCCTGTGTTGAAGAACTCGAGGCGCTAGTGGGGTGGTGTGGTGGGGTTGTCACTAACCCTTTATCCTTATCGCTTGATACTGTGGGAAATTTTGCTTGAGACTTTATCATCCACCTCCGATGATTCAAAACAAGTAACTCTCCTGCTACCGCCCTAGCACTGACCTCTCAAACAGCAAGTCAGTCCCTTGCGCTACACCACATACAGTTCCCATCAGCTTCCCAAGATGTCTGTCGAATCTGCGACCCCTACGATACCTCCTGTTGTCGAGACCACTACCCCGCCATCAGCAGTTCCAACCTGTAAAGTCGTCCTAGCGAACACAATTGCAAAGAGCTTGCTTGGAGAGGTGGCACAAGGGCTGACAGAGCTGGACTTCAAGCCGAAGTTGGTTGGGTTCCTTGCAAACGAGGATCCTGCTGCTCAAGTGTATGCTGAGTACTCGGCCAAAACTTGCAAAGAGAAGTGAGTCTCAACGATTCTGTGGCTTAGTCTGTTTGCCAAATAAAAAGGATTATAAACAGGTGTAAAAGACGGAAGACCTACTTCAGGGAATGACAGCCGAGGGCCACATAAAATAGCATAGGAGTGTTCGCAAGTGTGAAAGCCTTTATTTGGATCTTCTGAATCTGCCTCGCAGATCGAAGCGTACATCCTTTTCGTTCTTTTAGTCGCTTACTTCGGATGGTTTTTTGTTGTCTAGCCGAAGATGAATAAATCAGCTTGCTGACAACTTCCAGTGGCTTTCTTTTCGAAATCCGTAGTATCTCAAAGGAGGACGTCGAAGAAGCAATTCTAGCTGCAAACGCGGACCCCTCAGTCCACGGCATCATCGTCTACTACCCTATCTTCCCGAGTCCCTCACGACAAGATTACTACATCCAACAGCTCGTCTCCCCTGCGAAGGATGTCGAAGGTCTTTCTCACACATACGTATTTAATATGTATCAGAACATCCGATTCCTTGACCCTCCTACAAATCAGCACAAGTCGATCTTACCATGCACACCTCTAGCGGTTGTCAAGGTCCTTGAGCACTTGCAAATATACAACACTGTTATCCCGTATGGAAACCGGCTGTTTGGAAAGACTGTCACTGTAATCAATCGCTCCGAGGTTGTTGGCAGGCCATTAGCTGCTCTCCTCGCGAATGACGGAGCGAATGTCTACTCAGTCGACCTGGATGGCGTCCAGCTTTTCACTCGCGGCACTGGAATCAAGAACCACAAGCATGAGGTCCATCCAAAAGAGGGCTGGGAATTAGAGCGGTGTCTAGCATTAAGCGATGTTGTGATCAGCGGTGTACCAGGTAAAAATTACAAGGTAGACTCAAATAAGATCAGAGACGGAGCTGTCTGCATCAATTTCTCTAGCGAGAAGAATTTCGATACTGCAGCAGTAAAGGAACATGCTAGTATATATGTACCGGCGATTGGAAAGGTCACTATTGCTGTTTTGCTCAGGAATCTTTTAGTAAGTTATTGAAATCGTTTCTCTTTTACTCGAATTAAAGTGTGACATCGAGCTAATCATTACCCTGTGTGTAGAGGCTTTCTAAGGATAACGTAGTGAATAAACCTTAGGAATTAAGGGTAAGGAGATCTGGAAACTTCAAGTTCATAGGAGAAGTCCTTACCTGGCTCGAACCCAAGAGCCTCAAGTCAAGCTTAGGCAAGTGTTCCGAAAGGTATACAAGCTGGTTTTGCTAACTTGGAGTTCTCAGAAGTCTGTTTCCGTAGCCTCTCAGCCTACTTCTAAGTACTAAAATCTCAAATCAAGCTCTCCTTCTCTCTTACACTCCTCCCTACAAACCCTTTCATAGCAGAGTCCACGCCTGCTAGCTTCCTTACAATGCTCTGCACCCCAACAGGCAGGACATTCATCCAATCAATCCACCTAGCATACAACGGCATTGCTAGCACTGCACTACTTCCCGAATCAATCGCAGCAATGACCTCCTTCGCCACATCTACTGGCTCCAATAATGGTGCTAAGAACGAGTTCGGCGTCTTCACGCCATCGAAAAGTGGTGTACTGAGCTGTCCGGGAGAAACTAGTATCGTCTTAATCTCTGGATTGTCTATTAACTCCGCAGTCAGAGATTTATGCAGTGCCGTGATTCCTGCTTTTGATGCTGTATAATCAGACAGAGAAGAGGCGCCTAGTTGACCTAGAACGCTGGATATTGTGACGATTGTACCAGTCTTTGCGCGAATCATGCCTGGGAGGAAGGCTTTAATAGTGTAAAAGTGGGAGAGGACATTAACGCGGAATGTGCGGTCGATTTCATCGGTTGAGAGGTCGAGTAGGGGTTTGCCGTTGACGATTGCAGCGTTGTTGATTAGAATTGTAGGGGTTCCGAGCTATTTTCTCCTTCTCAGTAACCATGTAATGTACTCTTGAGTAGATAAAGCTACTCACATCCCTCTCAATTTCCAGCGCAACCTTCGCAACCTGATCTTTATCCCCAACATCACAATTGTACACAGACACTCCCCTCGCCTCGCCAGCCTCCAAGTCCTTAACATCAAGAACCGCCACTGTCGCGCCTCGCATGCCGTATACCTCTGCGATCAGCAGGCCCAGCCCACTCGCACCGCCCGTAACAACAATGACCTCTTCGGAGAAATCCACTTTCCGCGGCTTCGAGTACGCGATCTGTCTATTCAAGACGCCGAGGAAGTATAGCGCTGTGAGCAGACTTGCGTAGCTGATGGAGACTTGCATCGCGGTCGCGGTCCACGACATGGCTTGCGCGCGCATGCAGAGCGGGACCATCCAAGCTACGAAGGGGTGGAGGAAAGTCACGTTCAAGACTTTGAGGATGAGGTCGATAGAGAGAGGCTTGGCCCAGGAGAGCTCTCTAGAGGGAGGTAATCGGGAGGACATCTTGGATTTGCTGATCGAGTGTCGAAGTTGATAGAAATTAGTGGCATGTACAACGTAATTATAGTAAATTAATGGAGATCTGAGAGATCAGAAGAAGAAGAAGCAGAAGAAAAGAAGAAGGAGGAAAAAGGTGTTCAATAGCTAGCCAGAGCAGATGAAACGTGTCATGGGTATCAAGTTGATATTGTGGGAAGTCTGTGTCCACTGTCTATTGCTAGGTAAACTACGTTCCAAAGAAGGCCGCTGACTAAGGCTATGCTAAGCTGTGATTAGTCCCCTGGTCCCCTAACAGAACAGGTACGAGAAAGAGCTCGGACGATTTGACTTGACTGACTACCTTATGAGATGATTTCTCCTAGGACGGAAGTTTAGAGGTAACGCTAACCGCCCTCTTAGGAACAATCGTTTGGTGAGTTTACGTTATGCATGTACCACGGAATAACCTATGTATTCTTTTGCAACCTTAGTGTTTATAAGGAAGATACTGTAAGTGCCTTGCCTCCCACATATGCATACCTGAAGGGAGAATGTTTCGATTGCTATACTGCCTTCCAAGTCGGGCATTAGCATTAATGGTTACAGATTGTCGATAATGTCCTACACGAGATGAGTGATACTTGAAGACCTTGACCAGAGGGTTTCTGAAGCATTCAATACAGCTCATGCCCTGTACTTCCTAGTCAAGTATGCGAATTCCGTGACTGTGCCACTGAATGATAGGGAGAGAAAAGAGAATTGAGTATAACTGGAAGAACAGGCCGTTATCTAGTGCCATGCCCAGACGCAGACCCGGACGCAGACCCTTAGGTAATCAGCGTGCTGCCAACGCCTTTATAGCCTCATGACCCTTTAATCGATTCCCTAGCGCCCACCCCTCTAGCTTGGCTCGCATGGCTCCATGGTTCATCCCCCGCCACAGCCTCAAAGACAACCCGACCCCAAGAACCCCAAGCTGCCCCAACTTTCTTGTCACCCACACGCCAAGGACCTTCACCGTCAAACCTCCCCTCCCTTCCTCCCTTCCTCCCGCATCACACATGTCTGACCTCAGTGCCATCTGATCATGTTGCGTCCTACATAAGTATCCATCCCCCGAGTCAGTCTCTTCTACGCGGCATCTGGCGTGACCAGAAAATAAACGCTGTCCCACCGAAGAAACGCATCTGCCACCATCATGTCGTCCTCTATTCTAGCAACGGCATCGAGGACTGTGGCTTCCGCTGCCTCTGCCTCACCAACTGGCAATCGCGCAGTTCCCCAAGGAGGAGTAATTGAGGGGCTCAATCCCACCACCTACGATGCCAAAAATCCAATCGTCCTGTTCATTATCCAGGTAAGGATGCCAGTTCCTTTCTCCCCAGAGCCGGAGAATAAAGCACATGGGTAAATCCCGTCAATCCGGTTCAGTGCTGCAAACACCCGTCGACCCAGAGTCTGCGGAACTGTGTAGCTTGACTGCTCGCATTCCGTATACATACAGTTGCTCTGCAGGATCTTGGATATCGTATGCGGTCGTTCCGGACGATCTACGCAGCGGCACATGGAAACTGGGCAAGCAGAGGCTAATACTTCTTGCAGGCAGGGATTATCATCATTTTCTGTCGTATCCTCCATTTCCCCCTCGCCAAACTCCGACAACCTCGAGTCATCGCAGAAGTCATTGGTGGAGTTATACTCGGTCCCTCGGTGATGATGCGAATACCCGGTTTCAAGGATGCCATATTCCCACAAGCGTCTATGGCAGGCTTGAATTTGGTGGCTAATCTGGGATTGATCTTGTTCTTGTTCCTGGTTGGCCTGGAAGTGAATATGCGTATGTTTATTACCAATTGGCGTGTAGCACTGAGCGTTGGATTGGCTGGAATGGCCCTTCCTTTCGGTCTTGGGTGTGGGATTGCATACGGCCTGTACCACCAATTCAGAACCGATGAAGGGATTGTGGAGATCAGCTTTGGTGTATATATGCTGTTTATTGGAACGGCATTATCTGTGAGTGGTTTACAAGAACCGACATTATTGAGGCTAACAAGCCATAGATCACTGCCTTTCCCGTCCTTTGCCGTATTCTCACAGAATTGAAGCTCCTCAGTACTGCAGTCGGTGTCACGGTTCTGGCTGCAGGTGTTGGAAATGATGTCGTTGGCTGGATTCTCCTCGCTCTATGCGTTGCACTTGTTAACAACGGTTCTGGTATTGCAGCGCTCTATGTCTTACTAGCTGCTGTAGGATGGATTTTGTTCCTTGTTTACGCCATTCGACCGGTGTTCATGTATTTTCTGCGCCGTTCCGGAAGCATCCAGAATGGCCCAACACAGGGAATGATGGCGGTCACAATTCTTTTGGTTTTGACATCATCCTGGTTCACACAAATCATTGGAGTTCATGCTATTTTTGGAGGCAAGTACATAACAAGACTGTTTAGCTTTAGCTGCTAACAATTTATTCCAGCTTTCTTAGTCGGACTCATCTGTCCCCATGACGGTGGATTTGCGATCAAACTTACAGAAAAGGTTGAGGATCTGGTATCTGTTTTATTTCTGCCACTTTATTTTGCCCTATCCGGTCTTGGCACCAATCTAGGATTGTTAAACGATGGCATCACATGGGGATACGTTATTGGAGTTATTGCGATTGCTTTTGCTGGTAAGATTATTGGGGGAACTCTTGCTGCACGAGCGAACAAGCTTGTTTGGAGGGAGAGCCTTACAATTGGATGTTTGATGAGTTGCAAAGGTCTCGTGGAACTTATTGTCCTTGTAAGTGGTCTTTACCTAAATGAAAAAGTAGTCGCTGACACAAACAGAACATTGGTCTCCAAGCGAAAATTCTATCAACAAGAACATTCACTATGTTCGTTGTCATGGCTCTCGTCACTACCGTCGCAACTACACCACTTGTCCTCGCTCTATACCCACCATGGTACCAAAAGAAACTCGAGGCTTGGAAGAGAGGAGAAATTGACTGGGATGGAAATCGCTTGACGCCAGACAACGATACACCCAAGGAATCCGTCGAGAAACTTCGAAACAACCAAGTCCGCAAATTGCTTGTTTATCTCAGACTCGACAGCTTGCCCAGTTTATTCACCTTCATTGCGCTTCTAGGTGGTGACAGAGCCACCGTCAGCACGAAGATCCACAAGGCTAAGACGGAACTTGCAACAGTACCGGAGGGCGAGAGCTCAGACTCTACATCGGTCGTTATATCGAAACGACCACTTGAGGTCCACGGTGTACGGATCTTGGAGCTCACAGAGCGAACGTCCTCAGTCATGCAAAGTTCCGAGCTTGATGACTATGGTCGTAGAGATCCTGTCGTCAATGCATTCCGAACCTTTGCTCAGCTCAACAATGTCGCAGTTTCAGGAGACGTATCCATCGTTCCCGAGGATTCTTATGCAGAGACATTGATTGGACAAGCCTCGGATCATTCTTCGGATCTTGTTTTAATTCCCTGGAACAACTCTGATAGCTCGACCGAGTTTGGCACAGTCAATGACTCTCTTTCGGCCAGTGTTCAAGATGCCTTTATTCAGAAAACACTAGAGACCGCAACATGCAACACTGCAGTCTTTTACAATCGTGGCTTTGGTGGTCCATCGACAGCCCCAGAGCCTAGACTTGCCCGAACCCTCAGCGGTCTTAGTTTGCGCAGTCACCGCGAGTCAACAACATCTCCTATCGCAGATCGCAGCCATCACGTCTACTTCCCATTCTTTGGTGGAGCCGATGATCGCGTGGCGCTGCGCTTTGTGCTTCAACTTGCACAGAACAGCAACGTTACTGTCACCGTCGTACACTTCAACACACCAATTCAATCCGGAAACGAAAAGACCCCAGAGGTCACATACCAAACAGCTCAAGCATCAGGGCCTTCAAACTCTTCAAAGCTCACCATTGCTGAGAGAGTTGATACCGAGACCATGTACGCAACTGCAGCTCAAGATGTGGCCCTCTTGCATACACTCCGTGACTCCTTATCGGCGTCGCTTACCAGTCGGGTTGTTTTTGTGGACATCGCTACCACAACTCCAATCACGGACTGTCTGAACCACGCGAGACAGGAGATTGGACAGTCGCCGAAGAACGCAGGTGATCTCATTGTAGTTGGCAGGGGCAAACATTCACGCGTCATAGAGAACTTCCATGTTAACAACTACGAAATGCGGAGGACATTGGGCCATATTGCCGAGGCCATCATTTCCGGAGGTGTCAGAGGCAGTGTGTTGGTTATCAAAGCTGGTGCAAGTGCCCAGGACTCTTAGATATATGTGGATTTACAGTGATGGATACGGCGTTCGTTTGAGGTGTGATATTGGGTTAGGATTTGAAATGGGTATCGACTGGTGTTTTGGCTTGGCTGGATATGGCTATTGGGTAGCCACCAGATTTACATGGATTACTGCATCTATCAAGCTACCTTGGATAGAACGGGATATTTTGGAATTCATACAAGCCTTTGAGCTTCGCATATGACATGCATGCTGGGGAGTCGGATAATGATTCTGGGTACATCACTGAGAGAGAGAGTCACAGTATTACTTATTAGGGGATTCAAACAATTACAGTATATTTATCGGTACAAATATCTAAGACGCAGATATTTCAAGCACATCATCGCAATAATACATCTCTAATGTCTAGGAGAATCAACTGATTTTCAAACAGTCATGCCGATTCCTCCCACTTCTCCATCCATCAACGTAATAAGCACGGCTCAAGCACCACCTTCCCTCTTAGCATACTCCTCCTCAATCCTCTCCTCATACAGCCTATCAGCTGCCTCCTCCTCTGCTTCTGTTTTCTGCGTCTTGCTGCTGCTGCTGCTACTGTTTTGGCCGTTCTGAGCAGCAGTGGTAGTAGTCGTGTCGTCGTTGGACTCCGTTTGCGTGTTAGTGGTGGACTTGGAGGGGAGCTCGGTCTTTGGTTGGTATGGGGCTGACATTTTTTTTTTTTATTCTTTTTGGGAGGGATATGAGTTTATTGATTTGATTTGGATGAGATAAGATAATCAGGTATGAGTTGGACTGTGTGTGTGTGGTTAGTTTGATAGGAAACGATGAAGGAGAAGGAGAAGGAAAAGGAGAAGAAGCGGTTTTAAGCCACAGGTGGCAAAGACACTGCTGGTGTGGCGCAGCTGAAAGAGCCATGTCACATGATGTAGCTTACATGAGCCTTTGACTTCTTGTCCGGGACTACTGGAGACATTCTGCTGCCGCTTTTACATCCTCATTCCAACAGCCCTTTGTGTGTTTTGACGCAAAGAGCCATGAAGAGGAATTCACTGTCTTTTTCTTCCTTCTCTACCAAACGGATCGCACGCCCGGGGCATACATTAATTGAAAGCCTCCACGACAAAATGATACGAGGATACCCTGGAGACGGGAGGAAAGGAGAGGTCGCCGATGACATACTGTACATGTTGTGCATCATTTCGGAATAATAATGCTCCACTCGCACTAACATACCTTATCCATCTGGTCGATCATACAAGTGGTATCAAAAATCTTAAAGGTATCAATGTTCCACTTCTCTGGCTCTCTTGAAGATGCTGGTAGATTGCATAACTCCCGCTAAGATTCAAAAGTACTATTCTTTACAACTGTTTGATCTTCCACGTCCCCTGAACAGAGTATTACGCTAACCGTATTCTCAGCGGCTGGGCGTGGGAGGGACCGCTGTGATACTGTACTGAACAGTACCTAGGTAAGGCACTAGGTAGGTACAGACTACAGTACGTACCGCAGTGCAAGTACTACCAGTGGCGAGGGTGGTGTCACTGGCTCGACTGGGTGGGGTGGTGGTGATGATGATCAAGACTTCAATTCAAGACAGAGAATAGTACAGTAGATTTTCATGCCTGCGACTCAGGATAATAAGTTAGATGATAAGTAGACCAGCTTGACCAGGCAGCGGCAGCCAGGCCCCGGGACGATTTATATTTATACTTCCCGCGCTGCGTGCGTGATGCAGTCTGCAGACGGCGGACAGATTCTGCAGAGTTGTCAGGTTGATTATTATTTGATAATTGACAGCGTTTCACCGAAATTCTCAAAAATCGAACCACAAACGAAGAGGCCAAAGTTGAAGGTGAAGTTGAAGTTCCAGGAGTCTTGAGGTGTTGCGCACAGTAGGTAAGTTAGTAGAGCTGTGAAAAGTCGATCAGCCGCTATCCAGCAGCCAACCAGACCCTGTCGAACCCTGTACAGTACGAAGGTACAGTAGTGAGTGACTGCGTCCACATCCAGGACCGCCGAGTCGCCCTGTCAGGCTGTCACTCTCCCCCACGCCCACCGCCCCCGCCCACCGCCCACCGCATAGGCAGGCCACTGGCCAGACCTCTTCGGCTCCCGGTTCCAGCCCCTCCATCGCTCCATCTTGCTCCAACCATGGACCGACCCAATCACTATCAATTCCGTCCCAGAACAGCCAGGCAGATCAAAACCTGTCAGACAGGTGCAACTTCACTCCACTACCCTACTAATGCACTGCTGCGCTGCTGCACTGCTGCACTGTGCTACAGTACACCTGTAACTTGCACTGTAACCTGATCGAGTACATCTTGGGACCTGCCTACAGTAGTTCAAGGTTACGCCCATCTGCATGCAGATGCCATCCCGCGGGCTGCCCCCCTCGTCTTCAACTACGCCCGATTTCTCAGCTCACTCTCACTCTCCCACTCCCACTCCCACTCCCACTTCTACTCACAGTCACACCAGTCATGTCTCTGGCTGCTCCACGATTATAGAAAGCAGAGATATCCCACTCTCTACTCTCACTCCGCATCCGCCCTCGAGATCTCACGGGGATGCCGACGAAGAGGACGAGGAGCTCGACCCCGAATCAACAGGCGCCCTCCTCCGACAGCACATTCGAGACAGTGCCGAGGATGAGATTGCAAACAACGATACCGAATCCATAGGACCCTTCCGCAGACTCGCAGGACTGATGTCCAAAGCACCTCTCCTACTACGGTCTGCGCCAGGCTTCGGCACAGGCTCGTACGGAGCAGTGCCGATTGGGGCGTCGACAGAGAATAGCGACGAGGACGACGTGGATATAAGCAGGAAGGAGGGCAGAAGGAAGGAGTCCAGGCTGAGGAATACTATAAGTTCGGGGACTCTGGGGTCTAGGTCGGGAGATTCTACACGGAGGAGACCTTCAAATGCTAGGCAGAGAAGCTCGACTGATGACGAGGATGTGCCGCTGGAGAGCAGGCTGGCGAAGAAAGGAATCCCAATTCCGAATACAGAACAGGACTCTACGGATTCGTCAGACGAAGAAGCTATAGACGATGCCTCTACGACGAATGAAGAGGATCCTCCGGATAACTCTCCATACCCCCAAGTTCGAGCGTCTGTGTCTGCGGTAGACAATACTGCCCTCTCCATCAATACCCCGCGCATGTGGCTATTGTCCCTATTATTTGCCATTCTCGGATCTTCAACCAATCTTTTCTTTTCATTACGATACCCCAGCGTCTCGATTACACCAGTCATTGCATTGTTACTTGTACATCCCCTCGGTCTATTATGGGACCGACTTTTCAAACGACGAGATGACCCCGCCGAGGAGTTTTTAGACGGCTTCAGGGTTGCCGACACGGACACGAATTATGAACACAAAGGGGCTTTGAAGAGAGCCAGGATATGGCTCGGCCAGGGTAGGTGGAATGAGAAGGAGCATAGCTGTGTTTACATCAGCAGCAATGTTTCTTTTGGGTTTGCATTTGCTACTGATGTCATTGTCGAACAGACGCATTTTTACAATCAGGAAGTCAGTATCACATATCAGCTCCTTCTGATCTTGTCGACCCAGATTCTTGGATATACATTTGCTGGATTGACGAGGAGGTTCTTGGTACGACCAGGGGGGATGATATGGCCTGGAACTTTGATGTCTGCGGCTATGTTCACAACACTCCACAAGGAGGAGAATACAGTTGCCAATGGATGGAAGATCAGTCGGTGGAAGTTCTTCTTTATCGTCTGGGCTTCATCCTTTGCATTCTACTTTCTTCCAGGACTCCTCATGCCAGCACTGAGTTATTTCAGCGTTGTCACCTGGTTCTTCCCGAAAAATGTGGTGGTTGCGAATTTGTTCGGTGTGGCTTCTGGCCTTGGACTATTCCCCGTCACGTTTGATTGGGCGCAGATTGCCTATATCGGATCTCCACTCCTCACTCCTTTCTGGGCTGCTATGAATGTAGTTGGTGGTCTTGTGATTGTCATGTGGGTTCTGGCTCCTATTGCATATTACAAGAATCTGTTCTTCTCTTCGTACATGCCGATTCTTTCTTCGGCTGTCTTTGACAATACGGGGAAGATTTACGATGTCAGCAAGATCTTGACGCCGGATTTTCTGTTCGATAGCGAGGCATATCATAAATATAGCAGGGTGTATCTGCCCATCACATATGTTCTGAGCTATGGGCTGCAGTTCGCTGCTCTGGCGTCTCTCCTCACGCATACTGCTTGTTGGCATGGGAAGGATATCTGGAGGCAGTGGTCAAGATCTTTGAAAGAAGTAGGCGGAGAGACAAAGACAGCATACACGCCATTGAATGCGGTAGATGGTGGACGATTGAGACGATCCGATTCAAACATGGAAAACATCATCAGCCAGGAGGACGTCCACAACCGATTGATGAAAAGATACAACGATGCACCAATGAGCTGGTACTTGGTCACATTCGTGAGCATGACCGCCGTGGGCATGTTTGTAGTTGAATAGTGAGTGTTTGGCTGGTTGAGAGATGCTGAGCTGACTCTGTCTAGTTACCCCGTGCATCTTCCATGGTATGGACTACTCCTTGCTCTGGGCATATGTTCCATTCTCTTCATCCCGATCGGCATCGTTATGGCCATCACCAATCAACAAAGCAGTATCTACCTCATCTGCCAACTTGTCTGTGGAGCCGTCTTCCCCGGCAGACCGGTAGCAAACATGGTCTTCGTCACATACGGCTACATCTCATCCGCACAAGGCATCAAGTTCTCAGCCGATCTCAAACTCGGCCACTACATGAAGATCCCACCCCGCATCCTCTTCTCCGTCCAAATGGCCGCCACAGTCATCTCATCCATCACCCAGATCATAGTCCTCAACTGGATGTTCGCCAACGTTCCCCGCATCTGCACCCCCAACGCCGTGAACGGCTTCGTCTGCCCTATCGCGCGCGTCCACTTCAACGGCAGCATCCTCTGGGGCGTCGTCGGGCCCAAGGAGTTCTTCGGCCGGAACGCAACCTACCATGCTCTCGTCTGGTGCTTCCCAATCGGTGCCGTCGCCCCGATCATCCTCTGGCTCTACGCAAGAAACAAGAAGGGGAACATCGTCCGCAAGATAAACCTCCCTGTCCTGTTTGGCTCACTCAGCTGGATCCCGCCTGCTACGGGTCTCAACTTCTCGGTTTGGGCCCTCGTCTGCTACCTCTTCAATTACGTGATTCGTAGGCGTGCGGGAGCTTGGTGGGCGAAATATACTATGACGCTTAGTGCGGCTTTGGATTCGGGCCTTGCGTTCGGACTAGTAACTGTGTTTTTTGGGTTCGTGTACCCGGGCTTGATGGAGGGGTTTAAATGGTGGGGGACGGAGATCTATAAGAGGGGGTGTGATTGGAATGCGTGTCCGTGGAAGGTTGTGCCTGAGGGTCAGCATTTTGGCCCGGACACGTGGTGAGAGGGGAACTGGCTTGGGTAGGCGATGCCTGGGCGTTTGGTGCGGCATGGGAGGAGCCGGAGGAGTTGGATAGGTGCATATATACCAATGGGATGATAAATTTTCTGCAATCTATCACTGTTGATGGTTTGACAAGCTCTTCCCTTGATGTTGATTTCTATACTTTTCTGGGTTGATTTGATATCTCGAGCTGTCTACTACATGTGTCCTAGAACTGGGGAAATATCTTGCGGCTCAATCTACAAGTCTCACTCACAGCAGCTGGGATTTGGAGGTGGCAAGATGTCATCCGTAGCGATTCTCGAGGCGTGAACTCGCCTCGCCCCTATCAATGCCCAGTCTTCCTCCCGCGATATATGGAAAGATGGGGATCCACAAGCTTGTAAGACTTAGTTGCTGTCCAGGGTCTACCTAGAAATGGGAAGTGCATTGATCCGACGTCCTTTGGGGTTACTGGCTTGGTCATCAAGACTCTCGTTGGGAAGTCATCTGACATGCATAGTATTTGATGGAGCAGGCATGAGGAATCAATCTTGAGAATCCATGATGGAGTGTAAAGACGCGTCCGCTATGCGTTTCGAACCTCAGTACACTACAGATCCAATTTTGTCTTTTGCCTGATTACTCGCATTTGCAGCTCCGATGGGATGATCTTTTGGAGGGGCGCGCTCTCGGCTCTCCTGAGTCATGTTCTTGGAAAGTGAAAAGGTATCACCAAGACACAATACAGACTTTTAGGACTTCACCAACATTTTGCACTGGATAAATGTCCAGGATGAGGGGTATTGACATTGTCCACCCATCTCATTGGCCCGCTTGGAGCCCCAGGTCTCGACCCACTCAGGGACGTGGGCAGGAGGGGGTAGGTAAAAAGGATAATACCACCGCAGAAATATTCTTCCGACTTTTTAAACGGAGGTACCAGGTACAGTAGGAAAGCTTCCACGAGTGAATTTTGTTATCGTATGATCTTCAAAATCTCCGTAGACCTGGACGGGAAACTGCTGTTGAACACAGGTACCCGTGCCACGGGCCGATCTCTCCTAGATTCCGAAGGCGTTTGCGGGGATTCCCCTAGTTTAATATCCGTTCGATAGGAACTTCATAACTCTATTGTGATGAAGGACAAGGATAGTGACAGGTAGGTCGCTTCTTGAATGGTCATCTTGCAGGTTGGAAATGCGAGATGACCGACTCTATGCAGCTGGGTAGGAGGGGTTTCTTGGGAAGGGGAAGGGGAAGGGGACCAGAATATAATGAGCTGAAGAGCCGACTTTCAAGCACCTTTCCCAGGATCGGTCTGAATATCGAAGACTTTCACGATGAAGTACCTATTTGCAGGATGCGCCGTTCTCTCAGTGGCTATGGCAGCAGATGTCAAGCCATTGTACAAAGATCCGAAAGCCAGTGTCGATGACAGAGTGGCAGATTTACTCTCTCGAATGACGATTGAGGATAAAACAGCACAACTCATCCAAGGCGACATCTCGAACTGGATCAACACCACTACCAATGCATTCAATGCCACCGGTCTCGTCTGGAACATGGCCACGAGAGCTGGTCAATTCTATGTCGGATACCCAGTGCCTCAACAGTGGATTGCTGAAGGCGTGAAGAAAGCCCAGGACTATCTGGTACACAACACCACTCTTGGCATACCTGCGTTGGTGCAAAGTGAGGGTATTCATGGCTTTCTCATTGGCAATGCAACGATATTCAACTCCCCGATTGCTCAAGGATGCTCTTGGAATCCAGATCTGATCAAGAAGATGGGTTCTGCGATTGCTCAGGAGGCACTTGCTCTTGGTGTGAACCAGATCTTTGCCCCTCTTGGAGATCTGGCGAGGGAGCTGAGATGGGGACGTGTGGAAGAGACGTTTAGTGAAGATGGATTTCTTTCCGGCGAAATGGGCTATTCATACATCACTGGTAAGTAACTTGATCCAGGGCGAAGAATGCTGCTCATCAAAAATCAGGTATGCAGAGCGGAAATGTGAGTGCAATGGTGAAGCACTTCGCTGGATTCGGAACTCCAGAGCAGGGTCTCAACGTCGGTCCATCTCACTACGGCGAAAGAGAGCTCCGCACAACATATCTTCCATCATACAAGCGCCAGATCATCGATGCCGGTGTATGGGCCATCATGTCATCGTACTCGGATTTCGACGGCGTTCCTCTCGTTGCTAGCCAGCACGTCTTGACAGATATCTTGAGAAATGAGTGGGGCTACAAGTACTGGGTTTCCAGCGATGCAGGCGGAACTGATCGTATCTGCGCAGCATTCAAGATGTGCCAGGAGAAGCCAATTGATAAAGAAGCCGTCACGCTGTACGCTCTTCCCGCTGGTAATGACGTTGAGATGGGTGGAGGATCATATAACTTTGCCACTATTCCGAAGTTGATCAAGGATGGAAGGTTGAGTATTGAGACTGTTGATACGGCAGTTTCCCGCTTGCTCAGGGCCAAGTTTGCTCAAGGTCTGTTCGAGAACCCCTATCTTGGGGTTCCAGCCAATAAGGCAGCTTCCAAGATTCACACCAAGGAGAATATTGCCCTCGCCAGGGAGCTCGATGCCGAGTCAATTGTCCTTCTTGAGAATCATAATAATGTTCTGCCTCTGTCGAAGAACGCTAAGGTCGCGGTCATCGGGCCTATGGCTCATGGATACATGAACTACGGAGACTATGTCGTGAATGGTAGTCAATACAGAGGCGTCACACCATTAGATGGGATCAAGGCTGCAAGCAAAGGAGGTGAGCTCAGGTCTGGTGTATATTGAAAACATGGCTGACTAAGTAGTTGTAACCTATGCGAAAGGATGCGAGCGGTGGTCCAATGACCAGTCTGGATTTGATGAGGCAGTCCAGGTTGCTTCTGCTGCAGATGTCACTGTCGTGGTGGTCGGAACTTGGTCGGTCAGTAGGACTATCCTATTTGAGTTCTCAACTAAATTATTCAGCGTGATCAAGTCCAACTGTGGCAAGGATTGAACGCCACCACCGGTGAGCACATCGATCTGTCTTCACTGAATTTGGTCGGTGCCATGCCCCATCTTGTCAAAGCGATAATCGACACCGGCAAACCTACCGTCGTCGTGTTCTCATCCGGCAAACCGATTACAGAATCCTGGATCTCCACGGAAGCTTCTGCATTGGTTCAACAATTCTATCCATCTGAAGAAGGTGGAAACGCGCTGGCTGATATCCTCTTCGGATCTGTCAACCCAAGCGGAAAGCTGTCTGTCGGGTTCCCTCACGATGTTGGTACACTACCCATCTATTACGACTACCTGAATAGTGGACGTGGAAGTTCTCCCGGAAAGGAATTTTCAAACGGGACTCTGCAATTTGGATCTTCGTACGTTCTGAACACACCGATGCCGTTGTACGAGTTCGGATACGGAAAATCGTACTCTAGCTTTGTATTCTCGGACTTCAAACTGTCCAAGACAATTGTTTCGGCCACGGATTCAATCACTGCTACTGTGAAGATCACGAATAACTCGACCAGAGACGGGAAGGAAGTCGTTCAGCTGTATGTCAAAGACTTGGTTGCTTCGGTTGTGGTACCGAATATTCAGCTCAAGGGTTTCTCCAAAGTGATGGTCAAAGCTGGCAAGTCTGTGACGGTGAAGATTCCATTGGATATCGAGAAACTTGGTCTGTGGGATATTAAAATGAAGTATATAGTAGAGCCGGGTGATTTCACGGTGTTTGTTGGGAGTTCGAGTGCGGACTTCAGGGCCAATGCTACTCTGACTGTAGGTTGAAGAGGTTGTAGATCCTGATGTGAGGATGTTGATAATTAGACCAATTTTCCAACTTTGGGGATTGGGCGCGAGTTCCATGAATAGACAAATAAATCAAAGGAATGGAGTCTGTCATGGGAGGCCGATTCTCGGTTAGCTTGAATGCTGACGTTTCGCAACACACCCCAGGGCGCGTCAATAGAGAACTTACGCTAGCCACTGTTCGATTCAACACCAGACAGCGAGATAAAGCTGACGATCTGTGGAACCAATTCCAGCTTGATTTCAGCAAATAGACAGAAAATATCTTCTCCAAAGCCTCGAATGCCGCCGCCGCGCCATTACGCGCTGTTCTTGTATCAAGAGGCGTCTGGGTAGACCTAGCAAAAGGAGGCCGAACCTACTCCGTACTGTACTTAACAGAGCCATGCATTAACCCCAGGCCGAGTAGCTTCTGCAATTCTCCCTATTATTATTCGGCGGCGGATCATTGACCTTCCAGAGCTTCTGCCACATGATTTCTAGTCGGGCGTTCCGGAAAAAGCAAGCTGCAGTGCTGAACACACACTTCACAAGGCGGTTTCGAGACCATGGAAATATGCTGACCTGGGTGTGTACAAGAGCACAACGGGGCGACGCGTCGAGCAAGAATTGTAAGCTTCCGTTCGTTTTAATCACTCCGCTGTCCCCATCAGCCCTTAGTTCTTCGAAGCTAAATGCCGTGGATAATGTTCATATATCCTCATATATCCTCATATCTCGGGCTAACCGTAGCTGGAGTCCAGTCGTAAGATGGAAGAGAAGAGATTCATCTGTTCGGGTCAATGCTGCACGTACAGTAGCACGGGCCATGCTAAAATGGCTCTTCCTCAGGCTCTTTTCAGATTTTGTTCTCTTGCTTCACGACATCATGACCCGAATTCGAGCTTCTATTGGACTCCGAAACCTCTTATAGCAGAACAGTAAACTCCGTATCTGAGAGGTCATCTCGGTGTGTCGTTGTTCTCGCGCCGTCGACGAATCGGTGGCCATCGCAGTCCTGTAGCATTCCACCCCACCTTCAATTTGAAAGCTCTCTTTAGTGAGATACGAGGGCATCTATTCGGGATATTTAGTCGCCCGGGTCAAACGGACAGACTTAACGCTGTTATTCCATCAAGCTTTACCTAAGATCATTCGGAATTTAGAGAATGATTAACGGCCAAGAACCAGCAGGCTCTCAGCTCCCAATTCTCAAAACCAATCCTCGCTTCATCTTCTTCACCGACTTTGACGGCACTATCACACAGCAAGACAGCAATGATTTCATGATAGAACAATTCGGCGTTGGGCCTGCTAGACGAAAGCTGGTATTCGACGACATATTATTCGGCCGGCAGACTTTCCGTGATGGATTCGAGGAGCTGCTAGATAGCGTGAAGCTTCCTTGGGAGCAGTGCATCGCTGCTCTGTTAGAGAACATCACTCTAGACCAGGGATTCCGGGAGTTCTACACGTTCGCTCACGCCAACAATATTCCTGTTGTTGTGTTAAGCGGTGGTATAGAGCCTATTATCCGAGCTTTACTAGGCCATCTTTTGGGGGAGGAGGAGGCAAGCAAATTGCCAATTTTGAGCAATGATGTTGCGGCACGGCCAGGAAAGACACTTGGGGATGAAGGTGGTTGGAAAATCATATACCGGGATGACAGGTCAGTCGCTTAAACGGCTTTTTGTGAATATTCTCTGACCTCCATTTGTAGCTCCTTCGGTCATGACAAGTCGTTAGCAATCCGCCCATATGCAGCCCTTCCTGCTGACGAGAGGCCTGTCTTATTCTATGCTGGAGACGGAGTATCGGATCTTTCCGCTGCCAAGGAGACTGATTTGCTCTTCGCGAAGGCCGGTAAAGGTATGCTCTAGACCTTGATTTACTTGAAGTTGATACTGATAGTGACATAGATCTTGTCACGTACTGTGAGAAGGAGAGTGTTCCGTACACCACGTTTCAAGACTTTTCGCAGATTCTAGCTACTGTGAAAGAAATAGTGGCCGGCAAGACTAGTGTGCACGAGGTTGCTAAACAGAAAATATAGATAGTCCTAGATTCCGGGTTTATAAACATTCAACAAGATTTGTTATTGTTCTGGCACTACGATGATTCGGAATAATATCCTTCTAACGCTCAAAGGCTCGCTCGTCAAAACTCGAGCGAGCCTTGGCGAGCCGACTGAGCAGTGGCTCTCCTGCGAACCTCTTTTTATCGACGTTCGTCTTCTTCAGAATACAAAGTATTACCAATCTTAACTGAGCCTTTGTCGTGACAGTATTGGAGAGATTGCTACGAAAACCCAAGGGTATCTACTGAATGCAGTAAGATCAAGCATGCCCGTTTGATCCCTTAGCTGCCTCGCGTCTCTGAGCAACAGCTTTTGCTAATATCTCAAGTACTGACTCTGTGTCTTCCCATCCAATGCAAGCATCTGTGATACTAACACCATACTTGAGACCAGCTTTGCCCTCCTTAGGCACCTTTTGTGCGCCTGAATAGACGAGTTAGCCATATTCTTCTAAAACTCGTCAATAAACTGACCCTCGTGGATATTGCTTTCAATCATCACACCCATAATCCCATCCTCTCCATTTGCAATCTGCTCAGCAATTACTGCTGCAACCTTTGGCTGGTTCTTGTGATTCTTTAACGAGTTGCCGTGACTGCAGTCGACCATCAGTCTCTCGCGAACACCGGCCTTCTTCAGCGCCGCTTTTGCCTCTTTGATACTCTCCGCATCATAGTTCGTGCCCTTAGTACCGCCTCTGAGAATAACAAAGCAGTCCTCATTTCCTACTGTGCCAACAATAGCCACGACACCGGGTTTTGTAACTGACAAGAAGTGATGTGGGTGTTTAACAGCTCCAATTGCATCAATAGCAACACTAAGTGTACCATCTGTCCCGTTCTTGAAGCCCACTGGGAAACTCAGACCACTTGCCAACTCGCGGTGTAATTGTGACTCCGTAGTCCTTGCACCAACAGCGCCAACGCTCAACAAATCAGCGAGGAATTGTGGCGAAATAGTATCTAGCATCTCACTTGCAAGCGGCATGCCCTTCGATGTCAAATCCACAAACAATTGTCTGCTAGTCCTCAAGCCCTTATTGATCTTGAAGCTGTTGTCGATATCAGGGTCGTTAATCAACCCCTTCCAGCCAACAGTTGTACGAGGCTTCTCAAGGTAGGAGCGCATAACAATCAGGAGATCATCTTTGTATTTCTGCTTGAGGGCCACCAATCGATCACAGTATTCGAGAGCAGCGGCTGGGTCGTGGATCGAACAGGGGCCGATGATGACTAGTAGACGTCTATTGGTATCTTTGCCTGTGACTACCTCAACTGCTTCGTTTCGTCCTGTAACCACAGTCTCTTTTGATTTGGGTGTTTGGGGAATTTCGTGTTGGAGGAGATCAGGAGGTGTGAGAGGGTTATATCCTCGAACTGTGTAGTATCAATTAGGTACATTTCCACATTCTCAGATGGAAACATACTGCGCCAATCCTCAGTATCCTCCTTGTTACCCACATTAGGGTTTGTGATGTGGTAAGTCTGCAAGTGAGTCAGAAAGTTCGTTTCTATGCCCCGCACCAAACTAGGGCATCAATTTCGATTGTACGTACTGACATAATGTAAGTCTGATCAAGCTCTCTCTAGCAGTGAAGAATTTGGTGTTAAAGGAGCAGCGAAGCAGTAAAAATGTGCTTTGTTGTTGTAAATGGCGGGGGAGAACAATGACTCGATTCCTTGAGTGGTGCTCTCCAGCTTTGGTGGGGTCTTTTACCGATGTGGCGCCGGCTTAAGTGGGCCGTATATCGGCTTGCCTCTTGTTTCTGTTGATTAGCTCTTACTATCTTCGGCTCCTTACATTCTATAAACTTGAACTTAAGAGACTAATAGTTCCAAAGTTCAATTCAATATCTAAAAAACCATAGGTTTTGTCCTCTCCACCTTTCACATGATAAGCTCTTCGATCTCATGGCCACACTCTATACAAGCCCTAATAGTTGCACCATCCGAGCCTTCAAGACCAATGCCAAACGTATGGACGTGCTTACTGTCATCTATCTGATCGCCAAACTTTGCTTCCTTGTTCTTCTCTCTCTTCCTTCTCAACATAGACTCTCCTCTTGTCTTCTTCTCAAGCTCAACTAAGCCCTTCTTAAACTTCTTACCTCTCTGTATTTGCTTCCCAGCTTGTCTTCTATCAAACTCGGCATCCATAGCTTCAGCAGATCCCCATTTCGTCTTGATAGCATATGCTTCGACTTGAAATCGTAAGAAGAGGCTCATGTCGTGCCAATGAGCTTTGTGAGGATTTGGTTTCAAAAGACGAGGGAGAAGCTCATTGTCATTAAGTTCAGCTGCTAACATATTAGCTAAGACCTGGGTTAGTAAGAAGGTATTCCTACGCTCCGTTAACATATAATCCGTCTTGCACTCAGTCTTGGTTAGAAGACTGTACTTCTGGTCATTCTTTTCCTTGCATCTCGCACAGACTTGTACACCAAACACCTCGTCCCAGGTCCAGTCAATCTCAAGGCTTCCACAATCTGAGCACTTCTTGCCCTGCTCCCGCGCACCAAGTCCCAAGCCAGGCTCAAAAGGCCCTTCTTTTCTTCTCCGTAGATTCTTAAGCAACTGGTGTCGTTCCCACTCTTTTAAAGTCATATGCGCAGGCTTCTCCTCCTTGTTACTAGACGCATGCATAGCCTTGTTGAATGGATCATCGTCAGCATTCAAGAAACCACCCTTAGTGTCTGTCATCTTGCTAAAGTCGTGGTCGACATATTTCTTGAACTTCCGAGCAGGCAGTATAACATCGTGGGCATCTCGCGCATCGCGGTGGGTTCTGAGATCACGACCAGTTGAGGGGTTATCAGAGGAGATCAAGGCATGATTGCGTTTCTGACTAGTGGCAGCAGAAGTATTTCCAGAAGATGCAGATTGGGAGGCAGCTTCTTCAGCAAGATGACGCTCACGAATAGCTTTGGCTTTGAGTCTATTCTCTTCCTGTCCTCTGTTAGATTTGCGATAATGAGAGGAGGGCCCAACTTGCGATTCTTCGAGTTACCTCTGGAGTTGGAGGAGGAGATCGAGAATTTGGCTGTATAGCTGTCCGAGGTGGTAGAATAACCTGTCTGTCCATGACAATTGTTTGGAAAATAACAGAGAAGGTACAGTAGCCAGACTGGAAAGAAAACAAAGACGAGGCAAGTTGAGGTGATGAGCAATGGAGGGGAGGGCGCGATGCTAGCGCGATGCTATGTCAGCCTCGCGGCGGTTGCAGGGGTGCGAGTTGTGGTCCCGTCTTGAAGCGGGCCAGGCAGCCAGGCTACCGGTAGGGCACGTGCAGAACACCGAAGTCCCTTGGCAGCAGGGGAAGTCTGCATGGGTACGTATTGGTATCGTCCAGTATCGTACCGGTAAACAAATAATGAGTCTGTGCACAATTTTTTTGATGATCGTTCACCTTGATCCAACCTCCATCCCACTCCTCAGCTGGCTGTACAGTGAGATCAGCAATTGCGGCTTCCCTCGTTTACCATGTTACAATAGCATTCGACTACGATGAATCCTGTTTGGATAGTAAGCACGCGAGCTTCGTGTTTGCATCCTCGAAGCGTTCTCCGACCATGCCTTAACATAGACAGCCTCACTGCACGGCTCGCGCAAACCTCTATTTGGACACACTCCGTTTCGTCGGTACCTGTTAAAAGCAAAGAAACCAGACTTGGGGGGCAAAGGGCGACAAAGCCATGGCAGTACTCCAATGCAGCCTTCAGACTTCCAGTAGCAATCAGGTCGTTTGCAACGCAACGGATAATTCGGCATTTCGACAGTCTCCCAGTAGACTATATGGATGAAGATGGACTTAAATTCCGGATTAAAGACCTTTCAAGGGAAGAGACGCATGCTGTCTTCGGGAAGAAGATGATCGATCCGGATACTGCGAATCGAATGCTACGGGTTCTACATGGCAGGAGAGTTGCAGGCACATTAGGAGATCCCTCATATACGAGCAGTACATACGAAGCAAAGGCCATTGAGACTGGGTTGAAATGGCTTAGGAAAAATGTTCCGGTCAACGAGATTGAGTGTGCTGGCCTGAGGGCAGAGAAGGAATTGGCAGAGATGGAACAGGATATTGTCTCTGATACTGAGAGACTGGGCCTCTACCAGCCTAATTCTGGTGGCGGTAATGTCTATGGAGACAGCGTCATTGATCAGGTACGGAGAGCTAAAGAGGCAAAGCTTGATGTCAAGGAGAAGGCTAAGAAGGAGCGGCTGAGCCAAGCAGATGAGATCAGACAGAATACTGGCACATTACAAACAATCCGTCCTCAATCTCAGGTGGAGCTCAGACGGCCAGGCGAGAACCCTCGTCTGAAGTACTATATCGAGCGGGCAAAGGTTGCGCCAGATACACCACCAGAAATGACCAAATGGGAACGTCTCTGGCCATCAGGACTACTTGCACTTGCTGTCATCGTCGGCTCTGTAATCTTTACAACAGTCTATACGCCACCCCGAAGAGAGTCCAGGGCATGGCCAGACATGCCCCCATCCGCTGCAACAGTGATCAGCATCATTCTTCTTAATACTATCATCCTCGGCGCCTGGCGTATCCCCCCCGCCTTCCGTGTCCTCAACAAGTACTTTCTCGCTCTCCCCGGCTATCCTCGCGCCCTCGCTGTGATCGGTAACATCTTCTCGCACCAGACCATCGGGCATTTCTCTGTGAACATGGTCGTACTATGGTTTGTAGGCGTACGTTTACATGACGAGATTGGTCGCGCGAATTTCATAGCTATCTATCTCTCCGCTGGCGTATTTGCTAGCTTTGTCTCTCTTGCCTCCTGGGTCTTACGTAACAACTTTGTAACATCGTCCCTCGGCGCTTCAGGTGCTATCTGTGGTCTTGTCGCGACATATCTCTTACTAAATAGTGATGATAAAGTCACACTTTTTGGTGTCTTCCCACCCAAGGATTGGCCGTCAATTTCGTCGCTTATGCTTTTAGGGTTAATGGTTAGCACAGATGTTTTTGCTGTGTGGAAAGGAAGAAAGGTTACTATGATTGCTGTAGATCATTGGGCACACCTGGGAGGGTATGCAGCAGGTGCAGCTGCCGGTGGCGTGATAAGGAGACAACAGAGGGAGAAGAAGGAGAGAGAGAGAGAGAGGAGAGAAAGAATCTGGGTATTGTAGTCCCTTGCTCTTATTTGTAAATAGGATGTATTACTCTAGGGAAAGTGTATAGAGTCATACGGCGAACCTATGCTAGTTCGCTAGCGGCCGCATCTCTCCTACTTATACTCGAGGCTCCTTAGGAACCTCTTCCTCTTGCTGTCTTTTCTACTTTGTATTGTAGCTACTAATGAATCTTCGTTGTGCTGTCACACTCAGAACTGCGCCCTAGACTGCGCCTCAGAGCCAGTAGATCGAAGGCCGCTAGCACACAGTAAACACGGTTCTGAGTATAAGGTAATTATCTCCGACTACCGTTCTATAGGTCTAGGTACTTACGTATGAGGCGAAATTTGCTCCAATCGCACGTTCTTGACTTCTATAGATATGGAAAGCCACGACAGTGAAAGTTGCCTGCACGCAAACCGGATATAGCGATATTAAGGTAGGAAGCTCACCACTGGTCAGCTAACGAGTAACTTGAGCCACATTTACACGACAGCTAGCTCTCATTTAAAAGCATTTGATCCTACGACTTGAGTACTGATACAGTTAGTGATGGAAATAGGATTACCTGAGGCTCATCTTACAATACAACGCCGCTGCGCACCTCACAGCACCTACTAAAAGTACCGAACTAAATGCGAGATACATAACTGTTAACCTCTATTCCCACCCTACTTCACCACACTCCCCTTTCCATCAGTCAATCGCATCAATCATACTATCAAACCGAGACCTCGCCTCCTCTGTCCAGCACTCCACTCAACTGCCCGGCTATCCGTCGTGACCCCTCTTCGCATCCGTCAATTATTATTATTTCTTATCACTCCAGTATCCAATTGCTTAGTGTATTGATCTCTCAGCTGCCGCAAGTGAGGTGGTAGGACCGCGCAGCCACGCCAGAAAGAAGCAGACTATTGTAAAGAAGATGTTAAGCGACAATTAAAAGATTACAGCCGAAAAGCTAGCCAAACGTGATTACTCTACTTTCAACGATGATTTGAAGGGAAAGTTGCCTAAGTTAGAGCAGTTAGCAAATAAGGAGTTGATGGTTTTTCGCTTAAGGATTTGGGGGCTACTGTTAAGGCTGTTTCGCAACCATAGAAGTATCATTCTAGACGGTCTCGGGACAAAGGAGTAGAAAACATATCATCTATTGTAAACATAGTTTGCTGTTGTTATATTTCTCTATGATAAAGCCTTGCCGATGTCCTGTCTATTTAGACGAGTGCGTGGTATTAAAAACTCCTAACTTACAAATCACCAAAAACTCTTTCCTCTAACTTTGCCGCTTCCAACCCAAGTCTTCTTATCTTCTCTCTGGACAAGACCCCCCTCTCCGTAATATACATATCAATAAACCTCGCAGGAACCCACTCAAAATAGTTATTCCGCACCTTTACATTTACCTTCACCCTTTCCTCCCCATCCCTATTGCTAACACCCCCCTTCCTTATCTTCTTTAACCTCGCAACAACCTCATCCGGCCACGACCTTGTAATCTCAGCCTCATCATTCTCCTCCCCCTCTTCCTGCTCCACTCCGGCAGTAATCTTACCCGTCTCAAACACCGCCACAACCTTGCACCCCGCGTTTAATGCTTTTGCTGTAACAGCTAAGGCACAGCTGCCGATTTTGTTACTCACGTTTCCGTTGGGGAGGACTTTATCGCCGCCTAAGAGGATGAAGTCTGCATCTATAGCGGCTGTTGCGATACTGGCGTCGGAGATGATCTCGATGTCAACGTGGTGGTTGGGTGTGGAGGTAGTGGAGAGAGTGTTGAGGAGGGAGGTGGCTGCTGAGGCACCTTCGAAGGTGGGGCGGGATTCGAGGAATGCGATTATTAGTTTCAGGGGTGGAGTTTGAGAAGAGGAGAAGGCAGATACGAGGGTCGTGAGACAGGCATGGGTTGTTCCTGAGGATGAGAGGGTTATAATTTTGATTGGCGTTGATTTCAGTAAAGTTCCGGGATTCTGGTCGTTCTGGCTATTCCCTTTGGCAGTCCTTTCCACATACTCCTTGAAGGCATTCGCGATCGTTTCAAGACCGTGATTCTGATTCCCCCCTGTGATATTTTCCTCCAACACTGAATCAACCATACCCTTCAGTTTCGCCAGAGGAATCTCCTCCAGCCCGTCAGCTCCCAAAGCTTGTAGTTCTCGGCTCACAATATCCAAGGCCCCAAACAACTTGGCTTCAACAGCAGCACTCATACTAGGCCTCCCATTCTTCGCCAAATGCCACGCTCTAATCCTCACCTCACGCCAAAACTGCACCGACGTACTGAACTGTAACCTCTGCATCTCACTTCCTCGTACCGTATCCAGCAGAATCTGCACCGCTTTCAAAGCAAGAGCCCGAGCACCACTCTCCTTATCACCCCTCAACACCTTAATGCCTGCTTCCGTTTCGGGACTCACTAAGACCCGTGTCATGCCGACTTCCAGTTGAGGGACGTGGTCGTATGAGCTTAACTCTTCGGGTCGAATAAACCTGTATTCTGTGTGTTCGAAATCAAGCGAGATACGGGACTCGTTTGAATTGTCCTTGAGTTGCCAGAGAAATGGGTAGATCGTCCATTCTGTGCGGAGTGATGAGTCAGTTAGGGTGAATGGCTTGCCCCGGCGGAGGAGAGTGAGGTCCTTGGTTAAGAGCTTGGTTTCTTCGCTGATCTCTCGGACTGCGGCGGAGAGGTGGCTGGAGTCCTTTGGGTCGATAGATCCGGAACAGGCGGCCCATTTGCCTCTTTCATCTGGTGTTAGAGTCTGTTGAGTGTTTGAGGGAAGGAGATGGAAGTGGAACGGATTAGGAGAGATGAGAGAGGACGAGAATAAGGTTGGAGCTGAGATAGCTGAGAGGGGATCTAGGCGCTGCATACCGGTATGTAGATACATCTTGACTGCGCTTGAACAGCGCGAATTTCAGACCTCCCGGAGTTTGTGGGGAAGTGCAGATGAAGGACGAGACTACGGAGCGTTGTCTGAAATCTGAGGACATTTTGCGATACTGAAGTTGTTTGGTGTCTAGTCTTAGATGAGGGATTTGATTGAGTGGCCGGACTGGCCGAATCGCCAGCCTTTGGTTCATCAGTTGCTGTAGATGACTTTGATGTTGTTGTTGTGATGAAGGCACCCCGCCTAGTGACGTTGGACGAGCGAGGTGGAATTGAGACTGATTGGTTCGCTTAGCGGGATTTGAGGGGCGTTCCTTTGTCAGCGTCAGCTTCACTTTAATCGGAATTCTTCAACTATCAACGCCATTTCCTGAGAACATGCGACGGTAATCTTTCGGCAACTTCAAACTATAGGATCCTATCACGTAGTGATACTCAGTTATGCTTCACGGGGACTGGCAGAATTGAGCACACAGTCATCGAAACATGGCTAGGGAAGCAAGGAGCAAAGGGGCATGTTGGACATGCAGACTACGTAGGAAAAAGTGTGATGAACGGTCCCCGGTTTGTGTCGCGTGTACTGCACATAGCCTACCTTGCTATGGCTACGACAAGCCAGATTGGGCAGATGGTGCGAGCAAGCAGAAAGCCAAAGCTGATGAGCTGCGACTTATGATTCGCGAAGTTGCTTCAGCGAGGCGACAGCTCTTGAAGCAGAAAACGTCCAAGAATTTCGTGGATTCGGCAACTTCCCTACCTATTGTGACTGCTGTGGACGTCCATAGTATTATTCCGGACGCATCTCAGTTGACAATCGGTAAACCTCGGCCTCAAAACCCCTTACCTCACTATGTCGAGATTAGAAATATATTCGACGATTATCTTATTGACCAAGTTGGAACTACTCAGGTTCTGGGGCATGATCCACGAGAAGAACTGATCTCCTACTACCTTGATGTCGTCTTTCCAATCCAATTTCCAATCTCACCGAACTCGAAAAATGGCCGTGAGTGGTTGTTACCTCTTCTTCGACAAGTCAAACCTTTGTATCATGCTGCCATTAGTATTGCCGCATATCACAGGGAAATCTCAGGACAGAGTGTTAGCGACCGAAATTACTGGAGAATTCATCATGGACTAGCACTCAAAGAATTACGACAGTACCTTGGAGAATGTCACGGATACAACCTCACGGTTTCTCTGGAGTCGAATGTTGAGGTTCTCGGCGCCATCGTTCTTCTTGTTTCCCTGGAGGTGAGTACGCTCAAGTATCCCACCTTTGTTCTCGACTGATAGTAACAGGTCATGATGGGAGACACTGAGAGTTGGTATGTCCACATGAAAGGCCCTCTACATCTTCTTCCAAGTTTGAGGCATGCCTGTGAGAACCGAAACATGCTCTCTCCTGAACATTTCCAGGGCCTTCAATTCTTTTCCGCGGTCATCGTTTGGTACAATGCCCTATCATGCGCCTCGACAGGACTGATACCATGGGCACCTATCTCTTGTCTCAGAACAGCGGTACGTGGCTGGGTCAATACATATGCCGTCACAGGATGTCAATGTGAAGTGACGATATCTATCATTGAAATCGCTGCCTTGAATGTACAGATCAAGCAGCGAAGGTTGGAGGATCCAGAGCTTTCTGCTATAGTAAGACGAATTGACAATGATCTGTTCAGATGGTTTAAGGGGCTTGGTATAAGTCCCGAAAAGGAGCTTGGAGTAGAGACACTTATCACTCGAGTGTTTGCGAGTGCAGCTCAGATATACCTCGGCGTCGTTGCCTCAGCATTTGACTCAGAATTACCAAAAATCTGTATCCGTGTCGCTGAGTCGCTTGTCGCCTTGGAAGCAATCACCGACGTGCGGGTTTTGAGCACATTAATATGGCCTATCTGCATCACCGGATGCATGGCCACAGGGTGGCAAAGAGATAAGATGAAGAAGATATTTCTTACTATGAAGAATGTACCTATTTTGCAGCTTGGCAGTATGGATAGATGTCGGAAGATTATCGAAGAATGTTGGCGACTAAGATCAGAAGGCTGCGATACAGATTCGCGAACCACTTGGATTAAAGCTATGGATAGCTTAGGCTTGAAGATATTACTGGTGTAAGATAGTAGAGCTTAGAATACAGCGTGATGAAGTTTCCAGCAACGTGCGAGTCCTCGAGGCTTTTGTTCGCTTTAATAAGGATCATGCTCGTCCTTTATCTCCTTAGCTGCTAGAAGCGCCCTCTCCACAGGCACGTACCGCTAAGCCGAAAAAGGTATAGCAGAGACTCCAGTGACCTCACGAGGCTTCAGAGCCTGGAGGGGTCGCTATGTTTCGCCTGTTTTCGCAGCTTAGGGGCTCGCTTCAGTGGACCTTGCAGTGCATTTAGGAGGGCGTTCCTGGTGGCAGCTAAGGGAATAGTGTTGGAGTCGACAGGTCTGTGCTACTGTGGTACAACACGCTTGAATCACCGGTGTAGCAGTCTCTAGCTTGCCACAACGTGTCGTCTATTAGCTGGAGAAGGCTATTACACTTGATGTCTAAAGGGGCACGCGGCGGAATCAGGGCGCGGATCGGCGATTAAAAACGATTTTACGAACCGATTTTTATAATTTTTTAACTAGTTAAATCAGCGCGCTAAGGGCTTTTAAACGCACTAATTTTTATAAGTTTCTATAAGAGGCGCGCTACGATGCACGCGGGTGAAGTTAACGCGGGAAATGCGGGCAGGGGGGTGGAATCAGGGCGTGCTGAGGCTTAGCTCTTATAATTTTTTTTAAAACATAACGCTAGCGTACTTTTAATAATACTATATTATAGAGAATTATCTGACGAATTAAACGCTATAAAGATCACTAAAATCGGGGGCAGTTTACTTAAGATAAGTTAATCGTGAAGATTTTTTCTACTTTAGGGTGATTTTTCTAGGCACTAGGTAGAATCAGGGCGCGTTTTAGTATCCTCTTATAAAATTAAGTTTTTTTTGGTTATAGTACGCTTATAAGACTTAATAGACTTAGACTATAAGTTACTAGCTCTAAATCCCTTTATTAATAGTTTACTTTTTTTTAAGTATCTTATTTACTTAGTAACTAAGTGGAATTATAACGCGTTTTAGGATCCTCTAATACTTTTAGTAGATTTTAGCTGTTATAAGCTTATTAAGACTAATAGACCTAGTTTATAAGTTATTAGCCTTAAATCCCTTTATAAATAATTTTTTCCCCTTAGGATTTTACTTAGTAAGATTTACTTAGAAATCAAGTGGAATCAGAGCGCGTTTTAGTATTCTTTAATACTTTTAGTAGATTTCAGCTGTTATAAGCTTATTAGACGTAATAGACCTAGTTTATAAGTTATTAGCCTTAAATCCCTTTATAAACTAATTTTTTATATATATGATTCTACTTAAAGGAATTTATTTAAAACTTAGGGTTAGGGTTTGAGGTTTGGGTTATATTTGTTTCTAACTACGCTAGCTTGCGACGAGTGTTTTTATCTCTCTCTAATAGTCTTGAAATACAGAAGGACTATACTAATAATACAGAGGGTAAGAGCCTGAAGGTGTCAGGGGTACAGAAGGTAGAGTACTAAGATAGAAGGAGATAATACAGGGTAAGTGGAGTGTGTACCAAAGGGTAAGTAAAGAGTGTATCAGAGGGTAGGCGTAGTGTGTACCAAAGGGTAGGTAGAGTGTGTGCCAAAGGGTAGGTAAAGTGTGTACCAAAGGGTAGGTGTAGTGTGAGTCGCAGGGTAGGTAGAGTGTGTACCACAGGGTAGGTGTAGTGTGAGTCGCAGGGTAGGTAGAGTGCGTACCATAGGGTAGGTAGAGTGTGTACCAAAGGGTAGGTAGAGTGTGAGTCGCAGGGTCGGTAGAGTGTGTACTATAGGGTAGACTAAGTGTGTATCACAGGGTAGGTGAAGTGTGAGTTACTTAGGGTAGGTGAAGTGTGTGCCGTAGGGTAGGTGTAGTGTGTGTTATAGGGTAGGTGTAGTGTGTGCTGTAGGGTAGGTATAGCGTGTGTTATAAGCTACCTACGTGCTAGGATCGAGGTTGCAGCGATTCCTCGAGCCTGAGTTAGGGTGCTAGCGATATACCCGTCTAACCACTTAGCCCTAGAGTGCCCTAATAGGCCCTGTAGGGCCTTATAGGTCTTCGCTGTTTCGGCTTCCATTAGGCCTCCTGCCGAGAAGATCAGGGGGTGAAATACAGGGCCTAAGTCGCTGTATTTAAGCCGTTTAGCGTTTGCTGCCTCTGATAGCGTAGCATAGGCTTCTTCGCGTGCTGAATCCTTGTTAATTGCTACTATTTGAACGTCGTAATAGTGCCTAGAAGTACCTATAAGCACTGAAAAATCCGGTCGTTGGCTGTTTTCTAGGGCTATAGGCGTTCTAGCTAGCGTAGGCTCCGATTCCACTTTAAGGTCTTCCCGGCTAGAAAGGGTAGTAATAAATGCACGGGTAACCTGGTTATAGCGTATAATCCAGCGTCGTTCAGCACCTCTACAGGTGTCTTCATGGCCTATTTGAGGGTAGGCTCCACAGGCGGTACAGGGCGAAATAGGGGGCTTTACAGGGAGTAAGAGCCTAGTCCGTAGTGCTTCGGTAACTGTAGAATCCGCTAAAAGGTGGTGTTTTTGCGTGGGCAGGGTTCTAAGCCAGTATCGTCCGAGGTAGCTAGCGTTCTCAAGCTTCGATTTTAGCGCTTGTTTTGATAGGGTAGGTAGAATCTTCTCTTCTAGGTCTTGGTTAACGCTAGAGAAGACCTCTTGGGCTGTCGGTACAGGGCGTCCAGGGGGTTCCGGGTAGAGATTAGGGCATATAGCCACTAGAATCGATCGAGAGGCTTCCTTAGCTGCCCTATAGAGCCCTGGGGCTAATAAGGCGTGTATAGGGAGCCCTAAGCCTCCCTCTCTCACTGGAAGAGAGAGTAAAGCCTGGCGAATTAGGGTAGTCTTCTCCCCTGGCTCCCTAGCGATTAGGGCTTGTACAGCGTACTTGATTCGTAAGTCCGCTAACCTCCAGAGGTCTAGTAGGTCTTCCGAGTACAATTGGCGCTGTAAGTGTCGTAGGAGTAGGTGTATACTACCCCGTAAGAGTAGGGTAGCGTGTTGTTTAGGGAGGTCTCGTAGGGTATATAGCGCTGTAGCGAGAGTGTCGATTTTCCCCTGGAGGAACGTTCGGCGGTGTGCTACAGGGCCTATAAAGGTCCCTAAGGCCTTAAGTCCAGTGGTTTGTAACTGGGAAATAGGGCTTTCGGTGCTCTTTTGGCGGTTAAGAGCTACTGGAGAGTCCCTGAAGGCTTCTATAACTACAGGGAGTAGTGCTGTAGTTTCAGGGCTAAGGATATAGATATCGTCCAAATAAGCTATAATTGTAGCCTTCGGTAGGGTCTTTTGGAGGTGCTCTAGCAGGGGGCGGATCGCTAGAGAGAATAAGAGGGGGGCAATAGGGTCTCCTTGGCGTACTCCTTCAGCGCTTGCTAGCGTGTGGCCTTCGTTTGTTACTAGCACTGAAGGCTGGTTATAGGCCCATTTAGCGGTCCGATAGAGAGTAGGGGCGTATTTAGCGACTGCAGCTGCTATTGAGGTTCGTCCGATTCGGTTATAAGCGTTGATAAGGTCTAAGGAGGCGATTTGCTGAGTTTTTAGGGTATTTGGGCCGGTAATAGCGTCGTCAAGGAGGAAGATTATAGGCTCTACACCACCTGGGGTGCTAACGCCTAATTGGCAGGGTAGAAGCATAGACGGCTTGAAGGAGCTGATAAGGATCGCTTTTAGGGCTACCTTATAAATAAGGTCCCCTATAGCGATCGGTCGCACACCTCCGTCAGGCTTCTGAAGGCCTATAAGTCGGGAAGCACATAGGAGGTCGACCCCTGGAGCTGTACCCTGTCGAATCATATTCGCTAGGTGTGTAAGCGCTATAGTTACAGGGGAGTTTTCCGAATTTAGCGCTATATCAAGTAGCGGGCGGGTCCAGCCGCTGAGGCCAGGGGCTTTCTCTCTATTAATCGATCGAATAGCCTGTCGTATCGTTTCAGGGGTGATATTTTGCCCCGGGGAGGGGTTAGCGTTACTGAAGGGGTTATTATGCCCTATAGGGTGCTTCGAGTATAGCGTATTTAGCGTCTCTGGAGTGCTAGGAGCTAGAGGCGTAGGGTCGATTAGGGCTCTAGAGGCACGCCCTATATAGCCTTTTTCCAGAAGCTTAGTCGCTCTTTTGGCGGGGGAGTCGTTTGAGGGGGTAGGGGGTTCAGGGGGAGGTCCCTGAGTTTCAGGGATATCCGGTATAGTCGTAGGGTAGGCTTTCAGCGTTTTAGCGAGCTCTTCCTTCTGTAATCCTAGGCCGAGAACCCTGGGAAGCAGTAAAAAGTCCAGTAATTGCTTCTCTCTAGGCTGCCGTAAGAACGCTAAAGCCGCTCGATTAGCGGCCTCTGTAAATAGCGCTGCTTGCCTGGCGTGGAGACGTGTTTCAGGGACCTTAATAGTGCTATATCTCATGAGGGATTGCATATAGGGGTTTCTTAGCGCTGAGCTTATAGCGTTCAAGTGGTCTTTAGCGCTCTCGTCTAGGGGTGTAGGCGCTGAGGAAGCCTGTGGGTGTAGGGGTGTAGGTGCTGAGGTAGCCTGAGGCTGGGGGCAGTGGATCGATTGTTGTAATCCAAAGGGTAGCTCAGATGTGAGGGGGTCGGTAGGGCGTTTTAGTGTTGACGTTCTAGGGCGTTTAGGCGCTGAAGATGCTGTGCCTTGTGTTGATATAGGGCGTTTAGACGCTGTAGGCCCTATAGTACGGCCCTGGAGTGTTGGGTTACAGGGTAGGCTAGGTGTGGAGGTTTCGCAGGGTAGGTGAGTTGTGGTGTTTTTAGAGGGTAGGTGAGTTGTGGTAGTTTTGGAGGGTAGGTGTGTTGTAGGGGTTGTTGGGGGAGAAGAGCTTATTATTATAGGCTCTTTAGCGTGAGAGGGTGCTGAAGCTTGGGGAGCTTTAGGGGGTGGTTCTAGGGGTGAGTAGCTTCGGTTGCTTATAGGGGAGCCTACTCGTGATAGTCGAGGGAAGTAGGGGCTATCAGAGGGTAGGCTAGGTGTGGTAGGCGTCTTATCGGTAGGTGTAGTTGGTATAGGCGTTGAGATAGCGTCTTCAAAGCTAGGGGTAGGGGACGATGGCGCTGTAG